GGGGTTGAGACCTTTGTCGACATTTTTTGTTGAAATCCGGATTTAATCTGATTCAGTGCCCTTGTTGATCAAAGAATCGGAACGAGTTTGCTTTTGCTGCCAACAGAATTAATTTGAAGGTCACTAATTAAGATTCAGCGCAAAATTCAAGAACGAAAATACACTTTCTATTCTGACAAATGTCTGAAAAAAGGGCCGACATTGGCGATTTCTAATTTTCTCCAATCCTCGTCATTTGCGGTACTCCTTGGCGCAATTTCGCCGTTTGCGAAACACGGGCTTTCAAGAATCGTGACCAGTAGATCATCTGTTGCTGCAATTTGCTCAAAGATTTCATCGAATTTATACCTCCACGCTTGCTTTCAACAATTTTAAATTGAAGTACGATCTTTCTCCCCTCATTCCAGTGGCCGCAAAAACATGTTTTTCACATAATATCTAAGTTCGTTTCTTTAATTAGTTCGTGCGAAACTTGTTGTATCTAATTCGTAAAATCAAGCTTTGAACTTCTCCGAATTGGCGCAGGAAGGAGGAGGAATCAATTTGTTTTTGACTATAAAACTTTTATTTTTGAAAAAATAACGGTTTGTAGCAACTGCGATCCGTCAGCCTAATTGTTTAACCGCAACATTATTGTTTTCTGAATTCTCAGTAAAAGGAGTAGATTCTGTTTTGCCTTTCAACATAAAAAGAAAGAAAAAAGAAACCAACTTTCTGTTTTGCCCAAAAAGTCCACGACTGTTACTTAGTTGCGTTTATCAAGATCAGATCACGTGTACTAAATCTTCCACAACGAGGTCAACAATCTTATCGACAGCAAAAAGAAACGCACTGGCTATCGACGAGGAAGATACCATTCTCGTTTATCACGTCTAAAGTTAAATGTTTTGATTAAAAAATGCGATTCTGAAAGATAATTTTTTAACAAAAATCATAAAAAAAACGATGTCAGCGTTATTTGGAGCGATCACGAAAGAAGCGAGTCAGCTGACAGTTAGAAGCGAATAACCGCCATTTTTCTTTCAAAACGCATAAGCCGAAAGTTGTTGTCCGATTATTCGCCACGGTCTACTAAAAAAATTGAAAGCACGTTTGCCTATCGACATTTAGGTTCAACCAGCAACGTGCCAGAAAACAAGCGATCAGCAAATCGTCCGCGCGAAATAAGCAAACATGAAGAGCATCTGCCAAACTAGCAACTCTATGCTTTTTTTGCTGCGATGTATTTAAAATGGCGATCAACCGTTTTCGAGCGCTAAACAGAAATAATTTCCCTTCAAACTCCAGCGAAACCGTTCAAATCACGGTATCAGCATGTGAAGAAAATCTGAGTCAGGGTCAGAAAGAGCGGAAATGAAAAGCCGCGCAGCGGCTTTTTTAAAAACGAAGCCGCTAATATTACAATTTTAATCTAGATAAAACTCTGGCTTCGTTTTTAAAAAAGCTGCTTCACGGCTTTTCAGTTCACCTCTTTCAGACCCTGACTCAGGTTTGTTACACAGGTTGCCGAATCCAATGTTGGCCTCAATATTTACTTTTTGAGCTCTTCTCCTTTTACTCTAGCTATCTTTTATTAAAAGCTCGTATTTATTGATCAATACTGCCGTAAAAATAAGTATTGCCCTGAGACTAACTTTTTTGCGGAAAAACATTTATGCTTCGCATCTGTTTCTGCTGCGGTCATGAGAAAAGCTTGAAAGTAGCTGGCAACGTGTAAGGGACAACGGCCACTATGTCATAATATTTATAGCAGAGTATAGTAGAATAATGTTGTTTGAAAACAAGGTAATTAATTGCTCGTAATTACGGAATAATCAATGTTGATTTATATTCCGACATTGCTTAAAATTTTCATTGCTAAGCAATAATAAACCTCAACTCACTTTTTCTAACTGATCGAGGGAAGTTCAAAAAGTAAAATTTCAAAGTCTACGGGAAAAAATTAATTGCGCTATTTCACGGAAAATGTGCCAAATTTTTGGAGGAGCTGTTACACCGACTTTCGGCTTGTCAAGGGAATTCTATTTTTAACCACTCTGATCTTATCTGATGAAACGATGGAACCACGTTTTTTGTTGTATTTGATCAAATAAAGCCGCATAAATTATAAAACAAGAAACGCAGACGTTGGAAACCAAGAATTCCAGCATGTTACATGAAAGTGTTTATCATCATTAAAAACGAGATCTTTATTGATAATTCTGGCCGTGTAATTTACCGGTTTAAGGGTATGTTCGAAGAAATCAATTGATGATACAAACGTGGCCATGACTTTTGCTGTAAAAATTTTAACCCTTAAGGACCCCCCGTCAGCTTTTTCGTCCGAAAATGGAAATTTTGAAAAAGACCATATTTTTGGTTCTTAATGCGTCATCAGGTTAAACTTGCTTCATAAACTCGATGAGAGAAATTTTTGACCAAGAAAAATCAATATTTTTGCCAAAATTAGGGCGAATTCGTCGAAATTTTTGGCGAAATACCCAATTTTCAAATGCGATTTTTGGGGTGAAGGAGTCGAGATAGACCCCCAAAAAATCGTTTTTTGACCCGTAGAATCCATTTCCGGGTCAAAATTTTAAAATTCCGAAATTTGATTTTTCGGAAAAAAGCTGACGGGGGGTCCTTAAATTATGGGGTGCAGGAGATCAAACACGTAAGTTTCATCTATCAGAGGATTTTTTAATTGATTTTTAGAAGAATGAAGACTCCGATGCAATGATATCAAGAGCCACGTATAATACTAGTTTGGACTTTGAATTCGAACATGATAATTAGTTGAAGCTGTTAAAGTAAAGTTTGGATCCTTTGCGTCCTTTTGTTTTCCTTGTTTTGAGCAAGTTCTGTTTCTTTATGTGTGTTTCTAGTCATAGAACTTGTCAAAGGTTTGTCAAAGACGCGCTCCAACATGTTGAATGCTTTAGTTCGATTAAACTTTCATTATCGCAGCTTTAAAATATCCACTTAACCCTTTTTCCTTCATTTCACGAAAAAGAGAAGGAACGTACGCCAATTTCCGCGAAAGACGTTAGTTGATGAGAGTTGTTCAGCAAATGCTCACTATAGCGCTTATTTCAATCTCAAAATTCGACGTTGCCGCGCAAAAATCAAGCCAGGCTTGTAATTTTAAAATGCATAAGCACAGTTGTAAAAAAAAGTGTCGTGGCCGCTCGAAAACGGATATAAGTAGGGCAGATACGAACTTGTTAAAATTCAAAAATTCGAAAGTGCCGTTGTCAACTGATTTTTTCGTTGTCACTTGGAACCTGTGTCCAATTAAGCATTTTTTCAATTTAACGATTGAGTGCCTCCATCCAGAAATTAATAACTTCATTCTCTTCGTTTTTGAATTTCATGCGAAAAAGTACCGAAGAAATAAAAAAAATCCCTGATCAGCAAATGAGGTTAATAGCGCTTGTGATTATTTTACCTTCAAAATAGCGGTCGTCGTTTGCTCTTGTTTTCACCCAAAACATGTTTTAATAGCTCCGTGTTGTCAGTGAGTAGTTGTAGACACGGGTACTTTCTTGAAAATTAATTTCTGGTTAAAAATAATTAATCGGTCGATTAATCAGATTCAATAAAAGGGAGAAAAGTATCCTTCAAAAATAATTCTTAATTTTTGGATTGGTTATTGAGCGAGCTAATTCTTAAAAATTATGAGGCTTGCAAAACTTGCAAGTTTCGGCAAGAACGCAAACTTTAACAACCCTCCCACTCTTCTGAGCCAAAGTTTTAGCCACCCCCTAAAGTAACGGAAGGAAACGCGCCTCTTTTTGTGGGTCCCTTTCTCGGCGTCATCCTTGGATCCTGAAGCGGATTTTGAAATCGATTCCGTAAAACATCCTTTTCCGCCTTTACGAACGTGAGTTCCGTAATCATTTTTGAAATTACGTCTTAAATACGTATTTAGGTCAGTTTTCCTTGAAATTGCTATCTATTAACTACTCAAAGTAAAACCGAGTTAGAGAATTTGAATTGAAATTAAACAAAAGTTAAAGTGAAGATCGCGGCCTAAACTCTTAATAACTTGTATTCAAATTAGCACTGCTCCCTAATCCTAATCAATGACCATCTCTGAGCAAGTAAGACCCGTTTTGTGCTGTTTTTGAGTATACCAAAAATATGTTTCTATCGAACTGAGACTGCGTTTGTAGCTAGGTAAATACGTCGTGCAGAGCAGATAATGGTCGGATTATTAATTTGCTTTTTGTAAGAAGCCAAAAAAGGTTGAACAGTTTCTCGAAGCTATTTCTTCGTCATCGGGTGCACTCGTCGGACGCATTGGTCAGTTTAACTCCCGAGCAGCACACTATCGTCAACAGCTTCGTGCGCCAGCGGCTCAACAAGCTCCTAGACGACAAAATCATTCAAATGTCACAGACGGGAGATGAACCCTTCACAAACAGATACAGGTAGCGTCTCAAAGGTTTAATTGTAAATATCTGAGATGAAGTTATAACCGCCCTTGAATATTTGTTGATCCACGCTTGGGTCAACGGTTAACCCTAACTCACTTGAGAATTTTCAATAATTGCTGTAGCTCGCCTTCATTCTGGCCCAAAGGACTGCGGGAGTTCCGAAGCAACGAAATCAGCAATCTGGCGATGAGTTTGCGCTCCGTCGATTTCTAGCGCCGATTCCTTCATTTTTTATACCCTTGTCATTCTTTCACAATAAAATAAAAAGGAAATATTTCCATACGGGTTTGAAATATCCCACGTTTTTAATTTTATTCACTAACACGAAAAATATCGCAAACCGTAGACCTGGATTCTAGTCTTTTTATTTCTCAAAAAAGCGTCAACAATAATTTTGGAAAATGGCAGTTTGAGAAGTACCACCTTTGTTTTATAGAAAGTCTTTAAGTTAAATTATTAATTAGAATTGAAAAGCGCAGATGCGAGCCACTTTTGTTTTCGTAAAAACGCTCCAGTTAATAATAGATCAAAGCATTTCCTCTCTTTCGAAGCAGGCATTAATTTTTAAATTAACAAAAAAAAATGGCTCCGGAAGAGAAGAATGCACAAATACGAAACTCGAATTCCAGCCGTTGGAATATTCCAGCAAAGGTGCAACAATTTGATTAATCTATCAACAACCGCTCTCCGCGTATTTTCAAACTCAACTGCGGTTCAATCTTTTTTATCAAGCGAATTAAAGTAATCAAAAATAAAGAAGAAGAAAAGCGTGGGTAAACGAAAAAAGGACCAAGGAAATTTTTCAGCAGTTGAATGCCGTTTTCAAAAAAATCAAAATAAAATACGGCTGTCGACTATTATTTTTTATTTACGAAAAGGTAGCTAGAACTCCGGAAGCTTTCGCTGTTGTTCTGGCCTTTTTTAATTATCAAGCGCTCATTCGTTTTTATGTTTGTTTAAACAAAGAAAGAGGTCTATCTGGCTAAAAATAGAAAACTTAGCGGAAATTTTCAATATTGCGTGCGTAAGCTAGAAAAAGAAAAGCCATAACAAATTGTAATCATTAATTCGTGCGCGAAGTGGTGTCCTAACTCGATTGTTAATTGCTCCGCGCAACACAAACTAGGTGACAACGTTTCGTGTTTGCACCTTTTCCAAGAACAAATTCGCAAAATACGTGCAAAATCCCGCGATCGCCAAATTCGAAAAAGGGAAAACGCCAAATCAACGATCTCAGGTAACGTTAATTTGCCAGATGAGTTTGTCTACTTGAAAGCAGGTCCTGTCTCTTGCGAAGCAGATGGCGTCGTGCACCAGATCGGCCCGTCCGGCTCAGACAAGCTGTACCTTCGCCGGGGAAACAACCCCTTCGTCACATGAGAAAAGTGATTTATTTTGCGAGACAGTAATGAACTAAAGAATCAAGCCAGTAAATAAAAAGTAGAACAGTTGAAGTCGAAAAGTCGAGAATGAATAAATATAAATCGGGAGGGTTTTTCTTCTTTCAAAAGTACGAGCCGTACTTTTTAAGGGCTTTCGTCTTATTCCCGAACCGGAGAAGTTTTGGCTTATTATTAGAAATGTGTCTAAAGGTTTGGAAATGACTCTAACGCTAACTCATACCCTAAAGTCTACAGGCTATAGAAGCAAAAGGATTTGCTGAAAGTTGTTAGGAACTTCACGGTCTTTAGATCCTGGATGTCCATTATCATCGCAGTAATGAGTAAATACTCTTTGAGCGAACTAAATTATCTACACGTGATATTATTCTTCGATGATTCTTCGACGCAACGGTTATGTCACATGAGCACATAAGTTATGTGCTATCTTACCTTTATGCTTCTGTATTAAAAATGCCACGGGTTTTGCTGGCAAGAAAGTCATTAAGAGTGCTTTTTGGATATTAAAAAAACATGCAAAATCAAGAAATCGCGCTAAACCACATGTTCATCTTTTTAAGCGTTGAAAGACTAAGAAAAGACTATTTTTACGCGCTTTCAAAAACACGTCTTACTTGTCAATTTTGATTCTTGCTCCGAATCGAGTGTGCCTTTATCAGTCTCAAATGACGGGCTCAATTGAACTTGCCAATTTGTTCTTGGATTCTCTAAAGTACGAAAGCCCTTTGCAAATAGTCGTGGTCTTCAACGGGGCCAGGTTTGTGGAAAGCAATCGAGTTCAGAAGGTACCTCAGTTCTTGCTTCAGTCCCTCAATAAGCTCCAATTCAAATTAAGCTTTTATTTTGTTCATTAAGTCTTTTCGCTTTCTTACCCTTGAATTCAGTTTGAGGGAGTTGCTAATACTTTATCAGAGTTCTCGAAAATCATTCTTTCTAAATTTGTTCACTTCTTTCGGCAATTCTAGAGGACCTAAAATTCTACTGCAGAACAAAGTCTACCTGCCTTTATGAGTCAAAATCTGCTAAAAAGTCGCCGGAAAGGGGAGAACTCTGGCCTGAACGCGTTCACAAAAAAGAGAAAGGTAAGTCCCCTCCTTACGCTCTTGAGGAGGACCATTTTCTGATCGCGGATCTGTGCCATTCTGCACGCTCTGTTTTATCATTTCAAGCGTATCTATTATTAAACGGGCTGAATTTATTATTGAATTATCTGATTGCATACGATGAACATCTGAAAAAATGATCGATCGATCGAAAGAGCACCGTGAGAAACCTTTGTCAAAGCCAATTCGATTTTTTTGCTGGCAGACATTTCCGTCCTCCAATCCGTTATCACGTGACTGCTTCTAGACGTGGTTAGCAACAATCTAAGTTTGTACTTTGCCAAAATCGCGTTGACATGTCAACACTAACAAAAACTCGATCGATTAAAATCTAGTTAACAAAGGACTTGGAATAGAATCTAATATACCAACTAGGCATCATTTGAAATTGAACTTTTAACAAGTTCTGCGGAATTCATAAACCACAAATTATCATAACAAATGCCGTTTATCCTATACGCTATAAGTGACACGCATGTTTAATCCTTTTCTTCAATCATTTTGATGTTGCGGCTAAAAACAATAGTGTGGTTGGCAAAAGCTTCAGGATGAATTCTCCTGGCCTAATTATTGTAACAATAAGTGTTATAATTACATATGCAACGTGAGCTCCCAAATCTGCCACGGTAAAATCTCCGAGCGAAACAAAACTGTTTGCTTGCAGAAAGTTCATGTTATACGAAGAGCATTTATTGGATCGATTTGTAAGGCATTGAAGTGTAAGTCTAGTCTGCTCATTTGCTTTCGTTTTCAAAGGAGTCTGGGCACATTCGCGACAATGGCAGGTTGACCATCTCGTCCTTGACCACAGTCAAACTGTTAGGCGTGCTAAAAAGGGATCACAACGAATCGCCGAAGAAATTTCAAATCAAATCAAAAATATTATCTTTGGAATAGTTAGGCTTAAACTTCTATTCTGAAATTGTCCTCTCAGTGAGAGGCTCTTACAAAATGATAAATTCGCTTAAAAAATCGACATGGAAACACTTGAAATGAACTTGCTTACCACCAGATGGAGGGTCCACACTTGATGATGATTCTTGCAACTATCCATTTATCCGCGACGATCTGGTGCAGTTTCTGGATGTTGACAGACTCCAGGTCGCCAACGCACGCGGCCCTCATTTGAAAATCGTCGACTGCGCAAAATTAAGAAAAGAAAGAACTGTTTTCATACCTTTTCCGCGTTCGAAATCATTGTGCATCGAATTATTCAGGTCCATAAAGATCGTCTTTCCAACCGATCCCACCTGAATTTATTACTGAGATCAAGGAAGACTACTCCTGTAAAAAAGATAAGCGAAGATATATTTCTAGTGCATAAGTGTGATTCTTACGATCTGGAACATGATTCGATCGTCTGTGCCGGCAAATCGCTGATCAGCTGTGCGAATCCTAATTGTGTACTTTTTGGTCTCTCGCTCAATTTTCTGCTTTTTCTCATCGTCGCTCATTTTGCTCCTTCAAAAACAGAGTGAAATCCCGTAGCTTCAGTCGTCCTCTTGTCTCTTTCTCTCTAACCCTTCGCCAAGAAAGAACAACGCGCCTGCCAAGCTAAAGGCCAGCTAGGATCAAAATGTCTACTTTGACCTATTACGCCAGTGAAACACCATGAAAGTCCTTATCCACCGGAATTCCATGGCTTTAAATAACGTACCCCACCCCCTAGCTCGCTCACATTTTGTGAACATTTTTCCCTTACTCGCTTAGTTAAACTCCAACAAGACCCCCCTTGGTCGCTCGCTTTTTGTTACCATATTCCGTTGGTCGCTTTCCTTCTTTTGCATACTACGCCCCCTTGTTCGCTCTTCTTGGTTTCGACGGCGCACCTTTGCTCGCCCGCCTTTCTCCGTCATTTATCCCTTGTTCGCTCTTGAAGCCCCGCGAGAACGCTTTATAACGCGTAGCTCATTTTCGTTTTCACTTTTAAAAGGCTTTTTAACTTTGATTTTCATGATTTTTTCCAAGCAAACTTATCTTTTTATGCTCCTTCACATCCATTTTGTCAAATTTATATATCTTCTTCATAAGAAGAAAATTTGGACACTCCATTTCGAGTAAACATAAGTACTCGAAATACTTGGATTGAAAATTTGAGACATGAAAATCTCATGTCTTCTTCCTCAAAATTCATTTATTGAGATTTCTCGAAAGAATTGACCGATAAATCTAGGTTTCAGTGGATTAAGCGGTTAGTGTACCCCTATTTTTCACCTTTAACCTTACCCCGCCAAATCGTCATGTTATCCTTACCCGCCAAAAACACCTCAGGTGGTGCATCGGCCCTTCAAAGGAGTTATGAATTGATATTAATATGACATAAAATCACATATTGATACAGAAATATATTTATAATAAATATTTAAATGTAATTTACATTTTCGACCTCTGTGTCTGAGGAGATGTACCCTGGCGTGGTAAGGTTAAAATTCATATCCTTCGAGTCAGGTGAGATTATTTGTTTTTGATACAAGAAAATGAAATTCTCACGTCGTCATTTTGTATAAGGGAAAAATACTGTTCAAAGAAATTTCAGAAATCCACTGTAATTTTTGAAAACTGCAGGGGTACACTAGCCGCTCAATCCACAGTACATAGAACGCTAAAGTGAAATAAAATAGATAAGTTTGGGGAGATTTCCGCGGCGTTTGTTAAAAAAAACAGTCTCAACTTAAAGATCCGACTATTTTGAGTATAAATGTACATATGAAGTCACGCAATCAAGTGTACGGCATAATTCAGCAATGATACAAGATAAAAAAATTTAACTGGACGCTTTAAAAAGAGGAAATGAAGTTTAGTTACTGTCAAAATATTCATGAAAATGAAAAATATAGTTCCCTATGAAAAGCTTGAGTCGAAAGTACAGTAAGAGCTGTAAGAGCGACCTAAACCGAGCTAGGCTTTGGCGGTCTCGCGGCGAACAAGGGATAAATGGGTGAGGAGGAGCGAACAAGGGCGCGCGAGGTAATAAGAAGGATGGCGACTTATGAAGCGCGCTGAAACAAGAATGAGAGCGAGCAAGGGGACTTCGATAAAATTTAACAAAGCGAGCAAGGGAAAAATGTTCACAAAATGTGAGCGAGCTAGGGGGTGGGGTACGTTATTATTGCCATTAACTTTCATAGACAATAAACATCGAAGTTCGTTCTTCACGTTTTTCATCCTGTTTGGTTTATTGGTTTTTGGATATTTTTAGTGATGCAGCGACAGAAGGATAGAAATGACAGTGTTTCGTGTGCTCTATTTGAGTCAAATAATTTGACATCAAAGTTCTTCGCGTCGTAGTTGGACAGTAGAAAGACGCTCTCCGGTGAAAGGTGGCTGGGTGAGATTGACGTGGAAATCACAGAGGATTTTGAAGCAGGGGCTAAAGTACTTTGCCGCGTCCAAGTTGTTTTGATACAGGTTTTTTCCGTCGTCAGCCAGGTTCGTTGGCCGCTCGAAAGGTGCCCCAGTCGCCGAATCCACGTAAGTTGTCTCGCTTTCAATTAATGTGTTCCCCATTAGATGCAATTCGCTGGAGCACTTGACCATCGCTAGAATGAGATTTTTTTGAAAGCAAAGATTCGTTTTTACCCTACCGTGCCCGAGAGACTCTGTAATTTCTGCCAAATCAGGCAGCTCCGTTCCTTGGACATCCGAACCCGTCTCCATACTCTCTGAGAATCTTTTTCTGCTGCTGGCTGGTGCGTCCAAATTCGACGATTTTATGCATTCCAAGCCATTGGCGATAAGAGTGTTGCAAAGCTCCATTTTCTTTCTCACATGCTGAATCCGAGCATTCCCGGATGAAGGGGTCGTGGATGCATTTGCTGGATCGGAAAAACTTAAATGGAAGACTTTCAGCGGTCTTATTAAAACGGAAAGTTAAAACAGGCTTCGGTGGCCAAATAAGACCGGATCCTGGATTCTGAAGAATATTCTTGACCTCCTTCAACCGTTGCTCATTCTTCAACACTTTGGCTAAATAGATTAATCTCTGATTCTCTGGCGGAATCGGATCTTCTCCAATTCTTTCGAAAATCTCCTTCTTGACGTCTTCAACGAGCGCATCCGCAGGCAGCCTCAGATTCAACTTGGTTGTATCTAAACAGGAAACATTGGTGAAATCGTTGATTATTCTTTTAACTTGCCATTGACATGGACAGAAAGCTCTATAAGTTCTTTGCTTTGACGCAGGTTATTCTCTTGCTTTTTCATCTCTTTTGCCGGAATGAGGAAATACGCAGCTTTCAATTCTGATTGGCTCGATTCTAAAAAGTAGAAACTCCAACACTGATTTTTTAAAATGGAAAAATGAAAGGAAAAGTCATCCTCGACTATCGTCCTTTTCTCATCCTTTTTCTTTTTCTCTTTTTCAGAAAAAGCTTTTTCTATCAAAAAGGGATGCGAACCCGAATAGTCAAAATCGGTAATCATTCATGAATCATGAGCAAAACCTGTTAGCTGGGATCGGCAATCCGTGTAGAAAGTCAGGATTCTGGAAGAGTTATTATGAGTGTAGCGATTTTATGAAAACGAAGCCGCAAAGTGGCTTCGCGAAAATTGCAGCTTTATCGTAGCTTTTTCAGGACCCTGACTCAGGTTTTCTACACAGGTTGCCGAGCCAAGCCTGTAAGTAATACTAAAAGTTGCAAATTGCTCTTTTTCTTTACTGGTGATTTATTTTTTGTTGACAGAAAACTTACTGCATTGTGTTTATCTAAAAAGAAGTACTTGTCAGAAAGAAATATATAATAATATTATAATGAATTAGTGACGAGATTCTTTTGTACTTTGGTCCAAGCTCGTGATTTTGGAATATGTGCCTGTTCCAGTGACTTCTGTTTTTTCAGACTTTTCAGGGCTTTCTCAACTTTTTCTTTGTTATTAATTTTCTAGTTTCATTTCAAAAATTCTCTTTTCAAAATAATTGTTTTTTTAAATCCCTTGTCTCGTCGGAAGTCTTCGAAATGGCCGAGTCTGGCAGCGATGTTTTGCGTGATTTCAGTCATCACTGATCTTTCCTCTTCGCTTTGGAGACACAAACTTGGCTTCTTCGCTAGAACTTTCTCCAACTGAATCGACCCAATCGAGGTGTAGTTTGCCGGCTCAGGGTGCTCGAAACTTATGTCCATAGCTGCGTAATTGTCCTTGTCGCATGTTTCCAACTGTTTTCTTATCGAAGCTTGCGCTTGAAGATTATTACAGAGAAGCTGAATTTTAGGTTAAAGATAAGCAGAAAACCCGAAAAGAAACATACACTTTCGAGCATTTCAAGCTTGGTACCATTGTCGTTGTTTTCGATATCAAACTGGAGGTTTTCAACCAAAACCATTGCTTCCTTCGCCCGGCGCACGAGTTTTCTGGCAAGAGCTTCGCTTTCCATTTTCTCGGCGATTTATGAGCTGATTCTATGTCTAAATCAACCTTCGAAACCCTAATCCTAACCCTAACAGAAAAACTGACCTTTGTTTGTAACAAAAGAAAAGTTACTATTTATGATTTTGACCAAATCAACAGTCCGTAGTTTTATTCTAGAGATAAAACAACCCTGATTATGACTGGGCTCGGCAACCTGTGTAGAAAACCTGACTCAGGGTCTGAATGATCTCCAGAATTCGAAAATTGATTTGGGAAGCGGCGAAAAGATCTTTCAGACCCTGACTCAGGTTTTCTAAAAATGTTGCCGAGCACAGGATTCTGACCAACAAAGGAACGGTCGTCGTAGTTGCAATTTCGCCCAAGGGCACTTGCGCGAAAAAAATACTTGGCTTGAGAAAGTTTTATTCAGGTTCCTTTTTTTAAAGATAGAGAAATAAAATGGCTCAACTTGATGATTCTGTCAGGTACACTGGAAAAATAGTCCATCGGATAAAAATTCAAAAGGCAAAATTTATTATATGCTTTTAATTTGCCCATAGCGGCCAAAAAGAACAATAAAAATGTAAATTTAAATCTTCTTCTCCTTCTTAAAAAAATAGAATTGCAATTAAAATAGTTGACATTGATTGAACCACTTTGCTGGATTCAATAACATATATCGACCTGAGCCGTGATTAGAATTAATTTCCTCGGGGAATATCCAAGCTTGGAAAGAGCTGCAAGGCCATTTTTTCCTTTTTTCAACAAAAACCATCTTTTTGAAAATCGTAAAAAATAATGGAAGACGACCGCTTTTTGGACCCAGAGCGGGATAAAAATATCCAAGTCATTGTTTTCAGAGAAGCGAGTAATAATAGCGGCGAAGGCAATAATCAACCAGGATATAACAAAATGACAGGAGCCACGACCATAGAGGAATTAAGGAAAGCAGGCTTAACTCTCTTCTAATCCAGTCAAGAAAGATTTTCATGTTTCAAAAAAAAGCCTTCAAAAGAAAAAATAATTCTTACAATACATCGCGCGTCTCTTACTGCTGGCGCTGGTTTCTGAACTTGGATGAGTTCGCCCGTATTTGCATCTATTTCACGGTGGTCTCTCTTCTACTGACAGCGGCGTTGATCATCGATGCTGCCGTCGGAAACGGCCCCGTGCCGATCAAGTATTCAATCAAAACTAGCGATGCTTTTTGCGACGAAGTTGTTGAGCAGTTCATGAAAAAATCGAGGAATTCTCACAGCTCGGCTGTTTTGGGTGAGTTTTATTTCAGAATCGAAAATCAAAAGCATGGGAGAGTTACTGTTCTTCTTTTTGACTTTGAGATGATCCAGAAGTGCTTTGGGAGTCGCTGAATAGAATTCTCGAGTTGTTTTTCGCCGTGTAGATTTCGATCAACTCTAAAATAGAATAAGTATTAGAAAAGAACAATCTGGGCTCGACAGCCTGTAAAGAAATATGAGTCAGTTTCCTTAGTGGCGGCTTCTATAAAAATGAAGCCGCAAAGCGGCTACCAAAATATTACCCTTTCAATCTTTTTAAATTCTAGCCAAGCCGCCTCGCGGCTTTGTTTTTATAAAAACATCTACGCACATTTTGATTTATACTATTTGAGAACCTGACACAGGTCTTCTACAACTAGTAGCACTTACTTTTTGCTCCTTGATCAACGGCCGTGCTACTTTCGTCCGAAGAGCTGCATCCTTGAAAACGTACTAAAAGCGTAAAATGAAGGGATTACCTGGCTTTTCTTCTTTGTTAATTTTCGCAGAATTAGAAAATAAAGCGAAGCTTTCCAGATCCCCCAAATCAGCCTCGTATCCTTCATCGCTTGATTTGCAGCTTTTCTTTTGCTGATTAGAAAATGAGCTACAGTCTGTCACTCAAAAAAAATCAGGACTTACAGGGTTTTCTTCCGAGGGATTTTCCAAGCCAGAATCATTCGAAATCTCTTCTTCAGTCCCTTTTTTCGCCAACGATTTTCTTCTTTTCAAAATTCGCGGCTTTAAGAACACAGTAAAATTAGTGTACGAGATTTACTCAAATTTACCTGAGTTTTGCATTCGATGATAGATCCACTTCGAAGCTTCATTTTTCAATTTTCGATTTCTCGTTCTGATTAATTTTTTATTCTGAATCTCAGGCTATAATATTTTCGACTCAATTCTATCCTTTCTTTCTTAGGTAGTCTCTGCTTACTGGGAAAAACGCCGGACCGAATTTCTTCGTACGGCGGGGGAGTAGCAGTCGTCTCGAAAATGGGCTCCGACGCACCGCCAAAATACCTGAACTTTTACGGTATTCATCCCTTGCCCGAGACCAACCCAGCTCCAGACAATACGATCAAGAATAACGAGCAGCCGTATCCAGTTCTGATGCAAGGGATGAAAATCATTCTCCAGTCGCGCAAAGAGTGGGAAGGCGAAAGAGCTGAGTGGACTTACAGCGGCAAAAAGGTTGAACACTACTCGCTGGATGAACTTTTTGATTATCTCATTGAAAATGTGCCCGATGAAGGAAGAGTTTGAAAAAGCGAAAAATTTTTGATTCAAAAATTGAATTTTCAAACTCGAAAAAGACCGAAACACCTTCAAAGCAATCAAAGAAAACTACGAAGAAGGGAACGTCGATCCAGACGCAAACGACGATGAGAACTTTGTGGAATACGTTGAAAAGCTCAAGTCGGATGGGATGATGGAAATGATCGAGTTTGGGAGGAGCAAGGATATGAGAGCTGGCAACGAAACGAACGGAGAGGAGGTTGAAGACTACGAAGTCAGCTCTACTGTTTACTACGTCGACGAAATCACAGAGCTCGTTCAGACTTACTCTAAACCGCTCGTTGAAAATTGGCTTGAGGAAAATTGGGTTCATCTCTTTCTTTAACTATCAAAGAAAGACTCTTTTCAGAAATTAAAGAAAGAGCCCAAAAAAGGACAAAACCGAGGAAAAAGTGAAAATCAAAGACGCGCATCTAACAAAACACGACAACAACCTGCGATCAGCCTATGTGTCCGTTATCGGTGATGACTTTGTCTCAGTCGGACTTTCCTTCACTCTCGGCTCGCCTGAAAACACTGGAGGCGGATTTAGTAAGATAGAAATAAAAAATTACCCTTATCATAGTCTCAATACATGTTATAATATATATCAATATTTGAGGGAGGCTTTCAGTCCCACATGGTCTAGGGGTTAGGATTTCGGATTTTCACTCCGACGGCCCGGGTTCGATTCCCGGTGTGGGAGGACTTTTTCGCTCTTCAACGGAATTCTAGAACATTTTTTATAAATATAATAACGATGCTTATACTACCACCCAAGAAATAATAATTGATTCTAGTGCCGCGAATCGGAAAAGACGCCTATCAAAACCTCCCAAGTCCGGTGATTCTCCGTCAAGAAGATGAGCGCTGCGGACTTTGCGCGACAGAAACCATCATCTTCGGTGATTTCGCGTCAACCTCGAAGCAATGGTTCACAATTCTAGTTTTCTTTTTTTGGAAAATCCATTTATTGTAAAAGCTGTTGTTGACCATTCGCCACAGAAAATCGCAGAGCTGCTGAATGTGTCTCCACCTCAAGGCTCGTTCAAGGAAGATTCGCAATCGAAGAGTCAAGACTGGCTTGCCAACTGGAGCCTCTCAAATCAGTTCCGCAATGACAAGTTTGAACGCTCGGAGCTGTAGATTTTCTTTCAATAAATAAAATTGCGCACTTTATCCTCTCTTTCTTTTAGCAATTTGATAAGACCTCGAGGATTTTCGTTTTTTCTAGTTATTACTAACGCTGATGATTATCTTTGCACAGTAGGCGATCGCTTCCAGCCTGGAATCGAACAGGTACAGCGCCCTCTTTTGGCAAGCTTTTCTTGTAAAAATGATTCGCAGGGGTTGATGACACAAAAATGCCAATTGCGACTCGGTCAAAAATCAAATCTGGAGAGGCCAAACTTGCCAAGCCCTTCGACAACCCAGACTGGTCGAAAAAGATGCCGCTTGAGTATATTTCTTCGGAGAGCCGGTCAATCTCGTTCTACCTGAAGAGCAAAACTGGCCCAGCGCCGGAGACTCCGTGTCTTCTGGAACTCAACTCACCGGGCAATTCATCGCTCAAGCAGAATGTTCTCTGCCTCAGAGAATTTCTTTCACGAACAAAGCGAAGTAGCAACGATGATTCCTCAGACAAGATTCCAGAAACCGCAACTGATGAATCTGACGATCAATCCTCCCAGATTGAATACACCTTGTTTCCAGCGGACAACAACAACAAGGCCTCAATTAGAGTCACCTATTCGACCAATTCTTAAACAACCGAAGAAAAAAATGAAATGGAAAAAATCATTCAACTCTACTACCTTCATTTTAACTTCCAACAACAAAAATAATTCAAAATCTGAAACCGAATTAACTGTACTTTTAACGAAAACGTTTTCGGCAGAATAAATTATTGAAAAATTGATCAAAAGCGGTGAACTTACTTGTTTATACAGAAATGTGTGGAACTTTACTATTAATGTTTTGACGTTAACTCAATTATTTATCATAAAATGTGGCTATTGCTAGGCGAGCTGAAGATAACTCTGAGGAGAGAGAAAGAACAGCGTTATTAATAGAAAGATGCCAAGAAAATTCAAAAATAAGAAATAGAATTGAGATTTCTTGCCTAAATTAATTCTGAATTTCGGAAGATTCGGAGTCATCAAGCCAAACAGCCAAGAGCTCAAAGAAAAAGCCCAAGTTCTAGACGATTCGATACGATCTCCTGCTCTGCTTTTTCTCAGCAGCTACATCACCAGAGCATTTGCAGTAACTGTAATCATCGCATTGGTGTTTTTCCTTTGTTGTGCGACAAAGGTAAGAAATTTTCAAATAGATTTTTTAATGGTTTTTAGTGTTTTAGGCGGCGAGCGAAGTCGTTTGAGTATCTTAATCACAAGAAGGACGCAAAAATGAGAAAACTGTACAAATTTGAGAGAGAGCGGCTGATTTAATTTTGTTTCTGCTAAAGAAATATATATTATATAAATAATATATATCTATATCACATGTTACATATTGAAAAATATCCTCATCTGACAGAAAATGGAAATAATTAGAGGAGGATATTATATCCTGGATATGGCCCGCTAAGGAAGACTGTTCAAGCATGGTGTCACAAGACCCACAGCTTGAGTTATATATTCACTTTTTACGTACAATCAAAATCGATATTGGAAATTGCTCTGATTTACCTCTTCTTCCTTGATTTCAAAGCCACAATCTACCGTCATAATTTATCACCCAAGTCCCCAAAATCCTGGTCGAATTGAGAATACAACAGCAGAAGAGTGATACAGTAGATTAAACGAGCTGTTCTGGGCGCGCGTTGTGGAATGATTAAATGCCGATTGGAAGTGATCAGCAAAGGTAATTAATCGTGTTCAAGCCCTCAAAGGTAAAATCAATCACCCGGGCGACTAAGAGTCGTGTTCTTCTCATCTCTTTTCTCGATCATATAAAGTTGAACTCGCTTCTAAGAGACAAGAAGTTGTCGATAAAAGAAAAGGTTAGAAAACAATAATTTTCATGGAAAATATTAATAAAAGCCAATTCTTTAGACAAAAGATTAATAGTAGTTAATATTGATTAGCATTTCAAGGAGAAAAAGAAAATCTTCACTTTCAACGAGAGAAGCTTGGAAAGCACAATCTTGTGACTCGTTGACAAATATCGATCTCGCTTAGCGCCACAAGTTGTCGACGAAAAGCATATTCTTTTTTGGATTTCTCAATCTCAAATACACGCACACAATCAAGAGGTCGAGTTTTACGTCAAAGAAGAAAGGAAAATGAAAGTGGGATATTCCATCTGTTTGTTGAGCTCAATTGCGGGCGCTGACAGTCGCATCAGACTTGAAAAAGGGTAACTAAATTCAAAGACAGATAAGTGATGTCGATCTAAATGGAAATTCATTGTCAAAAATCACTACTTCGTCAATTAAATATTTAGATATTATGGGCGACTATTCGTCAAAACTGTCCGGCCAGATGGAAAAACGACTTGGGCGACAGTATGTTCCAACGAGAAATCGCCAATTACGAAGAAATTTGCAAACACAGTTTGCTTAAACATCAACAGCGAGTTAGAATCATTCTCGTGGAAGAACACCACCGATCCACGGACCAAAGGGTATCCATTGATTCAAGAGAAGAGTCTCTTCTGCGATGACGAGACTGACTTCTCCACTTGCTTTGGGAACTTCAAGTCTTCAGATTGTCGCGATCATCAGAATGACGTGGTGGTATGAAACTGAAATAAAGAAACGAGAAACGCTTCATTATTTATGAAATCATTTCAATTCGGCCATTTTCGAGTCTGATTTTAGCTTTAGATCAACTGCAAAAAGCCTTTGTCTTTTGACAAATCGGTGCAATGGGCCGAGTGGAGCGAATGGGACTCTGATAGATTTTTCTTCAAGTGGCGATCCCGGAACTGCTCTTCTGAGCTCAGGTGATCTTTCGATCCGGCTCCTTTTTTCATTGCCTAGAACTTTCAACGAAGACATCGTCAGCTGCGCCCTCAAATTTCCAGATTCGGGCAACTGGTTCCACGGCGAGATTTGCAAAGAAGAAACTTGTTTCAAGGCCGATCTTCTGGACTACAGCACAGTCTTTGACGACTCGAGCACTGATTACATTCCAGACAATTACATCTTCGACGACGAGGATTTTACGTCAGAGTCGTCTGGCGAAGCTGGTTTCACGCGACGAGGCAAACAATCCTCCGCAGCTTTTCTCACACTCACTCCGTCACTGCTGTTATTTTTGTTTCTAAATACAATTTTAGCTTAACCTCTCCGACCAATCAATAGAGACGAGTCAATGGATTTTGATCAAAATTTATTGTAGTTCATTCATAAAAAAAGAGCTTCTATCTCATTTCCGAGATTTGAATCGATAGAAACAGAGCAATAGTTACATGATGTTAGGAATGCAAGGGTCTTAGTCTTCGCACGTAAATCGCCAGGACATAGCTTTTGGTTTGATTCTTCTGTTGAGGACTTCATCGCACTTTCGATCCTCACACTGGTAGAAGCCGACTTTATCTCCGAAGCGTGTGCATTTGAAGGAGATATCTTTCTTTCGCTGAAAAAAATAATCAGGGCGAAAGAATTCGCAGCTTGTAATTTTCTTACTTACAAGAAATCCCGGTGATCTCAGACGACATTTTAATAGCTAGCATTTAATCTCGTTAATCTTAGACTTACCCATTTAAGGTTGGGGTCGTTATTACATCGATGGGAGAAGTATGTTCCGACCTTGAAGCCAGAGCTCTCTATAAAATGACGTTATGGAAATAATAAAAAATACGACTAGTTATTTTCCGCATCGTTGGCAGTTAAGGATCGCAAAATGATTTTTAGACTATCGAGCCAAAGACATACGTTGAAGATCTTCGAGTTCGACTTTCCACCATTTGTTCCATCCGTCCATGTACCATTTCCAGTGATTGGACTCTTCGAAAACATTATCAAATGAGTCGAAAATATTCTTGCACGTTCCTTCGGTCTCATCATCCTCTTCTCCACAGTTCCACATAGCATTTTCAATGTCCAGTTCTTCATCAGTTGGATTCTCGCAGTCTTCATCCTCGCAGAGTACAATTTTGTCCTCGCTGTTGCACATGAATGCAATGTCCTGTGATGGATTCTTAAATAAATCACTATTTATTTTTGATTTTTTACGGAGCTCCATACCCATTTTTTAGGTTTGCAGTTGTACTGAAACTTAGTGTCTTCAGGAATTGCCCAGCCAACAGAGTCAGAATCTTAAACGAAAAATATTAACTTCCAAAAGGTTACTCAAGCAATCCTATTTGGCTCAAACTGATTTAGCAGCTGCGTATCGTAATTATCTTTCAAAATTGGAAAGGTTAACGAGGTCAATGTCATTACTGCCAAAGAATATCTTCGAAATATTTTGAACGAAATCTTACTTTTGTTGAAAGAGAAGTAATTGTCCCAGTTGGGTCCCTTTCGCTTGAAGGTTCCAGGTCCATCGAAAACTTCAGGATTTTCTTCGAAGATTTTCGAACACTCGCCGTCGTAAACAGTAACAGTTGTTTCTTTTGAAGTTGTCGTGATTGACGACTCATCGACGGTGAATGAATCACTTTCTTGTATGCTCGCGACGACAGAATCTTTGACCTGTTCTTCAATCGCAGCAAGATCGGGTGCCGGTGCGCCATCTCCTGTGTCTTCTTGTTCTTGCTGGACAGTAATATCAACAATAGCTTCAGTGTCGCCTGCTGCTCTTCGCTTTCGCCGCGAGCTACTTTGCTGAAAGCCAGTGCATTCGACGGTTGTTCCTTCGTCATTTAAAATAGCGGCAAGGTTAGCCTCGACATCAGCCGCGGCATCTTTAAATTCGTCACTTTCCTTATCGTTGAGCTCTTCGCTCCACTCGACATCCGTTCCAAGAGTAGCAGTAACTACAACTTCGACGACTTCGACGACTTCAGGACCATCACCTGATCCACCATCCGTCTAATTACGGTTGAAAATTATTCTTCCAGATTAACGTTCAACGTAAAATAATTAACCAAATATGCTGAGAACAATCTTTAACCCTTTCCTGACGTCGTCTTCGGATTTCTATGCCTGTGTGAGGCTGCAGAGACTTGCAAGGGGCATATTCAAAAGTGAGAAGATTTCTGTTTTCGACGAATCCTTCTTTGCATGTGCACTGATAACCACCTTCGAGGTTGACGCAGTCTTGGGTCGAGTGACACATGTTCAAGTCGCATTCGTTGATGTCGACGCAGGTTAGTGCGCCGGTGGGAAGTGTCTCGATGCTCATGTAACCTTCCATACACTGACAAGTCGTCTCAGACATGAAAACCAGTCACGGGAACGGTCCTCGCGGCAAACCGCATGTTCGCCGCAGTATTTGTCCTCACATGAAGAATACGCCAGAGAACCTCCCAGCAGACCCTGAAGAAGTATATGGTTACTACTGCAAATCATGAATTTAGGTTGGTCAATGTCGAATGGTCATTAAAATTACGAGAATAAATTTCAAAATTCGTTCAACGTGAAAAAGCAGTAAAAATATAAGAATTGCGTTCTCAAGGTCGCGACTTTATGGCCGGGAATTATGGTAATTCGTGACGTCGTTAAAGTTACGAGACTTAAATGGAATTTGGAGGATTTAACAAGCAATCCTTCTTTCAGCGAACAATAAACATTTCCTAGTTATTTGTCATCTGATTAACTAGCCTGTAGTGCCCCTGAAATTCGATTATTTCTGACTGAAAATTTTTCAGCATTTTTCGCATGCCTACGACACAAAGTCCTAGTGCACCTGGTCGAACAATTCATTTGATTTGAGTGACAAAAGTATTTATTTCTCCAGTCATTTTTTGAAATTTATAAATAGCGATACCCTTTACCCGGGTATCTGGTTATTTGTGTTTGATTTTAAAATTCGAAATCGTATCTACGAAGTTGTCAATCAGTCGAAAATAATCGGAAAGTCGGTTATTAGAAGCTTACATAGACTTATGTTAACCGACGCTAAAGGCGGTCGAACTAAAAAAGCGTTTGATCGTTATAGTCTATATTTATTACCGGTAGAGCTGTGTTTTTTATGAGGTGACCTTCTCAAAGCCAAAACGGGCTGACTTTTTGATTTATCAGCTCTATTTTTCACTTTCGGAAAAATTAAGTATCTATAGGAACCCTAAACAATGATTGAAAAGTTTACATATCGATTTCTTTCTGACAGCCTTTTGAAAAGTTTTTTTTTTTATTTGGAGACAATAAAGACACTCATTGAAACGGAATTCACAGCAAAAGTTAATGATCTTTCAGTCTCGAGCAGAGGTGGTAAATTTAAACGCACAGTAGTGAGCACTGAATTTCTAAATGTAAAAAAATTGGGAACTGAAAAAGTGACTCATTCCGTCACTTCTCTTAGTCCTCTTAATCCTTTTACTGGAAGATAAAAAGGAGTTTCCAGGGCTTTCATCAATAATTTTCAATAAAAAACATTCCCATCTTATCGATAAAAGAAAGTATACTGATCAAAACCCCCTAAAAAGTCACTGCTTACCTGAAGAATCTTCATAGTCGTTAGCTAAAATCTCTCCCTGTTCTAACTAAAGGACAACGATGCGGCTTTCGACTTGCTTTTGACGGTAAAGTTTTATCACCATCGGCCGAAGAGCGCTACACTCTCATTTTTTTCTATCCAGCTTGGCCAAAAACTATGGACTACGATAGCAACTGTCCTTCTGTGTTTAAAGGGCACATCGGAAAGAAAAAAAAAGACATAAAACCTGTAGCATTCCAAGTATTATTGTGCTCAATTCAAGCCTCCTTTGATAGAATTAATTTCTACGTTTCATGCTTTTATTGAAAATTCTGCATTCTTGAATGTGTTCTTGAAGACGTTTGGCTAGCAAAGAATGTTAACAAGCACTAGCTTGAGGCGTGTCCGTTCTGAAAATCGTGATTTGAACTTTGGTCGCAAATATTTTGTTTGCCTTCCCAATAGTCCCTGCATATGGAAAAAAATACTTCTCAAAAAGACCGAGATTAAAGAGGAAGTATGGGCTGGCTTTTACCCGCTTTGAAACAGGTGCTCTTCTGACGACTGAAAGTCAAGGGACTAAGCGATAATAAGTTAAACGGTTTAGGATTTATTTCTCATTCAATATGGGATCAGGCGGAAATTATTAGAGAGAAAGGCTCGAAGTCAAAATCTCACGATGCTGGATTTTCTGGAAGATTGGGCACGAAAACAGCCCAATACGTGAGTTTATATTCAAACGCTTGATTTAAGTTTTTTATGTACAAAAGAATGTGAAACAATCAGACTTGTCAGACGCTTTTTTAACAATCGAATTTTAGCAACTTTCTGATCCAGGGGAAAGAAAAGCTCACTTACCAAGAAACTCTTAATGAAATGAACAAGGAACGGATTCCCAGAATAATATTTGTAGTAAATGGTTCATCATAAACTTTGATTTTCTGACGCCGCGCCAAATTCAATTGCGAATTCTTGCATCGATTATTAAATATTTGCTTCCCACTCCCAATTTCAAAACTTCTATCGCCATCAAAATTACTCCCCTGAAAAACTTATTAAATTTTTTTCTGAAAAATTTATAGCTGATCTTATTATGTTAATGAGTTCATTGGAAGTAAAAAAACACAAAGACTAGTTGATGACATAGAAATAATTCATGGCGATAAAACTCAACTGACTTTTATTGTTTAAAATTGTGGCTGGTTTTCGATGCGCCAAGAACCTTGAAAGTAGTAAATTGTAATCCGCAATAAGCGTGGCATGGCGATGCACGAAGATCTTGGAGCTCGCTACGGGACGAAGGAGAGGTCAATTTTGAAATTCTAGTCGCTCTTAGGTCAATGCTAATAATGGCAGACAGCCATCACGCGATTGTGTTGAACAAACAGAACCTCTAAAAGTACGCACTCTTCATGCAAAACAGACTCGAGTTTGTGACGAACTGGTTTGGGCACGGTTTTAGCGCAGCTTTTCCAGTTATGGGTATTTCGGCGAAACAGGCGCAAGCGCTCGTTAAAACCAAGTAACAGGGGTCTTAATGTTGGCGCGACGCCGGCATTTGTTAACAATCAGTTGACGGGGAAGCAGCTTCTTCATTGTTTGAAGATTTCCGACTCTGAGTTTATCATTTCCGATGGAGACGATGCACTCATGGAAGCTCTATTCGACGTTAGGGAAGACATTAAAAACATGGGACTAAGAATACTCGTTGACGATAAAAATGTACAACTTCCCTGGGACGTGTTTCTATCAATAAAAACTAACAATAAAATGATAAATAAAAACAACGAATAAAAGCGACGAGTTCGAGCGATTCACGGACATGTATGAGCCTCGCTTTCCAGCGCCGATTCCTCGAGAACTCGGCCGAGGCCAATTCAAGTCCACCGATCCCTGGTCGATTATTTTCACAAGTGGAACCACTGGATTGCCCAAGGCTTGCGGTCTCACCCACTGGTCAACGATGAAGATGAACACGACAAAGTTGATGCTTGGAATGAAACCTGGAGATGTGGCTTACTCGGCACTGCCTCTCTACCATGCCTATGCTTCTCAATTAGGAATGGCTTCAGTTGGAGCTTGTCTCAAAATTAAGATCATGTTTTTCGAAGCTTTGGAAAAGGAATCGCTGGCAGCATTCACGCGGGTGGCACTGTCGCCATTTCGGAAAAGTTCTCCGCCTCCAATTACTGGCGCGAAGTGTACGAGTGCAACGCGAAATATATTCACTACATCGGCGAAATGATGCGCTACGTGGTAGAGGCGCCGGAAAGTCCCTACGACAAGACACACGGCGTACGGGTTGCTGCTGGCAGCCAACTGCGCTACGATGTCTGGCCGAAATTGACGGTAGGCTTAATTAGGGCGAATTCACGCTTTTTATTTTGATCAATAAATCGCTTTTAGAGTCGCTTCGGTGACTTTTGGGTGTATGAAATTTACGGATCTACGGAGGGAAACGTCCAGTTCGCGAATATTCTTAATGACGAAGGTAAATCGTTAAACGCTGATGGTGTCAAGGAATTTAAGTTTATCAAACCGTAAAAATATTTTTAATGTCGCCTTTGTGCTGACTTTAAATCAAATTATGCCCAAAACATCTTATAATCGAATCGGCGCTGTTAGTGACGCCATAAGTTTTCTAAATGGCAAACCCGCCCGAGAGTTCACGATAAAACCGCTTTAATGGTCTTGAGAAAGTGACGACTTTCTTTGGATTTACTCTCGTCGGACAGACGTGCTTAACATTTTCTAGCGACAATAATCCGCCTGACTCCTTTAATACAACTGACTACTGGCACTGCACTGGTTAAATTCGACCCGATCGAGGAGAAAATCATCCGAAACGAGAAGGGTTTTGCGATGAAGGCTGACTTTGACGAGCCAGGGCTCCTCGTCGGCGCGATCCGTGATGATTTGCCCTTTGAAGGATATTACAACGACGACGGAAAAACAGAGGAGAAAATTCTTCGGAATTTATTCAAAGAAGGTGACGCGTATTTTGACACAGGCGACCTTCTGAAGATGGATCGCGAGTACAAGTTAACCTTCAGGTAAGCATTCTTTTTTGCCTAGCATGCTCATCGCTCTGTAAGTGACCGAGTTGGGGACACCTACAGGTGGAAGGGAGAAAATGTGTCGACTCTAGAAGTGGCGAATACAATCGGCGAAAATTGCGAATTCGTTCACGAAGCGAATGTTTATGGCATCAAAATTCCTTGGGCCGAAGGAGCCTGTGGGGCTGCTGCAATCACTCTCAAATCTGGCAAGGGCGAGCTCACAGGTAATCGCAATTCCGTAAATAACCGTAACAATAAACTTTTAAGAGACCGAGCGACAGGAACTGTTTGATATCATGACAAAGAACATGCCTGCGTATCAGCGACCCGTCTTCGTCCGAGTGCAGCCCGAGATCGAAATGACTGGCACCTTCAAATTCCGCAAAGTGGAACTCGTTAACGAAGGATACGACGTGTCCAAATTCGAAGACGGCGTGTCGACGTACTTTTACTCGAAGCAAGACAAAAACTTCATACCATTGACGACGGAAATGGTCAAAAATATTGACTCGGGCGATTTGAAATTCTAATTAGATTTTTTAATAAATGTACAAAGACTATATTATAAACTTATGAACTATTGACTTATGAACAAGGTTTGGCTTTTAGTTGCAATGAAACTGGGCAGGTCAAAGTATGGCATTTCAGAAGAAGTAAGATGTATGTTTTACGCACTTCTCACGTTAACGTAATCAGAAGCAGGTCGTAATTTCTCAATGTCCCCGGCTATTTCGATTTCGGGTTCAGCGAGTGCTTTCCGCACTTGCTCCAATAACGACTTTTGCGAGTTGTCGAGGTTCGGCTCTTTGGCCACATCAACGAGGACCTGTTCTAGCGCTGCTCGCAGCTCCCAGTTCTGATTTTGTTTCGTTTCAAAGATCGTGCGCAACTGCTCGATCGTCTCGTCGTTCTCCTTCATGTCTTCAATTTTGCGCTTACGGCAGCGCGCCGCCGCGATTCTATTCTTCGATTTTCGACGAACTTCCCAAATTGCAGCACGTTGAGAATTCGTCAGTTTCAGCCGCTCGATTAGGTTCTCGAGATGTGATCGTGCGCAATTCGCAACTTCGTCATAATTCATTTCTTTTGAAAAAAACAATTAGCGAGTGAATATATGATCGAGTAATACTCAGTAGGCTCAGTAAGTTGTCAGTTTCTTCCAAAACTGGATCTCCTCTGTCGTCTCCTCTGTAGTCAATCTTTGGAATAGACATGATAGGGTCTTGTATCAGCACTTGAATGTTATTGCCAATCAAATGGTGTGGAATTCCTTCGATTTTCGGAACAAGCGGTCTTCCTTTTTTAGCTGGCCCTGATGCAGCTGATTCTACTGGGACAACGCCGAACGGGATCACCTAGTGAAGGCGACTATTAAAACAGCTAAGAGTACGGAATGACAGTACTTTTGGTTGACTACTGATGTGAGAAGGCGAGAGCATGATTTGCTGAACACGAGGTAGAGTGGCCTGAGGAGGAGTGGCGGGGCAAGTTGGCTCTACTTCCGAAGTTGGAAGTGTCTTTTTCGAGTTAGTTAGATTAATGTCTTCCCGGATTTTATTGATGGATACTTCGTCAATATTCCGAATCTATTCAGGTCAATCAAATCATTCCAGCGCGTGAATCTTGCGATCTTTGACCTTTCCTGAAGCTTTTCGATCGCCGTCGCCAGTCTGTCAAAGTCCGTCGCTGTGAAGGAGATTTTCCCGGTGTAGGCGAAGTCAACCAGCTGACTTATACTCGTCGGATCAGCTTTTTTGGTATTCTGATATGCCCCTTTTTCAATAAATCTTTCAGCAGATAAGATACCCTCCCATGCAGGAAATGTCGAGCTGTAGGTTGTGATTGTGATTGTCGGGCAGATTAATCACGTTTTCGAGGTAACCAGAACTGATGGAGAGAATGCATTTATGGGCGGAAATTGAAGTCTCCACGCCGTGATCGTCTTTGGAGACCAAGGTCATGTCGCACAAGTGCGGTGAGCTAAACAACTGTAGAGCGTTTGATTCGATTGATTTGGAATATTACCTTTTGCGCTGCTCCATTAGAGCTTTTTGGAGACCCTCCTGGTGCTGTTTCCACTCGTAACTTTCGAGGGTTACAAATTGAAATAAAAAAACAAGGCTCCCAAGGTGGTAACGCGTAAAACGACGAACTACGCTATTTCCCCAATTACTAACTCTAGGCGTCGTAGTTTGACTTCACTGATCAAACACGGGCTTTTCGGGAATGTTCCGAAAACAAACAATAAATCAGCGAATTCATTTACAAAAAATCAAAAACATTTGATGCTATACTTTAAATACTAATATGCAATAAAGAAATAAAACTTTTAAAAATGTATTTAAACAATAAATAAGAAGATAAAATTTGGACTAAATTTGTAACCCAAATTATACGTCATGATAGATAGAAAATAAAAAAAAGATCAAAATTTTTCTGCTGCTTCCAAGAGATTCTCTACGGTAAACTACTGGAAGACGATTTTTTCCTTCGCGTCACGCCGTGTCACCTTACGTTGAGCCACCCGGAGCGCTTCTGGCTCGCTCATTGGCTGAGAGACGGTGAATCAGCTAAGCTTCTCTCTTGGAGGACTCTCCAGGAACTGTATTCTGGTGCTTTAGGTTGAAAATTTACGCGAAAAAAACCTGTTGATAAGATTTTTAAAATTCAATAATAATTTTACATAGTATTTTTAACCCCGAAGCGGCCTAGATACATCTTTACGATTATGAGACAAACACCATAAAGGCTAGCCGAATTTGAGAAATTGGGATTTTAGCAAAATTCCTATAGGTATCGCTTCCGGCCTTTGTGGCTAAGATCAAGTGTAGTATCTGTTCTTCTCAGTGTGACAGCTGGGACCGTCCCTACTGGGACGTCTATTGTCACCCTGATTTTTGGAACTAGGGATGTAGTTAGGGGCTTGCTCCGCTCTTCCCACGGGTTGACTCGCTATTGCAGTACCGGCGAGCTCGGCCCACTCCCCCACGGGGGAGAAACAATCAACCGAATTAAATATGAGAATTGAAAAACTCATTCTCTTAAGAATCGGCTAAGACTGAAAAGTTCGGCCCTTTCTCTTGCCCAAGAAATTCTGAAAAGAACATCTGGGTCTTCAAGTTGTAACTGAGACTGAAGAAAAAAACAAAGAAGAAGGATTTGATAAATGAAGTTAACTGTTTTATTTTTAACAAAGTTTTCCTTAGAAATAAATAAATGCAGGCAATGGTGGAAGTTAAAGTTTTAGCACGAACTTAGTCTCTCCGAAAGCAGCAAGAAGTGGAATTTCAAGATCGCAAGAGACACTGTTTTTTACGGAAAGTCACGCATCTCATCCGCGCTCGCCCATCTTCTCGTTCGTGTTGAATACTCCTTTACAGGTCTGTCCTCAGCGTAATTGCATGCTTCCAAAAACGTACTAAAATATCCAATCACACTCAAACTACTAGTTTTCGACATTAATTACCGGTATTCCTGCTCTCTTTTCTCGACATGTTCTGACAGAACTTTGTACATTTCGACCGATCTGAACAAGAAATTCGCGCCGAAAAAAAACATCAAATCCCCACCTTTTGAAGTTCAGACCAAGTTCCGTTTGAGACATTCGAATTTTGATGATTTCCTCGCGTATACTCTGTCCGGATAAATCCGTCTCTCCTTTCTCTTTCGCGGCTCCTACAAAATACCGCTATTTCTATTTCCGACTGAATTCTGGCATGTTTTTCGATTGAAATCAAAGAGGACTTTCTCTTGAAAAGAACCCGCTTGCGGCTAGGAGAAAATTAGGCAGCTTCTCAATTTCCAAGAGAGATTATTTTGTTAATGAGAATCGAAATTCCAGCTATAATTCAGTCAGATTTACGAGTAGCGGTACGGTCATTGAAATCATGAAAGACAATAAAAATGATTTGTCACGTACTTAATTCTTCCAATTTCTCCCTTCCCGTAAGCAATTCTAGTTGGCATTGGATGCGGCTTCTCAAGTTCAACTCCTTGTGTCCCTTTCCTCGCTGAACATTCTGTCGTTTCACAATCAGCTCGTCAAAAAGCTGCTCAACAAGCTGAGAAATTCGTTGGCTCTTCTTATCGTTCAAAGTGCGATCGAGAAAGGATTGCGCTCCCAACTCCGCGACTTTTTCTGGACTGGCTAGTAGTTTTTTGGCTGCCTGGTCCTCGGCTTCGGCGACACTGACGGCCACCTTCTCGAATTCAATTCCCAAGTCGTCCTCTTCGTCGGAAGTTTCGGGGATGACTTCATCCTCGGCGGCATCTTCTTTTTCGTTGATTTTTTTCGATGCGGCCTTTTCGTCCTCCAATTTCTGGAGCTCCTTTTTGCGAGCCGCCAGTTTGAACCGTTTAGCTTTCTTCGCCAATTCTTCACTGCAATCGATCGTAGTCATGTAGCCGTAAACATTGACTTCTCTAGGCATCAAGGGCGGATGCTCAGGATACATAAGAGTAGTTCTAGCGCCAATTTGAGGATTCCCAAGAATGAGTTTCTGCTTTTCTAAATTTCTATTTGCGGCTTCAATGGCAGAATTGTTTGACACTTTTTTTTCTGTCGCATTTTTTGTCTTAAGAGATTTAGAATCATCTTGCCTGTAGTATTCGTACACCTTCAGCAGATTTAGTCACTAGTACTAATACTTAATTCTTACGCTTTTGTAGACTTTTTCTGTTGCCGCTTGCCTCATTTGTTCGAGATAAAACTGCACTTTCGCCTTCTTATCCGCTTCAGACATCTCCATTTGTCCGATTGCGTTATTTCCTGGACTTGCTGATCCGAATAGATCTTTTCTGCTGGCTTCGTTTGATCTATTCCCATATCCTGGTCGTTTGGCAGGCTTTTTTACTTTCTTTCTTACCATTCTTCAAGGATTAAAATTTGCAGACAGATAAATCGTAGAAATCGTAACACAAGTTCTGAAAGAACATAAATTAAAAGCTGCGCAGCGGCTTTTTTGTTAGCGACTTCGCGGCTTCGCAAATATAACCATTAAAACCTGACTTATGTTAGGTAAGGTTTACAGGTTGCGTAGCCCAGTATGATACAATATAAATTAGAAAAAATTATTATTTTTTTTTAAATTAGAATCAAAATATGAAGCTTGCTAAATGCTTGCAAATGCAGTGTTATGGAACATATGAGTGTGTGCAGTGATGCTTGATGAACTCTCTTAATAATGTGGTAATAATCCATATAGCAGATTATAAACTGATAATCAAAAATGAGGAAGCGCGTGCTTTGGACTTGGCGCGGCGCGTCGATTGGTCCATTCAAAAAATGCAGCGAGTCAGCGGGACGATTTCAGAGTGAAGGTCAGGAACACACATCCAATTTCCGAGAAAGAAAAATGAACCATGGGGACCTGGGAAAGCTGGGAGAGAATCTTCTTCTCGAAGAATGTCGATATGGCGAAACAACGCGTCAACGAAGCGTTGTTTGAGAGACTTGATGTTAATCTCGTCGGCGAGCGAACGGGTAAATAGAGGCGAAATACTATTTCGACGTTTTCTTAATACTAGAATTACTTTTATTCTTTTTCAGGTTTCAGCGCGCTGATGCTGGCAGTTGCCTTCAAGCATGACGACCGGTTGGAAATCGTGAAACGGTTGTTAGCTCGCGGTGCCAAAGTCAACGCCCAATGTTCCGATAAGAATGTTTCTGCACTCCATGTTGCTGCTCAGAAAGGTTCTTTTATTTATTGACAAAGCAGGTTTTCATCAAATTTTCTTATTACAGGCGCGCTAGATTGTGTGACGCTCTTGCTGAAGCACGAAGCGGACCCGACTTTGGTTGATTCTGAAGGGCAAACACCAGGCGAAGTCGCGTACTCCGAGTTGATAGACGAGCGCAACCGGGTGCGGCAGGAGATCAAGGAGCAATGCTACTGCAGGCTGAAGCACGCGCGCGAAGATTGGATGCAGCGAAAACTAAAGCAGAGCGGCGCCACTCCTGAGTTTCGACGAAATGTCTTGCAGTCTGTTTATCGAGGTTCTCCGCCAGCAAAAGCCTCTAAGAAAAGAAACCCATCGCCAGAAATCTCGTCGACAGAAGCGATCCATGGTTCTGCGGATGAGGGCCAGAAGAGAACGCCGATTCGAAAGACTAACAAGGATTCCCCAAAACAAACTACCCGACAACGAGTTGCATCAGGAAACAGGAAAAGTCCTTACTTGCGGGGCTCGGCAACGGGTCGCCAGTCCCCTCATCAGCTGTACATTAACCGTCCGGGCTTGGGCAAGTTGGAGATTATAAACACCCCCCGAAAAGTCGTCCTGGAAGACAATCTCTTTCCCTCTCCTAGATTGAGCTCAAGGAGCCGCAATCCATCTTCAAGACAGCGACACCAATCAGATGCTCCCGATCCATTCTCACCTCGAGTTACGCCAAAACCATCGGTAATATTTACATACAAAATTTCAATGTTAATCCCTGTTCAAGGAAAAGTCCAATCAAGAGGCGAAAAAGACGGGAGCACTGGTAGAAGTCTCCAATTGTGGCAGGGTGAAAAAAAAATTTTTTTTTCTGAATGGCTCATCTGAAAGAGCTTCTCAAACTGTATAAAAAACGTTTTTACAGTCTGCCCAAATCTTTGAAATTTTCGAGATTTGGACTTGTCAGAGGTGGAAATTCCGAAATTTTAACTGCTCGTAGAGCAAAATTTTTCCATAACAAATTTTTTTTTCTATTTTTTTTCGGAAACTCTATAGTCGAATCTATGTGCTCGCGAAAATTGAAGCAGATCGGGCAACATTTGGGCTGCAAAAATTTTTTTTTGAGGATTAGTTTTGCATTAATTTTGCAAATATAAAGCATATACTTTTATTTAATTACAAACTACAAAAAATTAATCAAATAATGCTCTAAAGTCACTTGAGGTCATTTGAGGTCATCTGAGGTCATTTGAGGTCAACTTTTTTTTGCCGGTAAATTACATATTTTTATTTATTTGAAACATGAAAACGATTATTTTATCAATTTTAAAAACAAAAAATAATTTTTATACCGTGCATATGTGTAAGATGCAAATAAAAAAGCACTTTAAACTAAAAAGAATGAGGCATGTTGTGTTTGTTCCTTCTCGTTTTGTTCTTCTTTTAAAAATCTTCTCAGTCAGAAAATCCAGGCATTCTGCGATGAAAATTTCCTTAATATTTTTAAAATTTAAAAAATAAAGATACAAGCAATTACTTTTTTTTCTCGACGGCATAAGAGAGAGTTTAGAGCAGTCAAAGAAGATTGTTTGACGATCTGAAACTTTAACACTGAGGATTTCGACCATATTTTTCATGTTTATAAATACCTTTCTTTCGTTTAGGAAGACTCCGTGGTTCTGGATAACTGTCATTCGCTGTTAAAATTTGTTTTTCGACGCTCTATTAAAAATAATTTAAAAGGCAAAGATTTCAGATAGTAAGATATTTGAAGTTACTGTAAAATATTCTTTATTTAAGGACTTGTTTGCTTAATATCCATTTTTCGAAAAGAATGATGCCGGGGGCAGGGTCCTTAAATCTAAGCTTCTATGAGTATCCTCAATTTTACCTGAATAATTGAGACGATTAATTGACGAGCATAATTGTCTTTCAGATGAACTTTATCTGGCGAAAAAAAATGCTGTTTGAGGCTTCTGAAGAATCGGTACTCAAAAACATTCAATTTTTTAGTTCTATTTCCAATTAAATGAAAACCTCTTCCTGTTTTACTCGATAATAGTTAGCTAAGCTAGGTACTTTTGCACTTAATATCTTCTTGAGCCATTTTTGTGTTGATTCTTCAATTGTTCTAAGCGGCTTAGCAAGTGGAAAAGGTTGAACAAAGAGGATTTTTCTTGCATTCGTAAACAGCGATGTAAGGGTTCTATGTAAAACCTTTGAAAAGTTCTTTTATTTTTATTTTGTTAATTATCTTTATAATCGGACATAGATAAAAAAAAATGTTCTTGCGACGATTTAGATAGAGAAAGAACTATCCTGAATTGCTTTATCTAGGTCAACATCTTGGAATGCCAGTGTTGATGCCTTCAGAATATTGTTGTGTCCAGCATAGACTAGAACTGTTCCGGAGACGCGCGAATGACAATTTGTATGGCAATTTTCGCATAAAAATCTCTCCGGTAGATTTTCACCATAGTTCCAGGCATTCCGGCTCTTGATTTGAAGAATTGGTCTTCTTTCCTCATCGCAGATTTGTCCTACTTTCATCAGGACTGCTAATTCAGTTAAACAGGCACCAGAATATGACGTAATAATCCAGTTTTTTTTCTTTAATTTGTGTTTTCCGAAATATTTTATCTAAAGTGGTGTTTGAATAATTTCTTACTTTAGCTAATGAAACACATATATAAGGGGACTCCGCGGAAAACCAAAAGCAGGTCGCACCCTCATATTTTGAAAATTTTTACGCGTCTACTTAAAGATCTCAAGATGCTCATTCAGAATCGCGATTAAAAATTGTATCGGGGGCATCGGGATATAGATATGATGGCCGCCGAAAAGAGGCCCACAAACCATAAAATCGAATTTTTCTCGAATTCCCAATACCCCCGATATGATGTTTATTCGCGATTCTGAACAGGCATATCAAGAGCTTTAAGAAAATGTGTTCAAAATTATCTCTCCATAAGGACGCCCCCATTAAAGTATTTTTTCCGCGTAGACCTAACTGTTCTATCATCTTTTTATATTCAAACAGTCCTGTGAATCTCCGAGAAGGAAATTTGTTTTTTCGTATCCGAAGAAACATGGTCGGCGCCAGCACTCTCGTTCATGCCCTTTGAACCATAAAGACTCCATAACTAATGTATGATATTAAGGATAGAACATGGATATTATGGATAGAACATCGGCTGAGCGCGGCTGCCCGTTTAGCGCCCCGCCATGACCGTTTTTTCAGAGACCCGTCAAATCTGAACGGTAAATGATTTTATCTTTATTATTTTTGCTTTATGATCATCAAAGCCTATTCTTTTATACAAACAATTTGAAAATATCAAAATGGGATAACTTGGTCAAAGTCTCGGAATGAGAGCGACTCTTTCAAAGCCCTCTATAAAAATCTAAAGATTTATTTTGAAACTCAGACTAGAAATAAAAGGAAAGTAGAAGTGAAATAGAAGACTAAAAGTGAAGAAGTCGGAGCTCTACAAAATCGAAGAATATAATTCATCGTTCAGATTAGACGGGTCTCTGAAAAATAGATAACGACGGGGCGCTAAACGGGCAGCCGATCTTATATTTTACGCTTAAGATGGAGAAAACAATTTTTCAATTAACTAGTTTTCCATTTTTCTAACATAGATATTGCGCTCATTTTTCTGACCTGTGTCGAGGCATCACCCATGTTCCGTTATGAGAACATACAGACAGTTTGAATCGATGATAAATATTAAATATCTTCTGTGTTTCAGGATTTGATTGAAGAATGGCTGTTTTATTTTATAGTCACACGGGCAATAAAAAAAATTATAAGCATTCTGAATTCAATGATTTGATTTCTTCTTTCTTTTGCCTTTCTTTTACTCACAGAAAAGAGAATTTCAAAAACAAGAATTAACAATTAGGAATATTTGTATTTAACAACGAGGAAAAAAAATGTAATCGTGATATTTCCAGATCAGGAAAAACGGACTCTTTTCGATTCAGCATTGACTTCACTTGAATGCTGTGCGACTCTTTTTGATGGAGTTGTTTTATTGCACACCCAATGACTTAAATTTATGAACTGTATTTATTAATATTGCCATACTTAATTTTTTTGAGTTGATTTTCCTTGATCTCAAGAATATTCGACGATGTTATTTCTGGTGTTCCAGCTTTGAATTCTTGCTCAATTCTTTAATAATTTTTATAAATAATTTTAAGCAACAAATAATTTTAAAGATTTTTTTTAACCTGTTGAGCACATAGACCGCGCAATCACGATTCGTTTGCGGAACATTTTCGCGTTTTTTCTTCCAAGGGCCCTGATCATTCAGAATTTTTCCAATAGTATCAAGAAGTTTTTTTTTCGAACTATCAATGGCGTTTTGATAATTTCCAATAGCCCCATTTGTATCATAGACAGTAACTGAGCGAGATTTGACATTAACGATCAAGAGTGCCGCGTGGTTTTCATCTTTTGATGACAGCAATAATGGTGCACAAATTTTTTTCGTTTCTTAAGGCTTGGGTCATTATAAGTGCCTTGAGTCATGTTTCCGACGGAAGATGTAGGATATGAGCAAAAATCTGTTTCTCGAATTTTAAATTCGGACAAGATAACGATTTTGACCCCGGACTTTGGAAATTTCCGCTTTCAGAGAAGATTTTGATATTTCGCTTAAGAAAAACAGAAAATTAGGTTTTAAAGCTCTAGAGTCACACCTTTGGCGGGCCACAGGGTAGAGGATACTGACTGTTTTATTTGTATTTTCTAATCTTAAGAGCGCAATCTTAATCAGGGTTCTCTAGAGCATATAGCCCTGTTTTAGTTAATGACGTTCGGTCGTTAAAACCCTTAACTGAGCTTGAATATCTGTTGCAGAGTAGACGTAATCGCTGATTGTTTGTTTGTTTGATAATTCTCGAAGATTGACGGGTCTTCTTTGAGGCTGATTTTTATTATCAATAATTATTGTTCCGTCTTTCTGTCCGATTTTTCTGGAAAATGTGTTTCCAGAATTTCGAACACAGAGACTAATTTTTCCACTGGAACAGAGATCGCAGCTGCAGACTATGTCTTTTGCATAAAGAGCTCCTCTTGCTGCGTCGAAGTTTATCATACGAATCGATTTAATTGACGGTATGTTGAGATTTACGGAAGATTTCGTGGTCTCTTCATTTTTATTCTTGAGAATGGCATATTCTCGCCCAGCAAAATTTTGTTTTGCGCGTTTTTCTTTTTCTTCTGTCCGCAGCTTCTGCTCATTTTCCTTCAAGAATCCGAGGCATTCATCAAGAGTACCACAGCGATTTACAAGTTTCGCATTTTTTATCGTGGTAGCGCAGTGACTATGGGCGCCATCGACGAGGCCTCAGAATTCTAGAATTAGTTTCGCGGAAAAAATACCTTTTCCATGGCGGCTGGTTTTGAAAATATAAGTTCTCCGCAGGCCATCGTTATTTGAAATGGCATGGTGAAAATGTTCCCTCGATTTGAATTCAGAGCTCGCATTATGTAAAACAGGGTTCGGGAAATTCAAAGATCTTATAAATCCGCAAGATCGAAATAGACCATTACCTACCGACGAGCCATAATGGAATTATCGTCAACATTAAAATGCAAATTTTAACCCTTTCGAACCCTTTCAGAAATCCTGTTAATGACTGTGAAATTTATGTTTCGATTTTTAAAATTTTCAACAATCATTTTTTCCGCCTCAATCGGCGCTCCGGCAAATTTCTTCTCCATAAGAAAATGAAAGTATTGCATTTTTTGTATTTCGTTTTCATTCCATCGAGCGACCGCCGTTAAAACGTTACAATTCAATCCAAGGCGCCCGGCTTGAAGATATTCATGCTATTTTTAGGGTTCATGTAAACAAGCCAAGCGAAATTAATGAATTTTCTGATCCCGAACTGTGACGCAGTATTATTTTGAAGAACAAACGTCGAGGCGTAGTCAAGCTTTCCACGGGTCTCAGAAAGTTCTTGCTTATAGACACACTTGACGTATTCATTCGATACAATTTAAGACCCTCGGCTCAAGATGAAGACTCCCTGGCTTAACATCTCCATGTTCATATACTTTAAGATCTTCTTTATTTCTGCTCTTGTCGATGCTATGGGCAAGTGTTTCTCTCGTCATACTTTTAAGCTGATCGAAGAATTGCCGTATTGGCATTTTACCGCGAGTTTCGCTACCAGAAACAAAAGCTGTCTCAGCTTTAACTCCAGCTTTGAGGAGTTCGAATCTGTCAAAGGCAACGGTCTCGTCAGGATGCATTTGTACGACTTTTTCGAATATTTCTCGATCAAAGTCTTCCATAAATTCATCCGGACCAACGCAACTCTTGTGAGTGCAGTCGCTGCAGGATGTTGAATTTTTTGGGTGAACAAAGCAACTTGTCTTCTTTTTACGATCAGTGACACAATATTGTTTGTCCGTTGTTGCACAGGTGCTCCTTTCCAAGATTTCTTTGAAATTGAAGCCTGCCAATGCGGGAACGTCTTATGGAGGGGGGCTTTTTTATCCTCAAGATCTTGTTAGGACCTGTTAACGGATTCTGCGATGAACTGTGATATCTAAGAAAAGAGTCTCCTGTCCTAATTTCTTTCCAAGGCTCTGCGCAGCCTTCTCATAAGTTCCCTTGTTAAGGCAGGACTAATAAATGGTCTTAATCATATCATGGTGTGATTTCCATTACAGTGACAATAAATTTATAATAATTCACGATTTAAGACCCTATCTCGCAGGCGCATACAACTTGCGTTGTACGTGAGGGCGGAATGTAGTAAAATGGAGTCATACTTTTGAACTCCTTCAAAGTTAGGTGTGTAAGCTGTGGATATTCACTAATAAATTCAGCGTGAAGTTCTTCAAGAGTTTTTTTCAGTATTCTTCTCGAAGTGGTCAGAGACTGAGTCGTTGGTCGTAGCAAGTCAATTTTATGGGTTCGCGTATCACATTTTTCACGAAGATATTTCAAGACAGTGCGGTCAAGAATTAAGGATTCCCTTAGAGTTGCTTTCTTTTGACTCGGATCAATGAAAGCTCTCTCGTCAAGAAATGCGTCTATTGCCGAAACAAATATAGGATTATAGACATGATGGAGATCGTAAAATTCATTAATTTTATAATCCAATCTAATGAAATATTCGCGGATTTGATCTGATTGAAATTGGCATAATTTTCCCCAGATTCTTTTTCATCTGCAAGCTTCTTCAGTTTCTTTTTCTAAAGCGAGGTCGCTCAACTTTCCGATATTTATAATAGGGTGTTTTTCCATTTACTCTATCAATATTGTTTTGGACTTTTTGACCGGTCCTTAATTCCAAATGTCGAGGAAAGAACATGAATTCTTTCTTGCGAATTATTTTCTTTTAATACCGCTTTTAAAATCACGTTCTCATTTTTCCAAGTTGATTTGTCAAGCATATTTTCATTATTTCACTAGAATTATAATCTTTTATAAATTGTTCTATTCTTTTATAAAATTTTCTCTTCACAAACCTTGGTAAAAGCTGCATTTTGATGAGAGTATTTTGATTCTGCTCACTCAGGTTTTGCATTTCACTTTTAATTTCCTCGGTTGTTTTCAAAGTTGACAGAGCTTCCAAAATACTTGGAACGGAAGATGTACTGGCAATTTCTTCAAGTGCACCTATCAAGTTTTCTTTTTCAAGTTCAAGCCGCTCAGCGGGATTTTCATCTATCCAATCAGGATCAGAGTCATCTTCCTCAGAATTCGTCGTTTTATTCTTTTTAAGAATAGAGCGAGGCTGAATGTTTAGTTCCTGCTCTTGGTTCTGTTCAACACTTCCTTCCTCTTCTCTAGAGGCGCGTGATATTTTTTCGAGACGAACGTCAGCATCCAAATGCTCTATCGTTGATTTTGATAGAATCCCGACTTCTTGAGGCATAAAAAGCATCTGCTCACTTGCCTCGACATTTTTCGTTAACACTGTAGGCAAATTTTTTGATGAATGCGGTGCCTCTTGATTTTCAAGAAGATAAGGCTCTTCAGATGATTTTTGCACCCTGACAGGTTCTTCTCTAACAGCTTGAACTAGACCGGAGCCGAAGTCATCTTTGTGATTACTCACGTGGTCTTCAATATGCTCTAATGGGATCCTCTGGCAGCATATAAAGCAGGTTGGCAAAACGCATTGTCTGATCTCATGCTGTCGTTTTACCCGGCCATTCTGTTTTGTTGGACGACTTCCACAGCATTTGTAGGCATCTTTTCTCTTCAATAGCTTCACATCATAGTCTTTGCTTGTGACGGAAGCCGTACAGTTACCAAGGTGATTATTGTATAAATCCAAAGAAGAAAAGTGCTTTTTGCAATCTTATTTTTGATAAGAACACAGCATACTTAGACAATCCTGATAATTATTATCTTTCCTGTGCAGACTCGACCAGAGCATATTTTAACATGATCATGAAATGCTGAGGCAGTAGAAGATGTTGGAAAATTATTTCCACATTTACGACAACAAGAGTATCCTTTGATGGATTTTAACAGCGCTCAAGCTAAAAAGCTAGACAAGTCCTGGGATTGAACAACGGTTTCCCGCGTCCGGCCGGGGTGTGCTACCACTGGATCAACTCGCCGAGATCTCTATCGAGATTTTGAAATGATACTCTGAACGGTCGGGCCTGAGCGCTGCTAGGACCCATCACCTTTATAATTGGACAATTTAATCGATGGACGAGACGTCGGTCCATTGTATCTATTGGGTTGTAAGCGGTCGTTTGGGCAGACAAGTAAAGATAGAAAAATTTTTAGGTAAAATATTTTTCATTCTTTGAAGGTCTGTTCAAAAGGCCGCCTACCACCCTTTTTGTATTAAGCTCTTTAACTAAAAACTTTGCAAAAAGTTTTTCTGCTTCTTTCGCCGTAAAAGCGGGAGAAGATTTCAGCTTAAGAATGTTAGAAAATTCTTAAAAAAAAACGATTATACCTTTGAGAGAATATCACCTAATTTTGACTTTTTCTTTGACGATATTATCTTTGTCACATCATTGATTATTTTCGTGGCAAGTTTATCAGTCATTGATAGAAAACTAAGCTCTCTTAGAGAGTCTGCAGACCGTTGATCGGTGATTTCGACCGATGCGGCGATCTCGCGGAGCCTACTTCTTGCCAGAGCTTGCCTTAAGCCTGTTGTTTTTGCTTTTGATTCTTTCTTGAACGCGTTTCTTAGGGAACGAGTTGAAGAATTTGTTCTGGTTAATGGAAAATTCTTCGTCCGACTGCACTCAAGAAGACTTGGTCTATGAGTGCTTGGTTTGCGTGCGATTTTTGGAAGCGTGATCGTGTGACATTTTCAGTTTTCGTAAGCGCCTCAAGGTGACCATTTTGCGATTGTTTTATCATTTCCATCGTTTCTTCGTGATCTTGCAGATATTGATTCTCCGGTGTGTCCATCGAATTTTGAATTTCTGTCCCGTTGACATGATTGTAAGTGTAGTCGGAATCTTGTATATCCTCACTCACATTTTCATGACCATAACTTTGCAGGTGCGAAGAGCAATCTGCTTCCGCTCCTAATTCATTCACTGAAGACGTCGATAATTGAATTTCTGAATCCTCATCAATCGTAAGAGAACTTATATCTGGCACAGAAGGCGCTCGTTCGTTCATTATGTCGAAATCTGATGAAGATGGTACACTTGGAACGCATCCGTTCATTATGTCGAAATCTGATGAAGACGGTACACTTGGAACGCATTCGTTCATTGTGTTTATATGGTCAAGATCAGGGTCTCGAAAAATACGAGGCCAGGCGGCAGCCACAACCCACTCATACTCTTTTGGTTTCCACCTCTTAGAGACCCACCTCCGCTGGCCGCCAGGGTTCAGCGGCCACTTGGTGATTCATCTTGCGTTAACGCGACCCAGTCCGAATTTTACATTATCCGAGGCTGAAATTCGGTCTCCAGTGGAATCCAGCGGCCAGCGGCTGGCTTTGCCGCCAGAGCGTGGATTCGAAAAATGAATGGAGGCCGTAAGCGAAGGGCGCGCGGAGTATGAATAAATCCTCGCCGCCGCATGGCTGCCAATTTTTCGAAACCCTGGTCAAGATTCATCACACTTGGAACTCGACCATAAAAACCTCCGTTAAATCAGTCAGTTCAGAGTTATTCGCCTGAACCTCATCGTGGGAATAAACAGAAATGGTGTCAATATTAAGAATTGACGGAGCTGTGCCAAGCGGTTCATTTAGATTATCAAGTCTCTCGAGATCAAGAACACTGAAATGCAAAATTAACTTTAATTCAATCAATCTTGAACGAATAAAAACCTTGGTACTTGAAGAAGATTAACAGGAGCTTCATTGGGGTCAAAGTCATAGTTAGACACAGCATCAATAGAATCGATATTCATGACGCTTGGCGCTGGACCAAGTGCGCATAAATCATCTGGTGGTGGTTCAACAGGCATCATAGAGACGCCAAACTCGGACATCGTCTAAATACTTTAACAATTAATCCTTATCCAAGATTTTATCGAACAAATTGCTTAAGGGTAACAATCACGTAAAAAATAAGGAAAGAGTGAAAGAAAAGGATAAACATCGTAGAACATTGACATCATAACAGAACTTCTCATCCACGACGACGACTTAAAAAAGAAAAATGAACTCCACATCATATAATTCGATTTTACCACAAGTTTTTTGGAAACAACGATGTGAGAGAGACAAATTTTCCACACAGTAATTCGTAATAACCCTGATGTCGTCCACCTTGATTGTAAGATCGTCTTATTCTTTGTTGGAGACGTAGCTCATCATATGCACGATGAAGTTGATATATTCTGTAGTCTAAACACCTCGTCATTTCCAAAACATCTATTGTTTCTTTAGATATTTGATTCCAATTTGAAGGCTTGTCAAGTTTTTGGAAGAAAAAACTTTTAACCAATCGTTCAGCTTTTAATCTGAGCCATTCTTTCGAAGAGATCGTCTTAAATATAACAGCAAGCTCAAGAGGCCTCTTAACCATAAATTTTGCAATTTCTCGATCGTCTAGATCAGAGCTGGTTATTTGATAACTGTCGTCACTCGAAAAGAAAAAGAATTAATTTTTAGAGAAATTTTGGAGACTTTTAAAGCGCTTACTTCTATTATCTTTTTTCTAAAGCTTTCTGAAGATGATTGAACGAGACGAACGCGAAAGATAGAAAAACGACGCGTAAATATTAATTCGCACACTAAAATTTTTTTGACAGATCATAGGACGCGAATTCGACAGCCATGATCCCGATTATAATCGAAAATTCATATGATAAGCGGTACCGCACATTCAAAAGAGCAATTTATGACAGGCCCGCCCTGAAAATGGAAAACGAAAAACGACTCGACAGTCATAGTGGCTTCAGTTCTTTCCAATATATCTTCTAATGCCCTGTACATTTGCTTTGGAGCAAACTCAGGGAGTTGGCTTTGCACGACACGAGACATCATAAAGGTAAGATTCGCCATGGTCCCCGAGCCATCATTTGACACTTCGAAGGAATTAAGGAATCGTGGGATTTTTCCAAGGTATTGTTTTCGAGCATCCATGGTTTTAACTAAGCAGATCAATTTTTATACTTTTGAAGCAATAATCAACGATCAGAAAGCAGAAAAAGCGGGTGTGCGCTCCGCGCCTGTCTTAAAGGAAACCCGCAACTTTCTAGAATTGATGGCCTTGAGGGCGTTGTTGAATTCAGGTTATAGGGACTTTTGCTGATTTCTAAAATGGTCTTTATAGCCTCGATGGCCATGATGTCCTTGATGGCCTTGTCGACAATCTCTTTTTCTTTTATCGCCAGAGAGAAATGAAAAAAATCGGTCAAAACGAAAAACACAAAGAAACCGACTTAAGCCGACCACCCACCGACCAAACCCCACCACCGATCAAATCAAAAAAATCCATGGTAGGATCGTTCGGTGCCAATATAAACCCCACCATTTCCGACTAGGTCGAGTTTTTGGTCGGGTCGATGGCCTTGATGGCCATGCTGGCCGTGATGGCCTTGATTGCCTTGTTGACAATTTCAGGTTCATCCCTATTAAAGGTGTAACGAACGTAAGTGATCTTAATTCTCGGTCCGAGCCAGAGTTGCAGATTTTTGAAAATTTTTGTGAGCTGAGCTAGCTGAGCTGTGGTCGAAATTGAGCTGAGCTGGCCCCTTGAAAAGCAACTGAGCTGAGCTGGATTTTTCGAAAAAATGAACTGAGCTGAGCTGAGCTTGGGCTAATTTGAAAATTTTTGAGCTAAGCTGAGCTGACAATTTTTTTAAGCTGAACTGAGCTGAGCTGGCCCCTTGAAAAGCAACTGAGCTGAGCTGAATTTTTCGAAAAAAATGAGCTGAGCTGAGCTGAGCTTGGGCTAATTTGAAAATTTTTGAGCTGAGCTGAGCTGACAATTTTTTTAAGCTGAGCTGAGCTGAGCTGGCCCCTTGAAAAGCAACTGAGCTGAGCTGGATTTTTCGAAAAAATGAGCTGAGCTGAGCTGAGCTTGGGCTAATTTGAAAATTTTTGAGCTGAGCTGAGCTGACAATTTTTAAGCTGAACTGAGCTGAGCTGACCCCTTTGAAAACAACTGAGCTGAGCTGAGCTGAGCTGGATTATTTCGAAAAATTTGAGCTGAGCTGAGCTGAGGTTTATCTGTTAGTTTTTGAGCTGAGCTGATGATTTTTCAAACTGAGCTAGCTGAGCTGAGCTTACAATTTTTTCAAGCTGAGCTGAGCTGAGCTAGCTGAGTTGAGGTTAAAATTGAGCTAGCTGAGCTGATCTGACTTTTCTCGAAGAACCATTGAGCTGAGCTGAGCTGAGCTGGCCCCCTTGTAAAGCATCTGAGCTGAGCTGAGCTTGGGCTTATCTGAAAATTTTTGAGCTGAGCTGAGCTGACAATTTTTTAAGCTGAACTGAGCTGAGCTGACCCCTTTGAAAACAACTGAGCTGAGCTGAGCTGAGCTGGATTTTGTCGAAAAATTGAGCTGAGCTAAGCTGGGGTTTATCTGTTAGTTCTTGAGCTGAGCTGAGCTGATGATTTTTCAATCTGAGCTTGCTGAGCTGAGCTGACAATTTTTCAAGCTGAGCTGAGCTGGGCTAGCTAAGTCGAGGTTAAAATTGAGCTAGCTGAGCTGAGCTGACTTTTCTCGAAGAACCATTGAGCTGAGTTGAGCTTGCTTTCTTCAGAAAAATTAAGCTGAGCTGAGCTGAGCTGACCCTCACCTCGAAATCGCTGAGCTGAGCTGAGCTGAGCTGTAGCTCATCTAGCTCATATAGCTCACCTCAGCTAGCTCACAAAATTTGTAACTCTGGTCCGCGCTATTCCGATTTACGGAAAATTGTAAAATGAGGGAATTATAATGGCCTAAATTCCCTTTTATAATTTTAGACTTGTAATAGATATATCTGTTTAAAAAATAAGTCAAACGATAATTATAATAAATAAGTATAAGAAGGACCACCGAACATACTGTTTTTTCAGAATTTTTCTGCGCGAGGCCCATCTAGGCCAAAACCGTGGGGGAAGTCTTTAAAGCATACCTTCTGTCTTCGTTTGAATTCTACTTTCTTTGGAGTCAGTCGTTGGCAGGATTTCTTCTGTTTTTGATTTTTTCTGCAATTAACAAGCGTCTTATATAATTTTAAGAATAAATATATATATTTAGTATACCTGTCACGGGTATCGAAAATTATTAACAATCTTTCTCTTAGCTTTCTCTTCTTCTCTTTCAATTTTGTGTGTTTCACAGAATTAACTTTCTCGAAGTGAACTGCCAGCCAGAAATTAGTTTGGAAATTTTTTCATACTGTGATTTTGATTGATGCATCCATTAAATAATCATTAATGAGCGAGGTAGTTCCGGAATCGCGAGCGCATGTGTACACTTCACCGTCGATCGATATTGAAACAAAAATTTTCAAAATCAAATGAGCAATATTTTTGCTCAAAATTATTATTTTCAAAATTAAAAAAATAAAAAATGTAATTTAACGGCAAAAAAATTGTTCTCAAATGACCTCAGATGACCTCAGATGACCTCAAATGACCTCAAGTGACCTCAGAGCACTATTTGATTACTTTTTGTAGTTTGTAATTTAATAAAAGTATATGCTTTGTATTTGCGAAATTAGTGCAAAACTAATCCTCAAAAAATTTTTACAGCCCAAATGTTGCCCGATTTGCTTCAATTTTCGCAAGCACATAGATTCGACTATAGAGATTCCAAAAAATTAAAAAAATTTTGTTATGGAAAAATTTTGCTCTATGAGCAGTTAAAATTTCGGAATTTCAACCTTTATCAAGTCCAAATGTCGAAAATTTCGAAGATTTGAGCAGACTCTAAAAACGTTTTTTATACAGTTTGAGAAGCTCTTTCAGATGAGCCAATCAGAAAAAAAAAAATTTTTTTCGACCTGCCACAATTGGAGACTTCTACCACTAGAAATCACGGCGCTGCCACGGCCAACTTTGACAGAAAGCAAAAATTCGCCGAAGAGTGCCTTTGTCTACCCTTCACCTGAAAAACCGCCTCTTCAGGAGCGTTCGAATAATCAAACACATGATTTGACCGAAGCTTCAGAAGATCACAGTAGATGCTTGTTCGACGATTCTGATAAGGAGCCTTCTGTCATCGAAAAGTCTCATCAAGAAGAAAAAGAAAACAGTCCTGAATCTGCGACCCCTCGTTCCTTTCGCGAATTCTCCACGCAAACTCCTCCATATTTATCACCGGTTTCTGAGGTCTTATGTCCTTCTATTCCGCCAGTGACTGTAACGCCGATCGCCCCTGCAACCTCTTCCGGGACCACTCTAAAGAGGCAAAACGAGTTCAGTTTACGAAGCAAGCCCCTGAAACTTCCAGTTCCAAAAGTTCCTGCCGCCCTTGAAGAGACCATCGACAACGACTCTTTAAACAAATCAAAGAGCGAAAATCTGCAAAATCCAAGCAAAACTAAAGATATCCCCGACCCTACTTGTGCGAATTCTGAAAGCTCCGTCGTACTCAAGCACTCCCTTAACGATGTTAAATCAACACTGCCTAAATTTCAGGGATCCATAACGGAGACAAGTTTGTTTGAGTACTTTGAAAAGTCGCTTGTCCTGCCAAATTTTGCCGCGTGCGAAGATCCTTCAGCTAATTTGACGGATGAAAGCTCGTCCTCCGAACATGCTCGCAAATCAAAAACGTCCAGCAGTTCCAAAAGCGTGCGGCGTATGTCTTCGAAAGAAGGAAGATGTGAGAGGAAGGAAGTTTCCAAACTAGACAACACGCAAAAGTCTGAAATCAAGGAGGTCGACGTGTCATCAGATTACCATAATAACGAAACATTTGCTCTCCAAGGCGGCTCCAGAATAGAAACTTCAAGAGAAGAGAACCCAGCAACGCCCACTGAAACTACCTGCGAAACACCGGGAAAGACAATTTCGCGAAAATCTTCCACTACCTCCTCGTCATTCAGTTTCCCACCACCACCGGACTTTATCCAATCGATAGTGGTCCACCCTTCGCCTGAGAAGAGAACTCCCAAGAAGCAGAAGACCGGTGACGTTTCCAAGAACGCCAATCTAGACAAATCTGGTTTAGCAACGGTGCTCTTTGAAACAAACAACAGCGCCCTGCCCTCGATGATGCCGGGGTCCATCATCGACTTGGTCAATGTTCCCACGGAGCCGCCTCCTCCCTCCTTGATGATGACACCAGTCAAGGAAGATCAGATTCTCGCGGAAGATCATCCTGCTAATTTGACAACAAGCGAGGGGGCACAAAGCTTCCACCTGGAATATTCATTCTCGTCGATGGAAAACTCGATTGAAATCATAGAAGACGGAAAAAGTATTGCGCGAAAAGTGGAGAATCTCTCGGCTACAGAAGAGCAGCCGAATCTCAATCTTAGGAAAGTTTCATTTTCCGTGAATCGAATCATTCACTCATGAATTTTTATTTCTGAAAACTCGCAAATGATCAATAATGGCGAAAATACCCGAAATCGTTTGCGAAACATTTTCTCAATTAAATTTTGATGAATGAAAAAATTGAAACTACGAAAAGCTCTAGCTCAGAAGTAGGCGAAATGGACGATACAAAGCTGCGACTTGAGCTGAGAAAGTTCAAGGTTTGCGTGCCTCCATGTCTCACCGATGCAGCCAGATGTCGATTCAAAGGCAAATTGCGAAAAATGCGCGATGTTGGAGTCGAATTTTCAGCCGAACTTATCGAAGCAATTCACACAGTGGATATTCGTGGGCCACCTACTGGGGAGAATAATTTACGAAACAAAGTTTGCAACGATTCCCGCACTCCTGGAAAAGATCCCAAACGGTAACGATAAGGTGCAAAAAATTTCAAGCACCACCGTCTTTCTTTAGATTTTTCAATTACCTCCTCCTTGATCCGCGGAAGACAAACAATCTGACAAGAAGAGTTCAGCAAAATCCGAATCTGTCCAGTGTCGATATTTTGAAATGTTTCATGAAATCAATTTTCTACGTAGGAAAAGGTACATTAATTCGTCAAACTTTGATTCGAATGTAGAATTCTAGGCACTGGTACTCGGGCGCACGCGCACATCAAGGAAGCGATGGACTTCAGTTCCAAGAAGCCTGGTTACAAGATGAAACTGAAAACCATTCAAGAGATTTTTGCTACGCCGAGGTCGAATGTTCAACCCAACGAGGAGCAAAACTATGGCCTGCTGGTTTGCGAATTCTCGAAAAATATTAGCAACGCTCAGGCGCTCAATCAAGAAGCTGCTATGATCGAAGGAATGGCTTCATTTATCTCCGTTTTTTAGTTATTTGAATGAATTATGAAAAAGAACTTACGAGTGATAGCCTCCAAAAGCAATCAATATCGAGAACTTGACGAATTATAAACGCGAGAAGTTCTCGTTGAAATGGAAAGACGAAGACATTCGCGAGCTCGGGGCCGAGTTGCTCTGCCAGGCCTGCAGAATGTACCTCATTGAGAACGAGCATTTTCTGTATCCTTCACATGTGTAAAAGCACTGTTTTTTTATTTTTAAATATTTTAATAAATCCCACTTCACTCTTTCAAGAAAAAGTCGAGTCGGCTGTCAACTTGACCAACTGCATCGAGCTAAACTCGCTCCTCCGAAAAGGCGATTTTAGATCATCATGCAGGATCGATTTTTCTTTTGTTGAGCGGTCTTCAAGTTGAAGATGTGTTTTCCTCGCGGGGCGGACCGCCTCAAACCGTGAGAATCGTTCGTTGACGTGAGTTGATTGGGTGAGTTTGCTTTACTGAGTTGGCGCCCGTTCCCGCCGAGCCGCTCTGCTTCACAACACACTCCTCCGCTCCCACTCTCAAAAATATAATTCAAAAAAAATCTGAACATCTATTGCGGCGACGAGAGAAGCTCGCGTTCAAGAAGGAGAAAGGCTGCGGAATTGTTGTTACGAAAATGCGCTTTCTAAGAATTAGATGATTGGTACTAGTGTTAGTTACCGAACGAAGTAACGTCTAGGGAAAACAACCACACAGTCACAAGCGGAGACAGATGCAAGTCACAGAAGGTAATCACTGCTACTGTAGATTACATTAAGGCATCCTTCTTTTCTAAGAAATGAGTGCAAGAGTCAATTTGCGCATGATTTTTTTTCTTTTGTGGTTTATTGGAAAATGATAGTCCAACTTGTTTGACGGAAATAGCAATAACGAACCATCTACAATGGGCTTGGTAGATTACAGACTAAAAATTCCCTTTGAGAGTGCAGTTTTAAAAAAAATAGTCGAAGAAATAGGTGCTTCAAAGAAATAGTTTATGTTTTCAAAAGGTTCTGGTTCTAGTTGTTGTTGACAGTTCGTTTCGTTTTCTGCTTCTTTTGTGGAGGTTCTAAAACTATTTTTGAAACGACCGATTTTCTAAGAAAACTCACCAAGGATATGATCCCATTCGGTTTCGTTAGCAACTTCATCTGATTGATTAGCGAACCAAGCTTTAGCCATTTCGGAATGGCGAGGAGACCAGGCCTGGTGATTGCTCCCGTCTCCAAACTGGAAGTGAACCCAAGTATATTTCATCGCTTCGTACATCGCATCTTTGACTCGCGGGTTCTTCCCGAACTCATCTCTGTAATCCTCAAGATGGTAGATGTCCTTCTGAGGGATCCAGGCAATTTGATGGGTGCCGTAGAAGTAGATCGGCCAGTGGAACTCGGGATCGTTAACGGGTGCAGGGAGGTTTCCTTGGTCTCTGGTGGGGCACCTGTTCGGTCGGATGCAGTCGATCCGAGCTGGCCATGCAGGGTAACTTCTCATCTTGGCGAAGACGAGGTCGCCACTAGCCAGCGGGTGAACGGGAACGGTCGCCATTGACAAGGTCTATTTTCGTACTTTTCGCTTTTGTCTCTGAAAATAGAATTTTTGATTTCTGAATTGAAGTTCAAAAGCGTGAGAGGTGGATGATAAGTCTAGAAACTTTTTTCTCCGAGAAACAAATAATCATTCGAAAAAGCACGATGTCTAGTGATGAAAAATTAAGTGGGTCCTTTTTGATACGGACCAATCTGGAGTATTCATTTAATTTTCGAATTTTAGTATTTTTCTAATGTATCCTTTTTTAAATAGGGCGAAGATATTTTACCTAGTACGAGTGAATAAAGTCTCTTTTACGTTTCTTATTAGTTTACTTCTTCTCTCTTTTTGCAAAAATAACTTTTTTTTGAAGAAAAAGTTTCCTTCGGGGAATTTTTTTGTTGTTTTTAAAAGCTTTTTCTGCTCGAAATAAAACTTATTCAGCTTGTTTTGGAGCTTAGAAAATAAGAACGAACCGATATCTTCAAATTATTTTTGTCACCTTCAGTATTCCCACTCGAATCTAAGTAGACAGTCGGTTTTAGCACTATTAGTTCGCAATTTGCAATTGAGTTGGAGCGTCGCGAAAATTTTCGGCGCGAGGATGGGTTTAAAAATCATCTATTTTCTCATAATTCTATATTTAGCTGAAAACGAACTTCCGAAGCCCGTGATACCCAAGCCGATTGGTTCTGACGATTCCGACAAGGGGAGCAAAGCAAGCGATCCCGTCGAAATTATCAAACAAAATGAAGACGATGCAGAGAAAACTACGCCGCCCAGATTGCCCAGCTGCGCGAGGAACGACCTGTTCAAAGGCTTACGAAGGAAGCGATGCGCGAGTACATTGCCAATCCTTGCAACACGACGTTGATTATCAATCACGCAAAGGTAGCGCAGAAGTCATACGGAACTGAAAAGCGATTCTTTTGCCCTCCTCCTACTGTTTATCTTCAAGGAAAAGGTAAATCTACCACTGCTTGTTTGGGAAATGACGAGGAATACTATCCAAAATTGTTGTCGTCAAAGAAATTTAGGATGGAAACGAAAGCAGAAAGAAATTTCCGAGCGAGAGGGCTACAACTCCGGCGACAACGAAATCCATGCTTTTATTGGGATTGGCTCACAAAACCAAGAATTGCAGCCACTTCATTTGGAAGCAAAAGATTTTTGCGCTGCAAAGACCCTCTTTATTTCAGGTTTGTCTTGAATTCAATTCGATTCAGATTCTTTTGAAAAAATCATAACTAGGGACTATCACGGGAGCGCGAGGGCCCCATTTTCGCTTTCCAAACTACCCGAAATATTCATCCATTTTTCTTGATTTTACAGACAAGTATGTTTTCTTACCTGCTGATTCCAAATATGATAGAAAAATTTGCAAAAAAACAATGAATATAAGGAAAACATGGAATTTATCTTTCAAATAGGCAGATCTTCTAGGCCCGTCTTACCCCGTCATTCTTTTTTCGATATGTTCTCTATCAGACACTTATCTTTAATCTCTGTAAAAATGTTTTTACGCGTGCTTACGCGTCTCTTGAAATCATCCGATAACTAGAGGCATGTCGCAACTCGCGAAGGGCCCGGAGCAGCGTCGCCCGCAGCGAGGGCCGAACCTTTCGGTGGAAGGTGACAAAATGAGTGGTTCGAATTCTTGCTGCAAGTTCAAGAGCTGTTTTTACTACCGAAAACTGCTCAAAATAAACTATTTATTGAAATTTCCGCTCGGTGAATTGATTCCGATTAGCGCGCGCTCAGTGTGAAATAGGTCTAAAAATAAGTGTTTGTTCTGCGAGCTTTTCAGGCTTATTAAAGGCTTAAATTGTGAGCTCTCTCAATTAATAATCACGAGCAAAAGGTTTGCTGGCAAGATTACTTTATTCAAACCATTTTTGGATCGAAATATGCAACCTGAAAGGTTAGAATAAGAGGTACCATCTTCGAAAGTTTAAAGCGCTCTCTCGCGCCACCATGTGGATTAATTGAAAAAGTAAATACATATTTGGAATCAGCGTAAAAAACTGTACAAGATGATAAATTTTCGAGGTTATCGAAGCATCTTGATTTTTCCGTGAAAGTACCTAATCATAACTTAGATGGGTCAAGTTTACATTTTTGGTAAAGGCTGATTTAGATGCTGACAAAAGAAAGCACTTTACGCTGAATGTAAAGATGTTCTACGGGAATGGTGAAAGCCTGGGCACTTTTGAGTCGCGGACAATCAAGGTCATCTCCAAACCGTCGAAGAAGAAGCAAAGGTTTGTCTTTACTCGTTTGACTCTGGCGTCTAAAATCTAAACTCGTAGTCTCAAGAATACTGACTTGTGCATCTTAGGTGGTACTCAAGTAGCTTTATTTAATCGTCTAAGATCACAGACAGGTAAGCCTCCAGTTTATATTGAATCACGATTTGTGATTTGGATTGAATTGGATAATGAGCCGCGTTTAGTTTCGACGAGATACCTTCATGTGGAAGAAAACAACTTCCTTGCGTCTTCGAGCGAGTGGGGATCATTTAAAATCCACTTGATTCCGGACGATGAAATTGAGGGCGAGGAATTCGACACAGAGGAGGGATACATCCACTATGGCAAGACGGTGAAGCTTGTTTGTACAGAAACTACCATGGCACTGCCCCTAATGGTGATTAGGAAAGTCGACAAAACCCAAGCGCTACTGGACGCAGGTAAAAATCTTTAACATGACTCAGAGACGGAAGGGATATGCGTTCAGATGATCCAGTGTCGCAACTTCACAAATGCTGCTTTCATATCAAAAACACGCCTTCGAACTATCTTTGCATCCAGTCAGAGAAGATTATCCAGCACCAAGCTGAGCCCGTCCAAGGGGACGACAGAAAACACATTATTCCAGGTAACGATCAATTGCTAATTCCAGTTAACAAATTGGATTAGACGGCTGCGCTTGGACAATTATATCAACAGACCAAGCAAAGTACTCCTTCTTCGAAGCAATGGGCTCGACAGCCGAGCTTCCCTCGCCGGTTCCAGTTATCGACAAAGTCCTGCTCAACGGTTCTGGAGAGACCGCGTGCATAGACATTTGCGGCAAGCACTTTAGTTCCAATTTAAAGGTGTGTAAATAACATTAATTGATTTTTAAATGGATTCATAGGTTTGGTTCGGCGAATGCGAGGCCGAAACGATTGTCCGATCAGATGAAAACATGATCGCAGTCGTGCCCGACCGGAGCTTAGTCCAGCCCGACTGGGACATCACAAAATCGAAAGACAAGTTAGACGTAAGATCAAAAAGTCCTTGAAATAATGCTAAAATACTCTAAAGGTGCCGATCAGTCTGGTGCGCTCTGACGGCGTCATCTTCCCCTACGAGCAAGAGAACTTCACATACTGCCCAGAGCCGGAGGAGGCTACAGCTCTGCCTGTTTCGTGCAGCCCAAGCGTGAAACGCCCGAGATTGGACCCGGACATTCATCCGACCATTTCTGAAATGGGAAATGGAAGCAACGCGCCCGTTTCGGTACACACGGCTAAAATCATTTCAGAGTCGACTTCCGTGGGCGACTGCCACTAGAATAGAGCAGAGCACACCCAGCCAACTCAACTAGAGGTGTAGTTGCTAATAGCACTTACTTACAAATTCAAGCGCTATTCTAAACGCTAGCTCTTTCAAATTTTAACCGATCTTGTTGATTTTCATGTGTGTGCTCGTCAGGCATATTTTTTAACTGCTCTTCATTTATGTTCCGTTCTTTTGTAAGTTAACTGCGTTTTCAGATAGATAACCTGTCACAAGCAGCGTTGGCAGGCGTCTGGCAGACAGAAAGCGGCGCGGAGCAGCAATACCTGCACTCTCTATACTCACACGCGCCCAACGGAAGCTTCATGCCCAAAGTGGAAGGCTCTGTGGAGACGGCCGCCAGCTCCCATCTCCACCAGAACAACCCCGCTGCACCAATCCAAGCAAGTTCGCAGACTCACTCAATCAAGACCGACTATAGCAAGCTATAGTGCGAGTAACTCCCGGCGAACTGCTAGACTTGTACAATCCTTTTCAATTATTATAATTCTAAGCCTACTCAATAACTTTAGCTGTATTTTTTTATTTGCTGCCCAAGTGCTCACATGTACTTTACCTTCTTTTCAATTTACTTTGCTATTTTGCCATTGATGCGATTGAATATTTCAAGAAGCGCTAACTTATAAATAATTACTGTATAAAAGATGGAATAAAGTTCGATCGTTTCAAAATTCGATGTTTATTATTCAAGTATATGTAAAGGGTCAAGTGTATGCTTATTGGTGTAGGCTACAGATTGAAGATTATTTATTTATAATATCGGTGAAGAGTTTATCGGCCAGCGAGCGTACATGAGTCGCCCGTCGTTCCAAATCGATCGTTCTCGACCATATTGAATACTATACACGAATTTATGCTATAATTATGTCGCCTTGTGCTTGTTACCTGAGCGCGTAAAAATGCGGCGGAGCGGTAACACAGCTCTATTTCTGCAGTATCGACAGCGTCGGCAAGATCGACGCCCATGCAGTTCACCTTTTCGACGCATGGGCTGAGATCGTCGCGCGTAAAGAGCGGGATCAGTCCGTCGAACTCGGCCTTCCAGACGCTCGTCAGCGTTGTAAAAATCTTTTCGTGCATATCAGGATTCGTGGAAACATAGACACCTTTCAGCTTCTTCTTTTGATTATACTGCTTTACATAATTCGTTAAGCCTGAAATGTTATAGTTAAAAAACGTCGGAGAGAGAAGATTCGGACCTCGAATAGCTTCTGTGCTATTGCTAGTCAGCTTGCAGAAAAAGTCATCCTTCTTTTTCTCGCAGCTGTCCGAAAAGTCTTTCTCGAAATCCCATCGAATCGCCAAATAGTTGCTTTTGTCGAGACTATTCAGCTCGAAGAAGTCGTTCACTATCTGGTGGATGTACTTGGGTCGCTTCGTGTACTTGATGATGTCCTCGAGATAAGCGTAAACGAGTGCGCCAGTTTTTTATGCGTACCTTGAGCCATTTTCCCTCGGGTGGCGACGCGCGGGTCAAGAACGGAATGAGCAGTTTCTTCTCGCTCTCAATAAAATTAATGTATGGATAGAGCCACAAGGTGCACGTGTCCGACGCCACGGGAAATTGCTGCTGCACATCCTCGACCTTGGGCTGCAGCTTCACCATTTTCTCCGTGAAGCCGGGCGGGCTCAGCTTCACGCCGTCCGCCAGCGTGCAATCCTCGTCGGTGTAAATCGGATCAAAGCTCAGCCGCTGCTCCAGCTCCGCGATGCGCTTCCTCGTGTATTTGGAGCAAATGTTTTGGCCCAGCATAACCGACGTAAACTGCTTTCTAAATATTAAACTAAGCCGAGGGAACCTGATTTGATATAGTTAAATATACGGCTCGTTCTCAGACCCGGATAATCCAAAATAGAATAAAACACCAAAATGCACGTAAAATGTTACTTAATCAACTGTGTGTTAATCAAAATAGTGAAAATACTGAAAATATTACCCGCATTTAGCTATAACATCTTCCAGCGAGCAGACATTGACTAGTTTCGAAAGCTCGTCAACGTCTATTCGAGCGCCAGCGGGAAGTCCCTCTCCCACCATCTTAAATGATTCATAAACTCCTTGTTAATGCTGCTAATAGAACCTTAAACGCGCTTGGACTGCGCTCGCGCCAAAAAGGGGGAACGCAGACTGTCCTGTTCATGAAAAAGCCCATTAGTAGGGATTCACGGAAGCCGCGAATCTGCTCGGCTGGTCCCCACGGCAGCACAGGAATCAACAGCTTGCTTTTGTCCATCTCGTACATTGGGTTCGGCGGGTTGGCAGAGGATCTGGCGTGCGTTAGAGATATGCGCGCGGTATTTATAAAACTGATAACTAAATGAGCGAGCCCGTGATAGCAAAGTGGTAACGCTGCCTAAGTACATGACACTTCTCGGGCGAGACTGACTGTAATGAGGGAATGTCGAAAAAGATAGATGACAGCTTCGAGCGGAATCACAAAAATTCTATCCAAAATTTAAGAGTTTCGTTATGACTCAGATTCGCTCGAAAAAAGTTCAAAGACGGAAATTAACACGTGAAAGCGCAACGTCTTAGGATTGAACGTCGCGTCCACTCCATCTAGCCGTCGGATTTAATGCGAATCTGAGCTCAATTTACTTGATTTCACGTTGTGGCTGGCGCACGGTGAAGAGCGAAAGAAATGTGCCGAATTTGTGATTCCGTAACAGTGAGGATGCTGGCTTTGGAAAGAGGTTTGGCGCCTGCTCCTGGTTGGGCAACCCTTGGACAGGATCAGCCGCGTTTGCGAGATCTTGAGTTTGAGGAACTTGCGGAGCGACTGGAGGAATTTCCGGGACGGCTGGGAGAACTTCTGGTTGTGCGGGGGGTGGATTCTGAATGACTTCACTCGCTAAGTCGAGAGGTTTTGGACTTTCTAAACGGATGGCATTTAAATTCGCTCCTTGATCTGGTTCTCCCAGTTGTTGCGGGACCAGTGGCGAATCTTTTTGTTGAACAACTCCCACAGTTAATTCAGGAGCTTGCGCTGGAGATTCAACAGCTTCCTCTTTGACAGGAGCTAAGCTTGGCTGGAGGTTGATTTCATTCGTTTCTAATACATTTGGCAATTCCGGAAGCTGAACGAGATTGTTCAAGGGCTGCTGATTAGTTAATGGGAACTGGAAGGGATTTTGCTGCTCTTCGTAGGCAAATGGGTTCTCCAAGTTCTTGCCGAACTGCTGCTCAACAAATTGCTGTAGCTGAGATGTAGCGCCTTGTAACGGATACGATCGTTTCATCTGCATTAGAACGCTAGAATCAGCGCTTTTGCGGCCTCTGTGGAGTCCATATCTATCAATGTCGTCGTTTTCAACAAATAGAAAGTAAAAATGCTCACCTGTGTAGAAGATAAACCTGGGAGAATACCACAATTAGAATAAGAAGATTGTGGAGCAGGCTCGACCCTAAATGAATGTTTACGGGCGCTGTGGCGGGTGTAAATTTGAAAACCCCTAATTGGAGTAATGCTAGAGTCCGATAAAAATGCGCTGCTGTTTTTACAAAATTGATTTAAGCGTTATCTGATCATTTGATACATGGCAGGCGCCGGTCTAGTTCTCCGGGGAGGAGAGGCTCAAGCCACTTTCTTATCAATTACGACAACGAAACGCCATCGAATATTAAAATCTATGCATTGTTTTTTACCCTTTTGGCGGTGACTGTAGCAGCATAAAATCGCGATTTTCCATTTCAAAGAGCGCCAGCAAGTCGATCTGTTTTCGCCTTTCTTACTTTAATTTTTGCTTTATTTTCTGTTAAAAATTTCAGTTCGATTTCGTACCTGTGCTTTTTGAAGACTTTGGGTGGTTTGAGTTGCGAGTTTGCCATTCTAGCTTTCTCTTCATTTTGAACGGAACATTTTTCTTTAATCCTCAGAATTTTCTCTTTGCTTCGTTATTGCTGTGTGTTTCTCTATTTTACTGATGCAACCTTCTGTTTCTATTTCAATTTGCACGTTAACTCTATTTTTGTTTCAAACAAGCTCCATTTTACGTGTGTTTTATATGCAACCAAGTGAGATGCGAAAAATCGGTCCAAAGTCGGAATAGTGTGGAGGAGGGCTGGCGCAGGCAGCGCGGTCCGGTGTGGTGCCACAGTGTTGGTGGTAACCACTGCACCTCCACCGGCTACTAGACAGGGAGGAGGCGCAAGGCCCGCGCCCTATCGCGCCCATTGTTCGGGACTATGGTTGGCAAAAAGCCGCGTAAAGAGCGCGAGTACTAGACACGGAACACGGCAAAAAGTAGAATCGCCGTCGGTGATGACGCCCTTCACTGTGCAGAATCAAATTTCCGCTGAAATAATACAAGTCCTCAACAGCCGACACCAAAGTCTGCTGAGTACTTTTGCGATTTTCTCATTAATTAGAATTTTCCTCTTTCTCTAGCGAATTCTTGATCACCTTCTAAAGCCTAGCCTTTGCTTCAAATATAACCTAAAATAAACTTTTCTCGCGATAACACTAAGCTCTTCCAACGATAACAAAGTGCATTATTTATTCTATGCAAGGTTAAGTCGTTTAAATTCAAGTGTCGAAGCAATTTGTTAGACTTCTTTATCTTTATTTCTTTCTTTAATGCGTTCGGATCGGAATCCTTTCCAGATTTTGGATATTTTTCTAGCGCTCTAAATCTTATTTCACGAGTGAAGCTTGAACGGAGAGTAGAACTTATTTGAAAATAAAGCATGTGCTGATGCAGCTGTGTTGGGCTTTTCAATAATGCGAGAAAATCGCACTCTTTCAATCACCAGAAAAGCCTCTATGGCACAAGAAAAGTGGCTAACTAAGCCTTCATTTTCATAACAAACGTTTAACGGTACTTCCGCACGAAGAGCCACTCTAGCAAACGACATAATAACCGGCGGGTCGAGATCCGTATTAGAAGTACCCGCCCCATGATGAAAAGAAGCTCATCAATCAAGAAGCACTTCCCCAAGTTTGAGAAACTTGAATAATCTAGACCTTGCTCGGTAATTGGAAGTCTCTTCGCATCCAAGTATTCAATTCTAATGTCCTGAAGTTATTAATATGCAATAGGTTTTTATATTTATTCCAGTATGACGGTGAAAAGAGAGTGGCAGAGGTTTGTGCGGTGTGTTTTGGTTCAATTAAAGATGTTCCAATGAAAAAGATAAAGAGAGAAAAATTAATTAGGCAATTGTAAGGTCAGCTGATTTCAGTAGTGGTAATGTCGCGCGTGGTTGCGGACTTGTTCTTCTTTCTTCTTGAGTGTCTCCTTGTTCTTTGCGAGGACCTCTTCCATCCTACGCAACTTGTCCTGCAAGTAGCCAAGGCATGAGTTCTTGTGATTTTCCTTTATCTTTTCAAGCTTTACTCAGCAGTTATTTCAAATTTGGTTTGCATAAATATAAAGCTCTTTGCCTGGAACGATTGATCGCAGAATCGGCACTCGACGATACCTTCGCAGACTTTCAAGTGCTCCAGTCGTGTTTGGTAGTTGAAGGTCTTCTACAAAATTGATTCTACTAGCAGCAGAGCTCAAAAGAACTTACAGAGCATTGATCAGCGGTGCATTTGACCATCATCCCCTTGAAGCAGGTGTCGAACAGCTCACATGGAGGAATAAGTCGGTCTATCAAGAGTCATAATACTCCTCCTCACAAGCTTAAGCAATTTAATGTGAGAAGGAAGATTATTCACTCTTTCTTTGGAAGAGTCAGCGTTGCAATAAGGGCATTTAAACTTGGAGCCACTCTTGCACAGTTTCTCGATGCAACCAGTGCAAAACAGCTGTCGGCAACATTCGGACTCCGTTGGATTTTGGAAGAAATCCATGCAGATGGGACATGTGAAGTCGTTCTCAGAAATGTCGATCGCATGCGCCACTGGCTCCCATCGAGGCGTCTTCAGGAGATCTTCCTCCTTGATTGCAGTCTTTCTTTGACTTAGAGTCAGTCCGTCTTGAAAATAGGTAAATGCTAGTTACAATTGACGAATGTACCAAATCCAACTGGTGAAGGAGTAGAGCGACTGTCAGAGTAATCAAGCTCGTCCACTCGGATTTTTCCTTGATTTTACTTAAAATAAGCTCTGAAAAATGTGTGCATACCTGATCCAAATAGACTGGCATCTTCTTCGGAGGAGGAGTTTTTATAACCGTCCTCTGAAGAACCAACAGAACAATAACTGCTCCGATCAGATGAGTCAGATCGAAAACCCACAAAACCGTCTTCATTATAACTATCATCATCCACATAGGGACTAGGACTCGCTGAAAGATTTTAATGAGTAGTATTCTACCATAACTATAGTCAAAAGGAAATAACTTCGGCTTCTATCATTTCAAGGCGCAAGTAAAAATAAATAATTTTAATAGCGGTATATACCGCACTTACGAGAGCCACTAGAAGCAACAGAGCTAGGAGGACTGATGCAAGGATTTTCATGTCTCTGTCCTTGTCCTTCTGCTATCAACTCGCCCGTAGAAGCCCCTGACGAATGACTGTAGGAGATGGAGATGTCCGACTCAGAGTCAGTCTCACGCTCATGGTAGCAGTCAAACCCGCCATAGCATCGTCGCAGCATTTTCTTCGCTTTTCAATTTTTCGTTTTCTTCAAAAAAGTCAAAATTGTATAATGACCAAGTTGAGGCTTCCCCATGGTTTAAATAGGCCCTGTCGAAGATTCTGGAGTTATCGGACAGATTTTGAGTCATTTAGGAGCACGAGCCAAGTTATCCGGCTTAATTTTGAAAAATCTGAAGCTTTCATGAACGGAATCGAGGGATTTCGAGCGGTTGGAGATTGTCAAGTCTGATCAAAATGTACTCCAAGGAATTCAGCGAGGATATTCTGTGGTTGATGGAAGACATTATTGAGTCGCCGCTTTCCCACTTCCGGAGTGTAGCTGCTTATCCGTCAATAGATAAAGTGTTTGTCTTTGAGCTTTATCTGTGACACGCTATCGTTGCGAGCGAGTGACCAAAAGCGATCTGGAAGCAATTCAAGAAAAACTAATCAGCCCTATAAAATTCACATTCGCCGCGCATTCTAGTCTCAAAATGTAAAAAAAAGAAAGAATCATCACATATGTAAACCACAAATTCAGAGACCGAGAAGATTAAAAATCCTTATCGCTTCAAAGTACGTAGCTTTAGCAGCTTTGATTCTTTGTGTTTGCCTGCCAAGGTGTATTAGTAGACTAGTAGATTATTTAAAATAATATTGATTACGGGCTAAAAAGTACAGTAACGCCGCTAGAGACTGCGCGACGCCCCGACAAAGATTACCATGTCAAAATCGTTTCAGAATGACGGAAGAAGAATGTACCCGTGTTTTTGAAAAGTCATTTCGAAAAGAGCTGATTTTCAAAAATGAAAAAAAGCAGTTGAGCTTGGCGCGCCCGCCGAACTCGCTCTCCTTTTCAAATTTGCCCAAGAATGTTAAAAAAAGCGGCAAATGGTGACTAAATCAAACGGCTTTCTTTGGTATTTCTACGTTTTAGATTTTGTTTGACTGTTATTATATTGCTCTTACAGATCGATTCGAACACAACGTTGCATAAAAATGATTATAAATTATAATCATCATTAAAAGTCTGAATAGATTAGCTGAGCTTTAAAGTGCCTCCGTAAGAAAATTTTAAAACTGATCACAATCAATAACAAATTGCTCTGTTATTAATAAATATTTGTTCACGCTCTATATCTAAATTGATGACAATCGGAGGTAGAAATTCCAAATGAAGCGAGCCGTGGAAATATCAGATTCTTGCTAGTTTGTGGAGAAATTCACTTCTATTTGTTTTGATACTGTAATGAGCTTTATTAGTATTTATGCAGTAATCAGTAAGAAACTCATGGAACCTGTGTTTAAAACCTGAGTCAGGGCTAGGAAGATCCCTAATGTAAGGCCGCTTTTTTTTAATGAAACCGCAAGGCGGCTTCACGAAATTATCCTTCCAAGCTATTTCTAAATTACAGTCATGCCGCCTCGCGGCTTTTCATTAGATCTTCCACGCCCCGACATGCTTTCAGGTTTTCTTACGCCCAGGTTTGAGCTGCCAAATGAGTGAGATATTATTGAAGTGAGACGCATTCTTTGGATACATTCATCGGCGCTGCGTTCTCGGCGAGTGGGGGTGCGAGAGCGGCGTCTTTTGGGGGGAGGGAGTCTCCGTCCGTTCATCGAGCCCGATCGAGCTCTTCTAGCTTGCTCTAATTAGGAGTCACGTGGCACTTTGTCCGAAGTGACGCTTTTCGCCTGGCTCTCGGCAGTTTCTCGATTTTGGTTCGTTCTGGCGGGGTCCAGGCTGCCTAACCCTGAGACGCACGTCAGCAGAGAGAATCAGAGAATCAAGAACGCCCGGCCCAGGAACACCTCGACCGTCAGCCCGAACTGTAAGTACAAGAGTAACACCCTGCGCAATCCCAGGCAGCTCGAGGAGACGAGAACTAGGCAATAATTATTGAGGAAATGAGGCTTTTTTGAGTTTGGCGGCACGCCCCGTGAATGGAAAAACGGCCGAATCAAATCGAGCACAGCAATTAGAAATTTATTTTCCTCAAATTCAGAATTAGGAATTTCAATTTTTCACAATGTTAGAAAGTGTTTGTTTATCTTGAATAAGAAAATCGGAAATTCTGAAAGAAGAATTTTGAAAGTGCAAATAACGGAATGAATATTTCATTAGTTTTTCTTAATGTGTTTTTTTATTCTTTATTTATTTTTTTCCTCATTTTTAAAATTTACAGGTAGAATTTATTAAAACAGATGTTTATTAATTTTTAAGCGGGAGTATTTTAATTATGTGTTTATTTATTTCAGAAATTTAAAAACTATTTTGTAAATTGAAAATATCTATATTTTATATACAATATTGTTTATATACAATATTATAAATAATAAAATTCCGGATCGCGAAAAATTCAAAACGCGCAAAAAGGCCTACAGACACGTTTTTCATAATTTTCCCAGCCACGGTCTCTCAGTTTTTGCGTAAAAAGCGTCGCGCTTTCGTAATTATTCGCCCGAATTCAAGTTCAAGGGCGAGTTTAATTCTTGGCGGCATTTGCTTACTACGCTCGTGGTGCGTCTGGGCCGGCGGCGGCCAATCAGCGCCGGGCTCCATTCATGGGAGCGCCCTTTCCAGTGCCGGCCAATCAGCGCGCTGCTGGCGGACTTAAAGCGCGCAATTCGAATTGCGCACTTTGTTATTCTCCACTAAAACCAGCTCAATATTTTTCTAAGGGGCTCGTGTTGAATGCGCCCCAACGCGCGGCCTCCACCACACTCATCGCTACAGCCACCCTTTTTACTATAAAAATACACTTAGAATTTTTTGTCTTAAAAAATCTGAAATCAACGAAGAAAATCTAGATATTTTCATCAGGAATCGATACCGCGCAGAATGTAAGTCCAAATAAACTAGCTCTGATCAACAGATAAACGCAATTGAATGAATAAAAAGATCATTTTTAAAAAATGGAGTCAATTGTAATTATGTTAATTATCATCTTATTTTGAGGTCAGCTCGTAATTATTTTGGAAAACCGTTTCTTTTCTTCTTCATCATTTTCAAAAGCTCTCAACTTATCATCGATTCCTAGCTTTGAAGTCTTTGGAACCAAAGTTCTAGGGCGCCAGTTTTTTACTGATAAGGATGGACAGTATCTAATAAAGTAAAGCCCGAGGCCCAGGCGGTGCTCGATCATTTTTTTCGGCTCTTGAATTTCGGCTTAATTTCTTTAATTTCGCGTGTTTTATTGTTTCTTGGAAGCGGTATATAATCCAACTATCAGGGGTGTAAAGATATAGAATCTATATTGAAATCGCGCGTTGAGACTCGCCAATTTTCAACAAGAAAAAGAGAGAGCCCGGGCGAAAATAGAGTTTACATTTTTAGCAGGAGCGAAAATTAAACGTTGTTCTTGGCTTGGTATTTATTTGGTCTCTGGGACGGAAGTTGCCCGCGGAACAGCGATTCACTCTTTTCTTTTCTTTCTTCTTTAGGTTAAATTTAAGCCCCTAAAATTTGACATTTATAACTTTTAAGGCCGCTCTTTTAGGGATACGTTTTTTGAGAATCGTAAATTTAAATCTTTGGGTGGGAAATTGACAATTGGGCGACTCACTCTTCTGTTTCGTAAAGACACTTTTTCAAGCGCGTTTTTAGGAGCGCAAGATTGGAGGAAGGAAAAGATTTGTTTGCTAGTAGGGATTAAATAATCTGGTAAATTCGATCTGCCGATTCTGAACGGCTTTTTCCACGTAGTTTGGTCGAGACCGGGACCAACCTTTCCACGTTCGATACGTCGCTCCCCGCGGCACAATTCGAGAAATTCGAAAGAGACTCTCTCCTACTAGAATACCAGCCAGACCTCGAGAAATTTATTTCCTATTACTACGGAGCGGCTAATGAAGAGCTGCTACGTTTGTCAATGTAAGTCCTTGAAGCGGAAGCTTCGAAAAGAGAAAACAGCTGCTTTTTCTTTGATTGAATATCACTCCGAACTCAGCGTGAGACTCCAAAGGAGTTGATAGATTGTCGATGCAAATCTATGGGAGCAGTCTTTTTAGGTTCCCACTATGACGACTTAGCCCTTGCGAAGTCGCATATTCCCATGGATATTCCTACTCGCTTTCTCAAATTCGAAACATGACGTATTGAATCGAGTCGATTCTTTTTCAATAAAACTATATTTGAAGACATATACTATATATGATATATAGGCCCTATATGACTTTAATATTATTTCAGTATAACAAAAGGAATATTATTAATTTCACTTATATTTTGCAAATAATATTCCTTCCGTTTGTTTGTTTATTTTTTGTTTGAAGCGGTAATCTGCACAGTTACATACTGGCTAATGCTTCGGGGACTTGACGCCCCGATGCCAAATGTCCATAGTAACACCTAAAGTCTCCATAAGCCCAGCGCACAAAAAAAGGCAGAGAGTTCTTAATCAAAAACACAATCGGTATTTTTTGCCTTCTTTTCTAATAGGCTTTATTTTTAGATAGCTGCTAGCTGACGCCGGAGCCAAACTGGGTGCCTTATGTCTGGACGGCGATCTGGGTAAGTCGTGGCTTTTCGTAGCGCCTTGTCATCTCGTACGGGCCATCTTGTTAGAAAACTGATCGACATGTCTGTCCGGAATTCAAGTTTTAATGATATACAGGGCGCTTCCTGGCCCTCTCTACTTAGAATTAACTTTCTCGATTTCTCCATTTTCGACTAACGATAAAGATATCACACGTGGCAGGGCGGAGGAAACCGGAATCTGGTTTCACTTGCGTGAAATGCTACTACTGCAACAGGCCGAGCATTTAGAGCCGGTAATCTGGACCGGTTTCGGCGAGGGTGTGAGTTTCATTTCATTCTCACACCCGACTTTTCGAATTTAGTAATTAGAGGATAAGTATTATCGGCTTAACTTGACTGTTACAGTCATTATCTGTTCACAGGATGCTCGCAATTGATCATTTTCGGAAGAGATCAATATGATATTGACAATAGAATGATTTTTTGCCGATCACTGTTCCGCTCTACACAAAAATTTTACGCTCCGATTATGTCGTTTTAATCCGGAAGAGATTTTTAAGAATCGTCCCTTCCGGTCGCGTTTTTGGCGCACCGAATCAATGCGTTATTACTTAATAACGCTTCATAAACGCTGTTCAATTAATCATCGTCTTGACAGTAGCGAACAATGGCAAGGGGCCAAGGGTCCCAGTCAGTTATATGGACGATCAAAAGTATCGAGCTGTTTGAGATCAATTATTTGAACTTGAATCCTGGACAGGCCATCCTCCCACATGTGCTCGAGCTCGGGCTATTTCTTTAACACGCTTGCGATATCAAAATTTCTTCGTTTAGTCAACTCAAGTCTCACGGAAAAGGTCGGACTCTCCGCACCCCGTCGCATGCAACGCCGAAGAACGAGCTGATCACAAGTTTCCTCAGACAGCGACCGCCAAGAATCACCCAGCCAAATGTAAGATTCCTTAGTTTGAACTTAAAAGATCAAAATTGGAACTACTGGGTCTATTTTTTACTGAAATGTTTTTGAATATGTCCGAGATTCGGTAAATAGAATTTTCTTCTCTAGATAAATTGTTGTTATCCTAATTTGTCCCTGAGTTCTATCTCATTCACTGAAAGAGAGATCGCAATGGCAGAGGAATCCATTTCATTAGTTGTCCCTATTTCGAAGATGACATTGAAAGAATCCCCACCAAAGCCGGCTTGTAGGCCGCTAGTCTTTAAGAAAAACAAGGAGGATGACGCTTCGGTAAGAAGAGCTGTGAGAGCTATGAATAACTGAAAAATGAGCGAAATTTCGAGGAGTCTAAGTGAGAAGGTTTATTTTTAGCGCCGACGCGTCTGCCTAGGGATACCTTTTCATTGAAGAATTTTTAGCTTGCTCCGATATCCGCCTTCTTGAAACTGGAGCCCCGCGCGGCGCCTCTCTAACTTGACCACAAACTCGGCTTCCTCGCATCATTAATAGTCTCCAGCTTGTCTACTCCCTTTAATTGGGAAGACGCAATTGGAAAGTTTTACATTTTTGATTACACATCAGCGAGACGAAATTTGAATTAAAGAATATTCATAAAACCGGGCTTATACTCCGCGTTCCGACTCAGTGGCCGCTTTATCCGACTTTCGGTAGTTGTGTTCCAACGATAGAATTCAGCCAGCGAGAAATTTAGAGACCAACTTGATTTGATTGTAACTCAACTTAGTGATGTAATCGCCTACGAATGACGATTCTTAAAATTTCGACTATTTTTAGGGCAAAGAGAGAAAATCGTTTTAACAATGTTTAGCGGATGAGTGATGAGTCCTCAACAGATGCATCTACAAATCCAGCTGCCGAGGAACGAGTACCACAGCCCAAGAGAACATGTCCACTGCCAAACATCACATGGGCTGAGCGGGAGCACGTCTGGGCAGAGCTGATCAAGCGCGAGAAACGACACAGACTCGACATGAAAGTTTTGAGCCATCATCCCGAAGTGACTCCGAGAATGCGCAGCGTTCTCATTGACTGGTTGATGGAGGTCAGCGAAGTCTATCGTCTCCACAGGTAAAGCATCAAAACATTGAGCAGCATAACTAACAGTAGCCAAGAGAAACAGTGTACAACGCCGTGACATACGTGGATCGTTACTTAGCCCGTCAGACGCACCCTGTGCGCAAAAACGAGCTCCAGCTGATAGGCGTTTCTGCCCTTTTCTTCTCCGCCAAGCTGGAAGAGATCTACCCTCCGAAGCTAGTGGATTTTGCCTACGTTACCGATTCGGCGTGTACAGAAGTGGAGATGAGGGAAATGGAGCTGATAATGTTAAAGGTTCGGTTCCGACTTTTGTTTTTGGAAAGCTGCCACATCGTGAAACCTCATCAGGAAACGGCTAGGGGGATCGGCGAGGGATTAAACTAGATTTCAATCAAGTCCTTTAGAAGCTCCAGTGGGAGTTGAGCACGCCAACAGCGATCAGCTGGCTCAATCTCTACCTCCAAGTCGCCCAATTGCCGATGAACAACGATCACTTCCATCTCCCGCAGTATCCACAAGAGACATTTGTCCAGATCGCCCAGGTTTTTTTTTCGTGAAGAAATCTAATGAAAATTTAATTATTTTAGCTTATTGACCTCTGTCTGCTTGATATTCAATCGTTGAAGTTTTTGCCATCTCAGCTTGCCGCTGCCTGTTTATATCACTTTAGCTTGGGGTCGATCATTTTACAAATCATTATCTAGTAGAACTTGAAAATTCGGGGCTTGAATCAACCCCTTTATTAGTAGTGAGGATATTGCACTCGACTGCTCCGGCTACAAAATGGAAGAAATTGCTGCTGCAATAAAGTAGGCAACTAATTTTAAACTCACGGACTAACAAATACCCCCAAGATGGGTGACTCCTTTTGCCGAGACGATTCGTGACGAAGGCCTTGCAGCATTGAAGTCGTTCCGAAAAGTCAAAGTAGAGGACGCGCACAACATTCAAACCCACATCAACAACGTTACTGTGCTTGTAAGTTTTCCTTTATGTTGTCAACGCGGATTTTAAAACTTGCTGTCAGGAGAAAGCGCAGGCATTACAGACGAGTCGTTTCTCGCAACTATCGACGACATCTTCAAGCCGATGGAGCGCCACCCCTGAGACGCCGACAGACCTCAACATCCTCGTGACCCCTCAAAGTGAGGAGAGCTCGAAAGAAAACCCCTCAAATCCAGCTTCCACACGTTCCCGAAAGCGCCCCTCGGTCGAGCCAGTCGCCGCGCACATTGACCCCAAACGGCTAGCATCAGAAAGCGGCGCTTTCCCAGCAACACCTGACACCTCGCCACTGGCTTTGAGCCACTCCTCCTCGTTGTCCACGTCCCCTAATGCCGGCCAGAGTGGCAGTGCCAGTGGCAGCACCTCCGAAATCGCCCCCGAAGACATTGAAGACGACGAAGATGATGTTCCCGAGCGAGTGCCCTTTGCGCCCCTCAAATACGAAGAAGAAAGCCAAGACTCGACTGGGAGCAGTCTCTCAGCGACTGATCTCGCCGAAGAGATTGATTTGCCACTTGAAGACGAGAGTGCCGATGTGCAGCCGATTAGTTAAACTTAGGAAGGGGCTGTCAATCTCGCTCTGGTCAGTATTTAAAATAGAGTTTCAAAATCTCTCTCTCTCTCTCTTCAAATTCACATCCCTCCCACAGTTCTCTTCCGTTTTCCAGGCTGGAAAACATTCTAGGCCGAGAAAGGTGAAAACAAGGTGTCCTTCTCGAAGGCCTGCTCCTCGTCAGTTATCTTCCGTTATCGAAAGTAAACAGCGTTTCTGGTGCGCGTCAAAAGCGAATTGGAATATTTCAATACCCCTCTGTATTATAAGTTCAATCCACGTTTGCGGCCTTCCCCACAATTTCTTCCAAAAAAGAAAATACAAGCATTGTGCCCTGCTTTCTTCTGCAAACCAAAATTAATATCTAATAATGCCCTGTGTTAGTAACCCTGCTCTTGACCCCGAAACCCTCTTTTTCGACAATTTCAACACTCAGTTCAAGGATGCACTCGCCTTAACTCTGTGCTCTAAAAATCAATTTTGCCATAAAAAACAGAACATAATAACAACGCAGCATTCGTTTCGTCTCCTGTGATGGCGTAGCTTAGGAACATAATTATTTCGCTGATTTGACTGCCATGAACTGTATAATTTTATTTGAACTGTATTAAGTCTGTATTAAAGTTCCTCTTCAACCGCGTACTCTTGTTGCTTCTCTCTTCTTACAGCAGGAATTACTGAAAATAAGCAAGCTGCAGGTACAGAATATTCGAGGAAGAGTTAAAAGTATGTCTGACAGCGATGAAGATAAACGAGCCTCTCTGCTAAATGAAGATAAGGAAACAGGCTTTGTTTTTCGATCAGCAATGCGGCTGCAATTCAGCTAGTAGAATAGTAGCATGGTGTGCCTTGAGCTAACCCCAGAACAGATCAATTTCTTGATTGTAAATTTTGAAGGGAGAGAAAAGAGAATTCAAACTTTCAAAGTCGATGCTGAGGATGAAAATTACCGTGAAACTCAAAACTCGACAGATTTAGCAGCAGTTGAGAAGGGTTTACATAGGAAAGGTTCTTTATTTTAATATTTCTGGACGTTACGATAAAAAGTCTAGAGGCACGCCCTAAGTGATTAGTAGAAATTTGAACCGCGATAAAAAGGCACACTTTAGCGATAACGAAAGAGCTGGTAATTACGATTGTCATTCTTGGAATACTCTTTGTGATCGTCATTTATCTTCGAACACGGTATTATTTAAATAAGATATGTGTACACTTTATCGGATTTTAGAAGCTGCCTTTCAAAACGAATGAGAAAAACAAGCGTTGATAACCGATTTTAATCTCTTCCTGTTAACCTTACGCCGCCAAACTAAAATTTCACCCCCCGCCGCCAAATGTGCCATATATGGCACATCATCTTTTCCGTCGTCCTAGGCCCCATATAATGGCCGAACCCGAACCTTAACCAAGATCCGAACTCAAACCAGAACCCGAGCTCAAAAATGAACCCAAACCCAAGCCCAGACTATTGCCCGAAAATGAGTAAAAATGGAAGAACCCGAAATGATGACGGAGAGAAAAATGGGTTTTGGAAAGCCCTTGTGCCATATATGGCACATTTGGCGGCGTAGGGTTAAGTACCATTAAGAATTTCTAGCGACAATAAAGTGACTTTACAGAAGGGTAATCAATCTCTTTAAATCTTGCGCTCTCTAGAATTATTGATGATCTGACAAAAAAGGTACTCCCTCGGCGGCCGCGTGGCCTAATGGATATGGCGTCTGACTTCGAATCAGGAAGTTGTGGGTTCGAGTCCCATCGTGGTCAAAACTTTTTTCTCCCTTTCAGGACTGTAATGCAATAAATTAGAAGATACAGTTAGGCAGTTGGAGGAATAGTTTATTTTAATATTCCGATAAGAAGAGAATTCATACTTGCGTGAACTTCAGGATCTCCTAAAAATTGAGTAAATTTCCAAGGGTTTGGTAAAAACCTAACTTTACTCGTTATCATCATGATAACACATTGTGACTATTTTTTGGGCACACACTGGGCGAGCGAAAAGCACAAAAAGACGAAGAGGCCGAAGGTAAGGCAGACGAGAAAGATATTGAGAATAATCAGTTTCAAATTGCGATTGGCGCTCTTTTCGATGATTTCTTCTTTCTCCAACAGCTGGTCTTCTTTCTTTCGGGTCAGAAGGTTTTAAAAGCTTTTTTGAAAAGAGAAGAAAAGCTAACCCAGTGCCTAGAAAATTCAACCTCTCAATCGCCAAATCAAAAAGTCGATTCTCTTCCGAGGCAGGCACGTGCCTTTCAAAAATGTTCACTTCTGTCATCTTCTACAAAATCCTCTTGGAAAATAATTTCAGCTCTTTCCCTCTTGTGAAGCGTAGTACGGTAATGCCGGAAAGCGAAAATGATCGGCGCAGGAAAAGCAGAAGGAAGCGCGTCCACCTGATTCGTCATTTTCTGGCGACTTTCAAACTTTTTGAAGAAAATGAAATTCACGGTTTCTAGACTTAGACTTTCGCCTTCTTTGATAATCAGAGCTCGGCAATCTGTGCAGAAAACCTGAGTCAGGGCATGAAAGGGCTGAAATGAAAAGCTGTGTATCGGTTTTTTTTTAAAGGCGGCTTCGCTTATATTCTAATTTCAATTTATTTTAGAATTCTTTGATTTTTCAGACCCTGACTCAGGATTTCTCCTCAGTTTACCGAGCTGAGAACTTTTGATTCAGGAGAAACATAAATGCTAGTGTGAAATTTTAAGTCGGGTTTATTAAGTTATAAAAAAAGTACAGAATATATAGCAGGTTGAAATAAAGCTTTGAGCAATAATATTGGGTTTTTGATGTGAGTTTCGTAAAATATTTAATCAAAAGAACGTTTTTTTAACAATTATCTTGCTGCTTGTAGAGCTTGCCATTGAGAGTAAACTTGGGTCGAAAATCGACGAGGTCGATCAGCTCAGGAACAGGCAAGTCAGTAGGTGGAGTCGCTGGTCGGGGCAAGAACAAGCGCGGATCCTGAACCTCGCCAGAAACTGTCATTGGAATATGGGCGGTCTCTAGTCGGGGATCGCAAGGCTTAGATGGCCGCCGATATCGACGGACTGGAGTTTTCTAATTATAAATTCGGTCAGGATATCGTGTAAGACGTTTTATATTTACCTCCGAAGGGTCTCGAAAATATTGGCTGAAATCAAGAGTCAATCTCTTGGGCTCATTGTATTGGCCGTTGAATGTTTCGAGAACATCGTGATCTTTTTGAACCGGGGATTGACTAAAAATTTGTCTTAGGAGGAGTTGAGAATGCTTATCTTACGTTCGAGGAGGGGATGGCTGTAGACATCTCCGAATTGGAGGCATATCGTAAGGATTGTCAATTGACGAAAATCGATCATCGTAACCTTTTTGGAAGCCCAATGGTTTGATTGGAGGTGGAGGAGAAGGAGAGAACCTTTCTGCAAAGCCGCCGTCTCCAGTCATGGGGACTGGCTCCGTTTTGTCATGCCAGGCAAACTTGATCCAGCCAACGGACGCGGCACTGCCCTCAGTTGGCTTGGAGCTTCCGGGTTTATTTGACATCTCAGAGCTAGTTTCCATCAACTCTTCCTCGACGGAAACTCCAAAGATGTCATCAAGATCAAAGAGATTGGTGGTGGCGTTTTCAGAAGGTGGGGGAAGGAGAGGAACGCCCACTGGAGGCCTTGGCAGAGGATCGAATCCTTGGTTCTTGATAAATTCAAGCTCGACGGAGTCATCGGCCACGAAGAAGTCTGACTTGTGTTTCTCGATGATTTTGGCAGTTACGGCATCTAATTTCGCATGCGAGAAAATGCACTAAAATTTGTTTCAACCTTTGGACGAATTTCAAAACTATTAGACTTACGTTATCATTTTCGCAATTTTTCGAAATATGGTAATATTTGCATGGATAATTCTTATGCATGTAATGGCATCGCTCTCCCTAGAAATTCGTTCATTTCATTTTCAACGGATAAAAATGTACCTTTCGGCAAGTACCAGCTAAGTAATATTTGCACAGCTCATACTTTCGCCAGTTATCATCATTCTGGTCGGCCTTTCTTTCATGTCGTTCGCGTCTAGTAGAGTCATTCTTCGAGCGCTTGGGAGATCTTTGTCTGCCTCTTCGGTCGTTTCTATCGTATCCTCCCCTGAATCGGTGGTCGATTCGGATGATGCTTCGCTCATTCGTTCCTTTGCGTTCCTGATGTCGTGAACCATTTCTTCGGCGATCATCAATGATAATTGGCCTCTCGTTCTTCGAACTCGGTCCGGCCTCTTCCGATCCATTCGCATTCGTACTCTCGCCTTTAACGCCTCCATCAGAATCGCCTAAATTTCATAAATATGAGATCGGATAAAAAAAGTAAAATCTTACTTTTCTTGCTGAATCGAGCCCGAAAAGCCGAAATGATCTCAATTTCATCGTCGTCCGAGAATTCCGATCGTTCCCTGGCGTTTGCTGGATCGTCTCGGTCGAAGTATCCGTGCTTCTTCCTCTTTTTCTTCGGTTTGGTCCTTTCCGTCACATCCTTGACCCTTTCGAACTAAAAATCGGGTTTGAAGGAAAATAGAATGCTTTATTTTGTACCGAGTCATTAGATTTTCGCCTCTTCCGATAAGTATCGGGCATAACATCATCAGAAAGTCGCATCTTCGTAAAAATGGCAGTAAAAATAACAACTGGGGTTCTCAAAACTAGAGAATGATGACTCGGGGAGAAAATAAATTTTTAAAGATGAGAATTCTAGAAAAAATACTGAAAATACGTATGTTCAGGTTTTAAGATGCCTAACGACTTTCAGGTGCTTTAAATGATCGTGAAATCTTCCAGAAATGACTAAATACGAAGACTTTGTGATTTCGAGTATGAAAACTCATCTGCACAAGCGAGTGCTAACCTTGAAATCGTAAAAAGGCAAAACAGTCTTTCTGCTCAATATTCTTTTGATCCAGATTTGCAGAGTTTTTTCAGGCTAGGCCACAATTGGCGGATGCGTTAGTGATTTTTAATTCAGGGATCGCTCAGTACGTTGTGAAAAAGAAGGGAGGAAATGGTATCAATTATGTATACACGCGAAAGTACTCCGCCGCACATGGAACTCTCAATGTCAGATTGTGATATTGAAGGAGAAGAATTTGAAGAAAAACGAAGCTTATAGAGATGTTGAGAAAATTATGGAGCAAGACAGAGATATTCTTTAGCATAGCGGCTAGATTCTTATTTTTCCTCCACAGGTACGTTGAACGAATACTCCCGAAAGTCTAGGCTCTCACAAAATTTTAGCATTCTGACAATTCAAATCGTTCAAAAACAATCAAATTCCTCTATCGTCTTGATTCTTCTTATTCCTTGTTGTTTGCAAATTATCGAGACGATCTTTACTGTCATTTATCGGCGAGGAAAAGAGTTTAGGTCGGTCTCGCCCTGTATAATGCTCTATCTTGCAAGTATTATCCCTGCAGTTTGGTACATGGAGAGTTCTCTTCAGGAAACCGCTTTTCTGGAGGAGAATTTTATTGGCTAGAAGAGCACTAGAAAAGCGGTTGAAAAGCACGACCGAACTCTGCACCATGTTTGCCAGGTAACCCTAACACTAACCCTAACCCCTAACCCTAAATACCAGAATACGCGTCGGTGGCTTCAAGATCCGGACATAGAAAACGCAGATGGCTGTATGGCCAGTAAGAAATTCGTTTTCTTTGTGATGTCTCTTTTATAATTCTGCTTTTAGGCTTCCACAATTCAGTTCTGCGGCCGCAAATAAGAGAATACGTCATAAAAGCTTACCCACAATTAGATCCGAAAAAGAGTGAAGACAACGAAGAAATAAAAAAGCTCGTTTCAGAAAGGCTAAAAGGAGAGAAGAATTTTGGCTGGTACCATGATCTATACAAAAATGATGACAATATCAGGCTAGCAATGTGTGAGCAGCAATATCACTGCGAATTCAATGAGACCGCATCATGCTTTGACATAGGAATCGGGTCGGATCAATTCTGCTCGAAAACGCGTTGAGAAAAAAGGAATTGAATGAAAAAGGATCAAATTCTGACCCTTGGATAGAAAAAGCAGAGCTTTATAAAAAGTTAAAAAGCGATGTGGTAGAAACGACATCAGAAATGATCACGACAATAGCGATGGAAACCGAAGGGGCGAATGTGATGGGGGCGATCCCAATTGATACAATGAGCATTCAGAACAAAATAGCAGAGTTCGACAAAATTGGGGTTAATTTTTAACTGCTCTTCTTTCATTTCGACTAATCTTTACTTTCAGTTATCCCAATTCGACAATGCCTTTCTGGTGATCATCATGCATCAAACGATTCTCTTCGTTATTGTCATTGGGCGCTGGCTACTCCCCACTTCTACGGATGTGACTCGAGATGAGCTCTCGCAAATTCTGTTTGGCTTTATTGGTGTCGGTGCGGACATCATGGAGTTTATCACCGAGAGTCTGAAAGAGACTGCTGTCAAATGCTCAGAAGATGGATTGCAGACGGTGATCCTCTTTTTCTGGTGCTTGAGCTTGCTACAATTTATTCTCGTCCTGACTAGCGAGGTAACTGCGGATATTTTGGTTCAGATTACAGGTCTCTAAAAGTGACTGGATAGAGCAAATGTCACATTAAGAATATTTATATTTCGAATTCTTTTGGGATTTCAGATGAGCATACGCCGCGTGGGAAAATTTTCAAGGGCCTTTCTCACCGGCGATATTCTCAGCAAATGTGCTTGTATTAAAATGTTGAATAAAAGGACAATGGCGGCGAAAATAAATCGGCATGGATGGCATTTTGGACGAACCCAGAAGTTTGGAACATTTGCATCACCTTATTTATTCAAGACGGACCGTTTTTAGCCGTGCGGGAAAAGGTTTTCTTAGTTTGAATGTTTTAATGTAAAATAATTCTTTTGGGTATTATTTTGACTTTTTAGCCGGCTTCGGCCAAAAACTATATATCCCAAGAACCCAATTAAATAGATAAACCTTTCAAAGATGTACATTATTTTTGGACGAAATGTAGTCAATCCGGCGTTATTATTCTTCACTACGAAGAATTCAATAGTGCTCCTCCTCGACACTTACAGGTAGCGTCAATTTTAACTGCTTGTGATTGTTTACTTTCTCTTGCAAGATTGGCTGTCATCGCTACGAATCGCCCGGCGCAGTCGTCAAGTGAGGAGAGCAAAGACAACGTCAAGGCTGTGGAGCGAGTGGAGACGACGCCGGAGCCCGACACACTTTCGGGAAAAATACGCTTCACTGAAGTACGTTTTAACGGCCTGCCCGTTCTAATATTGAAGTTTCCCGAGCACGAATCAAGTGCATTTCTATTTTAGATGAATTATGCCAATCTAATCACTTTATTCAAGTCTAAAATCGAAAAACTGGAGCAGAAGCTGGAACGACTCCGCGAAGATCTTAGCCCAGAAGACTCAAAAAATGATGTTGTCGATGGCGATGTCGAAGAAGAGTGTTTAAGCGTCTCCGAAAAAGCCTGATTGATATTTGGACCCTTTTTCTTTTCTATTTTGCCTGTAAATCTGCTCCTCATGAAGTGCTTTCCCTTCGTTCGAAATAAAACATCGGTGCAAGAAACGAAAATATCAATAAAATTGTCATATGATTATCTTTATTAAATTATAAATTAATATTCAATTCGAAGGAGATTTAAAGTTAAGAAGACTTAAGTGTTCAATGAGATTCATTCCGAAAAGAATTTCCCGCACTAGACTTGAAGTTCTATTCCAAGCCGAGTGTGGTATTTCTTTCTTTTCTGCTTTGGAAAAGTCGAAAACGACATGGCTGGGTAATAGCAAATAGATAATCTGGGAACAATCGAAGAGTGGCGTAGCAACGGGTGGAGTACTTCCTCGGCGACCGTAGCCGGGCCAGAGCGAATAGATGTTCTATTTGCCTGTACAAATACAAATCCGGTGGTTACCTTGCCGACAATGTTTGCCATTTCGAAGCGCGAAATCGAAGCGCCGTTAGAAGCAGCCTCAGTGTCCCTTTTTAGCCACCACAGCCAGTCACAGCCAAAAATATAACATGCGAGAGATTGTCCACATCCAAGCCGGTCAATGCGGTAACCAGATCGGTGCCAAGGTGAGCAACTCTAAGTAGAGAGACGGAAAGACTCAATTTCCTTTTAGTTCTGGGAGGTTATCTCCGACGAGCACGGAATCGACCCCACTGGATCGTACCAGGGCGATTCTGATCTCCAGCTCGAGCGCATCAACGTCTACTACAATGAGGCCACCGGCGGCAAATACGTTCCACGCGCCGTCCTTGTTGATCTCGAGCCAGGAACCATGGATTCCGTCCGATCTGGTCCCTTTGGCCAGGTCTTCCGACCCGACAACTTCGTCTTTGGACAGTCCGGTGCTGGTAACAACTGGGCCAAGGGTCACTACACAGAGGGAGCTGAACTCGTCGACTCTGTCCTTGACGTCACCCGAAAGGAAGCCGAGTCCTGCGACTGCCTTCAGGGATTCCAGCTCACCCACTCGCTCGGTGGTGGTACTGGATCCGGTATGGGAACTCTTCTCATCTCCAAGATCCGAGAAGAATACCCCGACCGAATGATGAACACCTTCTCTGTCGTCCCCTCCCCCAAGGTCTCCGACACCGTTGTCGAGCCCTACAACGCCACCCTCTCCGTCCATCAGCTCGTTGAGAACACCGATCAGACCTACTGCATCGATAACGAGGCTCTCTACGATATCTGCTTCCGAACCCTCAAGCTCACCACGCCAACCTACGGTGACTTGAACCACCTTGTCTCCGTCACCATGTCCGGTGTCACCACTTGCCTTCGATTCCCTGGTCAGCTCAACGCCGATCTTCGAAAGCTCTCCGTCAACATGGTAGGATAATGCGTTATTTTTCTCGCTCTAAACATTCTTTCTCAGGTCCCCTTCCCCCGACTCCACTTCTTCATGCCCGGCTTTGCGCCACTCACCTCCCGAGGTTCCCAGCAGTACCGAGCTCTCACCGTTCCCGAGCTCACCCAGCAAATGTTCGATGCCAAGAACATGATGGCTGCCTGCGATCCCCGACACGGCCGGTAAGCGACTTCTTGCTCTTATCCGAGTATTATTTTATTCTAGATACCTCACTGTCGCCACCATGTTCCGAGGACGTATGTCGATGAAGGAAGTCGACGAGCAGATGCTCAACATCCAGAACAAGAACTCCTCCTACTTTGTTGAATGGATCCCCAACAACGTCAAGACCGCCGTCTGTGACATTCCTCCACGAGGACTCAAGATGTCTGGTACATTCGTCGGTAACTCCACCGCCATCCAGGAGCTCTTCAAGCGAGTGTCCGAGCAGTTCACCGCCATGTTCCGACGAAAGGCTTTCCTCCACTGGTACACTGGTAAGACTACGCTTTTTCTATCATAAATTAACTCGAATCAAGGTGAGGGTATGGACGAGATGGAGTTCACTGAGGCCGAGTCTAACATGAACGATCTTGTCTCCGAGTACCAGCAGTACCAGGAAGCCACCGCCGAAGACGAAGGCGAGTTCGACGAAGAAGAAGAAGAAGACATGGATTAAGCTGTTTAAAAAGACGACACTCGACCCTGTACTTACACTCACTGACCAAACACATCCACGCACACAATTTCACACACACAGATTTATTATATTTTATTACTTTTTCTTATTATATTTTTTCTCTTCATCCAAAAGAGCGAATTTATGACAAACCCCAAACACTTTGAACTCGTATTTAAAGTAAGAAAATATACATATTTTATAAGTTGTAAATTTCGAAAATGAGACTTTTGTAAAAGTGAGTTTGGCTTTACATTTATTTTAAAAGATACGTCGTGTTGAGTTAGAGAGCGGCTTGTTCAGCAATTTAGAGGAAGAGTGAGAGCAGGAGTGAGTTTTGTTTCAGGTTAATCGCGAGCTTTTTGTGATGAATTGTTTTCTTGAGCGTACTTTTTTGTAACGAGTAGGGTTCATAATGCTGTCTTCGTTTCTCATTCGTTGCCTCTCATTCGCAACATTGGAGCCTGCTCTCCGAGATCACAGTTTTGCTCCTCTTCTTCTGACTCCTCAACCTCGGACTCGGATGAACACGTTATTGGCGGATGTGAGGTCGGTCCTTCCGGCTAGATGCGATCTTTACCGGACAATACTTGAGCAGGGACTTACAATTGTTTCTTGGTCGATGGGAATGATGTTGACCCTGTAGGTAAACTCAGCGCGCGTATCGGCCGCGGTTTCTGTTTGCACGGCGATAACGGAAGGTCCCTCCAGGGGCTCCTCGATTTTTGAATAAGTGTCCTCGTCCTGCTCTTGCTCGCTTCGAATTCGCAAATAAATCGCTCCGATTGCTGCAAAATGATTATGGACACGCGAAAATTCTCCTTACCAATAGAAATCAAAAGCAATACGATGATGATGATCCACAACCACCAGTATCCCTCCTGTTCTTTTACTCTGTAAAAACGGCACTGATTGAATTCGGAGTCCTGTGAGTTAAGGGTTCTGTGAACTTCTTCAGCTGCCGCCTCGAAAATTCGGAATGATCGATTCATGATTGTTTTATCCGCATCATGGAAGATATCGTAACATGCCTTAATTCTTGGTCTTGAAAATTGAATAAAATATAATTCATACGATGTATTCTCCACCAATCGGATCTTTGACAAACCGGGAAGCTAATGGAGGATCGACTCCAAGTCGGTTTACGCCGTTTCTGAAATTGTTAATATATTATGGAATTGAAAGAGTGTACTTACGTGAGCTTTTCTTCTGAAGAATCATCGAGTCGCGTGAATTTGTGAGCATTCTGGTGCCACTTGAAGAAGATTATTGAATTGGCGCCAACTCGATGACCAGAGAAGGGATTCTCCACTGCCAGCCACTTTCCACCAACTCCTTCTTTTCCGTCTTCAATCGTTGGTTTTCCTCCGGCTTTCTGGATCTCCAAAACGGGAACGAAGAACTCTGCCTTTTTGTAGCTCTCACCGGGAATAGAAACTACTGCAACGTATCGCTCGTTTGGGGATAAAAAGACTCTTCCAGAAGGTTCCGCATTGATTTCACTTTTAGAGCGTTCGAGTTTCTTCACGAGGCTACCTCCACTAAGCTTTTCGTTTGGAGAGGCAGGATACCAGGTGACCTCGAGTTGATCATTTGAGTTCGCTTCTTTGGGCTTAGAACATAAATTGACTCTCTTGATATGTTTTTACATAAAAATATTGATTTTTACGTAACAAATACCAAGAATAATCCGACTTATGTGAATTAATACAGAGATGGAATTATCGCGTTATTTTCCGGCGGCACCGGCAAGGTACGGCCAACCCGAATACACGTGCCGCGGTGCCGTGCCGTGCCGCTCATATTTCTATCCCTGATTATAGATTTTAAGCCCATTTCTGGAATACAGTCAACTTCGACTGGATGACTTATTCTCAAGAGATTATTAGGTTTGACCCGACATTCAAACTCTGGGAAACGGGTAAGAGCTAGTGGAAACTGCTGGATGACCTCCTCGTCATTAAGCGAGTTCTTTGCAGCGCAGGTGATGGTCATTCTGCAAACGCGCCTTTTGCTACTTGAGCATTTGATGATTTCCTTTTCCAACTCGGACAAGGATGGAATCATTGTCACATGTGACTCTTGGCCGGGGTCGTATCCGTTTGCTTTGCAGGCAATGTTCTGGACATCAGAGCCACTGATATCAAGAACGTCGCCTAGTTCTTCGTCATCTTTGACGAGGTAGACAGAGGACACGGGGTGGATGACTTTTATCACGTCCCGTGGGGGGTAGTGACGTTCGTAGCTTTTTGTAACGACTTCATGATTATCCCCAGCGAGCTTTTTGTCATAGGTCAAAAGTAATCACATGTAATCTGTGTTTTTGAATGACTGATAATTTTGCTAAGATAACTGATAAATCTATAAAATAGAGTGTATCGTTTCAAGACTTCTACAGAGCTTGACCCTATGTGCCTGATAAGTAACAACGCATTTAAATTTATGAAGATGGAACTCAGAAGACAAGTGAATCTTGAGTGGAAGATCGACCTCTTTTGTACCATGCTTTCCAAGCTCATTATCGAAATCAACGAAGAAGTCTTCGAAATCGTCAGATCTGATCGTGTTGATGTCGATAGTTCTGATTCGGTTTCCGGCCTTGTCTTCAATCACCCAGCTGATTTCAGGCTCTGGTGAAGCGTATCCGCTACGACACATTGCGATTTCAGTAATCTGACTTGATAATTGATTCTCGTGGAAGGTAAACTCTTCGTTGTCCCGCTGGTCGGCAACTTTGAATACGTCGGGTCGTCGCTGTGACTCTGGTGGTGCTGAGAAAACTAGAAGTTTCGTGTCTTGGAAGTCTTCCCCTTGTTCGTGTGTAATTGCGCAGGAGAAGAATGCTGCATCGTCCATGGTTAGAGGAGCCCTGGTTACAAGAAGATCTCCTGTTGCCCTGTCGAAGTCGTAGCCAGCTTCTTTGATGTCGGTTTTTGGCTTATTCTCACTGTGGAAGTTCATTTATGAATTCAGCTATTTAGTTATCATATGAGTCTAATTCGGAAGCTAATATAAGAGCCGTCATGAACGGGGCCTGAAAATCACGAGTCTCTCGGGAGAAGGTACTTGACCATTCAATGTGCGAACACTCCACTCAATCTTTTGAAAGCCCTTGAATCGTTTGATGTTCTCCGCTGCAGTTGGTGTGCACGTGATTCTAGCGCTCGTCTCTCCGAGATTCGCTGCATATGTGACTCTTTCATAGACGGTGGCACTCGCCAATTGGGAAAGAAAAATCAACCGAAACGACAAACGAAATAACTCAACAAGCACATTCATGATTACGATCGTCTACCGTCTGAATAGAAGCGGCTTTATGTACTGGAATGTTTAAAAAAATCAAACTGTGCGCAAGTGTCTCTGCAAAACTTCTTCGTGCCGATCAATTTTCAAACAGCTGAGATGTTCTTCGTCTAATACTTAACCTGTCAATTTAAGATTTTACGATAAAGTAGCCTCTCCAATTTTCAACGATAATTAATAGGCGAAAACTGAGTGAGAAAATTTACGGAAAAACTCATTTTGCTTTCAGAAATTCTAATTATCGTCTGAATAAATAAATCATAACACCTTTCAGAACACCTTTTTCTAGTTCGAACGTTTTCTTTTTCTGCAACAAACACCTGCTATCACAAGTTCTAAGTTCACCAAAGATAATGAGTCTTCTCATTATATTCTTTTTTTTTCACCAATCAAATTAATAAAATCACCAAACAAACTGACAAACCGTAGCATCAGAGATGCGGTGCATATTGTACTATATTTTACATTGCAAGCACACGGATTCGATGATTTTTTGTTTCGTAGAAGTTGAATGTACATTTGAGCTTTTAGTCGACAATGTCGCTGTTTTTTTTTCTTTTTGAGCGATTGCCGGGATTCGTTGTTTGAGGAGTTGGAGGTGGAGGAGGACAATTTTAGGCGGTGCGGTCGGATCGGGTTAGAATGATACTGTAACTGTTCGGGTAAGGATCAATTATCTGCGTCTTTTCAAGTTTGGCAACAGAAAGAAGGTTCTTAGGCGCTCGCCTGCTGCACGAATGGCTAGAAAAATGTGTTAAATGATAGATCACCAATAAATGGGAATGACTAAAGCGCATTTAATTGCTCTACGTATTTCCCGAAAAATATGTACCGTGGTTTCATCGGCAGTTGGAGACTCATCATTCGTAAAGTCGCATCTGGCATCAGAATTAAGTCGGTGAGAGTGGGTTCGTTCGACGGCTTGCACTTCGGGACCTTGCTCGGGACCGCCAGCAATTTCTTTAACATCTGGATCACATTTTTCGGTGTCGTCTTCTGCTAGGATTTATAAATAATCGCCAAAAAGATGACTTACCTTCTCCTTCATCTTTGGCGCAGCAATGTTTCCAGATGCAGTAAATGATCAGAGCGAGAAGCAGCAAAATGGGAATAAAGAGCAAGCCCATGAGGTTACCAGTGTCTAGGAATGAGTTTTCGTAGAAGCGGCAGAAGTCGGCGTGGTCTCGATGTAAATCATTCTTTACATCTTCGAAAGTAGCTCCGGTGTACTTGTTTTCGTCAACACTGTTGGAGAAATCGTAGCAAAGCTTAAAAAAACAGTTCGACACTATAGTAAAATATGCAAAATATTTTTTGAATTTAATCTGTGATATACGTACAACATATTTTCCTCCGTCTTCTGGTTGAGGATCGACAATAACGTGGAATCGCTCGGTTTCCCTCTGATCAACCACTTCTCCATCAATTGGGATAAGCTTTTGTTGAGTCTCGTCATAGTAATATGCTTCAACTTGATCATCTGGCTCTCCGAATGGCCTTATGAAAAGATTATAAACTGAGCCGAAAAAAACAACAACTTACATGTTTTCGAACCAAGCTTCAATAGGGAACTCTTGATCTACTGGCACACTGCCGTCTCTTCCCGATGGGAGAGTCGCGTAATTGTATAGAGTTTCTGTGTTTCCTTCCGAATCAGTTACTTCCAAGGTAGACACAGCTACGGTGAATGGCTTTTCTAAATATCGATATTGGTTTCAATGCTTAGAAAATGGATTTCTTATCGCTTTGTCAGAGATGTCAATTAATACTTACGGTTATCTTCTGGATTGATGACGTGGGTATTTGCATCTCCAGCTGGAGTCGCTTTGACACAGTTAGCTTCCAAGTACTCAAACATGTCTCTGTTTTCTTTAGTTCCCTTTGCCTGCTTCTTTGGCAGTTGATCGCATTTGTATACAGCCGAGCCTTTTTTCGCGTCTGCCGGCGAACTATCAGCAGTAACTTCAACCTTGAGACCGCCATGGCTTTGTGTAGCTGTTGGATCGCTTAGACCTTAAGATTGTCATGAAAAGCAAAGAGTGCAAAACTAAGCAAACTTACTGGCTTGAGTAAAGATAAATGATTTTTCCACCCAATTGCCTTCGTTTTGACCGTTTCGAGCTTTGCAGCCAAATTCAATGTTGGCTCCAGCGTCGTTTCGGCTTGGAACAACCTCGTTATCGCTCTCATTGTCATAACCATCAGAGGTGCAATCGAGCTCTGGCTCGCCATAGGTCGTATCGAGCACACCAGCTTGTACGGACGCACCATTTACGAGAATTTCAACATTCTTCACGGGATCTGAGATTTGAATTGAGAAAGAGATTTTGACCATGGGAACTTACGCAGAACTCGAACGAGTTTATTGTCTGCTGGCCATCTTGTACTCTTGGGGAGTTCTTTGAGAATACCATTTCTTGCTTCTTTGTAGATTGCTACGCATTCAAAATGCGCCTTGTCGAAGTCAGAGTTGATTCCGCCAAAGCCATCTGCTGTAAAAGCTAATGGAAGAGTAGTAGTTTGCAAAGCTCGTTGATCTTTCTTGTCCATTACATAGTCTAAAATCAGGATATTCTCGACTCATAAAGACAGATGCTACCATTAGTTTTGCCACAGAAGTTGCTGTCATCGCCACCTTTGCAAGCGCTGAAGACGGATGAGTCACTGATTTCGGCGCCGCTTTCGTCAAGCGCGCGCCACCTCAGGATCGCCGCATCGGGACCGGCTTCGCGCGATTCACATTCGGCGATGTCGTAGTGGATTCCTTCTGGGTATTCCATGCCACCCTTTGGGCCGAATTTCTTGTCTAAATAATAATGTCAAGATCTTGAATTTTCATAAGAAACAAGAGAGACTTACGTCTGACAAATGGGGTCAAGTCGTTTTTGTCCAGCAAGTAGTTGACTTTAAATTTGTATGAGTAATCGACAGGGTCGGATCCTTTGTTAACGGAGCATCTGTAGAAACCAGCGTCTTCTGGCGTGAATTCGCTACCCTCAGCTTTTTGGATGGAAAGAGAGCCATCATCATTGATACTGAACCCATCGATCTTCGACTCTTTCCTATTGTCTCCATTCTCGCGGATAAGTTCTGCGACTTCTTCTGTTCCGCCTATTTGGTTATCCGCAGTAATGGACGTCTTGAACCAGCTGATGTGGGTGACATCGTCCACCGAGTCGATTTGCCCGCATGGAACTCGTGCCGATTCATCGTAGTTGTTAACCCAGTAGTCGTCCGCGGCAAATGCTAAACAAATTCATCAAAAAAACATCTTCAAAATGGAATTCTTCTTTTCAAGTACAGTTTTTCTTAGAAATCCTAGATTTAGATATCTTTTATAAAGGGATCTATAAACTGAACGTTCAAAAGAAATCAACATTTTTAGTTAACGACTTACCAGAGACCGCTAAAGTTGGTAAAAGCTTCATATCTTTGCTATTTTCGTCTTTGTATGCCAGATAGTTTTTCCTCTCTCGATTTCTGTTTCAGTCTAAAATTGTCGGATCTCTTGAATTGATGTTTTGTTAAAGAAAACAAAAATAATTGTTTCAGGCGGAGCTGTGGAATTTTACAACTTGCTCGAATAGTAAAATTCGCTGAACTTGGCTCGCGATTACACTTGCCGCGGCTAATTTTCTTTAATTGCGGGATTTGGATAATCCGAGCACACTTTTTCACGGTTGAACACTTAAGATACGAATTCTAGCTTTGCAGATTATCATAAGCGATCAGTTTAGAGTGGTCTTATTACAAGCAATAATAGTAGGAAGCTAAACTTTCTTGCTAATCTAAGAAATCTTCCTTGTTTTCAAGAATCCGAATTCCAGAACTGAAATCAAAAATTCACATAAAAAGTGTGTATAGCTCTAAACTTGTCGAACAAGTAGCCCTTTGATGGTGCGCGTAAAACGTTCAATTGGGGAAAACGCTGGAATCGCGCCAACCTTGAGAATTTTAGAATACACGGATTTTATCTCGCCTTTCAGAAATCCGAGCTGTGGATTATTCTCCTGAGCATTGTTCAGAACTTGTTCGATTCTTTAAATACAGATATCTCTTTTTACGATCCTATTTATTGAACAAGAATTAAAAAAATAATAAAAAACGCTGATGACAAAGCACGATTTTGCTTCTCCATGCATGTTCTTCAAAACTCTAGTAATCTTCAGCAAAAAAAGTTACATCTCAATGGGGCTTTACGTTTCTAGGAGGCAAATTGATGAACCGAGGGAATCGTAAAAAAGTACCCAGCGCAGTCGAGCACGACAAAAAACGGCTTTACGAGGCAAACCCTCCCGAATATCTATTTTACAGCTCGCGCGGTATAAAAAAGTGACGAGTGTCTCCCAAAAAATGGGGTTCAACGAAGGTTCCGCTTCCGGAAGATTTCCAAAAACGACGCTTCTTGAACGATTGCTTTTTCCAAAAGATCATTTTTCGGAAACACATTCGATCAAAATTGTCAATTTATTGAAGGGAAAAAGGACCACACGCAAATATTGGTGGTTTTATTAGAAGAAATATTTAATAAGAATTTTCATTCTGCAATTTGTGCAGATTAATGGTTTACCATCATAAATTACTAGTTTGATGTATGGCTATTATTAAGCGTCCCGTTTTTATCATTTTAACGACTCGTGCGATAATTAGCCTGGGCAGATTCCTTTCGCTAATAATAATCAGACGACTTTGTTATCCTTATCGCCTATTGTACCTAGAATGAGTCACTCTTGTGATTTTGGCGCAAGAATTTCGTTTATGGAGCGAGCTACTGGCGCGCAGACTCATGCCAAGTATTCAAAAACTGCTACTAAAGCGATTCTAGTTATAGCCATTATGGACAACATCTGCTGTATCTGGACAGAATTCCGGACTCATAAAATCTTGACCTTCGCCGACCTTCGTTCGGGTCATTTTCTGATTTGAAGATGTTCAAAATAGAAACACTATTCTAGGTTTCCGGAAAATTTATATTGACAGCTATTTACAATCTTGGAAAAGCGATGGCAACTTTGGGGCAATTAAAGGGGCCAATTTCAGGCTTAGATGGATGCGCAGCCAAGAGGCCAATTAAAGTGACATCCTTAAATAGCTTAGTGTTTTCTAGCTGCTCAGAGTTCGGCATAGATTCAAGAAAACATCAGAATCATGATTCTAAGTAGATCATTTTGGTAATCTAAACTGTCTTCCTCCTCCCTTTCTGTTTCCTTTACTTTAGGTTAAATATGTAAACCACCTCTTCTAGGCTCAAGAAGAAAACTCTGTGTAATAAAATTTATCACTTGGATAAGCTCTTAATACGAAATCATCTGTACGATAAATCTCCTAAAATAGCTCTGGAACTTCTCTGGAATCCATGAAACAAAAAATAGATCTGTCGCCGACTGCTGATAATGAAAATAAGGGGCTCTATTTTGTGTGGATTTACGAGGGTAAATGGCGGCACTGGAGCAGAAAATACTTTTACTCTCAGAATCATCTTTTTTATATAAACGTTCTTTTACGAGCGAACTTGTGAATTTTACATTACATTTCAACTAATCATTATTGAGTGTAGCCGCTACGCAAGAAGTTGTTTATATAAAAACATTCTTGAACTCTTTTGAATATAACGACTCCTCGAAATTCGCTAAAACACTAAAAGGAAAATTTTAAAATATTTAATTTAGAAAACGCTTCTTTGCTTAAAATAAAAGTCGAGACTGCAGCTCCATGCTCCTTGATTAGAGGAATTTCGAGAAACCTCGCCTAATGCTTCGTCCTTGTGGGTGTATTTTCAGAATGTCGTTCTTTTCTCTGAGTAGAGGTTGACTGATCATTCGACGATTTCTGAATTTTCATTTCGATTTCAAGAAAATGGAATTGACGTCGCCGTTGGGCGGAGCGCAACTCGGCGGAATGTCGCTCCCTTTTTTTAAACTCTGAAACTATTATTAACATGAGCGGCCCTAATTACTGTATTGTTTGTTGTCTGAGACAATTTAATAGAGCATTAGGTCAGAGGATAATGAAAAAAAATATCTGAGTCTTCTAAATCACAACTTTTTACCGTCAAAATTTTCAGAACAAGATTTGACAAGGAAGCAGGAATGATCGTTTGTTGAGATTTCTCTATCTTGCTCTTTGAATTCTTCCTAACCATTGACGATTCTAGTGTTGTGTAGTGGCAGAATTCCAGGGCGAATTAAGCGCCGCTTTTCTGAATTATTCAACGCCTGGCACAAGCTACAATAACGCCCCAAAGGATTACTTACAACAAAAGGCACAACTATTTTTGTATTTTTTTCTTAATTTTTTATAGCAGCATTTTTCATTAACCCAGCGCTGCATCTAATTCTACTGTTGAATTACTTTGAATTTCAAAAGAAGACAAAGATAACGTTATAGCTTCTAAAAAGTATTTATGTGCTGATGAATGTCGCTGAGTATCTGGGCATCACCATATTTTGGCGCTAGAGTTTTCAAGTCTTTGCAAACCAAAAAAAGACGCACGATTTGACTATCGACGATAGACTATCGACTATACTATTTAAAAGTCGTGCTTTTCAGCGTTCATCAAATTCCTGTTTTTTTTTCTTTTTTTCTGGGTAAAAAAGTTCTCTTTTCCAAAAACTAAAAAAATGATTCCCATTTTGCCGGTTTTTCGATAATCCGTGGTGAAGAGGCTTCCGGAAGAATGTGACTGTTTTTTGTTTGAAAAGAGAGATTTTCAGAAAAAAATGAGTACTCTTGGGCAGAGCGAGCAGAGTCTCAATGGAGCGCGTCACGTGCTCTCCTTTGTTCGCCGTTTTTCAAAAAATCAAATTCCGGAACGCCGTTTTTATGGTGAACCGGAGCGCGCAAAGGACTTCAACGCCAGAAACTGGTGATAAATGAAGCTCAAAGAGGCTCATCCCTCTTTTTTTCCTAAGAAAACAGAAAACTCCCAAGGCGAGAAGATTCCTTTTTACGAGTGATGAGAGCGATCAATCTCAAATTGGGAGCTGTCCTTGTTGATTTCATGTTTTCGAAAATTTCGAAAACTAAAAAAACAGGATTCTCTTTTTTCTCATCAAATTTGATTTTCCAGTCTCAAGGTGCTCTGGCTCAGTAATTTTGAATTAAAAAGGGCCAAGTTCAAGAAACACACGCCGAAAATCACATCCGTGAAGAACAAGACAAAACGCACAACTGAACAACTGAAACTTTCTCAAAAAGACTCGTTGGACTCAATGCATCACGATTTTCTCTCCTTTTTTTGTTCAGGCTCTTGCATCGTCAGAAGCCCAGAATTATGATATTAATATTTGAAAAGTTTCATCAGCGTAAATTTTACACTTTCTCGTTTCAAATCCTATTCTCAACATTTTAAAATGCTCAATTCTTTCAATTACATAAAGCATATTTTCCTCATCTTTCAATTCCTCGCAACTACCCATGTGCCCGACCCGTATCTCCCGCAAGAAGTGACATAGGCAGATAATCATTCTCAGGGCTCCCAAAACATTTATAATAAAGTTGGATTCTCTAAATATTTCGCTGCTGGACGTTTTTGATTACGTATTTTTTGGAAAGTTTAGTAGATAGATTCAACTTGCTGAATATTCAATTTGTAGTTTTTGTTCTGAGCAACTGACAGTAAACAGCATTCCGAGAAGTGTAAAAAGAGAGTTCGCGTCGTCCTTTTTCCGTGCAGTTCTATTTCTGACCATTCAAATTTCAAGCATTTTAACCGTGAAGCAGCGCCTGTCCCATTCCATTCTGACCTTTCCTTTTCACCATTTTAGCTTCAATAACACTCCAAACTCATTAACATATTGCACCAAATAAACAGAAATCGAACAGTCTCGAAGTCTCGAAGAGTGACTCTTATCTGAAGGTGTGTCAAGTGGTGGAGCCTTAGGCAGTCACGCGAACTACTCCATACATTCCTTGTTTACGAAGATGTATATAGCCGAAATCCCTCGGAAAATGTCGATTTCTCCTCGTCTTGCTATGAAGGACACAGTAAAAAGCCTTTGTTTATTGAATATGCCGCTGTAAGATATATTTATAACGCTTGAAAAGTAATATGTAAACACTTGCTCAGAGAGAAATATTTTCAAGACCTTCCATCGATAGAATAAAAATTAAGGCGGACGGGTGAAAGGGGTATTTTCGGGCAAACGCAGCTTATTAAAGAAAATATGCCTTGCTTTCATATAATGTACATATATATAATAAGACGAAGTATAAATATATAAATTATATAAAAGGAGATAGATTTTTAGCCCAGTTAGCAGAGTATTACTGTAAAACGGATACAGTCAGAATAAACAGTTTTGTTGGACGAAAAATTATTAAGACGCCAGAAAGAATATGAATCTTTAAAAGCTCGCTTGTTTGAACATGTTAAACTCGCCATCTTTAAAGAATTTAAGGATGTGGTAGAAAGGAAGCTGTGAACTTTTAAACTCGCTTGAGGGTAGATCATTTTTTGATGTTTGAATGGTGGTGTTTGGAAGGAAGTAGATTTTTACAAAAGAAACTTGGCAACAATTTACACAACTAGCGATGCTTTTTTGAGAATAGCTTCGCGAATATTAGGGGAGTTTTTTATTCTTTTTCTGGGGCTGCAGCAAGAATTGACAAGTTGCAAATCATCTGGAATCGGCTTTGCTCATCTTAAATCACATTTTAAATTGGCTCTTTTAGTAGACATAGAACTAACCAAGAGTCGCCATTTCGTTCCAGTACTGATTGATCAGCTCGACCCATTTGTGCCACTTGGGGTCGTCGGTGTTTTTGATCGAGAGAGGGGCAAACTTAGAGCTCGAGTTCGGCGAAAGCGGAGTTGGACTCTTGACGAGGATCGGGGAGTTGTTGCTTGGTTGTTGAGCGCTGGGCTGGGTTAGGTACGGGGCTGGAACGGAATAGTTAAACATCACTTGGGGACCAGTCGAACTCATCGTGGTGGGCGACAAGACCGCCGGCTGCTGGCTTGTTTGGTAGACGAACTGCTGCTGAGGAGGATTCGGCGCTTGGGCGAGCTGCATGGCGAACTGGCTCGGGCTCATCACTTGTGGTGGACTTTGATTGGCACTAGGCGGGTACGCGGGCAACGGAGGCAAGCCCTGTCCGTGGTACCCTCCTTGGTAGCCTCCCGGATGATTGGTAGCATTGGTGACGGCTTGCGGATTAAGATTCGCAGATTGCAGATGCTGCTGTTGCGGAGTCGCATTTTGCTGCAGGCCTTGAGGTGATTGCAAATTCTGGAGGTGAGCAGGGTGAACGGGCTGACATTCGCCATTTCCAAGATTGAAACGCACCGAGTTCCGTCGATCGCGTCCATGATGCGAGCCACTGTAATCGTGCTCTAAGGACGCGCTCTGGCGCAGGACGGAGCGAACTGGCCCAGACATTTTCGGTCGAGTTTTTTGGATGGTGTTAGCTTTGCAATCGTAAAATCGAATTCGCCTTGGCAAATGACTGAGTCAGTGGCGAATGAGTTGTGCTTCCACGTGCGCGACTTCCTCTTCTCCAAGTTACTGAAAATAATGGTAAAGCTAACTCGTCAATTTTTAAGAGAATATTAAGCTTAGCAAAATATTAAAACCATAAAGAATACTAACAAATTAATCAATTGCTGTGAAGAGCGTTACGCAAAAATTGTCCGCTGATTATGCTCCCTGCAATTAGAGTACCTGCAATTAGTGGTCCACCATCCTCGACTAGCGAGATCTCTCCGTGTTCTCAATCTTGCTTCTTTATTGTTTGAAAAATTCGTTTTCCCGCGAGAGTTTCTCTTTTTCGCCGAGAACTAGCCGATTTTTATTCTCCCGTCCATTTGTTTGCGCCGCGACTGGGAGCTCCTTAGAGGTGGCACTCTGGAGGGCTCCCTCGCCTTCACGTTTTCTCTCGCTCTCGCTCTCTCTCTCCCGCTAAGAGAGCTAGCTATCTCAGTAGCACACGGAGGAGGAACCTTAACACACTGCTGGCTAACACACTGAGCTAGCACCACCCCCAAGAACCACACCAAAAGCCGTTGCCAGCCGGAGGCGCGACCGATTTTAAAATCAACGAAACGACAGATCGCTTAAGGATCTATCACGCTTGAATTACCAGCTCGGCGAGCTTTTGGGTTAGCACCGCGCAGCTTTTTTTTATGACGATACACGTTACATTATGATTATTGTTTTTCCTAGTGTCTTTTTTTTTGCGAGAAATAATAAATGGAGCGCGAGCAGTTGAATTATAATTTTTATGACTGAATTAAAACTGCGAAGTTTGAATTTACAGATGGAGGCTGTACCCTCGAGTGGCCACTTCAAGTGTTTTTTTTCTTTTCTGATGAAAAATCTACGTTTTTTTTTGACATTAGATTATGCAGAGTCAGACAGATTTGAGGGTTACAACTTATAAGTTTAAAAAAAACTGATAAACAATGAATCATGAAAACAAAATCTACTAATTGAATGTTTTATGAATGTTTCAATTCGTCTTTTTTTTTGTTTCGGCCGGAGGCGAGTGTGTCACGAGAAGCTCGCTCGTTTTTTTGTTCGTCAAGGAGCTTAGACGCCATTGAAGCTGCTCGTTGACTTTTTCCAGTATGATGATTTACGAATGGAATGTTCAATTCCGAAAATGAGGACTGGAGAATTCAGCTTCTTGGAGAAATGAACTTACAGCTGGTTTAAAAGTCTCAAAAGACATTTTAGTGCTCGTAAAATTCTAAATCTTTGATTTATCGTCCAGACGCTTTTTTAAAGCCTTCTTGTCGGCTGATTTTAATTGAAGTATAAATGTAAGAGGCTTTAGAGAGAATACGCAATTAAACTGGGCCAACCTTCTTAATGGTAACGAGGTCGAACAGCGATAACCCGGAGAATACCATCGGCCCTTGATCGATGGCCTTTGATTCGGTCACTACGAACTTGAACTTTTAAAAAGACTAAAGAGAAGGCGATTAACTTGATTTCAAGCTTTTGAAAAGATTAACCTTTAATTTTTTTTTTCCAAATAAATTAGTTCGCGATTCAAAAAATATAATAAAAATAAGATTGTTGATCAGAAGTTCTAGTAAGGCGACACTCCCCAATCTACGGCGTCTGATTTCCCAGTAAATAACTGTAAATCTACAATTCAAAAGCTCACAAGGTCAAATTGAGTGCAAATATCGCTCGGCATTTCAAATAGAATCTAAAAATTATTCGAGATGGTACAGAAGCGCCGCGTATTATTATTGCATTGATAAATAAAACACGTTCATTCTCAAGGTTAATGTCGCAAATCGGGGTAATTTGGAATGAGGCATTCGACGTCTCCTGCTTCTTTCAAGACGGCTTTATACAGTCTTCTTCACAGAGAGAGCTTCAACAGGAAGTCTGGCAGTCCAATAAACACACTTGATTTGTCGAAAATTCGCTTGCTTGCCTGAAAAGAAACTAGTAAGAACCGGGTTATTTGAACGAGTCCTTTTATAGTTCATTAACCGCTTTTGGACATTCTCCCTGCCAAAACAAAAAACTAATAAACAAAGAAAAAAGGTCCCTATTCATTGCTATTGGTACTATTTTTTCCTGGCGGCTTTCCCGGCGAACTTTATTAAGGCTACTTTGGCAATCTTTCAGCGATTCCTGAGACATGATACTTTCGATTTTGTCCAAATTTCAAAGACACTTGACATACGATTTTGTTTATTTATTATAGTTTGGCATGATAAGGGAAAGAAATTGGCGAAAGAGGGGATTTTATTCTTCCTCGCTTTCTTCCTCGGCCGAAGAAGAGTTCTGTTCTGCGGTAACTTCGGGGGTCACTTTCAGCTTGTTTTTGTCGAAAGCGGTGATTTGCTCGAGGGTCTTCTCCTTGGCGATGTCTTAAAAGATTGCTAAATGATCAGAACCAGACGAGCTTACCTTCAACTGACGGAAGGACGACCTTCTCTTCAGTTTCAACATGATTGAGTTTGGCTGGGTCAAAATTAGCCACATTTCTCATCGTGAGCGTCTGGAATATATGAAAGTCTCTTTATTATTGACGGTTTACCTCAGCTGGGAGTTCTTTTTCCTTGATTTCAACGTGGTTGAGCGATTCTGGCTTGAAGCTCTCGATCTCCGATGAGATTTTCTCTCGGGCGATTTCTTAAAACAGAGTTGAGAATGAAAAGTTTTCCGAATAAACTCACCTTCAGTGTTTGGGAGAAGAACCTTTTCGACTGTTTCCATTTTCTTCAGTTGGCTCTTGTCGAAGTTGTTGATCTCAGAGGGGATCTGCTCCCGGGAAACGTCTATTTTACTCATGTAAAGATTCTGCCTATCGATAAAAGCGCTCACCTTCTGCTTTTGGAAGAATGTTCTTCTCGACGACTTCTTGGTGCTTCAGCTCGTTCTTCTCAAAATTTTCTACTTCACTGAGAAGCTCCGTTGAAAGCCGCACCTCGGCCTGAGCATTTTCCAAAATTGATCGCTTAGTTTTTTACCTCGGGTGGAGAGTTGTCTTCTTCTGAAGCTTCCTCATTTTCCTTGCTAGCCTCAATGAGAATTTCGGCGGGCGCAGGATCTGAAAAAGTCATTATCGGAAGAAAGAATATTAAACGAACCTTCAGCAGCAGCAGCTTCAACTTTCTCCTCCTCTGGCGCTTTTTCTTCTTCCAGAGCGGGTTCCTCGGGGATCGTGTCACTCGTGCACTGAGTCTTCTTCTCGACCGTTTCTTCGACTGCTTCTTCTTTTTCTTCTTCCTTCGCAGTGTCGCTGACAGGAACAGAAGCCTCAGGCTCTTGAGCAGGGGCCTTGACGCTTTCTTCTTTGATTTCCCCCTCAACCGGCTCCGTTTTTTCCTTCGGCGCTGCCTTAGCCTTGCTCTTGTTTTGTGGTTATTTCTGCTCATGTCATTTATCTCTGTACTATACCTTGTTGCTACTGAAGAGGTTTCCCATTTTAAAAAATCAAAAAAATAAATCCGAAAAAGCGGCCTTTTTCTGCGAGAGCAACTTTGCGTCTGTCTCGAAATAACGAAAAGAGCCAATGCGCCCGCCCGAGCGACGAAAACAACCGGTAAGATTTTTCGCAGGAGATTGCAAACATCAAATTTTGCCCGGAGTCTGAAAGTACTATTCGACTAGTTTTGGCGTTTTTCTTCGTTACTTAGCGAATCGATTATCTGAAATTATAGTTTTTGTCTTCCTTGATTCCACAACGGAAATAATGTTGGAAATTTTGTTTTATTGAAGAAAAATGACGAAATTCGTGCAAAAGTTCATGACTCTTTATTCGTGGAGTGCCCGTATGAGAGATTTCCTACGATCGAATAAACGTAAGTACGCTCAGAACAAAAGGTGCTTCACACATCTTGAGATAATCACAAATGAATTTAAATGGGCGGTCCATTTTGATTCTGAAAATCAAAATCAGAATACAAATATAAAATTGTGAAGAATTTTCAATGCAGTCCTTCAAGAGTGATTTTAAAACTATCCAGATAGCTGCTGTCGATCCTCATGCGCCGGTAACTTGCACTTATTTCGAAAACCAAAGATTTGAAAACTAAATAAATTGATAATCAGTGTCTAGAGATAACAGATTCTGGAATAAGTAAAACCTGTTAAGAGTAGTATTATTAGCCTTCATACAACAACGTCGAGTATGAATCGAAAATACAGGAGAGCAAAGAAATCCAACAGATGCCACCAAAGAAGCCGCAAAAAGGAAGATTGCAAAAATTCCTCGCCTGGATTTTTTGCTCCTCCGGCTCAAACAAAAGCTGAAATTTCTAAAATTTTAATAAATAAATGCAAAAAATTAGCTCTTCTGTAAAGGATGGTCAGCTGTTTTGGCATTGTGCATTACAATCGATCCGGGATCTTGGCCGACCTTTGACCTTATCGCATGTTGTTGGCCTACGCATTATTTAGAATTTTGATTTTGATCTGGCGGACACGCCTTGAGAAAAAAACTCACTTGAGAAATAAAAAAATCTAAACCCAAAAAAGGTATGGAAGAGCCACGGGTAGTCCCAGATATTGAGAAATGCGCTGGCCAAGAAGCAGAAGCCTTTGAAAGCGAGGAAGGAGAAGTCTTCGTTGATCTCATCGAGTCACTCGTCATCGCGCTCATTGACAAGTTCACGAGCAAGAACTGAACTCTGTAGTGCAACCTTTTCTACTGTATATGTATATTCTCGGTTTCGAAATAAACGATCTGATTCATTTTCATGATTTTATACGGGCTTTGGCAAAATAAGAAATTGTTATTACTGCAATAGAAGGACTTAAATATAGTCAATATTTTGTGGTCAATATATCATGTGGGGGCACGTAAGGATCGTAAGGACACGTAACTCAAAAGATTGATCAAAGTGCCTTTTGAGATGGTTTTATGGACATTATATATTTTACTTTGAGTAATTGTAAATTTTGCAGTGTAAAATACTTCTGTTCGTGTGAGATGAGAACTGTAGCTAGTTTAGTGTTTGGCTATTTGAAAGAGCTCATCCTGAGCGTTGCTGATCCCAAGCAGCGTATTTATTTTTTGAAAAAACAGTCGCTTCATTTTTGGCGTAGACTTATTTGAACCTCAAGTTCCGGGGGTTAGCTCTATTTGTTTTCAAAGCCACCTTCTTAGGAGCGGGCATATTCTGAGTTTCTTTTACGCGTGTCTTTTTTCGATGTAGCTTTGCTTTAGCCCTCATCCATATCTGCCGATGACCTCTGTGGTCTTTGGTTGCCTCAGGTCCTGGTACGATGGGGCCAAGCATCGCCACTTTTGCACAAGGGTCGCGAAACGCGCAAAAATGCGAAACGAAGAGAGCAACCGGTGGCGCTCGGTCCCAACTGCCGTTGACCTTCTCTGCTCGGGCTCCAAGACCCACTCGATTCAGCGCGACTGTGCCACTTTGAATGCACTATTAAAGGTCTACCCGTCGATCGTTTTTTTTCCTCAATTTTTTCCTCACAAATATTTCCGTTTATATCCGGTGATTTTTCCCAAATCTTAAAATTATTTCAATTTCGTAAATTTCACCTTAAAAGTGTCTACAGTGGTTCCATGCAGGAGAAAAAAGTCTGAAGATTCAGCTTGCGGGCGTAAAAGGCGCTTAGCTGCGTTAAACCACTTAAAAATTCGAGTGCGTTCGCTGCTGACCCGGGAACCGTACTGTAGCTCAAATCTCGTGCTTTGGGTGGTTTTGGATGAAAAGTTCTGAAAGAATCCTTCAGTCTTGGGTTGTCGAAGTCTAACTTTAAAAATATTTGCAATATAATTTACAAAGAATTATTCCTGCAGAATTTGATAATTAAATACGAGTACTGGCCACACATTCCGAAACGCAGAGGGTTACGAGACTTGCGACGATAAGCTCTCTTATCAATTTCTATCCTTTTCCTTATCCTGGTTGCGATAAGACCTCGCGACCCGTCACGAAACGCTTCAGTTTAACGAAGCGATGCACAATTTTTATCAGCACTCTAAACGGATTAAAAGGCTTTATAAAGGTACTCTATGTCATCAACAAAATGATAATTTTAGAACGAAGGAATGCACTGAAATCGAAACAACAAAACTATCATGTTCGAAACCGCCATAAAAGTCGTGACGAGACCTGAAAAAATGTCCTTACTTTTCGTGCATTTCCTCTGAGAAACTGAACATGTCCAAGATAAGAGTTGGATGGCGAGAGAGGGCATTAATCTGTGTCCTTTCTAAAATGTGCTTCCGTCGATCGGATTTTCAACTTCCAGCCCGATTCCGGCTTACAAGACCTGCGAAGAACCTTCTTTAACTTTCGACTCGTTTGGTTTTATTTTCATTCAGTAAGAAAAACATATGTACAAGAGTTACAGGAGTGTCCTAGCTACGAGCTAGAGTCAGATCATCGGCGACGGCCGTGGCGAATCGAGCTCTCTCTTCTGCGGCGCCAGGTAGTCATCTCTTTCTTTTTCTTCGCCATCGCTGCTGGCCTCGCGCCATTGTGTGAAAAGAGCGAATCCAACAGCGAGAACTGAAATTAATTTTAAAAATTTAGTTGAAACTTTGTTTTTCTGGTTATGATTATGCTAGTGATGCTTCTCTGTTTTAGATTATTTTGAACCAACACTTTTGATGATGAATAATACAAAGGGCCTCATCAAAGTGAAATTATTGCTCGTAGATTTTAGTTTCAACTAATATATCAAACTATAACGGACCCTCTCTAACCCTAACCCTTATCGATGAGTTTAAAAATTATGGCCCATATATTCGAGTTGAATGGATAACCAAACAGGTTGCTTACGAAAGTGGAATTAGAATGCGCTAACCCTATGTTCTGAATAAATTCTTGAGGGAACGCCAGGATGGATTAAGAGGGATTTGTAAAAATGCTTTTAGGAAGAAAATGTTTTGGGCTTGCTCGCGGCACTTTCTGTGGCTGATTATGAAGGGCTTTCCTCAGAACAGAGCTCATTAGCAGCACCGGACTCAGAATTGCCTGGCATCAAGCCAACGAACGTTACTAGAACTTTCTAGTTCTATTTTCTAAATAGACCGTTATGATATTAGTTGAAACAGCGCAAATAAGATCTAATCAGAAAGCGGTTTATTTTATCATAAAAAACAGGCTCAGGCCGAGTATTCTTTTCCTACTTTTAAATTCTCACTTGAGAGTATTCCATTTGGATTCCATCGTGGGAACCAAAGATTTTCAACGCTCTGCTTCTAATAGTTTTCGTTGCCATTACTTCATTAATCAATAGTATCCAATTGTTAGTTTATGATAATAATTCATTGTTGGTAGTGAATCTGTTATCAGATAATAAAAATTACGTCTGGAGACGTTATTACGACGCTAATAGTCCGAAACTGCGGTAAGTCAAACAAGCCCTGTCGTTCTATTTTTAGTGGTAACAATGTCCCGTGCTCTTTTTAGAAGCAGTCTTTATTTCGAAATTGTGCTCTGTACTCATCCTTTCTCTTCGCCGGGCTTTTACGGACAAGATCCCCAAGAGTGACTCCTTAGCCCGCGCCTTGTTTTACATTTGTAACGTGAAAACCACTTGTTTATTTTGGAACGGGCAGAAGCTTTAAAATCGGGTTTTGGGTGGAGCCTGCTTACGAAAAATTTAGGACTCGCCCTTAATATCAAATAAATGCCGCTTTACGTAAAGTTTGGACTGAGAAATGGAGGCCGGAGGATTTTATCTCTTTGGTTAAATTTTCTGAGCTCTTGGAAATTAGTGGCGAGATGGAAACGGTAATTTCATAAGGGAGGGAATCGCTTTGGAGGAGTCGGAAGGGCTCCTTCCTGCCATTAACTTGGCGGCCAGTTAAAAGGAAAAACTGCCGATGGCGTTCCAGAGTCATTCCTCTGCTTCCAGCGCTCTGCTTCATCGAAAATTTCGACATCTGACTCCTCCCTTATTCTGCGTAAGAGGTAGTTACTTTGGTAGAAGCTCATGTTCGCACAAGTTGTTGCTTCAAACCCGCCGGTAAGACATGAATTTGGAAAGAAACTGTTATCCGAAGTGTTTTTTAAAACTCTTGCTCTCGTTGGACATACCTGAGATTGTAACAAATGCCATAGCAGCATTGCAGTGATGATTGAGGGAGCGCGTTTCAGCACGATCCGAACATTCGGTGATCAGTTGCAGACATTCCTCGCGCTGCTCCCGGCTAGAATTGGCTTTTTCAAAGATATTTTTGCATGCATACTAATTTGATATCGGGCTAGAAAAATTGACGCAGAAGTCAGAACGAGGATATTTTTGAGAAAGCCGTTTCAAAACTCCTTGTCGATTTGAATTTGGTCGTCGCATCTAAAGGGAGAGCCGTTGGACAGCAAAATCGTTTCGTTTTTCAACTGGATCTTGACTGGGCCGCCCTGTGCCATCGCTGCGATGAAAACTACCCAAGCGATGAAGAGAAAGAGCCCCGCCACTAAAGTTTACTCAGTCTTCATCCAAAATTCGTCCCAAGTGCCCTCATACAAAATTATTTCAAAAGATCACTTCACATTCAAACTAGCTGCCAAGAAATATTATCCGAGGAATCACTCAAGATCAACTTTAACGGTCAAAATGTTAAGTGTATCCGTCATAATGGTTGTTCAAAATTTTCTTTCATTATTTGAACGTCAAAGCTTAATCTTTTCACTCAAAAATACCGAATTAAACGATTATCGTTTGAGTATAAAAAAGTCAAATTTGGCTCTCGAGTTCATCGATGTTCACTTTGACATGAGTTTGTTTTGACGAGTGGGTGATTTGCGACTTACGTGAGTTCGTGCTGGCAAGTAGAATCGGCCATTCTTGTTTCGCTTCAGGAAGAAAGACGCACAGACCGCCAGTGAGCGCTAGAATCAACAGGGATGTGATCAGAAGCCCGAGAATTGGGGAGAAGAGTCCATCCCGCTCGCCTTTCATCGTTCCAAACAAGATTGTCGAAAGGAGCACTAATCCGGCCGGCACTAAGGCAATTTTACTAAGGCGTTAATTTTTTTAATCCATCATATTTTATGATTTATTTAAAGCGGCTCCAAAGGATCAAGAGAAGCTATCGTAACGTTAGATTTGATAGACTTTCTTCTAATCCTAGCCCCGTGAGTTTTTAGAGCACTTTGAAAACAAAATGACAGAGTGGGGACAATCGAGGGCACGCATGAACGGGAAAGCTTGTTGGCCTTTAGTCGAATCGCCTCTCATTCTCCTAAATGCTTGTTTTTGGTGAAATGCACTTTGTCTTCAAAATACAAAAACGCCGAAGCAAGACGGCGAAAATGACGTCCGCTGTTTGAGTCCAAAACATATTTCTCAGAACATCGAAAGCTCTGATAACTTTTCCTCAAACGCTGTTATTACACCAAGTACCATTTAAACCGTAGATACGACTTATAAGATATTTTAACATTGCAGCAATAAGAAGTTGTATCTTCCAAACGGGTAGCTTACTGTACCTATACTTATTAGTCGCGAAGCCATCCTGCCCTCTGTTGCAACCATCCTATATTATTTTTTTGAAGTTTCTTTTTTTTTCTTTTTTACTATCTCTTTCAGTTTTTCAGTTTCGCTTTCAGTTTTTTTCGCGTTTTTTCTTCGGCTTGAGGCGAGTGCGCTTTTGTCCGAGCGGCGCACTTGAAGCAATTTCAAAAGAGCTTTTTCTGAAAAACTGAATTTTTGAGTAATTTGCTCTCTAATTTACTTTCAGTGCGCAAATCTTGAAAAAAAGGTTTAATAGGAATGGTTCTAGAGGTTTAGTTTTGCGTTAACCAGGGACACGCTCCTCCGGAAGTTAATTTTCTGACGAGTAAATTTTACCTCGTAAAATTCGTTTCTGTCGATGTTTTATTCGAAAAGTGGTCAGATGCTCGAAATCATAGATCTTGGTGAATCATCTCTATATAAAAAAACGCAGGTCTCGTAAAAGTGCTTTGGGCACACAAGCGCGCCGCACCCTCTCTTTTTTCGTGCTCACTGCCAAATTAATTTTAAATAAGATAAAACATTGTTTATTCTATATGCTTTCTATGTGTGTAAATTACAATCGCCGAAGAATGCGAAATGGAGATCCAGGAGCGCTGAGACATTATTGATTTGGGCTATTACAACTTGGATCTCTGTTCTTTTTTATTTATTGTCAGCTACTGATACAGTCAGGCAAAAGAAGTATACTTGTACAGAGAGTGATCGTTCAAGGTTAGGCGAAACTGCTCGATACAGTCAGAAGACTGAATAATACATTAACACGATTAATAGCCCAGATGACATGTAGAAAACCCGGTATATGGTATTATTACGGGAGATGAACGAAAAAAACTTAAAGCACGATTTTTTCGTTTCAATTTATTTAATGATTGTCTAAGATTAAGACCATTTTTATAAAAGTCAAATGTATGACGTGAAATGATACCCGTTCTGATGTAGATCTGCGTTAGAATGCGCTGATGAGAAACGGCCGGGCGCTAGAATGTGTTGAGTGTTTTCTTGGCCCTGGTCGGGCGTGGCGGCAGTGATCGAGGAAGACAGGTATCCTGGCTTATTCGGGATGGGCCGGACTGAGACGGGCCTCGCCGCTCCTAATCGCGCCCAGTTCATCCCTTCCCGAGATAGGAGGCAGTCGCCCACCGCCGCTTAGTATCCCCTTAAAAGGGATCAACCTTTAAAAACCCCCTTCAGTAGCAAATAATCCTTCTGACATTATTACACTCTTATATACCTTATTATATGCACAATACTAAGATGATGGCGAATAAATTTGGTTAGGGTTGAATGTTTTAAGTTAATTAAGGTTTGATCCCGACCGAAGCGACTTCAGAAGTGTTTCTCAGCGCTCTTATCGAAGAAAGCCTGTTTGCAAGGGCGACAACTTTAGGCTGCAGCTTTTTGGAAAGAATCGCTAGAGTGTCTCTAATTGGAATCATTAGCCCGTGGCTGGGCCTGCACGTGAAGTAGCGCTTCCCTTGCACGATTCCATCGTGCCTTCCTACGGCCACGTCTAGTTCGAGTCCGACGTAAACCTAAACCGTGTGAAAGAAGAAACTCAAAGCTAGCCAACAGTTTTACCATATTCTTGCGGGGGCTCTTTTCCAAGTGGCCTAAGTATCGAACAGTGCCGACGCGGTTGCGCTTGATAAGGATGCGCATGCCCACTTCGAGGATGAGCTTGGCGTTGCGCATCATCGTCAACTTCTCGAGGTCATCTTTGAAACGCCGCACAGAATTCGCTAGTTTAGGTAGCTGAAAGAGCTCGCCAAAGTCGCCGCCTCGGAAAGACGCACTGCGGAAGAAAACTTTGCAGCTTTGGCATCGGCAGCCAACGATTGGGCCTGCGAAGCTCTCTGGCAAATCAGGCAGCTGGCGGACGTACTCACGCTCGGAGGAGAACTCTCCAGGAGCAAGTTCTAGCTGAGTACTTTCGAATTCGTCTTCGGACTCGGCCAAATGTTCAAGCAGTCGCAATTGAGCTCCCTTTTTTGGATGTACTTCTCACTGTTAATTATACACTGCTGTTATGTTAATCCGTAACTGAGGTGTTGGCTGTGAGGGATAGTAGTTGTCTTCTAAACATAGAAAAACGTGAGCATGTATGTTTGTCAGTATTTCTGTTTTTAATTCGAGCCGCTGTGTAAACATTTTGGGTGGAACGAGTACCTTTTCTAAACAACACTCTTTCGGCGCGTTCGCGAGCTTCCTCCAAACTCAAACGCAGTTCTTTTCGCTCCTTCTCCAATTCTTCGCATCTCATTCGCGCTTATTTCGTTCAAATACTCCTAGCCTATATCTATCAAATTAATAACTTGCTGAATTTGAACGGTCCCTATTTCGCCTCTCGCGAGTTCTTGCTGTACGTTCGCCATCGCCGCTAATTTTGCCTTACTCGGGTTTTCGAAAGCAGAAAAAAATGTTCTTGAGTGCCAGAAAACACGGCTTCAAACTGCGGCCATGTTTTCTAGTTTGCGGCTTTTCTAGCTGCTTTTTCTTTTAAACAAGTCCTTTTAAGGAAACAATACTATTTCACTTTTGTTTATCAAAAAGATTTAAAATGGTGATCGGGTTTGACTGCAGCGTTTAGTTACAAGTCAGAGTGTGTTATCATCTGTTGATAAGGAGGCTCACGGAGACAGGTAACGTGACGCTCTTTTTTACGAGTTACGAACATCTTGTAAATTCAAAAAACCGCCTGGCCTTCACTTCGTTTTCATATTTTCCCCGAAGATCATCATTTTTTTCTAAAGGAAACAAAATAAGTCTTTATTCATTTATAAAGGGAATTCGACAAAAAAAAGGAACCTTGTAGAAGGACGCAGCGCTGCTGGATAGACTCGTACTCCCAGTAGCCAAGCATAGATTGCTTCTTTTCGAGGATTTGGTTAGTCGCTGTTCCCGAGTCTACAGGCGCGTTGTACTGGACTGCTTGCTCGTTGCTTGGGATCGGTTCACAGTGCCTGCACGTGCACTTTACTTCTCCAACCAAACTCGTGTTCACTCCGCAATCTTCGTAAATTGCGACGTTTGCAGTCTAATCCTAGGATCCCAAACTATCAAATGCTCAATGGACACTTTTTAATACGAAGTTATCTTCTCAAAATTCTAGCAGCATTAGGAATTTTCGGTCAGAATAAGTACCAATTTGATTCGAGATTCATAAGAGTAGAATTCCATAAAATCCGCCAATATTTTAGCATACTAACATAAAAGCCACAGATGGCAACTTTTGAGCAAGCAGTTGGAAATCCTTATCACTGAATGCAGATTTCTTGAACGGTTTGACAATTGAAATCTTCGGTTTCGACAATGGGCTTCGAGTTTTTGAGAAAAGCTTCTGCCTCGCGGAATTTAGCTTCGAATTCCGCCGCTTTTTCTTCGTGCTCGTGGTTTTGCATCACCATCCGCGAGATTTCCTGGCACAGTGGAATTATTCCTTTTTATATGCTCAACAATTCCTTCGAAAAGAGTCTCGTTAATGCTGCAATTTCGAATACTTAAATTTTTGAATTTTAAAGCGTATTCCTTGCTTCGCTGTTTTCAAAACAAGTTGAATCGCACGTTTTACATCAGCATGCTGCCGATCATCGTCTATTCCGTAATAACGACTGACAAATTAGAGATTAAATAACAACAAGAATTGTTCAAAACATTTTCAAATAACGTTAACGCTCTGTCAATTCGATTTTACGTTCCTGGAGAAACCTCCATCTTCGTAATCATGCTCTCTAAGTTTTCGGACGTCATTTTTAAAAAAGGAAATGAAGAAATGAGGGATGGAAAATGAGAAATTTTGAAATGGAGAGTTACGGGAGCGTACAATTTTAAAAATTAATTGAAACAGCTGCCTGCCGCGAAAATTTCGAATGAGTCACGAGCCGGATTCTAGCGGAATGAATAATTACCTTCTCAAAATGAGAGCTTCTAGGGAAAGTAGATTACCGATAAAACGAACAAACAGATTATGCAGATAACGGAGCATGTGATTTTTATGGAAGTTGGTGGAGAAAAAGCTCTCTGATGCTCTCGGTACTCGGCGACGGCGGTGCTTGGAGTACCCTGCGCGGCAGGTGGCGCTCGTTCTTCAGAATGCTTATAAAAGCTTCTCCACCGCTGCCGATTAAGTAGTCCCGATAGTAGACAGAAACTAAAGAAATGAAGCTTTTGTGTTCCGTTATTGCCCTTGCTGCCGCCTCCGCTAACGATCCCAATGATTTCATGAAGCGAAAGAGTAAGTAACCAAACAGAAAAAACAGAGATCGAGAGAAAACTACAGGTTTTTATTGTCTAATTAAGACTCCTGCACTGGCACCCCTCTGTCGGACAAGTCTTGAAGGAGCAAGACAACTACGTCGTCACTGAGGATGACGTCGCCGACTGGCAAGCTTGCGGTGACAACGCTGTTTGCACCAACGGCCGAGGCTGGAACTTCGAGTGCGCTTGCGCCGAAGGCTACCTCGACTTCGACCCATCCAGCTACCGAAAGTTCGGTGCCTGCGTCTACGACTCTTGCGCTGACACCACCTGCCAGGACAACGCCTCCTGCAGCGTCTCCGCTGATGGTGCTGCCTCCTGCGCCTGCGACGATGACTACTACTACGAGTCCGTCGAACAATTCGATGCTGACGGTAACTCCACCGGATTCGCTGACACTTGCTACTTCGATGCCTGCGCCGAAGACCCATGCGCTGACAACACCGACTGCGCCAACGACGCCGGTTCCGCCGTCTGCTCCTGCAGCGCTGGCTTCTTTGACTACGCTGGTGATGCTTCTAACTGCGTCCCAGACGCTTGCGGCAGCTCCGATGACTGCTCCGCCGATGCCACCTGCACCGTCGAGCTCCCAGACGTCAACGGAACCGCCCAGTGGTCTTGCGATTGCGACGATGGTTTCTACGGTGATGGAGTCACTTGCTACGTTGACTCCTGCTCCGAGGACCCATGCCAGGCTGACTCCACCTGCGCCAACGACATGAACGACTACTCTTGCACTTGCAACGCTGGTTTCTACCTCGGCGCTGATGTTAACGGAACTGACTTCTGCTGGAGTAAGTAGCATTTCTCCATACTCTTCTCTATCTATTTCTTTATAGCCGATGTCTGTGACAGCGCCAACCCATGCTCCGCTGACGCCGCCTGCGCCAACCAGGCTGATGGCTCCCAGGAGTGCTCTTGCAACGATGGATTCAAGGGAGACGGATACGAATGCACCAGTAAGTTTGCGCTTTTATCTTCCGCTCATAGATTTGTACTAGGATCAAAACAGCTTGACTAACTCAATTATCTAGACATCGCTGGTGAGCGAGCTGCCAACATCCTTGCCCGAGCTGCTGAATTCGAGGCCACCGCCGCCGCTGACCTCGTCAACGACACCCGAGCTGCTGGCCGAGTCCAGAAGGCCCTCAACGCCTTCAACAACGACATCTTCTTCGTCAGCGAATGGACCCAGGGATGCTACAACAACGGTGACCTCCAGGCCGATGCCGCTGAGGCCGCTGACCTCGAATCCTCTGAAGAGCTCCTCGGATGGGACTCCGATGATCTCTGCGCCTTCGCTGATGATCTCCAGGTGATAATCAATGTAGAAAACAAGGTTTTTAACTGAATGCTTTCAGACCGCTGCCAAGCGATTCGCTCGATCTTTCGCTTGCGTCTCCTCCTTCGGCTACAACGCTGAGAAGAACATGGCCTTCAACACCAAGCGAGTCCACAAACAACTCAAGCGACAGAACAAGAAACTCAAGAACTTCGGCAAGAAAATCGATGCTGCCCTCGACTGCTAATTTCGCAAGCGAAGTTACATCCGTACATTTGCAAAATCAGTTAAAGAAAGCTAAATGCCTCTTGATATCTCCTTTACTAAGATGTACCTTTGTTTCTGTTCTACTACTACTATCCCCTGCATAAAAAAACCAAAAATTTCAATAAAAATGGGCTGGTGCCCAATCTAATCGACCCTATCTCCTTAACTTTTTGCAATATGAAATCAACAAAGAAAGCATCAATTTTCATAACGCAAGTCAGTTGACTTTGTGAAGCACTCTCAATAGAACTTTTCAATGCCTGAATAATACTCTTTAGTAAATAGTCTTTACACTTACATCTCCAACGGAAAACTCAACTGGTATTGGCAGGAATTCGCACAGGGAACTTTTTTTGAAAGATTCTTTATTTTTTTCAAAATAATCTTCAGGTTCATAAATTTTCAGGTTATCAAGAGAGTCTTGATTAGCCACGAGAATTAGAACGTTTATGATTTAGCTGCTGCAGGAACGAATTAATGACAGTAATAGATTCTATCTCTCGTTATCTCTGCCGGCAACAGGAACACTTATTTCCAAGTCTAATGTAAAAACTGAATTTCTTGAGAACCTCTTTTAGACGCGATAAGACTAAGAATGATATCATGTAGCCTTATAATAGAAATATCGTTAAATTTTCCTACTAGTTAATCAGATTTTTCGATTTAACAAAGCATCGAGTTTTGAGAGTTAATAATGTCACGTATTTTTATCATTGAAATAATTTTCTTTGTCAGAGTTTGAAATTATTCTGCACTTTGTCGTAAAACAAGAACGTGTACAATTGTTAATAAACGCAAACGAACCCAAGAACGGACACGTGCTGATCTTGGAGGTTTATGCGCCGAGCTAAGTGTCCACTTAACCTTCGAATTCCGCATTGGAGAGCTTCCGCGCCGCACAAAAGTGAACGCAGTTGAATATTTCGCGCACTTTCAACGTAAATCCGTATCTAGGAGAATTTCGCAGACTACAATATAATCCTAGCATAAAAGCCCTGTTTCTTATATTTCAAAAGGTCTTTCTCTAATCAGAGATTTCCTTTAAATGGACAACCAAGGCTGCACAATGAATTAAAAATAAAATAACGAGTATTATCACGCTGGTGCTACTAGACGCTCGTTAAACATGATCGCGTCGCAAATTGAGCACCAGCCTTGAATTTGCCGTTCAATTAGAAAATAAAAAGAGACTCTTTTCTCTGAACGAAGATTCGAAAGACTTATAAATGCCACTTGTCTACAACATCGGTAGGACTGAAATTTCGAGTAATCAACTAAATAATATCGAAGCTTGGCTTTGTTTGGCCGTCGCACTTCCTGCCAACTTCTCGCTCAGAGCTTTGTTGGACTATGAAAGGGACAAAGAAGAAAATAAAATGGACAATTTTTGGCTAAAGTAAAGGCTCAAACGATGCGTCTAGTATAAAAATTTTAAATCCAGCATTAATTTTGGTAATTAATACAGGTTATTTAATCTTCAAAAATTTTGAGCTTAAAAAGTACTGGATAGTTTTCGCCCATTGGTATCTTCTCGAGCTGGTGATAGGTAGCTATTCGGAAGATATTATCGAGAACAGCACGTTTTATAGACTGGGTATTATGCTGGCTCCCATTTTATACCGAATTCAAGCTTCTTTTTCTTCTCTCGACGTCGCCAATTAGTCCATTTGGCGCCTTGAAAGGTAATTGACTATTCTAAATCACGTTCTTAGTCTAATCTACAGCCGCTTCCGGAATTCCTCTGGAGCAAATTAAGGTTTCCCGCGATCCGACAGAGATCCTCTTTTCGTACATTTATACTGCGGCCAAAGCAACGAAAGACAGTGCACATTCTGTTGGATTTTCAAGAGATTCTCTTCGTAGGTCGATTCCAATTATTCTCGAGCAGATCAGTGGGACTCTATCTTTTGTAAGAGCGAAAATAGGAATACGCTTATAAAAAAAGTGATCAACAGTTTTAAAAACTTCTACTCTTCATAGTGATATTGATTTTATAAGCATCAAAAAGATTATATCAAGACCACAAGCAAACTTATACAACAAGACGAAGTTGTCAAAGAAAAAGACTCGTGACGCCGTAATAAAGAGAGACGTTTAATATTTCTTATGTACAAATCTGCAACTTTGCCTCTCGTCATGTTTCAGACTGTCGACAAAAAAATAAGTTAAGAACAAGTCAGTTCTTGAACTTGTTCGTCTTGTTTTTATTCTTTTCGTAGTTGCGCGCGGCTGTTACTTTTTCACGGGTTTTATATTCTTCTTTCTTTTTTCGCTCTACGGCACGTAGTTTGCAAGTTATTGCGACAGCTATGCTCAAATTAGCTAGGTTTTGCATTAAAACAGCTTACCTATGATGGATATGAGCACGATGCCAACGCAAACAAGTGAGATGATCTCCGAGCTGAGTCCCTCTTCAGCGGGCTCTATTCTAGTTGCTTTCGTCGGCGGAATAGCAAAATCCGGGACTTAAAAATTGTCTTATTGCAAAAACTCTTGAATTCAAGACTCACTCTGAGGTGTCGCCTCTATCTGTTGTTGATTGTTCGATTTCATTCTAATTGGCGGTGGAATAAGCATGCCCCTCTGCGGAGTCACAGGCATTGGTCGTTGTTGTCTCCCGTTCTGTCCTCGCGGTCTTCCCTTTTGCTGGCGTTGTTGACCGTTGCGCATGCGACCATTCATTTGGGGCCGCTTTGTTATGACAGGCTCAGGCAAATCAGCTGTAGATCCTTGATTTCGTCTGCTTATTGCCTCTACAGCGGCATTTGAAAAAGAAGTAGGAGCGTTCATAGATGGACGTTCTGGGCCATAAGCCGCAGATAAATGCGGCGGTCCATCAGAATAGCCTGGGTTTCTCGAAGCTGTTGGAATCAACGGTGATTTGGGAAGGGATGAGGGAACTTGCTGTCGAGGACGAAAACCCATGTTCATATTTCGCATGTTTCCCATTGGCAGATTTGGGCGTCCTAAGTTCATATTCGGCATCATTCCCATCATACCCGGAAAGGGAGCGACCATACCATTTCCCATTCCAGGCATTCGCATTCCCGGCATCGGATTTTGAAGACGACCCAAAGGCCTTCCTAACCCTGCCATATAATCAGGATATTCTGGCTGTCCTGATTCTTGCCTCAGTAATCTTTGAAACTCCTCCTCAAATCCTGGAGGCGTTCTTGTCACCTTGAGCATGAATCCAATGTGGCGGACGCCATCTGGAATTTGACCGGACTTGACGAAAATGTGGATCCGACTGGACTCCGAGAGATAACGCTGCGGTGTGTCAGTTCCACACAATGGACCAACCGCATTTTTACTGAAAAATTCTTAAAAATAAGGGAAATTAAAGTGCCGCTGAATAATCATTCACCAATGCCGGTAAATTTAACATTGAGCAAAAGACTTACGTTTTCCAGTCAACAATCGTAACATTCTGCAAATCGCATCGTGCAAGGTCAAAAAATAAGAACTCAACCATGATCTTCATTTGGGTGTCTGGATTTTGGATCTTGTACTCGCACTCCCAATTGTTTCCCATGGGCGAGGGGTAGTAGCGGGAAACAATCACTTTTGAGTGTTGCTCCTCGCCGACTCCTGGGCTGATGACTTCGTCGACGCAGTGTGAGATGTCCCATTTGATGTCGCTCGGTGGGCCAGCCGCTGTTTTCTCTATAAAAAATAAAAGAACGTGCAAAACTCGCAGAAAATGCATTTTTGCGCTCTATTGAAGACTACGCCGGAGTCCCGCGCAAAGCCGAGAGGGCAGAAGGATCACTGGTCTCAAAGCAAACCACACGTTCGCCGTCAAACGTAAAAACTGTTTATATAAGGAGCTTCTAAACAAGAGAAAATTTAAACATACCCGTTCATTTCATCGTCCTTACAAGTTTCGGTATCGGCCGACAAAAAATTGTATCTCGTTTAACATCATTTTTGAGAGAAAGGACCAAAGCCGAAAAAATAAAAAGAATGAACCTGAAGGATTTATTCTTTAGAGTGAGGGGTCTCCTTAAATCGCAAGAAAGGATTGGCCAATGAAGATGGATATCTAGTGTATGACACACCCATTTTGTTTTTCAATAGCTGGCGGGCGCAAATATTGAGCTTTTGAAAATTTCAGAGAATGTCTTCGTACACATATTCTTTTGACCAGATTTCGTCGACGCTGCACGAAAAGACGCCTCTTATAGAGTCGCCGAAGATTTCTGGTAATTATCTTTTGGCCTGCACGCAAAATTATTATTTTCAGTCAACGATATTCTCTCTTCTTTCTCGGCTTTATCATATCTTTTTCTAGCTGCTTGTAATCACCGCGTTCTTCTGAAGCTTGACAATTTGCAGCCAGCTGGCAGTTTCAAAATCCGTGGAATTGGCAATTTAGTCCAGCGAGGGATCGAAAATGGTAAACGCTCTGCTATTAGCTCTAGCGGTGGAAATGCTGGGCTTGCGGCGGCATATGCATGCGCTAGAAGCAACATTCCATGCCACGTCTTTGTGCCCAACTCGACGCCTCAGTTCGCCGCGGACAATATCAAAGAACACGCTGCACAAGTCACCTATCACGGGTAAGTTTCTTTTTCATTACAGTGAAAATCGTATAAATTCCAGTGAGAACTGGAACGCCGCGGATAACGAGGCAAGGCGGCATTTGACAGAAGAGTCAATTTACATTCATCCTTTTGATGGCGAAGACATATGGAATGGTCACGCGACCATCATCGATGAGCTGAAAGGGAAGTTAATTATTCCGTGATATTGAATGACGCCGAAAATGGTGATTTTCTGTTGTGCGCAATATTTAATTTCAAATGGAATTTATTAATTTGAAAAGAACAAATGAGGGGCCAAAAGCCTGGACTGATCGTGTGCTCTGTTGGAGGAGGAGGACTTCTAGCGGGCTTGATTCTTGGTCTTGAGCGAAATGGCTGGGAAGATGTTCCAAGTAACGTTTAATAAAACGCTGATGTTTAGTATTCAGTTCTGGCAATGGAAACGCACGGAGCCGACTGTCTTAACAAATCATTGGCCTGTGGCGAGCTCGTCACTTTAGACGGGATCAACTCAATTGCCAAGAGTCTCGGCGCTCGTGCCACTACACAACAAATCCTTGACTTGGCTCGAAATTACAAAGGAAAAGTTTATTACAAAACCTGCCACGATACAGAAGTCATTCAAGGTTCGTAAAAATACCGATAAACTTCGTGCTCTTTCACAATTTAGCAGAGCTCTGACTTATAATTTAGTCATTGAAAAGTTCCTTGGAGATCATCGATTTTTTGTCGAGCCTGCTTGTGCCGCAACACTCGTGAGTTGCTATCTGAAGGAATACTTGAAAGACATCCCAATCGGAGATGGTCCACTCGTGCTTGAAATCTGCGGTGGATCTGCTGTTTCTGTGCAAATGCTCGAGACGTGGAAAAAGACTGCCTTTTCTTGAAATATAAAAAAAATCAACCATTTATTCCATCAGATAGATGACTCTCGAATTATTACGATTACACTCAATCATCTTTGTCTAAGAGCTACAACGCATAAATAATGCGAACCGATTGTTATTTCCTCTGGAATTCTCGCTAAAATTGCGTCAATACGTCTAATTTATGCGTTCGCGTCCTTTCCGCCGACCGATCGTTATAATTGTAATTTTTATTGGAGTCTATTTTGAAGTTGAAAACGTAAAAAATTTGAACTCTAAAATTCGCCGTAAGGGTTCACCTTGCCGCATTTGCCAGTGTTCTCGTTCCAGCAGCAGATGCCGCCGCCATAAATATTCGAGCACTTTGAGATTGACTCTGTTTCGTACGGACAATCGACGAAAGCGATTCCGTTTGGACCTAAAGAGAAAGAGCGCTAGTTGACAAGTGGAAAAAGTAAGGGTTACAGATGCCGCCGGTATTTGTCGAGGTCGTGCTTGAGCTCGAAGTAGGAGTCGGAGTCGGAGTCGGAGTGGTTCCGCCACAGGCACATTTCGCTGATAAGAGTTTCACATAAAAGATGCTATAAATAAAGTTCTACCTTCACAAGCATCGAAAGTTCGACGAGCATCGTCCATGCAATACGAGTTGTAAATTTCACACTTGATCTGGTCAGCGCAGAGCTTGTCGGTGCATGCGTCGCGGCATTCAGATTCGGGCAGGCAGTTGATACATTGGGAGACTTCAGGACATTGCTCGCACCCGTTATAGCATCCGTCGTGGCATGGGCAGCCTGAAATAGAATTATTAGCGCAGCCCTTTCAAAATTAATGAAAAGCATAAATTAATGCTGCATAAATTACCTCGTCTGCACTTTTCCTGGACATCGAAGCAGTTTCGCGAGCAGTTGGTCGGATCTTGAGACTCGTTACATTGATTTATGCAGCTAAAAGAAGCTTCAAGAAGTCCAAACATGGGCAGGGACACTTACAGGACTAGATCAACGTCGCACTCATCCTCGCATTCAGCAGCTGCGGCGAGAGAAAACTCATCGCAGTTTGGATTCGTTACTCTTGAGAGGATATTCCTTCGCGGCGAAAAGCCCGCTGAGGCGGCAATGGCTGATCCAAAGGCAAAAACTAAGTGCGGTTTATTTTTTTTCTATGAAACAACAACGAAAGTTTAAAAAATTCGAAACCGCGATTGACAAAAAGCTTCATTCTCTAAGTTGATTTCGATTGCTCTAGCCGCGTTTTCATAAATGCGGAATTTACCTTTGCGAATCTCAAATTTGATTTTCCATAAACTTTTGTGCGCCGCTGTGACATCAAGCAATGCTGGTTGTTTTAGGAATGCAGTAGAAAAATCTTGCTGAAAAAGGTCAACACATTCTGATAATAATGGAATATTGCCAATTGGTGTTTTTATTATACAGGTCAGAGACAATTAGAGGCGCTGAAATTGGTAGATGCTGTAGCAGCGTAATAGTCTGGATTGAATCAGGTCTTTCGCTTCGAGAAGAGCTTCTTGATCTGGATAATGCGCAGACAGTTGTAGAATTGTCCGCGCGAGAACCGATGATGAGAGCGGTACGGTGTGGTCTATCAGAAACGTTTGCAGAATCATGTCAGCTTTGGACTTCTTTCGCGTTTGTTTCACATTGCCATATTTGACACAGGCGAGCCAGAATTTGAGACTCATTCCAAGACCCTGTCGTTCCGTGAATTCTTCGAAGAGCTTGTAATCCTTTCGTGTCATTCTTGCGATCACAAAGGCAAATTCAAAGACATTCGTCTTCCCTTCGTAGAATCCTGAACGGCGTTTTCGAAACCTCGGTGAGCTAGTATCTGGGCTTGCGTGATTATAAGTGCAAATTCGAGATGTAATTAAACTTCCGCACTTCATTTTATACTAAATATTCACGTTAGATATAATGCTGAGTTTTCTTGTAGGGAGATTTTATACCAAATATCTTGGACTCCGTCGCTAGAGAGCATTGACGCAATATGGCGCCAAGAAAGATAATGACTATGATTCAATAAATACGCTGCATAGGTTCTTCTTCTGAATTTCGGAAGCTACCAACCCAAAAAAGATCTCAAAAGAAAGCAATGAAATTATCATCCTTTCTCGATCGTTTTTCTAGATTCTTGTGAGCAAAAAAACAAGGCATTGAGTTTTCCACGGAGGAGACTTAGTTACAGACGCGTCTAAAAATGACTGTGTGCGATATTTTCGGATCTGGGAAGTTCCAGGACAACTGCTACTTTTTTCTCAAACGTGAGTTACTGACAACGTTCGCGCTCTTTGGATAAATCAGTCTAGAATATATTGGAATCGAGTATGGACCGGCTGGATCAAAGTTTACCTCGCCCATGTTTAGCTTTGTTTTCAACTTGGTGCTTGTGATCACATTTGCCATACTTGGGTAATATTTCTCGAGAAAAATTTAAATTGAGATTAAAATAAAGAATGAAGAACCGGCCGAAATGGTCTAAGAAGGATTTCATGATTCGATCAAAATTAGACGAGCTAGACGAAGAGCTCAAGCTCAAAGTAAATGAGGCTTTGTACGAGCGTGTGGCAGTCAGCAAAGAAAGGCTTCTAAGTTTTAATCATTTACGGGCTAGACAATAATAAAAAGCCGTAAAAAGACCTTCAGGAGAAAAGACAAGCCACTTCCGCTATCTTCAAAGAACACATGTTCTACAAGGAGCAGCTAAAAGAGACCAGGCTTCGGTTAAAAGGCCTGAAGGACGATCACGATACTCTGATCATCAAAACGCAAGAAGAAAAACTAGGCTTTGAGGTAAATTCGCATGCTTTTATATAACTTACTATCTTTGAAATAAATAGTTTACTATGAAACGCTATGATGACTTTTAGTCTCTGCAGCGAGGTCTCTCAACACTGGACGATCAATTCAAACGTTTCCATAATCAGGTAGACTTACCAATTCAAAACCTCCAACCACCTATTTTTTAAGAACAAGCAACTCCGAAGTATGCAAGGATTACTCGAGCCCGATCTGGGAGAAGAAAAAGAAGAACCCTAGGGTTTGCTTAACTTGTTCCTAATCGCACATCTGTATTTTAATAAATTATTTTAAATAGGTATCATCGACGAAACTTTTACTGTGAATAGCGACGTAAATGATTTAACTTTTCCTCGTGCAACATTTCCATGAATGTGATTCATGCTTAAATTGATCGAGTTCAGCCCCGAGTATTTCCTTAATAGCTAATCCGTCCGACGCCAGATCATCCAGACGAGGAAGAAACGCCATAAAAGCACATAAACCCCGATAAGCTGGACTCTTTTCATATCATAAATGGTAATCTGCGTGAAGATAACCGAGCTGCCTTGTTGTATGGTCGTTTGACCACTTCGGGCCGGACCCTAAGGAGGACGAGAGTGCTCTGCCAAATCTGACCAGATGCTCAAATCTCATCACCCACATAACTACCAAGTGGGTAATTATAAACAAAAAATATAACCGGCTTTCCGTACACACTGATACATCAGCTGTACTTACACTAGTTGAGAAGTATATCGGTTTATTGCACCTACATTATACAGAAAATAAGAATAGGGGTTCAGGGTAAGGTTCTCTCGCTACTACCATAAGAATAATAAGAGCGAAGGAATTGTCAAGGCAACACGGTGATCATTAGAACTAGAAGCTGTGAAAGTGATTTTTACTTTGATTAGACGTTAGATTCTTGAGTTTGAAGAAATTAAAGCCCTCCCCATCGCGGCAGGTATGAGCCCCAGCCAGCTTGACTCTGAAAAATATGAATTTGAACATAAATTATAAAATTTTTCGACTTACAGATTCAACTTCTAGGCCAGCCAACTCAATCAGCTTTTCCTTCTCTTTTGGTTCGAGTTGAAGCATCGTATCTAGCACGGGTATCAGGCCAGTCCTTTCAGAGCCGGGCGCAATTGTCATGAACTTAAGTATGATGTTCTTCAAATACTCCAAGTTGTGGATGTTGCTCTCGCGTTCTTGGTTCTTCTCGAGACGCCGGATTTCCGTCTAAAAACACCATTTACAGGCGCCTTGCCAAACATTTTAAGGCCATACTTTCAGGATGCTCGTCTGGTCTTCGAGACGAGAATTTGTAGCTTCTGATTCAGCAAGCAGCGAGTTCGCATGTTCCACTTTGAGGATGAGCTTTTTGATTTGATCTTCCTGCTTGGAGGATTCGCGGTGGCGCACGGACTCGGATCGCTGGGACATGGAATACGGAGACTGGATGATTTGCTCTAGAGACATAACGTCCGACCGATCATCTGAATAACTTTTAATAGAGATACTCACATGTGCTATAATTTTAATCGATAAAGCCTTATTCTCCTCGTACCGTCCCGTTCCGCGCCAATAGGATCCGATCGTTCTGTCCGCAGCGGGTCAATTTTGGGACTCCTATCTACTTGTTGTGAGTTGCGTCGGTTCTCGAGATCGCTCTCTTCCTGTGCCTTACTCGACTGACGTAGTTTAAAGAGCTCTGATTCCGCTTGGGCCGCGCGTCGCTCTGCCAGCGATAACTTTAATCCGTACTCGTTTCTAAATAATTCTTTACTTTTCCATGCTACCCGTGACGCCATTTCACCTTTCTTTTTGCTGAGCATCTTCGATCGCCTTCTTGTGCTCCTCCTGAGCCCTAGCAAGCTCGTTTTCTAAAGTGAGCGTCTTCGTCTTTGCTTCAAGAACTTCAGCTTCAGTTCTGTTAACCCGTTCGACGAGGAGTTTTTCTTTGTCGCCGAAACTGCTTTCGAGGTCCTTGAGTTGCGATGCGGTGCTTTCAGCTTGGTGACGCCATTTATCTACTTCTAACCGGACGACTTCCGATTGCGACTGACTCTCTTCCCGCTGCGCATTTAGTCGCTTGATTTGATCGTGCGCCGCAATGAGCGCTAATTAATTCAGTCATACCAATATCAAAAAATTTTCTTTTTCGCTACCTTGTTTGGCTTGCTCTAATTGTGCGGGGTCAGAGGAACTCTGTCGCTGCTGTTTTAGGACAGAATGCACTCGGACTTTATACTGCTCGAATTCTTTGCTCAAGTTTTCGTGATCGGTAGTGAGACGCCCGAACTCGTCAAGCTTCTCTTTGACAGTAGCTTCCAGGGCTGACTTCTCCCTAGCCAGTTTCTTCTCCGATTGCTCCTTAAAATACCATAGAAAAAAGCTGAAAATAATCTAAGAGCCAATAATCATCATTTTTTCATAAATAAAAAGAATTAATAGCTTGTTTGAACGCGTACATTTTTGAAGCGAAGATCGACGAGTTCTGCATCCTTAGTTGAAAGCTGTAACTTGAAGTCTTCTAATTGTCCTCGAAGCTGTTCTGTGGTCGACGACGATTGCATCACTTCAGTTCGAGTGTGCATTTCCTAAAATTTCAGAACTGGTGAAACAAAGCTTATGCTACCTTTTCCCGTAACTCGCTCAGTTCTTGGTTGGATGCTTCAACTGTGCTGCGATACTTTTCGACGCGTTCTTCCGCTGATTCGAGCGCCTCTTCCGCCGCATTTGCTCGCTGCCGAACTTGATCGAGCAGATCGTTGAGCTGTTTATTATCTAAAAGGGATTTCAATAAGAGACTCATGGACACGTCTGGGATCACCTTTCTTAGTGGCTTCAGCTTCTTCTTGGGCACTTTCCACAAGTTTTTTGAGCTCGTTGACGGACCGCTCGTAATCCTTCATTTCCATATTGATGAGACGTTGAGTTTTGAAGTCTTCCTTCGTATCTTCCAGTTCTTTGGCTATTTTAGGGTCGAAAGAACTCAAGTCGATATGAAAATAATCTTTTGACATTGTTCTCGATATTATTGAGTCAATAATAGACCCATTCCTGATAATGCACGTTTAGTTTTTTCGACTTCAAGAGCCTTTTCTGCCTTAGTAAATCTTTCCACTAAGATGTTCTTTTCTTCTTGCCTTGCGCGTTTTTCCTAAAATGTGTTTCTCTATGAAACTTCGTAAAACGCCGAATAAATACCTGAGCAATTTGTGAGTCAAGCTGGACTTCTCTCTCCAGCGCTTCATCAAGTCGCGATTCCTTTTCCTTTAGTTTTTGAGAAAGTCGCTCAAGTTCGCGAGAGATGGATTCTTTGGCGTCAATTGCCTCTGCGTTTCGCGAGTTTTCCTCCTGCACTTCAGCCAGGTGCTTGTTAAGACTCTGGAGTTGGGCCTCGAGCCTGTCAACCTCGTCTTGTAATCGATCGTTTTCAGCCTAAACATGGTAATAAGCCATTTCATTTTATGATTATCTTACCTGAAATGACGACGTCGCCGTAGATGCTTTTGATGAAGACTCTTTTAATTTCTTGATTGCGTCTTCACGTGATGCTTTTTCGGCTGACAACTTCTTTTTCATCTCATCCAGTTCCTTTTTGCTCTTGAGTGCCAGTTGTTTTAATTTTTTGTTGGTTTCTTGAAGCTCAGTAGCTTTTTTCTCCATTTTCTCAAGCTCATCTAAGCGGATTACTTTTTCTTTCAAAAAAGCAAGTTCTTCTGCAGATCGTTGGAGAAGACCTTCGAGTTCTTTTATCTTTTGACTTTGTTCCACAGAAGGTACTGTATCTGAATCTTCTGCTTCCTTGCTGTCTGAGCATTCGAGTTGGCTTTTTAAGTCATTAATTACATCGGAAAGTGAGGTTTTTTCATCATTAAACTTTTGCTGATCAGCTGCGCGTTCTTCTTGCAGCTTCTTTATCGTCGATTCTAACGATAAAAATGCTTCGGAATCTTCTTTTTGAGCACTATCCAATTGATTTTTCAGCTCACTTACTTCTGCAGATAGCGATGCATTCTCCCCAGTTATTTCGTTGCATTTTTGTTCTAGATCTTTTATCGTCAATTCTCGATTGGCAAGAGCTTCAGAATCATTTGATTGTCGCGTCTTTTCCTCAAGAAGCGTTTTATTATTTTGAATAATCTCTGTCAATTTTGTTTGAGATTGTTCGAGGTTTGACGCCATTTCCTCCTTTTCATCGCGTAATTTTTCTATTTCCGCGGAAAGCAAGCTAACCGATGCCTTTTCCTCTTCAACATTTGTACGCGCATCTTGGAGCTCGCTATTCAACTGCGTAATGATCGATTCAAGCTCAGTCAATCGAGTTTCTGATTCTTTGAGGCTTTTCAGAGCATCAGCAGAAGTCGAAGCGGAGGATTTAAGGTCAGAAAGGGCTTTTTCCAAAGAGATAATATTCTCTTGGGCGAGACGTAGATCTTCTTCGGAGTTTTCGACTTCTCCACGGAAGGTTTCCATCTTTTCTTTCAGGGCATCGTTCTCGGACTTCATTTTATCAAGTTCAGCTTGATGCGAGGATGAGCGCGAGCTTTGAAGACTTTCAACTTCGCTTTTCAGTTTTGAGTTTTCCTCTTCCGTCGAGCTGAGTTGATTCAATTTTGATTGCAACGTTTGTTTTTCCTCGGTAATATCGCTAATAATTGCATGAAGCTTTGTGCATTCTTCTTCTAATTCCGTGAAGCTGTTTTCTTTTTCTTCGTTGAACAGGTCTGATTCAAGTTCGGCGATGCGCGAGTCTTTGGCATCTATCAGGTCCTGTAGCTCCCCGCGTAGTTGCTCTTTCTCCTCCATCGCCTTGTCAAGCCGCTCGTTGAACATGTCGCGGAACTTGTCCATCTTTTCGTTTTGCTCTTCGAACTTGAGCTTGAGCTCTTCATATTCGAACTCCATCTGTTCAGATTGCTTGTTCGAGCTGCTGCCCCTAAGAGTCTCCTCGAGAGTTGCCGACTTTTGCTTCAGACATTCAATTTCTTCTTCTTGGCGTTTTTGGAGAGATATAGATTCGGCGAGTTCAGACTGGACCGATTGTTTTTCCTTGTTAACCGAGTCCATCTTCATTTTCAGCTGTTTGAGCATGGACATTTGTTTTCGTGAGAACGCACGGAGGTCTTCCAGAGGAAGCGTGTCAATCTTCGACTGCATCCCCGGAGACGCCATGCTCCGATTTCGACAATCTGTTGTTCAAAGTGTTAAAGTGACTTACTTTGTTTGAGAAAAAAGAATCCAGCAAGGATATGAAAGAATGAAATGAGAATGAGCTTTATTTATTTGCTTTCAAATGGCTCTTTCAGATAGTGATAGTTGGGCAGAATGCGGTGAAGAAATGTAATATGCGTAGTGTTTGTGGCAGGCATGACTTCGGCGTTGCGCCTTAATAAAATGCCATCTTGCTTTGTGAATACTGTTTTTGGCTTGACGATTTCGCTTCTGGCGAGACTGGCGCCGATGCCAAATATGCAGCCGGTGGTGACTTCTACGTCGCCTGTGATTGAGGAACGAACTTCAAAGATATTCCTATCCCCAATTTTTATACCTTGAAGGAAACAATACTTTTATCGTTCAATTATCGTCAAGTACCTTCAAATCTGGTTTGTATTTCAAAGATATTTCCATCGCCAATAATCAGTGGTTCCGGCCGTGTGTTCCTGATAACGACGAATTCTTCGATCAGATTCTCACTTCCTAAGTAGGAAATCAACGTTGAAACCCACTTGAAGAACTAACCAATTTTGATGGGCCCCTTCTCGGCGATGATCTGCGCTTTAGGATGTATAACCGTTTTGGCGCCGATCTCCACGCTGAAGTCGCCCTCAATCATTGCCTCCACGCAAACAACTGCTCCCTTTTCAAGCTTTATATCCCCGATCTTTGGCATGCTGAAAGCTTAATTCTATAGACGCGTTTTTAGAACAAATACTTTGACTTTGAATTCTTGAATATCGGAGGCAGAATAAGATTAAACAGAGGGAACGGTATTTTACTTTGTTGTTTATGAAATATAAATATATAAATAGAAATCGGAATATGAACATTGCTTCACATTGCGGAAACATTGTAGAAGACAATATTTACCGCGTCGAAGGGAAAACGGCGATTCTAATCCAGAATAGATGATTGAGATGCGTTAAGAACTTGTGAGGATAAGAAGAAATCACCCCAAATTATGCAGAAAGTTAAGTATCAGTCGATCAAGGTAAGATCGTTTGAGAAACATAAGGAGAACAGAAACACTACACGGAAGTTGGAGAAGAGTATCATCTTCATTAGTAAAAAGGGGCCAGCACATCAGATGAACAACGAAATCAGAAACAATCTCTGACCAGCTCGATTTGAGGCGTGTCGCCGACTGTCTTGAACAGGAACATGCTTTCAAGGCACTAGAAATTCGTTATAATCAAGCCCGATCTTTAATAAGTGGCTTACTTTTAGCCCAATCGATCGTAGAGCTGGAAGACGGAGGAGAAGTTTCGCAAAGCGGCCGGGTTGCTCCGGGTATTTCTGTTTAGCTATATTTTAAGCTTAGATTTAATTATGTTCTCCCGACTTACAGTAAGCCTCTAGCGTGGCGTAAACTTTTTCTCGCAAATCTTCGACAAGGAGCGGGTCTTGTAACTGCTTGACGTCGGGATTGTACAAAATGATCGCCTTCAAGCAACCAAGTTCTGTTCGATCCAGCTATTCAATGTTTTATAAAAAAAATGATGCGTGTAATCACTGTACCTTCATTTCTTTCATTTTATAAACCAATTCCGTAATAACGCGTCCGAAAATGATGTCAACATTTGTCGATGTGGCTTGTCCTCGCGTGAGGATTTCATTCTTTCCAATGAGCAGTTTATCCTAAATGAGTGGAACGGTAAATTTTTTTGGGATATTGATAAAAAGAAACCTCGAATTCCATCGAGCGATGCGCGATGTCCGCGATTGTGATTTCATTCCAGGCACTCTGCACTAGATAAACTCTATCGTCTGTTTTTAACGTCTCAAACTGCGGAATCATCTTTGTCCACTCAATAAGCGCACGAAGATATTCAGTGACGTAGTTGACTGAAAAAAAGCATTCTATTAAAAAAGATGCGACCGTTACAAACCTCCTTGATTCTGTTGGTATAACCTGTCCAATTCGTTTTCCGCGTCTCTGATCTGTTCTATAGGCATTTCATCAAATGGGTGCCCGCCGTTTTCAGATGCTAAAGCATAATGAATAAAATATGGTTAGCCCACAGGTAAGTCTAGAATAAATTGGTTGAGAAAAACAGCGCTTGTCTACGCGACTTACAAATATTTCGGGACATCATAGACGACTCCCCTCCGTTCTCGTAGTCCATCATCATTTTGCCGGCGTCCTTCGAAACTAGGGAAAGTTGATAAGCAGAAATTAACAGCTAAACTTACTTTCGCCCTGGACTGCTTCGCGCTTCATTCCCATCGTCAGACACTTTTGATATCGACAAAACTAAACAAAAATAAAAACGTGTCTTGATTATTTTAGTCATAATCCGGGTCACTTATGAACCCTTTAAAAAGCTAACCTGGCATCTATTTCTCTGTCGCTTGTCGATGACGCAGTGTTTGTTATCTCTACAGGAGTATGAGAGCTCTTTTCTGACCGTGCGTTTGAAAAAGCCCTAAGAACGAACATTAGCACATTTTGGTAGGTTTTTTTAGTCTCACTTTGCAACCTTCGCAGCTGTATAAGCCGTAGTGTTTTCCAGAGGCTCTGTCTCCGCAAACTAGAATGAATCTAAGTGAAACTAGAACAGAAGTAGAAATTACCTTTGCAAACATGCTTCGAGTGAAATGCGCCCTCAGAGTAGATATCCATCGAGAAGTCGTTGGCATCATTGGGGATCTCGCCGACGTACTCGGGCTCTTCTTTGATGTATGGCGAGTTGGTGTCGATTTGAACATTCTAATCAAGCTTGTTTTAACTGTGCAGAAAGATAAGAAGCTACTTCGTCATCGTCAGAATGCTGATTTTGAGGGTTTTGCTCCTCCTGCGTCATCATAGGTCGTGACAGATGATTCTGGAAGCGTTGCTGGAGAGATTGGAAGCGCTGGTCCTCGGACATATCCATGGGCTCCCCTCCGCCCATTCCAGGGAAGAGACCCCTTAACACTTTTGATAACCATAAAATCCTTTGTAACTTATCCTCCCGGACCTTTTAGCTCACCTAAAAATAATCAAGCCTCGGGATGACAAAATCATAATGAGCACGAAGTGATTATATTATGGTAAACGTACTGAAGACTAAATACGCTTCCACCAGCATGTCAACTATTAAAATTCCCGGCAAAGGAATACTCTGATACTAACCTCGGAAAACCAAAATTCATGATTTAAACTGCCTTGGCCGATTCGGTACAATTTAACAATCTTAACACCAAAGAGGTAAGAATCTCGGTTGTTTTCGCTCTCTTGATCGCATTGGTGATCTGATAGTTTTAAATTATTTGCTAATCTTCCACTGATACTATGAGGAATCTTCGATAAGGCGTCGATGTGAATTACTTTTCTCGCATCTTTTTCTCGAGTACATAAGCATCTGCCGGCGTTATTTTCTGTAATTGGTTAACGTAATTAAGTGTTTTCTCCTACAATAACAGCCTTTATTATAAATTTTCAATGACACTGGTCGAAAATGAGGTAGGAAACATAAAAAAAACAGTGTCAATGAAGAGAGAAGATACTATTGATTATTAAATAACCAGCCCTTGTAATAACCTTCTTTAGTATCAACGACCGTGAAACCGTTCTTCTCGTAAAGTCGTCGGGCAGCATCATTATTCGTCTGGACATGTAACGTTACAAGATCGACTTTCTCTTTTTGCGCGTGTTCCAAAATATGGCTACCGATTTTTGGTTTATTCGCGAAATCAATAATTGTACTATTACTTCAGTAGCTTCTGGCCGACTCCGAGCCGTCTGTACCGCGGTAAGCACCCCAAAGTCATAATGTAGCATCTCTTCTGATTGTCAACAACCTCTATAAAGGACTGAAAAAATGCTTTTGAAAGGGTTTAACCTGTTCTTGCACACACGGCCCCTATGGTTAGATCGTCAAGGAAAGCGAGCTTCGACCACTCTCCGAGCGCGATAATATCGCGATAAAATCTGAACATGAAAAATGGAGCTCATGTTGGGTTATTTTGAGGGCCATCTTGGAACTCAGTTACCTATGATTGTAGGAAACGGGAAACACTTGCTGATTTATCAGCCGTAATACGCGAACGTTGTGCTGTGTGACTTCACCCAGTTCTATCGTGCCAACCATCTCTTTAACGATCACGGCTAAAGCGAACTTCTCAAGAACTCGGAAAGCTTACCCACTTTTACTTTCAATAACAGTGACAATCATAATCATATCATTTACATTTGTACAATTGAATTTGAAGAAAAACAAAATATGAAGTTTATTGAATATAAAACGTATAATTAAAAAAATAAGAAATGCGTGGAATATTGTGAGATTAAGCGGCAGTATATGAAAGGAAGTCTTCGATCGCATCGTTGAGAGAAAATTTCTAAAAGCGAATTTTATAGAGATCACGGAAAACAAGCCTACATGAAAGCGGTGGTAGAGAAGCCAGCGGTCGACATTTTTCAGGCGCCACTTTTCAGCTTCAGAAACAAGTGTTTCCGATTCAGACGTAACTTGCTCGATCGAGTCTGAAAGTTGAGTTGATAGTTGAAGAGAGGATAGAAAGAATGAACCTGTGAGGTAGGAGGCCATGTGAATGAGGGACACTTCATTGCGGACAATTTCCTTTGCCTCGTCGCAAAGAAAGAGGCTGGAGACAAGTGTTGGGAAGAGAATTCCCTTCAGAACGGGCTCGGAGAAATATTGGAAGGGCAACATGCAGAGTTGGTTGAGAATCGTTGGTTGTTCGCCTTGGTGGATCCAGAGCTGGTTCTCCTTGTTTCCCATGACGAAATAACCAATAGCCAAGATCGATTCATGGCGAATCGCCTCGGGAACCATCGAAGTCAAAAGACATGCAATCACTTGTCAAAAATGTTATGTTCTCTGATTGACCACTGCTTTCACCTGATCGAACTTGTAGCAGTTCTTGGTTTAGAATTCGTTGCATGGTCTCAAGACAGAGCGTCGCCGCTGAATTAATGCATTGGAGGATCAGCATCGTAGTTCGCTCGATCGCCGGGGAAAGTTTAATTCCACCGTGCTGATTGTCGCTATTCTGCTCGAGAACAATGGATCCGTAAAGCACCGAGATTCCGCCCAACAATTCCGTTCTTAATTATTCAGATTCTATCTAAAATAGGTAATGTGTTATACCTTTCGAGCATAGCAATAAACTCTTCATGGTACGATGGGCTTTTCGCAATGCCTACAGTTCGTAGACTCGCAGTGAGGAAGGCGAATGCAGCAGAGAGCACGTCATGAGAGCATTCAATTGTCGCGAACTGCCAGAGCTTCTCGTAGAAACCTGATTGCAGAGCGTGTGAGATGACGTCTGAAGAAGAAGCATGCGCAAGTTCCGCCCCAGTAGGAGCATCGGTGCAAGAAGTCATCAACCAGGCAAGGCTATCTAAAAAGACTGGTTCGAATGCTGAACTCAGGTGGAAGAGCTATACCGAGCAGATACCAGCGATCTACATATGGCGACTCAGCAATGACGGGGTACTTGACAAACGTTGAAGTCACAAGGTCGATGATGGTAAAAGGCACAGAGCTGCACATAAGACTAGCGCACTGAATCGGCCGCGAAGATTTGATCACGTCGACGATGAGAGACAAGCATCTTGCAGCAATTGTGCGAATTTGTAGGAGACCTTATCATTCATTTAGCCTAGTGAAAAATAATACCGGCAACATACAGCTGATGGCTTGAGTGAGCGGCAAGACATCCCCAAGTTGAGATTGTGGAGCCACCTTGGCTAGATCAGTCAATGATCGCTCAAGCGCTGCTTGTCGGTTTGCCGACCAGACAGAGTTTTTCCCTTCCTGGAGCTGAAGCTCGGCCTGGCGTTTGATGTCACCAATCAGTTTTCCCATTTTGCCCTTGCTCGACGCGGGAGGGCAGTCCCCATTCAACATGAGTTCGAACTGCTCGAATCTGTTTTCCACTTTGACACGGATTTTTTTCAGCTTCTTTTTAGCAGTTTTCTTCTGAGAAGCGACGGTGATGAGGCTCTTTTCTGGCGAAGAATCAAAGTCCTCGCGGTCAGATGCGAAGTTCAGCTTTCGCGAAACAGTTGATGAGGGTGATTCTCGATTCGACTTTTGTCCATCCATGTTCGACCGTGGCGACACTGGGATACAGCGACTCATATCCTGAATAAGTTTTCTAAAAAAAAATAAAACATAAAATTGCTACCTGCGCTCGTTCTTTCCGCTTCTCCAGCTCTTCAAGACGTCTTCTTTCGGCCTCGATCTGCTTTGCCTTAATTTTTTCCTTGCTTTCCATCGCATCTTTCTTTTCTTGTTGCCGTCTGGCATTAACGTATTCCTCGTGGCGCTTTTCTTTGTTTTTGAGCGCCGCAATCTTGGCATTTTTCTCCTTTTCTAGCTTTTCGGAAATCAACGAGGTCTTATCCTGCCGCTTCTGGGATAATGTTGAAAGCCACGTTTTTCGCTCATACTCAAGGCGTCTTTTGTTGAGCTCAACAATTATAAAACGGCCAATTTTATGAGATAGAGTAGCTTGTTTTATCTTCGATAATGTTTTTCAAATATAAACTGTGATTATTGTGAACCCGGACCTTTTGCGAGCAATGACTGCGCGCTCACGCTCCTCGTTTTCTTTTGCCTAAATCGATAAAAATACTTTGAGTGAAACAAGACACTTACTTTGAGCTCCTTCTGTTCTTCTAATGACATCGTGTGCTTCTCCGTCTTTTCTTCGTATTTTTTGATCTTCTTTTCTCCATCCGCTCTTTTCATGCCGATTTCTAGCTCATTGATGAAGTTTACTTCTTTTACTTTTTGACTTTCGTCTTGCGCCTTGATCTTGAGGTCCTGTTGTTGTGCGTTTCTTTTTGCAGTCGCCTGCTTCAGTTTTTCTTCGAGGTTAATTTTGGCGCGCTGTTGAGCTTTTTTCTGGTTTTGTTGAGCTTTTTCTACCTTTTCAGTTTGTTTTCGTACTTTTTCCGTCTGAAGATATATTTTTTGTGAGTCCACGTGATTATTAGGTGTAATAGTAGAAAAATCGACCCCCCGATCGCCCTTTTTAAACTTTTAATTTCATGCAGAATAAGAATCCTTATGTCGCGGCGATCATTTTGGTACCAAATTCATCGCAATCGGACTTGGTTTTCGGCCGATAAGGAGCATTTGAAGGCCCAAAATAAGCACTAGAAATTTCTAGCGCCCGGAAAGGGATGAATACTCCAGCTCATCAGTACGCCACTTGTTCCAGATTGTAGAGCAGGCTCTACTCTATCGGAATCTACTCGCAAAAGTTGTGAACAGGGGCTCTAGTGAGAACCAGCGCCCGAAGAAGGTCGAAAAATGAAGCAAAATTGGGGTGAAATCATCAGTCTGAGATCATGGAAGTCAAATTTGGCCTTGATTTTGCCCCATTTTTTGAGCTTCTTCGGGCGCTGGTTCTCACGAGGGCCCCTGTTCACAACTTCTGCGAGTAGATTCCGATAGAGTAGAGCCTGCTCTACAATCTGGAACAAGTGGCGTACTGATGAGATGGAGTATTCATCCCTTTCCGGGCGCTAGAAAATTTCTAGTGCTTATTTTGGGCCTTCAAATGCTCCTTATCGGCCGAAAACCAAGTCCGATTGCGATGAATTTGGTACCAAAATGATCGCCGCGACCTAGGGATTCTTATTCTGCATGAAATTAGAAGTTAAAAAAGGGCGATCATGAGGGGGATTTTTCTACCGTTACACCTAGTGATTATCGCTGTACCTTTTCCCGCTGAATCTCTTCACGCCGCTGTTGGGCTTCTTTCTGACGGCTCTCGATCAGCTCCCTATAGGATTCGCTGTTCTTTTCCGTATTTTTGCGCGATGGGGACATCAGAGTCTCGTGAAGGGTGGCAAGCCGTCCTGGTTCTCTATACTGACAGTCGTCTTGGCTAATGACATCGTCGGCCCAGTCAAAGTCTTCTATCGGGCTTTGCATGGAGCCGTTTGCGTTGTAATCGCGCACATCTTCCAAATCAAGTCTACAAGATTAAGATTGAAAACAAATCTCTCTATTTGTATTGCTTACTTTGGAACAGGAAGGTCGCACTGGTCTGGTGAGACGGAAATTGGCTTTGGCAAAACGCTCGTGTCACTTACTGACTTGCCTTTCAACCTATCTGCCCATGTTCTGGTTCCGTTGGAGTTGTGATGCGCAGTTTGTTTATTCTGCTGATCTGTGTTTGTCCGATTAGAGAGCCTTTCACGCGGTGATCTAGGAGTCTTTGATCTGATTTCATCCAGCTTTCGCGGGGCAGGACTGGTCTTGCGCACTTCCCAAGCAATGCCACGGATCGGCAGCTTCTGTTCGAATGTTGGATCCCGCTGTAGTAGAATTCGTTCTTGAAGCTTTTCTACGTCGTACAAGTAAGCTTTCAGGTAGAGCACTACTTCCTTGCATTCTTCTACCGACTCGTCTTTTTCGCAAGTCGCGTAAATTTGGTCTATAAAATTCATTTACAACCGGGGTAAAATTAAATGTTCCTGACCAACGGCTTTCTTGAGATTGTCGATTAAGAATTGCCACTTTTTGGCGTTTGCGCGCGCTCTGATGTCGGTCCTTGCTTGATCGTAAATGCGACGCATATCACCGCCACCGTGCGTCATGTGCTCGACTGCGGAGATCCTCGTCTCGCTCTTCGATCGACCAAAGATCGGTACTGGCCGCATGCAACGGTCGCCTGAAGGTTGTTGTGGAACATTGTAATAAAGTAGATTTCGAGCGTTACGTCCTTAGATAAATGCGTTAAATGAGACTGCTCTACTGCCGTGGGAAGGAGTTACCTTCTTCCCGGATGATTTTTTTCATTTTTTCTACTTGGAGACCTGAGTTGGCGCTTGCCGTTGATGCCGAAGATTTGAGCGAGCTCTCCTTGGAGCTGCCTTTGGAGCCCTTGCGTTTCGCCTCAAACCACCCATCGTTGGTTTTAAAGGCACCTCTCATCGACAAGAAAAAACTGTCCGATGATTTTACAAAGGTGCCACTACTTTATCTGAGCGAGGCATTTTTACAAAGATCTGAATAAACGTTCCCTTAGCGTCGATTCTAGAAAATATCCGTGGAATCGAAATTTTGAAGATGAAAAATTAAAAAGAGCATCAATCAAGTCAAAGCGTTTTCAGGTGACTCTTGATCGCTTCCTCGAGCTTCTTCGTGTAGCTGTCGATTTTGGAGACGTTGGAATTCATTTGCTCGAGATCAATTATTAGTTGACTAAGGTTGCCGAGGAGGACGTCGATCTCGTTGTCCCTGGCGCTCATTTGCACGAGTCGCGCGGAGATGCTCGCCACTTCGTTCTCAATCTTGCCGATTTGGAAGCCGGTCGCCTCGTTCATTTTGTTAAGTACTTCGAACTCCCCTACTGGGACTAAAGTGATAATTAGCCAAACTGTAAAACTGGCGATCTAAAGCACCTAAAACAGTCTCGTGTATGTATTGGCGCGCGCGTTGATTAAAAGCATGCCCAGCTTTCTGCAACGGGCTCGTGCTCTCGACCTGAGACTGATTCAGTTAGCTACAACACACACTCTAGATTAACTAAGGGACAATCCCTTTCTTGCTGAATTTTGTAATACTTACTGGATGGTACGTTTTGAGCATTCTTCCAACAATCTTCTGAAGACGCTCGCGAAAGTGACTGATATGAACAGCCTTCTTGTCGAAATAAAAGCTTTCCTTCCTCGCTCCTGTCAAGAAGTTAATGCAAATTTGATGAGATATTGATAGAACGTGCAGACCGCAATCGTAGGTATTCTTTTGTGCGACAACGTCAGCGTCAACGATCTTGAAGGGGACTTTTGCGCCAATGGACGTAGCAAAAGAATTTGCGCTTCTTTTAGCCGCCTTGACATTCGAATTACTATCCAAGTAGATTAATTGAAGAAATATGCAAAGACTTTTGAGGCTTTGGGATAAAAAATGCAAGGCTTACCTTATCGAGTTGAAATGAACAAATTTTTCCGTCTGTCGGAACCAGACGAGTAAACTCCAGTGAGTACCCCCGGCATTCCCTGATTCCTCGTCATTTATTGGAATGAGAACGATCTCCTTAGCAGACAAATTCAAACTCTGAAGCATGGCATCTGCTTCGAAAGGTTCTGCGCACAATTTAACCAATTGCACAAGGGAAGGATCAACATAGCCAATTCTTGGATCATTGATTTCTTCGTTGCTTAGATATTCGTAGAAAAAGGAGATGATCTGGTCGTTGAGCCAATTCGGGGCGGAGAGCAGTGCCAAGTCAGATTGCCGAAGAACAGAATCGTGGTAGGAAATAACAATCGAATCTGTCATTCAAAAGTGTATCTTTAATTTTTTTTTAATATTTAAATGCTGCTTCAGCTCTGGTTATCTTACTCTTGGCAAAAATAATGTTTCTTTACAAGAATTGTATAAGTTAAGGTAGTCAGTGTGAATTTACACGAAGAAAATAGTTCAATCTTCAAAAGAAAAAGAGAATGGAGAAACTTGACGATTTTGTAGTCATTAAAATGGTACTGCTTCGCGTTATGTTGCTGCTCACCGTAATAAAAGACTTCTAGCAACTCAGACTCGCTCAACTTGGGGAAAATAATAAAGGTGTAAATTATCACGTTCCTATGGCAACAAGCGCGCCACCTGCAAGTCCGCAAGAAAGAGGCACATTCTCTTTTATTATCTCTTCAGTCGGGTACTAAACAACTCAACTCAGCTGCTATTTTGGTGATAAACAGACCTTGGATAAATCGAACTGGGGATTGCGGCTTTTCAGCTTGTTGTAATCGTTTTTTACTTTTGGCCAGTCGACTTTGATGTATCCAAGTTGGGTCAGAACTAAACCCCTTTGTTGGAAGCAAATGTACATAAAAGGCTAAAAGTACCAGAAATACAGGTGATTCCACCGCCAACAGTAGAAAAAGCCAATTTTCCCACTTTCTTGACCAGAGCTCCAATAACTAAGCCGCCGATAAATCCAACTCCGGTTTCTTTTAAGATCTGAGCATTTCTAATCAAGACAGGAATAAATCTAACTTCTACTGGCGTTCAATAGACTTACGTTCTAGGAGGAACTTCTTGTCGTCCTGTAAGGTATTCTTTTACTGTGCCCAAAGCTTCGTCCATCACTTCGATTCTTACCATGTCTGAAAAGATTTTAAAAAATAGTGGAAATGTAGGTTTGATAATTGTAGGTAAAATTGGATATGCGTTGAGAATAAGAAAGCTACAGAAAACAGAGCAGATATACAGAAATTACTTCATTCATTCTCAATTACAGTGGATGATCATGAAGGTAGTCGGAAGTGGTTAACTGAAGAAAATGAAAAGGAGATATCCTTTTTTAAGGATTTGGTTTGTACGGAGCACTTGGGTTCGAGTTGAAACCTTCGAGTTGAGTAGCGTTGATGTTTTCCCACTGCCATTGAAAGGCTGGATCGCCAACTTGCGAGCAGGGCATCATCAAAAGTTTGGAGGCGTCAACAGTCGCGCACTTTTTCGAGGAAGGATGGACGAGTTGTTTGTCCATGTACTTCCACAGCTGGTTTCCGTGCTGATTGTGACAGTCCCAAGTCAGGATGCTCTTGCTTCGGTAACTTGCGTCTAGACAGATTCGAACGGCGCTTTCAGGAGTCTGACCAGGTCGGATGTCTTCCCGCCACGTCAGTTGCAAATCCTGGGCATGGCTTCCTTTCTTACATGGCGACACAATTACTTGACTACCCTTAAATAACAATCGTTTAATCAATTGTATCTTTACAGCTATCTTGCCTTTTTGACTTGTGGATCCATACAGAGGCCGGACTGAATATGCCGTAACTGGCCCCAGGCGGCAGAAGGAGGCAGAATCGGAGGATAGTAATGGAGCAGGTCAGGAATGATGTTCTTTATGTACCAGTCAAATGATTTGCAGTTGAGTTCCGCACGGAGAGCCTTGGCCTTCGTCAGATCTCCAGCATCTACAAAAGAACGGATAAAAAGATAAACAACTTTGGAGGCTTTGAATTACCGATTTTGCGAACATAAGGACGTCTTTTATAAAAGAACTCAGCATATTCGTCCATCCAGACTTCTGCTACTCGTTTATAATTGTAATTCGGGCCGCCAGTATTGGGAATAGTATATGGAACAAACTTTCGATAGATATGACCGATTCGGGAGCATGGAGCGTCAAGAATCCTTCCTCCGCACATCCAAATTTTGAATGAGAGCTCGTACTGCTCACCGCCCCAAATTTCGAGACCTTCGTCATACAACCCAATCTCGTAGAAATAATTTCGTTCGATCGCAAACAGCCCACCTGCCATAACTGGTGATTCGAACGGATCTGATGGATCTTTGGGGCGTTTTTCTTTTGGAATGGGGATTCTTTTGTAGTACAACTCCCAGTCAAATGCTCCTCGCATTGCGTCGCCAGGCTGGCTGATATATTGAAAGTTTTCGTTGTCGATGATGTCAATCATTGGGCAGACAACAGTCTTGCGGTCCAACGAGATCGGATGAAGCAACGGAGGGAGCCAGTTGTTTGCTACTTCTACGTGCGAGTCCAGAATCACCACAACCTCGCCTTTCGCCAGATGAACGCCACGGACTCGACTGCGAATCAGTCCTTGTCTCGTTGGGTTTCGAATAAGCTTGACTTTCGTAAACTTTGCCAAGGTCTTCTCCAAGTCCGCTGAAAAATAAATAAGCAGCTTGAAAAGAAGTGTTAAAAATTCAATTTCAAAATATTATTCACAATAATTACTTTTTAAATACAGGCGAGTACTAGCATCATCGACTAGAATAATCTCTCTTAGCAAGGAGTCTGGCGATCGATTGTGGAGGGAATGAAGGGTTCTTAGGAGTGTGGTAAAGCCTTCGTTGTGGAAAGGAATCACTACGGAGACATCTGGCAGGTCGGAATGATATTTTTTCGATTTACAGCTGTTGTGGCGAATGTCGTGAAGGCTGCGATCGAGCGCGATTCTGTCGGAAACGAGAATGTTGAAGCCGTTGTCTCGATACGCCGAGTCCAACTTTTCATTCTCGAGAAGTTCTACCGGCCGTCCTTGTTCTCCCAAGCCTACGATACATTTAATCGCGTGTTTTGTCCAATATTCAACCTGTTCGAGCAGCTTCTTCGCGCATAAACTCGTGGTCGTGCCAGTCTTTCCAAACCGGCTCTCGTTTCTTGTGCTTGACAACTTGTTGCCCTAAAATCGCACCTGCATGCATTTGAGGATGAGCAAGATCTCCATGGAAGTTAACTTGGCTGTGCGGCGACTCGCTAAGATTGTTGTCAATCAAAAGCTTTCCTCAAACAGGAGCCAGTTTAATTTCACACCAATAAAACCGCTATTTCCCATCTCCTAAGACTAAATCTATCTAACTCGAATACTGAATTAAAACTATATACACTGAACTAAAAACCCAATTTATAAAGACGCATTACGAAAGTATCGTACATTAATTTGAAGATAGATCTGATGTAGCGCGCTCGTGAGCAACGTTGTTTGCCATACCGAATGGATTGAAGCTGATCGATGCTTGCCGTTTCTCCAGAAGGAAGCTTCCTATAAAGAAGAAAAAGCAGGACGAAGCAGAGTCCGTAGACAAGAGGCCGGACCCGCACCTTCATAATCTTGGAACGCTTATTTCCATTCTGGAATATGAAAATAATTGAGAGGCGCTTTATTATAAAAATCCGTTTATTGAAGTAAAAAAGTAAAAGATTTAGGAAGCATTTGAAGAAATAAGGCAAAGTCGGTTGTTGGAAGCAGCGCGATCGCGCGTTAACAGAACGCAAATGTCATCTAAAAAGCAACGTCAAATTTAATGATTCGGTAAAATCGATCCTAACCTTGGCTCATGTTGAGGTCTTCAAGAATTGAATACACCATTTTCGCTGTGTTTAACTGAACGTCTGATAGTTTGTCTGTTTTCGCGTCCTTTAATTCAGGAAGGAGCGGCTCTTTCAAGTCTGATAGCCACTCCCGTAAGAGTTGGTCTAGCTGCGCTTTCCTAGGCCAATAAAATAAAAGTCTTGCGGCTTCGCTTTGCAAGTTCTTACGACAGATATCGGATAGAGTTCCAAGCCCCTTCTTTGACCCTTTCGAGGTGAATCCACTTTGACATGGTTCGCGGGAGCTCTTCTTCAATAAGTTCCAGACTAAGATACTTCCGAAGCACGAGAATAAAGGGATGAACAAGAGGATTCTTCCCACTAGAATAAAATTTTCATCTCTGAGAGATTGTCATCTTCTTACAATTCATGCTTGTTGTACGCCTTCATGCCACGCAAATATAACTCATCCACGGAAAGTGATTTCAGGGGCCACGTCCGGAGTTGTTTCAGAACTTGGAAGAAGTTCGAAACGCTGGCGATCTGGGGTCGGCTTTGAATCGAGCCCGGTCGCGTTGCTCGCACGTGCGTGAAAGCTTCCACGTCCGTGAAGCCCTTAACGCAGTTTCGGCTAGACACAACGATCAGAGATGATGGTTACCATATCAAAAATGAGCCAGGCCGCGCAAACGACTCCGGTGCGGCCAAGTCCAGCGTGGCAGTGGACGGCGCAGGCGCCCTCGCTGATTGCGAACGAAATCACTTTGCAAATATCGAACATCTGGTCGACGGAGTAAACTCCGTAGTCTTTTGTCGGGTAGCTGTAGAAGCTGATCTTCTCGGCCATGAGGCGCTCGGGCGAATACGTGAAGCCGGACTGCGCAAGCAAGGTTCCACAGTGCTCGTGCTCACCTGGCTCTTGCAAATTCACTATCGAGCGGATTCCCGCGCTTTTGAAGTATTTCACGTTGTCAGGGAAGAAGTCCTCGGCCGGACGCGCGATCGCAAGGAGCTTCGATGGCCAAATCCAGCTTGAGCTCAGTCTAGGCACTACGGAAGTTGAAAAGGCGAAGTTTCGCTGCTCGTGCTTGCACTTGGCCCCGCAGCCTACCTAATTCAAAAATACTCATTTCTTCAATGACTTCAGAATTGAAAGTTCACCTTACAGGCGACGCCCGTCGGAGTGACTTTTCGAATCCCCTCCCCTAACAATGACACAGATGGTTCCATATTCGAGTCCGATTACCTCATTTCTCTCTGAATTCATTTCTATTAAAGTTTTAATTTTTAATAATTCGAAAATCTAGTAGAAATAAGAAAATGATAAAAAAATGAATGTCATGCTTAGAACGTTATTTAATCAATAAAAATTATTCTTAGAGAAACTGTACTAGTTGCAACACAGTATCTATCGCTCGTAATACGAGCCTCGTATAGTAATTTTCTAGAACCGAGAGTAGCGCCTCAATTGGAGCGGGCGAGCCAATGAGCGAGCAGAGCTGCGCGTTGAGCCACTTTTCTCACTAGGAAAAATTCTCCTTTTCTATTTTTTCGTTTCTCTGGGAAACTGACGACTACACATGAATATTTTACGAATGACTGCCTTATTTACTGCTGACTATGTTGATTTAAAACTGCAATTACTAAAAACTCAATTTCAGAATGAAAAAGTGAGAATTCCGCGCCAGATTATTTGGAGGGAAACAGAAGAAGAAATCCAATTGCTGTCGTTGGTCAACAAGGTTATTTTCAACGCCATCGAACAGCAATACAGGAAAATCTAATTCCTAAGAAGGAAGTACTTCTAACAAGAGAGAACACTCTTTCTCGACTGCCTTTACTTTCATGATCGGAAAGCAAAATTAATTAAACACACTTTTAAATAAAACCTTATGATAAATCAGAACTGTAAAACGATACCGATTCTGATTTCAAGTTTATTTTGTTTTTTTTTTGCAATTTTTATTTTGTTAAATTTCGTCAAATGTCAAGTTGGAGAATTGATAAAGGGATTCAAAAGCGCGGATAACTCTTCAGTTCAGTCGCTAAGTTGAACTATTTTAGCAGGAGTGAATTTTGCAATGAGGCATAACAAAAGCATTTCCGAGAGTAAGACCGAACAGAACTATCAAGATTTCAAAAGCAGATTTTATATTTGGCGATAAGTGATTTCAATATGGCAGAGAGAGGGAAGGTACAGTGGTGTGTGGAGTTGGTGCACCCCTAGTGAGTGCTGCGTTGGTGCACCCCTGACCCGCACTTTTTCTATTGTTTTCTTCTAGAAGTAGCAAAAGTGAGTGCTGCGTTTGTGCACCTTTTACCCGCTATCTAGGGGTGCACCAACTCCACACACCACTGTAAATGTGATTCGTCTTGTTTCCCAGCTCGAACGCCCCCTATTTTAATTTCCGAGCTGATCTTCTCTCGTATTTTGAAGTCTATTCTTCCGAGTCGAAAGCAGATTCGAAGAGCTGGAGTAAAATGTCGGTTAATTTTTGCGATGAGTCAACCCTTGAATGAGTCATTTCCTGAATTTTTAAATCTTCCAGTCAAAAACGGGATCAGTGAGTCATTCACCATCTTTCGACGGAGAAAACTAGGGAAGAGAAATCAAAGTAGCGATCGGAAGAGATTATTTCTGCTTCTTTTTTGTGTTGATTACCTACTCATGCCAATTTTGTCTACTGATTTGAATAGTTTAGATTGACATCATGGAAGTCATGGCGGGCCTCACCCAAGAAGAACTGGACTTCAAAGAGCAACCCCGCAAATGGGTCTGCTCCGAAAACTTGGCCAAAGTAAGCATTTCTGATGCAATCTTCGCTCTCTTTAGTCGATCTTCCTTTTATTTCATGCGACTTAGTGGCTGTCTAAGATGATCCTTGTTTTTTAACTATCTTTTGTTTTTAGCACATTGGCAATGCAGTGACAATTCTCTGCAAAGTCATGGAACGAGTTGATGAAAACAAGATAATCGTCTCCGATATGGTCGGCCAGATCACCTGCACGTGCAACAACGAAGAACTCTTCTTGTTCGCAGAAGTAAGGATAAAACTCATTACTGGAACATCTTTTCCCCAGGGAACACTTATCCTGGAAGCGGATGAAATCAAAGACGCTTTATTATGAAGAGGCCGCTTTAATATTCGATTAAATCTTAAGATTTAAGAATGGTTGAAAAATTCTAAGAAAATCCTCTAAATATACCGTATATATCATTGCATTATTTCAACTTATTAAAATTAAAATTAAAAAAAACATAAACTTGTTTAGAAAGACGACTATGTGCAGCTTGAAGGATGGGCATTGAGCGAGACGGAAATCCAGTGCTGTTCGCTTGAGGAGCTCAAAGACGAAGCCACCAACGACGAAACCGTCTTACTCCGCACCAAGGCCGCGCTCATGATGGACCAGTACTCCGCTGTCGTCTACGCTCAGTAAAATCTCACCGCGAGCATTTTGAAAATCCGCTGAATCATTCACTGCGCGTTTTTTGGTGAATAAATCCACTGAAACCAAAAAGTTTCAAAAATTGACCCCCATCGGCTATACCAAACAGTTATCTTATGATTCATAAGTTATGAAATTCTAGGAATCAATGATTTCCTTAAAATTGTTTGACCTGCACGAAGGGTTTAATTGCGCTTCATCGTCATTTTCGTTGAAAGTATTTTCCATGTGATTGCCGGAAGGATAGTGAAGGGTAGCTACGTGCCTTGTGTCAATTAGGCGCCTTTTGAAAAAGTTTGTGATTTACGAGTTCGAAGTTCGGAACTAGTTACGATCGTTTGTTAAGGCGCCTCCCGGCCTGATCATCTCTCTGACGGCTGACTCAGACGGCTCTTTCTTCATTGCGCCGAGCTACTTTTCTTCAGAATCTAATCATAGCCCCGAGAAAGACGAGAGAAGCCATCAGAGAATCTTTAGTTAAAGTCAACTGCACCCTGCTCCCGAGAGGATGGAGAAACGAGCGCAAAGAATCTCTAAAATTATCAAAGAAGTGAATAAATTTAGGTAAGCACCGTTTTCATTCGCGTATCGCCTAATAACAAGAGGTATATAAGCAACCCATCTGAATAATACAAACAATTCGCTTGTTCCGACTTAGTCAGGCGTTTAATTTTTAATCAGGGATTCGCACGATGTCTCCATGCATCCTGGGCTGCGGGCCCTCCTCCCGTGGATGGACCATTCATATAATCTCCTGCTAAGCCGCCTTCAGAACTCTCCGCGCATTTTCGAAATGGCGGCCGGCAAAATCTCACGCTTCAAACTAGAATCTACCAAAATCTCTCTCTACATTCCAAGTATGACGAAAACACCACCAAATCGTAAATTAATCGATTTTAGACCTCGACGACATTTCTGAGTCCTCCATGATTCCAATTTCAGTCACTTCGGCGGAAAGCGAGAAAATTATGCATCGCTTTGGCCTTTTTCGTGGCGCTGCCGGCGCCTCCAAGTTTGGCTTGAAAAAGTCAAAGTTCTGGATCGGCTACTTTGTGCGTTTAGTGACGGGATTTTATGAGATTTATTGTATCTTTCCCTTTGTGTGATCAAACCGCAGCTTTCCTTGCCTAGTTCGATGACGAAAAAAATCGTTGACTAAAAATACAATAATAACCCGTTGAACAGAACAAGAACTGCTCTCTACATTAAATTGCTCGTTGTTCGTCGAGCTGACAACGATCGAGGGAGTGCCCTTGGCCTCCGACTACGTTTCCAACTTCTCATATCATGGTGGATTCGCGAAAAAGTAAGTCCCATACCTCCGCCACTATCAAGACTATTTATAGAGCGTTTTTCCCTGCTAAGCTTCTTGAGCAGCCACACGAGCCGGTGTTCGTGAATTTTTTCCTGAGACACGGATCAAACGACCTTTCGGAACAAATCCTAGCGGCTATGGAAAATCTAGAACACATTTGCTACGAGGTTCATCTCCTCACGCGCAAGTCCTTCAAACTAATCACGGAGCAAGAATCGACCATCGCGAAACTAAAGGAAGAGCTCGAGCAGCGCAAGAAGGAACACAAACGCAAGTTCCAAGAGCTACTCAAGGAGTCACAGAAACGTATCGAGCTCATCGAGGGCGACTCAAGAGTAAGTCTTTGGCTTCTTTTAAAATATTAATTTATAAGCTTTGCGCCTCTGAAATATAAAACACGAGCTATTTTCGAGTAAATAATGCATCAAGCAATGCTTCTCTAAGTCACGTGATAATCTTCTGTTGTGAACGTCACCGACTTCTTTCAATTCCAATATCAAAAATAAACTTCAGTACTTGCGCCGAGAAAACGACGAACTACGACTTGAGAATGAGCTTCTACGGGATCAAGTAGCTGCTTTCGAGGCAAATCGAGAGGCAATTCTCGATTCAAAGGTGGAAACACAGCAATTCCTTGGAGTCTCCCGCTTCGAACTTCAGCGCAAGTCACTGCCAGACAGACCTGAAAAGATACCCCTCATCGTAAAACGTACGTGCGCGACCTATTTTTTGACTTGGCGTTTTCCGTTGCAGTCGCATGCATTTTTTAACGAAAGCTATTAAGCACCCACAACGGCAATATCATCTCGACCGCCGACGAGTGAATCCATTTTAAATCGGATTGCGACGACGTCCGACCAAAATATCAAGGTAAGACAAACAAAATCGATACCTGTTTTCCTCCTCGGTTACATGAGATTATGCCTTAATTTGATGCACCAGTCAGCAAATTGTCTTCTCCGACAATTTATGTCGACGATAATTAACCCGCTTTGCATTAAGAATTCGGGAGCCAATTCAGACAAATGAAAATATTTGTTCTATATAGAGAATAGAATTCTTATATAACTATTTAGCCTTCGGATTTGCGCGAGCGGAATTGGGAGTTACTAGTGCGTCGAAAATCGTTCCAAGAGCCTGGAATTCAAAAGATCAGAAAAAGGTGAATAGAAAAATATAGGTTATTCAGCACTTTTCTGTCGGTTGTTGATTTATTCCCTGGGACATTGTTGGTTTTGCGTGTTTTAAAGTTTAACTTTGTTTTGGTTGAAGGCGAGAGAGGAAGACGGAGGAGGTGACGGCTGATCCAAGTCAAGTTGCATTAAGTGATATCGTCACTAGTGAAGGCTCAAGGGCGTCTACGCCAACCAACAGGTAACAATCATTTATTGTACATAACTATGGACATCTTGTCGATTTGTTTTCATCGAGAAATATCATGTCCAAGTTCATACAGTGCCTTCGATATCGGAAAGAAGTTCAAAGCTTTGCGCTTACATAAGTTAAGTTTACGGAGTACAGCGCCACACGAATGGGTTCGACATAAAGCCTCGCGAGTGCCCAATCAACAGGTCAAGACTGGACGAGTGCGAAGAAATTCTTCCGAAAGTTCGGCACGATCAGGATCTCTGAGGAGGCGACCGTCGGCCAAGGGCAACAAGGGACTTATGCTTGATAAATTCAGGAGCGGTCGATGTTCTTTTTAGTAATTAAGAACACTTTATCATTAATACATTCGTTTTCGGACATTTTTTCTGTAGATTCAATATCAACTATTTATGTTCGCTGAAGTATTCTATTCGAAATTGCCTTTAAAGTGGTCGTTTACGGAGATGAAACAAACAACGGAGCGAAGGAAAATTTCTGGTTCCGGTCGTACAGCCGGTATCATCACACCTAGCGCTCATAAAAGAAGCTCCGATTTTAATGTTTATGTGATTATAAACTTTAACAAGTTCGAAAACGGCATTAACACATTTTAACTGGGCAAAGGACACCACCCAGGTGGACGAAGTCATAACCCACTTGTTCTGACATAGTCTAATCCGCATCTACCCTTTCATGTTTCCAATTATTCGAAAGTCATTGATCGCCAGGCAGCGGACTAAACAACTTCCCAGAGTGGTATCGTACTTATTACAAACGCAACTTCCACGACAGCAACACCGATAGTAACTATGAAGACATAGAAGACCCCTACAAGGTGCAAAAGTGAACTTCAACTTTCATCATTATTCAAATAAATGACTGTATATGTAAAACATCGTCTATTTCCACGCTGCAAAATGTTCGCTTAGGGTTCCTGTCACACGACGGGAGCAGAGAGCGCCCTAAACAGCCTCAAGGGAGTTCCGATCCCCCATTTAACCATGCTCATCGAATCATATGCATTCAAAACTTGATTGTTGCTTTTGATTGAAACGAAAAAACGAGATAATGCGATTCACTCTTCTTTGCTTCTTTTTTGCTTCAGTAAGTGTTCAAGAGATTCCTCCACCAAAGATAGCTTTGTAAATGATTTCCGTTGTCGGCACTCAAGTCTTCATGGCTAAGGCGATTTTTCATAACTAGTACTATAATAATTGGGTTATAATTTCTATCCAATAAATCTGTCTGGAAAAATAATAAGCGCTCTTTTAGCTGACAGCAAAAAATCTCGACTACGGAGAAGACTACGACCAATTGAAACGAGAGTCGGAAGAAATCGCCAATTTTCTGGGCACTTTCGGCGGATACATGACCAAACGCGAATTCAATTTCGATGACAATTTCTTCTGATCTGTTATTTTTAACTTATTGCGGCATTTCTGAAGGACTAAATAAATTTCAGTCACTTTTATACGTTGTTTATTTGAGAAACTTTGGCAGTAGTTTTGCTTTCTTCGAGCAAAAAGGCGAGAGTGCAGATTTCAATGAAGAGGGCGAGTCCGAAACAAACACCAGACACGAGAATGCCTTGTTCGCGGGGAAGAGTATAGAGAAGACAGCCACCAGTGAGTAGGATGAGAGCTGCAATGAAGGATAAAACTCGTGTCGCTCTATTGCATGTGATCGAGGATCCCCTGTCTTTTCCTTGTCGAATGAACAATGCTGCGCTTTTCTTTAGTTGATATATAAATGCCTCTTAAAAAACTGACTTCAATAAGACTCGATACCATTCCTTTGTCTTGTTCGAGGATCTCTTTCTATTAATTCTTGTATGCGCTAGACGTGCAGCAGAAAACATAGGCATTTCGGAGTTCTTATGGTGAGAAAAATTTCCAGAAAATTTCGTTCGGACTGAGTCTGAGATCTAACAACGCGCAAAATTTTCCGAATGGGTGAATCCGGGGTGCCTCCGGTGCCCTATTTTCATCCCAAATTTGACAAGGGGATAACACAATAGGCTTTGTTGTTCTATTTTTACTACGCCATAAATGTTTGTCTGGAATCTTTACTCAGTTAAGTGGTATGATTTATTAGTAATAAAGTATTGCACTTGCCAAGAATTTACAAAATTGACGGTTTCCATCTGTGAAAACGGTTGTTTTAGCTATCGCCAAAAGGATTTTGCTTTTTCGTTCTCTAAAGCCGGCATACTTTGCCTCCCCAAAGAAGAACTTTGGGAGTTGAAACGGGAAAAATACAGCTTGGCCAAGCTGAAGAAGTTTTAATATATTATTAATTTAAAAGTGACGATTGAAGGTTTCATTGAGACGAAGACGTCTGGCGCGCGAGGTCATTGACGGAGGTCAATTGGTGATCATCATCGTCCGCTGGGGATGACCATATTTGCTTCCTCTTTCATTAGCAACTTCACATGCCAGTCGCTCTTTGTGGAAGTGACTGGCAATTATATTCGAGTTCTTTTTCGACCGTCTCTTCAAAAACGATCAAAGGCGACGATAATCATGCCTGACCATTTGGAGCACTGTAAGCTTAGAGAAACCTTTTCAAAATTTCAGAGATATATTAATCAGAAAATCATTTATTTTCAAAATATCTTCTTTAAAACATGCGAACGCTACAACATCATCATTCAGTGACGCAAGTTTCAAATCCATGGAGAAATGCTTTAGGAGGAGCATTGACGGGACTATGTAAGTTTAAATCTTTGAAAAGAATAATACGTGACGGCTTTTAGAGGAATAACTGTCGATTTGTAGGCATTTTGGTTTTAATTGTTGTGATGGTGTGGTACTTACGCAGAAGAGAAGAACTAGAGAGAGCAGAGCAGAAGAAACGCGAAATTCTTTTCCAGCGTGCTGGCGAATATCTAACGGAGTACAAAAGCCGTCAGCCGGAAAAATGCCGCGATCGTGGCCGCGCACCCAGGAAAACGTTCCTCCTTGATTTCGAAATCTTTGTCTAAGTTTTTCTTTGATTGAACTTTTCGGGAACGTCTCTCGGAAGTCCGCTTTGTTGAATGTAAATATAATTCAAACACATCACGGGTTGCCCTATTTGCTGTCAGTTTCTAGAATAAAAGCCCTATCTGCAAGTATTGTTCTCTGTGTAATTCAGTTTTCAAGCAATGTCCGATGACAGTAACGGCTGGGAAAATAGCTCGGATGGTAAGCGAAAGGAAAAAGTCTCGCTTGACAGTATGAGAGCGTCCTTGAAGGGCCGCGTGCACCACTTATCCAATAGATGTAATCCAGAGGTCTCCGTGACAACATTTCTCCTCTTTCTATAGTCTTGGCGTCATCTTATTACACAGTGCGCTCCTCAGAAAAAATTGTGGTAATGAAATAGCCATTCAGGCAAAACTTCGGGTCATGGAAAAAGAATGAAGAAGAAGGAGAGAAAATCCGCGGGCCCCCGCTTTCTACTCAACCGCTCTGGAGTGCCCTTGTCCGAAGAAGCATGGGATCGCATGTTCACTTTCTACGCCAAAAATGATAAGCAGTTAAGATACAGTAATAATGTTTATTGCGACGATCCGCTCTTGATTTGCTTTAAGAAATCGAAGACAAAGCCAAGTATAACAAAACAAAATATCCAAGTTTACCTAAATTGAGCGCCTTGGGTGAGGAACTTTTATATTTTCTTATGTTTATAATTAATTATTAGACAAGAACGCTCCTCGGTATGCCGAAGTATCGCTCTACCTCTGTAATATCAAAGGCTACTTTAACCAGCTTGAGGTAGACCTACTTCTATTTGTCAGACAATGAATAATTTATAGTACAATCACACAGGAACTCAAATTTTCGAAATATCGAAGCTGACGGGTTTCTCAAGGCTGATGGAAAAGGCGAAATTCATTATCCGTTGCTCGATGCCGATCAAATGTTTAGAAGCGACTGTTGTAGGAAGCGATATTTGAAGAGCACAAGGTTTACTTCAAAGCTTGCCCATTTCACTTTTCAATCGCCCTAAAGGAATGTATCTGACTTGCTTCATTCCGAAGCTCATCCGCTTCCCGATTACTTTTAAATCCGTTTGCAATGGGCAGACTTTCTATCACATCGTGCTAGGAATCTACTACGAGGGACAACTTGGCTCTATTGGGCTCTCAAGAAGAGACGATTTAGCTGACAAGCCATTGATATACGACAGCTTGGCTGGCTTGATCCGCGAATTTCAGCGCTGCTACGCGGGTTACAGTCACAAGTTGCAGAAAGTAACAATTGGGGGACCCGTTCCCACCGATCTCACTTCACAAATTCAAGTGCAGTGGAATAGAAAAAAGTTTACTCTCAACTCAAAATGCGACTGGAACTCGATGAGCAGATTACCTCGGACCTTCAAAAGGGATCAGGTAGGGAGTAATCTCTTCCTTGATTCCAATAATTAACTTAGGAGTCATCGAGCAACGTAACCTTTGGACAACCTAGAAGTATGGAAGCACTCCTCAGTATGATAAAGCTTGACACCACAAAGTACGCCATTCCGTCATCGCCGATGACAATACGCCCAGTCACTCAATTCACTCCAAAACGCGCTTCCCGACATTCTCTGGTTCCAAGTACCTCGCGTCTTCCTGCTGCTTATTCGAAACCAGCCGCTCGCGTCCGTATCTTCAAGTAAGCTCTTTTTATGATTCACCAAATAATTTTAATTTAGTCGTCCTCAGCTGAGCAGTACAACGCGCATCTTTCGTCCATCGTGAACTGTCAAATTTAAGGAAAATAAATAATTATAATATCAAAAAGATTGAATTATTTTCGATGTATTTTGTATTTATTTATTGGAAGACTCAAGCAGATTTGAAAGCATTCGCCTTCCCCGGTGCAAATAATGCACATTGCACAACAAAGTGTTCATTTGTCTCTTAGAAATGTTGAAGATGCGCATCCAGACGTAGTAGTGCAGCGCGATTAGACAGCAGAACATAAGATACGTCTTTATCAGTTTGTCGCGTATTTCAGTGCTTCGCATAAAATATGAATTTATTGTCTCTATCTCCTTCGGACTTTCGCGTTGGTACGGAGATACCATTAATATATTGGTTCGCAACTAAGGATGAAGAAAGCTTTTTCACGCCTCTTTGATGTTATAAATTTATGCCTTCTAAACGACCTTACGTAAAGCTATTTTTATTCACGGTTTGTCAGGTGTCGAAGCGTTTATTTAATATTTATATAAATTCATCTCATTTATGAGATATTGAACAAAAGTACAACAGTAATTTCAGTTAATCAGTTTGATGGTTTCATGTGGCGAAGAACATTGTGGTCAATGTTCATATTTTGATGCAAGTTTTGGTTCCTAAGCGGCGTCAAAACAAAATGCTAGAATTAGTAGCCTACCTAGGAACGACTGAATGCGCGGACGGATTTTTGATGATCTTGTGGATCCACTCCCTGTAATAAGCGACGTTGGTGTAGACCCCTGGGTAGACTTTGTCCGCGCACTGCTTGCCAAAAGAGACGAGACCTGCGAGCGATTGTCGCTGAGTACGACGATCAAAGCAATCGAGCGGACCGCCACTAAAAACAATCACTCCTAGTTGGAATCATAACCAGCCTCTCTCACCTATCTCCAATACACGCGTCAATGGCGCCAAGCTCCGCTGCACACAAATGCTGCCTTGAATGAGATTTGATTAAAGTATTCTTTCACAAGCTTGAACTTGGCACTTACTTTCGCGTAAGTGTGACAGGACGTGTATGCGAAATCTCGCGCACGGAGGAATTTGCGTATGCTGCCCGGCAATCACTGAACTTTGTCAGTGGGACTTGGGCACGCTGGATCGTCTCACTGGAAAGCTACGGAGTTACGTGTTCATAGTTTGTTGACTACCTGAAGCGGGCGCCAGGCTCAGAAGACGTACGTCCCCAACCAGTGATGTAGCAACTGTCCCTGACCTTGAGAGAGTCGACAGCGCGCGGCATGCAAATAGGGCCCGTTTCCATGTCAAACTTGAAGCACTTGCCCGTGTGGTCTGGTTTCAACTGAATCAAGGCGATGTCATTGTTTGCTGCTCCTGTTCTAAACATTCCCTCACATATATTTTTGCGCACTTAACTTACTCAGAAATGACTTGAAAGTTTTCGTGAACAAAAATGTCCTTCACATCAATAGCCTTTCGCGGATTTAAACTTTAAATTTTAAAGTGAGTGTTAATATCAATCTGAAATTTAATAAATGGCTTCTTATCTATGCATTTTACTCCGATCCTGTGCGTTAATCTCGTCGTCACCTTCTTTGTTGAATCTTCCGCTGCGTACTTGAAACGTGCCGCGCTCGACTGCAGCTTGAATAGTGCGCGCGTTTGAGCTTCTGTCACTGACCATCAAGCAATGCGCAGCAGTGATGACCCAGCAACTTCCGATAATTGAGGCGCCACATGCATGCTGTCCACGGGTGTGATCCGCAAAAGTCTGTGGCTTCGAATAGGCGATCTGAGCCATCCAAGGATGGTTGCATGGCTTTGACGTCGTCGCGCCGATGATGCGACTCTGGCAGTTAGAACGACCACAGTATCTTTCTGCATCCAGAAGCTCGTTCAGATCAGATTCTTAAGATTTTTAAGCTTGAATTTCTTTCCGACGAATCTTTCTGATCCGGTGAACATGCAAAAATATGCTCGGTACGTGGCTTTATAGAAAGATTCCGTCACACTGTCCCATACCTATTTCATCCTCTGGAATGTTAATCCCGTCTTCGGCACAGCGGGGAAGTGCGCAGTACTCCCACTTTCGCTCTGGGTCTGAAATTCGCAAAGAGGATTAGATTACGTTGCTCTGTTCTCTGTTACCTGTCGTGTAGCACCACGGTAGCTGCTCGTTTTCACCGAGGACGTGGCATCGAGCTCCAGCTTGGTTCGGAAAAGGAGGAAGAATCAACGGTTTGTGAGGCGTGGTTGTATTCCATGCCTGACAAGGAATACCAGTTACAGTCCGTTCTGCATGTTCCAGTGATCCAGAGCGACATGGTCGCGCGCGCACTACAACGAGCTGGTAAAAAAGGAACGTACACTTAGTCTGTGACTTTTTATGTACCTTCACAAATAAGTTCTCGTTTGAGACCTTTGTTGATTTCATGCTGTCGCGCGAAGAATTTCCACTCCCCGTTTCTTGTCAGCCAGGGATATCGCCCGATGTTGTGATTTTCACGGATCGATTTTTTCAACAAACGATTCATTTTGAATGTCATTTTGTTGAACTTGAGCGGGGCTTGCAAATAATCACTCTTGTCATTTATGCCATTTAATTTACATGTCTTTCAAGCCCTAACAAAAGTGGACGGCCACCAAGGCCATGCACGGTTCTTGAAGTGAGATAGGTTCTGTTCCGTTCAGCTCCAATCCATGCGTTTTTGCCGCGCTTCTCTACAAGCAGTTGAACGAGAAATTGGTTCTCCCGCTCGTTTTGCGGCAAAGCTACTCGCGCTATTCTGTTTCCAATTGATTCATCGTCGCAGACTCTTTTTACTGTTAGTGTTACAACTAATTTAAAGTGAAGGCATTCAATTGATTTGGTTGTTCCAAATGTCAACTTTTAGTTTATGGCAGAAATCTAACAATTCCCTATGAGCCTGTTCAACTGTGTATTGGCCTCTCATTTTTGCATAGCATTTTGTCCCAGGATCTTCTAATAGAAACCAATTCCCATCTGAACGAATCTATCAGTAATTCGGAGTCCCTTGAGTTTATGTTTTATTATGTTGATTTACGCCTGATTGACCTTAGTCAATTATTGTTCCTGCTTTACAAATTTTATGAAACGTAACATTCCACAGTACATAGCTCATATGTAATCCATTATTCTAGCTCCTTTATTCAGATTAGCAATGAGTATTCAGTCCACATCATGTAAAAATATGTGGATTTATACCTGGACATCGTCTGGAGCGAACTTGTGCTTGAATTGTGCTGAGTTGGAGGTAGACAATAAATGTGATGAATGTGGCCTTCGAGAACATCTGCTTTGTTTAATTTTACTGTCTCTCGGTCTGTCTCTGTCGATTGTGTTTTTTTTCTCTCTGTTTTTTGAGCTTCTTGTTCGTTTTTCTTTCTTCGTTGTAGTATTTTTGAGGTTTAGCTTTTTCCAATCGATTATCGTAATTGCGTCAATAACTCTATTGGCTTTATTTTAATTTTAATGGTGGGGGCGCTTGTTACGACTCAATTTAGAAATTCCACCTAACGGAGTCGCTACAGAGGTGAGAGGCCTCCAACAAATACAAATTTCGTATCGTCGATGGTCAGCCTGTAATGCCATGTTTCTGATTATCGCGCGCGAGCCATCTCCTCTTGTTTGGCTCTGGACCTGGGCATGATAGGCGCGAAAATTCCGCGAATTCTTGCTCCAAGTTGCGACTTAGTTTTAAAGAACTACTGTAATTAATGCAAAAGCGATAGGATTGTTAGAATCATCAACATTTCGAGAAGGTACGCGCGTAGTCAATGTGTCACTATTTTCTGAATCTCTCTAGAATCGACGTCGTTGTTTTTAAAAGTCCATTTCTCTGGTCATTATGCTTCTCGGCTTTTTGAAGGAAGGACTGCAAGGAACCTGCTTGATAAAAAAAGCTGATCAAGAAGTTCCATTCAGTTCTTTGCATAAAAAAGCACACTCGACGAAATCTATAATTTTATGCTTTGATTCAAATCCTTTGAATGTCGATCACTGATGACTTAATTTAGGTTACTTGGTCGCAGTTGAACTTGGTAGCCTAGATTATCATCGTTGATCGCTTCGGAGAACATTCGACGATATTCCATTTGTTTTTTTATTTATTAGGAGCGGAGCATAAATTACACGAGGGACATTTTGAAATCAGTGTGAGGGCATTTGGATTTTGAGTACAGTGAGATAAGTTTAGTGGTCTTTAATCTGGACAGCACAGCCAACTAGTTCAGCTCATCCGAGCATCATCAGATTCTCGAGCTGCGCTCGCTGCTCACCAACCATTTCGTAAGGGATTGCCATGGGCGGAACCCCGACATTCATCTGCGGCTGGTTGATTTGGGCGAGGCTCTCGTCATCTCCTCGCAGCAGGAAATCGCGGAAATCAGATGGGTTTCTCGAGCGATCAATACTCGAGCATGTCTCTGCGCAAGTAGTTTTATCCTTCAAAATTATTTGTAAGTTTTCTAATAAATCTAGTATTTTCTACTCATTTCATTTCGAACTAACCATGAAGTTATTTTGCATCTCTCGATCGAGACGTCCCCAGCAGCCACCCCAGACAAACACCTTGCAAGCATCTTCCTCTTTGTCATAGTACCAAGCTGGGACGTAGGCACGGCATTCGCCCTACACAAGGAATTTACACTCTCGCGTTAAAAAACGACACTCACTGGCATTGTTTTTGCCATACACCTAGCCGGCTTCTCTCGCATGTCCATCAATGAGTCTCTGTCCGCAGTTCTAGCAGAGATGCCTTGTTGCGACCCAAGTAGTCGCATTCCAACCACCTCCATCTCGCCACTGTTGCTCGGCCCTGCTTGCTGAGGCGCTTGATTTTATTGTTTTGAGTTATTCAAGGTCATTATTTACTAACCAGATAAGAAAGGCTGCCTGGCGTACTGAAACACCATCGGTAGCAGCTCTGGAGGAATGTCACGGGCCTCGGTTTCTGACAGATCAAGCTCGATGACCAGCCATGCGGGGAGCTGCAAACTCACCAGCTGTTGACCAATTCGAGCTTGTACAGTTACAGTGGTGTCTTTAATACAGGTTCCTAAACGGATCCATCAAGGAATGTAAACGGGTTCAACCTACCGAGGCATTCGAGACTGCTTTTAAAGTTGTTGGAGTTGCCGCCACAGTTACCAGAGTCAAACTTGACACAAGCGTTTTTGCCTTGATGGAAGTAGTAACGTTCTTGGGTCAATTTGGAGAGCTCATCCTCCGCGGACGGCGCAATGAGCGGATTCAAGGGCTGAAATGAAGGGTAAACTTTTGACGAAATGATAAAATATCACCTCGGATGAGCAATTCCCTCGATTCAACGGCATCGTACACAAGGACATTGGCACCGGATCTATCAAGTGATTATTTTGAGAGCAGCGGGATAAAAATAATTTTTAAAAACTTCCGCAAGAAGAAGAATTTATGAGTCAGATGTTTGTAATCTGTTTTCAAAAATATGGATTAAAAGTTTTCGTTGATGGTTATAATTACCGCAAGTATTGGAGCATTCTTGCGCAGAAGCAAAGCCAGTGCAGCTTTCTTGAACTTCGCATTTCTTGGAGATCGAATTGTAGATCCATTTCTGCTTAGAAGAACGCACATTGCGACATGTGAACAAGGGGGTTTGTGCGACATTGCATGGATCAGTTCCGAAGAGGTAGAGTTTCGGACAAATGAGCATGCTGTCAACTTCACCAAACGGCACGCGCTGAATGCGGTAGCCAGAATCAACAAACACGCACCAGCAGTTTTTGTCCGAGCATTGAAGAGGTGTCCAAAGCCCGCTCGCGTCGCAATCCGGCAGCTGGTAATCCTCAAATGTCTTCTTTGCCTTCATTGCCATTCTTGTTTAAATAATTTATTACCGCGTCAAAGGGCACAATTATACCTGATCTCATTGCATGAAGGATATTTGGACTCGCCGCGGCCCTGTTGATATCCGGCCTCCCACCAAATTGAAGCGAGCCAGAGTGAACTAAAAAAACGTATCAGACTTTGGACGCCGTTTTTACGTTTTAATCGTCGCTATTCGCGTCAAACTCAACGTGACGCTAATTTGCAATAATTTTTTTTATCACAGCAAGGTTACAGAGTTTATTCCAGGGCGCCCACCATGCAGGCTATCCAGATCAACCCAACAGTCTCTTTGGCTCATAAAAGCCTCTTTGAAATGCTGAATCTCTTTCAGAATCCTTTAGATTCTAAAGTTTAGAATAACAAGAAAAAAATATCAAGAAGGCAGAAAAGTATGAAAAATTTTGGTCTAACTTACGTAAAAGTCGGGGAGGCCGTTTCTTTCTCCTCTTCTTCCAAGTCAGCGAATTCAGCAAACTTGCAAGAGTTTTAATTTTGAAATTTAAGAAAATATAGGGTTGGTTTTGTTGTTTGGGTTAAAAACTCGTAGCTGAGCATGAACGATGTGCGGCGGTGCGAGTCGGCTGAGCGTGAGGCCGAGTATGACGAGGAGGAGCGGCGTCCAGCGACTTCTCATCTTTTCTCTCCCTTTCTGAACGCAAAGTTATCCTCATCGAGCCCCGTTTCTCAAGGAAATTAAAAGGTTGAAATGGCCTCGAGTTACGTGACGTCACCCAACACGTCGAGAAGCCATTCACCTCAAGGACGGCAACTGATGACGATGATTAGTTTGATAGTAAGCCCACTTCCACCCGCAAATTACCCCAACAAAATCGGGCACCAAAAATCGGACCTCCCGATTTCGACACGACAAAGGGGCTCTAAAAGGAACACTTTGGGAAATTTTCCTACAGCAAAGATGCTATCCATCGATCTCCTTGTTGAGAGCTACCCATCTCTGTTGCAGAAAACGTGTCAAACTTTTTAGACTCAAGAATGTTTAATAAATGAATTCCAACTGTGTCTAAACGGCTAGAACATCTGGAGTTCAATGTATTGGGCTGCAATCTCATTTAAATATTTTCAAAGCTGGGCTGATTACTTTAGCCATTAGTAGTGTTTTGCGCACTCCAAATATACACGCAGACGAAAAATGGGATGAAAAATCGGCGATTATCGTTTTCAATGTTCCACGGTTGAAAGAATAGAAATGGCAGATAATTCTCCTCTCAGTTTAAAAAAAGTGCGACACACGGGGAATCATATAATTGCTCGTTTTCTACATTCAAGAATGGCTAAAGCGAAACCCTTTTTTAAAAAGGCGATTATTTTCATAATCGGTTCGAATAGCGCCACGGTGTCTAACAATTATGCAAGTAGTAGCATTATTATCATGTTTGTTGACAGAGACATACCTATGCTTGATCTTGTTGGAGCTACTCTTGAAGGATTCGGCGATTCTCGGCGCTAGAATTGGATTCGCCTTCTTCCGACGCGTCCTGTGTGTTTCTGTCTGATCCAATTGCTCGTGAATGGGTTGAGATAATTACGCAAGGCGCCCAACACGAGCCGTATGCTTTATTCATTTGAAACTGATTTGGGTGAATTTTTCAGCAGCGTTCTTTGTCTTCGAGCATTCACCCCTAAATTGCAATTGACGATCCTGGGAAAAAAATAAATTACTCTCGGAGTGGGAACACTTTTTGCGACAAGCATTGAACGAACATCTATTGGAAAATTATATTCAATGGATATTATTAAAGGCTGTCAGAAAATAGATATACACTGTATATTATACAGGAAGGCTATTCGTAAACTTTCGAATATTGATAAATTATATTGAATACGAAGATTTCTTATAAGTTTCAGCATCCAAATGAGAAAGATTTCAGTTCTCGAGAGAGCTTTCCGCTGATGACTTTTGACTAGTTAATGACCCTTAATTTATGGCCCATAAATTATTGCTCCTGCGAGGTTCTGAGATTTGCCTTATTCCAAAAGCCTATGAAATGTTAGAAGCCACGAGAAGCCATACCCTTGCTTGTGGAAAGCAAAGGCAAGTTCGAGTTTTAAAGATAATATCCTATTGAATTGAGACAAAATAAAATTTCTTTACTTTGATGTCCTTTTATTGAGCATGTTGGCAGAAAGCGAGTAAAGCAAGAGAAGAATGCATAAGTTGAATTTTTCATGGAGAATTGAAGAAAGCAGAAATAAAGTTAGAAGGTGCAGTTTTTCGATTTCGCCGCTGAAAGAGAAAATAGTTTTGGAACATTCCCGGAACAACTTTCGTAACCAGCGCCTTTGAGTAAGATTCAAAGAAGAAGCCCAAACTAAATTTCTATTTTAACCTTTTCACATTTTTCGAATTTCGACCAAGAGTTTGTCTCCTTTTCTAATAGAAGGAAACCCTTTGATAGTCAGCAAGCGAGAAATGGTTAAGAAAACATATTTGCTTTTGAATCAAGCCTGAGTGTTCGCTTTGACCGGAAACCAGTCTGAATTTTTGCCGTCGAAGTTTTCCCCTCTTGAATTATTGCAGGAGGTGCACAGCGGCACGATATAACAAACTTCATTTGAATTACGTCCTACGAGAGCTTCGCAAACGTGCATTTAGGTCTATTATTGCAGAAAGAATTCGAAGCCCTTCCTTTTATCCAAACATGTCCACCGAGACTGGCTGGTTTGGAACACATTCTTTTCGCGCAACGGGGAGCTAACTCCGGTTTGTTCACAGCTTTCTGAAAACAAAAGTTGAGTTTTCAAAATTGCTAAAAATCAAATCTGAAAATAAAAATTTGAATTATGAAAAATTACTTTGTATCGTCCAAGATGGTTTCTTTTATCGTTGCTGCTGCCAATAACGTGCGAGACGAGTGTGTCTTTCTTGAGCTTCTCGACGGAGCCGATTTCGGGAAGATAGCCGCCGAGCATTCTCTTGGCGAGTTGAGTTTGAATGGGACGCCAGGGCAGCATCATGATCGCGGATGATCCTTTCTCTTTTCAGACGTCAAAATGAGTCACAAGGCCAACGGGCGAGACCTATTTCGCGACACAGATGACCAATTTTGTCAATATTTGGCAAAGAGCCGAAAATTTTATGCTTGGTCCCTGTTTCTTTAATGAAAAAATAAGTTTTATTTAAAAATAAACGCTTGCCAATGTTCTCGAAAGCAAAATTTAGTAACAGCTGCGATACAAGACTGCGTCCAGCTGCTTTTAGGTTCAAAAGTGTCCTGCTGATTGTTGATTCGATTCCATTTGAATAGCGCCATCTTTTGGCGAAACTGGACATATAAGCTGGCTACTTCCCAACTATTTTCAGTTTATAAAATGAAATTTCAAAATCTTTTCTTCCACTTGAGTAAATGCATGAATGTTAATTATGCCGTAATATGTTAAACATGTCTTCCTGTATTCTGAAATAAACATAACATAGTCGAAATGGTCTTGATTGGATTTCTGAAGCTATCTTGACATTTGAACAATCGCGTTTGATAAGCGTCGCCGCATGCACGTGATGAAAAAACAAATTTTGGAAGCGATTTTCGGCAAAAGGTTGAAGTCCGCTTACGTCAAAAACGCTCTCGATGAAGCCTCTCTTCCGCCTTTTAGTCTTCATAGCCAGATTTTGTTTGTTGCTGGTGATTTTGTTTTTTATAAGAGAAAATATTCGAAGCATCGAGGAGGAAAGCTCAGAAGAGTATTTGATTCAGCGGATAAAGGAACAGTTATGTTGAATTCAATAGTTCTGGAAACTTATTTCATTCTTGTTAATTATTTTTCCGTTTCAAAGCTTCCTGCTTTAGACTTACATGACATAACTTGGAAAAAGCGAGAGCTTCAGGTATTACGACTTCAGTTTTGGTTGATTTTGACTTCTAACTTGAGATATTATCGCAGCATGGCGGAATGCGCCAGAACGCATTGCCAAGCGCCGCTGATGCGGCTGATTTGCACGTAAATGCAACTTCTAACAGCTTTCGAAAAACTGAAATTCTCAAGAATGCCATTCAAGAAACAACAATGGCAGGTAGAGTAAAAATTATCGTAAAAGAATATTTTCGATATTCGCTTTTTGTTCAAATTTTAATCCTCAGTGGGCGAAAAATCGAACGTTTTGGATTCTAGGGCCTGCAAACTAGTGTTTATTCTGTTGTGGACTAATTCGCGCGACTATTTTCCATGTCGAGCTCTTGAATTTAATGAATTAGATTTATTTTGTAAAACAAATTTTCTTTTTCAACTTGAATTTGAACATTTATAATCGCGAACGGCACGTATTTGTATTGAGCGGTTGTAGTTAAATGAAATTAGGCGAGGGAGAAAAGAAGCCTCGCGCAGTGGTACTGAGTGGTTTCATGCGCTCTGGTTCATCCTTTGTCGGCGAGGCCTTCAACGTGCACCCGGAGGTGTTCTACATGTTCGAGCCACTCCACCCCTTTTATAACACTGCCAGGGTTCACACTAACGCCTAATTGTACTCAGTAAGTAAATTGCTGCCAAATTGGCTATTCAAATGAACCCTGAAAAAAGGCTGCAAAAGAGACACGAATGAGAAAAGAATAGCACACTTAGGAAGGAATTTTCAAAACACGATTTGATAATCTTAAACCTACATTATCTATATCAAGAGCTAGGTCAACCTAAACTGTTCGTAAGATGGCGATAGCATCTATAAATCGGTATCCAACTGAGAGGGCATTCCATCGGGCGCCCTCTTCTGACAGCGAAGTGCCATTTATACTGGGTGCCCTCTTGATAATTATCAAAAAACAGAAAAAAAGTTTTAATTGCCATAAAATGAAATCTTGAACATTTCCAGAATTGTATTCAATATCCCATTGAGATTATTCTGTACTCGGTGAGAAATAAAATAAAAACGATTTAATCACTTTGAAAACTCCCAAGAAAATTATCTTCGGTATGAAAAAATCATCCAATAAGAGCTAACAGGCTTCAGATGTAACTTCACTGATGTTATCGGAAGTGAACATAGCTACAAACACTACAAGGATAGGACTCACTGGAAGATACTAGAAATGAGAGAGTAAGATTGAGAGTCAGAAAAAGGAGGCGAACGGTTGGGGGGTGAACGACGAATTCGACCACCGCGGTAACTTCATCTTCCGCTACAAAAGCCACCGGCTGTGCAAGGTTCACGGGTTCACATTCCAAACAGAGAATCACGCATCCACGTGGCAGCTAAATTCCTAGTCTGCTCTCGCCTTTAAATAAACCAACGTTTTCTTCGAAAATTTCTTAATTCCTCTTTAGAAACCGAAAGAGTACAGATCAGCCACAATATTTACCCCTTTTATCATAAAATGAAAATACGGGATCTCTGTAAAACCCAGTCTAAAGCCTCCGTTTTGCGCGTCAGACTTCTCCTTCGATGGGCTGGAAAGACTTTGCAGGTGAGTAGGCAATTCTGATTCTAAATGCCTTGACGGGAGAGAGAAGATACTGTTAGACAAGTTGGAATCGCTATTCTTTTGATAAGGTACCACTGCCGCCCTGTAAATGTGCAGCTGGCCCGCGAGATGTGTCTAGCTAGCATTCCCGTCGCCAAAGTTATACGACTGTGCGATCTAGAGCTCCTCAAGCCGATCCTCGAACACGTAGGTAATTTGAATTCTAAGTTCAAGCCTCTTAAAATAGTTTCTGTCGACCGTAACAACTCCAATTCTTTCTCCAGCTTTGGCTGTTCATTTTTTTAACGTGAAGATTTTGAATATGCAGCGTTATGATATTTTCTAAACGAGTTAAAAAGCGTTCCCAATTGCGTCCTCTTCAATCGTTAACATTTTCCTTGCTGGTTGAGATGGTGTTTAGAGAAGATTTAGCTTTTCAAGTTGAGTTGCTGGAAGGATGCGCGTGTAAGGACTTTGATATTCTTTCACGGCCGCAGCGGGCTTCTAACACTGTTTTTACAGCGCATGGTTCATCCAACAGACCTTCACTTTATATCCATGGGAAGTGTATTGCTTCCCTTTGCGTTACATAAGTATTACTCTAGAATTGATACTCCCCGTCGTGACGCTTGTTAATAGAAAGTCCATCCTATTGTGCAACGATCAAAAGACGGGGGCTATTTCCGGAATTCCCAAAAATACAAGAGCAAAGTACTCCGGAGATGCAATTTCTAAAGGTGGATTTTTAGAACTAACAACTCTTATCAGAGCAACGCGTTGAGTCATAAAGACCTGCTTTCGTAAATATTTCAACGCTGCAAAAACAAGAGTTACACAAAAAGACGAAACTGAGATCAAGGCTTATTCATCGTTGTTGTTATTTTTGGTTAGCCTCTGTAGCTCACTTTTCGGTCAGAAGGTTGATTATATTTAGATCTGAAAGTCATCATGCTGGTGCGCGATCCCAGGTTCGTGCTCATTGCTTTCTGATTTCCTCGTGAACACGTGTCGCTTACCTCTCGCTTAGGTCGATTTTGGCATCGAGGGCGGCGATTATGACAGATTCGTCTTACCAGGCGCGGCGCAATATGAAAGTGCAGGACGAGGAACAACTCTTGGGCAACTTGAACAACGTCGTCTGCGCCAAATCGATGGAGAACGTTGCCGCGCTCAGAAAACACCCATGGCTTAGGTAAGCAGCTATTGGTATTCTGGCTAATTTGGACGGTGAAGGGCGCGCACGAAGATCTTGCGGTATGAAGACATGTCTTTTGCCACGAATGCCACGGCCGCCAGATTGTTACGTTACGCGGGACTCAACCAGTCACGGCTTTTTCCACTTACACTTCCTTTCAAGTCTAGATCCAGAATTTACGAAGTCCTTTTTTGACGCCAACAAAAAATTTATATGAGAAATAATATTTTTGTGGTCGAAAAAACTAACGTGGAATTAATGAGTAGTTAGTACGAGGGGTATATTAATAGAGCTGTGTGGAAGCCAGAAAAAGACAAATGAGGTAGCAGAGTGGCTTGGCGACATTTACTACGACCAGATGGAGAGCGCAGAGAACGTGGGCCAGGAAACCGTTCAAAATGAATTTGAAGGGGCCGATTGCATTCGCTCCCTTTGTAAACACGCTCAGACCAATATTTCAATCAAGCGAACGTGCTCTCTCTATATCCTAACTGATATCGGTTGACAAAGAGTGACGAGAAGGCGCTTGGCCCAATTGCGAAAGCGCTCGAGCATCCTGGACGATTCGCCACTTTTGGACGGAATACGTCGCTCATTCCTTACAAATGGATGAAAACGCTCAACTACACGTACGTGTTTGAAAATGTCCTCTGGAGTATCCCGCAAGATAAATCGATAAAACAATACAATAAAATAGTTAATTTAAGCTTTTAGCCGATTTTTACACACAAAATTCTGCCGTTTTTTAGGAAGACTTGGCTCTTTTAAGACTCCCTGCCAGGGAGTCCCTAACTGTTCGGCATCAATATGAACAATATATAAGTTATTCGAAAAGCGGCGAAAATAGTAAGAATCAATTATTCAACTTTCAATTCAGAACAATCGACAAAATCCAAAATCTCTGTAGTGAGTACATGGACCACTTTGGCTACGGAAAGATCGCTCAGCTACCAGCCGACCACAGTAACATCATTCGCCCTGTACAAAACACTGAATACCTCCATTTTTTGTAATTTTCATATTTTATTCAAATACATTTTGTTGAAAAAGATCGTATTTACAGTAAATAGTTATCCACGCGCGAATCGAATCAGAAGCTTTCACACGGTCTGGGTCTTTATCTTTACAATATGTGTGGCGAGGTTTACGAGTCTGAAAGTTAAAGAAAGCAATAATACTTTACCAGATGAAATTTAGAATTTCGGCTTTCTAGCGCGACCGAGATTTTTCGTGGTTTTCGCGTAAACGTTTTTGACGCGCTTGTCCCACTTGTAGTTCTTGCACTCGCCGATGTAGTAAGCAGCGTATTGGACGATAGGGCCATCTTCGGCGAGCCAGCCTTCGAGAGTGTGGTCTTCAGCGAGAATCTGCTTCAATTTCTGCGATGGTGGCTGCCAGTCTTCCATGTCTGAGCAGCTCTTGGATCCAAGAGGGCCCTGAATAGAAATAAAACACTGCAAACAAGGAGAAAGTGTTTTACCTTGATTGAAATGGCGTCTTCAAGCTTGCCTAGAAGATTGTTCAGGTGCTGAAGTTGGTTTTGCTTGACACGCACGGGAAGCGTTATCTGCGCTTGAATCAATGGGCGGATCTTGCCAGTAAGGAGATGGAGCACACCGGCTAATGTATCGAACTTCGTGTCTAAAGAAAGCATAGGTTTAGAGAGGTGAGAAAGTTGTGATCGAGTTACTATCTTCCAGACGATCGGATTCCATCGGCTCAGCAGCAACTGCCCACCAATTGAGTTTCCAGCCCTTGTGCACTTTCGTTTGATCAGCGTCCCATGCAACAGTTGCCTGGTTAAAGTATTTGCTTAATGAAAATGGTAGACTGTCTTACTTTGTTGCTCTTGATATCATAGGGTCTGTCCCAAAAGTCCATGTCCCCCTCGTTGTGATAGATTCGTCTCTTGCCATCCCATGGCAGCGGCTCGAAATTTTTGCGCGGACCGCAGAATCGCGCAATTTTTTCGAAATTTTTATTCGCTCCGAAAAGTCCCTTGAGAATGTGGACCTTGAGCGAGATAAAATAGCTGTTCACTTTTTAACGTGATTCTCTTTTCACTAGAATTTCGTCAATCAATTCGTTTTTCTATTTTTCAACTCGTTCCTTGTCGAATCCGCAAAAGTTGTGGTATTCCACGTCGAAGCCGTACTCTCGATCGAATTGCATCTAAATTTGTCAAGCAAAAGAATGCGGACTGTTTCTTACGTGGATGGTGTAGTTGTCGGGAACTCTAATGTGCCACATACAGGCTTGTCGGCGATCATATCTCGCATCGACATCCTCCCCGTTTCCGACGGTAATCGTTCCTTCTAGCTGTTTTTTGCCGCCGATTTCACCACCGCATTCTTTAATTAGAATGGTTAGGTAATTTGGTGCTCCCCAAGAATAAATATCTGAAATCTACTCACCGCATTTGTTGATGTCTCTGCAGAGAGGATTCTGCCAAAGAAAACGCATCAAGTTAGAGCGTTTCTGAGAGAGGTTGATTGAAGTTGAGCTTGCACGAGAACGAAGCCATTCCAGGCCTCCTTCATCGGCCTCGTCGGCGTTGGTGGCTGGGCTCGAGTCACCTCCGAGCTCGAATCGAGCAAAAACAAGCTGGAAAATCGAAAAGCTCGACAATAACTTCATCCTTTAACACGGTTCAAATACTAAGCACGGAGAGGCTTTATTAAATTTGAAAGTGCTGAACCGACCCTGAGAGAAAGTTGTTTTCTTTTTCGTGAAGTCGATGAAGTAGACTCTCTTTTTTCTGGTGGTGGCGGCGTCGGCTGTGGGACTGATTTGGATACAGTTTCCGGCGCCACGGTTGCTTAAAGCTTCGTAAAGTTAATGTAGAGCGCCACCATAAATCGATAAGAGAGTGGAGCGCCCGCCGCGGACGCTGGCCCGCGCGAACCATCGACAACCTGCGAACGAAGCATTCCGCGATTCTTGTGATGCGCCGCTCAGTCGCCTAAATTTGCAACATAAATGTCTTAAGAATGTCTCTTTGGATTTCTCTCTTTTAAAATTGCTTCCGTAACTGACGTATCTTTTAATCTGTAAATTTATATTACGTTGTTTGTCCTATTTCCAAATGAAAAAAGTTTATTTGCCAAAGACACATGATTTCGGAGATAGCATATTTTCACCAGTTTTTTCTAGAGCCAGTATGTTATCAAATGATTTGTTTTTCAGGGGATGTAGATTTATAAGTGTGGAGAAAAGAGAAAGACAAATGCAATGAAATCTATGATCGTGTCCTCCCTCTTGATTCTTTATCAAGTAAAAGCGACTTTTCTCAGCTGCAGCGAGTCAGTTTCAATATACGACCCCTTGAAATGTAGTTTAACAGGTAAACAAAAATTCGTATTGAGTGGTAAACTAATACATTAAAATTTAGACGCCAGTGCGAACGATGAATGGAAATTGAATTACTATCACAAAATTGACATCTACTTCACATGGAAAGACGTGACAGTCAGTTCCCCTTTAACTTGGAACAGTACAACCGACGAATTTGAAAATAACGAGCTTTTGGAGACTATTCTTAAGATTTGGAATAACAAATTTCATGAAATTTCACAAAGAAATGACTTTAAACATCTATGCTTATCCCAATAAGCTAGCAGTTTCTGAAAACGATCTCCGTCCGTACTACCTTGGCGTTATCAAGAGCAAGAACTTGGGTCTCCAAGACAGGTAACATCAAGAATATTTTTGTAGAAACAAAACTATTTTTTGAATATTGAAAAATATATATTCATTAATTTACTAAGTGGTATCAAAATTCTCGCTCATGATCCTTTGGCGCTGATCAGTGAGGAACTCAGTAAGGAATTCGGCACGACTTCTTTCGACCCGACAACTGAAGGAGTGGAACATAGGAGTTAGTGATAAATTTAAGCAAGAATTAATTCTCTTTTTATGTGCTTTGTGCAGATATTATTCTTTCAAAGGAAATTTATTTATCATAAAAGAGACTTATCGAACTGCCGTGCTCCTCGAACTCTAAAATGATGAAAACACTGGATGAGAGTAAACTTGGGCTGATTTGGGACACTCAGGAATGAATTTAACGATTTAAGACACGACATTAGATTTTTTTGTTCTAGTCCTTGAAATCTACAAAAGTCCGTGGTCTGGGTACCCCTTGGAACGAATACTCACTTTGCAGTTTCCACCGCTGGGCGAATAGTGAAACTATCAGGCGGAAGCTGGCTTTCGAGTAACCCTCCTGGGAAAGAAGTCTTTAGGAAAATCAACCAAAATCAGATCGTAAGTGACACTCGTTGTAAACACATGTTCCTGTATTTTCGAGAGTACCAGAACAATCTTTACTAGCATTTTAATAGTCAGAAATTTTGATTCAAAAGCGCGAACTTCGTGTCAGACCTGAACTCCGATAATTGTAAATTTTGAACATTAGTTATCAAATGCGAGAAACCTTTCAAGAATCTCTTCTGCAATGTGATCACTTATTTGTCTAGATCACGCTTGATTACAATGTACTCACGACCCAGGGCTTGCCAAGCACTTCCAGCGATGTGGGCCTCTTCGGAAATATGCCTTTAAACTGCGACAGGGCGGGTTTTCGATTGCGCTTAGAAAACGATGATTGCTCACGTGATAGTAACCCTGAGTAGCAACGTGGATGCCTTCTACCTGGTGACGAACGACAAATTTATGCTGCTCACATTCACTAACACGTCCGAAACGACATGGACCAGTGAACTGCTAGTAAGCGCATCAAGTTCTTGTCTATTCTTAATGAAATTCAAAGCGCAGCGCTCCAAAAGCGTTCTCACTTTCACGTTACATCTCCAAAATATATAGCTTTTCTTTTTAGGACCAAACTTCGCTTCACCAAGAATTTGTCACCAGTGGAGCCTTTAATGGGGACACGGAAAGTGCTGGCTTCAAGGACTTTTACATCAACAAAAAATGTGAAGTCAGCAGTGTGGAAAGCCCCATCGGACGCAAAGCTAGGGTTCAAAATGTAAACATGATTCTTATCATTCAAAGAAACTTTCGACGGCATGAATTTTCCAATATGAGTCCGGTTTAAGCAGAAGACCGTTTTTGAACCCTTGACCTTGGGGTGGAGCACGACTTTTTCGTTCTTCGATACGACGCAACCAACAACGATTTGTGTCTTCATCGGACTCATCTGTCATTCGAGACAAGTAGCACCGCATATAAATGTCATCGCTTCAGTGGAGCCATCACTACCTCTCTTCAAGATGAAACACTAAAGTTGGATTGCTTAGGAAAACACTGCGAGATCATGATTGTCTCTGGAAAAAACATTTTACTGTATTCTCACGACGATGGCGATTCGTGGTCTGAATACGATTTTGAGCATGCGAGCTACTCTGATATTAATTCAAACGGATTTGATGTACTTTCTGTTGTTTCTGATAAGGGTGCTCAACTGATAAATTATAAAAATAATAACACTATAATATTTTACAAGCAGAAAAAGAAACAGCCTTTTACAGACCCGGTCAACGAGCGTCTGGCAGTACTTACGAATTGTCACCAAAATAACGTTAAAGTTGCGTGGCTGATTGTAGCCGAGTCAGACCCAACTCTTGAGGTAAGCTTTTCTTTTTGGTAGTGTCATACGCTGCACTAGTAAGACGAATTAACGAGTAATTTCTGGCAACTAGGCGCTGAATACGGATAGCGGCTTCTACGCACTTGTTTGGATGCAACCAAAAGAGGGTCAAAGCCGGCTTTATGGAATATTATCTGTGAACTCATCCCTCACGGAAATCGTGTTGGATCAAACTTGCGACCGACGTATTGGTAATTTCTTAGTCTTGAATTAATTTATTGAAACTTGTTTCAAGTTTATGATGGACCACAAGAGTTTCAGCTTGACAAGACGACCAAAGCTCACGTGTCCCTCATAATAAAGAGCGACAGCGGTGACTACTCATTTAATTTGACTACAACAGAAGAACAAGCCATTGACTACACGTACGATCTTAGAAATAACAGTGATGGTGGCATAGTGGTCGACTTTATTTTCGAAGCGAAGCAGAGTTCTGCACAGTCTGGTTTTGTCGTCACATCGGCATTCATCTACCTTAGCGACCCACTTCCAAGTTGCAAGGAGCAGTCACTTGTGCTTACTTTCAACATCGATCCACCAGAGAGCTACATAACGATGGATTACTTTGCCTCTTTTCGCTTTTTGATGGGCCACCACTGGATGAGGATGTACAACTCGTCAAGCGAGCGAATGAACGAAGACATCTCCAACTGGCGTAAAAATGGTGTGGGCCATGGGAGCAGTTTTCTTGATCAGCTGAAAAAGCGCCATAAAGAAGTCATGGACTTCCGAAATATAACGCTATCCGACGGATCCATAGCCCAGGTGCGAAATACGAACTGTTCAACTAGAAACGGGTTGAATTCTTATACACTATCAGTAATAATTTTTGCTATACTCGTGAAATTATCAAAAGCAAATGATACCCGGAAGCAGAGCGTACCCGGAATCGTGGTGGGCACGTAGTTTTTTCTGGGACATAAACGACAAAAGCTGTCTGGAAATTCCAATGGTATTGCATCTCCCGGAGAATTACAGGTGGGATTAAGCGACTTCGTCACCTCTAGCCACTCCATAAGTTAGGCCGATCCTTTCATAATTCACTTACATGTTCTGATAGGGGCTTATTAACATCTTCCCGGAGCGTTTCAGGACAGTAGTCAAACTCACTCGGGAGACGACTTGGACTTGGTTGAAATTAAAAACTCACTTTTAGACCCCCGTCTAAGTTTGGCCGATCAATCAGTATAGACAATTCTGCGAAACTATATAACGTCAATATGGAGAACTGCGAGCCGTGGACAAACAACGAGGCTAGCCAAGACAAATCTTGTTTGAAATGTGTACAGTTGTTCAGCGATGAACCGGGTCAACTCCAACCGACTTCCTTCTGGAATTATCTCTGGTCGTCAGGGCCGCCGAACATTTGTCCCCAAGAATCCGTTACCAACATAGTCAGCCAGTATCAAGTCACCGACTCACTCAAAACAATTGGTATCGAGTCCGAAATGATTTCCGCCTCAAGTCTTGCTCTTGAAGATGGCGAGTATAGGGATGGGTGCGAGGCACTCAACAGATCGGTGAGATCTAAAAGCACTCTTTACATCTTTAATTTTGTTTTAGCCTTACGCTTTTGAAACGCCCGGTTGTCTAAAAGAAGTCTTATACATTTACCGAAACAATTCAGTAAGTGAACTCAGCCAAGTGAACTTTATCGTTCGCCTCGTTGCGTAAAAAGTCAACAGCTTCTATCGTCAGGTGGTATAGAAAGCAGGCTATTAGAGGCATCACATGAAGCCTTAAACTAACGTGATTGCATCTCCGCGAAGTCCTTATTTTCTCTGTCGATTGCCACGGCGTGGAAACTGTTCTGCGCATTTCTGGTCCAAACATTTGTAAACCGACAAAGGGCATCCTCATCCTAAGCAAATCTATTTCATAATCTCACAAGTGCTATCCACTTCCGCAATTGTAAATTCTACTGTTAAGTTTATTTTCAGAACAGCGCGTTTTGCTTCAAGTTGGAATTGGTGAAAGAAGCTATTGGCAATGTGAAGGTGTCATTGTACGAGAAGAATGGACGCAGTCCAGATTTACAGGATTATTTCATTTTCGAGACCAACAATCCTGAACACGCTATTCCAAAGAAATATGTCGGCCACTGTAGACAGGTTTGATTAGTTATTCGAAATTGATCGGTTGAATTGAAAATAGGGGTCTACGTTGGACTATGAATACAGTGGAAAACTTGCAGACGTTATCGATTCTGTAAATCATACCGAGGATCATCGCCATGATCAGCCCCTATTCATGGACGACATCTACATTGTCATACCCGAATATCGCAGTGGACTTTACCACTTCGTAGTCGACTTGGACTCCGAGTTTTCATTCAAGCAGTACGCAATCGAGTTTGGCTTTTTCATCGAAGAAGGAAAAGCCTTTGACGCCTATGCTTCTATGATTATTACTGCTCTTGTGTTATTCAGTTGTAGCATTTTCGTGACAATAAGTAAGAAATATCAGTTACAAGCACGAGTCAATTATCTATAGGATTCCGTCGATACTTGCCAACTCAAGAGAAGAAGAAAATGATTGTGGTACATGAAGAGGGAGACACTTCGGATGAAGAGGAGGGTGAAGCTGTTGGAGTCAGGACAATGTCCTTGAGGTAAACTAACTAACATTTTATCTGAACGTTTTTCCGTGGATCCTTTTTTCGATTCCTTAAATATTCAGTATGAATCCCAACTTCGACTACACCATTAACGACTCCGATGAATCAGATGAATCTGATGACATGGCAGGATTTGGGGAAATCAAAATCCACCCAGCAGGTACGCTTTTCATTTATATTCTTACTCAATAATGCTTTTAGAAGATCAGCCTGAAACCGAAGCTGTCAAACCGACACCTAGAGCGACATTCCTTGGACAAAAAGTGGTGAAAGACCTGATCCGACGACGCTCTAGATTGGAGCTCGAGCGCGCTCAAGAAGCGGCAGAAAAGAAATTGCAAAATCAAAACTGAAAAATTCAATGTCTACTGTATTCGTATTGATTATCCATTTAATAAAACTGCCTTTATCTCTGACAACCCGCCGTAAACAACGGTACTCTGGTGCTACGCGTGCATTGTTTATTTGCTCGTTTCGCTAGAAAACGCTTCTAATGAGGTTCAATAATAATTAAAATCGCTCTAAAAGAGCAACTAATGCTGCTTACTTCCGCTCCAGTTCAACTAAGCACTTCCTTTTTGAAATGTCGAAATTTGAAAAGAAGAGATACTTTCGAGCCTTTTCGAAGTCTTTGCATTGAAAAGAACGAATAATTTTATTGAATGACAAAGAAAGTTACTGTCGGTATTCTCCGCCGAAAAAGATTGGGCCTTTGTCCAAGTCGGTTTTCACACCTCGGAGTAGCGCATTTAATCCAAATGGCTCATCCTGACGCTTCATCTAATAAATCTTAGATTTCCATAGTTTTGAAGGCTTATGTTATAAACTGAGCGAATCTTACCCATGAATTGAAGTTTGGTGCTGCCGCTGCATAAGTTAAAAAAAGATTGAACTTCATTTCGATTTCTGGTTGATGTTGACTGCTCAAGCAAGCTCTTTTATATAGCGATTTAAAAAGCGGTCAGTCAGGAATTATTAATTATCCGGTATTTGGCAGCATATGTCGATTTGTTTGCTTGGAAAGAGTGCAAGATTTCGAGGACAATGCATTTAACTTGTTATTAGAAGGATATTATCCTCCTTAGGAATCTTTAGACTTCGATTCAGACTCGCGCAAAGATCAACAATTCGGTTACATAGAAAAATATTAAATACAGTTTATTTTTGGGACAGAACATCACAGAGATTCTCAACGCATTTGCCCAGTAGCTCCTTGACAACATGGTGCATTTTTCGCTGCATGATGATCTGCAAGTTGGCGTTTTCGGGCTCACGGATGTCCCGCCATCCATCAGTGATTGAGACAACTTCCACTGGTGGAATTTCAACCTTCGGCGGACCCACGTCTTTTGACGCCTTTCCACGACGACCTCCTTAAAAACATTTGGTCAGTAGAACTATTTGTAATTATTTTGAAAGAACTTCACTAACCTTTGCCTTTTTTCTGGGCAGCTGCTGCTGCCGCCGCTGCTGCAGCCTTTTCTGCAGCCTCTGCAGCTGCTTTCTCAGCCGCAGCTCTCTCCGCGGCTTCTTTAGCGAGAAGTGCGGCTTCTTTAGCGGCTATGATTGTTCTTTACAACTTTAAAGAATTTTCAACTTTTTACCGTTGCCAGCGCGTGTTTTTCTTGTTGCGGATGGAGTTTTTCGTAGATTCAAATCTCGTTTACTGATACTGGTCAAGGTAGTTTCAGATGAAGAGGGTCTGTTCACTTTAAGTTCGGGGAAATCCTCAACCGGGAGAACCTTGAACGCCTGTCGAATCCAATTCATCTCGTCTCCGATGCGCTCAATGCATTCGCCAACGACGTTCTTAAGTACATCATTGATGTCCGGTTGTGGAAGGGGCAGGAAGGTTTCTTCTTCGAGAAGCGATACGAGAGCCTCTTCGATGATCTGAAGCGCATCTTCTTTGCTTTCGAAGTCGTCAAGGGCGAGAATTTCGCGCTTCAATTTAGGAATGTCGTAGTCCCACTCGGCTGGATCATCCCATGGTTCAACGGTTGTATCCACTTGCTCAACACTAGAATAAATAAAATTAAAAATAATTGATTTAAAAAATGTACGTTTCAGAACTTTCGTCCTCGACGAGGCCAATTGTTGGAACGTCTTCTTGGGCGCTACTTGCACGGAGAATGTACTTGAGCCAGACTCGTCGCATGTTTTCAACCGGTTGGTATCGATAAGGAAGAGTTGGATTTTGAACTTTGAAGAGCTCTTCTTCTGACTTGGGTGCTTCGCCAAGAAGAGGTTGTGGCTTTGGTCGTATTCGCTGCAAAACTTTGTTAAGAATGTATTCAGAAGCCGATAATGCTTCTTCTCGTAATCTCTTCGCCGACTTGTTGTCATTTTCTGGCTGTCTTCCGATGCCTTTTAAGCTCACTGTGAAAGATGGCATTGATGGACTAAGCTGCAAGCTCCACACTTCATGGAAATGGCCTTTTTTCTCCGTCTTGAAGGAAAACTGAAGCGTCTCGCTTTGGCCAGGGAGGAGTTTTTTTGTCGCCGCGTTGAAGAAAAAGCGCTGCTTGTTGTTTCGATTAGGTCCGTCAAAGCTGATTTCTCGATGCTCCTTGTGCCAATCGAACATGGCTACAGTTGTGCCAACATTTGTTATAGTGATTTTGGCATGCTTCAGCTCGCCTATCATCGTATCGAAGTAGAGATAAACTGGGTGTCCGTTTTTGCACTTGGCTGTTACCACGTAGTCTTCCACTCGAACTGCTGGGCCTCTGATAAATCCATTAACAATAGAGGATTCTCTTTATTTCGGATTAGCCAAAGAGTAATATTGTATAAGCCTTGCCAATTTGGTTCGCCATAAGGTTGGTCAATAAACTCCTTGCCAAAGTGCAATCATGGAGGAAGCTCCTCATTTTGGTATGCTAATCCGATCCCTAGAGAGTGAAAGTGTACCTTCAGAAGCACTGTCAGAAAAGTTGCCATTATTTAATCTTTGTTGAGCTTGGTCCTCGAGAATTTCGGTGTCGGCTTCGTAATATTCTTTGCCTTTGACGATAATATTGTCGATATCGGGACGGTGTCCTTCGATTTCGGCAAGAATGTGTTTTAGCTTTTCAGTTCGCGAGACCAAATATTCCGAGTCAGGTCGATATGCGTACTTTTTGCTTTCACAAGTTTCTTCTTTGACGAGTTTTGGCTTTCCGATGCGTTCTAAAGGACGTGCCTGGCCCTTTTCAGATAAGCCAAGGCTCATTTTGAGGCCAGTCTCTTCGGGGCCAATAGTTTCGTATTGCCTCCAGAATTCAGAGCCAACTCGAAAGCCTTTGTTTTGGGTCAACTTCTGAGCTTCACGATCTATATTGAAACAAGAATTTTTGATCCCTATCCTTTTCCCTTATCAACAGCTGGGATAGCTCTATCAATAAGCTCTCGTACTTCGAGAGTGTGCCGAAAATCTTCTCCACTCATTCCAATAAGTTGGCTATTTTCTTTTTGAAGCAAAGAAGAAATATATCCCTGCTGTTTTTTTCTGTGTGTCATGTGATCTTGCCAGTTTTTAAGCGCGTTCTTCGAGTTGATGCGGCTGTCAAGTTTGTAAACTGGGGGTGCTTCGTGGCTCAAGTCCATCTTGGCGCGAGTGATGCAGCTTGGCTTGCCGAGAAGTCGATTCCCGATTCGTTTGTCCATTTCTCCTGCTCCCATCGCCGATTCAATGAAGTCCTCTTTTGACCCAATCAATTGCCAATCCTGTAACAAAGTAAGTAGATACAATCACACTATTAATATGATTTATATAATATAAACCTTTAGATTTTCAACATGACTTGCTCCAAATATAAGATCGTCTTCATGAACTGGCCAGTTGAGTGAGTCTTTTCTTTTGAGAAGCGTTATTCTATTCCGGAAATCATAATCTGCATCGGCGTCGCCTGACATATTATTCTTACGGACTGTTATTGTTCGATTCTGACGCATATTTGAGCGCGTCACAAGAACTCGTCTGGCTTCTTCGATCGCTTCCTTCAAGAAATAATAGAGAAGTAAATCAAAAAATGAGATGCTACCTCAATTCTTTCAAGGTCGTCCGGATCGACCGCAAGTTGTTGAATATCCTCTCCATCGATCACAGAAGAAGCCTTTTCTTCTTCCACTTCTGTTTCACCCTCTGTTGCTGCTGTTGAATCTTCATCTGATATTTTGCGCTTTGAGGTTTCTACAGAATTATGTTAGCGAAAAAAATTCCTGGCGAATGATTGTTTGATAAATGCTGTCGGTAAGATGCTCACTTATGCTTTCGCAACTAAATTATTACCTTCATGAAGACTTCTTGTTGATGCGGTGTTCTTTTATGCCTGCTCAATAATTTGTTAATTTTTAAATTTCATATCCACACAAGTGAATTTGAAAAATATGCAATCAGAATATCTTGCACAGATTCCTGCGGCGTTGGCTCCTGCTCTATATTCTCTTTCGAAGAAGTACTCGCCTTTTCAAGACTGGGAGGAGTACTTGCTACGCTCTTTCGCGTTGTGCTTGTCACTGCCGATCCCGATGAGATTGATGTGGCCTCTGCCAGTTTGGATCAAAATCAACCGTTTCTATCTTTTTTTTTTTATATAAAATCTTGCTTGCTGAAAATAATCTTGATTTTGCAACCCTGTCTGAAGTTTCTTCTGATGCCGCTATACTTTCTGTGTTGCTCTCTTGTACCGAGCTTTCTAAAAATTTGTATTAAAAACACTTACCCGTGCTTGTTCCCGAACTGCTTGTGTCATAAGAACTCGACAATGATGTCAGTGAGTTGACGACACTGGTGAGCTGTCAGCTCGATCAAAATGATGATAAGAAAAGTATTTATAAACTTATTTAGATCTATTTCCTTCGCAGCTGCTCTAAGCTTGCCCTTCGCCATAAAATTCAATGATAAATTCTCTATACTAATTTTACAATTTTTGAAGCATGTTCTTTCTCCAGAGTGACAATAGAGCATCGACTCCGATTACCTGACTTGTCTCTTTTGAGCGTTCTGTTGGACTCTGTCCGCTCGTCCATTCTTGGAGCTTCTCAATTTAGCCTCCTCTTTTAGCGTTTCTCTTAAATCTCAGCTGGCTCAGAAAATATTTAAAATCAACTTAATTCTAGAGACTTTATTCTATTTTTGAAATGCGTAAATGAACTCGGAGCTGCGCGTTGCCATGGACACGATGCGAAAGTAACCGAGCAGATTTAGTTGATTTTTATTTCAAGCATTTAACTTTCAGTACTCTAAAGATTTCTTCGGGCCATTGACGATAATCGTTCTTCCTTTCGTAGAGTTTCTTCTACAGGGTCGTAGGATGATCCCACTTCGAATTTGACTAAGGAACGTTTCGCGTTGAGTCTTTTCCGGCTGTTCAACTTGTTTCATTTTTTAAAAGAAATATCGACCTCTCTTTTTTTACCTCCAATTGAAAAACGTTTTACTGGCTTCAACTGTGTTTTTGAATTTTTTGTCGATGGAGGTTTATGCTCGGCCCTTAAATTAAGTATAGAGTTTTATCGAATAGTTTAATTGTATGTAATTCTTCTACCGAATTCGAGTAAACGTCATTTTTCTGCCTGGAGTGGGAGAACATGGAGATGATGTTGTCGGAACGACAATCGACGAAGATGCTGGAATAGAAAAATCAACACTTTTATATTTAAACTTTTTAAAACATACATCTCTGATGGCTTTGAATAGAGGAAACGCGACGTGTGCTATTCGAAGCTCCATAGGTTGAGTTTATTCGCGCTGGAGAAGCAGAAGTACTCAGAATGTTCTCCACTGAGTTACTTTTTCGTATTAGTTTTCGGCTCTTGATTTGAATAAGTGAATTGTCTCATATGGAATACACGTTAATTTCAATTACTCCAAGAAAAATAAGCCTAGATAGATAGAAAGGATAGTATTTCTTCCAATCCTGTTTTTGCACTCAGTAATTTTATTCTCTCTGCAATCGACAAGCGACCTAAATTTCAGATCGAGCTCATTTCCCTATCTCTTTATCACTAAAAAATACCTTCCATATTCAATCACTAACGGCAAATGAATTTTTAACTGAAGAAAGCAAGACATCTTCCCGGCGCCTTCGGAGCACTTGGAACTCAACCATCCGCGCAAGGCAGAATAAGCTTTCTCCTTCAACATTCTTTTATCTTTCCTTTGCAAAAACAACTATTATTGAACACTGTTCTTTATTGAAATGTCTCCGTATATTTACTGAAAAATAATTCATAGTTTATTTCCGAACTTTTGAAGAAAATGTAAAAAAAAAAGTAAAAAAAGACCGATTATATACTGTTGTGTTACTGTACAGAGAGTTTGGCGACTGCTGTTTCGTAAATTGAGGAAATGCGATTTTTGAGGATCGGAGCAAATTTCAAGTCTGCAATGGCTTCGAAGTTTTTACGTGGTAGGGTCAGCTCGAGAGTCAATTTTGTTATATTTGCTAAATATAAATTAATTAGGAAGGATGGTCGTTTGATGTCGTCGTTGTGTGTCTTCTAAAAGCGCCCATCAAATTGCCGAAGCCTCGCTTAGAAGCCCCGAGGATGCTCTTCTCTATGGGTCATTTTTAGTTCACTTTGAGGAGAAAAATAATTTCTGCATCTTACTAAAATTGACCCTTGACTGTAGACTACTTTCTGGCTGATGGCATGCAGGAGCAAGTCTTTGATTTTTTGCTTCCACGGCTTTTTGGTATCGCAACTAGACTCGATTGAGCAGATGCAATAAATCATTAGTAACTAACCACGCATGCTTCTTGAAGAGCTTGGCTGAGCTCGATTGCACTGGGATCGCAGCAGAGCACGTGACATCGGTATTCTTCTGGACCAATTAAATGGATAAAACCAAACATTCTGTTTGTAATTTCAGTAAATTTAAAAGTGAAATTTGCAATATTCTACCTAGCATCGTTTCCTATAGCCATAAAGCTCAAATATCTAAGACGAACGCGACTCAGTTCGCCATTGCAAGGGGAAGATTTCGAGGAAAGAAGATCTGCGGGGGAGAGCTTTTCAAAAGAAGCTAAAGAGAACGCTGAAATCGTTAAATGAAAATAATAAAATACCGTGGTAGCAGAAATAAACGCATTTGCAGGAGTCCACTCTGACTCGAGGTGGATGGTGAGCAGGCGACCGATGGCGTCCCGAATGGTCTCGATACCTGTAGGGTTGTTCACCGCGCAGTTGCCTACGTACTTCACTTGGAACTGATTGTAGGGCTCCGGGTCTTAATTGAATTCGAGACTTGAGTTCTAAGTTGAGCTAGCGCGGATGAGAAAAGCGAAGTGAGCGACAATTTCAATGAAATGGTTTTGTGATTGACGAGCGATCAAACCTTGAATGGAAAAGGGCCTTTGCTTTTCCTTGGCCATCTGTTAGAGTTGGATAAATATCTACTGAATGAGTAACAACTAAAAATGTTTCAGCAGTTCCAACTCGGTCCTTGATTTCGTTGGCTAGACGAAGGCAGTTGGCGTGGATAGCAGCGGCGACTCCTTTGGCATCCGTCTCGCAGCGAAACACAAGGGCCATATCGGTCGATCCAACCCTACTCACCGAGTTCCCGACTTTGATCCCTTTATTGGTAATAAAACTGCATGTGTGAACCCTGTCCTAGCGACGACGCCGATATCCAACTGATGCGCTGCCCAAACGCGGATCTAATAATGCAATAAAAGATGTTGTTTGGTGCTTCTCACCGATGACAGCTTGATTGTCTCCAGAATTGCTCGTGTAACAGGATCGATAACGCGTATCTGTTCGGCCTCCACCACCAAATAAGCATCACTCTGCTGCTTTCCAGTTGACTGTCCACATTCATCTTCCTCCGGTGTATCCTATCATAATTAATAAGACGATCAACAGATGCTACAATAAAATATTATGGCTGACCTTTATGAGAGGTCGATATCCGAGGGAAAAGGATGTGCTTGATCTGGGGATATTTCGCGAGAGGCGGCGAATAGCATTCTGCAACTCAGACGAGAGATTTGTGTCAGCCACGATCTCTGTCGAGCCTAATTGACGTACTGGGAACACTTCTCCAGCGGTCGTCCACCGTCCGGAATGGTTTAATTGACTACCCCTAAAACGGGTTTAAATGGGAACAAGGAAGAGTATCTGAAAAATCGCTCAGCTCGTGAATACCAGTCAACTCGGTTATCCCAGTCTTTGACCCATTCGGTGGGAGAAGAGAGACTAGAATCAAACTCTGAAGAGATGCCTTCTTCCTCGAGAGGATTTGAGTACTCTTCCCAGTCAAGCTTGTCTAACAGCTGTTTATCGGCGTCAAATTCAAAGTCAAAGCTGCATCCATCTATCGCCGTGGATGCATTACAAACATTCAATTAAATAAATAATAATAAAGCAAAGCGTCCCAATCTGCAGATTGTCGCGGTGGGAGAGGCTCTTCAAAAGTCTCCTCTGACATTTAAAATAAGATCAAACGGTTTTCTGTTTAGCGTTTCTCTAATGTGCCATTTGCAGGGATTAAAATTGTGTATTCCCGAATCGTGGAAAAAATGGGCGGGTGGTTTCGACGACGGCTACCGATGCTGAGGGGAGTAAGCTGCAATATTAATGAAGGTGACCTGCGCGGGACCAATCGCCCAGCGCCGATGAAGTTAAACTCGAGCTGGCCGTTGGGAATCGACGGCGGCCCGATGCGCCATCCCTCGCGCGCATGGACACTCGCCAAGCACGAACTGCGAACATCTACCAGCATCGCGACCGGGCAAAATATTTATTCATCACGAGCTGAGCGATGAAAAATCAAATATAATTTCGTCAAGACTGATAAAGCACCGTTTACTTACGGAATATAAAGTGTTGGATTTGGCAGGAGTAATGTCTTAGGCTGAAATAGATTTTTATCAATTGAAATCATGGAAGACTACTAAATTCGATGTGCTTACTCGAGGACGACGCTTGAGGATAATGACATCTTCTTTTGGGCAGCCCATGGGGTGAGCGTTGCAAAATGCCCCAAGGCGAATGCTTCGAGGGAGAACTAGCGCGCAAATTTTGACCAGCTAAATAATTTTAAAGCTATGTATCGTTATATTTTCACGGCGAGACCTGGTTTCTCCTTTTTCTAGACATTTTTTATAAATAAACCGGTCAAGATCCTTTGCCTTAGACCGAAAGAGAGGGTTTAAGAAAATTGAATTACCTTAGAAAGTCTTCGTTTTCTCTAGTTGCGTTTTGCGTATATGCATTTCTCGCAGCTCAATTCTCTATTCGTAAATTGACAGGCGCGTGTGCTCGTTCGTCCCGCGCTGTCGAGTGATAATGGCAACTGTAGTATGGCTACACTGGGTCGATTCTCTTTGGGAAGGAAAATCGACCTGCTGCTCTTTTTGCGTTTTTTGATTAGCGAGGCGAAGGGGGCCACTCTCCGCCGCCAGCTCAGCCATCGCCATCGATCGTGCAAGTATTTAATTTTAAAAAAGGAAAGCCTCAATAATGCAGCCGCCAGGGAGGATGTAACGTGTCCCCACCGGTTGACTCTCAGAATATTCATACAAAGGACACCTCGCTATGCAAACTACGGTAAACGACAGTGATCGGTCTTTTATTTTATTGCTCTGGAAAAGGCTCAAATTCTTCGTAATAGTCATCCGGCTCAGCGTTGATTGTCTTGGTATATCTGCATCTGAAAAAGCCTGTATTGATCTTTATTTTTGGTGTTAGAGTAATACTTGTTAGTGTGCATTGAAGACTCGACGCAAAAGTTAATGTTGCAAGAAATGTCCATGTTGTATTCTTCTATTCCCTGGTTGAAGACAAACGATCTCAGGTCGAGTTTTAACGGGAATAAAAATAATTTCTATTTGATGTGAAAACTCCATTCCTAAACGAAAATCGAAGCTCACGCTTTGCGAAAACACTAGGCGATCGCAACTTGGTACTTGTAAGTCGGCTTCCTCGCCCGTTCCAAACGATGTCATAGTATTTTGGGTCCGGTACATCTCGCTCAGATACTCGGCAATTCTTTCAAGTTTCATTATTCTTTGATTATTAAACCATATTGTGATTTTTGCCAAAGCCAATAAATTTCAAAATTAAGAAACCTTCCTGGGCATAAAACACCACTGGGGAAGCAAGAGTCAATCCAATATCCCAGACTATTTTGAAATATATATTCCTCCCAATAGACATTGACCTGCTGGTGTCTTGTAAGTCTACTTGTTTCTTAAGGATATAAGCTATGAATTTGAACTTTCGTAGCGCCTAAATGCGTTGTAGGATCATTTTCATTTCAAAAGCAATCCTACCTAAAAATGCACGCAAGACTCAAATATGGTATTTTTAAAAAAAATTTTATTGAAAATTTTCCTTTTAGAGCGATTTCAAATCTTACTCTCTCGATTTCTCGAAATTTTTCCATTGCATCGCTAAAACTAAACCGTGTCTTTTATTTCGATGATGTTAAGCTAGAAAATTGACGGGCTTTTATTTCGAAAATCTTTCGAATTTTTATTCTAGCGTTTTCCTCTTTCTTGCTCGTGTTTTTCTTCTTTTTGTGCTTTTTCGCTTGCAACCAATCAAAGCGCTACGCTCAACCGCGCCACTCTCACGGAAAAGAGGAGTCGAGAGAGCGAGCGCCCAGCGCGCCGCTTTTTACACTATTCGCGCGCTTGGTAAGCCTCATGAAAATGGCTCTAAAATCGGTTTCGGTCGGAATTAGGAAAAACTGATCCGTCAATTTTGTAGATAAGGGTTAAGAGAAGTTATTTATCGAAAAAACTGGACCGATTTAGTGGAAAAAATTCGAGGAATCGAGAGAGTAAGATTTTAAATCGCTCTAAAAGGAAAATTTTCAATAAAATTTTTTTTAAAAGTACCATATTTGAGTTTTGCGTGCATTTTTAGGTAGGAATACTTTTGAAGTGAAAATGATCCTACTTCGCATTTAGGCGCTACGAAAGTTCAAATTCATAGCTTATATCCTTAAATGCAGCCGTTTCATAGATCACAATCTCCGGTCGCGTTTCGAATCTCGAGCTTTCTTCAAAAAGACCATTGCTGAAGTCACGTGTGACGATCTGAAATTTTATGCAAAAAATTTAAAAGTTTATTTAAAAGTACCATTCCAATGTTTCTACCCCCAAGTTCTCTTGTTCGTTTATAGACGCGAACTTCGTTTGAGAACGAGCACATAAAACTCAACCTATGGCTGAGATGGAAGTTCTGAATAAAATCCCCTTCGGGAGTTGGTTTTTCAAGGTCAATCGACATCAAGAAGCTGATTTGTTTGTCTGAGACGATCATTTCCATTCCACAGTCGTCCAAGGGAATGTCGAATTGTAGGAATTGATTGTATATGTCCAGAGTTTTCATTTTAGGACCATTTGGTTTCGGATTGATTGTACCGTTATGCGCCTCTACCGTGCACTCATTCAAAGAAGAGTCCATTTCGTTGATTCTTGTCGCGTTATTGAGAATGAATGTTGCCGCCTTACCATTGGAATCAACAACGCCAGGATTTTCAAAAGCGTCTTTTCTGACCTTTACCGTCATGTACGTGGGGTTGCAGCTGAGTTCGACGCATTGGGGATTTTCGATTATGCATTCGTACTTTCCACTCTCTCGCAGTTTTGCCGACCAACATCCAGTAGTACTTTGAAGTTCTTTTTCCGTTTTTCGATCGAATACGGAGTTGGGCCCGTATGAATTCCCTTGGCAAGTAGGAAATGACTGTGCGGAGCGAATCGCCGAGTGATAAACTTCTCTGACGGTTCGTTTCTAAAAAGATCGGAGTTTTTCTATTCAACCTGTCTTTCTGTACCGTGTAGTCTTTTTCCGATGGTGCCTTTTTAGGGAGCACATGCCTTTTACTGGTTCTTTGTTTTTATAAGTAAAAGCGTGGCACTCATTGCCAGGATAATCTTGGCACTCTTTTCCGCAATCATAAAATGACTTGACGTACTTCTCAACAAGATCGTTTCCGAGAATGTATGTGTCCTCGAAGTTCCAGTACGGATTCGAGCCAATAAAAGTCTGCACTTTGTTTCCAGATGGCTCAAATAAGCTTCTTGCATTCGACATCCCTCGAAGCAATTTTTCTACAAGATCGTTTCTGTCGACTTCCCCGTAATTCCCATTGAAGCGAGGAATTGCAGTCTTAGCGACAAAATTGTTGATCTGTTCGGAATCAAACGGCCGTTGTTCCCTTTGTGCACGAGTAATAGTGTCATTCGCAATTACTTCATCTTAAAATTTGAGTTTTAACGAATCGAGCCCTCAATTTACTTCTTGTACCTTGCGGAAGTTTTTCGTAAAGAGTCATTCTCGGCAAATCAATGTTGAAATCTGCACATTCCGGAACAAGGCTCTCGAATTCTTTGTCCAGGTTGCAATTGACGTGTGAGATTTTTATCTCATCCGCAATGTTCTTTCTCCAGGAGTCTACGTATCGAATTTTGTAGTCTGCAATTGTCATGATTTCGTTCATTTGAGGGCAGTTTTTGCAAAGATTCGAAGCGACGTAGACCAGGCAAAGATATCTCCCATCCTTAATTTGTTCTTTAGAATCATTCAATCCCAATAGATTCAACCTCTAAGCAATCGATCAAAGATTCAGGATCTGTCCACTGTATCTCGCTCTGCTCTACAAACTGCACGCCATGGGTGTTGAAGAAAAAGCATAAAATCAGGGATATATGCAGTAGTTTTAGTTCGATCATAAAAGTCAACTATCGGGGAAAATTTTCACAGCTCAGTTGAGCAGCTTTTTTGAGTTTTAATGTTTGGACAATTCGTGTCACTGGCATAGACGGTTTATGTAAATCCACTTTCGTCAATAATTTGTTATAGTCTCGTCTATTCTTCTGATGCAATAGCAATTTCAAAGAAAAAATCTTCTTTCCTAATCAGAGCCCATCATTTGTCCCTCAGACAGAGTATTTTTTGCCCGTCAAACTCTTCGGCGCGTGTCGAAACAAACAGGAGTGCAGTTTCGACTTTAATAAAGAGCCGTAGTCAATTTTATAAAACAAAAAGAAAAATGGAAAACTTACCTTTTTTTTGTTGCTCAACTCCAAGGGAATCCTCTCCCGAGCACGACTCTGGAATCCATTTGACTCCAGAGTCTGGATACTATGAAGAGAAGACGTCCTATACTCATAATATCTCAGATTTTTATGAAAGATATCTTCAAAACACTAATCTTGACGGCTCTTTCGAGTCCGGATCACAGTCTCAAAAATCGGAGGATCTTTTCTCCAGAGAAGATATGCAATCACAAACTTTTTCTGAAACATCTATGCAAACGATCGAAGAAGAAGTTTATTATAAGAATTTGGCGGAAGAGTTTATGGGGCCTCCAGTCGAAACGTCTCTATCTCAAGAGTCGCAAACGAATTTTACTCAAGAGATAAATGAAGCCGTTGATGACGGTCAATTGTACCCGAACTCCCAACACTATTATCGAGAAATGGCGGAAGAATTTGAACGGGAAGAAGAAATGATTCATCCAGACAGCCAAAGACCAGAGTCCCAGCAATGGTCGAGCCAACTTAGTGAGTCCTATGCAATCTTTGAAAAAACCGATTCCGACCAGTGAAAACCAACTTAACTTCACTTATTCCTTCACAACGATTTTCTTCTTTTTTCATCATTTTTTCCCAATTTGAGCGGCCGTACAATTTTTGTCTGGTAAACGAAACGATTTGGAAATACTTCTTCAACTACGCTTGGTCCTCCACGCCGCACTCGTTTTTTCTCATGGCCGCTCTTTCCCGCGCTCCTCCGCTAAGGGACGTTTTTTATCTTTATTTTTGCCTCAAGAAGCTCAATCTTACAATTATGTTTTGATCTCTTTTTATCAAATGTTGATTTAACAGAGAACTATAATAAGAAAATTGTAACTTTTTGATTTTGACTCTTTTCCAGAAACATCCCTAAGAAAGGCTTACGATGCGTGCTCAAAGGCGACGCTTTGCTCTGGGCAAGTATGCTCGTGGCCCGCGGCGTGTTATCACCATGGCGAGTGCTATCAGTGGATTGGGCGAGTGGCGAGGCGACAAGAGCTGCAGATTACTGCCTTTGATGAGTAAATACCTCTCCGGCAGGCAACTTGAAGAAGCAGCCATCGACAGAGGCAAACTTAAAAGAGACAAGAAGACGACGTCCTCCTTATTGCATGGTGACCAATTAGGGATTGTTTTCCATTAGAAAAAATGTCCTCCTCAGACAACTTCTCAGACTGTAGTAATGCCTTATAGTAGTATTCTCGCTTTTTAAATGTTTACTCGAATTATCGTAAACTCAAGACTTTGAGAAGATGAGTGACTCTTATGAAATGGTGATGATAATGTTTGAGTCGCATTGCGCAAAACAGACATGTTTCATTTTTGAAAACAAGAGCAAAAGATGGAAAATGCTCTTGAATTCGTCATGCCCCAAGCAGAGGACTCGACTGTAACAACCGTTTCTTTCGACCAGTCTGAAAGTCAAGATGGCGCATCGAACGATGGAGAAACCAGCTTTGCGAGCCACGAAACCGCGCACTTCACCGAACATCACGGCGATCACGACGAATTTGACGATTTGAATGCAATAACAGAAGAGAACGAGCCGCTCTGGACAGCTTCAACCCCTGACGATCCAAATCAAATGATGGAGGTAGAATCGACGAGCCCTAACTCTAGCAAAGCGAACTTTCGAATGCCCCTGACAAATCTCAAACGACGAAAGTCACCTGGAGGAGGTTTGATTCTCTATTTTTGAGAAAGTATAATTAATGCTTAATCGTTTAGCTGAAGCACAAGAATTTCACACGCGAGTCAATGCCAAGTCAAAGGTTATGTTTTCGTGTGACGTATGCGATTTGGAATTTTGCGACCCAAAACTGGCGGTCAAACACATTTCCGAAAATCACATCCCTTCCATGCCTAATCTTGGCGCCAGCTCAACGATGAACCAGGAGCCGCAGCTGATCATCAGCAATCCGGACGGAGTCAAGACACAATTCCTCATGGACGGGCAGCGCCTGTTAGACATGGACGGAGAGGGCGTTTTCATACAAATGGCCAACTCGTCAATCAAAGAGGGCAACTCCTGCCAGATAATAACGTCGAACGCAGCTAGTAGTAATTCCCCGTGATGCAGAGCCAGCAGCTTCACGGCTTGTCCGAGTTCAGTACCATTAAATACGAGACAATTCCCATAACCAGTTCCGTCTCCACGCCTCTCAACTACCCCAAGCCGACTCAAAAGAGCAAAACTGTTCCAATCGAAGCTGCTCCAAAAGCTCTGCCTTGGAAGTATCGCCAGTCGGAAGCATCGCGAAAGATCGATCATGTAGAAGTTGCTTCTGTCCCTATTCGAGGAGCGCAGCCTAATTTTCAGCAAATGCGAAAACACGGCAGCGACGAGTTTCTCAGAGAAGACCATCTTGAAGATCAAAATCGAAATCGTCAGCTGATGGCTCCTGTTGGAAACCCCGTCGTTGTCGACGCTTACTCGAGTAGTCACACCTCGCCATTGTCCTTTCCAGAAGATGTGCTTGAAGCGGACCTAATGGGAATGTCCAAATCCGACAAGGTAGAACTATCGAATGTATATCTAGCTTGAATTATTTAAATAAACTATTTACAAAATAATTAATTTAAGGCAGTTACTATCGGCGAGAAACGCTTCACATGCGAGAAGTGCAACAAGCAATTCTACCGCAAGAATAAGCTTCTGCAACACATGGACGGACACGCGGCGGAAAAGATGCATCAATGCCAGTACTGCGGGAAACGTTTTCAGTTTAAAACATCGCTTGTGCACCATTTGAATTGTCACTCAGCGAATCCGCGATTCAAGTGTCATTTCTGTGGCAAAATACTCTCCGCGCACAAGATGCTCCTCAAACACCTAGTGAAGCAGCATGGCCAATCTGTAGACGATGAACTTGTTCCCGTCCACAAATGCGAGGACTGCGGCTACAAGACGATTTATAAGTCCGATTTGACCAAGCACAGGCGGAAACACACTGGAGAAAAGCCCTACAGATGTCCCATTTGCTTCAAAGAATTCTCTGATTCGTCGATTCTGCGAAGGCATGAAGTTGTGCACACAGGCGCGAAACCGTGGAAGTGCAGCTTCTGCGATAAAGCATACACTCTCCGCTCCACTCTGACTAATCACATCAAAAAGGTATGCTAAATAAAAAAGTGCTCTTACAAAAAGTTCAAGGCGCACAGTGCTTGGGCAAATGTAAATGTCTGTACCTATCAGAATTGCAACAAAGCCTTTGCGACGCATGATGAGTACGTCAAGCATTCAAAAGAATGCCGTGGCAATTATCAGCCATCGCCCAGCACTGCCTCGCCCGTCTCTGCAAAAGAAACAGAAATTCTTATAGGTAGCATTCTTCTTTTGAAATTTTTCCAACAGTGAATCTCCTTATGTAGGCAACTCTTCGAAGCAGTGCAAGTTTCTCGGCACTCAAGTTCCGAACGGCGATCTTCACAAGATCAATTCTGGCTTCCAGATTGTCAATGTGCCTCAAAACGACGAATCCAAGGTCCAAATAATCGCCTCGCTCGAGCACTCGCATTTGGAAGACGGAATAACTCTTGACGATGCTGGACGAGTTTTTACAAACCAACAACTGGAGGTAACATCTTCATTAGTTTCCTGTGTTAATTAAGTTCAAATAAGACGATTGTATTCGATCGACAACTGACTCAGAGCGACTCGAACGTCCTTCAAGTTGAGAATGGTCTCAGCCAAGAATACAGAATAGTCGGAATCCTGCCAGAGAACACTTCTCGAAAGGTATAAACCTTATTAATAAAAAACCGGTTCAAAATTGAAGACGATGCGCGTACCAACCACAAGCATGGTTCCGATCTCGACGTATTCCTCGACTATGTACGACTCTGACATGAAGCCGGTAAGTCATGAGAACCTAGTCAAGTTGATTCAAAAATCGCATCGCAGGTCAATCAGATCTCTACAGCCTACAGACAGATGGTCGTTCAAGATGCTCGACAAAATGGACATGTTCTGAATGAGCAAATTGAATTCGTGAGTGCGCTATGTTTGACTCTATGCTAATACTATTCAGGCTCAACAGAATCCGATTGTCTACCAAGATGCAGACGAGTCGAAAAGCTTGATAGTCTCGAGCGCGAGTAATGGCAGCATTCACCTGGTGCATACAGTCGCCATGGCCAATACAGGATCTAGCACTAATTCTGTACCACAGCCCAGAACCAGTTGAGTCCGAGTACCAAGTACCTGTATGCCTTTCATTTCATAGTTCCGTTGCCAGACAAAAATTCGCGTGCCTTTGTTTTTCTACCATTTTTTACCTCCCGGGAGACCCCCTTTTCTTCAATTTCTATCTATTTTAGGCTCACTTAGATTATTCTTCAGAAGACTCTCTTTTTTTACTTTTCAACTAACTTTAATTCAAAATTGCTGATTCATTCAGACTATTTATTTATTCTGTACACTTATTTATTAAATAAAATTAACCGAAATAACGAACGAGTATATTTCTCTAAGGTTCGAATTGTAGAATGAGCTACAGTAGATCCTTGGAAGATAGTCCAACAAAGAAATCAAAGCAAGCCAGGGTTGGGGTCGATTGGAACGAGTGTCTGGTAGGCGGCGAGGAAGTTCAGGAACCGATTAACTTTCTTGTAAAATTTTTTGAAAGAAAGAATACTTTCAAATAATGGTTAATGTTGGATATTCGTTCTGAAGCTGCAGTACGCTGAACATGGTTGCGATTTCCAAATTGTCGAGCTTTTCGACAAGAGCAAGGTTGGAAGTCTTTCGGAGGCGAAACCGAGCGAACGATTCATGGGAGAAGCGTACGTCGATAACCATCTCAAATCGAGTGAATGGTGCCAGTACAATGTGCCTAGAATTCACGTCCCTGAAGGGATAGAGTCCATGGAAGCTAAGGAGAACTTGGCAGCAGCAGAGATCGTCGATGTATGTAACAGAATTCAACTGTTTAAAGCGATATGGTTGAAAAATAATTTGTTTAGGAGCAAATCAACTGGGCATTCTTCATGTCGACTCCGGGAGTATTAATTTCCATCAAGGAAGAGCACCAGAATCTCGTCAGACACATCTCGAAGAGCATGAATTCTCATATCAATGACTACCCGGTCATGGCCGAGATACCAGTAGTGATGAAGACTGATGACGAAAATAACGAGGTGGAAAATGGCGCGTTGAAAGCCTGGAGAGTCTGGGACTCGCTCAGAATGGCTTGCGATCATAAATTAAGGCTGCTAACAGTGTATGTCACAAATGATATGCCGAAAAACTATTTTTTTATGTAGCCTTCGTTTGGGAACAGAGGTGCCGCTAGAATACGAAAAAGATTTCAACCGATGGTTGGGCGAGCCTATTTACGCCATCATCATCGAGGACGACTGTTGGACACTGAATCGAGCCGGTTATCCTTGTCTCACCAAGTCGCATCAGAACTTTATCAGCAAGTTCGTGCACATGGACCCACTGATCATCATTGAAACGAAGGGAATGAACGAGGAATTGCACCTGCGAGTGTCTTACATCAAAAATGGAAAGTGGCCGCAGTGGTTGAGAAATGTGCCGGACATTAACGGCTATCGCGAATCCGGCCAGTCCGTCTCATTGATGGACTATCTTCAAAGTAAGACCTCTCCGAAGCTTCGAGCTTGATAAAATCTGCTTTAGCGCCGCTTCAGCCGTTGATGGACGATTTGGAATCGCTGACTTACGAGACCTTCGAAAAAGATCCAGTGAAATACGATCTTTATCAGCAAGCAGTAGAAAAGGCTCTGAAGGCGAAAGATTTGGATGAAACGATAGTTTTCATGCTCGGTGCTGGAAGAGGCCCAATTGTCGATAAGATTTTGAGGGCTGCGAAGAATGTCGGCAAGAGGATCAAAGTCTATGCGATCGAGAAGAATCCAAGTGCAGTCAATATTCTCAGGTAGAAAATCGAAGGAACTTCCATTATTCATCTACCATTCGCAAGACTTAAGAATAATGAGCTACAGATGTGGGGAGGCAATGTGGAAATCATATCCTCGGACATGCGTGATTGGAAGCCGGATTTCAAAGCTGACATTATAGTCTCCGAATTGTTGGGTTCTTTCAGCTGTAATGAGCTTTCGCCTGAATGTCTTATTGGAGCCAATCATCTGCTAAAGGTAATAAATCTTATTTGTAAATGTGGTGACCGAGAAGTAAATTTCAAACTACTGGAAAATTAACACATAATTGTCCTGTGATTGATGGCCAACCATAATTGCCGATCACTAATAGTGGTTACTAGTAATTACTATTTCAAAAGAGTTTCCGGACTTCTTAAAACTAAGAAAGAAAGCTTCGACGTTCTGTATCGATTTGGGTTCGTACTTAACAGTTCAGGAAGTGTTAGCTCAGTTCAATTACGTGCGTAATTCTTTTTTGCGTTGAGCGCGGCGCTGCGCGATTTCAGATTTTGCGTAGGTGCGCCGCGCAGAGTGGGCGCTTCTACTATTCGCTCCACGTGCCACCCGAGTAAAATTGAGCCACAGCGAGAAATTCCCTCCTTTCCCTTGAGAAATTTTCTCAGAGATCCAATCAGAAGCACTCAATGGGAACTAATTATTTTGTTCCTTTTTTGAGAGAGATCTAGTCGAAAACCTCGGTCGTCCTATTTAATTTGAATAGGTAAACTATAGAGAAACTTCTCCGAAGGATTGTTGAACTAAATTCTCAATGCTGATTATTTAGGATGATGCTATTTCTATACCCACATGGTATACTTCGTACCTGGCTCCGATGACGTCAGAAAGTCTCTACCGAGCTGTGAAGAAAAGTGCCAAGGTGGACAGACCAGCGTCCTTTACATTCGAATGCAATTACGTAGTTAACATGAACAACAAGGTATTACTTTCCAAAAACCTTAATTTTATAATGTTTTTTTTTTTCGCAGCTTATTCTTGGCGAAGAAAAGGAAGTATTCTCCTTCAGCCACCCGAAGGCCTTCATGAAAGGTGGCAATTCCTTCGATCAGCGAGCTTGTCTTTCATGGAAGCTGGCTTCCGAAGCCCGAGTTCACGGTTTCGCTGGCTACTTCCACTGCTGTCTGTACGACGATGTGTTCATGTCGATTACTCCGAAGCATCACTCGCCTAAAATGTTCAGGTACTGTCATTTTTTAAGCTTCGACGTATTATTTAAGTTTCCAGTTGGTTTCCCGTGTTCTTCCCGATCGAAACACCAATGAAAGTGCGGGCTGGCGAGACTTTAACAGTACACATGTGGCGTTGCACGAGAAAGCGCGATGCCAAAACTTGGTACGAATGGCGAGTCACCTCTCCGGACGTCACCCGTACTTTCAACCCAGCTGGTCGAGCCCAATCAATCGGCTCCCACTCCTAGATTTTTGAATATTTTATTTATTACTTTCTTCAAACCTCACATAACTGCCTTCCCGAAGGGGCGATGCTCAGCGAAAGCCCAACATGTTCGAGGTTCAAGTTACTCAAGTAACTTACTGATTGTGTTCTTTACAGATTGATTATCGGCTCTCGGAAATATGCGCGCTGAGCTTTGTCACTTCAGCGGCCTCAAGATCCACCCCGGCCATGGCATGAGCCACTGCCGAGCCGACGGAAAGGTCATCCGAATGATCAACAGCAAGGTCGCCTCCTTGTACCACAACAAGAAGAACCCCAGAAAGCTTCGATGGACCATCCTCTACCGACGAAAGAACAAGAAGGGCATCAGGTATTGGAAAGCGAAAGTAGAGTCCTTGTGAATAATCAGATTAGCCAGGAAGCTTCTGTGAAGCGACGTGTCCGACGTAACGTCAAGGCCACCAAAGCTGTCGGAGGACTCAGCTACACTGAAATCCTCAACAAGAAGATGCAGAAGCCCGAGGTAAGACCTACCCAAGAGCCCACTTTCCACCGACCCTTGTAGATCCGACAGAAGCAGCGAGAAAACGCCATCCGAGCTGCCAAGGACAAGAAGAAGGCCAACGAGGCTAACAAGAAGGCCGCTCGCTCCGCCACTCTTGCTAAGGGCAAGGCCGCCGCTCCCGTCGCCAAGCAGATGAAGAAGGGCGGTGCCAAGGCTGGAAAGCGCTAAAAACTTCCCCTGTCTTAATTAGTATTTAACTTTGTACTTTGACAGGAGTTGTGTTCATTCAAGTTACTTAAAATTGGGCGTTTTAGATTTGATCGAAATGGGCGCATACAAGTACATGAACGAAGTTTGGCGCAAGAAGTCTTCGGACACTATGCGATACTTGCAGCGGTAACTTTATATTCACCTTTTTCAGGGCTTGACCATTTGTTTAAGAATTCGGGTCTGGCAGTACCGAAACCTCAACACCATCCACCGAGCTTCCAAGCCCACTCGACCAGAGAAGGCCCGACGACTCGGATACAAGGCCACTCAGGGCTTCGTCGTTTACAGGCACAGAGGGTTGCACGGCCTAGCTCAAATTACCTGCGATTAGGATAGCCAAAGAATGAAAACGGCAAAGAGTTACTCGGAAACACGGGGCGCGTGTCCGGTAACAAACCAGTTCTCGACTCTTCTCCGCGTTTTCTTAGTCTAGTCGCTCTAAAAACTTCTAGCGCGTGGAGAAACACTATGATTCCAAGTAATGACTCGTCATGAAACGAATTTAGAGACTGGAAAATCCAGCAGAGGGCCTTATGCAAACGTAGACGGACACGTTTCTAAACGTCCGCGGTGAATGTTCAACCACTTGACAGAATCAAGATCCGACGAGGTGGACGAAAGAAGCCTGTCCCCAAGGGAGCTACCATGGGTAAGCCCACCAACATGGGTGTGTTCGTCCAGTTCGCCCGACGACTTCAGTCCGTCGCTGAGGAGCGAGTTGGCCGACACTGCGGCTCTCTCCGAGTCTTGAACTCCTACTGGGTTGGTGAAGACTCCACTTACAAGTACTTCGAGGTCATCCTCGTCGACCCCAACCACAACGCCGTCCGAAACAACCCCAAGCTCCAATGGATCACTGCTCCAGTGCAGAAGCACCGAGAAATGCGAGGCCTTACCTCCGCTGGCAAGCGATCCCGAGGTGTCGGCAAGGTTAGTTCAATTCAGCTCGTAATCGCCCATAACTCGCTTTGCTCAGGGTCACAAGTTCACCAACTCCATCGGTGGCTCCACCCACGCCGCCTGGAAGCGACGAAACACCCTTCGACTCCGACGAAAGCGATAAACTTCCTGTACTTGCCACCTTTGAAGAGTCTCATACTAATCTGCCAGACTTTTACTGTGAGCTCTTTATCGGGAAAAATAAAAGGCGAAAGGACGCACTTGACGTTAGTGATTATTACGCAATCGATATGCGCATGTTATAAGGCAGGAGGCAACGATCAGTGACTGATCATGGCTAGTTTAGAATGAGAAAATTATTAGTAACTTTGCGAGCAAGCGGAATTAGAGAGAGGGCCAGGAATTTATCAGAGAAACCGCCGAGAATCCCGATTTATGCAGGTTAGAGAGATCAGCTCTTAGCTTAGATTTTATGGTTTCTAGTGGCGAAGGGTCACAATCCTGGGATTTACTTCTCTAAGGCAGGGTCTTGAGAGGGCAACGTCTGCCCTACCTCCTAGAATAGAGAATAATGAGTAATCAATCGTACTTAGCTTTAGCTGTTCACGCCTCTCTAAACCCGTACGAGAAAGCGGTCATGAAAGAAGTATCGGATTTTGATAGTCCAGTTTTTGCGAAAGTGTTGACGGTCGAAGCGGCGAAGAAATTTCTGTCTGAATTCGGCGAGCAAGCAAAGTGAACGAGAATTCCTCTAACACAACTGTTTCATTGCAGAATGATTCGAATTGATCGAAAAGTGCTCGATATTGAAAAGGTACTCCAGATGGGCATGACCTTTCGCTGGCATAAGAATGAAGATTCGTGGGAAGGGGTAATTGGGAGGTGAGAATCGACGGTACATTCGTCCGAATTCGGAATTTTCAATTTAAAGGAACGCATTCCGATTGCAACAAGTTGATGAAGGTATAAAATATTCGCTCCTCAATCTGACAGAGAAAAATAATGATGCACTCATTGAACAACAACTGCGCCAGTTTTTCGACTTGGACAGGGATTACAAAATTTCGAACGACGATAAAAACATGCTTGAAGCCATCGCAACTTACGATGGTATTCGCCAGCTACAACTGGACCCAGTGGAGACACTATTCAGCTTTATTTGCTCCAGCAACAACCACATCTCAAGGTTTCGCATAAGTAACAAATGCAATTGTGTGATTAAGATTTAGAATATCTTCCATGATGGTTTACCTTGGTAGAAAAGGGCCCCTTCTCGTTTGTGGTCCAGTTGACCTTCACCAATTTCCTGATATTAAAACACTTGCTGCGCTAACAGAAAAAGAGGTGAGTTGGTGATACTGTTTCACTTTTCACAAACGACTATTTGACAGAAAGAAGATTTATTAATAAATTGTAAAGCTACGAGAAGCCCAGTTCGGCTATCGCGCAAAATACATCGTGAAAACTGCCCAAATGATTTTGGAGAACGGCGGCGATGCCTGGGTAGAAGAGCTTCAAAATCAGGACTACGATGTGGCAGTGGAAAAGTTGATGACTCTTTCTGGAATTGGGCGAAAAGTAGCTGATTGCATCGTTTTATACGGCGTGAGTATTTGCTCTGCGTTTTCACAGAAAGTGTAGAATTAGTCTACAAGACTGACAAACATCTCTGAAGAAAATTGTATAATTGAACAGGAATTCTTGGTTTACCGATTTGTAAGCTACGGACATGCTGCAGACGTTCGGTTGTGAGTGGCGATTTCGCAGTCTATCCATTGCGCTAGGATTAGAATCCAGTAAAAATAGCTCACTAAAGCAAAATAACCTCCATTTTCTATTCATTTGCTCCTGTTTATAAACACGGGCCGCCTTTTTCATATATGCCCAAACAGCGATCAAGGTCAATATTGTCTACGAATTGATGAACAAAAAATAGAAACTATAAACTCACGTAAATGATAACTACGTAGATGATAATAACTCTCAAGTCGAGGACCTCCGTTTGTAAAATAGACATTGATTCTTTGAGTGTATTTCTTAATCTCTCGCGGGTACCTTTTTGATAGCTCTCATCAACAACTATGCATTAATATTGAACGAATATTTTTTAGCTGAATAAGCGCCAGGCGATTCCTCTCGACGTGCATTTGATACGAATCGCGAACCGCGGTAATACAGCTGTAAATTATAATTACTTACTCTCCGTTAGATTACGGTTTGCGCGAAGCTGAGAAGGGCCTCACCCCGGCGCGATACAACAGCATTGTCGCGAGATTGAGGGAAACTTGGGGCGAAGATTCGGGGTACGTCCAGGAAAGGGATATCAGCGCCAAGAATTTACTCCTGGATCCTCTCAAAAAAAAAATTGCAATAATCCCTACAAAAAGACGGTGCTTTTCTTTAAAGAATTGCAGCTTGCGAAGGCGAAGAAAGGAGTAGGAAAGAGGAAGCCAAAGAAAGAAACGACAGACGTGAAGTTAGAGCAAGAATCCCTCCCTAAAAGGGGCAGACAGTGTGCGAAGAAATCCCCAGAGGAGAAGAAACTAAAGACAGAAGGAAGACGTAGAAGTAAAAGCAGTCGAAGGCTCGAATTTTAGGCGCTAAGCTTTTACAGTAACTTTTACTGTACAAACGCACTGCCAGCTTTTGACTGCCATATATTTTTTGAGAAGATACTATTTGTATTTAGCGCTAATTAGGAACTGAAAATTAAGAATTCTTAAAAATGGCGTTGCGGCATAGAACAGACTCGATCGCTAAGTACGAAGAAGCCCTGAGCGAAGTTATGGACAAGATCGCGCTCTCGTACGAAGACTTGAATGCAATCAAAGAAAAAGTGAAGGGAGATGTGAAAGCGAAGCTCGAGAAAGATCAAAGCGGTGTTGGACGAATGTTAAACTCATATGTAGCCAAGATTCCAAATGGGTCCGAGAAGGGCGAATATATTGTTCTGGGTAGAATAATCGACTTTTCATAATTGCCTATAAATTGTCTTATAGATTTCGGTGGACGATTCTTCAGAGTTGTTTATGTACGTCTGAACCAAGCAAACTCAGCAGATGCAGACTTTTCCGTGGCCCCAAAAGGCTCTGGAACAAAACTTGGCAACGATGAAGCAGTATTTATGGAAAGCAAGATCTATCCACTAAGAAAGAATCAGACCAAAGGTTCAGAAGAGCTTTTTAAACTTATAGCAAAGGTATTTATTCAATTCATATTTTGTTGGAAACGATGAATTAGAGCTGTGCTGACTTTTGTAGTCGCTTCAGGCTAGAAGAAAACCCCATCGATATTGTTCTTGTGAATTCGTTTCCCTGCCGCCATGAAAGCATTAATAAAGCAACTCTTATCCGATGGAACAAGGTAAGGTACTTTTTCGCAAATACCCAACTCGATCTTTTTATAGACCGTTCTGGTAAGGCTGTAGTAATAGACTGCTTACAACTTAACAGAATATTTTCTTTATGTGAATAGCTAGTCATCGTTCTAGTTTGAGCTTTTTTTATCTATTAAAAGCTGTTTCTAGGGACTGCATCCAAGCGACGGAATCGGATTGGACGTTTCTGAGCTTCTTCAAAACGCGATCAGTGATGCAGGCTTACCGCACAAAGTTGTCGCCATTGTGAACGACACCGTTGCCTGCCTCTTTACTGGTGTTAGCGAAGAAGTCAACACTAAACTTGGTCTGATTATTGGAACTGGCTTCAACTTGTCCTTCTTGCGGACTGAAGAGCAGACACAAGCTGTTAATGCTGAAATGGGCAGTTTCGGTGACGATGGCGAGCTAGACGAGTATCTAACGAGCTTCGACAAGGATATCGTCAACGCTGGTTATATGCCTAATCCGGGGAAGCAAGTGATCGAGAAGCTGGTTTCGGGAACTTACTTGCCAGAAATCTTCAGAATCATGGTCAAGCACTTCGTCGACGAAGGACTTATGTTTAACGGCGTTTCATCCGACCAAATTGACAGAGTGGGAGGAATTCCAGGCAGTTTCCTTCCACAGATTATTAGAGCCGGCACCCAAGGTAAACAAATGATTTTCGTATGTGCGATAAAAGAAATTGACTAGGCTTAAACCACGTGCAGGATGTTTTGATCAACATCGACCTTTGTGGAATGTACGCCGATGCGGAAGCCTGTCTTTCTATCGCAAAGATGCTCACACATAGAGCTGCTGGACTTGTCGCCGCTTGCCTCGCTGGAATCATCGAAGTCTCAAACTACTCAAAGCACAGTATTAACATTTGCGTAGGAATGGTTAACATAAGCAATAATAACTTAAACTCTCCATAAGTCAAACAGCTTATGGTCAAACCGAACAAAGACGGATCGTTCTACAAAAGCCACCCATTACTAGCTTCCTCTATTCAAGAAATGACCCAAGAGTTATTAGATGGGCACGAGGTAAATACCAATTTAGTAACTTGTTAATTAACTTGCTAGCACCACATCGGCCACAAGATACAGGTACCCGTCATTGAGTGTTACTTAACATTAGTTTGCCATGCTCGTTGCGAGTCTAACTTAGCTCAGACGGTGTCTATCATTTATTGATTTCAACATAACTATTCAGGTGACGTTCCGAACATCATACGACGGCAGCGCGAAAGGCGCCGCTTTCCTCGCTGCTGCCAACGTCGCCGCAAATCAATAGACAACTTCTAACCTATTCATCCTGAATTGCTTCAATTTCTAGTTTATGGCTGTGAGTGAGGCTGAATGCCAGTTGCGAATCTAATCTGAGTTAACTTCAAATGAATGCTGCGAATAAATGATTGAAATGACATGAGAAAGTCGTAGTTGAAATAAGCTAAAAACGCACTTTTAGCTTATTATTTCCCTGCTAAGTAAATAGTGAGTCCTTATTGTCGGCAGTAGTGAAGAAATATTTCAAAATACATTTACATGTATCGGTTCTTTGTACTTGAGCGTCAAGAAACCAGCAACAAAAAAAAGCAGGCACATGAGGAAGGAAGAGCGTTCGGCGAATTTAGCTGCTCTGTAGCACAAGATCTGGAGGCTGCCAACGATGCCCCAGTTGTTAGGATTGAAAAGCTTGGGGAACTTGGCACGAATAAAGAAGCAGGTCGCGCTGAAGAGAAGCGCAATCTCAAACTTGGTGAGGACCGTTTTCTCCACAAAGTAGTCCTCCATCTGAGGCCTCATTTCGATTTCTAATGAAAGATGAATTAGAAAAGACCAATTTAAATTTGTTCTTCGAAAGCCAAAGAGGGCAAATAGTTAAAAGAAGGGAATGTCATAACGGAACAGTTGATTAAAGCGGAAAACGAGAGAACCACCTAAAGGGGATTGTAAATGCCGATACATTATCGCGATTAGTAAATAATAAAATTAATTGGCATAAGTAATCAGAAATCCATTCGACGCGCTTACCAGGATTATTTGCTTGTTTTTTACAGGCACCCGACAGTTTTCAAGAAGAAACCTTAATAATTTATCTCGAAAAAGAAACTGTGAATGCCTGCAAAAATTTATTTTCGTGACCTTCAAATTTCCACTCTATTAGGTCAACCTTTATAACGAAAGAAAGAGTAGAAAGAATATATTTATATTTTCGAAAAGAGAAAGAGAGAGAGCAGTCGTACACCAAAACAGTGAGATTAGAAGCAGTGCAACAGATTGTCGTTTTTGTTTGTTTTTTCGTTTTTAAGAAAGAGTGGAATCGAGATCAGAAGTGAACTTTGCTTGTTGATGACTTTCACCAACGGGGAAATGGAATTTTACAGAAATAGCTTGAACGGGGCATCTAGTAAATGAACGTGGCCATATTCGGGCGGTAATAGTTCTGGTTCTGCGAAGGGCCGCGACTCGACGGGTATTCTATAAATACATTAAATATTTCAGGGAGTGAATGTAAAACTCCGCATATTACTGCCAGTACGTTTCAAACTTACGGGCTTGATCTGCATTAGACGGATCATAAATACTGGGCCCTCCTTCGTCCGCTGTCAACAGCTGGTCGTTTTCAGAGGTGCCTCCGACGTTGACCTGGCTATAAGGAGAGACATTTCCGCCTCTTATCGGATATTGCGCGCGATTATGGTTCGGCTGGTAAAACTATAACGATCGTTTACTCTTTGATTTTTTCTTGCTCCTTTACCGTTTGTGAAGGGTCGGAAATAGAATTATCCCGATTAGGTCCAGAAGTTACGATTTGGTCATGGAAGGTATTCTGAAACGAAAATTGTGAAAAGAGTATTGAAGATGTAATTAACCTCTGGATTAAGCGTAGGATTTCGATCCCACTTGTGGTACAGCTCAATATCGTTGGGTTCTTTTCCCGTCCTCTTCTTTCGAATACAATAAGCGAGCATGACAGAAAGCGTCAGAATCAACAAGAAAACGCCGGCACTGATGCCCACCACAATCTTTAAATAAAATGTAAGAAGAAAGGCCAAGTTATAGCGCCAAAATCTCACCTGATTTTCTTTCAATAAATTCCAAACACTCTGGTCGTTATTGTCGGGCGTGGCGTCAGACTGAGGATTGTCGGTGCTAGTAAAATGGTTACGAGATTGAACGAACGCAGATAAGGATATTTACTCTTCGTTTGGTACTGGAGTGTAAACATTTTGTTGACACGACGGATCATCATCACTCCATTCGAGCTCGCCCCCAGAGTATTCGCATGTGCGGCTTCGCTCACCGACAAGCTGGAATCCATCCGCACACCTAGATGATCATTGAATCAACTGAAGCCGCAATCGTTTACTTACGAATACTCGCAGACACTTCTTCTCGAGTTGCCAGTACATTTGATGAATCCGTTTTCTGGCTGATGCAACTCTGGACAGCTGGCAGGAGGTCCGCAGACTGGTAATTCTGCAGACCAAACTCCATTTTCGCATAAAATTGAAGTTGGGCCGACAAGTTCAAGATCGTCTGGGCATGAGAATTTACACGACTAGCAGCCAATTATTAGATTCGCAAAAGATAGGAATTGACTTACAATTTCGTCGCAATCGTCTTGACGATTCGGCGAGGGGGAAATTTCGGGGCATTGCGCGTTTTTACAGCTGGGCAGTGAGCTTTGAAGGGTTCCGTCTTCAGTACAGCCAATCACATGCTCTTCAAGCGTGTCAAGGCACTAAAAAGAACATGAATTGAAGTTCTTTTTTGTTCTCTTTAATTCGAGGAAGAGGACATCCCACCTCAATGTTGCATTCATTTTCACTGCAGGAGATCCACATAACCGAATCATCATAGTCTGGCTCCGGACAGATGGCGTGCGCAAAACTGGGAAGAAGGAGAATCAGCGATTTCATTGTCTTATTCTTAAATAATCAACTGTTAAAAATCGAATTCTAACACTTTTAAATGGCGTTGAACTGATATCTTGGCAGGGCAGGTTAATATAGTTTTGGCTAGTAGAAATAGACACTGCTACATGGTTTTCTTGAAGGTGTTTGGCTTCTTGGTCTCTCTGACGCATCTGAAGCCCATGTCGTTGGTGGACGAGTCTGGGGAGTTGTGATGTCGCGCTGCATTGCGAATTCTATGTGCGGCTCTTTTCAGCCCTCGTCGAAAGTATGAAACTGGCTAAACTTGGCGCGAGTACATAATTGGGCCTAATTAGACTGTCGCGCAGAAAAGTGATTGAAAAAGCAATAAACTCTCTTTCCCTCTCGATTCAAAATTGACTCTTGGAAATTATTTTTTTTTTCAGAAACGATAACTTTGAAATTAATCTTTTTTTATTTCTTTCCTTTCTGGCGCTCAAGCCGGACAAAGGAATATATAGCGCGTAGTTTAGTCACGCTTTTGGCTGGAAAAAAGAAACGGAAGTACTTCCACACAAAAGACGAAATTACATTACAAACAGCTTATCACTCGAGACTAAAAAGAGCCCGATACTACCGTGGGATTTTTTTAGAGAGGGAGAAGGCCCCTGGCCTCGCTTCCCCGTTTCACTCTCGGGGAAGTCTAGAAATTTCTTTGAGGTCCTGTTGGGCACTTCAGAATAAAGAATTTAGAGTTCGGCGCACTCCGGAAAAATACAGTCTTCTGATTGGCTAGCCGCGCTAGGCGCGCGCGGCTAAACTGAGAGTCCCAGAGAGCTTAAGACCCTCAGATTCTCAGATCTCCCTCTAGGAAAAAATCTCATGGTAGTTATTTAAAAATCCAGTTACGAAAAATTCGAACGTCATTCTCAACGAGGTGAAAAATGAGCCTGTGCCTGTAAGAGTGCTCTGTGTCAGACAAGAAGCTTCCTCCCTTTTTGACTCTTTCAGTGCCTCGCGGACTTCCTGAGGGATCGTTTTTTGGCTCGTGCGTGTGGTAACGAGCAAAGCGGTCGCCAGTCCACTCCCAAACGTTGCCTATCATGTTGAAGAGGCCGAACTCGTTCTGAGCCCCGAAGGCGTCAACTTTTTAAATTATTAAAAAATGCATTTGAAAAATTAAACTCACCAGGCGCGGTGGTGAGGGGGAATCCGTCGCCCCCGCCATCTTCGTCTGGGAACTCGCCCTGCCAGTAGTTGGCACGGAACTCGCCCTCCGGCGCGAGAAGGTCATCGCCCTAAATTTCGAAAATCAGACACCCCAAAGCAAATAATGAAAATTCAACACAACCGCCTTGCCAAGCAAAAATCGATCTTTTAGCGATTTGTCTCTTCAAAAAATAACTGATAGTTATCAAATTCTAGCACGGGAAAATTACGAGCAATAGTTTTGCGCGTTTTTATCATTTTCTTGACCGCATATTTCTGTTGTAAAACTTAAAAATGATCATAACACGGTACAGGTGAAAAGATAAACATTTATTTAAACTAAACCCTAAAGATAATACATTGTATTCCATTTTCTATAGTGTCCAAAAATACTCTCTTACGCTTTTCTTACAAAATGCGTAGTAAGAAGTTGGCCGATTAAGAAAGAATTACGAAAAAGGCGGACATCTGCTTTTGAAGAGTAAAAATTCATCGTCTCTCTTTTGGAAAAGGTTAACGACTGCGTGCGTTTTCCTTTCGCCGCTAAATTATTCACATCATCAGGGGAGAATAAATTTTGGCCTTCGTCTCTCGGGAAAAGCGATTGTTGACTTTCAAAAGGAGAAATTAAGAAGAAAACTTAATTATTCAAGACTGAATACTTATAATGCAAATTCAAGAAGACAATGCCATTTGCAAAGAATCTAAAAAGGGCCAAGCTACTGGCATGAAGTTCATGATCCGGACCAATTGTCTGTTTATAATCAATAATTAACTATCGAGCGGATGTTGACCGAATTTCGAAAACAAAAAAGCCGAATATTTTAAAAAATATTACTGATAATGTTAATTATACTTGAGTGCAACTAAAACTCATGAAAAATGCAATTCGCTGTAGAACTAGATTCTGGCTATTTTTGGCACTTTGTCAAGAGGAGCAGTATTATATTGTCCACCTTCTATGAGTAGTAAAATTCGCTATTCATGGAAGCTCTTTTTCTCTGGCCGGCGTGTCTCTTTTCAATTTTGGAATGTCTAGCAATGGCAAACATAGGGGGCTGTGTAAAATCGCTTATTCCAAATACTTTTGCACGAAATCGTTGTGCAAATACCGACTCAATTATCAATAATATTTAGACGCCATGAAAACGACACTTTTTGTACGAATCTTAACGCGCGTATTCACCTTATTCTTGGCATGATCATAATTGTAAATAATTTTTTCCCTTTTCTCGAAAAACTGTCGCCTTTCTGAATGTGAGATTCTTCCATGAGTCTTCATAGATTATTCTATTTTCTCTTGTCCAAAAAAAAAGTTTGTTGGGCCTCTCTGCTCAAATTGCTGGGATATTGATCCTAAACGAATTCACTTCAGCAGTTTTAATCGTGTCGAAGCGCACTCGCCCATTTCCACACGATTGCGCCCGACTGGCACGGTGCCGTACTTGACGTTGCTCCAATTATTTAACCCTTGTGCGCATTTATAACGATTCAATGGCAAGTAATAAAGCTAATGAAATTTAGTCCTCTATTGCCTCGAAAGAGGATTCATCTATAGCCTATAGACTATAGGCGAATATCCTTCACTAGGGTCTTCCATGATCCCAAAAACAAAAATTTAAATCCTCTTACATCATCCAAGTTCTTTTTTTCATCGCCGTAAATGCTCTTCTCTTTCTCTGGTTTGCCTGAAACTGGCTCAAAAATGTGTCTTTGAACAAAGAGCAAACACACGCGATTCAGCAAATGAAAAAACCGTGCGTGAATTAGCTCCCCATAAAAAGTGGAATTTCCAAATTGAAACTTTCTCCAAAAGCAGGAATTCTCTGTTTTGAAATTTTCACAGCGGGCGTGAAATTCTTTCCCACTGCGGATCGACCAGCATTTCTTTCCGGCTGGCTGCGTTTTCTCTCTTCATAAACGCGCTCTACTGTGTGCCCAGTATCTGGCCCACTTGAACTATTTTCGTCCCTTTATCAGAGGTAATTCAAAAGTCCTCCGAGCCATTCACATGAAATGAGAGGCTCACATTTAAAATTCTCTGGCTCTGAGTCTCGCCATTTCAAAAGAGTCGTATTTTTTTCGGGACATAAAGCATAAATGGACGCCTATTTCAAGGTCATTGTCGCAATAAAATTAAATTCTTGGCCCTTGTTCGCATGGGAGGCCAGAATTCGGGGCATTAATTTGTTCCTGCTAAAAAAATTGAGGGTTTTGAATTTTTGCCGGCGATTTCACGGTTTCACAGGGAGTCGACCGCAACGGTGATGTCCATTGTCACCGTGAAAATGAAGGTAAAAACTTCTCCTGATTCTAATCATGACATGATTCCAGAGCTTGGGCAAGGGGTCACTACTGAGTAAATAGAGTATAGATTCCCGCGGAAGTAGCGCCGGGATCCAGGCTTGACGTTTTTACGAGCGCTGGAGAAATCTGACTGGATTCGCGTGCTGCTTCCGCGGAACTTCTCAAAAAAAGGTTCTCACCCAAGGGAAATGTTTGGAGACGAGTTTGCCCCGCGCAGCACGCTCCCACTCTGCCTCGGTCGGTAATCTCTGTCAAAGGGTGTACATTTGCACGCAGTGTTTTTCAAAAAACAAGATCATTATGATATTCTCTATGTCACAGAGTCTGTGAAAGAAAATTACACGAAAACGTCGTGAGAGTTTTTTGAAAAAATAGCGATAATTCTATCACCCTAAACCTTTCCAGCCCACTTACAGTAGCGCTCGGCGTCGGTATGCGAGACATGGACAACTGGATGCGTCCATCGGCCCTGGAGTGAACTCTGCGGCCCTTCTGGATGCGCCCAATCTGCGCCGTTGATCATCACCCACTTCATCTGGTTGCTTATGTGATAGTTACACTTATTTACATTTATGATCAAGTGGGCGTGTTTTGTACTTATGAAGTTTAACCCCTGCGTGCATATAAGCCGATATTGCTGCATTCAACCCAACGAATCTCGAAAATTTTCTTCGCGAATGAAATTTTTAGCGCTCGCCTCTGTGACAGTTTTATTCTGGCAAACATACCGCGCCGGGGTTAAATAATAATAAAAGACTTTCGAATAAATAAACTATGAAGTGGAGATTAAGCAACCTAAGCCCAAGGAGCCGCCTGAACCATTTGATCAGCAGACTCAAGGACCTCCTTTGGTAAACAGAGGTCAAAGACGTACGAGTTGCCGAAATTCTCGGCATCCGTTTTGTAGCCGGTCTTCTGAACGAATATCCAGAATTCCGAGTTCGTAACTTCATACGCATCCATGTAGTAGTCTCTAGTTTAGTTTGAGTTTAGTCTCTAGTCAAGCAGGTCAGACCTTGTTATTCTACATTCCCGCGCTGGCTCTTCACCATCGTCTTCTAAAACTGGCGAATCAGTGCCGAAAATGAAGTCTCCTTTGGGAATGAGTACTTCTTTGTTCCATCTCTCTTTGGGAAAGCTCTCATCTGGCGGGTTGAACTCCGGCTCGTACTTGTGTCCTGAGCCGCATTGAATTGTGAGCATTATTCACGGCTTTAATCATAACACGACACTCAGAAAGAGCCTTTTATTGTCCACCCTGACGTAATAGCCAAATAAAATCGACACTGAAATCAACGAAGACATAAATTTAAGGATCAAAACAACGCTTCCTGGAGATTCAGCCACGACCTGGCCCAACTGGAGAATCCAGACAATCATTCTTCTGATGTTTTCGGAGAAATCTTTAATCTCGCCCCCTTTTCTCTGCTAACAAATACGCGCCAGGTGGAACATACGATGCAATAAAAAAGAAAACTGAGTAAGGGTATTTTTCTGCCGAAAATTTGACGCACGCTCATTGCCCCGCGGCTCATTGACTGCATTAGAAAAAAGTATGGAAGGGCTGCCGGGCGGGGCGTCCTTGCAATGCTGGGATTATTTTCATGTCTTTTAAGTGCCCCTCTAGGCATCGCAGGGAAATGCATTTTTTGGAAAAATGCAGTTCAATTTTGGCGAGTTAAATTTCCATGAGGTAATTTATTGTTCAAATCAAGGAAAGCATACTTGAAAACGACTGTAGCGGCAACTGTGGTTACATGGGCAAAGACACAGGAATTGATATAAAGGCACATGATTAATTGGGGATTCAGTTGACGGGGCTAATAATCAAATAAAATAAATAACATTAACACTGTTTTTTTAGGTTGGCCATTGGCATCTATAAACTTCTAAACCGTTCTAGATATGCCCTCGTGACCAGGGCTATTGATTTCGAGTCCTTTCAAATTACCCGCGACATTTTCCGGGTAATCCGCAAGTTTCTACGCGTTTTTACGCTTTACAATAATTACTCGGGCTGCCTTATAATAGGTGAAAATATTTTTGTGAGATTAATTGACACCTAAATGGCTTTTTTAGTTGCGGGTAATCCGAAAGGACCCGGAATCAACAGCCCTGCTCGTGACCAATAACAGAAATGTAGGGGAATGTATGGTGGTGGTGCATAGAGTGTTTAAAAATTCTAGAGGTCACGTGGTATTACGTAATAGACCCCTGAAAGTCGGCATTTTTTGCCCATTTTTGACTTTGGCGACCGATTACGCGAGATCACGTGATATCTAGAATTCCAAAACCCTCTCTGCACCACCTTTGAACCCTCCTCTACAGATCCACTATAGATCATGTGACCGTAAAAACAGTGATATTGGCATTTTGATCATATTAAGGATATAGCCTGTAAAATTCAACTTTCGTAGCGGCTAAACGCGAGGTCGGATCTTTTTCATTTCAAAAGCAATCTTACCTAAAAATGGACGGAAAATTCAATTTTGGTACTTTTTTAAAATTTTTTACTCGAATTTTTCTCTCTAAAGCGATTTGAAATCTTACGATCGCGATTTCTCAAAATTTTTCCACTAATTCGCTAAAACTAAACCGTGTTCTCTGTTGTCATGATGCTAAGCTAGAAAATTGAGGGAATAAAATTCTCAAACTCGGTCATATTTTCATTCTAGTATTCTCCTCTTTCTTGCTCTTGCTTTTCTTCCCTGCGCGCTTTATCGCGTGCAGCCAATCAAAGCGCTCGCAAAAACTCTCACGCTCTCCCGGAAAAGAGGAGGCGAGAGAGCGAGCACCGAGCGCAGCGCTTTTCATAGCTTCTGCGCGCTGAGTTAGCCTCATACAAGGGTTAGGGTTAGGGCTGTAAAATCGGTTTCTTTCGGATTAAGAGAACACTGAACCGTCAATTTTGTAGATAAAGGTCTAAAGAGCCTATCTATCGAAAAAACTCGACCGATTTAGTGAAAAATTTTCGAGGAATCGCGATCGTAAGATTTCAAATCGCTCTAGAGAGAAAAATTCGAGTAAAAAATTTTAAAAAAGTACCAAAATTGAATTCTCCGTCCATTTTTAGGTAGGATTGCACTTGAAATGAAAAGATCCGACCTCGCGTTTAGCCGCCACGAAAGTTGAATTTTACAGGCTATATCCTTAAATAGAAATAAATCAGGGCACGACTTTGAGAATTATATAAAAAAGGAAGTATTGGTGCTGTCTTGGCATGTTTTTGCGAAAGAGCGAGAACTGATCTTTGCGTTGTAAAGAATTGCTCGGTTGAAGAAGTGGTTTGAAACTACAGTCAGATAGTACTGAGAAAACAATGTCGGAAAATACTGTTGAATTGTAATCGAAGCTTGTAAGAATGAAGAAAGCGGCTTTACTTGCCTTTTTTGTCGGAGAGGTTCTGATTGTCGTTGTCACTTTCATCGACGGAGAACTCCTCATCTGAGCGGCTGTCAGTGACGTTCTTGCCTTTCAGCAGCCTGTACGCCATATCGAGGATAAGATAGAACCAGTAGAGATGCAAGATTTGAAGAACCATGAGCAGGAAGTTGAAAAAGTAGTACCCAAAGAAAGGCTCGAAGAGCCACATTGACTTGATCCATGTCGTGTGAAGCACAACGAAAGGGAAGTAAATGATCCGACTGAAATTGTTGTTCAATCGAAGAAGAAAAAATTAAATTACCTTATAAAGAAAACAACTGCGAAAATGTTGAAGAAGTGATCTGCGATTGCTTGCCTCTCTGCGTAAACGAAGCATTTGGCGATTTCAAGGAAGATGTCGGATATGTCGTGAAGCCACATCACTGTAAATTTATCAAAACTTTTTCTCGCAGTAAACGATTACCTAAAACACCTATCCTCGTAAATCCGCATGCATACGAAAAAGTTATCAAAGCAATAGTCGCGACGTGATGGATGATCTGCGCGAGGAAGTCTTTTCGAATTGTGTCGGAGAGTAATGTGCAGCAGAGAGAAAGATAGAACGCCAGTTCCGCAATGTAGTAATCTGAAAGATGTTATATATGTTTGTTTCGTGTAGCAATTTTACATTTGACATCCCAGGTTAGATCCTGCAAAGGAAAGTTTCTCCAGCAGTCGAGTGTGTCCCAGAACCACGTGTTTGCCATTACAACATACGTTCCATACGAGTAGGCAAGCGTATAGAAAAAGCCGCGCCACATGGTTTCGCCGAACTTCGCCGTCAGTGGCCGTGTACCCTGAGCTTTCTTCCGTCTGAACCATCTCTCTATTCTTCGTTCATTCCAATCTTTATCCAACTTCGATAAAAGATCAGCTAAAGAAATTAGTTAACCGTCAGAAACGAAGATTTTTTACTTTACGTAAGTCTCCTCGTTCTAGACGCCTATGACTTTTTGAGTATTTTTCCAAAATAGGGCAGCTTTCAGGCTTCGCTGTACGTTTATTCTGAAAAGAAGAAGTTTAATTCAAGTAAATTTACATCATTTATCACCTTTATTCCGACTCTTTTTGCAATTGGTGTACTGATAGCTTCCTCAAACACTCTTCTTATTAAAATCATCGAAAACGCGATTGGAATCACTATCCAAAGGTCGCTCAGATGTGGGATACTTCCACCTTGATTTTTGAATTTCTCGACGTCGGCCCAGGTTACTCCCGGTGGAAGCCAGTAACGCTCGTTCCAGAAACTCTCGACTTCCATCATGTCTTATTTTGGAAATTTAAAATAGAGGAGTTGAATTTTAACAGGTAGATATGGTAATACGTAGTATCGTATGGCATCAGACTCATATATAAACAATATAAATGAGCAAAATATATGCAAAAAAAAATAGATAAAATCGGATATAAAATTGCACTTTGTGTGTACGATAGGCTTTCCTCAGTATACAGTTATGGTGAGAAGCTGGATTGTACGTATATATTTATACAGAAAAGGTTTTTTGATAAAAAAAATATCAACCAGGCTTTGAATGCTAAGAAAAGGTAAATTACAAAGTCATAACAATCATAAATGCTCATCATGCCGAGAAAATGATATTCAATAAATATTAATTATCAGAAAATTAATAAAATAGGTAAAAAGCGGATTTAGAATTGGTAGAATAAATATGGCAGCGATCGGGGACTTGGCAGGATGGACAAACTGCTAAGCTAATAATATATAAAAACTATCACAGTTGTATAGTGACACCACTAAATATCATACACTATGAATACAGTTTATGTAAATGCATCATGGAACTATTGGAGACTACGACAAGTAGCGAATGTAGTCGATCCTGTCGTAATGCACCTAGAGAATATGTTAACTAGCATTCGACGAGAAAAGCTTACTTGAGTGGAGGCAATGACACCCAAACATCCGAAGATAGCCGAGCAGGCAGCGTAGCTAAGAGGACTTTTCGTAATCGTAAGTAAAGTGGACACAATGGCGATAGGAATCATATGCGATAGGTAATAAGCCGAGTCCAAAAGTGCGTACATCTCACAGAGACCACGCTCGTAAATGTTATCCTCCCCAACGGCCTTGAATAATGCAATTATCGCGACAAGAGAAATCAATGAAAGACTTACGTTGCTTTTGGCTTCTTTGTGGTACTGTGATAAAAGAGAATAGGGAAGGACTTGAAGAGCTGCGAGCAAAAAACCAGTCAGTGACGTGGCGCAAATGACGATTGGAACTGATCGGGAAACAAAAATAATTGCTGCAGCGAAGGAAAATGAAATCTAATAACAGTCATATGTTCTGGTACATCAACTAGTGATCTTACACAAGAGTAGACGAAGGCATTGCGGCGGCCCATCATTTTGATTATGTCTTCCGCGTAGAAGGCACAAATTACCCCGACGACGTTCTGTAAGAAAAGTCCTATAGAACCGTAGCGGATGCCCTCTTCGTACAGGTTTCGTAACTCAGAGCCGACTTCTGCGTTTGGATCCCCGTTGAAGATTACTTCTGCGAAGTACTCCGTGTAGTAAGTGATCTGAAATAACAATCAAATCGACACCAGAACGAGTTCTTTACCAGATTCATTAGTCCCATCCATCCACAGAAATGCGCGAACCAAAGTCGATGAAACATGTTTGGCATAGTAATTAAACTTCGAATCATCTCCGCCAGCGAGCAGAAAAACATTCGGATAGCCTTGAATCAAGAGTTCAAACGGTGGGAAGTATTTTGATCGTGACTTACCGCGGGTATTTTGAAGACGATCAGTGGAGCGCGTACAACCATGGTAGTTATTGCAGAGATGGAGATAAGCCCCTGCGGGTTGCCTTCAGTGTCCTAGAAAATTCGTCAAAATAAATTTGTGCGGAAACAGCAGAACTGTAAAAGTGGACGATCGGACAGCAGCCATCGACATCATCACCAACGAAGCGTAGACAAAGAACAGGGTCAAGAACAAAAGCTTGTCTGCTCCTCCGAGGAAAGTAGAAAGCCACAAGTTTTTCAAATCGATACTGCAGAAGAGATATGCCAGCGAGCCGCCAGCAGATACCATTAATGATTTGATGCCGAATGCCTAATTTCAGCCTTATTAATTGCGTCCTTGATAGAAGAAGTACCTTTTGGACAAATCCTTTGGACTCGTAAAGATCATCAAGAAGCGCTTCGAATGGAGTGTAGCACAAGCTGACACAACTGTCGAGTAAGACTATTCCCGAAAAGAGCAAGCCAAGATGGATGAGACCAGAGTATTTTTCGGGGAGTACTTTCGAAATCGTGGAACTTTAGAATTTAGCAAATATAACGACTGAATCAGTTTTACACTAACCTATAAGGAATGAGAAGGAGGGCAAGCAAGATTGCCAGGGAGATACAGAAAATAAATGGTGTTCGTTTTCCATGGCGGGACTGACAATCGTCAGACCAGGCACCAATTCGGGGGCCCACGATCATCGCAAGAAGAGGGCCACAGCCAAGAACGCAGCCGACCGTGTCGCTCTGGAGATCCGAGCTCATCAAGCTGGGCACGATGAATGTAAAGGCGGCACATGATACGAAATCAAGCCCAGCTGGCAGCGAGTTGACCTTGATAAGCTCCCACAAGGACAACTTGTGTAGCATTGTAGAATTTATAACGATTCCATTGCTTCTCGACGCATCACCAACGATGCAGGGTCATCTTTCCATCTGATATATAATGATTAAGAGACGAGCTGAGAGCATGAGCTTATAAAAATTGTAGATCTTTTACATAGTAATGTATGTGCTCGACAACGAGAGCTATATCTCAGTTTGTTAGACATGCAAGGATTTGCGCACAGAGCCAGATTTCACTTATTAAAAAGTTTTGCGAGCGGATATCAGCATCGTGGCTGTGGGCGCAAGAAAGTTTTATTTGAGTTAGAAATAATAAGCTGATAATATCATATTCTGCAATAACTGATAGTGATATCGGATCAAATTTGAGGTCCGGGGTAGGAGTCAGTCAGGCACTTGTTTTTGTCAATGTTTGTCTGTACAAGTCGGGGTAGCTGGGCAGTTGAGTTTGGTCGACCAAAGTCGCAGCGTTATTTATAAAGTGCTTCGCTGTATTATTACCCCATTTATGGCGATAGATAATGTGTGTAGCGACTATGACAAGCGCTATTACTATAAACTGTTTCAAGTTTGTTTCAAGTTTGCTTTGAACTTTGCGGAATTCTGTACTACTATAATACAAAAAAGAAACCATCGGATGGAACCAAAGAGTACTCCGGTGGATCGACGACCAGATACAAATGCAGGCAGTGCATCCCCTCCCCATTTTCTGACTCGACATGAGATCAATATTGACAAATATGACAATGTAGGACCCCCAGTCACGCAAGTTATGATCACAACACCTACATCAATACAAAAGTATAACAAATGGAGAAATAAAGATCTGCCACAGGAACTGTTAGTAGCAGAGGATGGAAGAGAGAGTATCTAATCTAACATCAAGCACAAAAAATAATCGACGTAATGAATTTAACTTGGCTACACCAAAATGAGCGTCGCCATAAAGCGCGAGCCTTTTCTTAATATATTTTGTTTAATAGAGATGAAAGAGAGTGTACTGAAAATAGATTTGGGATTGGGGACAAGGAAGCACAGAAGAGGCCGGTAGCCAGCATCTGATTTTATAGCCGAATTCCACCTTCGTTCCACTTTGGCGCCTAATCGGAGATCTTCTGGTTTTCGAGGCGCTCGGCCACTTTGTCAGTGGGATCCTCCATCTTTTTCTCTTTCAGCACCTTACAAATTAATTCTATAATTTAATTCAAAAAATTAAAAAGATTAACCTCTTCTCGTGGCTTGGCCGCGCCGAAAATGGAACTTCTAGCCTTGTCTTCTGATGATTTTTCCGCAGGCTTCGTCGAACCCTTTGGCATCAAATTTAATCTTGGCCGGCCAGAAGTTGATGGATTTGCTGGAGGTAAGCCACTGTCTTGTCCACGTCTATCAGAATATCTGTCGTCTCGGGGACGATCACCTCGGAAACCTCCATCTCGTCCGCCTAAAAAATGATCACGAATCCAATTTCAGGTTTTTTCTCACCTCCAAAGCTCCCTGGTCCTCCTCGTCCGGATGGCCCCGGGTACCCTCTGTCGCTAGAAAAAATTTTCAATCTTGGTTTCACACGCGTACATTTCGCGAAACCGCAGAAATGCGTCGTATAAACAACAATCAACGGCGATAACCTGGTATTAAGACTTACTGGTCTCTGTTGTCTCCTCTGAAACCACCGTCTCTATCGCTGTGACCTCCTCTGCCTCCTCCACGGCCACCTCGACCGCCACGGTCGCCTCCACCTCGTCGGTTATCTCTGTTTTCAGCAATATCGATACGAATCTTTTTGCCATTTTCAATTTGCTAAAAATCAATGAATTTCAAGAAGCACAGCTTTACATTACCGCTCCATCAACAGCAAGCGCGCTTTTCAAGTCATCAACCGTCTCGAACTCGACGTATGCATATCCACGGAAGGCTGCGGTTTCCCGATCGCGAACCATTCGGATTTGCTTTACCTAACGTAGAAAAATTTCAGTTAGAGAATATCCAAATCGCAAAAGGTTACCTGCTGGTCAGGGAAAATGTGATCGAAGTCACCCTGAACAAGGGTATCTGGAAGGTTTCCTACATATGCAGTAAATGGAGGCTCGGTTGGCTATTTGAGGGTTGAAAAAACAAGAAATTTAGCATTGATAAAAACTTTGGCTTTCAACCCATAGCAGTTGTTTTCTGCGGCCCCCGGAACGCCCTCCACCATAACTCATGGTCGTCTTAAAACAGAAGATAATAATTTTCAATAGGTAGAAGCATTTTGTTAGATTGCACATGAGTAGGAAGAAGGGAACTGAAGATATTATATAAAAGTAAACGCAGCAAAGAAACCCAGTAAAAATACAATGAAAGTTACATAGGCTGTAAATTTATACTAGAAGCAGGCATACTCATTAAATTACTTTTATGGCTGCCTAATGGTGCTGGGGTTAGCGTGGGGGGAGGACTGTTGGTATAAATCTGCTTGAGAATCAATAATGCCGCGTCTTCGGATGTCCAGTAGCAGCGGTGAGCAGAAGGAGCGAACATGTACTCGTTAAACATCTCTAGCGGGCGCTCTTGGAGCTAAAAAGGTGTTTAAGACTTTATCTTGTGTGCTCAAACAATCTGGTCAATATTAACTGAGTGAGAAAGAAACTGCTGGCCAATAGTTAAAATCAACACCTTCACAACAAATTACACGCGTTTATCTAGAAACCACTGCAGTTCTCAATTACCTGATAATCAATGCGCTCTCCCGAATTAAGCTGGCCCATATCAAAGTCTTCCTTAACAGAGGAAGAGGTGTCGGAATCTGCGCGCGCTCTGGCAGACTATGAAAATGAATAAAAAAGATGCAAACACATTTAAAGGTACCTGAATCATTTCGTTTGCAAGTTGCTCCGCCTGCTGCTGATCCTCGTCATAGCCGGCGGCTCTCTTGACAGTGGACATAACTGTTTTCATAGTGCTCATCAAGCCCGACCTAAACTCGGCAGCGGCTTTGCCAAGATTGTCGGCTAGTTCCAAATGAAGACGCTTTCGACCCTTGTGATGAGGAACTTGCGACGGCTTTGGTGGACATGGCGAGACGATAAATGGTTCTAGACGATAGGCGAAAGGATCCATCGGATGGAAAAGATTGTAGAAACGCCCACAGGTCGGAAGACTGAATTCATAGCCAAGGGCCTCCATTCCGCGTAGAGCTAGCAATAGTCCAGTTGGTGAGCCAAGGGTGAATACTCCATCTGGTTTGAAATTGAGCTTCGGATATCTATGAGAATTACATGCTTACGAAAGAAAATCGAAATCACACCGACCTAATACTTGGTTGACCAGCACCATAGTCGTATTGTTTATACTCAACATTGACCGTCATGCCTTCCTCCAAATCGATGTTTGGAATTTCATCTTGCTTGATTTCGGGTATCGAAATCTCTTTTCTTGTATTGGACGAAATGTACTTTATAAAAACATTAAAATGAAAATCTTTCAGGAGTACTCACCTGAAGAAGCTTCTTTCTTGGGCCTAGTGGTAATCCTAACGACTCAATATCCTGTTGCTCGAGCATCATTAGTGATGAGACATCAATCTGTTCCTGTTGTAAGATCGGTTCGACGCTCTCGATATTCAGGCTTTTTAACAATTCTAGGGAACATAGTGTTAATTTCGGTTTCCTTTCAAATTTTGATGACAAACCTGCTAGTGACGTAGGTTGAGTTTCATTTTGCGAATTGGAAGCAGGTGGAACTGACGGGGAAATTTCGACGCACTCTGGCTTCTTTTCCTTCTGGTTTTGATTTTGCAAGAGGTCGAACAGCATCAGACCGGATATACCATGTCCAATGAGATGAACTGAGCCCGAAAAGTTAGGATTTTTTTCCCTATAAAGGCCGAGAATTGTTTCTAGCTGCAGCGTCAGTGACTCGATCATTGGCTGGGCATAAATAGGTGAACTGTAGAACATAACATCGGCTACAGCAGCACTGCTGAACTCTCGAAGACGAGGAATTGAACTTATTGAAAGCTCCTTTACTACTTCTGCTGTTCCAGAAAGCTGCTCGCTGTGAGCGTCTTGCCAAATAATCGGCTAAATTAAATCGGTTTGCAAGTTAAATAGAATATTACTTACTAAAATATCTATGCGCTGTTTGTGACCAAAGTGAGACTGCCGCATGTCGAGCAAACGGTTTCGGAAAGAGTCGACGAGTCCCACTGATGTTTCCGCGGCCGAACCATCGCATGCAACTAGAATTAGTCCACAGGCAGCGCCAACCGGTTCACTTAGAGGTACTCGAAGACCGAGTTCGTTGTGGCGAACGTTGCGCCTAACAAACTGCATCTGGGGCGCACCTGGCGGAACATAACCTTGCTCGTCCGGGGAGCACCCAGGAGGCAAGTACACTACAGACTGAGAGTTGTGCATAACTGCGTGGCCGATTGGAAGTTGGACCTTCTTGGGGAAGCCACCAGAATTTAGCTCCATGTCAATAGCTTCGCCACAGTCTTCAGACAAAGGTTGATAAACGCCATCCACTTGTCCGTAATAATAACCTCGACGGATGCGAATTGGATCTTCTGCCCAATACTGTGCATGACGAGTCCCATCCATCAAGTCGACCTCATATCGCCCGGACATTACTTTCACTCGTTCAGTTGTTCCTTCGTTGAATTTGGACTCGATCAGCGAAGAGTCAGCCGTTGAGAAGGGAAGCCATCTGTCTGAATCTTTCGTCGAAGCCGAATTCTCATAGAACCAGACGACATTATCCTCTGGTAAAACTGGTGGCGCTGGATTTGGAGCTTGAGTGGCTGTTTTCGGCGGCGTTTGGGCGCCATAGTAAGAGGGCGGTGGAGCAGAGGCCGCGTTGAAAGTCGGAGGCGGCTGCTGTGGAAGTGCTACTGGGGGGAGGGGGTTATACGTATGAGGAGGAAGACGCCCTGGTGGAGGCGCTGTTGTTGGTGGAGCATTAGTAGGGGAAAATGCCGGCACTGGTGCGGCACCGATAAAACTCATTCCAGGAGTAGCGGCATATCGATTCGTCTGAGCCGCAGGCTTCGGAGATTGCAAATTATGTGCTGGCAGTGGCGGAAGAGAGGGCGAGGGAGTAAAGGAGGAGGGCGGTACTAGAGAAGTGGGGACTGTTGATGATGGAGCCATAGCTGGTTGAGTTACTGGCGCAGGTACCGGCGCAGGTACCGGCGCAGGGACGAAGAATTGCGGCTGATCGTCAGTATCGTCATTGCTGAATAACAAATTCGACATCTAAAATCATTCATCATGCGCATAGAGAATTTTTTCTAAAAATATAAAATGTATATGTTGTTTACAAAATTATATGTTGCAAGGTAAATGCTTGTATAATCAAATCTGGCCAGCGATGATCTGTTTTTGAAGTTGATTTGCATATTCGGGATCGGCCTTAGCTGCGGCGTGAAGGAGTTCCACCGAGTATTCGTAATCAGGCAGCGTGCCACGGCCAAGTTGAAGACATCGAGAATAAATGAAGGCGCCCAGACAGAAGCCCTAGATATTTGATAGCTTGTTTTGGAAATACCGCGGAAAGGAAACCTTTTTGAAGTGCTCATCTTTTTCCGAAAAGTCAAAATCGGATGATGCCTCGCAGACACTGAAAACAAAGTTCATTTTAATTTGAAGCACGAGGGGAGGGGAGAACTCGCGTCACTCACCGCTTTGACTGTTGAGCTGCTTCGGTAAACATTTTTCGCTTATAATAAAGCTCAGCCAGCATTGCGCGGCCCAACGCACTACCGTTGTTGGCAGATCGTTTGAAACAGTTCATCGCTTTCGTCGTGCTTTGTGCAATCCCCTGATTAATTTTTATATCTCCGGCTTGGATAAAAAAAAAATCCGCGATGAGAGCCGACATCAATTTTATTAATCCCACCTCGCCTTGAAGATAAAATTTGCCAATGATTGCCTGACTCGGGACATGGCCCGCTCCAGCCGCGTTTTGGTGCCAGTAGAAGCATTTTTCTACGTTTTTGTAAACGGGATGAGCGTAGAACTTGCTCAATTCGATCATCGCATCGAGCAGCCCGTTCCCCTCGGCGGCAGCCTTTGTCCAGTACTCTTCAGCTTTCTGAAATGTTGGAAAGAAAAACGCGTTAACTCCTTACCGGTGCATTGTGAGGGAATGAATCCCAGTAGGCACGGCCAAGATTCAAAAAAGCGTTTTGTAGTAGATGTTCTTGTTTCTCATCTGAACGAAACATTATCAAGATGAATTTAATGATTTTAGGGTGCACCTTTTTGAGCGAGATCGACGACTTCTTCCATAAGAGCGATTGCTGCTTGTGTATCTTTTTCGACGCCCCTGCCATCGTACAAATATGCTGCCTTTTGATAGAGCGCTGAGAGCGAGCCAAGAGAAGCAGCTTCATCGAAGATTTTGAAGGCTTCATCTTCCTGATCTTCTTCTTGATATGCGATACCGAGAAGGAGCTTGACTTTTAAATCATCCGACTGTCAAGAGTTAAAAAGCACCAGCATTTTTTCTCGTAGTTTTATATATAGAAAAAAAAAATTTCTTTTTCTCCTTGAAAAAGTTAAAACTTTCAGAACAGAGCAAAAATTTATTACTCTTTCCTGCGTCTTCAAAATTTCTATGACCTCTGGGATAGTCGCTTCTGGAGAAACATCAATGCCCAAAGACTGACACGACTCGATTACGCTCATTCTGATCAGATAAACGTTCAATTCACCAAGTTGAATTTGTCAAAGCAGTTTATTTCTTTCCGTGTTGCAAGTATTTTTCTAATTCAATCTATTGCACAGAGATTTGATTCTGAAGAATCAAGAGTGTGAAGTTCGCGTCCAGGGTGGAAAAAATTAAAGAAGAAAGGCTTTCTACAGTTGATTCGTCGAGTTACCATTGTATGTTGGTCGATCAGCATCGTCTTGTAAATCAGCAATACGACGCTTTAAAAATTTTGATAAGTTTATCAAGAAGAAAAACAAGTGCTACTCTTTGAGGGCGTTGGGTCGAACTGGTCGTGGCTGGCTGCCTTGGAGGAGGTGCAGTATTTGGGCCGAAAATACTGGCAAGACCTCGGATAAGAAGATCTACAACATCATTAACTAGTGGTCAATCAAAAATGTTTACTAATTGGAAAAAAGATGAGGGCCCAGAGCCATCCGACAATGCCGGATTGTGACATCTGCGTGCCACTGACATCTTGAACGACTATCAGAACTGCTGAAGGAGCGAGCCCGAGATCTCTCATCGTTTTCGTCTCTTCATCTTTGTCAATAAGTCTGTTTGGCATCATTTGGCGGAATTTGAAAGCTCTTTAATATGAATTTTTTATTTCCGGTTCTTCAATGGTGATTTTCTCTCACCCTTTAACCTTATTATCGCTGACTAAGAGGTCGCGAGCGTTTTGAAGAGGATCGTCGGCTTCGAATGTATAAGTGATAGAAGCGCCATTGCCGAGGCGGATAGAAAGACGCGCTTTGCTCGCTTTAGCACGCTGAATCTCTTCTTGCTTTTCGCGTTCGGCACGCAACTTCTCCTCTCTAAGCCGATTAGTTTCTGCATCCCTCGCGGTTTTCTCCGCGTTGTAGGCTGCCGCTCGGTTCCGCTTGTCTTCCTCAATTTGAGCCCGTACTCTCGCGAGGTGTTCTGCGTCAGCTTTCTTTTCTGCGGCACGCTTATTTCGGTTTGCGATGATCTTTAGTTCGTCTTCCTCTCGCTTTCGTCTTCTAAAAGGAAATTTTATTTTTTTCGAAAATAAAAGGGGAACTCACGCTTCTGCCATTTTCTTTCCCTCTTCTCTTCGTTTAATCTCGTCTTGTCGCTTCTTTTCCGCGGCTTCTTTTGCTTTTTGCTCTCGAACCGCATCAATTTTGCGCCTGTACTCTTCTGCCTTCTCTGCTAACCTTGTGGCTTTTTCTTCAGGAGTCTCTGAAGGTTCTGAAGTTCCAGGAGTTTCAGAATGCATGTTTGAGTTCGTGCTGCTTGAACATTCTTTACTAGGCGCGTCAGGCGTTGTCTAAAGACACGTAAGCTTTATACACCTCCACCATGACTCATTCGAATTCCTTTAATATTTAATGAACAATATTGATTACCTTTTCGTTGATAATCCCAACTGCCGTTCTAAGAATCTGTGCTTGTGTGATTGTTCCTTTCAGCGGCTCTCTTATCATTTCACCGCCGCTGTTCATGAAGAAAATCATCGGAGTGCCTTCGATTGTCCAGAACTGGTTAAAATCTATAAACCCTTGTGTGCCCTCCTGCAAACGCAGAGCGATGCAATGTGGTTGAACTTTTGAATGCATTATTGGACTTTCGAAGATTTTCTCAACATCTTGTGAGGCTGAGTTGCTGCCACTGGCAACAACGACTTTCAAAGGAGTTTTTCAATATTTTTTATTTCGTGACTTTTGATTGAAAGGTAGAACCTAGGAATCCTAGCCTAGGATCGACAAATGCCCCCGAAATCCGGATCGGGTTTTCATCGGATTTTCTTGAAGTCTGATTTTTCCGATTGGGTTTTTATCGGGTTTTTGTAGGATTTTTCGGGTTTTTGTCGGGTATTTTTCGGATTTTTATCGGGTCTTTGTCGAATCCAACAAAAACCCGACAAAAACGTCGGTTTTCGATCGGGTGTCAGGTGGGACTTGTCGATCCTAGGAAAGAACGAGATTTTCAAACCCTGCCTAAAAATTTATCTTGGCTAACAATCGCCTGAATCGCTGAGGCTATATCTCCGGACCACCACATATACCCAGTATCGATTTTTCCTCACTAAAGCAAGAAGAGTCAACTCTAGCTTATTACTGAATTAATCAAAATGATATTGTGCGGAAATAACACAGGGTTGAAGAATTAAAAGGATGAACCATGAGACATTGTCAAAAGCTAAATACTGTCACAAACTGTTCCGTCGCGGACATGTCACATTAAGACTCGGTTATGAAATGACAGTAATTATTATAATACAGGTAAAGGGATCCGAAATACATCGGGTCAGCGGCTGATGATGAACTTAAAGACAACGAAGGATATAAACTTAAAATCATGAAGAATTCCATTGAAAAAGGTGAATGAATATAGAGTTAGAAATACACAAACCTCGCTTTCTAGAGATTGCTGATTAGAAGAAGAGAAAACTTAAAATATGCATTAACAAGCTACATGGGTTGAAATGAGTTTGGCTTAGTTTAATCCGAGGTAAAGACATGGCATGAGAAGGTCTGCAAGGTATCGACTTGAATTGTGCTGCACCTGATTCTTTTGCAGTGAGACCTGAATTTGCACTTCCGGAGCAGTGATAGTTTGGAAAAGGAGACTCGACTACTAGCACTACACTAACTAGATTGATGGAATTTATATCTGCCTGATCAATTTTTGTACTTTTGATTTTTGTATTTTTCGATATATATTGCAAAGCGGACTAGATTCTAGTTTTGGCTAATGGAAAGAGAAGAAAGTACAAAGGAAAAGCAGGACTTCCGAGAGTGACAGAGTTGAACTGGTGTGGCTGACTGCAATCGCGTGATCACAGAAAGCAGGGCCTCGTCACTTAGAACTCGAGATAAATAGAGGCAACACACAAATTGTAGACGGACGCTTCGAAGAAGGAGTAAAGGCAAGACAGTATTTCAGATTAGGTACTGTGGCTCCGCGATTTCAGCTCGTGGTTGTATCTCCAGTCGCCTTTCGCGTTTTTCGTAAAGAGTTTTTGCTGGTAAGTGATTTTGTTCTCCTCGCGGTATTTGCGCTCGTCACGCTGCTTCTGCTCCAGACGACGCTTTCCAGTTGTCGCTTTTTCGATGTCGTTGATTTTCAAATTCTGAATATTGCTGTTTAAGTCACTATACAAGTGGACTCGGTTTTTACCTCTGTAACGTCCTTCCAGAGACGCCTTGATTCTGTTGGTTCTTGCTGGCTAATACTTTTGACAAACTTTCGACTAACTGGAATTTTGCGAGTATCAACAAACTCGTTGGGGCCTCGCTTTTCACCATTCACATTTTCAGTCCAGTGAAAGTCCGCGTTCCATTCTCCCTCGAATTCCGCAAAGGGTTTCTTTGCCTTAATAAGTTACGATGAATTCGTTTTCATTATTCGAAGTTACGTTTGGCTCGAAGCACTGTGCGCTGACTTTATGCATCTTGCCACCAATGAAGGATTTCGTATGGAACTTGACGTCCGCACGGTAGCCAGTCGATGACGTCAGCTTCGTGTCACCACCAAGTTCCACCCAAGGTACGGTTAAAATCGACCGACAGTAGCCACACGGAAATGTCAGCTCGTAGCTTTCGTTTAGATCCAAAAGTTCTGGAAACATTTTATATTTGATTTGGTATCACGGAAGACTCACCAAGCTTCCCATTTCCGATATTCTCGACTCCTATAGACAAGCCGTGGAACTGTGATTTCGTCCAGATATGCCCACTAAACTGTATCCTTTTTTGGACATTTTCTGCGTAGAAAGCAGACACAGGAGGATGGTGGGAGACTTGCTCGGCCAGAAAGCTGACATCGTCCTCTTTCGACCAAGGAACTGGGCCTCGTTTATTCAAAGGGCTTTCTGAGTCTGGAGAGCCAGTCTTCCAAAAGCAGCGGAATGTTTCCCCAATTATAGGATTGTATGGCTAATTTCAAGTGTGACGCAGATCAATAATGTATTCACTCTACCTTTTTGGCAACAGAACCGTTTCGACCTGCATGAAAGGAGGTCAAATACCATTTGATTACAGCAATCAATCTTTCACGCGGCGTGGGGAAAGTTGGAATCATGGAGAAAAAATCAGGATGAGCAAAGAAGTCGGAATACATTTCCAGCAGCGACCTCCGTTCCAAGATAAATGTTGGCAGTACAACTGACAGCATTATTTAAATTCCATAGCATGCAAAAATTTACCTGTTGTGAGATCCATGCCGATTCTCACTTGCTTGATTAGGTGCAGAATGACTGACTTGTGGGCTTCAACGCCCTCCCCTTCCTTGCCCCCTCTATCATTTTCTTCTTCCATAAATTCAACTGGCTCTTGTCCACTCATCCTAAAAATAGAGATAGCTTCTTTGACTTCAAAAGAGAGTAAGATGACGCATTTGGGTGTCAAAATTTTACGATAGGCAAAGACCCGAAATGTCACTTGCTAAATGCAGTCAGTCGAGAGTTGATTGCCCTAAATACCTTTGCGATGAAAGTGATTTCTTAAGTCTCTAGAAAGGAAAGCGGACTCGCGCCGATTCGATAAAAATCCATTGGCGTTGGGCAACCGCAAATGGTTGAACCCCTTAGGGAGTCAAGTATATACGACCCTGAGTAGAATTAAAAATTAACTTCATTGCCATCGTCCAGCATGTACATCTAGTGCGCTTTCACTGGCGATCGCAAAGTGACATTTATTATGAACAATCTAGCTGTACGTGCCGTAGTTACCTCTAACCCGTTCCTCTGTGTCCGGCGTTTTATAATTTATTTATCGAATTGGTGTTACACAGAGCGACGTTTTAACGAGCTTTAGATTTCCTTTTTTATTGGTCCCGCGGATTCAGAGGGCAAAGGAGAAGATGATTTAGACAGCCCGATAATGAGGTCTCTGTTATTTTCCCGTAAAATGCGCGAACAATGAAAGTAATCACTATAAAACTTACATGACTCTATGCTCTGATACATCGTCGCAATCATGGAATTCATCGTCCGAGCTTGTCAGCGTTTCCTGATGGCTCACCGCGATTGGGCTAAAGTCGCTCATAGAATCACATTTTTTCTCTTTGACGGCAATCTCGGCAGACGAGTTATTTTTCGTCTCATCGACTTGTTTGGACCGGTTGCTCTCTTTGCTGCTTCCAGCTGCAGCGCGCAACATAAGGGCTCCTTCGGCACCGTTTTCTATCAGACCAGATGTGAGTGTTGCTACGCAAGATCGATACGCGATAAATTAACGATTCGATTATATATGGCCTTTTGGCTTCCAGTCTACTTAAGATATTAAGGGAGTGACGAGTGATTTTAGGAATATTAGATCCTTTCCTAAAGTAGCTGCTTCCGTTGCCGATGAGTTTTGTGTTTCGATTTGAATCTTTTCTATGAGCTGCAGATATTGTTCCGCTTCTTCTATTCGGCGCTGGATGTCTCCGTTTTCATCGATGAAAAGCTTTGAAAGTATCAATTATTTGCTCTTTTCGATTTCATGAAATCAAGGAAGAATACGAGTAGACCATAACAAAATTAGCCTTAAATTGACACTTTCCTGATTGTTCGTTTTGGAGTTTCGGATGGCGTTGTCAAGCTCTGACACCCATTTATCTCGCTCAACAATATCGGGCGCCTGAGAAAAAAATGACGTCGCAGTTCGCAATGACTGGTGATACCTGAAAGTGATAAGTGTGATCGTCCACTGTAACACTAAAGTTACAGTCCTCTTCGATGTTCAGCAATGCTTGTTCGAGTGAGAGTTGTCCACGTTTTTCACCGATTTGACGTTTTTCTTTTGAAGTATAATAGGTAAGAATGTTATCTTGAAGCACAAACCATCGCCACGCCCAGCCCCTCATTACGTTAGTCCACTATCTTTGGTTCATAAAAGTCGAACTTTAACGATAACAAACATGCGAAAGGAAAGAAACTCAAACACGATTAAATTGAACCCAAATCTTGCAAAGTGGCCCCTCATGTCCCCGGTACAGGCCATTCTTACGATACAAGTTCGACCGGCTTAAAAATGGAATGCGTGTTAGTAATCGTGAGGCTGGCTGGCTTGGCTTAGTTGCAATGAATAAAACGGGTACAGTGCTAGGGTAATCAAAGAATGAGTTAATCAGCTCATGTGATAAATTTAATAAATAAGTAATTTTGGATGAATCAAAACTGATAGGCTTTTTCACTTCCATTTTCTCCTTTCTTTGCGCAAATACAGTCAATCTATAATGATTATTCAATGAAGACAAGGCCTTTTTCTATCAAAAATATAGTGTGAGTACAAAAATATACAAGGCAGGTAACAATGTACTAGAAAATGGAAACAGAACTGGAAATGGGGCGAAATTGAAAGTCTTTCAATTTCCATCTTCAAAGTAACGCTCCAGCGATACGTTCTTTTGAGGCACTAGCATGAGAGGCTTCTGGTTTTGCTTTTCATTCTCTTCGCCGTCAACCTTCAGGCATATAATAATTTATTCCTTCATTTTATTGAACTTATAAGAACCTTTACATCCCCTGCTCCTGCTGGATCTGGCGGGTTAATTTCAGTCGCCACAACAGTTGGTCGCTCTCCATTTGCTCCGACGGGGCTATTTGGCCGCTGACTAGAATTTAAAGTTACTATTATCGATTTTCAGGAGATAATTATGATATAAGAAGATTTTTCTTACTGGGCAGATCTCGTCCACTTGACTGGTTTAGTATAGTTGGTGCCAAGTTGAGTTGCGGAGAGCGAATAATCAATATCGCTGCGCTTTTTGAGTAGCTCCTGCACATGTGCGTAACCAGAAGGCAGTCCATCTAAATCACTAGCAATGAATTAACAGGACACAAGCCATACTGTGGTGGCCGTAGTCGACGAGTGTGTGCGCTTCGTGTCTTCTTTGCAGACGAAGGGATTCTTGCGACTGTGAAATTCTGAAATCGTTCCATTTTCGCAAGAAATTGATTTCATTTCGCGTAACATCTTTATCATCTAAACCCAAATGTAATCATTAAAATTCGATCTCAACTTTACCTATCTGAGTTATTTTCATGACGTTGAGAATGATGTGGTCTCTGTATTTGGACATTTTAGCGATGGGGTTTCCTTTCATGTACACATAGCGCAGCTCGCGACAGTGCTCTAGCACTTTTAACTCGTTGAAGCGGGTGATATTATTGTCCTCGCAGCGGAGACTGACAAGTTTGGGCAAGAAAGCACAAAATTCTAGCGTAGCAAGGCCGTTTCCAGAGACATTCAACACTTAAATCAATGTAATCTTCACTATTTTCTGTGAATAATGTTCGCGAGAAAGATTCTACAAAATCAGATCAAATAGTTATTTTTGAAAAATTTCTGTCCAAATTTACCTTCTAAGTTTTTCAAAGTGGAGAGAGATTCCGGCTCAAGATGCATTTTTTCTCCAGGAAAGAGCTTCTGGTTCTCGATGTGAAGCTCAAGCAAGTTGTCCAAGTTTGTGAGTCCTTCAATAACCTTTTTGAACTCTTTACGAGGGAAAAGAGGCTATGCTTTACCTGAATTCGGTTCTTGCCAGCGTAGATCTTTTCCAGTTTGCTGAGGCGAGAGACGCTGTCCAGTTCGAAAAGGGAGTTATTTATAATGTAAAGATGCGTCAAGTTTGGCGATGTCTCAACGCCACGAAGGGATTCGATGTCGTTGTTGCGTACGTAGAGCTTGACAAGATTTTTTAACTGAGACAGGTCCCCGATGACCTTCAGCTTCATGTCGTTGCATCGCACTGTAAGTAGACGACCAAGCAAGGCTGAAAGAATCGTTTTCGATCAAATTTCGCAAAGTGCTTCAAGATGACATAGGCATCCTGACTTACACTGATCGGACTCTTCGAATCGTCTTTCTTTTGCATACTTTTGCAGCACAAACTTGCTGTTGAGTATGTCTTTCGACATACTATCTGAACGTAGAAATTGTTATTTTAATGGGTTTGACAACATTGTTGGTAGGTGAGATCAGGCAGTAAAAATTATCCTAGAAGAATTCTAGCTTCGACAGATTGGGACGAGAGCGTTTCGTTCGCATAAGTTTGTAAGAGCTCAATTTTTTTCTTCCGGAGCATTGCTGCTTGGATTTCATCCTAAATACAGCGTGAAAGGGGGAACTTTGGATTAATGTCCTTGCCTGGGTAGGAACAGGAACGTGCGCAGCTCTAAAGGTTTTTTCACCCGTAGCACTTGAGACTTCTTCAATCTTTTCACTTTCGGGTTTCTTCTCGCTCGTTTCTTTTTTCTCTTTTGACTTGCTTGGATCGCCCACAGCGAGGCCGGCAAAGTTCTCGTTGACTGGATCTAGATCAGTATTTCGCGGCTCCGTTGCGTAAATGTCCTGGTCCCAGTCATCTAGAAAAAAGGTGAATATAAGAACCAAAGTGCTACAATTATCACCGTTTTTCATTGCCGCCAATTCTTTGTCCATTTCATAATTTTCGATTGCTTCTGCTCTCGCTTTCCTCTCTGCCTCAGCCTCGTGCGGGAGTACTTGGCCGTCCTCTTCGTCCATGTATCCAAAATAATGAGCGTCAACATATCTAGAAGAATTTTATATTTATTTTTTGTGAATTCGACAAAACCTCATATATTCTGCGCGAGTCTTTTTTATAGGCTTAGGCGGGTCTGGCTCAAAGAGTTCCTTAACTCCTGGCAGGTCTTTTGCCGCCCCAAAATACTTGTAACCCCGATTCCACTGTAGCTCCTTCCCGTCATTGTCCAGCATTTTGTTACTAAAAACTGTTGATAAAAGAAAAACGATTTCAAAGACAACCTGGATATATAATCTGGGCCTCCTAGCTTTTTGATTCTTTCTTCCCAATGCCTCTTTTCGCGTATCAACTTGTTGATTTCGTCGTTGAGATCTCTGAGACGGAATTCACCAAGGCCAGCGTTTTGGATTTGCGCCATTTTTTGCGAGATCTCCTGGATGATTTCACGTCGCCATCTTTTGCAACTCCTGGAGCAAACGTAATAAGAAGATCGACGGTGTCTCCCACAAACCTGACATCAGAGCATTCCTCCGCGAGAAAAGGTCGTTTTCTAACTCCGTTGTAGCGACCGCCGCTGGTTTCGGAGTCGATCTTGAGCTGACGCCATCGGGCGAGCGCCGTCATCGCCTTCTCCGAATTACGCGCCATTCTTGTCTAAACTCGTCATCGATTATTAATCCAAATTTACCGCATATTCTTATCTTCTTTGACTTTAACTCAGAGTTGGTTTAACAGTTACGGAATTAATTCTAAAAGTAGTGTAAACTTCGCGTTTGAAAGAGAGCGCCGGTTTCCGCGGTGCACGTGGATTCCGGAATCGCACGAACGGCGTCTCATTAATTCTTTTCTCCACGCATGTTCCAATCACTGAAATACTAATATATCTACTGAAAGCTGTATAAATGATACCTTCCACAATTTCACTAGATATTGTCGGTCTCCCAACAAGGGTGAAATCTGTGCTCCCAGCAGTAAGAACATGCTCGAATTTGATTTCATCACCAGCTTTACAAGGCCAATCAGCAGGAACTTCCAGCAAGTCACCATTTGTCACTCTGACTTGATTGGATTCAACGTTCAATATAGCGAAATTCGGACTATTGGAGGTCTTTATCGCTTCGTTAATCTGTTCACAGAGCTGGGATGATTCTGCACTGGAAACAGATGCTATAAGTAGGACATGCAATTAAATATATTAACACAAGGTCATTGAAAGCGATCAAATAGAGGATGATTTTCTAAACTAATTTTTACCTGGAGGTTGTGGCTTGGCAAATCTATCGTAGTAGGAAGGAACTCTAACCGAGGCGAGTCTTTTCAAAGAAGTACGAATCATGAATCTCCCAATCTACCAATAAATGCATTGAGTCAAAGTAAGAGAACATGATTCCTAGGAGAGAAGAAAATACAAACGTAAAAGAATGATTAGAAGGAAAAACAAGAGCATTAAGACGATTTCGTACTGAATTAAAAATAATAACACGGTTTCGACAGTTTTGATTACTGAGACTGAATTTAGTAAGGGTTAAGTAAGGAAATTTGGCTCGATTTGAAAGAGAATAGACTTAAAGGCGAAAGAATGAATGTGTTCTTGAATGCATATCATGATTCGTGGCGAGAGGAACAGATTGAAACTGTCGATTAAGAGCGAGATGAGAGGAACTTGAAGTACAAAGCCCCGGAAAATGCAACTCATCACCAGTGCATTTTTCCTTTCTTCTTCATCATCTTTTTCTGTTTTTTAAGACGTTTGCGCTCATGCTAAAAAATATATGAAAATTATCAATGTCTTATATTCCTTGAAGTGTCATTGCATAGCGAAAAAAACGCTTTTCCATTAAAAAAATAACACCCGGTGACTAAAAATATATATTTGTGAGTTTTTCGTCATGATTATTTGATTAGTTTTATAATAACTGCAAGCAACTACATAAAGATCGTTTTATAAAGTTATTATAAAGGCTATTCTGATCAAAGAACCGCAACCTTCATAAAAGCTCTCTGCCAACGTGGATCACTCTTCAAAGAGAAAGATGGGCGCTCCCTGGGAAGTAGCTTTTACCTTTGGAAGGTGCTTCCATCCGTCATCAGAGGAACAAGATGATGAAGAGGACGACGAGGAGCCGCGTCGATGTCTATGATGCTTGTGTGGCTTGTAGTGTCCCCCATGGCCGCCATATCCGCCCATAGGGCCTCCATATCCACCTGGTGGAGCGTGAGGTGGAGGGAGACCACCTCCAGTGTGTGATGGGTAAGGTGCGGGCGGTGCGCCTCCATATCCACCATGAGGATTGTAGTTAGGATGACCTCCTGGAGCAGGATATCCACCGCCCATAGGAGGAGGACCACCAGGATTTGGATAACCTCCATGCTGCGGAGGATATCCTCCCGGCTGACCCTGGTTAGGAGGATATGCTGGGTAACCTGGAGCACCACCCGGTCCACCAGGCATGCCTGGTTGTGGATACCCAGTGTTAGGAGGATACCCAGATGCCGGTGGTGCTGAAGGTTGTGCACCGGGATAACCGCCTTGGTTTTGGGGCGGATACCCACCACCCGGGGGTCCTTGGGGGTACCCACCTCCAGGTGGCCCTTGTGGCGGATAACCACCGCCGCCACCAGGATACGGGTAAGACATTTTTTCTAAACAAATGAAACTGAATAAAGATTGATCTACAGAATTTCGTTATTGCGATAGACAGAAATGAAGAAGTTTTAGTATCAGCGTGTAATGAACTAGAAGAGGAAGCAATCGTGAATTGAATAATGGTATTAGTAGTGTCTTCCTGGCTCGTAAACAATTTTCCAGTGAGTGTGATGATCGCAGCACTTATGTTTTTTCGTATCCTCTCGCTCGTCGATCCCCTTGCTTCGGTCGACAATACAAGTACGCTGCCGATCATCTGGACAAAGCCTAAAGAAGTGTGTTTTCACACCAATAAGAGATCATTTTACCGATTGTAAGTCCTATCAGGATCAAATCCCATAATTTCACGCTCTTCCTGAATTCTGAAACTGAACGTGGACTCTTTGGATCCGACAAAGTATCGACCATTGGCGCAGATTATTTGATCAATGATAGCGACTCCCCCTTTTTGAATTTTTCTCTGCTTCTGGAGTCGGTTCGTAAAAGAAAACCTAGATAATCGTCTTCATAGAAGTTAAACGTTTCTCCGACCTTATCCGCGCCAAGAAGCTTTTTCATCTCTTCCCTTTCACCTTGAACACCATCAGTAGCAATGAAGACTTTATTAACACCGTAGATTTCCATTTGCTTCTTTATTTCCTTTGCAGCGCCTTTCAACGATGGGAGCTCTTTTTTGCGAGCGTAAAGAAAGTCTTTTCTGCGCAGATGAACAGCGATATATGCGCCACCAAGTGCGTCCGGCTTTGTGATGTCCCGTTCAACGGAATCCCACGACTCATTCCAGATATCAGTTCGATCGTCTACATCGTTAGAATCCAGAAACTGAGATCGGAACTTGGCGGCTTCTTCTCGAAGCTCTTTCAATAAGTAATTTAGCTGTCAGTAGAGGCACAAAACGAACCTTTATTGAAAACCATCGATCGGCGTGCACTCCAGTAATCGTACTGTCCATAAAATTTGTGCAAAACGTTCTCAGCTCGATCGAGGAGAATTGACCGCGCAGTAGTATTTCCACCATTCAAAGGCTCGACAAGGACAGACGAAAATCCTTGCACCGATACGCATTTGAAGTTTACTGCGTGCGTGGAAGGATAGCCAAAGAACCAACCTCGGTATTTTTTGTCTGATAAGGCTGGTGAGATCAAAATTCGAAAACAATACAGTAAAATGAAACCTAGCCCTGCGTCAGTTTCATAAACTGGAGCGTCAATGCAGTCGCGCTCATGAACTCTTTCAACAAAGCCGCCGTCTCCCCAACCCTCCGCGTATCGCTGTAGATACCAAACTTCGTCAATTTTGTCTTCCCCGATGGCTTCAAAGTAATCGGTAAGTTCCATCACGGGAATATAGCGATTGAGCTGGTCTACTTCGAAAAATGTACTCCATTTGATTCTCATTTTGGTTTGATCTATGAACTCCGCATAGAAATAAGAGAAAACTGGTTCAAATTTCTAGCTTAAACCTATTCCTCGACTGTTCCATGTCCCTCTCTTGCCAATGGTAGCCTATTCTACCCCATGGGGGCAAAACCAACGTCCAGTCATACTGACCATCTTTCCGAAGTTCTTTGACCAGATTTGCGATTCTTATATAGACGTCTCTGCGTAAGTTGAATCCTTCCCCAGGATTCGTGTCATACAACAAATAACGCTTTGGCCTGTCGCCAACCTCGGCCAATGCTACCTGCAGAAAAAACGACAATAGACAACACGGAATCGAGCGCATTTAATTCGATCTATCTAAGAACGCCGAATTTAGATGGAAGTATGTCAGGACTCTTTTTTTGTTCAGATGTTGTTGGACAGATTAATAATACTAAAGCACAACATCTTCAGCAGAGAGTACCAAGAAGGTAACCTTGCTGCAAGGTTTACTCTTCAGCTGCCTTCTTTTTTTTCTTCTTTTTCTTCTTCTTCTCGGAGCTGTCAACTTCGACCTAGGGAAAATAATTTAGAAAATGCAATCGGGAAACAAAGCGTTACCTCCTGAGAGGTCTCCTCTGTCACAGCCTCAGCCTCGGCCTCCTCGCTTGCCGCTTCCTTCGACTTCTTCTTCTTTTTTTTCTTTTTGACCTAGACAGGCCATAATTTTTTCTGGAAGAACTATTTACTTACCTCGGTCGAATCGGTCTCGGGCTCGACGGAAGCTTCCTCAGCCTCCTCACTCGCTTCCTCCTTTACTTTCTTCTTCTTCTTTTTCTTTTTGGGAGTTTCCTCCGTAACTTCTTCTGAGGCCTCCTTCATCAGAGTTAGATTTAGAAGCTTAATAAAAGAGATACCTCGGATGGTTCTTCTTTGACCTTATCCTTCTTCTTTTTCTTCTTCTTGGAAGGAGTTTCCGAGGTGTCGACGTCGTCGACGGCTTCGATCTTTCGCTTAGTAGGAGCGAGCTCTGCCTTCTAATAATGCTTTTAAGAAATGATTTTGAAATAACTTATTATACCTCCTCGTCTTCTGGCTGGGCTTTCTTGACGGCTTCCATAGCCTCCTTCATAACGTCGATGTTCTTTCGTGGTACATCTCCGTCCTCATACATTTTGAGTCGCTCTTCGACCTGTTCTTTGAGCTTGTCTCCGAAGATGTTGTTGGGATTTTCGGAGAAGGCGTCAATACGAGACGCAATGGAACATTTGTTGGCAAGGAATCGGGAAATTCGACCTAAATCATGTCAAACTCTCGTTGAGTGAAGTTGACTTTACCCTTGTTTTTGGCAGTGGCTCGACCAATAAAGGTAGAGTGGAAAAGAAGACCGTACTTGGGAGTATTTCCCTTTGTTTTGAGGGCTCGGAAAAGAGCCTTCTCAGCACCGAGAATTTGGACAGTAGAGGCGGGATACTGAAGAAATGAATAAAACAGCTTAGATCAACCTTTTTTACCTTGGCAAGTTTGGTCAAAGAGCCAGCGTGGGAGATAAGTCGAGCGCCGACGACGTCGCCGATAAGAGCGGCAAGTGATGGAGCGACGTTGCTCATCTTGTCACTGAGGTACTGCTGGAGCTTCTTTCGGTAGTCAGCGAGGCTGATAACCTTTTTGGCGAAGATCTCGATGTTGATCAGATCAAATTCGGAAATGTCCATTCCCATGGAAGCTCGAGCACAGTCGCAGATGGCCTGCGTCTTTGCAGTGTCCATGACGACTTTTTCGATGGATTCAACAAGCTCGTCACTTGGGTTGGTAAGGTTCTTTCGCATTTTGATGAGACCGATCAGTTGACAGTACTGATAGTTGTCGTTGACGAGACGAACCATCTCTGGGAAGTGGTAGCCGTACCACTCGCGCACTCGCATGGCAAAGGTGTTGATATCCTTGTCGAGCTGGTCGATAAGAGCGATGGCCTACGTTGATATCTAACACAAGAATTGCATTTTTGATATTTACCTGGATGACCATGTTGTCCATTCGATTGACGTTGAACTTGACCTTGGTTCGTGAGTAAGAGTGCGAGAGACCAAGCTGGGCGCCGCCTTCTTTTTCAGATTCAAAGGCTTGATCAACTTGTCGATGTTCTGTCGAACGCCTCGACAGACTTCAAGGACAATGTCGCCTCCAGCAACGCTCATGTCAAGCTCTTCCTTGACGACCTGAAGGAGTCGCTGGTCATTGATACCGACAGACTGACCCTTCGGGACATTGTTGACGAGGAATTTTTCAAGTCAGCGTGGATAAGACCTAATCGATGGTGAATAAGAGACGATTTTTGATGATTACCTTCAGAGATAGCATTCATGTTATCCAGGGCAATTGCCGCGGATGTGAAGGGCTGGAAAGCCTTCAGCTTTACAAGCTGGCTGAAGCTAGCCCAGTCGTTGGCATTGAGCTCGCTGATGTCATCGGTTTGCTCACAGTGAACAAGGACGTAGCCCGATGCATGTTCGAATAATACGAACATTGTCTGAAAGATTCATCAGTCAACAAGAGTACTTTTGTTTGGAGTTATATTGCAAGTACTTTGAATTTGACATATTGAGATGAAATATTGCAAGGATGAAAGAAAATACGAAAATACGAGAGGTTAAGAAGCAAGGTGTTTTAACAGTTATAAATATATAAAATCAACTGTAAGATGTACATTTTTCTTCCAATTGCGCCGGGGTCAGAGGAGTACTTGTTTGACTTTCTCTGGTCAGGCCGCGAATATATTGTATTCTCACGACACCACTACCACTAGCGAAGCCGAGCCAACATGATCTGGCACCCGAAGTATTCCAGCGAACAGAACTGTAATTCGTGAGAGTGCTGAAATCTAAAAACTTGTTGGACTTAAGTTAAATCAAATATACTTTTACCGATCGGAACGGCTCCTGTCTTGAGATTAGCACGCTTTGTTGGCAAAGAAGTTTGTTCACTAATCTTCGATAGATCTTTGTGGTCTTCAAACAGCACGTCGAACTCTTTTTCGTCCTTTTTGTCAGCGAGCGGGGAGACTGAGGCAATGGAGATGACAACGGTTTGAAATCCTTTTCGGGTCATGTTCATCTGCTTACGAGGATTGGGCAACGAAGTTAGGGAGATGCGGCCATCAATATCACCAATGGCAAGGGTCCCGTGGAGATGAGCATAATCCATCGAAGAAATAGGCTGGGCGTAACCTATTCTTTGCTTGAGTCTAGTATCCATGAAGTTCGGATCGTAAATAACGACTCCAAAGTGATCTTGAAACACATTGTCTGTTGCCAGTGCGAGCATATCCTGCACCCAACATGAGTCGAGGATCATATGTGAAGGTGAGTCTCCAGTGCTGTAGAGCTCGCCGCGAGTGCGACTCCAGATCGTTGTTATTCGCTCGAAGGAAGAAGTGGTAAATATATCGTGCTAAATGAAAGAATTCATCATTGAGGAGAAGGTAAGAATATTACGTCGAAAGAATGAAAGCAAATACTACTGATTGGAAGTCCATGCGTATCGAAAACTTGAAGCGGTTTAATTGTTTGTTGAGCAGCTAGAACTTTGTACACAGCGGCGATTCCTGATGCGTAGCCAGCTACGATCAGGTCATTAAAAGAATCTATAGAAAGGGGGTTGGATCGCGAACGCCCGCTACAAAAAATGAGTTAGATGTTCCCCTAAATCGTGCACTTACTTGAGGACGAGCTCTTTATGGGAAAAGTCAACAGCGAATCGTTGTTTATTAGTGGGATCGATACCGGTCGGAACCAGTCGAATTATCCCATCATCGCAAGCCATCGCGAGGTAACCGTCGTTGCTATCGTCCACAACTTGGATGAGGGCATTGATTGCGAACGGACATTGTTTGGTAAGGAGGTGTAAAGGTGAATGCACTAGATGGAAATAAGTAATATGAAACGGAAATAGATTCCAATTACCTTTTTTTGAAATGAGTGAAGAAGGGAAATACCAGAATTGAAGAAATGAGGAAAAGTGAAGATCGGAAGAATTTATTTTGAAAGGCGGAGTAGAAATGGCGAAGGCATCAATTTGCCCAGCACGGAGCCAGGTGAAGCATCGAATACTGTGGAATCCACTGTTACATTCGAATTTGTAGCCATGCTCTGCATGGTCGGACGTCTCCCACGACGTGCGTGGCTCGACGTTTTTGGTCATTAACTTTTTACCCACTTTAACGCGGACGGTATTGCTAAACTTCCAGCCTAAGCATTCTTACGAAACACAGAGATATAACGATAATACCTTTCCGAAGAACTGTGTCGTCGGATGCCCACATTGGAGAGGACAAATGAGTTTCGTTTGGTTCCGAATTATTCTTATATTTGTAGGACGTCCGAAGAAGCTGCTCCGACATGAGCCAAGACATGGTTTGCGCTGGTTTCCTCGGAGTCGATTCAGTCTGCAGCTTCAAATGATCCAAACGAATGTGACCTTAGTTCTCCTATTATCGTAATCCCGAAGAAAACCTCGCCAACTTACTATCTATCTTGAACGTTTCCCCAGACTGGTAGTCACAAAATCGACACTTGTGAAGCGATGCAACTTCTGGACATTTTCCATTGATGTGATACTATAAAGCTGTTTTAATACAAGCAATTTACTATCGGAGAAACCTTGATGCCTGGCCGCGTTGTGAATTTTTTGCCACATTCCGCGCAGACGAACAGCTTGCCACTTATCTTGATGTCAGCAATTTTATGCTCCGTTTTGTACAGCTAAGGAGTATTACTATCATTATTCACTGAACCTTGTTCGGTTACCTTTTTGATTCCATAAAGACTTTCTAAAATGCGAAGTTTATCGAAATCGCCAAGAATGCTCGCATCTTCGAGAATCTTCGCTTCTAGCATTTCGCAGTTCTTCCCGTAATCTTTTCTAACTTGATTATGTAGCACGTCGTTTAAATTGTCTGTCTGATCGTCCTTCTCGACAGGAGCCTTTCTTTTCTTTCGGGGAATGTACTCAACGGGAGCTTCGTCTTCTTCAAGGACGTATTTTTCCTCTTCTTCTATCGATTCATCAAGTTCGGTGAGGTCGATTTGGTACTCATCGTCCGATTCCGATTGACCCCTTTTCCTTGGTTTCGGCGCCAATTTCCTCAAAGCCCTAGGCTCAAACATTCTAACAGCCTGAAAAAAAACGAGTTAAGCAATTTGGCTAGAATCAAACAATCGTACGAAACGATTGAAACATTATTCAATGAACTCAGTGATGAAATATGAATCTAGAATGATTTATGAATAGAATACGATCCAACAAACACATGTTATACTATCATCTGACAGGTGATTTTAAGCTTCTATAGAAATATTTTCTAGCGGCGATAGTATTTAAGTGGAACTGTAGGAGTAAATTATTTTGCTGAAGGGGCAGTAATTGGCTAGAAATCCCTTGATTCTCAGATGCTCTGAATAAGCAGGCCGCACTGTTTTTCGTGATTATGCAAAGCCGTTTTAGTGCGGAAGCATTTCTCACAGTCTGCACACTTCCACCTAATAACAACTAGCCAAGGATGAAATCAAGGAAAACTCACCTCACTGCGGAATGAATGTTGTCGATGTGCCTCTTCAACCCACAGGAATCGACGAACTCGGCTGAACATTCCGTGCACTTGTACGGCTTCTCGCCGTTGTGTCGTCTTAGATGCACTTGAAGACTGGATTTCGTTACGAAAGACTGCTCGCAAAAATGGCATTTATGCTCCCGAATGTTCAGGTGACGTTTCTGGTGCGTGCGTAGATCTGTGGCTCGCGGAAATGTGCGATTGCACTCGCCGCATTGATGCACTGTGATCAGTAATTGACACTCGTCGGGGTGCATTCGTTTCAAGTGAGCGTTGTAGTTAGCTGAACGACGAGGATAAATATGCGTTTAGGAAATTCTACAACAACCTTTAGTCGAAAAATCTTTTGTACAGTATTCGCAACTATGACGGGACTTTTGAGTAGTTCTGTGTGACCGTCTGTGCTGAGCGAGGGTTTTCCTATTGGCGAGCCTCTTCCCGCAGATGGTACATTCAAATTTCTTTTCAACACTGTTATGATCCATCTGAATATGTCGATCAAGCTCGTCTTGCGATATGAAATGGCGGCTGCACAACTCGCAGGTGCGCTCTGTCATGTCCGACACGATCGTGATGGGTTGGTTGTTGATGATCGCTTCAGTTACAGAAGAGGATAAGGTGGGTTCGATGAACTCGAGATTGTTTTGAGAACAGTTTTTGATGCTTTCTTCATGCTAAGAAAGGGGCTCCCTTTATTTAATGGCGCGATTGGGTCTTACGTTTTCTGGGTCGTTAAGCTGAATAGTCTGCATGGGAACTAAGAAGGAGTCGAGCGGGTTGGGCTGCATTGGCTGCGTGTGGGGCGGGTGGTTAGTGCGAATAATTTCTAGCAAGTGCGTGATGTCTGAGTTGGATGGGCATTCATTTGTCATAAAGGGCCCTTGAGCGGGAGCTTGGGCGACGCAGCCGTCGTTGCCGCCGTTGATTGCTTCGGTATTGTTGTTGCTTGTAGAGGCAGGAGGGGTAGATTCGTTGTTGTTCTGGGCAAGAATATTTTCAGTGAGGTCATTTACGGTCAAGCTGGGCGACAAAGTCTGCAGCTCGTAAAGAAAACTTTCGCATTTCGATCGAAGCTGGTGCACGGAAAAATACGTCGACACGGTCAGAATGTTTTGCACATTCTCTGAGCTATAAAAGACTGTTTCGAATCTTCGCCAAACACTGGTCAAATTCACCTGATATGGGCATGCCCGGTGTAGATAAAATCGAGAACGGCTGTAACACCGTCAAAGGGAAAGTCCTCCAGCTTTATGCTCACGGGCGTGTCTTGTAGACTGAGCACTTCGTGAAGCTGCTCACAATCGATTGCCGACAGAACAGCGCGGTGGCATGGCAGGAGTTTATTCTCGACTAACGAAAATAAATAAATAAAGCTCTTTAAAGTAGCTCTTGCCTTCAAAGACGACGTCGCAACATTTGCTCTGGGGGTCGGATCGCTGTCTCTAGTATCATTTTTAATACGTTGCTTGATGTAAGAAAACAGCTTACGTGCAATTGGCGAACAAGATTTTTCGCCCACCCAGTCTCCACGATGATGTCCGACGTCATGTCTTTCTGAATCGAACGCATTAATATTGACGCTTTTTGGAAATTTCAAAAATATTGAAACAGAAAAATTATTGAACAAAAAACGAATGAGTATACATGTGGCAGAAAAGGGGGTGAGTTCAATTTGAAGACTGAGGAGCGAGTTATCTGCTAGTCAAGCTCGGCCCGGTAGTCCTGTAGAAGCTCAGGTGGGGTTTCAATTTAATTGCCTCAACTTACTTTTGGTCCAGCTCTTACAGTATACATATTCACCCCACACAACCATATATTTTTAGAATCGTCTCGTCGAGCTCTAGTGCTTTATCATAGCCGATTCCTGAAAAACCTCTAAATATCGGATTTTTATCGGTTTTGTCCATTTCTGACAAGTAAAGATTGGAAAATTATATATTTTTAGAAACCTCTTGACCTCTTCTTTCTAGTGACAAGTTCAATTCGTCGGATTTCCGGTTAAATCGGTCATTTATCGGTTTTAACCGTTCATGAAAGAAATCATTATAAAATTATATATTTTCTGAAAGCTCTCGGTAAGATGAATCAGTTGAGCTTATTGAAAATCTTCTCTATCTTTTTTATCGGTTTTTATCGCACAATGGTCGTTTTTTCGACCGAGAGATCGCCAGACTCTTTTCTCGGTGAAATGAATCATCTTTGACCAACTGCAGAATCAGGAATCAAATTTCCTTGTAAGTCGAAGAGAGAGAGAGAGAAAATAAAAAGAGAAAAAGCACTAGAATATTGATTTCTTTTCTTTATCTTTTCTTGAACTCTACCTTGAGAGAAGCCACGGAAAAAGAAGAAAGCGTGGAAGAAAATCTCGCTGGAGAAATCAAAAGATAGAAAGAACAGGAAATGAAAAAACTAGAATTGGAAAATGAAATGCTCAAAATGGAAGTTGCCAGACACATTTCTCTCGCTAGAAATTAATTTTTGGATGTGTTCTTACGGGCCAGCGGTGGTTTTTGTCGGTTTTTTTGTAAAAAAAATCGGTTGTGAAATAATTTTGAAAGAGAAATCATTCAAATAATTATTCTAGACCCCAAAAGAACCAATTCTCGTCTTACCAAGGATGGAGAAGAACCTCTCAAAGATCTTGGATTCCATCTTTACAGTTAATTTACGTAAACTGGACAGCAAAGAAGCGGTTTTTGTTCGTCAAATGAGAGGTAAAATCAGAAAATTGCTACAAATGATAACCAAAATAAAGCAATTGCTACTGGACATTCTGAACTTCTCCCATGGATAGTTCGAGACATCGAATTCGACAAGATATCAAAAGAAGACATGAAATATTCCGAGATGGGCCAGTATTGGATGAAACATCCGAAGTACAAAGAGCTCGACAGGTGCCTAGGAGACACGAGACCTGATACTTACAGTTCAACATCGAAAAATGACGACTTGAAATCAAGTTTATGCGGCTTTCTGGAGGAGAATTCCGATCTCGAAACTCGAGTAAGAAGTGAAATCGAAGTTCTTGGACAACTAAAACGAAAGCGATACCTACGAAAACCATTTTGGATACTTCTTAGACAATACAAAGATGAGAAAATGCCCGAATGCAGCCTATCGACGCTGCGGAGAATCTATCAGGAGCATTTCTCCTGCTGGCTTTCTCTCCCCGATGATGAATCCATTCTCAGATGCGTCTGCCCCAGTCACCTACAAGTGGAACTCTTCTGCAAGGCCATCAATCGAGTTTCTTTGCGACCTGCCATATCTGAAGAGCAATTATTGGACACAACAGTATGCGAAAACTCTGGTCATGCCTATAAATGCCTCGAAAACCACTGCACCGACTGCGACGACAGTGAAGATGGATATGCCCTTGCCCGAGCTCGCCTAGAGTTGCTCATTGAGGAAGTACCAGATGATGCGGACATAACGTATGCCTATCTATGTGAGATTGAAAGAGTCGACAGCAACAACAACAAGTACAAACGCGAGCAGATTCTCATGCAAAGTGCACCGAAGTCAGAGTTCCTGGATCTGTTGACTGACTATCTTCTGAGGGGATGCATGTCTTCTGGTGCGCAAAAGAAACTCTTGAACCACTATAAACTGAATAGTGAGTGTTACAACTTTAGCAAGAGTCTTCTCGACACCTGCACCTACGACAGTGACGCCCTTGTGATCATCACTGACTACGGTATGAGTTGATATCATCAGATAAAGTCCTGACTAACCATCAGAATCATCAGTAGTCAGAACTATTCTAGAGAATTTTGAGAGTATCGAATAACTATAGGAAGATTCAGAGGGATAGTGAGAACTTTATAAGACATTCTAGAGCCTCCAGATCCTATGGAATAGTTCTGGCTAGCCATCAGAACCTTCCTATAAGACATTCTAGAGCCTCCAGATTCTATGGAATAGTTCTGACTAGCCATCAGAATCTTCCCGTAAGACATTCTAGAGCCTCCAGATCCTATGGAATAGTTCTGACTAGCCATCAGAATCTTCCTATAAGACATTCTAGAGCCTCCAGATCCTATGGAATTGTTCTGGCTAGCCATCAGAATCTTCCTATAAGACATTCTAGAGCCTCCAGATCCTATGGAATAGTTCTGACTAGCCATCAGAACCTTCCTATAAGACATTCTAGAGCCTCTAGATCATATAGAATAGTTCTGACTAGCCATCAGAATCTTCCTATAACCATCCTATACTGACGTCATATTATAGCCATGGGTGTCAGTGCCAGAGAAATCCAGGAGACGCAAACCATGCACTTCCGGAAGGATGTGTTCCCGCTCCTCTCCGATATCAGCTATGGAAAGTGTCCAGATGGAAAGCCTCGGAAGATCTACACACACCTCCTTGCAGAAGTCAGAACTCCGAAGGATCCACTGTTCTCTCTTGCCGGAATCAAGATGTCATTGGAGCGAGCGTACCAGTTGTATGGCCCGAAAAAGAACCTTTATGTGCAGAGTGATGGAGCAGAATCGCAATTCTGGAGTGCGGAGATGTTCTATACCCTTCCCCGGTTCTTTAACAGCCTCGATGATCGATTCGACTTTGAGACAATCGTCTGGTTCAAGACTGTGTCCGGACATGGGAAAGGTATGAAAGTGATGTGGGCCATTGTTAATTTTTTCAGGTGAAATAGATTCGAGTCATGGATGTGTGAAAAGAGATCTCACCAACCTATACAACAATCTTGGCCGCAATGACTTGAATGGAGATGGTCTCGACGTCATTGGTTTGGTTGACAGCGCCGATGGACTCGTCAACTACTTAAACAACGACATGAAATGCCATTTCGGAGAGCTCGAGAGTGAAAAAATGGACAGCCGAGGGTTTTATCTCAGTGGAAGATACATTTCGGAGTTTAAGCGCGATCCCGGACTGCGAACAAGCGGTAAAACTGTCACAGGCAGTCGATCGGGACGGTTACATAATGAGGATTTATCGAAATTTAAAAAAAAAAGAATTTTATAAACCAGAAAAAGTATCATATGCTTCGTCTTTGCAAGGACGAGAATGGAAAATGGGAAGAAACAAGAATTCAATTCAAAAAACGCCCGACAGATACCTTTTGTGAACGTGTTCTCGACCGAAAAGAAGAAAAAAACAATACCTGCCCAGAAGAAAACTGCCACATGCCTTCATCCCTCCACTGGATTAATATTTACCTTAAATTATGATTCTTAAAGTTTCAATACTATGTTCTTCAATAATAACTGCCATTAAAATAACGGAAACATTGATTTTAGTTTATCGTCTAAATATTTAGATGGTGTAAAATGGTCTTTGGAAAGGGGAATTGCGCGCGCAAGCGCAGCTCTTCAGAAAAGCGGTTAAGCTTTAGAGCGCAGAAGGTAATCTAGTCTTCGAAGTATTTATTTTTAATAAAAAAACGATTTTTTATTAAAAACCGACAAAAACCGATAATTTTCGGACTTGAGGGGCTGATTCTCTGACCAACTAATCGGTCTTGATGAGAGCATTCGAAAAATATATCATATCCCTTATCTTACTTTTAAACTGGCCCAAAACCGATAATTGACCGGCTGAACCGGAAATCCGACAAACTGAGACTGTGAGTGGAAAGAAGAGGTCATGAGGATTCTAAAAATATATGATTGTTTAAATTTTGTGTGTCCGAAATGGGCGAAACCGATAAAAATCCGATAAAAGCCGGCTTTTCGGGAATCGGCTATGATAATGCACTAAAGCTCGATGAGACGATTCTAAAAATATATGGTTGTATAGGGTGAATATGTATACTGTAAGAGCTAGACCAAAAGTAAGTTGAGGCAATTAAATTGAAACCCCACCTCAGCTATCCTGTTTCGGATACGTCTTCGGGTGTCTTTTAATTCGTCCTCGTCCTCATTCTTCTCGCTTCGAGAAACTTGGTACGCGGCGCTAAAAATCGACTGTAGCTCTTCATCGATAAAAAGATGTGATTACCTGATGAGTAAAAGTTCTTCTTCTTGTTTTTGAAGGTCGAAAACGATAGAAGCGAGCTCGTCTTTTCCAGCAGCCGTGAGTTCCTTGCGAAGCGTTGCTGTTTCCTCGGCGAGTGATTTCATGCTCTTTGATATTTTGTCGAGCTCGACGCGGTACTTTTCGATTTGGCTGTGGAACTGCTCGAAGGCGCGCTCCATGCGGCCGTGTTCCATCGCGCGGTGCTCCTGAATCGAGAAGATCCTCGTCTCCAGACTCGTTTCCCCTTCTGCCATTCTAAACACGAATGCATTTCAGAATCATTGTCAGCGATCATTTTCGATTTATTCATTTCAGACTTTGATTCTTTTCGCTTTGAATCTTCGCCTCTAGAATCGCTTCTCTATCCGCCTTGCCAGCCTTTATAAAGTTCTGCGTCGCCGAGTTCTCCGGCGAGGCGAGATCCGGGGTCTGGACAAGAAGGGCGCCCCAAAAGCCAAAAATCAGCGTAGCCAGAGCCGTGTAGATGAACCATTTTACTTTCAACGGGTCGCGGTTGTATTCTGCTTCGACATCAACTTTGGAGCGGACGTCGATCGCCTCAATCACTTTCGTGTACTCTGGAATCGCGCGGTTCGGAGCGTAGTGCTTCGGCGGCTCCTTTTTCACCCAGCCTTCTCTGCGAGTTCGATCCTTTCCAGGCAAGGCGTATTTCATTGCTTCGCGGTAGGCGTTCTGGATTTCGTTAAATTTGGCATCTGAAAACAATCTTCGTATTTCAAATCCCCTTCGGGTGCGCGTCAGTTAAGGCGTTTTTGCCATTTGCGTCCTTTAAGGCATTGCGTCAGTTAAGGCACTTGCGTCAGTTAAGGCGCTGAAAAATTACTAGTGGAATTGTGATATCAACTAGGGTCTGCTTAATTACCTCGATTGTAACTATCCTTGAAATTCTCCTCATTTCAATCTCAAATTTAACAGCGTATTCAAAATATTTAAATTTCAGATAATTTCAAATACATTGAAAACGATCTGAGAAAATTAACTAAAATTTTAGTGCCGAACCTTTATTTTTACAAATAATAAATTTATTCTATCACGAAAAACTTCAAATTCAATCATAAACCAGCGGTTCAGCTTATAACTGAATATAAAAGGATTATCTTGAGAAAATATTAACTCTGGCACTTACCCTAGGAATTGGTAAAGTAATATTTTATCAAGAAATCAGGCAGACCCTACTTTATATCAGAATTCCACTAGTCATTTTTCAGCGCCTTAACTGACGCAAGTGCCTTAACTGACGCAATGCCTTAAAGGACGCAAATAGCAAAATCGCCTTAACTGACGCGCACCCAGCCCCTTCCTTTCAGAAAAATAACCAATAATATTAATAAATTATAATGAAATCATCAATTTTTATATAAAAGGACGATTTACGATAATTTCAGCATTTTCTTACCTGAGTGTTGAGAGGGGTTATTGTCCGGGTGATAGATTCTGGCCAGATGAACAAAAGCGTTTCTCACTTCTGACTTTGTGGCATCCCTGGAAACACCAAGAACTGTCCATGGATCCGCCGAAATCTTCGCCGAATCTCCACCTGCGAAATCCCCACTCCGCCGGATCAGACGGTAGTTTAGCGAGCGGTTGAAGAATACTACAAATAACTTCGTTTAATCGGCGAAATCCCTTTTCCGATGTGAAAAAATAATTTATCGAGTCAAAATATGCATCTTCAAGCAATTCAGGAGCTTATGAATTATCAAAATTATACTGTATCGTTAACTAATTAAATACCCTTCTAGCTAGGACACCTTGCTTCGACAGCATCGTCTGGAACTTTTGCTCTGGCTCTTTCAACGTAAGTTTTTAGCAGTATTGGCCAATGATGGCGCAGCGAAGAGTCACTGGGCGCATGAGTCATTTCTTCTTATTTTTGCCATTTCTACTACGCCGCCGCCACTTTCTCTCATAAACATAAATGAGCGGAGATTGAGCTTCTTCCAGTTAATACAGTCTCTGTCTGTCTTTCGATAAACAAACCGGATAGACTGATTATTATTAATTTAAGTAATTTCAAAAACTGAATAAGATGATCCAATAAAAAATTATCGTTTTATCGATGAATAAAAGACAATCATAATTTTTAAAAATCCAAGAAAACTATCCAGTAAGAAAGGAGAAATTATTCTTCCAGTAGCGGGCCGGCGAGAAGGATTTCTTTGAGTTGGTTCGCCCATAAAGCTGCGCCTCTGATTGGCTCCTTTCCCGCGCTCGATTTCCTTACCGAGGGTTAGAAATTCTCCCTCCAGTAGATTCTGAATTGCTCCCTTCCTCTTTCCGAACCGAAACTCAAACCCGAACCGTTTAACGGTGATTCAAAGAGAGCAAAAGAAGAAAGTCAAGTTTGTTCCGGCAGAATTCCGCTCGACGAGAATTTCTAATTGCTTTCGTTTGAAAACTAAAAGCTAAGAGTATCGAAAGAAAAGAAGACTGAAGTGAACGATTCAGGAATTCGCGAAAGTTCGTTTTTTCGCGACTTTTTGGAGGCCGCGCGCTAGTGTTCGGTGACAAACACCCGCCCGCGCAAAACGCGAAAAAAAAAACGAAAAAATGTAATTTTTTCTTGTGTCATCTCTCAACTGAATTCATCTTCATTTCCTCGGCTCTAGAATCTTTTCTTTTTGGCATTTTATTTATGCCTGGAGCCAGGGATGGCGCGCCTCGAAAAACGCCCGAGAAAGAAAAATTGAGAGAAAGTCGAAAATCTGAAAACGGGAAAAGTTATTCTAGAATATGTCATCAGTTGATGTTTTCTTGATTGGTATGTTTCAATTAACAGTTTGGTTTTCTTTTTGAAGAATGACTCCGAGTCACTCTCGCAGCCGTTCGCGATCCGGGTCCAGGAGTTCTAGAGGAAGAAGCGCGTCCAGAGACCGCTCAAGGTAAGATCCCATATTTTAACTTCTCTTTAATCCGTGTCCCCTTTTCTTAAAAAAAAGCAAAGCAAAAGACACCGTAATTTTTCATGCAAAAGTGTTTTCCGGTAAATCAATCTACTTCTTTAGCAGAAGCCGATCGAAAAGCCGAAGCCGGTCAAGATCCCGCTCTCGGTCAGTGCTTGGCCACGTGGACGGTTACGATCCGGCCTTTCGAGGTTATCGAGTGAAAGTGGCTGATTTGAACACGCGCATCTCAAAGTACGAGCTAGAGAAGGAATTCGATCGCTATGGAAAGATTATTGATCTCATTCTCATCCGTCGCTGCCCAACCGTTTGCTTTATCGTCTACAAACACAGGTACAGTCTTAAAAACCGTTTTGAAGTTAGTTTTCTTGACCTTGTCCCCTAAAACTCGCGTTTAGCAATGACGCAAGAAACGCTGCGAGAAAATTGCATAACCTTTCGATTTGGTCAACCCGTTTGCGCGCTGAACTGGCGAAACCGAGCGGCAAGTCGAGGTAAGGATTATTTTCTCGGCGGCAAAGCACCCAGAAATTTAAAGTGCAGGGGTGATGTTGATTTAAGAGTGAACGATTGCACGATCCTACGATTAGTTTACCACTTTACGAGAGCGATACTGTAGTCTCTGTCTGTCTAATTCGCCTTTTTCGAAAACTCGCGCCAAATCGAAAAGCAGACACGCCACTTACGATTCTTAAAAGGGCGATACGAATTTACGAGAGAATTAGCAAGTGCCGAAAAGAGACGGTCACCGAAAGAGTCTCAAAAGTCGCCCAATGCACGAGTGTTCAATTATCTAATGGAAATTTAAGACGACGTTCTCGCTCGCCACGGCGGAGACGATCTCGCTCTCCTCGGCGGCGGTCTTACTCGGGGAATCGAAGACGTCGACGCTCAAGATCACACTCTCGAAGACAGTCTGACTCACGGCGCCGCTCAAGGTCGACCAGACGCAGCCGCTCTCGCTCAGAAAGGCGCTCCAAATCGAGGACTAGATCCAAATCCAGGTTCAGCTCCAGCCGTTCTTCATTCACCTTCAACCTCTATCTTTAGAAATCGTCGCTCGCGATCCCGCTCGTAAACCAACCGCAATTAACCGTCAATCAAGAATCATCTTTCATTAGATTTAAATTCATTATCTCACCGTGCTAGTGACCGTCCGCTGCCATCTTTCATCGAAACTTTTATTATGAAAGTTAAATCTTATTCCAATATGAGATTGTCTACGAGGACGCTTCTGACAAATTTTTAAGCGTTTAGAAATTCGAGAACATGGCGGGCAATTTCTGGCAGAGCTCGCACTGTCGCCAGTGGCTGTTGGAGCCACACGAGATTGAAAGCGAGGCAGTCAAGAGCGACCGCGAATACATTATGAACAAACTATACAAAGGCGAACGCCCGGATCTGGTGAACTCGGACGAGGCGGACGAGAACTATAGAAAGATAATCATACTCTTCGCAAACGTCATTCAAGCAATCGGCGAGCAGCTCAAGTCCAGACAGCAAGTTATAGCCACAGCAACAGGTAAAATTTTCCTCAGAACTTACTGATCCATATTATTTTGTAGTATATTTCCGAAGATTCTACGTTAGAAATAGCTTCTCATCGTGCGATCCTCTACTGATGGCACCTACTTGCCTCTTTCTCGCCTCCAAAGTAGAAGAAAGCGGACAAATATCGCAAAATCGGCTGATCAACGCCATGACTCAGATTGTCCGCTGCAAATTCCGCGATATTTTCCACATGATCTCCGACTATCCTTACAGAAACTCGTAAGTGAGACGTCTGATTTTAAGCCGTAGCAATACTTTTTAGGAACATTCTTGAGTGCGAATTTTACTTACTCGAGCTGATGGACTGCTGTTTGATTATTTACCATCCTTATCGCCCGCTACTGCAATTTCTACAAGACTTAAATATCAAAGAATCCGATGATCGACTATCGCTCATGGCCTGGCGCATCCTAAATGATTCCTACAGGTAAAATTCAGGGCTTGTCATTTTGGAGGAGTCTTCCTTGATTTCAATTTGTCATTTCGCATTTCATAGATCTGATGTAATGCTTCAATATCCTCCCTACATGATCGCTCTTGCTGCTCTACATATGTCTGGCATCCAACTCAACTACATGGACCGTCAGATTCACGGCCGACCAAAGCTTAGCGACTGGTTCGCCGAGCTGTCCCTTGATCTCAAACAGTTGGCGAAGATAACGAAAGAAATCCTGGCTATGTACGGCGTGTGGGCCAAATTTCCCGACGACCGCTCGATGGCGAAGCTCTACGATAGCATGCCGAAGGCTCAACCTGAGAGCAGGATTACTAGATAGACAGGAATCAACGTAAAGAACGCTTTTGCTAATAGGACGTTACTAAGGGAGGGTTTCTGTAACTAGAAAAAGAACCTTCTGTGATCCGCAATGAGACTCAACAAATCGTTGGAGGTCATCTCACCTCCCAGCCTAGTCAGATGACTTAGCAAACCCTTGGTACTCCCGATTCCGCTCATCTTCTCACTGCTATCTTCGTATTTCAACTCCTCCATTGCCGAAACCCGTCAAGCACACTTTCCTCATTTAGAGATCGGATGCTGGCAGTACTTTGGATTCTGGTGCTCTTTCCATTCTATCGACTCGTCAAAATACTTATTTTCCAGCGTGGCAAGGCTTGTACAATTGCGCAAAGAAGGGGCGGCAGTGTGAGAGTAATGGCCGTCCTTGGCTCGGGCGGCCACACAACAGAAATGCTCCGGATTCTCTCTGTCTTAGGTATTCACGGCTCTATCTATTCCCATATCAAATTCGCCATCAGATAACGAGTTCGGCCCTATCACAGTTGTCGTGGCCGATACCGATCGACAATCTACCTTCATGGCCAAGCAGAAAATAATCAAACCGTACAAACTCCAAGTCATTCCAAGGGCGAGAGAAGTAAAGCAAACCTGGTCAAGTACATTATTGTCTACTGCCAAAGCAATCTTCGCCTCAATCCCGGTCGTCTTCGACGATCGACCTGACTTGTTGCTTCTCAATGGACCTGGAACATGTATCCCCATTGTAATTGCTTCATTTTGCCTGCAACTGTTCACGAATCATGATGTAAAACTAGGTATGTGTTTTCAGTTTTTCTTGCTTTGACCTGACTATCTAGTCTTTGTCGAGTCATTCTGCAGGGTTGAAAAGCTCTCGATGACTGGAATGCTGCTTTATCCGATTGCCGACGTATTCTTCGTACAGTGGCCTCAACTTCTTCTAAAATACCCTCGCGCCATTTACCGGGGTCGTTTCTAACCACCTACTTACCCTCTTTACTGTCCTCTTCTTCGTCTGTAACTTTTACTGCTTCCATTGTTCAATAATATTTAAATTTCTGTACTGCGACGAACGCGGCCTTCATAAAAACTTACGTTAACTCATCCCTTTTAGAATGCGACTTTCCATTCGCAAGGCCAGCGCCGTTGTTGCCAACTCGGGCCTCATGAACGTAAGTACTCCTGGCAATACTCCTAGTCATGCCATTTCTAGACCGTTGCCTTCAAGGCTTCCGCCTCTGCTGCCGGTGTCAAGAACTGGAATGTTTCAGTCACTAATGTTTACGATCCGGTCGTCAAAGCTGGTTTGGGTGCCGTTGTCGAATTCCAGGACTTCATCCCCCACCGAATCCGAGGCCAGGTCTCCGATGCCACCCTTGAGAAGACCCTCGCTATCTTCGAGAAGATGCGGGCCGACAACGCCAAGGCCTACCAGATCAAGTAAGTCGTTCTTTGTTAAAATACTCTTGGATAAAAGTTTTAAGAAACACTCTTGGCCCAATCTTCCTTGAAGAAGCCAAGGCCATCGAGGCTGCCCGGACCGATGCCGTCCCTCGAATTCGACGAGAGAACCGAGCTCTTTCTAACCTCTACTACCTTTACATGGGTCCCCCACCAAAGATGACCGGCTCATCTCCCATCGAAGGTCACCGAATGTTGAACACCGCTTCCTGGATCAACCTTGTCGAACGATACCCACCAGTTGTCTCCATGCACGGTCACTTCAAGGACCAGGGGATGCCACTCAACCCCGAAAATGGCTGCATCGAGGATGTCCTATCCAAGGACCGAGTCTGGCCCCACACTGGAGAGCCCGTCCTTGAGGCCGTCCACGGTGCCTGGGCCGGCGAATTCTTCTTTGAGGGTAATTAATTGTTTGTACCCTAAAACCAAATTCTTATTTTTACTATTAGGAGAAGATGCCGCTGGACAGACTGTCCGAATCCCAATCCAGGCCCCAGTCCCTGCCAACGTTGAGACCGGTAATACAAAGTATTGTTTTAGTCATTTTTAACCAGTATTTTAGTCCAGGCTGATGGCGAGACCGCTGTTACCACCGTCTCCCCAGCTACCTCTGGCATCACCGAGGCTAGCTTCATCACCAACGATGCTGGCTTCCCCCGATTCACCCTTGGTCCAGTCTACGGATGGCTCCAGGGCGCCGGTACTCCAAGCCAGCAGGCTGCTGAGTATGCCGCCAATGCTGCCGTCCTCGACAAGTTTAACGGCTTCCAGTCCTTGGTAAAGGGCCATTCAATCTAATAGAGCTAACGATGAAATTCCATAAGAATTTTTCGGCAAAAAAATTTTTTTGTGAGCTATCAGCATATTCTGAAAGCCCGTATCAGAATTAGTGGAATCCCCAAATTCTAGCACTTGATGACGTCACGATGACGTCATCACTGATGATTGAAGGTCCAGAACCGCGGAACCTTAGGTACGCTTTTTGAAGACGTTTTTGTCGAAAAAATAATTTTTTTCTTTGCAGGAGGTTGTTCAGCATCGAAAACTACACGGGAATCCGGGTTCGAACCGGCCATAACCAGCCGGTCATTTTGGCGGTTCAATTTGTAACCGGTCGGTTCGGAAAAATTCTTCCGGATTCCCACGTAGTTTTTGATGCTGAATAACCTCCCGCAAAGAAAAAAAATTGCTTTTCAACAAAAACGTTCTCTAAAAGCGTACCTAAGTTTCTAGGATTCTTCACCTTCAATCATCAGTGATGACGTCATCGTGACGTCATCAAGTGCTAGAATTTGGGGATTCCACTAATTCTGATACGGGCTTTCAGAATATGCTGATAGCTCACAAAAAATTTTTTTTGCCGAAAAATTCTTATGGAATTTCATCTAACGCTACATCTTTCAGGTCGCCATCAAGCCAGCCACCGTCAACACCTTGACTGACTTGTCTCCCTTCTCCCCCCGAAACGCCGCCAAGTTCAACACCCAGACCCTCTACGGCCGATCCAACTACGTCAAAATGGTTTTCACCATGGTCTTCGTAAGTGCACTCTATTTGAATAGCTCTTGGCCGTCAATTACTCTTCTAAAAATTCTATTTTAGTTCCTCCTTGTTTCCAACGTCTAAATTCCATCGAAATCGCACCATATTGGTGACGTTCATGAATGAAAAATTCTATTTATTGCGAACCTGCAAAGTTCAATTCTATTGTTAATGGTCCGCTGCAACCTTGTTGTCATTCGACTCCCAACTAAAATTATTTATTGTTCGCATAACTACATGTTTCGCTGAATAAAACATAATGGACCAATAGTTCATAAAAATCAAACTCTTGTGTTTCATTCTCAAAAGACATTAAAATTACAATAAGACTCGGTCATCATTTTCGCGTGTAGACGCAAATACGTGTGTAAATAAATAGACCGGCTGAGAATTCGTCCTTTGGGAGAGTTGTACCGAGAATATTTTCATCTTCTGCCAAGTCTGACTGAAAAATCTTCAGACAGAATCGTTAAAATGGCTCAGAACAACTTGATTTCGCAAGCAGAAGATTTTGCCGATGGAGTTCTTCGTAAAACGAAACACATCTTGCCCCATATTGCGCGATTATTCCTTGGTAAGCATACTACACTTTTATCACGGTGTGATATTGCTCATTGGATCGTGGGTTAACTATTTGACTATTTCCATCTATAATTACTGTTGATTTTAATCGGGATCCTGGCTAGTCAAGATTATTTTTCAATTGTTCTTCTCTTAGTTTCGACATTTATCGAGGATGGCGTCCGAATGTGGTTTCAGTGGGGCGAGCAGCGTGACTACATGGCGTCGAGTTGGGGTGCGGCAGCTTTTTAGGTATTGAAGACAGTCTTTATCCACGTGTTTTATAGAGATTTAGGGTCTCTTTTTGTCTTTTTGAACCTCGTAGTTCAGCTTGGGGCGTCTGGCATGGTTTTGCTACGGGTTAAAAAGCACGCTATATAACTGGATCGATATCCATGTATGATCTGGCTTTCTAACCCATTCAAAGGCCCGAAAACATGTCAAGGAAGCTTGCTTTTCGCTATTTTTCATCATTATTCTTCAAACCGTCGCTTACAAAATTCTGTTCGACATGAAATTCCTTGCGCGCAATCTTTCTCTTTGTGGAACCGTGTGTCTTCTTCTGGCCGAAGTCATGGGGGCCGCTTCCACCATGTTTGCCGGCGTTCCCACTCTCGACGACAATCAGTCCCAGAACTACCTTCAGTTATCTGGTAACGCAAGGCCACCAAAGCATGAGTCTTCAGCTTCGTTTTTAGGTCGCATCCTGCTCATTTTTATGTTCATGACTCTCCTCCACTTTACCTTCAGTCTCAAGGATCTCCTCGTCAACTGCGTCGGCATGGGCCTGATGCTTCTCGTCGCCGTCGGTTACAAGACCAAACTCGCGTCCATGGTCATGGTCTGCTGGCTCCTCGCTCTCAACTGCATTCTCAACGATTTCTGGCGTCATAGATCTACTTCTATTATGTGGGACTTCAAGAAATACGATTTCTTCCAGGTAAACAATCGTGTTTATTTCGATCTGAGGTGGTTGAAACCCGGCGATAGTCTTTATCAATGATCATCAGTCAACGCAATATTTCAGGCTCTTACTGTCAGCGGTGGTCTTCTTTTACTGACTGCCTTCGGTCCCGGGGAGTCTCCATCGACAAGAGAAAGAAGGACTTCTAGACTACGTTTTCTTCACTAACAGTCCTTCTACTGCTTTTACTGAACAGTAACCTAATCGAACATATCCCCGGGAATCACTAGTCTAGCGAGCACCTCCTTTATTTCAACATTTAACTATTTATACTCATTTGGTGTTGGCTATCCCAGATCTATACGCGATACCAAAACTAGAACTATTTAATTTTCCGAATGTCTTCAATACCTTTTATTCGGTCGACTTTTGTAACATTTAGGCCGAAACAGCTGTAACCGTCAAGTTGCGTACATATCTAAGTTGAATTTTCGGTGCCCATCTCCATTAATAATGTGCTGCTTTGACCCCTTGAATGTCACATTTCATACTGTACTACTCATCTCCTTCGTAGAGCTCTCTCTACATTCTCATTTCTATTCCTGCTTTTCATTTCTAGTTTACTTTTCCTCCAAGTAGTCCTGAAGTACCATGAGAGACAAATCTACACCTAATTTAAATATGTGCGAAAACAATGTGCAATTTCTTGAATTAAACTCTCAGACAACCAAAAAGCAAACTGACGGCATATTTCCGCCGTGTTTTAAAACAGGTAATATGTCTTGAACTTTCAATAATATTTCATTTAATCTCGATAATATCGTGCAGGCTGAACGGGTCATCGTTTGACAGTATATTCTCACTCACAATATTCAAACAGAAAATCAATCATATCATCAAACATACAAATCACAGTTTATCAAATAGAAAACACTAACTACACTCATTTTTCGCATACTTATCAGGGGAGGAGTTCACGAGCAGCTGCGGATAGGATAAAATACGTGTGTTGGTTTTTTGAGGGGAAATGAGAAATCGAAAGCTGCACGTTCAATTATTTACTCTTTGGATTCTTAGTCACCCGAAGCAGAAAGAGGACAGTGTTCGCAAAGGAGGATACAGTTAGAGTTTACTAGTGGCGTATTATTAGACAGCTGTTGAACAACCAGATTCTCCTTCGCAAGCATACAGTTACAGTAAGTGCCGCGTTTTACAGATAGCACGCCCGTCTCGCATTCTTTTTACAGTACAATTGTAACACAATTATGAAAAGAGCAACATTCACTCGATGGGCGGTCGATCTGTACTAGGCAGTAGTCTCACTGTAGTTCCGTTTTTTTGTTAATCTTATCACCGAAAGATAGAATGGGTAGCGGTAATATCAAAATTAAAAGGTAAACTTCCTGTGTCAGGGAAGAGGATATAAAGCAAGTTTTTTCATCAGAAATAAAGAGAAGTGTTTTTCTTTATGAATTATGGCGCGCTTGAAGGATCACCTTTAGAGACTTTTGGCGGCATGTCGTTTAGCTTTACGATGACGCTGGCATGCACGGGTTCTGGGCTTGGACTTTTCTCGCCTTCGCTTTGCATCTATAAAAACGCGATTTCATTCTTTTTTCTCAATAGTGTCAAGCGCTCGATCGCTGAGACCAGCGATTAAAGCCCTAGTCCATCACGTACCTCGGGATGATCAAGAACGGCATCTGGGTCCATTTCCGCCTGTTTCCTGCCTGTTTTTTCGATGCGTTGCATTGTGTAGGGCAAAATCGTAACATCAAAATGGTGCGGCGGCTGTCTCATGATTAGGTCGTTAATTGTCTTTCCGCGGATGTTTTTCGCCGGGCCTGGAGTCGTCAGTGACCGCTTGCGTCTGATAAACTCCTAGAGCTATGTTAGAATGCGTATTTAGTCAAAAACGGTCCTACTGGCGTCAAAAATCACAAAATACTTACTCCTCCTTCATTCCCGTCGCTGATGCCGCGTTTTCCGGCGTTTGACAAAAGTTGAGCGCGCCGATTGTGTTGCTGCCGGCCCATCTGTCGCAGGTTCTCGTGTTCTTGCATCTTCTCCGATTTTCTATTTCGCAGCGCCTGAAGCGAGTCTGGTTATCGCTTGGGCACAGTGCGTGAGTGTTGTGTAACGAGCACGCCTGCCCAAATGAAAAACAAATGGATTAAAAAACACTGTCAAGCCCAGAAGTAATTCTTAAAAATCTCTCGAAAAGAGTCACCTGGAGTGTTCTTGCTGCACTGATCCAGAGACTACGCTCATCAATCGGCAAGTGATGCGAGTTGACCAGACCTTCGTATCTGTTCATCTGCACACTAAGGGCAAAATCATAATCTAAGGAAGCAACAGGGATCGGGTGTCTAAATTTGCGCGACCTCTCGGGGTTCGAAATTGAACTGGAAAGAGAGGTGTAACTGAAATCTTCACAACAAGGCAATTAACTCGTTCTCCGGGATAATGGGCGCTTACAGTGCTCGAGAGACAGGAATGCCTGTAACGAAAGTCGAGGAAATCTACACACGCTACGACTTTTTGACCGAATGCAGCGATTCGAGAGGGACAATGCGGTGATTCGCTTTCAAATAAGATTTTTATTTCAATTCATGATATTTCAACTCGAAAAGTGACTTTCTCATCTTTGCTTTCAGATGATCTTGATGCTACGCCCCGTCTCTCTAGTATGAAGTATTTACAATGAGCGCGTGCTTACTTGAGCTGCGATTCATCCTTGAACTGCTCCGCGGCGAGGCAGAGGAGGCTTAGGTTGTTGTCGTTTCCGCTTCGGCCGTGTTCGACTGGGCTTCTTTCTTGATCTTCCACTGGTTTCTCTAGGACGTAGTCGACATCCATCGCATCTTGATCGGAGAATCTGAATCCCAGCTCTCGATTGCTCTTGGCGCTTGATTTGCTCTCAGTGGCGACCATAGCTTCCGGATGATGATGACCGTCTTCTTCGTTCCCTGGCGGGTGGATCGTTCCTGACTCGGGAGGCGGCGGCGGGGGTTGACTGCTCTGCACACGCTGCTGAACGCACGCGGCGCTAGGAAAAAGCTCTACTGCGCGGAGGAGAGGGAGATTGTGCGCTTAGGGGAATGCTCGGCAAGTGTGGCTCCAGCCATAGTCCGCGGACGACTCTCTTGGCCTGATGCGCCTACACGGCACGGAGAGAGCGTGGGCGCTTCTCTCCCTCCGCCGCCAGTCCTTGCTGCTTCCGCGCCAATGCGGTGACCACCGCCGCGCTTAACCTTAACAGCTTAGTCCGTGTCCTTCCTTGGGCCAGGAGCCTTCTCCGTGCGCGGGGGCCTCAGCGACTCCCTCACCGAAAGTAGCGTCTTGCATAACTTGTATTTACACAACAGAAAAGGAGTTACATAATTACTTGCAGAACTTTGGCCGAATTGTCGCACCCAGTTTAGCCCAGCCTGTGCCCTCACAGCTCAGAGCCTTCACGCTCTGAGCGCGTGTTATCAGCGTGCCACCTCCTAAGTTCACCTATCCGCATCACCCAGTTGTTGATGTTACAAGCCAGGGCTTATTCAGCGAGTTAACTTCAGTTGAAACAAGTGACAATCATTTTATTAAGTTTCGATTGAGAATGGTAAACTAAAATTCATATTCAGCGACATTTTCAGCAAAGAATCAGTGGTAAAGAACGATGCGATTGGAACCTCAGGAGATGTTATCAACGATTCGTTATTCATGCTATGGTGGTTCATTGGGATTTTCTAAAGGTTGTTTGATTCAGACAATCTTTCCATAACATCAATTTACATTGCGAAGCAGACATTTACATTGAGCGTCACTACTCTGCCAAATATTTGACATAAAAATGGTAAAGACGAACTCAGTTGACTTGCTGTACTTTAGCATAGTACGTGAGCACGAGTTTCAGTAGATAACGTTTCCTGAATGAATACCGCTGAAATTCGCCGTTGTAAGTGCTTCGAAGTAAACATCGTCGAAGTACTCTCGGTTGAGAAAAATTGACTCAAGGATATGTTTGCTTATTGAGCACACGGACCATTCGCTATCTCGTTTCGAGAAAAAGGTCAGTTCCGCGAAGTCCTACAATTATCAAATTTTTGTCGGGAAGACATACACTTACGTTTAGGATCTTTAGGCCAATGCAAGGACTGCCACTTTGAATCGCTACTCTGAGGTCACGAGAGTCCCAAAGATACGTTTCCGCTTCGACTTGAAATAAAGCGGAAAAACTCTGAAGAGCAGCTGACACAACCAGACGATTGAGATCAGTTCTCTCATGAATCCATTTTAGCTTAGCATTATTTTCGCTTTGCAACAAGTCCCAGAAAGCATCGTCATTAATTGTTATTAAAATCGCGCCAATAAGACTCTCAAGTGTACTCTGAAAGATGATGTCAATTTTTACTTACATCCCTTTGAAAATTGATTGCCGGCTTACCAAATCTCTCGACGAAATTGAAGAGGAAGAAAGTATTCGCCGAAGATCGTCTTGGTAAAATCTTAGACCGAGTCTTTTAAGCAAACTTCGAATATTTGAAAGAAAAAAGAAAAGCACCGATTTCTTGAAGATTCCAGAGCCACTCTAACATCCATTGGAATATAATGCCAGTCTCCTGGAATCGTTTTTCGAGGCGCTTCTGGTATGTCCTCCTCAACTTGATAGTAGCCAGTTGACTCGGTGACAACAGGTGCAATTTGGTTAATTTTCAGAGTTTGACCATGCTCAGACTCATTGTCTTCTAGATATTCAATGAAAGCGTCGGCTAAAGAAGCCGCAAACTTCGGCCAGTACCAATCCATTTCTTTTCTATTCACAAGTTTTCTCTCCTCGGCAATCACTTGTTCATTTAGCACGGACTTCCGCAACATGTTCATTTCGTTTTTCACCGTAAAGATCTCTTAGTTGAGGATTATATAAGTACAGAAACAAAAAATTGTAAGAAATATCTAAAATCTCTGTCCTATGAAATTAGACAAATAACTATCCGAGTGTTTGAAAATAAGCATAGCGAATTCATTTTCATTCTCTTTTGCTAGCCAGCTAACGCCGGGTGAGGCAAGCGTTATTTTGTCGGCGATAAGTGCCGCAATTTCTGATGACTTTTTGTCGAATACAGCTTTTTCAGTGGAGTTGATGTCTGTAGCAAAGATGTCGAGATTTTGAAATCGGCGAATCAAATGGATTTTTGCCGTGGTTATAATTTGATCTTCGTGCCTGTTTTAGGTCTGGAAATCTTGATCATATGATTTGGGGTCCATGCTCGCAGATCAAAACTGCCTTTTTTCGTCCACACATAAGGACTTTTGAAAATAGACGATGTTATAGCGTTTATGACGCTAAAAGGCAGCCATCGTAATGCAAAGTTTCTATTTTGGCCGATCATTTTTTGAATTTGCTGGGCGATGAATTTCATCTTTAAGATGAAGGAAGTAAACACTATCATGACGATTTCAACTGCAACAGGGGCAATAATTTCAGATGCGTAGAATGGTTCGTTGACAAGAACATTTTGAGTGATCAATCTCAAGCAGAGACTCAGAAAAATCGCAGTGCCGTACCAAAGAGGCTCGATCCATAGTACACGAAAGGAATGAAAGAGAAATATTCCCAGAATTGGATCTTCCGTTATACGGGTTTCGAATGGAGTTATTCCAGTGAAATTCCAAAGCTGATACAAGCAGATTGTTCCTTATCGGGCATGAGAGAAGATGAAGCTTTTGTATTGGTTGCGATTATCTTTTTTTGTTCATGTAAAAGCGACGTATGAAATTTATTCACCATTAGTTATTTGAGTACTAAGAGATTCGAAAAAGGTAAAGATCCCTCTACTGATTACCGCTCGATTTCAACACCTGCTATTTGCTTTTTGACCTGATTTCACTCGGCGGGGCATTATTGAAAGAGAATAATAAATATTTCGCATCATTTTTACCATCTATCAGCGTGTGATTCGGGGCAGTATAAGTCTGGGTCCTTATTTTGATTTCTATCATTCGATTAAAAGAACTCCAAGTGTGTTGGGGCTGATTAAATTAATATTTTCAGACATTTTCAATAGAGGATGCTCGCTCTTTATAAGATAGAAAACTACATGGATGCGAATGCCTGCACACAATCCAAGTCGGAAAGACTAAAACTACCAAAAGATGTATTTCGGTACAACCAAACTCTGGATATTTTTTCATGTCAACCATTCAGTGACTTCAAAGATGATGATAAGAGACTGCAGACCCTTCAATCTGCGCAGATGTCAACGAAGAATGAATTGCAGAAAACGGTTGCTAAATTGAGCTTCATGGCAGTTCATGAGCGCGAGATCAAGAAGGACAATAACCTCGATGAAAAAGAAAAAGAGAATTTCTTGAAGAAACGATTCAAAGAGAAAAAGAAACTTAAAAAGGGCAGAGAAAGAATGAGAAAAGAAATAGATGACCGAGAAAAGAAAATTCGAGCACTGGAGAGCAAAATGTACCGTACACTATCTGCCTGAATTTACTCACTGCCTTATGGAAAGAAAAAAGTATTGACATAATAAATAATCCCATCCCTGGTAGAAACTAAAGCCTGTTCTGTCGATTAGACAAAGTAGGCCAATTGACCGCTAATTGTGTTAAATATACGGTATATTATATACCGCTTTGGTCAGAATACGAATCACGCCCTCTGCTGACCCTCTATAGCAGTATAAAAAAGGTTCCGGCTTTTAGCTCTTTGCCCGTTCCTGGAAGTATGAAGTCAGTGATCATTTGTCGTAGCCATCCCGTTTCTTGATAAACAATAGCAAAACAAACAGCGTTGAATACAAGCAGGACTCCGACTATTGATTTAAAAACGATTTCTCGCTGTAGGAGTTTTCCGAAAGACCGGTCGGTTTCTGTTGCGCCAATTACTATCATTGCAATTAATAAGAGGAGAGGAATTAGAACGTGGCGTAGCTGGGCGAATCGTGTTTGTTGTTGGAAATTTATTTCTTGCTTGAGCACTTGAAAACAAGGAAGAGTCAGAAAGAGATAATCGACCACAGCCAAGTTCCAGACATAACAAACCAGGAAAGATGTCCCCACGAAAAAAATCATCTTCATTTTTAAAATGATACATCCTATTTAATATGGTTCACAAGAATAGTTGATGTCCAAATATATTTGTGCCAGAGTAAACTGTGGACCAGAACCTATTAAAATAACTGCCAGCAACGTTGTCTTACTCAGATCTATTCCTCGATTAATCGCACAAGTCCTCCCACCGAAAATCAGTCTGTCGATCGTTTCGAGAATGAAAAAGCCTAACGAAATCGTCGCGGGTACCAACGAGAGAGTGTTGAGTGATGGAACCAATAGAGGAAATATAATTGCAAGAACGTCTACATAAGTTGTCCACGTCGTAAAAAATGTGGAAAATATAAACTGGATCGTGCCCCAAGCATACGCGAACATGGTTATCGTTACTCCCGCCAGAGAATTGATGGCTTCTTCTTCGTTTTGAGAATAAGTCATTTTGCAGAGATGAATGCCAGTTGAAGCTGGGATAAAGTGAACAAAGAAGTAAAACCAGACGCCGATAAGATGTTCTATTTTCAGTCCGCAGGCGAGACCACTACAATTCGGTCGTGGGATCGGATGTTGGAGGATTTCTGTCTCGTTTGAAATTTTTGACCAGCCAATCCACTGATCAGCCCAGAATGTATAGATCACTTTTGAGAAAATCCATCCACCTACGATTATTCCCCGAAGAATCACATTAAGAGTATTCCTAAGTAAGATTTTAACGAGTACAGTACTCGAAGTACGCATGTTAAAAATAGATTGATGAATTGATCTGCTAAAATCTTTCCTCGGTGGAAAAATATCCGTAAAAATTTCGGTGAGCTTCTTATGCGGTGATGATTCATCTCCTGTCTGCTTTCTTTTGCTGTATAAATTCGACAGGAGTCCGAAGAGAAAAATACAGGAAGCTCCGATCGCTGAGGAAATTCCAGCAATTTGAAAAGGATCGATGATTAGAACGTTAGTCAATTTGAGACTGAATGAAGCCGGAATAGAAATATATTTTTTGTGATAAAAGTGTTCTTTCTATTCCTTAAACTTGAATGATTATCGGAAGAAAAACTAAAATTGCTGTGGATATTTGGAGAACATAGTGTTTCCAATTAAATGAAGGTTCCGACCTTTGAGATGTCTTCTTAATTGGATAAACAAATAGAATGTATTTATTTCTAGTGAGGAGACTCATTTTGTAGAGAAAACGCTTCCTGACGCCACAGTAGAACAGTAAGCAGTATTTGATGACTCTCTGGACTTTTGGATTATCCATAAAATTCTCTTTAAAAATCAACGATTTAGACTGCAACGTCGAGCGCGGTTTTGTTCGGCTGAGTTTTGAAATTCAAGTGCCTTTTAGCCTAAGTGCCAAGTTTTGTTTCGAACATTGCCGCAGTGAAGACGGACGATTTCTAGTTTGCATAAGAACGCGCTTGAGTGAGGATCTTTTTATTAGAGGAATATCGACAAGGGCAGGATTCTCTAACAGCAGTCAGATTCTGTACAGGAGTGACTTTCTGCGAGCTGAACTCTTTTTTGGCTTCGCGCGTCAAATCACGGAATATCATTATATAATTGGTATGTGCAAGTGCGTCTTCGTTGATTTCAAGGCTTTCCTTGAGTCTTGCTCCTTTTAGAGCTCTCGGCTGGACTCGTCCACTCCTCGATTCCCAGCTCGTGTGCACTCTCTTCCAGTGGCCTCCAGAAGGTATCGCGAGTGCGCGGGAATGCGCGGAGCAAGACATTGAATAGAGGTAGCACGCAATTGCGATGAAAGTTGAACTGCTGCTGCTCGCGAGGAATTTCAATTTCGCTTTGAGGAATATTGAGTGATGTTGCCAATTCCTGAACAATCAGTGAATTTCCGAAGAAAAACCGAGAAATACCTTTTCCATGTTCATTTCTTGATAAAGTGAGTCCACGATTTTCTGAGCAATCGGTTTGGGGCGGACTTCGTTCGAGATGTCAGCGCATTTTAGAAAAAGCTTGAGGGTTTCGTCGGTGCTGAGCGAGTCTTTTTTGGAAGCAGAAGCAATGAATTCTGGCTGCTTGGCCATATCCGTGCAAAGGATTAAGTCTTTGATCCTTCTTAGCAGATTGCTCTTTCTTTAACAAAAATTAAATCTCACTTTCTTACAAATGTTTGGCCATACTTGTCCAGGACATTCGTGAAAATGTCGTTGTCGCGGTGGTGGAGAATCTTACACAGCGTTGAAAAATGGTGATGCTCCAGCGTGCCGGAATCCCCGTAGAGGATATACAGAGCGTCGCACGAGTTTTTGAGAAAGCTGTTCGCAACTCCTGGGTGGTCTCCCAGCGGGCTCACAAAAGCTCTACTCTCTATATTTTTTTAGAAATTCTTCATGAACCGCTTCCTACGTCGTGGCAAATGGCGGCGAAGATGAGCACACCCCAGGAATCGAGGTCCAGGTGCAAGTCGGATTTGAGCAGCTCGAGCAGCGAATAGACGATTTGCGTCACACAAAAGGCATGTCGAAAGTTGTGATAGGGATTGGCTGATAAGAACGGTTAGACCACGCTGGGCTAGACCAGAGCTTTGGTGAAGTGTTTTCAAGTACTTCTTAGGAATTTTTACCTCGATAGTTGGACTTGACTGTGAGAAGGAAGTGTCCCAGCCGATCCGTGGAAATCTTCCAATGGCTTATGACGCCCGCAGTATCGAGCATCTCTGTGATAACGGACACAAGACCATCTTCATCGTACGAGAAGATAGGAAACTCCACCGAGGTGAGCTCGTGACTGTGGCCGTTTGAGTTCTCCTCTTCCTAAAGGAACATTAGCTGTTTGAATGTGTTGAGCCCACTGATAAAAATTGAAATAATGATCAGTTTTTGGATCCGTCGAGAGAGCGAGAAAATAAAGAAAGGCGATCTATCACTTCTTTGATCTGACCGTAAACACGATTTATCGCCTCTCGCTCTTTTCAGATCTGTTAAGCTCTCTTTCTTCTTTCGATGGGAGTGCATTCTACAGACATTTAAAGTTAGACTTTCATTAAATTATACACCTAAATAAGGACCTTCTCTCTATTCTAACATTTTCTAGTCATCTTCTAAGCTACAGAAAGAAGCAATTAGACCGAAAAAAGACAAGAGCCAAAATGTGCCTTGTCATCGTTATTTCTAGCTTGACGAGCGATTTAATTATAATAATCACACCTCTTTGGTCGATTTACTTCCGGGCAGTAGTGGCGGCTCTGTGGCGTCTTCCTGCCGGCCCATTCCTCCCGGATGGGGTCTCTTGAGAGTTCCTTTCTTTTGTTGTTTGGTAGATCGATTTCCTTGTGGCGAGGGCGATGATGCGGGGCGAAAATCAATTCTTCCCAATTTAGCCGATTCAACTCTGAACAATGCGCCAATTAGTTAGACTTGGATTTCAATTCAAAAAAATTTAAAAGTCTGTGAAGTGCTTCGTGCTCTATGTGTTTCGCGCAGGTGCAGCCTGGTGCAGACTCTGTCTCTGCGATTTCAAAGCGATTCGACTCCCAAACTTGGCCTGGCTCTCGTGAACCGCGGGTCTGCCTCAAGTGATGAAATTCAATAAGCTAACAACTTTAATGATGAATGGAACTTACTCTCATCCTCCTCCTTTCCCGATTCCGAACGACCTTTTCCAACACAATTATTATATAAATCTCTAAGAAATAAATGTTAATATTTCTCAGCAATCAGAATAATTTTTTTGGCCGATGTTCCTACTTTAACTTCATTACTTCTTTATATTACAGTTTTATGCGGCTGTCCGTACTCGATCTCTACAATAGTAAAACGAGCAAATCTTCCGCGTGGTCGCTTTCGACTTCTTCAAAAAATCGATTCTGAAACGTCACTTTCTCTTTTTTAGATTGCTCAATCTTTATGTTTAAAATACCTCTCAGTATATATTAAAAGCAAAGATAGAGCTAATTGTGCGAGAGAAAGAGAGAGTATTCTGACGCCTAATCATAATTGTAGATATGGGATTGAAGTAACTGTAACTTGCGACAAAGAAATTCGAGGTAGGACTTGACGCTGGCGTGGACTTGGTTTTGGCTAACCTGGCAACGACTCGCCTAGGGCAAGGTCTTCTCCGTCCGTCAACCGAAGCAATAACTGGCAGTGACATTTCTCTGTCTCTCCAGCGATGAATAATTCAGCAGTAGAAGAACAGTAGCCCGCGCGGCGGCAACTTGGCTACAGAAAAAACGTCACTTACACGCTCTGGCTCTAACTCCAGCCGTAAAAATTAGTGAGCTGGCCATTTGCACGGTCACAGCACGTTATTTATAGTGAGCGAGTGATACTCCTGCAAATTTTTTCCACTTTCAATTTTCCCCAGGAAGAAATCAACGTCAGCCCAGTCGGGCAAGCGTCATCGCTGGCCGTCATGGAAAAGGCTAATTTGGGAGCTAGAGTCAAGCCCGAGCCAAGCCATTCCAGCGCTATCGTTATTCTCTGCCCATTTTATAATTAAGTTTTATAAGTAAATAGCCGCATGCAGCTCGCCAGAAGTATGAGATTTTCAAAAGCACTCACTGATTCTAAAAAAGTCTTAAAAATTGTTGTTATATATATATAAACGGAGCGAATATAAAATGAAATTTCCAAATATTAAAATATTATAAATCCTCTTATAGGTAGGCCTCGATGTATCTTTAATAAAAGCGAGCGTTTATGATCAGCTTCCTATTTTTTGTCTGAGCCTTTTGTTTGACGAAGCTGCCGTTTTCTTGACTTTCAGTTGATTCTTATTCTTCTAGCTATCTCTAGTTATTTTTTGAGGTCTCTGAGCGAGGTGTCTGATTTTTAATGAATAGAAGGGGGGTCAACTTCCTCCGTGATTTTAGTAACTTGGTGATAGTAAACGGAGCCAGGCGAGTAGTATTCAAAAGGGCAGAAAGAGCTAAGTCGCGAGCTCCGTAGGGGCCACCTATGCTGTTCAGGCCAATTGGTCACTCCAATTTTAGCAGATTAGGTAAATGTGACTCAGTTACCCCAGTGTGCCGCCCAGCGAGTCACAACTCATCCCAGCTCACTTCTCTTACTCACGTGCTTCACGCAATACTGGAATTTGGTAAAGTTACCTGTTCGACTGCATAGTTCGTTTGAGATTCTCTTGATCAGGAAAACTGCTTGTGGGGAATGGAGATTTGCGAATTATATAGTCCACCGCGGAGCCGATAGCTCGATTTATTATATTTATTAATCCTCTGATGTGTCAGATGCTAGCCGATAAAAACTGTCCCCGCTCTTCTCATGAACCTGTTAATTAAAACTGTATGCTGGACATTGGCCATCGAACTGCCAAATCTAGCGCCTCTTACTTTCAATAATAACGAATTTACTTTGTTACGTGTATATTTATGTAGACTCCTTGTGTTTGCATTTAATCTTGAGCTTTTTTCATCAAGACTAACTTGAATAACAAAACTACAGGTAAGCATAGAGATTCTTCAAATTCTGACGTCCGTAACTTTCGCGTAAAATTCTAAATGAAACTCAAAAAAATTAATCTTCAGCCACGAATATGTTTTATTTACATTAAAAATATAAGTTCGGCTGCGTGTTACAGTTTTTTTATAAATGACTTCAGAAAATTAAAAAAGTATAAGATGCCAAGTTTAGCAACTGGAGCATGGCTTCGCCACACATCCGCAACAACCGCAGAGAAAGCATATTAAGATCCAAATGACTGAGAGCACGAGCAGCGATAGTACCACAGCGATAGCTGCTATCGAGCCAGTCGCTACGGTAGAAAAATGCGTCAAATTTCATAAAGAATTATTCTGTACTCACCCAGGTCGCAGTTTCCGGTGGATTCATTGAGAACCTGGCCAAATGGACACGAATCACTTGAAGAGCTGTTTGTCTGAATTCATATTTTATTAGATACAGTAAATACCGCTGGTCTGGGACGGTCCTAATTCACGAAAGCGTCCCAAACCAGCAGGATTTTCGCTTTCGACTCTCGGGCGCCACTTTCGCTTTCCGGGTAAAGCGGTCAGTTTAAAAACACTCGCCGTGGGCGCTTGCCTTTGATCCTTATTTTGCCCGACCGTCCCAAACTAGCACGATTTTTGAGCGTCCCAAACCAGCGGTATTTACTGTAGTTGACGGAAAAATCACTTCAGGTGAGGCCTAGAGTTTATAAAAGTCTTTAACTTTAGGAATTTTGTGATTTGAGATTTTGTATAAGAAATTATGCATACGGTTGCTGCTGTTGTCGTCGATTTTGTTGTCGTTGTCGACGTGGTTGTTATTATTCTTGTTGTTGTGGTGGTGACTTTATTTGTTGTCGTTGTTGAGACTTGTCGTGGAGTTGTGTCTGCTGTGTCAAAGAACCCAGATTCAACATTATTATTGTCGGTATTAAAATTGAGGCTGATCGTTGAAAAATCAGTCTTTGTTGTTGGAGCTTGAGTGCTCGTTGTTGTCGGATTGCCGTCGTCGTTCTCGCACTGTGTTTGCCCTGTACATTGACGGCATCGTTCTCGTTGATTTGCTTGGCAACTTGAATCGCTGCAGGTACTCCATTCCTGCCATTCTTGGCATGTTTCTACAGGAAATGAACAAGGTGGGTTGCATTGTTTTGATTCTTGAGCTTGGCCTGAGCATCCGTCTTCCCCAGGCACGCCATTTTGACAGACTCGTTGTCTTATCTGACTTCCCAGTCCACAGCTTACGGAGCAAGTGCTCCATGTGGACCAGGTCGCCCATGAACGATAAGGCACGCAGTCCCAATCATTACTTCCTCTTACGCGTTAGAACATCATTTTCAAAGTTTGGAAGGAAAATTTAGTCAAGGAAACGCTTTCCTGAAGCAAAAATCGATTCCTCGCAATAATTTGATAATGGGCAACCGGTCAATGTCTGCGAATTAATCTCATGTCTACAGGATGTTTCGTCATCTACAAATGCACAGTTATCATCTCTTAAATTTTACGATTTATAAGAGGAATTCTTCATTCTTGCGGTTAACTCAACTTACTTTTTTCGCACTGCAGTTGGTACTTCAAAACATTATCCTCTCTTAAAGTATGGCATACTTCTCCCGCAACGCATGCCGAGCAACTATCAATAATACTTTGTTGTGCATTTGTAGCTGTTAGAAAAATAAAGAAAAACATATTTCGAAGAACTAAGAATAATAGAAAATAGACGAACCTGTTTTACGTTTTGATGATTCTACAAAGCTTATTTTCCCAGATCATAAAAGACAGGTCGGGGGAAACGTTTTTACGGGCTCATAATGTTAGTTAATTACTCGCATTCATCAGCCGCAAGTTACTTAAGGACTCTTAGGAGGAGTATTACTAATACCGTATGTCATAGAATTTGCAATTCAGGAATATTTTTTTAAGTGTTTATGATTTTAATAAAAGAAGACGTGCAAGCCGCAGTGAACAGAAAAACGCGTGTGTGTTTTTCGAATAAACCTCGAAATTGAGCTCTAGAGTGCTTTTGTGAGAGACGTAGCTGTTTTCTTTCTGAATTATAGACCCGCACGAGGGATCAAGATGAACGAATTCAGAATAAATGAGATACAGTTGTCTTTGCTTTGTTCTTTTTCTTTTCGCACTCTGACATGGATCTACCGCGCGATTAACCACATCCCCGTGCCTTTTTTCTCGAACACTTCGTACGAAAAACGATGATCCTCATTCCTGGAAAGAGAGAAATCATGGGCCTCATTCAAAACGAACACAAATTGAAGGGTCAAGCAAAACTTATACAGGGCGGTATTCAAAAGTCTTTTGACAAGTTTCTAACGTTAAAGGATCGCCAAATTCGTTGGTATTTTTTCCAGAATTCTTTTGCATACGCCTGTTCGGAGCATTACCCAGACGATCTTCCGTCTTATCTTGACCCGAGATGGAAAGATGATAGGCAACAGGGAGCGAAAATATACTTGAATCTAAATCGAAGCTCAGAATATTTGTAAGAAAGCGTAAACCTGAGCTTCTTTCAGTCTCTTCTTCTTTATGATGCCGCTTATTCCCGTAAGTAAATTTGAAAAGCGCAAGAAATGATTTCTACTCAGATGGTGATAATCATATGCATGCTGTGCAGGTTCAACTGGGAAGCACGGAGACAAAGCAAACTGGCAGAGTCGGGCGTCGTCGAGGTAAACGAGCTCGCAGCCAGTGAGAACGATATCTAAGGTCATCACCAATAACGGCACGAAGGTTTCCGTTGCTGATGTCTGACTTTTTATACAATGCCCTGCGTGCGTTCTTCCTCAGCTACCGCTTTCTTGAATTATTAATAAAACAAAAACTCTTCGCTGATTTCTTGTAGCTACTTTGGAAAAGAAGATACTCTTCTAAATCACTTTTTAGAAGATTTTTCTCGGATATTTTTTTGATTATTGAAATTTTTCTTTGTGCCATTTTTTTTTAATTCTCTCTCAGTTTTCCATAAGTCGGTCTATGATGGTTTAGCTGGAGAGTTCTGAACTTCGTTGATCATCATGGAAACCATCTTATCGCATAGCTTTGCGATAGGGTTCAGTTTCACCATCTAAAAAATTCTATTTTCAAGAAACGAAAAGTCGTAAATTCAAAAAGAGTAAAACTATAAGTAAAAATTTCGTGCGAATCCTGCATAATGCAATTTGCAAGAATTAAAATATAAAGGAAATTACCATATATAAAAATTCTCTACAAACCTGGGAAGCTGCGAACTCAGAACCAAGTGCAGCAGCCTTTTCGAAGTCAGCAAGCGCTCCTTTCTCGTCGAGCTTGAGTTGTTTTAACAGCGCTCGTTGAAGAAATGCCTGGCAAGCGACGCTCCCTTTTCCTTGGCTGAGCTCTATTGCTTTGTCGAGCGAGCGGAAGGCGAGTTGGTCCTTCTTCAGAAGGCGGTAAGCCTGCGCAGTATCGTTGAAAGCTCCGGGATGGACTGGCAGCAGTTCTGTACGTTTAATTGAATTAATGAGGGGCACATGATTAACGCACCTTTTGCGCGCTCAAAAACAACGAGCGCATCCGCCGCCACCGCCGAAATTTGAGAATCGTCCATGCCCACCGCGAAATTGATGGCTTCTATCTTCCGAATCCCCTCAACCAGAAGATTTTTGTAAGTTCTCAGCTCGTCAGCATCAAACTGGGACTCAAACTGTAACAAGGTTCGCTTGGCCTCGGCTCGTTGCGCCGCACGAGACTTGATTGCGTCGAACGGCTATCAATTGAAATCAAGGAAGAGAAAACTCAAAACTCAAACCTGAGACGGGTCCAACAAGAGGGAGAGCACGTTTTGGTCTCCTTCTGAAATTTCTTTCCTCGTCATTTCTCAATTGTCTCTTTTATTTATTTTGATGAATTTTACGAAAGCCTTGGGCGTGTCAAACCAAGCCTTGGCAATCATTAATTACGATTAGATTATACATGAGTCATACTTTTGATCAAACTTGTGTCAATCAAAGAATTTTAAATATTACATCTTGAAAATCAGACATTCATCCTCCTATGAAGTTAAAAAAATAGGTCATATCGGTAAATACGCACACCGGTACCATTGAGCTTCGCGGATTAAGAGTGTTTTGGTTTTGTTTGCTCGGGTGGGCAAAGATAATTAATTTCGAAAAATTAAAACACAATTGAAATTAAAATAACCGAATTAGCGCTAAAAAGGCCGGATCAGAAGACAATGGGCGACGCGATGCTCCGTTGGAACTCATAAGGCCGAGGCTATTAAAAGCCATTCACAATCACTGAAAAGATCGTGGCAAGCTTGATTGGGGAGATTCGAATTAATGGCGGAAATTATACCGCACTCGGCTCTGATGCGTAATAACGTTGGTGGTGCGCGGTGGAGTTTGCGCAGTGAATTTGTCCAGGTGCAGCCGCCGCGTTAATTCGTTTTAACTCTCCCTATTCCGTCCAGACTGATGATTGTCGCTTAATTTGATTGCGGGCGCAGCGCAAGACACCTCCAATCGTGCAAATATAATATATTATAATGGGATAGATTAATAATTACCAACAGCTGCGTGTCTTTTTAATCTCCGAAGCCAAGCGGACAAAAACCAGAATTCCCAGGCCCGACATTTTTGAATTTTAATATTAAAAAAGTTAAATTCTAGTCAAAATTAAAAAAAAGTTGCCCGACGTAATTCTTCAGTTAATAAGCTCGATAAATGTTATAAATAAAAAGATAGCCTCAAAGAATATTTTTGATGAAAGAATATTGCACAAGAAGCTCTTTTTAGAGTCTAAAATTTAGACTGATAATTAGCAACAAAAAAAACGCACCCTGAAAGTTGGTATAATTTTGCGGGAATAATTGAATGTTATCAATCGGCTTTGCGAAACAAAAATTATTTAATTTTGCAAATAATTGTTTTCTCAGCTCTTCCTGTGCCCTGCACTGTACCCACGTGCCGGACGGGAGAATAAAGCGTATGTTTGGTGCTTGCCACGGGTTATTAATTCTCTAAGCGCTGCTCAGCCTTGCGGGAGTACTGCTTTGCTTCTCGGCCGATTGATGTTGCTGTACTGCGGTCGGAAAGGGTAATTAGTCGTCCGTAGAATGTGCAATTAAGGGATAATTAGTACTTTCTTCCGGCGCAGCCACTTCAACTTCTACTTTCGATACACGTGTCATTCATTCAACAGATAACAACTCAGCAGCTCCGGAAAACTCCAAATATCTGAAGGGTGTCAATACCGGAAGTCTCAAATCATTTTGGAGAAAGTGGTTTCGCCTATAAACGAGTTACCTGTTCAATTTGAAGTTCGTCGTTTTAGATGAAGAGTGTAATCAGTGCCTGGTGGAATGTTGTGGATACCATTGGCTAAAGAGTCGGACTGGCTTGATGTTGATTTCCGGCGCTAATTGGGGAGGATTTGGCGGCGCGGTGGTCTCGGGCGCCCTCTTATTCCTCCGCGCGCGCCACAAAATTCTTCGTTTTCGAAAAAATGAAAAAAATTAAAAATGACCGTGGTAGTAGCTCGTTAACGATCCAGTGATAAAGGATCTTATCACTGCTCCAGAGATATACATTCAGTCAGAGAGACAGAAAGAGAGACAGAGCGCGCCAGTCCCATGGGGGAAGGATGATGGAGAACGCCGCGCTGGAAGAGCAACCTCGCCCGCTCGAGCCTACTGTAGCTCCCGCTGAGGGAGACATACAGACAGAGACGCAGACAGAATCTCTCCTTAGCGGCATGCCCCCTTCTTCAGTTCTAGAGCAGTCTCCGGCGACCCCAGCAAGTAGCTCCCTCCAAAACAGTAATACGTATGTAGTACTAACTCATCTTCGGACTCTATTGATTACGATTCGGTTACGATTTGCGTGTTATTGTCGGAGTAAACTCTAAGAAGGGCAGATCGATCAGTGGCAGAGCACTGGCAGGGCGGTGATTAATCCAAATTAAAATAATTAGAAGCACTTTGGCAATTAGTTGATTAATACTCGCGCAATTATCTTAATTCCGCGCCAATTACAACAGATAAACCTGTAGAGAGAAAAAGAATGAGCTCGACTAGAACTCAACTGGCGAGCTCGTTTCTGCCGAGCAGCTAATCAAGTTACGGCTAATTGGATGATCTAATCAGCAACGTTGAGTCGTACTCCGCCGAGAAAAGCTCTCAACACCAAAAATATACTTCTCTGGTGGAGCTGTTTGTTGACAAATGATAGTTCTACACAACTAAAAATACTATACCTTCATCATTATTTCAGTTCTCGCACCACTTTTGAAATCAATAATTTAAGCTCATCTTGCTTATAAGTTATAACAAAATTGATTGAAAATTTTACTTACTAATAGGAATCTTACAATGCCATTCTTAAGATTCGCCCTTTCAAATGCCATATGTAAAAGTGTATTCGACCACAAAAGTCCAAAATGCGTTTGTGGATTCCGGAGTTGGTTAAAATCGACCACACGATCATTTTGCGTCTAATTTTACTTTTACTCATGTTTTGTGATGATGATTGGCTTTTTCAGCATTCTGCAGAGTCAGAAGAACGCAGACAAGACCCTCAAATGTCCAAAGTGCAACTGGCATTACAAATACATCGAGACGCTAGAAGCCCATATTAGGGAGAAACACTCAGAAGATCTTCTTCCAGGGAACGGCCGCTAAGATTTTTACGATTTTTCTCTATTTTCTATTATTGCATAAGCTTTTTCTTAAAAAGTCGACATAGAAGCATATTTTCAATTCATATTTTCAATTGATCAGAATTTACAGTGATTATTTTTGAAGAAAATCATTATTTTTGACGCTTTTTCGTGAACTTATTCTAGGAATCTCGAAAGTCTATTCTGCTTAGTTTCATGAAATAGACAATAATTAAAAGGATATTATATGTATTCGTACGATAACTTTTTCGCTGAATACTCGAACTCGATCGTAGATGAAATTATTGAAAAAGTCGTATTTCCTTTCCAAGGTGAATGCGAGCTTGGCTAATTGATTAATTAGGCAACTTAGAGAGACGATAATTAGATAATGATTAATTTATTAAGTTAAGTAATGCGAGCCTGGCTCGACGGCGGAAAGAAACGTACCAAGATCAATATTTAACGACGAAATTGTGAAAAGCGTGTTAATTGAAATTTGCTCAATTTTTAATTGGATCATTAATTCGCCACCGCCGGGCTCACCCGCCGCGGGCAAGTTTCAGAAAAAATAGTGTAATTTATGCAGCCGCGCCAAGATGCGAACAACTCGAATTGCCGCTTTTGCCGCGAAGGAAGGAAAGGTTCACTAAAGAGACATCTTACTGTGTGTTTTTTATTTTGCATTTCATAAATATTGGGGTTCAAGTTTAATTGGTTAATTAAGTTAAGATGGTTCGAGTCTGGAATGTAGATATTGCTGAGAAATGAATTTCTTTACAAGAACTTGAATGGCTAATTTTATTTTCACACACTAGTTTTGATATCAATAAAAAACTTAACGAATGCTTAGGATAGTCTTTTGATAGATCTTTTTACATAAATTTTTTCTATAAATTAGAGTAAGATCTATAAATAGAAAGCAATCGCTTTCTTACCGGCTTGCAAAATCCAAGATGCGAGGGCTTTTTCCACGGAACTTTTCGTTAGGAAATCGCACCTTCAATTTTTCAATTATCAGAATTTATGATCCATTATTTATGAATCCATTATGAATATTCATTTTTCATTCGAATTTAATTTGATAATTGTTAAGAAAAAGACGGGTTTATATAAAGAGATGAGAGTATGATTATTCTCCTAATTAACACTCAATCAAATAAGTTTTACGAATCAATACCGTAATAATGAATAAAAACGTAATGGTGAATCTTGTGGTCCGGAGTCACCCCCGTCTAGCTCGCGGAGAGTCCTACCCTTGTGGATACAAACCCTACCGCTGCGAGGTCTGTGGCTACAGCACCACCACCAAGGGCAACCTCACAATCCACCTTCAATCAGACAAGCACAGCAACAACGTTCGAGTCCTACAAGCAGCCGGAAAACTGCCAAAGCGAATAACCGTCATGCCGGAGTCGCAACTTCATCTGAGAACGGTAAGGAAGCTAGAATTCGGTCAGTCAAAGATGAATACAGTAATGCATTGGCCAACGTTTAGTATCACTCGATTTAATGAAGGCCGATAGCTCTTGCCGACTTGAAAGAGTCGCTTTTTCTATCGCAGCCAGTAATGATAGCTAATTAAAACCAAAGTGGCTATATAATTTGAGGTACATTGATGATCCTGCTAATCAATTCAACGGTTGAGAGATTTCTTATTTCTCTCCTCGAGGATAACTTCGTTGCCTCCCTAGTAGTAGATCGACATTCGCGACTACAACGGTGGAAGTTTACGATTTTTTAAGATTCTCCCCGAAGCGAGCGAAGAATCTTCCCGACCCTGGAAGTGTCCTCCTTGTGGATACTCTACCGCTGTCGCGTCAAATTTAAGGATTCACCTCAGCTCAGGTAAAAATCAACAGTGTCTATATTAGTGGTTGAAAAGAGGAGGAAAGTAGTTATTCACGATAAAAAATAGCAACTAAACTGTTCTTTCGTAAATTGATCTTTGCGTTAAGCAGATTTAGGGAAACATCAATCAACAGTAGCAGTGCTGGACAGCATCTTTTTCTGCGGAATCTGCTCGAAGTTTATGAGCGATTCACTGGAGTCGCTCGAGGCACACGTGAACAGCTGGCGTCAGATCGAGGAAGAGGTAGCTCTGGCACAGCAAGACGACAACTTCGTGTGCACGCTGTGCTCCTACCAAACGCAGGTAAGCAATCAAAAAGCCATTTTTGGAGTTGCTTTCCGGTCGCAGTCCCACATCAGAAGGCTAATTAGGCGTTAGGGTGCTCTCCATGTTAATTAATTAAAAAATTGCTGGCGAGGATGAAAAGCTCCCACCGCGCTGTGCTTGGCGCCAGCACCACCGCCATCTTCAAAGGCCAGCGCCGCGGGAAATCATCTCTAGCCACTTTGGAAACCAAAAGCTAACAATTACAACCAAAATTAATACATTTTAACGTTATCCCAATTATCTTCATCGATTTTAGAGGAAAAGGTAGAATTCGATCTTACAATTAATAATTGTTTGATATATTAATAATAAGTTTGGACGTAAAATTGTGCGTAAAAATGATCGATTGGTTTTTACTGGTTGGGGCTCTGGGCTGGAGCGAATGCGACTTGCGCCGAAGCCGTTTCGGCACCAATTCGGCATCACATTAAATAATTGAGTGGCTAAGTGCAATTAGTCCCAGCACTAACTCCTTCAGTCGCCCGAGACACTGATTCGAGCAAGAGAACAATAGTACACGCTGGAAGGAATGCGCGCACTGCCCTCCGCGTATTTGCACTTTGTTTATTGTATTTATTCGGCGTCCTCGCTGCCAGCGTCGAAGTGCATTTAATCAGCTATTCATTTTAATCAAATATTTAATTTGCAATTTGCACGAAAGCTGATTATGCCCAATCAAATGGCCAAGACCATTCCAGGCCCGACACGAAATTACGCTTTTTACACTCACTCTAGATTTCTCAAAAGTTAGACAAGAACACGAGAGAAAATAAGAAACACTACACCTTGGGATAAAATAAGACCGAGGCGACTGAATATGCTATGTCTATAAAAAGATCTTTTCATAGAATATCTTTTCTAGCCAAAAACTTCTTGAAGCCAATTAATTCGATCAAAATGACCAATTCAGGCTGAGGTGTCTAATTCTCCTCCCCTGACTGTAGCGACCTGTCTTTCCTTGTACTGATTATAAATAGTTAAGGCCCCTGACGCCAGTTACTGTGGCACAGTAGTGATACAACAGTTACTGTTCAATTATCGCTGCCAGGATGTGTTTTTACGTCTGCGTGACAATAAGTGCATTGCAAATTTGATTGGGCATTTTATTTCTGATCGAATCGCGAATCCACTTTTCAATCTTGTTTTTAAAGAGACCAAAAAAGCGAAAATTAAAATTAACTTTTTCATTTTTTCAGCTGAAGTCGAACTTTACGATTCACTGCAAAACCGACAAGCACATCAGTAGACAGCAGCTAGCCGCGCACATTCGAGAAGGAGGTCCTCAGAACGAGTGGAGACTCAGGTTTGCTTTCCTTTCCATTTACCCGTAATTACGTAATGTAGGTATCTTCCACAGGGCTTGCAACTGGTCTGCCAGCTCTGTCAGTTCACCGCCGCCAGTTGGGACGGGTTAAAGCTACATGCTGCCAGTGAGAAGCACATTCATCACGTTCAACTTTACCAGGTAAATCGAGCAGTTGAGATCCATTCAAGAGTTTTTTCATTGATTTTCGTTACTTTCAAAATGTAGGAAAATATTGACGTGTTCGTTTTTGTGATTGAGAATGGGGCGGTATTTGCTCAGTTTTCCCATAAAGGTGGAGGGACATTTGCAGAGGAAGAGCCGCTGCGGAACCAAATGTTTTAGTCCATAATTACTAGGTGTAATTGTAGAAAAATGGACCCCATGATCGCACTTGTAAAACTCCAATTATGATGCAGATTTAGAATCCCCAGGTCGCGGCGAACATTTTGATACCAAGGTCACCGGAATCAGACTTGATTTTCGACCGATAATGAGCATCTGAAGTCCCCAAATGAGCGCTAGAAATTTTCGAGCGGCCGGAAAGGCATGAATACTCCATCCAGTCATTTAACCAATAGTCCCAGTTTGTAGAGCAGGTTCTATTCTACTAGAATCAATTCACAGAAGTTGTGAACAGGGACTCTTGTAAGGACCAGCGCCGAAAGAGGCCCCCAAAAGGTGCAAAATCGAGGTGAAATCGTGAGTGCGAGTTCTCGGAAACCAAATTTGGCATTGATTTCCCCATTTTTCGGCTTCTTCTGGCGCTCATTCTCACTAGAGTCCCTGTTCACAACTTCTGTGAATTGATTCTAGGAGAATTGAACCTGCTCTACAAACTGAGACTATTGGTTGAATGACTAGATGGAGTATTCATCCCTTTCCTGGCGCTCGAAGATTTCTAGCGCTCATTTTGGGACTTCAGATGCTCATTATCGGTCGAAAATCTAGTCTGATTCCGGTGATCTTGGTATCAAAATGATCGCCGCGACCTGGGGATTCTAAATCTGCATCATAATTGGAGTTTTACAAGGGCGATCATGGGGTCCATTTTTCTACCATTACACCTAATAATTACTCTCGACGGGCTGTTATCAGGAGATAGGCCGAGATCCTGGCCCGGCGCGGGCGAAACATTTTAATCGTCGGGTGGCCCCTTATCATCACATCGCACCCCGTCGGGTCGCACTGATTATAACCTGCCGAGCTCCAAATTATACAGAACGCGGCGAAAGCAAAAATGAACATCAGATTATATAGTTTCTCCCCTATCTCGATTTTATCCGCCATGGAGTTTTTCTCGAATTTCAGTCATTGATTAGAAAATGCTAACTGTACTCAACCTCGTTTTGGCATTTAGCGACTTGGGTGAAAATAATCAAAACAAGGCACTCGAAACCATTTGATAAATTTGCTATGTTGGTTGTTAGAGGATTAAAATGAGTTGATTGGAAATGCAAAATTAGAAGTGATAGAAAGTAGCAAGCTATATTCGGTGGCGAGGAAGGGAGATCGATCTTCTCCTGATGAGGTGCGGAGGAGATGATCCACTGTCGACGAGATGATCCTCAGCTGCCTTTCTACTTTTGTCAAACCAGATTCGCGGATAATTTCGCGCAATTGTTATATATTAATCACTCATTAATTCAAGTCATTAATCAGAGAATCAATACGCCTGCTATTCAACCAGAAAAGAGTAATTGCAGCGTTGCTCACTCATTTGAACTAACACTTTTCTTTTCAACAGAGAGGACCGAGCAGTGCGCAAATAAAAATGAATACTTTGAATTGAATGAATCTTGAGATATTCGTTTAGAAAGTAAAGGAGCATCAACTCTCGCCCGAGTGTTCCGCGTGCGGCCAAGTCTTCAAATCGAAGCTGGAACAAGTTCGACACGCTATGGACAGCAACCACCCACTGAAACTGCCCCAAACTAAAGGTATGAACTGCTTGAACCTGGCTATTTTAAATGGCTACTCGGAAACGAAAGATTCTAGTGGAGATTTCTCCGAGAAGCTCTGCTTTGTTTTCTCTATTTTCCTGTGGTTCTGTTATAAAACGCATGTATATAAGTGTAAATCCCGTAACTAACAGTAATTAGATGGAGACGCTCCGAACTTTCAAAATGGAGCAAGCGACGAGCATCCCTGCCCACTTTGCCTGGTAAGTCGTTCTATCACTTCGCTCGGGTTTGTGTTTACTGTTGGCGCTTGAGCGGAAGAGGCTCACCCCGGATTTTCCCGCATTTTTGTGAGGAAGACAACAATTAGCCATGTTGGCGGTTGTTGTTATTGTGAATCAATTGAGGCAATTTGGATGTGCGCGGATTGCGCTAATTTAGTCGGGCGCGGGCGATTGCGTGGCTTAGTACTTGATCCTGTAGAAAGTGGATCTGGTTAATTTTATTCGCATTTCGTGGGGCAGGTTTCGAGTATCCCGCCTGTCTGAATTAAAATTTGATCGCTTTGGATAATTTCATTATGTGTGAAATTCGATCGATTAATAATTAATGATGATTAAGTGATGTACCCAAAAAGTCAGCCGGGGCGGCATTTGTGGCTCCGTCCGACACCCGCAAGTTGATCCATTAAACTCATCCCGTTAATGGACGCCTAATTACAACTGACTGACATCACCTCCGCCAAATAGCCAGCGAATTAATGCCTTCTTGTTCAGGAGGCGATCTCGGAGAAGAAACTCGAGCTCCACCTGCGCCACACTCACCAGGTCTGCCCAGAAGTCGCTCAGCGTCTCGTCTTCCAACAGTCCAATCAGTTCAACCCTTACTGCGCTCCCAAGATGGCGGCGCAACCCTTCAACGGCCTACTCAACAAACTTGTGCAGCGAGCCTCAACAACAACTTTCGACAACGAGCTCCAACGCCAACTGCACCAAATGGCCCCAACTCCACCCGCACAGCCACCATCGGTTCAACAACTCATCCAGCAGCTCAACGCCAAAGCCACTCCTCCGCCCGTTGCAAATCAACTACAAATGGACTGGGCACAGCGTTTATCGGCGAGCGCCGGAGCTGCGATGAATCCTATCCTTGCCCAGCTCATTCTAAACCAGTTTCAATCCGCCAGCGACACAAGTCAGAATGAGCAGAAAGTAAAGAAGGAAGAGGAAAATGAGGCGTCGCGCAAATCCTCTATCGACAACAACCAGGATACGGCGGAGTTTTCGGATGAAGAGAATCAAAATCCGCTTCAGATCGTCGAAATGGAAAATGAAGAGACAAAGAAGTCGGAGAACAACTCTGAGTCTAGGAGCAATAATTCCGCAGCAAACTCAGAGAACGGAAATTCCACAAAAGAGGAGGGGAATCGACGAATGCGCACTTTGATCTCTCCCGAGCAAGCGGAGATCCTCTACCAGGAGTATTTGAAGGTAACTCTAGCGTCTTAAGCCGACAGTAATGAAGCATCATCGAATAATTGCCCGGGCTATTAGTCAACGTAGCGTTTGCTATTTCTCTTCTCCCTTCGCGAAAATGACCTAATTGCAGCTTATTTGGTTCCAAAAGGTTCAGCCTGCAAGGTGCTACCGAAACAGTTCTAATTGCTGAGCCTTTGAAACAAGTGTATAATTTACCGCAAATTAACTCATGGCAGCATCGGTTTACGGCGTGCCGACCATAATTATCCATTTTCGCACCCGGCAAGGGCAAAAATCACCAATTAATCATCCTCAGCCGTGCCCTTCCGCGAACGCTTGTGATGGGCAACCGCCTAAACGTTCCGAGCTAACTTTTCAATTTGTATTCTAGGACAATTGCCCTCCTCGCCATCGTTTGGAAGATATCGCGCAAAGCACCGGTCTTAAACGACGAGTGGTTCAGGTCTGGTTCCAAAACACACGTGCTAGAGAACGAAAGGGACAGTATCGCTCAGTCTCACACTTCGCCAGCGCCAAGAAACAGGGCGTCAATCCCATAAGCAGTAACTCGCTACTCAGCTTGGCTGGAATGAGCGCTAGAAGTCAACAGAACGAAAAAGATCTTGATCGTAAGTGTCCGCTGATGGCGCTGTTTTATCCCAGCCAATCAGAAATTAGTACTTATCTAAAAATTTATTCAAGTATCTGAATCTGGCTCTAAGAGCTATCCTGCTTCACCTGAAGGATTTGGCCTTTCCTCGCTCGACGATGACTCTGCACTGCCTACAATGCTGAAGCTCTCGCAAAAGAAAACCTTCGCCAACAACAACTACGTGAAAACACCCAGTCCGGGCAGCCAAGCGACAGGAAGACTGAGTGCGGATGGATCAGAATCAGGCCAGAAACGTTCTCGAACTCAGCTTTCCCAAGGCCAGGTGATGGCAATGCAGAGCACCTTCGAAATGTACAGAAGCCCTAGTTTGGCCGAATGCGAAATTCTTGGCAATGGAATTGGCCTTGCTAGACGCGTTGTACAGGTATTTACAGTAAAATTTAGCTGAAGAAAAAATCAAAGCGGCTAATCGAATAAGTAACTGCGGGGGTGTTTTTAGTTGCGGATGAACGTAATCAAGTCTTGCTAATTAGTTTATATGAAATATCGTATTAGGCTTAGCTTGGGAACGGTGGGAGAGTTTTGTGTTGTGCGCTGAGCACTGAAACATTGATGTTTTGCAAGCTAATCTCGTTAGATGCCTCTACAGACTTAGATTTTGGCAGCGCTTGAATTTAATGAATACCTGTGAGTCGGGCATTGTCGGATCGGAACTTTGTATTTCCCCCGTCCGCTAGAACTCGCAGCTGCTCTGGCTGAGTGCATAAGTTACCCCTTGCGCACTGTTTAATTAATGCTGGGGCTTTGCCGTGAGTGCGCGCAAACCCTATCATTAACTCATTTAAAGGTTTTTACGATTAAATACGCTGCTTCCAAATATTCGTAAAGAGAATTCGTCGCGGTAAAGGAATTGTGGTGATTTGTGCATTAGACTTAATCTCGCAAGATTACCGCCGCCGGTTAAACGGCGCCCGCTAGCAACTGATGCATCAAGGGTGCACGCTCTAGAATACCTTTTTTCTCGCATATGGTGACACTTTTGTTTTATGGCATGGCATAATTATAATTATAATAAAGCAAGAAATCTATGTTCAGAGATTGTTTCTTTATGCATTTTTGTTCTGAGCAAATAGCTTAGGAAAGATAATTGAGCTTGTCTAGAGATAGTATCTTGAATTACACGAATGAGTTACTGTAACTAACAGACCTTTCGTATGTGACGTTTAATGTTTCTAGCAAAGATTTGACATATGAAAATTTGCGCAATGAGAAGAAAATATTCTGGGCCACCCTAGGACCGCGCAACACTCTCCTCTCAATTCAGTGCGACCACACGGTGATTAATGGACGCAGCGAGGGATTACCGGGACCAGTTAAACCCCAATCACCGACAAAAATTACTAGTAAAATACGTCTTCGGGAAAAGCTACCGCTAAACCCTTAATTTTGGCCGCAATGGTGCGTGCGCTAGGAGCTCGATATAAGTCGCCTAGTTAGCCTAATGAGTTGCATGCCCAGCGCCGGCCGGGCAGACTATATCGGCAGTAAGACCCCATAATTCCGCCGTTAAATTATAGTCATTTCTGGAATTATAATTATATATTCGATATTCATCAAATGAGCCGCGCGTGGTTGATTGAGCCTCCCATCGCAGTACTCACATTAGACTCTTACTCATCACCATGTTTCAGGTTTGGTTCCAGAATCACCGCGCAAAGGAGCGCCGAAACCGTGCCGCCAGAGGAGAAACTCCGGAACCACCTTCTCCGGAGCCGCCGAAGGTGTGCTCTATTTGCAACGTTCCAATTGAAGGCCATACGGTATGATACAATATAAAAAAAAAGTATATATACAATTTTTCAAGGAGCTCCGTGAACATCTTTTCTCCGCTGCTCACATCAACCAGCTAAAGATCACGCAGGGAATCACAAACAACCCAAGTCCCCCTTCTTCCGTCACCGTGGATGGCGGACTGGAAAGTAATAATTTGTTGGGCAATATACTCGGAGGACAGAACAGCCAGGCAATGGCAAACTTCACGATATTCGCCAATATCCAGCGCATCATGGCGTCGCATGGGCTCGCCGCAACTGGCGTTAACCCTGCCCCGCTCGTCAACCCACTAACAAGCGAGCTCCCCTCTTCTGCCACAGTTTGCGAAGTGAACGAATCGGAGAACTGATAATAATACGACCCTCTCGCAATTCCCAAGTTCAAAAATCATTGTGACTTTGACAGACAGACAATCAGCTATTTATTCATTCATTTTATTTTCAACTCACGAACATGCACTGTACTGTAAATACGCAAGAATTATAAAGTCCTCATTCACCTCTATTATCTTATTATACATAGGCTTACCGCGGCTAGAAGCTATTTTCCAGGTTCTTTTGAATAATCTCACCAAACTACGAATACATATACTTCAAGACACGCTTGGAAAAGTTGATCAATTAGATTTTTCAAAATGGATCTTCTTGTTGCTTTTTTTGACAGATTTTTGTGGAGAAAATTGGCACTCATATCAGTTGAAGCCAATTTTGAGCACCTGCTAGTTTGATTTTGATAATTTTGTGCATACCAAGTGAAAGTTGAGGTCAGCCTGAATCGATAGAGTCAAAAATTTTATGCCAACTTAGTTTTTCACACTTTCCCAGGGCTCCAAAGTTGACCAAGACTGTCAGATCTGAAATTTCAGAAATATCAAATTCTGATATAGGGGTGCTATGATGACGTTCTATAGCTTAAATGAAAGCTTATGATTCACTTGATTCAGTGAGGCGGTATTTTTCAACCAGCCGGTCATTCTCGCGGTTCATCGCGGTTCACTTCGATTTTTGCATTTTTTCACGTTGTAACCAAATTTTAACTAATAAAAACTCGGCCAGTTAATGGCCACTTATAGTCACCTTTGGTCTAGTTCGGCCGGAGGACCCCGGAGGACCTCCCTGCTGGAAGACCATGACGATTTTCAATAAGGATTTCTGAGTGACTTCTGACCCTCCTTTTTATGAGCTAATTGAAAAGAGCGTAAAAGTTATCCCAGATTTCCCAGGAAAAGGATGAAATTCCGAAGAAATAGCTTCATGACACGTGACTGAAGTCCCAAAAGTACCAAAACTTTCCCGCCCGGGCATTTTCGACTCGTCTGAGATACAAGAGCTTGTAATAGCTCAAAATGATCGTCTTGGCGAGCTCTTGGTGGGCATCATATTTTCATCCCTCTTCAACCCTTTTTCATCCCTTTATCTATTGCTCGAAAAAAGAAATTTAAAAAATGCGTTGAAAAGGGATGAAAACTTAATGCCCACCAAGAGCTCGCAGAGACGATTATTTTGAGCTATTACAAGCCTTATCAGCTCAGACGAGTCGAAAATGCTCGAGCGGGAAAGTTTGAGTTTTTGGGACTTCAGTCACGTGCCATCGCATCATTCTTTCGAAAATTTCATCCTTTTCCTGGGAAATCTGGGATAACTTTTACGCTCTTTTCAATGAGCTAATAAAAGGGAGGTCAGGATTTCACTCAGAAATCCTTATTGAAAATCGTCCATCCGCTGGAAGACCAATATTAAAATATTCAATATATGGCCGCGCTCGGCCAGTAAATGGCCACCTATGGCCAACAGTGGTCTAGTTCGGCCGGAGGAACCCCGGAGGACTTCCCAGGTGGAAGACTATCAGCTAAAAGACCAAAATTATATAATCCTATGGAATGCCTTGCTGGGCTAAGAATTGAAACTTTAGGCAAACTTTGGTCACTTTTTGCCGGAGGACCCCCGGAGGACCCCTTTTGCCGGATGACAATCTACTAAAAGAGGTCCGTTTATTCTTTTAAATCAGAGTCAGGGCGAAGCCGACCCGAAGGGGAAGCAACGCCCGTTTATTATTTTAAATCAGAAGCAGGGCGAAGCCGACCCGAAGGTGAGGCCACGCCCGATTATTCTTTTCAATCAGAGTCAGGGCGAAGCCGACCCGAAGGGGAGGCCACGCCCGTTTATTCTTTTAAATCAGAGTCAGGGCGAAGCCGACCCGAAGGGGATGCCACGTCCGTTTATTCTTTTAAATCAGAGTCAGGGCGAAGCCGACCCGAAGGGGAAGCAACGCCCGTTTATTATTTAAAATCAGAAGCAGGGCGAAGCCGACCCGAAGGGGAGGCCACGCCCGTTTATACTTTTCAATCAGAGTCAGGGCGAAGCCGACCCGAAGGGAGGCCACGCCCGTTTATACTTTCAATCAGAGTCAGGGCGAAGCCGACCTGAAGGAGGCCACGCCCGATTATTCTTTTCAATCAGAGTCGGGGCGAAGCCGACCCGAAGGGAGGCCACGCCCGATTATTCTTTCAATCAGAGTAAGGGCGAAGCCGACCCGAAAGGGAGGCAACGCCCATTAATTATTTTAAATCAGAAGCAGGTCGAAGCCGACCCGAAGGGGAGGCCACGCCCGATTATTCTTTTCAATCAGAGTCAGGACAAAGCCGACCCAAAGGGGAAGCCACGCCCGATTTTTTTTTTCAATCAGAGTCAGGGCGCCTCTGATTTAAAAGAATAAACGGACGTGGCATCCCCTTCGGGTCGGCTTCGCCCTGACTCTGATTTAAAAGAATAAACGGGCGTGGCCTCCTTCGGGTCGGCTTCGCCCTGACTCTGATTGAAAAGAATAATCGGGCGTGGCCTCCCTTCGGGTCGGCTTCGCCCTGACTCTGATTGAAAGAATAATCGGGCGTGGCCTCCTTCGGGTCGGCTTCGCCCTGACTCTGATTGAAAAGAATAATCGGGCGTGGCCTCACCTTCGGGTCGGCTTCGCCCTGCTTCTGATTTAAAATAATAAACGGGCGTTGCTTCCCTTCGGGTCGGCTTCGCCCTGACTCTGATTTAAAAGAATAAACGGACCTCTTTTAGTAGATTGTCATCCGGCAAAAGGGGTCCTCCGGGGGTCCTCCGGCAAAAAGTGACCAAAGTTTGCCTAAAGTTTCAATTCTTAGCCCAGCAAGGCATTCCATAGGATTATATAATTTTGGTCTTTTAGCTGATAGTCTTCCACCTGGGAGGTCCTCCGGGGTTCCTCCGGCCGAACTAGACCACTGTTGGCCATAGGTGGCCATTTACTGGCCGAGCGCGGCCATATATTGAATATTTTAATATTGGTCTTCCAGCGGATGGTCTTCCAGCAGGGAGGTCCTCCGGGGTCCTCCGGGCGAACTAGACCAAAGGTGACTATAAGTGGCCATTAACTGGCCGAGTTTTTATTAGTTAAAATTTGGTTACAACGTGAAAAAATGCAAAAATCGAAGTGAACCACGATGAACCGCGAGAATGACCGGCTGGTTGAAAAAATACCGCCTCACTGAATCAAGTGAATCATAAGCTTTCATTTAAGCTATAGAACGTCATCATAGCACCCCTATATCAGAAGTTGATATTTCTGAAATTTCAGATCTGACAGTCTTGGTCAACTTTGGAGCCCTGGGAAAGTGTGAAAAACGAAGTTGGCATAAAATTTTTTTGGCTCTATCGATTCAGGCTGACCTCAACTTTCACTTGGTATGCACAAAATTATCAAAATCAAACTAGCAGGTGCTCAAAATTGGCTTCAACTGATATGAGTGCCAATTTTCTCCACAAAAATCTGTCAAAAAAAGCAACAAGAAGATCCATTTTGAAAAATCTAATTGATCAACTTTTCCAAGCGTGTCTTGAAGTATATGTATTCGTAGTTTGGTGAGATTTTTCAAGAGAACTTGGAAAATAGAAAATGCCGCGGTAAGCCTAATTATACAACATTGTGATCCCACTTCATCCATTTCACTCATTGTTATTATTAGTAAAATCGATCTCTGCCATTGTAACTTTCACAATTTTCAATTTTCCGAAGAAAACAATCAATGCACCAATTACGATAATACATATCACAAATCACTAAGATGTCTTTATTTCTCAGAATCTCCTATTAGCAAGACAATCTGGCCGCTTCGTTTCCGCGTTTCATCTTCTTTGTAGAGATGTGCGATTGAGGCATCTTTTATATTGAACTTAGTCTCGATCTTGGGGACTATCTTGTTTCTTGCTAGAAATCCAGCTGCCTTAAATTCATTAAATAGATATCTTATAAATCATAATCGCATTGCCTCGTATAAGTCGTTTACTTTTGCATTCGCTAGGTTGATTCCAGAAAGATACACTTCTTTGGCCAAAAATGGCCTAAGATAGAGCTGTACTTTTTGCTCGTGAGGGCCAAGGAGAATGACCCGTCCACCTGGATTCATCATAGCCAGGTCTGTTTGAAGATTTTCCGGTTTGGACTCGACTAAGAGGTCGATCCCTCCAATTCGCGATTTAACCATTTTGACTAGCTCTTCATTCGTGTTATCGGCATGGTTAAACACTTGCAAGCAACCACATTCTTTAGCAGCTTTTTGACCATTGAATGAACCTGCAGTGCCATATACGCGCAGGTTGAGAGCCCTTCCGATTTGGGAGAGCGCATTTCCGACTGCCCCGCTTGCTCCCTTGACGAGAAGCGAACCACGAGGAGGAAGACGCGAGATCTTTGCGAGAATTCGATGCGCTACAAAGTAAGGAAGGCCGTAGCAGGCTCCCTCGGCGAATGATACGCTATCTTACGCTGAAGTTAAATAATTGCCGTCAAACTCTTTTACCTGGAAGGGCATGAACACTTCCATTCAAAACAGAAGCAACGCAGTACTTAGCGTAAGTCCCTGTTTTCGTCGAAATGACAGTATAAACTCGATCCCCCAAATCAAACTCCGTCACTGAATAATTGCCAATTACTGACTAAAATTAAACCTCACCTTGGCGTCCTTTTTGTACAATTATTCCCGCCGCATCACTTCCTGAAAATAATTATTTTCCAAAAATGATTTTAATTGTCCTTGCCTAAGATAAACGGCTTCTGGAGCTTACGCCCTTGCGAAAAATAGCCCGAGCGTAGAAGCACATCAAAGTGATTGACAGAAGTAGCGCGTATTTTGATCAATACGTCAGTGGCCATCAAACGGAAGTCTAGCTCGTCCAAGCCGGACCACTGCATCGAGCTTGCTGGGCCGTAGTCTTTCAATAAAATGCCTTTAAACTTCTCTGACTTGAGACGCATGCCATCTCTTATCACGAATCCAGTTCTGTCCATTTTCTCTGAAATTCCGGACTCTTCTCCTGGGGAGGGTTGAAATTCCTCGCCATGGCGCTTGAATATGTATGCTAATTACGCATTGTTTCTTTCAACACGGTTTTCAATAAGCTGACCTTTCGAATGACTTCTCTAATCCTCCTTTTGCTTCGAGCCGATTTCCTTTGGGAAAGCGATAAATAAGAGACGAAATGAAAAAACAGTATCGTGGACTCTATTTTCTTCATTATTCCTAGCACTTGTGGAAAGCAGAAGAGGGTAAGGATCAATTCTAGCAACTGGCCTTCGAAGTAAGCTTTCAGATCGTCTGGAAAAGGAGGAGGCGGAAATAATGCCAACAATGGACTTGTTTCAGGTGGTGAATACGGAACGGTTTTAGAGAATTATTTTTGCCGATGATATCAAGGAAGACTCATTTTCTAAAACGACTAAAAAGTATCTAAAATTGATTACGCCTCTGCTGGCTTTGCACATAAAACAAACTATCAGGACAAAGATGCAATTATTGAGGGGTTTTTCATGGCCGTAGGTATGAGTTGATAATTTCACATGTTGAGAAATAATGAGAAATAAGCTGTGGCCACGGGAATTTACTTGCTTGTTTACGCAGTCGTGCGAATCCTGCATTCCGTTCAAGCTATCGAGTTTGGAAGAGGAGGAACAGGTTTTTTCTCTCAGCTTTTCTCGTTTTATAGTTTTCGTAGCAAGAGAGGTTCTGGACCGTGATGCTGTTTCAAAAGAAGAACACTTGGAACTCTTGCGCAAACTGTGGCCAAACGGGGAAAAGAAAAATCTTTTCTTCAGGTCTTGGTCACACGGCGTAGACTATGATTCGTTTATTTACGACTGAGATGTATTATAACTGTAAATAAAGAACTCTATCCGGCTTTGAATAGGAGCACTGCAAAAGTGTTAATGTAGAAATAAAGAAAGTGCTTGGACTCGTGCGTCACGTAAGAGCCGAAATTACGCCCAACGATACAATGCCATGTAGGGCTAAAATATGATTCAAAGTATGGGAGTCAAACTCACCCATATTTTTTGTCGGCTTCTTTCTTTATCGACGCAGCAATATCCTTCTCCAGCGAGAATCGGTCAACCGCTTTATTTTGGGCTATTTTAATAACTTACTGAAGCTGCTTTTCAAATATGTTCGACCCTTTTCCTTTTATCGCACAGTCGATGAGGAAAATCTGTTCTGCCGTTGCCATATCCGCGTTTTTGATGGTCGTCTTAGAGATATTATAAAAACGCAATGAATAGTAACTTCTCTCACCTTGCCGCCGTTCTTCTGAAATCTATCTTTGATTTCCGCCAGTGTTTCCGGCTCTGGATTGGCCTTAATGTTTTATGTTAAATAAGGACCTTATCTCTTTTCATACTTTTGACATTTGGAAAAATTCGATGAACTAAAAATAATGTGAATGAAGAGGAAACCAAACGCCGCGCCACACGCATTGGTGTTTGTAGTTGCTTACCGGAAGTGCTCTGTAACGTAGTTTTTAGACAAAGCACATCAGCATATTTACCGAATTATAGCCTAAGATCTATAGGCTCTATGACATATAGTCTATATATGATAAAGACTATATGATATAATCGCATAATCGCAAGACCGAGCTTTTGTGCTCGCCTCTGCGGCATTTCCATTTTTTTTAGAGGCGCGCTGCCACTGACCCAGCGCTTTGCTTTCCAGAAACCTCTTCGTCGAGTTTTTCGAGCCGCTCGGTTTTGCCTCCGACATTTTTTCTCTGGAGTGATTGGTTGGTACTCTCCACGTGCTTCTCCTTGACAATTTAAGGCCCATACCAGCGTTCATTTCTTCACTTGGCAATTCGTAAAAGTCAAAACCAGAGCTCAGCAAGAGACCGGCAACTACGGAGATGGAAAACATCGACCTTATCAACTACCGGCTAAAACGGCACAATGAAGAGCGACGACAAGAGTATCAAATGCTCACGAAAGCTGTCGAGGATCAGCAAAAGAAAACTGCTGCGAAGAAAGATGATCTCAAGGATTCTTTCCAGGAGAGCAAGGAGAAGAATGAAATCGCCGAGGCTAAACGTAAGTAATCTTAGTCCATCAAAAAGGCTGTGAAATACTGAATTTAGAGCAAGAACATGCGATCTTGATTTGCAACGAGCTCCAATCGCAGCAAGTAAAGCAAGAAGGGATCGTAAACGAGCTGGGTCGAATTCAAGACTTTTCGAAAAAAGTTGAGGAAATCAACGACGACCTAATCAAGTAAGAATTTAGCAAGGAAGAAGATGAATCGTGTGTTCAAAAAATTATTAAGAGAAGACGCCATGTTGGAAAAAGCGTTGGAAACTTGCAAAACGACGAAATCGGTCCATGATGCGATTTGCAAGGAAGTCGATGAGCTTCAAGCCGCGTGGGAAGCGAAGAATGAGAAGATCGAGCAGTTCCTTGAGCAGAGTAAGTCACGGAGTTAATCAATTGAAACAATTTTTCAAAATTAATATTGAAAATAACTTCTTTTTTTAGAGCTGGAAGATGTGCCAACTTATGAAGACCCAAACTTCGAGGCAAAGGCGATCGAGCAGGAGCGCATCTTTCAAGAAGAAATGAAGAAGTACCAACAACCAGTTGGAGACGAGGAAAAACTTGTTCGATACGAGGACTTCGCGAAAAACCTTGAAGAACAAATCGCTAAGGAAATCCATGTTCGGGAAGTCGAAGCGAAGGCTCATGGCGAGTGGATGCAGAAGAAGGATGTAGAGAAAAATGGTGAGATTTCAAATATGATATTTAATAAAAAATTCGCATTTTAGGACTGATTAAAAAGTCGAAAGCCTTCTGCGAAGAGAACGAACAGAAATACACTACTGCGATGGCTGAGTGTGCCAAGCTCGACTCCTCTTCTTCCACTGGAGCTGGCACACGCGATCGACTGCAAAAGAAATTCAAGGAACTTGGTGATCAACGAGTCGGCAGAGAGGTAGCCTGTGGAGAAAAGAAGGCCGAACTCGAGAAAGGCAAGAAAAGGGTCGCTTTCATGAAGCAAATGAATGAAGATAAAACCGGGAAGGTGCGCGAGCTCAAGGAGGGTGCGACAGACTTGAAAAGAAAAGTTGAACGAGCGGGTAAATTGAACATGCTCAAACGAGAAGACCTCGAGCCGGTAGCCAATGCGATTCAAAGAAAGAGGATGACCATCGACTCTGTCATGAATGATCCAATCTTCGCGGTAATTTTCATCAGTTCCTTTATATTTTTAACCAAGCAAATTAGGAAATCAAGGATTTGGAAGCGAAGTTTGCGGCAATTCAGGTTGAAAAAGAGGGATTTCTTGCAAAAATCGAGCAGGCCAAAAAGCAAAAAGAAGAGAAGCAAGCTCAAATCGGCGAACTTACTAAGAAGGATGACGAGAAGCAAGCAAAATTCAACGAGCTTGCTGCTGAAAATGCCTCAATCAAGGTACCGTTTTCATGCGTCCTGTCGATGAGTGTTGGCGACTCTTAATCCACTTTTAGCTTTTGCTCGAGGCTGAAAACGAGAGACTTCAAGAGTTTGAAGAAAAAAAGGAAGGATTCAAGGAAAAACTGGCGAAGGGAGCCACGGCAAGAGAAGAGCTTCTCGAACGAAAAGCAAAAGAGCAAAAAGTCCTCGAGAGTATTTTGGAAAAAGTCCTCGATCATGGACGAAAGGAGGCGATCATGAAACAGCGCCTCGCAAAAACTCAAGAAGGTTAGCATTCTCCCGTAAATAAGAGATCTAAAAATGACTCAAATATAGAGCTGGAAAAGAAAGAAGCCGATCTTGTGGAGCTAAAGGAGCAACTTCGCAAAAAAGAGGAGGAGAAGAATTCAACAGCTGCACCTAATCATCAGACCCTTGTTTCTCTCCCAGTGCAAGAAAAAGAGTCCGAACAGGCTATCATGTCTGCTCCAACGCCCGTTCTTTCGCATATATCTCCACCTGTGTTACCAGAGCAGGAAACAAATCTTCTTAGCGAAGAAGAGGCTGCTCCTTCTGCACAATCGAGCATCGACACGACCATTGAACTAATGGCATCTCCCCCGGCTCAAAAAGAAATGGCGAGTGGAAAGGCTCAGAAGGCGATTATTCTCAAGCCAAGACATCAGCGGAATCGACGTTCGCCCCAGGAGCGAAAACTCAACTCTCAGCCCATTTTGTCCGAAGACGATGAAGTCATTAAGCTTTATGATGAAGCAGAGCTCGCTCGAACAACTTCCCTCATGAAACGTAAAGAGATATTATTCGTTTAAAATATTTTATTCTCAAAACTTTTTAGCTGCGCGAGCACCTGATAATCAGTCGCAAATGTCAGAGGAAAGTTACGCGACTCCTATCGGCCAGCATCCTCCAACCAACTTGTGGGAGCTCAACAGAAAGAAGTCGACGCCGAAGGAGGCTGAAAACATGTCAAGCCCGCCGTCAGTCCTCTTTGTTGGCGAAGAAGCAGCAGCGCCAACCGAAACCGAATCTATTGGCGACGACTCTCTGCTTGGATTCCTAACCACGTACGTAACAAATTGAACGCTTGAAACTCATTACAATCATCTTCTCTAGACCAAAAATTCCACCGGTAGCTGTTGTCAAGCCGAAAACACAGAAGCCGATTCTCGGGTTAGTTTTTTTGCTTCATATTCGGGATTTATATTATTTCGTAGAGGTTCCCGAAAGAGCCAATCACGCCAATCCTTCCGAGAACCGAAGAAAGCTCGAAATGCAAGCTCCCAGGAGTCCAACGCTTCTTCCTTGTCGCCTCTCTCTCGAGGCCTACGAAACCACGAATCTCCTCCCCGCATCCAGATCAAGGAGAATCATAAATACGTGCAGACGCCAAAAACTGACCGAGCGAGATCGGTTTCGTCGAAGATAGGACCAAAAACTCCAACGAAATCGCCGAAGCCAATCTTGAAGACGCCAAAATCGGCGCCTTCCGCCTCTAGGAAATGTTCGAAATTTGCTGTTCTTTTGACAATCGTTAATGCCTAGGAAATTGTTTTTCGAATATGAAAAAGGCGAAGAGTTAGTTTTTCGAATACCAAGACTCCGAAGAGTACTCCAAAGAAGGCACCGAAGACGCCTAAGAAAATCGGCAACTTCGATGTCAATCCAAGCGACATTGAGGACTTTTTTTAAACTGCCCCTTCTGAACACTGTCTCTTGTAAATAGTAAAATTAACAGTGCTACCATCACAATTGCCTTCTTTTTAAACATAAAAAAATGGGTAACTATTTGATACCGCATTAAACGGCGCAAAGCAATGTTTGCAGCATGGAACAGGTTTTTCTCTTAATGGAGATCTTGTTCCTAAATGCAACAAGACGGACAGCTGCGTCGGGAAACACAACACCCACGTCTTGACATTCCACTGATAAGGCAAAACTATATAAAAGACGTTTATTTGCATGAATTCCTGGCCCTATCACGAAAGACAAAATAATTGTTTTTGGATTAGCGAGTGATGCGTTCTCAGGCCTACAAACAGTGAGCCTCAAAAATCAGCTCTGCTGAGTTAATGTTTACTGCTTGGGTAGCCAAGAGTTTAATCATATATAGCTATGGACAGCGGAAGATAGCATCTGTTTGTAATCTCAGGGTCGGAGTGACCCCGGGCGGCTCGCTGAAGCGCAAACTCTTCCTTCCTTTGTAAACTAAGTTTAGTTAGTAGCACCTTTGGAAGTGAGAGAGACCCGTGCAGCAGTTTGTTGTTGACCTCATTGATTTGGCGATAGCGAGCGCGGAAGAGATCGCTGCCTCTTTACTCGCCCCTGGTCCTTTATAAAGAGAGCTCGAATCGTCCGTCGAAATCAACTCCAACTCCAACCAACGGCGGATCCGTCCGATCGAGCGAAGACGCACGCGCAATACAAATTTCTTCCACCAAAACAACAACGCCAAGCATAGGCATCCATCAGCACAAAGAAACAAAGAGAAACAGAGAAAAGCACACGAGAAAGAAAGCAACATGAAGAGCTTTTTAATCGCCGAAATTCTAGGGCTCGACGAAGAAATGCCTACGATACCTAAGCTCATTCCGAAGCTAGAATTCAAAGAAAATAAAACAGGAGCGGATTTTTTTATATGCTTCTTTCAAAAATATGTTATTGATTTTCATATGGAAATAATTTTAAAGTAAAGGTGTAGGTTTAAATCTCATCAATTAGAAACAATGATTCTAATTATCCATTTACTGTTGTGGCTCTGGAATATTCCATCTTGCGTTAGAAAATAGGCGGGATAGTGCGAAATCGAAAGATAAAATCAACAGTAATAAAATTAATCCCGCGATAAGAGGAGTACGAGTGTAAAGTGTGCTCCAAGAGATTTGCGCAAGAGCATCAGTTGGAGTACCACGCGCGCGTGCACGAACGAGTCAAGCAATGCACCCACTGTGGCGAGTGTTTCAGGTCCAAGTCCAAGTTTCGCCAGCATCTGCGGGAGGTGCACTCCAAACGGGTCGACTGCTCTGTCTGCGATAAGAGGTACCATCTTTTCTCAGTCAAAAAATCTAAGTCAAGAAAATAAGGTTCCGAGATAAGACAGCGCTGGAGAAACACTTTGCCCGACAACATCCAGGTAGCAACGAAAACATGCCCAAATCGTCGACAGCATCGCCGTCTCAGCTCTCACCGTTTTCTTCAAAAATCACGAACCCAATGTCGAGTCAGAGTCTATCAAATATCAAATTCAAGGATGAGATGCTGAAGCGGTACGCCCAGTCCATCAGCAAGTGACCTCGCGAATAAAGAAAATGTCATCTCGTGAAATTTTACTTTCTTTGCGTATAATAAGGTGCAACAGACAAAATAAAAGTTCATGATTTGAAAAAGAAGTGCTTATTTATCACCGCAGGGGAGAAAAGACGGGCTGGGGGATTACGTTGAAATCGTACCCACCCGCGGCTTTTCTTACCGGTTCAGTTTGGTGAAAAAAACAGAGCAGAAAATATTTGCTAAAAAGGATGGGTCGATTCGTTCCAATTGGCTTCGCATTACTTCTAGGCGCTTTGATTTATTTTGCGCTGCAAAAAAACGAGGGCAAGAATGAGAATATACTAAAGCAAGAGAGAAGAAAAGAAAACGCGAAAAAGAGGGAGCATGTTCGTGTCGCGAAGCAGAATATGACGGAAGCCGAGATGCAAATAAATGGAAGTCCGCCCGAGTACTTGATGGTATTTCATTATCTATCCAGGTAAAAGACAACGACATACTCCATCGATTGCAATACTCTCTAGCTTGGAGTTCAAACAAGAAAGCGATCTAAAGTCAACAAGGACAAAAATAAAAGATTACTATACAGATATGGACATGCTAACTGGGTTCGAGTTCCACATGGTAACTCCCTATCCAGAGTTTGAATCCTCTGAAGCTGAATGCGAGGGAAGAAATTGCTACGAGGAGAGAGTGATGATTAAGTCACTAGGAAAAGAGATCGCACTCAAAGTGAACAGAATGAATCCGAAAAAGGATGGTCTCGATAAAGAGACCTAGACTCTTTGACTTCAATTTAGAGACCTACAAAGCTTGATAAGGCAGTTATTGTCGTACTTGATGGAAGTTATGTGCTGACGCAAGAGACCATCACTAGTCGTTTGATGACGATGCCGAAGGGCTTTCTATGGTGCCTCACTCAGATGACGACGTCGGGCAGAGAAAATGTTGGAGGACACTGCCGCGACAACCGCTTCTCGATTCAGGGTTCAAACGTAATTGACTACATTTCAAAAGTGCCCGATGCTGGAAAGATTCTTAGCCCTTCTGAGGAATTCACAGGGAGGATGAGAATCGCGTCGCAAACAAAGATCAGCTGGCGCAGAGAAAAGCTCTTTCTAACTCCTGTTAAAAGTCTCTAACAACTGCTGCGATAATAAAACTCGACAGAGAAATTTTTGGGATAAAGTCACACAAACTTCGAATTCTTTGGTATCCTTGAGATAGATTTATTTTGTACACGGCGTTAAATAAGTCAAATAGTCTAGTTTTGCGGCAGCAGGTCGTTGAGGCCTTCTGCTCGTGCGTTCCTCGGTATTCTTTCCTCAACTGTTAAATTTTCGAATTTGGGGATAAGTCGAATTCGCCTAAAGTTTCAATAAATCAAGATAATTGATTTTTATTTCACCTAAAGAATGAAGAAAGTCGACTCTCATCGTCTTTTAACTCTTTGTTGTCTTCATTGTAGGATGGAATGTCAATGTCAGACAAGTGCCATCGATTCATCCACATCGTGCCAAGCCAGCCAATGTCAACCATTGCTAAAATTACGCTGAAAGAGAAAAACGAAAAGTAGAGAGTCTCTACTAGAGACTTACATCTAAATTTATCTGAGAACGAGAGCTGCATTTCATCACAAGTTGCCAGGGGATTCCAGTTTCTTTCAGAATATTTGTCCATATAGAATAATGTGAAAAAGAAAAAGTTCATTTCTTTTATTTGACCACGACCAAGAGCCTCAGAATTGCACTTGACAAAATTATGTGCTGAACTGTTCATTGAGGATTCTGAGATCGGCGACGCTTTTGCAGCAAGTCGCCGGAAATCGCAGCGGTAGTCTTCTAACACCGGCCGCGTCCAGTAGGAGGCAACTGCAAGGAAGAAGCTCGCCCAGGACAAAGTCGCCCAAAAAGGATTTGTTCTTGCATATTTTTTCAGATCCTTGCCAACTTCGTAGTAGTCTAAGAGAACTTTAGAAGATAAATCATAACATGACGAACCTAGCACGAGATTTCTTGCCGGAGTATAAACAAACTTGATTGTGGGTCGCTTCACGAATCGATAATAAAAGCGAACGCGAAAAGGATGTTTTTGAAGTTTTCTATATTCTCGGCTGGCTTTATATTAAGTCGATATCTGCTCGATTTTAGTAAGGTCTGTCTCCGAGCGATTGCCCAGATATTTGGCTCACCAGCCATTTCAAAATCTAAACGCGTGGAATTATCTTCTGAATTAAAATACAGAAAGGTACATAAATTGGAAAAGATGACTTTGAAGGAACTTTGTAAGGTTTCAGCAAAAATGGCTCAATAGTAAAGCAATATTTGTAAGCAAGGAAACACTTGAAAATCGCAGAATGCATCTGAAGTCTCCAGAGTCTGGAGGAGCAAATTGTAGGTTAACAAGCACAACTGGGGGGAACTACCACACACTGCTGTTAGAGAGCTGCCTAATCTGAGATAACAGGACTATCAAAGCTTAAAAGCTAAGATCAACGAAGACTACCCAAAATAATTTTTGCCTAATTCCTACTTCCATTCACTTTTCTCTAGGCATCTATTTAACATCAGAGTATGTAAAGTTTATTTTAGGAGAAAGAAAAGTTCTGTTACATGCTGAACTGAAATGCATTTTTTAGTTTTTGACTATTTTTGTCACTAGGGTACACACTTACAAAAGGAGTTTTGTTGCACAGACAAAGTTTTACATTATAAAATAGTGTCTCAAATTTGTTGCATAATGTTTGCGCATGCTGTTGATACTAATCTAAGGGAGAAACTAATTTTCATTATTTTACTAGATGCTATTAGTAATAGCCTATTACTTCGATGCTATGACTCATAAGTTATGAGAAGATGGACTAACCAAAATAATGACGTGATATACATGTACAGTTTTTTTCCTCTTTTGTGGACCCCAAGTTTGTGGACATTTTCTTGATTTTAAGGGGTTTACGTGGGACACTATTGCAAAGATAATGTTCCACTTTTGTGGACATTTTTCCTGATAAGAAAATTTTAGAGGCAATAATAGCATATTTTTTTTCAAAAATCAAGGGTTATTTTTGAGAAATGAAGGGCTAAAGCTGTTAAATTTGTCGAAAAAACATAAACATAAGCAAGAGAAAGGCGTTTCAAGAATGAAATTTGTCATTTTTCTATAAAAACTTATGTTTGAAAAAATTTTAATACACTACGGCGGGACATTTTTTTGGGAACCCTTGCCCACTTTTGTGGACATTTTTCCGAATATTTGGGACAAAGAGTGTCCACAAAAGAGGAAAAGAACTGTATATGACTGAATTTGAAAATAGCCCAGCAACGATATCATTTGCTATAAGTAGGTCTGATACAAACGGTGGATCGTTTGCTTGTCAACTTAATCTGCTAACTAACCCTATGATATTCGACGATGAAATATTTATTTGTACAGTCAAAAGCAGTCATACATGAATGTGCATTAAAGATCGAAAAAATTAACAGTTGAAAAAATGTTCAGTTTAATTTATGAATTACAAAATAAGGATTTTCATCCTCTCCCAAGGCCAAGACAGTAGAATGCGCGCAAAAATGATACAACACAAATGAAACATTATCTTATTTTATTAGGAATAAACTGGAACTGACGTAGTTTTTTCTTCTTGTTCCTGGAATGCTGGTGGCGACAATGTGAAGGGTTGAAGGGTTTTTGTCTCCTGAGACGTGTGTGAAGATGAACTGCAGATAATACACTTTGGATTGGACAAAGAGTGGAAGGAAAGGCGGAGGTGGATGATCAGGAAGCGGCAATTGCCTCTTCAAGCGAGGCGAACACTTGACGTCCACCCCTTCGTGATCTTGTTCGGTTGTCTCCTCCTCCGTCGGTAGGAACTCCACTGCGGCGAGCCCGTCGTCGCTTCTGAAAACATATATTTAGTTAATGGGCTACCCTAAAGATCTGTAAAGTTGCTAAATGGTTTTTCATGCAGCATGCCATTGTGTCCTTAAGAGCTCGTGTGTTTGTCTTTAATGTCTTAAATGTTACCATCTTGGCTTGCGTCTTCGGCGTTTGTCGCCCCTCAGCTATAATTCGCATGTTACGACCTCGCTACTGCTAACTGTGTTCATAGAATGCGTTAGAGAATGAATGAAGAAATCGCACTTTAACGATCTTGCTCTTCCCCACTTTTCGCTGGAAGAGCGAAAACATCTGACGATTCCTCTGGTAAGCCCTCGCAAAAAAGAATCTCTTTTGCGTAAAATGTCTTGAGTGAAATGAATGCTGATGAAGAAATCTTTCGGTATCAATTACAACCGGCACTTTATACGTGTGGCCTGAAAATGAATGCTGTTTATACAATTTCGTAGGGATATTTAAAAAATATCCCGCAGAAAGGTTATGCTGTAGCGACGTAAGACCCTGAATCAATCACATTCGAGCCTGGATACTTGAACTGATCAATCAAATTCGCAAAATGACGGCGATAAAATTCACGAGGAACTTTATCCGGAACGGGCGTGTTACCTTATTCCCCTCGCCGGACTGAAGAGCCTTGAGCATATCATCGATGACATTTTCAGATTCATCGTCGATGATCTGTGTTTTTGACGCAGAGCTTTGAAGTTTTTGCTTCTTCTTTATTTTGGCCTAGATAAGAGCGTTAAATGAATTCATAAATGGAAGTAACGGAATGAATAAAAATCAGTTTTATATTTACCTGCTCCGCTGCGACTTTAGCCATTTCTCGTCGTGATTTCTTCTCTTCCTCCTCTTTCCTCATTTGATTCTCGCGAACGGCAGCCGCGTAATCCTCCCGGAATTGATTCATCATCGAGAAGAATGCTAAATTAATACTATAAAATTTCCACTAAAAACATATGTTTACCTTCAATAGGTGTTTTCTTGGTGTTAAAACATAGGTAATCTGCTAATGACTCGTACTCTTGATCAAGAGTCGCTTTCAGATCAAGGCACAATTTGTGTTGTTCCGTGGCAGTGATCAGGAATTCATTCATCGTCTCATCAAATTGATCGTCTTGGTCCTTGTTCAACAGCTTACTGACTTGCTCGACATTCTTCTCCAAGTTCTTCACCTCTTTCGTCAGGTTGTTGATGCTCTTGTTGAGATCGTCTTGAGCAACGCGGCGCGCTCGATCAGCTGCATGCAGGTCTTTATCGAAGCCTCGTATTTCTTCGTATTTGGGGTCGGTTTCGATAAGCTGGGCAATAAAATGCAGCATCGTCATTGAGTTATCGGCGGTTTTAGAATCGCGAAGTTTTGGCAAGTATTCTATATCAAAACCAAAACTCTGCTGGTTTCGTCCACCAGCATTCATGACGTTTCCAATGAACAGAACCAATTCAAGGAACAGCCTGAAAGGCTTCGACTTTGAAATCTTTCTCGACGCTTCTGTTACGCTGACGATATCTGGTTTGATGTTTCGGTCAACGATCTCTTCGAATTCACGCTGGAATTTTATCGTTTCCAGACGCATGTGAACTCTGTGCATGTCGGAAACGACGACGCAGAATTTTTCCGCTTCGACTAACTCGTTGTATTCGTCTTTGAGCTCTTTAAACATAGAAATCTGCTCAGCATCCGGCAACTGATTGAGTAAACCGACAACGAATGATGTTTCTAGTTCTGGAGAGCATTGAAGGATCTGTTTGCGTACGGTCTGGTATGGAACCTTGACTCGGCCAAGGAAAATTGACAAGTTCTGGGCCTTCTTTGCGTCAAGAATCTTATTCTCCTTTTGTCGTTTCTTTTCAACAGCCGGTCCGTCTGATCTTGTGTTTTTAGGAGCCTTAGTAGCAAAGACGGAGGCGATTTCAGACATGAGGGATTCATTCGCGAATTTTTGTTCATTCGCCTTTGTCCAGATTGAGCCCTCCTTCAACTTAACGGGTTCTATTTTTTGCCAATTAAGTCGTTTAGTCTGGGCGGACTCGTATTTTTTCTTCATTGTAAGACCAAAAGGAAGAGGCCGAGCCCCACCGATCATGCCGCCTGGTGGAGGAGGCAGGCCACCCATTCCAGGAGGACCTGGTGGTCCAGGGGGACCGCGCATACCGGGAGGTGGAGGAGGGGGAGGACCACCAGGGCCAACCATTCCAGGAGGTGGCGGCGGAGGTGGTGGACCACCAGGGCCAGTCATTCCAGGAGGTGGAGGCGGAGGGGGTGGACCACCTGGACCAGCCATTCCCGGAGGTGGGGGCGGAGGGGGTGGACCACCAGTGCCAGCCATTCCAGGAGGTGGAGGAGGAGGAGGCGGCCCACCCATTCCAGGGGGTGGGGGTGGAGGTGGAGGACCGCCGGGAACGGCCATACCAGGAGGAGGCGGAGGGGAGGAGGCCCTCCCATTCCAGGGGGTGCTGGAGGACCAGGTGGAGCGGGGCCAACAATTGTTTTCGCCGCTTTCAAGGCGACAATTTCTTTTTGCAAATTTGATATTTCAACATTTTTCTCGACTCTTTCTTTCTCTAGTTCTGCGGATAGCTCTTCATTGTTCACTCTTAGACTTTGTAAATCAGCATCGTTGACCAGCTCGGTGAGAAGGCCATCGACATTCACAGGCAATTTATTTGAGCTCTTTTGAACACGGAAGTCTGGATCGGTGCCGTTGGGCGTAATGACAAGCTGCGCGACGCAGTCCTCGATCAGACGATAGTGCTGTGATTTGGTGACAGGGTCATCGCGAACGAATAGTAAGTGCTGTAGAATAGAGACAAAGTACTGCTCGGCTTCGGTGCCTTTCGTCGAATGATAAAGATATTTGAAAAGTTCGGACGAGAGTTTGAGATCTTCTCGGATTGCGCTGAACGATGGCTAGATTTATGCGTAGTTGGTAAGACTTACCTAAGTCTATCATGAAGCTCCTGCTGATCGTCTTCTCGCTCTTTTATATAATCGTCGCACTGTCGTATAAGCAGATCTTGCTTGTCGTCGACCGCTTCGGATCGTATCCTGCTGATAAGCGTATCTTTCAGCCCGTTGCGGATAAACTCATTTCTCAGGGATATTCTCACGTCGATGTCGCCGTCCGATTCCTCGTCGTTATCATTTTTGTTTTTTAAAATTTCATTGATCAAAATAAGCACGTACTGCCTCGTAAATATCTGGTTTTGTCGTTGAGTAACGGAATCAGCCTGGAATCAGACATAAGAAACTAGAATTCATTTGAAAGAACTTGCCTCATGATCTTCAGGAATTTTGAGACGCAAAATATTGACTAGATTTTTGAATCGTGATTTCGGAAAGCCATTTTCGTCGGTAAACTCTTCCGCATTTTCTGTCAGCGCACGGATGATGTGACTCTGCCCGTCGGCATCAATGGCGACGACTGCCAGTAGCTTCGACGATTGATGAATCACAGAAAGTGGTATGTCAGGATTGAGCGTCAGGCATAGTGCCTTGATAGCGCGGAACTCCTTCACGAGCCGCTTGTAACCGAAGCCAACGTTTCCAATTTTGCAAATACTGCGAGAATCAAAGGGATATGAAAGCAAGAGAGAGATAATGACTCACCTTAGAACAAGGTTTTTTATGTTAAATTCCACTCTTCTCAGTTCTGCGTCAAGCCGCGTCGCGTCCTGTGTCATCCCAAACATGTCGATCGAGTATCTCAGTTTCCTCTTCGTTTCGAGATACTCAACTGTTTGTGCTCTCATAATTTCGACGAGGGTAGACAGTCCATCTGTTTTCTGGCCAGCATCGTCTCCACCGCGGTCCACAGGACTGCAGAACTCTTTCAACCAGTTGACCGTATTTGAGCTCGCTCCGACCTAAAAATGATAGAAAAGTCCCTCGCGGTCAGAAAAAACTACCTTTACGGCCTCAAGAGTAGCCCTCAATTCGCTCTTTTTCATCGTTTTCCACGAAAGAAGATCTTGCGAGTGATTCCTCGAGTCGCTTGCAAGCGCTTTGTTCGAATTAAACATCCACATGACGACCCTAGAAATGGAATGAAAACAACTCGGTTTCAGATTACAACTTACATTTGCTCTTTTATTGGTCTTATATTTTTTCGAATTGGACCTCTCGATGCTTCTTTGATGTCCGTATCGTTCATCATTTTCTCAAGTAACTCATCGAGCTAAAGGTATTTTTGTCAGAATTTTTCACAAATCAAGGAAGAGAAAGGATTTGAAAAAAATCAAGGAAGAGACTGTGACAACAAGATTTTCAAGAAATTACCTTTTTATCTGATATCGCTTGGCAAAACGCTTTTGTCTGGTCCATGGTCATGTTTCCACCAAAGCCGCTATCTACTCCCGATTTGGTCGATCTCATTTTGTGTTTCTCTGGCTTCTCTCCGGATATGTAACTAAACAAGTGTTATGTTTCATACACTCTTTTCCGATAGCGATTGTCACTGTACCTAGTTATCCTAGAGAGGCCTCTATCTTTGTCTTTATGTTTATCCATTTCCGACTACAGTTCTCTTTTCATTTCTTAATCATTTTTATGAGCATATGAAATTTCTTTTTTAAAATTGAAAAATTTCCGCGCTGATCAAAGAAAAACGCGCTTGGCCGTTTGTTTGTCAACGGTTGTGTCTCTCTCTCTCTTTTATCCCGGACGCGAATCGCGAAATCACACATTTCGAAAAAAAATGTTCAGCAGGCCAAAAAAGCAAATTGAATCATCTCAAAAGTAGTAAAACGGCTACATGATTTATTTCTCATGACGTGGTCAGGTTAATTTTTCACTAGCTAGGCTCCTTTCACGAAACTTTTGCTTATCAGACGGAAATTTAATTAACGACCGCCGTTTTATCTGGCTATAGATCGGGCTTTCCTATGAAAACTCATGCTAGATATCTACTTGATGGGCAACGTTAATGTCAAAATGGACCAGGGGAAACAATAACTCATATTCATCATTTCAGTTAAAAGGTTATTCACGTCATAAAAATGCTCATCGATTTAAGCAAGTCAATGCCCTATAAAATACACCAACTCGAATAGGATGATTTATACCTTTTTGTAGTTGCACTTCTTCCGATAAAACGCGTTCTAGCCATGATATTTTTTAAAGAAAAATGTCTCTTTCAAAAAAATACGCAAATTTGAATAATAGCCAAGAATAGGCAAATCAGCCGGCGAAAAAGTAAAACGGTCGGATGAGAATCTACCCAGTGTGGCGGAAATTTCGACCCAGTTTCATTTGACCCTTGTTATTGTGAGATTTTTGAGATCGTAGATAAGGATCGAAAACGAATTTTTAATAGGTTTTGAAGTTCATTGTTGAATATGGTTTTTTTTTGAATGGAGGAACAATTGGATGACGCTCACAAACTCAAGACTCAAGAATCGGATAGGGCATCATAAGTTTTAGTATTTATTACTTACGATGAAAGATAATTGCTCGAAAATGCTTGAACTCCTGAAGATTAGTCGTAATTTTAGCTTTTCAAGTGGGTATTTAGCACGGATAAAGAAAAAAATGAAGAACACCAGCAGCTACTTAATTTTGCTTTCTGAGAGTTGAGCCTGTGAGCACCATAGCTTTATTTCGGATTGAGAAAATAAGGAGAAATAAGTTCAAAATTAATGCTAGGTAAAGATTTTGCGAGATAAAAAGAAATTCGAAGGGCACAGTCGGGAATACAGCCTAAGGCTATAAAATAAATACACACGCATTGAAAAAATCTGGTTTGCGAACTGGCAAACTACAGGAAGTACAGTTAAAAATCAACGTCAATTGTGTCAGTGTCAGTGACAATCGGGAGTAGTCTGGATCATGTTGCCAGAGAGGATGATCCGCTTCCAAGCGAACAAGTAAAAACCGAGGCCAGCCGAAAACACAACAGTAAGACACAAGTATAGATTGAACGTCATAAAAACAAGCATCAGACAAAGGCTGATAAACTGCTGCAGCACATAAGAAACGCTGAGAAGAATGTGGGTTGATGATTTAAGTCCGTGGCGGTAGCTTGGGGCCAGCTGTCTAGTGACGAGGGGTGTACGCGAGCCAGGTCGCTCTGGCTCGCCACTGTCAGATTGACTCTCGTCTTGGACAGCTTCGTACTTGTTGTGGAAGGAACAGATGAGCTCTGAACAAAAATTTAACCAACAAAAACGAACCCTGTTCCAGTTTAACTCGTCAATAAATCAAAGGACATCTTTTATTGTCTTACATCGTTGAGGACTGAGCAGAGTTCGAAATTTTTGCGGCTCCCGGGCAAGGGGGCGGCGGGCGGGCGGGCACGGGCAGAATATTTAAGATTCCCGGGGGCAAAAACGGTCACGGGCACAAAAACGAATTTTCCCGCGAGCCAAGCGGGCACGGGCACTATAACAAATTTTCCCGCGGGCAGATACGGGCACGGGCATGAATGAGAAGATTCCCGCGGGCATAAACGGGCACGGGCGATTTGCCCGCGTTCCCGCACGAAATATTCCCGAGGGCAGCCCGGGGGAACATTTTTTTCTACTGCTAAATCTCAAGCCTATTTTTCAAAATAAGAAAATAAAATAAAAACGACCCTGAATCAATTCGGATTTTTAAATCGCAAGTTTTAGGAGCTAGTTGAAACTACGACCGAATGGTCTCCGTTTGGGGAAACGGCGACTTGGGCAAACGGCGATGTGAATTAATTTAAATTGATTAATCATATAACTTTTATTGTCTTCTTCACAGTCAATCCTGGCTTCACTTATTTCAATCCCGGCTTCAAAAACTTCGATCCTAGCTTTTCAGACGTCAATCTTGGTGGCTCAAACTTGAGTCCTGGCATCTCCAGCGTCAATCCCGGCTTCTTCAATGCTGATCCGTTATCAATGTTGATCACTTACTTCAATCCAAGCTTCTCAAACGTCACTCCCGGCTTCTCAATTGTCAATCATCGCTTCTTGAATGTCGATCATGGCTTCTTCAAGATAAAAATGGCGTTGAAAAAGCCGAGATGGAGATGGATGAAGCCGGAATCGACGTTGGAGAAGTCGGGATCGACGATGGAGAAATCGGGATTGACGTCGAAGAAAGAAAATGAGAGAGAGACAATGGAGAAGCCATATTTGAACTCGGTGAAGCGAGAATTGGCGATGGAGAAGCCATAATTGATATGGAAGATGATATTGGAGAAAACATGATTGATGTTGGTGAAGCCAGGATTGGCGTTGAAGAAGCCAGGATTGACATTAAAAAAGCCAAATAATGTCTAATGATTTGATAATGTCTAATGAACTTTTTTCAGATCGCCGTTTCTCCAAGTTGGGCAAACGGCGATTTGGGCCAACGGAGAGGGGATATTAAATGAAGATTTGTAAAATGCACTAAAATCCATGAAAATTTGTCAAGCTTCTCACGTCTATTTGTGATGTCGTAGAGATATCATGATGGTATGTACTGATAGAGTAGAGTCTCTTCTATCTAAAAAATCAAAAATTTTCAAAAATTTATCAACCTGCGGTTCTAGAGAGCTTCAAAACATCATTTTCGCAGAAGAGGAGCCTCTTTTTGCTGGAAGACCAGATTTAGGTCCTCCGCTCCTTTTTCACATTTCTAGCTCATAGAACGCTTAGGTTCATACTTTTAAATGATGTTTTTAGTTTTTACGATAGTTTCAGATATACTCTATCAGAAAATTACATCATTACAGTCGTATGACGTCACACTTAGCCGCAAACGGCTTGACAAAATTTCCCAAATTTAAACTTTAACTCTCATTTTCTCAGCTTCTAGCGCCTTATTTTGAAATCGGGCTGGTTAGAAAAGTTCGATGTTGTCTTAAGAATTAATTGAAATATAAAATAATTTAAATTCACTAAAAATGTGATTTTTGAAAATTTTCATTTGAGATCCCCAGACCAGTCCGATTTCTGATCGAAACAATTCTGCATTTTGCAGAACTATTCTGCATGCACAATGTGCATTGTACATCGTCCATGAGTTTATTTTTGCATATAGACGTGCTTTTTTAAGGTTAACGAAGTTTTCCAGCCCACTTCCGCCTTATAGACCCCCGAACACCATACTTTTTTAGAATCAGCAGAAAATTTCAAAAACTTTGGCGGTTTAAAATTCTAGAGAATTCTAGTCTCTGTCGATTCTAGAGCCGGAAGTTGACGAAATTTAGTTAAAATGGTAGAGTGTGACCTATCAAATTGATGCTAAGAAGATTTCGAGTCATCCTTAAATCAATATTTCAGAAGAAACAGTCCCAAACCTGGTCAAACCGACCGTTAAAATTATGTAAAAAAGGCATAAAGTGATGAATTTTTTTTCACTTTTTTCCGGTTTATATTACCGCGGTTGGTCTTGATTCTTGGTCTAAAATGATATGAAATCGTCTAAGCATCAATTTGATAGGTCACACTTCACCATAACACCTAAATTACGTCAACTTCCGGCTCTAGAACCGACCGGAAGTGGAGTTTTCTAGAATTTTGAACCGTTAAAGTTCTTAAAATTTTCTGTTGATTTGTAAAGGTATAATTAGGTGTAATGGTAGAAAAATCAACCCCACGATCACCTCTTCTAAACTTCTTTTTTGATGCAGAATAAGAATCTTTAGGTCGCGGCGATCATTTTGATACCAAATTCATCGAAATCCGACTTGGTTTTCGACATAAAAGTACCATTTGAAGTTCGAAAATGAGCACTAGAAATTTTCTAGCGCCCGGAAAAGGATGATTACTCCAGCCTATCAGCACGTGCCTCATTCCAGATTGTAAAGCAGGTTATATTCTATCAGAATCTATTCTCAGAAGTTGTGAACAGGGACTCTAGCGAGAACCAGCGCCCGAAGAAGCTCGAAAAATGAAGCAAAATTGAAGTGAAAATTTCACTGAAATCGTTTGTCTGAGTTCACGGCAGCCATTTTTGGCCTTGATTTTACCCGATTTTTTGAGCTTCTTCGGGCGCTGGTTCTCACTAGAGTCCCTGTTCACAACTTCTGAGAATAGATTCTGATAGAATAGAACCTGCTCTACAATCTGGAATTAGGCACGTGCTGATAGGCTGGAGTAATCATCCTTTTCCGGGCGCTAGAAAATTTCTAGTGCTCATTTTTGAACTTCTAATGGTATCTTTATGCCGAAAACCAAGTTGGATTTCGGTGAATTTGGTATCATAATGATCGCCTCGACCTCAAGATTCTGCATCAAAAAATAAGTTTAGAAAAGGCGATCATGGGGTCGATTTTTCTACCATTACACCTAGGTATAATGTTAGGGGGTCTATAAGGCGGAAATGGGCTGGAAAACTTCGTTAACCTTAAAAAAGCACGTCATAACAGTTCTGTATGCAGATTAGTTTTCAATATACTCCCTCAAGTATTTGGTGTCTATTTCCACGCTATTTAAATAGTTTAAACACTTTTTCATAAGGTGCATTGAATCTGCCCGTGCCCGTTTAAGCTCGCGGGAATCTTGCCCGTGCCCGAATTTGCCCGCGGGAATATTTTTTATTGTGCCCGTGCCCGCTTGTCCCGCGGGAAAATTCGTTTTTTTGCCCGTGACCCCTTTTGCCCTCGGGAATCTTCACTTTCTTGCCCGTGCCCGTATCTTCCCCCGGGCAAACGCGGGATTTCGAACTCTGGGACTGAGTTGCGCCAGCGACATTCTAGGCGTGAAACTTACTTGTTACGAGATTGTCCCTCCAAACACGAAGCCACTCGTGGAACAACGTAACGAGGAAGAGCACCAAGCAACTGAGGATCATCTCTTTAGGGGAATTGACAACCCAGGCTTTGAAGATCATCTGAACGTCTTCTACTCCAAAGTAAAAATACATCTTCATCATTTCGTCGTGGCTCATCATCATCATATTACTAAAAAATCAATAAAAACTTCAATAGCTGCATTTCCCATAGGAACTAAGTAGGAGTGAAGAAAATTGACACATTATGGTTGATATATCGACTCTCTATCTATCTCTATGTCTAATTTTGATTTGAAAAAGTGCCATTGTCAGACAAAATGCAGAAAAACAGCGAAGTAAATATAAACAGAAAGTAGTCCAACTTATAGTGAGAATATTTTCTGTCTCTAAAACTCAAGTGTTATTCTATTGAGATGTAGATAGATAGACTCTAGCGGCGTTTACTTGTGTTGTGAGTGGTCCATATTCCCGTGGTTCATGTTCGAGTGGTCCATGTTTGAATGATCCATGTTTGAATGATCCATATTGGAGTGGTCCATATTCACAAATTTCTCTTTCAAAAATAACTCTCGCGATCGACTTCAAACTAAATTGAATTGGGTCAGAACAAAAGTGTCCCTTTTACGGACTAGTTTTTATTATTGTCGTAAGTGAGGTTTGCGCACAATGCGAAAACAATTAATAAGATGATCGGGCCGTGAGCTGGGCGCGAGCTCAATTGACGTAAAAAGTAGACGAAGAGCAGAGAAAATCCGGAAGAAAGTTGATCTGTAGGCCTTGCTAATGATAAATGGAGAAAACAGACAATATCTTAATGGACTAGAAAGCTAGGGAGAAAACTTAAAATGCTGATAAATAAACCTAAAAACGGAAAAGGTAAAAACGAAAAAGAATTAGTCGAAATACAGAAACAAAAAAGAACAAGATAAATCTAGTAAAAAAGCTTTGCTTTCATAATTGGTGAAGATAAAGAAAATTATTTCTAAGCATTGCCAAAAAATTTAAAAAAAATAGAAACACTTCTGGCAGGTACAGTAAAGCAAAAGTAATATAAAATTTGTAATTGTTAAAAGCTGCGGCAAAAGAAGAATAAACTAGCTGATTTTCGATGAAATCTCTGCTCTGACAAATAAAGCAATAGTTATAGAGTAAATCGGAAAGTTAATTTTACAAGGGAGCGCCACAGACTCGGCAAAAACCACAGTGGTGGGTAATATTACTAATTGGAACAGTTGAGGTGTATAACAGCTTTTGATTGAGGATTGATTCGAAGCTAAGTTCGAAAAAACGAGCTCTATGTTGGCTGAATTAAGTGGAAAACGCCAGGCGAATCGCAAAACAATTATTCATCAGTAGTGAGCCAGGATAACGATTCAAAAAGATAGGTGGCTAGAAAGGTTCTGAGATGTGCGTTTTGATTCGACAAGGCTGACAGATTATGGGCTTCTCAAAGAAGGATGAGTTAATGGGAAACAGACTAATTATAAAGCTAAAAGTGGGTCTAGTTAAATTTACAAGTGTTTGAAGATTGTTGAGCGAAGTGGCTTTCGATCGTTCAGCAAGAGGATACGGCATTCCTCCTCCAAAAACGGTCGGAGTAATTTAGCTCTAGTAAGGATTAGACCTGTTCATCCCCTTGTTCTGTCGAGCGGGACCGCCACCAGCGAAATGACCGTACGAGGAGCCAAAGCTGGGCCCACCATAAGCTATAAATTCCGGTAAGTCGCTATCTCGCATTTGTTAATCAGATAACCGTAGCGAGCAGATTCTCTCAAAGAAATTGAAATCAAGGAAGACAACTTTCTTTATTCCTCTTTTTCATAAATAAACCTTGATAGACTTGGATGCGTGGGGTCAAGAATTTCTGGTTAGTATATTTTTTTTTGATTTTCCATTTCGAATTTGTTCCGTTTTCGTTTTCACGTGCGATCAAACAAACGAAAACTTGTCTCTTTCTAAATATCGTGGCGATATTTCAATGACGCTTATTTCAGAGCTTGTGTGGGTTTTATACATTGTGCAAGTTACGAATTTTGAGTTGTTACAGTGCAAGTTACAGCCACTGTGGGCTCCTCACGCTGTGCAAGTGTGGGTGGAGTTTGCGATGATGCTCGATCCAGTTAGTAAATTTAGAATCTAAGTTTAGGTATCTCTTCCACGGAAACTTACAGTCGTATCTATAGTTGTTTTGGTAATGAAAGTTTCGCTGCTGCTTGTACTGGTAGTTGTCTACCGCCGATTTGCACTCTACTTGTTTATCGTCGATCGTGTGCCACTTTTCTTTGACGCATTTGGCTGAAAGAGGAATTATTCTCTCTGTTTTCGGTCGCGGAGATAGAATGTTGTGAATTGAACTCACCCGCTAGATCTTCATCTTTCAGCGTCATGAAGGCGAATGGCCTGAACTCCAAATTTGCGCTGTGGTTATTAATCTCTAGCCGTTACCTGGGCATTTCGGAGTGTTTGTCGATTCCACGCTCAAAGGAAACGATTTCACCGTATAAGTCCGTGAAAAAAGTTTTGATTGTTTCGTCGTCGGTTTCGGGCTTCAAGCCGCCAACAAAGATCTTAGAGTTTTTCGATGCGCCCTTGGGATCAATGCGCTTTCCATCTTACCGGTGGTAACAAATTTCGCCAGCTATTTCCACTTTCTCGTTGTTTTACAAGGGACCGGGGTCTAACCAGAGCATCGTTACTTACAAAACTGGCCTTGAAAATCAAAAACTCGAAAAAAGTAAGAGAAAACGCCCTAAGAGGAAAACAATGAAAGAGATTTTCATTAGACCCCATGGCTTCGGAAGTATTTCTTTTCTTTTCGGCCCTGTCACGTGGTTATACTGTGGCTAGTGGGAAATTTGTGACCTTAACTAGATTATGGGCCTCCTGAGCCTTAACTTTCTCCACTGAGGCAGCATCCTAGAGAGCAAATGTCATCTCAAGAGATCGAAGAGGGTCAATTACCTTGAATAGGATGAAACCAAAGCCCCGAGAGCAACCAGTGTAGACATCCGTTTTGATGTCAACATCTTCAAGTTCCCCGAACTGCTCGAAATATTCCCATAAGTTGGCCGTCGTCGTCTCGTGCGCCAGTCCCCCGACGAACATTTTTCGATCCGAGGAGCCCATGTGCTTTTTGAGTATTTGACCGTGTTTTTCATCGCTCTTCAACTGGAGACGATTCGCGTCGTCTTGTGGCAAGCCTGCGCCGGTACTTCCGGCTGGAGGGACACTGCCTCCGCCGTAGCCACCGTAGCCAGCATTAGGATCATAACCGCCGTAGTTTCCTTAAAATTCTTTTCAATCTCTCTTGTACTAGTCGCCTTCAAAAAAATCATGAATGCTTGTATGAGCAGCAATTCTTACGCCAGGCAATAAAATCATAAAACACTCATTAAAGTGTCGATTCTCTTCATTTTTTTGTAAAAACGGCATAATTTAGGATAGCGGTTGTACTGAGCGAATCGAACTGGCGTGGTAGACAAAGATAACGGACACAAAATGAGGGATTGGCATAATCTATCAAAAGTGGAGTCTCTTATCTTACCTGACGCGCCTTGCTCCGAATAGCCGCCGGACGCATCGAAACCGTTAAATCCATAGCAGTAATCGTAGGGGTTCTGTGCCATGCTGAAGTAGAACTTTTCACTCAAACTGATTTTGGATCAACTCCGAATGCTTTTTAGTTTAATGAACGAAGTAAATTAATCTTGATGGCACTAGAACGAAAAAATGAACAAAAATAAGGAACTGTAATGAAATGCATGTTGAACGATTCGAAATGAAGACAAACTTTTTGATAGGATTCTTTTTTTCGATTCATTGAAGATTTACAGTAGTTTTTTGATTGGAAGATGTTTTTAACGAACTGAATGTCAGAAGCTCAGAAACTCGGTGAGAGTCACTGAGTGAATTAATCTGTCGGCGGGTGGATAAATTATTATTGGATCTTTCGGACGGCTTCGTCGACGCACTGAGCGAAGTAGTCGATATTTTTGGAGTTGAGGCCGGCCATCTGAAACAAACGAATCAATACATTTTCAAGTCAAAGCGTAGATAATCAATTTTCGAGAGGATGTGCTACTTACACTTATACGACCATTAGACATAAGATAACACGATCGTTCATTCTTCAGGAAGTTGCACTGGTCGGGATTCAATCCGGTAAAGGAGAACATGCCAATTTGATCGGTGATGTGATTCCATTGGCCGGGAGTGCCTAATTTCTCGAGGCGGCCTCTGAGCTCGTTTCTCATCAGATCAATTCGATCGGACATTTGTTTGATGTTCTGTCGCCATTCGGAAGCAAGATCGGGGGTGTTCAACACATTGGCGACGATCCTAGCGCCGTGAGCGGGTGGATTCGAGTAGTTAGCTCTTAGATAAAAACATGTCAGCCATTATCATTCAGCGGTGAATACCTGACAATAAGCTCCTGTTGCGATCGAACGTTATCGAGAATCTGTGAAGTCTGAGTAATGGTGACCAAGTTACCGCATCTTTCGTTGTAGAGGCCGAAGTTCTTGGCAAAAGATTGACAAATCATCATCTCGAAGCCAGCATCGGCAAAAGATCGGAGCGCGGCTGCGTCCTTGTCTGGGTCGCCAGATGCGAAGCCCTGGTAAGCGGTGTCGAAGATGGGAAAGTGGTTCTTGGCGCGGACGACCTCGGCGAGTTGGTTCCACTGCTCAGCAGAGGGATCAGCACCAGTGGGATTGTGCGCGCACGAATGGAAGAGAATGATCGAGCGGTCGGGCGCGGACTGGAGATCAGAAACGAACTTCGAAATATCGGCGGCTTTGATATCTCCGGACCAGTACGAGTATGGGGCTAGATTCTTAAAACCGGCTCGTTTGAAAATGTCCAAGTGGTTGCCCCAGGTTGGGTTCGAGTAGAGCACGGTAGTTTCGGCAGGAAAGGTCTGGAAGAGGAAGTCTGCGGCGAGGCGAAGAGCTCCAGTGCCAGAAAGAGTCTGCACTCCAGCGGCGCGACCCTCGGAGATCGTCTTGCTGTCTCCAAGGGCGAGTTTAGTAGCGGCCTCGCAGAATTCCGGAAGACCCTAAAAATTCTCTCTATTGACAAGCAAAGAAACGTTAATGGTACCTTAATGGGTAGATATTCGTGATTTAGTGAAGAGTCAGAAGCAATCTGCTTCTCGACCTTGCTAACAACAGGGAGGACCCAGGGCTTGCCATCATCGTCTCTGTAGGCACCGACACCGAGGTTGATCTTTTGTGGGTTCTCGTCAGCGCGGAAGTCGGCGGAGAGCTTGAAGACGGCGACTGGTGGGGCCAACTGCACATTTCCGAAAAACGACATTTCAAAATTATCTCTGTTCTGTCTTCTCTTCGGGCTCCTTCTGAATTTGTGGGATAAATAGTAAAATAAACGGGCGAGAGTTTAAATATTGCCAAAAAATCGTGATGGTTATGCAACTGCTCTCTACGGAGAGGCGTGATTATTGACTCAGGTCAGTGCAATCTCTTTCTCAAGCATACACCCTTTTTATTCTAACTACCTTTTATAGCACAAACTAAAAGCAGATGACCTCATTCAGAAAAAATTATCATAAGTTCGGCAATCTAGAAATAACATGACCGCAAAGTCAAGGATTGCGACTGAACTAAAAATCCACTGTCTGGATTTCGTTCTTTTGCAAACAGACAAATATTGCATTATGAAATATACGGTATATTATATACCTCGTTCTTCTTCTCAATTTAAACATCGTGAAAAAAAACCTTGTTCTTGAAGAGTAATTTCCTGTCTTGAGTATGCATCGAAAAACGCGGTTCAATTTAAATAAATATATTTTCATGTATTTTTTGTTGTATAGTAGAAGCTACTTAATTGCACTTTTGTTGATATTTTCATACAGTTGTTTGTTTTTGCAAATGTAAAAGAAAAAGAGGAAACAGAAATATGTAAAAAAAAAGAAGGTTGGCAAGCGAAATTTCTTAGATGATAATGAAGTGACCGAGTTTAGTAAACTGGAAATTGTTAAATGCAAAAATCAGTCACAGTTTGAAGAGAGGTAAAGCTTGGATTAAATTAATTGACACTATTCGAAAATAGAAATGCTGCAGATTGCACGAAACTTGTTTTACTTTTTGCTACTTTGAATGGAAGGCGCGATTGAGCCTCTGGGGGCGGGCGGTTTCGCGCCGAACCAGCTCTTTTTGTATTCTAGCGTATCGCTCACTAGCTTTTTGTCGTCACTTGAGAAGGCCAGCGCCTGGCCGAGCGCCTTGAGAATGTGCTCCCTGTCATGGCTGGGCGCAGTGATGTACCGCAAGACGATATGCTTCAAATAGTCTAGATCGACCTCTGGGCCGTTGTTGCTCGCCTCTTCTATCACTCGTGCTTTTTCTATCTCAAGCTCGTTTTGCTTCTCAAGAACTTCTTTTTCCCTGTCCATTACTTTTTGCAGCTCTTTTTTCAACTCTTGCACCTGCTTTTGCGACATCTTCGCCGTTTTTTCAGAGTCTGCTTTTTGACTAGAGACGCTCTCAAGCGTCTTGTGGAGCTCTTCTTCTTTACTGCGAAGCCTGGACTGAAGCTCTTCCGCAATTTCCTGTTGCTTCAATGCTTCAGTTTCGAGATCGGCGATCTTTCCCAATCTTTCAGCGGCAAGTTCCTCGGCTGCGGCCACATTTTGTTCGATTTTAGCACATTTGGCCTCGAGCTCTGTAGATATGCCAATCAGTTTAGACCGCTCTTCCTCAGCTTTCTCCAGCAACGAGCCCTTTTGAGACTCTTTCTCTTCGCGTAAATCGCGAATTTGCTCCAGCAACGAAGTTTTCTCTTTCCCAAAGTCGGCTGACTTCTGATTTACTGATTCAAGCTCGCCACGTAGTTCTTTTAGCTCGCTGCTGATGCATTTGAGCTCGGCGGATTGACTCTCGGACAAGCTCTCAACTTGAGCGAGCTTTTTCTTCGTTGATTTCAGTTCGTCCTCGACGTTTTTCAAAGCACCAGTCGCGTCACTTTCCGACTTTTGCGCCACAACGAGTTTTTCCTCCATCTCCTTCACTTCATTTGCCGCCTTCTCGGAGCGATTCTCTGCGTTCCCAATGTTCTTTTGAATTGCATCGAGTCTACTGTTGAGTGTCGCGTTTTCTTCGCTCAAGGTAGTGTGCTCATTCAGAGCAGTTTCGAGCTTGATACCGACGATTGTATTTTGTTTTTCTAGTTCTTCAACCTTCGATTTTGTCGAAGAAAGCTCGTTCATCGTCTGCGCTTGAGATTCTTTGAGACTTGCGAGTTTCTCTTCGAGACGACTCTTTTCTGCAATCAGGCGAGTGTTCTCTTCAGACGAAGCAGCAAACGAGTTCTTGTTATCGGTGACGATCAACTCCAGTGATCTTACGAAAAGCAATAATTTGAAAGGAAGTTAATGAAAAAATACCTTTTCGCTTGATCTATCGACTCTATTTTGTTTGAAAGGGCGGTACACCTCTTTTCTTTTTCGTTCATCTCTGCTTGGAGTTTTTCGTTCTCGCCTTTGAACATTTCTATTTTCTGAAGAAAAGATGGGGGAACGAGCTTACGAGTTAAGCTTACAGTTTCAATCTCTCTTGATTTCTTCTCGAGATTTTTGTTTTCCTTTTCCAAATCTTTCACCTTCTTACTTTGCTCCGTTTCGCGCTTTTGACATTCGCCAAATTTCTTCTCGATTTCATCAAGACTTTCTTCAGCAGTTTGGTGCTTCGATGAGACGACGGATAGGCGCTGTTCGAGCTCCATTACTTTTACTTCTGCTAGCTTTTGGGAGTCATGTGCAGTTGAAAACTTTTCCTTCAAGTTTTGAGCAGCTTCATCGGAAGACGCGAGTTGTTTCGTCAAGTTTTCGATCGTACTTGCGTCAGCTTTGCATTTGTTCACGACTTTCTTTAACTTGTCATGCGCTAGAAAACGCATTTAACTTGAAAATATGCTGTCCATTTTACCTTGTTTGAGTGACTTGTCTTTTTCGTTGAACTTTTGCTCGCAGTTTTTCACTCTGTTGATATTCGTTTCTAAGTCTTCCTTGGTCTGATTGTGGATTCGAACTTCTTCGGCAAGTTTGCTCTCGGTTTTCTCAAACTTGTCTCGGAGCTCTTCAAGATCGCCGGACAACTAATGGAATCATAGGAATTGCATTTATGAAATCGAGTCTTACCGTCGTTGCTCGATCTTCGGCCTGTTCGATTCTCTCCATGAGACTTTTGCGTTCCGCCTCTCCCAGCGCCGAGTTCTCCGCGTTGATTGAAGTTGTTTCTTCCAAATCGGCAAGGCGGCCGTGTAGGTTTCTGAAAATCCGGTTAGTCTCCAAATCATGGCGAGATGACGTACTTGAGATCGTTTTGGAGTGTTTCATTTTGATTCTCGCTCGTGCTCAATGACGCCTTGATCTCCGAGTTTTCGCTTTGCAGCTGCTGCAACTTGCTCTGAAGCAGATCGATTTCTTCTTGCAGCCTTTGAGATTTCTTGGCAGTCTCTTCAGACTCTTCGAGAGCTAAATTCCACTCGTGAGAAAGATAGTCCACAGAGAGAGAAAAAAGTTTATAAAGAGTTTCGTCCATTATGTTTCTTGGAGAACTGTATTTATTTTACAATCGCAGCTAGGTGGCTCATTTTCAAATATTGAAACAAGCAAAAATGTCGAGCTTGGTTCGTTCGGAGCACCGCGCAAGGGCTCACCGCCGCGGAAAATTTTCACGCGCTAAATTTTACCCGAGACTTTTGAATTTGTATGAAATCTGTTGAAATAATAACTGTATGTATTTGAAATAGATTCAATTTCAATTCTCTACCTTTACTTTTCTCAGTCTCCAACGAGCTCAACTTTGACTCCAAATCTTTTCGGATCCCCAGAGCTTGCTCAAGTAGGTCTCGATAATTGGCGAGCTCGTTTGAATTAGCTGTCAGTTGAGCTTCAATTTTTTCAGCTTCAGAGGTGAATCTTTGGTTTTCTTTATAAATATCGGTGGCGGTGCTTTTGGCGTCGGCCGTTTCGCGTTTGCAGCGTTCGTTTTCGCGCTGCATTTCTTCGTATTTGGAAGACATTTGGCTGTGCTCGTCGGTCATCTTCTTGTGTGCGTCTTGCAACTTGTAGTTTCCCTCTTTGAGACGCGCATTGACCGCTTCCTGCTCGACAAATTTTTCTGTGTAAGCTTGGTTCTCCAAAGAAAGCCGCTCATTTTCTTCCGATGAAGAGGCAAGATGCTTCTCTCGGTTAGCGAGCGCAGCTTCAAATTTGCCGCTTTCGACAATTTTCTCCGAAAGCTGGAGTCGTAGTTTTTCACCTTCGTCGACAAGCTTGCGTCGCTCTTGTGTCAACTCAGAGTGTTCGTCTCGTAGTCGTGATGCTTCGGAGTGTGCAGACTCGAGCTCATATTTTAGCCTAAAGATTTGTTACTAGCAATTTGAGTGAATTTTATACCTAGAGAGCGCATCGTCAGTTTGAAGTTTGTCAGTCTTGAGCGACTCCACATTTGCTAGTGCACTGTTGAGTTCTTCACGAGTATTATCAAGTTCGATTTTTAAGGCGATCGCATCTTCACTAGAGTTTTCTTTAAGTTGGCTCCTTGCTTCTTCCAGCTGTGACTCCGCTGAAGCAGAGTTAAAAAAGGCACAAGAATAGTACTCTTCCTTGATTTCAAGAAAAATTACCTACCTAAGAGAAGCATGTGCTTGATCTTCGCTGACTCTTGGTTAGCAAAATCGCCCGTTTCTTCTAGCTCGTCTCGATGAGTAACAACTTTAGAAAGCTCTCGTTCGAGATCTCTGACTCTGTCTTGCGCCAGGCGAACTGAGTTTTCGGACTCTTTTGCGATCTTTTTCGCTTGTGATGCCGCTTCTTGGCTATAAAGGATAAACAAACTCATTCCAGTTTTTGCTGCAAACCTGACTTCCAGTTGGCCAGAAAGTTTTTCCCTCTCGTGTTCTAGCTTTCGTATCATCACCGCGCGTTCTAATTAGATAATTGAAATTTGCAAGATCAAGAGGTTCCGCAAATTGGGTGAAAACAAGACGATTCAGGTTAGATGAAGGTAAGTTAATTTTTGGAGTACATTTGGGATATATTTACTATTATTGTTTCGACGTAGAGCTGAATGCTTTTTACTGGCGGATATTGTTGGCGAGGTGCGCGAGCGAATAAATATAATCATCGGCTACCCTTAACTATGCTAGCACACCCTTAATTGTCAGGAAACATGAATGAAGATCTTTCCTGACAATTCTAAGCCATACGGAGACATTCCTTTGCTTCTTTTCCCAGTTCCAATTTAATCTTTAACTGGTCAAGACGGAAATAGCTCCTACTGAAAAAAAATCTTTCTGCGACAAGCTTAATTCATTCATGCAAAAGAATTTCAATATTTTTAAGGACTCTTACTTGCCAAACGATGGTAAAATTTGTCAAAGACATCGAAGTCGTCGAGAAAATAGTCCATTTCTTTGGTACTTTTGTTGATAAGTAAGTATTTAAGAGGGCTACCAGCGAGTCCTTAAAATGAGTATAGAAAACTTACTCGCTAACTAAAATAACTAAATAACAGTCGTACCCGTACTGTATTTTTGCACCGCTTACGTTTTGTTTACAATGGTGACACAATCTTGAAGCTACATTTTAATCAGCTTCAGGATTTTCGCCATATCCATATTGACACTTTGTACACCAGCGAGAGTTTTTGACACCAAGAATTATTGTCCTAGAATTTGAAACATGCTGTTTTCTATCTTTTGCGTTAATTTCACCAGAATGCGGAAGCGATTAGGAATGATTGAGAATTCGAATCATGCGATCTCGTTGAGTGTGATGATGTTCGAATCAAATGAAATGGAATGAGAATCTACTGTACCAGCGAGTTTTGCCTCCAGCTGTCGAACTCGCACGTCGTTTTCGGTGGCACTCCCTTGCAGATTTGAGGCCATGCGCATTCTGTTTCGATTCTGCGGGGTGCTGCTCGAGTGAGAGACCGCCGAAGACGTGGAATGTGTCGAGTTTAGCGAGGTCTGCGAGTCGGATCGCTTCAGAGGACTACCCTGAGCGCTCGACCCGCCCTCCGATTTCGTCTTGTCTTTCAATTTCTTGAACATCACTCAATCTAAAAGTCCCCGTGATCATTGATTTGAACGGCAGCGATCATTAGCATTTTGAAGCTACAGGAAAGACATGTAGCAGGAATAGATAGAAGAAGAAGCCTTGGACTTTATTATTATCTCGACCCGGCGGCCTTGCCAGCTTTCTTCGGCATTTTCTTCATTGACGAATCCTCGATCTCTTTTTCTTTGTAGTAATGGGGTGCCACTTCGAGCAGCCACTTGCCCTCGATCTCTATCAATTGGCGCATATACTCTTTGGAAGTGAAACAGAGTTCGTGGTAAATCACCCACTTCGGCGTTTCCTCGAAAAGACACGAATTCGGATGAACATGCACTTGTTGCTGATGCTTCACAGTCTTGTATCCTCCTTTTCCGAGTCTAAAATAAAGCTTCCGAAATATATCCTAGAAGAAAAGAGCTCACCTAGCCGTGTGGTAGAAAAATCCAGAAGTAATTGCCTTTCTGATTGCAATGTCGTCTTCGGACTTGTGCATTTCGATTTCAACCCGGTCCATAAGTCCTTCAAGCTGATCTCTGATGTCTCGCGCTCTTTTCATCATCCTGTGCTGAACGTAGTTTTCGAAGCACCACTGCACACTATAGTCAGACTCAACCCACTGATCGTAAACGTTTTTAGCGTCAAGTGGTCACCCGACGGAGCCCAAAAGTTCTTATGTGCATTGTCGGCGTGAACTTGGCGATCTTTGGGCCTGTGGAAGATCGCACCCCAGCTGAGAGCATGGAGATGATAGTTAGAACGTCCTCTGAGCATTTGTACTTCTCGGAAGCGATGAGTGACTTGGAGAGCATCGGATCGGCTGGAAACTCGGCCATTCGTCGCCCAAGCTAAAAGTAAATGTTTATTCAATGCTAAACTCTCAAAAGCAATACCTTTGTCAACTCTCCCATGTGATTCAACGCGCCGAGAGCGTAAAGTTGCTCCAAAGCGAGAGCGAGACACTCGTGCGGCGGTGGATCCATGAAATCGAAGTTAATGAGATCATTGATACCCAACGACTTGAGCATCAAGACGACATTTGAGAGATTGGTGCGCTGAATTTCAGGGATCGTATTTTCCTCCAGCTCGTGTTTGTACGCATAGGCGGTGTATAATCTGGAAAGTGATGAGGAAAGTTATTGAATAAGAACCTGAAGCATTTTACCTAAAGCATTTGCCCGGGGCGACACGTCCAGCACGACCGGCTCGCTGGTTCGCAGATGCTTGCGACGCTGGTTGAACTACCAGTGATTCCATTCCCGTTCTAGCATTGAACGTTTTCTGCTTTGAAAAGCCGGGATCAATTACATAGGTGATGCCATCAATTGTCAGCGAGGTTTCAGCAATATTGGTAGCGACGACCACTTTTCGAGCTTTAGGAGGAGTAGGTTCGAAGATACGCGCTTGCTGATCAGACGGCAAGTTTGCATAAATCGGTAGAACAATGAGCTCCTTGATTTTCGTTCCAAGCTTGCGAACGCGCTCAGATAACTCTTCACAGACTTTCTCGATTTCTTCTTGACCGGTTAGAAACACAAGAATGTCTCCAAGCGGCTGTGTAACGTGAATTTGCATTACCGAGACAACAGTTGCTTCAATATAGTCGGCTAAAATAAATGCTAGGATAAATGAGAACTTGATAAATTTAACCTTCAGGGGCTTTCGTATAATAAGTTGTAACAGGATATCTTCGGCCAGGAATTCGGAAGATCGGTGCATCATCGAAGAATGTTGAAAATTTTTCTGCGTCGAGTGTCGCTGAGGCGATCAATACTTTCAGATCAGGCCTGAAGCGAGCAATATCTTTGACAAGGCCGAAAAGGATGTCCGTATGGAGGGTCCTCTCGTGAGCTTCATCGACGATAATAACCGAGTAGCTAGCCAAATCCGGCTCGTTGAGGAACTCCCGAAGGAGCATACCATCAGTCATGTACTTGAGCACAGTACGATCCGAAGTACAATCTTCGAAACGAATCGAGTAACCAACCTCTTGTCCGAGCTTGACGCCGATTTCTTCAGCTACACGGGCGGCCACACTCATCGCAGCAACTCGACGAGGTTGAGTACAGCCGACACGCATACCGTCTTCGCAGAAACCACTTTCGTATAAGTATTGGGGAATTTGAGTGGTTTTACCAGAGCCGGTTTCTCCTTCAATAATCAGCACCTGTTTTCAGTTACAAAATTAAATTATCATCAAAAAGCCAAGACAGAGAATCTCTGATAATTTTGTTACTATCCTGGTGATCTTTGATGGCTTGAATTAAATCATCTCTGTAGTAGAAAATAGGCAACGATTCTCGACACTCTTTGATGGATTGCTTCTTTCGCTCCTTCGCCGAAAGCTCTGGTTCCTTGCTCTTCAGATCTTTGCCCGCAATGGTAAACGCCTGGACGAAATCGATCATGTCATCATCAACGACGAGATCATAATCCTTTTTCTTCTTCTTCATCTTGTCCTTTGCGCCGACATCAAACATTGTCGACTTGTAATGATCCTTTTCCCACTTCTCATGCTCGCTTTTTGCGCCGTTCAGATAGGTCTCGTCAACTTCCTTGTAGTTCTGCTTTACGTTCGCACCTCGCTTCTCCTCTGGCATTTTGTAGCGCATAACATCGTCGTTTTCATTCAGCTGTCGATATTGCTTGGCGATTCTAAGGAGTTCTTTCCTCCGCGCGAAGTCAGCTTTTTCCTTTGACGTCAGGTCTTCATCGTCGAAAAGATATTCTTCGTCCTTCAAGTCACCTTCCAACAGCTTGAGCTGGTCACCTTCTCGCTTCTCTAAATACTCCCGACGAGACTTTTCACGCAAAGTCTCAATCTGAAGCTTCTTCAACGCCTCATCCTCGGCCATGATTCTTTTTGCTTCATTATAGTCTGGCTCTTGAACTTTTTTCTTCGTTCGCGCTTCATCGCGAGCCTTTAACCGCTTTTCAAATTCTTTCTTTTCGTTCTGATCGGCCATACGTTGCCGTTCCTCACGCTCCCACTCGTCTGAGTCGGATCCATCCTCTGCTTTGGAAGATTGAGCAGGTCTTGTTGCTCTCTAATAATCAATTGATCAGCTTTAATAAATAGTTTCAGGGTTACTTTAGGAGAAGGCGCTTTCGGTGCTTGTTGAGGACGCTTTTTGCCAGTTTTGGTAATCCCCTTAACTTTGTTGAAAAGCTCATCCGTAAAAGTGTCGTCAAGACCAATATCTAGTTTCTGTATTTTCTTAAAACATTTCTCTGGCGTTTTAGACTCTGAAATAGTTCATAAACATCGTTTTTTTAAATCTATGCTACCCTTTGCCATGCCAATAACCATGCTGACGACATCTCGCTCCGAGTACCCGAGTGCTGAGTACAAGTTCCTCTCTACCCATTTTTCTAGCGATGACATTCTTTAATGGAAGTGAGTTTATTTAGAGTATTTATTGGGTACATGAAACGGTGACAGAGAAAGAGTTTATTTTGTCCACGAAATTTTGGGAATATCAAAGTGCAGTTCAGCGATGTCGGCGAGTTTTCGGTTGTAGTCTTCAACTTTTTCTTTGTGGCTTTTGCCAGCCTGAAGTAATCGTTTAATGGATAAGTGAAATAGAACATTACCTTTTTTAGAATACGATCCATTTCTCGTTCGCGTTGTTTTTCGAGGAATTTTCGCTCGGTTGACGTGAGCATAGGGCGGTATTCATCTGGTTCCACTACTGGCACCTCTGTTCTTGTTGAGCCAGGAACATCGCCTGGATTCCACGGCTCTCTGTTGTCAACTGGCTTGGCGAATCTGTAGTTGGGTGCGCCTGAGAGTTTATCGAGCCCCTTCCCCGGCTCCGGCGAGGCGCTTCGATCACGCTTCTTCTTTTTCTTCTTACTTTTCTTCTCTTTGCGCTAATCGGACAGTAAAATTGGTTCAGGTCATCGTACTGAATTACCTTTGAGATTTTCCCTGATCCGTCTGTTTTCAATTTTAACGCACCGCCAGAGACATAAGCATATGGATTGTCTGCCATTTCGACTATCTTAAAATGCAAAATAAAAAGTGCTGTTGACTGGTTTTTTTTTGTTCAGGAATATATAGGCTTGGTTGTTCTTCAGGGTTTGACAGATAAATAAAGATAATATTTTTGAAAGAAATTGCACTTACAATAGGAGCAAACATTGATTAAGGAATTCTGCTGGAAACATGACCTGATTGATTTTCGCTGAATGAAATGCGAAGTGAACGAATGACGCGAAAAACGGAGAAGCTTCCAAGAAATTACTTTCACTGCAACCTTCTTTTTGTTTATTAATAATAATATATTTAATATATAAATAGTAGCTTGTACTTTTCGTTATCGTTTCGTTAGTAAACACTAGATACATGATATTTCATTTTTATTATGTTTTTCAGGATTTTCATACAAGGGTTTAATTATTGCTAAGTTAGCTGGAAACCCCTTTGGCAGAATACAGAAAAAGAAGTAAATGCTTTTTCGATCTTTGCCCCACATGACATCCCGAACTACTGAGAGTAACCATAGGGAGGAAAGATGAAACGAGATAGGTTATAAGTGTAATTACAGAAAGGAAGCGATTATAATAATATAAGGATTGTCTGTTGCTGTCATGTTTGCTTACTTAGATAAATATAAGAGAACGTACTGAATGAAATTTGTTGTTTAGCCTAGTTCGTTGAGTTTAACACTGCGGCTGTTGTTGTTTTATAATGTTTCGAATACAATTTATCCACAGGGTCTGTTGCAAACAGGTCGAGCATTTACGCGTTCATAGCGTCCTTAAAAGCAGCTTGCATTTCTGGGTAGTGATGCAGCGAGGAGACCATTCCACCTTCGTTCTTTGGATCAGCGTCATATCTAAAGTCGAGCTATGTAACTAGATCGGGGAGAAACGAGCATACTTGTAGTTGATCTCCGATCCATCCAATTTGGACATGTTGCCTCCGTAGGCCTTGATAATGGCGTGACCAGGACAGAGATCCCACTTTTTGATCAGAGTAGTGTGGATGTAAGCTTCTGCGACACCTTCGAAGAGACTGACCGCTTTATAACCTACATATATCGATAAACCCCTGATGCATGTTTCAAAACTATACCAGCGCCGCCAGCAGGGACGACAGTGACATCTTCACCGAGACTGGCCTTGGCGACATCCTTGACACCACCAGCGTGAGATCGAGAAACGATGACAGAGTTCTTGGGAGCCTAAAAAGCGTGTCGATATTTTTAAGAGACTGTGTTGACTTACGCTGGCAGAGTTGTCAACCATGTTTCCACCGTGGCCAACCCAAGCCCAAGAAGTAGACTTTTCGAATGGTTTATGGATGATACCAGCGATTGGCTTTTCGTCTATAAATGCAATTTTCATCACAGAATAATAATTGTTAGGAGCTTACCGTAAACAATGCAGACCATAGTGGTGACGTACTGACGAAGATCTTCAGTGTATTCTTGAGTGGCGTCGAGGGGATCGATCCAGACTGTGATTCGGTTGGGGTCGAGGAATTCGTCAGAAGTGAGAATTCTGTCGACCTGATAAGAATATATTGAATCGTTAGAATATACAACAAATCTCACCTCTCGGTTTCGGTTGGAAGGAGCGGCAACAGCGTCCAAATCGGGCTTGGCGGTGTGTTCTTCAGAGACAACGTGAATGGTTGGGAAGTACTTGGTAAAACCGAAGGTCATTGCCTTGTGTGATTCCTAGAATGGTCAAGATAATTAAAGTGAAAGATTGAAGATAGATTTACTTTGTCTCCGTTTGTGACTGGATCGTCAGCGCCAATATCGCCAGCGGCGACATCGTCGTGAGTGCCCTTTGAAGCCTGTCCAATGTCGGGGGAGTTTCGAATGTCGACGAGGATCTTGCCACCTCGTTCGGCGAATTCGATTGAAGCCTTGATCAGCTCTAGAATGATGATAATAAAGCGAATTAACGGGTAAAGATGGTACCTTTCATGGAAACTTGAGTTGCAGTGGACTGAAGGGGCACTGGTGCGGGCACCAGGATGTAGTAACAGAGTGCAATCATAGAGAAGAATCCAACGAGAAGACCAAGAGGGGAAATTCTGACGCCGGTGTTACCAAGTCTCACCTAAAAAGACATACTCAATAACTGTCCAACAAGTAATTGAACATGGAATGATTGCACCTTAATTATTTGAAAGGTCAATTATATAAAAAATCGCAATTATTTTTATTATTCGAGAACATTTTAGACACTGACATCGAGGTGACATCTTAGACTCACATAGCGAAAATGTTTGCGGGCGAACTAAATTTAGTTTAATTTGAAAAGTAGGAAACAAAGACTTTCGAGAAAATCAAGAAAATGAACACCGGAAGGATAGAACATGATTTACCTCCTAAAAAGGGTCAAGAAGAGGTTTCATTTTGCGAAAAAGTCCAACTGGGCAGTTTCACCCGTGATTAAATCTAAATAAAGCAGCGAATTTTTGCTCACCTGAAGCTTTTGCAAAGCGGAGAGTTTACCCAGTGGGGCATACTTAGTATCCGACATTTCCTTTCTTAAAATAAGTAAATTATTAGCAAACCGGTTTTCGATAAATGGATCTTTCGCCCGTAACAGTTGAGGGGAAATAGCGCGCGTTCGAGGCCCATTAGTGTATAAAAAATAATTGTCGTATCAGTAATTACGAATGTGATGAAGAAAGTGGGGGCCCAGCGGAGATTGACGGAATACAGGAGATAAAAGTGAATGTAAAATATCGAGATCGAGCCATTCCTGAGTTTGGGGACTTGCTGAATTCTTATTTTAAATGGCGAATAACTGAGGGTGGAAAGGACTGCGAAATTGTATTCCCATTAGGTTGAGGTCGTTGGGTTATTGTTCATTTGTTGATGTTCTTGGGCTTCGGTAAGGTTTGTGATATTATCGGTGAAAGTGCAGCCAGTGAGACCGGGACCGTTCCACTTTTTGGATGAACGATGACGATCTTTGTCTCTTCGGTAGGAAACTTGCGGCGGATGACGAATTCCACGGAGCTATTCGCTTTCGATTTGATGATATTCATCATTTCCCGAGCATGTGTGTAGTCTTTTTCAATCAAATTCTCCACCCGTAGAACCGCGTCTCCTTCCATCAGTCCCGCCAAATCAGCTGGGCTTCCGGGCTGCAATTATTTCGTTATCAGAAATACTCGAAAAGAAATGGTTAACCTGAATCACTTTTATGTAGCAAATTTGTTTGTAGTTTTTATAAGTGGTTTCAAGAGGAACTTCTTGGAACTTTCGAGGCAATGACGGCCCTTTTTTGAACTTGTGGAGGTCGTGAAGCGCGGCTTCGATTCTTTTCATGATATCTTTGTGATCATTTTGCGCGCAAACAAAGCGGTTCCGAGCGAATCTTCAGTAAGTTTAAGTTAGTTTGGCCGATAAATCAAGTAAGGTTACCTGATTTCTTCTATGTTTAGGTCAGCACGGGGGAATCCATGAGCGTCAACCAGTTGCTCGTCGTATTTAGCATTAGCGTAGTGAACTGCAAGTAATTCTTCCAAATCATCTTTTTCTTTCATCAACTTTTTGAGTGCCTCCTCGAACGTCATTTTAGAGCGGTCAACTGATGGCATTTAGTCTAAAATCGAAATCGTAAGGAGAGGAACTCTTTATAAAAATGAAGAGGTCAAGATTTGTAAGAAAATAAAAGGAAAGGTATAAATTGGAAGTGAAAAGGGAAGGTGTCTGGCTCTTCAAAAGCGAAGAACGGATTATTTCCAGTCGAGAACGCGCATGAACTCTTGCTCGGAGAAGTCGAGGACGCGCGCCGCCTCCAAATGCGTGCACTTGTTGCGCAGCACCTCAATCAGCTTCGACTGCTTCTGAATAACGGACTTGTACTCGCTTACTAGCTTTTTTTGGCGCGCAGTCTCAGCCGTTGCTTCGTTGTATTGGGCCTTGGCAACGACGCCGTCGTCTTTGTGTTTGCGTGTCATCTCCGCCATTTCGAGTTTGTATTTTTGAGCCTAGCAAAATTATTAGATATTTGAATTATCAAAAATATAAACAAGAAATTGAATCTTTCTTCGATAAGTTCAAAAAGCTACCAGATAAGTAAAAATGTATTTTACCTCTTCAAGAGCTCTCTGCAGCCGCACATCATTCTGCTGTTGTTTGGGCTTCACAGTTTTCTTGGCTCGTTTAAGATCATCAAGTTCTCTTCGGATAAGTTTCAGCTCGCGCTGCGCCTCTTCTTTTTCCTTGCTTGCGTCTGTGGCGGCTATTTATTCGCGTTAGATCGAAATTCAAAACTCCTTGTTCCAAATATCTTACCATTTTTAGACTTGATGAGATCTTTCTTCAGCTTTTCATTTTGTTTCGTGAGGAATTCGGTGCTTTCGCCGTTGGTCTGTGCCTCTCGCTTGGCTTTGTGTAGCTTGTCGCCTGTTTTTTGAAGTTCTTTGGTCAATTTTTTCACTTCTTCTTCGAGCACGGTGACGCGGGCTTTGAGGAATCGTTCGCGGCCCTCTGCAGGCACTCGTTGGTCTACGTTGATTTGGGCATGTTCTAAATAAGTCCTCAAAAAATCATGATTTCAATTATTAGACGATAATCTCTCTATGAAAATTCTTTCACTAACCGTTGTAGTCGTTCAGGTCGATTCTGGATTTAATCTCGTCAAGGTTCGCTGCGAATTGCGTTCGATCGTCAAGGTCAACCAGCTTTCCAAGGTTGCTTGCCGGCTCAACATCGACACTTTTCACGAGCTCTAAGTTGTTGATTGGTATTCTGTCGATTATCCTTGGGCCAGAACAAAAATAAAACTTGCAAGCGTCGCATCTTGGCAATAGCCAAAACAATCGGCCCACTAGCGAAACAGCTATCTTTATGCCTAATTGGGAATTAGACAATACCAGGATTTCCTTTTTTTGTGCCGGGAAAATAAAAAGGCGGACTCGTAAAATTGAGGATGAGGTAAGTGACCATTTCGATTGTGGCCAAGACAAAAGGATTTTACTAATAAATCATCATTACGATGTTTACAAGACGTGGGAAAATTCAATAATGAAATGAATAGGAATCATGATGTTTTATGCAATTATGAGCATAAATCTGTTTAAAATAGCTTAAGACTACTAATTGTTTTAAAATTTCAAAGAATAAATCTAAAGAAAGGAAAACTCCGCAAATTACCTATGAGCGTGTCCATATCCTCATCCGATTGTGTTGTGTCCTTTTCGATGTTTTCATTTTGCTTTGGTTCTTCGTTGAGAATCTCATTGGCGAGCGATAAGGCTTTATTTATTTCCTGATCTCTCAACTGCAACGCGTCCAGAGCGTCCATTCTAAAGCTGACGCAGGCGATAAAAAGGGGTTGTTTAATTAAGTGTTAGCATTTCCGTATTCGTAACATCAGGCGGTATTTTTTTCGCGTTTTACGGCGCCTAGAGCGAGGGCTAGAGCACAACATTGTAACTTAGCTGCGGTTTGTTATCAGCGGGACCGGTAGGGAACACGACCCACCGACCCCGCCCAAGGGGAGCCATGAACTTATTACGACGCCATTTACGACTACTGGAACTTTTTCAAGCTCAACTCAAGTGAAATCAAAACACTTGGCGAACGCTTGAGTTCGTGTTCCCGGAGTGGACTTGGCAGAGCGCGAGAAATTCCTCAATATAAATCTCTATTCGTTATTTTTTCAAGACACCCAAGTTTTTGCTGACACAGCCGTTCTATCTTGCAAGCTTTTCAAAAATAAACGAACTTCTAATCAGCTCGGGAATAATCTATTGATGAAAAATAGGATCAACTTGAGAGTCCTCAAAAAAACTTAGCGTATGAGTCATACGATATCACTTAGGAAGTAGCAATCGAGTTGGTAATGGATTTTTAGAACAACGAAATTAAAATTCTAATAAAAAAATTTGTCAAACTATCGTAGCAAACAGCTTCGCGAATGAATGAATTGTTTGTTTTATTTTCTGCATTGCAAAAGAGTGACAAGGATAAATTGCAGGTCATTGTGGATGGCAGTGAAGTCTGATAATTTATTGGTAAGCTCCGTGTGCATTGCTTCCGCGGCGTTTTCTAAGTCGCTGAGAATGACGTCTTCAGTGACGATGTTACGAATGCGCTGGTAGAACTCGACCCGGAGGCGCTGATGGGAAGCTTGTTTGTTTTTGAAATCATCTTCCATGCATCCTAGAACATTTGTTTAGATCTACTCTCGTCTGATTTTTGCTCGTTCGCTATTGATCAGTTATTTTATGATCAAGTAATTATCAAAGTACTTTCTGGAGCAAATACAACGGATAACGAATTGAAATCAAGGAAGAGAACATGCTTACCGACAGCCGCGAGGCTGGACTGCAGCTTGAGTAGGGCACGACGGTCCTTTTCTTTCTTCATTTTGGCTTTGATAAGAATTCGGATGTGCTCAAGAGCATTGGCAATGTCCTTCTCGGTGAGTTTGATTTCACTGGTAGTCTCGGTGACACGTGTCATCGCCGTGCCGTATGGTTGTCTTCGCACGCGTGTTTCCTCAAAACTCGGAAAGAGTGAGGCTTGAAACGAAGCTCCTTCATTCCGCAACAGCGACACTTGTATTTGTGTAAAATTCATATTCTTGGCTCCCTGCCAGTGCGCCGTGGGAGAACAATCAATTTCTCTCTTCGCGTTAAAAAAACGAAAAGCCCTCAAAACTGGTCGATGACGCGATTGAATTCGAAATAAATTTCTACTCCGTGGTTTGAAAATATAGAATAAGGGGAACGTTCGAGTGGGTGTCAAGAGCGCCCATTTATGATTTCCAAACAATAGTGAATAAAGACGCCAAGCGTAAAACAGACGGTGAAGTTCACATTGGATGATTCTCTGCAGCTGATAGCGCGGCTTTGTCTTTAGAAACGCATTTGGAGCGTGAAATTGCAAGAAAAAAAGCGAACCATCTTGATTTGAACCGATTCGAAAAGGAAGGAAGTATATTCTACAGAAAATAGCATTGGGCATTGAAATAAAATAAAGAACTTGGTAACAGATTACGATTGAAACGTTGGATTAGGCATCGTTAGCTAAAAGAGGTTGGCGATCGGAACTGCCGATTCTCGTCCTGTTGCCATTTCGTTGAGCTCGCTCAAGCTCGGCGACAGTAGAGGGCAACTGAGTACCGCGAGTTTCAGCGAGGAAAAGGGCAGCTAACGCGCTTATCAAGCCAGCCGCTGAAAGTATCACGTAAACGAAATAGGAACGATCTTCGGTAAACATATTCGGAAGTAGCGGAGCTTGCCAATGATGTTATTAATTTTAAGCAACGAGTTGTTACGAAATAAGTTGCGAAAATGACTAGACGAGCTAGTCACAGTAAATAATAACTATCCTTCATTTTCACAAAAGCAAGTGTAACATCATTTCCTATGATTCCTCCAATACGGGCACAGCACGATGAAATGGCTAGACCGACAGAGCGAACATCGCTTGGGAAAAGCTCCCCGCCGTAAATGTAAATCAGGAGAATGCTGCTGCCACGCAGAGCTTGCCAAACATCGCCGATCCCAAGACAGCGGAAGAAGAGCCTTCCTGACCGGCGTGATGAATGAGTGCGAAGATTGTCGAGAAACAGCCTAGAAAGACGCCAAAGAAAGAAAGGGAAGTTGAGCGACGGCGGCCGAAGAATTCGGACTCCATGAGGTAAAATGCAATAATGTAGGAAGGAATTTCGACCAGTCCAGAAAGGCAAAGAGAAACGTTTGGATTAGGATGAAGTCCTGATAGGTTGAGAGTCAAACCATAATAGCAAAGAGAAGCGGAAAACCATAGAATGCCCATGATCGTTACACGGGAAATTACTGCTTCTATGAGAAGAAATTAATCAAGCTGAAGGTTCGCTCATTTTTCTTACTGTTAAAAATCATCATACATCCAGCGGCTTCACCAGCAGGCGGGGACTTTAACTCAGGTGGGTCCATCTTGATGCCATTCTTGTTAGCGAGCAAGACAAAAGCAGCAGCACTTTCATCAATGCGGTTTTGAGAAAGCAGCCACCGCGGCGATTCAGGGATTCCAATAAATAAGGGCAAGAGCGAGAAAATAAAAGGAAGACTGGAAATGAGGAGGATCGTAGAGTAGGAGTCAAATAATTGTCCGATAAGAGCGAGGAAAGCGATTCCGATTGCAAATACACCTGGCGAAATGTTGCCAGAAATGGCCCAGACGTTTGATGGCAGCAACTCTTGCTGGTAAACGAAACCGACGAGGCCAAGACCGCCTGTCAAAAAGCCGGAAACAAGGCGAAATGCTACAAGTATAATAATGCGAAATGAAATTTTCTATAATCTATATCTGAAAAACAAGAAAGAAAGTTTACCAAGAAAAGAGTTGACAGACCAGCAAAGCGTTCCGAATACTTGAAGGATAATCAACAAAGGAAGCACTGCAAAATATGGGCGCTTGCGGCCATAAGTATCAGCGACGATCCCCATCACAAAGTTGCCACCCATGACACCAAGCATATAGATTGAACTTGCCAAAGACACTTGCAACTCGCTCAGGTGCCAGGGCCATTCTTCATTTTTCAAAATCGGCGTTAGGATGACCATGAGACACATTTGAAAAGCGACAAGAACCTGCGTTGTCACTAAATAAAGGGTTGATGCATGTGTGTTTCCTGCTGAATATTACATTGAAGCCCAAATGTGTAGTAGGAGTACCATCCTAGTGATTTCCCATTAGTGACGATTTCGAAGGCCTGATCGGCGTCCATTCTGCAAATCTCGACGATAAAGTATGCAATTGCAAGAAATCGAAAACAAGATTTGGCAATGAAAGTGGATATCATGTTTGGAAGTGAACAGCAAGGAATGTGAGTGAAATAATGAACCGCACAGATGTGAAAGAATAATTTTCAAACAAAAGAAGAATCAATCCCAAAGAGAGATTCCCTTCTTGTCTTTTGTTGCTTCCGCCCACTCGGCAAACTCCTCGAGCGCTTGTTGGCGACGAACAGCGGCCTCTTTTTCTTTTTGTATGGCGAGTTTCTTCTTCATCTCTTCGACCTTGATTTTCAATTCGGCCTCTTCACTCTTCAAGTTGATGAGCCGGATGATTTCGTTGACGTCCCCGCTATAATTTTTATTGAATATATTTTTAAAGCTGATCTAGACCTACCCGCAGGATTCGAGCTTGTGAACGATACGGTCCCGGGCCGTCTCGATCTCGGCCGAAACATCAAGGAGATTTTGGCCGGTCTGAGAAGACACCTGCGCTTCGTCAGCCTTGAGAGATTTTCTAGCTTCTTCGACAGCTTCTTTCAACGGATCTAAAATAGTTCTGTTACTTTCTGATTTCCTGGTTCAAATTAATTACCCAGCTGGGTGACGAGTGCTTCTAAATGAGTAAGCTCCTCTCGGGTCTTCTCAGCGCTTTCAGCTTCCTCTACTCTCGCTTTTTTCTCTTGATAGATCGCGTTGACTTCTTGCAGTTCTGCGATCAACTTCTCGAACTTCGTGCGCTGCCTTTTGTTCAGCGCCTTTCGCTGCTTCGGTCCCTTATCACGGAACAGCTGGTTGAACCAGCGTTGATAGGAGACGATCCGCTGTAGCTGGAGAGGGTCAATGTTCTTGAGCCTTTCCGGGTCGCGGATCGCCTCCATCATCGGCTGGAGGCTGTTCACCACTAAAAATATTTTACTTCACTGTCAGCCATTATTACTCAGAACATATATTTAAATACTAAAAAGAACTTACTGTGAACCGCGCTGATCTCAATCTTCGTCATCAGGGCCCCATTAGGCCAGCTGGTGATGCCAGCGGCGAAAGGGGCCTTCTCGGGAAGCGTCGTTGTGGCATCTTTCGCCCTCGCCTTGGAAGCAAGACTGCCAGTGCTGGAGCTCGGCCGCATGTTTGTCCCTTTACAAAATGATTAAAATATCCCTCTTATTAATCAGTTTACCTGGAGTCTTTCCAGCCTTCGAGGAGAGTGCGTTATCCGATTTCGAAGAGGCCAGCGACCTTTTTGAAACCGGTCGTTTGGTCTTCCCAGAATCCGCTAAAATAATAAATGAAACAGTCAGTAAGCAAATATGTCTAACCTCTAGGGGCCTTCAACGGCGAAGAGGCCGATCCAGGCTCAAACTTGGACTCGTTGAGTGTTTTATCGCTCAAGAGCGTGGCGTTCGCACTAGCCACCTTCTTCTCGGCGGCTTGGCGATATCTAGAGGCTACGAATCGGGACATCTCTCAATCAATTCTTTAATAATATTCTCTGTGAATGAAAGATGTTCTCGATTTTATTAATTAAATAAAAGAAAACATAGTGTATACGGGCACGTGAAGAAAAGCCGAGCAATTGGCCAGAGAGAGGGAATCGTCATTTGGTAACGAAATTTACGTTACAAACAGGGAGAACTATTAAATCCGCTGGACCATCAGTTATAATTTAGCACCAACACGTACAATAGGTTTGAACTGGACGGAATGCGCCAAGCGAAGAGGCAGTTTATGGCTTTATATTTGTTTGGCAAGTGCTAGGCGATAAATTAATGGAGGAAAGGGAGCGAAGATAAAGCACTGTAAGATAAATGAATAAGCGTAGCATAATCAAATTAGAAACGAATGGTTTGCATTCCTTGACCGACGATGCAGAGAGAACACTCACTGTCAAAGGCAAAGTCGCTCGGGTCGGCGACGTGGGTGTAGAATGCTTCGACGAATTTAAGGTGCTCGTCGTAGTGATGAATTCGTTGATCGATCGTCAGTGCCCAAAGCTGATTTCTTCGGAATCGCAATCTTACGATACCGCAAGCAGACAGTGGTAGTTCCTTGATTTTCAGCTCTGGCTGCGGCTCCACAGTAAGTAATTTTCCAGCATCGCCTCCCAAAACGAACGACTTTCCATTCGTCGTCGAAAAGGTCTGTATTGCTGCGTCATCTACTCTATGATCTGATGAATTGCTTATTTTCTCCTCGAGTTCCTTGAGGAAATAAACTTTGAAGAAGCCACCTGAATCTGTCATCGCAAGCCTCTGATTGTTGTAAACAGCCACAGAGAGTGGGCAATGCGAACTGAAAATAAATTTATTAATCTCAAGGTTTTTATTTCTTCTTCAATTACCCGTTCAAATCGAAAGAAAAGTACTCCTCGAAGAAACGGTTATCTATATCCACATTATAGACAGTAGCATGTTGCGTGGAAGAAAATACAATAAGAAAAGTCTTTTTATCTGCTACCCAGAAGGCGCCACAGGTGATTTTCCCAAGAGTATCTTCATGCTTTCTTTTCTTGGCCTCTTGAAAGCTCGGCAACTTCGGTAAGAGCTCAACTATGATATCGATGCCATCTCTTCGTTTGTAAGTAAAAACTGAAACGTGTCCTTTGGATCCAAACCCAGCAACTAAGTAGTGAAGTGCTGTCCCAGCAACATTTATGGTAGCCGAGCCACACATAGTTACTGGCCTCGGAAATTTCGTTTTACCGATTCGGATTGAGCAGTCATCACTCGTAGTTACTTTCAGTGGTTGGAGTTTCCAGTCGTTTTTCCAGGGTCTTACTTCGATCGAGTTAATTAGTCCAAAATGCCCGCATCCGTCAACAGTTTTCGTTTCGATCGACTCTGCCGCCAATTCCAGCAGATGCACGCGACCTTTATTTAGATATACAAGTGAATGTGGCCTGTCATTCGCTGTGGAGTAGACAAAGCTCGCCTGACGATGGCGACCACCAGTATTGCATCTGAATAGCTCGTGATCTCCTTGGAAAAGCACGAAATCGGCGCCCGTGTGGCCAAAGTAGATTATCTCTTCGACCCTCTCTAGGAATGCGATTGGACTCTCAATCTTCAAGCGGATGCTGCTAGTCTGCCTCAACTGCCCGTCGTCCATTTCCCATTTCTTAATTGTCCCATCGTTACCACAGGTGATGATATGATCTCCGTCGTAGAGGATGCTTGCTACACCGTTGCGTCCATTTTTCCCACTGTGCGCCAGGACCTTGCTATTTTTCGTGGTGTTGGTTTCGTTCCTTCGGACTCCTTTCTTTGAAAGCCCCAGAATACATAAAGATAACCCTGACAGGTTCCTACAGCTAGAAAATCATTTTGGAGCCATAAAGCAGCAGTAGGCATCGGGTTCTTGGCTTTTCGAAGACTGACATGTAAATCCGTGACTGTGATATCAGGATGAGTTCGCTCCTCATGATCCACGAGGATCAGCCACATCCTGAGGTCATCTGTCACGCAAATAAATTCGATCCATCCGTGCCGTCTGTTGAGCACTTCATCACTTATTTTCACCGGAATAAGAACCTTTGCGTGCGACATCAACCGATTCGATGGAAACTTGATCGATTCAAGCCTTCGTTTCTGTTTTGTGGATTTTGATAGACACAACAGGCGAAAAATGCAGGAGTTTCTTTGAATACTTTCCCCATTTTCGTGGCGCGTCTCATTTTCAGCAACAAGGACGAGATGGCGATTAGCTGCGACGAAATGGTGGCGATTGAGTGGAAGTACATTTGCCTTAGAAGCTAGGTCTAGGATTGGGGGTGACAGATGGTGATCCAAAAAAAGTTGCTCGGGATGAATCACCAAAAGGTGGTGATCGGGTTTCTCGGATCACCAGAGCTTGGTGATCGAGACTCGATCCTGGTGATCCGCTGGTGATTGTTAGCAGAAAATTTTTGCAGATTTGCTAGTTTTAACGCAAAAGGTCATATTATTATATATTGGGCAAAATAAGCCTATCAATTAAGCTGATCGAAGAAATAACAGGCACTGATTTTCACATCTGGCCTCGATCACCAACCTCTGGTGATCGGAGAACCCGATCACCATTTTTTGGTGATCCATCCTGAGCAAATTATTTTGGATCACCAACGGTCACCCCAAATCCTAGACCTAGCTTAGAAGTACCTTGGTAAATGGAGCCAGACTCCGCTGTTACATGGCTGATGTATAATTTTCGCTATTTTTGATAAAAGTGCAATGACGAAGTCAATTAGATAATTTATAATTCCAAAGAGATATGCTAGCCAGCGCCTATATAGATTCTTTCGATGAGGTTTCCATCCCTAGTACCGTACGTCAGGGTAAGCACCTTGTCGATCGATTCTTCGATTTCTGTAAGGACCGATGCCTCGCTTCGGTAGACGCTGCCCGAAGCGCCCGTCGAGTCCATCTCATCCGGTTGAGAGCATTTGGTACGACGCTTGCTCACAGCTCCTGTCTGGTGGCCGCAGATAAACGACTCGCCGGTAAGTACAACGTGCCACACAGCGCCCATACTGTCGTTCTTTATCATGCGCAACGGCATGTTCCCTGCCTCAAGCTTGTAATTCCAGAGGCAGACCTCATTTTCCCCTCCAGACGCCAATAATCCACTTTCATTATAATCCAGCGACCAAATTCGCGCAGTGTGGCCAAGATAAATCTTCACAGATTCCAGTCCACCACTAGTAATAGAATTCCATTGGTGATTCTAAGGGCGTTCCTACTACCTCGTTTTCCATTGTCGGATAGTTCGGTCGTCGGAGCCGGAAAAGACAAATTGCTCACTGGCGATAAGACAAAAAATTGACCCAGTGTGGCCCTTTCAAGAGTTTTGCTAATTTTTATAAAAGAAATTCATCATCTCTGAACTTCTAGTTCAAGATAAAGCATAATAAAAATCCAACGACCCTTCAATTCACGCTAATCAGATTACTGTAATATTCCTGAGAGAGTTCATTGAAGATTTGTGGAATTATTTTTCTCTTTCCTTCGCAACAGCAAAGTTATCAGAATCGCCTACGAACCGTGCTTCTACGGTATTAAAGATAGTTCCAGATAAAGCTACAAGTCTGCTCTCAAACATCGCAAAACATGCCGAATAAAGGAGTCGATGCTCAGCCTCGCTAAGATCAGGGACGATCGAATTGTTGCGAAGAAAAGCGTGGTTTTCCGAAAATGCACAAACTTCGCTAGGATACTCTCTGCCACGTGCTGATTCTAGGGTTACAAATGATGAGTACTCGAGTGCAAATCTCGGTAATTTGTAACACTGGCCTGGCACCAGCCACGACGGATGGACGTTTCCGAACTTGAAATTGAAAACTTCCTTGTCCGACCAAACGGCCAAATATCCATCGAACACTTTCAAACCGGAAATACTCGTCTCGCTCTTCGTCTTTCTTGAATAAACCTCGGTCATGCTGTCGCAATCGTAGAAGATAATGTAGCTTCCCCTGCCTGCAATTAGAAATAGTCAGTTTTGTTTCATGAATGAATGAAGAGACTTACAGCAAATGATCAAATTTTCGAGCGGAGCGCCACCCCTTTTTCTGTGCCTATTGCCCTCTCGGAAGGTCTCCCATGCAGGCATCACTGCCAGGCCAGTTACTGGCAGTCCTGCATGCTCAGCCCGCATTCTCTTAAAGTCGCCATATTAAAGTCACAATCTTCATACGTGGTCAATCTTCGGGGTAAGGATCCCGAAGAATAGACGCATATGTCGGTCACAATGAGACATTATAAAAGAAAATAATACAGGTGGATTTTTACTTCTAGAATTAGAAGTAATAAAGGGCACTCCATCTGAGTTAAGCCTAGTTCTGCACAAAAAGGTATCGCTTGAAAACTAACCACTGTTGTTGACAGGCGAAGCCTTAAAATTCTGCATCGATTAGAACATCAAATATAAGTTATTAAATCTGGACACAGCTGAAATTGAGATGGAAACATTCTAGAGGCTCCGGACATTTCGCTAAAAACAGTAACCCGATGCTAAATAACCTTTATCATAATGATAATGATAAATTTTCATCCTCAAAAATTAAGATTATGTAAAAGAGCTTCTGGTTTCTTTATCCTCTCGTATTCTTTTGAAAAGGTTATCCAAATAATAACGTGAAGTAAACGCGATGTTTTTGCGGAGTCGTGGGAATATTGAATGCTTGGGGAAAAAGGAAAACTGAGTTCGTGTGAGTTTTCTCTTGGTTGCGTAGGTTGCTTTGGCGAGGGGGAGGGCGATCTCGAGAGAGCAGCTCATCTCCGAATCGCGCTGAGTCCATTCATTTTCATCCAAACAACACTAAACTTTAAAATAATGAGAATTTACGATTAACCACTCCACGAGGCGTTACTCATTTCGTAACTCATCGAGGTACTGCCAGTCTTCTCCATTTTTTGTCAGTCTTTGCTGTTTCCTGTTTCTAATGAGCTTACAGGACGATGGTGGTGTAATGTTTGTTAATTAAGAAATTAACCTTTTTTTATGAATTCAAATTGAAGATTTAATCTATAAATTTAAATTAAATACTATCAACCCTGTTAAGAAATATTTAAGAGAGAATGAACTAGGCCGGAGATTGATGGACAAGGTAAGCACGATTTATTTGAACTTGGATTTTGCTAGAATCTATTCCGCGGGCTTTCAATACGCTCAGCTCAAACATTGAACTGGAGAATAATTACAATTCGATTCAAATGAGAATTTAGTGCATTGACGATTCCTTCTGTTCAAATGACGGACAGTGCTACAGTGGCCAATGTCGCTGCTCAGGTACTGTTTAGCTTCAAAGTAATTCTCAAAACCCCTTTTTTAGTCCATTGGTCTGGTCCTGACTGCACCAAGCACAATTTAATTTACTTCACGTCGTTTTCCGTGATTTTCTACTGCATTACACTATGCTGCTTTATCCAGCTTGGCATTTGTATCCGATCGGAGTACGCCAAGCAGAAGCAAAAGTCCCTCAACCAGGCTTGTCGAATTACTGTCCAGAAGTTTCTCTATAGCTGCTCGGCGGTAAGCGCCCACAAATTAACGGCAACAGGCAGCCACTGTCACTTTAGATCGCCTGTCTCATCCGTGGCCTGCTCTTTAGTCTCGGCAACGATTCCCTCGACACGGAGCAATATGAAAAGTACGAAAAGGAAAACAGGATTACAATGATTTGACAATCATCCAAGATCAAAGCGCTCAAAATAGACCGTTGCCTTTTTATGCCGCGAAAGTGCTGCGTTTTTACAACTAACTTAATTACGCGCACCGGAACTCGAAGTTAAATTGAAATAGCAATCAATTTCTTATCCTTACGCCGCCAAACTTAAATTTCACCCCCCGCCGCCAAATGTGCCATATATGGCACATCATCTTTTCCGTCGTCCTAGGCCCCATACAATGGCCGAACCCGAACCTTAACCAAGATCCGAACTCGAACCAGAACCCGAGCTCAAAAATGAACCCAAACCCAAGCCCAGACTATTGCCCGAAAATGAGTAAAAATGGAAGAACCCGAAATGATGACGGAGAGAAAAATGGGTGTTGGAAAGCCCTTGTGCCATATATGGCACATTTGGCGGCGTAGGGTTATGTAATTCTTGTAATTCTTTGAAATCCAATAAAAAGCCCCTCCTTTCTATTTACTACGCACTTATCATTTCGTCCCTGGCGCTGGTGGTCTGCTACTGGTCCGAATTGCTCTTCAGCAGAGAAGCTGCCATTGGTGTCCAGAAACAGTAAATTCCACAGTTGATTTACTCGAGTTGCATTAAGTTGTTTAGTTGCCCTCGGTTTTTGACAAAGTCCCGGCTGGCATTTACGATTTTCAATGCGTGTTTGATCGGAGTGCTTTTCATCAATTTTACCGCCTCCCACTTCCAAGAACACTCCGCTCACTCGCCGAATCTAGTGTTCCCCACGCTCTTTGCTATTGGTGAGACAATTAGAACTGAGGTCGGCAATCTGTAAAGAAAAACTGAGTCAGGTTCTGAAGAGCGAAGCGGCTTCACAACATAACCATTATAGTCTATGATCAAAAGCTGGCGAACTTTGCGGCTTTTCATTTATGCCCTTCAGAACCTAACTTAGGTTATCTTTACAGATTGCCGAGGCCACAGTTTAAAGCAGTCAGTTTTCATTATCAAAATTTTAGTACTGTTTATCGTCCACGTGTTGTTCCTCATTATCGGGATCGAAATGTTTTGCAAGATCCGCGGCGAGTTCGTGATGAATACGAAGAGCGAGACAAAAGAGAAGATCGACGTTGTCCAGGCGGCGCATTCTCGCGTTGGTTTGTTTTTCCAGGTCAGAGCTGCGTCTTTTCTCACACTTTCTCAAATCGGATTATTGTCTAGTGTGGGCTAACAGTTCTGCTCGTCGTTTTCATTCTTGCTGACGTTTTCGGCGGCAGTGACGTCATCCAAGACATCTTTTATCGCGATGCCTTTGAGGTCACCTTCCGCCTGATGGAACTGGGCGTCGTGCTTTGGTTTCCCTGCATTCTCTGGAACTCGACGAATCCAGAAGAGCTCTGGGCGTTGAATCCGCGCAAGCTTCTCAAACCTGCCAAGCGAGAGGCGCTCGATTTGCGCACGGATCAGCTGCTCGTCCAGAGCCCGCACGACGCTGAATGCTGGATTTGCTACGACGCCAAGGAGGATGATCTCATTCAGCCCTGCGACTGCAAGGTACACTCAATACAACAGCAGCGAATTAGCTTGAGATTTCTTTCACCAATAAAATAAGTGACGTTGCGAAAACAGCCCGTTAACTAAAAAAAAAGAAAAGTTATTTATCTGTCTCGCAGGGCGACGTGAAATGGGTGCATCAAAAGTGCTTGCAGCGGTGGATCGCCGAGAAGAGCCAAGGAGACAAGCCTTGCTGCCAAGTCTGCAAGCAAGAATACTTGATTTACATCGAAAAGGTTGAAAAGAGTAAACAGTTCAAAATATAATTTCTAATTGCTAGATCGACTTCGACGATACTTTGAAGAAGATCCACTGGTTCATGGTGGTCCCCTCTTTCGTGACGATCCTTTTCGCCCCGTACGGTACTTACTTGCTCTGCCGGCAAGTCGACGAATACCGAATATCGAGCTTCGAGAAACATCACACGCTCATCAAATCCGCGGCTGTTGTTTTGTGTTGTTTTATTGGTAAGAGTGTAAATTCGGGTGCGATTAAAAGCGACCTTTTCAGAGTATGCTCTTTTCCGTTTCATTGGAACTAGCGGCTTCAAACTTTACCGCACAGCTGTGAGCAGAGCCGTAAGAGTGCAATCGCGGGCCCCAACGTAATCTCGAAACTAGCGGGCACCCTTTTACACGCGTTTAGAACATCGAAGGAAGACGAACAAGCTGCGCTGGCCGGAGAAAGTTCTAGCTCAGTCACTCGCGTCTGAGCGCGTCGCCGTTTACCTGTACTACAAAGGTTACTGTGCTTTCGCAAGCACTCAATTCTTCATCTACGTCTCACCCAATTCAGCCACAAATAATCGTGCTCGCAAAGTTCATGTCAAGGTGATGCTCGACTTTTCGTAAGGAGAGTTTTTGCACCTTTTTTTCTAATTGTCAACGGGAAAATAAATATTCACAGAAAATGCGAAGAAACACTTGTTTGGATTTATTCTAGCAAAAGTCATGGTGTAACCATTGGAAAGACAGCAGAAGCGTTTGAGGTCAGTAGTTGGCGGAAGCAGATGTGATTAGCTCGTCGCAGATGCCTGTAAGTTCGCTCACCTCTTCGCTTTTGCGCTGCAGTTCGGCAGTGAGCGACTGAACTATTTAGACCTCTCTCAAAAATAGGAACTCTAATACCTCTTGCTTGATCTTAAGTCTTCTATTCTCTGTCTCCAGCGCAAGAAGCCGATGATTGACAGACGCTTCTGTCTCAGCAATTGTTTCGTTTGCTCTAAAGGAACATTGATAGGCATTGTTTTCAAATGGGATCGTTGTTTACTGGTTGACGAATTTTTGGCTCCAGTCCTTCAGCTGTCCAAAGCGCTCTTGTTCCTCCAGTAATCGCTGTTCGTGCTCAGCTACCGTATTTCTTAACGGATAATTTCTAATTTGCTTTCATTTATTATTGACAACCTTAGGGCTTGTTCATTTCGCTTGACGTTTTCAACGATGCCCCTCAATTTTCCGAAACGAGCGTGCAGTTCGAAAACCTGTTTGTCAACCGCTAAAGATTGTTTAAAAAATATAGTGGAAGTATTTGTAACCATCAAGCTCTGCCTGCACAGCTGATTTCTCGACAAGTGCTCTTGAGTAAGACGCTTTAAATTTCTCGACTTCTTTTTCGTGTTTCTCCTGCAACTCGACCATCAGACTCTCGTACTTTCGACTAGCGAATGGTTTTAGGCTTTCATTATTTTTTCTTGCCGTAAAACTGTTATAAGTTAAAAGTTAGCTTAAAACCGTTTCATATCATTTCCATCGTTCTCAGTTCATCCCTTGCTTTTTCTTCTGAGATCCGGGCTTCTTTTCTTATCACTTGCATGTCTTTGGCCGTATAGCGTAAGGATTCTCCAGAAACGCTCTCGACAAAAGCACCGACGTGGGAGGCGTTGCCAGTGATCGTGTGCGAACTAGTTTCGGATAAATTGTCAGGAAGCGTTTGCGAAAGTCGGCTTTTCGCCTAAAAATTGCTAGTTTTGGCCATCAACGCGTTCATTACCGAATAATATGACATGATGGAGTCAATTTCCGAATTACTCTCCGTCTTTCGTTCCTCTGCGGCTGGTACTTCGTTCTCAATCTTCCAATAGCTACTATTTGAGCTATCCATTGTGCTCAAGTCTCTATCCTTCCGTCTTTACGAACCAAGACTTATTTCTATGACCAGTAAAAATTCCTTCTAAATTTTGCTTCCCCGCGAAGCGAATATGTTCTGGATGTAGTTTTTTTATAAAAAAGATGATCCTTTGAAGATGAAAATTCCACTTTTTCAATGGTAAGAAGGTAAACTACGTTCGTCATTGTTGCTATGGTTTCCGTACGCTACATAAACACTAGGCCTACACATTAAAAATGATCCATATTTTTATATTCTTATCTCACAATTCTTATATTACGAAACGTATAGACTATAATAATAGTCTATATAGCGTCTATACGATACAGACTATATCATATAGTTCATTTTGTAATTATTTCCGAAATATGCATCCGTCTTTCCGTCTACCCAAATGCCAATTGTGCTTCCACAGTTTCGGCACACGCGCTTATATTCAGGCTCGTATACAAAGAGGGTTCAATCGGTAAACGCTTATTGACTTGTGAAAAACACTAATGTATTCACAAGTACTGTTCGAATATTCCTCTAACAACTCTATTAGTCTCCTAGCCTTATACATATAATAATAGAAAAGCGCCAAAATCTTGAGGTGCGTCTCTCTTATTTGTCGAAAATCCAAGAGTTTTTAAAAGGAGAGCCTTGATAGATGAAAGATGCTGTTTTGGCACTTGGTGCAAGAGCAATGTTTTTGGGTAAGTAAGGTATTTTTATCCTTATTCTGAACTCTTAGTGAAGCCCACGGTCTACTTGCTGTCTGGAAGTGTCAGCATCGTTACAAAACTTCATTCATGTTCATTCTCCTTGTCCCGGTGATGACTCTTTTCTTCGAAGCTCTTTTCACGATTGCCATTCGCGGGGGCCGAGAATATAAATTCATCTCTCCTTGTATTGCGCTTTATCTTGGCTCTGTCGTCCCAGCTATTTGGTTCCTGGAGATAAAATCGTACTTTGATAGGCAGGAGCGGCATGTCTGCCAGGATACGAGAGCTTGGCTCAGGAACCTTCCAATGAATGCATCGTCCAGCGCTGGCTGTGAATTTCGCTTTACCAGTTTTGTGCGACATGACTTCGCGGTAGAAACAACTCTCACAGAGGTCAATGATACTTTTACAAAAGTAATAGACACTTATAACGTGAAAACTAATGGCTCGTTTTCCAATCGTGAGAGAGAAGATGCGGAGGAAGATCTCAGGAAGCATTTGAATAAACTAGTCGACTCGAGCTGCGATGAATCTATGGAAGGTGGTTTGAGTATAACAGATGATAGTACAGGAGAAACAGTTTGGAACATTGCGGCGGTCGAAGAGGGGAAATATACAAAATGTATGGGGAATGAAACATACAACGATGCGGGTAAATAGACTTGGTTTCAAATTCGAGAGATCGCTTAGTAAGGAACAACTATTTTTCAGCGCTGAAATCCACATTTCAATGGCAACGGCTCGTTCTGGAACGAGCCTGTGATCTTCAGTTTGACTGTGAAAAGAACCAGAACTCCAGCTGTTTCGATGAGAACGAAGAAATAAAAAGGAAAACAGAAGAAGAGAATAACAAAACAGAGACACAGCAAAACAGTTTACTTGACGCCGATCAAGCAGACGACTCACAGGCGAACATTATATCCGATATCATTGATGAATGGGTACTTTTGTATATAAATTAAGCATCAAATATTCATTCCTAATTTAAGATCAAGAAAAACATACCAATCTTCAACTCGGATGACGACTGGATTAACATTCTTCATCAATTGATTTTGTTCATCATTATCGTCGGTCGTTGGATGTTGCCTAAAGCACAGGGTGTCACTCGTGATCAGCTGTCGCAAGTTCTACTTATCTTCATTGGCGTCGGTGCGGATATTCTTGAATTTGTGACTGAGACAATCAAGGTTCGGAACTTGATGAAATGAGTTATTTATTCTCAAAGACTTAATTTTGCTTAGGAAATGGAAGTGCGCTGCTCATTTAGTGTCATTCTTATTATGCTTGGGCTTTGGACATGGTCCTTGGTACCAGTGTTGGAAAACCCGCAACATTTCCCGCGGGCGCGGGCGGGCGCGGGGGCCGATTTCAAAATTTTCCGCGGGTGCGGGCGGGCGCGGGGGCGAATTCCAAAATTTCCTGCGGGTCCGGGCGGGCGCGGGGGCCAACTCAAAAATTACGTGCGGATCCGGGCGGGCGCGGGCGGGGGCCCCGCAGATTTTCGCGCCCGCGGGCGCCCGGGGGGTGAAGGGCGCCCGTAACCCTCGCGTCCGCAAGCCCCGCGGGCTCAGAAATCGGAAAATAAAAAATTTTTGATAAAAACCATAATAGAGCTATAAACTAAGATAATTATAATTTTTCAAACGATGGGTGTGGGTGGGGTTGGGGACAAAACTGAGATTGATCAACTTAGAGTTCCCAGCCATTGTCAAGCCCCTTAAATTCAAAAATCATGGAACAGGGCTGAGACGGCCCGAAGGGCCGTCAAGCCCTTAAATTCAAAATCATGGAACAGGGCTGAGACGGCCCGAAGGGCCGTCAAGCCCTTAAATTCAAAAATCATGGAACAGGGCTGAGACGGCCCGAAGGGCCGTCAAGCCCTTAAATTCAAAATCATGGAACAGGGCTGAGACGGCCCGAAGGGCCGTCAAGCCCCTTAAATTCAAAAATCATGGAACAGGGCTGAGACGGCCCGAAGGGCCGTCAAGCCCCTTAAATTCAAAAATCATGGAACAGGGCTGAGACGGCCCGAAGGGCCGTCAAGCCCCTTAAATTCAAAAATCATGGAACAGGGCTGAGACGGCCCGAAGGGCCGTCAAGCCCCTTAAATTCAAAAATCATGGAACAGGGCTGAGACGGCCCGAAGGGCCGTCAAGCCCCTTAAATTCAAAAATCATGGAACAGGGCTGAGACGGCCCGAAGGGCCGTCAAGCCCCTTAAATTCAAAAATCATGGAACAGGGCTGAGACGGCCCGAAGGGCCGTCAAGCCCTTAAATTCAAAATCATGGAACAGGGCTGAGACGGCCCGAAGGGCCGTCAAGCCCCTTAAATTCAAAAATCATGGAACAGGGCTGAGACGGCCCGAAGGGCCGTCAAGCCCTTAAATTCAAAAATCATGGAACAGGGCTGAGACGGCCCGAAGGGCCGTCAAGCCCTTAAATTCAAAATCATGGAACAGGGCTGAGACGGCCCGAAGGGCCGTCAAGCCCTTAAATTCAAAAATCATGGAACAGGGCTGAGACGGCCCGAAGGGCCGTCAAGCCCCTTAAATTCAAAAATCATGGAACAGGGCTGAGACGGCCCGAAGGGCCGTCAAGCCCTTAAATTCAAAATCATGGAACAGGGCTGAGACGGCCCGAAGGGCCGTCAAGCCCCTAAATTCAAAAATCATGGAACAGGGCTGAGACGGCCCGAAGGGCCGTCAAGCCCCTTAAATTCAAAATCATGGAACAGGGCTGAGACGGCCCGAAGGGCCGTCAAGCCCTTAAATTCAAAAATCATGGAACAGGGCTGAGACGGCCCGAAGGGCCGTCAAGCCCCTTAAATTCAAATATCATGGAACAGGGCTGAGACGGCCCGAAGGGCCGTCAAGCCCTTAAATTCAAAAATCATGGAACAGGGCTGAGACGGCCCGAAGGGCCGTCAAGCCCTTAAATTCAAAAATCATGGAACAGGGCTGAGACGGACCCCCCCGTCAACAATTTTCGAAAAATCAATTTTCGGAATTTTAAAATTTTGACCCCGGAAAAGGATTCTACAGGTCGGAAAACTATTTTGAGGCTTCATTTTGTGGGGGTCTATCTCGACCATTTTCAGAATTTGGTCGGTGTAAGGAATTGGTCGGTGTAAGGATTTGGTCGGTGTAAGGATATGGTCGGTGTAAGGAAATACCTTCAAAAAACAAGGAGGGAGAAAAAGGGGGGAATCGGCCAGTTGGGCCGTCAAGCTCAATTAAAATTCAAGGCGAGGAAAGGGAATTATAACAACGCCCGGGGGCCCCGGGCGGCTAAAAAAAATTTGTACGGGCGCGGGCGGGCGCGGGGGCCAAATCAGAAATTTTTTGCGGTCGCGGGCGGGCGCGGGGCCAGATCCGAAATTTTTGCGGGTACGGGGGCGCGGGCGCCCGCAGCCCCCGCCCGCCGCCCCCGCGGGGTTCGCGGGCGGGTTTTTTCCAACACTGCTTGGTACAGTTTATTCTTGTCGTTGCAGGAACCTCTAAGACGAAGACAAAAGTGTCAGAGATTTACGGCTCAGAGAGTGGAAGTCCTGTTATGGTACGTTTCCAATGAAAAAGTAAGGACAAACAGCAATTTAAGATTATTGAAGAAGAAGTAGAAATGACTGCATGGGAAGCTTTTGGGCAAATCCTGAAGTTTGGAGTATTCTTACCACCGTAGTTCTTCAGGTTATTCTGTTCTTAGGAAAAATTAAGAATTTAATATTTTATAAGGATGGCCCTTTTTGGGCGATGAGAATGTACATCATCATTGGAAGAAATGTTGTTCACCCGACAATCTTGTTTTTCACCATTAAAAATGGACTCGTGTTAATGTTAGAGACTTACAGATTAGCTATAATCGCTACTACTAAAGACGACGATAATGGGGACGACGAAGAATTGCAAGAAGAAGATTTCTTAGAAGATGATGATTTGCCTATTCAGAAACCTCGGAAAAAATCAAAGAAAGAGGAAGTACTTTGGAGATAATTTTCTTGGTTAAATTTTATCTAGGTAAATGCAGATAAAGAAGAAGAAGTTTCTCCTCCAAAGAAAAAGAAGAATAAAAAGAAAAAGACCCCCTTAGAAGATAATGACCCGCCAACCGAGAAACCAAAGAAAAAATCAAAGAAATCAGAAGTTTGTTGGAAACAATTATTCTAGTTTACTTTTTTCAAGGTAAATACCGTTGACGAACAAGTCTCGACTCCGAAGAAAAAGAAGAGTAAGAAGAAAAAGTCTCAGATCAGTAATCTTGAATAAAAATGAACTCGACATTTCATTCCTTGCTAAACATCTGCTCTTTGCTGATCAATAAATTTGAATGAAAATTAAAAGTCCAATTAAAAACTTATCCGCCCAGAATCAGTGCTTTCGTGGGAGGGTGTTGTGTTCTTTATTCCTGTATCCAGGAAGTTGTAAAGCTTGTCAAATAGCTGGCAAAGGAAAATGAAGACAATCCGTGCACAAATCCTATTCAAACAGATTTTTTACCAGAAAGAATCAGACTAATGCTGTCATTGTCATGAGAGTCTGGATTTTCTTTATCTCACTGGTGATTGCCCAGAGAAACGCAACCCTTGAATTTCAGCTGGCCAACTTGAGGAAAGGGTTACTTTTTATAAGTTTGCTTTATCGCCGAATTAAAACGTTTTGCGACCCTTTAAGAGTGTCGCAAATTTTGCTGGCGAGCTGAAGATTTATATTGGCCGAAATTGTGAAACAAATGTTCAGTCAGGAAGAACTTGTGATTACCTTTATCAAGGAAATGTTACGTATCCTCAAAATGTCGGGTTAACAATCAATCGAGGTCATTTTTACCAGCTTCCAGATCTTGTTGAGGATGACGACTTGATCATCTTTACTTACCGTGACTCTGACGAAGCTATTTTTCGTGGAATAAGGAAAGAGTGCGACAGATATGGTTCTTTCTACTGTGATGCCGGCGGATATGTATTTTCAAAGCAGTTACAGTGAAAACTCAAGTTGCGCCTTCGAAAATTCGCCCGTTTTTTACCGTTAGTAGGAAAATTTTTGGTATCCTCGGTCTACTAAAGTTCACACTCTCTGGTTGACTTCTCCTCCAAACCGGAATTCTTGAGCAAACTGATATCATCGAGCTCTTCAATACAAAGTCCGGATTCACTCAGTCTCCCGTGAGTGCTGATAAAGTAGGAAATTTTTGATTACGTTTTAATAAATTCTGTAAGTATTTAGTCTTTGACTACGATGCAAGAAACTATGTTTGTGCATCTTGGTATCCAAGAGGCACTCGTTGTGTTTGGGACGTTACATTCGACCTTGGCGCGAAAACAATGAGTTACTCGGCTTCTCTGATCTCTGGGAAGGATGGTTCGACGACTTCTGTAAGTTTCGATGGAAGACATAAAGACGCAAAAACTATTCTAGGGTGGAGTATCGGGAGGCTCTAAAATCAGTCTGAAAACTAGTGAAACCGATGCAGAGACTTACCGAGGCGCCAAACTGAATTTCTACCATGCCTTCAATTGTGATTCTGACTCTTGTGAGTACGTCAAGGCTGGTGAAATCCAACCAACTGCCAGAAATACAACATACGAGTTGATAATTTCAAAAACTTTTGCGGGGCCGGAAATCGTAAAAACTGCTAGTGCAGTTTTCTTCAGCTCATCGAGACGAGTCGAATGATGGGTCTAACTCATGATAACTCTAATGATTTACCGGTTTACCGGCCGGTTACCGGAAAATACGTTGTCACCGGCCGTTTTTGTTCTAGAAGTGATAAACAGATGATTGACCCCGAAAAATGTTCCTTATAGTCAGTTCTACTGCAGGCTAAAAGATGAGAGTCGTATCATTACTCCGAAGAGAGTTATCACTAGAATACTATTTCTGGCGCAAATGGGACTAGAAATCAGGAACGTGCAGCGACAACGGAATTTATGCAAAATTTACTGTTTTTAGTGATAACTCTCTTCGGAGTAATGATACGACTCTCATCTTTTAGCCTGCAGTAGAACTAACTATAAGGAACATTTTTCGGGGTCAATCATCTGTTTATCACTTCTAGAACAAAAACGGCCGGTGACAACGTATTTTCCGGTAACCGGCCGGTAAACCGGTAAATCATTAGAGTTATCAGGAGTTAGACCCATCATTCGACTTGTCTCGATGAGCTGAAGAAAACTGCACTAGCAGTTTTTACGATTTCCGGCCCCACAAAAGTTTTTTGAAATCATCAGTTGGAATTTCCAGCGATGAATTTTGCTTCTGATCGATTAATCATGGATACAAGACATGGAACCCTGATGCGAATCAGTGATTTGAAATTTTCAGCCGGTGGAACTGTTTATGACCTCCTTGATTTCAACAAAGCCGAGGGAGGTTCTAAACTTGGTTCTTTTACAGTCGATATATCAGTAATAACAGTAGATCCCCTTGCGTCAATTACAGTAAGTTTATATTTTTCCCATTAAAGGTTATCTGAATTTTAGACTGTTTCTACGATCTTGTATTCGATATAAACGCGAAAACTGTATACACAGAAAAACCTTTGATTGAAGGGATTTAACTTTGAAATAAACGAGAAAATTTCTCTAGAATACAGTAATTTGGCAGTATAAATACCTGTTTTTAAGTTCTTTTGTTGGCACCCGGGTGGCCCGTTGGTTAGCGCCCAACGCTGCGGCTCGTGAACGTACGAGATCGTATCACGCTTGAAGCAATGTCTTCTCGGGGAAACCCGACTTCTCCCTGGGCGAGCGCCCTCTAAAAAACTCGCTCGGGTAGCCTCGTGTGGAGTTTCTCAGGGAAACCCCTGAGTTTTTCGTCTTTCACAATGTATGGTCACATTAACAACATGTTTTTTCGTGAGCAAATAAGCAATTACTAATAAACTGTCATTTAACTCATATACCATGATTCTCATTTCTGACTGACTAAATTTAATTTCTATTGTTCTCCGCTAATTAGCCAATCAGAGTCCGATTACTGAAAGGACCCCCGTCACTCAGCAATTTATGTCACAACGCAACGCGTTCGCCCTATGTTTTTAACATTGAAAATGTGACATAATTTGACTGACTGGAAATTCCGTCAGTCAGGAATGATAATCGCGGTAGCATAAATTATAAGATAAAAATATTTTTCATCGCGACTGGCGCGAAGCCTCGCCCGAGCACAAAACAAGCGTTTTCTCGCCCGACACACGGTCATGGATGGCCCGTTGTGCACTTCCCAAGTTCCCAACGTAACAAATCTCAAAGCCGCGAGTTCGAATCTTCAGGCTCCCAGCGTTTATCGCAGTCGCGTTGAACGATGATTGTTGAATGATCGAATCTCGGACAGGAAGCGCGTCACGGACGCCATTCTACTCCGATCTGAAACGCTATGATCTGATACTGACTATGATCTGATATTAAATATGCGGATAAAAAGAATCGTATTCGCAAAAATAAAAACTCGCCTTTGCGGCTAGTTCTCCTCAATGGGAGTTTTTTCATAGATTTTTCCTTCCCGCCGACTTGATCTAAGATTGCGAATTCAGCGAAAACCGACCGAATTCGTTAAAAATAGAATTACAAGAACGTAGATTATCGCGCGATTTCAGAAAGGGACTCTTCCTTGATTTCATGAGCGCAGTGCGGGCCGACAAGACTTTTGTTTTTCTCGTTGTGTTAGAATGTCGAAATCGACATAATCCCGCAGACTTCGAAGGTCAGTTTGAGTTCGATAAGAGGCTGCAGGAGACCCTGATAGCCGTTCGAGGTAGATAATTCTTCTTTGTGTCCCGATAATTGATTCAATTCGAAGAGCAGAAACGCATCATGCTCATTGAGGCTCCTTTTCAATATACGGTCGGAATACGGTCTTTGAACTCTAAGTTGAATAAAACTCCGCGCTGCGCTTCATCTTATAATTCGCCTACAACACTAAATAGAACGGCTGGAAATTTCACTATTTCAAGTTGAAATTTTCAACAGATTCTAATTTACTGAGACGAATGAAGAGCCTATCAGGAGAAGAGGAGAAGCGTACTCAACGAAATATGCCTATATCAAGCACGTATAATGGAACAGTCCGAATTAAATTACGTTCCAAATTATTACTATACCTTCTTCTTTTTCATCTACAAAGCTACATCTCCTAAAGAAGATACAGAAGAATTTATCTTATTGATTGCAGAAGACACTCTTTCGTATTTTATTTTAGACTTTTTACATGAAAACCAATTGCTGTGTTAGTCAGAACTTCGTGTGTCGGCTAACTTGTGGCGTTGGTAACACTGTCATTGGCCATTCTGTCATGTCAACGTCCTCCCTACTAGAATTTCGTCAACTAGCGGTTTTCGAGTTTTTACCTTGGAGTTGAGGGCTCTGATATTGATTCTTGCTTTTCTAATATGTTTGCCATTGAGGAAGCAAGAGCCTTTCGATGTCCGTGGTTGCTTGGTTCTGCAGATTTCGTTCGGCAAAGAGTCTTCTTAGTTGTAGCGATGGATTTTCTAGGTTTTCATTAGAAAAAATATCCCGCAAAACATTCACACAGAGAAAAGCACTCTTAAAAAAATCACTCAAAAACATACTCGAGTACTAGCGGAGGAGGAGCATTTTTAATTCTAAAAAGTTTAAATTTAAGTTCAGCTCTTTAGCTCTTACTGTTTTTCCAGTGGAGGCTTATTGGATTGACTTGATAGGCATTGTTCTAACTCGTTGATTCGTTCCTGCTTGTTCTGTATTTCCAGAGTGTAGGGGAGAGCGATACTCATCTGGTACTCTTCAGATTTTATGTGTTCGATTTCTCGCCTTAACGTTATATTTTCAGTCAGCATTTGATCTAATCAATTATCATACTTAGCGTCAGCTAGCTCATTTTCTAATCGTTTTCGGTCTGTTTCGAATGATTCTATTTCTTCTACAAGATTTCGATTGTCTGTTCTGTAAAAATCCACCTATAAGGACAATTCACAATAGGATGGAGTTTAAAAACTGACCTCCTCTCTCTTTCTGCTAAGCTTGAGCTGTAATCCTTCGTTCTTCTCCTGATAAGAGTCTTTGTCCTTCTTGACTGACATGATATTCTGACGTAAAGATTCGGCTCGTTCTTCTGCTGATTTAAGTTTTCTCCGAAGTTTCTCATTTTCAGTACGCGTTTTTTCTTGCTCTCGAGAGGAATTACGAATGACACTGAAGATTTCTGTTACCGTATCTTACAATCCGAGTTGCTGTATTCTAAGTCTGGATTCCAATCCAGAGCTTCGAACTGTTTGAGTCAGCTGGATTGAAAGTTTGCAAACTCAATAGACGTATGTCAGGTAGCCAGAAAATCACTTGGCCTGACGTTCGAATATTTTCCAAATACATACCGACGTGCGTAGCCAACTTGCTCTTCCAAGCATCTTTGATCTAGCTGAAGCTCTATCACCGCGTTTCGCAAAATACAATTTTGTTCTCTTTCACTTTCGAGGTCTTTCTTTTTTATGTTCAAATACAATGAAGTTGTTTTTTGGATAACTTGAATTCAAACTAGATATCCGACTCCAATATCACCAAGATTGATATTACAATATAGACTGATATTATATATGCCGATAATCGGCTTACTTAATTTTTTTGTAAAATATATTTTTGCTTGAACAAGTTCTAAACTTTCCAGTAACTCCTCAATTAAGTTTTCAAAAGAATAATTTTCTTTGTCATTGTCACTCGTCTGTAATGAAGTCAATTTCGAATAGTTTTTTTGTATTCTTTAAACTTAACTTGAAACTAGACTTTTGCCCTGACTTTTGCGCGACTTCTGCGACTACTATTTGTTCTTTAATTTTATGTTGCCAGTGACTCTCGAGTTTCAGGCACTTCTGGCACTCTTCTTGTACCGCGATTGGCAGTCCTGACTGACTGATTTTTGAAAGATGCACATTGACGTTACAATTCTCCATGCTAAAAACATAGGAGATTTGTAACGTAGATTGCGTAGGCGTCACTGGTTTGACTGAACTCTCAAAGAAGAGACACTAGAGTCAAATTTTAATTGGTTGATTAGCTATTTCACTCGAAAATCAGAATCAGTCAGTCAGAAATGCCAATCGCGGTAGTTTGTTCTCTGCGTTTTCCATGTCTGGCGTGCTCTTTCCGGAATGAAAAGAGTTTGATTAACGGATTGTTGTTACAGGATTATGAGTAATAATTAAATTACAAAAGGCGCCACTAGACTAAAACTAACGTTCTGGACCAATATTTATTTAATTAGCTCAAGTGGCGCAGTACTCATGGTCATATCTCTTCCATTATTGCCCTTCTATCGCCCCTTTACTTAAAAATCACTGAATTTCCTTTAAAATTTGCCCTGCAAATAAATCATAATTAAGTCATAAATCCCTGTCTTTAAAACTGCCCCTGAAAAAAACTCTAGTGTCTTGAAACAGTACATAATCTGATTGAGTCCAAGTGCGTCTGTTGAAAAATGGTTTTCCATACTCAACAGATATTTGTTTTTTTTCTTAGGCGCTTTTATTCTTCTCAGTATACGTTTGCGCAAAAGGTTTGGCAATTGAACTTGACAAGAAGTTCTATAACATTATATTTAATTGGTCGTTTAGTTGGTACATGTGTTTTTCAGGCCAAGAAGATCAGGCACACATAAGACAAGTTTTTGGAAATTAGCTTCGTCGAGTTGTTCTTCTCTAGCCAAAGCACGGTTTCTTTTGGTGAGACAAGAGCAAATGGCGAAAAAGGGGGAATCTGAATCAGGAAATGATCCGGTAACGAAGAGAAAGGTGAATGATCCTAGAATGTCTGCCAGAAGGTAGATTCTTGAGGTGAATGCGAAATGAATTATAACTTAAAAAATAACGACTATTCGGACCCGATTATCTGATAGGCCCTGCAATCTCGGTTTGTGATCACATAGCTCGGGCTCAACTTTAAGGGAGTGAGGGTCGCAAACTGAAAGAATATGTTTGTAGAATGGAAATAGAATAAGGGTTTAAGACGGCGATGGTTTGTTTAGAATTTTTTAATTTAAGAATTGTTTTCGTATTTACAGCTGTTGTGAACTAGGCAGTTGGGAGTTTAGCTGTCCAACACGCGAGGTGAGCAAGATGAGCGAGCGGTGCAGCTCGGCGAGCGCGGAAATATGGTGCGGCAGCGCGCTCCGACTCATCACACGCCCCGCCGGTTTCATCGAAAGCCATGAGAGGCGCTCCAGGTTCTCGACAATGTAGCGCAGACAGATTTGCGTGCAGGACTTGTCTAATGCATGCAGACTTTCTTGTATGTCCGACGATTTCGCCTTCAAGCAAGGGTCAGATAAAGGTCAATAAGGAACGGTGCTTACTTGGATGTGAAGAGCGACTCTGAGGGTAGTAGGCTCGTTCTTGTTTAGAGGCCCGAACCATTGAGGCATGCCGATTGGCATAAGAGCTTGACTGATCCAGAGCGCGACGGAAAGTGGCTGGTGCATCAGCTCGATGCAGTTTTCTCCATCTTCGCTTCCAGCTGCTCCACCCATATTTTCACCGACGATTTCGTCAGCCAGTCCTTTCACTGAAAAAAACATTAGATCCCCTGTTCGTTACATTCTAGTTGGAAACTCGATAAGAAAGCATTTCAAAATTGCTTCTATGGTTACTCACGGTCTTCATTTTCATCGTCATTCATTGCATCTGTCCATCCAAGGTCGAGTCCGAAATCATCGTTTTGATTTGCATTGTTTTTCTCATCGCCAGTACTTTCTCTGGCACTAGGTGTTGTTGCGAAAACGGCTATATGTGCTGATTGAACTTCTTCGGGTTTCAAGGTGGCTAGTTTTGACTGGCTGATCGCTTTGTAAGTTTTCTTTGGGTCTTGAACGATTCTGATTGTTGCATCCGGCTCGATCGACGTAAGGTACGCTTAATTAACAGTTTGACTAAGCAAAAACATTTCTATCTTACCAGAAACAAGAGAGAGCTTGTGAGAGCTCAAACTCGACTTGTTCGCTCGTTGTGTCCAATTGGACCATCTGGCAGATACTTGCATCAGCTTTGCCCATTCATTGGTTTCGCCGAAACCAAGTCGGCCTATACGAGAGACGACGACTCGTAGCTGGCCCTCGCTGAACGTCCTGTCTGCGAACTCTTTCGTGAATTCCCAGACTTTGCTCAGCGCTTGTTGAATCAGACAGTATTTTTCTGGCGCCTGCTTGTCAAATATCTAAATCGTATTTAAGCTTCATGATTAGCTTTTTTCTATCATAATTTCTATTCAAATGATAAATATATGCCGCGAAAATATTCGTCCGCTACCTTGCTGGGACGTCAATCGCGATAACATTTGTCTCCAGATGTTTTCCAAAACTATCAGTGCATGAAACCAGTACCCATCTAAAGAGGAGACATATTAATCATGCTTTCCGAATGATGGTTACCGTTGATCCTGAGACGGAAAGTAAGAGCAATAAATAACTTGCTGGTAGCTCTCAGTTTCAGCCGAGAAGTCGGGCTCAGGTTCTCGTAATGTTATTGATGGATTTTCATTGCTCTCCGTGTAGATCACAGCCTTCTTCTCGATTCTGTCTTTCGTAGGACCGAAACCAGTGAAAGACTTTTCCGGTTTGAGTGCTTTATCAAGCGGAGTTAAACACTAGAAGCATTGAAAAAACACACGTGTAATCTGACAAACCTGATTAAACGTCTCAAGCGAGATTTTTTCCAAGAACTGGGTGTCGGCCGTCGCTAAGAAGCTCGCTGGAATGAATTTGAACTGGGTACGAGACTTCCATTGCTCAGGCAACGCGCGCATCATGTTTTCACGATCGCGTACCTCTAGGAGATCCTTGGGGTGCTCGGCGTCTTTCGCTTGCGAAGGCTCGAATACATACACGATAAGTTGACTGATATCTCCGTCGATAAGAGTTTTGTTCTTCGGGTGATCTTGATTCAAGGAAATTTGATGCCGAGTTTTATTCTTGCTTACCTGGATTCATCAGCTCAGCCCTTTGTCTACTCTGATCATAGCCCGGTCCATGGCGGTCCTGGTCCAGCTGCGCAGCGTGCTTCGACCAGTCAAGGCCATACTGCTTTTTAAAATGGAGACTTTGAAGGATCGGCGACACCTGATTCGTGAATGTCTTTCGGTACCGGTCAGAAAAAGAAGTGGTGTCCTGCACAAGGCGGATAAAATTGTCGGACACTTTGCGCGTTTTGCGTGAATGAGATATCGGCAGTGGAAGCGGCTTGTGAGTGCCGAAGTTGTTCCGCGTGTAAGCCGAAGATAGCTCTTGGAACCATCTAAATAACCAAATGACTCCTGAGAAATGATAGTTCAACCTACCTTTTCGCTTTGCTCAGGATGACGTCTGAATTTGGCAAAATGACGAGATAATAGACGTTTTTCTTCATTCCCACGGGCGCGAGCGAGAGTTCTCGGCTGAATTGGATAGAGTTCGGCGCAGCGTGGAAAAGCTCATTGTGCACAGATGACGACATCGACTGGAGCTGCGGGACTGGAAGTGCCTCTGTCTCGTCACTAGCGGTCCTTCGCCCGGCGCGAACTAAGCCAGACCAGTTTAGCGGTCCTTCTACGCCAGGCTTTTGGATTGCTTCTTGTAAAATCGGCCGGAGATATCTTTAATTATGTTTATGCCTCTCGTACTTAAATTATTTTGACTAACCCTAGAAGGCGAACAACTTCGGATGTCGGAGCTTGCTGCAGTGCGTCTTGATAAGGCAGTGAGTATCTTGTGACGACGTCTTGCGACACATCGTGTCCGAAATGAAGAGAGTTGTCACGGTCAGACGCTGCCTGCTGCACAGCCGACCGAGCATTCTTCAGAGCGTCGCCCGTTGCATTGCACGCGTCCCAGAATAACGCATAATTGAGAATATAAGGATGAGGAAATTCGTTGGCATCGGCTGTTGTCATGTTTCTCTAAAAGAATCGGGGGTAGTCAGGAAATTTCGTTGTCGCTACTTACGCTTTTGGTTGTTTCTATGATAACTCGAAGCATTTTTGCAACGACATTGAGCTTGGGCTTGTTAACACCAACATTGCCGCCCTTTCCAAGTATCTCAGGTGTTGTTCTTAAACTGTCGTCGAGGAAACAGCGTTGGTTTGCGAGAACAACATCGTCTTCTATCTTTTCGCCAGCCATTTTGATCTCGTCCTCTAAGAAAAGCCCACCCCAGGTGCCGATCGCAGATGATCGCATCGCTATTGCTGAGAATCCACAGCTACAAATGTCGTCTTCATCCATATTCGTGGCGCCTTTTATTTTCATTCCTGAAGTAATAAGTAAGAATAAACCAGAAAGACAGGGCGATAAAAAACATTCTTGCGAGAAATTCTTTATAAATAGATTGATGCATTTATAAAGCAGCATTATCGATTTATGCTTACCTATCAGGTGTCCATCAGATCCCAAATAATTTGACTTGCAACTGCATAAAGGCGCTTGTATAAAGTTTCTATCACGGTGAGCGTCTAACACAGAGTCGCTCAAAATAAGATTCAGCAACAGTGCGCTGGCTTCTGGTAGACTTGCTACACCGCGAATGCCAACAGAGCCAGGGCCCGATTTGCCCGGTGTAAGACAGCTTCGAGGTGTGCGGGGAGTTTTCGGAGTTCGAGGGGCATTGAAATCGCGTGAATGACTTGCATGGCTCGCGGGACTTGGAGGAACGACGCCAGGAGATCGATGGTTCATGGAAAGTCGCGTAGATCCTGGCGTGTGCGGATAGGTTCCCACGGACGGCGGACCACCAACCGAATGTGGGTTCTGATAGCCAGGGGTCGTCGGTTGCCCCGGAGTCTGTGGCGCGTGACCCGGAGTGCCAGGGCCACCAGAGATACCAGGCGTTCGTGGAGCTCCAGGAGTATTCGGGGGACGCACACTTGTCGGCTGCTGAATGTGCACTTGAATCTGTCGCCTGTAGGCTTCTTGTCCTTGCGCGTTCAGCTCTTTTTCTTTCATTCTTTGCTTAAACTTGTGACTGATTGATCCGTCTTTCCAACTAGGCTTGTAGTTAGGAGCATTAGAGTGAGAGTGTGTGATTGATTCATCGTCTAGTCTTATGGCTGCGAAGACTCCTTCTTCGTCTGTCTTCGTGCCAGGCTCTGGGTCAGGATCAGGCGTTAACATTGTCGACGAATCAAGAAGAAAGGTCGAGACTTCAGAGGGATCCTTTTTTATGCGTTGCGTTACATGACTTGGACTCGGATGGCTCAATTTCGAAGTATAATATCTAGATTTGCTTAATCCTGGACGATCGTCAGGACTCGGCGTGAGGATATTTAGCTCGTACGTATTCTCGTCTGGGTCGTTTTCTTTGACACTAAGTCGTTTTTCGGAATATCCATTATTTATAGCGTTAGTAAGCGAAATGGGATTATGGTGATCCATCATACTTCCATTCGAATCGAAGGGATTAGGTTCGGTTTTGGTTGGTGATGGCTCGTAAAGGGTTTCCTTGGGCGCCTTTTTTGCCGGCAAAATGTCATTGGACTCGCTAATTCGAGCTTTCTTCAATCTTTTACGCGGCTTGAACTCTGGAAATATCTCATTATTTGAACGATTAGTGGAGAAGTAAAGAGTGTCGTCATCGGCGATGTCGTCGACCTCAAGCTTTGGGCGACAACGGTCGCTCTTGAGGGTCAAGCCATTCGGTTCGACGGGAAGCTTGAGCCCGTTCCAACAGGGCACCGTTGGTCGATAATAAATTGGAGAGGGAGAATCACCCATAACATCCTTCACGTCATCGACTTCTGTCGGCGTCGCGGGCGAGTTTGAGGATTGCGTCGTTGAATTGGTTGGAGGATTTGATTCGGGTGCAGTAAGTGAGTCGGCGTTAACGACCTCATCCATGATGAATTCGGAGCGACGCTGGCCTTCGTTATTGCGCTTGTGGAATGGAGACTTATGCTTTGGCCAGCGAGTGGTTCTCTTGACGGAGGACTTTTCAGAGCGTCGGCAGCGCCGATCAACGAAGGAAGGGACGACCTCTACCATGTTTGACTGGTTGACGGACGTCGGAATGTTACCATTTGCCATTGGACGGGGGAAGAGGTCGATCGCCGCACTCTTTGCAACCTCACGCACGACATTCTCAATCTTTGCCTTCTCGGGCTTCAATTTTGGAAGATTAAGCTCCTCTGGATCCTGTGGGACAAAGACCAGCCGTGCTGGGTAGACAACTCGAAAGGCAGAGACGGTACTGCCTAGTGCCAGTTCGACGGCGAATGGCTCTTCTTCATCGTCATCGCGTGTTGTAGCAGGGAATGCATAAGGATAAAACTCGAGCCAAGAGCTCCAGGAGTCATTCGCCAAACTCACATCGTGATGGTGCTTGCGAAGAAACTTCCCAGAGAAAAAGCCGCGCAGACCCCAGGGCGCGCAGATTACTTCTATCGGATGGATCTCAGACTGCAGAGACGAGTTCGAGGGACGTAATCGCTTCACAGCCGGTGCCTGGCCAGGCTCTATCGAGCAACAAACGTTCGATCCATTGAGAAAGAAGCTAATCGAAAACGCTGATTTGGAGATATTGTCTCCTTCTGGCGTTCTGAAGAACCAGCGACCCATTCGTGTCCATCCTTCGGCGCACAACTTGCGCTCGACAGAGTTGTGCAGAGCCTTGAATAAAAGGGTGCGTTGAACATAAGGCATTCCATCGCTGTTCGTTCCCGAGTACTCGAAGATTTTCTCGTCCGAGTTCTCCAGACCCTTCTCTTTGAAGGATTCTAAACCCAGTTTTCATTCAGCATTTATAGAAAGTACTACCTAGCAAAGCTGGCTTGTCGCCCCACCAGAAGCACCAAAGCTCTTTCTTGTGTTCGCTCGACGGTGTTTCCTTTTCTCGCCCGCCCTCCATGGGCCGGCGCCAGGTGCAGAGGATTCCCTCGCGCATGCATTTGGCGAAGGCGGAGAGGATCGCATCATCCCCTGGAAGACAGGGGAGCGTATTCGCGAAGCTATACTTCGTCCATTTGATGCCCGGCAGATCGACAAGCTTGAACACATTGGTGTGCGCATCAGGAAGCATAAAGCCCGATGACTTGGCGATGGTTGAACTCGCTGTACGCTCGTAATGGAGACACAGAGGTATCCAAACTACGCACGCGTTTCAGTGAAGAGCGTTCACGGGTCTGGTGGCTCGCACAGAAATTTCATCGCCGATCTAGAATTACTTTTATTTCTAAAATCCAAGACTTTGAGAGTACTATCACTCAGAGAAGGGAGCGCTAAAATAAAATCTATTTAGAAAAATTAATCCGCTCAAAAAGTGACTCACGCAAGGTTTTGAAAATGTCGTCCTTAGTTTTGTGTGATATTGAGCGATTCTCCGATTCCCTGACAATCGATTTCTGAAAAAAAGGAATTCTCTATTAGGCTAGATACGGGCGCGCGGGCGTTTCTGGCGAAATTTTCAAGGGAAACACAGCTGAGGCTACTACCAGATACAGTTAAGAAAAAGCACAGAAAATTAAAAAAAAATAAACAATCATAGCAGCATTACGCCTGCGGGGGCAGCTCACAGTGTCAAGTTCCCACATTTAACCGTAGCGGCGCTGTTGCTCTCCGATCTACAGCCATCACTTCTACTCGTACGAAAAAAATCTTCAAAAGAATTCACACCTGCACCTTCTTAGGGTTACTATTCCTACCCACGCCATACAAATCGATTCTAATGCGCGACGTCTTTAGAATACATCCCAGTATAGTGCCCCTGTCTTGAGCAGTCCCTCTCTTCCATAAATTAATCCCTTTCCCGAGACAATTTTAAAATTAGTACTATAATAATATGATTTATCCCGTGATTCGACAAATAACGAGAATAGTATTTTTAACTTTCCGACTCGATTTTTCAAAACAAAAATTTGATAAATAAAACATGTTACGCATTAAAAGAAAATTGATCGTTATTTCTTAGCGTGTCTGATAGCAGTCGTATTTTTTCTTTCTCTGCTAGAATAAAACGCATATTGTAGTGGCTTGGAGCGTAGTAATTCGGAATCTGCAAATATTTACGGCCTTGTTGAATCACTTTCCAAGCAGCTCGAAAGGCATTAATCAGTTTTTCACTCTTTTTAATCGTAAAATCACAATCCAGCGCACAGTTTGACCTAGTAACCCACACACTACAAGCCAGAAAAGTAAAAGCATCAAAACAAGATGGCTTTTTCGTTTTTATTCTTCGAAGCCGAGCGCAACTCAAAAAACAACAAAAAGATGAACGCCGGTGAGAAGACTCTTTGAGCTTGAATTTGAAATTCTAATTGACAATGCTAGTACGTGATATTAATTAGACCAAGGATGATCTTCGCTCAATTTAATTTTGTGAAAAAGTTCAAGTCGAACTTTGATAATTGTAATTTTCGTTAAGATGAGTTTAGCGCTTTTTTCCGAGTAATAGACGGTTGGAATGAACGAAAACGCTATTAATGCTAGATCAGATTATTAATTAAGAAATTAGGTGAACCTAAGCCAAGTTTTCTTTTTGAAAGTCGTATGAAATTTTCGATTTTCGTGCAACGTTATCTAAAGCTAGAAAAAGGTTGACTTTTCGAACGTGTGGATCTGACAGTTCCCCAGTCTGTAATCGATTCGCGCGTCTAATTGGCTACGACAACTGCGAACTGGACAGCTGATTGGGCAACTCGGGCGGATCATCCAGGCACGTCCGACTCAGCTCCCAAGAACACGCTCGTATCTCCACACACGCCACAATAAAAGCTCCAACAACGGAAAACTCAACTCAACACCAATCTAACTTTCACTCCTTGCAATTTACAAATAAACCCAAATCAAGCTAAGTCTGACTTAAGAAAAACATTGCTAATCTGAAGCGAACCTTTTCGCTAATAAAGTTGATATAATTACAGTTGGAACTTTATCTCCAAAACCTTTTTAATAAAAGAACCAAGAATTATTTCAAATTAAAGCTCGAAAATAGAATAAACTCATCAAGTTCGTCAGAATTGCTGAAGAATAAACATAACGTTTTCTGAAACTTCAAAAATAGCGCCAGATCTTTATTACAACGACTTCATCGACGTAGGTCCTCCTTTTTATACAAAATAAAGGCCAATAATATAAAAAAAATGAAGAAGAAAAATTCTGAGATTGATGAAGCCACCGGGCGATCGGTAGTAAGACATTAGGGCTGGCTCGTGTGAGAGCGGGACTAACCTAAAAATTGACGAAGTTGGATGTTTTCGGGGGTTTTAGTCTCTCCTTCGATTGTCCGAGGGTTGTGTTTTCTCTTCTCCGGAAGTTGATTTTAATAATGGTAATAGCCGCCGGTTGAGCTCGGGAAGGATTCTCGAATTTTACGAAACCCGTCTTGGTACTCCGCCCCGCGGCAAGGCCGACTTCAAGGCGCTCTAAATCAGCTTCGATTTTTCGACATTCTAGTGCCGAATACAAAACCTCTCCAATGCCAAAATACATGTACTCCTTTGCTAACCCCTCTACTAATCACAGTTTCATCAGCTGGATAAGCGGCCTCTACCATCAGCAGAAATAAATATTATCAGAAAGTTTGACTCTCAACTCGACTTCCGTTTTCAGCAGAAGCTTCCATTGTTGTTATTTTTACCACAATATAATTCCATTTCCTTCATAAAAAATTGGGTAAACCCTAACCCAACCCTGGAAAGACGCAAGAGTTGAAAAACAATCAAATAAAGAATTACGAGTTTCCTAAGTAAAACTCTTCCACCAGATTGAACCAATAAGCGCTGCTCCTTGAAGTGTCCTCCGGCTCCCTCGGATAACGCTGTGCATGATAAAATTAGAGAAGTACGAATAGATTATGAAGAGCCAAACGTTTTTATGTATTGTCGGTGCTGGGCTTGTTTCTATTTTTTTCTTCTCACTTTCCTCATTTTCCAATCGCGCACAGGCACCGGATAACATTTTTCTTTTATTGCTTTATTTTCCGAAAGGAGAGATTAGACATTTTTTGACTTCCGGGCAGGGTGAAGATGATTGTTCAAGTTCGACTACATCAAAGCCTCTATATGGCTTCATTCTTTCTACGATGGCGGGAATGATGACTTTTCTTGGCGCAATGACTGTCTATTTTCCTATTCCAAAGCAGCACATGCGGCTGACGTCTTGTTTCTGTCTAGCTTCAGCCTCCGGAGTGATGGCATTTGTTTCCCTCGTGGAGGTGTTCCACGAAGCAAAAGAACACTTTGAGGAGGTTTACAAAGGCGACTGGGGACTAATCTACGCTTGCCTCTCTTTCTTCGTTGGGTGGGGCGTTGCTCTCGCCATGGACCACCTGCTTCATAAATACCTGGATCCTGAAGTGGACAACTCTTGTCCAAGTGCCTTTCTCGAAAAAGGGCATCCCGAAAATGAAGAAGAAATGGCCCAACGACGGTTCGAAGCTGATACATTCAGACTTATGCGAGTTGGCTGGTTCACTGCTTTAGCCCTCACTGTTCACAACATTCCGGAAGGTCTACTTACGTATGTATCTGCTCAGGTAAACAATGAAAAATAGTTAAAAGGGATTATCTTTAAGTCTGCAAATCCAACGATCGGCTTAGGAATCGCGGTTGCCATTGGCATGCACAATATTCCGGAAGGCTTCGCAGTAGCGTTTCCCATCATGATTGCGACTGGAAGTAAACTCAAGGTAATAACAGTCCACAAACAAGCAGCTCATATTATTAGGGAATGTGTTACGCAGCAATTACTGGATTTGCCGAGCCCCTCGGTGCTCTGATAGGTTATCTATTTATTAACCTAAGCGATGAAAGTTCAAATCACAAAATATTCGGATGGTTATTTGGAATAACAGCTGGAATAATGACCCAAGTTTCAATTTCTTCACTTCTTTTAGAAGCTGCTAGATACGACCCAGGTTAGATAATCGTTTATAAAATCAAATAATCATCGAATTTAAGGGGATAAAATTGTTTCTCGAGCGTGGGTATTCGGTGCTATTGTGATTGCCCTGTCCCTTGTGGTTATTCAAGTTACAGACAAATGCTCAGATAGAGAGGCCGAGTTCTGCTCAAAGTGGCAATCGATATGCAACTGATTCTCTTTAGATAGACTATTCTTGAAAATATATTATATATCAATAATAATATCATATATCTCCCAGCAAAGTTTCCAATGCAAAGTTTCCAATGCAAGTCAATGTTTATTCGTTAATTCCAGTTGAGAATCTGAGGTAGTCGACAGAAAAACTCGATGAAGTCAATCACACCGTCGCGGTTACGATCGGCAATGTTGAAGATCTCTGAGACTTTCTCGTCGGTATCCGCGTCTGATCGATCAGAGTCTTTGAGTGATTGAAGGAAATCAGCTCGGGTAATCGCTCCAGAGTTGTCTTAAGATGAAAATGCAGATCTTGGAGACATGGAAGAGACTTGACTTACTGACGTCGTATTTGTTGTAGAACTTATGTGTATTGAACCAAAACTTGACGAATTCCTCCTCGTTGTAAAAGCCAGGGCGCATAAGCTTTCCTTTGGCGTCAAACTTCTTTGTAAACTTAGCCAAAGTGCGCGCGAAATCGTGCTGGGTTCCGTCGTGAGCGCGTATCAATCCAACAGAGCAGAAATGCTCGACTATGTTCTGTGGAGAAATATGGAGTGGGTCCATGCTGAGACCGGCGATTGTATCGAAGAGAACTCGAAACTCAGTTATCGCGTCTAGGTTTATCCTTAATATAATTAATGGTTACTACACAGACCTTTTTCAGAAGTGTGGACAGGGTCATCAGTGCCGAGCATAAAAACTATCATTTTCTCGCAAGCTGGAAACTTTCTACCACTTCGCCGCGTGCTTGACTAACGGGCCAAACTAACAAATCAAACTTTCCTATCAAGACCAGCGTAAACAAATGCGCGTGATTTATAAGGGCAAATGCGTTTTCATTTCCGAGATTATTATATCCCGAATGTGGTAACCCCGAATACGGTTTCTTATCAACCTCGAAGATTTTCATATAAAGGATTTATTCCTGATAAATTGATGCTCACAATCGAATCTCTTAACTGTAGTTATTGTTGATATCAGAGACAAGTTTTGGAGGATTTCCCTTTATTTGGGCTGCTACTATTTTCTGGAGTTTGAAAAATTTGGAGTAAAATTTCTGTAGTCAATTTTCATTTTAATTTTAAAACTGGAGATTTTTTTTTCTGGACCTGTTTCCCAAAAAATTTCGTCGATTCCATTTGGACCAAAAATTACACCTTGTTCAAGCCCATTTTTAAGGGTGTTAAGGGCCTCCCGGCCCCCTAAAACCCTGATGAAAACCTGGCTCGGGGCCCGGGCTTTCGTTTGCCCCAGTCAGATACCCTTAATTATTACACTAACACCCTTAAAAATCGATCTGAACAAGGTGCTATTTTTGGTCCAAATGGAATCGATGAAATTTTTTGAGAAACAGGTCCAGAAAAAAAAATCTCCAGTTTTAAAATTAAAATGAAAATTGACTACAGAAATTTTACTCCAAATTTTTCAAACTCCAGAAAATAGTAGTTGCCTTATTTGTCAAAGAAATGGGTCGGCAACCTGTGCAGAAATCCTGAGTCAGTGTCCTTAAAGATGCGAAAAAGAGCTTAGAAAATCTGCACAAATCATGACAGAGTGATATTAGTTTTACATTCCAGGTTCGTCGTAATCCATGTCTTCGTGCTCCGTGACGAGTTCAATAAATTGTCGTTCCTCTTCATCCCATTCCATGCCCACACGCCTTTGAATCGAAGGTAAAATTTATCATTCGCGCTATAACTTACTCTAGATGGCTTGTCATGTATTTCTGGATATCTTCATGAATGTCATGAATGTTGAATCCGTGGCTCGCCCCAAGCAATTGGACGACACTGAAGCCCATTGTTGGAAGACGCCACCAGTACGAAGGGTCCAAGTTCAACTCGACGCAGATCTCTGCTAGTAATCGACCGAGGCGTTCTAAATTGAGGTGTGTCTTCTCGTGACTTCTGATCAGTGAAGTGACTGCTTTGTCGGATGTGACTCGTCCTCCCATCCCAAGGAAGATCTAAGAGAATAATTAGAGAAAAACTAAAATAAATGATGTTTACCTTATCTCTATTAGGCTTATCAAGGCAAGACGGGTGATCGCAGAATACATAGGGTGTCGGAGTTCCATCGGGCAGCAGAATTCTGTAGATGTTGAACTCGGTTGAGAAGACGTGATCGACTTTGATATGGCCGACTGCTGCGGGATCATCGTCTAAGGCTTCGAGAATCAGTTCCTTCACAGACAATGTTGCTATCGCTTTGAGGGATAGTGGCTGTTTTGGTGGTGATCTGTTTGCTTCCGAGAATTTTCGTTTTCGACTCATTTTGTAAATTTGGTTCAAACTGACCGCTTATAAGCATGAGAATCCAACAGAGGGCGCTCTTGCTATCAGGTGGATAATCTTTGAAGCAGTAGCCCGCTGCGTTGATCAGATAGGTTTTGCGTTCTAGTCCGTTTTGGGGCGTGAGCTTGACACAGTGATTAGCAGAATATCCTGGATAGTCTATCCACGATAGTTGGTTGCGTTCGAAACTAAGACAGTGCCACAGATGGATTAATAGCAATCATATGATCCGATCAAAGGAAATCAATTCGGGACCCAAACTTTCGGTAGTTCAACTTGCTTTTAAATTTAAAAGAACCTTGATTCATGATTATTCAATAAGTAAAATAGCGATTTATGAACCATCCTGCCTCCACTTCATGCCAGACTGTACAGTACAGTATAAGTCGTATCTTCTTGTAAATACAAAAACAACCTTCAACGAAATCCACGATATTTAAAGAAACGATTGCACTCATTTTGTACCAAATGGCAACAGATAGAGCGATGAACAGAAACGGAAAGGTGAGTAACTTATTCGTGTTTTTTTTAATAAGCGACTTTCCAGAGAAGTTATAGAAAGAATTAAATATATTGCGCTATTTTATGGACTGGGTCAGATGGTCCTATGGTGTAATGGCTATCACTGTGGACTTTGAATCCACCAATCCGAGTTCGAATCTCGGTAGGACCTCTCTTTTTCTTCGCGGTGTAGGTCGCCCAATCATCATCTGCGGCGCATTTTTTTCAACTGAGAAACTAAAACTCGCCTTTTCGATGCTTCTTCTGTTTTGTCTTTCTGAGCAGCCAGCCGAGAAAAGTTAATAGCTCGCCGGGCAGCCGTAGAGATATCCAATTGGTCGAGAAAAAACGATTTCGAAACCGAAAAATGTGCCAAAATACAATTTTAGTGAATCTCAGCTTTTTTGCTTTATAACTGCCGACTTCAGCTTCATTCAAAGTCATCTTTCATGTGTTCATTTATTTTCTTTCAAAAGGGACAAGGGAAATCAGAAATAAAGAGAGAACTAATCTATAGTAGATTGATTTTTGCATATTCGATCAAATCTAGAATCAATCTCAAAAAGGAGAGTTTACAGTCGTTTCCGAAGAGTTTCTAGATCGAAAGAGCGCCCAGTGATGTACCTATTTTTTCGTGTTCATTCTTTAAATAAGCAAGACGACCATGAATCCATTCGAAATGAACAACACGAAGGTACTGTCAACATTTTTACTATTGTCGATTGATTAAATTAATAATTGCCGTCTATTCACCAAGCGAGTAGTAAATTATTCACGCCAAGAATAAAAGATCACTCACGGTTTTCGTAAAGTTATTCTTGTCGATTTGATATACACGCGATTCGCGAACGATTTTCTTTTGTAGTCAATCATAAAAGGTCAAACCTTTCTTTGATCCACCAAAGTAGCTCCCATTGTATTTTTTAATGCGCCGTTCATACCCTAGCGCGAATTTTGACAGACTTAGAAAGAGAGAAACATATTGAGAGAGAGAGTCTACTGTGTTTTTTTCACATGCTGCTGCGAAGTTTTTCGATTAAAAAATTTTGAATTTTCTAATTCAGTCTATTTGTTCAAATATTTGCTCTTGCGCGCTGCTGTGGCCATTTTTATTTCTGAATCACTCTCATTGACATAGAGCCGGGCTAAGACCGAGTAAGTTTAGAAAGAGAGCCAAGCCGACCTCCAAAACACATCCAAAATGGCCAGCCGAAAAACCAAGAAGCCAAAGAAGCGAGCGCAACGAGCCACCTCCAATGTCTTCGCCATGTTCGGCCAGGACCAGATCCAGGTACGTTCTTCTTTTTCCCTCTTTGAGAATGGAATTTCCAATATTGACACTGTCTGCTTACCATTTGCGCCGACGATCTTCTCTTTTTTGAAGACTCGCGAATGCAAAAGCCTGGGCAATCACTTGCATTTATTTTAAAACTCCAACAATAATGTTGAATAATAAAAAAAATGATTTTTCTTTATTGATGAAATCTTAGCTTTGATTTTTTGTAAAGACTCAATAGCCCAGACTTCTTGTTCAAAATTCAGAACGGTTCCTTAGATGTTAGTGATTTTAGTAACTTTTCTTTAGCGAAATGAAACTGGTAGATGAAACAGACATTTTGACGTAATTGTAAATTTACATAGAGCTCGTAGTCGCAGGTGCGCGCTATTCCAACAGATAGCTCATGTTTCGTTTAGGAGTTCAAAGAAGCCTTCACCATGATTGACCAAAACCGGGATGGCTTCGTCGACAAAGACGATCTTCACGATATGCTTGCATCTCTCGGCAAAGGTGATCAACTATCATTATGATTTATTTTACTACTCGTAAAATACCGCTCAAAAAGATCTTGAGCTTATTTTGAAAATTGTCCCCAGAAAGCTAAAATATGAATTTTGAAGCCACTTCAAAAAAGCATCCTTAATCTTAATCGAAAACTTCTAGACCCAACTGATGATTACCTGGAAAAAATGATGGCTGAAGCGCCAGGGCCGATCAATTTCACAATGTTCTTGACGATGTTTGGCGAAAAGCTTAACGGAACTGATCCCGAGGATGTGATACGCAACGCCTTTGCATGCTTCGACGACAACAACTCAGGTGGGCAAGACGTCAGATGGCGCTTGTTAACGCTTTCAGGAAAACTAAGCGAGGAATATCTGCGAGAGTTGCTAATGACGACGGGCGACCGCTACACCGAAGACCAGGTGGACGAGCTTTTACGAGAAGCGCCGATCGACGCCAACGGCGACTTCGATTACATTGAGGTAAAACGCGCACAAGCAGAATTGAGTCTAACGAGCTCTTTAGTTCGTCAAAATCCTAAAACACGGCAAAGTGGACCCAGACGCGAATAAATTGGAGATGGTCAAGCTCGAATGAAAACAGCAACGCTCTGAAACCCTCTTCTTATTCGTCTCAACCTTTTCTTTCACTCTGCCTTCGCACGAATACATATTTCAATTCTCACGAAACATACAAAAATTAAATTGTGCCTGTTGAACTTCGCTCACTCTTTTGCACGTTTTTTCGATAATCAAAAAAATAAAATACGAATTTCTTAAAAACTCTCATTACATAACTTCAAATTGTAGTCTTGATGATTGTCATTAATGAAATAATAAAGCAGTACGTTCCAAAATGCATCAGTAAATCAGTACGGTCGCTTCTAGAGTGAATGCACGCGCATAGGAGGCGGGGAGGGGATTCAAGGAAGCCAACTTATTCTATCAATCACTCAGCCGGTAGCAGCGCGTTTACATCTTCGGCAACTCCTGCCTGGGCTAAATCTGAGCCTACCTCTGTTAATCCTGAATTACAGGTACGCCTTAATTCGAACGTACAAAATTGCATCGCTGAGCCGCGTGCTGCTCTTCTAAAATTTTAAAATGGCTTTCTTTTTCAAATTCTGCTGCTTGATTAAAATGTGTTGCAAATATGATTACTTATACTATTTTGTCATTTGCCTAGAATCGTCCTGTTCTCCCCGAGGATATGAGCAAAGATCGGACGAATGAGTTCCTGTCGATTTGTCGATCGATGGGGACGAACGCCATGGCAGGCAAGGGCGCTGGTCGAAACCGTCAACGATCGCAAATTGCGGCGCGGTGCAAGGCAGTCGGCAAAGACATCACCAACACATGGGACAAACTAGGAAGATTAACACAGCTTTGCAAGAGTACCACGCTCTTCAATGACAAGCCCGTCGAAATTCAAGAACTCACTTATATCATCAAACAAGACATGGACCAAATGAGGTATTCAATCGTTTTTTGAACGCTGTGTGGTAGACACACGTTTTAGACAGTCACTGGCTGAGTTGGACAGAATGCAATCTGGAACGCCCAACTCGAAAGACGGGGAAAAACATAACAAATCCATGGTAGCCGTTTTGCCTTTGCTATTTATTATTTTGAATAATTAGGTCCGGAGCTTGCAAACGAAATTGGCCGCAATGAGTAGCAATTTTAAATCGACTCTCGAGGCGCGGCGAGAAAACATGAAAGCACAGAGCGATAGGAGAAGTCAATTCTCCGGAAAGGGCATTCCTGGAGACTCGCAAAGCAGCTTTATGCGTTCCACCGTCCTGTTCAATGACGACCAAAGAGCACAGAATAACGATTCCAGTTTGATTCCTCTCAATCAGCAATTTCAAGGTCCATTTTTTCTCATCAAACGCTCTTTTAACTGGATTTAGGACAAATGTATGAAGAGCAAGATCAGTATTTACAAGATCGATCGAAAGCGATGGAACAAGTCGAATCAACCATCGTCGAGCTGGGAGATATGTTCGTTCAGTTAGCTGGAATGGTGAAAGGTAACGATTCTATGGCTCGGCTCGTACGTAAATTGTGTCTTTTTAGCGCAAGAAGAAACCATCATGAGAATAGACTCGAACGTCGAGGAGTCGGAGATGAACATCGAGTCTGCGCATACCGAGCTCCTAAAGTACTTCCGTTCCGTAACATCGAACCGCTGGCTAATGGTCAAGGTCTTCGCCACTATGATCATTTTCTTCATCGTTTTCGTTATTTTCTTTGCCTAAAATTTCAACAAGCCGTTATTCAATTCATACTTATTAAGATAATACAAATTTAAAGGCCGTTTCGGGCCACCTAAGTCCGTTAGAATATTAAAAGTTCCTCCAGTGCAATAATCCCTCATATTATATAAAACTTTAATAGGTGAAATCTGTACACATTGAATTCATATATCTAACGATCGCTTTTTATAGATTCTGGTGACATGGCTGTCGAATCGGACGAAACGGATTCCAGAGGAAGGGCGCAATATGCGATCAGGCACGTTTGAAAAAAGATTTTTGATGTTCTAAAGAATAAACTTTTAAAACTTTCGCTAGGGATGCGCCAGACGAGAATGAAGCTCGTTTTTCTGTTGAAGAAGCTGTCGAAAAAGCTGGTTTTGGTCGATTTCAGTGGAGATTGAGTATCTTAACTGGCATGGCATGGATGGCAGACGCTATGGAGCTCATGATTCTATCAATAATCGCGCCGGCTCTTCGTTGTGAGTGGAAGTTAGACTCGTGGAAGGAAGCTTTGGTTTCGACTGTGGTTTTTGTAGGAATGATGTGTTCAAGCGCTTTTTGGGGAAAACTTTGCGATCGACACGGGTAAGACATAAAAATTCGTCGCTTGAGATTATGTTTCTTCTGTCAGACGGCGCTCAGGATTGGTATTAGCGGTTGCATTTGTCTCATATGTTGGAGTTTTGTCGGCTTTCGCACCAACCTATCCGTGGATTTTGATTCTTCGAGGCTGTGTCGGGTTTGGAGTCGGCGGGGTGCCTCAATCTGTTACAGTAAGCATCCTTTGCTCGTTTTAGTTTGAATCAAGCTTCAATTAGTTATACTCCGAATTCCTGCCGAAGAAAGCAAGAGGGAGGTGTATAATGATGATCGAAGTATTTTGGGCGATTGGCACTTGTGTGGAAGTTATCCTCGGTAAGATGGTAATTCTGTCTTTGTCTAACAGTTTGATTCTAGCGATTCTGATAATGCCAAAGTACGGTTGGCGTGCTTTGTTAGGAGTTAGCGCGATTCCACTGATTCTTTTTACAATTTCCTGCAGATGGCTTCCTGAATCGCCCCGATACCACATGCTTTCTGGAAATCCGGATAAGGCGCTGCTTGTATGTTCTTTTTTGAACTGGACAAATTCCAATGACCTTTTTAGACGCTTGAGTCTGTTTGCAAGACGAACGGAAAGCAGCTTCCTAAAGGAAGGCTCCTTACGACTGGATCTGTTGAATCTCGCGGAAGCATAAGCGACTTGCTTAGCCCGCAAATGAAGAATACGACTCTTCTTTTGTGGCTCATTTGGTTCGCATGCGCTTTTAGTTATTATGGAATCGTCTTGATGACAACGGAAATTCTTCAAGAACTCAAGGAAGGAACTTGTGACGCAAAGGATCAGTGCAGTTTTAATTGCCGCGATTTAGACACGGTAATGTCCAGAAAAATTAATTTCGCTAACATCTTTTCAGGGTGATTATATCGAACTTTTGTGGACTACTCTTGCAGAATTTCCCGGATTAATCGTTACTCTTCTCATCCTTGAGTATGTGGGCAGAAAAGCCACGCTTGCAGTTACGATTTTTGGCTTCGCTATCTTCACATTTATAACCCCGCATGCCACATCAGAGAAAGCCACTATTTTTTGTCTATTTGCTGCCCGCGCTTTCATATCTGGCTCATTCCAAGCGGCATATGTTTATACACCAGAAGTATACCCTACATCAATGCGTGCGGTTGGGCTAGGAACATGCAGGTATGTGCTCTCAATCTTAAAGCTTTTTCCAACTTGTATTAGCGGCTTTGCAAGAGTTGGTGCTCTTATAACGCCTTTCATCGCGCAAGTTCTCATCCGGCAGAGTCAAGTCGCCGCTGCATCTACATATGGCATCGTGGCTTTGTTTAGGTTCAAAACTGAGACACAGAAAACTCCCGTTTATTAAATTTCCGCTTAAAAAGTAAATTTATAAATACTATAAAGCGTCTTTTTACTGACAGAAGTTGAACCTTCGTGAAGGTAGCCTCTCTTGCCTCCATCCTGTTACCGATTGAAACGAAGGGCCGTGACCTAAAGGATGTTACCTCCACACAGAAAAATAAATCTCAGAAACGCCCCGAACCTCCGGCTGAATTTGAAAATCCTATCTCGTTTGATCAGTCCGCTAACTGAACCAGCTATTCCCATTTTATCGCCATATTAAGTTATTTAATTATCCGCAATGTTTTTTGCTAAACAGCATGCAAGCTTGAAAATCTCGTTTAGCGAAATATTTACCATTATTGCTTCTTGTCTACTTTTCTTCATTCATTTCGAACTTTGTTTCCGGCTATTTTTATCCTTTTTATATATCAATGCAGTTTCTTCATTCCTATTTTTTAGCCAAAGTACCTTTTGTCTGTGCAATCGTCATAATTGTATGAATTTTATCATTTCTGTTACACAAACACCAGCCCCACTTATATATTTAAACGAAGTAAATCTTAACATCAACTGTTATAACATATTCTAATGCGTTTTTGTTCAGTGGGGATTGGAGTGGGCGGTACTCCACTATGGATCATGGCGGCCCTAAAACGATCGAAATACCAATTCGAAACTCGGAGGAAGTTATCGAATTGGAATGCTCCAGTATTCCTGATGCTGGAGAGGTGCTCAACATTTTGAGCAATGAGGCCGCCCCCATGCGCGTCTGGCTCGAACTTGCTCTTGAATTCTGGCGCCAAGATCGTCGAGACGAATTTCAGCAAGTGTTGGAGGAGGCCCGCACGAAAGCAGGAAAGGACTACATGGGCCACGAAAAGGATACAATGAGATGCCTCGATACTCTAGCAGCATACAACGTCATCTGTGGAAAGCAGGAAATCGACAAGGAAAAACAAACCAAGTTTTTCATGGAAGCTACAACTTTGTATACTCTCGCCGATAAAGTCATTATGTACGACCAAAGCCATCTCCTCGGGCGCGCCTGCTTCTGCCTCCTCGATAAAGGCGATCAACTTGACCAGGCCGATAATCAGTTCAATTTCGTTCTCGATCAAGATCCCAACTCCATTCCAGCGCTCCTGGGAAAAGCCTGCATTGCCTTCAACAAACGCGACTTCAAAGGCGCACTTGGGCATTACAAAAAATGTCTGCGACTGAATCCTGGCTGTCCAGCTGATATTCGTCTCGGAATGGGTCTTTGCTTCTATCGAATGAACAAGCTTGGTAAAGCCGTCGATGCTTTCACACGGGCGCTTACAATCAACAAGAGATGCGTTGGAGCCCTTGTTGGTCTTGCCGTCATCAACTTGAACCAAAGGGATATGACCTCTGTCAAAGATGCAATTACTCTCTTTTCTTCTGCATATAAAATCGACAAGAAGAACGCCTTGGTTCATATTCATCTTGCGAACCATTTCTTTTTCCGAAACGCAATAGATAAAGCGCAGCAACTCGCATTTCACGCTTTGCATCACACCGAACATCAGCAAATTCGTGCGGAAGCGTGCTATCAGCTCGGCCGGTGCCATCATAAGAGTGGCGATTACGAACAAGCGTTTCGTTACTACAACCAAGCCGCGAACTTTTCAACGCCTAAGTATGCACTGCCGTATTATTATCTCGGTTGCATGTATCTTCAACGCGGTTCTCCCTCTGACATTGAACAGGCAATCATTCTTTTCGAGAAGATCCTCAAGGAGTACCCTAACGAGCATGACACTATGAAAGTTCTTGGTCACTTATACGCCGACTCGACTGATCCAGAAAAATGTGCCCTTGCAAAAACTCACCTAGAGAAAGTGGTTGCTAATAATCCAAAAGATTGGGAAGCGCTCATTGACTACGCTCAGGTGCTGGAGCAGTTCACTCCAGAGAAATCTCTTGAAACGTATCGAAAGGTGATCGAACTGATGGAGTGCATGGGAGTTGATGTGCGTGCAGAAATCTACAATAATATTGGTACACTCCAAATGCGCCTTGGGAATCTCGAAGATGCTAAAACGAATCTGCAGTATGCTGAAGATAAAATCAAGATACTTGTCGATGGTCCTGATTACATGTACTACAGGAGCCTTCATAATACAGTAAAGTATAACTCCGCTCGATTGATGGAAAAGATGTACAACTTCGACAAGGCGATCTGGCTCTACAAAGAAATCGTTAACAATAACCCCAAGTACATCGATGCTATTCTAAGACTAGGGTGTATGCATCGTGACAAGGGCCAAATCTTCGACGCTTCGGACTTGTTCAAGGAAGGCTTGAACATTGACCCAGAAAGTCCGGATGCCTGGAGCTTGATTGGAAATCTCCACTTAGAAAAGGGAGAGTGGGGGACCGGACAGAAAAAGTTTGAAAGAATTCTGAAAGCTGAAAGGACGGCAAATGATGCGTATGCGAATGTTGCGCTTGGAAATGTATGGCTCAATATGATACATGCACCAGCGAGGGATCAAATGAGACTCAAACGACATCAAGAAAGAGCGTTGACCTTGTACAAGAATGTATTGCGTCAGGATCCAAAGAACATCTACGCTGCCAACGGCCTTGGAGCTGTTCTCGCTCACAGAGGATATACCAGCGAAGGTAAGTTTAAGATGAGAAATATGTTTCGACTCACGGTTACTTTTAGCAAGAGACATTTTCTCACACGTCCGAGAGGCAACATCTGAAATGAAAGATGTGTGGTTCAATCTGGCGCATATCTACGTTGAGCAGAAGCAATTTTCAAGTGCAATTCAGATGTACAAAAATGCGATGCGAACATTCAACTTGCAATCGGATCCTGGTAAGGTCCAGACTTGAATAAAGAATAACGATTATTGAAGATTGCCTCACATATCTTGCCCGAGCACTGTTCAAGAACAATTTGATGGAAGAATGCAAGCAATGTCTCATAAAAGCAAGAAGGGTTGCGCCGCAGGATACTGTTGTTCTCTATAACTTGGCGTTGGTTATGCAACAGCTAGCCGAGAGAAAGCTCATCGCGTCTAAGAGCAATCTCAAAGAGGTAATGACTTTATCGTTCTATTTATTTGCATTCACTTTACTATTTAGGTCGTTTGCGCTGTAAGAGATCTGGAATTGAGTGAGCGGTATTTCGAATGGCTCAGTGTTGCTGGAGACAAGCATAAATTCGCTTTGGTTGGGGCGAGCAATGAAGCACGCAAGTGCAAGGATATCCTTACTCAAGCTCATATCGTAAATAAAATAGTCTTCTTCAAAAACTAATTTTGTTCAGTACGTCAATCGAGCCAAATTAGCTGATGATGAGGAACGTGCTCATCGTGAACGAACTAAAGAAAGCGTCAATCAAGCGACGTTGAAAAGAAAGCAAAAGGAGCAAGAGAGAATCGCTGCGGCAGAAGCCAGACAGCGTGCGCTCGAAGTAAAACGAAACGAGTATCGAGAAAAAACTGGTGCCGTCTTGGAGAAAGTCTACAAGCCATCCGAAAAGTTCAAGGACAGCACGCCGAAACCGAAGGGCTCGAAAAGTAACTGGTTTTATTCAAAACGATATTTATTATAATTCAGAGCAACGTCGACGAAACGAAGGCGACGATGGTCTCATTAATGACAACGAATCTGATGCTGAGGCCGGATCTGCCCTTCGAGGAAGAAAGAAGAAGAAGAAACAACGAGACTCGGATGATGAGCGACCAGCGCCATCGCGTTTCAATCCCAAGCACAAAAGTAGAGAAGTCATCGACGACGACTCGTCTTCCGACGAGGACTTCAACGCAAAGGTAGCAAAAGAATATGAAATAGAGATAACGTGATGATTAAGGCCCATGTACAACAGCAAGCGATGCTTTCGTCAAGCAGTGACGAGGAAGCCGGCCCACCAAAGCCACAGAAAGACACCTTGGCTAGTTCAAGCGATGAAGACGCCCCTCCAGCGCCATCGAACAAAACTGCCATGTTGGATAGTTCAAGTGATGAGGATATGAATTCCGATACGGAGAAGAAGAATACTAGCCGACCTGGATTGGATTCCGGTAACCGCTAAATTCAATCTTATAATAATATATCATTTAAGATTCGGATTGATCCAGTTTGAATTATTGAATTATTTCCTTCTACAGTAGAAGTTCTACTATTATTGACCTTTCTCTTTCCCTTTTCGCACTATTCTATTTACATGTGGGATTCACATAACTGCCTGAAAAATATATGCTCTTTGTAATCAACTTCATATTATTTTTTTAGGTAAAGATGGAAGTGATCGCTGACGGAGATCGAGCAGTTATTGGCCACGATGGAATATATAAAATCATGGTAGTGAAGAAGGGCAAACATGCCTCGTTTGCAAAGCATAAATTTTCATGGGACGCCTGCATTGGAAGTAGTTGGGGACATACCTGGCAAATACAACAAGGACATTTGGAGAAGCTAGATATTGCTGAGGCCTGTGGAGGTATCACACAGTTTTGATATGTACAATTTACTGTATCGATAAGAAAATGTCGTCTCGAAGGTCCTTGGGAATATTCAATCAGGAGCGGACAACCGAAACGCTGCAGATTTGTCGCAGAAGGGCCAGAACTTAGAAAGAGAGCGCATCATGGAGATGCGAGAAGAACAGAAGGGCGAAGAACTTATTGAAAAGATCGCAAGAGGAAATGCCGATTTCGAAAGCAAGACACGATTTACCCAAGAGAAGTTTGTCAGGCACAAGCAGAAGAAGCACGGTGGACGAATTGAGGTAAGAAGGAAGTTGTAGGTGCATCTTTTTGAATGATTTTATAGATCTTGAAGCCGTCAATGAAATTGATCGTGCATCAGAAACTCGCAACAGAAAGGACGAAAGGAGCTTACTTGGATGTACAGGAGTTCGCTACAATTATGGCGATGGCAAATATCCATGCAAATTCGAAAGTTCTGCTTGCTGACCACTCATCGTGTTTCATGACTGGAGCAATATTATGTAAGATGAAATTAAAAAACTTCACTTGAGGCAAATTTTCATAAAATTTTTTTTCGTGCTCAGAAGAAAGACCAGAAAATTCTGAGTCGAATGGGCTAGATTTGACCCGAAAATTTTGACTTTATGACGTCAAAAATTGCGTAACAAAGTCCAGATTAGGGCATTTTTGGTAAACTTTTGGGGAACTTTTAAGGAGGTTTCCGTTGGACTTATTCGACGTTCTATAGCTCAAAAGAATCGCCGTCGAAAATTGAGGGGGGGTTTTAAAGGGTTTTGAAAAAAACCAAGAAAAAAATTTTGACCATTTTTCGACCGGTCGGTTTGAAGGTGTTTCTCTTGGAATTTTTCAAAATTCAGGAAAACCCCCCCTCAATTTTCGACGGCGATTCTTTTGAGCCCAAGAACGCCGAAAAATTCCATCGGAAACCCCTTCAAAAGCTCCCCAAACGATTTTTAGGGAAAATGAGTCATAATGACGTCATTTGATGGAATTATAGAGCCGGAAGTAGACCATTCGACTCAGAATTTCATCTTCTTTCAGATAAGCCAATAAAATATTTTTCAAAAAATTTTGCCTCAAGTCGACTTTTTTAATTTCATCTAAGGGATTTCTAGCGACAATTTAATTCAAATGAATAAATTCTGTAGCGAAATTGAATGGAGGAAGAGGGGAACTCGTCTCAATTTTTCAAGGGCAGCTCGGCGATAGTCCTCCTCATGTACCCCTTCAAAATTATGACTTCCCAGATGAAGTGTGGGACAAGCTCTCTTATTATCCTGCGAAAAATTTGGGGAAGGCTGTAATCAGCAAAGTTTTTTTACTACCAGAATTGAAGGATGAAGATGAAGAGCCCCAACCGAAGAAACAGAAAGTTGAAGAGGCAGAAGATAAAGGAAGGATTTCCCGACGTGAGAGGCAGGAGAAACGTCTCAAAAAATACTCCAGAGCGGCAGAACTACTAAAAGAACAGCTAGAATGTCTAGTGATTGCAGCGAAGCATCACCCACTGCCGTGGCTTTTTATGCTGCTCTCTTTTTTAAAACCTAGCTGCCCATTCGTTGTTTATTGTGATAAGAAGGAACCTCTTATGGGTAAGGAATGCAGCTTCAATTATTTAGTAAGAATCTCTTTTTAGAAATTTTCAACAAGCTTCACGAGAGTAAAAGGGCTGTTATGTTGTCAATTAACAGCATTTTTGAACGAACTGTGCAAGTGTTGCCTAAAAGAACACACCCCGAAGTCCACATGCCTGGAAATCGCGGATATGTTCTTTACGGAATTTCTGTACAGGCATAAACTTATCCTATCAGCTTCGCCCTAGCACTTAGTTCTTTTAAGATGAATAGATGGACAATCAAGTCGAAAAGCAAAATCCTCTTTTGTGTTTCCTGAAACTTCAGAAAATCAGGGGCAATGCTGAAGTCAAAATTAGAGGTGAATCTGAATAAGTCAGCCTTAGTTCTATAAGTAAATCTAGCAAGAACGCCTCTGGAATACCCGCCAGACAAGATCAACATGGCAAAGAAATATTGTTTCCCCTTTGACGACAAAACTGGAGTTCAGTATCTGCCGAAGAAAGAGACGTTTACTTTTATAATGACTGATATATCTGGTGCGCATATTTTTGGGTATTGCTTGCTAGACAACTCAAATCCAGACTCGTGTATTGTTTATTGCATTCTAAGGTATCGATTCAAAGTCAACGTCTTGGCTCATTCTGTTTAGTTCGCTGTCTTGGCGATCTTCATTCTACGACATTTTGCGGTTCATTGAAAGTCAGAATAGCAATCCCAGTGTCCAAGCGCAAATTCTACAAATTTTGAAAACTTCAAATATTCCGACGGCGGAATGCCCACTCGAAGTGATTCCAAACCGCATTATACTCAAGCCACCAGAAACCATGTTTCCAGATATCTTCGGCAATGTTTCTACAATGGTGCTACGCTCGTCCCTTACACCCAGACTAGTGATAGAAATTTGGGTGGCGTTGCTTTTCGAGCGGCGGGTGATCTTCAAAAGTACGAGTTTGTCCACTCTGACGGATACCACTTCTGCGCTCGAAGAGTTACTTTATCCTTTCAAAGTAAACCCATCTCCTTTTCCCAAATTTAACAGAGTAATTAAGTGGACAGGAATCTATATCATGCCACTGCCGGAAGATCTAATGGATTACGCTAGTGCACCGACTCCATATATGATAGGCGTGCACTCGTCGCTTTATCAATCTCTGCTGGATAAAGTCGGCTCTTCTATTGTAGAAGATGGCGTCTGTGTGCTAGACCTTGACCAGCAAGCGTTCTACTCCATCGAGAAGGATAGAGACCTTGAGCTTATCCCGAAGAAGTTCATGAAAGAGCTTGAGAAAACTTTCAAATCTTGGGAGCAGTTTACTGGAAATGAGATACAAAGTGCTTTTCTGACGCTTCAAGCTAGGCTTTTGTACTACTACCGCCAAGGATTCCAGATCAAAGATGACAAGATTGTATATTCGAAGGATTTGTTTGTAGCTGCGCACAATGATAAATCTCACCGGTAAGCTATGACTCTTTTTACTCTCAATTTATGAATTAATTCAGTTCTTTTGCAGAGGCGATCATCGGCGTCCAAATGTTTGAGCAATTCAGCCAGCAGCGACTTGACGAAGTCAACACTAAAAACACATCGAAACGGAACGCTCTCGATGAGCGAATTGCATCACTAGAAGATCTAGGATTGAAAATGCCCGACTTCAAGCAGCTTGGTCAGAACAGCCAGAGCATGGTGAACAAGCTCTTTGATAAGACTATGTCAAAAACGAAACAGATCGTGTCAGAAACACCTAGACGGGTTGGCAGTATTAAAGGACCCATGTCGAACCGAACACCACGAGTTGTCCAAGCTGAGGTTTGTCAATAATTGTTAACCTAGCTCTATAATTTTATCTAGGAGCTTGTGTTCGACTTTTCTCCAACAGACGCCGCGGCAGAACAAGTCAAACCACAAAAGCCAAGCAGACCACCACCTCCTGCGCCCGCAACTCTTACAAATACGAATCCGGTTCCTACAAAACCAGAACGCAATAACGTGCCAATGCATATTCCCAGCTTAATCGACTTCGATAACCTTCATATTTCACAAAATCATAATTCTGCTGCACAGCCCCCAGTTCCAGCACCGAGAACGCAAATGACGACGTGCCAGACAAACTCGTAAGCTGAAACTTCGTCAAACTGACTTCTAAGTGTAGTATTCAGATCTTCAAGCAACCGCCACGATTTATCGGAATTCGATCCTTTAGCCTAAAAAGTTCCCATCCCCTTTTCCCTTTTGTTTTTACTATTCTTCTTTTGCAATTATATTCTTGCTTTACCTGATGCAACCACCTATCATTGAACTTCATTCAAGATAACTTCATTTTCTGATCATTCAAAGTATACACTTTCTTTTGCCAGTGGAAATAAATTTTACAAATGACCGCAGTTGAAGTTGTTCGCATTACTTCCATGAAAATCAATTATCTACGATTTTCGAGGCGCAAGGAGCAGAATGCCTTTCATCACTTAAAAATGTCTTGCATGCGTCCAGATTTACAGAGAAAAAAATCGAGAGCAGCGCTGTATTCAAATGAGGAAACCTGCATGTCCGAAAAAGTAAGATGATTACAATAAGTGGTCTTACAGGGTTAAATTCCGAATCGTCAAGTCTTTTAAAGTCAGGCTTTAAAAGTTAGAAAAATCTATCCTTTTGTCGTATGTGAGCGTTTATAAGACCAGTCTATTTAACAAGTCATAATATTTCTTTCTCTACGCCTCTGCATCATCGTACATTGCAATGAGTCAATAAAGCTGATTAAGTACACAAAGCAAGAACCAAAAAGATTTTTACCTACTTTTGAATATGAGCATTAAGAGTGGCAAGGCGATGGCGAAGGCTCTAAAAAAGATGGGTAAGCTGACATTACCGAGAGAGAAGAAAAAAGATAAGAAAGCACCGACGATAGAAGGAGATGATTACTGGGATGAAAAGCCTAAATGGAATCATGTCTTTGACGAGGATCCTAACGATACAAGTCAATCTGATTTTATCTGCACTGAAAGCGATCCAATGGAAAAAGTTCATCAGAGACCTGTAGCCCAATCTGCACGAACTGTGGCCCAGTCAGCAAGAAAGAGACCACAAGGAGCGGATGCAGCTCAATCTAATCACGTAATAAAATTGATTTCACCCTTTTTTCAAATCGAAGGATCTTGTATACATCGTAGTTAAAAATTTTTACTTAAAATGGAGACGATAACTCGTGAAAAGTAGCGAAAATAACAATAACAACATAAGCAATATGTAAACATAATTGAAGAAGTTCTTTAATCTAAATTCTCATTTAAAAACTTGTTTTATTAGGGAATGACCAGCACTAACCGCCTAACATTACCAAGAGGATCCTCTCCACATGCCTCACCGGAAAGCAAAGCTGAAGTTGCGCGACTCGAAGCAGAGGTGAGCAGACTGAAGTTGCTCTTGCGAGACAAGTCCTCGGGTGCCAAAGCTCTTTCCGTCGACGCGACGGCTCGTGCATTTATGCTAGAGGACTCATCGTCATATCCCACATTAGAGCCGTTCACGTCGAGAAAGGAGAAATTCGCACTGTTAGATAAAGGTACTCGCATTCAATTAGTAGTAATCTTGACCTGGCAGCGATCGAGAACTACGATGGAGCAGCTATGACTCGCATCGTCATTTGGATCAAGCACAGTCTTGGCCGAGACGAGTCTTACCTCAATGAGCTTCGAGCGCGGCCTGATGCAATGAACCACTACATATCGTATTTGCGCGAGATGAAGGAGTTCGACGAGCTATCCGACTTGCTGGGTATCTTAAATCGCCCTGAAGAGGAGGCCTTTCTCGATTATCAGCGCAAGCTTGAACAAAGCCGACCTGGCAAGATGCGCGCCGAAAAACTCAAAGTAATCTAAAGGTTATAAAGAACGTGGTTGTAATAAAACTTCAGGACACGCTAAAATTCCAGTTTCAATCTCAGCGCGAACTGCAAGTTGAATCTGAATTGATTGACGAGCAAATCCGCCTGATCGAAAAACAACTTGTCATTGCCGAAAAGGACAAGTCAAATAAGATGATCCCAGCCGAGGCACAACTCAAAGTTGACGACACTTTATGTAACCGACTTCAAATTATATTGCTTTATTTCTTGAATACATTAGGTTCTACGCTCTGGTATGCGAATATGTATAGTGCTGGCGATAAGAACACCCTTTCGTCTCCCGACACACTGGCTGCTGATTTTAACGTCAGAGACGCAGGTTCGTACCATACTAAAGCAAAGTGAATTTCCTAAATAAATCACTAGAAAAAGATTGGATAGCGTTGACGGCTCTAGCCAAACAGCAGAACTGGGATCAGATTGAGCTCTTGGTCCGTAAGTCTGGAGGACTTCTAGGCTCCTTCTCCACGGGCCCGAAATATCAGACATCCATCAAGCTACCTAACTTGGTGAACCTCTGTGGTCAAAACGAAATGCCTATAGATAGGCTGAGAAAGTTCATTGTTGCGATTGAGGATATCGATGATAGAAAACAAGCTGCGAAAAAGTGGAATGACCATACTACTGCTCTTGAGGTAGTTAAAAGCTGCAGCGAATCTATTCATTGGTCGGTTTTCCTTACGCGTATTTTATAGTGTTTTAAAAAGACAAAAGACATCGACGGATTAAAACGTCACTTTTCTACAATTCCGCCTTCTGAGGAGACAAAAGCAATACGGCTGCGAATAGAAGCTGCCATGAGAGATCCAAGCAGTTGGAGTTGATTCCCCTCTACTCCGATTAAAAATTCTCAACCTTAACTCATTAAACTTTCTTCAAATAAATGTTCTGCCCTATTCAAGCATGACGATTTAATCTGAAAGATCTGATAATTCCGATGATATCCAGTGCTATCGGAGCTGTTTTGAAAATATCGATCGTATTAAAAATGATAGCTCTTGTGACACACGGATAGCTTTTGGAAAAAAGTTGTCTCTTGCCTACGCCGAATCGTGTCTTGGCTCTTTTCGTACCGGATTCACTTCCAAAGAGCGCCTATTTGTTAACTAAGTGATTTTATTTTCAGAATGGCAAAGGAAGTACCAGCTCAAACCGAATGGGCTATCCGAAAGGATAAGGTCCACTTGACCTTTCAGGTGAATCGAGGGAGCTTTATTTAGTCCAAGCTTCAGCTATTTATAGCGGTAATCGTTTTAATCGATAAAAATAGGTTCGCGATGCCAAGAACGAACAGGTCGTATTCGAAAAAAACCGAATGACCTTCAGGAGTGTCGCTGAAGAAGAAAACAAAGAGAAGCACTACTGCAATGAGATCGAACTTTTCGGCGCGATCGACCCTGACGTAAGAATGCTTATCGCTCCCGTCCATCGCCAATGCCTTTGTCATTTTAGCAATCCAGATACGTAAACACCGGCCGGGTTGTCCGTTGCGTGATGACCCGCGCAGAAGAGGGCGAGTACTGGCCTCGATTGACCAAAGAGAAAATTCGAATTCACTGGCTCAAAGTTGACTTTGGTCGATGGAAGGTAAGAGGTCAAGTTAACTTGTTAGGATTTGGAAAAAATTATCTTATATAAAAAGTAATCCGGTGGTGCAACTTTATTCTACATTTTTAGGATGAGGACGATTCCGATGACGAGGATAAGGCTGGTGCCGATTTTGAGCTGAATGACATGCTCTCGGGATTACGCGTTGATAAGGACGGCAACAAACAGTCTATGACTGACTTTGATGACCTCGACGACGATTCCGACGATGGCGAGATTGACGGCATCGAGGATTACTGAAGATTGTTCGCTTACTGACGTGTTTTGTAGGAGAGAGACTTGCTAAAATTATTTACACTGTACATTTGATAGATCGGTCTACTTGTAACCGAACCTATATTAGGACCTGGATTTACTTCATCTGCCTTTACATGAAATTCCCATTATAGTCAAAACACTGCTCCCAACGCCGTTTACTGGTCAAATTATTACTGAACGTCTGATTATTAAACGCGTCCTTGTGGGGCCTCTCTCTCCCCCATTTCGCTCAGGTCGATTTCGTATTTATAAAATTGAACTTGCTATTTATGTCTTGCTATCTGAGCCTTTACCTTTCGAACCCTGCTTCGTCACCATTGCCAATTCTTGGTACGCTTCGGCAGCAAGAGAAGGTTTTTTTTACTAAATACGGATCCCGCCCTAGTAAGAATTTAATTGAGCTAGAATTTTCGACATTATTGGGTGCTGAAGCTGTATCTACGCTTAACCGCTCGTGTCCACACGGTCTAGTGGTTAAACTGGACGACCTCAGTCAAAAATAAACCAAAAATTATTTTCAGCCAGAAAATTACAACTTTTCGTCAATGGACGTAAACTCGAACTCCTCTTTCAGTTTGTCATTTTTCGGGTAACCGGCCGAGCCACTCTTCGCTAATTCACCCTTTTTAGAGAGTCACGCATGTTGATCCAGCTAAACGAAGTACCCAACGCTGGGTATGTTTATTTGGCGGTGGTATACACTGTACTCATGAACTTCTACCTTTCTCATAACGTGATGAAAGCAAGAAAGAAGTTTGATGTCAAGTATCCCACGATGTACTCCAGCGATGACCGCTTCAACTGCTATCAGGTAACTATAAAGTTATTTAACGTTCTGAAAACGTCTCTCAGCGCGCTCATCAAAACACTCTTGAGTACATCCCGTATGTTATAATCCTGTTCATCCCTTGCGCCATCGCCTGGCCCTTGTTTGCTAGTATCTGCCAGGCGATCTGGGTCACCTCTAGGTAATCTCTCTTGTGAAATGCATTCTTTATATGAGACTAGATTCGTTTACGCCCATGGTTACTACACTGGCGATCCGGAAAAGCGTATGCGGGGCGTTTTCGGCTACATCGGTTTCCTTGGCATGCTACTTTACAACATCTGGATCGCCATCAAGCTCATCTTTGGTCTGTAAATGGCCGACTATCTATAATTCCTTCTCTAATTCCCCTGACTGATTCATTCTTCATCCGACAATCAATTCCTGATCTATTCCACTTCTGACTTTTTCTATACTTTAAGAAAAGTTGAAATGAGCACTGAGAAGCCGATCAAGAGAATTCCAGTTCGAAAAGCCCAGGATTTGCCAAGTGATTGCAGTGGAACTCCAGGTCAGAATATTTTTAGCTAGTTGTGGTTAAAAATACCCACTCTTAGGCGGGACAATCTATGGAACGACCCCTGGAGGCACGAAAATCATTTATGATCGCCTTTATCTCCTTCGAATGCGGGATCACGTCGTGTCGCAGGTAACGGAAGCATCTTAACGTATTTAAAACAAAGCTACAAGACACCTCCACGAGACATGCCAAACATTCCTGGAGTAACGTGCGTCGAGTCCTTCGTTTCTGATTCCACAACAAACAACGCTTGCGAACATGGAAGAGTCGAAGACAACAAAAATGGTTCATATTTTTTATAACTAAAATTGATCTATCTTGCAGCCATAGACGAAGGTCCTGAGGACAACCTCAAAAATCAATATCCGGACGAATTGGAACTCTAAATTCTCTTCAACCTTTCTAAAGCCGCAGTCACGGTAGCACAGTAATATGCTCGTTTACTATGTTTTCTTCACTGTTCAAATCACTGTCATTCAACCTCCAAAGTTAAATAAATAATTTCGATGAAATTCGAAGTGATTGTGATGTATTTGCAGTCTAAAGATATTTAACTTTGAGTTCTTCGGTGCCCGTATACGGATCAACAGCTTTGGTGTATTCTTCTTCTTTGAGAATTCCAATCACTAAAACAACAGTGTTCCCCACTGTTGTATCGCCAAAAAGATCGCCACCTGCTACTGCTCCCTCTTCATTTGCGAGTGTTATCTTGTTTTAGATAGAATATGTTAAATTAACCTAACTTACCTTCAAATCCGCACCGAAATTATCTGATACTGGTCCAGTTAGTGACAATAATGTAAAGTTTCCCCGCAAAATATCGATCATTCCACTCGCAAATTTGATATTTGCTCGCGTTAGATGCCCCGTGCCGGAAAGAACTACGCCTGCATGAATTTCATTTTCCGTGAGAAATGTTCGCAACTCTCTCAGTATATCTGTCAGGAGAGATCGCAATAAGCGCTTCAACGCGTCATATTTTTTTGTGACGATCCCTATTCTTTTCCCTGTCGAAGACGGACAGTTACGGTATCCATTTTATTTCTCTTTTTTTTCTAAATAAACGAAGAGATTTCATCGTGACCTTTGACCAGCTGACAAAGGGATTCACACTTCGAGTATCGTTGAAAGAACCGTGTTTCAACGTCGATTACCGATATTTCCTATTTTTCGTTAGTTTCCATCTTTATTTATTCAAGTCTCACTATAATCTTAAAGATTATCTTATAGAACTCATTTTATTAGCATTTTTTTATTGTACGAGCTATGACAGTACATTAAGCGTTTCAAGATTTATCCTCTTCCGGGAAACGGGAATCTTCCTCCTTTGGGAGGAAAAAAGGCTTCAGTTGTTGTTGTTGTTGTAACGGTTGTCTCAGGAGAAGTTTGATTCCAGTTTGCCGGTCGAGTAATATTCCAGACAGGAACACTGCCCGTGAAGCTTATTAATGATCAGTAAATTATGATATTTTTTTTATAAAATTACATCATTGGGTCAGGCGTTGGTGGTTGTGTCACTTCTCGCTTGAAAAATGGAGGCCTGTATGTCGTCTGATCGGCCAAGTCAATCACGTAATCATCCCTGTATCCGCCTGGGCGGAAGTCCGCTCGGAGAATATCCTCGCTGCAAACATCGGAAATCTGGAAATCAGGAATCATTCCTGTATGTCGGTCCACTTTCGAATCTAAGGAGAGTTAAAAGAAAGCAACGAGCCTAATTTTTCTACCATCTGAACAGCCGAACGGGAACATGCTCAAAAAACATTCCATTCGAGTAATATTGTATCGTCCCTGATCGTCTTAAAAACGTAAGCAAAGAACATTTTATAGTATTACCAAAATATCCAAGCGCTTCTTCCTTGCACTCTTCATAGCTTTTGCCAGACCACCAGTCAGTAACGCACTCATAAATCTTCGTGGACAGAATGTAGCCTTGCTACTAGGAGTTAGGATACATTTTTCCAAGATACACATTACCTTGCAAGGCGAATTAAAAAATGTGAATCGATCGCAGTACATGTTGTTATCCTCATCATACGATCGCTCACCTTTTCCTATTTTCTTTTATTTAGCTGTTGGAATCAACGAAGATTTTTACCTTCAGCACATTGGCAAGTATAGTAACCATTTCCATTAACGCATTCAAAGTCAGGATCAAAGTCACAATCGTGTGTTCCGGTTGCGCATTCGTCGATATCTACCAAAATAGAGAAATCAAAAGATGAGATATCTAGTTAACCTTCGCAAACTGTTCCTTCCTCTCCTTCGGGAGACTTGTCTACAAAACCATCTCGACAGGAACAAGCATATCCTTCTCCGTTCTATAATTACATGAGTTTTATGATGGGATAAATGATTTACCTCAAGATTATCACAATTTGCGGATTTGTGACATCTATAAGCCCCTACGTCCTGAAGTGTTGAACGAATCGTCCAATCGCATTCATTAATATCTTAAAATATTTGAATGATTTTACTCAATTATCTTTTATTACTCTTGATGTCAACTTACCAAGACATTGGGACATTTGCGTAGTTTGATTGGATACCTTCCATGTTCCTTCGGGACAGACGAGATCGTTGTCCAGTACAGTGAGTTGAGACATCTTCTCTCTGTTCTCGAGAATGTTCTTGATCTCGTTAACCAAGAAGCGGACTTTATTGTACTTTTGGTTTGGTAAATTCATATCGCCATTGAGGACGACCAAATCGCCGGTTCTCTTTGCGAACTTTGAACCTTCCCGATAGAAGCCCAAAATCGGAATGATATCACCCCGGACAAAGGGCCGGTAATTCTTGGGTTTCTTCCCATTCATTCTATGTTAAAATTATATTATTCTTTAACATTGAGCTCGTCATACTTTTGGAAGTCCTTCGCTGCTTCTCCGCGTAGATAAGTGTAATACTTTCCTTTGGAGATTCCATTTTTCTCTTCGTCCCATGAAAGCCCATTCTCTTTGAATATCATACAACTGGAGACAACTCCTGCTAGAAAAACCGACCTCATGGTGAGATTTTTACTGATTGCCTATTCCAGAGGAGAAAGTTCGTTTTATATTCACCACTGGGTGGTGATTTATCATTATTACGGAAATTCGGGACTTTTGAAAAGGCTATTTTTAGAATACACACAGCCTCTGTCTTGCGCTTCAGCGAGCTCAAAAATCCCTGTTACGGGCGACTGAAATTTAATCGTTCACCTGACAGCCTGATGAAGCACATTATTCCTTAAAATAGTTATGAAATAGATCAAACCAATATTTTCTTTCATATTCGTCTTGTGATTTATTTGATTAATAAGGTATTTGTGAGTTTTATTTACAGTGTCAGTGATAATGTGATATTGATGAGTGGCTGATTAGACGAATGTTGCTTTGTGCTTCTTTCTGTACACAGTGTTCGTCAATCGTCGGTGATTAGTAGGTGAATGCAGTCGACTTGCATCGGTTAATATCACAGATTATTTTTAACAAAATTAATTTCTAATCTTAGTAACCGTTTCTTAATGAAGCTGGACTTGAGTGACTTTTCGGAAGATTTGCACTTTCCAGACTTTCGTGTAATGTGGCCTTGAACAACGGATGTCGATGGAACTTCTCATTCAGAGACTCGTAGGTGTCTTCCTCATTGTATCGAGATGAATCCCTTATTGGTGTGAAGAAGTACGGGTCTAGTTGCCAAACTAACCAAGTAAAAATATGTCTTTTCACGTTCCTTGAGGATTCTTCCCAGTCTGTTACAGTCTCGCAAGTTTCAACGGGCATGAATAGGTTTTCCATCGACTCGTGAGAGGTGAATTCATGTGAGCCAATCTCTTCTGACCGAAAGTTGTCGAACAAGCTGTTTAAACTGCTTATGTTTCCACTTTCACCCATCATCGAGTTGAAGCTGGTCTGAGGGAAGCCCTTGGTTGCACTTCCGAAAAGAGCGTAACCAGCCGCTGCAGAAGGCATCACTCCTTGGAGATCGCCTCCGAAGGCGTCAGATGGTGTGTGCTGTCTGATCTCGTCGTCAAACTCTTGTCTTTCTTGAAGAAACTTTGGCAAACTAAGTTCTTCCTTGTTTAGCAGTCCGCGCTGTGTGTCGATTCGTCCTTGAGGTGGACGTAGTCTGCCACTATTCGGCTCCGAAGAAGGGTCAGAAGAAACTGAAGTGGTATCGCCTCGCAGCGACGAAAAGGCAAATACGCATCAGATGCTCGTCTAAAAGAGACAATAAGCATTTATGAGCGCTCTCTACTTACTGAGGTTGAAACGGTGACAATTCTGGTGTGACCTTTGATTTCGTGAGCATTCGTCGGAGTCCGAAACTTTCTCTTCGCTTCCTCTTTTTCTTAGCTGTTCGAAATCCAGGTCGCCTCTCGAGAAAAGGGCGGTCCACGTTTAGACTCTTTGAACTTTCATTTTTGACTTCGTCGAAGAGAGAGTCGCCAATATCGTTTTTCCTGACAAGAAAAAGTCTCTTGTTATCGACTTTAAACGCGTGATCATCAATGTCAACAGTATTCTCTGAGCCATTCTGAGAGTTTGTATACAGACGAAAGTTGTTTGGGTCTTCGCCGGAATACTTTTCCAGAATCGGCAATATTATGTCGCGAAGTGGTTTTTGCGGTTTTACTCTAAATGTCATGTTTTTCTGCATAATTTTAATCTCAATGTACCTGATGGCAATCCTTTTCTTTAAATCAATTAGATCAAGCTTGAAAGAACAGCGCAATTCCGCCCGCAAGTGACAATTCTCAAGCTCCATCGAGTTCTGGTCCATCAAAAGTCGATTCTCGCGACTTTCGCCAATCAACATCCAGTCAACGTGATTTTTATCGATGTCTAGTCGCTGGACAAGGCTATCGAGAACATCCTGTACTGTTCGATCGTCGGCCAAATTCACCGACAAATTGCGTCCGTCGCTGAACTGAACGTAGCATTTGCCGGTTCTGGAACCATCTCTCCTTGGTTTGTTCTCCTTGTCGGGATCGAAGCCCCAACGGAGTAGCTGTCCGGCGTCTACAGACTTACGCCGCTCTTTTTTTGGCCGCACGTTCACCGCCTTCTTCAAGATCTGAAACGCGGATTTTTTTGGCTTTGCAGTATCGCGTCGTTTTTCGTAGGCATCACAGATATCCTCCTCGCTCACTGACTTATGCGTCAGCTCTAAAAGTACGATCACAACAATTTGCAGCGCAGTTGATTTTTACCGAGTTGGACTAATCTGCGGTACTGCTCCGACTTGATGAATCTGGGGTACGAATCACGCCGCATGAGATCGTAAATATGATTCTGTTGGAGCCGGAAGGAATCGCGGTGCCACGAGCTGCACATTTTGACGCTACTCTCTAGCTTATGAGGAAGATTGACTGGAATTTCCGCGCTATCGCCAATGTACTTTTTCACAAGCTTGAAGGCGATTCGCCGCCGTTCTTCCTCCCCAAGCGCATTCTTGAAAACTTCGCAGTCGATCCAAAACTGGAGATTTTCTTCGGAGTGCTCCTTTTTCAGGTGATATGAAAATGCCGTTCGCCCAAGCGCGCAACCTAGTACACCGTCTAGCGAAATCGCCCAGCGCGCGATCTGGCCAGCTGTGCACGAGCAGTGATCGGCGATTGAGTTCACCGAGCCGCTCGGTCTAGGCGTTGCAAGTAACGGCATTTTCTCCCCCGACAGCGTCTCCGAACTTGCTGCTAATCGCATTTTCGCCTATAAAATATCTTTAACAACTTAATAAATTGAATATAATAAGGAAACCAAGTTAACTAAGCTTACTACTGAAAAGAATAACATTGTTTTTCTGAAATATATTCAGACTTTTATATTTTGTGAAAAGAGCATAAAATCACTTCAGCTGACAATACTAACCTCATTTTCAGATCGTTTGCTCAGCAAATTTGTAAAATCAGAAGACAGCCTCCTCGGCCTGGGCAATCCTGCAGGCTTGAAAGAAGTCGGCGTATCTGTCAGACACCACGAGCGATTTTTGTCGTCAGATTTTGACATCGCAAAAAAGGCAAAGTTCTCTCTTCTCTAGGCGAGGCGGTTTGTGCAGACTGGCATTAATTCAGACTAGTGTCGCTTCCGCGCCACTTTTCAGTTATCTGATGAGCGCGATCAAAATAACGTATTTTTATGCATGAACTTTCAATTCCGTGCTGTTTTTCTCGCAAAATAATTTTTATGTACAAGTTTTAATAATTATAGTATTCTAAAAGGTTTCCAAAACGGTTTCCAAAACGGTTTAAACCATAACAATTAAATAACATTGATGTATGAACAAGACCCATTTATGGGAAAAATGGGGGGGGGGAAGTAGCGAACCAGAAGCACTATCCTTGCCCTAGTGATGTTTACTTTGACCTTCGCTCACAGATTTCCTGATAAGGGGACAGGTAGCCATCCTTATCGACTAAGAACGCAGAAGCCACAGATGCGACTCTCTCGATAAGAGACTTCGATACAGTACTTTAAACTTTAATTGGCAGTAAACATGAGCTCAAGGATGGGGGAGCTTAAGGAGAGTCGTCTATGTTTGCGAGAATCGCATTTCATAATCCGGACCTTGAAAGATCGAGGAAGCGTTCTTTATCTGACATAACATTCTGTCACGAGAGACATGTGACCTCCTTGGGAACAAGGGGTCACTCAAGTGGACGCAACTCTTCCGGACAGCGAACTAAACAAGATCCCGTTAATTAAAGCATCTGTAGAACGAGAACAAACACTGCGGCTCGGCCCTTCGCAAAGAACAAAGAAAAATACTCAGCAACCGCAGTTATCGTTAAAACGGAATAACCCTGCACGTAAAGACCGCTAGTTCATACCAACGAAAATTTATACTGCTCAACCAGAAGCTTCTTTCGGATGCGTGTAAAGCAATTTCGAGTCCTGATGTTCTCGTACCCGGGCGCGGAATGTCTTCCCAGCGCCAAAGAGGTAGCTTATGATAGGATTCTTCCGTTTGTTTGAGATTAAGAAGATGAGCTGTGTATTTTGGCAGTTATTTGCGCGATTTCAGCAGTTGAGTGAAATGTCAAGGGTACCAAAGATCGCAATAAATGTCTACTCCGGGCGAATTAAGCAGCTCCTGCGAATTTCCTCTCGGGTTTTCCGATATCTGAGTTGTTTTAAGGTGTTCAGTATTTTAAATTTAACGTCTAAAATTATAAGAATTAAGAAGTGTCATATACTAAGAAGTGGCATGAATGACAGAAATCCTGAGATCTAAAAAAAACGATGAGTTACACCTCCGTTATTCTCCAGAATTTTAAAAATTCGTTCTGAAAAGCCCATTTCCGGCGACAGGAGCCTTTCTGACTGGCGTTTCGCAATCGTCCGTATCGGTCCGCTCGTAACGTGCTGGCTTGATGTGGCGCTCCGAGAACGTAGCGAATTGAAAAGAAGGCGAAAACACTTCCGGCCACGGTCAAATTTATCGATCAAAGCACGGCGCCTGAACATGCACACAGTATGGATCCAGTAACTAGAAGCTCTCGTGCGGCGCCGCGGAGCCCTATTCTGCACTGAAGGTGTGTGTGTGTCTTCCCGCGTATTCAGGACGAAACTCCCTATGCAATTTTGATTTTTTTAGAGTTCGTAAGAAGAAAATTTCAGAGGGATGACTTGAAGAAGCAAGAATGAACGACATCATCCAATTGCCTGCAAAAATTTATAACAGCATTCGAAAAACAAGCGTAGACCATAGCAAACTAGAGAAAAACGAGAACAAAACCAGGAGAGATATCATTTTATCGCGTAATTTTTAAACGCCATTTCAATCATAGACGAGAACTCTTTTATGATCTCATCTGAAGGAAACTCTCCTGCCCGGATATCAGCCAAAATCAAAAGAGTCGAAAGAAATCCTTCAGTAGACCGAAAATTATCAGTAGAAAATCGTCAATATCAGGATCACAGGAATCGGCGAAGTTTTTATTAAAAAATTCCTTATTGATTTCCGGACTCCCATACTAAGCTTTTTCTAAATACAACCTTCATTATGAATCGGTGCTTATATAATAAATATTATATATTTACAATTGCAAAAGGTGAAGCGACGGATTATTTTTCTTTTGTTTTCTCTAAAAAAGGATCGGTCAGCGTCACGCAACTGACCGGTTCAGCGAAAAGCACTGCGTCTAAATGCGAATGAACAAATATTAACTGACCGGACATTGTCGGAAATAACTTTTCGACAAACTTGTCAAAGATCTTTAGTGTGTTTTGACTTTGACTTTTTCGATCGCGTTGGCGATTGAGGAATGCGCGGACGTGTATTTATTTTCTGTGATCAAAGGTAGCTCTTCCGTCGCGCTTGGTGACATCACATTTCCTGAACGGGTTGATATCGCCTCGATATCGCTCCCGTCTGGACTTGGAGTCGTGGGCATCCGTCAGTTCTTTCTTGCACGAGATGAACAGTAATTCTCCTATTCGCTGATAGTTAAAGTAAACTCTTTCAACCACCTCGAAAATATCAACGTTAATCTTTTCAAGTGGTAGCCCGAGAATAAAATTAAGCCGTTTTAAAGATAAACCTGCGATTTGCGATGCTTGGCGAGCCGAACTGCGGCAAATCAGCTGTTCTCGTTCGGTACCTGACCGGACGTTTTATTGGAGAATATGTTAAAGGTAATTATTTGCACTTCTCTAAGGCCTTATTTGAAAGTTTAAATGGACAGTAAAATCCGACAGGAGAACGGAGGAAAACATTTGATTTTTCTTCAGACATTTTGGCAAGATATTTTTTTGTGGGAAAAATATTTCAGCTCGTTAATCGCAATTATTATATGCATTTTGGATAGCGGCCAAGAGTTCTTCGAATTAACCAGAATGGCAAATTTCAGCAAAAATAAATCAGCTCTGGAAATGTCATTGCTTGATCGAGGGGTAAAAAATCTTGTAGTTAATGTTAGAACTCGCTGAGTCAAATCAAGCTGCCTTTGGACAGCTGGTGTCACCCTGTGCTAACTCAATGGGCCTTACTTCTCCAACCCGAAAGAGCTCTTCTGCTCTAAAAATAGTGTGAGACTTCCTTTTCGAATTGTAAATCGTGAAACGGACTTGCTCTGGTCAAAATTTTTTATCGCAAATATGCATTATGCATCGTGAAATGTACTTTCATTTTGAATTTTCGTTGACAATTTGGGTCAGCCCAATTTTGCACTGTCACAAGTCAGAAGTATTGCGTGAGTTTATTCTGGCACACACTGACAGCGCAATTAAGAGTCAAAGGAAATTCCTTCATTACGAAGTCAAAAAGGCAACACATTGATAGCCAAGTTCAAACATAAACAACCAACTGTTAGGCACTGCGCGAATAGATAAACAGATAGAAATTCTTCAAGAAGAATTCGCGCTGTTTACACTCACAGCTTTTTTATTGTGGAAATGGGCTAGAAATCAGTGGGCTGTCGTGGAAAGAAGGATTTGAATATGTTAGAGTTTTCTCATTTCAGTTTCTTGTCGACATAATAAGTCGATTAAATAGCGAGTGCTCACTTGCAAGCTCTAGATCGTCCATTTTCCTTATCAGAATGTTGAACTTTAACTCACGTTGATACGCTACGTTTTTAATTTGGAAATTCTTCGCTTACATAACTAGTTTCGTGAAAGTTCGGCTAGAATCTGCTCGCAACAGTGGATTCTTATTGCCCCTATAACCGATTCAAATTATCTGACAATTTCCGGTCACTGACTTTTGATTTTATCAGATTCGGATGGCGTCGACCGCACTCAAACTCGATTTCCGCGAGCTGCGCAAATAGCGCTACCGGATTTCCGCGACAGTAACTGCTCTTAGCTCAAACTTCATAAACTTCGCAGCATTACTTCCGCTGGAAATATCTGCGTTCCATTTATAGACGAAAAAGCCCACTCGCGTAGGAGGAAATTTGACGAAATGCTCAGTGATTTCATCATTACATCAGCTTTCCTATATTTATCCTCGTTTAGACAGATCGCTGAAGTATAAACATAAAGCGAACATTATGGGAAAATCTATCGCCGCTGAATTCATCGACCTGTGCTCCGAGGACTCAAACAACTTCTGCCCGATAGAACGATGTGACCTTGACGGTGTCATTGTTGTGTAAGTAATCTGTATTTGAAAACTCGACTTTTCAATTTATTCTTTTCAAATAGCAACAGCTATTTTAATCATTGGTATATCCTTAAGTGCGCGAGGCTTATTTGAAAATTATAAATTTTTCCAGATTCTGATGTCAACACCGTTTTTCGGCCAGTTACAGTTGCTTGTCTAGTTCGAGTGTTCCATCTGGAGTTATACACTTGATTTTGTAGCTCATTCAGATGAACAAATCTTAAGGGTGGTAAATTTGAGATTTCATTTGACGTGAAACTCCTTTTTATTCCTCGCAATCCACAAACTCCTATTTTAGCTATGATACGACCTCACAGACGTCCATAATTCACTCAAAGGCGGAGTTCAAACAAATTTCAGCATAATCACCCTAAATATTTTTGAATGGATTGATTGAACACCCTTGAATACAGGAGATAGTGACGACGCTGAATGCTCTTCGAATACCACATGTTATAGTAGGCAATAAAAGAGACCTTGATGGGAACGCTGGCTTGCCTGTCGAGCTCGAAAAGAGTCAGAACCACTTCACCGTTTCCGCCAAGGAGGTATGCTCAAAAGCAGTTTCAACATTTATCCGATTCAGAAGACAGACGGCGTCATCAAAGCCTTCAGCAACCTCTACCACCAATTGCTGGATATCGACACAGCCGAAGGTAACTCTTGCATAATTATGACCTCTAGTACCATCCTATTTTCGCCAGAGAAACTATTTGGGCTAGAGTCAACTATTTCCGGTTACGCTTGTTGAATTTCTTCGGAAACTCTTTCAAATAACCGTATTAGAAAATTCGTTTAGGACAAGTGTCGAAACGCTTACGAGCACGGAAGCACAGTACTGTTGAGATTCCACAGAGTTTGACAAGACTCAACTCGACAAAGAATCGCCGACAGGTAAGTTCAAATCATGGAATTCGGATTCCAGCCGATAACGCACTCTGATTAGCTACTTACATTATGACAAGGGTAACCCTCAACAAACAGCGATATTGTCTAAAGACTTCGATCAGTTGTATTTTCAGATTTTGCGCGGAAGCCAATCACTTACGGTTAATCATTAATCCTTCAAATCATCCGTCATTTTAGACAGTTGGAGGACGACACGGACCTGAAATCAAAAAGGCCCTAAGCGCACATGAACAAAACAGAGTCTGTGCTACTCTCATCACGCCGAATTTGACGCCCTCCGCCACCAATACCACAATCAGCGCAGGGTAAGTCAAGTTCTTTCCGATTTTCACATTCTTGCACTTCTATTTTGAAAAAAATCATAAGTTGGGCGTCAAGAAGGCGCCGCATTAAGCCAAAAAGTCTTTTTCTCGCAAATATTGAACCCAAACGGTAGGACAAAGTTTTTGTCAAGGCGGAAATTTGCACATGGCTCGATAATGTTAGTGCAGCACGTCTGAATTTTTGCGCTTCAGCTTGAATCCCGTTTGCTCTCTTTGACGTGCCACTGCCAGCTGTATTCGCACATGTCGCTACTGTGGGGTTTTTTTTACCTTGATATTCGAAAAATCGCTCTTCACTACCTTGAACTTGCACAGTTTTCTCATTCAATGGCATAGAGAACCGGTTCGTCATCGGAAGTGGAGCCACTCTTGTCTGCTCATTTTTTTTAAATAGCCAAGTTCGTAAATTCTTCAACTATCATTATGTCGCCGAATTTACTGTTTTCCATTTTGCTTTAAAAATTGGCGCCGCGGAACGGCACACATTTCTATTTCCCTCGTGACATGATAATTTAGCGTTATCGAAAACCTGGATCCAAACACAAAGAGTCGCAGAGGGTCATGGTTCCGTCTCCCTGCCCTTTTTTCGAAGAATGTCGGATCGTCGACACTCAGGAAGAAGTCCTCAACGTGGGACAGCTCTTCATTGGATGATCCGATCGACGTGGACTACCCGTCAAGGTAAGTCGAACGTAAGAAATCTGAATGAGTTTTATTTAGTTCTGATTCCAGTTGTTCTAGTTCCTTTCGTTCAACAGGCAAGGGTTGATGCTCCTTTGAATTTTGCACTCTTTTCTCGCGAGACGAGGTGTCTCAGTTTCTATGGGAATGATCTTGTGAGACAGAATCACTGACTTTTCATGGAAAGTAAAACAAACGCACCCCGAGCGATTTCACGGGCAATCCACTGTCCATCTACTTAGCCTTGAATGCTCAACCGTTCCAAAAGCCTCCTGCTACCCTAAGTACGCCGAATCCACACGCTGCCCAAGAACCGAAATAGACCCAATCTCGAAATCAAGGAGGAAAACAATCCTATAAACTCACAATTTGACCCTGAAACAACATTCCCACTACAGTTCAAATATTTTATAAAGACTCGAAAATATTTATGTTCTTACAAATTGAAGAAATTAATATGGACAGAATCAATATCGACGAAAATGTCAAAAATATTTTTTATGAAAATATAGTTTATTTATAAAAATTGTCAGAGAAAAAGGGAAGAAATCATTTTGGCTCGTACGTATCTAACCATTTGAAGGAACCTTTGCGTCGGTGAGCGTCACAGGCGACCCGGTCAGTCAACTTTCTGCCGTACGTATCGATGGAAGGCATCTTGGGAGAAGAGATTCTACGGTCACCTTCCATTTTTTCTGGATGAGGAACAGTGTAGTCCGCCTTATTGGTTGTTTCGTAGCGCTGCGTCTTGAGTTTATGCTGACGGGCTTGCACTTCCTGCCAACGAATGCATTTGTGGTCGAGAGTGGTTTTGGCGCGGTCGCCTCCCTCGGGCAGGTAGTTTTTTGCCATAAGACGGTAGCCGGTTCTGTCGACCATTCCCTGAATCAAACCATTAACAGTTACGGTAAGATTAAAGTTATTATCACCGTGGTTTTCGAAACAGGCTCATGGAATTGTTTTTGTTTGAAAGTTTCTTCAAGGCCTTCTTTTGTAGTAGAAATTGGGATTGTTGGTTTATCGAAACCAATGGTCTTGTAGCTAAATGTACAATAATAATTTAATAATAAATAAATTGTACGTACGTAGCTAAATGTTGATTTCTGTCTCGATCGCGTACTGCTGTAACATCGTAGTCCTTTTATGGGCTTATTAGTGCCAGACGATTATCATCAAATTAAGCTAGTGGAAAACCGAGCCTTTGGTTCAGCCTCTCGAACGGAATGCCAATCGCTGTTCAAAGTTTTCGGGCCATAATGCATGTGCTCGCTCTTATAATATCTTGTAAGATCATAAGTTAACAGAGAGTTTACCTTGAGGCACAAGCTTCCCTTTCGCTCTTCGACCTTTTTCGGAATTCAAAATACACTTCATTTTACTATTTGTTAGAAACACGCAAACATATAAAAGTCAAAAATGGAATATTTTCAATTATTCCTTTAATTTAGAAGTTGAGTTAGCAACTCCAAACTTAGGTACTGGAATTGCCAGATTTTCGACCATCGCCTGGATCCCCTTTTTCCTCGAAGCCTCCTTCGATTGTTCCTCGCGTTCGCGCGCTTCCTCCTGTGCGTGAGTCCTCAAAATCTGCTTGAGCAAACGAGTCATGCTGCGCAATCTAAATTCAGAAAAAGTTGAAAGATTTTATGCTTAAATTAAATAGTGTGGATAAATTTAACAGCATCCTTTTTAGCAGCGATGGGTGCATTTTGAAGGGGTGCGCTTCTTTTTGATTGATCCCTCCATAAGGTCTAGTTCTTTTCTGGTCTTTCGGGCATCTTCGATCGTACTTTCAATTCTAGCACGAATCTGACAAGTGTTATCGTCATCTTTAACAAGAGATAGTTTCACCTTTAGTCCTTCATTTTGGAAATTCGACTGTTCGACTCTCAGATTCTGCATTTGCGCTTCAATCTCTCTTATCATCCTGTTGGTGTTCGTGAGCGAGCTCTCTAACTCGCTGAAAACTTCTTTTTGCTCCTTGAAGCGGTCGATTATGTACGAAGACTTCCCTCGAAAGGCTTGCTCGTTCGTTATCGAGGCGTTTAGAGTGGAGAGCTGCTCGTCTGCATTTTGTAAAAGCCGTCGTAAGCTGCGATTTTCCTCTGTCAAGGGTGGATGATAATATCGAGTGCGAAAGTTGTGTTATCTTGATTCAAACAATCCTATGGACCCATCGCCTGCCAGTTTATTTCGCTCATTGACCTGTCGGTTTAAATATTGAGTGGCGTTGTCCTTGTTGTCTTGCGCCACGCGGAGCTCCTCCCGCAGATAACTCTGCTTAAGCTCCTCTTGCTGGAAGGCCGCAGCCATTTGCTTATAAAAATCTTTATATTTAACATCACATTTAAATTTAAGAAGATTGGCAGTGACTTACGTTACGGGCAAATATGCGTAGGTCCTTTGCTTTTGAAGATAAGCCGTCTTTCGGCGTGTACGCTGGCAGATCGTTCATCATCAAAACTGGCATCGGAGCAAGTTGGCGAGGAACTTCGCAGTCGCAAGGGTGTGCCGTTGCCTATCGAACAGTCAGCTGCAGAAATTGTGTCAAGCAATTTACCTGCATTCGTGCTTTGGCGACTTGATGGCTCAGTTCTGCTTCATCCTCGGTTAAATTTCCCATGGCTCAAACTGAGCTTGGTAAAGGAAAATAATTAAGCTCATAGAATAGTTCTAGAAAAAAAACTTTTCTAGAAGAACTATAATTGGCGAATTTCTACACCAGATCAAAGGGACAAATTTTCTGGATAGCATTTTTAAATGTTTTTCTTGGAAGGTCTTCCCTTTTCGTCGGATCGATTTATTCTCTTTCAAAAAATCATTCATAAAGAGATATTTCCAGCTGATTCGCACACTTTTGCCATCCGACCAGTTCTCCCACGATGAATCACTTACGGTCTTCTGGCGCGCTAATTCCTACTGGTTGCTGAACTAGCATTTTGGCGCGCGCCGCGTAAAATTTTCACGTGAACCTTTTTCGATCTTTTTTTTACTAAAATTTTTAAATTTAGACTGAGAAAAAACGAAAATGGACCGATTAACTCTCGAAGATAAACCCTGCGAAATTTATTTCGCTGCTGCTCGACTCGCAGACCAGGAACGGTTTCTTATAATTTACAAGATCTGAAATTTAATATCAGAAAGCACTCTTTTAATGATTAGGTTAAACAAAATTGGTAAGAGACAGAAACTTTTAGGAATTAACAAAATATCTCCATGAGAAAAATTTCATAATTCAATTTGGTGGGAGATATTCCCAGGCTGTGACAAAAGACAGCAGGAAACCGCTAAAGACTCCAGTTGGTAACGGCTTTTCGGTCAAGTTCCCGCACCAAGAGGCAACAATGATCCCGAACCCGATCGGCGAAGGAACAGATTCAAATTGAGCTCTTACTGTAACTAATTTGACGCCCGCCGTCAGCCCTCGCCGGCCATTATAATCTCGAATGTTTAATTTTGACTGTAATTGCTCGCTGAACTTGAACAAAGACCGCATGCACAAGATAACGTTCATGAAGACGATCGGAGTCGTGGAGGCTCTGAAGATGGCGAAAGCGCGAGGCTACGAGGATTTTGAGGTATTTTTTTTTCTCTCTTTTCGTCGAAAACAATTCATTTTTAGTTCCACGCGAACTTCTACCCTCCACAACAGGAAGACTGGGAATTTCTAGAGGACAAATGCGATGAGATGATGGCCCTCATCAAGGAGCTCAAAGTTAAGATGGTCGAGCGAAGAATGTATGGTCGCTTGCGAACAAGGAAGGATGGACAGTAAAATTCTGTCACTTGGATTATTATATTTGTCCATCCTGAATAAGTGTCGAGCGAGAGGTTGATGCGGCTGCGCAGAAAGCCGCCGAAATCGATCAGAACCAGCAGCGAATCGCCAATTTAATGATCGGCGGAAATGATGGGAACAACAACACGAAAATGGACTGATCGATTCTTATGGGAATATAACACTTCATTGCCACACTTATAACGTTCCCTTATGCACCCCACTTGCCCCTCTTTTCAGTAGTAGAATCGCTTGCTTCATTAAATTCTGCATTCGCAGCGGCTATATTATCGCAGGAACGCTCCTGACATTTTCTAGATTAAATCTGCGACTTGCTTTCTTGCGTATGTTCATTTTGCTTCCTGCCATTAGACAAGATACTATTTTTCTTTATTGTGCAAAAGAAGAAATATGGAATTGAGAGATCAGCATTTATTTGGGTTCTATTCAGATTTGAAAGCATCGAGTAAAACTGTTACTGGAGTGATGAAATGATTGCTAACGTACGGACTTGGAAAGAAGCATTTTGACAATTGAAAAAAAGGAAAATTGTGTCTAGGGATCAATTTAAACTAGATTAGTTGAACTATGAGGAGAGCGCTAGAAATCAACAGACAAAACAAAAAGGCGTTAATTAGTCTAAATGGGCAGAAAATGTCGATTCCAAAGGAATGGGATTTTCTCCGCCATTAAAAAGCCTAGCAGTGGTTCTCTCTCTTAACAGGAGGCCAACTGTAGCAGTGAAAAATTAAGGATTTCTCCAATTAGTTCGCTTTCAGAGTAGATTCGAGTGAGGTGACTATAGCTGCCACCTGGCAGTGACAGTAGATCCACGGCGCTTCATCGCGTCAGTGTGCAACTGGAAGCGTATCCGAAAGTGATCAGGTAAATTTAGTGCCTTCTTGAAGTTGGTGCCGATCGAGAGCGCCTCTTTCCCGTCGGTGCCGACTTCGCCCGTCCACAACTGCAGTCGATCGGCGCGCTTGCGAACTTGCACGACAACGCCGTTTACACAGTCTCCATGCTCGCCAAACACTAAACACACTCATTCACTCACTGAAGCATTCAAAGGCACACTCACGCTCGCCGATGCAGGCAAGAAGCGATTCCAACCAGCCGGCGTCCAAGTGTTCCTTCTGTTTCTTGCCCGTCTCGAGCACCCAGCTTCCTCCCTTGGCGTTTCGCACGTCCTCCCACTTGGGCGCAATGCCCGATTTGAACACCATGTAGTCAGCGCCAATGTGTAGACGAGACGGAAGTGCTACATGGTGATATACTGCCCAAAAGTCTTCTACTGTGGAGAAGGTCATTATCTTTGTCATGCGTTCATCCCATTCCTTCGTCTGAAACAAATCAATCAAGCCACTGAAACTCTTTCCTTTTAGAATGCACGCATTGGTGACCTATCAGTTCAAACGCCCGCTGGCTGCGATTCTCATGATCGGCGACGCAGGCTGCACCGCGTTCTACTTTTACTTTCCGAGCAAATTTCTCTCCCATAGATTCAAAATTAGTTACTACGTGATGTTCAATTATGTTTAGGCTGTGTCTCTACTGTTAAATTATTTTTAATTGTCTAGATTTGTCATTGTTAAAATTCACGAATTCAGATAATTCTACCTTGTCTGCGGAGAGGTACCAGAAGTCCCAGCTGTTGTCAAGCGGGTGGCGAAGGTCGTCGTTCAGCAGAGCCTGCTCTGTCTTGTCGGCCTCGTTCGCCCCGTCGCCTTGGTTGTGGTTTTCGTCGTCATTGGAGTGGAAGAGTGCGGCCTTGTCCGCCACTTCCTCGGCCAACTGCTCAACACACGTTTCCTCGCAGACGACCTCTTCTCCCATCTTCCCCTCTCTTTTTTTCTTTCTTTTTCTTCACTCCCGAAAATACTATAAGATGTCGCCCGCGCGAATTTCGTTGTGGAGGTGGGCCGCGATCTCCCCTCACCCGCCAACCATGTGACCCGATTTCACTCACAAAACAACCATTCCTCTCCTACTCATTCCATTCACAGCTGTCTACTTACACGTACTTCTTATCGCCCATATAGGCTTTATTTTGAACAAGACCCATTGCGTGGGCTTTTTCTACCAATTGAATTTCTATCTTCGTGTTCAAACGACTAGTTCGACCTTGATAATCGCTCATCTTGACCGCTAACAGTTAACTTGCCATTCTAGTGTTCTCCTACGAATATTTCAAGACCTTGTTCACGAATGAACTCAAATAGCTCTCCAATTTAGCTTCATAGTGATCATAGCTTTATTTATTTTCCGGCTTTCCAATGAGAATTAATTAGACATGTTTCTATCAGATTATTTTCGATTTAGTAATAATGATTTTTTGTCCGGTTTTGATCCGAATCCGTGCCCAAGTTGCCACGAAGTTGCGTGGAAGCTCTCGCCCAATCGTAAGCCGCCATCACTGCCCGTCCACGTTGAATAGGAAAATAATACGAAGACGAAATTTCTGAAGGAAAGATTTTCTTCCCGCCCGACAGAGAGACAAAACTGAGAAAAAATGAAGCTCCTGAGAAGAATGCTCCCGATCGCCATTCTCGGACTGGCTCTTGTAGCTAGGGCGGAGGAGTTTGATGAAGGTAAGCCAGCAGATCGATACTAGGAGATTCTACGGAATTTTCGCTTTTGAGAAACTATTTTTATTGATTCGAGAAAGATGGGAAATTACTTTGATTTAATGATTTTAACTTCTTTTGTCAGAAGTTGGAGACGACACCGTGGAAGTAAATGACGTCTTGGACGAAGATGAGGGCGATGACATGGGAATCATCGACGAGCTCGAGGAAGAGTCGGAAGTTCAAATCAATACATACTGGCCGGAAGCAACAATTACTGCCGGCAAGGTTTCCGAAGTGCTTGTTTCCGTCAAGGTGAGCGATCTGCTTAGTTGAACTAGCATCAAGCGTTCCACTAGGTTGCATCCACCGCCATGAACCGATACCAATTCGGCATCATCGAAGGTGGCTTCCACTTTCCCCAAGACCAGAGCTACAAGGTGCAGAATTTCTCCTCGATCAAGTACAATCGTGACCTCGGATCCGGCCAAGAAGCAACTTTCCTTTACCCATTTGTTGCCGCCGAACTCGCCGGAGGACGATCTTACGGACTCCAGATCAACCTCGCTTACGAAGCCGACTCCAGTAAGTCCAAAGAGCAGAAAACTTAATTCATTTTCTCCAAAAGCAGTTATTTATCGATTGCATTCAGGCCCTCCTCGTCAAATGTTCGCATCTGTGGTTAACCAGACGGTCGAAGTTGCCGAAAACCTCGACAATGCCGCCGCCGAGCAGTTCTTTATCTTTTTGACGTTCGCTGCCTTCGCCGCTGTCGGCTTCTTCCTTTTCGCTTCCAAATTCTCGTCAAAGAAAAAGGCCGCTCCCGTGGAGGTCGGAACCTCTGCCACTGCCGACGCCAGCTGGATTCCCGACATTCACATGAAGAAGAGCGCTACCACGCCGAAGACCTCTCCCCAGTCGCGCCGACGCAAGGTGGAGTAATTTACTCGTCTACCATCGATTTTCACACCACCTGCGTGGCAAAATTAGTTCGATTTCACAATTTTAATTAATATTTCGTAAATTTTCCCTACATTCGGCCGACCTTCGTGCAATACGTTATTGTTTCTAATTCCCACTTTCCGACGCCATTGTACAAAAAAAACTAAACCTAGTTATATTATTATTTTTTCGTTGGAAGCATCACCTTCTGTTCTGACCCTAAGTTCGATAAACTTATTACTAGCTCGACAAAAATCTAGCAACAATTGATTCAATGAGTCTTGACGGTTTTATTAATAAATTAAAAGATTCTTCCTTACATTTCCTCACCAGAAACACGCATTTGGACTTTCAGATATCCGTGTTTCTTTAGCGTCTTTACTGTTTTGCATTCAAAGTCATCTTCGGATTTGGAATAAGAGATTGATTGCTTTCTGAATGCAATTTTCGCGCAAAAAAAAGTAATCAAAGTCATCTTTTTCGCAATAAAATCAGTAACAATCCACTACAAAGCTGCTTCTGAGGGCATCACTCGTTCTAGTTGCTTCAGTACGCAGTCTGCAAGTTAAACGAGAGCAAGAAATAGTTGTGGTCAAGTAGCCTAAATGTGTAGCATGAATTATTAGGAGCAACACTTCGCTAGAGTATTACCGATGGAGCACTCAAAATTTATTAATCCAGTAACAAGGAAGTCCTCGATCAGACGAGCGCAGCTATACAAGACGGACATAACGATACGTCATATTACACGTTATAAAACTTGTTAATTATCCATGGGATCGAAGTGATATAGCGAAGGGAGGAAAAACTCGTGGCCGGAAGGGGCCCATTCTATCGCGCGAGCGATCAGAATTTCAAGGCAGGCTCCATTAGGCGCAATTAGAAAAGAAATTGTTTTCGATTATTTTCTCTTTAAAGATAGGCTTCGGCTTTCGCCCGGCTCTATCTCGTTCTTGTGTTGAATAATTAACAACTTGGCAATGTCATTTCTTTTAGAGGCGCAGCACCACTCATCCGCGCTCGAGCACTAGTTAAACCTTTTTCATCCTTTTTTTTCTCCCTAAAATAAATATCGTGACATTCAAGAGAATAATGGGGATAAGAGATTCATGATATCTTCGGTGAAAAACTACCAAATCAAAGCTGTCAAAGGAAACCGGAGAAAATCAACGAAGTACTCTGAAAACATGTCGAAAACTATATTTTCATACAAAAGGATTCATAACTCAAATAGGGTTAGGAGATCAAAAATTACTTACTTCGGATGGAGATAGCTCCAGTTTAGGATATGAAAAGACTTACATCTGGAATACCGTCTTAGTAACACTGTTTTGACTAATTATAGCCGCTTGGATCAATATGAGCAGAGTAATTATTAGATTCTAATTGATAGGGCCAGAGCTTTGAAGCAGAGAATAGCGAATTAGTTGTATGACCCGGTCGATAAGCCGGAGTGCCTGATATCTCCACACTACGCGACCGATCACTCATTGAAGGTGCTTCTCAAACTGTCAGTGTATACACAATAGAACTAAAACCGTCTTCAGTATCCCCTAAATTTCTCAATGATAAGCAAAGCTTTACAAAGCATTTCAAATAGTCAAAAAATAGTCGAGTTTAACAACCAAATTGGTACAGAAACGCATGAGAAAGTTCCTTTCATCTACAAAATAGACCATTAGACATTTACAGACATTAATTTATAGTAGAAAGTTTTTGGAAAGGAATGTAATCGAATTGACTTTTCCGCGCGTTAAATTTTGACATCTTAGCTCATGCTTCATTTGGCTGTTAGCACAGCATTGCACCAGAATAGATGAGATGCTGAGTGTAATCTCAGCGCATCGGTATAATTTATCGGCATTTTGGATTTGTGCATCACGTGAATTAATAATGGAAAATTTTAATACAGATTGCTTCTGAGGGTCATTTGCCCACGAGAGAATATTTGATGACATGTAGAATCTACATTGAGATCTTCCGAACTCGTGGGACCATTGACGGCTCATTGTTTTGGTGTTACTTGGAAATGAGTGCTTTCAGCTGTTTTCTATATACAATAAATATTTAATTTTGAATGAATTGAGACAACAATATCATGTTGTCTAAGAAAGAGGGAGGATGCACGCTAGAGGCGAGTGAATATTTAATAATGAAAATTTAGCTATCGCAATGATGTTTCAGTGGGTGGTAGAAAACTCAGAACATGATCAGTAAATACATTTATTTAGGTGATGAGCTGCCATCTTTTTCTCCTTTGTGTTGGTGCATTGGAGGACGAGGGCCGCTAGCTTTCATTTGGCGAACGGTTAAATATCAAATTCTTTTCAGCCTAATTCAACTAGCACTTCTTCGATCAGTGCCAAAAATCAAAAACCTTGCTCCACTCAAATAAGTGGTATTTAACCTGAAAAGACAACCGGAATCCTCCTCGTCTGTGTTCTTTCGCCTTTAATATCATTTACCGGTAAGGTCTTTTTTATCCCGTTCGGATTATTAAGCTCATTTTCAGCCGATATTGCCTTTTATGTAACTTGCAATCAGATTTACATTGACGCCATAAGGAAAGTGACTTTCTCATTTTACTGATCTCGAAATGAAAAAATAATGAAAGTCACGAAACAGTTCACTACTGCTAAATCAGAACCAAAACCAAAAACTCACGAATGGAAACAAGACCCTTCCATTTGACAGTTCGTCCTCTGTGGAGATCGCAACAGAATCAACTTTCACTTTTGAGCTGGCCGAAAAAGCAACGGAGAAGGCCAAGCTCCATATCAACCTTCCACCAGAATTCGATATAAACTCGATTGAAAGTAACAAGTAAGTTATTACTTGTATTAGCCTTGTATTTCCTCAAACGCTTTCTCAGGAGATTCTGTGACAATTTTTTGGAAAAGCTTCAAGACAAGGATACAGGCGGGACGATCAATGGACAAATACGGCGCTTTCGCCACCTGCTTGAGAATATTTATAAACCAGCGCTTATTATCGGATGCGTGCTTTCCACAACATTGGAACGGTCAGAGCTCGGCTGCTAGAATAATTAGCGCAGGGCCTGTTCCGACCGCATAAAGTGCATGTTCTTCCGCGTAGTCGTTCTGGGATGCGGCCATTCTCATCTCATGTCAGGTCTGGCGTTGCATTATTAAATATAAACCACACGGTTAATCGCAATCTATTTCAACCAGCTACAGCATTCGTCGTTACTATGCTCTATAGTTGCTTACCTGTACTAACAGGCATAGTTTCCGTTAAAGGTGAGTCTGTGACAAATAAAAAGAAACAATACTAACAGATCTATAGCGGCTGGTTTTGTTTTTGGCAAAACTTCGATACCATGTCTTCTGGATCTCGTGGAGCAAGTGAATGCTCAATTTGCACCGCCGCCAAACACGACTCCTCTACCTGATCCTTATCAAACTTTAAAATTGAATGCAAGGTAATTCAATGCTTGCTGAACCCTGTTTTTAAAGTTTCATAATTCAAGCGTTGTCGAGCAAGAAGATCGAGTAGCTCCAGAACTCGTTTGGTTCAGCTTTGCGTTTTTAACAAAAGCGATCGACAGTCTCGCGTCCGGGTAGGAGAACAAGACGTTTAACCGCAAGTTCAATATTCCTAGATATATGCTTTTCGTGGTTACATTTCGATCCTTTCTGAGGAAGCATGGCCACGAACATATCTGGTGGCACTTTGCGCGCGCGCTCGGAATCATCGTTGCATTAGTGGTCTGGATGTGTGTTATGCCACTGCTAGTTCTGGAACGGGTTCAGTAGATTAAAATAAATGCACATTTGAGCAATACATGAACTCCGCAAAAGTCGCCCTCGATAGGATGGGTCTTATTTGGAACGGACTGGTCGCAAGAAGACAAAGGACCGCCTTTTAGCCAAGACATCTCATTTTTCGACAACAATATGCTCTGGGATTCGAACGTTACTTCCGCAATTTTCTACATAATCTTCATTATTTCCGGTAAGTTCTCATTTGATTTGATAAATTGTTGACCGCTTAATAAATCAGCTGTATTGTGGGGCGTCATTCTTCTATTCGGCGCCGCTTACTTCATCTACCGATCCTATCTTTATAAACGAAGACAGGAATGATTCCAAATGACCGAAGAAACACGCCAAAATTACTTCAACTTTTCTCAAACACTTCAAATATTCTTGTATAAAGAGTATAAACAGTACTGTCACTGCCATTTATTGCAGGAACGATTGGCCTTGGAGCGGGAAAATATCCCCAACGAAGGATCGTTAAATTTTTTAAAATGGTCTCATAAAATCTGTTCTTGCATCGACGAGTCAAGGATTTGATCGTGATCATTTCAAATTTGAATCAAGTTCACCTCAGGCCTCTTCGTTAGATTTTCATCGTTCTAAATTGACCTGCTTACAAATCTTTTGTGATGAATTTTTGTTCGGACATCAACATATGGATTTAAATTTTAAAATCGGCTCATCCATGGTCATAAACGTAAGATCCGCCTTTCTGACCGTTAATCGCCCACCTTTGACACGACTGGGCGCGAGAGAGTTACATTGAATGATAGTTTTTCCGTTTCATAAAATTTGAATAGTAAGAGAAATTTACACTCAACTCTAAATCATCGATGTCGACTCTTGAGGAGCTTCGAGGGTTGATAGAAGATGACAGGAAGAACATCAACCAGTTTTTTCTGCTTATAATGGGTGCAATCGTGCTGCTCATGCAGTCGGGCTTTGCATTTCTAGAGGCCGGCTCGGTACGCGCTAAAAACGTTGTAAATATTTTGGTGAAAAACGTTCTCGATTGTTGTAAGTGATTTCAAAGTTTTCATATGAATTTAAGCAACTAATTTTTTAGTCATTGGGGCAATAGTCTACTGGGCCTTTGGATTTGCATTTGCGTACGGAGATGTCGATGAAAGTCATCCTCACTCATCAGCAAATAGATTCATCGGATTCAAATACTTTTTTTCGTGAGTAAATTGCTCACTGACACAAGCGATAAGGCTAAAATAGATTGAGCATAGATGATGGGGTGGGTTTTTATGCGACTTGGTTCTTTCAATTTGTATTCGCTGCTACAGCAGCAACGATTGTGTCGGGTGCAGTGGCGGAACGCACACAATTCGGCGCCTATTTGATCTACAGTACCTTCATCACCGGCTTCATCTATCCCGTGGTCACCCATTGGGCCTGGTCAGAAACTGGTTGGCTTCAGAATCAAATTGTAAGCTCCTTTTTTACGAGAATGAGTTGCATTAATTCGTTCAAGATTTCGTCAAACTTCAAACACGCTTACACTGCAAATGGCTCTTTAGCCTACGACGGCAATCAACCTGTCAAGTGAAAGAGTTCAAAATCTATCGTTTTCATCAGCAATATAGTAATTTGCGGTTTACAACTTGCCTCAAACCATTTTAGAAGATCTGAATATCTCCGTTCATTAATCGTATTTTTTCTTTTCAAAGTTTATTTGATTTCGAGCACTAGATCAGTTCGTTGATTTTGCTGGTTCCGCTATTGTACATTGTACTGGTGGTGCTGCTGCCTTCATGGGAGCCCTAGTTATTGGACCAAGAATAGGTCGCTTTGAGAAGGGAGCGCATGATCCGAACCCACAGCCTGGCCATTCAACGCCTTTTGCAGCCCTTGGTGCATTCATCCTCTTTCTGGGTTTTCTTGCATTCAATGGCGGCTCTGAACTTGCTATTGTCGGTGATGATCATGCAGTTGTTGTTGCCACTGCTTTTGTCAACACCATGCTTGGTGGAGCTGCAGGCTCGATCGTCGCTGTCGTGTTAAATTATTGCGTTGCTTGGATCAAAGGCGAGCCAAAATACTGGTCCCTTCTACAAATGATCAATGGAGGCCTAATTGGAATGGTGGCAATGTGTGCTGGCTGCAATCGTCTGAATCAAGGTTTTACTATTTTCAAATAAAAATATTACTAATCATAATAGTCTAAATTTTAGACTCTAAAACTTTTAAATTCTAGGCGCTGCCGTTGGAATTGGAGCCATGGCTGGCATAACTCTTCTTTGGGTATCATGGGTTATGAAAAGAATTCGAGTTGATGATCCCCTTGATGCCTTTGCTGTTCATTTTGGCGGAGGATTGGTAGGAATTCTCGCCACTCCGGTTTTTATGAATGGTGGTATCGTTCACTGGAAAAACTGCAAAACTCAGAGAGATATTTACGAGTAAGCAATGTTTTTATATAAACAGATTTTCTGTTCCGCGAGCTGTTAACTGAGCAAGGCTGTTTAGAGCCGATTTCCCTGCGATAAACCCTGATGCAGAAGGCAATTTTCAATGTGACTACTTTGAATTTAAAGTCTTTGCATGGAATCTGGCTGGTTTCCTTTCTATAGTCCTATGGTCAGGTTCTTTGTCCTTTTTGATTTTCTACTGCTTGAAAGTAACGAAGATGCTTCGAGTGAGTAGAGATGATGAAGTGCGTGGCTTGGACATCGGAAAGCACGGCGAGCCAGCGTATCCAATCGAGGCCTACGGACACGGCTGGAATACTGATCTTACAAAGGAATATGAACAAGAAAACGGTTAGTTTGAGATCTTATTCTACCCAAAGTTTGTCGTAAATGTCAAGTTGACGAGCTTTTAAATGCCCATAAAATTGAAATTTGAAAATTTTATTAGGTGAAGTTACAAACATTGGATACCAAGATTCATTAGCAGACTCAAACGCATACTCAAATTCATCTTAAAGAATTTCAAACGCTTTCCAACTACAGCTGACCCTTTTCTCTTTGCTCCAATAAACCTCGAAACGTCGACTCTTGATTCATTAGAAATAAGTCTTCCTTGTTTTCCTGTCTGAAATTAATACTCTTTCGATTTTCAATCGCGAAAAAAGAAATGAATCAGAATTGAAGAACGGGATAATTACTCAAAATATTTTTTTTCGATCACAACTTTATGTTATTTTTTGCTGTTTTCCATATAAACGGTCAATCAGAAGGAAAGTTGCACCGTGCATCTTGCACATCTATAAGTGGGAATTCTCGTCTATATATAACTCTATCTATCTACGGAAGAACTTGACCTTCTTATAAAAACGAAGCTCTTGATCGACAAGCAACTTGATTATTCTACTTGAGTTAAGGGGAACAGATGGCCTATTTACCCTTGTATCATAATCAGCAAGGATGTGCATGTGTCTTTCTGAACAAGAAAAACTTTCTCACAGCAGTCACGTGTGTCTTCCAATAAATCTCTAGTGATTACACGGAGTTTGCTTAGGAAAAGAAAGAGTCCGATCGAGCATATGTCCACAGTGCACCCCACACCTGTCGCTCAGTTCCTCAGTTCCTCAGGTTATTAACTTGTCTAGTCCCAGAAAGTGTCAGCGCTAAGCCAGAAAAAATGTCAGAACTAAGCCTGTAGGCTAAACTCGACACCTCTCATATCACCGAGTAACTCCTGCGACGCTGAGAAATGCACTCTTTTCGAGTAACAATATATCTCTACCGAAAACATTGCTTCAATGAGTCAAATAAGTCTATTCCTCATAGACCTGAAAAAGTTTTTTCTTCTAAAGACGAGCTGTGCACTCTTGTTAAACCCACTGTTTCACAAATCAATCATCTAAACAAGGTACGACGAAAAGTAGACCCTGTCTAGAAATCAAAGAAGAAATTTGATTGAAATCAAAGAAGAGTAACTTCACGGGAAGTTGAACAATTTGGCACCAGTAATGTAACGTTTCAGTGAATGTGAGCGAGGTACAGTCGGTAACGGTTTATGTCACAGTCTGGTTTGAGAGGGAAAACACTGTGGGCAGGGCTGGGGCGTCGCTCGTGAGCGGCGCTTTGCGCTTATGAAAGGGCACTCTTCCGTGCAGCGCAGCCTTAACTCTGGAATGACCCGATATCCGTTACGACGAGATAGACATGAGCCAAGAACCAGAGAACCATACAGATCGCCCGGGCGCTGATGAGAAAACAACAACGGAACAAAAAAGCTGGTATGCTCTCGTTTATTAAATTTCTCTAGAGTCGAAGTCCGTAAAAACGTTATATGGTAGGGAAGATAAGAAGATAAAAGGAGAACGTGACAGTCGCACAAGAAAAGTTCACTCAGGAAGAGAAAGCGAGGCTGCTCTCTTTTATTGGCATGGGTTCGAGATCGAAGCAAACTGAGTTCAAATTTTCGGCAGTGCGCCAAATATTGTGCTATTTGTAGAGGCCAAATTCAACCCCGTTCCCGTGAACTATCCTCGCACTTTGGCAAATAAAAACGTACTAGCTCGAACCCACGATTACAGCAATTATGTCGAGAAAATTCATCACTGCCTTGATTCAGAAAAGAAGGAGGTATCGGAGAGATCGAACTGCCCTGCCAAAATTCAATTCAGGCTATTGGACAAAATATTTCATAAATGAAACTTCAAATGATTTGTAAGTTTGACTGTTCCTTTGGCCCATTTAAGCATGTTTGGCGCCGTTTGTTTCCCTGAAGTTCCACAAAACGCTTCATTTTGCGACAAAGAACGACGTTTCCTCACAAAATGCATGCCTCCAGCATATGATGACTACGAAGAATACGAATCACAATCGCCAACACAGTCGCCAACACATTCGACAACACAATATCCGCCGTTCGATGACGGTGGATGGATCCATCACCAGTTCGCTCATCATCATTGGGAAGCGAACGATACAAATTATATCGAGCTGATGAACAAAGGAGAGTGCGGGGAAAACACCTCCCACTCAAGAATTCATCCCGACAGAATGTACTTGGAGTGGTGCGAAACTCCCGATCACAAGAACGAAAACCAGGGGTCCTTCAATCCATGCATTACAGAGAAGTCCTTCGAACAAGAATATGAAACTTCTGTTTCTGAAGTTGTCAGAGATTTGGTATATATTGGACTGCCCTCTTTTGCTTTTATTTTGACGCTATCGACGACCCTAGTCCTGGTAAAATTTTTCCGACGAAGCAAGCGCATACTAGTCTATATAAACATGTTCCTGTCAATGTCCCTCTTTTCGCTCTGCTACGTTATCAATATTTGGATTTATCGACTTTACGCTAATATGAGAAAAGAGGAATCAAAAAAAATTATCGATGGTAAGCTTTTAAACTTTGAACGATTTTTCTTCTGGACAAAATTTACGGTGATTTTAGTACTTGGTGGTTACATCGACTCTTTATTCCAACGAAATTACAATGGCGAAAACGGAATAAACAACTTGACGACGACGCAGCACGACTTATTTCTCAAGCCGGATTTCTGCGACAGAAACGATGAACATTTTTACAAAAGACTAAACTATACGAGAGCAGACTGCTCGACCCTGGAAGATCTAGATCGAGTTGCTCGCGAAGCCGGCTGCGGCTGGGACGAGTTCAACGCCGAAAAATCCACCATTGAAAATTACTGTATCTTTTTTGGCCTTCTGGAAGCGTACTTCTGGATGACAAAGTTTACTTGGTTTATCTTACAAGCAATTTATCTAGTCATGCTGAATTTATGTACATACAACTCACTCTCTATTTTTCAATCCAACATGTTTATCTGGATCGGCTGGCTAACACCTCTCCCATTTCTCGCTGCCTTTGCGTCTAATTTTTTCTTCTCAAAAGGAACTGGGTCCATTTATTTTGATTAAGGAAAAATATTTTAACTCCTGAACGTATAATTTTCAAATTCCGCTGAACGCAAATACGCCCAATTAAGGACCCCCCCGTCAACAATTTTCGAAAAATCTATTTTCGGAATTTCAAAATTATGACCCCGGAAATGGATTCTACGAGTGAAAAAACGATTTTGAGGCTTCATTTTTTGGGGGTCTATCTCGACTCTAACACCCTCAAAATCGCGTTTGAAAATCGGATTTTTGACGAAAAATGACGAAAAAGTCCCAATTTTGCTAAAATTTCAGATTTTTCTTGGTCAAAAAGTGCTCCGAACAAGTTTTTATGATAAATTGAACTTTCAGGAAGACTCAGAAGCCAAAATATGGCTTTTAAGAAATTTTCGATTTTTTGAGGAAAATTGTTGACGGGGGGGGTCCTTAATTCGGCACGGCTTTTAAGTGCATCTCACGTCGACAGTAAGAATGAAATAGACTCACAGAAGCCATGGTTGGTTTTGTTAGACCTTTGCCTTGTTTTATATCAACATATGAATATGTAGTCATATTATGCTATTTTTCGAAGCTACTCATATTATTTTTTCACTAAAAAGGCGCAATGCCCAACAATTGGTTAATATGCGTTCAGGGATTAAGAATAAGTTTAACTTTTCTATATATCCTTTTAAAGATCGTCTGTACAACTATAGAAACGACAACGTTTTCTGTGGAATAAAAGAAGACGTTTCGGACGTAGGTACATATAGATATACTCTCCATCTAAAAAATTTTAGTATCACTCTATCTATGTTTTCACAGGCATTTGTTTGGCGATTAACTCCATATTTTTCATCATTGTTGTGTATCAAGTGTACAGGAAGTGGTTTCATTATTCCGGAAAAAAAAAATCGGCGAGTTCTTATGAAACTGTTTAAAGAATCCATTCAAATACTCGTGCAGGAATCTGGCGAGTAACGCGAGCAGTTTATTACCTCATACCTTTGTTCAACATTTTGCATATACTCGAAATCACTGACAACAACTTCTTCCGCGTCGAGGCGAAGCATATAGGCACGCCTTTTTACAGTCTAGGAACGGGCTCAAGAATCTTCTCCTTAATTTTTTCAATCATGACTGAGAGAGTGAGCCTATTGATGAGTTATTTCTACGTTTGTGGAATTCGTTTATCCGCTTATCATCTGTGTGCTGTTTGTCTAGGGTCGTACTCCTTAACGTTCTGTTTTTTCGCCAAAATGATAAAAAGGGCAAGGAATCAATTCAGAAATCAAGTAAAACGGATTCTTAATTAGGGAATTCAAAAGGAGAGGAGTACGACCCTAGCTACTTGTGTTTATGTCTCGGGAGTTCAAATCTAAATTAAAACGCTTCAAGAAAAACTTTTCTAATCAGGAAAAGCTTCTACAGCTGGAAATTCTGTCTGATAACAAACCCCCCTTCTCATGTAAAATGAGAAATAGTATTAAAAGCTGTCCATAAATTTAGCTACATAAACGTCTGGAATGGCCAAAACACAAGCGCTTTGGTTTGTGACGAGAATATTTTTAGCTTCTTCTCAAATTAGAGCTCACTCGAGCAATGAAAACTTTCTCAGCAAACTGCTTCATCACTTTCAAACTTTGATCATAGCGATTTTAACGAGCGCGTATTAGTATTGGAGCATCATCAATAACGAAATTTGGTTACTGCCAGTTTAGATTTTTTTAAACGGCTGCGCTACTTAGTACCTCGCAACCACGACCAACCCGCAAAGCTCGTTTAAAAGAGCCGGGAAATCCTCGACGGAAAATCGAATCAGGATATTTCTCTCCAACCGTGTAAATTTGCGTCAAGCCCTGAAACTTTTGCATCCTGCTTTTTATAGATCGAATAGAATAAAGCTTTTGTATAACTAAATTAGATAATAATTATTATATAAAAGTTATATAACTAGTTACTTTTCTTTTGCATAATTCGAACAATAAAATAAATGCCAGTAGAATAGTTGAACTTTAGCGTTTTTTAGCCGACAGAAGCCATTTTCGAAAAGGAAGCTATGAAAAGACTCCGTTTTTATACGGTCTTGCGACGAAAAAGCATAAAAATTCTGATTCCAGGCCTGACCGAAGATGTTCAAATGTGACAACTGAAACATTACAGGCAGTGATCGCTAAATTCCTAATCAAATCATCTGAGCATATTCCAAACCACTAGACATATGACAGTGCGATCCGAAAGAAGCCCGAGACACAAGACTCAAACTCCACTTCGAACAACTCCTCTAAGACCGAAGTCCTTTATTCTCGACCGTATCTATCTTCTTCAAGCAGCAAAGAATAAGCAGCTTTGTAAAAATTAAATGTACAGAAATGGAGCACCTTTCTTCATGCACACCGAGCAGTCCACTTTTCAAGTTCGATGAAAAAAAAAAACAAATGAACGAAAAATATAAAATAATATTTAATAAAGATTAAAAAGATGACACCGATTCCTTTTTTGTAGAAATTGATCCATCGACCGTGGCAGTAAGGGCGAATGCCTTCGAGATTTTCGATGGTCCAGCTTCCCCGGCTAGCTTCGACCGAGCCGCGACATTTCCCATCCCCAAGCATGACATCTGAGCGGCATTTGACACAGATATTCTTGAGAAGATTCCCCCTAGGAAATTTCCCCGATTTGTAAAAAGTAAATATATATTCACGTGACAAATTTCAAAGCACACAGTTCAAGGTGTGTTATTTACAGTTCACTATTCCAAGTTCACGGGCGCTTGTTATTTGATGGGCCGGTTCGAGATCCTAGATTAACCCGAAATTTAGAATCCTTTCCTTGTAAACACTTTTTTGGGCCATGCAGGCGGAATTTCTTCTTGTCACCTAAGTAAGTTTAAGTTTCTCATTCTGAATCTAGTGCAACGGACCTTGTAGAGATGACAGTAGTCACCGTTGTTGAGCTCTTTCCGGAAGGTTGCCGAAGCGGGGATTATCGACGCTGCTGAGGCTAGAAAGGGAAGTTAAAACCCACTATCGCTTCACGTTATCATCCCGATGCTAATGAGCAAATCACTGGAGGTTATCAGCTCCATGTAGTTATCGCCCTTTTTAACGTAGAAAACTCGATAAAAACCTTAATTACTAACGCGCCATTGTATCTCTCGTAAGAGAATATCTGCTATGCATACGTTCTCATACAAAGATAATTTTGAAACTGAAGTTACATTTATGGAGAGGACACCGCTCATTGCAGGATCGACTTTGAGTGATTTTACGCTGCGGCTGTTGCTCGCCGTACTTGTCTATCGTGAAGCATCTGATGTCCTTTGCAGTGTTTTCCCGATTGCGCGCTAGAATTTTGTTATTTCGATTTAGCGAAACAAACCCACTCATAACTCCTTTGCCGCAAGACTTCTTTGATGGCAATTTACACTCGCTCCAATCGCTCCACGCACTCATCGAGTCACAATCTAAAAATATGTTTTGTATCATCAAAGCATCCATTCTCGTAACATTGGTAACTGTGTGACTTTCGGGACATGTGTAAATTATGATCCTTTACGATTGCTTACTGGAAAATGCAATGATCTCTCAATTTACAATTTATTTAGAAATATATGCTATGCTTTATAAGTTGTTCTAGACATACTAGTGGAGCAGGCGTTCTGGTAAGTCAAAGCGTATAACTATTAATAATAGTCTATTATTTATCAAGTAATTTTTCATATTTTTACCTTGAGGATATTTGCAAGTCTGCATGAAATCGTGACAACAATCGCCCAACTGAAAGCAACGATCATCGCAGAAACATGGTGTCGAAGAGGGTGTGTTTGCTCCAGCAAAAGATGGATCGTTTTGTTCGTCAATATTCGCGACTCCTGTGCATCCTGATCAGATCAGCTCTTGACTCCATTTTTTTATTATTTGCGCATTGGGCAATTAATCTCAAGAAAAACGCGTTAATTAAACGGTGTGTCAAGACCTTTTTAGGGATGAGGCGCTCATCGTCTAATCCGATAGAGCACGTGACTGATCCCACGCCTGTGCCGTTGTCAGCTCCAACGCAGCAAGCTGAGTACGGGTTTTCGTCGGGATTGAATCATAATTGATCATAAAAAAGTCTTTATGCGACTAGAACCCATTCCTGGTTGTCCATTCATGAGTGCACGGTTTTCACAGCTCAATCTTTGGCCTTGTTTCAAGTTGATCAAATATTAAACTATGAGTAGAAATGAAAGTAACTGTTAAATTATCGGATATCTCGTGGCTGTTTGATGAAAAATGATGAACCTTGGCTTTTGCCGGACGATAAGAAACAGCAACGACGATCTAAAAAATACACCTTCAAAGATTCGAAAGAAAATTCCTAGGAAGATATCACCACCGCGGCAGTAGCGATATCGCCAGCCCTGTGGCTGGTTTAGAAGAAAAGGATGAAGTTTTCACGAAACACGGCCTTTATCAAAGGGCCCTTTATAATAAATACTTGCTTCTAAAAAGGTTTAATTTGTTGAACAATTCTAGGGTTTCTAAATGAGCTTGATGATTTTTTGCGCAGTCGATTCGACTTCGGAGTCAAAGTACAACTCATTCGGGAATATAGACACTCTCCTCCCATTTTCATGCAATGTTCGAAGCATTTACGCGCCACAAAGTGACGTGCTTCGCGCAAGCTGCCCAACCAACTATTTTTGGCGTTCCTTAATACGTTTTCCCGTTAGAAGTTCTAAACAAATAAGGTTCACTCTGCAAAAGAAGTATCTTCCCATTCTAAGTAATTATGGATGGAATGCGACTTTAGCCTAGTACTAATCCAACTATTACATTTTTCACGATTACGAACAGCATTTTGCGGTAAAATGGGCCAGTATCGTATCACAACGGACTTCTTATCAAAAACAGAAATTTTCAAGCGTACCGTCTGAAACAGCTGCATTTTGAGCTACTTGTCCGGCTCGTGTCAAGAAACGTAGCTCCTTCTGTTCGTCTGGCACCTCTGCTTGAATTTATTTTCACTGTGAAAGCTAATTACTGTTACAATTTTAAAATAGTTCTCTATTTTCCACTAGTCTATATACTAAAAATAATTCAATTCCATACCTCTTTTCTTTAGCTCTGAATATTGTTTGACTCTCTCTTTCTTAGGGACCTGTTAATCTTGAAATCGTTTGTGAAAATTGGCGTTTTTTCGTTGTTATCCAAGAAATGCGGACTTGGATCGATCACTCACTCCTTATCATGAAAAATAAACGAAGACAAGCGTGCACGGGAAAGTAGGGGATTGAAACTCCTGGCGTCTCAAGTTGAGGAGATCGAGCGCCAGCGCCGGATACTCGCGATTTTTTTCGAAAATCGATCTCGTGGGTCCGCCCCTCGGCGAGTGTAACCAAAGATTGTTGTTTGAAAACTTGTTATTTCAAGAATTTCGCGACGAGACAAAGTTTTCAATAAAGACTGTAATCGACAGATTTTTGATTTATAACTAATGCCTCCTAGCCGAAAGTTCCCCCAAATCTTGATGAAAGCAAGGCTCGCCTTTGTCAAGCAGTTATGACAGTTTGTAATAAGTGAACCTAGAGCTCAAGTTACCACAGAATCCCAGTTTAGAAATGACCCTTTGCCATTAAGCCGTTGAGAGTTTGCTTTTAGTTGTATATTGAAGGTGTTGTATTGAGTGAATCAGAAGAAGGTTAAAAGAAGTTACGTGTGGCGTTCTGCGAAGTTGAGACGTCCACATGATAAGCATGTGTGATATCCAGCACCACGGCCTCTCTAATCCGCTTCCTCCAGAAAGAGATACCCTTTATCGTTCGTGTGTTCACTTTTGCTAGTCAAAAGTCTAGCCCAGGATTGCAGATGTAATCTCTTCAGGAGTTCTTATGAATGAAGCAACAAGATTTATAAAGAGAATCATTAGTATTCCCAAAGATTGAAAGTGCTCCTTCTAAAATCGACTTTTTCAAAATCGGAATTTACAAAAATGCGGTTTTGAATTTCCGATTCGCCCCACTTTCCCACTTACATAGCCCAAGAATTCAAATCGCGTTTTCTTCATTGCGGGAAAGTCTGACTTATATAATTTTGTGAATATATTATTATAATCGCTTCCAAAGCCATTTCATTGCCAATTTGGGAAACGGATGTGGGAAGTCCGCTGAAGCTCAAGGAAGGCGACTTCTAAGTTTCACTTTCAAAATTGCCATTTAATAAATCATAAATTATACTATAAATTATTCATAGTCCCGAATTGGGACCCCCAATAACTGCTAGGAAGCAGATACTTCTTTCTTCATCATGATCGTTTTTTCTAGGAACTCATTTTTTTGACATCTCATGCATGTTTATAAAAAGCTCACAAGTTTAGGGTCGATAAGTTAGCGAGAATCAATTTTAGTTTGATCCTCTTATATTTTTATTTACAGGTTAATTTATACAATTTTGGCGAAGGTCTTCTTTACTACGGGAGTCAATTTCGCGAGCACTTCCTTCATTTGATATTTCTGTAGTTTGTTTTTGGGCAGGAAACTTAAATATACACTGTCGATGAAGTACTTACAGTTAGGTTGAGATTGAAAACTGCTTGGTTTGGCGACGGCGGCGCTGGAACAATAGACACACAATCACGATAAAGAATATCACCAACACAACAAGTACTGTTAAGGGATTTATTTATCGAGCAAAGAAAGGGTCTTGGAATTGCTATCTACTGAGCATTAATATTTACGTTCAGGTAACTGCGAAATCCGTTAGGGTCATCTTTCGAGTGATGCTACTTGAGATATGGTTTTATTTTATTAACAATGAAACCGCTTTTGGAGTCTCTGTCCTTATCACTCCTAAATTGGCAGGAGAAAAGCGAAGCAGTCCTCGAAGATTTGCTTATTCTTATTTTGGAAATGGAACTTATCTCCATCTCTTGGAGCTATTTGCCAAATAGCGCTTTACTTGAGAATGTTCTTTTCAAGTGAATGTTAATCCCGTTCCTGTTAGAATCATCGCACCTAACCGGTCAATAATAATTTCCGGGGCTTCTTCGACTTCGTGGATGAGAATATGAACACTAGAATGGTTGTTAAACAGCTATTAAACCAGTGACGAACAGAAATGTATTCTATCGTTGATCTCTAACGACGAATGACGTAGTATCTGACCTAGAGAGTTGAGAGAACTGGGGCAAATTGTTCATTAGTGGAGCAGAATTCGCCGCTTTGAGCTGTGGGCCATTTTCTTCCATCAGTTCTTCCCACTCATCGTCGTAAACGATCTCGGTGCCGTTTAGCTGCTCATAGAGTAGGAATTCTTCGTACTCGTTAACTACCTTTTCGTGGCCGCATGAGGGCAAACATGTCCGCCTCAGACAGGCTTTCACCTAAATATGCATCACCACATTGTCGCCTTTACAGCGCATTAAATCCTAACGGATAACTCGTGTTAGCTGACCAAAATAATCACCCATTTTCTTTTTAAACACTTTATTTCTTTCAAGTTGACTCATTTACCTGGCATTGGAGATAGACATGTTCTGAGCCGACGAATTTGAAAACAGGAATGGAAAAGTGCACTCTATTCGACTCGCCATTATCGACTACGGAAAACTCGATCCCTTCTTTCCTAAAAAAGAACGTAAAAGCTGCGGCGCATTATGGAACTCTCCCGAGTGCCCTTTAATAATTAGCATGAACCTCAACCCTTTTAATGATCTGCTCTCGGATTTTACCTTAGAGAGTCATCCATGCATCCTCCGGAGACGAGATCAAGTCGCAAGTCAGAATAATCGTTCGGCACAGCCCAGCATCTATCAACAAAGAGATAGGCTTCTTCTGTAGGCGCTCGCATCAACTAGAAGTTTTAACGTGAGTCTCGAGCTCGAATACAAGCGCTTTAAAATCGCACACACTTCTTCAGGTTATCAAAGAGATGATTCTAGCTACTCGATGTCCGGATTCGCACCGCAGATTAACGGATCGGGGGATGGAGGGATACCCAACTAGAGATTAGAGGGTCTAGAATCCGCGAACATGTGTTCTGCCAGAAGAACTTTGTTTCCGTACACTGCATTTACCTCCAGTCCAATATGTAGCTTCTCGTTCGTTTGAAGAGTAGGCAGCGATTCGAATCTGTTTCCAAAGGGGCGATCTTTGAAGATGTCCATCCGGGCCCAGATCAAGTCTTTTCCGACTCCGCTTTTTGAGGTTACTTTAAACGTGGCGATTTTCATTGACAAATTTAATGTTGACAATTTTAGATTTAAGAAGGCAATCCAAAAGAGGCTTATTTCCGCGAAAATTCGTTTTGAGTTTCGATCTAAAATCTAACGAAGCGTAACGCGTTGGTGACAACATGAGCCAACCGCCGGTGAGACAAGCTGGCCACTATTGGGCTCCGAGTAAATATCAACTAAGGTGCCACTGATATGCTCCTGGCCATAGACGCGAACACCGCTGAACAAAAATACTGACTATGGCTCTCTAAGCCTTCGTAATTCACCCTCGGCGAGATTAGAACTCGCGAATTTCGAATCAAAAACGTGCGTCGTCATTACAGATCTTTTTCGAATACAATTTTGTGCTCAGTACAGAAATTCGATATTAAGGTTTTTCTGTCTGCGGAACCTTATAGTTTCAAAATGAGGCAAGTAGTGTTTGTTTGAAAGTGAGTCAGATTGTTCAACAACGGTATGACTTTGGGTAGCTTAGAGGTGTAGCTTAGGTGTTGCAAATGATTCGTTTATGCAACCGCAATGCGAGCAACAAAAAATGCTCGAGCGAGGTTAGAAAGATTTCTCTTGTTAAATGAGATTTCCACTTGTGGGAATAGGTGCACTACCAACTGTGCATAATCCAATTAAAGCGACTCTTAGTTTAGTAACCTTTACCCATAAGTCTCGATGGGCTCCCATGTTCGGCCCTCCATTGCATCGTTCAGCATCTAAAAGAAGAGTCAAATATCCGGAGGTGGGGTCGACTTTGACGCACTAAAAACTTAATTGCGAGAAAATTGTGAGAAATTGAAACTCTCTTCATTTGCGCAAGTTGTTCCGTATTTTGAGTACTCTGCCAGTACTTACACAATGCTTACTCGATCACTTATAGCTTAATTGCGAACGTGGCCGAACAGGAAATTCATATTTCCGACGAGTTTGTAGAACGCTTTTGAATCGACAAAATAATATGAAAAAAGAGGTACGTAACGGAGCTGAGCTGGATTTTAATCATATAATCCCGCTGCTCCATTATTATCGCTCGCTTACTGGTGTCGATGACTACAACCGCGTTAAATCAAAGCTCAATTAATACCCGACACCACTACCGTAAGCCATGTGGCGAAGGGATTTGAAGAGATCAGAAGTCTTCCTTCAGATTAGGAACTTGTCAAAAGCGAAAAAGAGATCTACTCTTTTATACAGAAAAGCACTTTGAATTCTCCTCCCTTTCTGATAACGATATGAACATTTTAAAAGCTCTTGAAATAGCATGGGAAATGGTATTTGTGTCGCAGGTTGTAGAATTTCTTTGTAAACGCAAATAGAACTAAATTGAGTAGAGCGGAGAAAAAAATCTGATTGAGAACTGTCCGCTGCCACCGCCACAGAAATTATAGACGTCAATTTAGCCATATTGGATAATGCTGCTAGGAACGAGAGCAATATTCGCAAAACGTGGATGTTGATTGTTCGACTACAATAAAAAAAAAAGAAAAAGAAAGGAGAAGAGATCAAGAACGAGTTTAGAAATTCTCATTGTAAATCGGCCCTTCAATCTACACGTGAAAATGCATTATGTTTCTTGCGAAAAGAAGTAAATTTGGAAGGTCTGATTCCCCTGCTACTATATAATTCCAGAGCTCGGGCGTCTTTTAATGGTTTCGACTGGTGCCACATTGCAAAGCGCACAGCCGCAAATCACAGATTCAAGGCCGTAATTAGCACATAGGATGTGTTGCACGTTGGAAAAGTGTCTTGCAATGTGAAGAGTACCGTAACCGTGTGTCTACGGATGAATACGAGAAGAAGGCTCTCGCCCTCAAAATAAATCAAGAGAAAACGTAAAAATAGGTTCACAGGACGCTTATTCGAGGCTCATGAAAACGAAAAGTTCTCTTGGGCTGCTCCAGAAAGCGATAAAAGCCCGTCAGGTTGATAACCAGTCCGGACGCTTGGGCAAGGGAAAGATTAATGCGTTAGAATAGTAGTCGCTAAAGGATGTTCTAGCGTTTTGAAAAGTGAGTCAAGGCAATGAATGAACTTAGGTGAGCAAGAAATAATATCTCGGACGGTGATCAAGTACCTTTGTCAGAGCTAGGCCGTGATCAAGGGTGTTCATTGCGTTCCAATTTCATTAGATAAGGAGTCCGCGGTTGATTAGACCGCCTCGCAGAAAAAACGCTAGATAGTCGGCTATAAATCGAGGAGCCGCCTTTTTCGTATTTATCGCGAGTCTCCAGAAAAGAATGATAACGCTTAGTTGCCAAAGCAGGCATAAAAGGTTTGACTTACCGGGATGGATGGAGAATCATAGTAGAGCGAGGTACGCAGTTCGTCTTCGTTGAAGATGCATCCTATTCGTCCAGAGAACACCTCGGGTGCTTTTATTGCTGGTCAAAACGGGCCTTTCGATAATCCCAAGCAGAGACTTGTTAGATTGGTATTTAGACAAAGAGCCATACGCTTGTGTTCAAGTGGCCATTTCTGCGAGTAGTCCTAGAACTAGCACTATAGAAGTGAGGTTCTTTCAGGAATAATTTAACTTCTCAATACACGGGCGCGCGACTAAGCGCTCAAAACACGGGGTCGGGTGAGGGGACCACAATGCATTATTCAGCCCCGCGCGGCGCGCAAAATTCGGAGTGTGATAAAGTGCGCTCAAGACTTTAAGCTCTAACTTGCGTTTCCGGCAAGCAAAAAAGTTACTATACATATCGATGGAAAGCTTGAACACTCACCTATCAAGATTTACAATTGATTTTGCAAAACACTTTTTGGATTTACGGCTGGAGAGTGAAAGATAAATCCAGTGCAAAACGCCACCACTTTTGAGAAAACTTCCAAAATTTCACAAAGTGGTTCGTTTTAGTGATCTCAGCTCACATTTCAAAAATCAGGTCAAATGAATTATCACAAGAGAAATTACGGCGGCTCAAAGTCGCCGTGGTCGGTTCAACCGACCACGTGTATTGAGAAGTTAACATTTCATTTACATGCCATAACTAACCTGAATTAAACATTACCTAAGCAAAATCGAAACCCGAAAGACCATCCGAAAACCCGCAAAATGTATGAATTGCATAGAAAACTTTAAGAGTCCATGTGTTACCCCTAATTTCTTTAAATTTCTGTGAAGCCTAGAGAACCTGTTCTCGGTCAAATGTTCTATTCACAAAATAACTCCTCGTTTTGAATGCAGTGAGAAGCGCGAGAATCATTTATGTTCAAAAATGCTACCGCGTAAAATAATTCCGCGTATAATCAAGTAAATAGCTGGGAACATTTTTGACACGTGGTTGTAATACCACTTTCTTGTAAAAATCTACAATCTCAAGCGAGGCTTGTTTACGCGCCATTCGCGAGGTTGGAAGGCGAACTCGTCATATTTTCAAGGAAATTATTCATAAATAGCAATTAACAACTTTTTCAGATAATTCTTCAAAATCGGCCCCAAAAGGTCTGGGGCGAACGAAATTAGCCGACTGAGGCTGATTAATAGAATTTGCTCCTCTTTTCAGGAGTCGAAATCAGGTTTGGCCACGTAATATCATCCGCTTTCTCCCTGGCGACGGAAAGGCCGCAGAATATTTTCTCAGAATCAAAATTTTTTTTCATAAAAAGACAAATTAGAAAATCTAGAGCCGCCGCAGAGCAAAAACTCGCGACCATCCCAGACAGGCGCAAAAGCCAAGAACACGTATTTTTCCAGCGCCTGATTTTGATTTCTAATCAGAAGCAACGCGCAAGCTTAAATTATACTTTAATGATGTAAATATTCACTTCTGATTAACGACTTGATGTGGGGCTTCTCTGAATGGAGCTAAATTTACTTTTTGAAAGAAAAAATTCGACTTTCATTTTGATAGCTTATTTTGATGATTGCCAAACTAAACGGCCCTGTTCGAGAAACGGGAGGATAATTTTAGCGCGAGGCTTTTTCGGCAGCTTTAAACAAATTCTACTTAGAAAGCCTTTTATTTTTTTGTCCTTGCGTTACGTTTAATGGGGCGCTGTAAATGGAGAAAGTGGGGCAAAAACTACATGCTTGAGAAATCAAGCACTCGCGTTTGTGATCGATTTGCATAATTATGTAATTGCGACACCGATAAAGTCTCGTAAGGGCCGCCCGTACGTGTATCTCGGATCACTTTCAAGTGTGTCTTATCACTTTGCACAGCGAAAGAACTAAAATTCGGAGATAAAGTTTAAGAGGATTTTAAAAATTTATATCGATCATTTCGATTTTAGATCGCCAAGAAATTATCCCCTTTCCCCCACTTTCCGAGTAGAAATTAGAATGTCCTGTGATTCGTGTTGCGTTTTGACCACTACCTAGAGCTGTGGCAATGGGCTGGACGATTTCGTTCATCAAAACAAGATGAGTGGAGTTGATGGTCAGCGAACTTCCGCAAGCAGTCGGAGGGCGAATCTGAATTAGATTTTCGGTTAGTCTCGGGTCGACTGTATATGTTCTTATACGTAATGAGTGATAATCGCAATGGTGATTATCTCGGAATTGAGAGTCCACCATTTTCGTAAAAGATGAAATCTGAGCAAAAAGAAAACAGAAAGGCGTATTTAAAATGGCAACAATCTAAGTCGATGGATTACCGACAAAGCAGATTATAAAAAGGAACCAATCGCGTCAACCGTCTTTAGAAGCACAAGAAGACTTCCAGAAGCAATGCCAAAAATGCTCACTTAAAATTAACATTCAAATGAGCCAAGCGAATTTCATTTTCAGGCGAATCACGTTATCTTCTGAGACTGGTCATCTCTATTTATTCTTGGTTTGAAACGCAAAACATAACGTTCAATAAGAAGCTTCGAGCTTTGGAATTAAACGTAACCAGCGCAATGTATTTATATATCAATCACTCGATTCCACTAAGTCAGGGTAACTTTGGATTTGAAATAAGTAGATCTACAGTCGATAGATAATTTCAGTCCTTTTCAATTCTTATCATGAATATTTAGCGAAAGAATTTTGACGATCCTAGAATCTAGGACCTAGATTCTGAAATTTAACTTGCATTTTCAAAGATTGCGGACCTTGACATTGCCCGAAAAAGAAGTCTCGCGGCGGAATGTTTCTGGTAATTTTGGCTGATTATCTGGTTCGATTGGTTCCAGCGAGTAAACACGCATTAACTAGAAGTGTATTTTCCCCACTTTGTCTTTGCGCTGGCAATTTTGAGCAAGCTACTTTGTTATTGACGAGTGCCCTTGTCTAGGTCATTAATACGCTTCTCTGTTGCGAAATGGTACCTGAATCTGCTGGGCATTTCGCGAGATCGGCTCAAGGCGGCAGCCAGGATCTTTCAGGTGAAAAGGCGTGTTTGGGAGCGCTCCTTCTAATGTGACGATCACTTCTTCGGCCGAGCACTTCACATCGACGTGGATCTCGTCGTTAACAGCCTTCCATCGGTCGTACTCCGCTGCTGTCACGATTCGTCGACCGACGGTGCTCTCTTCTGTGATAGAAACCATTCTTCCTCCTAAATTCATTTAATTTCTATTTCGATTTTTTTAATAGCTAAAGAAGTTTCTTTTGCAAAGTCAGCGCTTCTAAAATTTCTATAAATTAGATTTGATTTTTGAGACGCGATGATCCCGCTCGTTGAAATGGGCGCTTTAGTCGAGCTTTGTGCACCTGGAAACGATGCCCAGCTCGGGCTCTTCCAGGTGGCTTGCAGAAGAGTATTCTTATCGCGCCTGATAGGACTATTTGGAGATAACGTCACCAAAATTAACACGACTCCTTCTAGGGTAGATGTCTCCGCAAGGAGCAAGTGTCAAACAATGAGGATTTAGAATTCATGAGACGCGCTTTTACCACCCTTTTATCGCAAATTTAACTACAAGGATTTTATCAGTGAAGAAAAAAAGGCTCAGAAAACTCTCTTCTTGAATAGAGACAATTTTGAAATTTGAAACAAATTAACGCTTTAGGTCCAAATTGAATGTAAAATTAGTTTGAATTCAAATAATCCAAGGTTCTGGTTAGTTTGATCGCGGCTCGCTTTTTTGACTCGTAATGAAATAATAACTCTGGTTTCTTGGGCAAAAATTTTTGTAACATTGCGGCTTATTAGAACAAGCGGGTCATGTTATGAGCATGGTCGGCGAAGGGAAAGTAGGAATAGGTGCTCCACGTGTTGCTTGGATTTTAGAAAATCCAGAACAAGGTATTTGGTTGCAGAGTTTGCATCTAACTCCATTCGGACTACTGCCGCTAAATGACAAGCAACTTATGAGTTGTCTCTTCCGTACAAGCCCACTTGCGAGCTGAATAGGGACTGGTGACTTCAGGGAAGCGGAACTCGCTCGCTAGTTTTCCCGACCGCAACTCTTCATTCTTACTGATAATTTTACGGAAGGATTTTTTAACCGCCTTATCAGTTTTTCATTATATGAGAAAAAATTTTGAGGACAAGATCAAAAAATCCTCTTAGAACAAAAATGTTTTTATGATAAGAGAAAAAGGCTATTTTAAGAAAGGTGGCCAACTTTTAGCTGTTCATGGAGTATCATCGCGTTAAAAAAAAAACATATTGATTACCCCCAAATGGGGATACAGACGTTAGCCACGAAGATCCTCCGTGCCAAGTTCTAAACAGGTATGGGATGAGGCGTCGTCTCCAGTTTTGGCGAGGAGGCACTTTCCCGCGTCGATTTCACGCAATCGGTGCGAAGTGTCCAGCACACACGCGCAGGGCTGGGCCAGCAACTCTATTCAAACCAGATTGGCGCGAAATTTAACCGCGCGGTCCGCACTCAAATTCAATTCGCCTTCCCTCTTTCCTTTTTTTCTTTAGATGCGTAACTGTAGCTTATAGTCAAAATTAGCAAAACTGATAGAAAAATAAAGAGCAAAAGACGTGCATTCTACCGCTATTTATGCGAAAGTGATTGAGTGATAACAAAAAAGCTGCGCTGAAGAGTACTTAGCGATAGGGAACGTTAGCGCATATCAGCATGGGAAGTGGCCCAGATTTGCGGCACCTTCTGCTTTGGAGAGAAATGTACACACGTTTTACGCCACTAATTGCAATAATTATTTTACAGTGTTATTCGTTGATATTGAGTGGTGGTAATTGAAGGCAGTTGTGTTTACATATTTTGAGTTAACAAGAAAAGCGTGAAAATATCTTTCAAGCGCGGTCTAATTGATTCTTCTATTTTCGAGACAATGTTATTGGCTAAATAATAGATTTTATTTCGACACCTATTTAATGCACAGTCATTGCTGAAGACTCGAAAGCTCAATTACCATTATCTCTTGCTTATTGGCATCTATAAAGCAACGAAATTGTTGCATAAGTAATTTTTATTAAGCAATATTTAAATTTAAAACTATTTTTTTTCCATGCAAAGAAAAACTGTAAAAACTCACTGTGTTCTCAAAGAAATTCTTCTTCCGCGATCGAAGGAAATGTAAAAATCTCTATGTTTTTGAAACCTCACAAAAGTGTTTAAAAAAGTAAGTAAAAATAGTTCGCAAGTTTGTTCCCAAGAGTCGGTAAAATTGTCAGAAGCTAGGATCATCGCCAGAAAGTTGCGCATGTGCGCGCGTTTCTCGCGCCGCCAGGTGGCGTCTTTCTTTTGCGCCGTGAGTACTTACTACTGCCCTCGCACTTTCCTAAAATCGGACAATTTTTTTATCAGTTTCAAGTCACGAACATCTTCAGTATTTTCTTGCTTGTAAATATCAAACAAGCAAGCTTGAACCCAGCTTTCAAAAAACTCTCGATCGATTCAAATGAATAAATTTCAACATTTGAAAAACCTTTGAATAGATCTCTTATCAGCATCAAGCACTCATTATCGCTTATAGTACAGTCGTCACTTTACTTACTGAGTTTAATTGTCATTAAACGTGCTGCTGGTAATTGAAGATTATTATGGTGATATACAACTCCTAAACAGTAGAACCGCCTTTTATATTTAAAAAAGTCAGGGAGATATATCTAAGTGCAAACCCTAACCGGTTCCAGGGAGCTGAATTTTGAGGCCGCACTACGATGTATACTAATATAAATGATATTTGATAACTAAGATTTCTCCAGCAAATGAAATCATTTAGAAGTTTCATGATTCTGCGCAAGGTTTCGATTAGCCTGATGGGAAACGATCTTCCCATCTCAGAGTGGCGAGTATCCAACTTGGAAATTGCATAATTAACTGCTTTACAAAAAATCTGCGCGTCATGGGTTTGCATACGACATAGGCGGGCTATTTCGATTATGCATAGTTAAACTGTGTGTAAAACAAATTGAGACTTGGAGGAGGCGGTTTGGTGGAGCAGCGGAGTACAGCATTTGCCAATATTTCAAAGCCGATTTACTATGCGCCTGCCGTTATGCATCCACGACAAAAAGTGATAAGGCGCCACGACTCCCGCTCAGTCCAAATCAAAACAATACTCAAGCACTACACTTTCCGAAATGCACTGGCACAATTCACAAAATCGAATTACTACAGAAGTGCCACTTTTCACGACCACGAAAAATCTCATAAAAAGTATGTTGTTCGCAGTTTGTTTTGCGAACTACAGCTGAAAACAAGACAAAGCGCAACAATAATATTTCCTTTATATATTTTTAAAAAATGATTTGTACTCATCGCATCTGGGTTCCGAATTCTGGAATACTTTCTGGGAGGTGCGTTCATAATCACAACGTTTCATCTATTTTTGCTCATAACTGACGGATGTGCGCATTGAAAGATTTCTTAAAAAATTTCCCCTGAGACGTGTCGGAAATTCCATCGCCCCGCTACCAAGATGCTGCTTCAGAGAAAGGCATCCGAGCATAGTGGTGGAGATGGCGGTTCTAGCGCTGAAAATGCAACATCTCACTCGCATTCCGTTGGGCGGCGAAAGACACACAAGACCAGACCACCTGATAACCATCGAAAATAGTTAAGATGCTTCTCGGAACTCTCGTCAGGGTTCCAGCTAAATCTTGCATTTGCTTCCAGATCGCTGTTACCGTAAATGGAATTCAGAGAGAGCAGAAAAATGCATGTGTGAACCAAAATCATAAACAAAAAGCAGCTTGAAGAGATCTTGGAAAGCCTCACATGCCTGATCCATAAGTGTTTGTAAGTTGATTTGTTGGGAAAATGGGCGAGAGTTGGATATTCCATGAAAAGTTGTAATCCGCTAGAACGGCTCATGATCCGCTCAATCCAGAAGCATAAACATGCCAACACGTACTCACTGCCACAAAGAAACAGAAACGAGCCCCAGACACGTGGGGAAGAGACCAATTGATAACGACGATTATTACTCAAAAATCTCAATGAACAACAGAAATTTGACAATCTCATAATTTGATGAATTCTGTGAATGAGGAACGCAGCGAAGAGGAAGGAAAATCATCGATCACGAGTCTTTTTCTGGCGCTCTTAGGTACAAAACTGTAATCGAAGAAATATTCAGAAATTGGATGAAGTTTCGATCGGCGCTCAATGAAGTCACTCTTTCCGGCTTTTCAAGTCTTGCCTCATCCTCATTATTTTGATTGGGGGTTGAGTCGTTTTCGGCGAAAGATCGTTCCCAAAAGAGTGAATCGAGTTGACGTGCACAGATGAGCCGCTCTCATCAGCCCTCAAATTAGACACTTTTGACGAAGTTTATTCAGCCCTGGGTCTTCTCGTTTACCTCGGAATCTGTATTTACGACGACTTCAAGCACAAGGCATGGTGAATAAACTTTTTCTGCGCTGAAAATTGTAACGCGTCTCTATTTCATCATTGTCCTAGGAAATACATCAAATGCACGTCTTTTTTGTTTTCATAACTTCATTTTCGGGTTACAAATACTACTTACGCTCTTAAACTAATAAGTTTCTTCTGAGTATTATTTTTTCTGTTTTCAACTAGATAATAATTGTGCCCAAAGCATGTAACCTTGCAAAGTTCTTCTATACGCTGGCTGGATGACAGATAAATAAAGTTTAGTTCACGTTAACGCCGAAAAGAGTCCGTCATTTCATGAGAATGTGAGGAATTTTCGGAAATCAAGTAGAATTTCCGTGGAGCGGGGCGATCTCGAGACTGTGCCTAACCAAAAGTGGTGTAAAAGTGGTTCCCTCTTCGTAAAACCGTGGTAATACGACGTTGAGTAACGGACGAATATTTTATTAATTGAATATCGCGGTTCGCTACAACCTAATCGCGGCGACACGCCTCAATTCAGTACTTCCTGTGTTTGAACATGCTCGAGAAAATATGATAAAAATGCTCTTTGTCTTGCAAGGGTCATCAGTAGACAATCGGAGTTATAATGTATAATGAGCACATGAGAATTAGGTACCTCTTTGTTTGATTGTTTTGAAAATGTTAGATGTGGTCGATTGCAAGGGCTTATAAAACGAAAGAAAAAGTTATTTCGATAAACCAACTAGGCTACGTAATCGAAGCGGTCAAAAACCGCGTCTTGGTATTTTCAGGAGGAAGACAGCAAAAGCCCTCGGCGATCGAAGATTTTTCAATCACAATTGCCATGAATAAATATCAAATGCTCAAAAGAAAGGATGCAAAGGATTACCTGCATTATTATAAGAACACAAGAGAAGTCTCCGAAAAACATATTTTATGCTCTCCGCTTTGAATAAAAAAATTGTGTGTTTATTGACAGCATTGGAAAACTCGAGGAAGAGGTGAACTCCAATGTGAACAAGGCGAGGCAATACGTGATTTTCTGAGGCCAGAGGTTATCTAGCTACAAAAACCTGAAACTGGCAGTAGTACATGGAGGGAAAGAGCTTGTTAGTGTGGCAGAGCAAATCAGCCATTCGGGCCAGCAAGTGCGCAGTAAAATTCGAATGATAGAAAACAAGGGAGTTAGTTTGTGCACGCTCGGCCTGGCCCGGGTGTTTGATCACCTCCGCTCCCTGAACTGAATCGGACGGGACGTCGTCGAACGCCACGTTGAAGCACAGCAATGTGAACAGGTCAAGGAGTATCCATTTAATCTGGAAGCCGTCAAATCGTCCCGCAGAAAAGACAAAATCCATGGACCATGAAATCTTTGTCGCGATGGCAATATGACGGATTTCAGATTTGCAAGTTACTGCGCTAATAAGTGGGGAACTCATATGAGACAAAAAATAAAAAAAAAACAGAAAGTTGATCCGTAGTCACTGTGACTGGAATGGGGTTCAAGTTGGAACTTTGTTCAGAAATATGATTCGGTAAAAGATCACTTTAATTTAGTAAAAACACTGTTTTTTTTAGGTTGGCCCATCATTTGTCCTTTATAGGCTCTTAACTGGTAAGAGATAGGACTATATGATCAATAGTAAACTTGTAGAGGAGGGTTTGGAGGTGGTGCAGAGGGGGTTTAGAAATTCTAGAGGTCACGTGGTTATTACGTAATATGGGGGTAAAGTTGGTAAAGTCGGAATTGGAGAATTTTAGGCCATATGAACCTTATATTTATAGTTTTTATTAATTATTAATCATGTGACTTAGATGAGTCATCATAGCTCTTCCGGAGGACTCACCTGGTGGAAGACCGTTCCTGGAAGACAAAAAAAATTTTCTTTTGTATAACAATTAACAATTGCAAAAATTAGAATTTTTGTCATGTGACTTAATCTGACGTCACAGAAGTCCTCCGTAGGACTTTTTCCTTGAAAACAAATGGTGGAAGACAAAAAAAAATATAAAAAATGAAAACCATAATTAAGCAAGAAACAAGGGATAACCTGAATTTTTATATGCATGGGTGTGGGTGGGGTTGGGGACGAAACTGAGAATGATCAACTCAGATTTCCCAGCCTTTGTCAAGCCCCTTAAATTTAAAAATCAAGGAACGGGGCTGAAACGGCCCGAAGGGCCGTCAAGCCCCTTAAATTTAAAAATCAAGGAACGGGGCTGAAACGGCCCGAAGGGCCGTCAAGCCCTTAAATTTAAAAATCAAGGAACGGGGCTGAAACGGCCCGAAGGGCCGTCAAGCCCCTTAAATTTAAAAATCAAGGAACGGGGCTGAAACGGCCCGAAGGGCCGTCAAGCCCCTTAAATTTAAAAATCAAGGAACGGGGCTGAAACGGCCCGAAGGGCCGTCAAGCCCCTTAAATTTAAAAATCAAGGAACGGGGCTGAAACGGCCCGAAGGGCCGTCAAGCCCTTAAATTTAAAATCAAGGAACGGGGCTGAAACGGCCCGAAGGGCCGTCAAGCCCCTTAAATTAAAAAATCAAGGAACGGGGCTGAAACGGCCCGAAGGGCCGTCAAGCCCCTTAAATTAAAAATCAAGGAACGGGGCTGAAACGGCCCGAAGGGCCGTCAAGCCCCTTAAATTAAAAATCAAGGAACGGGGCTGAAACGGCCCGAAGGGCCGTCAAGCCCCTTAAATTAAAAATCAAGGAACGGGGCTGAAACGGCCCGAAGGGCCGTCAAGCCCCTTAAATTAAAAATCAAGGAACGGGGCTGAAACGGCCCGAAGGGCCGTCAAGCCCCTTAAATTAAAAATCAAGGAACGGGGCTGAAACGGCCCGAAGGGCCGTCAAGCCCCTTAAATTAAAATCAAGGAACGGGGCTGAAACGGCCCGAAGGGCCGTCAAGCCCCTTAAATTTAAAAATCAAGGAACGGGGCTGAAACGGCCCGAAGGGCCGTCAAGCCCTTAAATTTAAAAATCAAGGAACGGGGCTGAAACGGCCCGAAGGGCCGTCAAGCCCTTAAATTTAAAATCAAGGAACGGGGCTGAAACGGCCCGAAGGGCCGTCAAGCCCCTTAAATTTAAAAATCAAGGAACGGGGCTGAAACGGCCCGAAGGGCCGTCAAGCCCCTTAAATTTAAAAATCAAGGAACGGGGCTTAAACGGCCCGAAGGGCCGTCAAGCCCCTTAAATTAAAATCAAGGAACGGGGCTGAAACGGCCCGAAGGGCCGTCAAGCCCCTTAAATTTAAAAATCAAGGAACGGGGCTGAAACGGCCCGAAGGGCCGTCAAGCCCTTAAATTTAAAAATCAAGGAACGGGGCTGAAACGGCCCGAAGGGCCGTCAAGCCCCTTAAATTTAAAAATCAAGGAACGGGGCTGAAACGGCCCGAAGGGCCGTCAAGCCCCTTAAATTTAAAAATCAAGGAACGGCTGAAACGGCCCGAAGGGCCGTCAAGCTCCTTAAATTTAAAATCAAGGAACGGGGCTGAAACGGCCCGAAGGGCCGTCAAGCCCTTAAATTTAAAATCAAGGAACGGGGCTGAAACGGCCCGAAGGGCCGTCAAGCCCCTTAAATTTAAAAATCAAGGAACGGGGCTGAAACGGCCCGAAGGGCCGTCAAGCCCCTAAAATTTAAAAAAGAAAAAGAATTTTTGTTCTTCCAGCAAATTTCTTCCAGTAGTTGAGTCCTCCGGAGGACCTCTGGAATGTTAGCTTTAGTCACATGATAAAATCTAACATATGAATGAATATTATTTTTTAGAAAATTAAAATTTGTGTTGGTCTTCCAGCAAAGTTCTTCCACCAGCTGTATCCTCCGGAGGACCATCAATGAGTCATCGATGTCACATGACTTATTTTTCATTTAAAATGTTAAATTATAATGGCCCCATGACCTTAAATTCTCAATTTACGACTTTCCCAACTTTGGGCCCCTGTTACGTCATAACCACGTGACCTCTGGAAATTCTCAACCCCCTCTGCACCACCTCCAAACCCTCCTCTACAAGTTTACTATTGTTCATATGGTCCTATCTCTTACCAGTTAAGAGCCTATAATGGACAAATGATGGGCCAACCTAAAAAAAACAGTGTTAAAGCTAATTTAAAATCTAGTGCCAGCTGAAGACGACGTTTAAAAAGGGAACTAACAAAAAGAATGGGCAGCTGATAGTGGTGTAAGCTAATGTGACCGTAGCAATGAGGGAGGAGATATTGGATTGAATGAAGTTGCCTTCCGTCGCGAGCTTGCCAGAGAGGAGCGCAAAAGCGGCGGCAACGACGGCTGTCGCAGGATCGATAACGACCACTGTGTTGGAGAGGTTAGAAAGGATGGGGATGGTGGCCAGGAAAGGTAGATAGATCACGTGGTAAAATGCCCACATGAAGCCATTGCCTTGGATTTTGGTGGAGTAATCAGCTTCAGTCATAACTTTATAGCTGGTCAGGAGCACATTCAGAAGCGCAGCTGCAAAGAGGGCCAGATTGTCGGTGTTCCAGGCGGCGAGGGAGGGCATGATCAGGATCAAAGTGATTATTTCTCCAGCACGAGCAAATCCTCGCTAAAGGGAAACGTAAGCTATGAACATGATACCATCAAGTATGACTTACCGCGCAGATCTTAGAGTTGTCGAACATGAATGACTGGAGGTAGTTGTGGAGCCAAGAGAACGAGAGTTTGAAGTCTAAAGAACATCTCAAATCGACGATTCATTACTCGTTTCTTACCCGAATTGGCAGAGTTTCCCACAAGGCTGTAGGCTGAAATAAAGAGGAGGGCAGTTTCGCCAATGGCGCTGGAGTTTTCGTTCACGAAGTTAGCTGGCAGGGCAAAGACAGCGGCAGAGACAATGGCGATAATGGTGGCGAGGAAAAATTGCTGATTTTTAAATCGTGGCTTCAAGTGCTAAAATAACGATTTGCGGAAAGAAAAAGATATTGATGCTTACCAAGACAGAGCCGACAGCAATGAGGAGGGCGCCTGCCATTTGGGTGCTCTGCTCTTGGACATTGAACGTTTTAAAGGCGTAGAAGCAATAAAATGTCCACACGAAAAGAGCTGGGGCGACGTAAATCTGAAATATTTTTCTGCTGATATGTTGCTAAACTCGTAAAATTACCGTAAGAAGCGTTCCAATAAACTTGCAAAAGGGGTTGGCATACTTCTCGAACCATGGGCAAGATTGTGTGGCAGGAGCAGTCGACTGTTCCTGATCGTCTTCGTCTGCTGAGAACTGTTCGACTGGGACCGGTTCGGCTTTAACTGGTGCTTCTGCTTCTTTTTTCTTCGCGATCCTAGTCGACTTTCGCTGAAATAGAAAATTGAGACATAGATGACTCGAGAAAGTCTTACTCTGTAGCTGTCCTGAAGGAGTTCTACTTCGATGGGAACATCGTCTCGTCTTCGACCTCGAGATCGGCTTCGCGATCGACGGATACGAGCTCGTCCTTCAGCTTCTCCGGCCACATTCGCCCAGGCATAATCAACCGGATTCATGTCAGCAGATGGTGTTTGCTTCTTTGAGGTGGCGCGGGCACGTGACTTTCGAACGGTGGGTTTCTCCTCACGTTCTGGGGAAGGGGACTCCTCTCGCTTGACCGGTTTGACTGTTTGGACGTTGACTGTGCTCTTTCGTCCACGTGAGCGGGATCGATTTCGGGAACCAATCGCTTTCACATGGGCAAAAGTGAAGGTCCCTAAAAATTAATTTAATATGAACCATTCGCAATTTTTCGGAATTTCATGATAGACTTGATAATGAGAGTTACCTTGCTTCTGTTCACCATTATCGTCGACGGTCATGACTTCGTAGCCGTAGCCGCGAACGAGCTTGATGACCGACCCGTTTCGGTACTCGCCTTTGCGACCATCGTCTCTCTCGACATAAACCACCACCGGGTCTCCCGTCTTTCGGGTGGGCATAATCGCTATCTACGTTCAAATTTATCTGAAGAGGAAAATTTAAATATCAGACAAGGGTTCTTGAATTGAAGGTCAATTTTAAGACTAAAGCTACTAGTATGCGAGCGCTTCTTTTTCGCAAAATCTAAAAACGCGATTTTTTGAACGTCGTTCAATGAACGACCGTAAACCCTTAGAGAGAGGGGATTAAAAAGACGAGGGAATGATTTTAGTATAGAAAGGACTTTGAGCGAATATCTTCTATGTTTCTCATTGATTACTAACTTTAGGACAGAGAAAATCGCCATTTTTAGACTCAAAGAGAAGCTAGTATTATTGATTGGGCTCCGTAAACAGTCTCAATTTAAGATTTTCGAGTTCAAGCGCTAGAACTAATAGATTTAGTCTTTTGCAAATTTGAGTAGCAGAGATTGACAAATGAACTGAATGAGGAACTAGAGTGGCACCGGTTGAGTAGGGTACATGTGAAGAATAAAACAATATTCTTAAACATCTTTTCGAAACGAGCTCTGAGGGAAATAATATCAGCCCCGAAATTCTCAACGAAATTTATCGTAAAATAAATTAGTGTGTATAAATAATAAAGAAGCTAATTCAACGCGCTTTGAGTCTAGATAGAGGATGTCTCGACGGAGAGCTTGCCCAAATCGTAAATCTGGTTTTCATCGTTGTTGAGTGCCTTTTGTTCCATCTAAGAAGCGCGGGTGACTAGAGACACTCTCAAGGAACACTTGCGGACACGAGTGCCACGTTAACTTTCAAATGCCCTTAAGAACTCTGATTCCTTTCAACTGTTAAACACAAAATAAGGTCAATCGGCAATTTTCAAAGAATGTGTCTGACCGATATTTCCCGCCTTTCGTCGAATTAAATGGTCGATGCGTAGATAAGAGATAACTTCTCTCCGGAAAAAATCGTATTGATTATTAATTTGTTTGGTCGCGCCGTGGGGTCTAAAGGACTCCTAGAAAGGGCAATGCTTCGAGTAGGGCCCAATCCTCGCTGCTATTTTAAATTGAGTTGGCTCAAAAGTCACCCGTTCATAAGATACTGCAGATCTTCGATCCTTGAGCGACGGGTAAAACTGGCGGTAGCCAATGTAGGCCATTACTGTGCCGAGACAGGAGCCAACTGTGACATCTTGCCAATGATGCTTGTAATCGCAAGTTCGCCCGATCGCGTTCAGAATCGCCAACAATGGAAGCGTCAGGCAGATTATTAGATTTTCCGTCTTTGGAAGGCGGCCACTTTCGGAAATGGAATTGCCAACTCTGAGCAAACGCATAATGACAGATTAGAAGGTAAATGTTAATTACCTAAGTTTGCCGGCAAGATAGAGCGAGATCCAAACGCAGAAAGAGAACAAAAAGCTTGAATGGCCAGACGGAAAGGACTTGCGTCCCTCGATGATGTCCTCGTAATTGCCCGTGCATTCCAAATTGTACGGATTGGGCTGGCCAGCAGGTGGATTCCCATCGGGAAAGCAGCGGAAAAAGAAGTCGGGACGAGGGCGGCCGTATTTGTTCTTGATTAGATTGGTGGCGATTCCGTTCATTCCCATCGCTGATAATCAAAATTCAGAGTCGATCATGTTTTCAGGAACTTACTTAGAGAAGCGGAAAGAATGCCGGCGATGAGGTCAAGACGGGCGGTTTCGCCATACTTCTGGGATTTCTTGTTTTTCAGATAGCGGCCGCAGATGACCAGCAGTGGGCAAAGGACGACAAGAGTGAAAAGGGTCGAGGTCGGGAGCAGGTCCTGGCTCATCGTCTTAGTGGGGAATTTGTAGAGCCACCATTCTTCGTCTTGGATAATGCGGAAAAACGGAACCGCCCATTCTGAAAAAAAAAATCAATCAAAAAATTATCGTCGCGATTCATTGTTGCTCGCCAACAACTTTAACACTTTAGTTCACTTCAAAATGTTTGCTCGATATTTGGAAAGAATTTTTTCCACGGTAAATTTTTAAGATAAATGATGAATAACTTGCCTGTAAGAAGAAATCCAAGAAGAAGCGCCACCCGGAGAAGCGCTTCTTTGTAAATGTAATTTCTGAGTCGCACCCCGCTAGTCATCGTCTTCAATCGCCGCTTCTTTTGCTTCTTCTCTGAGTCAGGAGGACATCGTCCGGAAGATCTCTGTCGACTCAAAACACGCGTCGAAAAAAAACAAAACGACTCAAAAATTCGTTGCTCGAGCCGCGCGCCAAGCCGGCGCTGATTGGCCCGTCGCCTGATGGCGTCAAGCCACGGGTAGCCCGCGGCGCTGTCGGCCAATCACAGCCAGTTTCACCAAGTTTGAAAAGAAAAAATGCTCCAAGAGCTCGTCCATCCTCCTGGCAGCCGTCCAACGCGTAAAAAGGGCTACTACGGACCCGCCTTTTTCACGCCGCTAATTTTAACTTGCGAATGAGTCATCCTTTCAATTGGATCCTCTATTCTCCCATTTTCAATGACTATTCTTACTGCAGGCTTTTGCACTACGGACTCCTTCTAAATCATGAAATTTCGAATCGATAACTATCCATTCAAACAATAGAATACGTAAACAAACCTCAAAATTCATTTTCATAGAAATTCTCCGGACAGCGAGGACATTTTAAAATCAGTCTAGTGTTATTGAAGCTTCCTGCGATTTTATATTAAAGTGCAACTGCAAGAATTAGGAAAGAAGAACATCGTCGCTAGCATTGGTAAAATAGCAGCGCGACGATTGAGTACTGTCATATAATATATTATTATATATTTGGTGATGCTTTGTGTACAGGTTTAAAGGGTTTTGTGAGATTTGTGTATGTGTGAAGTGGCAGTGAGAAATATGGTAAAAAGAATGTGAAAGTGTGAATATGGAATGGGTGAGATGTGAATTCAGGGTGCGTTGGGCGGCTCGAACGGCATGCACGACTGGTCCAAGTTGAGAGTTCTAAAAGTTTATAGTTAGGAATCATGGAAGAGTAAAAGTGAGACTACCTGTCGAGAACTGGGGCCGGATTGCGCATGGGCGTGTTCCAAACAGAAGTCTCGCGACGCTGATTGATTCTGTTCAGTCGGTTGGGCTTGTGCTTGAGCTGCTGGCCGAGCAACTCTCGCATGTCCACCAGACGATCAGGATGAGCGTAGCAGCTCTGAAAGGCAAATAATAGAAACGAATTTCAACTTTGAGAAACTACCGTGAAGATGTCGACGGTTGGGACAGTCTCCCAATACTGCAATTTAAGGCGGTTTTTGAGCGCTTCCTTGAGTGCCCAAGCGGGAACCTTTTTTCGAGGATTTTCGTCGTCATCAGTTTCATCCCCGCTGGACAAGTCGTCGAGGCCGTAATCTTCCGCCGTCTTATTCGCGGTCGACTTGTCTGTGTTCTTCGGCGTCATCTTTCGAACAGATTTAGATACCGCTTCTATGAGTAATTATATACCTCGTATGATTCAGCATTGACAGGAGGAAAGTCTGACGAGACATTGGAACCTCCCCCTGGAGTGAAGAGCTTCACGCTGGGCATCGGCAACTGCGTCATTTGGGACTTGGGTTTTGTCACCACGAAAGTTGCCTCCATTGGTGAATCCTCGACTACCTAAAATTCATTTTAGCGAGCGATCAAAAAGACGAATCTTCTTACCAGTCTGGGCTTATCGAATTTTGAAGCTTCGATGTTGTCTTTTGAGGGAACGGAGTCCATCGACATTGGCTCCTCGCTCGAGACAGAAGTCGTCTTCTGTTTCCTGAAAAGTGGTTAGCTTTACATCTTAGGTAATTGAAGAAACTTACTTTGATTGCCCTGCGCGCACTGACTTGAGAGAAGGAACAGGTTTTTTGTTTTCCTGCTTTTTGATCAGCTCTTCTTTACGGCGTTTCTCATCCTCCTCTCGTCGCTCTTTGGCGCTAGAATACTCAACTTACAAGCGGAAAAATGAAATAGCTTCTTACCGTTGCATCTTTGCCTCTTTTTCGCGCTTTCGCTTCTCTCGCTCTTCTTTTTGTTCCTCCTGTTTCTTTTTCATCCTCTCCGCATCCTGTTTCTTTTTTATCTCAAACTTCTCTTTAGCAGAGTTTGTTCGAGTTTGGGGCTTCTTTGGCGAGTCTTTGGACGCGAATAATGAGCTGCTCGAACCAGAGGTTCCCGCCTGGAATTTCTTGTTAAAAAGAAGCAGTAGAAAATAAAATTACCTTTGAAGAGAAAAGCGATGATTGAGAAGGAGAGGGAGATCTCAGTCGCAGTTTTTGAGGTGCCTTTGACAATGGAGGTGCTTTTGCGCTTTTTGACGACTTACTCTGGCTCCTATTAGTGATCAGTTACTTGTTTGGAAACAGAAGCAAAACTTACAATTGCGTAGCACTTGCCGCTTTCTTCAGTCGTTTTTCATGGCTCTGCACGGGTGTCATGTTGAATTCGCGTTTTGATGCTCTAGTCGTCCGTGCAGGCAGTGCTGGACTACTCACAGTTTTCTGGAGCGTGTTCTGCAGCACTGTGGAGCGCGTCGTTCGCGAAGGAGTCTCGTCGATGTCTGCGCTCCAGTCCAGTTTCTGGATCGGGCTAATGAGAGGCTCTGGTGCATCGATATCTCTCTTCGCCTTTTGCGCAGTCGAGCAAAACTCAGCTGCAGAAGGGACGGGGATCGCAACTTCCGTATTCTGCAGTGTCTCGTCGGCCTCATCTTCTTGCTCCGGTGTGGGTCTTTCGATCAGATCTACTTTCTGTCTAGCGGAGCCGATCAGCGGCCTCACGAACCCTAAAATCATTGCGTTACAGATGACAAGAGTATTTAGACTCTAAATTTTAGAGACTTACTTATTCCAGCCTCGACTAGTTGCTCGCCTACCACGGCATCCTCGAGGCCGGCTGATTGGAGGAGCGGTTGGCACAGTCGGATGAAGACGGCGCCTTTCGCTACCTTCTCGACTGGATCGGCTCTGACCGACTGCAGTTCCTCCATTATGTAAGAGAGAAACTTCGTGGCATTGTCGTAGCACTTGATCGCCTTACACGCGTTCAGAGCCGCTGAGCCGGTGCAGGACTTCTCGAACTCGCGAAGATCCGCAATGATTTTGCTCGTCTTCGTCCGGCAGCTCTGAATTATCGCCGCATTAGTCGACATCTAAAAGAAAATGGTCAGATTGTTAAAAACTATATATAAACAAATAACAACAATGATATATCAAAAAGCATAAAAATCACCTTGCCGTGCTATTTCGGTTTCCGGTCGGATCCGAACTGATTCACTCTCGCGACGGTCCTCAGTAAAAAACACGTGTTCTAGAAAAAAGCAGGAATTTTAATTTTCCGTCTAACTTCTCATAAATTTCTCTCGAAAAGGAAAAACAGCGCTAGGAGAAAAATCGAATATTTCGATTCGGCCGCCAACGAGCCGCGTCAAATCGCGCGCGCTCTGAGAAACTCGTCGCCTCATTGGCGGAGCGCCCTTCGCTCCGAATTTAAAATTCTTGGGAAAAGTCTGAACCATTTTTCTCAAGCAAAATGGGTCCAGCGAGTACATTTGGGGATATTCTTGGAACTCGAGCTGCTAATGAATCTGTAGCTTTCTGTGTATCACCATTTTGAAATAAAGTTAACATTATTTTTCTAACCAGGGGATGAGAACCTTCCTAAATCAGAGCCTTTATTAATATGGCTGTTGTGGAATCTACACTGTAAATTCTAACCCATACAAATAATTCCCCAAATAATAATCTCTGCTAATTGTGCTTACCTCTATCAAGCGATGTTTTCGAATGAAAGCGGTTGTAGGAAAGCAGTGGAAAATTGACGAAGCGTCGTTGTTTTCGAAAAACACCTGCAAAAATTTATGGAAACTACCCAAGAGATTATGGCGCCAAATTACGTTTGTTGCGAAGTTCAAAAGGTTTTGCAAGTTCACCCTTTTCGATCGACCGTTTACGGCCGAAATGACTGTTTACTGTTACTTATATACAAATTTGGCAGTGCGCAGCATTTCGGAAGAAGAAAGAAACTTGAATTAGAATATATATTACTATTATAACTTATGGTTCGAAAGGAGAACAGAAAATTGTAGATTTCGCGCAGCTGTCTCTCATCACGTCGCTGATGGATGGTAGTGTCTGGGCGCCAGGGAGAGTGGAATCTTTATACAGTAAGGCTTTGCTTTGTGAACTCGCGCGGTTTTATCTAAAGAAGTTTATAGCTACTGTTAGGGCGAGAAAGAGAGAGGCTCACCAGGAATCCCCTTGCGGACCTCGCCCCGCATTGGGACGTTGTCTGCTTGGTTGTCAGTAGTGATGGCAGCGCTGAAGATTCGCTCTGTTTGTACCGCTCGACCGCGCTGCGAGCAACGAAGGGGCATGATCACAGGTAGCTGCGCCAAAGACTGGTCACCGATGATTACTTTGTTGTTGGTGTCTAGTGCGTAGACGGGTCGGAATAACGACGCCTGAAATTAATTTTACGAAAAATTCAACAGCTGCAGTTGCAAATCATTCTATAACCCGGAGGGATCCTATTTGTAATTTAGAATTATCCAGAGTTGAATTAGAGTTGAATTTAATTTAATCATTTTGAAAATCAAAAGCTCAAAATTGTCGATTGTTTTCAAGCGCTTTTTACATTGCGAGAAATCAACGATGACTGGTAGCCTGTGAGTGGGCTGGGTAGAAGGAGGGTTTGGATTTGGCCAGTATTTTGGAATAGATAACTAAAATGATAAGTTCAACGGGCCCTGGAACGATTCTTACTTTGCTGAGAGTTGTTTTTGCGCGGATTAGGTCTCTGGTAACTTCGCGGCCATCTATAGCTTGGGTTGAAGAACTCGATAACTAAAAATATATTTCTCATGGAAGTTCAAGGAATAAGTTTAATCATCGTCATTGTCTGGTGCTTCCGGATTCCGGTTTACACTTTTTCATTCACCGGTAAATTTAATATCTCCAGTGCTTATATAGAATCCGGTCTATATAAAACCTTTAAAAATCACTGTAGATTCTACTGTGTTTGTGCTTGTCACCTGGCAAGTTAAGGGGCTTAGTTTTCCTGATATTTTTTCTCTTTTCCTAGTAAACGTTCCACCAGAATTATATAAACCAACTACGAACCTGGTATTTCCAGTAGTCTTTTTTGTTCGGACTCTGTTGAGGATTTTTGTAGCGTTTCTCGGTGAATCGTAGAGGATACAGGATCTTCTGTTCGACGCAATTTGATTGACGCTCGCGTGGTGTCTTTCTTGGGGTCGTTCTTGATGGAATCACTGGGTTGGAGCTTGAGTAACGAATAGACGGCGCATTGCGAATCCGATGCTCGTCTGAATGCAACAAGTATCAGCTTCATTTCTCTCAATATGCGGGCTCATTTCTAAGCGACTTATGCTTACCAAGCGTGTGCATGACATCAGCAGCGATTTCTTTCTGGGCAAGACGGTATTCTGACTGCGTTGGGACATACTCAGATCGCGAAGAGGTAGGTCTGAAAAAGTTCTTTATTTCGGAAGACATCGAGGGGTCAATTTGAACCTTGTGCCCACTAGAAGGAAACTGTATTGCTAAAAAACGAGGCAACACTGCGCAAAGATGACCCCTCATCGATGTGAAGGTATGATAAATGGGGTGATAACATGGAAGAGAATAACTGGTAAGTGTCATACTTTATGGATTCTTTGTAAATTTTTAAGAGCTGGGCAACTCTGTTGGGATCGCAAAGATTGCGCAACGCGTGAGGTATGTCAGTAGGCAGCCGCGCTCGACGGGGTGGAAGTGGACACAAGTTCAGATTGACCATATTATTGCTTAACCGACCATAGTACGAATAGCAATCATCCGGCCTATACGAGATCTGGCTTACACGAGCGTATTCTGCGTTTTAAAATTAACTTACCTCGTCTTCTGCTGTTGGTACTCGTTCGCAGCACTTTTTGGCGGTGGCCTGCGACTTCGCGTGTTTGCTTTTTTAGGCAGTCGCTGTTCTTCATGATTTCGCGTGCTTGAAGAGCAAGTAGAGGCGGAAGTGTCAGAATGTGATGCTCGTGTGATCACTTTGTTCGTCGTCTGATGGCTTGTTGACTGGTTCTGGCAAGATTTTCTTTGGACAACAGTGGTTTGACTTGTAATTGTCATGATTGGCTTCGGACTCTCTACTTTTCCAGAGTTCGGCTTCTTCAAGCGCATTTCTATTCGCTTTTGATCAACATCGTCTCGTCGCTTTTTTACGTGCCTTGGCTGGGCGAGACGTTCGATTCGATCGTGGTCCCAAGAATAGACTCGCTGCTCGAACGCTTGATCTTGTTCTTCGCCTTCTTCATTTTCATTGGCATCTTTATCCTTTTTTACAATCGGTATTTGCTGAGTTCCAGGATGAATTTAAGATTTCATACTCGTGTTATAAAAAGAAAATAATCCCTGTCTTGATAAAAGTGCGTTGTTTTGGTTTCGGCTTGTAACAGACCTTTCCTTCGACGGAAAGTGCTGTTCCAGTGAATGGCGGAGGGTCAGCGTTTCCTTGCCTGTACACTTGCACAAAGTTCCCTGTATCCGCATTGCGTCCACCACGAGCTCGTCTGTCAACGACGACTTTACACATATCCTCAAGCATTTCGCCGACAAGCTCATCAGATACCTTTGTAGCAGTGGACATTGTTGGTCCCTGGTTAATTTCAATCAGCCATACATTGAGCTTCTCGTCTAGCATGAAATCGGCGCCGTAAACCTCGAATGAGTTCTTCCTGTGCGTTGAGTTCTCCTGAGACGACAGACACGATTCTATAAGAATGTTCTTCATGTCTTCATAGATTTTTTCTTGGTAAGCATTTCCATGTCCCAGACTTCGAAGGTATTCATCAAGCTCTTCAGAGAACCACATTTTTTCTTCTGGTACGGCATCCTTTATTACGGATTAATATAAAATTAGATTCATATTTGAAATTTGATATTTATGTGCGAAATTATCGAAATCCTTTCCTGAACATCAGCATCGATGGAGTAATTCTTCTGAATGGCATTATTGGTCAAGTGCACTTGTGCATCAAGTGAGTCCAGATTAAACTTGGTTGTTGCGAAGCGAACATAAGCCCGTTTGTACATCCAGCAGCTTAACTGATTCCAATCCGTTTACGGGATGAACTACTACTAGCATTATAAGCGGCAACAATATAAATATTAAGCATTCTAGCGCATCACTGCCCTGTAATAAGAAACCACTGCCGAATATCAAATTTGACACCATTGATGAGCAAGGGGCGCTCGATGTATTTTTGCGCCACCCAGCGGTTGTTGGCAATTACAGTCAAATCAGGCCCAAGAATATCCGTGATTTCCTTCAAGTTTTTGTAGACAGCGATTCCCCGACCTCGGCTCATTGCACCAGGCTTGACGATCCATAGATTCTTCTCGCCTTCAATTTCGGCTTGTGGGTTTCGCATATAATACGAAGAAAGCGCATTCGAAATATCATCGGCCCTTTCTTTGGCACCTAAAAGCAATATTGAAATCATTGAAAGTGTGGAGAGTTAAAGGGAATTATTTGAGTTTTACCTGCGATGTGATATCCAGAATAAGCGACTTTATAAAAGGCTTCTAAGAACTTATTCCACTGTTCCGTGCTTTCACCCTCCTCCATATTTATGGAAGTTTGCTTTGCAAGCGTGATGATTGACTCAGCAATGCTTCCTTCTTCTTGGAACTCGAAGTGCTTTTGGAAGATTTCAAGGGCGAATTCTAAAAAGCACTCCTCGACAAAACCTTTTTAGACTGTCGAAAAGAGTCTTGCTGGTTTGGAATGCCTAAAATTTCGACACTTTCCTGGAGGAGTGACTTCAATGTAATCATCTTGATGCACGGCTTTGTTCTGTCTCTCGGCACTCTTTAGGAAGGCCGTCATCGCACAAGTTCGGAAGTCGTCTTGAAACGCAGCATTATCATCCTTGTCTCCGAGTATGTAGCATCTGCGAGAAGATAAATTCAATAATGAAAGAATGAGACAGAGTTACCGTGGATAAAATTCGTCCGCATGGCGATCACTGAACCAGGCCATGTTCTTGAGAGCGAGAGTCAAGCCAGTTTTGGTGACGAACTGTGCCTTTGGAAAGTGATTGAGCACAATTTCCTTGGGAATGTGATTGAAATCAATTCGATGTAAGGGCACGAATTGAAGGTGGGGCTCCACGTCGCGCAGCGCTCGCGAGATGAGGATCTCGCGCTCATCAAGATCGTCTTCATCGAGATCGTCATCTGATTTGTCAATGTCGTCGTCGTTGGCGTCTGATTTCGCGCCACAGTGAAAACGCTTCGTTTTCGGGGTTATCTTTTCGATCCAGCCCCGATCGCGCATCGCTTTTCGAATGTACCGATGCCCGCCATCCAAACGGAAAACTTTCTTCTGCTGGATCGCCTTAATTATTCCTTACTGTACTATTCCCCGTACTATTCCCCGAGCGAATAAAATTTTGCTCCTATCGATAACCTTTTCGAATGGCTTCTGTTCAGCAAATTTCAAGGACAAATCGATGATCTTGTCCCCCCAACTGGGACTGGGACGACCACTCTCCGACTCAGATGCCCGTTTCGGCATTGCTAGATACGACTAGTATCAAAGCGGCTCTGAATAAGCCCTCCTTACTGCATGAGGCACACTTGCTAACTAAAGTCTCCCTCATCAATAAGCTTGCTTGTCACTTTTTCAATAACTAGCTCTAGAAAATCTGTTCTCGTTTTTCAAAAATAGCGCACGAGTATTGCCGATTCCTGCATCTGATGATATATTTCTTGAGACTAATAGAGCCAACTTTATTTATATTTTCGACATGCATAACATAATTAAGATTTATAATAATTAATTATTATTGTGTGGTAGTTTAATAGTATACAGTACCTGATCTGCAATCGCTCTGGCCTCGATGGATAGCGCATCCGGGACGTATTCCTTGACTTTGACCATCTCTGGTGCCGGTGTCTTCGTCGTCAGCGTTTTCTCATTATCAGTTGGGTTGATTTATGCCCGTCAAAAATAATTTCGATCCAAATACTTTCTCAACACGTCGGGTTGTTCTCTTTGTTCCGGCGCTACTGGACAATGGATCGCGTTCTAGTTTCACGAAAAGCAATCACAGTACGCCCCGATCTACTCGCCGGCCTAGTTTTTCTTTTTTTCTGCGATTTCGTTTTTTTCTTTCGAAAGTTTCACTTGGGCACGAATACGCAGCAAAGGAAGTATCTTGAGCAAATGTGCCCAAAGCGATGGCAGGTTGTCACCAATACGGTTGGTGTTGATTTTCCAAAGTTCCAAATTTCCGCATCGTTGCCATGGGAGAAGAAAGCTTGTGTGTGCCCAAGGTAGAACTATCGCTCCAGTCATGGGCTGCAGAGTTTACCATGCACTCGCCTGAGGGCGTCAAAACGCTTCCCGCAAATTGTAAACATAGCCCGAGGCGCCAAGTTCAATTTTCTTTTTGTTGAAAATTTCTAGAGCGTTACCGGCGCTCCGGAGTGTTTTGCGCGCGCCCGCAGCATCGAATCGCGAATTAGAGAAAGTTTGAATTTCTGGACAAACAATCCAAACCGCCCAAAATAATATTCCATTGTGCTCTTTATTACACGAGAAAATGGTGCCCTTGTTCGAAAGCCCTCGGGCACCCCTCTTACTCATCTTCGAGTTTTTTCTTTTCTGTTCATTTTTGTTTTAGCCATTTCGAAGAGAAAATTTCAGAATGAGTGCTTACCGAAAACAGCCAGCAAAGAAGAAAACCACCAAGTTGGAGCTCAAGGACGAGCAAAAGGCTGAAATCAGAGAAGCGTTCGATTTGTTCGATACCGAAGGCACTGGAACCATCAACGTCAAGGAGATAAAGGTCGACTATTGTCTTCTTTCATCCATCTGAGAATTGATTTTCAGGTAGCCATGAGAGCGCTGGGCTTCGAGCCGAAAAAGGAGGAGCTGAAACAGATGATCGCCGGAGTCGAGACCGACGGAACGGGCGCCATCGACTTTAATGACTTCCTAAAAATCATGTCGCAGAAGATGTCTGAGCGAGATCCAAAGGTAACAGAAGCTCTATTCTTTGGACAATCGACTTACCAACTTTGCTTAGGAAGAAATCCAAAAGGCATTCAAATTATTCGACGACGACGAAACTGGAAAAATCTCCTTCAAGGTAATCTTCTTTGTCTTTTCTATTCTGAGCAATTTGCTTTAGAATTTGAAACGAGTCTGTAAAGAGCTGAATGAGAATCTGACGGACGAAGAATTACAGGTGAGCGTCTAGAACCATTCACATCGACTGTAATCGAATGTGCAGGAAATGATCGACGAAGCGGACATGGACGGAGACGGAGAAGTGTCCGAAGCCGAGTTCTTACGAATAATGAAAAAGACCGAGATGTTCTGAGCCTCCACTACCGTCAATCAGGATCATAATGTACCTGCCTCACTACTTCGTTTTTATTTTTCCACTTCAGAATCTATGAAATTTTGTATAAAAACACGCTAAATGGCCGCTTTCTGTTCAGAAGCTGACGAACTTGTTCTCTCGCTTCGGAGCTTGTTTGATGACTCACTGTTCGCAAGTGATTCATTGCGAGTAGAAGTGTGAGGAATGGCAGTGAGTAGCGATAAGGTGCCTGTAAGCACAAGAGTCAGAGAAATCGCACACAAAGAACTTGAAAGACATGTCCAGGACCCGTTTAAAATTGACCTCGTCAAAAAACTCGTTCAGGTTGTCGAAGGTATGCGTGAATAACCGTCCGGGAACCGTTGTACATATCATTTTAGATGCGTTAAATGAAGATGATCTGTGGATAATTCAAGTTGTCAAGGAACTCGAAAAATGCCAAGTCTTGATACTGGATGGGCTCTATGGAGAGCGAACAGTTCGTAAGTACCGAATCCCCGTTTTCAACTTTTTCAAAATAAATCTAGTGATGAGAAAACAGCGAGAACGCATGTCTGCGCAAATGAAAAATCATCAACAAAGAGTGTTGGGAATGAAAGACGAGGTTGAGTTGAGACGCATTCGGCGGCAAATCAAGTCGGAGCACGAGCAGATGGTGGATGAGATGAAAGAGGAACGCCGCCAGTTTGACCTGAAATTGGTCAAGGATATGGAAGAAACTGTCAAACAGCAGCAGGAGACCTTGGTCGACAACGAAGTTCCCGGCTTCAAAATTTCAATGATGCCGACAGACATTAGCTTGCAAAAGGACATTCTTCGCTTTCTCCTCGCCATCCACGCCGAATTCTGCAAATGACAAGTTCCACTGCGAAGTTTATGTTCTTCCCTGATTTCTAGCTGTCACTACTGACTTACCACTGCCGCGAGTAAGCGATCAGACATATCGTTAGTTCAATTACATAGAAGAACTGAAAAAGTCCCGAGTTTCATTTAAGGAGAAGTGTTATCGTGTTGTTATGTTTTGGAAGTTTTGTCGGATTTGGAATTAGTGGATTTGTTCAGTGGAGAGACGTCTGGGAGGATGTTTTTGTGAACGTAAAAAGGAGCGGCGTTTGCTTTAGTTGGCCGATTTGAGAAAGAGAAAAGCGGGGCGCGCGGCGCTTCTCAGCCCGGGAAAAGGAGAAAAGGGGATGACGGTTGTAGAGAGTAGTGAATGAATGAATCAGTTGGATGGCTCGACGGCTCAATTGGTCAGGCTCCGAAAGGGCGGACGGGAAATGAGCCAATGGGCAGGTCTGTAACGGCGCCCCGGAGGCACAGTCCGCGCTCCTTAGCTTCTTTACCGATTTGTCAAATTGTCAAATTTGTAGTTCCTCCATCAACCCTTTTTCAAGGCCCTAACCTATCGTAGAGTCGAGTTAACGCAGTAGAGACGCGCTTGAGGGAAGCATGTAGCCCTACTCTGCCCACATCTCGCCCTAGACCTTGTTAACAATTAGCTAACCTACTGTCTATTTAGATTTTTGTACAGCTTAGCGTAAATCAGGAAGATCGAATCGGGAAGGCGACCCTACATTTTTCGACTAACGAAAACGCACAATTTTTCTACCAAATTAACGGTGGAAAAAAAAACGAACCAGGTACGGAAGGAACTGCTTCACCTGTTTCTTGGCCCATTCTGATTTCAGGGGACACTCATTTTGCTTATCAAATATGCTAGATGATATTTCATTTCGATCGATAGTAACTCTGAAACTCTAAAGTTTTCATTAATTATAAGCGTAAGTCTTCGAGTTGAATCTTAAAAAAAAAGATTTCTGGCACCGCGGGCGTTTTCGCCGCGCAGAGGACTTCGCGTCGGTGTGTGGGGATGAAACTCGCCAGAAGTGTGCGCAGCTGAGCGTGACAAAATTTCAATTTTGTACTCTCGATGGCACCTTTGATGCCCATTTTTTGTGCTCAAATTTAGGCAACTCCGCTCGCCACACAGCCGTGAAAAGGCGAACAGCATTTTATTGATTTACAGCGATCCATTTATTGGACTTTTTCCAAAATAGAGAATATTGACCATTCTGTCGGTGCCGAGAGACAGGTTTTTCTCATTTTATTATCAAAGAAGCATTTTTTCGCCGTGAGAGAAAATAACTAAACTTTCTTAGTTGAAAGTCTTCGCGTGACTCTCCAAATGTATATTCCGGATCTGGTAAGAAATGTCTGATCGATATGCTTCCCGGAACAAAGGCCAATATGGATACAGTGGATACAGTAATCGTTCGTACAAAGACTCCTCTTCCCGCAGCGGCTATGGGCGTCCCAGCCCGTTAGGATCGTCACTATCAGCTCCACCAAGAAAGAAAGCCTCCGTTCGGCCCGCGCCTCTACCTTCTTTAAAATCTGAAAATGCAGACGCTGTCAATATTCTGTCCTCGTCAGGGTGGGGACAGAAGAAATCTGAAGACAAAGCAACTAAACGAGGTTCGTATTCATGTTTTCGTCGGCGTTTACCGTAAAATTTAGGCGATGATGCTCCGATCGACGGGCTTCTGCCGTGGACTCGGCGTCGCGGCGTTCCTGGTCTGAACCAGCCCGACAAGTCAGCGAAACAGGAGGACTCGAAGATCAAGAGACCATCTAACCCTGCACAAGCAGCAATGCTACCTTCTTACATGAAACCACCTCCAGGAGAAAGGGAGAGCAACCAGCCTGTTCAACAGCAAGATGAAGTTAAGGAGGAAGCTCAGCCCGATTCTAACGAGAGAAGGCCCTTCCGCCGGCGCAGTCCAGATCAGCGAGAACGAATGAGTCCGTCAAAGAGGCGTCAAACGCGAGACAGGGACTCACCCCAATCTTCGGAGAAAGAGAATGTTGACTTCGAATCAGAAATGAACAAGCCCGGAGAAAATCTTCAAGAAATCAACTGGGCAGAAGACGACAAACTCGACTCAACCGCGTCATGGGCTGACGATAGGCCGGTCAAGTGGGATGAAAAGATCGACTTCTCAGATGAAGATCAAGACAAAAAGAAGACGGAAGTTGCGCCGGTTCCGTCTGCGGGACCGAGCAGAGCACCTCTCCAACCTGAAGCGGATTCGACTGATCGCTACGATATAAGGAACGAAGACGATAGGTATAACGCGCGTCACGATCGCGGCCACAATAACTATGAAAATGGAAGCAGAAGTAACGCGTACAGACCTCGCTATGGGTCAGGCAGACCAATCCACAGGGGCTTCTATGATGATCATAAACGAGGCATTTACGAGTCTGAAATTGAAAATAGAAGGGATGAATCGAGACATGGGTCCAAACACTCATCAAGGCGAGACATATTTGAACGAGAAGAGCCGCCAAGACCGGCTCCAGTGAACCCACGTCGCAGTAGGAAAGGATCGGATAATGTCAATAATCGACGACAGACGTCGGAATCATCTGATCACAACATCGATATTGAAAACATCGAGCTCCAAGAGACAGAACCAGTTCAGGTGTCTAAAAAGCGCATCATCAAGGTGAAAAAGGAGGCAAAAATCCGTGATTTCACCAACGAAGAAAAAGGCGAAGACGACCAAAAGGACAAAGTTGAAGAAGAGTTTGAAAAAGAAGAGAAAAGTAAACAAATCCGTGGATGGAAAAAGGGCGATAACCCTGACGAAGAGAGCGCTCATTTTAAACCGCGAAGTGGGAATTCCTCTCAAAAAGGTCAGCTACCGACAGCTGACGGAAGCAAGCATAGTCGCCTTGAAAAGAATAATGCCGAAAAAGAGCAAAAATCGAATGCTAACGTCTGGGAAAAGAGGCAAAAGGAGATCGCCAAGCGACTTGATAGCAAGCGTGATGACTCTCAAGATTCCAAGAATAAAGAAGTTTATATTCCATCGGAGAATGATAGGAAGAAAACGCTCGGCGAGACTAATCCTAATGCCGATAGAAAGAAGGACGATCAACGGGGAAGCTCAAGGCGGGATGAACACGATAGACGCAGGGAGCGAGACGAGCGCGGCCCTAATCGTCGCGAGAAACGTGACAACCGTCGAGAACGAGAACCCCGCGAAGGAAAGGAAGGCAAGCATCCTCGAGAGCGGCCTGATAAAAACGATGGGCATCACTCACGTGGCGAACGCCCTGAAAAAGGCCAGAGACATCGGGAAGAAAAACCTGAATCTGGTCCAAGGGAAAAGTCCAAACGCGGAGAAAACGCACGAAAATCGGAAAAGGCCTCGAGATCAGAATCTCTGAAGGATGGAAAAAGTGAACAGAAAATCGTTAAGATTGAGCCAGCTCCAGCTCCAACGGAGAATGTTTGGGCGAAGCGAATTGAAACCCGCCAACAAGCCCCGAAAGAAGATGTCCATAAGGAAGAGCCACATATCAAAGAACAAGGTTCTTTACAAGCTCCGAAAGGTATCAAAAATCGTGAAGAGCTTCGAGACCGTGACCGTGATTCCCGAGAAAATCGAGATGGTCGAGAGCATCGCGATCAGCGAGAGCCTAAAGATCGAAACGATCGTCATAAAGAACGAGGTGACCGAAGAGATCGTGACCGCTCTGATCGCGACCGCATTCCAAGTAAGGATCATCACGGTCGAAAGGGCCAAAAGATGTCCGAGGATAGTTCCAGCAGTCACAAACAACGCCTCCACAGCAACGAGAATCCGCTTCAGAATTTTAGAGAAAGAGGAAACCGAAAGAATGCCCACCAATCCAACGATAACGATCACAAACCGAGCAGAAGTGATAGACGTAATGAGCGTCGAGAAGAAGCTCGCAAAGCTAGACCCGAGAAAAAGTCTAAAAAGTTAGATAACTCTTCAAAAGACGGAGATGCATCCTCAGTTAATGAATCCGCGAAACATTCTGATAGATCCGTTCGGCTATACTCCCAAGACGATGATAACGTATCACAAAGACCTAGAGAAAGAAAGGAGCCTAGAGATCGTCATGATCGTCCCGAGCGAGACGGACAAACAGCCGGACGCGCAAAACGCGGAGGAGCTACGAGAGCCACTGATAGGAAGAACACTCGCCGTGATAAGAAGCCTCGTGAGAGCAGCAAATACAAATCAGCCGATTTCAGAACGGCATACGAGTTTCCCAAGCCAAGCAGCGACATCAAAGAAGTCGAGACGCAACATGTTGAGGCGATACGGGGAGGAATGTCTTTCAGGGGTCTCATGGCGAAGAAGCGAGCGGGTTCCACAGCAGCTATGCGTGGGTCCCGTCAATCGAAAAGTGAAGATTATAGCGAGGAGCCTGATGAGTCCGAGACTGTAGAGACTTCGAATGAGCAATCGATGCAAAACTCGTCGGAAGTGGAAGATGTTGAAGAGATTACAGAGAAAATAGAAAATCTTGAAGTTGAAAAAGTGGATGAAGAGATCTTCAAAGAGACGATTAATGATCGCAGGACCGAGGTCGAATTCCCTGACAAGGATCCAAACCTTGGCCAACAATCACTCAACTTCATCACCCCGGAAGAAGAAGAGAAGAATCCAGCGACGATCACGGTTGAAAGTCCAGCAGTACAAGCACCAGCTCAACCACAACCTCCACAGCAACCGATTCATCCTGGCCCCCGAGGTCTTCAGCCGCTTCAGCCCGCTGTGATCAATCGTCAGCACTTTCCACACGATCCACAGGAACTCATTTCTAATCCAAAGCAAGAGGTGTTAGTTGCAGGCCAACATGAGAGCGCCAAATGGAAAACCGTCCACAATGCCTGGATTTCCGCTGAGCGAAACATCCCTGCCAACGTGATGCCTTCAGCAACGTGGCAGCCCTCAGCCCAGCAACCCATCTGGAACGGACCTGACTGGAGCCAAAATAGAGAGGGCGGCTCATGGAAATCGCCTACGAAGCAGGAGAATATTGGGACTGCCACCAGTCAGGTAACACTCGATCCTTACACTTTGAGTCTATTTTCAAATAAGCCTGAACAAGCGATCAATCAGCAGCAAGCAGTCCCACAGGTTATTCCTACCTCTTCGATGGCACAGCCGATAGCGAGTATGCAGAACTCTCAGATGAACTTCCAGGCGAACATAACGAGACAACAAGCGAATCCGTATTCTCAGGGAATTGAGAATAACCTCGGAAGGTGAGATTATTTAAATCATTAGAGAATAAGCGAAAATCATTTTAGTAACTTCAATGGTAACCTCATGGCGAACTCAACGAACACTCTAGCCGCGAATTACAATCAAGCGCTCATCAGTAATCCAAGCAACTTCACCAACTACCAGCAACCGATGTATCAGAACCAGCTCCAAATTGCCCAAGCATCTGCTCAAGCTCTACAGGCGACTGTAAGTTTTCGCTATTAAAATGAGATATTTATCTAAATTTAGTCTTTCTTTCCCCATGATACGAATGCTTTATACAATTCACCATCGACATCAAGCTCATTTGACCTTTATCAAGGCACTGGCAGGAGCGAGGCCATGTTTCCAGATCCATCGTCTTCGCTTGGGAACCAAATTTTCAACCCCAATAACTTTCAAGACTACACGAACGTCATGGGCCTCCAACGACCGCCATCCAACACAACCATGCAGAATATATTCAGGTGAAATTATCATTATCTTCTCGCCATAATATTTATTGATAGTCAACCAATGGGGCCTACAGGATACCGAACATCTGGCTTTAGTGGTCTTATTAATCAGCAAGCAAGACAAAATGGGCTCCCATCGTTTCCGGTAAGATCATTTGAACAATTGCTCTATAAGTCGGTTATTTTTAGCAAATGCAAGGTTTCGGCAAGTCAACGTCTCCATCTCCTGGGTTAGCAAAGAACATCATCCCTCCAAACACGGGTGGATTCGAGCAAATGCATCCGAATGCTTTCGGCCAGCTTTCGCAAGTGCTTCAGTTCCGCGAGCGCAATCGCCCAACGAGTATAACTCCTCCTCACCACCAAAGTCGACATAAGACGAAGGACTTTAACGTAAGACAACAGTCGTGATGCATATTTTGACCTTACTATTTTAGTTTGCGAAGGGCGGCTATCCTAATCAAGGATTCGCGAACGGGTTCGAGCAAAAAGACTCTCTCAAGCATCCGCAGCAGCAACAGCAACCCCATCAGCAACAACAGTTTGCGGGCTTTGATGACAAAAATCAGCTCAACCAGCATTTTCTCCGACAAGGCATGGAAACTGGCTTCAAACAACCATCATTCCAAAATTTCAATGGCCAAGGATTTCACCAGCAGCACAGGTGATTTCAACTATCCTTGCACTTTTCACCTAATCACTCTTATTAGACCGCAAGGAAAAAGAATGATGCAGCAGCAACAGTTCGGAAATCCGTTCGAAAAGAAAGGAGTGATTGGCAACGAGATGCTCAAGCAGCCTATTCAGAAGGGCGTTGGCAACAGCCATCATCTCCAAGGCTCGAATGGGCAAGCTCGTGCTAGCGGCAAGCCCAGCGCCGCTCAAACCAATCCGTCTAAAATGGGCAACATGGATAACTACAAGCAAACGATGGCTGAAGAAAGACAGAAACTGCTCGCTCTGACCAAGAACTTCGGAGTCGACGAAACCGGTACTCGACAGAACGGCCACGAAGGAATGCAAGGCGCTCCCAAACCAAACGATCAGGGCAGCAACGGCGTTCCGCCCGCCGAAAACGAACAGAACCCAGGTACGAAATCACGCAATACAACGTGGAGTAATTTATTCTTTAGAAACGATCGTTAACCTCACGTCAACTGATCGAAAACGGCTGACTCTCGCCGACACCGCACCGAAGCGTCCCGGAGAGGTCCGTCGAATCATCACCAACCCATCATAACCAAGTTACATGATATATTATTATTATAGACTTTCAGAGTCTTGATTCAAATTCCTTATTTTCTATTAATCCCCTCTCCCCCCATTATACGTATCTCTCCAATTTCAACTTCCTCTTCATACTATCATTTTATCATATAGCAGTTACAGTAATTCACCGTAACGAGTAGGCTTTCAAGCTTCACATATTCTACAGCGCAATTACGTCTATACGTTCTCACGCCGTAATTGTTCTTCATCTTAATATTGTATCCCTAAATGTCGATTCATATTTAATAATGATTGGCCATTTCAGACCATTTCAGTTATCATTCGAAGGTCTCCTTCCAGCTAATTATGTGTTCTATTTTTTGAAAACAGTTACAGTGTTTGTACCATTGAACTGCAATTCAAATCCAAATTCTATTATCTACATAATCTCTTAACTCATTTTTGAGAACTACAAAAACCAACCCGACCTAAATCCTTATAAATATTCGCCCTCTAGGGTATTAAGTCACTATTCGAAAAACATATTCTTCAATTTGGATCCATACTAAATCTGATCCATTTTTGAAAAGGACTGCTGCACCACCTGGGAATTGCTCCAGATGAACCATACGCGGACTAAACAACCGGTATACGCTAAAATACATTATCTATTTAATAGTCGATCACATGAAACCACTAGAGTATTCAAAAATAATAACGCCTTACCTTGTAGAATTTTCAATAAGTCAGTGAACTTACAAAAATAAACAATAACGGAAACCATCAAAGTCGTCAGTACTGCGTGCCTAGCTGGGGACGTGTGATGCGCCGCACTTTTTTCGGGCAGACTCTTTTCCAGCTTAGCACGGCGCCCTTAACTTTTGCAATAGAAAAACAACTACCGGCAACGTAGACTTCTTTTGTTTACCGTTTACAAAAAGGACATCAGTGCCAGTAGTCTAAAAGCCTTCACATCGCGATTTAGCCTTTTCAAATACCATTTACCTGCAATATTTCCGGCCCGGAACAATCTTTCATTATCAACTGGTGTCTACAAGAACATCGGCGAGATAAAGGCAGCCACCCCTACTCTCGCCTTTGTTAGTGTTCTTACTGACCTCGAATCTTTCGGACCTCAAAACTCACGCGTATTTCATTTATCCCATTTATCACGATTGAACTCCAAATTTACACACTCGAAATTCATTTCAATATTTCTATCACTCTATCAATTATACAGTATATACCGAACGTGCGAACGAGATCTAGCGTGATAACCGACTTAGTATCGCGCTTTGATCATGCCGCTGTCTGAAGCTGCCCTGTCTTTCTGCCCCTGTCCAACATTCTAAAAACTAAAAAAAATCATGCCCGGTCAAATAAAAACCAAATTCAATTTGCTATAAACCGGCTATTACCTTGTCCTCGTGTGAGATTCAACTGTTACTTTTCTATTCCGCATGGATCCCATTCGAGACTTGGTTAGAGCTACAATTCTCAAACCTATTTCGATCTACTTTTACTGAATTACATTTATTATTATTCAATTGTTCAGTTTACAAACAAGAATCATCTATGAATTGCGATGATAATGTCATTAGCACTGGAATACAAAACTTGCTTTAAAAAACTCTTTTAAAAAGACTTGCTCTCCTGTGATCGGGTGAACAAGGCTCTGTTTTTTGTGTTGACTTTTTTGTGTACTCGCACTACTTGAAAAAGAAAAGACAAGTGATGGTACAATCTCTAGATTGCTGACTCGTACATCAGGGAATATTATTAATGAACACAGGCATTGTCAGAGCGTGTAGAAGTATGTCGCAGAAGGTTCTGTTCAGGCAGCTTTTCGAGAAAGAGTCGTCCACCTATACTTATATTTTGGGATGCAAGAGAACTAAGAAAGCTATCATTATTGGTAAGTTACGCAGCCCTCAGGAGTCGGATATTTCTAACGATAAGACACGTCTAGATCCTGTCGATCTTACGGTGGAGAGGGACGCGAAATTGTTGAAAGAGCTTGGACTGACGCTAGTGAAAGCCTTGAACACGCATGTTCACGCAGATCATATAACTGGCACTCATCTTCTTCGGGCCCACTTTGAAGGGCTTCAGACAGGACTCGGATCGGCGAACACGGCCAAGTCGGACGAGAAGTTTGATGATAATTTTAAAATTGAAGTTGGGGACATCAATTTGGAAGTTCGACACACACCAGGTGTGCCTCCTGCATCATTTTGTTTTGAAATTGTTTAATCAGGGCATACAAACGGGTGCGTAACTTATGTGGATCACGATGGCGGTGCCGCATTCACAGGAGACGCTTTACTTATTCGAGGATGCGGAAGAACTGATTTTCAAGAAGGTAAAATAGCTCTTCTAAAAGTAACTTTTCTTATTGGGCAATTTAAGGCTGCTCGAAAACCCTTTTCAAATCAGTTCACGATCGCATTTTCTCGCTGCCGGAGGACTTCAAGATCTACCCAGCTCATGATTACAAGGGACAGACCTCGAGCTCTGTCCATGAAGAGAAGCAATTCAACCCAAGATTGACCAAGTCCGAAACGGAATTCGTCGACATTATGGAAAACCTCGGTCTTGCTTATCCGAAGATGATCGACAAAGCTCTCCCCTGGAATTTGAATTGTGGCGTTGAGCCCGAATGAATTACCTAATCTGAAAGACACATTACTAGCAGTATTTATCATCATTCTTCTTTATAATTACCGATTCAACATTTCTTCGATATGAAAAGTGAAGTTCTGAATTTTAAGAAACATGGCTCGATACTTATCGCAAAAGCAAATCGACGAGTTCAGGGAGTGCTTCAACCTCTACGATCGAAAGAAGCAAAACAAAATTTCCACAAGGCTAGCTTCCAGATATTATAGAGAAAATATAATTTTGAACTGTTATCTGTAAGCTATACAGGGATGTCATAACTGTTATGAGATCTCTCGGAACATATCCGACCAAGAAGGAAATTGAAAGTCACTTCAAAACTTATGATAAGAAGCACGGTGACGACGTCGAGTTCTCGACCTTTTTGAACATTATGTAAGGGCATTTCGACTCTTTTGAAAATTCTTATTCTAAGGCATCAACAACTGAGTCAGGAAAACGCGGCGAAGGAAATACTCGCCGCGTTCAAGCAATCGGACTGGGAAAAGAAGGGCTTCGTCACCGTCCAAGAAGTGCGCCAAATACTAACGAGAACGGGCGAAAAGGTGCGCTAACGCCTTGTTGTTATGTTCATCCGTATGTTTAGCTCACAAGTCGAGAATGTGACTTGCTCCTCCGATCTGCAAATGTCCAATCAAATGGCTACATTAAATACGACGAGTTTGTGTCTTTCATCACCTCGCCTCTTCCAGACTACTGATTGGCGCCTTTACGACCTGATTTTCGATTTCTATTCTTTGATTTTTTCTTCTTTAGCTCCACTGTCAGTTCCATTTTCTGTTGATTCTTTCTTTGATTCCGAATAAAGCTTTATCTTCTAATTAATTACAGCCAATAGATATCTTCTTTCGCTTAAATTGAGTTTTTATCTATGAGAATGAACGAGACTCCAGATGATCTCGATTTGAAGCTTATTGCCGAAAACTGTCAGCGCGAGCAATCGAGCTACAAAAACTGTTTGCGCTACGGCGAAGCAAATTATCAGAAAATGAAAGAAAGAATGTTCTTCGCACCATTATCAAATGAGGAAAATATTGGGTTTAAACGTCTCTTAATTTCCCAATTTTATCTTATCGTAAAGCCGATAGTTTAGCCCTTTATTCGTATTTCCTCTTGGACATGTTATTTTCAATCCAACAACAGAGCTAGAGTGATGCCGAACCAACACTATCCTCATGAGTGCGATGTTTTATTGGAAAATGAGCGAAATTGTCTGGCGTTTTGGACAAAGATCTCGGGCAATTACAACAAAAAGGGCCTTTTCAAAGAAAGAACAGGCACGCCCGACGCATCGGCTAGACAATTTATCTTAGAAGAGATGAAATCAATGCAAAAACTACCCTACATTGGTATGATCTATTTATCGCTACTGCTAAATACAACGAATTTAAGAGGTATCAGCCGAGTATCTTCGCCAATTTGCCGGGGTCAATCAAGAAACGATCTAAATATTCTCCTCTCATTTCTATTTAAATTCCAATTCAGAATAAATCGCTTTTCTCTCATTGGTACCATTTTTAGTATGATCAGGATCGCCAGGCGATGCATAAGTGGGTTGGAAAGACCGCTGAGAAGTCTGAAAGACTGGGGGAATGTTCTTCAGAACATGGAAAAGCTCGTTTACGCGAATGGGCACGGACAATTATTACCCAATCCAGGAAAAGAAGAAAGCAGTACCGCGTAAACTCGTTTCTCAAATTTTATCTTGTTTATTTCAAAATCTCAGGCCGATATTGGAAGTGCTGAGAAGCATCAAAATCCAGGAGCGGTTGACACTCAACGGGGAACCTCATTTGAAGCCTGGTAAAATTGAAGCTGAAGACTTTGGCGATAAGGTTGCTGGAGTAACTTCGATTCTACAGAAGACTATGTCAGAAAATCAGCGGGAAGTTCTGCGCCGATGGAGGGAAAGGATGATACTCGAAATGGGCGAAAGCGGCTTCAAGATTTATCAAAGAAATCTTTTGGAGCACGGGACGGACACTCACTATCTGATCGAGTGTTTTGCGAAAGAAAACGAGGCTGCTTTTGAAAAGTCGTTCGAAAAAGCGGGGCACGACGTAAAAGCCTTTTGGAAGTCAGTTGAACCAATTTTGAGAAGTGGAGACGTTACAATCAAGGAATCTGAGTACAGAATACAAAACTCGCAGTTACCATACACTGGCATTGCAGATAGCATAGGAAGGGTTCTGATGAAAGACGTTTGAGGTGACTCTTATTCCAAGAATTGAATTTTCTTGTTGTAGTGTTAGTCTAACACTGTTAGATTCAATATGCTGCTTTTTGATAATTTTCCAAATTTTTTCTACTACCTGATCATAACTCGTAAAAAGGATACATCCACAAGTTTGGCTGGTGCATCATCGACTGGAAAACAAGCCAAAAACGTAAAACTGTTTGTTCGCTTCAACTGCAGTAATTTTGTGAAGATAAGTTCAGAATCTCTCGCAGTGCTTTGACGAGCCGCTACAGATCGCTGCGTATGCCGCAGCGCTTGGGTTGAATAAAGGGGCTTTAGTCAAGATCTACAAAGACAGGACATGGATTAATGGTTTTTTGTTTACAGAACAATAAGCGTTTTTAACGCTATTATTCGTTAACCCATCATAGACCCTGCGATATCATTTATATTACCCCACCCGAAATGAAGCTTTACTGGAATTCATTCCTCGAGCGTTTCGAAAAGTATGCGGCAATGAGCTACACCAATAAGAAGACGTAATTCATCAACGATGATAAAAATTGTTTCAATTGATTGTTATAATGCTTTTGTTAAATTTTTTCACACCAGAGCAACTCTGATATAAAAGACTTTTTGACTTTTTGAATTAAATTCATTGAAAATCCAGCTCCCATCTCACTGCCAACTGGAAAATTACGAAAAAAAACCAGTCACACTCTAATTTTGTAAAAAAAAAAACGTTCTATCTATTTCTTTCATTCTAATTGGCGGACTCGTATGTCTTTACTCTATTTTTACTCGTGAAAAGTTATTAAAATTTATGTCCAAATTGATGATTTCCGGCTGAGTCTTGGCGTAGGTGGAAACTGCTGGCATTAAAAGGGCTTTCTCGGTTTCTTCAAATGTCGTGCGAACAAGAGAGAAATACTCTGAGGTTTCAAAAGCGCAATTATCTCAACGTATTTAAAACTCCTTTAGTGAGAAATCCGCAATTTAATTCAAAAGTGCTTAAAACCTCACTACCTTGCACTCTTTAGTCTTTCTAGGATAGAAATTCTAGCGAATACCACTTTTAAATTCCTAATAGGGATCTCCTATAACAGGAATTTATTATTAATATAAACTTTGCGTAATCGATTCTTCAATCCTAAGACTTCCTAACTCGCTAAATTCTTATACTAGATAGGATTTCTATCACGAAAGTAACGCAAATAGTAACCGTGACCACGACCTTGATAATTTACCGTATCTATTTGTCGTTTCTCCCACTGTAGGATACAGAATGTGTATTCTGTCATTGATGCTGTCAATATTCTCATTTATTTTACTGACTTTGTTATTTATTTGAAGGTTTTGGCATAGCAACTCGCAAAAAAAAGAATGATCTTTCCTAGCTCTGTTTGAACTAACATGTCCATACAATAAAACTTTATTGCCGTCGATTATGAATGCAAATGAAGCAGATAACCCGTGACCATGTTATATATTGTGTTAAAGCTCGAATTCCTTTAACTGACCTTTTCATGGACCCTTGGCATTCCGTAGCTATCGCTAAATCGCTAGCCTAAACAGTACACGCACTTCCGCTTCGATTGCGCTGGAGCGAAAATAACAAAAGACTTCCCTTTCAGACATTTTAAACCTCAGAGTTATGTGCACAATCGTAAATCCCAGCGTTCAAACCGGCTGACGAATATCGCTTGATAAACTACAGGTAAGAAGCAACCATTCTCATAGACAATGAGGTTAATTTTTATTGAGGAACCTCGTTTTTCTTGTAGATGAATTGGCCATGTTGAGTAATGAGAAAGTCATTTACTAAAATAAGACGTCACCTGCTATTTGATCTTCATAAAGTCTAAAAAGTCGTTCTTTGTTTAGCTTGATGAGTATTCTAGAGGAGCACTGTAGTCATTTAGAAATAAGTTACTTATTGCTTGGCCGCGCTTGGCTTCGTCATAGAGTCGATACCAACGCGTGAATTCAAAAGAGAAAAAACGACCGATTTTTTACTTTTTTTCTAAAAGTAAACTTTGACCTGCTGTAAGTATGCATTTTATTTATGAAAACTGCCTTGTGTACGGCGCTAGATATATTTATGCCGGAAATACCGATATTAGAAAAAACAGAACACATAAATGGGAGAGCGAATAATCGAGGAGGTACTAGGCGGCTTGGAATAATTCTAAGTCAAAGCTGTACAATCTAGTCACCGTATGGATAAATGCGTTTGCGGTTAAGGCGAATCGATAATATAGTCTTTTATCACGTGGCAATTGCACGGGTGGACAGTCTTCTGAATTCCCCTTTGAGACCTATAATTAAGTGGTATTAGATTTGACTAACGCGAGGCCTGAACACATTTAAACATCCCTTGCAGAGAAATGAAATCAAGGAAGATAACCTTCCAAGCTTGTCTAGGCTTATTTGGATAACTCCTCGTTGCTTCACGCAGAATTATTTAGTTCTTAAAGAATTCTGAATTCACCTGCAATCTACAGCGCGGAATAAATTTGCTCTAAGGAGCAGTTTAATCCTGCACTCTTCCGCGCAAAAGTTAACTCGGCAAATGAACTTATAAACTCTCTTGTAAGGAAAACCCAGCCAAACAGAGCTTAAGTTTTTACGAGCGCCAGGACATGCTTTGATGCGTGAATAAGTTTCGTTAGATTATTCACTCCTGATCTACCAATCTGCTTTTTGCGTTATTCTATGATTCAACTGTCTTTTGCTGGAACTTGTTTGAGATACAATTTCGTAAATCCTAATCAGAGACTACGCTAATGTTTTCGATTCCTACGATAGCGAAAGAGTGTTTTATCTCGTGGAAAGTATTTCTGAAAACTGATAGCAATCAATGATGAGTAACTGGTTAACTTTTGATAATCATATCAGATTTACCAGCTCGTTTTTTGCCAAACGAATGACGCAAAATGCAAGCCTACTTCATAGCATTCTGAAACTGTTTTGATGAATATGGCCACTTGACAGCAATCTAATAGGAAATAAGCATTCGTTGCCCGCTCTTTATTGGAGATCTGATTGCATTACAGATAATGAAATTTATGTTCCGATAAGTGCGGCTTTTATTATTGGTAGGTCGCCAAGTAACGCGCGGTGCGCTTCAAATAGGGGTCAAACGTGGATGACGATTTCCAGTGTAAAACAATAGTGAGATCTATTTTTCCAGTAGGAAATTCAAACAATTGGAATTTGGTTTTTTCGGAGGCGCTCGTTTCGCTTGAAGCGCGAGAAACAGAAAAGAGAACGAGAAAAAGCAAAAAGAGAGGGAGAGAAAGAAGGCGATGTGCCCAACGCCCCGCTAGACGGACAAGCTCGGACTAATTGAATTTTTCCTATTGATCCGCCATCTTAACACTCTGGGCGGTTTTCGTCTCCCTCACTGACGAAAGCTTAGAGACAACAAGAATTCTAGAATTGAAGGACTTGGACTTGTTTTCAAGGCTGAGAAATTCTCAGTTTATCAACCCCGCGCGAAAAGGTATTCATCCCTCTTTCTACCAACCTATCGCCCAGTCATTCATTGCATCTCCGAGCGGACTCACTCATTCATGCGCAGAGTAATCCACTATCAATGTATTATAATTAAGTCGCTTCTCACGACTTATCTTTGTCATATAAAGAAATTGATAAATCCATTTGTTCTGGTTTTATTTTCTTGTAGACGCGGAATTTTAAAAGACGCACTCTAATGCGATTATGTAAATTCTTTTGCATGTCTTCACCCTGGTGGAAATCAGTGCGCGATCGTTGCAGAATTTTTTCTGCGGCATGGTCAAATTCAAGTTTGCTCCTAATGAGTTCATTTCTCCGTGTGCTCCCGAGTCCCGCGTAGATTTGACAAAAGGGGAGGACAAAGGTCTTCAACCTTTTGTTGGGGCCCTTAATCTACTCCGTGCTCGCGTCCTGTCTCATGAAGTACTCGCATAAGATGAACAATCTAATTTTCGCGCTTTTGATTTACGGCAATGAGAAAATTAGGAGAAATCTCGCTATGTGAAATCAAGGAAGAGAAGTGTCGTTTTGGAATGGCGTGACCTACTTTAGTACGCGATTACTTAATTGAAGATTTAGCCGCCCCACGAGTGTTATAAATATACGTGCGAATATTTACAGTGAGCGCACTCAATCGATGCATTTCTGTTCGAGCACGTCATTTTTATCACGACGAGTTAGACCCGGCCTTGTCGATGTCCGTCAGTTTGCAAATGAATGGGATGAATAATTTACATTCACTTATTCTCTATATACCATTTTTTATTAAATGCTCAATTTTCGTTCAATTGACATTTTTCGTTTTGTTCGTTAATTCGTCTTCTGTGGTGACCAACGAACGTGACAAATTTCAAGTGCTTCTGCTTCTCCCAGCCCCTCGTTAAGTGGTGAGAGATTGGAGAACAAAAAACTTGAAAGAAAAAGAGAAATTTTCAATTTCGTCAAGAGTTGTCGCATTCTTACTTTCTACTTTTCGTTTTCCTTCAAGATCGGAAACGAAATTGTATTTCTTTCTTTTCTAAATTAACCCTCTGACTTTATAGAGATTAATTATTTCGCGCCATAAAATCTTGTTACAAGTAACAGTCTTACCTCCTCATGACGAAATAATGACTTCATTCGTTTGAATCAGCTGGCGATTCTTAGGGGTCTTATAAGTCATTACTCTTGTTCGAGCATTAAATTTAGTCCCTAACGTTTTAATTGCGTTATGGAACCTAGCAAATGTTTATGTCAAGTGATAAAAAGAAAACCGCTCGTAAAAGTCTATCGTTGAACGTTAATGAGTAATTTATTTCCAAAAAGTTCATGATGTCCACCTCTCTTGAATTTGAGATTCTCGTAAAGGAGTTACATAAATCCCGATTCCAAAAAGAGGAAATGCTGAACAAAAGCAGAGGCAAATATAGATTCTTTTTTATGTCCGCCACGCTGTAAATGACAAGGCTCGGAAATGACGCCTTTCGGATAGAGCATGACTTAAATTTTCTTAGTCCCTCCTCACTAAAGTTTACAAAGAGATATTCGTCCGTGTTACATTCATTAATTGAAGCATAGCGAGCCTTTACGGCGCATACCGCTATAGCTCGTTAAATTACTTTTCTTAGAGTTTGAATATTTTCGGCGCTATTGCCTTCAGAGAAATAATAAGGTCTCGTAACAAAAAAATACCATAGTGCGGCTAAGGAAATAATAAGGAACTTTAAATGCATCATTAATGCGTGTTCTGTTAAAAGACGTGTGTCCCGAGAGATCCCGATGAATTTAGGAGAGAAAGATAGAAAACCGCAGAGAGAGCGCGAGAGAAAATAAGAGTCCGAGCTCCTCTTTTTCCCCGAAATCGGCTTTAAAAGCTGAATCATTTTCTCACTTTTTCAAAAAAGCAAATTTGAATTAGAGAAAAACAAAACAAAAATAAAATTTTCACACTTTCCTGTTAAGAGCTGGTTTCTTTTTGGTCGATCGAAATTGGGTGACAAGTTTCGTCGACAAGAACGACGACAATGAAGCTTTCCTTGCTCCTCGCCCTCGTCGCGGTCGGTGCTGATGCCTCCAAAATCTTAGTTTGGCCAGCAGAATGGAGCCACTGGATCAATATGAAGGTAACAGACCCCTCACACGCACTAATATTTGATTTGATTACTGGGTACATCCATTTCAATCTGCGCGTTTAAATAACGTTTAAACTTTATTGTCCGTGAAAGAAGCGTTATTATGCAACCTGCGCCACAGTTTACATTTAAAGCCCGCCCAATTACACCTCTTTTTAATTTATGGTGACTTTTAGCAAATTGAAATGAAATTAATTTTCAGTAGACAAGATGTCTACAGGGAGCCACAAGTTAAACCCGCATTTTTATCGTAGTGTTACAAAATATCGCAATTTATAATAAAATATATACATTGTAATCTTATCACAGTGTGGGGCTGCGGTATTTTTCAGATATTTTCAGTCTTTTAGACAACAACTCGACTCATGAGTTAGTTAAAATTCATGTTAAACTTTGAGGTGCGATTAATATATAAGTGCACGTAGTACTCGATCTCTCACATATTTTCGGACATTCAAGGTTTATTTCAGATTATAATAAAAGAGCTGATCAGCCGCGATCACGAAGTGGCGATCATGCGTTCCTCGGCATACACGGACTTTATCAAGATCGATATTCCAGAGGCGACCTATATCGACTTCTATGTGCCTTACGAAGAAGGCCACCATCTGCAGAGTATGGATAAGGTGCTCTCACAAGTCAAACTCGGCGATCCGGCAGAATCCTCTTTCTTCGGGAAAGCTTACGCGATGGTTAGTTTTGTTGCTGAACAGTTATCTATGAGGAAAGGGACGCAACTAATACGAATAATGATATCCTTAGGATTCTATTCTATAGGATGTAGACTGAAGGCTATATTCAATTGGCTTTTCTAAACAAAGTTATCCCTTCGAAGAATGAACCAATGTGAGCTGGTCATGAAAAACTCAACCCTTCTCAACTCGTTAAACGCTACTGACTTTGACTTGGTGTTAGCGGATCCGACGGTGATGTGCGGCGAACTCATCGCCACCAAGATGGGAGTGCCATTCGTTTACAATGTGCGCACACTGCCAGCCGAGCTGCACTTTTCGCTTTCGCAGACGCCGATGCCCCTTAGCTATGTGCCTATGATTAACACTGAGTTTTCGGACACGATGAATCTTTTCGAGCGAACGATGAATATGATCACCTACGTATACCAAACCATCGGCGTCCGAGCTGGATTATCCATGATGGACTCAATTGTTCACAAATACATCGACTCGAACCGAAGCTTTCTGGATATTGTCAGTCAAAGCTCTATGTGGCTCATCAGGTACGAATGGCCGCTGAATAAACTTCCCTGCTGTAATCTATTGCGCTTTGTCCCTTCTTCACTTCGCAAATTTGATTTGATCAACTTCCTACTAAGCCCCTATTGTACTTCGTGCTTGCTCACGCTTAATGCCCTTGCGCTTCTCAGAGCTTACTTGGCAACAGTATATTCTACATACGTGTGCCTAGGCAACAGCCAAAACAAGCGTACTTGACTCTGAGCAAGGTCATCTCATTTTCTACAAAGCATTTCAGTTGACGATAGATGCTAATTGGTGTTTAGAACAGACTTCGCCTTCGAATATCCTCGACCACTGATGCCAAACGTTAAATTCATTGGAGGCTTTCATTGCCAAGAAGCAGAGCCCCTCAAAGACCAGAGCCTTGTGGACTGGATCAACGAGGCAGACGATGGAATCATCGTTTTCTCCATGGGTTCTATGGTTCGCTCGATGCACAAATCCAAAGCGGAAGTAATCGCGGCCGCTCTTGCGAGGCTCCCGCAGCGGGTCATCTGGCGATATGACGGAGAGATGCCTGACTCGCTCGGAGCGAACACGAAGACCATGGATTGGATCCCCCAAAATGAACTCATGGGACACCCGAAGACCAAGCTATTCATTTCTCACGGAGGCAAGTAGCTGTTAAAGGCATTTATATGCTCCGTTCACATATAATAACGGATTTAAAGATCGGTCGTGTTATTTGATAAATCACACCGCGAGTGTAAATATCGAACGTCAAATAAATTTTTTTAGACTAATATCTGTTTGTAGGAACTAATGGGCTCTACCAAGCGATATACCATGGCGTGCCAGTAGTTGGTGTTCCTCTACTCGTAGATCAGTTTGACAACATGCTTCGAGTGACCGAGCGCGGCGCAGGCGTCACCCTAGACATCACTTCTCTCACCTCCGACGATCTTTACGAGGCTGTCACAAGGTACCCCCGTTTCAATTTTATCCCACTTAGAGAACTCTTCCTAGGGTTATCGAAGACTACTCCTTCACTGAGAACGCGCGGTCGATGAGCCGCATCCATCGGGACAAGGCGATGACGCCGCTCGAAGCCGCAGTTTTCTGGATCGAGTACACGATAAGAACCAAAGGCGCGTTTCACTTGCGTCCAGCTGCGCACAACTTGTACTGGTACCAGTACTTGATGCTCGACTCGATAGCGTTAATATTTGCTGTCTTATACGTCCTCTATAGATTTCTTCCGACGACGTTACGGTTTATCTTTAGTAGTAGTTTAAGGTAAGCTCCATTTCAGTAAACATGAGAAAGACCAAACTTTTAGACTAAAACTGAAAACCGAGTAAACTGGAGATGCTTCAACATTATTCCTTGGTTATTCTTCAAGATGGAGTCCACTCACTGGACTCAAGCATCGGCCCTGTTATTTTATCAATCGGCCCAAAGATACTAAACATATTTATATATATTTTTAATTTTACGACTATTATTTTTCAATCTTTCTGACAGCGATACCCAGTAATTGCAAATTCTTCAAGGCCAGTAATTTTCCTTTCTAGCGTTTAGCTTCTTCGCTTACTTTCTTCCAACTCCCGGCAGCTATGATCTCTTTAGGTGAGAGGGAGCGCCATAAGACAATTATCTTAGACATAAATCCAATAACATAAGTTCACGCTTGTATAAGGAGTTAAGAATCGCCTCTCGCAAAAAAAAAACTTCCATTTCATCGAAGAAGGCATTCTTAAGTCAATGTGTTAACGACGTTCTTAGTTCCAACATTCCACCTATCTCTGACGTAGTTTTGATTGAATAAACCTGCAAGTTCAACTTTTTTCTAATCCTTTCTCTCCTTCTCTCTGTCTTGTACACTTTCCTTCTCTTCCAAGTTTGCGAACAAGCTCTCATTCCTTCAAAACTATCAAAGTGCAGATAGTCTTACGCCGTAAAAGTTCCCCGTAGGAACTAGTACAAGATCAAATTCTTCTCTAGGCAGCGATCTCAGACAGTTTCTACTTTAAAATGTTTAAAGAAAGTATTATTAAATAATATTATCTATCTTCTTCAAAGGAATATCTTATTGACCTTTTTTCTTCTCTGTTTCTTTTGCCCATGGTACATCACCCCTATATCATCAATCAAGTTCGTGTTCAACTAAATATCTGCTGGCTCTATTTAAAATTTCTTCACTTAGCAACTTCGCCTAGCTTCAAGTTAGTTCGGCAGATGCTATCAGTCTGAATTCGTACAGCAGCTTGCCACCATCTATAAGGAGCCTGGCTCAAGCGCTTTTCAGCACTGCAATAGTAATCATCGCACACCCTCGTTTATTTTATTTTTAATTGAAGCTAGGCTCAATCCCTCGTCACAAGGTGGCAGGACTACCTGTATAAAATATGAATATTTTCATAAAATTATTGCTCTCAAATTTTACTCTCTTCTCTCCATCATTCTCTACTAAGCCAAAACCATTTCTTACTTCTAAATTCAAGCTTTGTACAAAAACATGTTACTATTCAAGTATTCAAAAGTTGAGCCAGTCGGGCCACAGAATGACCGAAATCTTCAAGAGTGAAAAAGTCAGCCACTCGAACTGTATCTACGCCGGTCAGCGCGGGCCCAGCCTGTTGCCTTTACAATTTACAGGATGACGCCATTGAGTTTTTCTTAACTTTACTATCACTCAAGGGCTGATAAGTTGTACCTTTTAACATAATCAATACATGTACATCATTTTATTTAAAACAAGACTAGACTTTGCTTACATCTTTGTCTATCTTTATATATTACAGGTGCCAATCGGCAATAGAGAAAGGATCAAGCAAGGCATGATTAATGAGCCCGATCATTTATACATTTAGTTGATGATTTTCAATTCTAATACTTTCATCAAGAGTTCAATATGCAGTTTTTAGCTAATCATAGCAGAGTATCATAGTCGAGATTATAATTGCTAGATGTTTTAATATGGCAGAATGTACAGTATATACAGTTTATACAGTTTATTATACATTTAGCAGTCCACACTTGGGAAAGGACTTCTACTTCTTAGCTGCTGTATTCTTGGGTTTTTGGCATACAAGAGAGGAGGCTGAGTTTGTGGAATTTGTTGAGGCTCAGGTATAGTTGCTTGAGGAAAAGCGAAACCGACACCACGAGGAGTATTTGTTTCTGACCCGTTGCTTGCCTCTCCGGAATGTTGAGAGCCATAAGAACTATCGTCTGCATCTGACTCAGTTATATCTGTCAAATCGATCTTGTTCGTCGTTGTGTATGAAATTCTCATGTAGTTCTTGAGAAATTTCTTCTCCTGGCCGTTGCTGACAGTCGACGAGCTATTTATTGGGTTATTACGGTAACAATAAATCCATTACTTTTCACTCGAAGGACGAGCAGCTGGTTCAATAGGAGAGTGTTCTTTATTGATAAAGTCGCCTGCTTCGGAGAATACGTCGTCGTCTCCATAAGATGTCTGGACGGAAAGTGGACTCTTACCGTATCTTGAATAAAAAAATCACCTTGTTTTGTTCAATTCAACTCACATGTTAGCGCTTGATTTCTGTCTAATTTTCTGGAGCATTGGGCTGTTGAGTCTGCTTTGCTGAAACCTTGATTGTTCCTACAAACATTTTGTTAGACCAAGAAAGGAAATATCGATAACTTTTGACGCGGCGAAAAGAATACTGCCTTCCCCGTGGAAGATGCTAGATTTACGGCGTTCTTGCCGTCGCTCGATCATTTTTCGGATGTCGTCTTCTGTTGGTTGGATGATCTCCACCCGATCACCCTCGTCGTTATCATCGTCGTCATCGTCTGACGACACATTTTCAAACCTAATGGTTGACTTTCGTCTTTGTTTAGCGTGCATATTCCCGCCTAAATCAAAGTCATGTAATTGACCCACATTAACAACTTCAAACCCGCTCCTGGATCAGAATCAGGCCCTGGACCTTCGTCGTCTAAGAACGCCCTGTTGATTTCCTCCAGCTTTCTCTCTGATACCGTCTTGTCTATGTCTTCAATTTTTTCTCCTTCTGCTGTTAAACTGGCCTCCAATGCTGCCCGTTTTTTTCGTTCAATTTCTCTTCGTTGCATACTTATATCAACATCTGCTACGAAATGATAGTACGTTGACACACGATGCCTTAAAAAAGGATTACGGACAGACACACACAAAATATCTTACCAGAGCATGCAGATAAACTGCGCAATAATAAGAATGACGTAAAATGCCAAAAAGAAGAGAGAAAGAGGTTGTAACTTTATCTCAGCCCAGTCGTCATCCTTACCTCCATTATAATTTTCGATGTAATCTCTTGAAAAATTTCCATCGAAGAGAATACCAAATGAACCTTCTGACTCTACTTCATTATCGCACTTGGCAATATTCGGGACTTTAATCGGAATCTGTAGAAGCTCAGCGGAGTATTTCAGAACAATTGTTGAGATAACGACCCAGACAGTATTGATGAAAAGATAAAGACCATATTTTTCAGCTCGAAACTCATTGACATCCTTGACAAGTTGTTTCTCATTCTCCACGAGTTCTTCATATTTTTCTCCATTTGATTTAAGTCCGATGTATCCATCTGTGGGGTCAACCATATCCCTCCAGAAGATATATTCCGGGTTTGAAAGAACGTGTACTGTGCAGTTATCATTAATTGGCGATTTGTTAGAAACGACCCATCCCAAATAATCTTTTTCCGTCTTTATTCGTTTTGCTTTCTCAAGCTTCATCCTCTCCGATTCATTTACGAATTTGCCTTCGCGTTTGAAAGATTCAATCTCTCTGTTGTACAACCAGCCGTAAGAAAAACTCATCTTTGGATCCGAAGGCTGCTCAGGATTCATTTTCAATCTTTGACTTGTGTTGTTCTCGCAGTTTGTCATCAGTTTCGTCCATTGAGTGAACTCACTTTTCTTAAGCTCGTGCACAGTTTCTCCGCCGTAATAAGACTCCTTCATAATATTTTCTTGTAAGAATTGTTCATCAAACTCATCTTCGATCATGTACGCAAGTTCTTGAGTGTCAGGTGGAATTTCTTCGATGGAAATGCGATCCGGTGCATCGGGTATAAAGTCGTTGTCACAAACTTGTGACTGAAACTCACTTGTAACTACCTTTGGTTTATTGTCATCACTATGCGCGTAGAATTTAGTATTTTTTGCTGGAACAATTGTCGGACACAGATTACAATGACAGCCATATCCGTCTTTTTGAACCGGGTCGACTGGGTCCTCTTCCTTGATTTCAGCGCCCATTATTTTTTGAAAGAAACTCCTATTGTCACTAGCTGCTGCCTTTGATGGCGCCTGGCGTGTTCCCCAGGAGAAATCGTTCAGGTTGGCAATAGAGTAAATTTGAAGGAAGATAAAGCAAGAGGGAATAAAGAGAAAGTAAACTACCCCACAGAAGAGAGATTTCACATCAAAATGAAGCAATCCAGCGACAATATGTACAGCTGCTAAGCCAACAAAGAATAAAAACGAAGGGCTAAAAGGACAATTGACGCCTTCCATGATGATTCCAATCAAAACAATCAACATAAGGAAACTGAACATCAGGGAGAGCCAGCTTGCAAGCTTGATCTGTAAGTCTCCATTGCCACTCAAGTAGCAAGCGATGCAGAAAATTACTACCGGCGCCATAACGATGAGATAGCAGAAACCCTTGTCCAAGTTGTATCCTAACGCAATATAAAACGCTTCAGCCACCATCATCATTGTTGTGGAAACGCCAATTATAGAAAACATCAGCATAAAGAGATGGTAGAGCACATATGGAAGCGAGATATATGGATTATTTTTGCGAGCGTCAAATTGATTCAAGATTAGCTGCCAGACATTTGCCGTGGTTGAAGGACCCCATCGCCGCCTCTAAAATTTCAGACTTATCTACGAAGTATCACTAAAATGACTGCAAACAGTCTTAAGGATATAAGCTATGAATTTGAGCTTTCGTAGCGCCTAAATGCGACGTAGGATCATTTTCATTTCAAAAGCAATCCTACCTAAAAATGCACGCATAACTCAAATCTTGTACTTTAAAAAAATTTTCGAAGAAAATTTTCCCTTTAGAGCGATTTCAAATCTTACGATCTCGATTTCTCGAAAATTTTCCATTAAATCGCTAAAACTAAACCGTGTTTTTTATATCGATGATGTTAAGCTAGAAAATTGACGGGCTTTTATTTCAAAACTCTCTCGAATTTTCATTCTAGCGTTTTCCTCTTTTTTGCTCGTGTTTTTCTTCTTTTTGTGCTTTTTCGCGTGCAACCAATCAAAGCGCTCCGCTCAACCGCGCCACTCTCACGGAAAAGAGGAGCCGAGAGTCCGAGTGCCCAGCGCGCCGCTTTTTACACTATTCACGCGCTGGGTAAGCCTCATGGAAATGGCTCTAAAATCGGTTTCGGTCGGAATTAGGGAAAACTGATCCGTCAATTTTATAGATAAGGGTTAAGAGAAGTTATTCATCGAAAAAACTCGACCGATTTAGTGGAAAAATTTCGAGGAATCGCGATCGTAAGATTTGAAAACGCTCTAAAAGAAAAATTTTCTATAAAAAATTTTTTAAAAATACCAGATTTGAGTTTTACGCGCATTTTTAGGTAGGATTACTTTTGAAGTGAAAATGATCCTACGTCCCATTTAGGCGCTACAAAAGTTCGAATTCATAGCTTATATCCTTAAGTAGGAACTTGCTCCGATAAGAATGCCGGCAGACAGTCTGAAGTAGGAACTAATGCGGAAATAATGCGAAAGTAAGTGTTTTCAAGAGTATGATAATGAACTACCATAGAGTTGAGCTCTAAGTGGAGAAAGCCTCCGGGTCCCCTTTCCCGTTTCCCGCGAAGATCACTCGCAGGGAAGTCTAGAAATTTTCCTTAGCGCGTGTTGGGCGCTTCAGAAGAATCTCGAAAATCATTTCTGCGAAAATGAAGGGATTCAGCCAATCATAGAATCGAGAAGGCGAACTCCAGGTTTTGGCGCAGATTTAGGCGCGCCCAGATCGAGCGTCTTACGGGGCCTAAGACGCTCAGATTCTCCTATCTCCACTTAGAGCTCAACTCCATGGTAGTAATGGTCAAGTACTCTGCCGTCTTAGTGTTTTTCTGAAGTAACCAGGGTTACCTGTTTGTAAAACGTTGGTAAATCTTCAGGAGCAAATGTGTTGCAATGCGCCGATGCTTCGAACTCAATTCTACCACCAGATGTAAGCATAAGCGTGCATAGCTTAAAATTTATTTAGTAGCCCTCAGAGAGGCCTTACCCATCGATCCTCGCCTTGGTCAAACTGCAACTTTTCCAGTGGTGTACTTGCCAAAGACTTGTACATTGCCATCACGTTCGGCCTCGCCAGATGACTGATTCTAACCAACGAAAAACAACCAGGCGAACACAGTACACAGCCTAGAACGTGCTCAGTCGTCTTTTGTAGCCAATGTCCAACTGCATATTCAAATCTTTGATACATTACTAGCCAGCTAGAACCCATCGGATGGATTTGACTACAGCAAGCTGCCACGTGATCGTTTCTTTTCAGTCGATTCAGGACTATTTCAAGAGCAGGAGGGTCAAAGTCCACGTCACCATCGAGCGCAAGAATGAAACACTTATCTTTTTCTAGCTTTTCATATGCGCCGGAGATTTCCATTTCATCAGTGGCATCAATTTTCCAGCCGATAAGGTAGTAGAGATACATAACTTTTTTAATGTTCAATTTTTAATATCCTCTAACTTTTAAGAGAAATTGAAATCGATTTGAACTCGACCTTGACTCCATCGTTTGCCTCGTTGTACCTTTTCCGCATCTTTGAGATGAACTACGAACTGTGTGCCCTCAATGTCGTACTCCAGTCTACCTCTACTCACGGGTAAACAAATGCGATTCCTACAGTTTTATTTTGACAGCTCTTTATTGTCGTCATAGTTTGATAAGGAGGTTTTGTTTACACGTGACCCGTAAGGAGTGAGAACAACCCTTCCACGCTGCAGAATAGTATCATTTGAGTCTCTATCTTTTTTCATCAGTCCAAAAAGAGACAATGCTTTTTCTAATTCGTCGAGAAATTGGCAAACCCATTTGTTCAGTACTTTTACTGTGTCCCTTTCGAATATGATATCATTGTCGTCAAACACATTGTCAAAGAAAATATGAACTTCCATGTTGAAATAATCATGCTTTTAGGAGGTTGAAAATTGTCGTGTGATTTTCATCTAACTACAGAATAGTCCTGTATTCTATTTGCTCAGATGAATGAGTTCTATAATTAGTATAGGTACTATAAAAATTAATCTCGAGCTCGACCTTGGCGTCTTCGTTGTCCTGCGCTCTCTGGGCCCTTTTCTCCTTTGCATTTCTATGTTTTATGAGTTTGATTACTGATCTCAACATTGTCGCCATTTCAAAGTCCTCTTCGTGCCATAACGTCGTGCAGACGTAAATCAGAGGCACCCGTTGACCGCTGCTCCACCGATAAGACTTGTCATAGGAAAAGCGTTTCATGTTGCTTTGGCCGAACTCGCCCGCATCCTGCGTCTTCCGCCTTCCAAGTGTGTCCACTTTGTCCTTAACTCCACCAAAAGTTTTTGACATTTTGAAATGATGAAATGGCTGTTTTCTTCGGCGTCTTTTAGGAGGATATTTTTCACTTCTTCCTCCACCTCAACCACTTTTCTATTCAACATCAACATGGTATTCGTGAAGAGAGGAGTGTAAGATGCAAAGTCGAATACTTTCCTCTCCAGTGGGTAAATCAGATAATCATCATCAAGGAGATGTGTCGTCAAGACGAAAAACTGAAAGATTCCAAAGAGAAAGGGTACAACCATTTCCCAGCTGTTTTCTCTATGTGCAAGGATACAAAAGGCAGAGATAAGGCCCACAAGATTAGGTAAATACGATCCGAGCATTTGGCTGTTGATTCGGACAGCAGTTTTCGAGAAGTAGCTCAACAAAGGAGTGGTGATTGCGATACGGAATATTGCCTCGTTCAGAGTCAGCTCACAACTAAGTTCACTGCATACGAGATTGCATTCATCCGTTTTCAATTCTTCGAAGGGCGAACTTCCGGCAGACACTATCACCCCAGCATAAATACCTAAAATCAGCTATTAAAACACCTATAAATTGGAAATACACGCAATTATCCGCACTTAGAGCTATTTGTCTACATTCGAGCAAACATGTTCCTGCGTAACTCTTGTTTACCAAGATCGCGACATGAAAAACTTACGTTTTCCGTATCAAGTAAAAAAATACCAAAGCAAACACTTGCGTTGATCCGCACTTACTCAAAAATAACGCGATGCGTATGGCCACTCCGGAGACTCCACACCATGCTGCGCCTTCTGTTTTTAAATTTTCCTGTATATTTGAATTTTTAGCATTGAACCTTTTTTGATTTCAATCATTTGCTCAAGTTATTTCTTTGAGAGCTTAATTATGTACTTGAATGATCTTTCCTGTGTCCCTTGCAATTGAAAGCGTCTTCGCGAACTGGTCGAAAGGCACAAACTGATGCATAGTTGCTCCAATATCTTATAGAAACTAGAACGAGACAGATAACGAGAACCATGGCAATGGCTGCACTGCTCGGTACATCAGAATTGGTTGGATGCGACTTGAGTGAAGATAGAAAGACTAAGCCAACAATAAAAGCAGCAACGCCGGCTAGCCTGATGACCAATGCTACGAAGTTGTATCCGGTGCGGTTGCGCACTTCAAACCAGCGTTCCAGCTGCCCAAAAATTGTCCACTTGCCCCGGTATTTCAAGTCGTTTGTCATCAAGGAGAATACAAGAGGGGTTGCAGTAACGTAAAGCGAGGAAACTACAAACGCAGTGCCGTCGAGAGAGCCACCAACGTAAAAGACCATAAGGCCGATGCCGATGGCACAAAAAGCTTCGCAGAGCAAAGTGTTGATCCATTGTCTCAAGTTGGGACGGACGTCTTTTTTGAAAAAGATAAAGTACAAGTAATAAATAGCAGCGTATAACTCAGGAATGAGTACCAGATAAAAAGCAAGGGTCATGTTGGAGCTGAGGAGGAGTCAGCCGATTGTAATGTCGGAGTTTGAGTAATTTAGTGGACAGTTGGCCCGCGTGCGTTCTCACGAATGCACACGGCTGTTCTTGAATGACAGCGCGGCAAACACTGAGTGCTCCTTTGAAAGAAGAACTCGCCTTTCTGCGCAACGTTGCTCTACATGTCAATCACAACTCGAGGAATTCGCTGACTCCGTTCCTGTAGCAGGGGGTACTCGGTCTGAGATGAGGTAAAAAATCGGCGAAAGCTGAGTAGTGCATAATATTGACGATAACAACGAGTACAAAGAGGATTAGAATAGTGAATATGCGGGAAAATATCTTGATGTAGTTTTCGGCCGTCGACTCCTTTACCTTCCCATAATCCGTCCAGTCGATCTTCTTCGCGCGATCCCATCGCCGCGGATTGTCGTTAGGAAGACTCTCATTGTTCATTTATCTCTTGACAGAGCGATATTGTCTTTATCGCCCTGGAAAGCTTATCTCAGAGACACTGATAATAAAAAGTTACAGTGATAATGCTTTGTTTATGCTCTTAAAGTTATAAATGCGTCCGGATGCTAGAGTCGTTGTCGAGAGGCGAGAACTGGCTCTTGATCGCCCTCGCCTCAGAGAAAAGATAGTGTGCCTAAACAGACTAATATTTATTAAACGACATCAAAGCAAGATGCATGCGCATGGAATGCGTCTCTTGTGACGAGCCGCTGTTCAGTAATTTTCTCAAGTACTGAGAAAATTCTTATTGCAGTGATCAAACATAACACGAGTAAATAATAAACGCTTTCTACACTTTTCTATTTATTTAATAATGATAGGATGATCATCAGGCAACAAGTATAATTTCGTCAACTCAACGGTGCTCATTTTGTTGCTCATTTTCGTGACGATGCAGCTCTCTCGCTGATTTTCACTTGTCTCACGGCAGTTCTTCAAATGCCATTTATGGAAGAGCCCTGGATCGTTAGCTCGCAAAAAGATGATCTTCGAAAAAATTATTCTAGGCTGATTAATTAATGAAATATTACCCTATTCTTCGCGCATTCAGTAGCGAACTCAGTGTCCTCGCCTCCCCAACCTTCCATCAGCTCATTGAAGCCATTTGTTTTCAGGAATGCGTCCTTTGTCATTGAAACCATTCCATATGAAAAATATCTCCAGAAGCCATTAGTTTGGGTTAGCTCATGATTCTTCGAATTATGTTCATACTGGCTTATTGTGAGATTAAGTTTAAAATGGCTAAATAATACTCAAATACAAACCTAAAGAATGTAGGATAAAAAGCAGTATTGTTGCCGGTAAAGAGTCGAATGCGTTCAAAAATGGTTTCGTTGAGATAGAGATCCACATCGCAGATGAAAAATAACTCCTTTTCGCTGTTGAGAGAGTCGATTCCTCTGTTGAGGCAATCGCTCCGCTTGAATTTACTGTTTGTGCACAGAACTGTCTTGATTCGTGCAGGATATAAATTCTTCTTTATGTTAGCTTGAAGATAGTTTTTGATGCCGGATATTTCTGATTCTAAGACCGCTTTTATCTTGGTTATTTTTTCTCTTCACTAATGAATGCATTCACAGGAAATTAATGTTTCTTCCTAAGTAATTTCTATAGGAGGTTCGCGCAAAGTTCTTCTCAGTGAGCATATAGAACCTCTTATAGGAATATAGGAAGTTAAACTAAGAAATACTAAGAAGTTATTTCTATAATCGATTTATCAACAAAGAAAAATATAAACCATTCCTAGAACAAGATAAAGATTCGTGTCTTTTTCTGCAAACTTCACAAAGTCGGCAAGAAATCTTCTAAGAGTGTGAACTCTTCCATAGAATGGAACAATGATAGTTACCGCCCGATTTGATAGGAGAGCAGCTTCGTGAATCTCAACCGCCTCGCTAACAAGTATTTTCCCCGAAAATTTCTTTGTTTAATTAATTACTCTCGAAAATTTTTCACTTACTTTGAAATGGATATTTTTAAGTCGATTATTGTCGTTGGAAATCCCGACGAGTCCTTCAGTGTTGTAGCCAAAGTATGCGAGTCCTTCTGTGTTGGGTATATCCTTGAAAGATTCGGCCAGGTGTCTCGGAATCTTCACAATCAGCGGACCGAGTATGCCGTTATAAATTTTTCCAGATCTGTGTCCCCATCCATCGATTCTTTGAAAAAGTATTTCGCTTAGATTCTCGAGCTTTTTTCTTGTACTCATTGATTTCTTCGGGCAAAGGTTGAAAGCTCACTATATGCGCGCGAAGATCCCGAATCTTCTTCTTGAGTTCTTTGTAAAAATCAACTTCATGGTCTTCTAAAGAAGTAGATCTGATGTCCTTGCTGTTCATGTTTCTCTCAAAATCAGCAAGAAGAAAATTTGCCTAGTGGAAATCATAAATGATTATTGAATCAATTTTATCCTACTCTCTTGCTAACTGCTTCTAGCGTCATCGAGCTTTCCACGTTGTTGGGCAGAAGTTGATTCACTTTCTGGTAAAAACCTCCAATAAAGTATCCAAAAACTGAGGACAACAAAAAATATAGCAAAGTCCAGTTAAATTTTGCCTTTATAAATACAGCTCGTTTCCATTGTCTTTTGCCAACGAAATAATTTTGTAAATCCACAGCGAAGTTGTTGTTATCTTCTGCCGGTGAAGGCTTCATTGACTTTCTTATGATTCTCTCTCAGAAAGAAAAGACTATTTTAAGAAACGCAGGACAATTTATATCGGTAGTCGAAATCTTAAAAACAAAATATTTTCGTTTATTTATGACAACATAGGAAAGAAAAGGTATATTTTCAACTCTTTGTCTGCGACGATTTCTAATTTTGAGTTTGGTGTGATAAGAAATTCCATTTTCTTCGAGATTGAGCGGCCATTTAAAGTTCCGCATCCTTTCCAGACAAGAGCAGCTTTTTTGGGTGAGGATAAGCGTCGACTTACATGAAGTAATTCATTCATGAACTAAGAATTATGAAAGTCACCGATTCCTTTAGGGCTACAGTCGTTTTCGTAATATAGATTTTTACCCTTCTTTATAAGCCACTCTTCGCCGTCAAACATGTCGTGGAATATTTTGGACTGAAAGATTAATAAAAGGAAAAGGGTCCAAAATCACCATTTCAAAACTTTCAGTGTGCTTGAAAACGCGTTTGTTTGTTTTCCAAATCGTTTCCGATTTCGGATCCACATTCATCTCCCAATCAATACAGCGGTCGACAAACTCTTCAACGTTCCTAATTCTTTTTTAATAATTTCTCAACGCTTCTCTTACTGAAGCCCACGAAGCTGATTGTCGTTTTTCATCGAGACTAATTGATCAGCATTGATTCTTTCGCCGAGTTTCCAGGCTTAATTGTTGATTAATGAGCATGGTTTTTGAAATTTACCCAAAAAGTTGAAATCGTCTTGGGGTCTCTGGATTTCTATAGTCAACACTGGTCCCGGAGCGTGCACGAATCCGGGCCTGACCATCCAGCATTCACCTTCTTTGACTTCGTATTCGTTCATAAGATTGTACAACGCGTCACTTTTCCCGAATTCGTTCATTGCTTCCAAAAGCATCTCCTTTGAAACTTCTTTCTTGAAGCCCATTCGCGTTATTGGCGAAGAATCTTTGGGAATAAATGGAAAGAACTGTGCTTCTGCTTTTCCGCAGGAAATTTGATTGTTCCGGTCTTTTGTGCAGCCAGCGTGGATATGTGCAGGAATAGGAGGTATCTCATTTGTTCCGAAACTTGTCTAATGTGATCATTTATAGAAACATTCTTGAACAATTTAAGATACCTGTGTTAATTTTCCTCCGATATCAAGAACTTTTATCAAAGGCCAAGAATCTCTTAGACGCGTTAAGTTTTCAAGAATATTTCAATTCTACCTGAAAGTTCCAAGTAATCGCTCTTCGCAAGCATTCACTGCATCGAGAAAGGAGAAATCATATCCTTGAACTTTTGTGAGCCCTTCGCCAGTCAATTTGACAGGATTTTGAGCTTCAACTAATGACAGAATCCACCGCTCTACTGGCCAATACCCTCTTTGATCTGGCTCTTCATCGCTCGAATTTTTACCAAGAAAATTGTTTCCATTGTAACTTCCTCTGTAAACAATGGTTTCTCTTCCGAATAAAATACCCCCTGTTAATTCGAGTTCTCTCTCTATTACTTCAGACAACATCATTTGTCTTATTCGAAATTATTTCTATGTCCTTCAATGGGCGTTGGCTATGCAAATAATCTTTTTTTCCATTTCTTAGATATTTTAAACTAAAGATAATAAATTCTACTGATATTACTTCTATGGTTAGAGCAGAAACATTCTGCCGTTAATTCTATGATCACTGGATTACAGTAATTTTTGAAGTCATCACTAAAAAAAATAATATAAATATTGTCTTTGTTGAAACACCATCGCTTAGCGTCATACCGCGTAGAATAAACCAGTTCTCGTCCGATCACTGAAGTCAAACTACGACGGGCGGGGTTAGTACTTACATGGGTGACCGGTTGGGAATACCTCGTGCGCTAAGCATTTTGATTTTTTGCAAGGAAATGGATCATCCTTTTGTCTCGGGCAAAATTTCCCAAAAGATTTTCGATGAATCGAACTAGCTACCATCGAAAATGATTGACATTATCTTTGTGAAACATTGAGAGTGGAGCTTGCGTTGCGGGCGGCGTGGCACTTGTAAAAAAGCGCCCTCTACCGCGCGATTTTCTGAAAAGAGGCCGAAAATAGGAGCGCGCAGCGACAAAACGACCTCGAAATCAAGCACCCCTTCTCTTTACTCATCCCATTTTTGAGTCCGATTTCGATTGTCTAACAGGTAAGAATCGTCTCCATGCCCTCTCTCTCCTATGACGCGCTTTTTTTAAGGTGGTGGAAGTTTTCTAGCCCACTTGCGCCTTATAAACCCTAGAACACCATACCTTTTTGGAATCAGCAGGAAATTCTAAGAACTTTGACCGTTTTAGTTTTCGAAAATTCCACTTCCGGTCCGATTCTAGAGCCGGAAGTTGGCGAAATTTTGGAGTAATGGTAGTTGGTGACATATGAAATTAATGCTCAGAAGATTTTGAGTCATCCTACCATGGAGTTGAGCTCTAAGTGGAGATAGGAGAATCTGAGCGTCTTAGGCCCCGTAAGACGCTCGATCTGCGAGCGCGCCTAATTTTGGGAGAAGCCGCGCAAACGCTTGTCGGCTCTCTCATTGGCTTAGACCCGTTTTATTTCCAGATTCTGTTCTTCAGAATCTCGAGATTCTTCTAAACCGCCAAGCAAGCGTTTAAGAAAATTTCTAGACTTCCCCGACAGTGATTTGCGCGGGATACGGGGAAGGGGGGCCAGAGGCTTTCTCCCAAAAGAGTTAAACTCCATGGTATAATCAAACCATCAGAAGAAACAGTCCCAAACGTGGTCAAACCGACCGGTAAAATGATGTAAAAAAGGCATAAATTGATGAAATTTTTCACAATTTTAACCGGTTGGTTTGGCCGCGGTAGGGATTGATTCTTCTCTATATCGACAGGAAATCTTCTGGGGAGCAATTTGATAGGTCACACATTACCTTAACTACTAAATTTCGTCAACTTCCGGCTCTAGAATCGGACCGGAAGTGGGATTTTTGAAAACTAAAACGGTCAAAGTTCTTAGAATTTCCTGCTGATTCTAAAAAGGTATGGTGTTCTAGGGTTTATAAGGCGCAAGTGGGCTAGAAAACTTCCACCACCTTAAAAAAAGCGCGTCATAGGAGAGAGAGGGCATGGAGACGATTCTTACCTGTTAGACAATCGAAATCGGACTCAAAAATGGGATGAGTAAAGAGAAGGGGTGCTTGATTTCGAGGTCGTTTTGTCGCTGCGCGCTCCTATTTTCGGCCTCTTTTCAGAAAATCGCGCGGTAGAGGGCGCTTTTTTACAAGTGCCACGCCGCCCGCAACGCAAGCTCCACTCTCAATGTTTCACAAAGATAATGTCAATCATTTTCGATGGTAGCTAGTTCGATTCATCGAAAATCTTTTGGGAAATTTTGCCCGAGACAAAAGGATGATCCATTTCCTTGCAAAAAATCAAAATGCTTAGCGCACGAGGTATTCCCAACCGGTCACCCATGTAAGTACTAACCCCGCCCGTCGTAGTTTGACTTCAGTGATCGGACGAGAACTGGTTTATTCTACGCGGTATGACGCTAAGCGATGGTGTTTCAACAAAGACAATATTTATATAATTTTAAGACTTAAGTAAGAGTTTATTTCAAATTCTGAATAGTCTGGTCAATGTAGTTTTCACCATTTAGGTCGATATGCAAGTCAGTCAGGATGAAATCGTTTCGGACGGGTAAATAGCCTATTTGGTCCATTGTTTTTCGGCTAAAAATGATTGATTTTATTAAACAAGATTGGTGGAAAATTCAATTGACGTACCAGTAGTTATCAATAGTATCGACAAGATCGAACGGCAACGTCGTTCTCCACTCGTTCGGTTCTAATTGATAGTGCTCTGCCCACTTCTGTAAGTCCTGAGCATTTACGCCTCTCCACTTGTAGCCAGCAAACTTGTAGAGCTCACTGACGACACTTAACTCGTTCGCTTCAAGATCTTCTAGTCTGATGACGCGTGCACGCTTTCGTCCGCTAAAGTCGTAGAGAAAGTCAAAGCTTTCTTGGATCTCGTCGCAATAAGCGAAGACAGTCGGCAAAACTTCTTCAAAGTTGGAAAGTTGCTTGCGTTTTATGTGATAAAGTGCGTACTGCCGAGGATTCACCACCATGTAAATAAGGCGTCCAGGATAAGAGAGAAGGTTCGATACTGTATCGTTGAAAGTCACGTGGTAGACGTGATTTCTGGATTGGCACTGGTGTGCCGTTGTTCGAGCAAAATGACAATTTCGCGCCTTCAGCAGCTCCTCGAAAGAAGTAACTTTTTGCAGAAACAGAGTACCGTCGAATTCGAGAAAATCACTGAGCGCCGAAGCACCTGCCAGGGGCGAAGAGTAGATGAAGACATCTTCCACCTTTGGAGAAAACAACGAAATCTCTCGCTGAGATGGTCTCTGCAGCAATTTCCCCTGATCGATTTGCAAAATCTCTTCAAACTTGACCAAGTGGAAGTTAATAAAAAACGCCAAAACAATAAAATTCAGTAGTGCAAACGAAAATATAAATTCTCTAATAGAGCAGTCGCAGAACTTATGCGCTTTCATTGGAGACAATTTAGCCGGGCGACATTGAAACGAGGAGATGATCGAAGCGATTTGTAACGCTGGTGAATGTGGTCGCTGAAATTGATAAAAACTAATCTGTTAATGAGCTGTTCATGCCGAATGCTGCGATGCGCATATCTTTGCCGCTTGCTTTGCCTGTTTTCTCAATTAAAGTCAACAGTTGTTCTTTTGATGTCTAATTTGGAATTCGGCACGTGGAAAACATTTGAGAAAAATGGTTATCTTGGGTGGTAGGATTTTCGGAGGAATTCCGGCATCGAAAACCCTAAACTCTTGCAGGCGGGGGTTTCGGAACCCCAGCATATCAGAAATAAACCACCCATTTTTGAGATAATGAGGAAAGCACTCAAAGAATATCAGGAGGAAATCCGGCATACGATATCCTTTGAAGGAAGCGTCAGTGTAGTTTTTGGTTTTAGTTTCAACATTAAATTAAAGTTATTATTATTCTAAAAAGATCTTAGAATAATAATAGTCGACAGAGCACTCCAAAAAGGTTAACTTGAATAGAGAAATTGAAAGTTGAACTTAGCTAGCGATTTGTCAGAAAATTTGGTAAATCGAATGCGTGAATAGTTGTCAGAAAATAAGAGACAGAAAATAATTAGTAAATACGCTTTTTCAAGCTTTTAGGAGGAATGCCACGCTTGGGTACGTACTGGTCCTTTCGTGGTACCATCGAGATACAGTCGATGATCGGGCAGACCGAGAAGCAGAGTGTGCACCCAGTACAAGTGTCGTGATTGACAACTGGAAGATGAGTCTCAGGGTCGAATGAAATAGCCTGAAAAATATTAAGTTCGACATCCATCTTTTGTCAAAATTACCTGATAGCCAGAGTCATTGCACGTCATGTAGCATTTTCCGCAGTTGATGCACATATCTGGATCGACCAGAGCAACAACGTGCTGTTTGTTGTCCAGATCGTTGTACTTTCCAATATTCGGTAAAGAACGGCCAATGACATCAGAGACAGTGGGAATGTTCTTTGTTGGGACAACAGTAGTTCTAGTTTCAAATCAATAAGGGTAACGCCATTTTCGACTTACGTATTGTTGGGCTTGAGAGAGTCAGCAAGGAGATCTCGCTCAACCATTTTGGCGGCCATGGCAGCGTCTTTTTCCTTTTTGTATGCTCCGAAGTTGGGAATATCCTTTCCAAGCTCCGCGCAAGAGATAACCTCTTTGCCGAGTTGATGTTTTGGAGTCGGCGGAGATTGACCGTCCCAGTCAACGAGTTCGCCAATAGAAGATTTTCCTAGCAATAAATTAGAGGAATACATCTTATATCCTGCGGTTACCTTTGAGATAGAGAAGAGTTTTGAGTCCGCTAATGTAATCTTGGACGACAGTGTAGTCCTGGTTTTGGACAGCGGAGCAGACTTGCATCGCACTTGCACCAGCGTTGAAATACTGCATGGAAACATCAGCAGAATCGATACCGCCAGTCGCCAAAATAGGGAATCCAGGGATTGCCCGTGCGATAGCGGAAACAGCTTTCATAGCAATCGGCCGAATGGCATTACCTTCATTTTACAGTTCGTAAATTGTTTTTCCTTTTGAAGTTTTTACCTGCAACACCACCGTAAGTTGTTTTCTTTTCGGATCCGACACCTGGCCAAGGAGTACCATCTCCCTTGATCTGCATCAATCCAGAAACAGTGTTGGTCGCAGTGACGCCATCGGCTCCACCGTCCTTAGCTGCCTGAGCGATAGCAGTAATATCAGTGATGTTAGGTGTCATCTTTGGGAAGAAGGGAACAGTCGTGACTTCCTTCACCCATTTGGAAATATTGTAGACCATATCGGTATTCTGACCGCAAGCAAGACCCATGCCACGCTCGCCCATTCCGTGAGGACAAGACAAGTTCAACTCGAGCATATCAGCACCAGCCTTGCAAGATCCAATCGCAAGCTCTTGCCAGTCCTCTTTGTTGTAAGAAGCCATAATCGAAGCAATAACAACCCTGGATTGTAAATTTGTCATTTTGTAAAAAAATGATTCTTACTTTTCTGGGAAGTCATCTTTCAGCTCTCGAATAGATCTGTACCAGTATTCAGCAGACTTCTCGGAAATCAACTCAATGTTGATAAAAGAGCCTAGACCGGGTCCGTATTGATGACCGCTCGTTGTACCTCTTGTGATACGAGGAGCGACGTTCGTGACCAAATCGTGATCGCAACCGAAAGTCTTTGTAACGGTGAATCCCCATCCAGCTTCGAATGATCGTCGGATCATAGCAGAATTCGTTGTCGGTGGAGCGGAAGCCAAGCCAAAAGGATTTGGAAATTTTACACCGCAAATTTCCACAGAAATATCAACATCGTCAATTGGAGTGTGGAACATAGGAAGAATGGCTGTGGTTCCAGGGTCTTCGCAATTACCTTTCTTTTGAAGGAATCTAGGAATCATCATTAAATGCCGCGAGCAACGAAAAGAATTACCTGTGCATCGACCAGGAAGCAGTTTTACCATCGTTAGCAGCTTCAACAGACATTCCAGAAATGCCGGTAAGATCACCACCGACAAATACATCCTCGGATTTTGTGCAGCCAGTATCGGGATCGATAACTGGAGTTCCCCACTTATTGAGCTCGACACCCATTGCGTCCTTGATGGCTTCGCTGGTAAGGCCGGAACCGAACGCAGAAATGACGAAGTTAGCTTTGACTTTAATGACTTGGTCTGAGTCGACAATCCAGTTTCCGTCATCGTCTTGTTCTGTTCGATGGAACTCGATCGCGTTGATTTTGCCATCTTCTCCAGTGTAGACCTTTTCGGGATTTAGGAAAGGCATGAATTCACATCGCTCGTCCTTAGCGAGATCGGCTTCTTCTGGCACAGCTCGGATATTCTGAACACCTTTTCGGAAGGCAACAAAGACTCGTCGGGCACCACAACGGATCGCGCTTGTCGCACAATCAAACGCGGTATCACCAGCGCCGAGAACGACAACGTTTCCATGAAGCTCAGGTAATTGAGATTTGCAGGAGCACATTCCAGCTTTGGAAGCTTGAGCTACCTTTGGCAAGAACTCTTTAGACGTGTAGAAGCCAGAGCTAGCATCGAGGCCTTTGAAGATGGGCGAAGTTTTTGGATTTGGAAGTCCGATACCGAGGAAGATAGCGGCGTTTCCTTCGTCACGCAGCTGTTGCACAGAGAGATTTCTTCCAAGTTCACGGCCGTATTCGACCTTAACGCCAAGATCTTTTACCAGGTTTGTTTCCCAATCGATAACATCATAAGGGAGTCGGTACTGAGGAATTTCGGATGCAGAGAGTCCACCTGGGTTTTCGTCTCGCTCGTAGATTGTAATGTTGCTGTAGCCCATTCGAGCGAGGAAAGTAGCGCAAGAAATTGATGCGGGTCCACAGCCAACAAGAGCGATCTTTTGGTTGAAAGCAGCTGGCATGTCTTCGGGTGCGGGCAGAGCGGGGTCACGCGAAGCCGGGATTTTCATTGCTTTGAAAACTTCACAGGCGTATTGCTGGAGACCAGAGATGTTGATTGGCCCCTCTTCTGCCGCGTACAAATTGCAACCGCCCATGCAAAGATCAGATGTTGGGCAGACCATACCACAAGTCAAACCGATGGGATTGTCAGACAAAATGATCTGTGCCGCGCCATAATAGTTTTTGTTAGCGATAGCGGAAATGAATGCTGAAAATGAGATAGAATAATTTGTCCTATTATGGCATAAACTTACATTTGATATCGAGCGAAGTAGGACAAGATTTCTGGCACGGGGCATCTGCACATTTGAGACAGCGACCGGCTTCTCTGAGAGCAGCTCTCTCCGAAAGAGTAGTGTGCTTAATATCACCGAAGTTCTTGTAAAGTTTGCCCTTTGAACCGCAGCCATCATTTTGGGAGCACCCTTGTGACTTTTTAATGTTTCGTTTCCAGTGGGCTTTGGCTTTCTGACCCTTGTGAGTGGGGATCGACTTGGCCCCAGAGTAGCTCTTCGGATTGAGAGCGAGGACAGATTCAATGTCAGGAATGTCCACCGAGACCTTCTCGGGGACGCTAGCAGGTTCAGCTCCTTGCTGTGGAGGCATCTCAAGACTGAAAAATATCTCTAGATATTGTTTACCCCAAAATAGGAATACAAAATGGAGACAACGATGATATGCAAATCTATTGAAAAAGGCGCCAAAAAGATTCTTATCAAGTTTTCTCTTTTGAAAATTAGAATGTTTCTATTATTTGATGCTTTTAACGACCTTAAGGCTTACACCTACGACTTTTTAAACATCCATCGAAGCGAAACTGATTTAATTAAGTTTATTCTCTGACTGACCTGGTAGTGCACTTCTCTGCGTGCGACTGCTGAGTCAAAGAGGAGCCCCTAACTCCGAAGTTCTCTGCAAATAGCCTACAGTCAGGTTAAATCGGGGTGTTTCACCGATAAAAGTATCGGAATCAGTACTTTCTCTTTGTAAATCAGCGGCTCAGTGCTAGTTGAGCTCGCCGAACTGAATTAAAAACAAATTCAGTGAGTAAGGACAGTCGTAAAAGAAAATTGAGGGTCTAGAAGATGTTTGCTCCTTGGAGGCGTGGTCAAAAAGCGTCACCAGCGAGAACCCGCGGGTATATGATCTACATTACAAGCAACTTCACCTTCAAATGACCTAAATGTGCAACTGGCACTGCGAGGGAGTACCGAAAAGTACTGTAGACTAAATAAATCGCCGGAAATCAGCTATAAAGAGGTGTTATTGAAATGAAAAATAACCCTTCCGAGGGAAAATTCGCGAAATTTGTAACCAAACGTAACATGCGCGCGATTTCTAACGACCTCAATGTTTAACTTGGACCCCGTGAGCGCTGTTGAGATCGCACCATAGACCGTGGTCACCCGTGAACTTGGAATCCAAAGTCTAGGAGTTACGAAAATCAGAAATATTTTATATTCATATGTACAGTGAGCGTATAAAACAGATTAGAAACAAGGACAGATAAACAGGTTATTTACAGAAGATGTCTTCGTACAGTTTTGTGATTGGGATCGTCTAGTGCTCGCAGCCAGGCGGGAATCTCAAAATCAGCTGTGCACTTTTCGTCATGCACATCCATCCACCACCAGTGAGCGACTAAAATGCAGGGTGTTACGTAATCTGTCTAGAATCGCTATCCAATATAGAAATCATGGAAGAGAATATTTTCTTACCAGAAGCGATTTTCTGCTTGGGGAAACCGCTGTGCTTTCTGTCGTTGATATTCTTGCAGAGGTTGCACATCATTTGGTCGTAGTTACCCAAGTGATCGACTGAGTGCTTCTCCTGCAGCTTGGCCGGACTGACATCAGCGCGCCACTGATGGTACTCCATGTAAGCCGTGTCATTTCCATCGAGATAGTCCAAATAATCAACCAAATGCGCGGGAGAATCAAAGTCCTCCTAAAAGCCGATTATTTCATTGTGCATGATGCCTTTCTATGATCATGGAACGCGATTGGATTCGCGGCGCCAGACTCAAGTACATATCTAATTACGAGGCTGTTATTTTATACCTTCGTGTCGACAAAGATTAATTCGCACAAATTAGTAAGCAACGACGACTAACCGTATGAATATATGATTTTGGAGGTGCAATTTTTGCCACATCATCTCGATGAGGGCCGAAAACGATCGGAACGGCTCCGTTTGCCAGCGAGTTTCTCCAGAACTTCTCGGATATGTAATCATTACAGTGCACAGAGTTTTCAAAGGCCAGGTAGAATTTATATTTGGCAATAGGTCCGATATCGTTTCCATGCGTCCATGGCGATCCGACAAGAGTATTGTTGAAGCACTCGCCATATCCATCAAGAGAAAGTCCTTTGAGGGTTTTTATCTGTTCTTTTTTCTTGCATCCAAGATTCTGTGTCTGTTTTCACCCCTTCCCTGCACGAATCATTTGGTCAGCATATTCCATTCTTCGCGATGCACCGTTCGTTCTCTCACAGTTACTTACAATCCAGGCAGTATGTTTCTCTGCCGTTTTCAAGGAGAGAAGATCACTGAACATTTGATCTACTGGTTTGAGCCGCTTACCTTGGTCAAAACGGAGAAATTTCGCTGACGTGATCGTGTTTCCGAAAGGGCGGTGGATATCACTATCCAGCCGATAAGAAAGGGTGAGATTAAATGCAGGGTCCCAGAATTTCACGTCTTATTTTGGTTCCATTTATAAAAAATAATTGTCAATTAAAACATAAGTTATGTTAATGTAGCGACTATTATTGATTACGGGACTTGGATGAATCGTCAAAACTTCCGTAGTTATCTTTTACGGAACTCCTCCCAGCTGATTCCACGTAATTGGTAGGTACCTTACCAACGTAGAGGACTAGCCCGTAAATCAACTGTAATTGATGTCCTAGAATTTAGATATCTAAGAACGAATTGATATTTCTAGTTCATTAACCAGTGCCTTGATAGTTTGTTCCTTTGGTAATTCCTTTCGAAGCAGCTTCCCGTGGCCAAATGACCCAATATTGCGAGTCAGTATTGCGATCTTTGAAATCAGGCAAGTCTAAAAGCGGGTTGAAGGTGAATATTGTTAGGCGATTTTGAAGAGTACTGTCCCTATCGCCGCGTCAAAATATTTGGAATTCTTTTAAGCACTTAGCACACTTTTGATATTTCATAAGAGGAAACCCAGCAGCGTGGCAGGAAAAATATTTCCAAAACTGTGCTAGAGGATGCTTTAGAATGATTACCGTTGTGACGATTTCCAACGCTGAAACGAGTGTTATCGAATAGAATCGCTGTCGCGCTTTTTTCGATTGTTCGATCATTGGTGTACCAACACCCGCCACAACTGGGCCGAACTTGTCGGTAAAAAGGTTTGCGAGGATGACCCGGAGTAGAAGAACTCCAGAACTGAAAAACTCGATAAAGATTTTTGTTTTCTTCGTTTCAGTCGAAGGTAGAACAAACTTCAATACTCACGTTTAAAATTGTCGTCGACTCATCCAGAACTTCTCTAATCTTTCTGACTCTTGGCCCCTTCTCAATTTTTCCCAATACATTTCTCGCTTCTGTCAGTTTGAAATTCTCGAGTGTATTACTGTACAAAAGCAGCAATTTAAGCGTCCACATCTTTCGGTGGCCTGTTCTCTCTTAGGGATGCTCCTTTAGCAGGTACTCGTCTTTAGCACGGCGCGCATCGTCTTTTTTCATGTGGCAGTAGAGAGGCGCGGCGCAAGTTACCGCGCGCCATGCGCTTTTTACTTTGGAGAGGGGATGCGTTTAGCGTTCCAGGCCTATATTTAGCGGCTCATTTCGCAAGAAGCTATTTGCTTCTAAAAATGAACATGCCGTAAATCACTTACATCTGGGTGAAACTCTCCCTTACTCTTACGCGGCCATAATTGGTTATTGCCATCCTTAAGAATATAATATTCCAAATATATGCCATCCGGCCGACTTAACCGTTTCCACACTCTGCGGTCGCAAAACTTACTTTCACGTTCGGTCAAATGCGATTTGGCGAGCTCAAACGCTCAATTAGCTTGCAGGTCAAAAACTATGGTTTCACGAGTTATCTTTGACAGTCGAGATTTAACTCTGCATTTGAGATATAGGATAGACTTGCTCAAAAATCTGGGAAACAATCGAGGTGCATGCCGTGGCTGCATCTTAAGATTGCGACGACGCAAGTGTCATCTGTTTCCCAAATGCCACATTCCATGATTGCTGTCACAAGGCGATGGGCACTCCTTTTTTTTAATCAAGAAACGGCATCATCAGCAGACCGCACTAGGCAAAAGAAAAATGATCCGTTCCGGATCTTTCTAAGTCTTTCGCGGCCTGCTCGTTATTATGCAACGTAGGAATAGCTTATATATTTGCTTCAAGGTAACAATAAAACATAGATCCATATTTTTGTGGGTTATATTTTGAACTTGCAGTCAAGAAAACTTCACGTTGAATACAATCAGCAAGAACGGGTTTGTATGTTGGCAGCTGGTGGGAATCGAGCGACGTAAACCTCAAGAATCAAAATTTCTCTGGTTTAGAATTGCCGCCGTGAATTAGCGCGGATAAACCCTTCAAACTCGGCTGAGGTAATCGGCCAAGGGTCGAATTGTTTTTGTGCGAAATGACTTGAGTATGCTCTACTAAGTCTTGGGCGTAATTAATTCAAACAAGGACCGTTTTCGCATGACGAGAATGTTTATCTCGAATATTTTTCTAAGCCCTTTATTTTCTATCTCTCGCGTTCCAACTTTTTCAAAGGATAGAAAAAACGCCGCTGATCTAATAAAAGCGCGCTGAACTACGCTCTATGATGTTTAAATAATTTTTGAGCATTCTAATAACTCTTTCGCAAAACTCACAAAAAGAACGGACAGAAGCTGGGGCTTACCTTTGCGTGGAAATCGGCACAGGTTATCCCCTAAAAGTTGGAATCTGCAAGTCGAAGGAAAAAAAAAGAACCACGTTGGTCGTGAGTCACGTAGGAGCAATTTAGGTTTGTTGGAGAAAATGTGAAAAAAGTGGTCTAATTGTGAACGAAACGGTGGAGCGACGGTGCTCCATTAGATCGCATTACGTGTTCCTCGATGGGACGGAGGCCGTTTTTGGCGATTTTCGCCATCTATGGCATAAGTACTGTTAATGCACAGGCAAGGGTCTTTGATTCTTTTGAACAAGAGATAAAAAGAGCAAGCGATCTTGAGAAAATCAAACGACGGCCGACACTCGTCAAAAATCCACGTTATTTTTCCTCCGAGAGAGTGCACTTCGCTTCCAAAGACAGTAATTTTGATTGAAGAGTTAAATGAAAGTCAAGCTCAAATAGCATATCCTAGATTATGGACAAGACCCTAATTAGGAGTTTAATGTTATCTCATGTGGATACAGCGAAATAGTCCTGGAGCTCAACGACTTACCAGGAGCGGGTCGAATCTAAATTGACGCTCATCTTTCATCTAAATATTTACGAAAAAACGCTTGACGGAAATTGAGAGGCGCAACGAAAGCCCTCCAGAACACGATAATTGGGCAATTTAAGTTAATCTGAAAACTAACTGATCATCAGACTATTTAGCATTTCATCTAATTACCATCTGTGCAAGAAGTGCTCGCCTCACAATTTCAAAAACCGAAGTTGTAAAGAAATTATTCCACTTTTCGGAATTTAGACGAAGCAAACAGAGCCTTAAGTAAACTTATTCATCATTTTTGACGTTTGGACAGTATCTTCTTGCGCTTGATATGATGGATGAAAAAACGAACGGGTTTTCTTCCGTTCGTTTTTTTAATAACAAAATCTTTGAGTTTCAAACGTTGACGGCATTAGCCGTTCTATTTCCTTACCAGGGTTGTTAGATTCCTCTCGAGGCGCGAAGAAAAGGGATGAGCTCATTTGGCGACCCGAGTGAAAAGAAATCTTACAGGATTATACAGTAGGTAGGATTGGAGACTGCTCGATGGACGGAGGGAATCTATTCAACTTCACGAATCAGGAAAGGGCTCTTTTTGTAGTCGAGTTTATTTTATCTCACTGAATATTCAAACTTTCAGCAATTTATGGAGCAACTTGAAAGGACAACATGCAAACTTGGAGTTACAGTTGTGGCTTTTCTCAAACAGAAAACGCGACCCACATCTCGTTTGAAAATCAGATCGAGTGGACGAGAATAGCATCAACGGTTCCAAAAGTTATATTTGGAAATCAGGAGAGTGTTCTCATTCCGCGCAAAAATATATTTCATAACATTGCGCTCAAGAACGTGCGCTAGTTCGATAATTGGCACAAAACTTCAAATTTCTCCTGTCACTTTGAGAAGACGCTGTCGACGAGTATGTGCGTGTCTACCAAGTGCGATTTCTGCGAGGACTGCTTTTGGGATCCGCTGAATAACTGCACATACACTTGTGATATCACGGAGCCATGCATCTGTAAAAAGCCTTCCGTTATCATTTTGGAGCCAATCCCCGGCGATGGCAGTTTTGATGTCAGAACAGGGCTCTACTATGACGAGCATTTGGAACGGCCGATCACGGCGGCGGATGAAATTGAAAAAGATGACGAAACCTGGATCGGTATCGAGCTAATCGACATCCAAAAACCGACTTTAGTCGTGGTTGTCGAGAAGCTTTGGGTCACAGCAACAGATGACCCGGACCCACCAGAAGGTTCTGTTATTCTGCTTAGAAAACTGCCAACTGGGTGTGCGATCCTGCATCCACTCATGGACGGCTACCCGATGCCGAATCCATTCGATAAAGAGAATCCAGAAGAGCACCCACATATGGCATTCAGAATCGACTTCATGGGCATTTCTGAAGCGTTTGCTAATATTCCAGACTTCCGAGGTTTCTTCATCCACGTTATAACAAAGGTTTAGAACCATCAAACACTGAATTTTTATGGACCGCGCGTCGCATAATGAAATTGTTTGATTACCGGCTGCTTAAATCTATTTAGGTCTGCGTTACGAATGGAGAGAACTGTATGGGAACATGTCAAGAAGGACAAGTTTATTAGTCAAAAACTAGCACTATAAGTTAACATATTTGATATATCGTATTGTTTAAATCAGATTATCCGGAGAATCAAATAATTGTAGTTAATTTCTGTAATTATTGCATAACTCAACGAAGGGGAAGTAGAAAAAGATGCTGCGGAAAGGAGAATGGCTTTGGGAAATATGTCAGAAGCAAATAATAACGCTAGAACTATGCAGCTAGATGTTGCATGCACTCGCTACGAAGATGAAAAAGGAGCAGACGAGGAAGAGGAAGAGATTTTGAAGAGAACAACGACAACAGCAAAACCAAAGACAACATTACCAAAGTGCACCGATTTCCCCACTTTTGGTGATGGCTTTAACGATTATTCTTCCCAAGTTACCACCAGTGCTAATCTCACTATCAATCGAAAAATTTCGCCTAAAGAAGTCGACCTTAGAACAAGGTAATATCTTTCAAACTAAAATAGAAAAGCCATTTGAACTCAGTTTTATTTTAAAAGGGCTAATGTGACTTTCAGAATTTGGAGAGAGATTTTAAAATTAAACGAACACAAGAAAAATATTCTCGGAAAGCAACCACGAGATGAGCACAAGAACACAGCACTTGACAGAAGCAACAAAATACATAACTCTACTGGCTTTACAAGAGAAAGCAACAGAGAGTATTTTGAGGAAGGGCTTTCCATATCTCAATACGGTTATCAATTTAAAGCCATGAATGGCACTTGTTAACAAGCCGATCTAGGGGCAGATGGCGCAATGTGAATTCTAATCAGTATGAACTCTTATCGCCCCCTAGATATAATTTATATCATATAAAACAACCCTGCAAACTCAGAGAAAAACCCACAATCCGATAATGGCTAATAGACGAGCTTTTAATGATATCATATGCAAGATCCTTTATGGAGTAATAGCTGATCGCTCTTCAATCAATGGGCTGAATTTCTGTGAACCTATCAATTTAATCTTCCTCTTATCATTTTGCTTCATTCTAAAATACTCAATTTGGAGGAAAGCTCTAATAAGCTCTTAGAACAATACAAAGCTGAATTGGAAAGAGAAAAATTGGAAGAAGGGAGAACTAGAAGATCGGAAGACGAGTTTTCTCAGGAAAGAATCAACTCTCCGAGTCAGTTCTTCGAGCACAATGGAGGGAGCAAGAAACTCTTTCAAAAAGCAGGAGTGATAGAAACATTCGGGCCCTGGCCGTTTTTTCTCTCGAACAGGGATCCTCTAACTGGAGAGCAAGCAGAGATCTTTTTCGGTTCTCCATCGAGCTCTTCGAAATTCGGGACGTGGTCGAACTCGAGTAAGTAGCGGTAAACTGTCACAAACAAGGAAATAATTTTTGTAGAGCCCGGTCACGTTGTGCTGGTGCTCATCCTGCTAGTCGACGTTGCCCTTGGAGTGAATGCATTAAGGCTAAAGCGGAAGCAAAGCGCCAAACTACTGGAGTGATTACTCGGGCAAGTCTTTCTCGTCTTTCTCAAATATCTTTTCTAAAAAACTCGATTGCAAATTATATTTGACCCTGTTCTTTCAACTGCATGATCAATGCTACTACAAAGTACTCTAAAACGAAGAAAATAATTCTCATCTTGTCAACTTTGACGCTTGGCAGTTCTCCATAGTTGATCTTTACTGATTCCTACTTGACAAGGGTTACCACTGGCGAATAGTCAGTAGCGCAAGGGCACTGACAATTTTCAGCTTCTAACAAGGACAGATTGAATAAAGCATAGCTGGAAATTATTTATTTTTTGTAAAGAAGATATTTTGGAGGGCATGAGTTAATTCTGGTCATAATCGTATTGATTCAAGGCGATGTCCATTTCAGCATCCATTTCCACCTAAAGACACATTTCAATTGTCTGGTTATCTAGTTTACGGAGTTTGCGTCGTAAACGGAGCTCCCAAAATATTAAACGTACTTGCATACAAATAAATTGAAACTCGGCTTCGCCAAAAATTCACATTATGGTTATTTTTTTACCTGGTTCTGTAAATCGACCTGATCATCCATGTACTGCTCGTATGCATCTGCCATATCACGTTCAGCCGCTTGTATTTCCATATCAACGTTGCGCTTGGAAATATTTTAATTGATCGAATGAAATTTAAGACTCGCTGTCACAATTTGACAAAGGCTTAGCCTGGACTGCCTGACAGTATGTCACTTACGCGGTAAATAAAATTTTACGGCTGAAACCGCGGATGGAGCTTTTAAGAATATATTTTTGAATAATTCAGATTCTGTTCAATTATATTACCCTAATTATGCTAGTTTCAAATATAACCAAAAATCTTGGAACTCTTTTAAATTTTCACGGCCATAATCGTTATGCAATGATCAGCTAAAAAAATAGAACGTTGTTTTTGCAATAACTTCTAATTTTGGAGTGAAAAGAGCCCGACAAGATTCTGCTCTCAGAACCTGTCTAAACTCTGGCCCGAATTATTATATAACTCGGAACCGAAGTCCTTTCTAACCTCGTGAAACTGATTGAAGTTCATTGACCCGTCTTTCGAGGCTTCCGCAGAGGACCACGTCGTGAGCACTCCGAGGGCTACGTTAGGATGTCTCTGTTGTAGATCTAAGATCTGTTGGTACACCCTTAAGCGCTCGACAATATCCATGTATCGAAGACATGCAGAAAGAGTAGACTTTGAAGCTTTCGATTTCCAGAGACGTGTACTTTCGCACAACGTGCTGTTTTTATTGGATAAGTGATAGATATTCATTTCAAATAAACTATCACGCCACTATCAGTAACCTTCGTCCTTATGGAGAAAATATTATCGAAAGCCGTTCCAGAGCAAGCAAAATCTCGACGATTGAACTTATTCCGATACCGATGAGGGACCACAAGGAAAGCGCGTTCTTCTTTGTCCTTGTTATCTCCATAATATTCTCATGCTCTTTTATGAAAACGAAAATAACGAGAACAAGCATGGCGATTGAAAGCAGCGAGCAGATTGCGGTTACAATGACAGTAGATTTCGGAGTTTGCATGGAATACTTAGAGGAAACGACTTTGAGTATCTTACTGTATGTAGCCTTGCTTACCGAAAATATCCCACAGAAGATAATGACTAATCCAACCACGACTGGCTCGATGAAAATATAACGAAAGACGTGCTGATATAATATAAGAAAACCAAAGCAAATGTACACTTAGGGAAGGATATACTGTATTAAATATACAAAAATTCTATATTTCGGCCTCTAAGAGGCTAAAGGTCCTCGCTCTTCCCGTGAAAAGCTCAGTAGTTAGAAAAGTTTGAAAAACTGTTGAATATTAGCCTTGCAAACCGAGCTAACCTGAGTCAAAACTGCGATGGTGATAACTTTTTATGGGTAGCGCGGAATTGATCTGGTTCACTTCGCACGTATTCTATTCGAGTGTATCCCTGTCAAATCCGACGCTGAGATGATACCGAACATGGCGATTTGGTTTCAAGGATCTGAAATAGACCAAGTCATTCCAGCCAGGCACGCCGAGCTCGCAGTGGAGCTGAATATGCACGGTAACTACTGCTATTGGCTCTTGAAAAGCATTACGAACCTTACTAGAAGATGGACCTGTTCGGCTGTTAACTCTTTCGAAGTGACGCTTGAAGAGCAGGCTTTTGGCAATGACTTCCTCTTTATCTCTTTTTGACACTGGCTTTGCCGGCTGACCAAAATCGAACGAGTCTCTTTGTTCTCCGAGGCAACTCTGATAATTTTCGTAGAAAACTTCATCTTGGGAAAGCTCTGGCGACGTGCTCGGGCAGTGATCCGAGCGGTCCTCCGTTAATTTAGCACTAAATTGAGCACTATATTCGCGACTAGTGAGCGCGCTTCTCCGTCCGAAACAGTGATTACCCAAAAGATAGTTTATATGCAAAGTAGAGAGCTACTGTAAAACCGGGTTATAACTTAGAATAACTTATATGTTCTCGAGTTCAGAAAACACGAAAAATCTAACAAGTGTAACTTGTAAAATTGTCCCTCTTGACATTCTCTTTGCAAAATACTTTTATAAAAATTCGAGTTCCGATTTTATCATAAAAGCATTAAATACCTTACTATGAGCATCGGGTCACTTGAAAAAAACAATTTATGAGAAAAAAACACCTTTACTCCCCATTCCTTCACTAGGAAGATAGAACCTCCTCTCCATTCTCGGTCGAGTGACAATTTCTGTTCATTACTGTCGCAAATTCATGCGTGCTTTTAATGCACGAAAATCAACCATAGTTTAAGCTTAATTCACTGTGAAGTGAAAGGAAGAAATTTACTTTGGACGCTCTATTCAAGCTTTACCTAATTCATTTATCAATTTGAATATGAATTGACCACGGGACGCGAGTCCGGTTATAATAAAAAGACACGTTTCCATTTGGGTAATTGACTCTTTCAAGAACTTTTCTTACCTACTTCACTCCTCTGTTCGCAAAGAATATCAATAGAACTCTTGATCGGCCAGTGCATTGAATAAGATGTGTATTTTCGGTGAGGCGCATGCATATTTTATCAAACACTGGATATTGAAAGTGCTTAGAGATGAAGAAGCGCTCAATAAAAGGCTTTTTTTTTGTACTAAAAAACCGCTTTCATTCTGCTACTATCAGTTTTACTGGAAAGCCTATGCAGCATGTTCAATTACAGAAATTATTTTCAAATAAACGCAACGAGCGTATCAAGGCTCGGTCAAATAAAAATAGCGAAATTTCATCTTGAACGAAAGTTTACGACTCAATTTAAAATGCGACCTTTCGCTTTTAAAGAAAGTAAAAGGGATCACCGATCAATTATCCTCTGCTTGGAATTATTAGTCACAAAGCTCGTAAAGTCATGAGCTGGCCAAGAGTAAACAATCAAAACGACTTTGAAATTTTTTTTTCTCAAACGCGAAAGAGCCTCTTGACACGAATTTCGCAGCCTGTTTTGCGCTTTAAGTCCACTCAAAGACTTATTTTTCTCCGGTTATTATTCTTACCCGCGCGGCTATTCCTATTTTGTCCTGTTTTCCTGTGATTTTTTTATTAGAGATTCAATTTTCCCATTTTAGAAACTTCCTTATTTTTTCAAACGGAATTTGGCTTATGAAAATTTTGACATAGAGAGTGATTGAAAAAGGGATAGAATTTTGGTACAGGGTTTCAGCTCCGCCCTTCGGCTATTTCTAGTTCATGCTTTGCCACATCACCGAGAGAGAGAGCGGCGATGCACTGGAGGCCCTTTTTCTTCAATTGATTTCCTCGGAATTGATTGTATTTTTTCTTCAGAATACGACATCGAAAGGAATTTCCTCTTTGTTCGTACGCAGTGAAAACTAGATAAAATGGCGAAGAAAGAAAAGAAGGAGAAGAAGAATAAGACGATTAACGATCCCCTCGCCGGACTCAAACTAGTTCTTCGCTATGTCTTTTACGGAATCGGTTGCTATGCTACATTCATGGCCATCTACTTCTTTGGGTAATTTAGGAGTCAAAGAGTTTAGTGCTATCCAAATTCTAGGCCAACGATTCAACAAAAGATCAAGGACGCCATGAGCGATGTTCTCGTCCTCGGCGAATCCAACTTCGATGCGGCTCTTGCTCGCAACGAGGAGATAATGGTTGAGTTCTACGCTCCCTGGTGCCCGCATTGTAAGCGACTTGCGCCCGAATACGACACAGCCGCTGCTCAGCTCAAATCTCATAACATCCAAATTGGAAAGGTATTGTCTGAAGCGACAACGAGGAATGCGTAACGTAAAATTTTAGGTCGACTGCACTCAGCACAATGCTCTTTGCAAGAAGTATGATATTAGTGGTTATCCCACTATGAAGATTTTCGTGAAGGGCGAAGACGAACCCAAGAGTTACGACGGCGCACTCACCGCTGATGCCATCGTTTCAAAGATGCTCCACGAGGTTATGTCCGAACCTATTCCAGAAACTCAAGGTAATATTTTTGCGAAAACGTTTCTTCTAATAATTCAGGCGATAACAAAAAAATTGTCGCGAAAAACTTTAACGATCTCGTCATCAACTCTTCCGCCGATGTTTTCGTCAAATTCTATGCACCTTGGTGCGGCCATTGCAAAGCCATGGCTCCAGCATGGGAAGAATTTGCTACTGCTCACAAGGATGACGATTCCATCATTATTGGCGACTTTGATGCCACTGCTAATGAACTAGGCAAGTCGATCTAACATTAACCATTTCATAAGGAACTTCAGAGCTCGAGAGCTACAAGGAACTTGTGAAGGGATATCCATCCATCCTCTGGATTCCTGCTGGCGACAAGACGAATCCAGTGAAATACCAGGGAGGACGATCCCTCGAGGATTTCGAAAAATGGCTTTCAGAAAACAGAAGCTCCGGAGCAAAGGATGAGCTTTAGTGCAATATGAATATCTTCGCAGAACTCTGTGTCCTAATATCTTCCAGATTTTTATCTTTCCTAACTGTGCTAGGCAACATGGCCCGTTTGTGCCAAGCAGGGTTAGATACAGTTATGTTTTAGTAACACGCGTACGGTTTTTAGGCTAATGCACCAATAAACTATATTTTGAATTCGAATCGAGTTTTTCTCTTGCAATAAGAAAGGCGCATGCAACTCTAGCAGAAGATAGCGTTAGCAAGAAGAAACATCGAAAACGAGTGCTTCTTCAATTGTGGAATGTGATGAGCTTGAACTTCGCCGATGGGCAGTGTATTTTCCTATTTTCGGCATTTAGGTCACTGTTTTTTTCTAATAGTGGCAGAATGAAATCATGATCTGCTCCTTCGTCAATCATCCATAGGTTCTGCTTTTGTGTCCACTTCTGGGGCCTTCTTAGACGGCAGGAATTCGCTTTTATCCGACTCTAGATTTGCTTCCGGACCCCATAACGTAATTATTCTATCATAACTCGACGTGGCGATGTAGTCTCCTTTTGTCGATAAGTCTGCTGACATAAGTTTGCCAGAATGTGTCAAAGTCTAGATTAGACGTAAGTTACTACTGCCACAATGACTGATCTCACCTTAACAGGAAGGAATCCCGGACATGCCCAGATCGCTGCTGTACTATCATACGATCCGCTGACCAAATAATCGCCCATGCCCTTCTGGTATCTGAGCGAGGTAACGATATTTTTGTGCGCAGGAATGGAATAAATGCATTTTTGTTGTCTGATGTCCCAAATCTATGGAGAAATTAACAACCTCGTTTTTTGCAGTCACTTTTACCTTAATATGATTGTCCGCAGATCCAGTTGCGAGCTGGTAGCAGTTCGGCGACCAAGTCACACAGTACACTTCCTTCAAATGACCAGCTAGGGTCATTACACACCTTCCAGAGCGCAAATCCCAAACGCGTCCGTACGTATCCAGTCCCGTTGTAGCCACGAGGGCACCATCTTCCTATGGAAAACTTTTTAAGACTCTCTGGTGAATAAACTCACTTGAAACGATATATCATGGACTCCTTTCAAGTGCCCTTCTTGATGGAGTACTTCTGACTCAGCCTCCAAATCCCATAATCGCCACGAAGCATCGTAGCATGTGACGCCAAGGAATCTTCCGGAGGGATGGAAATTCGCTCGGGGAACACGCCTAATCATAAACGCTTTATCAATTACGTTCTAACAAGCCTTTTTTACCCTTCGTGGCCTTCTAGTACAGCCAGGGGCTCATCTGAAGTCATCGACCACAATTTAACTTCTCCGTTGGAAGCAGTAGTTGCCAAGCAGCATTCGCTTTCTTCAACAGTAACAAGAGCGCCGGGATGCCAGACGACGGCGCCGATTTGCAAATCGTGCGCTGGGATTTTGTGAACTTCTTCCAGGTCTGGCACGCTCCAGACTTTGACAGAGCCGGTGAAACTACCAGTGGCGAGGTAGTTCGAGTCGGGGGAGAAGTTGCACGAAGAAAGAGGCCGAGTGTCGCCCACTTGCGAGCCGATCATTTGAACGGACCCGGCTGACTTGTGAGCTAGCTGAAGACGGGAGAGTTTCTTAGCTTCGGGAAGATCGCGGTACTCTCGAGCGAGGGAGAGTCGCTCTCTTGCTCTAGGTATGCTAACAAAAAGTGTTAAAAAGCTTGTATACAGTGACTTGTTACCTGTAGTCTTTGATGAACTCTCGGGCAGGGATAAGCTCGTCCGGACCTTCGTGATACCAGGTTGTCAAGTTCAACTCTCTCATTTGCGACTTTTCGGCTGCAACAGTTTTCGTTTCTTCAAGTTTCGCCATGGTCGCATCATCGACTTCAGACAGGATCATCCTGAAAGATTAAAACTGCTTCAAGAACCGCTTTAAATACCTAAGACGCGATCGTCTATCAGCTGGATCTTCGCCGAAAAGAGTGATCGGTTCCCCTAGTGCTCGCAAAGTCGCCTTGACTTCTTTATCATCCGTCGAAACCGCCATCTTCCGAGCTCTTTTTCGTTTTTCGAAGTCATCCAGCAAAGATTGATGGTGTCCTTCCGTTGTTACATCCATAACAGCATTGATATCCGCCTAAATGATTTTTTAACACTGTCAAAGTAATTTGAAAGAAAATATGCTGCAGATATCTGTTCCGTCTATTGCACAGAATTTATATCCGCGCCAACCTTTTTTTGCGCAGCCCTTTCTTGCTCCCTCTTCATCCATTCTGGCATCTGGTTCTTGTTAGTGATATTTTTCTGGCGCACTGCGCCTTTGATAAGGTCGTTCATCTTCTTCTGTAATTTACTGTTCTCTATCCCTTTTACTTCACTTTTGCTTTCTCTTCGAGACTCTCCAAGCGCAGCCTGATTGGTCGCTGCGCTTCATTCACTAAAACCAAAGTAAAGGATCAAGGGGCTTCAAAGCATCTTCAGCCCAACTAGCGTCTTTCAGATTCAACAGTCAAGCATTTACCTGAACTTTTGTAATATTTTAAAGCTGCCACAAATCGTGCAATTTTCTTTCCCACCATCATCCCTTAGGGAGTCAACGCCTTTTTAGACAAGAATGCGAATATTGGGTAGCAGACGCTCCACCGCAAGAGTGTTCGCCAATTTACCGCTAATTATATATCCAGCCGGCAGTTTTTTCATGCTTAAGCAGTTCATAAGCGTTCAAATTAACTTTCGTCAAAAGATAAAAGAAAAAAATAACAATCATATCTCTTCCTATTCTTATTTAACTAAGTTGAAAGAAACAAAAATATCAAGAGGCAAACCTAAACCATCAACTACTGTAGTTGAGTTTTTGAGTTTTTTCACGAGCCATGCTTCAAGGAGTAGTGAATACCCTAAGCGCAGTTTGACGCTAACTGCGCGACGTGGGTTTTTTTGCTTTTGGCCACTGGCGGCCAAGCGCCAAAGTCGTTTTTTTCCCGATCGCGAATGCGCTCTGGAACTCAAGCTCGTCAGGGCACGTCGCTTCCATGGAAACAATGAGCTTTTTTAATAGACGTGAAAGAGAGAAAGAAAAAAGTGAAAAATGAGGATGGGTTTACTGTTCTAGATTCTGTTGATATTTGTTTTTGGAACAGAAAGAGAAATGTCTGGAATGTTTAGATGGCGGAAAAGAGGGTCAAGAAGGAGCCAGGTCAGAATGAGGTCGAGTCCAAGAAAGCCAAATGGTCAAAGAAGACCACTGTGAAGAAAGAATTCAAGAAGGAAGATTCGAAGGGAAAAAAAGACTTCAAAAAAGGCAGGATAGTGAACGAGGACTCGTCTTTTACGCACCTTTAGGAGATAAAAAAGCCTTCAACAAGAACAAGAAAGACTTCAAGAAGAAAGACAATGAGGAGGAGAAGAAGGAACGAGATGCCAAGGCAATCAAACGAGAGCGGCAACGAAGAGAGGATCCTAACTTTGATCTTCGATGCGAACTCAAGAAACTCTGGGAGAAGCTCAGAAATGCTGGTAAGTGCGTTTCATGATGGCAGGTTTTTGATCTACGCTTCAGAAAAGGCAGAAGATCGGGAAGCCTTTGTGGACACAATCTTCGAAAAGATCCGAGGAAGTGAAAAGGCCAATTTTCTTGACTTTGCTTACGCTCATGACACTACTCGAGTGCTCCAGAGTTGTCTTCAACACGGCACAGCGGCCCAGAGGCGAGTGATTTACGAAGAAGTGAAGCTAAAGGTGGCGGAAATGGCCCAGTCTAAATACGCGAGGAACATGGTCCTCAAGCTCATCAAGTACGGCGAGCGAGACATCAAAGACTACTGCATTGAAAATATGGGAAATGTCCGCAAGTTGGTCAGATCTTCCTTTGGACAGAGCATTTTAGGTGTGAAATTAAAAACAAAGCGATATTTCTACTTGTATTTCAGAATATGCTTACAACCAGTTCGCGCAAGCTGGTCAGCGAAACGGAATCGTCTCCAACTTGTACGGAAAGAGTTACAACAGACTCAGTAAGACTGAGAAAGAACCCACTCTGATCACCGTCATCGAGAAGAACGTCGACTTTATGGGTAAAAAGTCACTGCCGTCGTTAAATCGCATGATATAATATTTCAGAGACAATTTTGAAGGACTTCATGGAGGACCTCAAGGGGCTGACGGAAAAAGAAGTTATGCAGCAAACAGTTTCGCATAGAGCGTTTCTCGACTTCTTCAATCTCTGCCTTTATCTGCTAAGCTCGCCCAAGTTCAAGGAGAAAAGGTTTGTTTATTTCTTTGGTAGAGAAGTTGAATTTTAATGGTTCAGAAAACAGATTGAAGACATCCGATCGGAGTTGATCGAAGACTTGAAGGCATCTGTAATCCACATGATTCACACGCCAGACGGAGCCAAAGCTGGCCTCCACTGCCTCTGGTTCGGCACAGCAAAGGACCGAAAACTCATCTTGAAGACGTTGAAGGAATTTTTGGAGAAAGTAGCCACGTCGGAGTACGGACATCTCTTAATCTTGGGTGCCATGGATTCTGTAGATGACACTGTGCTAGTCAAGAAGCAACTCGTTCTCCCCCTTATCAAGGAGATTGACAAGCTCATCGGCGATAAAGGTATGCAATCCGCGGCGAGAGCTATTTTCCTACGTGAATATTAGTGGCGCGAAAGATCTACTGGTACATTTTGAGCCCTCGCGATAGAAAGGCCTTCCTGCCAGACCAGATTAAACTGCTTGAAATCGGCGACGAAACGTTGACCTCGAAAAAGCCGCGACAAGTGAAGCACGAGGAAATTCAGGCTTCCGCTGTGCCCCTGATTCTCGAGTGGATCTCGGAAAATATCGATATCGTCCTCCACGAGCCCGCACATTTGCCAATTTTGTGCGCAGCGTTCGACCACTCCGATGAGTCACAGATTATGAAGGGAACCGAAAATATTTTAGTAACGGCGCAAAGAGCACTTGCCAAAAAAGTAATCTCGTCTTTGAAGCTTGTTTTTTTGACATTTTACCGTTTAAGTTCAACGCTGAGTACGATGAAAGCCACATGCTCCATGGAAGAGGTGTTTCGATGACCCTGAAGAAAGTGTTGAAGCTGGACAAAGTGCGTGAAGAGTTCAAATTTTCGAAAGTTTTTGCTGAAGAATGTGTTAAATTGCTCCCCAAGCTATTGAGTGACAACAGAGGTAGAAATCGATAATTTTCTAACTATTCAATTTTACTTCTAGGCTGCTTTTTGCTCCTTCAGTTGATTGAGACGGAGGACAAAGATGTAATTGCGTTGATAAAGTCGGAAATCGAAGAGGAACTAAACAGAACGAAAAAGAATGTGACGAATACGAAGGGAGGCGAACTATTACTGAAGAGTGGTGTATTCTGAAAAGTGTATTCCATCTGTAATTAATCTTGTTCCGCCGATTCTAGAACGCCTACTTATTTTCTTTCTTTTCAGAACTAAACATCGCATTATTTGTCCAAGATAATGGAGTCGCCACCGGGATGCACCTCTTCAGAGGAGGAAAAGAAGCCACAAATACTCAGTGAATCGAGCGACTTATTAACGCCGGATCAGAAAAAATCGCGGAAAAGACGAAAGAGAACGCGTAATCGGAATCGGCCAGGCACGAGAAATGTCTCATTTGACGAAGAGGGTAAAAACCACTCCCTAGCTTCCCTCTTTTATTATTTTGTTCAGTGACTGGTGTGTCTTCGCCATTCATCCCACACTCAAAAGTCGAAAAACGAGCTTACCGCGCAGAGTGCATCAATAGACCTAGAATACCTGCACCCGCAAACACTGGTGAGTCGTGAATTTAAGTCATTTTTGTGAATACGCGTGTTTAGGTTCCTTTATTGCTGATAATAACTCTTCCGATGGGGAATCAGAGCTCAAAGAGGTGGGAATCAATGAAGATTTCGACCGTGACTACCACTCGAGGCTCAATGACGAAATCCAAGGCGAACGAGAAAGGTATGCTTCCCTGCGTCTTAAATTGCTCAAAACCTTAAACTTTTACTTTCGCACTTTTATGATAACGCCCGAAAGAGGTTAGACTAACACTTAATCTCAGGTCAACACACGAAGAAAACGTGGCGAAGAGGCAAGACCAGCTGAAGGGACGACTGGAGTCGGCTAATTTAGAAATCGCGAGACTAAAAGAGAACGAGTTTAAGCTCGAGAACGAAAACGAAACCCTCCGCTCGAGAGTAAACGAACTCGAAGGCGAAGTGGCCAAGTTGAGAAAAATGAACAGAAATTACGTCTCCAGGCAGCGATCTCAAAGGTGACTCTAGCTCTTAGAAATCATCATTAATCCAGTTTCTAGCGAAAGCGGAGAGTCCGGTTACACTGGTGGAGCGATCAACGGAGGGATCATCTAATGATGCGACTCGAGAAAAGCTCGATTCGTACACTCACTACAGTTATATTTTACTATTCTTTCTTTTGGCCGCGACGGACCTTACTGCAATCATCCATTCTCATTCAAGTTTAACTTTACTAAATGCTGTTTTAGTAACTGCCTTTCTTTCTAAATCAAGCAGATGCAAATTCAATACTTTTCTTTTCAACTTTTCTATTTTCAGATCTTTCCAAAATGCCGGAGACAAAGAAACCCGAGGTCAAGCGCGAGGAATACCGAAAATACCTCGGTAAGTCTAAAAAAAATATTTTATCAAGTTAATGATTAATGCCATTTATTAGACAGCGCAGGAATTCTAGACGAACTCACCAAATTCCTCGTCACGCTCTACGAAGAGCCAGACAAACCACAGGATGCCGTTGCCTACATGAAAAAGCTTCTCTGTGGAGGTGAGTCCTCCTTGATTTCTACTTGGGACTTACTTAAATTTGAGGTGAACCTGATGCGGCTGAGGTTGAAAACATGAAAAGCGAAATCGAGCAGCTCAAGGCTCAAGTAGAGGAACTAACTAAACGAGCAGAAGCTGCTGAGGCGAAAATCCTGGCGGCCACGCCAGCGGAGGCTGAGCCTTCAGCCCCAGAAGGTGAAGGTAAGCACGACACTAGTTTAACTCTTACTTCACATTTGAGGGAAAGAAGCGAAGCCCGATGCGGAAGAGAAGAAAGAATAGACCTCTCGTGCCAGTATGAAAAATTTTGAACTGAAAAATGACTCGAAAACACCAATATCGCTCTATTCCTGAAAAATGCTTTATCCGCTTTATATTATTAATAATTAACGTTTTCGTTCCATCAAAGAATTTTTCTCAAGCCCTACTTTCGAAATATTCAAATTAAACATCCAAAATATATATTTTTTATATAAAATATACGTTCAATCGGAATCAGTCTGTGGCGGATACTTATGCATCTCTACAGAATGATTACTATTGTAGCTTTTTATATGTTTTAAAAGGTTTTGCAATATGAAGAAAGTGTGCAACGCGCCGAATCTATGAAAATCGGAGGATTGTACTCTATTTTTTCTTCAAGAAAGTCTCAACTGATGTTTCAACTAAACTTTGAATTACATTTTGCTTGTCCTTGTAAGTGTGAAAATTTTCTCCCTAATTCGCAAGTGTACCACCTCATCAACTGGTGATAAGCGATCTCGGCGTCCTGGTGCGCCTTTATCATTGACTCATAACTTCTGTATCTTTTTTCACGCTTTGGATTGATTGTGTTATCAGGGTAGAGGGTGAACTGTTCACCCGTCGTTGAAAAATTTTGAAGCTTTCTGTTGATAATTTGCAACCTGTCCTGTTTGCGATGACATCATCATGTAGCTTGCACATTTCTTATTGCAAATAAACTTTTTGTTTCGCTTCATTTGTTGCGTTGCTTCTCATATTTACTCCAAACGCGGCTTCAAACGAATTTCCAAGAGCTCTTTGACGAGAGGTGCTCGTTTTGAACCCGCCTCCAAGAATAATTCACTCCTTCTCGGCTTATTTTCGGCTTTAGCTTGACTGGTTGCTTCTATTATTCGGAAATTAAAACGAAAAGAGCAAAATTTTTTTTCTGAATTGAAAATTTTAACCTTGGAAAGAAGATTCTTCGATTTTCTGAGAAGGGGGATTCTTAACGATTCACAGCTTGAGAATTATGCGCCCCGTGGGTTGAAGCATGAGCCCGATAAATGGTATTTTCATTGACCCGGAAAGGCATCTCAAACGAGCACAATTTCACCCGTTGACCCTAATCACGACAACAATTGAGGTCAGGTATGATTTTATGATTATATCTATTTGCGACACTCATCACTGTTGATTTATTTTCCAAAGATGATGAGAAATGATTAAGTTTTTGGTGGATTTCTGAAGACGTAAATTATCGCGAATGGGGTCGTTCGTAAAAGAATGCGAATCAACCGCAAATAAGACCTGGCCGGCGTGTTTACCCTAACACGGCGCGTAGCTATTTCCCCTCCAGGTTAATTTACACTTGCTAGAGAAGACTTCCTCCACCTGAACCGAGAAACATAGCATTCTCCTCTTTGATTTCAAACCGTCGCCTCAAGTGTTCTTTTCATTTCTTTCTTATTTTTTAATAAGATTTGAGTCATTGTCTGTTAGAGACAGAACTTGTCTTGCTTTACACAATGGTTGCTACTGTCAGAGCGTGAAGAGCGTCGAGTCAATCGTCCGATTTCTTTGTCAGATTTGACAATTTCGAAGCTACTCGCGTGCCCCTTTTTTATTGCTTGTCTTATCAAAACAAAACGAGCAAAGAGAATTATGAGCGTGAAAGGACTCTCAGTCTTTACAACATTTAGAGCACAAAAAAGAAGACTATTGATTTGTTCATTTGGGAACTCAAATGTTAAAATGGAAAAATCAATTTTAATTTAGGGTCTTTTTTGAATTCTTTTTAAGAGTTTTCATTAGTGGCTTGAATATGATAAATCTCGCAGTATGACTAGTCGAGCATTCCGCAAATTAATACCGCTAGCTTTGTTTTTGCCTGAAATCATTCCCATGCGGTCACATAATTTCGCGAATATGTGGCATTAGTAAAAAATAATCAGCGGATGATTAGCACGATCGTTAAATCGGATTCTAAATGAAAAATGTCTATTTTTTTTGCTCTTCAAATATATTCTCAATTTACAAACAATTTCCATTTATGATATTTTTGTATGTTCTGTCATCTTATACATTTTGATTAGTTATGCATGACATGGGTTGTCAGTTGCTTGTCACCGGATTGTTCAACTTCCAAGAGCTTAATTTTGATGGAGTCCAAGTTTGAACAAGTGGGTTATTTTTTACGCGATGTTGATCGATGGCTGAGCCCATTATAGTATCCTGGGTTTGACGAATCGTTGCCCCCACGGGCAAATTTTTCCAGTTGACTCAATTGCTGCCGGGTGACTCAATTGACCATTCATAGTGGTGGCGCTGCGGGCTCATCCCAAAATCGGTTTTTGGCGCAAAACGCGCGGCAAAAAAAATACTCGGCGGCTTTTCTCCAATTTTTCGTTTTTAGACAGAAAGAGCGCTAGAAATCGGTACTCCGAAGAAATCAGAAGGTGAAGACTTGAAAGCGCAAGAAGAAAGATATAAAAACTAACAGAGACTGATCCAGCTATGAAGAAAGAACTTTGAAAGAAAACGGAAATATCACGAGAAAATGGTTGATTTCGCCCCAATAGCGCAATGGTTGGCAAATTTTGGCTCCAGCATTCCGGCAAGGATCCCAAAACAAAATAAAATATTTGAATAGGAATCAAAAATCGACCGTTTTTCGACTTCGAAAAGAAAAGATGATTGAATCGTCAAATTTTGCACTCTCATTTCATTTTATTGTTCCCCGCACAGGGAGCTAGACAGGGGGTCCAAGGTCATGAAATTACCGAGGCCAGATTTCACGCCAGCTGCCCGTGTAAATTTTTATTTCCGCAGCGACATATGCGCTACTGGAGTAATTCTCCGTTTTTGTCTCGGAATTCTTCTATCTAAAAAGATGAAATTATCTTCAACGCAACTACTCATAGTCCTCGTAAATTTAAATTGGGTATTTATACTAAACGCAAGTTTAGTATTTTTCAAAGCGCAGAGGACTGGCACCTTGCCAATTGAAGTTATTTTACCCGTCACAACTTCCTTCGGCGTCCACTTAACTGGCCAGTGATATGAATTAATAATGAAAAGGCGTGCCCCTTGGAATAAATTGTTCTTTTGAGAAGCAATCGATAGAGCACTTTCCGAAGAAAGGTTCTTTCAAATTTTGATCCGAACAAAAAGCACATCACGTTCAATATGGAATCGCTGCCGCTACCTCAGCCCTTCCAGCCAGATCTGCCCCAATACCAGGAGTCGATGATTTTCTTGGCCGTTTTGCCATTTATTTATCTCATCTTCGTCATGGTCGTGTTGATGATCTTCTACTGCTGTGTAGACTTTACTACCTCGCGCGAAGGAAACGAGAAAAAATCCTGTTGTAATTGGAGCGCTTCCTTCTATACCATAAGCCGTAAGTAGCCTAAACTCGCGTTTCCTTTTCAAATTTTAACAGCGTAAAAGATGTTTTTGTATTTGACTCCAGCTCAACCTTTCTTTAGAAGTTATTCTCCTTATCGCGTCTTTCTTTGCGCTAAGCGGTGTCATCATGATTTGCTTTCCATCGATCGAGAACATCAACAAGTCGGCCGAAAAGTTCATTCCAGAAATGAAGGACACGAATCTTATTCCAAAGACCATCGCCAGCATTAACAGTCAGCTAGAGGCGAAGAGCGAGGAGATCGATTCCATCTCGGCCAAAAACGACGACTTTCGAAGTGCCGTCGATGCCTTGGAAGCTCAGCTGAATAAGGACACTCTCATGTAAGTGCGCTTTCAATTCTGATCAACACATAATTCTATTTTCGAGTGATTCACATGACCATTTTTAGGATTGAAAATTTCCTCTCAACAAATGCGCTCGAGACGACAAAGACCGTGACGACAATCACGCTCTGGACATCAGTGGGATTATTTTCCTTGTTTGCCCTTGTAGCGATTTTGTCCAAGACTGGCGTATGTCTCAAATCCAAGGCGAGTACTTTATTCTCCCATCCATAATCGAAACACGCGCTTTTAGAATATGCTCATTGGCGTCACATGTGTTTCCTTCTTTGCAATGGTGCTCTGCTATCTCTCGCTTACTGTGCAACTGCCCGTCGCCGTGGCCGTTTCTGATTACTGCAGAAATCCAAAAGAATCCAAGGATTCTATCGTCAAAATGCCCGGTAATTTACTCATCCCTTTAACAAGTCATATTGACTTAAACTAGACTGTGAAAGCGACGAGCAGCTAGACACGCTCAATAGTGCCCTAGAGAACTTGCAAACAATTCACTCGGGTCTTTCCAACCATCCGAATATTAATACCGACACGACTCTGACAGAATTACGGTAATTACAGTATAAATTGGGCCCGCTCTATGTTTTTTTTGTCAGGAATGGAGTAAAACTTATCATCGACTTTGGCGAATCGGTGAAAACGATGCTAAATTGCGAAATGGTCGAAAGCGAGTACGCCAAAATAACTGGTAAAGCCAAAAAGCGAAAGAATAAACCAGTCAATGTTTTTTCAGAAGCGATTTGCACGGACTCACGCACGCCATTCATCGTCGGCTGGTGGGCTATCCTCGCTTCCTCCTTTCTCGTCTCGTTATTCATCGTTACGGCGCTGCTCATTGCACCTTGCGCCTGGCGCAACTACGACCCGCACAATGACTACGGTGAAAGGTAGACTTCAATTACAATCGAGAATGAATCAGCAAACTTTTCTTTCAACAATTATTTCTAGTGGCTACGACAAAGGAGGGGACGAATTTCTGCCGCTCAATCGACCTTCTCACTTCCAACAGCCTTCTTATCCTCCGGTAGTTTCGCGAGTGAAGCAACGGGCATTAAATTTAAATGTTTAGGCACGTCAAGATGGGCATCTAACTCTGCCCAGCTATCTCTGCCATTCGAGTGACGATCTCATTCTCGATCGTCCGCCTAATGTAAGTAGCAGCTCATCCGTACGGTTTTCTGGTGATTCTATTTTGTAGATTAAAAGTGGCGCTGGCAATAATTTTAAAAATGAGAACAAACGTAGCCTGCTCTTGAGCACGGACTCGTTCGTCATTGAAGGCTTTTTTCCATCGAGTTCTATAAGAAGCAGCGAAACGGCTGTCTGAATTTTTATTCATTTTGGTAAAAGATCCAAATACTAAAAAACGTACTAAAACATAATCAAAAAATAACTAAACGAATCCAAAAACGAAAATTTAAGCGCATTGACTCTGAAAAGACTTACGTTGAATTGGGCACACCGAGGGATCCGATGAGCCCGCTCACGCCGACGGGTGCCCAGACTAATTCCTTCAAATATTAATGGACCCATAAAACACGTCTCATCAATTATGGTAAACAATACGTTATGGAAGTTATTGCTCGAATCAATTCTTGCACGATAATCTATCTTCTTGATATGCGCTTGTTTTTTTGCACTCTTGTGGATAATGACGAGGCAAACTTGTTGTTCCCAAAATTTTGCCGTGATTAATAGTCCACTTCGCTTTTCCAATGCTAATACCGTTTTCAGTACGCATCGTTTTCTTGAAGCTGCCAAACAAAAACAACAACGACTGATGAAGTACCGCTCGCCAGTAAAATTCCAGTTCAATCCAATTTACAAAAACACTTGCAAATATTTTGTACAGAAAAAGAAGAACTCTACTTGCAAAGAGCAACGACACTAGAATTAAGTTTATGCAACTAATGTAAAGTTCACTCATTCGTTTCTTTCTTGACCAGTTTGTGTGAGGGAAAGGAAGCACGACCAAGGAAGAATGGTTGTTATGTTTCCTTCCATCTCTGCCCAGAAGGTTACAGTTGCTCATAAATCGCTTTGAATTTGCAACTGAAAGATCCCTAAACGTCCCTCCGAAAGATCCCCTCATCCGACTATTGCTCATCCGGTTCCAAATTCTAATCCGAAACGTTCCCCTCTCATTGTGCCCAAACTAATTGACTCTCCATTTCTCTCTCTCATTCCCTATTCAAAACTCGCTCAAGAATATTTATGAATATACTCTTTGTTTGACGAAAACCCCTCTTCATCGCATATTGTCAAAAACATTCAATCCGAAAAAATAATGTCGAATTTGTTTAAATATATTGTTCCTACCTCTCATGATTTCTATTTTCTCTTTCTTGCAGGTCAATCACGAAATATAAATTATGTTCGCTAAATCAAACAAGATTCTCGATTACTCCTAAATGCATGTGTTGTTTTAAGAAAACTCCAATCATGCCACCGAAAAAGGGAGGAGGAGCGAGTAAAAAGACCGAGGCGAAAAAGAAGGAGAAACTTATCGAGGATAAGACCTTTGGTTTGAAAAATAAAAAGGGAGCCAAACAGCAAAAATTCATTGATCAAGTCGAGAAGCAGGTCAAAACGGGCGGAAAGGTGAACTCATGGGCTCAGGATCAGGAAAGAAAGAAAGGAAAGGGGTTTCAACTTTTGTAGGGAATGGCACATCTTCCCTTTATTTATATATTTTCGACCAAGGCTTCTGAAAGTAAACCCCTGATAGCTCAAGAAAGGAAGAAAGCAAAGGAGGCAGAACTTTTGGAGCTTGAGAAACTGTTCGGAAAGGCTATCCCCGCCAAGAAGGGAGGTGCTACGATGATGACCAAAAAGGCAAAGTCGATCCAAAGGAGAAGGCAAAGAAAGCTGATCTGCACGTCGATCGACGAGATGAAGAGAAGAACAAAACGATGGAAGGATGGACCGAAGAAGAACTGCGCGCGGCGATCGAGAAGAAACACGGCAAATCTAATAAGAACGCCGCGACGACGACGGACAAGATCTGCAATCATTTCTTGCAAGCTGTCGAAGACAACAAGTAAGCTCACTGATATGTGTTCCGTTCGCTAGTTTTCTTCCAGATATGGTTGGTTTTGGGACTGTCCTAACGGCGATAAATGTAAATACCGACATTGTCTCCCAGAAGGTTACGTTCTCAAAAAGGATCTAAAGAAGATGAAAGACGCCGAAAAAGAAAATCAGATCTCACTTGAAGATTTGGTAATCAAAAAATATTCCGGCTATATACAAACACTATTCAATAAACAATGTTTATAAAACATCAATGCGGACCAGGAAGCTGATTTTGTGATCTAGATTGAGAGAGAAAGAGCAGCTCTCGGTCCTGGCACGAAGATCACCTGGGAGACTTTCTCTGTCTGGAAAAAGAAGAAGAAGGAAGAGAAAAAGAAGGCATTGGAGAAGGAGAACAAAAAGAAGAAAGGAAAGGCCAAGAGTGGACAGACTACTGGACTTACTGGTAATATTCTTGAACTTTTAGTGAAAAAGAAAATCTTAAGGCCGAGAATTGTTCACCTTCAATGCTAACATGGGCGGCGACGATGATGAAGCTGAAGACATCGAGTTCGAGAAAGAGGTTGCTATTTGAAGTTCTTTGTCTTTTATTAAAAATGCGATAGGAAGACGATCCCGAGGAAAAAGTGTTCGAAGTCGGAGCCAATACCTTTGAACTTGGCGCTTCGGAAACGCTCCTCAGATCGAAAGGGGCTGTTCCGACGTCAGCGGAGAACCGGTATTGCTGGGGCGGCGACAGTGCCAATAAGGTTGTAGTAGTTCAAGAAGGAACAAGCGAAACGACAACGCCGGCAGAGAAACCCGCAGAGCCTGTAAGTCGAGAAAAATATGTGAATGCGTGTGTCCGCAAAAATAATATTTCTATTGATCGATTGATGATTTCAAAAAACTTTTTGTGCGGCCGGAAATCGTAAAAAAACTGCAAGTGCAGTTTTCTTCAGCTCTTCAAGACGAATCGAATGATGGGTCTAACTCCTGATAACTCTAAGGATTTACCGGTTTACCGGCTGGTTACCGGAAAATACGTTGTCAGCGGCCGTTTTTGTTCTAGAAGTGATAGACTAATGTTTGACACCGGAAATTGTTCCTTATAGTCAGTTCTCCTGCAGCCTAAAAGATGAAGATTGTATCAAATCTCTGAAGAGAGTTATCACTAAAATACTATTTTTGGCGAAAATGGGACTAGAAATTAGGAACGTGCAGCAACAACAAAATTTTAGTAAAAATTACTGTTTTTAGTGATAACTCTCTTCAGAGAATTGATACAATCTTCATCTTTTAGGCTGCAGGAGAACTGACTATAAGGAACAATTTCCGGTGTCAAACATTAGTCTATCACTTCTAGAACAAAAACGGCCGCTGACAACGTATTTTCCGGTAACCAGCCGGTAAACCGGTAAATCCTTAGAGTTATCAGGAGTTAGACCCATCATTCGACTCGTCTTGACGAGCTGAAGAAAACTGCACTTGCAGTTTTTTTACGATTTCCGGCCCCACAAAAAGTTTTTTGAAATCATCATTATGAATGTTTAAGGCGCCTCCCGCTGTTGAGGTCGATGAAGACCTATTCGGCGAAGACCTCGGCGATATCGATGCAGAACTCGGCGACCTCGGACTGGAAGAAAGCGCAAGTTGAGAGTAACACTCTTTTATTTATTTCATCCTATCTGTGCTGATCAAAGTTAACTAAAATACTGCGCTTTTTTCTGTAGGCTAAATTATAAAATCTCTCCAAACTTCGTAGAAAACTGTGCTTTATCTATTTTTCCTGGTTCCTAGTCTTATTCTTATACGCATTTCTTCCTGAATACGTAGTACCTTCAGTAGATATATTCTGTTATAGAATGGGAAGTGTTACTTTGACAGAAAGAGTGAGGATATTGTCGAAGAGGCCGGAGAATAGAACTTGTGCTGACGTACGTACAAATTGAACGCCCAGGCAGTCGCCAACGCAAATGATTATGTGTATCAATACGGGCGGGTTTTTGGTTTCGGAACACCACTTGGGGATTGACCTTTCTTTTGACTTCAGCGGTGTCAGAGTGAACTGAGGTGGTCCCCAGGAGTGAATGGGTTGTTCGGCCCAGTCGGATAATAGGGAATCGGAATGCATCACACACCATTAGCCCAGCCGACCCATATTTTTTGCCGGGTATTCTTGCGAATCCCTCATTTATGGTCCTTTAGTGTGAACAACTTGGCCCTACGTATGTAAACTGCACAATTGGATCATTTGTGTGTACGACATGTTCGGGCATTCTTCGCGGACTTAACCCGCCTCATCGGATCAAATCAGTCGGTCTTTCCAAGGTAAAATTACCAAAAAAATCTAGTTATGTTAAATTTTGTAGTTTACTCTCCAAGAAGTCGAATTCATGGAACAATATGGCAATGAAAACGTAGAAGGGAAGTGGATGGGTAAATACGATCAGCGATGTGGGAAGAAAGTGTCCAAAGATTCACCTTTATACAGAACTTATTTAGAAGATAAATATGAGCGAAAATGTTGGTTTGATGACGCGTTCAAACGCACTCCAAAAACGTTTGTTCCTACACTAAAATGATCGTACTTTTTTTTGTAGTGAAAAGGTTGAGGAGAAACAGAGGCCAAAGAATGCTTCTCGGTCCAACTCTGGAACATACAGTACATACAGGTAATCGATTACTTGATCTCGATAGTTCTTATGCCTATTTTAAGTCGCGATGCGGACAGTGAAATTCAATTGAATCGGAATGATTTGTATTCGGCTTCTCTTGGAGGAGACTCTGGCTTCTCAAATGATGATTTCTTCGCCGACTTCGATTCTGTTAACTGGCAAACGATCAATGATAAGGTCTGTCATTTTCTGTTACAATGAGAGTAACATATGAATTAAGGAGAGCAACAAGCCATCAGCTAACTGTTCCAACAGTCTGGTCGAGCCATTCCAGTCCATGTCTTTTTCGAGTGGTGACGACTTTAGAGCGTCGAAAGCAGCACCATCTTTACCAACACCAGTGATCTTCTCCCAACAGTCTTTCTCAGCAAACACCATGACTCCTCATTCTACGCAGCCCGTTCAAAATCAAATGTATTCTTCACCAGCGCAAAGAAATCCATTTCTTGATCCCCAGACAACATCTCTCACTACTCAAAACCAGACTTTAAGTAGTCAAGAAATTCAACATTTTCATCCCCAAAACGTTTTCGCGTCCCCACATGTCCAACAAACTTTAATGTATCATAATCAGAGCTCTTCGCCAGCTACAAGCAGTGCTGATCGCTACTCTGCCCTAGCTGACCTCGACGCTTCCGTAAAAGCAGAGGCGATGAACGCTCGCCGAGCAAAGCTCCAAAAGCAAGTGTCGGTTGGGCAGCAGATCTTCGGCGCTGCTCCTAGCTCTGCGAACCCCTTTCTCAACCCGAAGAGGCAATCGTCTGTCCAGTACTCGATGCCTAACCAGCCTATCGCCCCTTCATGCATGTTTTCTTCAAATCCCTTTTCTTCAGGGGATCCGACAAATCCATTTCTTTGATTTAGGATCTCATTGTTTGTATGCATGAATATGTATATTTGTTGAAAGTTTGTTCATAAACTGTATCATCCTGTTCATAATTCTGGTTTTATCTACTTCTGATTTCACCGTGCACAGACCTACTTCTCTCAAGAATAATCTTCAATGCTGTTTCTACCTTCAACCAGTTTTTGTTCTCGTTATTTTAAGCCTATTTCATTATCGTATGAGCTGGAAAGGCATTTTCGTGCAGCTCGCAAACTTCATGTTTCATTTTCAAAACGAAACACTTTTCAATGAGTCTTCATATTAATCCGATATTCACTACTATTCAACTACTAGAATGGATACCAACAGAAAGCGCAAGAACGAAGACAAAGAAGGCGAAGAGCTAAATATGGGCTCTGGAATCCGACGAAAGGTCGACATCGACGAAAGCTTCGAGAAAGAACTGCAAGCCGAGCGGGGAATCACGATACTCAAAACAAATACAGAGAAAAAGTCAGAAAAGCGTCTCATTGTTGTGCTCGAGAACGCAAATCTTGAACTTGGTAAGTTGTTTTTTGCATATTTATTCACAATAAATACATTTCAATAAATATGATTTGTTGGGAGAGTTACAGATTACGCTCACGTTTGGCAGTTTTATCCTCTCGCGAGGTTTGTTCTTTCTCTTCCTTGTTCTCGAAGGAAATTTGGTTTAAGCCATCAAGCATTTCTAAGAAAAATATTTAGAAATTAATTAAGACGAGTAATCTTTTACCTGAATTGTTCTTTTCCTGCTGAACTCGAGCAATCAAATTTGTCATGGTGAAGAGAGCGGCCCCACTTAAGCCCGCGTTCAGACCGGAGTTGAATCCTTTCACTGGGCTGCTATTTGGGGCAGCGGGAATTTGAGCGTTCTCGTCACCGTAGTTCATTTTCCGTAAAACCGAGTTCAATCTGAAAATGTAATTTTGCAATTTACCGTCTTTATTTTAACAATATTGTACAAGTTGATAACGAAGTCTGAATTCTGCTGAGGCCAACGGAGACCCACAACATTTTCAAAGGATCTGATGCTCTAGAAATCGATCATTTTTGTCTATCCATATTTTTAGTGAAGAATGGGAAGAAAGTTGAATTGTTGAACGCAGACACGCACAGAAACATACTGAAAAAGCACGGACGGGATATTGGTTCGGCCAGGCCTGATATCACGCATCAGACATTGTTGAATCTGATGGACTCGCCGTTGAACAGAGCGAACCTACTTCAAGTTTACATCAAAACCTGCAAGAATGTATTGATCGAAATCAACCCGGCTGTAAGTTAGCGAAAACGATTCTAGAAAACTATGTCACATAATCTATGTCCTTTTCTCAGAACGAGACTCTAGCTGGATTTTAGACGCGTATTCCACGAACTTTCGACCGTTTTTGTGGATTGATGGTGACGCTCCTTGAAAAGTTGAGCGTGAGAGCGGACGGTGGCCCAATCAAGCTGATGAAGGTGATAAAGAATCCAGTCACAGATCATCTTCCTGCAGGCTGCAAGAAAACTCTCTTCACGTACACGACGAGCGGAATCATTCGTCCTGCTCAGCTCGCGGCGGAAGCTGGCGACATGCCTCACTGCGTCGGTAAGAGAGAAATGAAGCATGTTCGAAATGATTGAAACTAATTTTTAGTAATCGGCGCCATGGCTCACGGCAAGGTGGACGTAGATTATTGTGAGAAGGAAGTTTCGATATCGCATTATCCTCTTAGTGCTGCACTCTGCGCTGCTAGATTGACGGCTGCCTTTGAAGAGCACTGGGGCATTCACTAAAACACTACCCCAGTCGCACTTATTGAACCCTTCCTTTGTTAAGAATGGAAATATGTGATGGTGTCTTTCTCGGAGACTTGAGAGATCTGGAGAGGAGCGACTGCACTTCCGTTCTCAGTCTCTACAATCTTCCACTCGACTTGTCTCGTTTCGGAGAGAAAAAACTCGTTTACAAAGTTGAAGATTCGCCGGTGACAGACCTTCTAACCGAGTTTCCGCGGATGATCGACTTCATCAAGAGACAAATAAAAGAAAACGAAGCCGAAGATGGTGAAGAGAACTCTGTGCTAGTGCATTGTCAGGCAGGTTCATCAAGATCTGTCACTGCTGTGATTGCGTTTTTGATCGGAGAGGGAATCGTCTCGACTGTAGAAGGAATTGTTGAGAAAAATTATTTGTTTTGCCTGTAATCTCTAATAGAGATTCTCTATGTTCCAACTATCCAAGATGCACATTCAGTATTTCTCAGCTGTCTAAAGAGGGAATCGCGTTGATTGTTCAAAAAGGTGGATCTCCGAATCCAAACGAAGGATTTCTCGCTCAACTTGAACTATGGCAAGAAATGGGAGGAAAATTAGACACAAACAATCCTGGATTCAAACAGTACAAGATGAGCATGTTTCAAGAGTCAATGTTGTTGGGAGCACCTCACGAAGATCGTCCCGGTAATTTCGAAGAACTGGTTAAACGTACTCCAAGCGAGCGGGATCCCGCTGCTTTCAAGTGCAAGAAATGTAGACGCGCGCTTTTTCTGCCCGCGGCTATAATTCCACACGGGAATGGATACGCGGGGAAAAAGGACTTCTTGGATAAGAAAAGAAGAAGAATGAAGGATAGGGAACAAAAGAACATTTGTTCGTCTGTCTTTCTTGAGCCGATGGAGTGGATGGAAGATCTTATTCGTGGGAAATTGAATGGCCTGTTAACCTGTCCGAAATGCTCTCAGAAGGTTGGACACTTCGATTGGTCCGGTTCGCAGGTAAAGCTTACTTCTGAGTAATATGAAGACATACTCCCTTTGAAATGATAGCAATTTAGTGAAAGTAGATCGTTTTATTTAAATCAGCATACACGATCGTTTTACAGAAATTGGGCTAGAGTTTTTAGTTTAGAGAATACATGAAGTTAAGGGGTTCGTAGTTTGCTTTTTGTCAGAGTTCGTCTTTTGTGGAGTTTGGAAGGAGATCTAGTCAGTCTTGTTGATAAATGAATTGCTGAATTGTGTCCATTCCACCGGTAACGAGTTCGGCAGTTTTCTCATGTGTTGCCGTGCCGAGAAGTTTGGGCACGCCGTTGATAGAGATTTCTCCTTTTCTATAGGCTTCGTACGCCTGATTCCATCGAAAAGCGCAGAGGCACCAGCGGTCACCCTCTTTCAAACCAGGGAATCCCCACGATCTAAAATTAATATCTAGATATTCTAAAGACCTTAGAAGAAACGATATTCCGATCAATCGGAATGTCTTGACACTTGAATTAAGAGCTTTGTCGTTAACGAAGATTACTTACGTTGGGTCCATGAGGTTGTTTCCCTTTGACTTAGAGAATTCCAAAAACTCTGTTGTCACAATTGAGCAGGTCGTGTGTGTTCCATAATCTCCCTGGTAAAGTTTACAGGTTCCGTCTCTTGTCCATCCAGTCATAGGATCTGTCGAGCAAATGGTAAGATCATCTCCATAGATATTGACGTTGTAGGCCATTGCGATCGATGCTGAATTGTTAATTCAGAATTGAATTTCAAAAACGGAATCTCTTTTCAATCGGCTTCTTTATCTCTGATTTCGCGGTCGGTTGCTCGAATGGTCAAAAGAGTCCAAGCACCAATTCATGGAAAGCTATATTTAATCCAAATAAATTAGTTCAAGGACCGTCCCGACCATCGATATTAGCTCAAAGGATCTCTTGTTGACAGTGGTCGTCTTCTTCTTCAGTGTATTTCGTTGTTTCAAGCTTGAAAAAGGGAGGACTCACCGAGGGCAGGGATAAGCTTCATCTGAGAAAGAAGGTGTTTCTATGAGTAGGGTCGTATTGGAAATGATTGAAGGAGAGCGAATTCTGGCTTTCAAGAAGGGTTACCGAAATATTACGTAACAGCGTTGCGCTACGTCTCGCGGCTTCGGGCCCCTCCCTTTCAACCGTTTACGCAAAAATGACATGTTGCCAGTCGATTCTACCCGCTTCGGACAGTACTCTCCCTTTGCAATCAGTCGGATTGCGCTTACTTAGGATGATCATGACTTTTTGTAGTCAAAAACCTGGTTAGTCGAAAGGTCAATCGTCCGTAATGATCTAGAATGAAGTAATCGTCGCTCTGCCCCTTGGCATCTTCCTATTGATGAACGACTACGGAAGATTTCATTTCCGCGTCTGATTTTTTAGTTTATCCTCAAAAATTGGTAGTTCTTGTGATTGCTTAAAGATTTGTGATTTAGTGCTCATGCGGACAGTGGGTATCTCCAGCGATTCAAGTGCATCGAAAGCAAACTGATGCTCCTCCCGGATTTGGCTTATGAAATCTTTTTCCTGTCTGAATCATCTGAATAATGAACTTGACACTATTGTTCTGCGAACGATCTCATTCTCCGTCAGAGTGGCATATGTTTAGGGGTAGAAAACGCCTTCTGAAACTGTCAGATCGCTGCTTGAAGCATATGTTACGACTCAATCGTTTTGTCGTAAAATTCGCCTCCTGTCGCACCACATCCGGTTTTTATTCCGGATGCGACCCAATGACAAAAGAAACAATCCAGAAGCATTGCCGACTGTGGCCCAACTTCATCGAACCTGCCGTTGAGGAACTCTTTCTGCAAGAGATCGAGCCACAAATTAGGTAAACGCAGCGGTCCACTTCCGCGGGGCCAGACTCGTCAGAGACAAACCAACTCGAGCGCTGTTACAACTTTTACGGCCGATATTGGTCAATAGCGAGAGTAAACACGATTTTAAGAGAGGCAAAAGAGAGACTCACAAAAGAAACAAAAGATGATCTCGCAGAGAAATCATCATCCTTACAAATGTTAGATAAATCGTTTCATTCTTCTTTCTCTGAAAGAACTTATCTTTAAGACATGTTTTATTCTAGGGAAGTGAAAATATATTTTTTTGCTTTTGAAAATTCACTTCCACTCTTGCGATTATAAATTTTAAATCACATTTTTGTTCATAGGCATTTGCCATATAACGACTCGCATTTTGATAACGCTATCCACGAGTACCGCGAAATTCAGAAATCTAGCTGGACAGGGCACTGGACACATTCAACTTCCGGCTTCTCACGGGTGACCAAATAGCATTTTGTTTGTCAATCCAGGGCACAGATACAGCTTAACTTCTCAAGTACTAGTCTACCCTTGTTTTTACAACTGCACAAAAAACAAAGGAGTTCCTCTTGACAGGGCCGTCGAGCTCCGTTTCCAGTGCCCTTTTGAAGATAGCTCACTTCAAGAGATTATGAAAAAGGAATGGGTACAGCGTTTCACTTTTCTTCCTTTCAGAGAGCCAGCTTTATCCTCAACAAGGTCACAAAAATATGTTTCGACGAAAGTGACCAAATCAAGCCACAGACGCACTGCCTTGATTTAGCGGGAAGCGGTGAGATTCTCCCTCATGTTGATTCCGTAAAATTCGTCGGACGTGGCCTGGCTACCATTTCTCTCCTCTCAGACTCAATTTTGCGCTTTCGACGAGTCAACAACCCCGACGATTTCGTGGACATTCTCGGTAAACAGGCGATTTTGAATTCAAACGAAAATGAAAAATAGTCCCAAGATACTCACTCTATTGTATGGCTGACGAGGCGCGCTTCGACTTCACTCATGAAATTTTAAACAACAGCAAAAGCTTTTTCAATGGCGAAAAAATTAACAAGTCAAGGTGATCACTGTTCGCACTTTGCTAGACTGAGTTGGAGCGGAAGTAACATTTCTGTAGGAGAATATCAGTGATTCAGCGAGTCGAGCCAGACACCCAAGTCGGACGCTTGTTCGATAGTCATGGAACCCTCGACGAAGAAGACGCCTATTACGAAGAAGAGGAGTCCAGTTTTCCCGAACTGCCACCACTGAGATGAACGAGTACTTGAAACTAACTCGATTATATTTTCAGATGATGTCGATGTCAATATGAAATCGGTTTGTCAATTCGTCCTTTTCGCTATTTTCCAGACAGAATGTGTGAGCCAAGAGAACTCATGCCGCGATCTCGAGTGGAAATCGGCAAAAGTAACTCAGAACAAATTAATCGTCCGCTATTATATCTTCTAGCAAATGGAAAAGTCTCTTTATTTGGAACCCACTGGTAACGAGTTTTCACTAAAATGCAAGATCGATACCAAAACTGACAGTGAAAACGCTATTCTATGGTTCCAGCTCCTCGAGGATAGAATAACTTCGGACGATGTAACCCTCGAAAGTCTTAACAAAAATCTTAATGGCAGCAAAGAAATGAGCACTGCTGCGTTCGATAACTTCCAGAGAAAATTCGGCAGCCAGCTTTACCCATTGCCGACAGAGCGAAAAACAACGCGTATAAAAAACTCGAGGCGTGACGATCTCATCTCTTTTTCCAAGAATGGACAACGCATCAAATTTCAGCCGATTCAAGAGAGCCTCAACGGGTTTTATACATGCATGTACGCGGAGGCATGCGCCGACGGCTCCTCAAAAGTTATCATTGGAAAAACGTTCCAGGTTAGAGCCTTCATGAGAATAATTTTCATCGAGATTATTTTTAGGTAAACGGTGTGGATCAGCCCCAATCTCTGCCAAAAATCAAGGATGGCCGGCATGAAGTTCTTAGAATCGAAGAAGGAGCCGATCATCGTGTTGTGTGTCAGGCGTTTTCAGACAGCGTCGTCAACTATCAATGGCTTGTTCAACATCCTGTCAAAGAAGAAGGAAAAATGCCTTCTTGGGACAGATATCAACCGCCAATCGAAGAGACAAATCCTATTGACAAGCATTGTAAGTTGCTTTTGTGATTAACGTTAGCTGATCTTATTTTTAGTGACTGGCGCGGACGCTGTCTACGAGGAAAAATGGACTCTCCCGAGTGTATCACTTGCTCTGAACGGGACGCGTTACAAGTGCATCGTTACGAATTACCATGGAAACACGGAGAAGACCTATATCGTCATCGTGGAAAAGTCGCAGCTATCCGAAATCGTTCTCGGAGTTGCAGCTGCTGTTTTCGGCGTCTTTCTTATCTGCTTTGTCGTCAGTTCTATTTTGAGACGTCACAAACAAGGTACGGCCGTTATAGTCGAGCATATTGATCATCGCATTTAAGGGTTGAAAAGCTATCACTACAAAGACGGTGAACTGTGGAATACCGGCGCCGTAGAAATAAATCCTATGCTGCCGATGCCAGACGGTCGGACTGATGGTTTCTTCGGGCCCAATTTCCGAATTCCCCAACCTTACCAGCCTTACAGTACTGGCACGATGAGCTCGAACATTTTTCATCATGTGCCGGAGCATTTGAAATTAGAGCGCATTAAAATCACTCTTGGCCCGCTACTTGGCACTGGCCACTTCGGAATTGTCTACAAAGCGGAAATGCTCGAAGACGACCAAAAAGTTTTCCCTGTTGCTGTCAAGACGCTCAAAGCGGAACATAACTCGGAAACGAAAACCAAGCTACAAGACGATTTGATTAGCGAGTTCGTTTCGATGCAGCAGTACGGTAATCACGACAATCTGGTGAGGCTCATCGGTATTTGTTGCACTCACGCGCCGTACTGGCTCGTAATGGAATACTGCGAAAATGGCAACCTGAGAGACTATCTCAGAGAGAAAAAGATCGAACCGGGCAAGCTGCTCGAGGATCGTCCCAGGGTTGATCTAGAGACTAATTTTGAACGTGACCTTACCAAGGTTAGGCTTGAGCAGTAGTCAGAGGCGTCACTGTTAAATTCAGATGGATCTGATATCCGCTTCCCGGCAAATCGCGCTCGGCATGAAGTACCTCTCGGAACAGCAGAGTTTCATCCATCGCGATCTCGCCGCGCGGAATATTCTAGTCACTGCTAATTTTACCATGAAGATATCCGATTTTGGCCTGGCCAGACGGGACATTACAGATGAGAATTATTACCGGTTAGTCTATTTTAAATAACTTGATACTACTGGCTGGAAATCTAGATTGACGACAGCCTCGGAAGAGCCAAAGCGAAACAATCTGATGATGCCCTGGCGGTGGATGTCACTCGAGACATACGAGAAGAAGGTGTACACTCAAGCAAGCGATGTTTGGTCGTATGGAGTCGTTCTTTGGGAGATCTTCACATTCGGCGAGACCCCTTACTGCGCCCTAGACACTGACGAGATTTTAGCTTTCTTGCAAAAGGTAAGCTCTCATTATCCTCGGCCAAACCGTCAAACTCCTCGCAATTTAAAGGGCAAGCGCCTGGAGAAGCCACACCACGCTTCCGCTGAACTGTACCAATTAATGCTTGACTGCTGGCATCAAAATCCACAAAAAAGACCTCATTTCAGGTATTCAATTAGTTTTAACTTGTTTTTAATTTTATTATTTAGGACGCTAGTGGAGGACACAGAGAAGATGATGATTGATTCTGGCGTCGAAGACGACTATCTCGACCTCACGAGTGGATGAATCCGCTGATGTACAATATTTAAACACGAACACCTTCCTGGAACAGAAGAAAATGATCAACGCACAAACACGACAACTGTAAATACTGATCTACCTTGCCCTATCTCAAGAACTTTCCAACCCCTCAACTTTTCAGAGCACAGCTTTCCCCTTCTGCTTTTAACTTTTTTCTGAAATTCGAAAGAAAAATTCAAATAAATGAAGATGATTTCAAAAAAATTTTTGCGGGTCTGAAAATCGTAAAAATTCTGAAAGTGCAGTTTTCTTCAGCTTGTTGAGACGAGTCGAATGGTGGGTCAAACTCTTGATAACTCCAAGGATTGACCGGTTAACCGGCTGGTTACCGGAAAATACGTTTCCGGTCGCCGTTTTTGTTCTAGAAATGCTAGGATGATGAATGAACCCGGAAACTGATCCTTATGATCAGTTCTACTGTGGGCGAAAAGATATTGGTCGAATATATAGCGAAACTTTTTTTAACGATAAAAATTCTAAATTTTGTATGTATTTCGTTGTTGCTGCACCTTCCTAATTTTCGGTCCCATTTTCATAAGAAAATAGAATTTTGGTGATAAGCATCTTATGGTTAGAGATATGATTCTCATTTTTTCACCCACAGAAGAACTAACTTCAAGGACCAGTTTTCCGCTTTTTTTTGTCATTCTAGCATTTCTAGAACAAAAACGGCGACCGGAAATGTATTTTCCGGGAAATTGCCGGCTAACCGGTTAATCATTGGAGTCATCAAAAGTTTGACCCATCATTCGACTCGTCTCGACGAGCTGAAGAAAACTGCACTTTCAGATTTTTTATGATTTCCGGACCCGCAAAAATTTTTTTGAAATTATCTGAAAACAATATTTAACTTTTGACGGATAGAACGCAATGAGTGTATCTAGATCTTCTACCGGTAGTTGTTATTTCTTTTGGCCACAAGCAACAGTTAGTCAGAGCATGATTGAAGATAAACTTACTGCGCATTAGTGTTATTGGATTTCTAGCTATGATGATTTGTTAGAATTAGAATTAGGTTTTTAGTAAATATTTGTTCGGCCGATTCGGTAGTGTCAAACGGTTTTCACTTAATATCTTTTAACGCATTCTGTAGTGAAGGATTGTAAAATTTTTCTGGATGAGTTGACTGTTCAGATACGAAGAAGGAGCTGTTGCGCATTTAGACATTCGTAGTAGCTGGAAGCAGAAATCAATTAACATCCTGTGAAGCCATCGAGTCTTGTTGCCTTGCGCAAGCGCCGCACCTACGCATTTATCGCCGCTGAGTAATTTTGCGAATTCGTGATTTTAAAAGAGCACGGATTCTGCTTTATTTCGTCCTCGTCGGTATTATTCAATAACTCAGGAGTGCTTATTCAAACGATATGAGAGAAATTACGGTCTCAAGTTTGGCTCTCACAAAAATGATGCTTCACTCGTATAAATACCCTCATCTACGTGAGTTTTCTTGAAAAAATTAACTGAAATTCATCGTTTCTAATTTTTCAAGATAATATAATACAAGTCAGAATATTTCGTAATTTTTCACTAGTCAGGAAATAGTTATTTGGGTTATATAATATTACTTAAATAAGATTCTTGAGTTACTTTTGCTTTTATACTTGTGAATTGAATATTTAGCTGTAAATGGTGTTTTACTGATGGACTGCGACATCGAGAAAGAAACTTATATATCCGAGTGTATTCCTCTTTTCCACCAGGTGAGTATAACTTTTGTTGCGCAGTTGTGATCTGAATTGTCAGGGTATTTCGCTGAAGCCAATGTTCCAAGTAGCGATGAGAACGGTAGAAGACTACTGCGAGCGGAACAACCTGGCCATCGCTGGCTACTACGAGTCGCCCGAAATCGTCAAGAGCGCCACGCCATCGCAGTACGCGGAGAAGGTCGGCGACAAGCTCCGTGAGCAATTCAAGGACGCCTTCCTTCTTCACAACATTTGGCAAGAAGACTCCAAATTCGCCCTGAGACCGTTTGTCAAAGAGGTGCGAAATTTTATCGATACTTCTAGAATCTGTGTTGATTGATTTGCATTTAGTCTGGAAAGTGGGTTTACTCTTCAAACAAGCTCAGCTTTGAGAACGAAAACGTTTTCAAGACCGTCGCTCAGCTGCATAAAGCCGACTTCTGCCTCGAACTTCAAGTTAGAACTTCTATTATTTTGCGCACGCATGGCCTTTTCTAGGACTTTGACTGCTACCTCGACAACTTCACGAACGACTGGACAAACAGATCTCTGCAAGAAGTGATTATGCTTGTGGACGCGCAAACCGAGCACCAAGATGCTAGTATAAAGGCGAAATGACACGAATTGAACAATGGCGCTACTATTTCTACCTTTTCCTTCCCAAAATGTCTCACACCGAGCTTTACTTTCTTAGATTATTTCGAATTTGTGCAATCTTCAAACATGTTGTGTGCGCTCCGTTAATTCAATAGCGTCGCAAAACTGATTTCGCTTGTTCAGAAGATGTTGAACAGAACTCTCGCTCGACAGATCGTCTCCGTCAGAAACTTCCGATCTGGCTCTTTCCAGGTAATTCGCTTTAGAAGGAGTTACTAATCTGCGCTTGTAGAACAAGTTCAACCAAGTCCCACCAAAGAAGGTCTACTGGGGCTCTGCCAAGCTCTCTGGTGAAGCTTTCCTCGCTGCCGGCGCCATTTTCTTCTTCTGGGCCTTTGACCGACTCGCTCGAGCTGACTTCCTTTACTCCAAGTTCCACATGTCTGCCTCTCACTTCCAGATGGGTTCGCTTCGTGTTTGAGTTCGCACCAACTGACAAAATCGTTAAGATAACATCATCATCGTCGATGGCAAGTACCGATACATCCCCACCAAAATGCACCCCGCCGAGCACGAGAAGGACGTCTCCTACATGTCCAACTTCACCGAGTACGACTGGACCCCTACTGATGGCAAGGGCATCTAAGCTCGTTCACGTTAACCCTAGTAAGTCTTTGAAAGTTGTTCTTTTTGATCATTTATTGGCGTCTGATGAATAATTTAGTTGCTCGATTCCAAGCAGAAGTCGAAATCGTCGTTTCCACCTGTTCAAACCTTTCGGATTATTTATTCGACCGCATGCAAAAGAAAATTCCCTTTTCTTCGGTCTCCTACTAAACACGACTCCAATAAAAGTCAATATTCGCATTAAAACTAACATGTTCAGACTTGTTTTTGTTTTCCGAATCGACTTGCTATTTGCCTGTTGGGTGTAAAATACGCTTAATGAGCAAATTGCAACGCATTGCCAGAAGCAGGACTATGATGCGCATGATGGACGATCCTCGTTCAATAGAACACGAAGTCCGAAAATTCATTGACTCTGGAGCCCTTGAGGAATACTGTACGTTACAATTATCTTCAATATTGCTTGCTAAGCCCAATTTAGTCAAAAACGGCAAAATAACGCTTCAGTATCTTCTGCATAGCGTTCAGTTGGATATGCCAGACGAGTGCGATTGGGAGACGTTCCAAGAAGAATTTTTCCGCCAGTATTCTCAAAAGATCATAATTTGTCGTGCTCTCTCGAATTCTAACGATGACGATAGTAAGATATTTCTTCATTTGCATGTATTGATCGTTCATTTAGGCAACCAAGAGGCGAGCCCACAAACTTCTGGCTTCAGAAGTGATTTTTCGGTCTCGCGCACTGTTTCTCCCGTTAGAAAACTCCACGGTGGTCATGATAACAACAATGTGATCGACGCGAACCGTGAGTCCAGTCGCCGCCGTCGAACGCAAGCTATAAGAAGAGGCGAGCAAGCTCTTCTAGAAGAACGCTTGAATCGTCTTACGATCAACGTTGGTCATCAAGTTGTCCGTCCACCCCCAGAACCTCAAGTCAGCCTGATGCCTAGACGATCGTGCCGTTCGAGTCCCCAAGAAAGATCTAACAAAGGGCCGACCGCTTGCAAGGATCACCTTGTCAAGCGCTGCAGTAGGGTGGCTCACTTTTCGGGAAGGTCTTCCGATTACGTTCTATCCTTGTCAGGTGGAATGTTTCTACCCATACAACATATAAAAAATAAAAATTCGAAAAAAAATTTTTTCCCCAAAATTTTTTTCCAGAATTTTTTTCTCAAAATACAGTTTTCGTACTGTAATTTCTCGGCACATACCCGAACCTTAGTACTAAATTACATTTTTCGAAAGAGCTCATCAAGCTGGTCATTATGATACCCATATCTTTTTTCGGACAGAAGTGTGACAAAAGTTATGGCCAGTTAACCCCAGGTTTTTTGGCCAAAATATCGAAAATTTCGAAAATTTTAGGCGTTTTCCTGAATTTCAAGGGCAGATAAAAATACTTTCCGAAAATCTCCCAGGGGTGGTTGAGTGCTCAAAATACTCAGCAGAATGAGCTCTTTCAGATAAGCACAAGAAATCGGGTGTGCCGGGAAATTGTTGAAAAAGTGAGCCACCCTACGCTGCAGGGCATTGATTAGATCCCAGTCCGAATACCCGCGCATTCTACGAGTTGATGAATACGAAAGTCTTTACCAAAAGCTTTTCGACAGTAATCTCCGAATAGATTGCGAACGACACGGAGATAGTTGGGCGACAATCAATGAGCTTGGAAGCGAGGAGGGAGAAGTTTGGAACACACGAACCCAGGCAACTACCTTGCTCTATTCTCCATTCAACGAGGAAAGAGTTGGCCATGGTGTTCAAATCAAGTACTTAGCTGAGAAGTCTGTTTTGACGGGTTTGTAGTAAGTTCACAGTCTAGGGAAATATCCAGTTTTTCGAGCGGGCCTAAAATTATTCTAGCTTGTTTAAACCGAAATCAATTCAATACTTGGATTCAAACGAGATCAATGCACTCCGAAAGGGTTACGGACGCCTTCTCGAGCGATTGTCATCGGCTGAGGAAGTGGCGAAGATCAAAGAAACACCGTACGATTACCGCTACTTCTGCTGGCTCTGCGGTGCGGACGACATCGACGAAGTTGTCGAGGTCCTTGTCAAACCAACCAGGTAAGACTCATCACTTCCTAGTTGGGAAGATCACAACTATTTATTGTTAGAAATGATCACTCGCTCTCACCGGTCAATTTTTCTCCAAACCGTGTTTCAGTTTCAGTCTGAAAGTTTAAATCAAGTCTTGATGGCAATGCGACAAAGCCTAGGACGCGTGATCCAATCGATTTTCCTCATTTTTACAAATCAATTTTGATTAACGAGATAATGTCTTCGTCGTCAAAAACTGTTAGTTTTCCCCGCCGAAGATTTCGGTGACAAGCGTGATCATGAAAAATAGTAGCGATATATTTTTTGATTAATAGCTTATGACTCATAGTGTATTCTGCTAAGTTAAACATTTATCACTGCGATATTTTCAGACAAGAGAGATCCTCTCGCCGCTCCTCCCGACAATTCGAATCTACCTAAAGAGGATCTCTTTATATAATCAATTTTTCACACTGTCATAAATTTGTTTTATAATCTAAATTTTCAAGACCTGCCTGTTACGAGCTCTCATTTCCTAACTGAAAATCGCTTAATAATAAGAACGCTCAAAAAGTTCAATTCCTCAATAGCTGCTCAAACTGCGCCAGTTTTTCCCTATCTCGTTTCTCGTTTTTTTCCACGTTTCTCGTTTATTGTTGCAGGTCACTAAGTGCTAAAGAGAACTCCTAACTCTAACCCAAACTACACTACCAAAATTCTTCATGCTGTATCGCTGTCTTTTGCCCACGCTAAAAAAAGTTCGGGTTAGAGTAATCACTTCAAACGTTTCCAAAATTGTTAAATATTTTAAAACAAAGGTTCAATAATTCTTAACTATTTTTCCTCTGTGCTCTTATTATTTTCTTCAACTTTCAATGTGCATCAAGTTGAATATAAAAATCTCAAATTTTGACTGAAATGTAACTGTTATCTTTTAGAAAATGGTGTTGTCAATATTTCAAAGGTTTCTCGACTGGCTAAAAGCGCTTTTCTTCAAAGAGGAGATGGAGCTATCGCTTGTCGGCTTGCAGTACTCGGGCAAGACCACATTTGTTAACGTGATTGGTCAGTCTTTCTTCCCGCTCGTCTGTTTCACTCAGTTTTTCTAGCGTCTGGCAGCTACACAGAAGACACCATTCCCACGGTCGGATTTAACATGCGTAAAGTTCAAAAGGGCAACGTATCGATAAAAATTTGGGATATTGGCGGACAACCTCGTTTCCGAACAATGTGGGAGCGATACTGCCGAGGCGTCAACGTAATCGTATACATGGTCGACGCGGCCGATCACGACAAAATCGAGCAGACAACTCGCGAGCTCCACGAGCTTCTTGACAAACCATCACTACAGGTTTGAGAAACTATCAAGCAGCTGTATATATCCATTTATTCTTCAGGGCATGCCCGTTCTCGTGTTGGGGAATAAAAACGACCTTCCCAACGCGCTCGACGTTGACAGCTTAACTGACAAACTCAATCTTGATCGAATCGACGACCGGGAAGTCGCAGTTTACACGATCTCCTGCAAAAATAAAAATAACCTCGACGTCGTTCTTCAGGTTTGATCTGCTGCGCTAACTATTCTGGCTAACTTGCGTTCTAGTGGTTGACAAATAAAGCGAAGAAGAACTAAAATACGTGATTCCTGTTCGTCGCTTCACCTCACAAAAAACTACTCATGTCACCTTTGTTCAGTCATTAATATCGCGTCAACTTTTCTCAATGTTTCGACCTTGCCCTTTATTTGTAACTTTCAATTTCCCGATTCTGTGCGGATAACCGATCTCTTTCAACGCTCGCCGAAATCACGATTCATTGTAGCTGGCTAGTCAGAAAAATCAAAAAAGACCTTATTCGCATGTCTCAATCACTCGCCCGCAGTGGCTACCCGTTGTCCCCAACCGCTGTAGGCACACGTTTTATATTTTCATCCTCTTTCTATTTATCGTCTCAGCTCTTTCACATGTAGCAAGTTCAACAAAAAACAACAATACAAACAGCCTTTTTCCGGCCATTCAAAAAAAAAATACAGAAAATTCCGCATAAAATATCCTTCATTCTGTGAATAAAACGATATTCATCAAAAAAGTGAAAACTTTTTTTTTCTGAAGAATGGCGAATTTGGAGCAAAACGAAAAGTTCGCCAGTCAGGAGTACTGGGACAAGAGGTTTTCTGTTGAGGAGGAGTTCGATTGGCTTGGCAAGCTCGATGACTTTTTTGAAATTTTGAATTTGGAGCCGCATTCTGCGATACTCGTCTTAGGCTGCGGCAACTCGACTCTCAGGAAGCGTGTTGAAAGTTTTTTCCTTTTTGTTTCTTGAGTTCTCGTTTTCAGCACTCGTAGTCAGCATCTGGAAGAGCGCGGTCATTTTGTAGTGTCCACTGATTACGCTGCTTCTGCTTGCGAGAAGCAGAAGAGGCGTAAACCATCGCATCAGTATTTAACGTCGGACTGTAGGGACAGGATCTGTAGGCGCGGCTTCGATCTCGTCATTGAAAAGGGTGTCATGGACGCGTTTCTGGCGGCTGAAAATCCATGGTCGCCGTCTAAAGAGGCTAGCGGGATGATCAGGAGTACTATCGAAGCAGCCAGAGGGAGCTCAGACAGATTTATCTCTATTTCATTCCATTCTCCCCTAGATAAGGGTCTATTCGAACGTAGTAGGACAACCGTATGTACTGAAAAGTGACCCTGATAAAGTTAGGCTTCCATTAATATTGTCACCGGACGAGTACGATGTTTCCTTGAACACTTATCAAGCTGCTCTGGAATTTTATGCTTATTCGTTTGATTTTGAGAAGAGGTTATCCTTTCAATTTATTTCATTTACAAATAATCCGATTAGTAAACAACAGTCAATTTTGCCAACATTGGGAAGCGTGGAAAATGATTATGATGGGAGCAGTTTATCAGAAGACTCAGAAGGCTTTTTAGACGGCATAGTTGTTGACTGATATTCCAGTGTGAGAAAATAAAGAACCGAAAATGTGATTATTGTTAATTAACAAAGGCCTAAATAGCGTCAGCTCACTTTTCTGCCTTTTAGACTTGATCTAAATTTAGCAAGTCAGATAATTGTCAAATGTTAAAAAAACGGATAATCGAATTCGCCCACTTGGGAAAAGTTTGGCAAGCCGTCTGGCTGATCTTAGAGGATATCTTTTCTGATAGAAAACGAATAAAATATGCACGAGAAAAAGATCTCTGCTTTGCTGATCCCCGTGTTGAGCTGATGCAACCTTGGGTAAATCTCTTTACTATAAAAGTAATCAAAGAAACTCCATTTCGGAAGGTCGAATGATTTTTAATATTGAGTCTTTAATACTTTTATTCATGATTTTACGGGTGAATCGTCGTTTAATAGGTTATTTGTATCTAAGTTCTTAATTGGAACGTATCTTCTTTCACCGCTGCTTCTTTGGCTGAGCTTACACTTGATTGCCAATTATGTCGGTCGAAACGAAACAGATGAGTTTGGGCGAACAAAGTGGCAACTCAGCGGGAGTTCCTTTTCTACTATTTGCAGGTTTGCATGCTAGAGGATCGTCTTTTCAACTTGCTATTTTAGCTTGCCGACGGGGTCACGTGCCAGCAGAATTTCGGGAACATTTCTGCGCTCTACTCTCAGCCGAGTCACGGAGGGAACCGGGAAACGCTCAGTTTCATAAGATATTCATTTCTGTGCATTTTGTTCTATGACAGGTTTTTTTTTATATTGCACAAGATCTTGGGAGTCTAATAACTCCAAGACGACACATCGTAGAGGGTCCCCCATAGCATCAAAATGTAGCTTAGGGTCTGGGCTATTGTTTGAATAAGTTTGAGATTCTAGTGCCCACGTGGGATTACGTAATATTACGTAATAATCTAAAAAATGTTATATTTTCAGTATTAGAGGTGCTAGAACCTCGATCTAATGACTATTCGAACTCTATTTTCTTCCTCTTTTTTCATCGAGGTCACTCGAGGTCACGTGACCCCAAATGACCTTTTTTTCTTTGTTTAATAGTCTATGATGTATAATACATCAAATTGCTTGTTTTTTGATGCTCATTCTGATTAAGCCATCAAAAAGGTCATCTGAGGTCACGTGACCCCCAATGACCTTTTTTCTTTATTTGACTAAATATGATGGATTATACATCAATTTGATTGTTTTTTGATGCTGATTCTGATTTAAGAATCAAAATGGTCATCTGAGGTCACGTGACCCCAAGTGACCTCGAAATTTCAAAAATTTATTTCAGCCCCGTCCCTTGATTCTTAAATTTAAGGGGCTTGACGGCCCTTCGGGCCGTTTCAGCCCCGTCCCTTGATTCTTAAATTTAAGGGGCTTGACGGCCCTTCGGGCCGTTTCAGCCCCGTCCCTTGATTCTTAAATTTAAGGGGCTTGACGGCCCTTCGGGCCGTTTCAGCCCCGTCCCTTGATTCTTAAATTTAAGGGGCTTGACGGCCCTTCGGGCCGTTTCAGCCCCGTCCCTTGATTCTTAAATTTAAGGGGCTTGACGGCCCTTCGGGCCGTTTCAGCCCCGTCCCTTGATTCTTAAATTTAAGGGGCTTGACGGCCCTTCGGGCCGTTTCAGCCCCGTCCCTTGATTCTTAAATTTAAGGGGCTTGACGGCCCTTCGGGCCGTTTCAGCCCCGTCCCTTGATTCTTAAATTTAAGGGGCTTGACGGCCCTTCGGGCCGTTTCAGCCCCGTCCCTTGATTCTTAAATTTAAGGGGCTTGACGGCCCTTCGGGCCGTTTCAGCCCCGTCCCTTGATTCTTAAATTTAAGGGGCTTGACGGCCCTTCGGGCCGTTTCAGCCCCGTCCCTTGATTCTTAAATTTAAGGGGCTTGACGGCCCTTCGGGCCGTTTCAGCCCCGTCCCTTGATTCTTAAATTTAAGGGGCTTGACGGCCCTTCGGGCCGTTTCAGCCTCCCTTGATTCTTAAATTTAAGGGGCTTGACGGCCCTTGATTCTTAAATTTAAGGGGCTTGGCCGTTTCAGCCCCGTCCCTTGATTCTTAAATTTAAGGGCTTGACGGCCCTTCGGGCCGTTTCAGCCCCGTCCCTTGATTCTTAAATTTAAGGGGCTTGACGGCCCTTCGGGCCGTTTCAGCCCCGTCCCTTGATTCTTAAATTTAAGGGGCTTGACGGCCCTTCGGGCCGTTTCAGCCCCGTCCCTTGATTCTTAAATTTAAGGGGCTTGACGGCCCTTCGGGCCGTTTCAGCCCCGTCCCTTGATTCTTAAATTTAAGGGGCTTGACGGCCCTTCGGGCCGTTTCAGCCCCGTCCCTTGATTCTTAAATTTAAGGGGCTTGACGGCCCTTCGGGCCGTTTCAGCCCCGTCCCTTGATTCTTAAATTTAAGGGGCTTGACGGCCCTTCGGGCCGTTTCAGCCCCGTCCCTTGATTCTTAAATTTAAGGGGCTTGACGGCCCTTCGGGCCGTTTCAGCCCCGTCCCTTGATTCTTAAATTTAAGGGGCTTGACGGCCCTTCGGGCCGTTTCAGCCCCGTCCCTTGATTCTTAAATTTAAGGGGCTTGACGGCCCTTCGGGCCGTTTCAGCCCCGTCCCTTGATTCTTAAATTTAAGGGGCTTGACGGCCCTTCGGGCCGTTTCAGCCCCGTCCCTTGATTCTTAAATTTAAGGGGCTTGACGGCCCTTCGGGCCGTTTCAGCCCCGTCCCTTGATTCTTAAATTTAAGGGGCTTGACGGCCCTTCGGGCCGTTTCAGCCCCGTCCCTTGATTCTTAAATTTAAGGGGCTTGACGGCCCTTCGGGCCGTTTCAGCCCCGTCCCTTGATTCTTAAATTTAAGGGGCTTGACAAAGGCTGGGAAAAGGCTGAGTTGATCATTCTCAGTTGCGTCCCCAACCCCGCCCACCTCCATCTGATGTTTCAATTTATATTGTCCATTTTTTAGTTTTTTTTATGGTTTTTTTTAATTTTTTTTATAGTTTAGCTTACACTCGTCAAATTATTGAAGAGGCCTTTCTTCTTTTCTAGACTTTCGTCATTCTTTCTTCCAGCAGGAGGCTCCCACAGAGTCCTCCGGGTGGGGTCCTCCGGCCGATTTTGAGAAGTTCAACTTTGACGGCTAATTAAATATACTTACCGTTAATTCTAGAGCTTGAAACTTATTCAAACAATAGATTAGACCCTAAGCTACAGTTAAATGCTTTTGGTCTTACTGTAGCTTTACTGAGACCAGAGTTATTAAGCTCCCAATGAAGCCCGTTTTTTGTGCAATATAAAAAAACCTGTCTATGTAATTAAATTGTAAGGCATTGAACAGGACTGGATGGCCGAGCGGTCTAAGGCGTTGGATTAAGGCTCCAATCTCTTCGGGGGCGTGGGTTCGAATCCCACTTCAGTCAAACTTTTTCTTGTTCTAGAGATGATCTACAGTTTTTGTTGTCCTCTCACCGCGTTCCATGAAAGTTCGGTGTCCGCCTTTAGTGACGGCAGATTTTTAAAAGGTCTTGTCGGCGGTGGTCCCATTTGGCACGGAGCAAAGGAAATCAAACGATTCTCCCGTCAATCAGAGCAAAAGGATATTTAAACAAATACTTAAATATATTTCCTTCACCCGACGTGCGTAAGAATGTATTGTGCTTGTATAGAAAGAGAGAGAATAGAAAAAACCTCGCTGATTCGGAAAATCGATATCAAAGATATAATGAGCAGGCCCACTCTCTCCCCTTAGGGCGTGTCTCGTGAACCTTTGAGAAAAGTGAAAATTAAGAAAACAGTCTTTGTGCTTAGACTGGGAACAATTTATTATTGAATAGTAAAAAGCACTTCCCCAGCGAGCGCTGAGATTTTTTATTGAAAAGTAGTGATCCGTCACTATCCGAATCCTCTGAAAAAGCTACAAATCTTCGAAAATAAGCGAGAACGAAAGGGGCAGTGAGAGAGAGCGAGCGTGGGTTATTAGTCCATTTGGTCATAAATCCTGACACAGAGTGTCTTTTTATTTAACCTATGACTGTTCGATTGAAGAAGCTTGTTTTAAGATATGGAATCGTACCATGGCTGGGAAAAATGATATACAGCAGCAAAGCAGATTTGCTGAGTGCGGGGAGCTTGTGCTGCAGAAGCTCTTTCTCGATTTCGTTCGAGTCGCTGATAAACGCATCGTCAACTCGTCCATATCCTCGCAAGATGCCGAATCACTCCACCGACAGTTTCTCCGGTAATTAATTAGAGTATCAAAGTTCTCATTCTCTTGTAGCGGGAGAGACACGGAATTCGATCGTCTTCTCACCGCTCTTGGTCAGATGGCAGAATACTGCCTCAGTTCCGTTATTCGTCATGCATTTGACTGGCGGCTAACTAAACTAGAATCGGATGATCGCCGAATGCGCCAAGGCGTTGAGTTCATCTTCTGCCATCTTCTGATAGAAACGCTGAAGCAGCTGAATGTGCATCCGATTCCCGAGCGGGACATCAACACCATCCTCAATCTCGCATTCGAGCAGTTTGAGAGTGCAGATACGAGTGCAGATCCCACGCAGGCGAAGATCTGCGAGCTCTACGCGGAAGCACTTGGCGTCGTCTCCGAACATCGACATCCGCAGGTCCGGCAACGTTTTCTCGCCGAGCTGCGTAATCTTCGCCACAAAGCCGTCAATCTTTCCAAGTCGGAGTCAATCCTAAACGGGATGAAGTACTTCAAAGTGAAGATGTATCCAATAGAAGACTTCACCGAGTCGATTAACTTTCTGAAAGAACTCGGCGACTACTTTCACGACGCTATTGACAACAAAGACCAAGCGCTTCAAAAGTGTTTGGCAAAGATGACCTCCGAAATTCTCGAGCCACTGGCCGAAAACATCAACAATGAAGTGAACGTCCCCGTACTCAGGCATTTCGTAGATTCGCTCTATCCATCTGTGCTTGAATTGTCAAAGCAGAGAGGTTTCAAGAACTTTCCCTGGGTAGCGCGCTTAGTTCAGCTGCTTCTTGCCGTCTCTCAAAAGCAGTTCTTCCTTAATCACTGGTCAATCTTCCTTCAATGCTGCTTGGGAATCATACAGAAGAAGAAATTCGAATCTGTGTCGCTAGAATGTGTCTCCCGCCTTGTATGGGTCTACTGCATCCGGCATGGACACGCGGATGCCAACGCGACAACTACGAGCCGGCTGACCTTGATCACAAAGACCCTCTTCCCAGCAGGAGCGCGTCACACAATTCCAAAGAACCAACAAAGCATCCACTTCGTTCGAATTCTTTCCTACATAGCGGACATCAAACTTGAACTGGCAATGGCGACGATCGAAGATTTGCTAGGCGTCGCTGCGAACAAAACAACAAACCCGGAAAGAGTTCAGATCTGTGTTGAGAGACAACGTATTGGTTTACGGGCTTTTGTTGCCATCGCTAACAGTTTCCAGCAGCGCGAAAAGCCAAAGTTACCGCCTATTACTTACCGCCCGAGCGGAAACACAATTCGCGGCAAAAACAAGTTCCTCCACACGCCGCTTTTCGATGAGCAAGCACGTCTTGCTGGCCTTGACAAGTACTTGCCTACTGTTCAACGCGCTCTTTGGCAACTGATGTTAACGTTGCACAATCAAGTCGGCTATGATTATCTCATTACCAAGTCACTGAAGTTTGAAGATATCTCACAAGAGAAAATCGACCTTCTGACCTTGTGCGTGTCAGCGATTCCTCGAATTTTACCAGAAGGTTTCCGGTCCTACAAGAATCGCTCGCAAATCCTGCGCATTATTTCTCAGCTCACTATTCACCAAAGCAGTATGGTCGTCGAGCAAGCTCTCAGAAGTCTAGATGGAATCATTACCGAGCTGCCCGAGTACAGAGAAGATGTCATCGCGATATACTGTACCTTTATTCTTACAGAAATTCACGACTCGCACGAAATGTCTATCGATACTGCAGTTGCTCATTTAACAGGACTTGTCGAAAGATGGGCCGAAGTTCATTCCGCCGGAAATAACACCGATTGTCCTTCGATTCTCGATCGTCTCGATGGATTCTGCCTTTTTCTCTTAGCAAATAATGCGGAATCCGTTCGTGTATCTTCAGTTAGTCTGATCAAATCCGTTGTCGTACTTGCTGACACTCTCGGTCTTCAAAATTCGAGACTGCTGCATATCCTAAACGAGTGTTCTATTCGTCAAATGAATATCGAATCTCTTCGGGCAATGATCGGCAAATACGCAACTTGTCGCGCTGAAGAATGGCGAGACAAGCTCGACGAGATCATCCAGTTTATTTGGGCGAATTCCACACAAGTGGTTCCACACAAACGAAGCCAATCGAAGAACTTTTCGTTGATTCTGTACTTTACATTCTTGGATACTTTCGAGCGGATTCGCTGCGGCCCCTGGGAAACGTTAGCAGCTGGCAATATGAATGTTCCTTTTATCGGTTCTGGTTCTCGATCTCGCGCTCAGCCTAGTGCAAGTGGCTACATGCAACAGTGGGGCAATTATTTGCTGGCATCGCTTGCTTCAACCCCCGTTTTCGGCTCTCGCGAAGCTACAAGCCACCCGACGGGCACTTCAGACTGGATGACGTGCACTGCGCTGATAAATGCAAGTAAGACGCCGGATGCTCTTTTCAAGTGGATATTGGATAGTTTGCAGAACACCTCAGAAAATGCGAAAAAGGAACTCATCACGACTTGTCTGGCGCGAACTAGTATCGAAGCGATTGACCTTCTCCTGCAGGAGCTCAAACTTTCTGAAGCAGCGCCAAGCTCTAGAAGAAAAAACAAGCGAGATAGACAGCGATTTCAAACAGCGAAAGTTATGGCTGAACTTGCTGAGCTCGGGAAACTTGCGACCGAAGTGAAAAGCGATAAAGAAACAGACGTTCCTATCCGAGAAGGCGTAGTTGATTACGCGATCAATTGTTATGAATATTTTCAAGGCGTAAACTTGGAGCAAGACTACTCTGAAGATAGAGACCAACGCAAATTTAATTTTATCCGTCTTCTCATTGGCCTGATCCGTAATTGTCCCGAATCACATAGAAAACACTTGTTCTCGACAGAAATTCGGAGCAAAATGGCAAGCCTATTTGGAACGTGGTGTCCATCTCTAGCAAGCGATCTGAATCAGCTATCTTGTATGGCTCTTATTGGCAGATGCTCCATTCTTTTGGCGGGTACAGTCGAACTAGATCCCCGATTTAGTGCTTGGCTCAGTCGACTTCTTCTGCTAGAAGAAAATGAGCAAATAAAATCAGCGATTTCTCAGATATCTGCCGTGAAGTGCTTCAGCTCGATCGATGCACTGATCATTGAGTTTGTTTCCGCCCTTCTCAGGGCGAATAATGATCAACTCTTTGAATTCTCCTCAGAGCTAATGCGTCGTTGCTATCAAGCTGATGCTGAGCTAGTTAATCGACGTGCTCTGCTAGCTCTTGCTTCAGTCGTTGGCTCTGAGGGATGGGACAGAATGGAAGCGCCACAGCGAGAACAGATGACGAGAATGAAAGTCCCTCTACTTGTTCTGGCAATGGCGAACATGTCAAATGAAAACTCACAAGTTGCTCAAGCCTCCCAACTCTTTGTTCAAGTCCTGGCGAAGCATTGTTCCAAAGAGGGGAAGGTCATTGAAAGCACCTCTCCCGAAAAGTACCCTGAGGTTCTAGCGGCAGAACTAATTGATCTTACATTCCCTATTTTGACCGAAATATTTCTCAGACTTCAAAATCGTGGAGCTGAAAACTTCCGTGAAGACTTGGTGGACCCAAAGATTGGTCAGATCGACAACTCTTTGAATTTCTTCTATGAGGCTAGACTATTGAGTTTGCTTCTTCACTGGTTGAGAAAACTGCAGCTAGACAGCTGCAGCAGCAAAGAATCCCTGTTCATAATAAATAATTTGTTATTCTGCACTTATACCTTCAGCCGCCGTCATCCTGTTGTTACACGAGAAGTCTGGTTTGCCCTCGGTCAAAACGAGCAAAACGCCATGATCGTCATATATTCTATTTGCGCTATGGCTCGGCTTGATAATCTTGATCAGACGGTTGTGGACTTATTCCAAGATGTGATGTCAGAAATCACATACGCATCTCCAAACGCCTTTGAATACCTTATCACATCATTAAACAACCACGGCCCAGTTCCGTACAATGTCCAGAGACTTGTTGAAAAGCCATCATGGATTGTAAAGAAAGTCAAATCCGACTCACCAAATGGATCAGTTAATTCAGCGAAAATTGAGGGCTCGTTGAGCGCCTCGCGCAATCGGAGAACTCTTACTGCCAGCTCCGTGGAGTTCGGTTCGAAAAAACAGTCTTCTATGCGGGATCGCGCTCCATCTCACAAGGAACTTTTCTACAGTCAAGAAGATGACTCTACTCGTCTCGATAACTCGCATGTTAACTTCGAGAAATCATATCTCCCGTTTGCCAAACTTCTTCCCGACCATTTCTATTCAACAAAAGCGTCTCTTGGTTCAATCTGTCTGCTTTTCGTTCCGCGACTTCTCGATGATCGTCGCCGATGCCAAAATTCACTCAGTAGCACAATCCCCTCTATTCTTGTTGCCAGCATTTTATACCTGGACTCGAATGTGTCCGACATTCGAGAAGCGGCTCGTCTCTCACTCCTCGCCATTGCTCATCGACAACTGGTGTCTTCAGAACTGAGTGAAGGCGCGCGCGTTCTCCTCCAGCAGCTCGAGCAGCGCGGTCAACTTCTTCTCGATGCTTATGACAGTGGATACCACAGTTCTTCTACATCTTCAATTACAGCAGATTTACCTTCGCCAATGTCAATTCAATCTCTCCTTACTAATGCCTCATGTTCCAGGTTATCATTCATAAATTTTATATTTTTCTGACGATTTTATAGTTCGCAATCGAGTCTTACGATGATGCATTTTCTGTGTACCACGCGAAAATTTTGGATCAAAGAGCTCGCGTCTCCAAGTTTTCTCCCGTCTTCTCTTCGTTCATCCGCCCAGCTCAAGCACCTAACCGAATCGCTCATCAACGTTTTTGGGAACGATTTGAAGAGCAAGCTTGGCGATTTAGCCATCGTGTCTGCCATCAGCTCTCCTTCACATCCGATTACGTGTCGTGCAGTTCAGCTCTATCGTTCTTTGCAAATCAAAATTACAGAAAGAACACTCAACAAAATGATCTCGAGAGTTTCAGAGATTGTCTCTGATCCTCATGAAGAAAAACAAGCCGCAGTCCTAGAAATTTTGGACTTATTCTACCAAGATGTTAAACTAAGAAATAAAATCAGTGAAAAGGGATTGAAAGATTATTCTGACTCTGGAAGCGCAACTGTGCCGAAATCCCACTTTCGGGAAAAGAGTGGCCATCGACGAAGCGGTTCGATTTTGGTAATGACTTTAAGGCCGAACAATCGAAGCTCGAATCGAAATCAACATCGACTGGGGCGATAACATCTACAGGAAAATCTTCCTATGTTGTTCTGGCTGATGAGCGAAATGAACGACTCGACGATGATGACGCTAGAATACTGTCGATATTCCTTCAAGTTGGTATAGCGCTCTTGCACTCTGATTTCGAACATGAGTTCCGAATGGCGCTCAAGCTCATAAGTCAGATCAACCACATTGTTCCTATTCGGCTTCTTGTACATTGGTGCAAACGACGGAACATACATCCTGCGAAGGACTTACAGAAAATGCTCTGGAAAGGTCTCGTCAAGGAGAAAGATGTCTCATACGATGCCGTCGATCTGGACATCGAAGTCTATCAGGTTTTAACTGAGCTGCTTCCTTCTTCTTCTAGCTTTGGCGATTACGGATTCTCGTTGCAACTGTCCTCTTTATTGCCGCGCCTTTACGAGAACTTTGTTAAACTTAATCCACAAGACATCAATGCAGCTCGACGGACCGGACTAGTCATCAAGCTGATTTTATCCCAAACAACTTCCGAGAGCACTTCCCTCAAAACCCCCGCTCAAATCGAGGCCGGTCAGAATCTCGAGAAAATTATGCGGATGTATGCAAAAACCGAGTACAAAAACGGCAACACCACGTGGCTCTCTGCTGCCTGTAAATACTTGCACGAGTTCGAACCGGATGCTATCAACGATCAGTTAGACTTCTATTTAACTTTAATTGACTCTCGCGACTGTGCCTCTTGGCTGTGTGCTGCCAGTGCGGCAATAATACGCTACTTGCTCGAACATTGTCTTAATTCGCACTACCCACCAGCGTCGCTGAATAACGTTATTTGTTCGCTTACAAAGATAGTGCAGCAATCTCATAAAGCAAAAAACAGTCCTACTTTGATTGATAATGCCTTGTCTGCCCTTCAGTCAATTGTGGCTCGAGCTGCCACTTTATTCAGCCCTGGTGACAGTCGCTCCTCGAGCCCGGTCTACTCAAATCTGATGCCCGGGCGCGTGCTTGACTTTGAAGTCGATTATAATGAGGTCGATGAAGTGCGACGGCCACTAGTCCCCTGGAAACGCAATCCGACAGGTCGAGAAGTGAAGAAAAAACTCCGTTACATTGCTCACAATTCAATCATGTCTAACAACACAGTCACTTCCCGTCCTCCTTCCGTACATAATATCTCGGGAAAAGGTGACTATGTCGATTCTGATCCTGGAGTGATAAAAGGCAATAATTTGGCGAGTTCTATTAGCGAGTCAAACGCAGCAATGTCAACTGAAGAAGGGCACGAAGACGACACTAAGACAAATGGAGAGCACTTCGAGTCCCAAATCATGAAGGATTTTGATTTCCTCTACGATGACTCCACTGCCGGTAATACCGTTGATTATCTCTACGAATATGATGATTTCACCAGTGATCCGAAGCCTTTCAGGTTGTTCTCTGCTGTTTTAAAATTTTAACTCTTCTTTAGTCCTAGACACGATTCTGCACACGATACCGAGAGGGAAAACGAGCTCAAAGATGTCGAAGACAAGGAAGAGAACGATGACGAGATTGACTTGCGTTACCCTTCGGAGTCTGATAATAAGATAGACATGATAGGTAAAATAAAGTAAAAGAGGATGGTCATAACAAGATATAAGATCTACGACCTGGCAATTCCAACTCTCAAGAGGATTCTGACCCAGTTATCATGAAGCCTGTCAAGGAAAAGCTTAGAATATATTTTAGGCTATTCTCTACGGAAAATATTTTCTATATCTAAAGTAGCAAAAAAAGAAGAAGGAAGAGCGTCGCAGACGAGAGCGTGTTCTTGAAATGATGGAGTTCGATGGCAACTCTTCGGATACGTCGACCCAGAGCAAATCAAGAACATTTGTCTCGCCTCTCAAAAATAAAACACTGTCGGTTCACCGGACAAAAAAAGTATCTACAAGCAGCCATGCGACGACGAGGCCACTCTCCAGGTGCATGATCAGAAAAATTAACATTTATTAATGTTAATTGTAGCATGTCTGAGAGTAACTTCTCTGAACTTGAGCTTCCGTGGTGTTCCACTCTACCTCTGTCCCCTTCTCTAAAACATCGTTGGCAAAAGCTTATCGAAAAGGGTGATAATTTAGCAGCACTTCCTCTTTTTCCAAACATTTGGAACGCTTTACGCGCTTCCACCAACTGGATTCTCTCAAGCACAAAAGATCAGATGAAGAGCCCAAGCACAAGTTCTGTTATCGTCGAGATCGACCAGCGTTTCCGCGAAATTTGCCAAGTGATGAACGAGCTCTGCCCTTCAATTGTGTTTGCCACCAAAAGCGCAATCAACGAAGAAATGACAACCACTCTTGCGTTGGGAATTTCGAAGCTGTCTCATGGACTCGAGAACTTCGCCATTCACGATACCAATACCCGTAATTGCATGGACTACATGAACTCTAAAGACCTCGCAAAGGTATCCAGGTTGATAATCTAAGGCGAAAATGTAAACAAAGAAATGATTTTTCTATCTTAAATTTCAGAGGCTCCGAGCACGCCTAGTAAGTTAACTGTTTCAATGTAGCATGGGACTTATATTTGAGTGTTCGGCGAAACTGCCTGTTTTCGCTGATTGTGTATTTGTTCCCTCTATAACACTATTTCTAGCAACTAGAATACTGCAAGCTACTCTATCTCCTATTCTTCCAACTGAATCAGATCCTCATGGAGTACGATGAGGTGAGCTTTCTTTTTTCTTCAAAAATATATAATAAACCAAGATCACGAGACAAGTTTACAACGGACGAAACTTGAGCCACACTGATCTCAGTCGAAAGATGAATACTCTAATGAGCTTTTTCGAAAACTGTTTCAACTCCCATCGTAAGTGTTTGCTTGAAAGGCTTGTATAAAATGTGATTAGCGGACATGAAACACTTCGAACTACTCAGCCCTGATCCACAAGAAGTTTTTGGCTGTGCGGAAATGGGAGATGTTGGTGGTGTATTGGAGATCGTTCAGAAATATGGAAAAACAACTGCTGCTGCATCACCTGAGTCCGGAGCGTTTTTTGCACTCGCTGCGTAAGTCTGTTTTAAATTTTCATGAGTATTTATTTTTTGTAGCTCCTGCTTCCTGGGAATGAGCAAAGAAGGCGTGCCAGAGGTAGCGCGTACGGCTAGATGGCAGCAACTCGACGCTGGAAAGAAGTTTCAGACAATTTCTAACCGCCTGTTGGAGGTGGATAGATTCATCAAGGTTTGAATTATATAAACTTTAAGTGACTTTTGCAATAATTAATTCAGGCACAGATCCGCAACGCGGAAGCTGAAAGCCGGTCGGGTTCGCGCCGCGGGCGTCGCCAGAGCTCGACGAATTCTTTCGTCCAAACGCGTATGAGTGTGGAGGACCTGGAGACGGACAATTCGACTTCGCTTTACTCGCGCAGTCTCAATAACGATCAGGTATTTATCCTCACGAGAAGCGAGAAAGTCGAACACCTTTATATTTATAGAAATATTAGCTTGTAGCCGTGGTGAGTTTAATAAGCAATCAAAATATGAAAGTATACGCACCTGAAATCACTCACGAGTATCAAATTAAACTCTGTACCTATCATAAACCTCTTAAACATAAATTTTTCACCAAATAACGTGGATTCGGAACAGAGCCACAGAATCATATGTTCAAATCAAGACATTTATCATTCTTCCCCTTTTTTTGCAAACTAAAATCGACTATTCAGATAACCAAAGATGGCAAAGAAAAAAGGAAAAAGCGCCGTCCGAATATCCATCGGCGTACAAGTTTCTAACGCACCAGAGCTAAACCAGAGCAATTTTCTTCAACAACAACGTTTACCATTCCGATTCAACTTAACTATTTAAATATCTCTTCAACTTTTGCTACATTTCTTCCAGCAAACGATTCGTTCATATTCATTTATATTTATATAAAATCTTTTGACTCCGTCTCATCTTAAATAAATCGCTCAATAACTTCACGCACTCATTATGTTCTTAATATGATAATAACATATTATTTACAAAAATTGTCAAGAACCGAATAAGTCGCAGCAGGGATAGGAGTAAGTTTAAAAAGTTATCTGGTAATGTCGTGAATGAGACAGAAAAGAACGAAGTTCTAGTTCATATCTGCCATAGGAATTGCTGCATTTATCCTCGTTCGGATCTCGTCTTCAGTCATATTTGGAGTAGAAGCATTGAATTGTATCCTTTTTGTGTTATTCTTATCGCTCAGGTCAAAAGCAGTGACTGTCGAATCCTGGGTTGCAAATTGTACCATAAATTAGACGACGTTAGCTTTTAATATTTCTGGAAAAAACAAATGAAACGTGCCTGAAATTATTTGCAACCCTAGACAAGAGGCGACTCGCATTAAGTTCAAATGAAACTTCAAAAATATCAAAAATACGTTTCGCTTTGATGAAAGATACCTTCTACTTTCGGCTGTTCGATGGGTCCTTTTTCGCATTGAATAGTTATCTGCTGGATTTTGACTTCTTTCTTTATATCCGGATCTTGCGTGTCTTCAATTTGGTAGATAGGTATAATGACCTCGGTCTGGTCCGGGCTGTAAGTAAAAAACTTTTGTGTGACGGCGGGAGACGGGATGGCCGATCCTTTTTCGATCAGCTTTGTTACGAACGCCCCTCTATTGATTAGGTTATGCGAATGAAACGCTATTAATTGACTCACTGGTCTTCTTCAACTCTAACTCCAAACGTGAATGGATTGATGTCCACAAGAGTTAAGTCTTGAAGTGCCTGGTTTCCGTTTCGTTTGGCAGCGAGAATCGCGCAGCCCATTGCGACTGCCTCATCCACGTTGATTGAAAAGTCAAATTTTGTCCTTAAATTGTTTAAAATGAAAGACTTAAATGGAGAAATACTTTTGAGGAAAGTACTCTTTCAACATTGCCTGAATTTTGGGAATACGTGTCGAGCCGCCAACAATGACGACTCTGTCGATTTCCTCTTTTTTGATCTTTGCTCCTTCCAGATTGCGAGTGATAATATCGATGGTGTCCTTGAACAAATCGACGCAGAAATTCTCAAACTTCGCTCTTGAGAGTGGGGAGTCATAAATATGATCCCCCACTTGGAAACTAACATTTGTCTCTCGCTGAACAGTGAGCTCTTTTTTCGCATGTTCCACGACGTCCCGGAGAAACAATCTGTCCCGTTTGTACTTGTCGTCTGACATGTCCAGCTTCACTTTATCCCGACGATTTAACTCGAGAATAAGCTTGTTTGCGATCTGGATTTATTCTTGAATTTTCCACAATAAGAGAAAAATCTTACTCTGTGGTTGAAATTCTCGCCGCCAAGATGAGAGTTCCCGTCGACTGCGATAACTTTCAAACCCTGATTCTCCTCTACTTGAATTATCGTGGCATCGAAAGTTCCGCCGCCGAGATCATAAACGAGAATCTTATTTCCAGTGCTGAGTCTATTTTTATGTCCATATGCGATCGCTGCTGCGATGGGTTCGTGGACGATCTGGAGAACTTCTAAGCCAGCGATTCTAGCAGCGTCTTCGGGGGATTTTTATGAATTCAAAAAATATGAGCTCACCTTCTGTCGCCCGAATACGTCTCGCATTAAAATACGCAGGGACGGAAATAACTGCCTTTGTAATTCCTTGTATTCCCAACGCTTTCTCCGCTAGAAATTTTTCTCTACTAGTGAAAAAATTATGTGCAATACCGTCCAATCTGACTTTCCGGAGAATCTCTGAAGCAATTTCTTCCGGAGAAAAATTTCGCCTTTTGCCTCTTTCGTTCACTTGAAATTTCAACTTGCCGTTTTCGTCGATCGGCTGCTGCCAGGGCAAGTGGAGGTTGTCAATCTCTACTTCTTCGTCTTTCGGTGATCGACCCATGTATCGCTTTGCGAGAAGAATTACATCCTCGGGATTAGAACGCATTCTTTCATAAGCGATGTTTCCAATAATCAAGCCCTTTTCTGTGTACATAACGCAGCTTTTCATAAGTCGATCTCCCTATTTTTACTTTATTCTTTTATGAGCGATTTCATGGTACCTCTGCATTTTGCAAGACCTCCGCGTTATTGCGCCGATAAACTGCGAAGACTGTATGTGTTGTTCCCAAATCTATTCCAATCGCGTACTCATTTTCATCCGTCATTTCTCTCTCCTTCAAAAATTATTCTCGGATGAGTTTTCCCTTTTCAATGGCGTTTTTGATTGAACGAATAGTTTGCTCAAAAATGCAGATAAGGTAAATATTTGAGGTAGAAAGATTACGCCGTAAGAATGACGTCCTCATACATTCTTTTATCCTTCATTTTGATATCTTGATAAATTTGATCATTTTTTTTTGTTTTCGAATTCAATTTCATGGGTACTTCCAATTACTGTAATTTGAATTTAAATAAGAAAAATGCTAGTTTACAGCTTAGGATTAGTATCAAAACTTTTTCCGTTGACAATTGCTGCGGAGAAAGAAAAGTTTTCCGAAATTGGCTTGTTTTGGACATTGGGCGCTTCTAGATGTACTTTCGAGCCGATAGGCCCCGGCGCGGGAGCTAATTTCTCCAAAAAGTGAAAAAAGTTTTTCATTTCGCTTTTGACTGAAAACGAAAATCATTCAAAAAAAAAGAGATTTCCGGCCTTCTTCTTCTTGGACATGGAGGAATTCTACGACAACAGCTCTACCACCTGCACCTTCGGCGACTACAGCTCTTTGATCAACAACACCAACTTCCTTTCTCCACTCCCTCAGGTAATAAAAGCCGTTTGTATCTTTGAAAATGATCTTTTTCAGGGTGAAGAAGTCCGAACCTTGTACATCACCGGTCTCCCAGCGGACATCAAGCGACGGGAAATTCGAGTCCTTTTCCGAAACGTTCCCGGTAAGAATCGATAAGAATTTTTTTGTTAAAAATTTGACTTGCAGGATATGAGGGAGCGATCATCGCTGGGCCACCTGCTCACAAACCCCACGGACACCCGATTGCCTTTGCAACTTTCACCACTGTCGAAGCTGCTAGAAGCGCAATGAACAGCTTCAATGGCTTCCAGCTTGACCAGGAAAGCACCTTGCGTTTGAAAATCGAGTTTGCCAAGGTAAAAACTCTTTCCGTAGAAGAGAATTTTCTCAGACAGGTCTAATGATCTTTAGGCTAACACAAAATGCAATGTTCGACCGAGAAACGAGCTATTTCCAATGGGAATTCGAGAATTGGATGAAGCACCGTACTTCTCCCTGTCACCGAAAGCCTCTCCATACAGCATGGCGGGTTCTCCTCCAGACCAACTTGCTCCTGTTCTTCGAGTTGCGCCTGTCTACCCAGTTCAGGAGCATTTTTCCCCTCCGATGATTTCTCCCGCTCCTCAACCAGTTTTCTGGTATGTCATTCGATATCTCCTTTTCCTTTAAATAATTTTACAGCGTTTACGTTACAAACATCAAGCCGGGACTATCTCAAATGGAGCTTGAGAGCGCATTCAGCAGCTTTCCTGGGATCGTCATTTTGAGACAATCTATGTAAGAGCGCCATCATTGACCAATTTATGAAATGTTTCTAGTAATGCTTCGTGGCTCTGCATTCAAAGCACCTCCTCGCAAGTTCTCGCGTACTTGTCCGACTGCATCAGTCGAAAATGCATCGTCAACAACATCGAGATCGGCCTCTCTCCTGGATTAAACGTCTTGGATGTCTCTAGCACTTGATTTCCACACTCATCAAGTCATCTTTTACAGTAGTCACTTATCAACACTTTCTTCTAATTTTAGTTTAGCTTCTTAAATATTTTCTCCCTTCATCAACTTATCCATTGTCATACCCACTAGTCAAAACACTCAAAGTCACTGTTTACTGTATTTCATTCTAACTCGAAACTACTGTCATTAAACACAATCGCACCAAGACGTTTGAATGATTTATCTCAAAAGCAGCATTGCAATGAAATTGCAAGCGAGCAGTGTTTCGTGTTTTCGGGAATCAGAAATTGAACGTTTATCAGATTTAGCCAGCTTCCCACGAGTTCAATGGGATGCAGAGAATCTAGTTTTACCGGCCGAACAATTTTTATTCTTGATCAAAGATGCACAAACTCGCTCTCAATAATGTTTGTCGTTAAGATTATGGAGAATGTGCTTCTTCACGAAACAAAAACTGAACCCATGGAGGTAAAAGAGGAGCCAACTGAAATCATCGAGGACCCGAGCACAACGGCGGTGAAAATGGAGATGGATAGCGAAGAAGACAGCGAGCCAGAATTTCACGTGTCAAATAAAAACCCAGAAAAACTTCTTGAAGAGTCAGACGATGAGGCTTCTATTCCGCCGAAATCAATCGCTTCGGAGCTTGGTATTCGTTCGAAGACTATTTTTCAAGGTAAACAAGCTCCGTGAATAATTATTTTCAATCCTTTGCGTACAGAATGCAAAGATACAGTACGACTTGCTGGGAAAGCTGCTGTGAACCTTGCGATTGAACTTGAAATGGCTAGAGACGACCACGTTATCAAAAATCACTACGATTTTAACAGCCCAGCTTCGTACAACGGAATATTGACAAAAGAGAATGCGGCTGGGAGAAATCACTGCACGGAAAATCACTTTTTCAAATCGTTGCCTAAATGGGTGATAAAACAACTTCAACAGCCAAACTTGCTTCCCGTTATTTACAAATTCAAGTAAGAAACTTTGTTTCTCTTTTTTCAAACTCCGAATTGAAGCGGCCCTAGTGATCTATCACTTGCCAAAGGGAACCCTTTTGGATCTATTGCGGTAGCCTTTCTCATCAGCCAGATAGGCCTATACGACGTTATTGGGCCAAAAGCATTCGTGTCCGGCTTCAATCAGCTCTATCGAACAATGTTCACCAAGCCACCAGGAGCACCAGAAGAAACATTACCTCCAGAACACCCCGTACGAAGATTTGACTGTCTTTCTTTGGATGAAAATGAAAAAGTAGAGTTCTTGGAAAACGAAAGCCGATGCGCGCTTTATAAATCGCAATGTTTCACCTTTGTTTCTGCATTGAGTTCAGACTCAGATTAAAGTTCTCTGCAAATAAAAAAAATATTTTTCATGCTCATAGTTCGAAATTCGGCGAACTTACTTAGTTCAACCATTTTTCGTGTGTAACTCGCAAATGTAGTTTTAGGATTGGTAGCCCTTAAAAGGGCTGGTTTTTTGGCTGTTAGTGGAGTTTTATTTCTGCCACTCGCTGGTAGAAGGCTTGGTTCGTGGAAGGAGGTTGGGATGAATGTGAGGCGTCACGCCTCCTTGAGCAAAGGTGACGTTGCCAACGAGCGCCTTGAGCTCCTCATCCTGATTGACAGCGAGCTGTATGTATCGAGGAGAGATTCGCTTTTGCTTGTTGTCACGAGCAGCGTTGCCGGATAGCTCGAGGACTTCGGCGCAGAGGTACTCGACGACCGCAGCGATGTAGATTGGAGCGCCGAGAGTCACCTTGTTGTTGGCGTTCATCTGCCTCATTGTCCGCTTCATCTTGTGGACTGGGAGTTGAAGGCCACTCATTTCTTGAATGTTCTTCGCTTTTTTGCCCTTCACTCGCATCGCTCGCATTTTCGCCATCTTCTCTTTCGCCGCTTCGGATCCTTTGACGAAGGTCGAAGCGTCGGTAGAGACGGAAGAATTGCTGGTAGAAGCGGCATCCGAAGAGACAGAGTCATCCAAAGCTTGCTTCTTCTTGTTGGATCTGGCCATGTTGAAAAATCAAAGTTTATTTTACGTCTCGGACCAGAGAAAGAGACTCTTCACTGTGATTTCTGGCCGCCCAGGCAGCCTTTTTATACCCAGGGTTTCGGATGGATCCGGAGGAGTGTATTGCGAAATATGGGTTGTCTCCCACACGGGTTTCCATCACCGCGGCATGCGCGAAAAACAAAATCTGGAAAGAGTGCTTCCCACCCGAGAATGTGACGAAATATGGGTTGTCTCCCATGCATGGTTCCTGCGCCGCGCCCAACACGAAGCTAAGAGTCTTGAAAGTGAGCTTCTCACCTAAGAATCAGGCGAAATATAATTCTGTGAAGATGTGCTTTAGTTGTTATAATAGACATTTTTTTACAATTTCAAAAACGTCACTGATAAACTGCTCTAACAAAAATAATTAACTAATAAGCAAGAGCCTGCACTCCTGCAATAACCATACATGCACACTCGTTGTTAGCTTTCTGCAACAATAAAATGTCAGTAACTGTTTTCAAAATTTTGAATGAAAATGTATTGTCGCGAAGATGAATTCTCAAAGGCTCTTGAGGAGGGACAAGCATTGTCCAACAAATCTAATTCCATTCTACTTAATAAGCATTTTAGAGCTTCATGAAACAGGGTTATTTATTTTTCGTAGTTTTCATTCTTGTTGAAAAGAAGAGAGTACTAGCACAGTGCGGTGGCAGCATCCAAGATGGATCGAGTGCAATAGAGCCTCCAATGGATCCTGGAAATCCTGCTAGATATGATACGGGTCTTAAATTTAGAATGTAAAGACTAGCATTACCATCAGTTTTAGACTATATAACTTATAGTGGAAATCCGGCCCAAATTATATGACATATAAATAAATCATACATAATGACAAATTAAATACCTAAGCGCCCCGAATAAAGCAAACAATGAAGAATGTCAGTGGACTATCGGAAATCCCTCCCTTCAAATTCTCCTCAGAGTGAGTTCAGTATTTGGGGTTGAAAACGACGGAAGATGTCGCTGGGATTACGTTCAAGCTAGAGCTCGAAACACACATGAATGTCATCTGTAAATTATGTTGAGCTCTTTACAGTAACTGCCGCGGGAACACTTCAAGGAAAATACTGTGGAGAAGGAACGGGCTTTGCTGGCGAAGAGTTTCTCTACCAAGGACCAGTTGTCATCGAATGGAAATCTGACGGAGGTGTCAACAACATAGGATTTCGTATCGAATACGAAGTTATCTCGGCCGACCCATGTGACAATGTCCAATGTCAAAACGGAGGCACTTGTGATGAAGGAATGTGTGTATGTCTAGCAGGCTTTGAAGGCGAGCTTTGTCAAGAAAACGTAGACGACTGTATCGACGTCTCCTGCAATAATGGAAGCTGTGTAGATGGAGTCAACGATTTCTATTGCGATTGTTTTTCCGGATTTACTGGCTATTAAGGATATAAAGATATTTAAATTTTATCTAATAAAAACATGTATTTTTATTTCCCGAAGAGATTCATGTGAAATTGACATTGACGACTGCTTTGAAGATGCCTGCCTGAACGGCGGAGAATGTATTGACGATATCAACTTCTTCTGGTGCTTCTGTCCGGAGAATTTTGGCGGCGATTTCTGCGAAACCTTACTGGATCCCGAAACGGGCTTACCAGATGGGTGCGCTTTTGAGAATTGCGAGAGGCGAGGTGTATGCTCCAATTTACAAGATGAACCATGGTTCGAGTGCGAATGTGAACCAGGGGTCCGAGGAACAAGGAAAGTTTGAAACGAACAGAAAAATATAGAAAAATAAGAATAAGAATTTTTCGTTTTAAACTTAGCATGGATGCGAAGAAATCTACGGATGCGTTCTTCCATCAAACGAAATTGTGTAAGTCGCTGAATATTTTCGCAGGCTGTCTATGAAAGTGTCTAGCCTAATCGGAGGAAGTGTAATTTATGCTTGCTCGTCCGCAGCAGATCCTATGAACTCTACTTGCTTACCCGACGGAACATTTGACAATCCACCCAACTGCGATACTGGGAGTTCTAGCGGTAATAAGGCTGTCTTCATGATGTCAGGTATACTTCCTGTGGAAAAGAAAAATGTTTTGCATGAATTTAGGAGTCTTTCTCACTGGGGTCTGTGTTATCAGTGCAGTATTATTGAAAATGGTAATTTCATCTCCGATTTCTGGTTGGAGGGGATAACATCATGAAATCATTTCTGTTCAATTTGATATATATTTATTTATCTCTAAATAAAAATGTATAAATGGACTTAAGTCTTAAGACAATTAACTAGAGTACAAATGCAATCAATGTTTAAATTGATAACCATGAACATTAATTTTTTCTGCCAGGAGTTCGGTCTCTTACACGACTTTTCTCGCATAAGGGACGAAAGAATAATTACATATTACTTTTATTTTGAGAATATCAATAATAGAGGTGTGTGTAAATAACATCGCTCAATAATGTTAGCCAGACAGTTCCAACAATTGCCATCGTCCATCTATCGGCTCGCTAAATTGAGTTCAATTACGTTATGTTGGCAGTGATAAATATACCTGCTTATGGTACTTTCTGAGCCGTCTTCGAATGAGAATTTTCCTGATGACATATCGATGTAGCTTATGGTACTCTTCAGTTTGATGTAGAGGACACATCACCTTGTAGTTTCCAATTAACGATGGTGTTAAGTATATCTTCGTTTTGAATAATTGATTTATTCGGGCAGCTTCCTTATGATTGATGATGCGATGCTCCATCCCTGATTTAGACTTAGAACTGATTATAGCAAGCAAAAGCAGATCAAAATAACTTAAGTTCTAGAAAATACATTTTTAGAGGTAGGTTTGGCTTGCTGAATCTGATAAGGACTGGTGCCCGAGATTGGGAACCGGGATCGATGTAAGTTGATGATAAGAGAAAATTATGATTTCGTTTGTTTACACTCAACGATGTCTGTGATTGCGCAATTTACTCAAAATTAGGAATTGAATGAAGTGATCGAAGTGTCCCTCACCACCAATCGCCATTTATTTGTTCTAAACTACTCCGTTCTTTGTCTACGGGGAGCAACAAAAGGGTTCCGTTTTTAATTTTTTGAGGAGCAAACAGCGCCAAGCTCGAAGAGGTTTTATAAATCTTCCCATCCAGAGACAGCCGCTTTTATTGTTCCATAAAACGAGAGAGAAAGAGACATGAAAAAATGGACGTTCTTACTGTTTATGCGCGCAGATGCACTTTTTCAGGAAATAGTGAAGGACGATGCCGCCCGTCAATAGCAACAGTATCTATAAACAAACATTCGTTTAGCGCATTGACTCCTTCATCTATCTCAACAGACAAAACAAGAAGCATCACAAGTCTTACAGCGTGTAAGACGATCAAACAATATACTGGAGGAGTTTACTCAAAGTGCTGATTTTGAGCGTGAATGCGTCGAGGAGGATTGTAACCAAGATGAACTGTTTGAGACAGCAAAGGGCCTTAATCAACATGCGAAAATCCGTAAATGGGAAAAATACGAAAAATGCAAAGAAATTCTGAGCAATGAATACCGAGGAGAATGAGCACGTGGAAGAATAACCAACTTCCAGAATGTATGGAAGACGAGGATCAATGTGCAGCGAATCCTTGCGATCAAGCTCATACGATTCGTTGCCAGGACTTGATAAGGGACTTTCGCTGTGAGTGCGAATATGGTTACGGAAAGAAAGATTGTGGCACACTGGTAAACTATTGCGTGAACAACCCTTGTGTTAATGGCATTGGCGGAGAAAAGGGCGACGGATGTATTCCTGAATACGAAGATTACACATGCAATTGTCAACTTAATTGGGAAGGAAAAAACTGTGAGAAAGAGGTCAAGGATTGCAGGCGTGAAGTGCTTGAGCCTAGCGATGAGGCCTACCAGTGCGTCCACGGAGAATGCGACGATCAGCAGGAAATGTGCATATGTGCGCCAGGCTGGGTTCATTCAAATAGCGGCTTTGACGTCTGCGACCAAGACGAAGATGAATGTGAAACTGGCTCTCACCAGTGCGAGCATCAATGCGAGAATACCATTGGCTCCTACATCTGCAAGTGTAACAAGGGATACATTAAGAGTAGCCAGAATTCGAACAAGTGCGACGATGTGGACGAATGCAGACACAACAACGGCGGTTGCGAAAAATATTGTTCGAATACAGAAGGAAGTTTTCAATGCAGTTGCCCTGACGGATTCACACTAGATATGAGGTAATATTTCGCAAATAATGAAACCATATTTGCAAAAGGATATCTACAGGTACGAACGACACTGCTATGACGATGACGAATGTGAAGACAATAACGGAGGTTGCTCTCAAGAGTGCAAAAACACTCATGGTTCGTACTACTGCGGATGCGAAGATGGCTACTATCTCGATAATGACCGTCATACTTGTAAAGATTTGGATGAATGTCATCCAGAAGACCTTCCTGCAGCTGCACTTTCCCAGGGTGAGAAATTCTTTTCTACTTTTTGAAGATATTCTTAGATCTGAATCCATCCTTAAAAATGCAGCTTGACAATATGGAACCAAATGGGAAGTGCGACCAACTTTGTGTTAACGAAGATGGTGGTTATCATTGCACTTGCGAATCAGGATATCACATTCTTAACGATGGCTTCACTTGCATGGACGATGATGAGTGTCTCGACGGAACTCACGAATGCACTCAAAAATGTATCAACACTGATGGTTCCTACGACTGCTCTTGTAAAGAAGGCTTTAAACTTGATACGGTAAGACTATCCTAAATATAATCAAAACGGTATTTATGAAGAGCGACTGGAAAACTTGCCACGACATCGACGAATGTTTGGAAAAACAGCACGACTGTCGATCTCCTTCTGTTTGTGAGAATACAATTGGGTCCTATGAATGCCCTTGTCCCTCAGGATACACTCCTGCCATGAGCCGATATAGCAACCCACCATGTATCGATATCGATGAGTGTCAAGACACTCCCTGTGCACATGGAGGAATCTGCACCAATATTGATGGTGATTTCCTGTGTAGCTGCATAAACACGGGCTTTATCGGAAAAACTTGTGAGATCGACTTGGACGAGTGTCGCTGTATGGAGGACCCTGATTACAAAAATGAGCATTCATCGTGCCTTGCTCTTCTTAGAGAAGGTCAAAGATGTCAGCATGAGTGTCAAAATTTCAATCCAGACTTGGACAAACAAGGTCGCAGGAATCGGTCACGTTTATGATATTTTGAAAATTTTGAGACTCGTTTATGACCGAAAATCATAGATATGAATGCAGCTGCAACACTGGCTATATGTTAGACAGCGACAAGCACACATGTAACAATATTAATGAGTGCGAGTGCTTCGAAGGTGGTTCGCGCTTTTATAATCAGAACCGTGAAGTTTGCGAAGAATTCATGGATCGCAAGTGTACCGAGGATTGTCGCGATACATCTGGTGATTTTCAATGCAAGTGCAAAAAGGGACACTGGCTTCAGGAGGATGGTTTCACTTGTGCAGATGTCGATGAATGTCGCTGCATGAATGATCAGACTTACAAGGTACTCCTCGTTGATTTTTTTTCAGGATTTTTACATAATCTGGATTCGATTTAATAATGATTTTCGAAAGGAACTCCTCAGAAAATCAGATTCGGATGCTTGCAGCAATCTCATCAAATGTCACCATAAATGCAACAATCTGGAGGAAACTTATGAATGCAGCTGTCGAGATGGATACCTCCTCTCACCGGATGGACACAGTTGTGAAGACATAGATGAGTGCGAGCTCGGAACTCATAACTGTGGCGACGGAGCAATTTGTGAAAATACCAGGAACTAGTTAAACCAGTGAATTTATCATAGAATAAAAGACAAGAAATTTGATATTTAACTCAATGAAAGCGGTAGTTTTGAATGTGTTTGTCCGAGAAACTACGCTCTCGATCTGGACAGAAACTGCAAAGACGAAGACGAGTGCAAACATTCCTCATGTGATCTTAAAACATCTTATTGCAACAATCTTCCTGGCAGCTTTAACTGCGTCTGTCGCGAAGGTTATGAGGAGGACAAGACGACAAACCAGTGCAAGGAAAGATTGCTCAACTTTCGATCATCCATAATCCTTTATTACAGGACATTGATGAGTGTTCTACAGGATCTCATACGTGTGACGAAGGATTTGTCTGCCAGAACACAGTCCCTAAATATGAATGTGTCAGGCCAAACGTCCCAACAGTTTGCCATGAACCGATCGAGCCTATGGCAGAGTCATACCAAACCGGACGGAAATTCAATGGCGAGAACTCGCAAGTCATTGATCTTAAAATCGTTGGTGAGGACAAGCATTTCGAATTCGCAGTGAACTTTCGAACACGCGATGAAAGTGGTGTGTTGATGGAAATGAGCTCAAGAAAATCAAAGAAAAATAAGGGTCAGCTGATAAGGGTAAAATTGGCCGATGGTATGGTCACGACGGTTCTTTCTGAAGGAAGCGAGATCAAAGGTGAATTTATTGAAAAAATATATCTTATGATAAAGTTAGGTTCACAAAACGTTACAAATAGCTATTCAAATGGCTATTTTTCGACTTTAACTTTCCGTCGGGACTTCGGAGCTACGAAAGCATTGAAAATCTCCATCGACGGGAATATAATCTTCTCCCAAGATGGCTTTGACCAAGGAACATTTGGAACAAATATGCGTCGAGTAAGCTGCTTTAGCTTTTTTAATCTAAATTTGTTCAAGCTTGAACTTGGTGGAAGCAAAGACCAGCCTCTGATTGACCCATCAAACTCGCTCGATGCTTGTTTCCAGAAACAGTCAACTACATTTTTCAATAAATACGAAATTCCTTCTGAAGTAGAGGTGAGCTCCTCTGAACAATGCTTCGCTGAAATAGTGGATGGCGATGGCATCTACGCCGAGGGAAATGGCTATGCTACATTCGATATTTCAAAGGACAGACTTTAAATTGGCACATCAAAAATAATCTACAGCGATAATAAATTGTCAGTCTCGAAAAGCTTGAAAATCTTCACCGCAAAGACAGTCATTTTAGCTTTGGATTTTATGCGATCATAGAGTCCAATACAGGTTTTGACGTGCGATAATGCTATTTTTTAATGTTTTTTAAGGTACGATTTTTAAATTCGGTCCGCTGGAGCTGTCTGTGAAGTTTGGAAAATTATTTCTCACTTTGACCAAGCGGGGTCGATCAAAGACCGTCGACCTCGCTGACTGGGTTGTCCGGGATAAAAAGAAGAACCCCATGCATGCAAGACAACTGCATTTCTGCGACGGAGCAAAGCATATAATAAAGGCGAAGCTAATTCAAGAGCCCAACGCAAATACCAATAAGGCAATTGTAAGTAAAATAGGCTTTGAATAACTAAATACGCTGCTACGTAGATAGTGATTGGTACGCAAATGTTCAAGATGTCGGAACTCTTTGGAGATACAAGTCCGGACGCATTTGTAGATGAAATCACTCTTGGAGGAGAGAAGAACACAAACAAAGGCATACGCGGGATGTTCATGCCTTACCCGAGCAATGGACGACCCTGCCACTCACGGCGCATAATGAAGACTACGTGTGACTTCACACGACATGTAAAAGATTATGTTAACTTCCGACTGTTCTCGGCACCCGCCAGATTATTGCCATGAATGCATTATTGCCATGAATGCTTCTGTAAAGATTAAAAGAGAAACAATTTTTAAAAGCGGGTTCCATCACTTGAAAGAGATTTCCATAAGAGTATGCGCAGGTCTTTTACTATCCACTTTGCTAAATTAGCGGCGATTAGTCTTTTCAGAAAATTCAGCTCTTTCCTGCGCTCTGATTAAAGTTTAACTTGTGCTCATAAACGGGACATAAGTGCGGTATAAAATTATTTTCGCCAGATGAAGCGTCCTTGTAACATTCTGGCTGCTTGAGAATAAGAGAGAGAGAGGGAGAGTAAAGAAGTTTTGTCTATATAGAACTCGAGAATTAAGGTAATAGTATCACAGTAATACGAGAAGATAGTCAAAGATTTTTGTCCAAAGTCGATAAATGTGATGTTCATTATTAGTTTATGCTTCTTGCATTAATGATTTATTTATTTAATAAAAAATGAACTAAACGTGATAAAATTAAGGTGAAAAGATATTTGTTTATTGTTCTTTTTATAATTACTATATCACGATCTATTAAACTAAAAGACAACCTCGCGCGAGTGTATTCTTTTAAAGATAGTACTTTTTCGCTTGGCGCGAATTATTCTCCCGGTATGTCCCTAAAGCGGTGGGAAGTGTCGGCTGAGGGCGACGGAGCGCAACCTCTCTCGCCCGGGGCATAGAAACTATGGCGCCCATAGGCAGTGAGTTCTATTTTTTCTTCAGAAAACGCAAGAGACACTAACCGTCAATGTAAAAATAATGACGACAGCGACTTTATTGATGATCAGTAGCGACTTCAAATGAATTTACTCGTTCTGTGACCCAAGGCAGGTTCTCACAACAAGGAAATCTTGAAATAAAAAAAAAAGTTGAACCTTTCTCAGAATCCCGGTTTACCCCGGGCGACGTGAATCTACCTCAACGAGAAATCGCGACCCTAACCAGAGATGACTCCAATTCGAGTGGGAAATTCCACTGAAACTGGTCTCCTCGATGAATTTGATAAGACTTCCAGTAAAGTGTCTCCTCTGATGCAAAGTATCATTATTTTTATCTGGTTAGGCTTACGGTTTGTTATGATTTATTAACGCCTTATCAGTATGCTTGGCTTCTTCATGATTTTGTGGCTTATTGATCGCCTTTTCTGGAAACACACTAAAGTAAGTTCAGTCGACCTCGGTTGACCCTGTATTTCTAACCCATGAAGTAAGAGTTCGCGTGCATTTTGTATGGAGACTACGTCCTTAATTTGAAATTCTAACGCGGGTAGTATTCTAAATTAAACAGAGAAAACATCGCGCTTGGATGCATAAAAAGCGCCATAAACGGCGTATAAATTGAGTCTTTTCAATTTTCAGGTGCTAGGGGCCAAAGAAGATCAGTCCGATTTCGACTTCGTGAACAAATACTCGATGGCGATGGGGCCACGCATAAATGTTGGAAAACTTCGCACACTTGCTACGGCCAGTTCAAATGTGCGTCTATTCGAAATCTCCGACACTGATATGGCGAAGGGGCTAGAGTCTATGCAACGTAGCCATTCGATGCTCATGCACAGGAGAGACCAAAATATGAAGCTCCTAGAAAGGATATATTTTATTTGAAACATAAAAGTATAAGTCTTATAAAGGCGACAATCAACTGCATTTTTCAAACGACGTGATTCTACCTCTAGTAATAACAGGTACCGTAATGGGGACTGGATCTAATTCAATGCCAAGATCCAGCATCTAATGTTAGATGACAAAGCCGAAGCATTTAGCACGAGCGATAAATTCAAAAATCAATAATGTCGGCGACAAAATCGTCGAGAAGAATTAATTTTTGATTTTCACTCCGCTGAGCGATGGGCGCTCATCCTTTCACTCCCTTGACTAACCCGGAATCACTTTCAGTAACAAAAGTCACTCATCACTATCCGCCGAAAAGAAAACTAGATTTAACTTCAAAGTAAGAAATGTGGTTGTCAATTGTTGATTGGAGTTGAATATTTAAACGATAATCTAAAATCACGTTAGGCTTCCCGCTACATGTGGAAATCAATGAGGACAAGCGACAACTCGCTGCTTGGGGAGCCCGATCAAGTTCTTCCAATAAGCAGGTACTTTTCAATTGGGTACTTATTGCATAAACCTTCCATTCGAGTTTATTATATGCATGTCCCCAGAGTGCGTAGGTCCGTGGACAAGCTGTCGCGCCGATCCGCGATCAGTTCTCCGAGGTGCGCGCCCCAGTTTCCCACGCCCATCGTTGCTCATCACAAGATCCTTCTTTAGCGAACTCTTTATTCCTAGGGACAGCAGCATCGCCAGATCAACCTACTCTACGCGCAGAGCCAGTATCTGTATCGAGGTGAGTCCAAATATAAATCACCATCTCATAAAAAGAGATCACTCAATCATCTTCCTTCATCACTCACAAAGATCTTTCTCCATCTATTTAAAATAGACTATTTTCAATTTTAATTTGCATCTCAATTTATGAGGACATCAGGAAGTTCTAGGAAATATTTAAATTGTTTAAATTTTGAGAGATATAGTCTAAATAATACTGTATTTTCAGAGCCTAGCATGTAAGTAAAACTAAATTTTTAGCCTGGTGAATCAAGCATTGCCGAAGTATGATGACAACAAAGAAACGCGTCAGTCTAGATGCGAGAAGAATAGCTAGAGGTGAGCTAAATTTAGAAATATAGTTTATTTTAAGATTACCTCATGGAGGATTAGGCTAGCCATTTTCCCAGGGAGAGTGCATGTTTTCACGTCAGTTGCTAGTTCCCTTGAGCCGAGGCTGTTCGACTTCAAGCTGCGTTGTCACGGCGAAGGGTGTCGAGCAGCTGTTGGAGAGGTCTTTTTCAGCCGCATCAACACGGAGCTCGCACACCAGCTTCATCAACTTCACATCCCAGAGTAGAGATTATTGGAAAACCATAAAAAAGCTATGGTGAGTGTTGGTTATGATAATTTATGACGTCTAGCACTGTAGTATTTTGCTTTTTTTATATTTTTTGTCGTACATCTTAGATTAAATATCTTTTAAGACTGATTATAAAACTGTTGACTTCAGTTTAATGCATTCAAAATATGAGTCAAAAATAAAAATAAGTCAATCAAATATAGACTCAGGGTTAGGGTTGCGTATAAGCGCTTAAAATTCATCAAAAATTACACTGACATCTACTGTCTATATCGAAAATTTGGGGACAAATCGCCCGCCTATTCCTATCACTAGACCATCAAAATTAGCAGATAAATTTTCATAAGATGATTGTCACCCTTATTCGAGATGTAATACATTTCGAGTGTTACAAAAAGGGAGGGCTGTGTCCCGTTTAGCGTTTCATGAATAAAGGAGAACTTTTGGCCACAAAGTTGTTCGAATGTGCCATTTGAATAATTCACTAGCTGGCGGAACGAGTAATCTACTGGTGGTGTCCATTTTCAATTGCTACAAAATAACACCGTCTACCCGATTCTGCATTTTCTTAGCGTAGATTCTCATCTATTTTTGCTAGGGTGAACGACGTGGATCTATCAAAATGATGACCGCCGAGGAGGCTCGAAGCGCGCTCACTCCTCAACAGGTTGACGGTAAGTTTCATTCCCCTTTACATCGAAATCACCGGTCTTTAAGACTTCCAGTCGGCATTTAACATCTTCGACTCCGATGGAGGAGGAGAAATCTCCACCCGGGAATTGCTCAAGGTTTTCAAGATGCTTGGCTTTACTCCAACCAAAGATGAACTTGACGAAATCATCGAAGTCGTTGACCAGGACGGCTCTGGCGAGATCGACTTTGACGAGTTTCTCATCATGATGGTTATGCAGCTCAAGGAAGAATCCAAATCTCAGGACGAGACAGTTCTCAAGGACGCTTTCCGAATTCTTGACAGGTGTGGAATCTTATGTGAAGACTAAGAAAATGAAAACAATGAGAAACACTCCCTCCTTACCTCGATAAAATAGACTACTAATTGTTCATTCTAGTGACAAAGACTCCTACTTGTCTGTCGCCGAACTCGGAGTAGCTCTTGCTGGCGCAGCATCTGTAAGTTAACAAGATACTGTGGATCATTCTTGGGACGGCCTGTTAAATAGTACCTCATATTTTCTAACCATATCATTTTTCTATAAGTTCAAAGTTGTAAACGCGAAATGTACCTACGTGATCTGATATCCACACTTGGATTCAGAGGAGTTATCACTTTCTAGGTGCCACACCTTCTCAAATTGTACTCCTCTATAAAAATACTATAATTGACAATATAGAATAACTATATATAACAACGATGATTGATGTGAGATTGTAGGAGGAAGAAATCAAGGAGCTCTTCGATGATGCCAATAAGAAGGGAGACGGCAAACTTGACATGGATGGTGAGTTTATAAAAACAAATGCTTGGTTTCACAAATATCTTCTGTTTAAATAAGTGTTTATACTTGTTTTATTCAGAGTTCCTCGCTGCCCTCCAAGCTAACGGCCATTAATTCGATTCTCGCTGGGCGAGTGGTCCTGGGCCCACGACCACACGCTGATGGCAAACCACTTACAACAACACAACATCGTTTCTGGCCAGAGACAGGTGTATCTTCCCCTGTTCTGTATTATCCTATTCCCCCTTATTATTCAAATCTGTTTTGTACTGATTGACTACTAAAAAACTCTGTAAAGAATCTCGTTTTCTCGAACTTTTCTCAAAAAGAAAAAAATGCAGGAGCAAGCTGCAAAATTAATAAGACTCTGTATAACATGCAGCCTAATTATTCAATCACTGGACCAGCAAATACAAATTCGATCAGAAAAGAAGAATGTTCCACGATTATTCTTTAACTATCAGAATTATCCCTCCTGTCATATCAAAATAAATGCCATGCCCTGCAAGAATACATGAAGAAAAGGCTTCTCAAGGAAATCAGTTTTCATTAAGAAGTATGTTTAAAACTCGAAATATCTTTTTAATTAATTGAAACATGTGCAGCAGAAAGGTCGTATTTTGTCAGCAGAGAAGAAATAAAAATGCAGTGGGATAATTCCACAATACTTACAGAGGTTTGTTTTGCAGGTACCATAAAGTAGATAGATGTTAAAAAATAGGTAAATTGTTAGATTGATACAGTAACTTTGAGCGGGTCAGATTTTCAGCGAAGTCTTGATAAGAAAATTATTCAGTTGAGTTATAGCTCCACTTTTTTCAATAGGATGCCGGAACGAAAAAGATTTTTAGAGTAGAATAAATGAATGCGTAGAGATGGAAATTAACTGCGACTTGACAATACAGTGAAAATTTCAACCACTTGAAGTTGATTTTTTTGTTGAAGAAAGAGATTTGTTTCCAAGACTTTGGCAAATGCTCGTGCACGAGGCAGAGCCGATCAGCTGAAATAAATGTCAGACCATGTAGCACTCGGACGCGACATGAAAATAAAACATTGTTAATACAATCAGTTTAGTGCTGACCAAAAAGACGCGAATAATCAAAGGATGAACGGTCTCTGATTTAAAAATAAATAGCAAATAGATTGAACTTGAGCATGCCAATAATTGAAATTGATAAGTCTATTGATTATGCAGACTCAATAGTTTCCTATATTGTGAATGGGAAAGGAAGGCTTTTGTAGAATTCTAAGCGCCAATCGCGGCGAATTATTAATTGATTGGATGCAAATTTAATCAAGCGACTTTTGATTGAAAAGTTCTTTACCGGTAGCGAAGTGGTCCTGTCGGTCATCGCCGACTTTGTCCTCTGCGAAAAAAAAGTTAAAATATCTATTGCAGCAGACATTTATACTTTAAAGTTTAAACGTCGTTAATGCAGTTATAACATACTTACGAGGTAGTTCTACTTTTACTTACTGGCTGTAGGAGTTGAGAGGCAGATCCGGGCTCCGATTTGAGTTCGGACTTGCACCGTACTGTCGATCCCGATTTTGATGGCGGCCGGACATCCTCCTTAGCGTCATCGTTCCTAGAAAGACTGATCAATACATATCCAAGTAATCGGATAGCCTTGATAAACAGTTTATCTGTTTTATGAAGGTATCGAAAATTTTGGAGGAACGAAAATGTGATTAGAGCACTCTCAGACCACAACGATTACTTCTCAAAATCTTTTGTCTTATTTTAGAAGTTAACGTGACGAATATATGTTTTACGGCTTTCTGGTCTTGGCAGAGAAGCTCTTCATCGTCGAAATGAGTGGGAGAGCTGAATTTCGAGAGACCGGCGAGGGCATTCGCCGGGGTTCACTTACGGGCTCTCTGGTGACACTCACTCGTGGACTTGCCGCCCGAGGAGACAAACTTTTCAAGGTTCTTCATTTTTGCAAGCCAGATATAAGATAGATGTTTATAAAAAAGAGCATCTCAATCTTGTCTTTTAAAATTGAAGATCCCAATTAGCCAATGCCAGTAACTTGTGGCATTGGAGACAATATCATCTCTATTGCTCTTCTGGGACGGAGGAAAAGCCCTCCTCCCAGCGATATTTTGAGTTTGCCGAGTAATGGCATCAACCCTTTTTAAAATAAATTGAAATAAAAGTGTGATTTGCACCTGGGAAGTCGCGATGACGACGCATCTTCGGGTTATTCGTAGGTGTGTGGATAGAGCAGCATTTGATGAAGGCCCCAGCTAACATCACCAGCGCAATAGACATGGCAACGACGGCCCACCAATATTCCTTAAAGGCAGCACTTAAAAGACCAAGTAGCTGATCAAGAGCCTACCACGATCCAGTCGCGGATATTATTATAGAGTTTCATATTGAAGAAGATATTCCGAAGCCGAGCAAGAGGGCCGTCTGCATCGACCTAGAGATAAAAATTACAAAACTATTAAGAAACGTGATTTGCAACCTTTCTGCATTTCGAAAATACATCACAGTAGCCTTTAAAGTCATCACATGCAGAACCGGGTTTTCTGTAAATCGTCCTGTTGTTAAAATACTTGGTAAGCTCTCCAGTTGACATACAAGTATTTGGTTGGCCTTGTAACTGAAAATCTTAGTGAGAAACCGACAGATTTCGTGGCGATACCTGACAACAGACATGGCAATGCTTCTTTTTCTCGGCCTCTGTAGCGTCAACTTCCGGCACTGGACAGTTGCAAGACTCAAGGATCCCTGGAAATTTGTCACATGCACTTCCAGAACAAAACCCATCAATACAAGTCATCGTTTCTTTCTGGCACCACTCTATAAATGAAATTATAACTTCTAATTCTTTTAGAACAACTGTTCTCAATAGATTATGTATGAAAGAATGACACTTACTGTAGTTCTCTTTTGGCTTTGGTGTCGGGCATTCAGCCTTCTTGCCAGAGCACATGGTCGGCTCAGTACAGTCTTGTTCTTTGGCGCAGAGAACATTTGTTCCATGATGTCTACACGTGTTTCCATCGCAGCATGGACCTTGTGAGATGGAGCACTGCGCTCCACGCTTCAACTTGCATCTTTTGTTTGGAATGTCGAAATCTGCCGGGTAGCAGCAGTTATCCTTGAGTCGCTTGCATTCTTCTTCGAATCCACAGTCACACTCTTCCTCCTTGTCAACAATTTGGTTGCCGCAAATAGGTGCATCGGATGTAACAAAACAACTTCGCTTTTTGCTCAGCACTCGCGTAATGTTTCGGATCGAGCATTCCGAGAATTTATCATTATTTGCTTTGTCGCCGGAGGTGGCACGGGAGAACATGATATAATTTCCATCCCTTTTGATGGACTGATCCATCGAGTCGCCTGGTGTGCAGAGAATACCTCCATCATGAGGAGAGCCAAAATTATGACCCACTGAAAAAATGAATATTGAGTCATTGCCGTTTAATCTTACCTTCGTGAGCGAAAGTGATATGGGAGACCTTGGTGGGGACAATTGAGCCATAGTTCTCGATTGTGATGATGCCTGTGTTCAAGCTCTTCGTATTCCCATCGTTGTATCGTTTGTTCTTCTCACAAATTCCGCCAGAACTACCTTCCGGCTGAGCAACCCAAGCAAGTCCAAGAACACCAGAGTTAAAATCGCGCTTTGTAAATACATAAGACAAGCAGTAATCGTCATAATCGTCGAGCGAAGCGTACTCAAGAAACTTTTCCACACCAATATTGCGCGATCTAAAGTTGTCTCCTTCGCCAGTAGTGTCATCGATTTTGATTCGCTTTACTTGGAAGCGAGGTCGGATGTACACCTTCTTTCCCTTGGCGCCATCGACAATAAACTGGTGTTTGATGTAGATTTTGTTTATTGCCTTCAAATGCGAAGAGATAAAAGAGAGAATCTCCTCCCGATCCACAGGACAGCTTGGTGAGCGTTTTCCATCTGAAAATTACATAAGAATCTAATGATTAAATAGTGCGGTACCTGGACATCTTTTGTACTCATTGGAGAACATGTGATCTACTTGAATACGCATGATACAAGTGTTTCGCTGATCCTCTTCGTACGTTTGATCAGATTCACGGCGCACTCTCGATCCGTCATCAGGCTCAGTGTGGTGATATGCACCCATTGGCGCATTAAAATCAGCAGGAGAATGTTTCATCTCTTTGCAGTGACCGAAATCTTTCGGAAGTTCAATTTCATTTTCATGATAAATAACAGAGTGAGTGGTCCCAGCTTCTCCCCGTCGCTCGACGTAAAACGTTCCCCAAAGCGGAGAGAATATCGTCCCACTGAAAACGCCCTGTCGTAACTGTCCTTCTGCGTGTGAGCCTGGTTGATCAGCGATCTTGCCAGAAACAAGATGATCAATCCGGTGAACTAGTGAATGCCCTTTATTGTCTTCTACTTCATAACCTTCCGCAAATACAGAAGAGTCAGCATGAAGCAGCAATGGGAAATGGTAACCCTTCGCAGTAAAATTGAGGGAAACAACTGGCGATCCCTCTGAGTCAACGAGACTGCGGCGATAGCGTCCTTCGTGATGTAAATCTCGCACTACTCGATGTTTCCGCTCAATTTGAACTGGATCATATTGGAGCGGCTCGAAGCTTTTTACGAATTTGTTTAGTCTCTCACAAGACGTACTGGCAATGAAGACATGGAGAAGAGAAATTATCATCCCCTATGTCGCCGATTCCGATTTCCGTAACTCGGTATTATCGTTCTAAAAAATATAAATAAGTTTGAGCAAATACATGAAGAAATTGAAAGGCATTATGAAAAGACATCCAAAGTCGGTTTTATTTTTTCATTTTCGTCGCTTTCTCCTTCCGTTTCTTCACGTGCTTGGGCATTTTATGTTTTCTCTTTTCTCTCTGTGCTTCCTTCACTTGTGCTTTGTGCTCCTTCATTTCTTGTTTCGTCATTTTCTTCCTGTCTTTTGGATGCACCCATGTTTCTTCCGGTTTTATAATTTCATCCTCATCAGTATCTTCATTTTGGTTATTGTTATCTTCTTCACCCTCTGACTCAGCAGACTCGTCATCTGATAACCGATTTTTAATTGAATGCTTACTTTTATTGCGTCTCGTAATTATAACTATACCTGCTAAGATATTCGGCTGTTGGGCTGCTCCAGACATGTCCTTTCTCAGTCCCGAGACAATCGCATATAGTGCGCTTCCTCCACCATCTTTTCCCGCTTTGATGTCCTTCTCCGCCTGCAGAAAGCCAATCTCACTCAGAGTTCGTGGAATCGGCATTTCAATAAAGATCTTGTCTTCTTCCTCCATGTCCTTTAGGTCTGTCTCGCTGCGATTGATAGCGCGTGTCATAATTTTGTCGATGTACTCATCTTAAATTTACTTCATTATATCGTCTTCGACAGAGTATACTCACCTATGTTAGAGTTATTAACGCTTAAATCCACAACGAACTCGAATACTTCTCTCACGCTCGGTACATTGACTCCTTGCTTCTTGAAAAATGCATTTACATTTCTGCAATCGAAACGTAAAAAATCCAAAGCGTAGGGATGATCGTGCTCGACAGATTGAGACACGTCGATTATATAGCATACGCCTTAAATCGCCGCTCAGCATTAGGAAAGAGAAGTAAGCTACCTTTGTGGTAAAGAATGTTGAATTCTGACAGATCTCCGTGGACTAGTTTGCAAGTTTGGTACATAGTCCGAACATGCTTCACGACTTCCAAATAAAGAGAAATCCATTTTGAGGGCTTTATATGAGGAGCAGCATCCTTGAGTCGAAGCGCGGCAACGCCGTTGTCTCCGATAAATTCCATCAAAAGCACTGAAAATCTTCTTTTTCTTTATAAACTCTTGTAAAACATACCATGAGCTCTTAATTCCAAGGGAACTGGCGAGGGAATGCCCGCTGATTGCAGTCGACCCAAGTTTCGCATTTCTTTTTCTGCCCATGTCGCCACCATCTTTCGCGGATTTCCTTTGATAGACTTGTTTTTATGAGGGCTGAGAAAGGAATATACCTTTGCAATAGCGCTGCCATCTGAATTCTCCCTTCATGTACTTTTCTCTGTCTTTGAAGACTAAAATTGAGGTTTTATAAATCTTCAGCGCGCGGTGAGCTCCAGACTCTGTCAGCGCATGATACACGTTTGCTTCTTTTCCAGTGGATATGCAGCCGTGGATTGAGTGCAGCAGTTGCCGCTGGAGCATCTTCTGCAGGATCAGCCTTGTTCGGGGATCGAGTACTTGCTCAGTAGTGGCACGCTGGGACTTGTCCTTCCGCCGGATCTCTTGTTCACTCTGTTGCTTCCTTTCGTGCTGCTCGCGCACGATCATCGCTGTATTGATTCTGCTGTCGAACTTGTGCTCTGCATGCTTTGGCTGGAATGAGCCGTGAGCACCCTTCGATATGCTCTGTACATCGTAGGAGCTGAACTCGTTGTCATCGATGAAGCGCTCGTCTAATTCGAACTCTTCGGCGTTGCTATCTTCCCGCTTCGTTTTTAACTTCGACATGACGATAGTCGAGATCATCTCTTCGATCTAACTATTTTTAAACACGTTCGACTGAATAGCTGTGTACCTGAAGCTTGTCCAATTCGTTTTCATCTTCGTCTGGATCATCAAACTGACCCGGAGCGTAGCCAATTCCGCTTGTAGTCATTCTAACTGAAAGAAAAACGCTTATTTATCATTAAGATTTCCTGAAAATAAATGTATTGTGGCTAGAAAAATAAAAAAGTACGGAGTTTTCTATGTTTGTGAGGCAGAATGGTGATGCGTCAAATGAAGATTAGAGCGCATTTTTGGGCCATTGGTGGGAGAGAATAGTAATGTGGCGGTAGAAAGGATCAACGAGGAAAAACATCTTCGTCTGCGGATGAGGATTGCACGCACCCCCTGGCTGGTAGTGAGTGGAAATGCAGTTCTTTTGCTTCTGCACGTCGATGATGAAGGCAGCTGTTCGAATGTCCTTTATGCCTGCGGCGTTCTGCTTGATAGCCACAAGGTCCTTGCCACAAGTTTTATTCAACATATTTCTCAGCTTCTTTTACCTTGTAAATAGTTTTCGTGGTTTCAAGATATTGATCGATTTCGTCTTCGTACTGGCAGAGTGGACCGCCGAGAACCAGACTCGAAAAGAGCTCGAAAATGAACTCATCTCGTTCGTCCTCGTTGAAAAGTTGATAGTTGTCGGATTCTTCGTCGACAAGCATTCTGCGCAGCTCATCTTCTATTGTCATTCCCTGGCGAACATCTGGGGGGCATCCGACAATGTGCCCCGTGTGACGGAGAATCGGAGTTTCTGTCCCTGTCTTATGCAAAATGTCGAAAAACTCCATCGACATAATATCAGTGTTCAATTGTCGTACGTCGATTTTGTTCACGTATCTATCCATCTAAAGTGCCAGATGAATGTTTGTATAATGAGAGACAGTTATTTTTTCTTCGTCCCTGAATGTTTACTTATCTAACCTGTAGTAGAGATAGAACAGTCGCGTCTTCGAAAAAGTTCTGAATCAATCTGCCCATATCGATCTCGTTCGCTGGCTTATCATAATTGAAAGTGTTAAATTTAAGATCCAAGTTCCATTTCTGTAATTTCTCCAGCACTTCTCTATTCTTCAGAAAGGCAAACTGTTTGTCGATCTGAAACGGGCACATTGAAAATCATAATTTGAAAATAATTATTTCTCTAGTTGAATCATCGGTAAGATTTACTACCTTGGAGAAGATGAATGGTTCGCTCATGATTTCCTTTTTGAAAATTGCCTGGAGGGTTGGGAGCTTCTCTGAGCTGAGCCCGAGCTCGCAAAGGATGAGCCAATAGCAGGCTCAAACGCGCCCTGCGCAGCCAATAAGCGCTCCGTGAGTTTTCCCTTTTTCCAAAAGAGAAGACAAAAAAGAAATGCTTCTGAGGCCGGGGACGAAGACAATCCTCTGGAGACGGAAGGGAATAAATCTCAAGAAGAGCCCTGATCTGTTGGAATTCCGAGCGCTTAAAATTTCAGCCCTGAGTCAAGCAAATGCTCAGAAAAAGAAGACGAATGAGCTCATGGGTCAAAGAAAGTTAGTGTTTTCATTTTTCGGTGCATTTGAAGATTGACTGAAGTGCATTTTTTTGGTTTCATTTATTTTTTTTTTGTAATTTTTCAGTAAAGCGGATAAAGTGGCCGGTCTGATAAAGAAATCTAATAGACAGTAGGCTCGCATGGGCCCTTATTCATCATCATAAAGAACATAAGGCTCTCATTGGAGTCGGCGCTGTCGTCGGACATCAGCAAAAGAGGAAGCATGACATTGGTGCCCATCGTCGTTCCAGGCGCCTGGGACTGCATCGCCATCAGAAGAACAAGCATGTCCACGTCAACACCGTCGGTAGAACGTCTTTTGCGTCGATTGTCTTCCTCGGACAAAAGCATTAATGGAAGAAGCATATTGAAGCTGTTGTCGAATCCTTGCTCCGTTGTCATGCCTCCGTTCATTGAACTTAGAAGCACCTAAACAAATTGTTCGAAATAACTCTTATTTTGTTCATTTTTACCATGAGCAGAACCATATTGTCATCATCGCTTGCGATGTCATCACTCATCAGAAGAATAGGAAGAAAGCTGTTTATGTCCGCGCCGCCTGATGACATCGTCGAAACGAGGAGCAGACTCATCAAACTATCCCTAGAAGAGGTGGAGGCAGATGAAGAATCGTCGCTCAATAAGAGCAAAGGGAGGAGATTGTTCATTGCCGAGTTGGTGTTTTGAGTGCAATCGTTTTGAAGAACTGTTGTGAGCAGGAATAAACTCGTCATGTCGGTGCTTCCTTCGTCTTCGAGAATCAGGAAGGGCAGGAGATGAGACATCTCGCCAGATGAGCCAAGACCACCGGAAAGTGCCATAATCATCAAAGCCTCAGAGTTCGACGAGCTGTTGCTAGAATCCTGAGTGAGAAGTAACAGTGGCAACATCTGGTGCATTGCGTTCTGTTGCCCAGCTGGCTGGTTTGAAGGCTGATTCTGCATTAGAAGGAGGAGCATCGTTTCGTCGATTGCTACCGCAAGGGCAAAGAAAATTGAAAGTAGAAACTTCATTGTCTCTTTTTTGGATTGATAATGCAACTCGAAATTTCCCCTTTATATGTCCGTAAAGATGCTCTTGATTCCTCCACGTGAGCACTAATTAGCCTGTTTCATGGACGGATGAACGTCACGGACTAGTTATTTATGGGGACAGAGTTGATCTATGGGGACTAGTAATGACCGGTTTCCCGAATTTGAACCGATTATACGCCGCTTGGTTTTTATCTTCAAAGAATTTTTCTTAATTCGTTCCCAAGATTTTCGCTAAATTATTTTTTTAGCCCGGAAGACCGACTCTTCATCAGCCAAAAACGCGCCTCTGATATTATGGCTGGAGCTGCCGACTTCAACCAGCTCAAATACGAACAAGAGGAAAAGAAGTTAGAAGTAGAAGCTTCGAAAATCGCTAGAGGTGGAAGTGTCTATTTCCTTTGCATGGCACTTGTAGCGATGTACGTTTGGATTCTCAGACAAAGATCAAATAAAGAACATGTCGCCAAAAAGGTCGAAACCTTGGGAAGAGCTAGTTTGGAGGGCAAGTTCGACCTTGTTCAGGTATTGTTTTGCCGAAAAAGAAATACGTTTTCAGTAAAATTTATTCAGACAAAAGATGGAGAAGCATTTTCTACTGATGATCTTCTTGGAAAATGGTCTCTTATCTATTTTGGCTTCACTCGCTGCCCTGATGTTTGTCCTGAGCAGCTAGAAAAGCTGGCATATGTTATTCAGTCTGTTGAAGAAAGTAAGCTACATTACTTTTTCGCGCTTTACCATTTATCTCTATTAAGCAAAGAAGAACCCAAAGTCTGAAATGGCTGATGTGGAAATCGTTCCTCTTTTTATTTCGATAGATGTTAGAAGGGATACTTTTGAAGAAATTAATGAATATTGCGAGGTAGAGATTTGGCTGCGGTCAAGCATATGACTAATTTTTTTAAGAGTTTCCATCCGTCCTTGATAGGTTTATCAGGAACAGAGAAGCAGGTCGACGCAGCGGCTAAATCCTTTAGATTGTATTTCTCAAAGGGCATGTATGGTAAGTGACTTTTGAAATGGCCGCCAGTGAGAAATATTTAAGGCGAGAGTGAGGAAGACTATTTACTTGACCACACTGTTGTGATATTCTTGCTCAACCCTGAAAATAAGATAGAAGAGTATTTCACCCAATCCAAGAGTCCTGGCCAGATAATATTCGAAACGCATCAAGCGATTAAGAAGTGGAAGTTCCTGGATGATTATATGGAAGTAGCTCGGCAAATTGAAGCCAAGAAAGAAGAAGTGCAAAAGAAAAGACTAAAGAAAGCCCTTTCGAAAGATTAATGTTGCTCGAATCCACCTTTCCCTTTCTTCAAGTTCAAAAAACTTAAATTTTTTCGTCGCTTCAGAATGAAAAGCTGGGAGATCGATCTGGTTCAGTTGCTAGGAGTGGCAGCGGAGAAGAACTGGTGCGACGCGTTTTTCTTCCCCTTCGAGAAAGTAAGCAACTTTCGCCCAGAAATGGATGGGCCAATGCGGGTTCATACTTGTTTGATGAATTTGAAAAGAAGTATTTTCGATGAGGACGAGGAGAACTTAGAACTAGCCGTGCTCAAAATGGAGAAAATCCCGAAAGAGTTTTTGGAAGTTAGGGAGCTCGATATCCTCGCTGGAACAAGTAATTATTCAATAATTACCCCAGATTGACCACTGAAAAGAGATAATTTTTCTTTTTAGTCCTGAAAATGAGCATACAGCGAAGCTTCCAATGGACAATGCTCAACCAGTATTATCTTAATCTGCGCAAGAAGTGGTACCGCCTGCTCCCAACTAACAAGCTCCTGAAAATCATCAATTATATCCAGCACAAACCGCAATCGATCGATAACTTCAAAAGTGTCCTCAGTACGCAAAGTTTTTTAACCGCTCGAACTTTAGCGCAAAGCTTAGATAGGAATGGATTTGACCTCATTTGATTTTATTTGGACTATTTGATTTTACAATTAGTGTAACTTCTGTTAATCTTCATAATTGATTTTAAAAATTTTGACAATCCATCGAAAGTAACACACTGAGAGCTCTTATGCTGCGCATCATCACCGAGGACATCTCTAATGCTGTATTGGACGAGAAGAAACTGACAATCACTCCCATTCAAAAAGAACGAACGAAACACGCTTCGCATCGAAACTCGATAAGCAAGAAAGCGAAGCGTAAGTTAGACTGGGACAACCTTCCCGGGCCTTCAAAAAGATGAAAATCATTTTCATCGAAAACCGCCGTGTTGCCTTCAATTCTCGTGAAATCGAACTGCTCTATCTGTCATTGTGAAACACTCGTTAATGCTGTGAATAAATCCTTATGTGGAATCAGGGAAGCTAACTCAAGATAGATTTCTTCAGAATCTATGGTTCGCGTTTTCTTAACGGGCAAGCCAGGAGTAGGAAAAACAACTGCAATAAAGGAATGCTGTTTTATTACTTGGCGTTGAGGCTAATAGAAATTAGAGCTCTATATCTTGCGAAGTGTCATCAGTAAGGAAAATAATAATTCAAGAGAACAGCTTATTTCAAGAATATTGTAGAGCAGTTAGGTACTCAAACCTGCATTTTCAATTTCAGTATTTCTTAGGGACTGATAGAGTGTACGGATTTTTTACGGAAGAGATGCGTGATGCAAACGGCGCGAGGGCAGGGTTTACCTTGTGCAATATAGAGAATAAGAAGTCAATCGTTATGGCTAAAAAGAACTCGGGCGGTGGACCCAAAGTCGGTCCTTACTCGGTTGATTGTCGCCAAACAGCCGAGTTGATGGTCGATTCGCTTCAAAATAACAGCGGAAAGAAACTAGCCATCATGGACGAGATAGGCAAAATGGAGATGGTTAGTCTGCGCGATAAAGCCAACTTCTTGCTGGAGAAGGAGTTCTTCAAGTGCTTTGACAAGGCGGAGCATATAATTGGTAAAAATAATCGACTTCCTCCAAGATGACTGGTTTGAGTAGGGACCATTCCAGTGGCAGCGACCAAAGATAAATTCTTGGATGAAATCAGGAAGAGCAGCCTCGTGATTACGGTGGATAAATCGAACCGCGATTCCGTTCCTGACCAAATTATGACTCTACTGAACTCTGAGAACTGCTAATCAATAATCTATATATCAAAATATAGTAAGAGATAGAAAATACAGAAATGTTGATTTATCAAAGACGTGTCTTGCTAAAGCATTTCAGTTTACAGAACAAATATGTACTCATTCAGTATCCAACTGCTGACAAAAGCTGAGTAATATATTCGGATGAAGCCAAGTGAAGCGGTGACTCACTGCGCTCTATAAATACAAAAGGCAAGCGCCATTTCAAACCATTTCGAAAAACATCATGTCCGTCACTGCCCTAGAAGAAGTTTATCAAGAGCAAAGAGTGAATCTGACGATCATTAACGATCTCAGCGAGAACGAACGAGTATCGGTTTCGTATGCTTACAGTGATGGCGAACTGTTCATTGACTTTCCCGAGGACTATCCAGAGGAATCGCCACTCTTCTACCCTAAATTTGAGAAGCTGGATGATCAAGTAATCGAGGTTATTTTGAAAACTAGCTGGGAGAGATTCAAGAGCGACACCTTTAGGCTCGATAGATTGATGGAAGATTTTGAGCAGTCATTATTGCCTGGTAGGTCGATTGAGTTCATACTCAAACTATAATCATAATGTTAGAATTACGCCAGGAGCAACTTGCGTCAGCAGAAAGTAGAAAAGCAAAAGAACAGACTGCAACAAAACCACACGAAGATGATGATATTGAATACGAAAGTTCGAAAAAGTTACCAAAAGCAGTACCCCCAAACAAAAACGAAAAACCGAAAAAAGTAAAGAATCCAAAGCTGAAAACGGCAGAAGATGTTATTCGCCGAATTCAGTGGGACGAACAACTAGACTCCACAGAGTTCATCGTCGGTTATGTAGACCGCTTTGTCGGTCTTCAAGAAAAACAATTCGACGAGTTTTCATTTAAAAATTTCGTCGATGTTGATTTTGAAAAACAAGAGTTTGGCGTGCCCCAGCATAGGATTCAGTATTTCAAGTGGAGAGGGCACATTGTTTGGGACAAGACAATACGTATGGACTACATCTTTGGTTCTGGCAACTCCGACAAAACCATTTTCGAACCTGACTTTGAATTCCAATAAACACTTTATTGTGTGATACATCGAGTTAGAGGATGATCCAGGGGACGCATGCATCGAATCAAAGATGAACTAGGAGATATTAAATGAAAAGTGGGAGAAATTACTTGCTCCACTTTAAAAATAGCGTGTCAAGTCACTGTTTTCTACGAAAACGAAAAAGCAAACGGAATTGTGCAAATAGCAAAAAATATTCAGAGAGTCAGTGTTGATATGTTCACCGAGGTCGTGCCTTCTAACCTTAGTTCTGTACTTGGATATAAAGGAAGCCTTCTGCGCACTGAAGATTGACGAATTTTGCCATTTATTAGGTCACATACAACTGATGTTTCAGCTTTGATTTTCTAAAAGAACTTGCTAAAGACGAATTTCCAGGAAGACGTGTTGTGATCTTCGGCCTCTTTTCAGAAAATCAACCTTTCTTCCATCCCCATCAAGCCAGAAGAATCACGCGTGAAGGTGGACTGACGGTGTCTGGGTAGTTCGAAACATGAATCTGAGTAAATAACTTGCTATAAAATGTACCTTGACAGAGCCATCATCGCTTAGCGTCATACCGCGTAGAATAAACCAGTTCTCGTCCGATCACTGAAGTCAAACTACGACGGGCGGGGTTAGTACTTACATGGGTGACCGGTTGGGAATACCTCGTGCGCTAAGCATTTTGATTTTTTGCAAGGAAGGATCATCCTTTTGCCTTGCAAGCCTGCTTTAACATCATATTTCTTTAGAATCGGGTTATCTGTGGTTGAAAAAAGTCAAAATGTTAGTGTGAGGCAAGTACTGAGAGTGGAGCTTGCGTTGCGGGCGGCGTGGCACTTGTGAAAAAGCGCCCTCTACCGCGCGATTTTCTGAAAAGAGGCCGAAAATAGGAGCGCGCAGCGACAAAACGACCTCGAAATCAAGCACCCCTTCTCTTTACTCATCCCATTTTTGAGTCCGATTTCGATTGTCTAACAGGTAAGAATCGTCTCCATGCCTACTCTCTCCTACCCCTCTCGCCTCTTACAAACGGAAAACAAGGAAAGCACAAGAAGGGGAGATTCCTTTGACGCGCTTTTTTTAAGGGACTAGGCCGAGTGAGCGTCGCGCGCCATTTTCTCACTTTCGCCAGGAAGCCCGAATTTTTTATTCGAATTTAATAAAATTTGGCATACAAACTAAACTTCTTATTCTCTTTCTTCTCCGACTTTTAGAATTTTCATATCTTGCCGACGAGCTGAGTTATGATCGAAAAACAGATGCTTGAATTCACGTGTACATAAGTACTTGAAATATTCGGATTGAGACTTTGAGACCAAGTCCACTGAAAAGCCCGTGGTCTCTTCTACAAAGTCTACTAATTGAGATTTCCCGGAAACGTCTATTTACCTGATTATCGAGGGATTACTGTGGGTCACCTGGAGCGCTCGGCGTGAAATGCGGTGTTTTTGCACTATTGGCACGCGATTCCCGCTGCGCTCGACAAGATCACCTGGATTACCTGCGAAGTTATCAGCAAACAATTCACTTCCAGGAAATCTTAATTAGTAGACTTTGTAGAAGAGACCACGGGCTTTTCAGTGGACTTGGTCTCAAAGTCTCAATCCGAATATTTCAAGTACTTATGTACACGTGAATTCAAGCATCTGTTTTTCGATCATAACTCAGCTCGTCGGCAAGATATGAAAATTCTAAAAGTCGGAGAAGAAAGAGAATAAGAAGTTTAGTTTGTATGCCAAATTTTATTAAATTCGAATAAAAAATTCGGGCTTCCTGGCGAAAGTGAGAAAATGGCGCGCGACGCTCACTCGGCCTAGTCCCTTAAAAAAAGCGCGTCAAAGGAATCTCCCCTTCTTGTGCTTTCCTTGTTTTCCGTTTGTAAGAGGCGAGAGGGGTAGGAGAGAGTAGGCATGGAGACGATTCTTACCTGTTAGACAATCGAAATCGGACTCAAAAATGGGATGAGTAAAGAGAAGGGGTGCTTGATTTCGAGGTCGTTTTGTCGCTGCGCGCTCCTATTTTCGGCCTCTTTTCAGAAAATCGCGCGGTAGAGGGCGCTTTTTCACAAGTGCCACGCCGCCCGCAACGCAAGCTCCACTCTCAGTACTTGCCTCACACTAACATTTTGACTTTTTTCAACCACAGATAACCCGATTCTAAAGAAATATGATGTTAAAGCAGGCTTGCAAGGCAAAAGGATGATCCTTCCTTGCAAAAAATCAAAATGCTTAGCGCACGAGGTATTCCCAACCGGTCACCCATGTAAGTACTAACCCCGCCCGTCGTAGTTTGACTTCAGTGATCGGACGAGAACTGGTTTATTCTACGCGGTATGACGCTAAGCGATGATGGCTCTGTCAAGGTACATTTTATAGCAAGTTATTTACTCAGATTCATGTTTCGAACTACCCAGACACCGTCAGTCCACCTTCACGCGTGATTCTTCTGGCTTGATGGGGATGGAAGAAAGGTTGATTTTCTGAAAAGAGGCCGAAGATCACAACACGTCTTCCTGGAAATTCGTCTTTAGCAAGTTCTTTTAGAAAATCAAAGCTGAAACATCAGTTGTATGTGACCTAATAAATGGCAAAATTCGTCAATCTTCAGTGCGCAGAAGGCTTCTTCTATATCCAAGTACAGAACTAAGGTTACAAGGCACGACCTCGGTGAACATATCAACACTGACTCTCTGAATGAACATTTTTTGCCATTTGCGAGTTTTCCGGAAGAGAACTCATTTTAGGAACTGGGGAACGCAATGACGTCCTTCTAGATAAGTTTCTAGATTTTCTCCACAGATTCCAAATATGTTTGGTGTTCTGGGATTTTAAATGAGCAAGTGGGTGAAATAAGTTGCACCGACTTAAGAAAAGCACGTGCTTTGACGTAATTAACGTGTCAATTACTAAAAAATTTTCTTTCTTCAGGATTTAGATTTACTGCTCCGTGTGGAGCTACAGAAAAATTCAAATACTCATAAGAGTGTCCCTCTCCACGGAATTCTTTAGTAAAAGGCGAAAGAATTATACGTTTTGAAGAGAGACCAGAGCTGAATGGTCAGTGGCCTGAAAGAATCCCAAATCGGCCGCCGCAAAGTATCATTATGGTGCGCGAGCTCGCCAAAAGAAAATCGATTCTTAGCTTAGATGCTTTTGACGGGAAGTTGTAGAAGAACGACAATTTGTTATTTCACCACGAGGATATAGAATAACATTTTGTGGAAATTCTTTTTGATAGCGGAAGCAGAATGATATGGAGAAGTGTGCTCATCGTCAATTCTGAAGCGTCACTTGCATTTGTTTACAATATGCGGCATATTATATGCGAAGGGAAAATATTTTCTAGTGAATGAATATTAAATCCCGCAAAACAATTGAGCCTTTGTCGATCCCTCTGGTCAGAAAGAGATAAAGTATGATTTTACTTTTTATTTTGGTCTTTGTTTCGTGGGCGAAGATACACAAGACGATAAGAATCGGCGATGATCAGGGTTATGAAGGATTCGTGATTGGCATAAGCAATACTGTAAAAAGGGACTTGAGTTTTGTCGCTGGAATGAGTGATAAGTTCACACGCGTTTCGAAGGAATTGTGGGACTCTTCTAATGGGAGAACTTTCATCAGTGAGATAACCATAGTCCTTCCTGAAAATTGGGAAGAGCCGACTGAGGAAGAGATAGCGCAACACTCACTGAATTATCGAGGGCCAGTCTCAGGACTAAGCTTCGATCGAATGGCGATGCAGGTTCATCATGCGACTGACGACTTCAACCCACACAGAATGTACGCGATTAAAGTGACTCCCTGTGGTCATTTCGGCAAGCACATTCGCGCCACTGATAACTACATCAAGAAGTCAGACGACGCAGATGTCGTTGAAAGGCATGGACGCTTCGAAAAGGTCTTCGTGCGAGAATTTGCAAAGCTTCGATGGGGAGTTTTCGACGAGACAGTTAACAAAGATAAAGATGAGTACATTTTTGACAGTGAAAAGAACGAAATAATACCTGCAAAATGTTCGCGTGGGCTGATTGGAACGCACGTCTACAAGGCGAATTTCGATGCAGAAAATACAAAAGCGGGCGACATCTGTGAAGAAGCCTCGCACAAATACCACGGAAAATGCCATTTTATTCCGAATAGCGATCAGACTCCAGCGGAGGGCACGAAAGCGCCCTGGATCGGAAGCTTTATGTACAGCACTGCTGTTAAAGATATCAATACATTCTGTCGCGACAGTACCAACGATGCGCTTGGACACGAGTGGCGGCCGAACACAATTCACAATAAAGAGTGCGATAAAAAATCAGTTTGGGAAGTAATTACGAATTCGCCAGACTTTCAGCAATTTACTGACAGCGTTGATCTGGGCGAACTTAAAATTAATATTGTTCGAGACACAGCAAGACGAATTGTGCTAGCTATCGATATGAGTACGTCGATGCAACTACCCGGACAAACTTACGATCGATATTTTGCTGTTAGAAAAGCAGCAGTCCAATTTTTAGAAACAGTTTCTTTGGGGACATATATAGGTAGTCTTTACTAGCAATTTTTCAATTGAACTGTCAACAATTATAGGCTTGATTTCTTTCGACAAAGGATCGCGTGTGCATTCAGAACTAATGAAGATTGAAGATGAAGACAGCCGCACAGTTTTAATCAAACGATTGCCGCGAAAAGAAGACCTTGTCCGTGGAACCTCTATTGGCGCTGGAATTCTTACGGCAATAGAAGTTCTTGAAGAGACTGGTCCTGAGGATCTTAGAAATCATGGAGGCGAGATTCTTTTGATTACCGACGGAGCGGAAACTGTAAAACCTCATCTTTCAGATATTCTCGAAAAGGTTTCGTCCTCGGGTGTTACAATACACGCGATCTCACTAGGCTCCGAAGCTCTTTATGGCGTGGAGATAATAAGCGAAGAAACTGGAGGACTAGGAATTTTCACTCCTGCAACCGTCGACTCCAGAAACACCATGAACGTCAATCTACAAGATGCTTTCAAGCAGCAGTTCAACGGCGAAGGCGAAACCTTGACTGTTAGCTCAGAAGCAATTGATCTTGAAGACGAGCTGGAAATACCATTCGTGCTTGATGACAGCATCGGTTTAGGAACCAGGGCTGGTAAATTCGCGTCCTAAATTCTGTCGAAAATTTTTAGTGCGCTAAAATTAGTGCGCGAATTTATTTTGTCGAGACTTTTAGCGACTTTCGCGTGCCTTTCGCGTGTGTCTCGAAAACTGTCGAAAATAAGGGCTGCTGATTGGCCCGCCAATGAGCGCGGGCTCTTTAATTCTGAAGACTACGTAAGTTTGAGAATTTCAAACTTCGTTTGAACTAGAATTTCAAAAAGTTTGGTTTTAATAAAGTGGACAGGGTAATCAAGGGCGTGAATTTCTAATATGAAGTCAAAAAAGACTTTATTAATCCATTTGTTAATTTTATTTATAAATATGAAGAAACAAATATAGCCTATATTATATAAGGAAAAATATATTTTAACTTTTGTTTGCAACTCTTTCTGTGCTGGATTTGAATGATAAGCTTAGACTCTTCGCCTAAGATTAGCTTTCTTAGGGAGGTCTTCTCCCTAATTTTTTTTCTTGAAGGGCCATCCGCAGCTTGTTCTTCCTGCCTTTTCCCTTTCTTGCCATTCGTCTTCTTGTCGTCGTTCGACAACTTATCTTCGATGTCCTCAATAGTCTGAAGCTGGAGCAGCTTTGTGCAAATTCATAATATAATTCTTTATTAACAAAATCAAATTTATTTTATAATTGAGAAGGGAGATCTTCTCCCAAGTTCATGCTTAGATTATAATAATATAAATACAATATAAATATTATAATATGAAACATAAACAACTTTGAGAGGAGTTCTTCATTAGCAGTTATCAACTTAGCGTGAATTTGGGAGGAGACCTCCCTTCTAAATTATCAAATAAATATGATTCTGTGAATAGGGAATTATATAAAGATGCTCAGAAGAGCTCTTAGACCTCGAAAGTAGAACGTATCAGTCAAGGCTGCTCTAGCTTCCTTGAGGACAGCTATGAGAAGTTGTCGGACGACGACAAGAAGAAGAAAGGCAAAAGATGAAGAAAAGCAGGAAGATCCAGCTGCGGATGGCCCAGCGATAAAAAAATAGGGAGAAGACCTCCCTAACAAAGCTTATCTTAGCTCATCATTTAAATGCTTGACAGAGAAAATTTCAAACAAAAGTTGACTTTTATTCTTTTCAACTTATTTGTTACTAAATAAGAAATTTTTTTTAATTAAATTGTGTCATATTTACGATGCATTCAATGATGATTAAAAGTTTCAATTTGAAACTGCGAAAAAGTTTCAGTTTGAAGAAATTCTTCCCTGATCAAAATCGTCTTCCATGAGACTGTCATCCGGGAAGAGCTCATTGGATGATGAAAAGAGCCTCTTTTTTCGCGTCTTTAGCGCTGATCAGCTCTCGAAAAGACGCGAAAATTTCCGAGAGGAAAAATTAGTGTCATTTTAGCGCACTAAAGACGCGAAAGACGCAAAAATGACTCGAAAAAAAATTAGTGCGCTAATTTTTTTTCTCTTCGAGAGAAAATAGTGCGCTAATTTACCAGCCCTGTTAGGAACTAAAATTTTCGTTACTTGGCCAGAAAGCGTCGCCGAAGAAAGCGCGCCTGAATTGTCACTAGAGCTTCCTTCTGGTGCCACCGTCGATAAAAATTCCTCCGACAATCTTGGCTATTCATTTACTATTGCTGACACGGAAACAAACTCACTCACAGTCAAAATGCCTGATCCTTCAGATGTCGGCCGCTACACAGTAAAAATCAAAAATCCTACCTCTGAAAAGTATTCTATTACTGTCGCGATCAACTCCTTTCCGAGAGATCAGGTGTCTCCTGTCAAAGTGACTGCATACTCAATGCTTGATGATGATGACAGGCCTTTAGTGTACGTCGAAGTCTCACAAGGAATGTATGCCGTAATTGGTGCCACCGTCGATGCGCAATACATTCACCCAGAGCTGGATTCAAAAGATACGACTGAGCAAAAGTACTCTTTGCACGATGACGGGGATCAGACGACGCCATCGCAGACGATGGAATTTACACTGGCACAATCGAGGGTGATAAAGATGGCGAGTACTCTGTTATTCGAATCACAGTGTCAACAGACAAAACTGGCAGCAGCACTTATGTCAGTCGCGAGCATTACCTCGGCTGGGGAGATTTGAACACACTTCGAACCATTCCTGAAATCAGGACACCAAGTAGGTACAGAAGAGACATCGACGAACCCATCCAACGAATTCTCCGTCAAGAAACTATAGTCACGCCTGCAAATATGTCTACTATTTCGGCGGTAAACATACCAATCGGGCATCACGATGATGCGCACATTGAAGTGAAAATATCCGGAAAGAATCTTTATAAACTAAACATAGAACTTGTACATAAGAATTCCGACGTTACTTCAGTCCGGCAAGAGACGAATGTAAGCGTGTCATTTACAATAAAGAAACAAACTGAGCTTCCTCAAAGAATGCATGAAGCCTACAATTTGCTGATCACGAACAATAATCCTCAGAATGCGTCAAGTGTATTCTTCAGTGTACGTTCAACTGAGTTAAACAATTCTCGGAAGCGACGAGATACGGAAAATTTTCAAGAAATCAACTTTACTCGATCAACTTCTATGTCTCTGAAAACAAAGAGGACATCATGTCCTGATGGATTTAAGCATTACAAGAGTATGAAGATTTGGCATAGATTAACCATTTAACTTTATGCGCTTAGATAATTGTTGGCATTATAATCCTACGAAAATGATTTACAATCAAGCGAAAAAGTATTGCGAGTATAAAGGAGGAGCGCTTCCGATCATTCAAAATGATGCAACGAAACAAGCCTCTTTTCGGTTTGCCTATTTTGAAGAATCGAAACACTCTTCTTTCGACCGTTTTCTTTCTTATTGGATCTCATCAGAAAGTAACTTGCTAAAATCAACCTACTCAGCAACAGTCGAAGTACCCACACGAGAAGAAGTACTTTCATTTGAACAAGATCTGCAACGGCGAGGTCGACGGTTGGAATCATCGAAGCACTCCTGTCCGTATTTCTTGTTCGCTGACGGGACTTGGGAATTCGGAGCTAGTTCGTGCGCGGATGAAAATGACAAACGAACAATTCTTTGTGAGAAAAAACTTGCCAACGCAATTCCGCCTGCTGGTATTCATTGAGACTTTGCTATTTTTACAAAAACTTAGGTCGAATTAAAGATTTATCTGTAAGGACCATTGATAGCTCCGGAAACGAGGTCTTGCCATTTCTTGACACAGGTAGAGATGTTTAGAGAAAAGCAGGAATCGATAAACCTACCCCTATAAAATCTAAATATAGACGAGAATGACACATGGGTTCACGAGCTATCGTGGACAAATCCTGACGAACTTGGTGTTCGCGGTAATCCGATGTCAATCCAACTTCGGGTTTCAGCAGATGTCAAAGAAGACGGCGAATTCAGAGACGCTCGACTCTTGGCTCAAGTCACAGTTCAAGTTTGGAAGGCTCTCATTGCTTTTTATTCTCTACTTTAGGGAAACGGAATGTTCAATCTGAACAACTCGGAGTTATCCTTCTGTCCCCCAAATATGCCCATTGATGTCGTTTATTACTTCAAATTATCTGACCACGTCCTGGCGAATGAAATCAGCATGGTTTTGGATGAGTTCTACAAAGCTCATTTTCATACAGGCCCTTATGAGTTGCAGGTAGTTTTCCATTATCTCTTTTCTTTCGTAAATTTCTCTTAGGTTTCCTATATTTTTGACGACATTATAATCCATGGCGAAATAAATGACTCGACGATGCGCGACGACTTCGATAATGTAACCATACTCGTTGTTGACGATCAAGACGATCAAGAAGAAGCAATTTATAATCGACAATTCGAGAGAATAACGAAAATTCCACGTATCGACAATATTACTGAAATCATCGTCGAGCACATTCGGCTTGGAGATCTGGTTCACGATTATTGCGAAAAGAGATTAAAAGTGTCCAGGTTGATCAGAGCAGCAACGATAAGCAAAGATGGTTTCATCGCGAAGCCTTCTCCGGGCGCAAGGATAACAGTTCAGGTTAGTCAGCTCAAGAAAAAATAGAAGACACTTGTAGCTCAAAAATCGTCTACCGAGATCTATTCAATCAATGATAGAAGCCACTGCTCCCGAAGCTATTGTTGAACCCAGTTTCAACAAACAACTTTCCTTACCGAATGCGAATTCGCTTGTTATGTTCATGGTATTTCTTCTTTTTTCTGTATAGTTACTCATTAAATGCTTATTTAAACAATCAATTAGTAGATTTATTAATTCCAGTATAATACAACTTTTTACATGATCAGACTCTAAAGCATTGCGGCTTCTTTGAAAATGGGCTCAGTTCTGACGAGTCGACCTAGCGACGCTGTTGAGAATATCTTCCTGAACGCAGGTTGGATGGATATTTTTCGGAAGCGATTTCGCTTCGCGGACCACTGGCAGGCTCGCATCTTCTCTGGACGATTCTTTGGGTTTCCACCTTAAATTTGGGGTCAGAACCTGATTGAAGAAATTAATCTACCTTTGTAGTTTTTGCATTTGCATTTTCTTCGTCGACCGTTTCCCACGTTGTAAGAGTAATTCTCGACGCAGGTGAGCTCGCAAACAGATCCTTTCTTGAGCCCGTCACTGCAGGACCATGAGCCGAAATCATCTTGCAGCTCCTCGCATTTGCTGATATAAAGTCGGCTAGAGCGGTTACCATGCGAGAGTGACTTACCCTGCATCTACGCAGTTAGTTTGGTAGCTTTCCTCGTCGACTTTCCATCGGCATTCGTCTGACTTGAGCAGGATACCACCGAAGGAGGTTGTGCAGTCACAGCGCGCCGATATCGACTCGCCATAACAACCTAAAATTGGACAACTGTCCCCGTGACTTGCCTGTGATGAGCAATCCTCGTTCAAATATCCCTCTTCAAGGTCGAAAGGCCCGCAATTTCCATCTTTTATGTGATAACCTTACTTCCCAACCTAATGATCTCAAGTACGGCTTAAGCGCAATTGTATTGATTTCTGACGCTCTATGGAAATCTAATCACTGTTTCTATTCAAAATCCTTATTCTCAAATGTATATTATTCACTTTCCTGGCATGTCCAAATAAATCACAGTTTCGTTTGAGCTGATAACAGTTCGTCGATCTCTTGACTTTCGCGCAGCCTCGGCGCAGAAGACTATCAAATTAAAAATTTTCATCGTGAAAATGCTAAAAAGTGTATTCCTCGTTCTCCTCAAGGCAGAAATAAGTTTTATGACATTTGGCTACAAGCAGAGCTTATATATAAGTAACATATCGGCGGGCGAGTATCCGATTTCCAGTCTTACCGAGCTCTTGAGTTGTGCGGCGGAGGGCGCACGTATGCTTTCCTATCTCATTCTATTGCGTGTGTTTTGATTATTTTTTGGTAAGTATTTGACGAATGAATCCGTGCACTAAAATATCATGTCTTACGAACTGGTAGACAACGGATATCATCATTGAAAAAACAAATTCATGTATTTTTTAGAATCCTAAAAAAATGATTCTCTACGTTGTTGTAGTACAAAGCCATGCTCACTCGTTATCTCTACCAAAGGTTAGCTAAAAAGATGGCTCAACTCTAAGTCCTCTAAGTTGACATGCGCATAACTTCGAAATTTCAAAAGAATCATCCTCTTCATTTAATATTTTGAATGAACCGAGTGCGAACAGATTGAGTCTGTTATTCAAATGACTACGGTTTAGTTGAAGGTTCTTTTTTAGAATTTTTCCGCTTTACTTTTTGGAAGCCTTCTTCCGCTGTGTGCCTTTTCCTTCACTTCGGAGATGACATGATCTCAAATTTTTAAAAGCTCGGGGTACACGCGGAAACCGGTCTTTCCTAATCCCGTTCTACTAAAAATGAATAACGCTACTTAAAGTTTAAAATGCGATGAACTTTATTTTTAGTGATCATATATAAAAGTTCATTAAATATTTTCTGGGAGTTTATCTTGCATTCAATAAGATGTCTTTCACCAGAGGTTCTGCACTATATAATATCTGTAACTATTATAGGGGCGAGCCCGGGGCGACTATAATTTTGAATTGGCTAAACATTCACACCTGCATAAGATAAACCGATCTGTATGGCTTCTTAACCTTCCGGATTCCCAATATTAGTGGCATTTTATGCTACCTTCCGGGTGTTTCTTGAATTTCATCAGTGACAGGTCTCTGGATTTTAGACGCAAATAATCCTTTTCCTCGTGAGATAGAAGGCCACTCGTATAGTCCAAAATCACCCGTGTCAGCCTTTAATCTTCAAACAAGTGACCTAAGCTTCTTATTTGAAACGGTCTTATCTCCTGGCAAATTTATGCAATCGCGGAAAAAAGCAGATACAAGTCGTTGGCGAATACGTATATCATCCTTGGTCGGATTTATTGTTAAAGTACACCGCTACACCTGGCTGGCTTTTTCTATTAGTAGAATGTGATGAAATAGGCATCAATTATAGTTAAAACAATAATCCCTGCTAATCACTTAGCGCACCTGGCAGGTAAATAAATATGAACATTCTGCTGTTTCTTAAATCTCTTATAAACCGATCCGCTTTGATGGAAGTCAAGTAGAGTCACCCTGAGTCAACAAAGAAGCTCTTCATGAGTTTGAGGATCATTTCATCCTTGACAGATTAGATTTGGCATTCTGTTTTATTTTGTTCTTTGTTTCATAATTCGTAGAAGGAATTGGATATGGCAAATTTGGATTCTGCCACTGCTGTGGAATGAAACGTGTGTTGTGAGACATGACCGGTAATCCCCCAACTCCACTGATCAACTCACACAACCGTTTACTCTCACACCACGCAGCAGCTATAACACCTCTTCTTTTCTGCACAAAACCTGTATTTGAACGAGAAACTAAATTTTTAGATGATATTTTTAGGCGCAATACACATATTAATTACAAAATAATTTCATACTCTCCAAGTTTATTGCAGAATAGGCGACAAAATTTCTTGACAGTTGGAAAGACTCACTGTTTATGACCAGAATTCATCAGTTTACAATCTAGGGACGATAAAGGACTTTGATTCGCCACCGCAGTAGTTAGCACAAATGACCATTGGTTGACCAGGTCGGCCGAGTCCGAAAGTCAACACTTTATCTTGGCCAAGCTCGTACATCGCCTCAGCCAACTTACTCAGATCTCTTAAGAGCTCGGTTAGATTCGATAAGATTTTCTATTTCCTACATGAGATCGAAGCAGAAACCGTATCGGGGCACAATGCTGTACTTCACTTCGGAAGGTTTGACAGAGATTCCGTGCTCCAACGCCTCACCATTGGTGGTCTTGAAAATGACAGATCTGTCTTGGCCGATGGTGATTCTGACTTCCTGCCCTATAAAGGCCAAGCTGCGGCAGGTTTGACGAAAATCAGCAGTGTTCATTTTGAAGATAAAGCTATACACATTTATTCGTATGCAGGGCTAACTTATTACTGATACCTGTATTTTCCTTCTGCAAGAAGGGAGAAAGAGGGAGCAGAGCGACCATTGTTAGGGCTGCCACATAAAAAATCGGCCCAACTCAACCTCTTAGAATTCGATTTTTCTAACCCTACCACGCTTTAGGGTTAGCCTTGAGGTTTTCAAGAAAAATAAAATTTTTCGAAATTTTAAGGATGTAGCCCCCGAAAAATCGATTTTTTCGCATTTTTTTCGGTTTTTTTGCCTCCGGAGGCCGAATTTTCAACTTTTTTCAATTTTTATTTTGCGATCATCAAATTCAGGGCATTTAACAACCCCAGTGAGTGCAGCTATGAAAAACTCAAATTTTTGCATAAGAAAATTTTTTTTTTCAAAAAAATCGAAAATAATGATTTTCTTAAAAAAGCTTTCTAAAGTAATTTAACTCTCAAAGTCAAGCCCCTTAAATTTAGAAATCAAGGAACGGGGCTGAGACGGCCCGAAGGGCCGTCAAGCCCTTAAATTTAGAAATCAAGGAACGGGGCTGAGACGGCCCGAAGGGCCGTCAAGCCCTTAAATTTAGAAATCAAGGAACGGGGCTGAGACGGCCCGAAGGGCCGTCAAGCCCTTAAATTTAGAAATCAAGGAACGGGGCTGAGACGGCCCGAAGGGCCGTCAAGCCCTTAAATTTAGAAATCAAGGAACGGGGCTGAGACGGCCCGAAGGGCCGTCAAGCCCCTTAAATTTAGAAATCAAGGAACGGGGCTGAGACGGCCCGAAGGGCCGTCAAGCCCCTTAAATTTAGAAATCAAGGAACGGGGCTGAGACGGCCCGAAAAATATTGTTTGACCCAAAAAATAAAGTCAAAATTGTTTAAAAAAGATTTGAAAAAAAATGAAATTTTTCGAAAAAATAAAATTTTCTATCCATTTTTTTTACTGACCATGGTTGGTCATACTCGGAGCTGCACTCACTGTTGATGCGTTAGCCCCTGTTCTTTCAAAATCTAGAAAGAAAACAAAAAAAATCAATATCACGTGACTCCGCTGGCCATTTTGATGATTTTTGGCTATTTTCGCTATTTTTCGGACTTTTGGGCTCATTTTTCTCAAAAAAACTCCATTATCTCTCATTATTTTTCTGCTTAATATGATTCTACTAATCACGTAGAATATTCCAGGGGGTTTTGGGGGTTTAGGGGGTCCGATTTTTATGTGGCAGCCCTAACCATTGTCGATTATTTCATGCTTCATTATTCTTGAGATGCTCTTAAAAAATCAACTATTTTACCATTAATGAAAATAATTAAGGATAATAATAAAAGATTTTTTTCTAAGAATAAGTAATAATTCTCTGAAGTTGTTTAAAATCTCTTCGGTTCATTGATAAATATGTGTGCTTTCAAAATGCGCAAAAGAGAGGCAGCTGGCTAGAGAGAGAGGCCAACGGATTTAAAATGTCTTCCAGACGCTTTAGCATCGCGCTGACGGGAAAATAGGAAAGTTTTCGCTTCCAATTCAATTTTCACGAAAATGTATTTGTAATAATTAGTTATTATTAATTACCATTTTGAATTGAAATGTTTCAACGAAATCGAAGCCGATAAAACGATTGGTGAGCAGTGTCCAGTGATTTGTAACCTAAACTCGTGTGGAAGTCGTCCAAAGTTAAGGAAACTTTTATTTCAGCGCGGAGGGTCTCGATCTGATTTCCCCTTCGGTGTGAATTTCTTTTTTAATTTTTTGGGCAGAAGGGATGAGTGCTGGCTTTGGAAGAGAAGCAAGGGAAGTTACAGTTTGTGCGCGCCAACGTGGACAACTAACTAGCTGTTTAAACCTGGCTAAATGGACCCACTTCCGGCAGGGCTTATGTACAAACCTTATTGGAATTATGGACTGGTCACGTTGTCCGAAAGAATATCGGTAAGAGCTCAGCTCTGAGTCCTCCCCGGATAACACTAAGACGAATCCATTCTCATGTGAAATTCGACCGTGGAAATGAACTTGTTGCCTCAGCTTTATTCAATATTCTACTCATACTTCCATCTTTGTTTTTCATTGACGAAAACCTGCGAATTAAAAAATACAAATTTTGAGGAAAGCCGCAAATCCTTGGAGAATCATTGAAAATTTTCCAATTGGATTGAAAGGCAAAATTACTACTTATCTTCTGCTTCCGGTGAACAGTATAATATTACTATTGAAGTAAGCACAAATTCGTTTGGGCCAACTACAAGTTCTAGCCCACAACGTTATTTTTCGCTTGGTTTGATTATAACTCGCCCAAGAAATTAGAGCCATGTTGAATCTTTTCAACTGTATGTCGCCTCTTTTCACTGCACATTTCATGTCCTTGGCCTCTTACAAAAGATTTATTTTAATGCAATCACCTTATCTTTTTAAGCCATTGAGAACCTTCTCTTCCCCTTATAAATGTTCAACTACAACACGTCGCTTTGAAGATTCGTTTCTCTTACGAATTATTTATAAACAAAAAATTCCTCGTTCAATCCAAGATTTCCTTTGAACCGAACCAGCGCTTCAACCGCCGACTTTTCAAAAATTTTCTTACTTGATTGCCACTTCGAAAAATCGCAGTCTGAGATTGAAATAGATCTAAAACAGATTGTAAATTATGAAAGCTTGCGCCACGCTTCTAGGTTTCTGTACATTTTCCGATGCATTCGAATTCGAGAAAGCCGACCGCGAGAAAAGTGAATTGTTCGCAGAGATGGCAAACTTCAAATCGTCGATTTCTAATAATGAGGCGGCGCTTGACAAGCTGAGTGTTTTTAAAGAGCTTGTCCAAGGCGCTTGGGACCAGACGATCAACAATTCACGAGAACTGGATGCACTTGAACAGAGTATTGATCGAAACTCGGATGCTATTGTGAAAGAAAATGTTCACCGCCAAGCATCAGACAAGATGCTCTTTGAATTATTCCAATCGGTGCTGGAGATATTGAACGACGACTCCAAGCGCTTTCTGGAGCTTGAAAAATCAGCCGATACTTTGGAGAAGGTCGAAGTTGCCAATGCAAAGGCAATGGAGACTCGGGTGAATGAAGAGATCTCTGGAACGAGACGCTTACTCGACTCGCACGCTCACAAGCTCAACGAGCACTCCGCCACGCTTGAGACAGTCTCCAGCCTCGAAAAGAAGCTCCAAGACCTTGAATTCCAGGTGACAGTCGAACTCGCCAAATCTGAGGCTCGACAACGCACGGCATTAGTCGCCGCCAAGAAAGTCTCAGAGAAATCTGACGAAGATTTTGTCCTAGATTATTCAACACCTATTGACACTATTGAATTAGAAGACAGCTTTGTTACCGAATCGGATATCAAATTGATCCAGGACGGTGTTACCGAAGAAATCAATGTTTTCGTAGCGAGATTAGAAGGTTTAGAAAGAAACGTCACCGCGCTTGATGAAAAGTATCTGCAGCTCCATCAAACTCAGCTTAATATTACAGAAATATCGCAGAATAATACTCTCGAAATTTTGAATCTTCAAAATGCAACAGATATTCTTGACAGGAAAGTAGACGATTTGGAACAAATGATTAATAGAACTGTCGTGCGCTTCGCAAATCAGACGATGGAACTTGCCACCCATGTTTCTGACATTTCTAATTTGACTGATGCTCACGAAACGGAACTATTCGAGCTCAGGTCTGAGCTCATTCACGCGCAAATGGAGATTCAAAACTTAACAGATACGATTTTTTGGCTCCAAACAGAAAATGAAATCGGCGAAGAAAAGGATGATGTAATCAAGCAGCTTCAAGAGACTGTCATCGAACTTCAATATGGCCTCATTCCAGCGCCAAAACAAGGGGAGATTCTCATCACCGGAGGTCTCCAAGACTTTGGTGCCGACTGGTCTAGCATGTTGCTCAGCGTTCACCACAGAGCCCAGAGAGAGTTCACACAAATGCCTCTTGGGCGAAGCTCGCATTGTTTGGTTAGACTTGATGATGACATTTTTGCTCTTGGTGGAGCATTCGACTCTGCTTCACGTCTCTCTCGAAGCTTTGAATGGAAAGAAATTGATCCAATGTTGGAAAGTAGGGATGATGGCCCTGGATGCGCAACGTATCATAGCAGAGTCTGGGTTTGTGGTGGTCACGATGGGCAGACCTTTCTTAGTAGCTGTGAGTCGTATCATCCTTCTGACGGATGGCGATTCGAAGAGAGTCTTCTTGTTCCTGTTGCAAGAACAACTGCCGTCGTGAATTCCGAAGGGCTTTTCATCATAGGTGGCGCAAACGATTCTGGCGATGTACCGTTCGTTCAATGGTTCGACGAATCCCTCAGCATGTGGCGTCTGAAGCAGGATATGCCGCTAAAAGTTGCCGAAGGAAAAGCCGTCGAAGTTTTCGATGAAATATACTTAGTCGGCGGTTCGGGAGGCAACGAGCATAATATTCTGTACATGAATACGACTTCCGAAGAATGGATGCTTGCTGGAGAAATGAACAAAGATCGAGTTGGGGCATCCGTCGTTGCCAAAGAGCATGAAATTATTATAATCGGTGGGGAAATTTGCTTCGACAATTGTGGCAATGTCATAGAAGTCTTCGACACGTTCAATTTAGAAGTAAGGAAGGAGAAAATCCGAAACCTTCCAAACATCAGTTATGGCGCGGCTCTGCTTATTTAACTTCTGAGTCCAATAAAATGTATATTCGAAAGAATTTGTTCAAAGTGTTAGGTGCGTTTATTAGTCACAATGAAAGAAAAGTTGCTGTACAGGGGTTGAACTTAGGAATGCTAGACTGACGTATCTAGAGGAGTGACTTCGGGCGAACTAGTTTTCTTTTGAATAATTTCTCCCCACGCAGGGCCAAGGGATGGAACCCAACCAGGACGCGGAGTCCGCACTTGATGAGCAACTGCGGTGGATACTAAATATCTCGGTTAAATTTTTAAAGCATTGTTCTACTATCAGTTTGATCACTTGTGAATTTTACCTGAATATACCGAGGAAGAGTTAGTCTGAATGTCAGCCTGGACTTGTGCTTCCTTGAAATTAAAAGAGACGGGAGATTCGGCAGAAATGCCGCTATCTCTTTGCTGAGTGGTAAACGCCGGATTCTACGAAATTTCTTCGTGAAAATTAATTAAAAATAGAAACTTACCTCGTGAGAAATTTGATTATACTCACAGCAGGACTGTTTGCTTGCGCTAGAAAGGACAGAAGGATAAACATCGACGCTAGAAGGAGCTGGAACCATTGAATCTCTTGGTTTGTAAGTCCCTTGATTGTCGCGTTTTTGACGACAACGAAGGCACATCAGCCAAATAATCAAAACCAGAGCAAGAATCGTGAGGAAAGTTATACTGATGAGTATCAGATACAGAGCCCAATCGTCGAGGCGATATTGACACTGCGCTCCGAAAAACCAAGTGCTGTCGTTGTCTAATTTAAGGACTGGGAAACTGATTAGGACGTGAACCTCGATTCTTATTTGAGTATTCTGGTACTATTTTAGTAGCTGACTTGGTTTGAAATCATGATGCATCATTGATTGACTAGCTGGAATAATATTTCCCAGCCCTTCTCTGCGCAAAAACAACGTGGCGCGACGTTAATACTCTCATGCGTACAAATAGCATCGTTTTTGCAGTAATCGGCTACACAAATCGACTCGCAGTAAGCTATTGCTATCAGCTGGCCTTCGGGCTCCGTGCACGTCTGATACCGCGGACAATCAATGCTCGGGCAAACGCTGTCGCCAACAATCTGCGGCTCTAGGGGCTGATTGCCCAGTACGCTTGGGAGGATGAATTCGGAAACAAGAGAGTTCCTTGTAAATTCCCGTTCCATGGCGGTAAGATCCCTCAATTTCGCCAAATTGGCGATCGATGCCGATCGAGCTGAATTTCTTTTGATGCCTTCTAAAAGAAAAACAAAGGTGGCACGCTTACCTGGGACAGAGAAAAAGACCGTTACAGGTGTGGTTTCGTCAATAGATGCGGAGAACGACGAGTTTCCTCCATCGGGACCCTCCTTCAATTCGTGTTAATCATTTAAAACTCCTTTCGGGAAACTACTTACCACTTTAGTTAGGGCTGGAACGATTCCAATCGTTGAATAAACACTTGAATAGTAGCTTGCGAAGAATTCTAAAGAAAGAATATAAAAAATACTCTGAAAACCGAAAGCTCAACTCTCAAAGTCGGAGATGCGCACATTGCGGACATTTGTACGGGCCCGGAAGTTGACAGTGATTTCGTAGCTCTTGAGCAAGTTCTGAGGAATTCTCGCTTGAACCGGCTCGAAGTTGATGTCGTCATTATTCTCTGAGTTTTGCGCGTGAACAACGGAGTACTGGAAGAACGTGTGCACCCATAAGATTAATCGGATTTTGCTCATTTGAATTGGCGTCTGAACGGCATCGAGAGGCCTCCACGATTCACTCGAGCGCGTTTTGAAACTCCTTCACTCTGAAAACAGCAAAAGGCTATTTGAGACTCTCAAAAAAGTTAAGCAGCGAATGTGTGCCTGAGAATTTTTACTCATTATCAATACGCGTCTTCCTGCAAAAGTTTCTCTTAAAAAACATATTTGTAAAAGTATATCTTCACACCTGCTAGGCGGACCAAATCTATCGATTTTTCAAAGGATCATCCACCGACGGAAATTCCTTTAAACATCGATTTCTAGTTGATGTAAATATAACGACAAAATAGAAGACGTGCCAGTCATTTGGGATATAATGGACATAAAGTAAAATAAGTATAAATAAAACGCTCCATAGGTTCGTTTTCATATTTTGAATCACAGGCTGTGATACCAGAATCATATAAAAAGCTAGTGAGGGAATTAAGAAGCTCAAAAGACTTGTCAAAACATGAGACACGTTTTTTTGGACTCTACCTTACAATGGATTCTTACGCGCGTTATTTTTTCTTGTGAAAGCACGGCTCTCTTTCTATTTTCATGCGAGGAAATCTCTGTCCATTTTTGTAAATTGTAATTAAGAAGCTTTGGTCAAACTTGACATATAGTGGGTAGTCGATGTCGTCTATGAAATGAATTTTTAACAAGACTGGTGCTCTCAGGGGACGATTAGTGGCTCATTTCGTTTTCTCTTTGGTGCGATTGAGCTATCCTCTTTCATTTCTCAATTTCGTGAAATTGTCTTAGTCCGAGCTGATTACCCCTAAATTAGAAAGATAGGAAGTCAGTGCCCCTCGGGGGACACTTTTTAGCTGATACAAGGGTTCAAAACAGCAACTAATTTCAGAGCAAAAGAATTTATAATGAGAGCGATGCACCATAATTTATTCATGTCCATGTTCAAAGGAACAGCGTCTTGTAATACATGCCTACCCATTTTTAAAGCGCATACTTCAAACATTTTATTCGGCTCCCTTCCCAGGCGCATAACCGAACCTCGCATGCATTTTCCCTGATGAAGATAGATGAACTTTTCTTATTGTTCTCTTTTCAATTATTAACGCTGCTTTTCGATGAGATACCTGGAAAAATAGATGTGTATATAAACAGTATATTAGTTGCTGGCAGTATTTGCGTTCTCAAGATGACTCTTCGTTAAATTCATCTAAGGTGATTTGGAATTGGGGCACCCTGCTTCGTCTCTTTTGTCAATTCTCATTCTCTTTTGTCCTAAAGCATCTCACTCACTGAGAAGTGTCCGTGACTGATCCAAAGCGCGATTTCAAGAATTCATTATTATAGTGTTATTTATATCCTCATCCGAAAAGTCGTTAGAACAATCCTTATCACATAGATTATCAGATCAACTCATGCTAAAGCTAAAGATAAATATCCTCGATATAATATCGGGCTAAAAGTTTTACTTTTATTGAAAGTCATTCCGATGGAAGTTCAAGTTTTAACGGAAACTGATTTATATCACAGAAACAAATCTCTCATTCCCGCCCTTTTTTGCAAAAAATCTCCGAGAAAGCACCATTGCATTTTCTCAAAATTGATGACGCCGATCGAGTTTGGAGAGAAAAACGCTCAGAAACCGACGAGAAGAGTCAAACCAATGGGTTTTGAGGAGCCGGTTCCTATGAAAGTCCAAACGAAAAATATGGACGGGACTGAAGAGCGAAAGTTGAAACCGGCAGTTCGAAAACCTACTGATGGCAACAAGGAGGATATTCCGGAAGATCAAAAGCTCTCTTATCCTCGCGTGAAACGTAAGTTTTTATCTACCACCTGCTCCTTATAAATTGCTTCATGTAGACACTGACTTCTTTTGGTCGCCCGTTAGATTCAAAAAGCGGATGCCACATAATCATGGAACGTTGATAAACGAAGATTTCACTTCCAGATTTCGCAAAGGAGACGTTTTTCCAAACTTCAAGGTGATAAACATGCGTCTTGTTCTCGTTTTATCTTAACTTTAGATAGAAGTAAACATCTCCAGCGAAAAGAACTGGTTAGATCAACCAGATCGCTATTTCGAAGCAAACGATATTGAGGCTTTTGAAGGCTTGGTTTCTATACTTGAAGTCTTCTTAGAGAATCTCAAACAATTTCTCTTTATGACGAACTTCATTCAATGTTACTTCAAGTTACTTCAATACTAAACATGATTTCATTTTGAAACCAGCAATAGACTCCTTGAGCCATCTTCGCGAGTCAATTGAAGAAGCTTACGACTCTCATGCCCCAAGCCTATCGAAAGCTGAGCGATGCATCAACGAAAACTTAGGCCTTTACGATGACAACAGCTTGTTCGAAGAGCCTTCCGTTCCACTGGACCCACCGGACCCAAATCAAGGATTCCTAGAGTGGGTGCGTAAATCACTCTGTATGTTCTTTTTACTGTCATTTAGCTGGAAGCCAGAGGAATACCCTACCTCAAACCAGAATACAACGATGAGGACTCCTCCGTTGATGAAGATTCATCTGAATGTGAAAATGCCTACTATGACTTCGATGGCCAACGTCACTGGGACCAAGAGAAAACCTTCGTACCGGAAGACACAGACGATTCCTACAATCCCTACGACTGGTAGATTAACCTGCCCATCCATCTGCAATTAGTCCGCTTTAATTTATTTTGAAATTGCTATTTCCGATTACATTTTGCCAAAAATTAAACACAACAATAAAAGTAAAAAGGGGAATGTGTGAGTTTATTTTTGAACTATTGGAATGAACAGTGATTGGTTTTTTACGACAGTGATAGTTTATCCGCATCCGCGGACACGGTTTTGAACTTTGAGATTGTTCCTCAATCGGAGGAGACAATCGAAAAAAAAGTGACGCAGGTAGAAAGTGAAACTGCTCAAGGGGGTGATCCTTTTTGAACTTTGAGATTGTTTTCCATAGAGGAAAGACAACTCCCTTGAGCAGCGAAATGCTATTTTGAACTTTGAGATTGTTCTTCAGACAATCTCAAGTGAGTTTAACGGGAATCGGTGAAAGTGAATTGTTTGGAGGTTGTTTACCTCCAGTTAAAAAGCACATGGATTTGGGGAGGAGGGGGGATCCATGGCCGTGAAAAGGGGCGGGGGAGAGGACGACAGGAAGAAAAATTGGGTCAGGGTGGCCGGAAGTGTTTCGACTGCGCGGGAGCCACATTTTCGGACTCTTCTTCGGCGATCGACTGGACACCCATTTCCCAGAGACGCATTTGCGCCTCCTCGCGAATCTTCATATACTTTTCTTCTTCCTCAATTTTCTTGTCGCATTGAAGCCGCTTTTGCTCGTACATCTCAATCGATTTGGCACGCTCCTCGATTTCTTTTCTAAATTTGGCTAAAACTTTGCTCGCGAGAAAAGATGAGTACTTACAGTAGAGCGCGGTTTGCCTGGCTTTGTTGGAAGAACTCGCGGTTGAGTTGCTGGACGTTTCTGTCGCACTTGGAAAACTGCTGCAGCACTGTTTTTCGCGCATTCAACAGCACTTTGCACGAGTCCAGTAATCCGTCCAGACGTCCCTCGAGTTCCTAAAAAAACCGTTGAAAGATTGACTTGGAAAGATAAAAAATGAGAATTTTAAATGTCGATCTCGATCGTATCAAGAAAAAAAACCGCCTAATGTCTTGTTTTCAAGCAAAAAAGCAATAGATAAACAAAGATACGGAGGTTCACAGAAAGCATCCGATGAATGCCTTAATTACGAAATCATGAAAGGCAATAAATGCATTACAAAGATGAAGAATTCGTTCTTCATCCGAAAAAGCGTCTCATTCACTGGAAAATACATTAATTTGATGCTAGTTAGGAATTAATAGTTTAAGGGAGATGACATTACGATAACTAAGAATAGTATAATTATTAAAAACAAACCTTTATTTTCTTTTCACAGTCTGCGTTTTTATCTGCTGCTCTGTTAGCCTCTCTGTGCATCCAATCGAGGACGTTTTGCTCCATTTTGGCGAGTCTTTTTTATTTTTCGCAAAAATATTTGGTTTTTTTTTCTAGAATGCGGTGGTTTTGATTTTTTCAATTTTTTGAATGCGTCCGCGGCGCAAACAGTTCAAGTCGAGATTGGCCGCGCTCGCGCTCTCCGCCCACCTCATTGGCTCTGGCTCGAGTTCGCCGACTTACTTCACGAAACAAGAAAGAAACTAACTACTATCTCGCCAGAGAATCAAATCCCATTATCAAGAGCATCAGAAACCGTCTTTCCCGCCAATATTTCGTTTTTCAGTAACTATTTATTTTTTGTATTTTTTTTTTCACTTAGAAAGTTGCCATTCTCTAGTTTCTACCTTTCAAATGAATTACATTGAAGATGAATAATTGTAACTATTTGGATAATCTCGAAAGGCGAAAATTTATTTTCACATATTATTCTTTTTCTTCTAAATTGTTTTGCTCATTTCTATTCCTGTGGCGAAATGATTAACGGAAGTTCAGTTTTCCGTGGTCGCCTGAGATTTTGGTTTTTGAAAATAACAGTAGTGGTGTGTTGTAGAATGCAGGCTGGTCGACAGATCGTAGTTCAAACCCGAAACTCCTCGGGTAAGCTGAAGGAGCTTGGTATCCGACTCAAGTCCATCCGAAACATCGAGAAGATCACCAAGACAATGAAGATGATCTCCTCCGCCAAGTTCGCCAAGTCTTCCAAGAAGATTGGTCCTGCTCGAGCCTTCGGAATGGGCGCCCAGTCCATCGATGCCGTAAGTTCGAAAAGCCACGATGTCGCTCTAACCGAAAATTCTTCTTGTAGAGCACCGAGGGAGCCCAGAAGGAGATCTTCGTTGCTGTCACCTCCGATCGAGGTCTCTGCGGTGCCCTCCACACCACCATCTGCCGAGAAATCGAAGACGATATGGCCGCCTCCTCCGCCGCAGAGAAGAAGCTTGTCACCATCGGAGACAAGGGCCGAGTCTACTTCGCCGCCAAGGTATCTTTCAAAATTCAAAGCAACAATGCCGACGAATTATTCAGAACCCTGATGATCTCCTGCTCGAGTTCAAAGAACACGGCCGAAACGAACCTACTTTCGAGGACGCCTCCTTCATCGCTCAGCAGATCCAGGCCACTGGTTTCGACTTTGAAGCTGGTACTATCAAGTTCAACCAGTAAGTCGTCCTTCTTTCCATAAAATTGTTCAGCTGCAATCTTTTAGCTTCGCTTCTGCCATGAAGCAGGTGCCCACCAACGCCACACTCCATTCCGTCAACTCTTTGAGCAACGCTGACTTGTCCGTTTTCGATTCCATCGATGAGGCCGTCCTCTCTGACTATGCCGTAAGCAATAGTGTCTCTCTTCCGTTTCCTTACCTTCATTTTTTAGGAGTTCAACATGACCGCTTTGATCTTCGCTTTGATCAAGGAGAACTACGTCGCTGAACAGGGAGCTCGAATGGTTTCCATGGACGGTGCTTCTAAGAACGCTGGTGACATGATCGAAAAGCTCAACCTCTCCTTCAACCGAATGCGACAGGCCGTAAGTACTCATGCTTTCTTCTTGGCAAACCATAAATGATTAATGCGTTAACATCAACGGTAGTTAATCACAACCCGTTTTCTGATCACGGCAATGGTTTCATGAGAGTCAGCAGGCCGGCGATAGGACTTCTGGGGCGGTTTTTCGTCCCAGTCGACCTTCTCTTAGCCGGGCGGTGTTAGACTGTTGCTAAATCGAAACTGGTCATGAGAGTTGTTAACGGCGCTGCCTCGCGCAGAATTTCCTGCCGTTAACTTAGAATTGATCCAGACAGAGCTAACTAAAACTAAACTTAAACTATCTATGAAGAATACGAACGTTTACATCTTGGTTCTAGGTCATCACCACCGAGTTGTCCGAAATCATCTCCGGTATGGTCGCCATCGAATAATTTCTCCTTTGCTCTGTCAACATGTGTCTCCCTCAACGAGTTCAAGAAGAAACAAAAAATTCTATTTATTTGATCGGGTGAAAATTGTTCCCGGTTCAACTGTTCGCTAGGACAAATTTAACTTATTAAAACCATCTGGATTTCCCCCTAAATGACCCGTGTCAAATGTTGGTTCTGTTCTCAAAATAAAACAACACGTTCAGAATGGCGTATATTTTCGTATCCGCAGGCTGGAACGCTAATCACTCAGGTAGAGACTCCCTTCTCTAAGAAAGGTTTCATCGAGCATTTTTTCAGTCGTGCAGTTTTTCCAGGATGACTCCGAGAACGCGCCAAGGGAGGCATTCTACCAAGAAAACAACAAACCACGCATGATTTTGCTTGATAGAAAAGGCGCTGGCGCGATAGACGCCTTCGACGACGAAATTTCACCGAATGTCAGTATCGACTCTGATTACAGTAGGCTACACGCCGTGCCGGGCGCAAACCAACAGACTTTCGACGAGGAAAAAGACGGTGAAAAGCGCAATTTCACAGAGAGAACTGACGAAGAACTGGTCGAAACGCAGATTGAAAATTGGGACGGAGGTGTGGAAGTTCACCGATCACAGAGCATGAAGTCGGGATGGTCTTCTAAGTGGAATAAGAATTGGACACAATTCAGATACCCAAGTTTAGTCACGCTTCCTGAACTTCACAATGCAAGGTTGGTGTATATAAAATTATTCGTTTCATTGTTATTTTTCTTCAGTCCGCCAGAGTTGACTTCCTACGCAGCGGGGTACGAGCGAGTAGGAGAAAGTAAATATCTAGAACAAGTCGAAGACGCTGTTCGAGTGATGGCGGAAGAGAGTGATCGAGTCGAAGGGTTTATTTATCTTGCGGATTGTTTTGACGGATTCGCTGGTGGCGTCGATAGAGTGATTGAGATGAACCAAGACGATTATCACAGACGCTCCTTGCTGTTCAGTTTTGACGAGCCGGAGCCAAAGGCAACACCCTTCTCCCTTGTCTCCAAATCACTCGCACTCCAATCACAGGCTGACCTCATCATCCCTCTTTGGTCACCACAATCAACATCTACCGACGAGCAGTGCACCGCTCTATCCTCCGTTATAAGCAACGTATGTCTCTTCAAATATATTTTGGTTAAAATTTGTCACGAAGGTTATGTACCTCCTCGAAGGGATCCACATTTCAGCAGTGCAACATCGACTGTCGCCCTTTTCAAGGCAAAAAATTGTCCAAACGATGTCCTTAAAAACCAATCAGCCGATAAGTCAGATGCTGCAAAAGAAACCAGAAGAAATTGAGAGAAATCTCCATTGGATGGATTGGAAAGCGATTGCTCCTCCTTCTTATAAACCGAAAAAGTCTTTCCAGCCGCGTTCTATTGTTAACGTTTGCTTAGGTTAGTGTTAAATGTTATGTATCTTAACGTGATAGATGTGCAAAAATGAATCCCTTCATATGAAATTAAAGGTCAAGTGTCACGATCTCAGTACAGGGACAGTATTGACAATGATTTATGCTGTTGGTACAATCGGCATTTGCGCTGCGCGGCCCAATCTGTTCTCATGCCGTCATCCTCTCAATCGATAGAGGAGGGAGCATCACTGATTTCTTTGAGAACCACGAACGCCATCCACGAATACTTAGCTTGCTTGCTTCAAAGAGTCAAGAAATTCCCCTACAAATTGAGTGGATTTGAAGGAAAGGCTTTCTTAAAAAAATATCAATGAGAAGTACACTTTTCAAAAGTTGTCTCCGTGGGATATAATCAAAAAATTTATTAAATACCACATAAGAAAGCTTTTTAAAGATGATGACTGGGCTGAAAAAGTCGAAAACCTGTCAGCATTACGTGATCAAACAAGTCCAACGGATGACTTCTCTTCAGATTCTGACTAAATGTCGACGATCAAACTTCACATGTTTTATTTCACATGAGTGCCTCTTTCTTCATATAATATGAATCATATTATACTGTTTCGTTTATCCAGTTTTGTTTAAGTGTTATTTGCGATTGTTAGAAAGTCAACCAGCTCTAGTACTCTCGCCAAGAAATTGTTTATTCTCGAGTTTTAGCTTTCCTTTAGTTCGCACTGCCTGACTGTCAGAAAATGTATTGTTTGTTTGTTTCTTCTGTATTCTCAATTTTTTCTTTTTAGATGGCTACCTTCGCCGACTTTATTCAAGCAGAAGAGGACCGCGATGGAGTGCGCCTGAGCTGGAATGTCTGGCCCGCAAGTCGCCTTGAAGCCACTCGCAACGTCATCCCTGTCGGCGCGCTGTACACACCCCTCAAGTCCAGACCTGATTTGCCTCCTATCAAATACAACCCCGTCCTCTGTCCGCGATGTTCTGCTGTTTTGAACCCTTTCTGTCAGGTAAGACACATTCCTAAGTCAAAATTGTATTGTCTTGTGTTTAATTTTAGGTCGACTATGCAGCCAAGATCTGGGCATGTAACTTCTGTTTCAACCGCAATCCCTTTCCACAATCGTACGCAGGTGCGACTGAACAGCATCGTCCTTGTGAGCTGATCCCGCACTTCACGACAATTGAGTACACTCTTCCCCAGCAGCGGCCCATTCCTGGACCTGTTTTTCTGTTTGTTGTTGATACTTGCATGCACGAGGATGAGCTGCAGAGTCTCAAGGACAACCTTATCATGTCGCTGTCCATGATACCCAAGCACGCCCTCGTTGGTTTGGTCACTTTCGGAAGAATGGTGCAAGTCCACGAGCTCGGTATTACTCTTCATAACGACTTCGGTGAAGGAACTAAATTATCTTTTTCAGGCACTGAGGGTATCTCCAAATCCTACGTTTTCCGAGGCACCAAAGATGTCGATGCGAAGAAACTCCAAGCCATGCTCCAGCTGGGCCAGCCGCAAGGTAGATATTCATCGGAGAAATATTTAATTTATTCAATAATCGTGATTATTAATTTCCCGTCTCGTAGCGTACATGCAAAACTTGCATTACTTCCAGCATCTTCCTCCAGGTTTTAACACGAATCATTTATCATGCATGCCAGTTTGGAGTGTTCATCTTGAACTCAGACAAACATTCCATTATTTTTGAAAATTTATCTTCAACTAACCACTCTATTGCAAATACAAATATCTTAACCATCTCTAGGACAAGGCAATCAGGAGCAAATGCCACCTTCTTTCCGTTTTCTGCGTCCGTTGTCGCAGTGCGAGCAGAATCTCGAAGAACTAATTGGTGAGATCCAGCGCGATCCATGGCCAGTTCCGACTGGTAAACGCGCCCTCCGTTCTCTTGGAGTAGCTCTCTCCTTGTCTGCCTCGTTGCTGGGAATTACGTACCCCAATGTCGCCGGTAGAATCATGGTTTTCACAGCTGGTCCAGCTACACAGGGCCCTGGTATGGTTATTGACGAAAACCAAGCGCAGGTCATCCGTGGCTGGCACGATATTGAAAAGGACAACTGTCCGTACATGAAGAAAGCGCAGAAATTCTACGACGCCGTTGCTGATCGTGCCGCGGTAAATGGGCATGCTATTGATCTTTGGGGTTGTGCTCTTGATCAAGTCGGTATGCATGAAATGAAGAACTGTATCGTCGGAACTGGTGGATACATGATTATGGCTGACAGGAACGGGTCTTGAACTTTTTATCTGTCCTGTAGTTAATGCGTTTCTTCTTTTAAATTTCACACAAACCCGTTCAAAGTTTCAAGTCGAGCTTATTTATTCAATCTTGGAAGAGAATCTGGGAATCTAACGAGAGTGGGCAACTCGATATGGCATTCAATGCCACTGTAGAAGTAAAAACCTCGCGAGAGGTTAAACTTTGCGGAATGATTGGTGCCGGATCCTCACTGAAGGTTAATTCTGCTTCTGTGTCTGAGAACGAGATCGGTATCGGTGGAACATGCCAGTTCCGAGTTCCAGCCTTGGACAGCAACACAACGTTGGCCATGTTTTTGGAGGTGGTCAATCAGCATAACCAGCCCATTCCGCAGGGCGGGAAGGGTGTCGTTCAATTTGTTACGCGTTACACTCACCCTTCTGGCGAAATTCGCGTTCGAGTTACTACGCTTGCTCGAGCATGGGCAGATCCTAATACTGGAACAGAATACATCCAAGCAGGGTTTGATCAAGAAGCCGCCTCCGTGCTCATGGGCCGATGGGCTACCTTTAGAGCTCTCACCGACGATGGACCAGACGTGCTGCGATGGCTGGATAGAACCCTCATTCGCCTCTGCCAGCGCTTTGGCCAGTACGCCAAAGATAACGCAGAGTCGTTCAGATTCCCAGAAACTTTCTCAATGTATCCACAATTCATGTTCCATCTTCGACGATCATCTCAGCTGCAAGTTTTCGGCCATTCTCCAGACGAATCTGCCTACTTCAGATACCAGTTGGCCATTCAGCCACTTTCTGAATGTCTGCTTATGATCCAGCCTGCTCTTTTCGCGTACTCTTTCAATGGTCCCCCAGAGCCCGTTCTTCTTGATTCAACATCCATTCAGCCAGACCGCATTCTTCTGTTAGACACCTTCTTCCAGGTCTTGATTTACCACGGAGAAACGATTCATCAATGGAAAGTGGCCAAATATCACGAGCAGCCGGAATACGCTACTTTTGCTCAATTAATGCAAGCACCTGTCGAAGATTCGCAAGAAACTCTAGCAGAACGTTTCCCCATTCCGAGATATGTTGAAACGTACCATGATCACTCACAGGTGAACGAAAATCTTGTTATATATCTTTTAAACGACTTAGGCTCGGTTCCTCCTCGCAAAAGTCAACCCCTCGACGACTCACAACAACATGGGTTGGGGAGCAGAGAGCTCTGCCCCTGTTCTCACGGACGATGTTTCCCTACAGGTCTTCATGGATCATCTTAAGAAACTAGCTGTGTCTTCTGCTAATTAGGTTCATCTATTCTGTTTTTAAATGCTATTTAATCCTTATGACTCCACGTCGCTTCAACTGTTCGCATTAGTTTACTTATTTCCAGTGCAATACGAGAAATCATCTCAACCCTAACTCATCTAAATAATGATCTCTTCAGAAGCTATGACTCAAAATGAGCGACAAAACGGAACACGATGATAGTTTTAAACGCACAGCCTCGGTAAGGAAGTCAAAACGAGTAGGTCGCCATCGAAAAGAAGACGAAAGCGGCGCAGTTTTTTACAAAAAAGCACCGCAAGATCATATCTCTGGCGCTCTCCAGTTGGGAATCACGCACTCAGTTGGCTCCCATACTGTCGACCGTGATGTTCTACTCCAGGACTTCGAAGTGATCGAAACTATCGCATTTCCAAAGGCCGGAACTACCCTGACCCCGCATCATACATTCGATGACTTCCGTTTCAAGTCCTACGCTCCACTCGCCTTTCGATACTTTCGCGATATATTCAATATTTCCACTGAAGACTTTTTGCATTCGATAGGCGCTCGAAGCCTCATCCCGATCGGCAATCCTGGCGCTTCTGGAAGCTGCTTCTGGATAACGCACGATGATGAGTTTATTGTCAAAACGGTTCAGCAAAAAGAGGCGAGCTTCCTCACAAAACTACTTCCAGCCTATTTTATGGCCGTCCATCAGAATCCCAAAACGCTCCTGCCAAAATTCTACGGTAACTTTGTTCGTGCTTCTTATCTCAAACTTTTATCAAGGCCTTTTCAATATTAACATTGGAGGACACAACATAAGAGTCTGCGTTATGAACAACTTATTGCCTCGGCGTGTGAAGATGCACCAGAAGTATGATCTGAAGGGCTCAACTTTCAAAAGGAAAGCGAGCAAGTCCGAACGCGAGAAAAAATCACCCACTTTCAAGGATCTTGATTTTGTGGATTTCCTCCCTGACGGAATCAAGCTAGAATTTGAATATTACGAAGCCCTGAAGCATACAATTCAAGCTGACACCAGGCTGTTGCACTCGTTTAAAATCATGGATTACAGGTATTATTTGATTTGGAGTCATTTTTAATCTTTTTCAACATTAGCCTCCTACTCGGAATTCACAATGAAACGCTTGAAGCTGAATCACGCGATAAGGAAGAAAAACAATCAATTGATTCAGAAGGATCAACTGTGACACTTCGTGGTTCTAAAAAACGTAATTTTGAACGAATGTTTCGAAACTTAACTGAACGTTCAGCCCGAGACCGCTCAAAACATATTTCTTTAAATCCAACGACTCTTCAAAATATTCTTGCGAAGTCAACCCGTCCAGAACGATTCCAAATCGCAGCAGATCCCTGGGGCGGCATCCCGGCTACTAATAGCAACGGGGACAAATTGAAGATCTATCTGGGAATCATCGATATTCTCCAGTGTTATAAAAGTAAGAAAAAACCCTTCCGCCTCTCTTTCTAAATAAATATTTCTACTATTTTTTACTGTTAATCCCATAACCAAGATAAAAAATAAAAAGAGAACCCCCCTTCGTATGTACCCTCTTTGTTCTTACTTGTATCTAGCCATGAAGAAGTTGGAGCATGCTTGGAAAGCTATTATCTACGATGGCAAGACAGTATCGGTTCATCGCCCTGGATTCTATAAAAAACGCTTTGAGAGTTTTTTGTTCGGCACTGTATTCAGAAACTTGCCCATGACTGAATCACTTCGCAGGTAATGCACTGGCTGGGGTCATATTTTTAACGCGTTGTCTGAATAAAGGCTGAATGAAAAGGACAAGCAGAAACTGAAGCAACGCGCCAAGTTTCCGCCCAAGACTATCGCCGAGCACGATGCCGAAGTGGCCATGGACGGGAATCTCGGGGATATACAAGCCAAACTGACTGCCGAGCTGAATGAAAATATCAACTCTATTGATAGACGAAGAACATTCAAGGGCACAAACGTGATTCTACCTTATTTCTTTTCAATTAGAAACTTTGCTTTTAGATACCTATAAAAAGAGACGACGCTGTCATCACTCCTGACGGATCCGGCGACTCCGCTGATCTCGATGCCAAAGATGTCGAAGTAACTATTGCGGAAAAAGTCGAGGAGCCGCCTACAGTCAAAGTTCTCCACTGCTCGCACGAGATGTCCACCGATTCTGGTATTTTTAGTAAGCGAACTTTCTTGTGCAAGCATGCTTTTTAGAGCAAGTTCACAAATCAACCGACCAGATTTCCGCAACGACGCATTGAAACTACGCCTTCATATATTTACAGCAATACCTCCTATATTCCATTTTCTTTTCTTCCTGCTTCCACTTCCTATGTAATTATTTTTACTAATAAATGTTCGCGCTTTTTATTCAGAATTTCCATATTCCTTATTTGTCAACTATTTCCAATAAAATATCTTCGGATCAGATTAATCGCAGTCTACTTCTCCCTGTGCTCGGCAACCTTAGCCAGGATCCCGAAAGAACTTTTATGAAAATCCGCAAAAAAAGTACGGGACTTTTTATGAGAGCTCTTTCAAGACCTTGACTCGGCTTTTCTACACAGATTGCGGAGCCCAGACTTCTCTTATTCAAAGTGTATAGATAACCGCTGTTGAACAACGTAAATGTAAGTTTAGCCCAGGGAAGAGTGAATCTTTATTTTTCTTTCGTTCAAGAATCGCATTTTCTTTTGTACCAAATGAATGAGCTGTTCGTTTTATTACTTATAATCTTCAGCAAGACTTCGCCTTACGATTTGACTGTCTTATATTCCAGTGTCATGTTAGATAAACAGAAATGATTGTTTCAAAGTAAAACTACTGCTTATATCTTCATTTTTGACAATAACAACGACAAGAACGCCTGATTAAGAATGGCCGACGACGAAAGAACGCACTGTATATGCGGTTTTACACATACGACTCGGTTGATGATTTGCTGCGACAACTGCAATGTGTGGCTACATGCGGAGTGCTACGGGCTCGACCAAAAAAAGGTTAAAGAAATCGAGAAGAAAAACCTCGACTTTTTCTGCAACGAGGTAAGACTTTTATCTGTGCTTTATTGAACAGAAAGTAAAAATGTGCCTGAAGCACGTCTTGATTTTGATTGAACATCTCTCTGATCATCAGCAGGTTATTTGGCATGAGTATTTGCTATTATGTGTCACCATGGGCAGGCGTGACTAACACGATGCGAATTTAAAGTTTTTAAGTGTCAACCGCGTACAGACTTGGACTTGGAGCGTGCGCAAGCGATTCAACGCCGGGAAGCCGCTAGGCAGGAAGAGAAAAAGGAGAAAAGACGAAGGAGACATCCGGCATCCGAGTCGTCAGAGTCGTCCGAAGAAGACGAGGAAACAGAAGGATCGGAGCGCAGATTCTCGAGGTATTTACTTTCTACACGTGCAGCGAGTGTTACTTTCAATAGGGAGGATCGTAAAGCCATGGAATACGAGAAACTCTTCGACAAGCTCAAAAAGGATGAAACTAAACGGCGGCGAAAGGAACGCCCGGAAAATGAATTAAAGGGCACCTCCGACGTCGAAGACGAGGAAAACGAAATAACAGACGAAGAAGACGAGACCCTAAAAGCTGGGAGAGGCCGAGGTCGTCGCGGGAGGCCCCCCAAAGGAGCTGGCAAGAGCAAAGAGCCAAAAGAACTTCCCACTCGCAAAACTGTCAAAGGTACAACAAAATTCCAGACTTTTTGCTAATTGTTTTCTTCAGATGTCGAGAGCATACCGACAACTAGGAAAAAACCTGGTAGACGTCCAGGCAGACGTCCAGCCCGTGCGACAAAGACCGCAGAGGTCGAGACTCCTGTGCAGCCAGAGCCCATTCCTGAAACTGAAGAACCCGAGACGGAATCCGCTGATAGGTGAAAACCAATATTTCTTTATTTGTCATAAAACTTGATTATCAGCGGATTGGAAGACGAGGAGCCGATAATAATGTCGAGGTTCATCGAGATTCCCGTCAGAGGAAATCGCTCGAGAAAGCGGAAGACGCTTGACTTCAGCTTATTTACGAGTGTTGGTGAATTTGGCAAAAACACACCGCAAAGTGATAATATTTTAGCCTGGCGAAATGGCAATAACTCGAAAACTGTTGTTAGACCTGAGTTAGTCTCTTGCCATAAAGGCGTGTTTTTAGCTGATTTTAGGACTTTCTCGACGAGGACTGAATCGCATGGTGCGCACTACAGAAAACAGTGGTGCAAGCAGCACTTCGAGGCGACGAAAAATGTCCCGCTCGTGGAGGATATTGTCAAGCAAGAGCTGCGCAAACGTAACATCGACTTGTCCACTCTAGAGGGCCTCAATAACTCTGCAAATAGCGATAAAAATGGATCACTTATGGAAACACAGTCACAAGGCGACGAAACAAGTAGTCAAGACAGTGAGCACTTGTCTATATAAAACACGCACTCCTGCTATTCCTATATCTGGTTATAGTTACTATTGTACTCTTAGGCGAATCCTCGGAGAAGCCCGTCGCACCTCCTGTCGATAAAAGCAATTCTATATCTGCTGCCGAGGCACAAGACAACGATGGGAAGAAAAAACTGTCGCTCTCTGACTATGTCAAAAGACAGCGTGAGAAAAATGCGAAAATCGCCGAAGAGCGCGCCAAAGAAGAAGCCGAGAGAAAACGACAAGAAAATAATCGACTCAACCCCGACGCAGTTTCTGCGGTCCTACACAGCGCAGTCGATGCTGCGTCCAAGGTCAGTTCTAACTTGGAAACAAGGCGAAAATGAGTAATTCTAGGGCTCGAGAGTGGCAACGGTCACTCCGGAGGATCTCGACTGGCTGGCTCGGCTAGGGATCAATCTGCAGGCCGAGAACTCGCAGGATCTGCACCAAGTAGCCACACAGCTGGCGAAAGACACCGAACAAGTTCTGAACATATTCCGCGCGGCGAACATCCTCGCTTCCCTGACTGCGAGGAGACGTCTCTCTCGCCGCACAAACACATTCGAAGATTTCTAGCTTCTCCTTTTTTTGACGACGCTAGCTTCTCCTATTTGTCTCCCAGTGAATCTTTTTCTATTCTTCGTTCAGATAAACTCTTTCCCTACTGCCATTTATTTCATTTATTGCTCTTTCTTCTTTCCTTCGAAAAAATCAAAAATAAAATTCCGAGATATTCCGTAGCAAGTGTTCATTCGCTGCTTTTAGTAATTTTGACCGTGGCGAAATGGCGTCACTGATGAACAAGCCGAAGGCCGAGCTCACTCCAGAGGAGCTTGAGGAGCGGGAGAAGCACGAATTCCAAACCGGGCCTCTTTCTGTTCTCACGGAATCCGTACGCAACAATACTCAAGTCCTAATAAACTGCCGCAACAACCGCAAACTCATGGGCCGAGTCAAGGTAAAAATTTTTTCGTTTCTTTTTTCAACCTTTCTCCCAGGCTTTTGACCGTCACTGCAACATGGTGCTCGAAAATGTGAAGGAGATGTGGGTCGAGCGACCAAAGACGTCCAAGGGAAAAGGTTACTATCGCTTCCGCCATTCTTATTGTTGATTCTCTTTCAGGCGGGCAACCTGTCAATCGAGACCGATTCATTTCAAAGATGTTCCTTCGCGGAGACTCGGTCATCATCGTCTTGAAAAATCCGCTCGAAGCTGCCAAGTAAACTCGCTCTCTAGCAAAGAAAATACTCCTGGTTATTACAGTCTGCTTTCTCAACATTTATCCTGAGTTTTGCGTTAAAGAATAAACGTTCCAACGCGGGGTTGGTAGAGCCGAAAATGATTAAAGAGAATGAAATTTTGAGAATGAACAATCTTTTATAGTCAAATTTGTACAATCTAGTGTTACTTATGCAGGAATTCAGGCTAACTTATCGTTGAATAAGTATAGATTATATTATTGCAGATGCTTATCAATTCCTTGGGCAATCTATATAGTGTGTTGACTAATTAAAACATTTTTTTATTAAAAAAGTGAACATAAAAGCACAGATAAAGTGAGGACAGAGATTACCATTGTCGTCTTTTTATGATTGGTTTTATTGGAAATTTAGGAAAACGAACTAAATAAACATGAAAACATTTGTGATGCGGGTTTTTCTGTATTTGCCGTTAAATGTCTATTATGAAGGAGGTGCAGCCAGTTCCTCCTCTCGCCGATTTATTTTTGTTCTGGGCTTCGTGCCCAAAAGTGCTTTATGAATGGCGCTTGAGGCTACTAAGTAGATGCTTGATCCAGAAAGACAAAATCAAATTTGAGCAAACGATACTCAAGCTAAAATTTTTTCAATAATTCTTGTTTTATGACGCTCAGCGAGCGACTAGCAAGAATTTATCTGGGAAGGAAACTCAGCGGGAAATGTTCTGAAATTAACGAAAACGAAAATCGAGAGTTTTTATAAAGAATGTTTTTGAAGAGCTTCATCGAAAAAGGAAAAAATGAGTAGCAGGGAGAAGTCCACGCCGATTCAGACGCCGACAATTTACTCGGAAATAGACGATGAAAAGTCAGACTCTGTTTTGATGTCGTCGCAGTCAGAAGCTTCTTCGGTCCGTTCAGGTGCTATAAATGTATTATCTTCCGCTTTCTAAAAGAGAGAAGTGACTCCGAAAACTTCGCTGGATCAGTCGCTTAGGACTATTCCTCAGGACTCCTTCGTGACGGACGGGAGAAGCAGGACAAAGTGGGACAAGAAAAATGAAAACGAAAACCTTTTGAAGAACGACGCATCGAACGCTACGACATCCGCTCTTGCTAATCTGGGCGAGTCGTTGTCCTCTTTTGCAACTCGAGTATTTTTGCAGATGTCACCATCAGAATAGGATCAAGCTTTAAACGCTTAATAAATTTCCCGCAGGAAATTTTCATTCCTATCTGATTTTCGAGCTTGAATTCAGGCTCACAGACGTTCGATGCACACCGGTAATTTTACGGTTAATTTTACTCCTTTCAGTTCTGATTATTTTTCAAGGATTGTTCTTGCCTCGCAAAGCTCAACATTTCGTAACATGCCATGTTTTCGATTCATAATCCATCATATATGTTGATATGCAAATCGAAAACAACTTACAGCTTATCGAACGTCCTCTCAATAAACGTGGCAAAATCGACATAGACATGGAGGTGTCTTCACATGACGCGGCAAAAGGTGAATCCCTTTCGAATTTAGAAAATAACAGAATTTGCGAAGAATTCCCTAATCTGCTCAAGTACATGTACGGAGGAGGGCTCACGTTGAATCGCAGCAGTGCTCCCGGACTATTGGGATCAGGCTAGAAAATATTCTTGAAAAAGAAAGAGAATTTAATCGTCACGAAAAAAGTATTGATACAGCCTCTGAAAAGACACTTGCCGTCAAACTCGATATTACTTCAATCAAATCACTTTGCGACAGGTTAATACTGGACCTCATTGAAGATGCAGATTTGAACGATGCTCTCAAGGTGATATAAATGTCGTTAAATTAGTTCTATCAAGAACTTAGTGGCTTGAGTTCTCCGCAAAAAACGGCCTCGATGATCTTGCCATTAAATGTGTCGACGGAGTTATTGCCGACTTTTGTCAAGATATGATGTCTTCTTCTGGAACTGATAAGCTTTCAAAACAGGCGATGGTTCAATTGCTCAGATCGTCTACTCTTCTTGTTCCCTCTGAGTGGTTCGTTTTTCAGGAAAATTTGAAAAAGAGACTAATTTTTATTCTTCTTTTGAAAGTTTCAAAACCCTACGTAGATGACTGAAAAATGGCTCTTAGAACAAGAGAAAACTTCCGACGACATTCTTTCAAAAAGGAATCAAACACTTTAAAAACTCGATTCGGGGACAACGAAAGATTCCATTGAATAGCTATTGACGATGTTCTTGATCAGATTCGTTTCTATCAAATGTCTGGCAAAGAGCTGCTTCAAGTTGAAGAATCGGTACTCGGCAGTCGCTATTCGACAACCGTCCAAGTGTACCTAAACCAAGCATATCGCTACCAGATAATTGCCTCGGCCCGACCTCCAGACAGCTGTCCGACCTGCCAACCACGTGACTACACAGGCTCTTGCGTTTATGAATTATTTTATATCTTATGTAAAGTACTAGAAGCAGTCTAGACGTTTTGGACATTTGCGAGCCTAAACAGACACTTGCACTCAATTATTCTACCACCCCCGTTCAAGGGCAAAGAAATGGATTTCATCAGATGCAAAACTAGTTCAATCAACTTTTCCATTTCTTATTGAAAGCGGCAGAATCAGTCCAGAGCAGTTGCGGGAAATGGGAAGTTACACCAAGAAAATATTATGACACTCTCAACGTAGTTGTGGTCTTGAAATCCAGGTCTGGTTCTGACACTTTTCCGATTTTTCGCACAGAAAGCAGAATTCCTGAAATCACAAAATAGTGGCGAACCAAACATTTGAATCGGATGGGATGCACGCGTTTGGATATCTATTGTTATTTTCGATAGAGTGGGACGCCCTGCAATGCGACTCAGGCCGGTCCTTTCTAATAAAAAAAAGCTAAGAGTCAAATTCTTCGGGCTCAGCCGTAAACAACTTTTCTTTGTGATATACGATAGGACCCTAAAAATAAAGGCGCCGCCCGTTTCAAATTCGAGATCCTCTGCGTAGTATGTCGGTGAGTAGAAAGGAATAAAAGCAACTTATTGGAGTGAACGTGTTCTTCAGACAACTCTCGACGCGGAGCTTTTCGCCATCGACAACATTTTAAATCAGGATGATTATCAAGCGGCAATCACGCATACTGGCTCCAACGGACTGCAAATTGGGATGATACTTCGCATAGAACCCCTTTCCTTTGAAGGAACGGGCCGTGAAGTTTTCGTCTAGTAGATTATACTCGATCTTATCAGTTACTTTGATAATCAGCCCGTCCAAAGAACCGAGCTAAAATTATTCGATATCTGCCAATTAATAAATTCATTTTTACTTTCCGACGTCTGGTATTGGCAGTGTTCTCAATAGCCAGCACATATTATCGATACAGTTTTAAACTAATTAAAACGGACTCCGCTTTACCCTTGAAAAGACTCAGCATAATTCAAAGCGAGCTAATATATCCTGCTGATTTCTTCCACCGGTCTTTCTTTGCTCAGCCACCATTATCAGGTTTACATTTGAATTAGAGCCGCCTCTATCTATGCTGTGTCGCAGATTAAGCAAGTGACAAGTGCAGGTTTAGAGGCAATGTGTGCTCATATTCTGTGTTTACTGATCGTGAATCGCGCGCCTTAAAATATTTTGCTCTAGTGGTTCGCTGCAGCTTTAGAGATAGAATAATGTAATCGACAGTTTAAAAGCCTTTCTGTGAATGAGCGCAGTTATTGGGAAAAGGGCAATTTGCTGGTCTTTTACGCCATCTAGAGACGTTTCACACTCAAAGAATTCTTTCACACTTATCTTTTCTGTCGTCTGAGACTTGAGAGGTTAAAATGGAGACAGGTATTTACCAGAAAATAGAAGATAATCGAGTACTTTTTATGTCGAAAATTATTCTCAAAGTATGGTTTGTGTCCCTTGGGCACATAGCCGACATAATATATCATTAATAGAATTGAGTTTGCGATCATTATCAATATCCAAACTCTCTTTTTATACTTTTTAATTTAGAGAATCCGAAAAGTTTTCGTTTTATGATTGTCACAGGAAAAGTTTTATCTTTGAATCTTCACTTGCTGATTACTAAGAAAGAACTTGAGCAAGAAATCACACTCCTTGTGATTGGAATTATTATCAACCTGTCTATTCTGGATTTTCTCTTCGGCATAACAGGCAGGATACGATTGCACTTGAATAGACGAGCATTCAGTTGGATAAAGAAATCGTGAAAAGAACTTTCTCGGAAGCGGTTAAAAGCAGATCCAATTCGCAACGAAAGTCACGTGATATTATTTTTGAAGAATTTGGCTGTGGCCGACTCGCTCTTTATCATTGCGATGTTGTTTAGGAATGGGTGAAAATTGAGAAAAAATTGTTATTACCGGAGCTTTTTCACTCATTCCTAGAACGTTCAAAAGTTGGAGTTTAGGCGTTACGTTTTGCAAAGCAATTACTAGCATCGATGTAGGCTGGTGTTCTCCATATCAATACAAAATATAGAAAACGTGGGAAAACGCACGAAAGCCTTTCAAACGATATCGATATTTTTCGTTGGAATAATCGCTACTGACCGGTTGGTGCGCACGACAAGGCTGCTCCCTATGAACACGCCGTTCATCTACAGAATGCGGAGAATTGTCGCAGGCTTTGTTTGGTTACTGTTGCTCTGTGGCAAAGTGTTTCAAACTTTTTACAATTGGTAGTATTGAGTATGAGTTGAAACGCGCGAAGTTCTTCCTTCATTTGGCAAATCACTGATGTTCGCGAAGACCGCGAGGGCCAGTTGGCTGGAACTGATGTGAATAAAACAGGTCTGCACTGCGGACTATATTTCGACATGTGGGCCAACGCGACTGAAAGATATGAGCAGTTTCAAGCGAGTGGAATAAATGATACGAAGGAACAAATTGTCCGTGAGATTGAGCAAGAAGGAAGACGTAAATTTATGTGGACAATGCTCATTGTTGGCTTGATTGAAAGAAGTTCGCAATATTCTCAAAATATCTGCTAGGAATTCCCGTTTTTTTTTTCAAATTGAGAGCTCCTAAAAGGGCCGGGACTGTGGTTCACGATTTGTTACACAAAAATTGGATACGATATTCGCCGCCACTCTTTGAAGAGTACTCGCACTTCAACTCATAAACTGGTCAACAACACTATTCAGGTGTCTTCTTCGATAATGCTTTATAGATATTAATTTGGTAGAACATGACAACAATTGTCGCTGCGTTTTTATTCACGTGGACTCCTTTCTATACGATCCGGTTAGGTCAGAGTGACAAAAACCAAAATGAATTTACTATTTATAAGTATACCATGCATGATATATTCCGCGTAATTGTAAAACTCTGTCTCAGCGTATGAGTACGATCAGCACAGCATCGATGGGCCCTTAGAGATCATCTACGAAGCTGCCTTTAAGATAACGTGAGTCACAAGCTTCAATCATATTCGTCAATGAAAAATTCATAGGGAGCTTCTTGCGGCAACGAATATGATTGTTATAAATCCAGTACTGTCGTTAGTGAATGACTCCAGATTGCGCGAAAAATTTCTGCATAGACACAAAAGTACCTATGGCAAGGTTGAATCTCATATTTCATTTTCCTCTGTTATTAACGTGCAAAACCTCCACAGAACTGTAAAGAAGATTTTCGTCAGAAATGGCACTGTAAGTTCTGTAGACATTTAGCGCTCTGTTTTTTGACTGTTGCTTTGATCAAAGTTGAGCTCTCTTTAAGAAGGGCTCATTTTAATGACTGCATACCGGAAAGATATCATTAGTTAGCCCTGATTAGACTGTGAACACGATTGATGACTCGCTACACGGATCGCCAGATAATGTACGCTCTGAAGTGACAAACAATACACTTTTATCGGAACCCACGCCCCAAGAAGTCTCGACCAAGCTCATTCTCGTTCCAAAATAATCTACAATGCTACATCTTTGCGATACTGGGCGCGGCAGATGCGCCAACTGAGTCAGTGACTTTGTTCTGCCATTTGTCGAGACTTTCTTCAAAATAAAACTACACATAGTTTAGGATCTGTTTTCTCGTTGCAGCTTCTCCCGATCACTCAAAGATTAAGACATTGATCGATCATCTGCAGCGGAGGTGGAGCTTCGCTCCGAGGGCATGTCAGCAATGTCTCTAGAATTAAGCAATTACAGTCGTATAATGGGTAGTAACAGTGCGTTTGTCGTGACTTGGACGATTAAAAATGTGTAAAGAGTCTTCTCTGAGTTGTTTCATGCAAAGCAATGCTGTTTTGGCCGGTGAAGACGATCAAGACCATGTTCGTGTTTATCTGCTGTCTGTGAGTCGAGGCGAAATATGGTGTCCCCTCGACTCCACCAAAAGCCACTTACTCGTGGACCGGCACACTTGACTCTTTAATTTTTAAGTTTTTAATAATTACGCTCGAAATTCCACAATTATTTTAAACAAGAGACTTTTGAATCCACAATGAACGGGAACGAGGGTGGACATTACAGATCCTTGTCGGCTTTTGTGGGATTAGAGAACCACCTCCAGTCATTTGACATGGTAAGAGAAAGTTGGAATGCGCACAAGATTAAAATGATTCGAGACACCGATGAGTACTTTCTTTCAAAACCTGGGCGATCGAACTTGGGGAGCAAATACATTGGGCAATGTTGGCGGCGGCAATTCAGCTGTGCTCGGCGGCACGTCTGTCTCACATGCTCCTTCTTCTTTCAGCGAGGCACATAGTCCCTTAGGATCAACGGGAGGCTTTTCTATGGACGACTTCAGTAGCCACTTTGGTCAAGATGGATCTCTGCCTGCAAGTGTGACTCTGAGCCCACAGTTCAAAACAAGGGTAAACCAGATTCTCACTCAAGTTGGGCTAAACGAGCAAATGCTGAAAACAAAACCTGTCAAGGAACTGAACAACGTCTTGCGAAATTGCCCGTGAGTTTTTATTTTTTGTTCTATTTCGAGAGGAAGATAACCTCTTTGACCTAGATATTTGGGCAAGAACGAAATTAAACTTATAAAAGCACGTCGTCGAACTCTAAAGAATCGAGGATACGCGTACAACTGCAGGATAAAAGTAAGTTAAATTGAAAAAATGAGACTCAAGCGAGGTCGTAGAGAAACGTGGAGCAGCGAAAACGGCAAAGCCGTCTTCAAATTATCGAAAGTGAAAACGAAGAATTAAGAAATCGAGTGATGGACCTAGAGGAAGCGCTTGAAATTGATAATATCGGCAGTAAACAAATAGAAAAAAGTTCTTAATTATCAAACGAAAAAAAGGAGAAGCTGAAAGTCGAGCAATGCCGTAAGTGCTGCTCAACATAAATCAAGCTGCCCGCCTTTCAATTGCAAATTTCGAAATGCAGGATCACGTGCACACCACCACGCGACCGACACACACAGCCGCTTCGACACTCATGCTTGCAACTTTTCTAGTAACCGCAAAACAAGGTTCTATGTTTTCGCATCTAGCAGGAAGTATTCTGAAACTTGCGAAAACGAATTTACTGCGCTTCTCATGTTCTTTTTACTTACAACTCTAACTCAATGAATAACCAGACTCACTCTATCACTAGAATAACACTGATAAAGACAGCGGGAAAAAACTTGATTTGTCAAAGATGAAAATGAATATAAAAAATATCTTCTGGTGAAAATAAACTTTTGATGAAGTTTATTTATGTTGAAAAATAAATCAGCTTTGATAACAACGAAGAAAACGACGAAATAATAAGTTCTGATAAGCTCATAAGACGTTTTTATATGAATTGAATGACTTTATTTGCTAGCTTGCTGTTTTTCTCATTCCTAAGAAGTTATCAGTATGCTGCTGAATCACGACAATTAAAATTGTCTTCTCATTATTTTCTTGATGTGTTGAGGGCGCGAGGGAGCCCAGCGCAAATGACGCTTTCAAACTCATCAAAAAAGACGAAGACGAGAATCAAACTCCAGCTGATTCCTACTAGGAACAAAGTCATACAAGATATTCGGAACTAGCATAGAAGCTAAAGACGCTTATTTTTTCTGTAAACTAAGTGGAGAAGATGGACTTCAGAGAAAAAGTAAAAAACGTCATCAATAAGTCGCGACTCATAAAAGCATTTTCCACGAGACTGAAGACACAAGAGGAAACACGAAAACATCCGCTCACTCGCTCACAATCCGGTGAGTTTAGGAACCTTAACTTGAAATGAATCATGAAAAATCTGTACTTTCAAATAATTCTGGTATAGTATTTGGGAGAACCAGTGACAAAATATTTTGGTTCCTACCTAATGATGAATGAAAATGGCATTCTCGGGACCAAATCCTGACCTCCTTGTTTCTTGTGCTTATCTGAAAGCCCATGATCTAAGGAGTCGAATGGTATATAACTTAGGGTCTTAGTCATAGATAATGACGTCATTTTGGTCGAAATAAGGGCCTTATGGGGGAAACCTATGTAGTGCCATAACTTTTTATTGGACTTATTAGTTACGTTGATTTTGGGCTCATTCGATAGAGGAACTCAAGATCTAGGTCGGGAGCTATAAACCATGGTTAACCGACCGGTTTCAAAATTTTGACCACGTGGTTTACCGGGTGGTTGACCGCGATTTTCCCCTCCCGACCTAGATCTCGAGCTGCTCTTTCTAATGAGCCCAAGATAAATATACTTTTATAAGCTCATTTAAAAATTAGAGCACTACATAGGTTTTGACCAAAATAGGTAGCCCTATGACGTCATAGTTGATGACTAACACCCCTTACCTATACCATTCGACTCCCCAGATCACGGGCTTTAAAATAAGCACAAGAAACATGAGGGTCAGGTTTTGGTCCCGAGAATGTCATTTTCATTAATCTAATGTTTGAGAGGAGGCTTTTGTTATACCGTGTTAGTATGTTATATAAGCTTCAGTATGCTTCAAATTTTAAACAATTAAACGTAGGATAAGACGAAAAACAGGTCCACTTGAAGAGGCTTACGCTGAATTTCGTATCTAACCTATTTTCTGCAATTGATAACGATTGCATCGGGCGATAAGAACATGTCCTTTTTGACAGGCCTCGTGTCCACGAATAGATGATCTCGAGAGGGAAACTATTCTTCGCAGTGTCCAGCTATTTATCTCGACTTTGAAGAACGGGCGTTTTTGATTGAGTACCACTACTTGGCCTTCGCCTTGGAGCCTCCGTCAAGTGGTCGGCCTCAGAATTTAGCGATGAAACACATTTCTTTTCGAGTAAATGATTAATTAAGCACGTCTGAGCTCGGAAAGGCTTCCACGAAGACATCGTCCAGGTTTAAACCTGCCAAGCACTGAATCTAACGACTTTCAAAGAGCAGTCACTGCTATCCACTTAGGAAATGGGCTACTGAACGTTCTTCAAAAACACAACTAAAAACTTCTCCCTTAGTACCCTTAATAGGATCCGTTGTCCAGCTCAGACGCGTTTTGCAGGTAAGTCTAGCTGCTAGACTCTAGCATCATCTACGAATATATTATTAGATGAAGTGAATCTTTAAAACCATCCATAGTATAACGAACTCTCCGATAAAACCCATCGCTTCGCTATAAATGGTTATGACGAACTCGGGAGAACATTGGCCATTCATTTTGCCCAGAAATGTCCACGGTAATTCAGGAAAAACGTCAATAAGTGACAATCCTTCATATTAACATATTTATATTGATGCTGACTGTCAACTAGGAAAAATGCACTGCAAATGATAGAAGTGCTCTCGGAATTCAGCGTCGACTTTGACTTGGGCACGAAGTCGGAAGGAGTCACGGTAAACCACTCTCGAAAACAAGTTGATGAGTTTTAGCCGCTCATGCTCGCTGCACAGCGCTTCGACCTCGACGTCTTTATTCCTGCAATTTTGGCAGCAGGAGCCGATCCAACTATCTGCGACTACAACGTACGTAGAACAAACATGACCAACTCTGAATAACAACTTTGATTTTCAGGGAGAGACAGTTCTGCATTGGTTAGAAGCCGGGGGAATCGAAGACGAGCAGGAACAGTTCGAGAAAAAGAGGAGTTCAATTCGTCGAGTGCTAATAAATTCCGGCGCAAAACCGACGACAAAAAATTCCAAAGGCATCACTTCTGGAGATATAAGAGCCAAATGGCCTAAGCGTCCAGTTCTCTACGACTTCAGCTGTGACGAACAAAGTGATGAAGGTTCATCGTCAAAGGTCTAGCTCTCGTCACACGTTTTTTAGAGGACTACATCGGCACACTCAAACGGAGGAAGAATCATTCTGAAACAGGGTCAACGGGTGTTCCCGGTCCATCCCTGCTCGGCCAACAAAGCGAGCAACAATTCCACGGAGTAATATATGACGAGCTCGATTATTACATGACGCGGTTACAAGAAGAAATCGGCCTTTTTTGACACTCAATTTGCGCCCTATTTCCTTTCAAACAAACATGAGCACTACAAAAAGTGATAAGCAGTTTTTGGCCCTCGTGATTTTAATGAAAATAAAGTGAACTTTGCCACATAATACCTTGGTAGATGAAGTGATCCTGGATAGTATTACTAATACTGAATAAGTCAAGCTTAGTCTGGAACTGGATCGAGGATAGAAAGTTACCGTTCATATTTGTGAGATAGACTACGAAGTCCTTTTCGGGATAGCCTACCCAGATTTTCCTTCATAGAAGTTCCAGGAGAGATAGATTAAGGACTTTTCAGCTGACAACTTGGGAGAGCAGTGTTCCGCTCTGTCAGATGCTAAAGGTAGAATGGTTGTCTCTAATTGCTTCGACGAGATCGCCGATCGAAACTAAAAAGTTTTTAGTAAAAACGGTTACCCGAAGAAAAGTTACACTTCTCGAGTCTTGCTAGAGTTATTTTTTTTTGGAAAAGTTGGCTCTATCGTGGGTTCCAGCGAAGATGATAAAGGCGAGATCACCTTTGTTCACATTATTGTAGAATCCGCAGTCATTTCCACAGAGAAAAACAATTAGTGCCATCGAAAAAAGCATATTCTATTTAGTGTAAGTATAAAGTTTCAGAAGAGTATCTTGACGAGGAGGGCATTTCGACAAAAAATGTCGAATTAGACTCGTGGGGTTACGCGCTCCGGTTCGACTCGTGGAGTTGAGAAACTTGGGTTTTCCAGAAATAGGTGGAGCGCCCCGACGTAGGTTTGAAAAAGAGAAAAGTTCTCGGAAATTTCCGTCAAGTGACTAAGAAGTTGTCCAATAAGCATCCAGAGTCACTTCTAGACATTCCCATTTCTCACTCGAAGCGAAAGAGCTCGATCATTCCAGTCTGAAAGAGAGATGGACTCAAACGGTTTCAAGTTTTCGCGGCCAAAGACGGAAAACGGCTTCGGTCCGTCGATAATTGAAGTTCTCAATGATGAGGCGGGGATTAATATGAAGTCCTTGGGAGAACTCGCGAGCAAAGGACCGCTCGGCGAAGGCTGGGTAAGTCATAACTTGCGGACTCTTCGTTGATTTCCTTTTAGAGCGAGGACGAGTTTTTGCTCTTTGCGGACATCATAACCGACGAGGCCATCTTCTACGGGGAATATTATGGGCCCGACATGGTCATTGGAATTATCAAACGGTTCCTCAAAGAAAGACCTGGCAAGACCGAATTCCAAGCAGCCTGGCTCTCTCAATTCGTCAGAGAGCTCATGTGGTAAAGCAGTTTCTCCTTCAACGCGTGTCCTATCTCTTTTTAGTGGCATCGAGAAATACGCAGAGTCTCAATCAGAGAACGAGTATCTGAAGACGCAGCGTCTTCTTGCACGAGTTTTCGACCTTTGGCAAGATGCAAGGAGCGCCAAGATTCGTCAGGAACTATTCCGGGGAGTGTGCGCTCTTTTCGACGATTTCTGTAAGTTTTTGCCTGAAAACTAAAAACCAACTTGCAAATTTTAGTCATCAAGAAAGAGCTGAAGCTGCCATCAAAACATCTGGAGTTCATCAAACTAACGATGCTCTTCCAATTGGGCGACAGATACTTGCCAGAGAAATCGATGGCGAAGAAAATAGTCGACCTGATTCTTCGTCAAGAGCAACCAGCGCCTGTTCAAGTCTTTGGCTTCAAATTTCTTCAGACTCTATGTGAGTAATAATAGCCTAGATTCGGCAGGCTGTGTACATAACCTGGGACAGGGATATGAAAGTTATTTAATTAAGTTTCGTTTTAGCCGCTACGAGGCTTTTAATTTGAGAACTTTCAGACCCTGACTCAGGTTTTCTACATAGGTTGACGAGCCCGGATTGCAGCGTATCTTCTGGAATTAAATTTAATTTCAGATGCTCAAGGGAAGAATACGAAGGAAATCTTCGAGAACTTCGATGAATTCGCAAACTACCTGGAGAAAAACCCTAGTCTTGCGGAACTTTGTCGAAAGTTCCAAACGCTCAGCGCTTTCGATCTGATTGAAAAAGTCATGATCGGAAAGAAGGAATTTTCCAACGCGTATCTCTCCTTCCAAAGAAAATTTGGGCTCATGATGATCATCATCGAAGGCTCTGACGAGGTCGACTTCATTCCCATCTTCAAACACGAGACGAAGAGAACAGCAATCAAGCGGAGTAAGAAATATGTAAGCTTGAATGTTATCGATTTCAATTAAAATCTGTTTCAAGGTCTTCATCAAGTTGGAGATCGAAAGCGAGGAGCTGGGCGGACAAGAATTGACGATTTTCTTCAATAGAAACTCCACCTTTCATGGAGCGAATACTGAAGATGTGGTCAAAAGAGAAGGGCCTTTTTTCTTCACTGCAGAGAAAGAAAAAAGTTCCTCTTTCGAAACTACAACCGTCAGTCCAGTTCCCGCCAGTGCAACAAGAGGTATCTGCCTATCCCATGCCTAAAGTTTCAACACAGATTATAGAGTTAAAATACGACTTGGAACCGCACGATCGAGAATTGGCTCCACTCTGCAGAGGTTTCGAGAGCCAGTTGAAATTGAAGCGGACGCCGGCGAACGACGAAAAGTATGCTTCAATATTTCAACTTTTTTTTTTCTAATAATTCTTTCAGTTCGATGGAGGAGGCCTCCCCAAGTAAAGTTTCAGGCAAAATAAGAGGCTCAAGAGGCTCGACTCCGGGTGTGCCAGTCGAGAGCAAGAACAGCTCAGCTGACGTGAACTTGGCGCCTCCTCCGAAAAAGTCAGAGGCAAAGGTTCTCCCAAACTCCGACCTGCCGCCGGAGACGATGGCGAAGTTGAGAGAGGTAGGATTGACAGACTTTATTCAACTGAAATGATTTCCTTTTAGAAATTCGCAACCATTTCTCAACTCATGCCCCGGGTGGAGGAAAGCATCGAAGAAATCGAGTCCGTCAAGAAGCAATTTGACGCGCACTTGGAGCAAAGGGAGAAGGCTCGGGAAGATCTGCGCCGAAATGTGGAAAAAGTGATGAAGGCCTCCGGGGAGCATATCACAGTGGGCGAGCGTAAGAAGGCGTTGGCGCTGATGTTGAAGGAAATCATGGAGAAACTCATCGCTGACATGACCCGCAAATAGGAAAACTATAGCGAGCCCAGTTTTACTGCCCATCCATGACCTGCCTTACGTAATAAATAAACGTAATAATAAACAGAATATTTTTACCCAATTTTTTACCACAAGAAAAAATCACTGCTTCTGGGTGACAATATTTTTATTGACTGCACTGGCAAGGCATTTTCTCGTCAATTTACAGCGTCAATCATGAAAACTACAGTACCAACAGTTTTCATGTTGGAAAGCATCATTTTTCGTCATTTTTATTGGTAAAAAATACGGGCTATCGACATCATGTCGGCGACATGACCAAAAGGCCGACTCTATCCGACCCGACCCGACCATAATTTAGCCATTTTAAAGTGATCCGACCTTAAAAAAATTTGGTCGGCGCCGACCCTAAGTGAAAATCGGTGTTAACAACGGTGAGAAATGACTGTAGATGTTGAAAAGGTACCTCTCAAAAAAATAATTTTAGACGTGCGGACAAAAAAGGGTGGAAATGTCGAATTAGCGACTCATTTAAATAAAGTCTTTGATGATTAGAAACTGCTGAAAATGGGAGACCACAGGGTGAAATCGATGTTCCGCGCTGTCATTGACCATTGAACAATATTGAAGCTAGCCATTCACTTCTTTCCAGAGACTTCATTCTCAGGGTGAGCACTTTTCGAAGATAGAGAAAAGCGAGTTTTCGTTCTCTGTAAGTATCGATAGCGTATTGCCTAAAATTGATTGACGAGCGATTACGTCCTAATTGAAGCCATTGCCTATCATCTAAAATAAGAAAAGAGAAAAATAGAGAGATAAAGTTTTTTCGGCCAAGTTTATAATTGGTTAACTCCTAATCCCCGGATCCGGACGAGGCTGGGTTTATGCAAATATTATCAGCAGATGCTGACGCAAAGATCGAAACGTTTATCAACAACGGGCGCTTCGTAGTTCAAACCTTCTACACAGATTTTTTCCATTCTTTTTTGTCATTGTAGATTTCGTTGCGTTCATCATAAAGGTTGCGAAAAGTCAATGAATGAATATTTATTCTGAAAAGAGAACTCTGCGGAAAGTCTGACGAATCTTCTTTTTAGAATTCACTTCAGAGAATAAGGAAGAAGAAGAATTCAAATGAAGTTACTTCCGGCAATTTTGGCCTCAACCTTAGGTAATCCATGAGCTTATTTGCTTGGAATATCAATTAATTGACTATGGGTAATTTTTAACGATTTATTGTATCTTTTTTCCTCATGGTTAAAATGAGAATTTTTGATTTGGACTTTTAAAAGATTTCAAATTTTATCTCTTGAATTCTACGCCAAAATACCATGATTTAGGGTTTGATGCTGACAGCCCAATGGAAGCAATTCAATTTGCCCATTCCCGAGTTCGAAATGGCTTCGTTTTGCCAGAAATGGAAGAAATTAATTTTGCGAACGAACGCCTTCTTGCCGAAACATTCAGTCCATCAAACAGAAACCTAAACGTGCAAGATGCTGTTGAACGATCAAATAATATTACTCTGGGTTTTTTCCGCCAAGGAAGTTGCGATACTTCCTTTCCTTCGTTAGATGGCAGTTGTAACGCTCCTAACGACCTTGGTAGATCAATGCAGCAGTATACAAGGTGGAAATCATTTTACTTTTTTTATAACGCGGATCTGTAGATTAGTACCAGCAGATTACTGCGATGGGCAGCAATCCCCAAGATGCTCCTCACGAGGACGACCCCTTCCGAGCGAACGACAAGTCATGATTAGAATGAGAGGAACTAACGGAGCCCCAACTAGAAACCCAGTCGCCTCTTATGCATTCACTGCATGGGGACAGTTCCTTACCCACGATATCATTCAAACCCCAGATGTTGGCGGAGCGTCTTGTGCCTGCAACGGTAGCAACAATAACTGTAAAGTAATCGACATTGATCGACAAACGGATCCAATTCTGACCTTCCCTTGCATGTTCATCAAGCGTTCATCTGGAAAAGTGGGTCAACAGGGTGGAGAAGCCGTTCGAGAGCAAGTAAATCAGCTTTCTGCATTTATCGACGGCACAGTTGTTTACGGTTTTACTAACAAGCACAAAAATCTCCTTCTCGCTGCGGATGGTATGCATCTTAAAATGCGAAACAGTCCAAATGGACCTATTCTTCCTGGACTCAACCAGTTTAATGACAATCAGATTAAGAAAGACTTCGCCGCAGCCAATGTTTTCAATGACAAGGGACATACTCCTCAAGTAGCTGGAGATACTCGAGTTATGGAAAATCCTATTCTGATGAGCTTCCACACTATGTTCGCTCGACTCCACAATCGAGTGGTAGACGACCTCGTCAAAGAGAACCCTCAGTGGCAGGCAAGCCGAGTTTTCAACGAAGCAAGACTTTTGTTGGCGCTATTCTCAAACAAATCACTTACAATGAATACCTTCCTATTCTTCTTGGAAGAAATGCAATCAATTTGTTCCCGGGTGTTCGAATGAGCAAAGCTGATAAGCGGCCAGCGAGAACTCGATTTGCTAAAGAACCAGATGAAGAAGAAATCATGCAAAGAAATACTGGTTTTGTTCCACCAGCACAAGATAATCCTTCTATTAGACAGGAATTCCTCGTCGCTGGATTCCGAGTTGGGCACTCTACTGTACCCGAACAACTTCTTAGCGCCAACAGAAATTTGCAGGTTCAAGATCGACGAGATCTCAAGGACAATTATTTCGACCCCGATATGTCTATCGAGCATGGACCCGCTGGTTGCATTCGTGGTGCGATGGCTGGAGACTCCAACCGAGTTTCCGGATCATACGCTCAGGCAACGATGAGTCACCTCTTCAAGCCAAACAACTTCAGGCATGGAACTGATCTTGGATCCATCAACATTGCCGTTAGAAATTAAATAAATAAATTTTGTCTTATCTAATATTCTAGCGAGGCCGTGAACACGGCGTTGGTAGCTATGAAGCTGTCAAACGATTTTGCATGGGTCACGAAAGCTTCAGACGCCTATACAATGGCAACAACCCTGCCATGATCAATGTAAGTGAACTTAGATTGATAAATAGGAAAAAACGTTTATAGGGCTGGAACAACATCCTTCGATTATACGATGACCCCGAGGATGTGGATTTGTACGTTGGAATCCTAAACGAGCAGAAGATGCCCGGCGCTGAAATCGGCCCCACAGCTGGGTGCATTGTTCTTGAGCAGTTCATTGCCCTGAAACGAGGCGATCGATTCTGGCATGAAAATGCCGGGGTGTTCACTGATGCTCAGTTGGCCGAGATTAAGTCCACCACGCTCGCCAAGGTTATTTGCGAGACCATGGAGGATATGGAGAGAACAAATAAAAATGTCTTTCTCCGCGCCAACATTCGATTCCAAGGCCAGACAAACAATATTGTGACCTGCGCCAATGTCGGCAAACTCGACTTCCGAAGCTGGAGAGTTGAAGAAACTCAGGGACCCAATGATCAGCCAGATCCAGAGACAGCAACTTCAGCGCCACAGACCCAAACAGCGGACCGTGTCGAATTCGGTTGCAAATTGGTATTTACTTATCGTGATTTTCAACCCTGATTTCAACAACATTAGGTAAATGGCCGGCGACACGGTCTTATTGAATGTGGCCGAGCTGGCGACTGGACTGATGCTACTCTCGATGATTTAGTCGAACACGTCAAAAGAAGAGGAGGAATCCCAATCCAAGGAAAGCGACAACAAATGGTCAACTTGGCTTTGAAGGCTGTCCGACGTATTTCAATCGCAGGAAACAGCCAGGTGAAGAGAACATTTTGAGTTCTTGAATTAATGCTTTGTATTAAGGTTACGAGTTCCGACAAATTAAAAGGAGTGATCTCACAATTCAACAATCTTCTCGAATTGGACATTTCAGGAACTGGAATTTCGGTGAGAACTCATTCGAATCATCTGCGTAAATCTTTGTTTCATTTAGTCATTTACAACAGAGACCATCAGCAACAACAATGTGCTCGGAAATGTGAACTTGGAAGGGACTAACGTCAACAACATTGATATGGATCTTTTCATGAAGCTGAGAGAGAACCTTGCTCGAGGAAACAAATTCATCTTCTTCGGCTAAACTCGAAAAACTGGTGACCCTTATTGACTCTTGAGTCTGCAAATAAAATGAGGAAGCAATAAAATTCATATTTTCTAAAAAAGAGCGCCATTTAAATCATTACTATATTGCCAAAATAATACATTTCTTTTATTTAGACTACAATGTAGTGTTTATTTAGATTTATTTCGGCAGTGAGTGTTTTAGTTTATATATATATATATATTGCTTCGAATTCGAGCATTTTTTCAGCCACGCGATGAGGAAACGTTTTCTGGAAGGTGATTGAAGAACCTCGTTTTTTCATATTTATACATTTTTCTTCGCCACGTGATTTGATGATTGGAATTGAATAGATAGGTTAGTCGTGAGTCTCAAAAGAAAATTCCGAACTCCAAGGCGCATGATAATTATAGGGTCGTTAGAAGGTGAAGAAACTCATTCCATTTGGTTTGGAGTGTCGCACGGGGGCATGTCGATTTTCGTGGAGTTGATGATTCGCTTCGCGGGCCGTGGACCGGTTAGCCAGAATGTTTCCATGGTCCCTTTGCCTTTGATGTTTACAAGTCCACGGGAATCGAAGGTGTAACCCAGCGGCTCGAGGATTTCTTTCACTTCCATCGTTACCTGGATCTAAAACAGATTTAGATCCTAGCGTCAATTGGATTATTTATACCTTTCCATTATCTCCCGAACTCTCCATTCTACTGGCGACGTTAACAGTGTTTCCCCAAATGTCGAATTGAGGTTTTTGCGCGCCAATCACTCCCGCAACCACTGGGCCAACGTTGATCCCGATTCTCATTGCAAAACTATTGAAGCTGTGGATATTCACATGATCAAGCTGGTCCTGAACAAGAAATGAAGAGTGAATAAAAATTTCACTTGGCTACCTGAATACGCATGGCAAACTTCACCAGTTTCACAACATGGAGACCTTTCTCAATGTCATCTTTGAATTCCTCCTCCAAACCAGACGCGGCCATGTAGGTCGATCCAATTGTTTTGATCTTTTCGACTCCAACGAACTCTTTGTGTCCTAAAATATCAGTTGATGCGTTATAAACAATGGCTACTTTTACCCATCAGGTCATCAAAATCTGCAATAATCTCGTTGAGAAGTCTTAGACATTCCATTCCCTCGTCGTTGATTTCCAGCTCCTGATAAAAATCAGAATAATTTGGTATCGACGCAAAAATAACAGCCACAGTGTCACAAGATTGGTGGTAAAGTTCCTCGGGATTATGAAGAAATTTGGGATTGTGAAGGAAGAATTTAGCTACGCGCTCAGGAAGAATATTGTAGAGGAGGCGTTTGTTATACTGTTGAAAATGGTTCATTTCTTCTTTTTCGTCTGTTGCCTGTTCGTTGAAGAGGTAGTCGATTCGTTGAGTGGTTTCTACTTGTCGTCCGTGCTTAAATAAAGTCTTGAAATCATGGAGGAGAATGGAACTTACCACGAAGAGTGCAACGACCCACAAGAACAGGATTGGAATGGCTGTGTATAAAGAGCGCGCCTCAACTCCTGGTGGATCCCAAGTTTCAACTGCACTTTCTCTCCATCGGGGACAGGCAAGAAATATGTCGAAATTGTCAAAAACGTTCATACCATCCATTGAGAAGAGGAATAAGATTGACGTCACACAGTGAAGTGAGTATAAAAGTAGCTTCACTGTCGCTGGTAGATTGATCATTGTTGATATTCCAATCAACCCTTAAATAAAGCTTAATTTGGTGCTTTGTCCAGAAGTCATGTTTACCAGCCACAGCACAATAGTAAAAGTAGTGTGGATAATTGCAAACGTCTAGTTGGTCGTCATTGAAATCATCACAAGCTGTAAAAGTACTGGCGTTTGAACGTAGTTGTCGGGGATCACAAAAGTCATCGACGGCGAATTGGATAACGTCTTCTCCTAATATTTCCTTGCATCCTCTAACTGAGCCTTTATTGCAGGTGAGGATTCCAGTTATGGCGGCCAAAAGTTGGACAACTGAGGCAATGAAGCTGATTATGTAGTGGATCATTATCACTGTGAAGCATCCACCTTGGGTTTGAATGCGCTTGTTTCGAATCAGGTAGGAAATCAACAGCATCGGAACAAATATCACTAGTGATCTCTTTTTAAAAACATACCGAAAACAGGATACTTACGGGCACAGAAAATATAAACTCCAAGTAAGCGAGATTCTACTGGACTTATTATTGCCGCAGTAACTACGATGCATAGATTGATGAGTGATGAGCAGAAGAGGTAGACTTTAATTCAATAACTCTGTGTCTCAAATTGTGAAGCTTACTGTGGGAATTTGTCATCATGAGGTTAGAGTATTTACTCTCCTTTTCTTTGTTGTTGAAAACGAGAGTCCATTTGTTACACTGGTCCTGAGAAAGAATTTGATCTTGCCCAGCAATTGCCTGGTTCATGTACGCAGAGACGTCGCCTTCGCCTGTCTGGTTATCTTCTTCCTCCGTCAAGTCGGTGTGAAGATTGGAGTCAAAGCCCAGCCGTTTCATCTCCTTGCGACATGCGGTGAAATCGGAGCGCTTCTGATTTCCCTTCAGCGATCCTTGGACGCCCTTCTCCGAGTCTGGTGCGGCTTTTACAATAAAATGCGTCTTTATTTTGCGTTGTCGAAGCATATCGTCTCTCTAAATGAGATTACTTCGCTGGATAAACAATTAAAGCAAGGGTTATCTGTATATGGAATTTATCATATTTAATATATTGTGTTTGCTAATCACCTGATCACCATGACCATCTTCAACGATAAAGCGCCCATCGAGATGAGTAAGGGTGTCGCTTGTTATGTGAATTTTGCCAGGTTTTCCACCAGACTCCATTCTGTTAGCAATTGTCACCGCATCCGACTTATCATTTTTAGAGAGAAAAGCAGATTTTTCTACTTACCCAAACATCAAACTGCCATTTCTTAAGCCCTAGAACTCCGCAGTGCACTCTTCCAGAGTGAATGCCAACACGCATATTGAGCTCCGAAACGCCCGTGACCAGCCTGACCAGGTTGATTGTCTCTATCATGTCTAGACCCATTTGTACAGCGCATGTTGCATGATCCGGTCGGGATTCGGGAAGCCCCGAGACACAATAATAACAATCTCCTACGATGATGAGTGATTAATTTGGCCATTTTGTTGTCTTTATTTTGACTGCGGATGTTCCACTTTCGAACTTGAATTAATCAACTGACAATTACCTAACAATTTGATTCTAAGGCAGTGGTTTTCGTTGGCAAGCTTGTCGAAGCGCACAAAGAGCTCGTGAAGTGTCCTGACCAAATCGTCGGGGCTGACCTGGTCCGCAAATTTCGTGAAGCCCACAATATCAGCGTAAATGATAGACACATTGTCGTGACGTTGAATGTAGATTTTGTGGAATTGTTCTTCGGGCTTTTCTTTGGTTAAGCATTTCAAGATATAATTTTTTTCAGGGAAGAAATTTAGTAACTGACCCTAATTGCTACTTATAATGGCTATCTATGGTGATTTGAGGGAGATCAAAGATCACGCGAAGGAAAGAAAAGGGGAAATGATACAACGTCGGGTAGATTTTCGCGTTGAGAAGGAATGATCTGGGACAGGTCGCGTCTGTCGCAGATTATCCGATTCCTGCGCTGCCTAACCCGCTCGTGTCTTATTTGCTTCAAAATCGTTTTTGATTGTATTTGCGACGTGCCGAGGCAGGACCGACAGTAACAGCCGATTTTGACGTGTTGTTTCCTAAAACCAACAACTTAGAAATTATTCAGTTAGTGCTCTAATCGAATAAAAGTCCGAAAAAGCAAAGGGATTATTTTTAGTTTGGGAGAAGGCCACTTACTTTTCCCTTCTGAATTCGGGTCTCAATCAGCTGTCGAGTCTCCATAAAACTTCTTCGTTGTCCGATTTCAGAAGGATATCGGATACACACGCCTCCGACAAACGACGTTAATAGCAGGAAAAAGGTGGCCACATGGATTTGCCAAGGGAGAACTAAAATTGCGCCGTTCAAAGAGTTCATCGATAGATCATTAATTTCTTACCTGTACTTCCAAAGATTTCCATGAGAATATAGGTAAGGGCAATTAAAAAAGCAGATAAGATGGCAAGTGTAAAGGGAATGGGCAAAAGCACTTCAACGCAGAAAATAACGAGCATCGCTGCCCACAATGACAAGGTCCCACCAATATTTGAGAAGTAGTAGGTTGTCACAATTACTGACAAAGGGACTTAACTTGGAACAATTAAACTTGGTTTGTCGATAAACTTATCTTTGTATTATCTTTTCAATAATCTGTCCAAAGTATTTTTGCGGACCCGAACATAATACAATTTTCAGATAGAAGCGACACCATTTAAAAGTTTTAATTGCCCGAGAGAGATGAATTGCCAAGTTGCGTCCCATTCCTTGAGCTATCAATATTAATAACAGAATGTAGCATTGAACTTGGAAGAAATCTTTCCGCAAATTTGCACTGCGATCGATGAACTTGAAAACAAGAATGAGAACGAAGAATTAAGGAGAAGGTGTAACAGAAATTAGGCAAAAAAAGAGACAATTACACGCGACTCACTTACCCCTAAGCTGATCCAAAATATAAAATTGACTAATGCGCACAATGCTTGTAATATTAAATACGACGGTTCTTCTTTGACGTCACTTCCGGAGTAGAAAATGCCACATAGAATACCACATAATCCAAAGTGAATCATGTTCAACCTACAAGTGTGGTTAGATAATTAATACAGCGAAAAATAAATTCGCCCGGCAACAGATGGAGATAAGTCCAGAATCGATTTGAAACACTTTGGAGCAACATTATTAGCTTGAAAGCATTTAATATCTCGCGACTACGAGCATTCGAAATCCGCTTTATCACGAGTCTCAGAACTTGACCGTTAAAAACTGTGAATCAGTTCGGTTGTATCTATTTCGGTTCAAAATAAATTTCTGTTCATCTTGAAATATGGCGATTACAAAGCGGCCTATATTTGACTAAGGCACTGGAGCGAATAACAGAAGCATTGTATGCAATATAAAAACGCGCATCGAATTTCAGCGCATGCGTACGCGTTTGTCCCGCGAGGGTCCAAATCAGTTTCAGGGAAATTAGCAGCTCATTATGATTACTGGATTGATTGCACACGTGAGAGGCGTTCTAAGGAAGTAATAAAATTTCGCGGGAGTTTATTGCCCGTAAAGCGTTTGAACTCTAGTAGCTGCACTCAACCTATGAAAAGGCGTCGCCAGGAGACAGGCTGAGTAGATAAAAGGGAGATTGAACAGTACCTGACTACACTTTGACGATTGAACTGGAATGTGTACTGCTGGAAGAGATCTTCTATTGGCTGCGACTCGAAACGTAGCGCTGGAGGCGTGAACCGCGTCCCCGAATACAACCTAAGGGCCCATTTAAGGATATAGCCTGTAAAATTCAACTTTCGTAGCGGCTAAACGCGAGGTCGGATCTTTTCATTTCAAAAGCAGTCCTACCTAAAAATGCACGAAAAACTTAATTCTGGAATATTTTTTTTAATTTTCACGTAAATTTTTCTCTCTAGAGCGACTTGAAATCTTACGATCGCGATTACTCAAAATTTTTCCACTAATTCGCTAAAAATAAACCGTGTTCTCTGTTGTCATGATGATAAGCTAGAAAATTGAGGGAATAAAATTCTCAAATTCGGTCATATTTTCGTTCTAGTATTCTCCTCTTTCTTGCTCTTGCTTTTCTTCCCAGCGCGCTTTATCGCGTGTAGCCAATCAGAGCGCTCGCAAAAACACGCACGCTCTCCCGGAAAAGAGGAGGCGAGAGAGCGAGCACCGAGCGCAGCGCTTTTCATTGCTTCTGCGCGCTGAGTTAGCCTCATGGAAATGGCTGTAAAATCGGTTTCTTTCGGATTTAGAGAAAACTAAACCGTCAATTTTGTAGATAAAGGTCTAAAGAACCTATCTATCGAAAAAACTTGACCGATTTAGTGAAAAATTTTCGAGGAATCGCGATCGTAAGATTTCAAATCGCTCAAGAGAGAAAAATTCAAGTAAAATTTTTTAAAAAAGTACCAAAATTGAATTCTCCGTCCATTTTTAGGTAGGATTGTACTTGAAATGAAAAAGATCCGACCTCGCGTTTAGCCGCGGATACACGACGTTTAGCACAAAGCGACGTTTGGAACAAACGACGTTTGGAACAAAGCGACGTCTGGAATACTGATCCGAGCGTCGTTTTATTCCAGACGTCGGTTTATTCTAAACGTCGCTTTTCGGTCTCAAACGCGTGGGCGCCGAGAACAAGTTATTTGCCTAAGTTTTCCTCAAAATATTAATTTGATAAACAGTATAAATTCGATAGAATAACAATAATGATTATCTTATGATATGTTTTACCGAATAAATTTGTTATTAATCATATATTTATGTCATTTAAATATGTAACTAATTCAAAAACCCGAAAACATCTGATAAGAATAACCTCAAATTATATTAAATCATATTAACATGACTCAGAAGAGTATATTTTACTATTTGACTCGAGAAAATAACTTATACTCTCGTATTTTTCAAGAGTTCGTCTTTGTTCTAAACGTCGGTTTGTGGAAAACGTCGTTTTTCAAACTGATTCTAGACTAAAACAAATTTATGAGAGCGCCTACGCAATTCTCAGCGAAAAGCGACGTTTAGAATAAAACGACGCCTGGAATAAAACGACGTTCAGAATAGTGTTCTAATCGTCGCTTTGTTCTAAACGTACTTGTTCCAAACGTCGCTTTGTGCTAAACGTCGTGTATCCTTTAGCCGCTATGAAAGTTGAATTTTACAGGCTATATCCTTAAATCATACAATCGTTCAGAATTGATGGTTTTGCTCAAATTTTAATGGCAATGAGAATCTCTAGCAATGCCGAATTCTGCTGCTAAATCTATAGCTGCTCTCGTTCTAAATGTATCTGCGATTGATCTAACCGTGTATCTACCACCTCCTAATGGACTTTTCAAATCAACGAGTACCAGAAAGATTTTTGGTCAGAGCCGCGCTGGAGCAGCTTCCATGGATCCGCCATGAAAGGCAGAGGAAAGAAGAGCCCTAGATTCGCAGCCTCGTCCAATTCTTCTTCGTTTTCCTCGAGACTGGTACCGCCGGTGTAAGAGTAGTTGCCCACTCTCTAGTTCAACGATGAAATAGTGGGTACTGAAGTCGAACTGGCAGCATTTTGCCCTCTTCATGGGTATTTATGGACACTGTATGAATTTGGATAATTGTGCATTCTCACAAGAAAAAACTGTGAGAAAAAAAGAAGTGGGAGGGAGCTGATAGCTTTTCTCAATCAAAGTCTGCTCCCTATCGCACACAAATGAATTTCCCCCAGACAGTGTGAGTAAACGGCTAATTAGAAAAAAAAACCTTTATAGAATACAAGGATATATGAAATAAGAGGCCCTACAGAGATAAATTCGAATGATCAATTGCCTATAATTAATGGCTTATCATACAGATGAGTCGTAAATCAAACTCGGAAAGAATTAATTGAACCACAAATTAAACCGCTCAAAGTCAACGTATAGGCTGCCGACTTAAAATTACCAAGATATAGATAGAAATATTTAAACTCCCAAAAAAGTTCGGAAAGTAAGTTCCACCGTCACCTGAGCCCCGCCATCATATCGCACCGCCTTGTAATTTGTCATCTTCGTCGAGTTTTCTTTCATCTCGTTTTGCCGTAGGTCACCGCTTTGCTTTCTCTCCTTGCCACTTTTCTCTTCTCCACATTATTACCATCACAGTGCCCTGCGTGTGTCTCGCATCTCCGCATAGTTCCTTTTCTCTCTCTTCTACTCTCTTTTGCCAGTTTTTTTTTTATTATTCTTCTCCAGGGGCGGTGGAGGAGCAGACGAGAGTCGAGATGCGCGAGTCTTTCTCTCTCTCTCTGACTCGCTCACTCGCTCTCAATGAGCGCGCACCGGGTGAGGAGTAGAGTGTGAGAGGCCACTGATTTTTTTCTTCGCTGATCGAAACTGAGAAAGGGAAGGACGGAGAAAGAGCGAGAGAGAGAGAGGAGAATAGGAGACGGGCTCGGGCAGCGTGAGTGGTGCGGCGCTGGGGGAGTGCGCGCCACGAGGGGCCGCCGCCCGCCCCGCTCAGCCCAGTGTCGATTCTTTCAACGAACTTTCGAATGGATGGAACGGACAAAACGAAAAAAGACACAATGCTTGCCGTGGTCACCCTAGCGCGCTGCGCCGGCGAACAATGCGATGTATCGACGGGCAAAATGAGCAATCTACATAAAGAAAGCAGCTACAAACTGTATAACTTATCCTATCCACTGTAATAAATAAAATAACTAGAAATGTATAAAAATGGAAAAAGGCGAACTAGTAACATTTGTGAATCAATATCGCAGGATTTTTTATGAAACAGACTACAAACTCTAATTTGTCTAAAAAAATACAATAGTTTTCCATCATTTCACCTCTCCTCTAGTAACACCCATGTTCCCCGATTTTTAGTAATAATTAAGAGATTCGCTCTTTGTCCCTGCCGATTGACGGATGATTGCGTATGAGTGTTTGAAAGGCGTCTGCTCCTGTCAACTGCGAGAATAAATGATGCATGCGGCTATCGTTATAAATACGAGTGTTTATATCGTCGTTTACTCGATGCGGCTTCACTCACCATCTGTCCATTGTCGACGGTATCTGAATGCACGATGTTAGCAACAGTTTTCTCACAGGCATATTTGAAAGTAAATAAATTTCGAGCCCGAGAATAAAATTCAATAGTAAGCTGGGTTATGGAAAAATCGATCGAGCATCTATTTCTAACGTGTACTCACTAGAAAAATTCTAGGGAGAAGGGATGAGCATGGCGATGTGTGCTCTCACCTGCTCTGGGAAGTTGGTTCTTGATCCTCTGACTTATTTCGATCCCTCTCTATGGCCCAAGGAGTACCGGCGACTATTTACAAAACCCCCAGCGCACCGAAAAATCGATCCGTAACTCAACAAGACGGATTTTACGAAGCACTTTCTGATAAGAAAACATCCTGCCGATCAATTGAGATATTGACTGATCAGATTGAAATTTCCGTTAATTATTTTCCTCCCAATATATTTTTATTCCAAATTTAATACTATCAAAGTGAAAATGAGTGTTCATTCCGCCACTCGATAGGCGCCATAATTTCAAGTAATGATCTGACTTTTATCGATTGATTTAGGTATAGTTAAAGTATAGTGAAAGTTTCGCCGTGAAATCAAGGAAGAGTGACGCCCGATCGCGTCATAATATATTCAAACTTTGTCTGCTGAGAAATTACTCAATATCGACAAAGAATTAGTCAATATTTGTCCTAGCTGAGTGCAACTGTAAATTTGATGGATAGAAATGTCAAATGTTTGCATTCGAAAATGTGTTAATCTTCTTGAGACTGACATTTACATATGTTAAACGCGACAGATTCTAGCGCCTGTTGCGCGCTCTATTGATCAGTATACACGGGTCAAGCTTGAGTACTGACCTTTGAGTCGACATTGCTCCCTTCCGAGTTGATACGCGTTGAGGCCCGCGGGCGCCGTTGTCGCCAGTTTCGAAGAGTGTCGTTCCGGATGAGCAGAGGCACCGCCTGTTCCTATTTTTCAGGGTAACCATTGGAGAATATAAGTTATTTTCATGAGCAATATCCTTATTGAGTACGTAATCTACAATTCTCTAATATCATCAGCAATAATCAGCACTAGACTGGAAGCAAAAAACGCTAGCATCAAAATTTTGACATTATGGGTAACCCCTATTCTGTCCAGATAGTTTTCCACTGTGCGTCGAAGAGTTGGCATCGAAGGCGACCCCATTGCTGGTGGTTCTTATACGAGGTCTCTTGGAGATGATATCGCCAAAGTACTCTCGTCCGTTTCTGTCCTCTGACATAATTAAAAAGTTACTATTCAAATTGGAACGCAAAAAATAGGCTTTCAAAAAAGTCCAGCGCCGCGAGCGAATTTCGCCATACTATACTCTGGCGCAAAAAAAAATGTTGAGCTATCGCCAAAATTTTGCGCCTGCTGTCGGTCGAGCTTAAACTTTAACCAGGGGCAACAGGAGGACACTGTAAGAGCGACCGAAGCACTTTGGAACTGAAATAGTACTTTTGTGAATAAGTGTGAGAAAAGGGCGATTGACGGCTCCATAAGATAAGCGATTCGATCTGTAAACAAATTTGATAGTTATTGGCAATAGTCGGAAACAACGGACGGCACTTATTTGATGAGGTGACAGGCAGACTAAGATATAGGGCGATTCTATGGACCATTCCTTGTATTGCGCGGAAACCGGCCAGTTCGAGGCATATCTCCTCATTATCTTTCTTTCATTTCACAGTCTGAATTCAAGTTAAAATAGATACGCGTCCTTTCATAAGTGCGCTTTGTGCAGAAGAAAATTCCGGAATTCTCTTTTTCTCTAAGCCGGAGTGAATAAAATCTTCGTTCAAATAGAATAAGAACATGAACTGGGACTGGGATGTGGAGCGAGTTATTAGTGATGCCTGCATCGTCTCATTTTCAGAAACAATCTTGGCGTTTTCGCGATATTCTCATTCATAGCAAGAATAATTTATGAGTGTATTAATTTTACCAATATTGTATTGAGTTAATTTCGTTTTATTAAAATATCCAAGGCCATGTCAGATAAAAGAACAGCATTTAACCGTAGAAATAATTGATTCTTTCATAAAACTAGCAATAATGAGTATCCTTGTAACGATAGTAAAAGTTGAAAAAAGGAAACTCATTTTTGGAATTTCTTGCGATCTATTATTTATACATTTCCGATTGACCTTTTGCTGCGGATCCCGATTCTTCTACCACCTTTCTCACTCTCAGTCGCGTAGTCTGCATTTTTATCGAGTTATTTTAGCAATTAATCCGAACAACAATCGCACTATTTTTGCCGGTTTTCTGCATTTTCCTGCGTTTTTTCTCTGATTTGAGAATCAAGTCAATATTTGACTTGGCCGAGAGATCTGACTCAATGGAGCTGGAAATCAAGCAGCTTAGCATTCTGACTTTTTATTCTCGACTTTGCCACTAACGCGCTGGTTTAAATTAAATAAACTTTATTTTTTCAAAGCGGTATTAAAACTCATGTGGTAGTGTTATCAAATTTGAAAGCATAGAAATTCAGCGTTTTGTGAAGCAAAAAAGTTTCCATTTTATTCGTCGATTATTTTACCTTTTCGCGATTATGAAGTCTTCTTTTTATCCTCTCTTTATTATCTTGAAATATCTAAACAACAAACTAAATAAAATTATTGCTACTGTTACTGTTCGTGCCGTTTTTGATGAATTTAAAATAATTGGTAATCGATAATTGCGCATTTAAAATAGTGATGATATTGGCAAAAACAAATAATCGCGAAGTTTGCGTCGCAGGTCCTTGGGGATCATCCGGTCCCAAAGCGTCTCGCCGTTTCTTACTCCTTTTTAGTAAATTGACAGTAAGCTAGGTCACAAACCGATTTGTGGCTAACAATCGTGAAAATGAGTCTGTATATAAGAACCAAAGCAAGCTTCGAAGATATTGATGCTGTCTTCCTTGATTTCAAAGAAATCTCTCGGCTTTTCAGCTAACATAATAAAATTGGTCTGAAATGAACAACTCTTTTTACTAGTATGCATACGATGTCAGCATTAGCGAGTTGAGGCCTGATGTATTATTAAACTTCTCGACAGCTTGCTCAATATGAGTGAATTATGCTGTCTCGCTTGCCTGTTTTCCCCGACCTATAATTACAACTTGCGACACTATAAAAGCCTGTTTTCAATTTTCAAAATATATGCTCCTGAATATGGAACGATATAACCATATTCACCATGCCCAAAGTGATTACCTAGAAAACCTACTGTCTTATCATATATTTTCCTTCGTCTTACTGTGCAACTGGCGGCCTCTTTCGTCCAGCATTAAATCCACGCCAAATCGGGGGCTCAATAAGCTGAAACAGAACAGATCTGAACGGTCTTTTGATTAGTTAAATTGAAAACTAAGAATCAAGATTTTGATACTGATCGGCGGTAGATTCAAGCACTCACATTGTGCACTCCCACCAAGACTACGCGCCTTCTTGCGCCATCTACGGTTTTTGACTGCCTTTATAACAAAACGATCTTGGGAGGGAATCAGAACAAAAAATAAAATCAATCAAAAATCAACAAAGCAAAAAACAAAAAACATGAGTTCCAGAGAAACAAGCTACATTGCCGTCTACGCTGATGACTCGACATTATTAGCCCTCAACAACACTCCGCCGGGAAACCAGTACACCCCTTCATTCATGGTCCCCGGGCCTAATTTTTTACAAGACAGTTTTGACGAAACCATCATCTCCGTTCCCGACACTACGACCGACTATTCAACAGCGGATACTGACCGAAGTACATTTGGAACTCGCTCAGTGACAGAATCTGAGAACTCACGAGCTGACAGTACACCTTTTCCCGAAGGACCGAACACGACTCCTGTAGATGTTCCAGATGTCTCCACGATTCCACCTCCTTCACTTGTGGACAACGACACTTCACGAAACGAGCACAGTGATGTCTCTTCTCCAACCGGATTCACGCTTCCGCCTATCAATGAAGAAGATTCTATTGAAGATGCTACCTCCATTCATCATACTATGTCCGTCATCCCGCCCATCTCTGTCATCCCATCAGTGCAAATGATCTGGGACAAGACCATGTCCGTGCTACCTGCTCCACAAAATCAGCGCCGTCCTCGAGTCCCTCGACGCAACAACACCGCAGGAGTCCAACAGCAGTCCAACTCTCGAAGATTTTACGCATTTCTTCTTTTCCTGATCTTCGTTCTTCTCACAAGCGCTTTGGCTTTTCTCATCATACGAGTGACCGCCCTTCAGATGGAAAACGCATCCTTGGCAAAATCGCTCAAGTACAAGAAAGATCGAAATTCTGAACTCGCTGACGAGCTCCGCGATCTACGCGACAAACAGCAACATCACGAAGAAACTTTTCATTAATCACCATTTTCTATTATCTGATCCCTTTTTCGTTTATATTCTGCAAAGTATTTTACCTGTCGCCCCAATTCATCAAATAAAACATAAAACCCAATTTAGAGTTGTTTATTGTACAATTGTGTTTGTCTTGCATGGAATCAAGGAAGAGAATATAAATAACTTACTAGAACCAAGTTCCCAGGTTTTCGATTCCTTGGTCCACTTTTATCTCGGTAGCTGAACAGATGCTCATTGTATCCTGAGCATTCCCTTTTTTTTCGGCGCTCGGTTGGAACTTAGATAAGGATAAGTAAATTGTTGTTAGCAGAACGAAATTGACAATGAAGAAAAAAATGGAAAACCACTCTAGTGTCATCATGGCAATGTTGTATTCCGATAGGCTATGCAAGTCGTAATAAATATTCAAAGAAGCGCAACAAATCGAAACTAAAGCACGATTAAAAGTTACAAAAGAGGATATTGCTTACGAATTAGAACAGGGAGCCAGACAATCAGAGTCCAATAAGTGCACTCTGTCCGGAATTTCGTTACGCTAGCGTTGCCACCTTTTTCTTGTGAGATAATTATAGCATGAGCTTTTTGGCTTGGCTATTTTAATACGACAAGTTTACCGGGCTACCCCAAATTTCTGGAGTTTGAAAAATTTGGAGTTCTTTTTCTGGAAGTTGTTAAAAATTTCGTAGGTTCTGTTTGGAGCAACGAAATTTCTAATCGATTTTTAAGGGTGTTAAGGGCCTCCCGGCCCCTCCAAACCCCGGCAAAAATGTGGGTCCGGGCCCGTTCTTTCTTTTGCCGGGGTCAGATACCCTTAATTATTACTCTAACACCCTTAAAAATCGATTTGAAATTTCGTTGCTCCAAACAGAACCTACGAAATTTTTAACAACTTCCAGAAAAAAAACTCCAAATTTTTCAAACTCCAGAAAATAGTAGCAGCCAAGTTTACCTTAAAAATTTATTTTTATTTTTCAAATAAAGCCTCTCCTAATGCCACAATAGAAATGATATTATCTACATTAGTCCGTACTGTCCTGGGATCCTCCCAATACAGAATCTCTCTGCATATTCCAAAAACCAATTGAAAAATGAGAGAAAGCGTCAAAATAAATCCTCTTCAAAGTATTTCGAAAGGAAAATCGTCACTACTCTAAGACTAGTAGTGCAAATGAAATACTTTCCTAAGACGTAGCGATCTCCATTTTTTCTCTCGTTCCATTCAAGTGCGAATTTCGCTCTGCGAGTAGTAAAGTCTTTTCACAGCGTTTTTCTTCAGCCACAAAAGAAACTGTTCTCTTTCATGCAAACATTCAAATGACTCAAAATCATATTTTAATAAATGGCTCTATTTAAAGACAGAAGAGAGTCTTTACAAATGCGGCCAGCGTAGAAACGTCTGATGAACTAACAACAAAGTCCTATGCAATGACTCATTCTAGTTTTTGTAGGATTTTCTGGGCTTGATGTCTAGTATTTGACTGTATCAATGTTTGTATTCATTATCATCAGCGATTGTTCTACAATTATCCCCACAATTGTTTGTTTCAAGTCTTATCTGTAGTATCCTGCTCTGAAAGTTTTATTAGACCGCGTTATTAAACGACTTTGCTATTGATCCGGTACGGATTCTTGGGTCGATTAAAAGGATGAATAAAGTTATCATGATTTTTATAAAAAATTTCGAGGAGAGACAAGTTTGGCGTTAGAGGCAGCGCCATCTATGGAAACCCGGGGGCGCCCTGGCGCACCGCGCCTGCGCCAGGTGCAATTTCCTCGGACTTCCTAAAATCTACAGATAGCTCTATCGATAAACCAGATTCCAACCTCGGAGCTGATCTAGTTGTATTAATAAATCAGCTTAATTGAGCAAGAACACGACGAGATTGCCTTCGTGCGCCCTTCCAGAGCATTTTAGATAGAGATTCACAGAGATACACGAACAAGCTGCATCAACTGACAAATCTACCAGAGAAGTGTTCGAGAGATTAATGTCGCTGGACCACAGAGTCCCACAAGAGAGCACGTTTCCCTTGTTACAGAATCCATCTGGCATCATTGCGGACCCACTCAAACCCAAAATTGCCTCCCAGAAAAACATTCCAATCAACGGTAAGACTTCCTTTATATCAATATTTTAAAATCTTGTCGGTTCCTTTGCACTCATGAATGCATGATTATTTGGACATTTTACCATTGACAAAGTATAATTTTGCGATAAAATCTTATTTCCGGATGAGCTGCGCTTTCAGTAAAAACATTCGGGCGAGTCCGTTTTTCTAGTGGCGGAGAGTCAGTTACTTGGTAGTCACACTTGCCAATCTTACTTTCCGTATTGATTGAGCAAATTTGACTCTGCTGACTTGTTGTGGTTTTGTTGGGTTGCCCCTCTTTGCGCCCAACAAATACAAACAGTTGTTGTGACGGCGAAAACACAAATTTGGAGCCAGATCAGAGTGCATCACCGAACAGGCGCACGCCTCGGGCCTGTTTGCCGATTCGCCGAAAAACATTTTTATAGGCCAAAACTGTAACTACAAGTGTATTTGCCAGCGCTAGACACTTGAAAAGATAGTGAAGGTATACTCACTCGCCCGAGAGCATGTCACGCCGCTTTGCGGAAGAATAGTTTTGTTTGATTCCATCGAATGTATTCCCTTCGTTTTCTTTCATTGTCATTTTCGTAAAAAGTATTCGGCCGAGAGACTCTGTTTTCAAAAGAACCTCGCCCTGTTACAAATAGCACTCGCGGGATAGGTATGCAATCTTTTGTTAACTTCAAACATCAACAACAAACCTTCACTTTTGGGCCCATAAGGTGGCAACGAAAGTTTAATCCTAGAGTTGATTCGGTAATACACAGTCTTTACTGTAGTTTAGTAAGATTGCGATGTATCTAGTGCGAAAAAATGCATGATTTCTTCTGGTGGCATTATGAAGCAGTTTAACTGGGTTTTTCTCGCTCCCAGAGCGTCACTGTACGCCCGTATTCCTGGCGAGCATTTGTAGCGCTTATGGATCCGGGTGTAAATGGTGAAAAAATCTGCGACCGGGAGTGGTTGGCTAGTGGCACTAGCGCTGTTTGATTTTTATGCTACCGGAAATGTAAAATTCCGTCGCAAAATGGCATCTCTTCTGCCCAAAAGGTTTTTACGGGTTCGTCGAGAAACTTTACTAGCTGTGAAGAAATTTGACGTAGGAGTACCACATCATCATTCATCGATTAGAAATAAACATATAAATATGAGAGAACACGACTAACAATGCCAAAGAAAAAACGCATCCCCCGCAAAGGTACATTTGTAGTTTAAGATGAGAGAAATCACCGTTTGCGATTTTTCTCCTACACATAGATCTTTTTATTGCTATGCTCTCTACTTCTAAGACTTATTCATTAGCCACAGCATGAATTGTGTCCTCTATCAAGCACGTATGAGTCGGCCCATCAGTCTAATGGCTCTTCTGTTACGTTATTTTCGGCCGGAAGAGTGCTAGGCTCAAAGTTTGCCACTTTGCCCAAGTGCTCAGATTAGAATTGAAGGGCGCGTGCGGCGGTAAATCCGCCCCGCGCATCCGACTCCTCCAAACATCCCAATCCTTTCTCCACGGAATTCAAAATATTCCCGCCGGCTGTTCCTCAAACAGGATCTCTCTCAATAAGACGCTGCTTAGTGTTGGCGTCATGGCTGTTTATATTCCTTTACGAAACGAAAAAAAAATATTTTTTATTCATTCTTTTTGAATCAAGGTGAACCAAGAAACCTGGTTTAAATTGAGTTTTGTACACTGTTTGTAAAATACGAATGGAAAGTATTTTCGTTATATAAAACTGTGTGTCCGATTTTGATAATCTGAGATAACAAGAACGAGTGGTGGAATGTTCACCGATCGGAAATAGGCGATCCGGGCAAAGTGTCTTGTCTCGTCTGAGCTCTCAGCGCGGCGTCCGGTTGACCGTCGCCCGTTTTCAATCGGTCGCTCGATAGATCGAAAAACGCGCTAATATTCGCTATCACGTGAGCTGTCAGTGGCGAGAGCGGGCACCAAATCATCATCCCTTGATTTCCGGTTCCTCTCAGCGGCGAGCGTTCTCTGAGGTCTCAAATTTGTTTGAAATTTTGCACTGGCAGCCACTTCACCAACCGCTCAGCCAAAAGCAAATCCACAAAGATCCCGCTCCAAGTTGCTTCCGCCCAGTTACATAAGCTAAGTAATTCCGAATCTCTCATTTTTCGCAGCATCAGCAACCGGACACACGATCTTTCAACGAATCGCACGTAGAACGTGAATTCTCTTTCCTTTCTGCTCTCATTTACCTGTTGATTATTCAACTACGGTGTTAGCTTCTAAACCGTGCTCACTCGTGTAATTGAAAGTGTTAGATCTGATAAAGAATCATCTCCAGCGCGGGGCTCCAACGTGGTGTTAAGAGGAAATCTTCGTTAGCCCTTTCGGATGATCGCAGTTCCCAAGCAGCACCGGCCAGACCCTTGCGTTCAAGTTGAATTCAACCCTTTTCATTTTCAATTTGCGTTTTAGGAGAGTGAGAGAGCACTTGATACTTTTGACGGAGTTATGCAACTGGCGGCCGCGAGCCGGAAGTCCAGTATAGCGCTGGTCGAGCTGCTTATCGCGTGCCCGGTGATAAGCATCAATACGGATTTATAGCGGGAACAGAATTCTGCGCGGCTCCGGATCACATCCATTCAATATGTAATGTTTTACTAAGTTTCCTTTCGGAACAATCCCAAAAGTCATAGAAACTATTTTATGAATATTTCAGCAAGGATATGAAAATTCATTGATGGAAGAAGCCCTTATCGCCAGTTCTTTTTCGAAGGAAGCGCTAATTTATCAATGAGGCGGATGTGGGGCTTCGATTGACCATCATTATTCAACTATCTGAGATAGCGGAAGCGCGCGTACTTTCCTTAGAGGCAATTTGACCAAACTGAGCTAATCTTTTTCTCAAATATCCGCTTTGGCGGAAAGTGGTGGAGAGGCTTGAGCAGCCGTGTTTTCTTTTTTTGGCTTGGGTCTATTTTTTTCTTCGATTACAGTAGAGGCCGACGATGGTGATTATTGCCGAGAGGCGGTTTTCGGCAGGGGTCGGTTTTGACAAATTGTCGCTTTGGATTGTTGCAAGGAAGCGGTTGTTTGCACTGGTGGTGGTGCTGCCACCGCTCGCTACTTTGATAAATATGGGAGGGTCCGTCCGGACACTGCTCTTCCTGCCGAGATCCGGACTCAGAATGTAATCGCTTCGAAGCGCTACGAAGCGAGTGTTTTGTGACCTCTCTTCAGCGCGAGTCGCACTCGACTTAGCACGTCCGGCGCAACATCCGATGGTCAGCGCCGCCACAGCCGCCATCAGAAGCACTACCGGGGTTGCAATTCTAGTGCCAAATTCTCCTACCTCTCGAATACCAATTTACCCTTATCACCGAAATCAGCAATTCAGAAGCCCCCTCCTCCACTCCATTTTAGATCTCTCGTTTTGCGGAAAGCCTACACGTCTGAGCTCAATGTTCATCCCTCATTGGGGTGGTTTGAAGCCGGATGCGCCAGTTTCCAAAAAGCTGCCAGTTCCGGAAACGGTCGTTTTTGTTTGTCGAAGTGGCGATTAGTTCACGGGAGCCTGTTTGTGGCACAATACGGCGATTCCGGTTGTAGCTCTCAGATCCGTTTGGGAACTGATTAGCGCTGACCGGCGGGTTATCCTGCACTTGGAAGGGCTTCTCATTGGCTGAAGAGTTCCATTTATCGCTCCATCACCTTTCTATTTTAATGCGGAACTGCTTTCTTCAAGACGCTTATCACTGCTACTTTTGATTTTGGAAAGTGTTATCAGCGTAAAAGTGATTAGCCAAATCGCTTTGTTTCCTATCAAATATAGTAATTACAATTTTTATGATAAGACCTGCGTGGTGATAAGCTCAGGCCGAACAGTCTACTTGTTTGTTCCGTATTTCGAGATCTCCCGCCGAGATGGCCGCGATAACGCTCAGCCGTCCAAGGGCGAGGCTTCATAATGAACGGCCAGTGCCACTGATAAGAACCTTAACGCACCATCTCGGCGGGTGATCGATGCCGAGATGGCGAGTAGCGCGTAACTCGGCAGGACATCGATGCCGCGATCGGCGCCACTGATAAAAGACTCATAAATTTACTAGCGCGTGCTCGGCCTCTGACTCTAGAAGAGACTCTCATCAGCGCTAGAATGAGCCGGGCTTCCTGCCGCTGACAGCGCAGCCCAAGAACATCAAAGAGGAAATGGTCCCCTTCGAAGGGACACTTCCGTCCTTGAAAAATCACTTCCCCTCGAAAATAATCCCTCATTCTCCAAATCACCATATTCTATCATTAGCCGGACCGGTTTCGGAGAGAAAGAATTTATCGCTCTTCAGGGCGGCAGGACAAGTGTTAAATACAAAAGTACTTATTTATTTGTGACAATTTTGATGGCGTCATTGGGCGGAAACGAGCTTGGCTTTATACACAAGCTCGGTTTCCGCTAGCGGCTTTTCCGGAAGCAGAAAACACCTTTCGAAGCGATAAACCGCGCTTGCTACCGTCGACCACGTGACATTTCGAGCTCATCGCAGAACCGAACCCTTCCGGAAATTGAAAATTTAACGCCCACGTGAAGCATTCCCATAATGTGAAGTGATTTGCGTCACAAATGCCTGATTTCGCACTGATAAATCATCTTATCACATCTCTTCCCATAATATTTGATTCTAGTGCTCAAATTAGACAGTTTCTGTACAAGGGACTTTGTAAGGCAGGGTACTAGGGTCAAAGTTTGAATATTAATTTTCTGTCTTCGACTAGGAGCGTTGATTTTATTATTCGTTGCTTCTTCTCACCGGAAATTTGGAATTTTCCACTTTGTGATAAGGGCCAGGATTTGCATTTAAATCTATGGCAGTCTTCTCTAGGTCCATTTTTAGACGCGCCGGAAGCGCGAAAGGTCTCCACGATCCTTTTCCCCAAAACGCTTCCGATTTCGTTTATCAACAAATGCAACAGCTCGCTCCACCAAAATTTATATGGCCGTAGCTCCGGAATTTATCAAAAAAGAAAACACTGTCCATAGATAAATGAGACCCCACTTCGGATACATTTGCATGGCCCTGAATCTTATCGAAATTTGTGGTAAAAATCTATAGTAAATCATTGCACCGTAAAATGAGAGTGCAGCTTCCAATTTCCGGAAAGATGCATAATCGGAGGCGCCGCTGAGTAGATCCCTCTCTCCCTTAATATAATCGACAACAACTACTCCATTTAGCAAGATTATAAGTTACAATTTATTACTATGTGCGACATACTCACTCGGCCTAGCAAGTTTTTCCTGTACGATGAGCGAGATAGTAGGAATTTGGAATCGTCTGAGCGTGAGTAACCAGTTTCGAAATTTTGCCGGTTCATGTTGTGCCGATGTCGAGTGATATTTTTGACAAGTACTCTCATCCTTTTTACGACTATTCTGTGGCACTCTTTGCAAATCCGGCGAAAGTGCTGCGGGCTTGGCACGTCCGGGCGATCTCCTGCCGAGATGGCTGCTGCTGATAAGAGAATTGTATTTGGGATTCCCTCAAAGCCTTCGCCTCTCTTATCAGCGAATTGGCATCATCCGGCGGGAGTCAGCGCGGCGGGAGACCGATGTTCTTATCAGTAAATTAACATCCCTTTTATTGCATTTTCTGCCGCGTCAAGAAGTCATCAAGCTTCGACGCTGAGGGGTTAAGGTTGCGAATTAGGGTTATCAGGGGAGACATCTGGGCATCGCGCTAAGTACTAAAACGTACGACAGAGCGTGCGACATCGCCTTATCGCACAGCATAATCCCTTTTACGGAACCGACGAGATAAAATTGCCAAATTTTAGAAACTCCCCAAATAGTTATTTTGGCGAAATTCTACCGCTATCAAGGGCTGCCTAAGCGCTACAAAGCAAATTGTTTGACGATAACATTTCTCGCATTTAGACGTGTTTGGCGCGTTGCAAGGCGACTGGTTGGAGAACTCTGCGACGGACGACGACCAATTCGTGCCGGAAGTAGGATGTAAGTAGCAGCTCACGTGACTTCCGATGAAACACTCGAGTCAGACTGATTCGGAAGTCTCCTCATGATTACGCCCAGTGCTCACCATTCCCTAGCTCCTGAATATTCCCACCAGAATTTTCATTGACCACTTTCCCCTAGCATCGTAATACCCCGCCTGTACTGACCATGCCAATAATTTGTATAGGTTTTAAGACTTCGCCCATCTATAGACCAATTGTAGCCTTCAAAGTATACGAAAGAACACTAATTAGATTAGGCGCTTCTGATTGGCTGGCTTACGAGAACAGCGCCACCCCGATTTACATTTCGTAAACATTTTGTATAATTAGCAGCTTACAATAGAAAACGACAACAAAGTAATAACAAATTACGAGCTTGCTGAGCGAATAAAATTAGATACCCGATTGACAAATTTCGCTGCGAGAGATCGGGGCGTTCGAAGCGTCCGGAAATGGCGTCGGAAGTGGCTCGAGCGGCCCAATAGTTACGCATCCGGAATTTACACGATAATTATTATAATTTTGCGTGATTACCCTTACTCCTTACGATGGGTTCGGAAACAGCGAGCGTCTGTAACCGGTAGCCACTTCCGTGCGCTACTTCCGATACCGCCACTGCTTCCGTTGCTTCAAACGCGTTCAGAATATTCATAATCCTACAAAAATGCTTCGCCCATTTTGCGGTCCAAAAACTACAAACCCTCAATATTCCGGGCCAAGACTAGAACACCATCGTCTATAATCAATCTTTCACCTTTCGGACCGAAAGTTTCGGTAAATCCACTGTAAGTCATAACTTGTCGCCAATTTGAGCATAAGATAGCCTTTTGTGATTTTCATTAAAAGTTATTACAATTAATTCTAAGTCGACTTAGTTTTTTCTTAATTCAAATGTTCACGAGACTTCCTCTTCCTAAAAAACACTTTCCAGCGCGCTTCCCGTATCAAATATTTGCGCTGAAACTTTATGGAAGTAGAATAAGTTAAAGCGCTCTTCGCTTGGCGAACAAACGCTTTGTTCGACAAAAGATTTCTCCGGAAGAAAACGCACAAACGCACATTGTAAGGCACATCCGCCGCCAATTTCAACTCAAAGGAATCCTCTTTTTGACTTTTACAATTACTTTTCAATTTCTTTAATTTCCGTCCCCACCACCGAATTAACCTCAAGCAGAGCTCTTCATCTTTTCATCGCTATGTAACTCGCTAGACTCTCATAAAACAAAATGCTCGTAATCCGTCTTTTAACTGTTTTTACCTGTTTATGAGACGATTTGGCTTGGATTTGGGCGTGAACCGAAAGTGAGTGATAAGAAAGGTCCGTTAACTCATGGCGAGTAATCACAGGCGGAAGACGGTTTCGCTAAAACTTCCGGTGGCGGTGGCTGGAGCGCGGGGAAGAGCTCCCTTAGTCGCCAGGTCGAGACCGGGCGGCGACGAAGTCGGTTGAACCAAGTTCCGCCCAAGAAAATGTCGGACGCAATCACGTGACTACTTGAATCTGGCCTGCAGATCCCAAGTCTGGGCTCAGACAGGCAGCCTCAGACTCCTGGCCGCCGTCAGCTTCCGCCGCACCGACACCTTAAGCCGGAAATCAAAACGATAAAGTTAACGTGACAAAGCCGGCGCTGGGCGCAACTTGTGCTTTGAGATGCATAGATCGACTGCACGTTTGGATTAGTTAGGAGGATATGTTCTTCCGGTTTCATTTTTCAGTGCGTTTAGCTACCCATTCAGTTACATTTTCAATAGTCATCCACTGGACATTTTTTCCAAAATCAAGACAAGTCAGAGAAAAGTTGGGCGTGATTCGTGCGTCCTGTGAATCTAATCCACCGGGGCTTACAAGTACAAGTGGTTTTCCTCCTGTAACATAAGCTTTTGCCTTCGCCGACTTCTAATCCAGCGGTCGGCGCTGCAGTGGTAACTTTCACGCCGCTCCCATTGGACGCGGAAATCCACCACTCCAGAAAATGTGTTAGATTTGACACCCTGGCGCTCGCGAGCACTCCCTCTTATTTTTCAGGAGCGCCATTGGTACCAATCGAATTCCCTAACCATCACTTCCCTTTCTTTATTTTTGCATCGTTAATATATTAATTGATCAGGCGAAACATAGTACGTAATTATTTTTTATAGATGGCTCCGGATCCCGGCCCACTACGCAGCAACGTGACCAAGTAAAAGTGCCTGAGTTTGGCGCACAAAATGGTGCAGCTGGGAACAACAAAGAACGTCCAAAGCCAACCTCTACAGTTCCTCCAAATGGGAATCAACCTCAACCACAGAACCTTACAGCGACAGGCAGCAGTGCCGCGCCCAACAATGCGAGCAGTACGCCGTCTACCAATACAGTTGTACCAAGCAATAACAATTCAACGACAACAACCAACACTGGAGGTAAGAAGGGCATCTTAAAGCCAGATGCCGCCCCAGAGCGCTAACCGCAATTCCGGAAAATGCCAATTTCCGCAGCCGATTCAAGCCGGAGATATTTTGACCAGATTTAGGCAACGCAATCGCAGAAATCTCACTGACAAAACAAAATCGATTACGATTGTCTAAGAGCAGCTCAAAGGTCGCAACCACCAAAGTTACTTAATTTTTAAATTCATCTAAAACGTAAAGCAGGGACTGTGTAGATGTAGATGTCGCTGTTAGGATCGGCCGCGCGTTCGCCGCAATTCCGGAAAATGGCAATTTCCGGAGTCTATGCAAACCGGCCTCACGTGATCGTCACGTGTAGCCGCCTTCTAAAAGCCTCCTCAACTGCTCGTCCGTTTATATAATCCTCGAAAATACTAATTTAAATATTCTAGTGCCACCTGTTCAAAGTGTTTCATCGAGCACGAACCCAGCAAACACGACGCCCACGCTGGCGCCGCTGACTCAGCCATCACCGACAACTCAACCAGCGCAGTCTCAGCAGCCGCCGCATTCGCAGCACCAGACGAATGCCCAAGCACCGCCAAGACCAGCTAGCCAGACTCCCTCCTCGCCTGCACAGGTAAACCAGAAGGCCTCCACTTCGGTCTTAAATAAGTTTCAAGATCTCGCAAGCCTCGCTCTTCTCCAACATCAACCGCTCGTCATCATTGCCGATCCCTACATCTAGCACCGCACTGTCTTCCACTTTCACCTCGATGCCACAGATGCCTTCCATGTATTCGGCGGCGTCCTCGACCGCAGCGGGAGGCGCCGGTGTCGCCAACCCCTACACGAATCCGTACCAAGCCTTCGCCGGCGCTGCTGCTTATGGAGCGTATCAACCATGGTGAGTGAAAGAATTGCTGCAGAAGTGACGGCAGAGGCGTTTTGATTAGGCGCTGGTGTCTAAAAGTGACAGTGGGATGCTTTAGGGGATTACCGCTCGGCGGATATAAAATTCGCCCGGCCGGATATATCCTTATCCTTTTTGCATCTTGTTTACACAAGCGACTTCCGGTACAGTTCAACTCGCTTGTCACTCTGCACGCGCCGATAACGAAATCCATTTATTCCCACTCACGAAGTTAAATCAAACTTGCCCTTGTTTACGTAACTGTAGATTGCTCTTCCCATTTTCTCTCGTATCTGTATTTTCAGAGTTTCAAAATTCGAGTATTTCATTGCTTGGTAGGGACTTTTTGACTATAGTCATGATTTAAATGATCGATTGTTAGTTTACACGAGACTGACGTTATTTTGGGGGCCGCTTCCTTAGCAGTGTGACGTTTTGATTTCACGGCGGGTAGACATCTCGGCATCGGCACTTCCGAGCCTCGGGGCTTCAAGTAGTGAGCTTGACCGGATACGCTAGAACTGTAAATATGTATATACATCATATATTATACGCTAGAAAAATATGCTTACGAGTGGGATTCGAGTTTATCGGTTCGACTAGATCCGGATTAAACGACTTTATTTCAGGCTGCGAGCTGCGACACCCAGTGCGAATCCTTGGGAAGATCCGCAAAGACGCTTACAGGTAATTTCAAATAAAAAGATAATTTTTCTTCGATGTGAAATGGAACACGTAGACTATTCGCTCGCATAAGGAAATGTGAGCATGTTAAGATTATGCAAAGATTCTTGATTTCTTCGGAAGCCAATGGCTGTTTAATCTTAAGTATCTGCGTATTCACCTTGGCTTCGGATAGGACCGGGAGCATGAGTTAGCGATAACACGCTTCATGATGGGTATCGCGCACCGCCGGCGACAGATAGTCGTAACGCCGGACACTACTCGTTCCGTTCCATCCATTCTATCCGTTTCTTAAACTTATCCCTCTTTTAGGATTTCTCCGGGTTAGGAGTTCCCTCAGCAAATCCGCTTGCGCTTGGTCTAGCATCGGTCGCCGATGTCACAGAAAAAGTCAAATCAGAACCAGGACTCAACCCAGCAGCTCTCAGAGCGTTCGAACAAAGTCACAGGCCTTTGGATTTATCAAATGGTGGATCTGCAGCGACTGCACGAGCGCAGGTTGACCAAATGGAAAAGAAAAATCAACCAGATCCGAATTCTCAGCAAATGTAAGCAACATCGTCATACGCGTATTTTTAAACAGTATTTAGCTCTGGAAGAAAAGGAACTCTCCAGCTGTGGCAATTTCTTGTGGCTCTACTAGACGACCCATCGAATGCAAATTTCATTACTTGGACTGGACGCGGCCTCGAGTTCAAACTTCTTGACCCGGAGGAGGTTGCGCGCCGATGGGGAAAGATGAAGGTAAGTTCGCGCGCGAGATAACCCTTATGAGCGGTAATTATTTTTTCAGAACCGACCAGCAATGAATTACGACAAGCTCTCGAGAAGCCTGCGTTACTACTACGAAAAAGGAATTATGTCCAAAGGTAGTACTTTCATAACCGAAAGATGTTTACCTAGATATTCAGTCGCTGGAGAAAGATATGTGTACAAATTCATTTGTGACCCGAGGGCTCTATTCTCCCTGGCCGGCTTCGGTGGAGACAACACTGCCGCTGCGTTGCACTACCACGCTGCTGCCGCCGCTGCTGGCTACCCAGGAGCTATGCAAGGTCATGCTTCGCTTCTAACAGTAAGTCGAGCTTTGCAACTTTGATCTCACAATTTACCCAGCACAATCTGCACGATTACCGCCGTGATTTCGGAAGCCAACTGCCGCTCGCTTTACCGAGTTTTGGAGACAATCAACTGCCTTGGTCACATCATCAAATGTAAACCGCTCTTTTAGTATGCAGTTGCATTATTTACAGTTTGACCCTACTGACTGAACAGTTCTCTAACGTGACCCTAAATTCTATTTCCGATTGTTTCTTTTCTATACATATTTCAAATCTGGTAAAACTCACTCAAACACAAACATACCGTATGCTACATACGTAAAAAGTACAAGACGGATATCTGGATTGCCTTTTCTGTACAAATATTTAACCGTAACAAAATATGTTTCAACAAAACTATTCTGAAAACGTGTGATAACTGCCGCCTCAGCCCGAAGGGAATGAATGGGAAACGGTTAGTCCACAAAACAAATTTACCAAAAAGTTATTTTTATCAATATATCATTTTACCGAAATTGCTTTAAATGATGTCTTGCTAAAAATATTAGCAGGTATTAAAAGTCATGCGATAAAACTGACTACTCGATTGCAATCAAGGAAGACTCGAATCGTTGATAAGTCTATGTTGTTTATTTTCCCGAAAAATATTGTATCAATGGTATCAATCATGGTATTTTTCACTGATTGCGATGATGATTGTTTCAATGAAAAGATAAATGGCCGTATTGCATAACAAGAAGTATTAGTTTTCGTAAATTCTGGTGAGCGAGCTTGTCGTGAAAGCCTTTTGGCAGGCGGGACAGGTTTTTTGAAGAAGTTGATCCAAGCAACTCTTGCAGGTGACATGCCCGCATTTAGGTGCGTATCTTTTTCGAATGATGTCGTCGAAATCATGGAGGCAGACTCTGCATTTTGGTCTTTCCACTGAATTTCATTTGGTAGAGCGAATTTAAATATAAGCAAGGTTACTTGTTCTTTCGATGATCCTAGTTTTCGCAGCACGGAGAGAATCCACATCTTCTTGGGCTCTTTTGCGTCTGTTTTCTGCATTTTGCCATTTTTTCTTATACTTTTCTGTTTCTTTTTCCGCATTTTTTAAAGTTAGCTCTGCTGGTTTGAGTTGCTCGTTTATCGGCCCTATTCTTTAAATTAAATTAAAGCTATTGCTATGAAACTTACGAAGAGCAAACATCCGAAACGCTACAGAACAGCAAGTGTGCGTGAAAAACATTTTAAAACTCAAAGCATTGTCGCAATTTTTCGCGGGACACCTAAATTTCGGCTGGCTAAATGTAAGATTCTCCAGGTTCCGATTTTGAGAGTCTGCATTCTCGATGTGAAAAGAGCAGTATGTTAATCCTTCGTGAATCTTCATTTTTTCTTCGACCCTGAAAATTACTCTGCATTTGATTTTTATTTGTTAGATGTTACCTATTGCAATAATATTCCCCTGTTGTTCGGTCAACCGCATGGCAGCCATGGTTTTGTCCCAGAAACAAATATTCTCTCTCTATAAATTGATCCTCCATTACAAAAGTATGAGATTTTTGGGTGAAAGAGAAAAGTGAATAATGTGCCTGACGGTTCTAAGACTCCTTATATATAGCCAGCTTGAATTATCATGTCCGACTCAAGTTTGACGCGATATCTGTTGATTGAACCGTCCTGATCACAAGCAGAATTGAACTTTCATTTTAGTATGCTCCCTAGAGATATCAATGATATGATATAATTCATATTGCGTATTCAATGACTCTTTTTTATAGAACTATTTACTCCCCCTGCAAATTCAAAAGCACTACTCAAATTGCGATGTCTTTAGAATTAAGAGTCTACTTAAGGCTAGGGTGGTCGATTTGGCCCAAAGCAGGGCTCATAAACTCTGGACTTGTGAATGCCAGAGTACCCTATAATAGCTTTTAATAAAGATCTATCCTTGATCTTCTGAATTACAGAAGCTTTTTCCGTCATCTCAAGAAAAAAGCCACTTCCGGTGCCTTCAAAGTTGGCATCTCGGCCAAAATCGCGAAAATAGCCCATCTTCAGGGCTCCAAAACTCCAAAGTTTGCATTATGGTCCTATCAGTTCTTACTATTTTTAGATTTCTTAGACCCTAATCTTAAAATTTACAGAAGGTTTTTCTTATTTGATAGTTTTTTCTTTAGAAAATTTTTCAATAAACCAAGGTACCTTTTTTTTGACTATTCATTCCTATAAAATCCCCTGCGGGCATAGCCTAGACGCCACAAGCCCTACCCTAAATGAATGTCCTTAGTATTAGCTTTCCAAAAATGTATCATATGCCACTATTGTAAAGGTTTGAAATTTCAAAATATTTGGTTCACTTTCAAAATACACTAATTTTCTGCAGCTTTAGTCGCAATTTCCGGGAGTTCGAGTAGAGATAGCCAAAAAGTGCATAAGGAGTTTTTTGCTCCAAATTTTCTGAGGAAGCCAAAAATGCAGGTCAAAAAAAGAACCTGAGACTTGGCCAAAATCGACCACCCTAGCCTTAAAGATTCTCCCACTAGAATTCATCGCAATTTGAGAAAATTATTGTCGAAACTGGCTGTATTACAAGTTTGCTACATGTTTTAAAAGCAGATTCACTGGTTATCGTTGTTGATTTGGCCGTTTGGATAGTTTCGTGCCATAAATTCCTCCCATTGTCGAGCGATTTCTGGGTTTTCTTCTCGCCAGTTGCCTCCAGATCCGGTCAGCTGGCGAAATTGTCGTTCATGCGATTCAAGCTCCATTCGAGCGAATTCCATGCGAATGCGCGCCTGAAATATTCGGTAATTATTTAACAAATTTTTGTGGCTTACCATTTCAAGTTCTCGTTGCAAACGCTCATGTCGTTCCTGCTCCCTTTGAAGTCGCTCTCTTTCTTGCTCCCTTTCCCGCTGAAATTCTTCTATTTGTCTCTTCGCTTTTTCGTTGTAGTGATTTTGGTGAACGTTTGCCATATCAAAAAAGACTGTGTGCTCTCTCTTGGTTTTTGGAAAGCAGTGACTGAATTCTGAAAAGCTGAAGACCAACAACATTACTCTAGAAAATCAGCAACTTTTTAGAAAATCGATTGTTATGATTGAAAAACACGGTTAATATATATTTATACGCATTTAATGTCCTCAAAAACCTGTTTTCTGGACTATGCAATCAAGGAAGGGTCACAGACAACTTGGCTTACTCAAGTTGTCGATAATTTTTCCCTATTTGATTATTTTTCTGTAAAAAATTCAATGATTTTACAGTGAGAGCATACGCAAACCTGAGAATGTCTAGCAAGGCATTGATTGTCTTTTATACTAGAAAATCAACCACTATATCGAAAAAGTGATGATTTCGTTTATTACAGCACGAAATATATGAAAGCTGAGCAGGTTTTTATACAGAACTAGTGGAATATTATTGAACTCCAATTGTATGCACCAACAGGCTGAGGCAGTTTAAAGCGTTCCTTGGCTAAAAAGGGTTGAAAAAGATACTCGTGAGAAACGGACCTGATATTTTCTATAGACGAGTTAATTAAAAAAGGAATTATAGATCGAATTGGGATCGTTCCAAGCAAACACGAAAAGAATATTTTCTAAAAAATAAAAGGGATGATGAATGAACGATTCGAATTTTCTTACCTCAATGGACTTTTTATGAATTTGTTTGCACAAGTTTATTCGCATAAATATCTTCTGTTGGCGCTGGTTTGAAATCAACGAAGAGATTTTCGCTGTCGTATCATTTAAAAGTTTTTCAATCTTTTGATCAGCGCCTTCACGAGTTCCCGTGACTAGTGGGTTGAGAAAAAGAAGGCATCGACAAAGCGCATATTCGACAGGGCCTAGTTCCAGATCTTGGATATACAGCACGGTTCTTTCGATCAAGTCAAGATCTTGAATAAGCTCGTCTTCAAATAGTCGGAATCTTGAGCAAGTTATGTTTAGTGAATTCTCTCAATTTTTTACCTAAGGGTATCGGAAATACTTTTCATCTCGTCCTTGGATATACACTGAGCTATTCCGATGAGAAAAAGCTCGCTCCATGTGTGCAGCATAAATGTCACTTGATGGTCGACCTATAAGTAGGAGTAATAGATAAAGGCCTCGCTGGGCAATTACCTCTATAGAATGATAGCTAGAAAAGTTTTTAATCCATTTGGCAGACAGGAATAGCATTCGCGAGGCTATTTCGTAGCTTCGCTGCTCATCTGCCTCTGGCCCGTCTGGCTTCTCAAACTCAAATTTAAGGATGCAGTCGGGAAGAATCTCTGACTGCTCGACAGCGGAGCTTCTCTCGGGCTCAGTGTCTTTCGCGATCAGACGGCTGATATTCGACAGGAGATTGGACGTAGCGTCGAGACTTGAAGGAGTAGAACTGGTGTCAGACGAAGAGTTGGTGGATGATTGTGCACGACCTTTGTTTTGCGACACGGCTTGTGTCTGATTTCGAATCTGCGTTAAATTTCGAAAGTTAGACAACGATGGCAAATTGAAGACGGCGTTCAAAACGCTCTGATTAGTACTCGTCACTGGGGCAGTGGACGTGCTGAAAAAAGTCAGGAAGGTAATCATATTTCAGTTGTACCTAAGGCTTGGTTGCGCAGGTCGGGTAAATTGCACAGGACTTTGGCTAGTGGAAGTTCTTGCAGCTGCATTGGAAGAATTGTTTGTTGCTAGGCTTGTTGTCAGAGAAGGAAGAGCGAGCATTGTCGCCTTCTCTGAATTGAGGTTTACGATGGACTCAAGCGAGATTGCATTTCCCGTCCCAGACTGATTCAAAGCGCTGGATCCATTCTCCGAAAAGCTAAGTGGAAGGGAGCGGGTGATGTTTGGTTTCAACGGTCGTATTGGACCTCGCTCATTCTGGACAGAATCAGCTCGCATCCCAACAGAAACACACTTGAAAAATCTACATGCCTTTAATCGGTTCTTAGCTGAATATATTCTTTACAAACGATTCTTTTTAATCCTTCATTTACGAGAACGATTCCTGGCAGCGATTTCTCTGTAATTTGGTTACTGGACAGTCCGAGTTCCAGCGACAGGTGTAATTGAGTTTTTTACGAATAGATCTCTAAAAACATTTGGTATTCAATATTCGAAACTCACAGGTTCAAAAACCTTGAAGAATCCTTTGCATCCCTCACACGATTTTACTCCATAATGTCTTCCACTAGCACGATCCCCACAGACTTCGCATCGTTCATAAAAGTAATCGTTCTCTTTGAATTTTTGATCCAGCTGGATTGCTAAAGGTCCGTTGTCCATTTTCTTGTATTTAAAGCCACTGCCTGTATTCGTAATTAGCGGCCTTGTAATTTGAGTTACAAGTAGTTTTCTTATTTTCTATTTGATATCACAATTCAACTCATTCCTGACGTGCTGTGCTGGGGCTTCCTGTGATTCTTGCTTCAGGTCGAGCTGCTGAGGTTGGAAAGATAACGAGTCATCTTGCTCGGTTTTGATGTTTTCTACCGGCTGTGTTTCCATTTCACGCTTTAGTTCGCCATTCGGATGTGCGTTTTCAGTCTCCATCATAGCCTGTAATAATAGTAAGTTGCGTATATATTGCGGTATAATAGTAAGTCGTGACTTTCTTGTGATTGAAATTTTGATTGAAAAATAATAAATTCATAATTTCATAAAAAATGGCTAGCTTACCAGAAGTGGCGCTATGGGACTGGTCTTGGATTGTGGCGGGGCTTCTCTTAGGGTCAAAGTTCTACTGTCGAAGGGTTGGAGGCATCGGAAGTCGCGAGTCGCGTGTTTCGGGTTGAAGTTAACTCGTTGAACTCTACTGGCGTTGTGTCCGGTGGCGTTGGTGAAATGGTGCACGGCGCCAATCAAAATGCGCTTTGAATCATTCCAACCAGCGGGTCAGGTCACGACATGCGGAGGAGGTGCCAAACCAGCGCCTTGGGGTTATAGCCAACTTACTCTCCGTCGGTGTCCGCCGCACAACACCGGATTATCTTAAAGCGCAAGTCAATCACCCGCTCTTCAACTTGAAACGTGACCTTCGGTCATTTCCAGCCTCGTCATATTTTCCCCAGGTCACTGAAAATATTTATACATTACTTTGGAGAAAACATCAATCGGACTTTTTTATTTTTTGAGAAGTGAAAGTGAAAATTGGATCTTTCATTCCTCATGCATATTTGCGTTATTCTGTCTAGACTTCTTGGCGCTAATCGATGAGACAACTACTTATGATAATTTCATTTTCTCTCACTGCTTCTTACGCGTTCCGGGGAGAATTGAAACAACAACGGCTCTGCGAAAATATCTTGATACGAGCTCTTTGAGCTTCTCTGGGCGGCGAGGAGTGAAAGTTTGGGCCGGAAATAGTAAACTCTAATGCTGTCATTGGCTGATCATTGACCTCGGGGTCACGCGCCCCACCGCTCCATCATCATAAATTTTCAACCTTATAAAGTTTATGATATAAACAGTTGACCTTAGCCTTTCTGAATAACTAATTATTTCATTTAAACAGGTGGTCTTAAAATTTTCCCACGACGAATTTTTCATCATGAGAAAATTACTGATAAGATAATCGTGGGAAATCGTCGTTTCATGAACATTTTATTCCAATTCTATACAAAAAGGAGGCATAAAAGGCGGAGACGCACGCTTCAGAACCAAGATTCTGATACTAGCGGTAAATACGACGCGTCAAGAAATTAACACGACGATTATTGTTTTCTTTTCTTTCGTAATATTCATTGTGTTTCGCTGTGTTATTACGAAAAACAAGTTAGAATTTACCTGGGGGCAGCTAGGATGAAGCTGTTTTTGTCGGAGGCGCCTCTAAGATTCCCGAAGAAAGGTCAAAGTTGATTGACGTATCTTTGATTTTGTTGGAGTAGTAATATTTTGAGGATCAGCCCCCGTCGCCGGTCTCTCTGTGCGCACCGAGGCGCAACAGAATCTATTGCCTCAAATCAGAAACACAACGGTTCCCCTAGCGTCGGACGTACGCGTGCCTGACCTTTTTTTCCACCTTCGTTCTCCTTTGACGGAAACGATATCGCGATCTTTATTTCTCAGGCGCCTGGTTTCGCTGACTCTCGCCGATTTCAAATTCTCCCTATCTGAGAAGCCCTTTCTAATGCATCTTGCATCACTTCACAAATCAGTAGGATTAAGTCAGTGCTTATGAAACTCCTGTGTTTCCTTTTGAAACTACTCTCCGGAAAAATATATTTTTTAGTTTTAACCTTTTCGGGTCACGTCGGCCGCGCGGGGTAAAAGGCCAGCACTACCCCAGAGGTGAAATCTGTCACTGACCAAAATGTCACAACTTGGGGAAAGTAACTCCGACTCACCTCGAAAGATCGACTTGAAATTATGAAATTCAAAGAAACTATGCCGAGTCTCCGGGTGTATCTTATGGAATTGAGGGGCCGTCATTGAGAGTCAATAATTTTTCTGCAGAGACCCTGGATATAAAATATGCCATTTCGATTTGCTCCTCTCAAGATGAAATGGAAAATAAGATTTCATAAAAACGTTCTACGCCCCGAAGTTTATTCAATAATTTGTGCAAACTGTATCCGTCGAAGGCTGCTTTGAAATGCCTTTCTTCCTGCTCTTGTTATTTTCATCAAAAGTCGCCTTGAACAATTATTCAGCACTTTGATTGAATGGCTGTTACCTTTCTTTGGTTCGTTGTCTAAATTTTCAATAGTTTTACATTCAGAAAAATATAAGAGCACCTTGACAAGTCTCTTGCTGATGTAAACGTGGAAAATCGGGCTACAAAGCTCCACAATTCTTCGCAGGAAAAAAGCGGTAATCGCGAATCCGTAATCGAGTTTTGCCTAAAGAGGATTTTTTCTACAATTGTCTGAATATTTGGTCTGGCCTAGAAATATAATAAGATGATTGATTATAAAGGGAAACAATAGACGATGATAATGTTACCGTGTGCGTGACGAAATCCTCCTCATCAGTTCCCGGAATACCATCAATGCTATCTGTTTCCAAGCCTACCAGTTCCTCGTGATACTTCACATAAGGTCAAAAATATGATTTTCAAAATAAAAATGCTTATTAGGATGTTTAAACCGAAAATGCCTTGTAACTGAATTTTGTTCCACATTTCTCAACTAAAGTCAGCATAAACGATTGATTCTGTGAAACTTTCCCTTGAAATCGCATAGTACAGAGCCAGCGGAAAGTAACCGATTACATAAGAAGACATTACTCCAAACAAGCGTATGATCGAGGTACGTTCAGAATGCTGCCATGTAGAGATCGCTCTGAAACGGAAATTCCGCTTCTAACAAAAAGGTTTCAGTCTCGTCTGTTAGTAGCAACGACTCGCCTTCAGAGAAATCATCGTTGCAATGGCGAAAATAAGGAAGATAATAAGAGGCAGAATGAAGAATATAGCGGTCGTTATCATCCAAATATTGGCGGATTGCTTCGGATCGTCGTCTGACAAGCTGCAAGACGGCCAAGGCGTGGAACGAAACTTGTCCAGCTCAAAAATCTCGGCCAGAAAATCGGCCGTGATAAGATAAGTAAAAGGAATAGTCCAAATCAAAATTATCTATCTACCAAGGTCTCAATTATAAACAAAACTTATGAAGAATTATCACCAATTGAGAAACTTTTGCCGGAAGAATTATCCCAGTCCAGCTGTCAGTTTTCGCGGAAAGAGGGAAAATGATAATTTTCCATCTATATTTTTGTTTCTCATCGATGTATTATTAAGTCAGTCTATCTTTAGTTGGAAACTCGCCTTACAACTGTGTAAAACGCTACCAGAAGTGATGAAATAGCTAGCGTTGCTTCGTCTAGATACCAACCCAAACGGCACATGCCAAGACCCATCCTGTAGTCACAAAATCCCCATGTTCGCCGATAAAGCCACAGAATGCCCGCGAGGGAGGAAAGCACTCGTGCCATTGGAAGATTGAGGAGGACTTTGAATGGAATTCCGAGGACTCATCATCGATTTTAGAGGACACTGGCTAAACCAGGGAGCAGAATGATATTATATTCCGAATCTCCCTCAGCCCGATTATATTCTATTTTTTTCTATCATTACGCAACGCTAGACTAACGTCAATCTATTCCTTGATTTCAATCCTTACCAAAAGATGATCGCGAAAGATGCTTATAATTCCGTACAAGAAGACGGCAGAAGAACCAGCTATTGAGAATTATAGAAGGCAGAATTAATCTGTATCGGGCGAATGAAATTTGATGTTAATCATTTTGATCTCTCTTTCTTTCGCCGTGCATGAGGCTGGCGGCTGTAAGCCCGATCACAGCGCTGTCTGATGGACATTCTCTTGCGAATTCAGTCAACAGCTATTCTTATATCAGATAAATAAGCGAAATGAAGCCTAGCCTGGATGTTCCTATGCAATGATTGTCCGAATTCGGGGTTCAATCTTAAAGTTCTTACTTTTCGATTCGGTACTATTAAAAATAAATTAAACCCCCTTCTTCACATCCAAACATCTCTTTTTGAGAAGGAGAATCTCGCCTGCCTGAGAATTGAGCAGACCGTTTTTTTTATTTTTTTGATAAATATTTATTTTCGAGAAAAGTAGATTTGGGGTCGTTAAATGGTGACACGTTATTCAGTTTTTCCATTTCAAATTAAAGCAGTCATGTATGCATGGGGACCAGCACGGAAGTCGTTATCCTCGTCGAACATTGAGTTGAAAAAGTCGCGTCCGCGTTTGTACGACATAAACTTTTATAAATTAATAGTTGAGTTAATAAGTGGTTTCTTTCATTACCATTGGAGTATCGTAGCTGCCTTGCGCTAGAATATGACCGGCGCTCATTGAATTTGCAGTTGTTAAGACACTCGCCAGCATACACAGTAAATCTGAATACAATTTAATGTCTGATTTTATTTGATAAATCGGCGTACTCATATTTTCTCTTGTTTCCTCTTTCTTGAGAGTAATTGTCTCAGAGCGTCAGGGATAGAGAAAATCTCGTCCTTTTTTGTGTCTTATACTCGGCGCCTCTAGTGGCGGCAATAAGGAGCAGAACTCAAGGATGAGCAAAAATTATGACATGCGTAACTTATTTTCACAGTCAAGAATGGAAGCATTTTTCAAGATCAATGTTACTTGGTCTGATTGTAGAATTTTTTAAGTACCGCGACGCTCAATATTTAAGTAGTAGAGCATTAATTTCTCATTTTCGACGATTTGTCTTTTATAATTTAATCTCCTTGCACTTCTGATGTGGGTTTTCAGTGCAGTTTTAGGATATATTCGTTAGAAAAAAAGACCGGTTGTGATATTAAACCTGGGTCTAACATCAATGTGCTAAATTATAGACAGAATTATTATTCTAATCTATTGTCAATTGACTATTGATTGGGGCGCACAAATTAGACTTCATAAATTATGGTAGTAGAAAAATTGAGGAAATTGGAACTGACATACTTCGCATGAAAAACAATATTAATTCCATACGTTCCAAATTAACATAGCATTCTTATTAAGGGGTTAATCCCTTATCCTATCACTGCTATCTATAAAAAAGACTATATTAAATGAGAAAATGAAGGGTTAAATATTATAAGAATGGAAAATGTAATACTCTGCTCGACTAACCAGATTAAGCGATTGATTGGATTCGAGCTGAAGGTGCACCACGATATTTAATCGGGATGATGATTTTTGATTAATAAAAAAGAATCCGGTGTTTTCTCAACATGTGATGCATCTGCTCAGATGTACAGGAGATGAGCTTGATTTAATGCGCTCATTCTGTCCCGTTATCTGCATTATGGCGGCTTATAAAACATTGAGCGAATTTCAAGCGGCAACTGAAGATCACGTTCATCGTCTATTCTCCAAATTGTAATGGGAGACCAATTTTTATTGAAAAGTACTTCTATCTACAGAAAATTGAGCGAGAATATACATTTCAGTTATTCTTAAAGCTCAGATGTTTATTTTGAGTTGCATCCACTGTCCTCGCAGCATTGATAGCACCAGGACCAGTTTCGAGATCGATGGTTAGAGCAGGTTTTCTTTGATTCCCTTTCCTGCATAAGACAAGCGTCTTTCTTCTTGCAGCCAGCTGTGAGTAAGATTATATTTTCGCCATTCACCAGCTAATTAGAGTTCATTTACAGTGTAAAAATACTTCGTTAGGAAAATTATCGATTTTAAAAAAGCTCAATTATGCAAGTCTATTTATATAATGAACTCGCGCCTGAGATCGGTATTCAGTGAAGCAAATGGAATCTGGTGAACAATGGACTTTTCAGTGCACTCAGAAATGTCGCGCGCATTATCGCATGTGACACACCAGGCGGCGAGCGTTACTTCGATGCTGCCAATTCTACTCGCTTCCACACGTTTATTTTGAGAACGGGCCTGAGACAATACTTTCCCGTGGTTAAATTGCGGTTCAAGGATTACTCTCTCAGACACAGCATTCAACGATTCGTTCTGCTCTGTCAAATTCGATGGGGACTCACCGATGTTAGGGAGCAGTCTGTCCGCAACATTTAGTGGAGACGTGGTAGGCACAGCTGAGATAATTGATTCATGAGTAGTAGAAAACTTACTAGACTGAATTGGTAAAGTTAGCGTCGGTTTTATTTTTTCCGTCATATTTTTTCTTGCTATTCTGCTTGTGTTTGGAACCGTCGTACTCATAATTCTCTTTCTTTTTGAAGTAGTGAAAGTTGCTGTCGTTGTGGCTGACTTTGTTGTTGTCGTATTCATAGTTGTAGTCATAGTCGTGAATTTTGTCGTCGGTATTGTTGTAGTTGTCGTAGAAGCGGTCGTTGTAGTAGTCGTCGTAGACGTAGTTGACGTAGTCGTCGTAGTGGTGGTGGTCGTAGTCGTCGTAGTTGTTGTTGTTGTCGTAGTACTGGTTTTGGTTGTTGTTGTACTTGTTGTACTTGTTGTTGTACTTGTTGTTGTACTTGTTGTTGTTGTCGTAGTACTGGTTGTGGTTGTTGTTGTACTTGTTGTACTTGTTGTTGTACTTGTTGTTGTTGTCGTAGTACTGGTTGTGGTTGTTGTTGTACTTGTTGTACTTGTTGTTGTACTTGTTGTTGTACTTGTTGTTGTTGTCGTAGTACTGGTTGTGGTTGTTGTTGTACTTGTTGTACTTTTTGTTGTATTTGTTGTTGTTGTCGTAGTACTGGTTGTGGTTGTTGTTGTACTTGTTGTACTTGTTGTTGTACTTGTTGTTGTACTTGTTGTTGTTATCGTAGTACTGGTTGTGGTTGTTGTGGTTGTTGTTGTACTTGTTGTTGTACTTGTCGTAGTTGTCGTAGTACTGGTTGTGGTTGTTGTTGTGGTTGTTGTTGTACTTGTTGTTGTACTTGTTGTTGTACTTGTTGTACTTGTTGTTGTACTTGTTGTTGTACTTGTTGTTGTTGTCGTAGTACTGGTTGTGGTTGTTGTTGTACTTGATCTTGTACTTGTTGTTGTAATTGTTGTTGTACTTGTTGTTGTACTTGTTGTTGTTGTTGTAGTACTGGTTGTGGTTGTTGTTGTACTTGTTGTACTTGTTGTTGTACTTGTCGTAGTTGTCGTAGTACTGGTTGTGGTTGTTGTTGTACTTGTTGTTGTGGTTGTTGTTGTACTTGTTGTTGTACTTGTCGTAGTTGTCGTAGTACTGGTTGTGGTTGTTGTCGTAGTACTGGTTGTGGTTGTTGTTGTACTTGTTGTACTTGTTGTTGTACTTGTTGTTGTACTTGTTGTTGTACTTGTTGTTGTTGTCGTAGTACTGGTTGTGGTTGTTGTTGTACTTGTTGTACTTGTTGTTGTACTTGTTGTTGTTGTCGTAGTACTGGTTGTGGTTGTTGTTGTACTTGTTGTACTTGTTGTTGTACTTGTTGTTGTACTTGTTGTTGTTGTCGTAGTACTGGTTGTGGTTGTTGTTGTACTTGTTGTACTTTTTGTTGTATTTGTTGTTGTTGTCGTAGTACTGGTTGTGGTTGTTGTTGTACTTGTTGTACTTGTTGTTGTACTTGTTGTTGTACTTGTTGTTGTTATCGTAGTACTGGTTGTGGTTGTTGTGGTTGTTGTTGTACTTGTTGTTGTACTTGTCGTAGTTGTCGTAGTACTGGTTGTGGTTGTTGTTGTGGTTGTTGTTGTACTTGTTGTTGTACTTGTTGTTGTACTTGTTGTACTTGTTGTTGTACTTGTTGTTGTACTTGTTGTTGTTGTCGTAGTACTGGTTGTGGTTGTTGTTGTACTTGATCTTGTACTTGTTGTTGTAATTGTTGTTGTACTTGTTGTTGTACTTGTTGTTGTTGTCGTAGTACTGGTTGTGGTTGTTGTTGTACTTGTTGTACTTGTTGTTGTACTTGTCGTAGTTGTCGTAGTACTGGTTGTGGTTGTTGTTGTACTTGTTGTTGTGGTTGTTGTTGTACTTGTTGTTGTACTTGTCGTAGTTGTCGTAGTACTGGTTGTGGTTGTTGTCGTAGTACTGGTTGTGGTTGTTGTTGTACTTGTTGTACTTGTTGTTGTACTTGTTGTTGTACTTGTTGTTGTACTTGTTGTTGTTGTCGTAGTACTGGTTGTGGTTGTTGTTGTACTTGTTGTTGTACTTGTTGTTGTACTTGTTGTTGTACTTGTTGTTGTACTTGTTGTTGAACTTGTTGTTTTACTTGTTGTTGTACTTGTTGTTGTACTTGTTGTTGTACTTGTTGTTGTTGTCGTAGTACTGGTTGTGGTTGTTGTTGTACTTGTTGTACTTGTTGTTGTACTTGTTGTTGTACTTGTTGTTGTACTTGTTGTTGTTGTCGTAGTACTGGTTGTGGTTGTTGTTGTACTTGTTGTTGTACTTGTTGTACTTGTTGTTGTACTTGTCGTAGTTGTAGTAGCTGTCGAGGTGGTTATTGCCGTAGTTGTATATGTTGTCGTGTCCGGGAACAGAGTCGTTGCTTCAAATGGCACTGTTGTTTCATAAATTGTCGTCATATCCACTGTGATAGGTGTTGGCGTTTCTGTTGGTATTTGATCTTTGTCCTTCTTAGATTTTTTGCTCTTTTTACTCTTATTTTTACTAGTTGATAAACCACCATCATCTTTCATCATCTGTCCAATCGAAGATTCTTCAAATCGCACGCCTACCGGAGGCGATTGCTCTTCATATTTGCAACTTTCTGATTTAGAATCAGCTTTGCAAAAGCATCTCTTTCTAGGTTCTCTTTCTTACTCTGTTGTCATTATTCTTCAAGATTTTTGACAACTGAATATTTATCTCTAGTTCTTATGTAAAATCGAGCCCGTTCCTGGTGGTCACTGTCGAAACAGCAGCCACTAAGTGAGCAATCAAATGATTCGAACTCTTGTAACATGCCAGTTGTTTCCGAAAAGTTTCCGCAAGCTCTGTTTGTCTCACAAAAATCTAGCCAAGGTTTCGCTTGCCATGACCGTTCGGCTCCTCCCGTTAATGCAGCTAGTTCTTTGAACGAGCTTCCAGTTCCAGTGTCGTCGAATTCATTGTCAAAGTATAAGCTGTTTGATTCCTCCTCTTCTTCTTCCATATCATAAAAGATATTAAGCCAATCGAAATTGAGTGCTCGACGGTTTCTGCATTTCTCTGTTTGTTTAGTATTCGAATGGATTAACTTGCAGTCTTTTGATAGCATCAGCTCTACTAGTTCATCGTAGAGTGCATCCGCAGCACTTGTTGGTCGTGAATAGCCTTTCAAGAGTTAGTTTCTTTCGTTGAAGGTTATCGCTGTATTATTGCCATTAACCGCGATTAATTCAACCCTTTCCTAAGAATGTGTAAACTTTGCATCCTCCATGGTTGACTGGAACCTTTTTCAGCATCGAAATCAGCTTCTGAAGAATAACAACGACGTCTATCTCGCATACTTCATCAAAATTCTCTAGTTCCGATTTAGCATCTTCAAATTTGTAGGTATTAAATGGCTTTCTGACAATATTGTCCAAACAAAAATGAGCATTTTTGGTTCCTTCGTCTCGTATTCTCAATGGAACCGAGCTGAGAACGATGATCATTTTTCTTGTTGTGCACTCAATCAATGACATCGGTGAGAACTTCATAAAACTGTAAATGCTCCAGTCTACTTGGGACGAACTTGGACAAGTTGTTTTTGTCTTCGAGAAACCAATCACTTTTGTTCCACCTTTCACTCGCTGCCGTAGCTCCCAAAATTGACCTGGGTTCCAGCTAAAAAACATTTATCACTGAAATATTCTCAAACTAAAACCTTATCATCATTCCTTCTTGTGACTCGTACACATTGTATTCAGATCTGGCTGTGCTCTTCGAAAATTCAAAGTCCTTAATTTTGAAATTGTCACAGCATTGTGCTTGACAACTCTCTTCATCAGAACCATCATCGCAGTCCATTCGCCCGTCACAAACTTTTTCCATTAAAATACACTGCGAGCTCTGCCGGCATTTCCAAGAACTCGTTCCTTGATTTTGGCAGGTTTCGCAGTGATATTCGTCTGACCCATCAGGGCAATCATTACGCAGGTTCTTTCTATTTTTACAGCGTTGAGTTAATTTGAAAAAACTAAACTAAAACAATTTTTACTACATTTGGCTACATATAAAATATAGACAATAGTAACGTAACTATAAGCAGAACCCTGACTGAAGCCGTCACATAGCCTACTTTCCCAGAAAATATCGATTCCATTATCACATATTTTTCTTGTTGAATCTCCTCCGCAGTAATCACCACAGCCGTACATTTCACAGATCCTCAAAATATCCATGACAGACGGACGAACGCGCTGTTCTACGATAGGTTCCAAAGTATTTTTCTTGACGATCGTTGGGTTGCTTTTGATTGGCGCTAAAAATATATTGGTTCACTTAGGTACGGATGATCTAGGGTAAGGGTAAGAGTTATGGACCATAACCATAACTTATAGTTGATACATAGAATTAATAATATGCTATCTGTATAGAATACCTTTTGAAAATGAGTATCCGCCGTAGTGCATGACAGAGTTAAAGTCATATTCACCATAAAAAGTCATCAGACCGTCGGGCGCTTTATTGAAATTTCCAGCACAGGAGCCTTTGCCAGATGTTAAACAAGTCGAACTGACATTTTCGAGGAAGATATCGACATAATCATCTCGGTCGGATCTTTGGTGCTCGTGTATAAATCCCAGCGCATGAATTAGCTCATGTGCGGCCTTGCCTAAGTTTTTGCATCCAGGGCCAAGAGAAATGGGCTGTTCTCCGCCAGTTTTCCCAACGTAGCTGTAGCAACCGCCTCTATCAGTAGGGTTATAAGATGAAAATTTGGCCCATTTTTCTAGCTTAGTTTAGGGGTCTAATGATACAGTTTTAGAAAGCCCGGAAGCTGAGCTTTTATTTGGGCACAATATCAAGTGATCTAGTTCACGCAAGGCAATTTATAGGACCTGAAAGTCCGAATTAGGCACTAGAACTCTTTAATTGATTTTTTGGGTGCTGGGGTTCACTCTAAATGGCTCAAAAGTCACCGTAAAACGTTATTCTTCCAAAAGTCGAGTTTCTAGCGCCTACTTACGAACCATTTCGAGTGAACCTCGGCGCCCAAAAATCAACGGAACAGTTCAATCGCCTATTTCGGAACTTCAGGTCCCATAAATTGCCTTGCGGGGATGACGCACACCACTTGATATTGTGCCCAAATGAGAGCTCAGCTTCTAGGCTTTCTAAAACTCTATCATAAGACCCCTAGACTATGCTAGAAAAATGGGCCAAATGTTCATCTTATAACCCTATCTATCAGCAATAGATAAATAATCGCTTGGCCGTCTTTTTGGGCTTGTAAGTTCTTGAAAGTCGATGCAAGTTTCGGACGATATGAGGTCCATTGCTGCTCGTACAGCGCCTCGATAAATAATAGGTTCGAAATTGTTTTTGGTTAGGTTTAGCCTTGAAACTTTAAAAACTAAGGATAAGAGCCTCTGTATAACTTGGGCAGGTAAAAAATTTCCCTACTACAAAAGTACGCACTTAGAACCTTGTCTGTTTAGGGAAATTAAAATCCATTTCATAGAAAATAGTGTGTCTCGGATCGCGCTCGTTCTCGATCCAGGGTTTGACCACGGCTTTCTGTTTTTCGGACTTATCCATTAGCATCCATCTATCGTGATCGAAAGCTTCCCAAAACAATTTCTGTGCATCGGTGAATTTCATATCGTCCCCATCTAAAAGTTATATTTGAAACAAGGCACGTTCAATATTTGCTCGTAATCGTGTGAAATTAGCCATGCAGTAAAATTCAACAAAGGCACCAACCCAAATTTTCGTCAAATTTTGCTAAAAATTTCAAATTTTAGAGAATTATGAGGATTTTCACCACTTTGGCCGGCGGATGTTTTGGTTTGAGCAACTGGGGAAGTCATGATAAGTTTTATGACTGGATAGGAATCGGATTTTCTCATATAAATTTAGGCTGAGAATTTATTTAAAAGCTATCATTACTTGTGCAGGAGCATCCATTAAAAGAATATGAAAGGCCCTACATCCATGCAGCAGCGAAATATCCAAATGGGGATGCGATTTGTCGCGCGAAAACAACCGTTGTCAATGATGACATTTTTTTGGCGGGAATTGTTAAAAATAATAAGTGCATTTTTGGATGGAATACGAAAGAAGAAACTAGCAATTTTGACCTTCTTGTACCGAATTGTGGTGATGGTAGCGAGCTCAGCTGGTTCGAAGAGAGGGATTTAGAAAGTGTGGGTGATGAAGTAAGAGTTGAGGTGAACACGCCTGGATTCTCGATTGGAATCTGCGAGTTCAACGGCAATAATGGCTGGAAACGAGGCAAAGGGTGTATGTGGAAAACACCCGAAGCTGGTGCACAGGAAAATAACTACGAGACAAATCATAAGATGCTCACAATTGTCGGTTGTAAGCTTCCGTCTATTTCCTTCTATGATCGAGCGCAATTCATGAAAGAAAACGAAGCTGATACTTTGATTTATGAAAATCTTCCAAGTGATGAGGCTGTCTTCATCGGTGATAACTACTCGCCCAAGTATCATACCAGGTAAAGTCTACCCTTTCTCCTATCAGTATAACCGCGATTTATTAGACATATGAAAAAGGAAGACTCCTCTGTTCACTGGTCAACAAGTCTGTTAAAAGTTCCGTTGTGGCATGATGTTGAGGCCAGTTTCAACTTGCTGAGCTATGGCAAAGAAGACGCTGATTGGGAAGCCAAATTCGTCTGGTACAAAGGTACTCTTGAAATCGTTATAAACGATAAATAGTAATCTAGAAAGTAGCAACCCAGAACTAAAGGAGTCCGTTAAATATGAAGTCGTGAAGATTGTGCCTATTGAACGGTGAGTAAGGTCTTTGAAATCAGTACTATCCTCGTTAATTTCAAAAAGTCGGTCTTTATATTTATAAATAACAAATAAAGACTAGAAATGACACCGGAAAAATATTTAGCGAGATCAACTTTGACGTCACGAGTCCTCAGAAGATATCACTTTTTGGAAAGTACGAGTCCGAATTCGTCGCCTTAGAAGTAAAACAAACTTTGCGCGCGGATGGCAGCCGCAAACAACTTCAGTAAGGGTGTGTCAGCTATTCAAAGGCAAAGAAGACTGTTTTGGAGTAGCGAGGAAATAACGAAACTACGTAAATGTTACGTCACTAGTACAGTTTTCATCTTTGACATCCCCAAACTCAGTATCCAAAAGTGTCAAACTTTAAAATGAACTCAGCCGCGCAAGAATGCTTTCCCCTTGGCCCAAGTCCATCGGCAAAAGTTATTTGCGATGACCATCAAAATTGCAGAACCGTTTGCAGAAGAAGATTTACAATGAAGGGGAGCTTAAAAAAGCTTCGATGCGAGGCCTGGTTCAAGAAATTCGTATTGTCAATAGTGCACGCTGTAAACGTAAAGTGCCTAGGTGCCTACAAGTTGGTCGTATTTCTGACAGATCCGAATTAATTCCTTACAGGATTATGAGCGAGAAGTAACTTCACCCTAGCTTTAAAAAATCGTAGGTACTCTGCAACATATGAACCGCAGAAAGAATGGATTTTGGATGAGCGACTCTGATCAGCCGTTGAATGAATTATACATGTACTTTATGCTCAATTATTTATGTATGCCGAACAATGTACCTGTTCAAGAACTCGTGAGAAAGTACAAAGGAAAGTTTTACTGCGAAATTCTCGATTTAAATGATGAAATATTAATTTTTGCAAAACAAGTAAAGAATCCCACGACAACCTCGTTGAACCAAAAGACCCTTTTGAATAGACTTATTTAATCTCTTAGACTGTAATAAAATCTTTGCAACCGAGTTGTACTTACAATCACCGCGTACTCGCTCTATCGCGAAAAGCGAACACACCAGGAGCTGTACGTTCATCACGTCTCTCTTTCTCTCCTTGGGAAATTCGTTGTGAGTAGAAATTTTACTATCATGAAAACCTTCGAAGCTACGAGCGCCCTCTACAATATCGATAAGGGGACGGAGACTTTTAAGACGCGGATGCTCGGGATTATGATTTCGTAAAGGAACTGTAGAATAGGTAGAGCTAGGGTCGATGTTTTATTTACATGTTTATATAACAAATTTTGAAAGGAATTCGGAAGAAATTATGGAACTCAAAACAGAATAACAATATCTGTAAGTAAAGAAAATAGTAGTCAAGAAAAATATCAACAATTTACACTTGAACAACGAAGCCTTCGCGAGTCAGCTGTATTTGATTTTGCGCGTTTTGACTTCTAAAGTTTGGCTCGTCAATAAGACTCTGCGTTTCATCGGTGAGCGTTGAACTCTGAGTAGCTAGATCGGAGGAAAAGTGGCAGCTTTTGGGACGCAAAGAGGGATTCACCATCGGATTGCTCAGATGAGACGAGTCGCCGCGGCGGTCGATTGTGATCACCTGCCGATTGCCCTCTTTTACGATTGTCATGTTCTGAAGCAAAAAATAAGTTTCAATGGAAAATTCATGTTCTCACCTCGTATTCGTCAATACTCCTATCCCACATATGTCCAAAGGTGCCATGCGAGCTCTCAACGAATTCTTTCGGCGGGACTCTCCTTCGAACAAGAAAAATGACGCATAACGAGCATAAGACGACGAGCATGACGAGAGACGCTCCGATTAAAATGCCAAACCACATCTCCCAAGAAGGTTCTTCGGATGAGCGCTCCTCAATGATTTCTCCATCGATGGTATCTTCATAAAATATCTCGGACTCTTTGACCAGAGTTTCGCTTGTTGGCTTTGCAGGCTCCCAATCAGCTATAAACTCGAAATTTTAAACTCGCAAAAAAGAAGTTAGAACAGGCGTCCAATTCAATGTTATCGTTCTAAATTACCTGAACGGACATGAATAGCAAATCTGATGTTGTGGGACCTGCACAAGCCACCATCCGAGTTGATCTCTTCGATATCTTCAAGTTCTCTTCCGTAATTTGGCACGATAAAGTAGTACGTTTCTCCTTCCTCAAACAATAAGCTTCCGGGAAGCGCGCTGAAGCTCTGAATGATCAAATCAGTTCGCTTATTTGAGCAAATGAACATTAACGGGGCGATATATTCTTATTTCTGTCAAGTTTGCGAAGTTCGTTTGTATACAATTAACTTACTGTTGCTTTGATGGTGAACTTTTTTTCGTAATTCGGCACTGTGCATCTGATTATTCGCTTGCTTGTGCTTCCATTTATCGAACAGTTGTCGTATCCGTCTTTATCAACGGCCCAAAGAGTCAGAAAAAGCGGATTCTCGCTATTTAGAGTCTCTTCGAAGGTGTCGACCAAAGGACAAAAGATGTCGATCTTGTCTCCCAGCTCGATATTCAGTTCCATATCCCCATAGAAGCTTAAATAGACGGTGAACTTTCAGAAGGAAGATAAAAAAGAGCCAATTGATAAATAGAGTAATAGAGCGTTTGTTTGAAAATTGTCACAAAGTTTAGATAGACTCCATCAAACACGGTTCTGCAAATGGAATATGTGACATGTACACTGTCTTATAACTCTTTCTGGAGCAAGTAAAATCGCGTGATTCAGGAATAATTTTGTGTTAGAACGAAGATTATTGTCAATGATGACTACTGGTGAGTTAGGGATAATATGCGGCAAGAGCTGTAGCGGGCACGTATTAAAAGTGATAAGGATGATAAGGCGCGACGGAAAGAGTGGATGATCCGCTGAGGAAAACGCATTAGAAACTCTCTCGGCCCCGGATTATGTACAATTATAAGATGCTGATGATAGTATGGCCTTAAACTGATGATACAGTTCTTCTTCTACCATTTTCGATTGTCAATTTGACAGTTGGCAAACGCTAGATATCGTCTAACGTCTTCAAGCCACACTTGATATTAAGGTATCATGCATGAAAAACACGGTATAAAATCTTTGGTCTCAACTTAATAATGGAAGTGGGATCCTTATCGGCGAATAGAACGGGAATTGAAATCAAAGAGGAACACGTTGTTCAGTATTTTTTGACATGAGTGCTGTCAAGGTGAGTCTGATGAAGCAGGTGCATTCTCTGCTTTGAACTATCGTCTGATCAAGCATAATACCCCCGCCCATCGGATATACGCTACTTTGATTTGCCATTGCAAACAATGAAAACATCGTCATGCCAATACTAGAATGGCTCGATTCAAGCGAGTCAGAAGTTTTGGAGTATCATCAGCTTTTCAAAAACGTAAGCTCGTTCTTTTTTTCCCGGGCCCTTAATTAAGGCAGGCTCAAATACTCCTCTGTTGTCGTAAAACTCGCGGCCTTATTGACAGAAAGTGCTTGAGAAATATGGACAAGTGCTGAGCACTTGAGGGGGCACAAGCTGCGCACGATGATGGTCTTTTCATCATTCCGACCATGTAAATCAAATTCTGTGCGTTTCGTTGTGTTTCCATAATAGTTCGTTCTCAGCAAATCTGGCGAACTCGGCCACAAAAATTTTCAAAGAAAGAAGATACACAAAAGCGTGTCAAAACTTCTTGGCCCGAAATGCTAGAAAGAGCGCATAAGTAAACTTTTGCTGTGTGTGCCTAATAATTGGTCAGAAGATGTGCGCCGATGGCAACATGAGTTTGCCGTAGGAGTGTGACATACTCCCCCTTTGATGTTGTTTGTAGAAGCTCAAGAAAATATTTGCTCCATGCTGTCAGCGCGGATTTACTTGTTTTAAATGGCAAACAACAAGAGCGATTTAGGCACACACGCATTGCGCCCTTGAGTAACATCTGCCGTAGCGCATCGTAGCTGGGAATTCTTCATTTGCTTTGTAAGTCCCCTTATCAATTATCGCCGCCTTATCATGACGCCTGCGCTAGTTTTATGAAATAGCTCCGGGAATCAAGGAAGAGTACTATTCATGTGTTCTCATTTCCCGCAGACGTCCCTTGCAAATCACCTCTGGCACTAGAAAAGCCTAGTCCGCTTGATAGAGAGCCACATCGAAAATGTGACATTTGTTATTCCATGTGCTCGAGAAAGTGCCGCCGTGCTGGCTGGAGCGAAAATGAAAACCAAATAAATTTAATTTAAAAATCGTGAAAACTCGATGGGCCCGTCGCACGCGAAATGCCAGGCACACAATTACTTTCCATTGATGGTTTAATTAAGGCCCACAGGTCAACGTTCCTTCTGTGAGCTCTGCTTTTGTTATCTGCTGGACAAGCTGCATAAAAGATTTGCAGGCGCTTAAAAGATCCATCAGCAGGAACAAACTTTCAGCTCCCGAGAGAATAGTTTTGCCTGCTGAGATGTCGCTTTGCCTTGCGCGGCGGAAACGATGGCTCAAGAACATCCGGTACTAATATTTACACTCAGGTTGATAAAAACGTGCCCAAATTGCCCGTAAGTGTGGCCCAAGTTTTCGAGTATCAAGCTACCGAGGTTTGTGCAGCGAAGCCAAAGCGGAAGTTATAAGTCGATAAAAAACGCTCGAGAGCTGCAACCGAAACAATACAGCACTGCTCTATTTTCTTTCAGACAATAATTGCTTTCGATAAAGAAGAACTTTTCGAAGAATACGCGCGAATGCCTTTTTATAAAGAGGCGGTAATAATTATCTTCTTATATCAGAAGTCTAAAGAGAACGAATCGGCCCGGATATTCTGGCGCTAAGTATATTATTCTTTCATTGCCAGCGGATTTTTATTCAGCACTGGGAAAGACGTAAAAAGTTATTGCAGCTTTAGCTTAGCTAGGCAAATACAGCATCTTCAATTGCGTGAAGTGTGTGTGAGTTCGCGCTGTGTTATTGACAGTATCCGTGCGAATAAAACTCTGCAAAAATACGGAGAGATAATCTCGAGATTATTCCCACGTTTGGGGAATAGAATGTGAACCTTCACAGTTGAAGACGATAGCCTCTGAAGTCGTCACATTCTCATACTTTTCGCGAAAACATTAAATTTGATAAGAAAAGTGCGCATAATTTTAAGTTGATTCAACAGAAAAGAAGAGTATTTTGAACTCTTTGAGTTCTGCATGGATTAAGCTCACATACAGTAAGTCATACAGTATTGAGTGAGTCTTACTTTACTGGGAGGAGAGCATTTGCGGATTCAGATTTAGGATCTTATTAGCCATTGAATAATTTATAACGTATGCGAGATAAGCGAAGTGATCTCTTGATCTCATCAGAGTTAATCTTCTCCTGTATTCTCTGTATCCACCCATGGCAAAATCGATTACTCTGTGCAGCATGAAAGTTCGATTAAGATTTTAAGAACGCAATCTCAGCGAAAAAAAGATCAAAAATAAATATTCGGGTAACGAAAAAAAAACTATGATTATTATGAAGTTTCGCACTAATTTATGATTGTTATATTCTACTAGTAGTCTTTGGATTTAAATTTTTGACGGATAAAAACACTCAAAAATACCTGGGATTTGTTGTGTTCAAGAAGATCTTCTTGGGCTCATCGCTGCGGGCACAGACAAGACCCGAGGATATGAGGAGCGCTAGAATCATTGTCTTCTGTGGCGTCTTCGCGCTGGAGTATCTCTATCTGCCTAGGACAGTATGAAGAAGCTTATCAATTATGATGGTTCTCTTTGCGTGCTTTATGATTTCTTGCTCTTTAGCGATGAAGTGCTCTTCTTTTCTTTCTCCGCTCTCGCGCCCGCCAGTGGCGTGTTTGTTTTGCACTAACACCAAGTTGGGCAAGCCGCGAGGGAGGTAAACAGCACAACCGATCCCAAATCAAATCTGAAATCAAAACAAGTCAATGTCCGGTTACTCAACTGAATCCGCCCTTGCAACCCTTAATCCCTCCAAAAAATCGAGGTCAGAAAAATTCTAACCTTTTGAAAGCCTCTAAGAAATTTAGACCAATTCGGGATGTTCCAATGTGCCGAAAGAGTTCTCTATCGTGATCAAATTCTAGCGATAGACATAAACAACTTTTTTAAAATCAAGCTGAACAGTTTTGTCGAAATCTGGCAAAGAGCGAAAAAAGAAGCATTGGTGCCCTGTTTATCATAAAAGGGACGTAATGAGCCAACAAGTTTGTTTGGCATAATTACGGAAGTTTAGGATTTAAAACTTCTAAATCAAAATCGAAACGGACTACATGAAAAATCCTATTAAGAATGTTTACCGATTGTTTTTAAATAATTCTTTTTATGTTATAAAATGGTATTTTTGTAAAAAAGTGTTTGCAGTTTCTCTGATGATTGTGTTGTTTTTGCTTTTTGAAAATAGAGGCTCGAGTGGTTATTTTCTGATATGAGACGCATTAGTACGTTGATGATTGACAGGTTAAAAGTTGGATGGACGCAGCTGAAAGCGACCGTACCCAATGGACAGGAACTAATGGAAACTCGTCATGCTCGGACACACTCTCTAGAGTAAGCTACTGTAACTACAGAAACACAGCCGGCTATTCTCTGTCTCTCTGAAATTCTTGCGTTACTCAATTAGAGAACTGGACGTGTGAAAGGCCATAATTACAGTGGGAGGAAGGGGATGGAAATTATTTCCGCGTCGGTGCCCTGTCTCGCCGCCGATCTAGGTCACAAGTGCCAGAGCTTGAGCACGAGGCCACCTTATCACCGGAAATCGAGTCTACAATCTCTCAAGGGTGTCCAATCTCAAATTACCCAATCAAGACTAATTTTCCAATTGGCTTTTCCGAGAAGAGGAATTCAAATCTTCAAGAGCTAAGATTTCAAGTCCTCAATCTTGGGCACGGAGAAGCGACTGTAAATTGAATTCGACGCGGCTGGAATTGAGTAATTAGCGCCTGTCCCTTTGGAATTGAGCTGACAAGGAATAGATAATTTCTTTCTAATAGATTGGGCAATTAGAAAACACACGTACATGTGCTGGCGATGTTTGCTAGCCGGGGAGCATGTCAGCCACCGATTCCATTTACATTATTGAAGAGGCTAAATTAGTGACTGAGGAGTCCAATGAATTTTCAGAATGTCTCGTAAGGACATTGCTGAAATGGACTCACCTTTCACTTGTCTGTCTTTATTCGCAAACACAGTGTCTCAACTGTCATTTACAATTCAATCGGGGTACTTTAGGGGCTCAAATTTATATTTAAGAAGTTCAACTTTGAACGATGTCTTGAAATTTGTTCAAATCTCTTTTTCATATACTCAGTGACTGAACTTCAGTAGCTGTGAAATATTCCGTCGTCGATGAATAACGCGGCACCCAAAAAGATGAACTTTTAATAACGAAAATGGGTCTGTGTGACCCAGAAAAAAGTTCCTGCATATCAAAGGATAACAAATACAGAATCTGTCTCCGTCAGGTCTAGCTAACTCGCTGCTTGTTAAACTGTTTTCTAGCACGCTCTCTTCTCGAATAATTACAAATAAGCTACATGGCGGTTGATCAAAAACATGCGAACTATGCGCTGGCAGCTACTTCCACTTTTTGACATGCAAATACGGAATTCAAGCGCGTTTCTAGTCCTGTGAATAGTGAGCCAAATATATCAAAGTGCTTATTGAGATTCTTCATCTTTGCTAGCAAATAACGATGAGACTATTATTGACTGTGAAATTTTCGAATTGATGATGATTTTTACAGGCTGTGAATATTGCGCGTGCCAGTTCCGGAATTTCCCCTGTTTTTAATACTTCCTCTTGGGAAGGTCTTCTCCCAGCCGCTCTTGGATTTTTTTGATTACTGTGAATATTCTCTAGGAAGTTCAATCTCATGAAGTTAGAATAGAGTTCTTGAAGACTGCACGAAAAAGTTATCTGAGAATGGACTGAATATATTTTGACTGATGCCCGATATTTTGAGTGAATATATCTTAACTGTTTCTAAAGTAGAAACGCGCCTAGTCTAACCCGTGAAAGCCTATCTATCAAATATTTATCTGAAGTCGTTTTTTCGAATTATTACGGGCAATTTTCAGAGAATAAAAACAATAAACACTTTCCTCAAGAGGATGCACAAATATCGAAATTAAAGAAAAACTTACGATTGCAGCTGCGCCCTTCTAATAAATTTTTCGAAATAATACCCTTTGGTTTAAGATCCGTGCACCGTATTCTCTCGCATAATGAATTTTCAATCTCATCTATACTGTAGCTGCTACATTATCGCGCGGTAACACATGCAATATGAATGTTTCTACTTTCAAGGCGGAATAAACTTACTGCTCATCATATGCGAATTTCAATAATTAACCAGATTATCATCAATATTCAACAGATTAAAAGCGAAAGTTATTATCGATTCGCTAAGCAACCCTTCCGGTTTTGGGCAAGTGCCAAACGGTTAGAAAATCTGACGAAAGATTAATGCGTTTTCGAGGTTCTCTAGGATTTCTTTCAAAACTTTGCTCTCTTGCCCATCGGATCGATACTGCATATGGGCGGTTTTTTTCTGCGTGATGCAAATTTGCCTTTTGAGACTTTTCACTCTCTGAAAAACGCCACATGGGTCCTCCTTTGTCCATGTATTTGCGTCAACTCCTGTAGCACTCACCTAGGTTAGAAGCTCTTCTTTACTTTTGTTATTTGCTCTCACTCATGTACTCGAGTGCAGTTTAAAATGTGGCTTACAGGAAAGTACCGATCGGTCGCTCATTTGTGAATAATTCACTTTTCATTGAGCAACTTTCCCTGAATAATTAATCGTCGGCCACTCATTCCTCCTTTTTTTCTGAAAAGAATTTCTGATCAGCCAAGGCCGATATTCCCTCTTTTCATTGAGATCCTTCCTCGCTGCCGTTAATTATTCACTCTGGTACTTTTGTTTTCCTGCTTAATGTAACTTTCAATAGGAATCATAGAGGAGCATCAATCGATCAGATTCGGGAACCCCAGTGTTTGTTGCGGCCGTTTCGCTTTTTATGAGCTGCCTTATTAAATAGCACATTCGATCTTGTCGTGCTAGTTTATGAATGCCAAGCACGGAAACTCCTTCCCATCTAATGCCCGAAACTTGAATGGAGCGAAACTGAAACTGACTTTTTGAAACGGACTTTTTGAATCGAGCGGAAGCTATGACACAGCGCTTAAGGGTAAAACATGAAATCGGCGCGGCGCGGCCGCCCGTTCAGCGCCCCGCCGTGACCTATTTTTCAGAGGCCCGTCAAATCTGAACGGAGAGAGTATTTTTCATAATTTTTTTTGCGTTAAGATTATCAAAGCCTGCACTTTCATCAGGACAATTTTGAAAAGAATCGTGAGCGTAGAAGTAAGAAAAAATGGGATGACTTGCTCAAAGTCTATCTCCTCCCACAATTTTCGTCCGATTTTTCCCAAATTAAAACCATTTTGTAGAGCTCCGTCTACTCTACAAATTCGTAGACTAACTTTTTTATTTTTAATTATATAGATTTTAGACGGAGTTTTGAAATGAGCGCTCTCGCTCCGCGGCCGCCTTTTTCACGCGCTGCGCTGCTGCGAATGCCTTTTTTCGAGGGAGCGCTCATTTCCAAGCTGCGTCTAAAAATCTATAAAATTTAAATTTGAAAAGCTAGTCTACGAATTTGTAGAGTAGACGGAGCTCTACAAAATGGTTTTAATTTGGGAAAAATCGGACGAAAATTGTGGGAGGAGATAGACTTTGAGCAAGTCATCCCATTTTTTCTTACTTCTACGCTCACGATTCTTTTCAAAATTGTCCTGATGAAAGTGCAGGCTTTGATAATCTTAACGCAAAAAAAATTATGAAAAATACTCTCTCCGTTCAGATTTGACGGGCCTCTGAAAAATAGGTCACGGCGGGGCGCTGAACGGGCGGCCGCGGCGCGCCGATTTCATGTTTTACCCTTAATGACGTCTGGGACTCTCGATTCTCGACGGGAGCTGTATTTGTCTCCAACAGCAGTCACACCTGCAGCACCCTTAGCTAGACACTTAAGCAGATCTGAAAATCACACGGATGCTGCTTTTCTAACTATCAGACTTACAGAACTAGTCTGTCTGGAACATTACCTACAGTAGTAGTTGTTGGTCTTCTATCTTTGCTTGAAATTTGCACAGCCCTTTTTCATAGGCCAGCGCTGAATACGACGTAGTACCGAAAAATGAAAGTTAAGAAATGGAGCTAAATCATCACTTTAATTACAAAAATATTTATTAGTTGTGCAAGTAATATCTGGGCAGTTTTTATAATTAGGTTAATTTTAAATAAATTTCTTCAAAATCCAGCGCCTCTTGGCATCCTCCGCTCACGAGGGTCTTCATCGTCGGAATCATCTGATTGCCTCCTAGAAACATTTATACGACAAAATTGCGCTTTCTAACTCACCTTCTTGCATTGAGATCAGGACGCTGAATTCGTCTAGGTTTTTCGTCTTCTGATCCATAAGCGGAGCTGGAATAGCCAGCTGCATTTGACATGTCTCTAGTGCCTCTTGTGGCTTGAATTCTTGCGTGAAGAGGATCCATGCCCATTGCAAGTAATTGGTTTTCTCTTACGGCGCCCATCACTTCAGGCCTAGAGATTTCAATAAGAATGAAAAATGCCCTTCAATCACCTATTTGCCATCAGATCTGGATTGAGCTGCGGCATGACAGATGCTGGCATCGCCGCCTCATCCGCCAAGGAGCCTAGATCTTCGGCCATTTCACGATTGCGTTGGTTTTGCTCGAATTCCTCAATCTCTTTTGTTTCCGAGAAGATCTTGCGCTTGATGCATGCAATCAACGCGATGAAGATGATCAGTCCGAGAACCGCAGCGGGAGCAATTATAGCCACCTTTATCTTCTCCATAGCATCACATAAAGGTCCCTTCAAAATCATTCGTGCTTATTTAGAGTAATTTAGTCTACCTCCAAAGAAATGAGGCGAGAATAAGCTCTTTCTCTTGACTTTTCGTCGCCACCTGCCATACACTGTAATTGCTCCACATTTGAAACTCTTCAGATGAGTATGAAAATTTTCTCGAATTAACGGATTCCCGAGATAGCTTGAGACGGATGTTTTGAACTCATTCCTTGAACTTTGAAGCCTGAGCCAGCTGACGAACGATTGCTGGGCACAGTCACAAATAAGCGGGTTTACGGAAATATCGATGGTGGTATTAAAAGCAAGTTCATCAAAGCTGTCTGGGGTCACGTGGACAAACCAGTTGTCGGAAATGTCCAAGTGAATGAGATTTTTGAGTCCAAAAAAGCTATCTATTGAAATGAAATTCATGTGATTTCCACTAAGATCCAGGTATTGAAGCTTCACCAAAGCGCCAAAAAGAGGCTAGAAAATGATATAGACCGGAATTGATGGAAAAAAACTTACTCTGTCAATAAAAGAGATTAAATTATCAGAAAGATCGAGTTTGACAAGTTCTGGAAGTTTCAAAACTCCAGAAAGTTCTTGAGCTCTGAGGTTGTTCCTTCTTAAAATCAGCTGCTGGATTTTCGGAGTGCGATCAAACGCGTCTATTGAAATTTCCATCAGTTGGTTAGTTGACAAAGATAGATTCCGCAATTCCGGAAAGCTCGCAAATGTTTCCTTTGAGATGCTTGCGAAAGCATTTACTGGCAGCTCGAGTACTTCTACTGATTCCATCGTGCCAAGACCCGCGGTCGAGTTGATCGAGTTTCCTTGAAGATTAATAAGCCGCAGCATTGTCAACGGTTTGAGCTTGGACACGTCGAGTACTGATATTTTATTAAACCGAGCCCACAATTCCACCAGTCGGTTATCATTAGGAAAAGCTGGCACGGACTCCAGTCCACTGCGATCCATATAAAGATGGTGGAAACTTCGCAGATCGCTTTCAGGAAGAATTCTTTCCCAATCTTCGTCTCGATTTGAGCATTCTTTTTGGCCGGACTGGCCATCGCAGCAGCAAAATTCGCATTTCACGAATTTGCTTGGCTCTATAAATGATATAAAGACTGCTCACTGTTGATCATTTTGAGAAAAAATCAATTGAGAAAAAAAGAGAATCTAAAAATTGAACATCTTTACCTTTATCCTTGGGTACCAGTGGATCCTCATAATACTTCTTAATTCTAGTGACACTCTCACATGATTTCTGCTGGCTTCTGCTGATAAAAAGTAACGGAATGAGAGCGTATTTCATCTGTTGGCTTACTCTGAGGCTGCATCCGTACTCGGCGCATTCTCGCGTAGCGTGAAATTAAAACCGCTTCAGGACGAGTCACGGTGGAGGAGGTTCCATCCTTTTTTTTATCGGTCCGTCAAAGGGACTCTGGAATGTTGGTATCCACGCTCCGATATATGAAAAGATATTTAGAATAAGATGGTTTTTGAGATTGGCAAAAATCTGCACTTTTTTTAATAAATTTTTGTTGCATGAGCTAACTTACTAAATTGCGGGAAGTTAGCTTTTCCTTCTACTTTAGAACGCCGGGTGAAAATTAATCATACAAAGCCACGTTCTTTCTCATCCCTTCCGATTTATTGCGCCTCGAAAACGTGAGAAACTGACGGCCTGAGAACTCTTACGAGTCAGCCGGTAATCTCTCTCCATCATAAAATCGCTGGCCAGTCATGAACAGCGCTTTAGTTCAAGATATTGAAAAGAGGGATGGGCAAATATTTCACAAATCCGGACGAAGATCTTTTTAATCCTCTGTGTCCGGATTTACATGTACCAGCTGAGTATCTAAGAGTCTGGCGCATACACGAAGAAAAAGGATCGATTCAGTTGCAGCAAGTTGAGACCAATGAAAATTCCTACGGTGTATATTTGGTTGACAATTTTTTTCTTCCATAAGCTATCATTTTTTCAGTGCTGCTTCAAAACAACGACCAACATAGAGTCGCTGAATGCTTTGAATGGGGTGGCTAGTACGTACTTTACTGATGCGATCCAAGCATAGGCTTCCCACCTCGCTCTGAAATCCTTATTTTTATGTCAGAGTATGGTGGTAACCCTATTTAAGCCCAACTCTCTACGACTTGCTCGATGAGCAAGACTCTCAATTTATCTAGCCTAAAGCTCTGGCCGATATTGCTACTTGGCTTCATACTAACAATTATAGCGATAGCGATTTTCATCTATATTTCTTTCTATAAAAAATACAAACATACTTTTCGCGGAGAAAGCCCAACACACGTCCCAGGTTGCGGAATGCACGGGCATATTGGAACCTTACCGAGACTAAGCAACGGCTCTTCGAAATTGTATTTAAAGATCGACATAGGAACGGAATCGAAGAGCCAATTTTAATTCGTGGCGACACTTATCTAGCACCAAGGAGCGAGAGAAAATATTCAAGTCAAATGCACTCTGAAGATGGCGACTCAGGCTGTGGAGATTTAGCAACTTTCAGGAAAAGGACGGATATGGCAAACTTTTACTTTGTGATCAGTTTTAACCTTCCCTTTATGAGACCGCTTCCAGATCTTCCAGAGCCTCTTTTGTTTGCGTGAAATTCTGTTTCTAATGATAAATAAATCTACGTTTTAAAATCCAGATATATTTTTGTCTCCCAAAAGATACTCTACCATACAGTTATGTTCGAGGGTTAATTTGCATGCATTACACTAATTGAAGTATTCACAGGTGAAACAAAATGTCAAAAATTCATGGAACGGAGGGGCTCGCCAGCTCATATATATAACAGCTGTATTCTATGAACTGAAATCAAAGAAGAGAATTAACTAAATTGATTTGGATGAATTTCCAGATATTTGCGTTTGTTTTTTCCAGGAGAGGAAAACTAATCATATATTATGATGGTTATTTAATTGGTTTATTTTTCTATTATATAAGCAAGGATTTGTAAGAAAACGTAGTTAGCCTTTGAAAGAGCTTTGTTCGCTCGTGTAATGTGGACAACGAAGGATCAACTGAAAAAATGAACATCCAGTCAGCGAACCAACTATTCGATCTCTGGAGTCTCATGAATTCAGACGACGAATATTTCAAAGGACTCGGAAACGGACTTGTAACATACTAATCTGTATTAAATATCTTCATCAATAAATTCATCCAATTGAACTCAAGCGACAGTCTGTCAACACGGACAACCTCTCCGACTTTTGTAGAAAGGACTCAAGCAGTAAGCGGTAAAACATCTCATTCGGGTTTGCCGGATCAGTCTTCTTTGCCAGTCGATAAAGAGAAAGAGCATAATTGAAAATCGCGAATTTTTCGGAGTTCACCTGTAGCAAGCATTAGGTAAAATTTGTAACGAAATAGAGCACCTGGAGAAGAATCAGATAATCTCGGTGAACTTTGAAATTTTTAATCGGTAGATTTGAAATGAACTCGTCTACAATCTTTGATTCTTCGGAAAAGAGCTTCACCATAATATCGATGATCGAAACAAGCGCAAGAAAGGAATAAAGTGTCACCATTATCGCCATGAGGAACGTTCGCCTCGGAACAGAGGAAAAACGGCCTTGATGTGAGTTTGAAATCCATCAATACCAAAACTGTCTGTTCCGTTGTAGTAATAACTCTGAGGCAGAGGACAGTCAAATAAAATGGGGTTGAACCGCCCCACTGCACTTACGGATTATGAATCACTTTTATGAATTCTTTACTTATAAGTAAGTATTATATATATAATATATGCATAAGTTATTATAAAACTTTTATTATATAAGTAATGTTTCGTTTAACCCGAGTCAAGAGTTATTGCACTTATAAAAAGGACCACAAGAATCAAAAATATAATTGTTAAAACCCTCGTAAACGTTACGCTGATCGGTATCTTAAAAGATTATGGCGATAATGATTATTATTGATTATTATTTCAATAATTAAACCCGGTTTAATTTAAACCTTCGCTGATGCAATAAGATCATTAAGCTCGGCAAAATAGTTGTCTGGAAGGTGGCCCTTTCCAATGCGCTTTTGGATATAGTTTTTATCTATTTCCTTCGTGTTATCTGGTAAATCGCTAAAGACACCAAGTGTTTCTCATAAATCGGTTTTTAATTCAGTACAGAAGTTTGCTTTTATCGCTAAAATACGACTTCCTGTGATAGATTCCTCAATACCGTCCGCCAGATAATTAATGACAGCGCGAGACTCCTCCTTCTTTAGTTCTTGCCGAATTTTTCTGATGGCGTACATTATTCCACACACTGCAATGATAATAAAAGGCAGACATGGGTAATGAAGAAGAGATATTTGTCCCACGCTCGGGTCCTCGTTTGCTAAATGAGCCCAGCAGTAATCTTTGATCAAAGGAATCTGAGATCGTCGGTCAAAAACAAGAACACCGGTAAACACGCGTGATTGATGATTTGGATTGAAAACTTCGAGCTGTCCTTTTCCGTAGAGATCGTAGCCATAAGTCACTCCAATTAGAAGCACGACCACACAAGTCATGACTGTCGGGGTCAATATCAAATACAATTTAAAGGTTATTTACAGATAAAGATTTTTAAGATTAAAAACTCAATAGTATTATCAAAGGACCTTCCTGACCAGACACTTACGAAAGCCTTGGAAAGATTATTTGCTTGGGACTCACTTTTACTTTACCTCGACAGGGCTAAGCAAATCAAGACCATCCTGAGAATCAAGCAAAGAATTCAGGATTGTGTCAAACTTCCCTATCCCAAAAATAACGCTCATCTCTTTCGACGGAAATGAATTGTCGAATTATTTGAAAATAAATAAAAGCGCCCTGCCTTGATGACAACAATGAGACTTTTTAATAAAATTGATTAAATATTGCGTCGTAAAGATGGACTAGTACATTTTGAAGACAAGGATGATTTTTAGACATGTTCATGTTAGAGATTTGACCTGATTTTAAGGAAGGAATCGAGTTTGTATCACTAGAAAAATCCGCGAATTTCGAAGGAGATTTAATTATAACCCGGTAGCCGGAAGGAAAGTTATGCCACATAATATTTCGATTTTTCAGTTAGTTAAGGAGATTGAAGTGAGTTAGTTGTTTTGTTTGAGCAAAGACAGTGTTTGCAAAGCGGTGACACATTTACCAGTGGTACACTAAGTTGCTTGAAAAAGGATATATTTTATTTTCGAAAGATGGTTTTCAAGAGCGGTCTAACGAAGGCGGAGCAAGAGAAGGCACAGAATGAGCTCAACGAGGATCCAGCAACGATAAACGAAAAATTGAAGAGCTTAGGTAATTTTGATAATTACCTGTAAACGAAAAATTCAGAGTTGTTAGCCCAAGAGTTCCAAGTCTAATTTCTGAGTTCTCGGTCTTAGTTGCTTTTAACTTCACTTTCAAACAAATGAAGGGCTCTTGAGCCACTTAATCAAACAGAAATACTTGCTGGCTTGAACTTTATTAGTAAATAATATTTACGAGTAAAACATTATTAGGAGCAATTGTAAGAAGAGCAAGAAAATACCCGTTGCAGCGCATCCAAGATTAGAGGACGACTCATTCATAGTTCGTTATTTGCGAGTTACGAAGTACGATCTGAAGAAGGCGGAAGAGAAAATCACTGCCCTCTTTCAGCTCGTGATAGATTGGCCGGAAGTTTTTGGCGATTTGAAATGGACACCGGAGATCGAAAAAGTCTTCGACTCTGGCGTTATGGAACTTCTGGAGCCGGAAGATGATGGATGCTGGGTTCTGACTTCTGCTTCGGGCAGGTGGGATCCTGCTGAAATTCCGGCTCATGCTCTTCATCAAGAAAAAGGTTTCAAACTAAAGCGAGACGCAGATGTATGATCATAAAAAGTACTCCTTAAAAATTATTTGGGATCATTTCAAAAGCATCCGCATTTCTACGGGAGTGGCTAATCGAGCACGAAAGTGTGCAGGTACATGGAATTCGCTTCATTATCGATCACGGTGGAATGAGCTGGAGTCGATTTCGCGCTGTCGGTCTCAAATCAGCAAAAATGGGAGGGCGTTTCGATGCCTGTTCGCCCTTCAGAAACAAACGATCATTCGTTTTGAATGTAAAATGATAGCTTTCGATAGGATATAAATAAAGTTCAGTGCCCAGGTTGGCTCGAGACTGTATTCAACATCGTCAAAAAGTTCTTTTCGAAGAAGACTCTCGAGCGAGTCGTCATTTTGCCGAAAGGAGCCGATTGGGAAGAGCTCTACAAAGAAGTTCCTAAAGAACGTTTGCCTGAGTACTTGGGAGGAACAGCACCATCTTGTGGTTATTTTTATATGAATGAAATCGTCCTCATATTGATTTTAGAACAAGCTTGGATAAAGGATTTGAAAGCAAACTCGAAGCGAATAGAGAAGAAGTTTGAGTTTATGAAGGCGCTCTGCGATCCAAAGTAGCTTCTATAAATATTTCTACTCTGAATTTATGTCTTCAGTTTTGTCCCAGAAACAGACGAAACTGACAATGAGCTGTCAGAAGAAATGGCCAAGTTAGAAGTAGAAGCGAAAAAGGGAACCCTCTTCTAAAGAAAACGCTGTTCATAGTCTGTTATTATTCAATATATTGAGATATAATTTCAATTAATCAGCTAACACAAGTCGAAACAGATAGACAAGCATTCTACGTGTTGCTTATCGTTCTTGAAGCAATGTAGCGAGAATAGAAGGTGCCGATAAAGGCAATACCGTCTTGACTAATTTATACTAGTGACTAAGAAAGGGACTTCATTTGTCAATCTTTGACAGGAGTTGGACCTGCGGAGTATTAGAATTCTCATTTAAATTTCCTCGGAGCAGTTCCACTGAAATTTTCCAAGTAATAAATATTCATAGCCTATGAATTATATCTACTTTAAATCTTGTCCTATTTATCTAATAAGTCATTAGATAATAATTATAAGTAATAACTCTTCGTAAAAATATTACATGGGATCTCATATTCACAAGCCAAAAAACATTCGAAAAGTTATTTTGCTTATTGGTTTCTTGTACTTATAAAACGAAAAGAACAAAGAAAAATCGTATATTCAGTAGAGAGAGAGTCAGAGAACGTAGTCTTCGGCTTCTTCGGAGTCTTCGTCGGAGTCTTTTTCTTCGGAGTCTTCTTCCCAATTTTTTTTTTTTGCTGAAACACTCTTTGCCTTTTTTCACTTTCAGCTCTTTGCGAAGGTCCTTCTTCTAAATTTTAAGACTTTTTTGGATTTTATAATCGTCTATTTTATTTACTTAAATTTGTACCGTTCTCTGCAAGTGGAGGCTCTGCAACTGCCTGTTTCACTGGTTCTTCAGTAGGCGCGGTCTCTCGACGAGATTTCTTCTTTGGGGTAGTTCCGTCTTCAAATGCATCGCTGGCTCAGCTGGGAGTGATTTTTTTTTTCAGAATAATTTTAGTTTGCTGCTTGAAGTGATGACAACTTTCGATAGTCAATATCTTCAAATTGGAAAATAGCAATATTGGAAGCATTCGGAGTCTGAGAAATGTATGATTACCGGTAGTTAGACTTTGAGAATTTCTACACGGTTGATTATAAAGGCAACGTGAAGGCATTTTTCGCACATCTTTTTTTAGTTAGCGTGAGATTATTCAGACGACATTTCACGAGCGGCGTGCTCCTTAGCCACATGGAAAAGGGTGGCGCTCTTACGGCTCTCGGAGAGTTCATGATATTTGCCAGCTACGACGAGGAAGTTAAGTCATTTTTTTATTTCCTTATTAGAGAATTCAAAGCACCGATTGTCACATATGAAGCTCTTATCCTTTGTACTGGCCATAGGTAAATTATAGCTTTTAGGTGAACTTTTATATCGCCAATTATACAACTTGATTGACAAAAGTCATTTGGAATTTTTTACAGAGTAGAACAAAAGTAGCTGCGATAAGTAGTCAGACAGGCCGAGAACTAGAGTATTAACTAGTGCCTGCTAACTACCAATATTCTGAAAATACCTAAAGAGGAAGTTGACCGTCATTAGCTAAAGTTGAACTTGCTTGGTAATTTGGCAGAGAGCGAAATTCGTCAGTCTCGGAAAAAAGACATTAAAATGCATTCATGACTTGCAGCTGAAGCCGTGTATTCAACACGAGCTGCTAGCGCTGCGGCTTCAAGTACTGTTGTTAACAACTTAGCAAGATAAAGGGGATTTGCGGCGCGAGAAATTTTTTATACCCAGCGAGAATTGATCTTACGTTGCACGTTCACGGATATTTGTTCTTCGGAAACTTAAAGACGGCTCAGACTAGTCGCGCGTGGGAAAGATACTTGCATAATTTCAGCCATTAGAGTCTCATTATAATAATCGAGCTACTGGAGATTTTTCCTTGGGCGGCGAGTTAGACATGCAAATAGTCTGTCCGAACACTGTCACTTCGAAAAAAAAATGAAAAACTTGAAAATCCTGGTTTTCCGTTTTACCGAAGACCAAATCAGGCGACCTTTTCGCAACATTATTAAATCTAAAAGAAAACTGGCCACGTTTATCTTTTAGAATTGTGTATATTTGAACAGGCTCAAGAGTGGACTAACCAGTCTTTTAAGGAATTTGTGTCTTTTGAAAACATGGAATGTATAATTATAAAAACACGTCGTGGTTCTTGATGCGCGATGTTGATAATTTTCAACTATCAGCAAGTGAGCTCTTCAGATCGAAGGGCTCAAACGAATTGGCAGCGAAGGGCCCAGTTGGGCAGTCAACAACAGGGCCTTCGAACGCCTCGGACTCTCAAGAGCGGCCAAGCGCCCGATACTCAGCCAGATCCTTTCTAATTCCCAAATAGCGAATTTTTTCTATTTCCTCATTTCGCGGTCACTTTATCGGGGAAAGTTAGAGGAACTAAGAGTTCTACTGGGCAGTCGTAGTGGCACTTTTGCACGCTCCATTCCAGGGTTATTGAAAAAAATCATTAGAAACACTCCTTTGCTTGAGCATTTTTACATCATTTTTCAATTTCAGGCGCCGATGGAAAGAAGCCAAACAAATTCGAAGAGCTCGACAGATCAGGGAAAATAATGATGAAGAAAGCGATCGCTGAAGGGTTACTCACGTCTAGCACGATTAAACACTCTTCCGCAGCGGGCCCTAACATCGGAACCATTCGATCAGTTCCAAGTAAGTTTCTAAGCTATTTTAAACGTGGGTCTAATGCTAACGCATATTCGTTTTTGTCGCGGTGGATCAGGCGATTGCGGAAAGTAGCGGCGAAGTGTCGCGCTGGACCGCGCCAAATAAGAACTGACCACATCCATCTCGCCGAGCACACTCCAGTGTTACAATATCTTTAACTACTTGGTCACTTGATATGCCAAAAGTTCAAAAGCAGAACGCAGAAGAATAGTCATTTTTCATTAACCTTATATTTAGACTCTTTGAAGAAACAACAGATCTGCATGGACATCCCGACCGTTGCGGAGATTAGGTCAGCGAAAAAGAGTAACCCGCAAGAAGAGAAGCTGAAAAAACGCATTACATTAAAGGTAATTAACCGTGCTCAGTTGCTCCTCCTTTGTTTACATTCGAGGGCTAAAAACAGTTGTAATATTCGCTTTAGACAATTCAAGCAGTCATGGATGGATCTTACGAGGAATGGATGCATCATCTAACACAGAACGAATACCCCGTTCCGACTCTCGATTTGCCTGTCGACTACAGCCACGAGCACTTTGACTATCTCGACTTGGGAAAAGACATGATCGAGATAGGGACGAATTCTTTTACACTGGCAAGCATCGTCCGAATGCGTCCAGACCCAACTCTTCCAGCAGACTATACTAACCGGGGCAGCAGGAAACGTGAAAAATCAATTGACACATCAATCAATTTTATTTCTTTTTGAAGAACTTAAATTTTGTTTCGTTACTTGAAATTTCACCTTGCGTAGAATTTTATCGAAGCGTAATGATGCGGGCCAAGGATTTGAACTCGTCGCCCCATCATTTTACACTGGTTCGGTTAGCCTATTTATGGGCAATGATGTCAAAGAGCCCGGCCACCTCGATTTCGGTCGCTCTCGACTGCCTGACAATACCTGGCTCTGTATTGGAACCTCCGTCGACAGAGATAACTTCGGAGATGATATTGCTCATATCGTTCCATTCGTGAACGGCTTCTCAGATGGGCCCGGGACATCCATAAAAATGAATGGCTCTCTTGCTTCAAATGCTTCGATGATCCTCGGAAATGGACTTGATGATTCTGGTCATTTGATTCCAGGCAGAAAAGATCGAACATTAGACGAAAAACCACGCTTTGGACAGCAATTCGAGGTAACTTAGACGTTTGATTGAGCGCGTCGAAAATTGACGAGTTAAATCGAATTTCCTTCGATTGAAAGAGCGTCAATTAGAGTGATTTTTAGGGCGACATAAGCTCCATCTTGTACTGGGATCGCGCGCTAACTCACAAGGAGCTCCGGATGATGTGCCGTCAGAAACTTGCCGCGATCGGCGTCTCCACCGGTAAATGTCCCAAGGGATATGAACAGTTCGACTGCAGATGCTACAAAATCGTCGATCAGGAGCTGATGAGCTTCAAGGACGCTGCTAATTTTTGCAAAGCAGAAGGCGCCAAGCTCGCGCGGCCAAAAACGGAACAACAGCAAGACTTCCTCGAAATTCTCATGCAACAGAGCCACATGGAGACTTTCTGGATTGGAATTGACGACATTGGTGAGCTTGAATATTATTCCGACAAGTTTTAACGTTGTTTTAGAAATCGATGGCTTGCACGTGTGGAGTGATGGTACCGTACTCGACTATTCAGGAGGACACTTCAACAGATACCCAACTGGCGCTCCCGACAAAGTCTACACTTCTGAAGATTGCGTCGAAGAGGTAAATTTCCATATAAAATTCGGGTTTAGAACTGTTCTTAGATCAAATCTCGAAGTGGGTTTTACTGGAACGACGAGAACTGCTTCAAGGCGAACGCTTTCGCCTGCGAACTCGACGAGATCGTTGACAACTGTGAGCCCTTAGTGACGCCTCCGCCAGAGATCTTACCGATTCAAATGCTGGATCAACCATTTTCGGTGCTGAAGAGCGCGGGCATCCAGCCTGCATTCCTCAAAAGCGCTGGGAGACGCAAGGGACGGGACACTTCAAACGACTCCAATTAAGAAGTGACGCCCGTGCAGCATGGAATGCCCATCTGCTCGCTTCTGCATTCCCTACCACGTGACCACTTTGGAAAGCGCGATTTTGTAAAGCTAATCCCTTACTTTTTATTCTTGTAAATTAATAAAGCACTCTTTCAGCACAGTTATTCTTATTATATAATGATTTAATGTAGTGACTCTCCCCAGGCAACGTTGGTTCAGTGGTAGAATTCTCGCCTGCCACGCGGGAGGCCCGGGTTCGATTCCCGGACGTTGCAAGCTTTTTACTTTGTAAAGATTTTTTTATTTGCATCTTCGATGGAATCAAGGAAGAGGATATTTTGAGAATGTTTGAGAACTCGACTGATTGGGGACTATATTTTCTTTTTCTATGCTAATATCCTAGGCTTTTTCTAGTTCGCTGCTTGTCTGACTGACGGCAATCTTTTCCACTTGGAAGCGTAACTCTTCGGACCAGAAGACATACCATACGAAGGGAAACTTTGTGCGCCATTGAACACAACAGGACTAGTTCAATCTTTTCAGACACTCTGCTCAATTCTCTATGATCCAAGCTCTTTCCTGCCACGTAACTCAGGTAGGAATGCCGAGAACTCTACCTTTTGTTGATGGTTTTTAGGCTGGCCAAAAAACAATGCTCAATATAACATCACTGCCAGAAAATGGATAGAAAAATATGCCATGAAATCGTATGATTAAACTTGCGTGATGTGCAAATAAATAAACACGAAAAAAGTTATTCAGTTGATGGACATACTGAGATTGCATCACTATTTAGAGAAGTTAAAGATCATATGAACTGTATTTGAAGTGAACAGTGTTTGAAATAAATAGGAGGTAGAGTGTCACACAGAAAACGGGAATCGTAGGAAGACATGAGATAATAATTGAAGTGAAACTTAGTACGCGAGTTGAAGGGTAGGACTGGGTGTAGAGAAGGGTGAAAGGAAGGTGCAGATTGAAGATTGATAAAATTAGGCCTTGTAGATAAAGACCTCTTTCTTTTTGGATCTCGTTCAGCGAAACCCTGCTCGAGGATCCATTCAAGCTGCTCTTTGATCATCTTCATCGAGGGCAAGAATTGACACTTAAATTGCAATCAACGAAGAGAAAAAGCGAAGTATGGCTACCTTTAGCAGCTCTGTAAGTTCAGCGGAGAGAGTGTTCGCGTCTACTTTCTTCCTAGCCTTGAGTACTTTGAGAGCAGCTTCTTGGACGCGAAGAGTTCGGAGCTGGTAGACTTCGTCATCTTCTTTCTTCATCGCTTTTTCAGCGGTGAGAGGAAGACGACCGATAAGAGAGACTTTTCCGCGGGTGGCAGCTTTCCCACTTTTGATCAAGGCAAAGGCACGGTTGACACGGAAAGTCATTCCGGGCGTGAACTCTAAATGCGTTTAGCATGGAAGACTAACATAGAGCAAACCTTTCGCAGCCTTGCTCACTTGTGGACGAGTGAGAAGGAGTTGGATTTTGAGCTTGGGATTCTGAGTCAGTACAGTCAGAGTTTTCTTGATTTCAGACTCAGGTAGCATTGATCCGAGGCAAAGCTCCTCAATCGTCAGTTCGCTGTTCGGCCGTCTAAAGGAAGATTTTAACATCCTTCTCGATCTTGAAAACGTACCTATTCCAGCAAGATAAAACAGCCATTTGGAGTGCCGTAACATCAAGCTCGTACTTTCCCACTTTGGATTCGAATGTGAGTGTTCCGTGGGAAAGGAGCGGATGAAAGCTCAACTTGCGGCCGGTGTGCTGCTCTTTGTAGTAGTTCTCAATCTCGTTCAAGCTCTCTTCGACTTCATGAGGAAGCTGAATGGGGAAACGAGATAGACCGCGCACCCAAGCTCCGGCAGAGAGAACTTTTACATTGATAGATTTTTTGTCGAGCAAAGCTAAAATATAACATAACATTTATAAGGTAAGATTAAAATAAACCTTTGACGTCCTTATTAAGATCCTCCGATAATTTGATGTCTTGGAACATTCGCTGGAGCTTGTTGACGTATTCTGATGGCATTCCGATTGAGCGAAGTCCGTCGACAAAAGACTCCTCGAGCTGTCGGTCATTTGAGACGTTGAGTACTAATCGTCGAGTCAGGTGGAGCTACAATTGTTTAATATAAATTCTTAACATCTGATGGATTACCTTATGGTGGCGCATGAACAAGTCCTTGCTGTCGATGTACTTCAGCAAATTAAGTATGCCGTAGATACGATCTTCAATCTCCTGCTCATTGTATTTTCGGCAAAGGGCTTTCTTTCTGAGCAAGCCATCTACATGAGTAGCAAGCATTTCTGGAAACTTATTTTCCTTGCCGAATATTTCAGTGCTGTTCAACAGAACGTTGAATCCTTGAAAAATTGCTTTATTTAATTGCTTGATTCCGATTAACTACCTCTGTCGCGCTCAGTTGTAAATTTAAAATGCGACTGGAAGGCGTACTCAATCAGCATGTCGGTTTCTTCGTAAAGCTTGAGGATACAGCTAACAGCAGCGTCGCCATCAGTGAGAGAACATGCTTTCAGCCTTTCAGTCCCTCGTTTCGTGACATACTGGTTAACGGCTTTGCGAAGGGCTCGAGACTTGTCCACGTCGGGTCGCATGAGAATGAAGGCTATCTTGAGCGCCTCTTTGTCAAGAGCGTCGACTAGTGAATCGATGGATGATAAAATCAGTTCGCTTGCGGCGGGCTCGTTCACCAAAACTAAAAATGTGTCCCCATCCGATCTTTAACAGATCATTTTTACCTTCAAGAAGTTCATCCTGCGACTTTTTATACGACGCTTCTGCAATGTATTGCCTGGACATTCTTTTCTCGAAGTTATACGTCTCAAGCGCAAAGGACATGTACTCAATGGCAGTGGGCCCGTCGGCGAGTTTTTCTGCGACGCGTTTCACGTAGAAGTCCCGTCGATCTTTGTAGTAGTACATGTCCCATTCGAGCTCAAGGCCGCGGAGCGGGTCGCGGCCGATGAGGCACCTTCTCGACAAGTTTATGTAGGTGCGTTTGAGCGCTTGTACTCGCGCGTCGTTTCTGTACTCAGTATTGCCACAACGTTCTTCGTGGATTAAATGTTTTGCGCCAGCACGCAGCTCGGTCTCGAATTTCGCAAACATGAATTTCCACTCGAGAAGGAGAAGATACTCGATTGAAAGATCCTCGTCAGTGCGCTCCAAAAACTCAGTTTCTAGCGCTCGAAAGGGTTCCGGCAAGTACTCAAGCTAAAGTAGTCATTGACGACAAAGCTTACTATGTTCAATATACCTGTGCTTCGAAGTCGTCCCACTCTCGACGATAGTGATCCAACATTTTGAGATAATTAGAGTCGTCTCGGTCTCTGACTTCTTCGAGACTGATTTTGACTTTTTTGAATCGCTCGCTGACAAGATCTGTGAGAGCCATTTGAAGTCGTTCGCTTCCGTCAGGATCCCACTGGATAGATGCAAATACGTCCCAAAACAATTTGTGCCATTCCTCTCTAAAAATCTTTAGAACCAAGTGATCTGTAGATAACTCACCTTGGAACATTTTCGAGAAAGAGCAGTTTCTGAATGACGGGCTTCATTCGATCCCATCGCTCGTCGAATGGTATATCATCCTTTCCGATCATCTGGGAAGTGAAGTCCCGTACTTCGACCGACATAAAAATGACCTTAAAAGTTACTACCATTTTACTTATTTAGAGAATACAGAGGTGAGACTGTTGAGCACTCGTATAAAAAGAGTAGAAGAGAAAAAGCGAAGTGACAGATTTTGAGAGAACATGTGAGTTAGGCTTCTTGAAAGAAGTCTTTTTTCAGGAAAACGATTCTCCTGACTTGGTCAAGAGATTTCTTCAGAAGAGATTCATCGTAAGCTTCCTCATTTCCTTGATTTTCATTGTTGTTTCTCTCAAGAATCGCCGAGATGTCACTTCGGTGTTCTTCTTCGTCTTTCTTAAGCTCTTCCCGGGTCAATGCCGCTTTCAACGCGTTGTAGTTGATCAGGAAGCGTTCAAGTTCGGAGCTCTCCTCATAAAGTGCTTCACCCCGGAGAATTGCATCTTCCATATTTTCTGCCCAGAGTCTAACTTCGTCCCTTACTGCGGTCTCAATGACGGTTGATGAGAGCGAAGTATTCTCATCAACAGAAAAGGAAAGACCTTCCAGAACTGTGGCCTCCTCACGAATCCTCTTCAGCTCTTTCTAGCAAGTAAAATTTAGGACAGAGTTTACGTCTCATTTAAAATTACCTCTGTCTCTTCACAGGAGTTGAAATGCATATCCCGCTGAGCAAGAAATGTTCTAATCGAATTCACCACGGAGTTTCTCTCAACCTGCATCCCAATTTCTCTGAAATCAGACTTGTACTTAGTTGTTATATTGACGTAATGGCAGTATAACATTATTTCGATCAGACAGAAAGTTCTTGTGCTTTGTAGTTATTCTTGTAAATATCCACAGTTCTCGTGCTTCCCGACACAAGCATGTGTCCCTTTAGTGATTTCTGAAAAAGAGGGAAAAATAAATCTCTTGTTACCTATCTCTCTGGCTTACTTGAATGGAATAAACAAATTGCGAGGTAGCTTCAACCGTCGAGATTTTCGATCCGTTGCGCTGAAACTGGTAAACAACTGATCGCGACCCACCGACGAAAATGCGTTCGGGTGAGCTGAGTTTGGTTTCAAATGCAAAAATGCGCGAAAGGGCGATAAGGATCGCAAATGGAACCATTCCTGAGCATACTTAACGGCACATCTTCTTCTATATCTAAAATATTGGCCAATTCTCCGGAACTCACGTGCTAGAATGAAGAAAATTTGCTACAAATCAAAACCATAAGTCTTTACCCATAATCCCACTCTTGGGCCTCCACCACAAATCAGCCAGTCGCCGATCATCGAGCAACAGCTGATAAATCGACCTCTTTCCGGTCGATTAAGCTCTTCGTTCTCGTAAGGCAGAATCGTTCTGGTGATTTCCTGGCTTTTGATATCCCAGATGTGGACAAGTCCGTCTTCTGACGCTGTGCAGAAAATCCCTCGATCGATCGACATTGAAGAGCACTGAATCGCATCTAAAAATCTCAGTACTACTGGTTGTATTCATCGAATTACCTTTATGAGAGTCAATATCTTCCTTGATGATATGAAAAACGTTCAAATCGATTGTGTACAAAATTCCTCGTGGTCCACCTCCTATAAGTACGTCCTGGTCTTCCAAAATCAGAGCTGTGTTGTACGATTCGCTAGTTATGCGCTTGCCGTTTGAAATTCTTCCCTCTTCGCTGAGGATGAGAGTAACTAGGCCTCCTATGCCACCGGCAATCAAAATTCCCTTGTATTCGAGAATGAAAAGGATGCTGTGAAGTTGAGTCTGGAATTCTTGCGTTTTCGACCAGCGTGTTACATTGTAAGTCGTTATCTTTCCAAGATTATCTCCGATATAGAGGGTCGAACCGTTTCTCGAGAATGTCTGAGCGAAGATAGAACGGTAAGCATCAAGCACCTCCGCTTCCAACATTTTCTAAGAAAGACAAATATGATAAGGCTGGCGATAGGCACGATTTGATAAATAATGGCAGTCAAATAAATTGGCACACACAGTTCAGGAGTTTTGGGACATTCGCTTGCGAGATCGCGTTCGTGGAGGCTCTGAAACCGGGATGCAAAGAAAACTCGTCCATCGAAATCTACTCTCACGGAAAGAACTTTGAAAATTTGTGATTTGCATGCCTGTCTGGTACATATTCCTCTTCATCAAGCGATGACGAGCTGGTTTCTATGTATTCTATGAACGGTCAAGACCGCATTCTCCTAACAAGATAAAAATAGGGTCCAAGACCGTTTCCGATACGAACGGATTGTTTTCGACGATCTCTGTGCTGTTCTCGGGGACTTGAACGCTGGTGGTTTTCCGCAATCGCCGTATTTCTAGCAACGAAGTAGTTTATTGCGATCCCTGCGAAATTGAGTCCGTCGGCGCTCAAAGCTTACAATTTTATGATGGGAAATCTTCAATAAATTACCCATAAGCTGCTTAACGAAATGCTGTAGCCGGGTAGACGTGAGTCCCACTCGTTTGGCGCTTGCCCTGCCGGAAGAATAGAGATCGCAGATGAGCTCAAACAGTCCCTCCGTCGGACCCCGATTTATAGTCATCTCATTTAGTGGAATACCCCTAAGTATCTTCGTCACCGAGAAGAGACTTGAATGAGTTAGGCACTTCCGCGTCTGCTCTGCTAAATGCGTCTGGCGCGGTTTAACTCGTTTCCTGACAGGAGCCGCCATAAATAGAAGCATCAGCTTTAGCTCGGAATAAAATGGTAGCCACGAGAGGAAGACATCAGCCATGTACTCAACTCCATAGTAGTAGGTGAAGACGACCTTGTTCCAGGGTAAAAAACAGGCTTAGAAAACACACAAGGGGATCTACGATTGCTTTTTGAACCCTTGGCCAGTATTTGAGCCAGAAATTGACATCGGGAGAGTCGTTAAGCAGCGACTTCATTGAAAGAGTGGCTGGCAATGCTAATGACATAGCCTGCCAAGCGGCACTGTTCGAGGGGATGCCAGTTGTTTGGAATTTTAAGGAAAGAAATGCGACTAGCAACCCTTGACCATACACAATACCCATTCGTCTTCTATTCTCTATCTATGGTAATCCCGAGCAGGGTGCAAAGTAACCTCAGCGCTCCTACGCGCTTTCTTATCAAGATGTCAATTCAAGACAAAAAGATCAAGTGCGAGAAGTCGACTTCAGCGAAATGAGTAACAAGGGTGCAAAAAAGTGCTAGATTCCCAATTAAGAAGATCTTCGGAAATCTAGCACTACTGATTGTCTTTTTTTGAATAGCCGAGAAACGGTTTATTTTAATTTTACAATAAATATTTAACTTATACAACAGAAACAAAAAGGAAGAGTAAAAAACTTAAAAAGGAATGAAGCGCCCAAGAGGCAAGGAAAAAGAATCAACAGACTGAAAATGATTAAATAGTTTAAAGTCGCTTTTTGAAAAAGCGGGAATAAAGTAAAAAAAAACTGTATTTTGCTGTATATAATAAAAACGGTCTAACGAGCGATTTTGATAAATTAGGGCAAGGTTAAATTCGGCGGCTAAGCCTAAAGAAATATAGTAATGATTTTTGAATGATTTATGAATTAAATAATACTTTGATTGATTTTCACCAGATAGACTCAAGATCTCCAGCGCGCTCAAGAACGAATACGAGCTCCTGAAGATCGTGACTGCATCTGATATAGTAAAGGAAAAGAACAAACAAAAAGAAACAACAAAAATAAAGCAAACTTTTAAAAAATAATGATTTTGGAAAGGGAGAGTTTGTGTAAAAGAATAGAAATAAACTGCTCTGAGGGATAATTATGAATAAAACTCAAAAATTGTGAACTTTACTTTGATAAGTCGTTTTTTTATTATTGGGGAGCAAGGCTGCAGTGCGTCGAAAGATAGCTAATAAGCGCAGGTCAGAAGATTGGCAACAGTTACACCTTTTTCGACTAGCAAATATCGTTTTAATCCCTTTTCATTTTTTCTAATTCGACATGCATCTTTCCTCGGACCTTCCAGAAAACAGGAATGGCACGGTCGGTGTATTGAGATTTCGACAAAATGTTAAACAAGCCTGCTAGCAGAGTAAAAGTGCAATGTGTTCAAGTGCTAACTACAGTGGTTAATTGTTTTTAAAGCTTTCTGACCTGAAGTACGTAAACTCAACTAATAATTTCAAATATATTAAAAGATAAGGAAACAGAAAACAAGATTTATATTTTTTGAAGAAACTATGTTTTTGATCCGTTTTTTTTTATTTGGATTCAACTTATAATGAAAAAGAAACTGGGTTGAACGGGCTGAAGCGAATTCATTTATCTTTTTTTTTGCAAAGGGGAAATCAGTAGTAGTTGTAAATAGAATTAGTTATCGTAGTTGTTTGGGCACCTGTTAAATACCGAGGCAGCTGTTGGGAGAAGAATTTTTTAGAATACAATTCCGTGAAGGCGCCCGAAGGTTTTTAAGTTAATTATAAAAGGTGTGGCAACGCCGTCATTTTTTTCTTAACAGGAGTGATCATAAACGAGTGCCGCGCGAATGCTGCAGGGCTTCGTCGCCAGAAATCGTTGTGTTTTCACCGTTAACTCCTACGCGGAGAGTTTTGGACACACGATATCTTCGTGACCTGAAATACAAATTTATCTATTTGTGAAGATATTTTATGTTTTTGATTAAAACCTTTCTCAAGCGCAACTGAAACACTCAAAACAGTAAGCAAACTGAAACACTCGAAATTATGTCTCTCTCTCTCTTTTCTCTCTCTGATTAAAACGCAATACGAAACCTTTGAAAATGACCCGCTTTCTTAGTTGAAATGTGCTACTGAAAACGCAAATTTTACAGAAATATATTTATTTTATAATATGGAGGGAAGAAGATAAGAAATGCGATGAAAATCACCTTGGATCGGATGTTCGAGAGTGGGGCTTGTTGGAGATTGGCGGCTTTGGATCGTAGCTCTTGTCGCGTATGCGCAAGTTACGCTTGGAGTCGATTTCTTTGGAGCGCGATCGGAGGCCAGTCTTGCGGTCAGCCGAGGTCTTTCTCGATCGCCGGACGCGCTCTCGCTCGTTCTGAACATTGCCCTTGAACTACTCCCTTCAGTATCCAGCTAATGATACCTGATGATCGCCATCAGCGCTCGCGTCTCGCGCGTGTTTCGCATTGTCGTTGATGTCCAGCGCGGCTAGACGATCCGTTGTGTGTAATAATCTGTTGGTATCTTCTCGGGCCTTTTCGCGATCTCGATTCTTTCTTGACCTGTGGCGCTGGCGATCCTTCTTGCGCTCCTTGTCCAGCAGATTGTTGTTGTTCTTTCCCCTAGCTTCCCCGTTGATTTCCCCTGTTCGTTGCTCATCCTCGCGACCTGTCGCATCGCGGACAGCGGCGAATGTTTCGCGTTCCCTGACAAGAAAAATTCGCAAATCGAGTCATAGGAAGTTCAGGTTACCTTGGGCTTGTGCTCTGAGAGATTGAATTGTTTGACTTGGTGGTTAATTCCCAATCGTAGGCGTCAGACTCTCGGACATCCTTTCTATTTGTCGCTGACTCCAGCAGTGCGAATAGGAAGTCATAGTCCGGCTTAAAAGATAACCTCAGTAATACTTCTTTCTGGAAATGTCAAACCTTCATATCGTATTTTAAATTTTGAATATGACGGAGGAAGGGTTCGAATTCTTCGGGAACACGCTCGTGCTTCAGCAAGTCGTCGTGGTCGAATGTTCGTTTGATCTGTCCAACTTGATCTTTGTCCTTGATCTTTCGCCAAGGAAGCTGCCCGTGGAGAAACTCAATCAGCATGTAGAAAAGCGACCAAAGATCGTCGTGGCGTCCCATTTCGCTGTTGTTGTGAGCATTGACTGAGGCATATCTAAATTAATTCGAGATGAAAAGTGGCATTTAGTGATTTACTTCCAACCTGACAGTGCCGCGGAAGCCAGCAACAGTTCGCGCCTGACGAACTTTTCCCGTGGCGTCGACGTACTGACGAGCGAGACCATAGTCGAGCATGTAGACCTGTCTGGCTTTGCTAGAAACGCCCATTGCGAAATTTGACGGTTTTACGTCGCGATGGAGAAAGCCCACTTCGTGAATGTCCCGGATTGCTTGCAATATGTGGCGTCCAAGGCGAAGAGTCGTTGATAGCGAAAATGTTCCTGCGGACGAAGGGTTAACTTCTGATTAAACTCGCTTCTATTCACCTTTAGGCTGCGCCCTTCTTAGTTCTGCCAACGACTTTCCGACGAGACTCATCACGATGTAGTTGAAGCGCTCGTCCCTACCGCAGCCATAAAATTTGCAAACGTGGTCGGACTTGTGTTGCAGCGCTTTGAGAACAGCGACTTCCATTTTCAAGACCTAAAGTACAGAACGTGTTATCGCGTGGAGCCTTTTTTACTAAATAATTTAGAGCTAGTTGCTCACCTGTTTCGATTGCTTAGAAGATTCAACTTTGATTGCCACGTTTTCTTCTGACTCGATGAACTTCGCCGCGTAAATCTCGCCGAAACCACCCCCTCCGATTTTCTTCGTGATTCGCCATTTATCTTCAGAAGTTTATTTTTCAAAATTTCAACGAAATTCGTATACCTTTGATCGCATGACCAGGGAGGAGAAGATCTTCCGCCTTTTCCTCCTCGGTTTTTACAGCCATTGATGGTTTTCCCGTTTTCTTTGCTTATAGTCGCCGTGTTCGATGATTATTTATATTTCTTTATTTAAGGCCAGTTGATAAATGATAAATGGAAAGTTCAAGCTTCGCTAATGTCTCGCTTTAACGTCTCATTTCTTTTTTGCCGATATCTGAAAACAGGGCGACCGGTTAGTACGTATAATCCCAATAAATACAGATTTTAGAAACAGTATCTTAGTTGTTTGGCAGTATCCAGCAATTTAAAGAAATTTGACTAATCTGTTATGTTATTTCACTTGCTCGCTGTTTGATAGAAGGCGTTTCACAGAGTAGTTGTTCTCGGTTTTGCTCTTTCGCATCAAAACAGATTTTTCGTCCGTGATACGTCCATCATATCGTCTAGAAGCGCTTCCCTTGTCACTCCGATCTTCCTACTTAGATCGGTCTGTTCTGTGAAGGACAGTCCGTTGAATCTCTCTAATAAATCTCCATCAATGATATTCTTTGCCGCATTCTCCAGGTCTCTGAACTCATTCGAACACTAAAAATACGATTGTTCTCTTCGGAATAAAAAGCTCTGCGCTGGAAAATCAAGACTCAGAGCGCGAGAGTAGGTCTAATCTCTTCTTTTGGTAGATGGAACGTATTGACGGGGCCTCCAGGGAGTGTGTGTAGAACTCCAGCCTTTTTATTATTAACGCCTATGGCCAGCAGCTTTATCTCGAAGAAGACTGGCCTCGCTCTAGTTCTCTTTTTTTCTCGTTTGCAAATGAATCAATTTAAAATTGAAAACGGAACTAAAAAAACCTTCAGAATGTTACGAGGACGATAAAGTTCACTCATGCAAAAGAAGGGATGTTTTTGACTTGCAAAATAGGTTAAATTAAAAAGCACACTTACGTATCTATATTCCCTTGGATTTAGGCCGCCGTAATGAGGCAGATGGCTCTGAACGAGCGTTTGCAGCATTTCCAATCTTCTGAACACTTTCTCGGACACTGGCACAATGTCTCCCAACGAGCCGTCCAAACCGGCATAAAAAGTGACGTGTCTTAAAGGCACATAAAGTTTTAGGACAGCGAGTTTGAGAGTTTGAGAGTTTGAAAGCGCTCAATAGTCCTGATTAATTCTGACATAAATATTCGATTACTGCATCAGAGAAAAGGAAAAAAAAAATTTTTTAAATAAAAAAAAAACTAAAAGAGAAAAGTTACCTGGCATCGTTTTCTGTTAGGGCTACTTTCGTGAAAGTATCGTTTTGACGAGCGAGCGAGTTCCACATGGACATGACTCTTTTTCCAAGATTGATGTCAGCTTGTCGGATTAGCTGCTTCCCCCCGTTCGACTCTTTTTGATCTGGCTTGTACATGTAGACGTGTAAATTTCGCTGCATATCGGTGGAAACGAGCCCGACCTAAGAAAAGCTCTTGTTGACTAACTGTTTCAGTTTTGACCTTCAAATGATGTTGTATTGTGGTTTCCCTTCGGGATCTTAGCGGCCTACCCGGAAGGTAATCCGCGAAACAAGACGAATATACCACTCTTTTGGTTGTAAATGACAAATAAAAAGAAACAGACCATCTTTTTGGTCAAAATCAAGTACCTTATTAATACTGAATAACCCCCAAATTGTGCTGATTTCATCGCTCTACTCGCGACTCGGCATTTTTACGAGAGGTCGATAGAAGTAAAAAGTCAACCGGGTCTACTATTAGCTTAGGTTGCTTATGCTCAAAGTTGAACTCCTCTGTCCCGTTTGTTACCTGGTTTCCGTCGAGTAAGATTCCTACAGCCATGACTTCGCCAGCTCTACGCGCACGGGAAATAGAACTGATGCAATTTCGCTCTCCTTGGTGCCTCAGAAGCGTAATCCCCTGTTGGATATCGCCGACAAGTGCGTAGTTTTTAAAGCAGTGCGTCGCATGTGTGTAAAGCTACAAGAAAATGTAAATTATTTTGTTTTTTTGTTTCTTTTCACTTCTCTAAGACGCGCGTTTCGTGATAAGTTTTACAAATTGTCAAAGTGCTAAAATTGTCTTTCGGATAATAAAAAATAAATTCACTTTCGCGGTAATTATTACTTTCACGCGACGCCGGGCGGGAGCACTTACTTGTGTATCAACGAAACCGGTGGCTCGCAAGTTGTCATCTTGAAAAGCGTGAATGAATACTTTCTGTCCTATGGCGGCGATAAGGGCACCATCGAGTGAGTCTACCGCCGACACTGGTCCTCTCTGTGACTCGTCATAAACGGTTTTGTATTTGTAGCGAGTAAGTGGTTTCCCAGGCTCTGGAACAACGTCGATTACTTCTAGTAAGATGAGTCTTCCTCTACTTTGGCAAGGGTTAGCTCTCTTTTAATTTTAACATGTGTCCAGACATTGGACTAGCGCCCAACTGCGCCGCTGTGTCTGAACTTGACAAGAGCTCTTGCGCCTTTTACCAAGGGCGCAGATTAGCAGGGTCAACTTCAATAACTATTTTAATCGTCAATTAGCCCCACTGGAAATGGAAAGCTCATGTAAAAAAAAACTCTTCGCCGTTATCTATATCTAGAAACGATGTTCGGTAGCTACCCCGGTCCTTTGATAATCTTCTCCGCAAACATTGCTCGTTCCGATTGCTATGTACTGTTTTCTGCCGCTCATTGATGCTTCCGATTTTAGGTAGACCGAGCGACAACACAGAATATGCTCATGAGCGTCCATTTCTATCCTTGAATTAGGAATTACTTCCCAAGTTGACGGACTGAACATTTCAACGAAGTACTGTGATGGTTTATTCTCGTCTCAAATTGAGCAATTACTAAAGGGCCTTCAGTAAAGACCGTTGTAAAGAAGAAAAATAGATGAAAATAGATTATTAACCATGCCTGTGGGAAAAGCTGAGTTTCGACATTGGCTACTTCAGGCATATCTTCATACTCCTTGTGTCCTTCCGCATTGATCTGAACTTGACGTGTAAATTGCGACGCGCGAAGGGCGCGCGGAGGAAGTTTAGTGATCGTCACCTTGGGCAGCATTTCGATCTTCTCATTTCTGCAGCCGCAGATGGTCAACACTTTTTGCTCTAGATCGTACGATGAAAAGCACGGCGTGTAGTTGAGCTTGATTTTTTTGAAGGGCCAGTCTGCGTCGTACTTGAGAAACGGCTGAAGAGTCGCAACTGTGAGTGTTTTTGTGGAATGGCGGAAGTAGAGGAATCCGTGTGGGCACGATTCGTTGTCGAATGGAGTAAACGCGTTTACAAATCCCTCCTGCCACATAGAATGAATGCTAAACAACGCTGTGATAATCGCCTTCTTTGATTAATCTTCAGATTAATGACAAAATTACGCGAGCTCTGATTTTGGGCTCACAAGGTAAATTATCTCTCATAAAGGAGCATAAAATCAGCTCTTTGATGTCAAATACAACTCACTTTAATCTGCCGTCCTGTCCGGAGAAGATCCAGTGGGGATAAGCCCCACCTAGGAATACTCCCTTGTGTCCTTGTATATTCTTGAATTGTCGCATCATTTTGTTGTTCCGGTGTTTCTTGATAATTTCATCGCTGACACCTGGAATCCGACGTAACAATTTCGTTTTGTCTTGGAATTTGATAAATCGACCAGACAGGACCGGATTTTCCGTTTGGAATCGAATTGGAGTGGCGCGGAAACGGTAAATCATCAACTGATCCGCAATCATCACAACTATTCAGGGCTCAGTTTGTCGTAATTACGACAATTATATTTATATATTTATATTTTTATTTTATATTTATAGACATCGCATCCAGGAAATTTAACTACAGGCGAGGCTACACTTGAGTCCCTCTCCTATGTAAGGCAGTCCGCATGGTCCCATTTTGAAGACGTTCATTTCCTGCACGTCCATCACATCTAATCGGCGTCCATCAGAGCCCTCAAAACGGCTAGTTTCGATGATTTTAGGAGCATTGGCAAAGTTTCGGTCTCCGAAACGTAAAATGCAATCTGGCAGTGAATATATCTCAAGGTTTCCGTTTGCTCGAGTGAGGAACAACCAATGTCGGCCCTTAGCATCGCCGTCGATAAATTCTTCGAACTCTTCGCCCTCTGCAGTTTCATTCAAGAACACTTTTTAGCGCATTTGACAAATGTAATTGAATAGCGAATTACACTGTGAGTGTTACTTCACAAGTAAAATACGCTCCTGAATCTGCTGTTGGCTCCTCTATATCCCCGTACAGCAGTTCATCTTCTTCCTCTGCCGTGAGAATTGTATTGAAATCTAAGTGGAATTCTTCTCTGTTCTCGTCATCGCCATGTTGAGTTAACGAAGGCTCAGACTGTTTCTCTTTTTTCTCGGATAGTTTCTTTTCTTTTGCTTCTTGATTTCGAATAATGTCGGGACTCCCTTTACCAAGCACGAAATGGCCTTCATCATCTTTCATTAGCGAGATGTGCATGATCTTCTTGCCAGGGTCGTCCGACGAACACTCAGGCGCAGTCGAGGTCTTCATCATAACACTTCCATCGGAATTGGTATGCAGAACAAGTGAGATGATTGTCCCCTTCGAAGCGAGAATGACCAAGTAAGGATCACAGGCTACTGCTTGGATAATCTGTCCGTTGAGATCGAATGGTTTGTTCTGAATCGTCTCCTGCGTGTCCATGTCGACCAGGACAACTGCGCGTGGGAGTACTTGCACGATGTATTTTCCATTACCGATGGTTGAGCAAAATATCGTTTTCGCGTTCGTTGCCAAGCCGCACTCCTCCTTTTTCAATTCTTCGAGGATCTGGCCCGTTGTGAAAACCATGGTCTGGTCTTTCTTCGTCATAACTAAGAGACTATGTCTTGTCGATTCTGATCTGCGCAATGTCCACATGTCATTGAAATTCATTGGGAAGGGAAAATTTGATGCTATACTTGGTCGTACTGATTTGTGCAAGACTGTTATGCTGCCTGTTTTGTCCTTGCCTGAGAGAATGCAAACATCGATGTTTCTATCTCTTGCGTCGCTTCCTACATGGTCGTAGCTATCGTTGTGGTTGGATGTGTGGATCAACTCTACTGGTCCACAAGGGCCAATATTCGAAATATTATCCATTGTCTCGAATTCATAGCACAAATTAACGTCAAGGTTGAAAATCTCGTCTCCGTAGTACCCGTCAATCGCACCGAGCTCGTCTTCTTCGGCCTCGAAGATTGTTTTGTTGCGCTTTGGCACAGTGCCATTGCTGTGGACTTTTTCCCAATCCCCGGACGGATCACTCGTTCGTTTTCGTTTTTTCTCAGGAGAGTTTTCTTCTTTTTCCATTTCGAAATCGAGGGGGTTTTCTTCTTCCATTTCGTTCTCACCGCCATTTTCTTGATTATTTGATTTGGCATCGCCGTTTTCAACTGATAGGGATGATTTTTTAGAAGTAACTTGATTGTCGCATTTGTAACGTAACAGCAGAGAGTTGCCTAATCTGGAGCCGAGAAATATCAAGTTATCGTTTAATTTTGTAAGCGTCGTAGGAATGACAGATGAGGCGACCTGATCCAAGTGAAATCTCCTGACATTATTCAGTGAGTCCTTCTTCAGTGTGATCACATAAACATCTCCGGTTTCGAGGGAGACGCATATAGAATCGCTGGATAACATACACGCTCTGCAATTGAGCAAATTCAACGGGGAAACATCCTGCTCCTTCAAAGCAAAGTTCGTAGAGCCAAATGTGAGGCTATTGAGAGCGACACCGTACGGTGGCACAGACTGGTCCAAATAGATAAGCGAGTTGGTGGCGAACAGAAGCGATCCTCCAAGCGGTTTCGGAATGGGAAAGATCGCTGATGCATCGAAGGGCAAGCCCGACATTTGCCAAATGATGGGGTGCGTTTGGTCGATCAGATTAATCGAAAGTGCAACGATCCCACATGTATCTTGTCTTTCGGTGACACGACCCGTCCAAGTCGGCAACGCTTCATAGAGAATCAGCAGTGTAGGATCGTTGTAGCCGTCGAGGAATTGAAAATCAATGACTGAGGCGACCTTTACTGGCAAATTCTGTACGTCGATCATGAAGGAAGCTACGGCTTGATGGGTTCGACCGGACATATCCCTCCCCGTAGCTCGTCGAAAAGGAAGAATCGCAAGATAGGAGCCATAAATCAACACAGCCGCGCATCTATTGAACCCATCTACGCGTGCCAGTGCGATCGAGTTGAGTTTTCGAAATCCCCGGCGAAGATCTTCGTCCTGGAAGTAATGCATCGAAACAGTCGTTAGCGAACCTGTATCAGGCTCGTACTCGACAATCACGCATTTTGACTCTTCAATGGAGAGGAGCAACGAGTCCCGGACGCTGCCGCTGAAGCGCACCCGGGACATTGAGATAACAGTGCCCCAGAGTTCAAATTCGTCACAAAGTTCAAAACTGTCGACGTTATTTCCAGATTCGTCTTTTGACGAAGAAATTCGATAGACTGACAAAATGTTTCCAGCAGCGACGGCCAGGTTTTGCTCGCCATCGTGATAAAAACACAAGGCACATGACTCGTCGACCCCCGTCGGCCTCTGAGATTCCTTATGATATCCGTAGATCTCGCATGGCGGGAGGGCAGGCGGCTCTTCAGTGTTTTCCTCTTCTATCATAATCACGATTTCATTCTGCAAAAAATGCGCTTCTAGAACATTTGTTTTCTTTAAAGGAGAATGGAGAAGCTTGATCAGTTTCGCAGAACAATGATCAACCCAACCATGAAAAACCTGGAAATCGACCCAGATGTCATCAAGGTAGTAAATTGCTTCAGATCAAAGATAAATTGGCTTCGATCTGAATTCATTTCCAGCTCGAGAGCAAAGTGAAAATTTTGATTTTTAATTTTTTTTTGTCAAGGAACATGTAGACATATGATAAAGTTGAATGGGCTGGATAATATAAATTGAAATGTTTTCAGATGCTGGAAATATGTGGCAAAGAAGTGCTACGCGAACGGGCGATGAGTGGCCGAGAACTTGCTGGCCAGGAACTCATCGACTTCATCCGCGACTTGGTGGTCAACGTTGGCAAAATTCGAGAGGCGAGACTCAGATGCAAGAAACTTGATCCCGAGCTTGAAACTCTTAGGACAGTGGTCAGAGATTCCCTTTTGTTGCTTTCCGAAAGTCGAAAATTTTGAAACTAGTCAATAGTTTTTAAGTGAAGCCAAAGCAGACTGCCAGAGAATAACCTGTTTTCTCTTATTACCGTTTCCCGATCACTTTAAAAAGCAAGAGACTCCAGCACTCACCAGAGGGATTTAAAACATTCAAATAAGCAACAAAACGAATCAGCGTAAAGAAAATAAATATGTATCAATTTGAATAAACTATTTAAACACAATACAAGGAAAGAGACAAGCCTTCACTGTCGAAGTGTCCTTTTATTCTTTTTAAGAGACTGAGAAACTCTTCAAGAATCGGTAGTTTTCTTAGGTAGTTTAGGTAACGGAGAGAATTTGAAATTGAACTAGCGGAGAATGGAAAGAATCGTCGCCAAATCGCTCGTCTATTTTTTTTTTGTTTGTTGTTGAATGCAGGAACAGAAGAAGATAGGAATAAAAATAACTCAAAGAGATTTCATTTTTTAAGATGTGGGGTAGGCGAAATCAATACAGGAATGTTTTAGGTTATTTCTTTCTGGATTTTAGAAACAGAGTTATGTAATGTCTCATGAATATTGGGGAGATTAGATCGCAGCGGCCGTTTATATCTGGGTTTTGGTCAAATTTAGGCTTGCTTCAATCAAAATTGAATTAAAGATCTGTTGATCCCACAAATAGTACAGTAGTTAAGCTAGCCATCCAAATTGTATGATCAAATGGCAATTTTTTAAAGGAAAAAGCTCATGTTCAAATTTGACTTCAGAACTCGTCAGATCTAAACACACTTAGTATCCGTTTGTTAAATTTTGTTGTTTACTCGAAACTTGCGTCCGATAAAAATGTTAAATTACAATTTTTTTTTATTTCGGGCTGTCATAACGTATTTATGTTTTCACATAGTATTTACATTTAAAAGAAGAAATCGAAATGGAAAAAGAAAAAATGATTAGGAAATGCAGCTCTGATAGAAACATTTAAGTTAGAAAGAATTTATAAAATGAAAAAAGCATTGTTAGCCGAGCTCCTCGTTAATCAATCGTTTTAAACGTTCCAGGTATTCGGGGAATACTTCAATATCGTTATGGCCGGCATCTATTGGAATTTTCGTTTAAAAGTGATTGCGAAAGGGCGGACTTACTATTAACCCAAAGTGGTGGCAGTGGTTTAGGGCACCTGTCGTGAATCTGCTTTCCGTGAATGAATGGAATTACCTCGTCCTCTGTCCCGTGAATCACCAAAGTCGGACTCCTCACGCGTTGCACTTTCTCGACACTAAAATAGATGAATTTAAAAAACTTTTTGCAGGCAAAATCCTGACTTTGCCTACTTTTATATTCAAAAAATTCCGTAAAAACGAAAGCCCGTAAAATTCTGAGTCGACTGGACCAGACTCAGACGAAAACCGTCAGACGATGACGTCATAAATGACGCTAGAAGTTGTCAAAAATGGCGATTTTGGGCAAACTTTGAGTCACTTTTTTGGGCTTTTTTGACGGAATTATTTAATGTTCTATAGTTCAAATTGATCCCTGTGAAAAACTGTACTAAGGTTTTTCATGATTTTTCATTTCGTCGAAATTATTTTTTCGGAAAATTCTAGAGCCAAGTTTTTCAAAATTTTTTTCTTAATCCGTAAAAACCTTAGTGCAGTTATTAAAAAGCTTTCATTTAAGCTATCAAACACCGAAAAATTCAAGCAGGAACGCCGTTAAAAGAAGACTCAAAGTTTCGGCTTTTTGTAACCTTCTGACGTCATTTGTGACGTCATTCTCTAGAAAATTTTTAAAACGATTTGGTCGAATCGACTCAAAATTTTGCAGGCTTTCTTACGGGCTGAAAATCTGACCACGTTAGAATTCTGCTTGCAAAAAGTTTTTTAAATTCATCATAGTAATAATACTGTATTGTAACTGTCAGTTAACTGCCGCAATTTGGACTGCCACAAATTGGTCCTTTTTGGAATTATCTGGAAGACGGCCGGGGACAAAATTGCGGCAGTTAACTGTATTAGAACAAGCGCCGTGGTTTCAATTAATTACTTTTTGAAAGCGTCGAAAAACCATGTTCTCTTTGCTGTGGGGAACAGAACTCGAAAGCCTGAAGACAAGGGCGAGTGAAGCACGACGGCGGCGCAGTCGACTTTTGTTGCTAGATCAGTCGTCGGGACTTAACGATTGCGAATTGAAAAATCTTCCTTCATTTTAATAGAATGGTACCTGTGCCGATTGACTGTCCGTAAAGAATGACTTGATCCGGGCGAACATTATATTTCTCGAGTAGCTTTTCGTACGCCGCGGCGCAAGCTTTGTTCAAGTTTGACTCGTTTGGCTTTCCCGAGCTCTGGCCATAGCCGCAGTAGTCGTAGCTCAGAATATTGACCTTGAGTCGAGTCCCTAATTGTCAATCAAAAGTTAGCGAAAGCAATATTCGTTTGTGAGTTACCCAGTCCGATGAAAAACGAGCTCATTTGTCCGAGGTCGACCGCATTGCCGTGCGAAAAAAGAAGCGTGTATTTGGCGCTGGGCGAGCAGGTCACATGCATGCACGAAATCCTTAATTCGACATTGGAAAAAGAATGCGCAACGGTGTCTCTTACTTTTCGCCAGATCGCGTTCTAGCGTAGAATACGTCAATTTGATCCTGTTCTCGGGCAGAGTGCTGCCATTCTGCGCGCTCGCTCAAGTGTATTTTGTATTTGGTCCCATTTTCGTCCCGAACTAGGATTAAAATAATGGAGAAAGATGGTCTCGAAAGAAGAGATTATACCGATTGTGTAAGACGGCTCTGGCGGAAGGAATGCTACCTTGGCTGCGATTCTTGACGGACAGGGTGGACAAAGAAATAACCTACAGAACTCCGAACAGCCGAGTCCATTCATTTAAATCTTAAGAAGCTTTGATAGCGATGAATGTATAGTTCAACAATTTGAGTCGTCTTTTAGCGCTTATATCGACTGGCCAGCTCAATTTTGGCATCGCTTTGGATCCACCAAGTCGGTATATTGTTTGCAGTTACGCTTACCAAATTTAATTTTTGAATTTGGACAATGATTAAATATTTAACAAAGAATATGCAATAATAATGGAGTCTGATAAACCGATTTTCGCAAGGAAATCGGGTCTCTCTCTTTTCATTTTTTAAAAAATTATACATTTTTCTTCAGTTTATTTTAGAAAAAAAAAATGCCAACGAAAACAAAGTCAAATATCAAATAATCAAATCATTCTCACAAAGCAGACATGAATAGGCGCAATTAAATCGCTAAAACTGATAAAATGCGAATAATTATTTTTCACAAGAAGGTAGTCGATTTCTTCTTACTCTCTCTCTCTCTATCTTTGAGGTATTTTTTGTTGAGTTATATTTAGTGTGCATTTAGTGTAGTAATGTTTTCGGCTGAGTGGAATATTTGGAGTTGGCGCTCTCCAGAGACGATGCGCCCAATGAAACGAGAATGCGGGGGCGCTGCTTTTTCCCTTTCCCAGGGAACAGGGCAAAAAGAGAGCGAGACAGTGAGATCAGAATAGGGATCAGCCCCGGGCCCAGCGCGAACCTCAATCAACAAGTGATCATGGCTCTGCTAAAAGAGACCAAATCGGCGCTCATCTTCGACTCTTGGGACAGATCGGGCCTACCTTTATTAGGCGCCGGATTCGAAATAATAAAAGAAAAATAAACTTTATTTTTCCTTAGGAAAAATTCTAGCTCTTTTCAAATACCGACGAAAATGGTATTTATGATCCGATTTAAAGCGCATTTGATAAATCTGAACAACACTGCCACAGATATTCAAGTTATTGTCAGAAATTCGCGACAGAAAAAGCTGCTGAGGAAGAAGATACTCAAACCAGTAAGTTACATCACGTGGAAAGCAAATGAAGATAAGCCGCCATCGGTTGGAAGTGATTGGGTTTACATCGCCGATTTGTACCCACTGAACGAAGATGTTATTTGGTGGCTCTCCCGACTGACGGATCGCTTCGTTGCAGGTAAAAAAAATCAATGATGACTTCCTTGCTTTCTTTTTTTTCAGTCCTTCACAGCGATTTGCTTGCAGCCAAGATAAACAACCTAGCGCCGACGAACATTATCATGCTCCGATCGAACGTAGCACAGGTGATTACGTCGAAGCTACGAGCAAAGAAGAACTCCTCCATCGAGTCGTTTCGTATTTCAGAAAAGGGCCTCTTTGTTGCCACAGGTGAGAAGTTACAAAGAGCGAAATGTTTCGAATGCGAAACTCCTCGTGTAATTATATTTCCGCGCATCAAATTGGCGCTAGAAAAGCTGCTATTAGGCGATAATTGTTTTTTTTCAAGAGATGAAAGACAAAGAGCTCTTTTCTCAAGAGGAGAATGAATGCGTGGGACACGATCAACTTGGACTCAGTTTCAACTTATCGCTGACAATGGACGAGATCAAGCAGAGAGCTAAAGGAACGATTTCAAATAACAAGAGAATATTGAGTGTTTATGTCATAAACTTTATGAGTATCGATTATTTAATCCGAAAAAAGTGACACTACCACATCATGGAAGGAGAAAAGAAGGAAACATACAGATTGATTCAGAGGACTCAGATGACCCTGACGACGACCTTGATATTTGAATGAAATTTGGCCTATAATTTCCAATTACCGGTTTAGTATGAGTTCGGTCTCAAGTGTGGAGATGTCAGGATGTTCGCAACTCGACGTAGACGTCTCAAAAATGTTCTGGAAGAGCTTCTCCCTCTCTCCTCCCATCGAATCGGAACTTTATCAGCCTGATATTCTGCAGCGCCAGAGGACAGCTACTCCCGGTAAGTGCCATGTGTGTGTTTTTTTGAGATTACGAAAAATAGCGGGGAGAAAGAAGAGTTCGCGCTTGAGCCGTCACGAAATACAGTCAGCCAGATCACTCCACCTCGTTCAAATCAGATCATACCAAAAGGAAGTAGCAGAAGAGGAGGAAAGAAAGAAAAACATATCTGAGAATCGTCTTCGAGCAAGAGAACTTCTGGAGAGCCACCGAAAACATCGAGTTTATGCTGAGCTTATTTCATCCCGTAAGTATACTTTAAAATGACCTTGTTCGGAATTTCTCAGGAGTGAACCGGAGATACGTTCGAGAGGAAAAAAACAACAACGATTCCGAAGCGGATGAAGTCCAAAAACTCGACTTCTTCAAATCGAAGACGTTTCACTAAAATCTTTGCAAAATTCCTTTTCCGATAAGTTCTTTCCTATTGCCCGAAATATATTTTTATACTCTCTTAACAATGTTTATATACAAGCAGGTGTCTAACATTATGCGAATGAGGCTACTAATTATCGATGGAAGGATACGTGTCTGATGACGTGAAAGTTTTCGGAGAAAAGTGCTCTTCGGTGATTCACGGGCCAAATTGCCCGAGGCCGCACGGCATTGGCGGTGGAGGAGTTGAACATTCAGATGATCTAGTAAATTTGTATGTCGTAAAAGTACATGTACGTTAAAAACTAAGAGGAATCGATGGAAAAGAGATTATTCCTACTTTGCTTGGCTGGGAGCGCCGCTGCACAGACTTGCAGGTTCTGGGCTTGATAGTGTTTTAATTAAAAATATAAACAGAAATCAAAAATGATAGTCTACGTTCGAACCCAGATAAAAGTGATAATGCGGATCGATCCGTATGCTACAAATTGAAGAACATGGGTTTATGCTCTGCCTACGGCAGTGAATGTAAATATACTTGCGGATTATGCTATTCATCTTCCAGAACATCTGCAGCTCCAGGAAATGAGTTAGCTCTATCGAAGAATCACACAGTGATCCACAGTGGATATATTTTTGCAGGGAATTTCTGAGTGACCCATGATAAGCATCTACAAGCAGCAGCGAGCCCTGTGGTTCTTCAGATATGCGAAGACTAAAATGTGAGCAACGGTGTATAAAAACCAATGAAAAAGCGCAGTGTGCATGCCATACAGGCTTTAAATTATCCGGCAGTAATAGATGCATCGACGAGAATGAATGTCTCGACTCCACAAAGATGGCCCAATGTGATGATCTTGATCTCAAGTGCCAAAACTACTATGGTGGCTTTTTCTGTGCTAATAAAGAATCTTGTGGATTCGATGAGATGAAACGTTATCATCGAGATGGATGCTGCAAAATTGACAATGATGAGACGTGTGGGCAACAAGGTCTCATTGGCGCTGGATCAGGTCGAATCCTTGGAGGATCTGATGCATCGAGAGGACAATGGCCATGGCTCGTCTGGATTAAATACGAAAACAACGATGGACTTGGCCCCCGTCTTTGTGGAGGATCACTCATCTCAAACCAATGGGTACTTACAGCCGCACATTGCGTGATTTCTGTAACTAAAGGTGACAGATTTAAAACTTGCGATGGCTGTCTCGAAATGAATGCCGGTGTGTACAACACCGGTCTTTCATACAGCGATGAGATGCATCGCGTTCCACTCGTGCCAAAGAAGATTGTTGTGCATGATAATTATAAAGGCGAAGGTCTATTCAACGATATTGCTTTGGTCCAAATCGACCCCGTTGATATTGTGAGCAGCGATTATGTCAAGCCGATTTGTCTACCTAAATTCGAAGAGCCTGTTGCCGGAACAAAATGCTTCATCGCGGGCTGGGGTCAAACCCTGAACGACACGCAGTCTGCCGTTCTTCAAGATGCGCCTATAACTATTTCCGATATTGATGCATGTAAGGCCAATTACGATGTGAAAGGACATCTTCAATCGAGAGTTCGAGTAGAAGATCACATTTGCGGAAAAGAATCTAACTTGGATCAAATAGAGTTCATCTACAAAGATGCTTGCCAGGGTGACTCTGGGGGTCCACTTATGTGTCAGCGTTGCGAGTCTTGTAATTGGTATGTCGCCGGTGTCGTCAGTTTTGGCGACGATTGCGGCAAATGGGATGGTGTTTATACAAAAGTATCTCGATACGAAGATTGGATAAGAAGAAACATGCTGCTACCAGTTCTTAAAAAAGATAAAGTCCAAGGTCTTTCGTGTCACGCTTGCTGCGAGTTCATTGAAATATCAGGAGATTCTCTCCAGAAAGACCGACAAGGCATTTACAGAATTGACTTCGGCATCGGAAAAGTAGCTAAGCGAAAAGTATATAAGCAACTTTATCAGAAACCAGAAGACACAAACTACCTCTGGTTCTTATCCAACGAACAGTACAACATTTGGTTTGTCAACAAGAAGGTTGGAGAACCAAGTGGAGGAATTTTAAGTGCAGATCCAGCCGCGTGCCCCGCAAATTCTCGAAAAAATCAGTGGAAAATTTATGATGAAAGCAGTGGAAAGGGTTACTGGCGAAGACCAGAGCCTGAATTTGAAGTTAAATGTGTCGACAATCCGTTCGAATGGTCAACTTGGTCAGCTTGTTCAAAAATCGCACAGAAGAGTGGTTTAACTACATCGCTCAGCGAGAATGATCCCTGTCTTGGAACGCAAACACGCACGAGAAATAGTCAGCAATCTGAACAGGAAGAGGTTCAATCGCGATCCTGTCTTCTGAAAGCAAGAGGCTGTTGCTGCAAAGAGTTTTCGATGAAAGCAAAGAACTCTGCAGAATCTGCGATGATTTGGTCTCGCATTGAAGATGACTTCTCCAACAATGCGCGATTCAAAGCAATTGTGGGCGGAAACGAAATATTCCTCATTCATTCTTCTGTAAGTGATCCGAATAAACACTAACACGCAATACTTCAAAATTTTTATATACAAATTATTTTTAGCGATTTAGCGGGCCAAAATGGCTTGTTACCCCAACACTATCGGGCAACAGCGCGTATGCTTTCCAGGCAATAGAAGAAGCGAACAAATTCTGTCCTTATCACAAAGAAATTTATCGACTTGCTACCAGCGGCAAATACGTCGAAACGGAGTATGAATACAAGTGTACTGAAGGAAAGATTTCGCAATTATATCTTTAGCTTTGTATTCTCCATCAATAATTATAAATCATAATTTATAATTCAAATAAATTTCATTGTATGAATCTATCGTGAAGAAGTAACCACAAAAACGAAGAAAATAACGACGACGACAACAACGACGACGTCAACAACGACGACGTCAACAACAACAACAACAACAACAACAAGCACAACAACTTCAACGACAACTACTACTTCCACTACAACGTCAACAACTACATCGACGACATCAACAACTACATCGACTACGACGACTACAACGGCAAAAGTGAGGAATCTATACGTGTCAACATGGACTGAATGGTCAGTTTGCTCATCCTCATGCGGTGGGGGTCGCCAATCTCGTTCGAGGGGTTGCTTCGACGACGGCAAAGTAGCAACTGACTGCTCAGAATTTCTTACAGATGGCAAGTTTGACATGAACTAATATTTTGACATCGCTAAACCTAGATCGCGAATGTGCAACCGAAGAATGTGCGAGCTTCGAGTGCTGTCAGTTTATGAAAATCGAAACCACGTCCAAGGAAGCAAACTCTATTGCTGGCAGCTACAAAATCTATGATGAGCATGATACGCTTGCATACAAGTCACTGAGGGGCAATTTGTTTATATACAGTCACCCAACAGAGTCACAGACGATTTGGCTGATAGGAAACGATCCGACTAAAGTGTTTTCATATGCTTATTCGATCCAACGAGCGGGTACTCGTTGTCCAGTCGAATCACAGAATTGGCAGCTATTTACCGATGGTAGATGGCGAAATGAGCCTGACTTGTTAAGGATTTTCATTATTTTTGTATAATATAGGCTATATTTAAAAAGAAAAGGCAGCTAATATTGCTTAACTCTATGTAATATAGAGTGTCTATTTAGCGCATGAAAAGTTTGATGAAAACTCAAAAGACATTGAGCTGTGGCACTAATTGGTCCGAATGGGGACGATGTAGCACCACATGCGGAGCCGGTCAAAAAAGTAGAATCCGTTTTGACGCAGCTAGCAATGAATTGTCGGAAACTGCGAGCTGTAATAACGGCCTTTGCGAAACAGCGTGTCTAGGAAAAGTTCAATGCTTCTTTATAAGTTTTTTCAACTGATTTTTGAATAAATTATTTTCGATCGCAAGTTTGAACTTGAAAAAGATTATGAGGACCAGAATGATAAATGTTCGAATTGGGGCGAGAAAGGATACTGTCTTCGCAAGTTTGTGAGATACATGAACAAGAAGTGCAGTAGAACATGTTGCCAGAAAGGAGAGCTGCAGCAACAGCAAATTGTCTCTGGGCCGATGGCTCGTAGCGGCGCTCGAAACGGTTTTTTAAGCTCTGACATTTCCATGGTACGGAATTTATATTGCAAGATTAATCTAATCTCACGTTAAGTGTGATGTCGAACAAAACGTATTCGATGATGATAATTTGGCACCTCCGTCAGATCCCCTTTCTTTAGAAGCGTATATGCTTGAAACAGCAACCTGTCAGAACAGGAAATTCATTGAAATGTTCTGGCCTCGCGATTCTGGCCTTTCGGCGCGATCTGAAGATCCCGATGTAATTCGTCCAAATTACGGGAGACTGGGCTAGGCTTGGTGAACACCAGTCGCTTAACTCAATCCTCAAAGCACATGTAAATATGGAAATTTTTGAAATAAATTGCTGTTTTAATCTACTCGGAAGTTAAACTATTTATTTTAAACTATTCGATAAAAATCGCGAACAGGAAGGTAACATATTCTAAACGTCTCTCCAGGGAGCGAAAAGTCGTTTCCTGTATTCCCTAGAACGTTTCTTCAGAACTATTAGGAGCTTATAAAAAGTGATAAAATTTTTCTTTCAAAGGATGTTTGGAATTTTAAGCTTGGCTTGTAGTGTTGATGTGAGCGGCGAGATGCTGAAGGATGAGAGCTCGAGAGTCGACTTCTTGATGCAGGACTGGAAAAGTGTCAGGATAGAGCTGCGGGGAGTTCGTTGGCGAGCTTGAAGAGGTACACGAGGATCTCGAGGATGAGCAACTAAAAGTGCATAGCTTTCGGAAAGAAAGGACGCACGCTTACGATGATGAATTGTCGGCCTCCCAGGTGCGATAGAAACTAGGAGATGCGCTGTAGCTCCGACGGGCGCTGTTGAACGCAGAGTCCATTTGGTAGCAGAGTCTTTTGCAGAGAGTTAGCTTTCGCATCACGTCTGGAACTTACTCTTGGCCCTCATCAGGCGAAGAAGTGCTCTTGGATGAGTCTTCCTCGATTTCGCTTTGGATTTCCTGAGTGGACATTTGGGCACACATCAGCTCTCTGTATCAACGTTTAAGAAGGATAGTTTTCAAATTATTTTATATTATAAAATGCTTCTTTTATAATGCTTTTGAAAAATTGACTTTGATCGTTTTTGAGTTTCGGTCTTGATGCTCACTGACTTTTGAAAAACCCTTAGGTTTACCTTATAAACTTGTCGTTCTCTTCTTTCAATTCAAGAACGTATTCTTCTAACTTCACGGGGTGCTACACATATTATGGCTTCGAATTTTAATTTAAGATAAAAAAAATACTTTCATTTTGATTTTCTTGAGAATTTGTTTAACCATTACGCTACGAATGAATGGCGAATCGCGACATTACATGAAGCGACCCTTCATTGGGATTTAAGCGTTTTAAAATTCAGAAAGGTAAATGCACGATAAAATCCCGACTTAGCTGAATCTCGTATTTGCGTTTTTTATCTCGCGATCGTCGCGCGGCTTCATTGTTCTTTCGCCGCTTTTCGCGGTACTCTTCGCTTAATCGAACGTCTTCCGTTATTGCTTCGCGGACGTCTTCTGAACTTCCATGGGTTTGGCCAACCGCTAATGATAACGAAAAAATAGACCATTAGAAACCCATAACCACTGGATCCAGAACTCGATTGATCAGCTCTGTTTCCATTTGCGTCATTGCTGTCGGAACTATTCCTGCTGCTGTCGCCTGAGGAGTTCGAAGAGCTACTATCCGAACTGCTAAAGAAAGTCTCAAAGATAGATTGAAGCACAATCTGCGATCGAGCGTGAAAATAATAGTTCTACTAATACTAAAAAGAACTTACCTGCTGCTCCCCGATGGGCTCGTCCCTTCGTTTGAGTCTGAGTCGCAGGACTCTAAAAACGATAATGCTCCGCATCTGTATGTATAATTAGTTCCCATCACGGCAATTCAAAGACCTCCTCTTCGCGAAAAAACGGTAAGACCAGAAGGTGAATTCTGGGAAGAGAGAGAGCCGCTCTTACCATTTTTTTGTGAGGAGGAAGCTTTTGAATTACCGTCATGGCACCTATGTATACTTGAGTGATCGCAAATGATTATTTGCATTTAATGACCTAATTTACCGTATATGCACGTATATCTTTTGAGATAACGAAGCCAATTTTACGGTACATACTTTTTGTGACCCAGGATCCAAAATACTATATAATAATGCTAGACAGAACGCATGATTATTAATGCAAAACAATTAATTTAAAGATCATTTCGTCCCTAAGAAGCTACTCATTCAGACATCGGTAGGCTCTTCATCTTTACCGATGTCGACGTAAATTGTTTCGTTTTCTTTCTCTTGGCTCATTCTTCCTCGTCGCTACAGTAGAACCAGATAATGATTTTTCAGAAAATCAAAATTCACAATGTGAATGTAAGTCCACTAACACTGTTGATGTATCTTTCTTTACACTCCAATACACTCGGTAATCGTCGCGGTCCGTATTAATATATAAGTATGATGAAACAATTACCACTCTGCTTTCAGTTCTGATTTATTTTTACCCAACAACTGTTCTGTTGTGATTCTAGATCAAATTAATCTTATGAACGAGATTAGAAAAATCGCCGAAAGTACTGGATTAACTCAGTTTGATTACATTTCTTTTGCGAAATTGAAAATTCGAACGCCTGAAATTATAGATCTGAATGTTTTAAATTTGTTTAAAAGCTGCAAGATCCTTATACCGATTTTACCTACTTTTTGACAGTGGGGATTATTTTTCTGTGCTCCTCGTGATATTGATTGAATGAAAGACTGGCATCAGACAACTGTATTTTATCCTGGATTATTTTTGTCTTCCCGACTAGCAATCCTTTGGTTACCCAAGCGACTCCTAGGAATCGCGTACAGAAGCGATCTATCTCCGACTATTACTTCAAAGCAGTTTCTTCTCCCGTTTCAAAATGATATGAAAATTCAATAAATATTTTCTCATTTATAAACAATTTATTCACATATTTACAAAAGCTGGAAAATATTGTTTTATGTACATCTATCGTTATCCACCCACTCGTCGAAAATTTCGTCGTTTGCGAAGGGATCGTTTCCAGCGGCGTCTTTCCAGATCGCCCATCGACATGCATACACATCTCTTTCGCATTTCCCCTGGCAAACCCCGTTCTTGCAGAGGGACTAAAGATACGTAGAAAGACGCTAAAAGTGAAAGACTTACCTTGCATTCCTCCCAGTTTTCTCTCAATGATGCATATTTCCAGGCGCCGCAAGAGCACTTCGCTCTTTTGAAAATCAGCTCTCCCTTTCTCTTACCGTTTTTGCACCTACCTGATGTAACGAGTGTTTTAACGGGGTAAAGACTTTCACCACTGGGCGACGTAAGATTTTTGTATTCGGTTCCGAATTTTTCACGAAACTTCGATTTCATTATTTTATAACGTTTCACGTCGAAGATATCTTCATTGAGCGCCGGGCACCCTTAATTTAGTTTTATAGATGAAGATATCACGATTATAACCGTTTTTTAATAACGGTACCTTTATGACAAATAGTCAAAACAGGCTCAGGCGATTGATTCTGAATTTCTTTCGGTCGGTCCCAAAACGTCCGCTAAACAGTTACGTTGAGGGTAATCAAAAACTCATTAAAGAGTGTCCTTACCGGACTAAGACCAGCTTTGTCACTTTGGAATTTCATCGATATCCAACGACAACCAAACGTGTCACATTTGCAATGCATGTTGCGCGTCCACGGTCTAAAACGGGAGTTAACGAAGTGAGCTAATTAGAGTGAAAGAGATTTACCCGCCGAACTCTGCTCGACACTTGATCACCCGACATTTCGTTCTTGGTGGAAATTTGAAGTTCGCCATGTTTCTTCCGTAGCCATCCTCGCGAGTATTGATTACGACTCCGTCCAGCTTTGAAAATGAGTCGCTGAATGAAGAAAAAGATTTGATAAAAAATTTACCTGGCAGCGTTGAAATTCATAGTCAGCCTGCGACTCGACCAAACATCCGTCTGATGCTAAACTCGACGCAGCTTGATTTACGAGTCCGTTGAATTCTTTCGGAAGGCTTTGAGTGCTCGCCGTAACTGTTGATGATATGGATGCTGTTGGCGGCGGATCTTCGATTGCTGATACGGTAGACGTAGGGGGCGATTTTGGTGTCGTCGTTTTAATCTCTTCAGTCGTGAAGATTGCAGTTGTTGTCGGTTCCGTGTCGAAAACTCTTTCATCCACGAACGTCGTTGAAGGAAGCGTCGTTGACGTTTTCGGCGTATTCAATTGCAAAACTTCTTCGCAGCCACTATCGGGAGCCCAATAAACACCTTGCGAGTATGATCAGTATTTATCTTGATATTTAAAAATGCAAAATGAGGGAAATCTAATTTGACTGGAATGAATGGAAAGTTAATCACAGGGAGCGCATAATTTCTCAGTCGGATATTGCGATTTCGTGCATTTGCATATTTAGGCTTTTGCCTTTTTGTGACCCACTTACCCATACCATTGATGAATCCCGCCTTGTCAATGTATCCGTGGAATGCTCTTACGTGCCACTAGGTTTATTTTAGGTAAATTATTTTACTAAAAGTATACTTTGATATCTGGAAAAGCATCCGGAGGATTAAGCGCAAGGAAGCCAGAGTGATACCACTTGATGAAACCAACGTAGTGGAAATTCTCCTCGTTGATTTCTGCTCTAAAAGATAAAAAGTAAGCAAATCGTTTTTATGCTAATTTTAATTTGATACCGATCGTTTGTCGTGCTTAATTTTATCATAGAAACTGCACCCCATGGAGGTGCAGATAGGTCGACCTCTACTTTTCTAATTCGCTCCGCAGCAGTTTCGTTCTCTAGAAGCCCATCGTCGCGATTAGTGAAGTTGAAAAACGTCCTCATCGCCGTTCTTGTGCCTCCAAGTAAAGGAAATCCGTGAAAACCAGATCTCACAGAATCATATTTTGTCATGAAGCTCGTCACGTGTCCGTTTCGACCTGGAATATCTTTGGTTCCGAGACAAGGTTTTGCACATGTATATCTCCAGAAGACCATTTTGGTCAGGGGCGGCTCGAGCATTCCCAAATTTAAATCCTCGTAATCATCGAACTTTTCGCCTATCTCGTAGCCAGCGATACCAGATTTGTAGAGACACGTGCCAGGGATATTCTCATTCTGAGTAGGCGACTCTAAGCCAGTTGTACACTCTCTCCGCCCAGAAATGAAAAAGTCCCTCGTTTCCAAATCATTTTCAGAAAACACAGACATAAAAGAAAGGTAACATGAATACGCTTTCTCAGCGTACTGGCCCGCCCAGGACCATCCGGTACAGTCAGTGCGATACTGGCATTCTCGCTGACATGTGATCGGATAACGAAATTCTTTCCAAATTTCAATTCGAGTACTGTTCGAGAAGTGCTCTCGATCATAGAGGCAGCGCGTTTTTGATGGAGAAACTGCCTTTCATTGTGTTTTACTATTGAATTCTATCTTGTTAATTGTGACGGACTATTTTCTTAATGAAACACGTTCCTGATAGAGCAAGAAAATCTTCGGAAATTTCATTTCTCTGAGTTATTTTTCTTTCTTCACCATCAATCCGAAAGCTTTCAAGTTGCTTTCTAATTCGCCGCCAGCAGCTTCTACTCTTGCAAAGCACAATTTTATAAATGCACAAATCAATGGTCCGATCGGAGAGAGATAATATCTGTGACCACAAAGGGGCGGCAGAGAGTCACCGGTGGTGTCTAGTGATAACCACGCTCTTGTCACCGGGATATTTTTAGCGGAGAATTACAGGAACTACTATAATGATTAGCTAAACTTGATGAAAGCCAACAGCAAGAAATTCTCTAGAATTATTTTTGATTTCTTCATCTGAACCGAATATCGAATCATTTAGTTCCATGCTTCTGCAAGGTAAGAACAAAGACAAAAGAAAGTTCGTTTAGAAGCCTTATTCCGAATAAAATAAAAAGTTATTTGAATTAAATTGCCTGTTGCAGGATGGAAAAAGTGATAACGAAAATTTCTGAAATGGATCTCGTAACAGATGTTTTATGTGGATGCGTCGGGAACAACCAACTTGAGCCATCGGGACGCTCAAGAAGCGCGCAAGAAGAGATCGTTTTAGAAAAGGATCATGAAGGCAAGGTGGAAACTAAAGACGAAAAGAAAGACGGTTCTTCTGACGAATCATCTACCTCGGACTCTTCTTCTGATTCTTCTACTGATGACGAGATGATACCTGAATGGCCTAACAGAATGTATGAACCCATTGAACAACGTGGCTACTGGGATGAAACTTTGACGGGGATAGTAAAACCGTCTAAATATTGGATTGATGGGAGGATGGAATGGACTCAGGGAGAGTGCAGACGCGCTTTTGATAGTAAGAGTTCCAATATTTTTAAGACTTACCGTTCTTTTTTTAGAAAACGGCTTCAACGCTGGTTTGCGTGAATACTCTGCCGAAACCATTCATCTAGATGATCTGATTGAAGTGTCTACGCTTATTTACGTAAGTAATGAATAATTATAAAAGACAAAAATTGAGTTTTGTTAACAAGATGGTTATAGGAAGGAGAAACACCCTGGGAGACGGCGGAACGAATGTGGATAGAAAACAGGAAAAGAATATTTGTTGAGGAGCATATGCATTTACTCAAATCAAGCGAGCGACCATGGGTCAGATGTAATATAGAAGATGTTTACTTGCAAGTTGGATTTCCCAAGCCTAGGAGAAAGGGCGTTCTTCCGACCTACACTTATATGATGAAAAGAGAAAGACCTGCTGATTATCGCGACGTGATGACCAGATTATTGAAAGAATATGGTGAGCACCCACCAGAAGAACCACCTCGGATACCACCTTCATACTACCATATTCCAAAGGAAGTAAAAGAGAAACCAAAAGAAGATGAGAAGAAGAAAAAGAAGAAAAAGAAAAAGAAGAAGAAAAATAAAAATAAAAAAGAAAACGGAAAAGAGGGAGAAGAAAATGATGAAAAAGAGGGCAAGAAAAAAAGCGATAAAGAGGGAAAGAACAAAAATGACAAGAAAGGTGAAGATGAGGAAGAAGAAAAAAAACCTGAAAAACCGGAGAGAATCAAGATCGATGGTTACTGGATCGGAAGAAAAAGAACTGACGAGGAAAAAGAAAGGGATAGAATAGCAAAAGATAAACGTCGCAAAGAAAGAGAGAAAAAGAGAGCCGAAAAAACGAACGCCGAAGGAGACGTGAAGAAAGACGTGAAAGGAGACGTCTAAAGGAACTTGCTAATCCAAAGAATCAAGCTAATAATAATCCCGACAGACCCGATGCAGCCAACACGAACAATACCGACGAAGCTAACTTGGACAGATCTGGTGCTGCAAATATGGACAAATCTGACGAAGCTAATATGGACAAACCTGGTGCAGCTCCGGAGTACAATGTAGAAAAGAAGAAGAAGAAAATGATCAAAATACCTAACTCATATTTGGGCATGTCATATATGGAACTCAGAGAACTCCAGAATCGGGAAATCGTTGAGCCTGAAGTCGAAAAAGAATGTGTTTGGGAATGGTGGGACAAATGGGAGAAGAAATATGGTAAAAATGCGACACCTATGTCTATCGTGAATAATATGTCGGATGAGGAAATGGCAAAGAGAGCCGCTGTTATCCGAGCAGAAAACGAAGAAATAGAAAGAATTAAAAAGTTAACATGGCCAGATCCTTACCGACTCCAACTAGCCAACAAAATAGATGGACAACATATGTATGAGGCTTTGGTCGCGGCACAAATAAGGGAAGGACATGACATGACATGGATGGAGAAATATAAAAATGATCCTTACCCTGCTTTTGACGAAATTGAACTAACAGACGAGGAGTGCGAAAAAGAAACCCCCACAGTTGACACGGTTGAAAATGAAAATAACAAAGACGACATAGCCGCCACAGAAGATAAAGTAATGAAGAATCCCGATGTCATCATTTATTCGCAACCTGACTTTGATGAAATGCCGCCCCTTTTTGATTGAAACTTTCTATGTATTTCTATTTATTATAAAACGTAAAATATTTATTCTTCCACCTTATTTTTTACATCTACAATAAAATTCTATAAAAAAAAAAGAACTTGTATAGCGAGTTCGATGAACGAAGCTTGCAAGAATGCGAGATTCTATTATCAAATTAGCCGTTAACGTTTTGGTGAAAATTTGCAGATTTTCTTTTTGATTAACTGGAACATGCTCTTGTGCGGTTTTACCCCCGCGTGTCCGCATTAACACGGTTCCTGGTGAATTATTTTAGTTCGAAACAGAAATCGTTGTCTAATGAGCTTTAAAAGTCTGTCATCATAGTTCAAAACCAATTTTGCATAATTTTGCGTAAAGCTTATGCGAGCTGGATTCTTGGAAGATGCGCAAGATGCAATTTAGAATGACAGACAAGGTTTTGCGGCGCTAGAATTATTATTAACAGCTGTGATTGCGCGATGAGGCGAGGAAAGTTCATATAGATAAATCACTCTCCCAATGAATAATTTAGTTCCGTTTCTGCAATCTCTTCGATCGTGTTGAGGATGAGACTCATCAATCAACAGTCCTGTCGTCGGCTGAGACTTAGTACTGATCTTTCTTTTTATCACCTCAAACTCATTCAGTTGTTCCTCTTTACTTGCGAAGCTATAAATATTCTAACGTACCCGCGCGAGTTCGTTTGATTTGCGATTGATAAAAAATAACATTGGTTTCGGGTATGAAATTAACCGATGGTGTTCTAACAAATTTAAGTATAAAAACCGTTTTATTCTTGAGATTCTCGGGGGCGCCTGGTTTGGTGGTCCAGGACGTGGCTCGGACATGATGAGCGATGAAAAATCATCGAGTCTTGTTCGATTCCCGAAAAAACTTGTCTTTGAGGCCTAACTTCATCGTCAAACTTTCAAATTGTCCCGTGCTTTGTAACTTCAGGACAATTCCTGAAGTTCAGAAAGCAAGATCTGATCTGAGTACCTGATGACTGAGGTAAAATGACTGAGACTTCGATCGAGAACGAACGGTCGAGAAAAACCGTAAACGACGACGAGCCTCGCCAGCTCTGGAGGTTCTTTCGGGTCCCCACTAGTAGAGGATAAATTATTTCGACACTGCCTGGACAACAGTGAAGAGTATAGGGATTCCTCATGCCGCCCGGAAGTTTTTGCAAATTTTTGTTTCAATTCAAAAGAAGATTCAGCGTAAATCTGTACTAAACCGTGCTTTTAGGGAGTTATGTACACCTGTAAGTGTGAATATTCTGCTCATAAACATTTGTGGCTCGCACTATTACCATGATGAAAGCTGAATTTCCTGATTGCTGCAAGATTCGCAAAAGAGTGTTGAAAGGCTCTCTATTTCAAGAGTTTCTGAGTTCGCGGAGTCCCCAACGTGCATCAGACCCAGTTCCAGAGAATTGACAGTTTGAACATGAACACACAAAAGAATTTCAGGTCAAAATCCAATAATACCAGCAGGTACACTATGAAGACTGAATAACGGTTATTTGATCAAATTTTCAGTATTTTGAGTCCATCCGACATGAGTCGAATTCTAGCAGTTCGAGAGCGTATGGACAGGCAATGCGAGCAAGACCTTGTTACCCTAAAGGAAATGGGGCAGCTATTATTTTGCTTAGACGAAAGTAAAACTTGCAAGTAATTTACCCACATACAGGCATCTAACAGATTAGTGTCAACATGCCGAGGACTGAGACGACGCGTTGAAACACTCGAAAGGGTAAAAATGACTAATGACAGAAAAAAGTAAATCAAATTTAGGTGACACGTGATAATCAAGTGAGGATCGTTGATTTGTCCTCAGATACTAGAGATATCAACAAACTGCTTGGTAGGGGCATAAATTATGCATTCATATTGAAATATTTATCTCTAGTGAAAATGTCAAATCGTGATATTCGACGCCTGCCACAGGATGCTATTGATGCTGCGAAACGAGCTAGAAATCCTTGGAATCTCTGACTCCATTTTTGACAAATTTGTACAGAATACAAAGATTTATGTTTAAGTAGGTGTATTTTTCATTAAAATACAGTATTTTATATTCAATAAATTAGCAGGCCTGATCCTTCTTCGGTACAGTGACTTTTTACTATATCGCCAGCGTAGTTCACCTGAAGCTGAGCAGATTTTCTTGCTTTGACTCGTTTTTCGGTCGAACAGGACGGCAAGGTATCGAATAAATCCCAAAGCATTGTTGTGAGTTCATCCAATGATTCGCATGGATCAGCTTGATCAAAAGCCCCGTCTTCCACAATTATTACAGAACTTGCATCGTCGTAGTTGTAATCGAAGTTTTCAAAGCGATGAATTGTTAATGGAAACATGTTTTCTAAATCGCCCCCGATGATGTGTCTTCTGTGAGTACTAAGCATTTCTCCAACGGTTTGGAAAAGTGATGTAAGGTCCGATGGAATTGTTTCAGGGCATTGGTGGATCTCGAAATGCTCTGCAAGATGAGCTATATTTAAATATGATGAATATGATTAAAGAATAGCGTGATTTACCTAAAGACTGATAGAAGTATTTAATTTTCAGCCAAAGATCTTCATCCACTGTTCTATCTAAAATCCCATTCACTTTTGTGTTGAACTTCCAATAAGCCTTCTGGAAATCGAATCTATCATTAACCGCGACATAAACATTTTGTGCGTCTTCTGCTAGCAATATCTTATTAGTGTTTTGCAATTTTGTGTCTTCGAGTTTAACTTCTGTTGTCTTGGAAGTGGTAGAACTTGGAATCGTGCCCGGAGATTCACTAGTCGTAGTTGTTTTAGTCGACGCAGTTGTTGACACAGTCGAAGACATGGAACGTGTAATTATAGTTGTAGTTGTTGAGGTTGTGGTTGTTGTTAAAGCAGCAGTAGCAGTGGTGACTTTTGACGATATTGTTGTGCTTGTTGTTGTAGTTATAGGCTTAGTCGTAGTCGTAATTGTCGTAGTTGTTGTTGTCGTAGTCGTCGTAATCGTAGTTGTCGTTTTCCTAGTCATAGTAGTTAGCGTTGAAGTAGTCGTAGTTGTTGTTGTGGTAGTCGTGGTTGTTTTTGTGATAGTCGTGGTCGTTGGTGTAGTCGTAGTTATGGTTGTGGTTGTTGTCGTATCCATGATGGTCGTCGTAGTCCTAGTTGTGGTTTTGGTCGTAGCCGTGGTCGTGATCGTAGTCGTGGTGGTGGTCGTTGCCGTGGTCGTAGTCGTGGTCGTAGTCGTGGTCGTAGTCGTGGTAGTCGTGGTGGTAGTTGTCATAGTCGTCGTCGTGATCATAGTCGTTGTTGTTGTTGTGGTAGTCTCAGTCGCTGTTGTAGATGTAGAAGTAGTCTTTGTTGTCGTTTTAGTGGTACTCGTAGTTGTAGTTGTTTTTGTCGTGGTGCTTCGTTTTGTTGTTGGCGTTTCAACTACTCCCGCGAAATAAACGCACATATGAGCATCGTTGCCTGTATTTTGGTAGTAAATCTAAATTTTGAATTCACCTAATTTCTCGTTTAACCTTACAAACCTCGGCCGCTTTTTCATATTCTCTCGGACATCGATGTAGCGCAAATTTTGATCGCTTTCCGGTGCAGCACTGACCTTCATTTCCACAATAGCGACAGTCGCGAACTGTTTCGACATCGCTTACCCATGGATACCAGGAGTTCTAAATGATCAACATTTCTCTTTCGAAATGTGTGATTTACCTTGCAGGGATGATAGCACTGGTCCCACCAGCTATCCCCGATCTCCCAAGTCGTCGTCCATTTGTTTCCAAAGACTTTCACGCCTGCATCGGTCCTCACACCGTAAAACTCAGCTCTCAGTATGGGAAATATTAAAAGAAAAAACATTCTCTGCAAATCAAAAGCTAAAAACTAAAATTTCAAACTCGCTTTTATGAAATCTCCTGAGTCAAAAATTTCAGCTGCAAATCCGGCTGTTATTTTCATTTTCACAAATATAGTTCATATAGTCTTATCAACCGCTTCATCACCCAATGAGTTTAGAAAGGAAGGTAAATTCATTTCCTTTAGGGTAAGGGTTAGGGTAAGTCTTTTTAGACAGAAATTGTTATGCTGAAAATACGCAGATAAGAAATCTCGATTTTCATCTGATATTTTAGCGACGCAATTGGCCGCTAAAACAGTTTCGAAAACCGGTCAAAACGGGTGCAGACTGATTTTACCCCAGATTTCGCTGTCTAAGTTTTTTCCTTATTGAAAAATGTACTTTATCGTTACGTACAAGGAATACAACAAGGACAAATCGCTCGAAACCGAAGAGAGTGACTCGTCTCCTGAAAGAAAACGTCGAAAAATAGAGCCATACTCGGAATCGTCCAACTCGGACTTGTCGGACTCCGAAACGTCGGAAGATTCATTAGGAGAGGATGAAATCACGAAGGAAGAGTTCAAACCTTGGGTGAGAAACATCGTTGATAACGGGATACCAAAAGAAAAGGAGCCGGAGATAAAGAAGCTTAAAAAACATCTCCTCAGATGTAAGAAAGCGCTTGTAGAGACGATTCGAAGAAGAAAACATAAAATCGTAAAATTGGGGAAAATCGCTGAAAGAACAGCTCATGTGCAAAAGAAGAAAAACATCGACGAAGTAAAACGAGAAGAAATCCTCAAGCGCTGTGCGAAAGACAAGACGAATGAAGAGAAAAAACTGCGCAAGATTGAACGGCGCATGAGAAACATCAAGGAGCGAAAACAGAAGATCGCATCCCAGCTTTTTCAACTCACTGTTTTTGTAGCACATGTTACACATTGAGATACTGTATTTCTCCTGCAGGGACATTTTGAAATAATACAAACTGTATTTAGTGATATTCTTGTTTTATTTGTGGTCCACAAATTGCGGAGAAAGCGATTTTGAGAGGGCAGTTATTTATAAACGGATGATATCTTTTGTTGCATTAATGGGGACAATGAAGACAATAAACAGTTTTGTTCAGTTCTTTCTTGTATATCAGTTGAAGGGCGTCGGTATCATTTTATGTACAAGTGTGCCGATGAAGTTTCTCATCAGAAGTCCTTAATTTCTAAATGGATTTCGTCGCAAATGCTGGACTCGTAAGATTCACCTTCACAAAGTCAAGGCTCTGTAGAAGATGAACACTTCATTTGGCAAAATCTCAATTTCATCGAGCACAAGGAGAGCCTGCATTGTTATTTTAGCTATTTTCCAATTCATATAAAACCAAAAACCATAGAACATGCCTTCGATAACAGCCCAGAAGTACGCCCAGATCTTCATTCGTCGTTGAGCTCGTTCTCCATATTGTGACCATCGCAGTATTCGTAAGATTCTGGTTTCAACCGTATAGCATCTATCGCTAGCATCGCAAAAGCTGCAGATCGGATGAGTCTCTTCGTTAATCCAGGGGAAAACGAAGCTCTATAAACAGGTACAAGAAAGCCAATCTTTTAACGAACCTGACAATGAGGATAAGAAATGTTCACTTGTCCGTTGTCACGTGTAATTTGAAAGCACATCTGATTCTCCTTGTCGATTAATCCAGCGACTAAGCGTCTCTTTGGAATGATAGGGTAGGCCTGAACGACAAAATATACGAAAAATATGATTTTCATTTTGCTTGATTTCTGAAAGAAATGAAGGTCTTATAAGCATGGAAAAAAAAACTAAAGAAATTTGTCGAATCATCGGTTCGAACCACTTCTTTTCTATGGGAAAACTAAGGTGACAAAATTCGGCGCCCTTCATGTTAGCTATCAGTTCGGGATTTTGCATTGCGAACACATTCATAATTCGAGAACAGATTATCTATTACTCGAATAAACTTAGGAAAGGTATTCCGAATTTCGGAACAGTTTCTATTTAGCAGAAACTGATTGAGAAAAAATGGGAACGAGGTAACAGATTTTTACTGAAAGCGAAACCCTGAGGAGTCCTTATGCTTGCTTTCATTTCGAGATTTTTCATTGCGTTTTTTCTCAAAATTTTTTATAGAAATTGATAACCTAAACGAGACAAATTTGTTTATGTATTTGTGGATGTATTTTAAGATTGAGTTTCAATACCTCAGACGCACTGAACTTTTGAACTTAACAATTTCAGATCTTAGTCAATGTGGAAACTTTCAGTTTCTGCGACAGAAGTTTCTTCAGACGTAGCTTTTTGGGTAGTTGTCGTTGTGGGATTTTCAGTACTTGTTGTGGCCGTAGAAGTTGTAGTTGTACTCGTCGTGGTAGTAGTTGTGGAAGTTGTGGTAGTTGAGATTGTGGAAGTGGTCGATGTTGTGGTTGTGGTGGTAGTGGTCGCTTGAAAAGATTATTATTTGAAAAAACTTGACTTTGTAGTTACTTGAGGTAGTAGACGACGTTGTTGTAGTAGTAGTGGTGGTTGTAGTCGTACTGGTGGTCGTTGTGGTTGTTGTTGTGGAGGTCGTTGTTGCTGAAATAAATTTTAAACATGTTTAGAAAATACATTATGGTTACTTGTAGAAGTAGTTGTCGTAGAAATGGAAGTCGTTGTTGTTGTTGTTGTTGTTGTAGTAGTAGTGGTAGCTTGAAAAAAAAATTTTGCGATATTTTATGAATAAGATAATTACTAGTGCTTGTTGTGCTCGTTGTCGTGGTCATAGTCGTATAAGTTGTTGGAATTAATTCAGTTCGTTGAAAGTAAATGCAGACGTGATGGGCATTGTCGGTCTGTCGATAAAACTCCTGCAAAATGATCAAAGTTGAATTAAAAAGGGTTCTTTTGTACCTCAGCAGCTCGTTCAAACTCGGGCGAGCAATTGTGCAAATGAAATTTGTGCCATCGTCCCGTGCAACATTGACCTCCGGTTCCGCAATAGGAGCAATGGCGAACAGTAGCTACGTGGTTATCCCAAGGATACCAAGAATCCTATATAATTTTTAACTTTCTTTGAAAACCCTATTTTTATAAATACCTTGCATGGATGGTAGCAATGGTTGGTAAAGTGATCCTGAGCGTACCAGACGGATCGGTAGTTCCCTGAGTCAGTAGTGAAATATCTATCATGGCGCGCCAAAGGGATCAAGGAAGAAGCTCCGAGGGAAAAAATAGCTGAAATAAAAACCCACATTTCTCGTTCTGAGTCTCTCTTCGACTGATAGTCTCAAAGCAAAAACATCGAAAACTCTTTGGAAATTTCCATCCAGCTGCGAAAAAGAATAAAAACAGCATATTTTCGAATTACGAAAAGTTTTGTTGAATTAAACTTCCAAATATGGCAAGCTGCCTACAGAATATTTGAAGGATTCAGAGGCCGTGGAAGGTGTTTCAACGGAATTGGTTCTACTTCCGAGACGTCTTGACTCGGAAACTACAAGTTTGATAAAGCCTTGTCGAGAGGTTTTGCGGAAGGAAGGAAGGAGTCGGGCACACACAAAGTCACTTCCACCACTGTTGAAGCACAATGATCCCGAGAGAATTTAAAATTATCAACTCACGCGCTCTCGGACACACTTAAGACATCACCTTAATTTTGTTTTACATCATGAATTTCATTCATTAATTTCTTGGTAAGAGCTATATTTGTTATTATTTAAGATTAATGAAGAATGAGGCTGAAAAGTTTTCTTTGTGTTTGTCATCATTTTGTTTATTCATTTGGTTGATGGTTTTTTCGGGCGGACGAACATGATATGCAGTTTTACAAGTGAACTGTTTGAAATGAGAAAATCAGAAGCTTGAAAAAATCTTTTATAATATTTACACTTATATAAATAAACAGGATAAGTACGTGTCCAAATTACACAAGAGAGATAGTAGGGTCGTTTGTGGTGTTTTGTTTCGCTAAGCTTTCTGTCTTGATTGGGTTTGACAGTGGGACATTTACTTGCAGTTATGCGGACATTTACAGCCAGGTAGAAGTGCGTTTTGCGTGCGCTGTACAGCCCAGTGCCCAGCTTTGTAGATGGGATAGATTACTAAGCAGGGAAGGAACATCGTGACTGCGCCCAAGAGCATCCATCGAAATGTACAGCCCTGTTGGGAGCAAGAGGCCGGCGTGTCTGACAGCTGTCGCTTCAAATGGGAGTCCTCATCGTAGGTGAGATGATATGCACATGCCTTTATCGCCCAAAGACAACTTACCCTGTCAACAGCCTGTTGCGCAGGGTGACACGATGCTTCCAAGTCGATCCTTGGCACGGTGCATTTGGCGCAAGTGCAGCGTTTGCACTGCGGACAGAGGTAACCGTGGCGGCCGGGGCGGGGCTGGGACTCTTGACGAACCGGCTCGCATCGAACAACCTCGCGGCGGAGAATCTCGTCAAGCGTCGGAGGTCGGCAGATCGCAGCGCTAGGCAGGGGCGAGCTTCGAAGGCAAGAGTCGTCGCGGTTGGACGCGCGCAGCCACTTTGGCTTTGGGGGCACGGGTGGAGGAAGGGCCAGCGAGCCGGACAGCGACGGCACCCGACTCAGATGTAGAGGCTTCGATGGGCGTGGAGGCACGGTCGGGCGAAAGCTTGACATCTCCTCGACATAGTTGTTGGTGATGGCGATGGGTTGAGGGCGAGCAAGACGGCCTGTTGATTTCTTTTCACTGAAATAACACTTTGAAATTTGTTCAACTTATAAAAAAGTTAATACAGTGGCGTAAATCTTAAGCGCGATAGTTAGTGATAGAGAAAATTTACGCTCGTGGCAGTTATTCGCTCACTTAGTGACGTAAAATTGGCCCCCTTATTTGTCAGCTTATAAAAGTCAAGAAGCAACATATTCTGAGCGATGGAGCGGAAATCGGCAGGAACGGAAATATTAGGGTATTATCGAAGTTCCACCTCTGAACTTATCACTTGCCGCGCGCAGATGGGTTTGATTTAGGAGGTGCAAGACTGTGAGGATTATCTTGAGTGTGATAACATTTCAGATGATTTCTACTTCCTTTATCCACTTAACTCATAAATGGACTTGTCAGTCGGAAGTAATCACTCATTCTCCAGCCACGGGATAAAAATATAGTTGTAAAAAGTGCGCACCGTGGCAAATAGCTGGCAAAAAAAACAAAATCTTAAAAAGGGGGATTAATTTAGGAAGTCTTTGGGCTATTTTCGGTGGCAATTTCAATGACTCCGTTTCAGTTCCATCGTGGCGCGACTGCCTGGCTCCTTAGCCATTTCCCCTCAGAGCTAAGCCCTTACTTCCGCTTTCATGAAGCTTAAATTTTACGCGTATGGCGCCTAGCACCAGCGCTTCTCACGGGCGCTCTTCATTTCGGAAAGAGTAGTTCGGCAACTCGCGATATTCGTATTTCCGAGTTTGTTCGTCCGAATATTTGCACGGAAGTTCTAAAAAACTCGGCTGTGTGTGTCCAAAAAAATGCCCACAGGAAGCGTAGGCGCTGAGCGGAAGTACGCTCGCTGATATCGTGTGGGACCGCGGCGATAGTTATCACCCTCTTTCCCTGTTTTAGCTCGATGTGGCTGTTCGAAAGTGTGTGGGGATATTTCCGGCGCGCCCTGTGCACTCCGCCGCCGCCATGCCGGTGGTGGAGCTCTGAGTCGCTGCTTCATTTCCGGTGGAGTCAATCAGACGCCGCTCGATTTGACTGGAAGTCGCCTCTCCCACTTTTCGCGTAAATAAATAAATTAAACTTATATGTATATGTTCGCGAGTAGAGGAAACGGAAACTGCCTCCGCCTCGAGATTTGCTCAACCACAAATGGCCGTCGCCGGAAATTGCATTGACCAGTCTCCATCCGGTTAAATTAATCCGAAGAGCCAGAACGGACGCCCGACCTCCAGCCGAAGAGACCACCCCAGCGAATTCCCTCGTTACTTCACCCATTAAAATTAAAGATAAGCCGCTTTACTCGCTGGCGTTTTCCTTGAAGCTCAGAGGAGGACTCGAAAGAGCGCGGACTCGGAAGAGCGCGGTCGAGGATCTCTGATATGGAAGTAAATAGCAAGCTTGGAATTGGATGGGGAGGTTGGAAATCGGGGAAAAGGTTGAATGGCTGAGTGTTTTCGGTGGTCGACGTCCGTGTCGGAAATATCATCGGACATCGTGTCGCGCCGCTTTCCGTCTGCCGCTTAGGGTCAGTTCTGGCGGCCGCCGTGAGCGTCCGTGCTTTCTCCATTTACTTCCGCTTCCTACTCTACTTCCGCAACAAAACTTCCTTTCCATCGGTATTTGCATGTTACACGGTCCTTCTGAGATGTTAATTCAAAAGAATTCGCCAGTGAATAAAAAATCTTTTAGGCGACTTCCTCTCATTTGGCATGCTTATCGAAGGACATGGTCATTTTTTGAAGCTCAAGAGGCATGCTCTCCAAACGCGAGAACGAGTTCTTCAATGCTTCAAAAATGTCAATAAAAATTGAAGGTTAACATCAATACCTTTTTTATTGTGTAAAAATGTCACCCCTCAAATTTTGCCCAACGGGAAAAGTTTTTTGCTCACGCTCGAGAAAGAAGGGCTGGAACATTGTTTTTTAACTTTACTCGAAAGCGGAAGTTTTCACAAGCTATCACTCTGAGTCGAACGCGCAAAAATGGCTTACTTCCGGCCAGCGAAAGCAGTAAATATTAAGACTTGGAATTCCAAACAAACGCTATCAGTCGCGCTTTTGATTATATATATAAAGCTTTATCGCCACCGTAAACTTATCCGTTTAAGAAACTGTTACTTACACAAAAGTTGGCTTCGACATTTCTTCTTCACAAATTCATAAAGCTCTGTTTGATGTGTTCTTCGGTTCTATCTTCTGATTTTTGGAAGCTGGGACTCTCGGGAGGTCGTTGTTAAAAACGACTGATTTTTCAAAATTTCTCGGTTTTTGAGGTGAAAGGTATAAGAGGGTAGGGAATTCCGTGAAACAAACGCTTCGGCCAGACGATCGCCTCAACCGTCGCGCTAGAGCGCTGAACGCCGCGCTCCGCCGTTACAAGCGGCGATGAGGGCGCTAAGGCGCAGAGCCTGGCCGAGCGAATTGCGCTTCTACCGCGCAAGTAGCGCAACTCTTGCCCGGAAGTACAAGGTGCTAAAGAAGGAAGTGGCTTACATGCATAGCTAAAATGACAATGCCAACTCACACCCTATCTCAAAAAATCAGAATCTACTTGAAAACTTATTATTTTGATGCAATGGTTACTTTTATCCTTCTTAGAACAATTCTAATATTACATTCGCTTCGTAATTTTTGTACATTCAGTACTTCTGCACTAAAGTCAAGAATAAACGATCTAACCCCGAAAGAGGTGTGAATAGATTTACAAGTAAGACAAAGCGCTAAATTGTCAGAAGATAAAAATATCCAAACAAGCAATTTTTAGCCTTAGCACGAGCTCAATATCCCGCGGAGTTGTTTTTTCGCAAGTCAGCAATGTCTGCACTCTCTTTGCAGATTACAGCTGATTACAGGCTTCGTGGAGCCATATTGCGCCGCGGAATTCATGCCAGAAGCACCTGTAGTCGGTCTGTACATGTGTTCAAAATCAGTAGCTAACCTCAGTAGAACAGGTTTGCTAAAAGAAGTCCAATTCGAACCGATCAGTTATATGATGCAAGTCATCTCTGAAGCAGACTGTAATGCAAAAGTAACTGAGTTGGTAGCTTTGACCCATTTTCGCTGGCCGGAGTCCATTAGATCGGGAGCACGATTTTATTCGCTTTGAAAGTTCGACAAAGGTAACCTACTAACCGCACATGAGTGAGCACTATCAAGCTTGATGTCTTTACTTGAGGTGTCACGTGATCGTTATCCTTTCTGATGATCCGACGGAATTGGACGGCGACCTCCTAAAATCGCCGGAACTTCAAACGCACCCCTCGCATCAGTAAATACACAATTTACTTAATACGAAGAGTTAACAGTCCAGAAATGACGCGCCTTCCCCGTGATTTACGAGTCCTAAGTCACCAAATGCAGACTTCAAATGCTTGACTGGAATCTAAGCAGAGGGCAAATTAACAACGCCACTGATCTAGCTACGGAAGCAGCGGCAAAACGGAAGTCGCCAGAGCGCCTTTGTCAATTGTGGCCGCTCGGATTTTGTTGTTCTTTGTGTGCAAAAACGACACTTCCGGTCTCGCTTCCGCTAGCATCCCAGAATGATCACTCCAATCGGTGAACAGTTGTATTCTTCGGCGGATCTACGTTTATACGCGGCCAGTATATAACTTATATAATAAAAGAGTACAGTAGTCGGCGACTTTCAGAAATCGAAATTTTTGTAAATACAAAAATTTAACCTGAAATCGAGAAGTCTCGCCACAGGAAACATCAGTTCGATAAGAAGTAATTGAGCCTCCTGCCGCAAAGATCGTTAAAATCAGGCAGGAAATTTATCTGTAATCGGAAATCGATTTTTACCGAAATCGCGTACACTGTCAAATTTTTCACCTCCAGCGGATGTCCACACGGGGTATTATTGTTTTATTGTCAGCTCGTTAATACCTTCACCCTTTTTTATGGGTTATGCTTCTGGTGGGAAGCATAAGCTCTGCCCAAGTCCCGTGAGTTTGATTGACAACACGCTTTTTGGAGGAAATTAGGCCTCTCCATCAAAATGGTGGGCACCAGAATACTTAGACGAAATTTTAATGATTCCTAACCGTCCGAAAATTTGTGTATTCCTGCTGAGAAAAGTTGAAGAGTGATATTTTTAATCAGTCTTGTTTTGACTAGTTATCAAAATTGTTGAGGGTCCAGACCGTTGAGCCAGGTCCTCATGTTAATACAAGGGCGATAGAAAAAATGCGAGAGAGTGGCCAGCTGTCAAAGCTCTTTGAAGCTAACTCCAGGGCACTTTAGAGCCAGAGACCCCCGTCTATTGAGTGTCCCTCTGACTTCATCCCATAATTGCCTCTTTGAAAGGCGAAAATCGATGTAGATAAGCGCAATCTGCGAGAGCTGTGATTTTTTAGAACAAAAAGAAGACCGAGTACTAATTTTGGCAAATTGTCAATATTTTGTGCAGACCGTTTAGCCTACTTTTTAAAAAGACTCTCGATGACTTGAAGTGGTCGCTAACAACACGTGACTATTTGCTAGGGTCTTTATCAGTCTCGTGACCCGCTTTCTATCGTGTCTTTTATTTCGTTTTTATTTTCAATGGAAAGCAATTTAGAAAATAGCAAGCCAGCTCCCAGTTGTAGAGGTGAGGCTAATTTCATGCTCCCGTGGAGAAAGTATTTGATTGTTTGGTATTCGAGCAATTAAGCAAATCTGAATCGATTTGAGGCTAAAGAGTCACAATTATATGCTCGGGAGAAATTGTGTTCTCTTTCTTTTTGCCTGCAATTCCAAGCGTGACAAATAAACGAGTTCGCAATCTTACTTTATGAATATTTTATGGAGAGTGCACGTGACCATGAGTCCCATCTGATGTGGATGAAGATGATAATCTGATCCTATTACAGAGTTTATTTCACCCATAAAAACGATCACATTAGTGCTCGATATTCATCTTCAGCATGCGATTTACGCCACCCTAAAGTACTTTCTCATTTACAAGGTCTCGTTTTTTCACCACAAAAAGCGGTAAATATTTACTCACGTTGGTTAGTTTCGGTTATTGAGGTTGCTTTCTGTTGGCAACTTTGTCGAGTAGGTTTTCTTGGGAGTTGTAAATTTTGCGCTGGTGTCCGCAAAACATGGTGTTCGCGCCCCCTGAAATGATTTATTTGCATTTCGCAGTAAGTATTTGGTGCTTCAACAGCATTAATTAGTGCGAAAGCTACGCGCTTTATTTTGCAGGTGTAATTTTGTAAGAAGGAACGCTTCTGCCTTTTGATATCAAACCGTCTTTGTGCTGCTTCAAAGAGTGTCCACAGAAGTGAGCGAGCCCACGTGATCTGGATTAAAATTGGCTTTTGGACACCTTCGAAAGGGATCTTTAGTCAAAGGCGATTTGGATTAGAAACTCGGATCAAGGCGAAGAAGCCGCCCGCCGCAAGAGTCACTGACGTGCAAGGCGACGTAAACAACAATCCATCACAATTCACAAATTGGAGCAGCCATTCTACACCCTTGATCTATCACCTGGTAAAATTAAGAACGAGCGGCCACCCAAACACAATATTTATAAGTATAACACACCGCCCTATTCAGGAGCTATTATCAGCAAATCAAGCATAAAATCGAGCGTATGTGAGAGATATCCTTAATCTCTTTCTAGAACGCAAAAGCTGAGTTGTTATAACATACCCCACCCCCAAGTTTTCGCGCATTCCTCGGTACATTTTCCGTAATTTACTCTTCCTGATTTGTTCAAAACCCCGAAATTTACGCCGCTTAACTTTTCTGCGTGCGCCCAAATTTACTCTCGCGGCGCTGATTGGCTTCGTCGGTTAATTTTCTGTCTGCGCAAAAGTCTTGTTTTGCTCGCTCCGGGCAAAGAAAGGATGATCTTTTATAAAAAGCCAGATTCCCTTATAGGGCAGCCCTATCTTATGTTATCTTTGATAAAATTATTGTTTATTGTTACAGTGAAGTTTATAAATATTTGATAGAACGTCATGCTAGTGCGATAGATGAAAACGGTTTCTGAGGAGCAAAATCCTGGCATCAATATTTTAAGTTACTCGAATGGTACGAATTTTATGTGTCCAAGCCACGAAAAATTTTCAATTCTAGTGCCTCGAGTACCTGAAAAAGACTGAAATCCCTTGGTTTAATTTGGCGCTATGATTGCATAACGCGCCCGTTAATAGATCATTTGCGTTGACGCGCATTTCAGCGGGTCGCGAGTAAATTTGGGCGCACGCGGAAAAGTAAGGAGAAGAAATTTGGAAACGCGAGGAAACGCGAGGAAGCGTAAATTTCGGGGGTTTCGGAAAAGTTAGGAAACGTAAACTTGGGCGAAATACCACGAATTGCGCGGAAATTTAGGGGGGGGTATGTTAGCTAGAAAATCAAAAGCGGCCAGCTATAAATCGTCAAGGCGACACAGTGATCGATACGAGCAATTCATGGCTTATACCTACTTGTATCAAGAGCGGGAGCGGAATAAATTATTCAGCAGCTCAGCTAGCTCGTCGATAAAATATTCCTCAAAATGAATGCCAAAGACACGCTCCAGCTGCGCCCGAGTATTGAGAGTGATTCCCGGCCAAGAGTTGAAGGTTTTTTTGTCGTCTTTCTTATGCTCAATATTCTTCGTCGAAACCGTAGTGGGGGGAAGCTCTTGGAAGCTAAACACATGCTTGGCAGATCTTGATGCTCCACCCTCCGATGATCTATCGGTAATGTAAATAATTACATTCTCACGGTAAGGGATCAATCGTGCGAGTCCCCATCTTTCAAGGACCTATTTGAAACAGTCAATCGGACAAACGAGGCTGGCCACTGCTGTTACACTGAACTTCAATTTTTATTGCTGTTTACAAATCTCGTGGAAATTTCAGCGTGGGAATAATCCATCACAGGGCCCCTTAAATGCACCCTTATGACTGTCCAAAGCATCAAAAACGAAAACCACGAGCGCTTTCGGTGATTTACGAAATCGAGTGGACGAGAATCGAGCTTGTAAACGTGACGGTTTTATTAATTTATTTATATGAGATTGTACAGTAAAGGGCGTTCCACGAGTGCACAACGTACGGGAACCTTGGTGGGCGGACAAATGCTTGATACTTGACGCGTTTTATTCATGAAAGTCGATTTGTTCCACTCGCGCAGATAATCCCTTTTCTAGCGTATACGCGGAATATTAATGTGGCTCGTACTAAGTGTAAATATTTCTTCTAAGATTTTGCGGTCGAGCGAAGATTTACTCGCAGCTAGCCGAGATAGCTGTTGGAATTCGGTGCAAAAATTTGAGAGGTCGAGAGAAGTGCTCCCAGCAGCACAAAATAAGTAAGAAGGAAGTACCTGAGACTGGAGATTGTTTAGAATTGGCTTAAGAGTATGACAACTGGAAGTGACATTTGTGCCATTTGGCAGCATGTTCTAGCTGGGAGCACGGCGCAAATAGCTTGCTTACTGAGCTGTCAGAAATAATCTCAATCGAGATGCGATTCTCAGCCAGTGGCCGGGTAAGCAACCGAATTAGTATTTTTATCTATCTATTTTTAAATATCTTCTCTCGATCTCAAATCAGGTGACCTCCTTCGGAGATCCTGCCGTCGTCAAATGTCAGCAGATCGGAAGGACTGTCGACAATGACGCTAGCTCCGGAGGACGGAACTACCGGAACCAGCGTAACCGGTTCCGCAAGCTCGACCAAATCATCTTATTGCGAATATACGTCTTAGGAGAAAATAAGTGAGAGCTGACTCCTCGATCCGGCCTCTTGTTCAAGATCTGCCCTCAAAGTGGCCTTGCTATGGGAAAATTTGGCCGCAAAGCGAAGGTGTAATGAGGGAGGTGGAGTGGGCTCCCTTTGACACGCCGCTTTGAATTCTCTCAAATTCCTCCCGAGCGTGAAAATTATCCCACAATTAGCTCCTTCTTCGGCGCGTTTAGAAACCAGGTGCCAAGAATAACACTTTACGCCAAAAGTGCTAAAACTAGAACCGTGTTTATCGTCAAATACAGGACTCGATCCAACACAAAACAAAGTGCAATCACTAAACAGCGTGCTGCTTATTCGAGGATGTCAAATCTTGTAATTCATTCCTTGGAAGACTTTCATTTTCTCAGTGATGAGTTGAGTCTGCTCGGCGGAAGCGGTTCATCCAGACTAGGTGATCAAAGACATAGAATTTGACCTTGGCGGGACTTATCTCGGAAGTCCTAGAGTAGATGCGTTAACAAGAAAGTACTTCCTGCTGTCAACAAATTAAATGCCGCCAGATAGAGTACATTTTAAATCCACATAAGTGTCAATGCTCAGTATCACATGCTTCAAGTCTAAAATAATACCATTGTTGGCTAAGCTTGCATCAAAGACGAACTACTTGTGTGAGTATAGGTGTTTTGAACCCAGGACAAAAAGGTCAGCGGTATATTGAAAATGAGAAAGTTTGCGGTAAATATACTTTTCATGTGGCCCGATAGATTATTTCAAGGGATTTCAAGCGAGCTATTTTCGAACAGAAAAGTTACTCGATTAGCCGAGGTTAATAACTAAAATTTTATTAGAGAAGCTTTGATTTTGCACGTCGTGTCTGAGTAACTTGGACTGTTCTATTTGGCTTTTATTGACATTTTTCTTATTCACTCGGGCATTGAATTTCCCTAACTTGGCTACATAGGCTATGTAACATAGCTCAGCTGCCTTTGTCCAGAATGAAAAAGATGAAACAGCGAAAGTGTTGTCCGGCGGCAGAGACAATTTCCGCATCCGCCTCCGGGAGGAAGGTCACCCAGCCCGAGGCGCGTTTATGTGAGTTAAAATATTCAATGAAAATACCAAAGGTAATAAAACGTTGCTGCTAGTGAGAGCGTCTAGAATCTTTTCGGAAAGCAGTTGAGCCCTCGAACTTCCAGTGACAAAGAGACGTGACTAGGTTAATATCCACAACATGCATCCGCCGGTTATGATCGCCGCCGGTGGCCCGGATTCGGAATTCCGGCTTGGATTCCGGTCTTTTATCCGGCCTAAATCCGGTCCTGACGAATCCGCCCGGACCTCCGGCTGACCTCTGGATGCCTCCTACTTTGGCTCTGTAACTCAGGCGGTTCATTCCATACCTTCCATATCTAGGAAAGTCTGAGACTTACTTGATCAGGAGTTCTGCCATTCGCGGTGGAACACATCCAGATCGTTTATGAGCTGCATGATTATTTCCGAGTTGTTCTTTTATTACGAGGCGCAACAATTTTCTCTTTCCGATAATGCAATTGAGTACTTCCCCAACGATCTCCCACGAGCACCGCATACGGCGAATTGTTGCTTCCGATTGAGTCGCATATTTTTACATATTTCCGCTCCTACGGCTCACCTTCCATTAGCCTTTGATAGAGGTGGAGGTGTTAATCCGACAAGCGGAGGCGCCAGCTAGGTACTTTCTATGCCACAAAGAGCCTTATGCGGGAATCGCGTCGCACCTTTCGGTCTCTGATCCCCGGTAAAACAAGTCAGTCTCATGTTAAAATATAAATTCTAAAACTATATATCTATTCCTGAAATTGAGAACAATATGTTCTTCCATCGCAATAAAAAAGATATAATTTGGAGTAAAAAGTATACTCACTGAATCAACTTTTGAGAATTTACAGTAAAAAGTCCCATCATAGGTAGAATATGGTGCGTCTGATCGGCGCCGCCGAGACAAAAACCGGAAAACGGGCGAATAAGCGGAAATCAACCCCAAAGACGAACAGGAAGCGTCGTCTTCTGACGCCGCCCTTCCCGCACTAAGGGCATCTATCCGTCCGGTGGAGAATTCGCGTTTTCCGTCCGCAGAAAGGGGAACTAACCAGTTCCGATAACTATAAAAAACTTGATTAAAACAAAATGCTTCCCTCGTTTTCCGGCCATTTGTAAAATATACCGAAATGGAAGTTATAAATATGTCGTTCTCTTACTCCGGAATTACACAACTGCAAGATGTCAGATATTCTCCTGAAGTGCATCGCTGTATCTCAGAAGTCTCTCACAAACAGGAACAAACAAAGAAGGAAATATTTTTAGTACTAACTTGACCAAAAGGCACACTGTCGTTTTAGGGATATTTTTGCTCACGGGAGAGCCCAACGATGAAATCGGAATTTCCGCCGCCCGGTCACTTCCACCACCGGTTACGTCACAAACGGTTTTTGGCAGAGCCACTTCCACCGGAAAGCTTCGAATCGTTAGAAGACCCTGTTCATTTAAACTTTGTGAGCACGCAAAACTATGTGAGCGTATGAGACGAAAAAAAGCGTCAAATATGTTCGAAACGCGAAGGAAATACAACTTCGGACAGTTTTTTTTCGAAATTTATTGAATGTGAATTGTGAATTGAATCGACAAAGATCGAAAGTTTCAGAAAAAATATTTTGATAGAAGTGAAGACATGAAGAAATATTCGTTTGGTTCTTTTTAGATTTGGGTTATCTCTTGTCGGCAAACTACAAATATATAGATAAATAAATTAGGCTGAAATTCTGGGCTACTTACGTGGGCAGTTTGTATGTTCCTTTACCCAAATAAGTAGGCACTTCTCGTGAAATCGATGGACGCAGGTTTTCAATTGACAAAGCTTCGAAATTTTTCTTATAAGAAAAAGGTAGAGCGTACCTTTTGGCCATTCTCATACTCAATTAGACAAATCGAGCAGCTCAACTCCGTTTTTGATCGAGTTCGACGAAACGTTTTTCGTGGTATAGTATCAATCACATTCTGCGGAAGACTGAATATGAAATTAAGAATATGCGTCCGGTTTTAATATAAGTATTAATGCCTTACCCTTTATTTTGCTCTCGTATGGCGCGCAAGTTTTCAATGTAGGTCACCAACGATGTTTGATGAGAACTGTCGCTAGCCCGTCGAGCTGCTGAAACTCGTCCTGCCAGGTTCAAAGAGTCGAGGAGTTGGCTAGAATAAGTAGAAACCTCTCCGGATATCATGCTCTCCATCCTTTTCAATAAGTAATGCGAGTTGAAGTTTGATTCGGTGGCTTTTTGGTGGATAACTCTGAGTTATCTGATCGAAGCACGATCCTCGGACTCAGCTTTAACTTTATTTATTCGTTTTGATAACTCCTGACTAATTCTAGAATATCGCTAGCAATAGAGATCTTTTCATCCAATATTTTCGCTTTGCTCATCATTAAATAGCGATGCCCTTTTTCATATGCATTAAAAATTATCACTGCATGAAGACAAGGAAGACAATTGCGCTGTGAACCGTGATAGAGAGCACAGCTATGAGTTTTGAAAAAAATAATCTTTGTTAACAGGTTTAAAAATAAAAATTGAAAAATAAGAAAGGCAATGAGATTTTTCGGTTTCGAGAAGCTATAGTTCGTTTATGGACACGCTGCATAACGTGCTGCTACAATAATCCAAACGGCCATGCTTTCTTCTGCATAATGAAATATTTTCGCTCTTATACCAAGGCGAGCTTCATTTCCTCGCGTACGGAGCAGTGGCTCCCACATAGGACGTTTGAGCATAGTATTGAAGATCTTCTGTGGATTAATGGAATGTAAACGAATTGGTAATGCTTTGAATGTATGCCCATTTGGAACAGCGCGTCTTAATGCGTCATTAAATTCAGGCGCATCGGCCGAGATTCCGTAGAGTTCAGACATCTCGTAACGATTAATCGCACTTGATAGCATCATGCTAGATGCGAGATTAGAGACATTAAAAGTAAAAGGTCAAATACCCGAGTTCTTGATCCCATTTTGTTCCAAGATCATGCTGATGTCTATAGTCTTCAATAAGAGTAGATAGTGTCGCTTCAATAGCAGCAGCTTGGACAATAGGGTCACCTTCGCAGCCCCGTATCTTTATTCCTCTTGGCGAGTGATCGAATGGTCGGGAGTAATGTAATGCAGCTATAGCTGACGAATTCATTCCTTTCCATTTGCGCGGGTTTGTCAGATTAAAATCCACCAGTGGAACTCTGTTATCAACCTGTACATTGGCAAAGAAACTGTCGTGGTTGAACAGGCAGTCAACCGTTCTATAAGGGTGTTCGAGTCCGGTCACTTCATGAGTATCGGGATCAGCTAAAACATGGACGAATCGTTGACCAGTCGTTCCGTCCCAGAATGAGATTGAATCGTCGATCGTCACAACCCAGGACCAAGGCTTTCCTTGCTTCACTCCAAGAGCAACGAACGCATTTAAACCGAAGCCAGTCAAGAAGGAACAAAGCAAAGCATTGTGACTAGCGTGATTTCCTTGTTTTCCGCTTATCAGCGCCGCAGCAGAGTGCCAAATATCATTATCTCCAGCGATTCCACTGTCCGCAACAAATTCACAATCAAGCGAGCTTACAAAGCGATGTGCCAACCTCGGACAATCCAAAACGCGTGATATTTTTATCGGCCAGACGTAGGTGAAAACAGGAAATGATCGATTTTTTTCATCGGATGCATAGATTTTGACGAGACGCTCTTTGATATCTGATCGAGTTTGTAGAAATTCATTCCACCATTTTTTGGCGAATGTCATGAACAGTCTGTCTTTTTCTGTATTTCTGTTTTTTTCTAGCGAGAGTTGGGTTTTAAGAACATCGGTAGATATTGTAGATTTCAGAGCGGGCATAAGTGATATTCTCAGAGTAAGATTCCCTATCAACAGATCGCGTTCATTGAGAAGGCCCTAAATGATTCAATATACCGCAATTCTGACTTCGATTCGCACACAAACCTTCAATTCTAATTTAATCGTTTGTGGCTGCTCAAGAATCGCTCTCCATTCAAAACACTCTTTGCTCATCACTTGCTGGTCCCCACTTTTATCTGTTGCAACGAGAAAAACGATGACACTTTCTAGAGGAAAATTGAAAATCGCGAATGTAATGACTTATAGTACCTTGTAGACTGAGAACATTTTCTACGTCTGGAACCTGCCTGTGCTGCGAGTGATCAATGTAGAACAGGAAGGTCTCGTTGAAATTCGGATTTCTTGTCACTGCCAAAGGGTTAGTCGAAAAGCGCTGTTTGTTGAAAAGAATATGAATTTGGAATGTGGACCTTTGAAAGTCATCCGAAATCGTGTCAATGTGTAGTTTTCCGTTGATAACTTCTGTATGCATATAAATTTGACATGGATCCAAGCACTCTTCCAAATACTTTATGTCTGTGTTGACGAGTTTGTTCGATTCACTGTCGATATATTTCAAAAGTCCGCAGGGTTCTTGCACATGCTCAGGCAAACCGATTGGGGCATCTCTTACGCGGCGCATAAGGTCGTCTATGACTCCTTCTTCTTCTAGTCGGTCTATTAATTCATCTTCTGAGCTGCTGTTTACTTGTATTGGCTGAATGATTTGATTTAATAACTTGGTGTTTGACTTTAGTTTACTTGTAGAATTCGCTGCAAATCTGAAATAGGGAGTTTATCGTCAACCATTTGCTCGAGAGCGAGCTTCTCACTTGGTCGATTTCGCATTCTAAAGGATGTGATTCTTAGAACAGAATTTAGGATTTTTTCTTATCTATAACTTGCAGTTAAGATTTTTTCTTTTTCTTTTTGGCCCTTTTCGCGACTGAAAGCGACTCCATTTCTTCTGCGACCTCTTCGTCTTCCTGTTTTCTTCTCTTTGCCGGCACCTCTGCTTCTTCGGGCTCACAATGAGCTTTCTTTTTCTTCGATTTTTTCACTTTCTTTGAAGTTTGCTCCTCAGTGTCTTCCGTCTCAACCAAAGCAGCTTCCTCCTCTTTCTCTTGACGATGTTTTTTCTTCTTCTTTTTCTTCTTGACTGGCTCTGGCGGAATTTCTTCTTCTGAAACAATCTCTTGTTTTACCTCGACTTCTTCACTTGCTCCTTCTTCAGTGACTTCTATTTCCTCTTCTTTATTTTTTTTACGTTTTTTCTTTTTCTTTTTTGGGATTTCTACCTCTTCACTGTCGCTTATGGGTTCGTTTTTTATACACACTTCATCTTTGATTTCGACTTTTATTGCAGGAGTGTCGTCTAGAGGCGAAGCATCTTCGACCGGCTCATTTTTTATAACTGGCAATGCCTGTCTCGCCAACTTCTCGGCCATTTTTCGTTTAAAATAGTCCGCGACTGTTTCTTTCGAAACAACATGCTTTGTGGACTCCTGAAATTTGCCTGTTTCGCAGACTGCGGATTTGTTTGCTTCGGCTTTGGCTCTTTCCTCAGCCTCTTCGGCATCTTTTTTCGCCTTGTCTTTAGCGACCGACGCTGAAGAGCGACCAAATATTTCCTAAAATTTGATAGTTATCGCAACTAAGGAGAACATTGTTACTTCTAGATGCTTTGCACTGGCACCAGTTAGATCCTTAGCTTTCGTAAACTTTCCATATCTATGGCCGGATTTGCTTCCAGTTTTTGCCAAACTTGAAACTTGAACCGTATCCGCCAGCACTCGCTCAGCCGGAGCGTCTAAAATTAGTTTCAACCCAATTTTGGAGCAAATTTTACCTGTGGTTGCATTGAGATCGGCAAGGATGTCGCCAAAAGTATCCTGATGAGCAACCCATTGTCTATCGTACTTCAAGGAGCAGCCAACTCCGCGGTTGTCTTGCTTCACGCGGATCTTTACGTGCTAAACGATTCAAGTGAGAACCATTAATATCTAATTCGAAAAAACCTCTTTACGGCCGTCTTCGTTCGCACCGATTCCGTTTCCAAAAGTCCAGCCCATCTTCTCCATCATTTTTACTGATTTCTTGTTCTTGTCGTCTGACCATTTTTTGCCACGCGGATCGTCGCCCCAGCGCGATTTACTCCTGCGTTCAGCGAGCAAGCCCATAGTCGTCTAAAAACCACGATTTACGAATCATGATTGAAATATACAAATAGAAATTTTATCAATGAAGAACGGTTCATTTGGGCAATTGAAGTGGGCCCAAAATGTGCGGCGCCGGCAGGCTGCCAGTTTCAGGAGTAAAAATCGAGAACAGAATTTTCGTAGCATAGACATCTGGGTCTAAGTGGGCATGAGCTTTAAGCCACTCGTTTAAATATTTTTCTTGGTCGCTTCTAGTGTGCTCCAAGTGCTTAACTTTAAGCAATATGCCGCGCGATGAAATCTTCAGGACATTTGTGGGGAAAAAGCCTCTGCGATAGCAAGCCCATGCGAGTTCACGATGAGTGAGGTAGCCAACTAAATCCAGTAAGCATAGCCTCAATTAGATTGGTTACCAATTGATTCAGATTTGAGCATTCTGTCTTGTTTATTCAAATTTCTTAGAAACGTCATCAGTCTCTGTTTCAAAACAGCTTCGATTGGGAATTTTGTAGAAAGGTAGAAGCCGTGCCCTTGCGCCAAAGCGTGAAGAACATCGTAAGGTAATTTATCTAATGGTAAGGTTTGATAACCTTCTGGGTTATCTGGGTTGAGACGGCGGAATTCAGTAATATAATTTTCTATGTTTTTGCGGAAAGCTTCTCTGTCTGAAATCAAAAATCCATTTATATTCGTCTGTGTGAATTAACCTGAATATTGACGTTTAAGAAACTGTCGGATATCGCTGTTATTCCAAAATGTTCGCGGGAGAACAAACCATGTGGGTAATAAATAGAGGGAAGCGCCAAGAATAACGAAGCCGCCAGGGACGATCATGCATGCAAAAATTGGTAAGCCGCGAAGAGAGTCCAGAGTTAGATTAAAGTCAACTTGCTCACGGTAGCGCTTCGGCCTACCCGACCACACGACGAGTCGAGTAGTGTCAGCAGCTGCCCACCAACGCCAAAACCCCTGCACCATTTTACGCGAGAAACGAAACCAAACATCACAGTAATTCGTGCGTTTATATCTGTCGAAATTGCCCAAGGTGGCGACGATACTCCTGCGCGAAATCCTACAGCCAAGATTTATGCTTTTATTGAGCGCACCTTCATTGTCCCTGGGATTATCTCGACGATGGCTAAAGCAGGTTTTGAATACAAAGTCGATTACCAACTATCAAATGGAGTCCATTTAATGGAACTGGTACTCTTGACCCTCTAAGCTTAATTATCATAATCTTTTCTGACATACGAAAATACGACCATACAGCATGCAAAACCTGGCTAGGGAGGATATTGAACTTGTCTGTAATCGCAATAAATCTTGACGAGCTATTTGATCGAACACGGGTCACCAAGAAACGATGGAATGGACTCAGTGTTAACGATTTTGATAGCATAACGACATCTTAAATTATATAAATCAGTACATCTTTATTTTATTCTTGTTTACGGTAGGGAATTCATAATAATGCAGTTATCTTGGGATGACAGAAATAGAATCCTATCAATAAATTAATAGTTTGAACGGGTGTTCTCGATTTCGACGTTTAATGTGGAGCGCTTATCCGATAAGGATTGTGTTTTCGTCCATGAACTTGTATGGAGGAACTTCGAGGTTCAATGGGGCGGGACCCTTTCGAATTCGGCCGGAACCGTCGTAGTGAGAGCCGTGACATGGGCAGTAGTAGCCGTTGAACTCACCGGCGTTGTCTTTCGAGGGATTATATTTAGATCTCATCCCTTTCAATCGAATATTATTTATAAATTCTATTTCAATCCCATAGCGAGCGGGACACAACCCAAGTGAGTGCAGATACCAATGCAGACAAGCCAGTTGGGATCGACGACTCGCTCGGCATCGGCCTGAGCATCTCGAAGCTCGGACATGGGGACAGCAGTCTCTCGGGCAATATCCTCGGGAGTTCGGTGCTTCACGAAGATGGGCTTTCCTCGCCAGACGAAAACGCCGGATTCACCTAGAAAATGCATGAGTAAGCTATTAACGTAAAGGAAAGACAACTAACCAACAGCCATGCCCTGGAGTTCGATTTCAACAGTGGCAAGGGCGAGAATATCCTTGGAGGGGTTAAGGATGTTGATGGCGTTTAGGACGAAGTTGGCAACACCCCAGGTGACGGCGGCATTGATGGCAACGTTCATAGTGTAGTAGTGAGCTCGTCGGACCTCAGCCTCTTCGACCTGGGCATCCAAAAAGTCGCTGTTGGCAGCGGGAGCGGGAGCCTGTCGGTAGTACTCAAGGTTCGGGAAGACCTTGTCGGTGTGAGCCAATCGAGTCTTGGCCGGATTAAAACTAATTTAAAATAGATTTTATCATATTTGCGAATTATAATGATATAAAAATCCGTGGCTGAACTCGTGGGAGGCTTCTCAACACGCCACGGGACAACATTCTGAAGAATATGTTCTGTTTTTTGTGCAATTTTCCAGTGTTTTTAAATTCTCCTAAGAAATATTGTGATACTGGCAGTGAGTAAGAACAGTGAGCACAAAATATTCTTGAACACAACGCTCAGCCGTTAAACGTAATTGAAGGTGATCACTGATCAGTGACTAGCGGTTTTGGCTTCAACTCCTCGCGATACTTGTTCCAGTCTGCGCTGCAATGTTGCTGACTCTTCCTCCACCCACTAATTTTGATTGTTAACAAATATTACAACTGCACAGAAATCTTTTATAGAATCGTTATATAACCAAGTGATAAAAAGCAATCAACGGTTTTAAATATTTATCTAATCATCAAAAAGTACCTGTAGGGCGTCAGTGTGAGATGATAAAATATGAGTCAATTGAGCCACTAGCGATCCTTTGCCATCCCCATGTGTCGAGTTAACTCTCTCAATAACCTACAAACAAACGTTGACAAAAGCATTGACGCATGGAGCCCATTTTTTCTTGGCGCGTGAGTCACAACGCAACTAAAGGCGCGAAGAGCCGCAACAACTTTTCCCGAAAATTATATCTTCTAGAAAAGCGAGAAAATATGATAGAATAGCTTCATTGCATAATACATCCTAGCGTGAATGAGCGCACCTCTCTTAGTTCTGCAGCCAAAGCCTTGATTTGCGCATCAACTGAGCCAGCAAGCGCAAAAGTACGCTCTCGTTCATTGTCGACGTTGTGGGCTAATGAGTTTATTTGTTTCTGCTTCTTTGCCGTCTCCTCAAGGGGTCCAAGTATGGCTAGGGTCGTCGTTAATGATATAATTTATAGTGAAGAAATTACTTTCTAAGTCGTTCTGTTGCGCTGCCACTCGGTCCAGTTCTTGGTCGAGTTTTGCCTGCTGCTTTTTGACGGTCGACAACTCATCATTAATCTAATAAGACCTATAAAGACTCAGTTTTTTCATTAAGTACCTTACCTCTCCTATCTTCTCCCCATTTTGTATAAGTATTCCAGTCCAAGCATTTACTTGTGTCGCCTAAAATTGTTAACTATAAAAACTAGCCAAGTGATTACCTGTTTGATGAATGTTTGGGATTGCTGATGTATTTCCGTGTTCCAACGAGTTATTTTTGAGTCTAACTCTCCCCACGTCATGGAAGTTGGTTTCTCTGCAGGCTTCGCACTACGTTACTGAATTAATATTGCTTTTCGATCGGGGTTTACCTAGATAAGGCAGAAGTAGTCGCAGTCGCAGCTTTTGGAGTTGTGAACGAAAGCCCTGGTTTGGAAACACTAGCGGCGGAAGATGCTGCCACTGGCGTCGCGGGCGCGGCACCTTAAAATCAATTAATTTATTGTTAAAAATATGCGGACTACCCAAAGAGAAAGAAGGAGCGGTCGTTGTTGCTGCTTTAGGTGTGCCGAACGAAAGGGATGGTGCCGGCAGCGCTGATGCTGTTGTTGTTGCCGCAGCAGGCGCAGCTGTTGTTGTTGCACCAAGACTAAAGCCAGAGCTAGTCGTGGCTGGTTTCGCACCAAAGCCAAATCCACTCGAAGCGGGCGTGGCTGTTGTAGCAGGAGCGGTTGCAGCTGGATTGGCCGAAGATGCACCAAAGAGTCCTCCAGCTGGTTTTTGTATTGTGGAAGTAGCAGAAGCTCCGCCGAACAATCCTCCGCCAGCAGGTTTATTTGCCGTGGCACCAAAACTTAGACCACTTGAAGCCGTAGTAGTGGCTGGAGCAGCAGCGGCCCCACCAAAGAGTCCGGGCTTGGGAAGGCTGCCACCAGTCGATGATGTAGTCGCTGGAGTACTTGTGGAGGATGCTCCTCCAAAACTAAATCCACCACTAGCTTGCGTGGAAGATGCGCCTGCCGAGTTCCCGCCAAAACTGAACCCACCACTAGCAGGCTTATTACCTCCTCCTCCAAAGCTAAATCCAGACATTCTAAAAGAGCAAGAGTTTTACTCATCGTCTGAGTGAATGTAAATATTTATTTTTGAATTTTTTTTCACATGTATGTCTTGACAACATAACGAAGAACATGGCTGGGCAGCAAGGGATAAATTGAAATATTAAAGGAATTAGACGCCGTACATTTTACGACAGTTTTCTCTTGTCTTTTCCAAAACCTCATCGAGAGTACGTCCTTGCATTTGCGCAATCTCGAGGGCTACGCATAATGCCATACCTAAAGAAAAGTCAAGTTTCTCTCATTAATGAGATTGACTTACCTGGGTGAGACATGGAGACCGGAGTGGTACCTCCAAAGACTTCACTACGGAGTGTTCTAGGAACAAAATGTGGGGCATCAGTCTCAAGCAACATTCTTTCTAATGGACATGCAGCAGCTGCATCACGCGCATCTTGCGCTCTATTATTCGTTATGACATTCGTAAAGCCGATGTACATATTAGGAAAGTGCTAAATAATGAGATCAACGCGTAAAAAGTAGCAACGGGAATACCTCCATGAGATCCTTAACAGTTTCGAGTCTATCGTTTAGACAGTGACGATGAATCTTATGATCTCTGGGCACTACTTCTTTCAATATCCTGCTCAAATCACTCTCTGCTCGGCGGCATTGAACCACAAGGGGCTTTTTGTACTTAACCGCAAGCTCACATTGACGCTTGAAAACTGCTTGCTGCAAGGCATGGTCAGTTCGGCCATACTTATCCGTGTAATCGAGCCCAACTGCACCCCAAGCGACGCACTACAGGAACGTGAAAATCAAGCAACAGGCAGAGGAATACCTTTGGGTGACCGATCAAAAGCTCGAGTTGGGCCTCTACTTCCGCGTTGTAGAGAGTGGCATAGTGTGGATGGACTCCAAAGCAACAATTAACGCTCTCGCTTTCCAATACTTTAAACGCGAATTTTCGCATAAAGAGCTTCGGGTCGCAGAAGCTTGTTATGCATCCTTCGTAAGACTCTGGGAATTGAATTGCCACGTTGTCTCTAAAAAGCAATAAAAAGACGACAAGAAGAAGCTTTTTTACCGATATGTGTCCCAGTCGCCATCGTAATTTTCTTTCTTGAACATGACATCGATGTGACAATGAGTATCGATGAATTTCTTGTCTGTAGTATCTAAATTACGTAACATGGGCTTGGCCGTTGCGATCTGCTCTTCCATGCTCGCGCCGCCCATATTCATGTCTTGACCCATTGTCATTCCCGTCATGCCACCATTCATCATAGCCATCATCATCGTTTGAGGATCCATCGCCATCCCGCTTGCTTGCATCGCCATCATCTGTTCCATCATCTTCTGTTGCTGCTGAGCCTGAGTTTTCGGTTAATTTAATCATTTTATTGACAACTTACAGTCATGTAGTCATCTAGTGAGCTGTCCACGCCTGGCACGGACATCTTACGAGATGTTTCAGCTGTGGAAGTGGTGGCAGTATCAGATTCTTCCTTCTTCTCGTCAGTACTCTCCTCTTTTGCACCTTCTCCAGATTGCGCTGCTTCTTCAGTAATTCTCTCTTTATTATCTCCATCTTCAGTATCCATATTTTGCTCGTTGGTGTCTGTTTGAGGAGCGTTTTCATTTGATTGTGGCGTTTCTTGAGCTGCGGCAACCTGCTGGCTCATCGTTTGAGCTTGCTTCATCATCATCATCATACTTTGCATCTGCATCATCATTTGCATTTGCATCATTTGGTTCGCCATCTTCTCTTCTTGCTTATTCGGCTTCTAAATGAAAAATAGCATCATTAGTATTGAAACAAAAATTACATTTCGCATCACGTTTGCACCCTGCTGTACTTGAAATCCTTGCTGTCCCTGGAATCCTTGCTGACCCATTCCTCTGTTACCCTGATTGTATCCCCTTTGATGTTGTTGTCTGTTATTCCATGGCTGATTGTTCTTCCAAGGCTGATGTTCATTCCCGTTTTGGTTATCCGAATTTCCAAATCGCTTTTGTCGCTCTTCAGCGCGCTTGTTAGTCCGACTGAGTCGGCTTCTAAAGATTTTCGCTACCTTTTGATTTAATAAGGTAGTTGGATACCTCAAGTCAACGCCCTTTTCAGCTTGTTTTAGTGTTGAAAAAGAATCACCATTTCGCGGTGGAGTTTTCGAACGGGATCGTTTTCTAGCTGTTCCTCTCTCTGTGATATGACTATCCTTTTCTCGGCTGCGCTCGCGATCGTATTTTCGATTTCTGTCCCGGCTTCGATCACGACTACGATTGCGATCTCGCGACTTCGATCTATCTTTGTTGCTTCCGAGATTGGATTTGAGCATTGCCAGAGGGTTGTACTCACCATTATCCTCGCTAAAAATGTATTTTTTAAGAAAACTTGAAATGAACTAACATTGGAGTACGATCTCGTCGACGGGATACACTTCGTGATGGAGAACGTTTTCGACTTTGAGATTTATGCGATCGACTTCGGGAGCGGCGGTAAGAACGGCTTTTAGAGCGCCGCTTATCTCGATCGTTGCGACGATATGGGGACTCGGAGGTTATTCGACGTTCTTCGTTTTGGGGACGTGAACGTCGATCTCTTTCCAAGGATCTTTCGCGGTGCCGGGATGTTTTGTCGCGGCTATAGCTTCGAGATCTACTTCGTTTCGGAGACCTTCTGGAGAGAGATCGCGATCGGCTTCGATCGTAGTCTCTGTCTTTGCCCTTCTTTTTTTTCTTCTCTTTCTTTGCTTTCTTCTCTTTTTTCTCGGCTGAAAAAATTGTAAACCAATAGAATAGATGACCTTCACACATTTGTCCTTATCTTTGTCCTTATTTTTCTTCTTCTTTTTAGACTTCTTGGACTTTTTGCCATCTTCAGTGTCCGATCCTGCGTCGTTGCTCGTTACTTTGTCTAAAGACTCACCGCCGATTGTTTCGTCTTGATCCGTGTCAACTGAGGATTCGCGTGTTCGACGGTCGTTGCTTTCTTTGGACACAGATATCTTTATGTTTCGGAAATGCGAGTCTCGCTCAGGTGACTAAATAGAGGATGTTTTACTATTTCAAAAGATGTCCCTTACCTCTGACGTCGATTTCTTCATCTTTTTGAGATTTGGCGGAGACAAGTCACCAGGATCAGAAAACTTCCTGTCTTCCCACTTCACTTTTATATTATTTATTTCAAAAATATCAGGATATTGAAACTTATCACCAAGGCTTTCTGCTTTTCGTCGCTCGGCCATTAAAAGTGGCCGAAGCTCGGAAATCGCGTCAGGAATGCTGAAATGTTATATTTGGTTCAAACGTAAGTCGAGAGGGTACCTTAAACGCTTCGCCTTGAAATCAACATGATCGTGACGGAAGCCACGGTTCACGGCATCTTCTGCGTCTTCCGAGTTATTAAAAAACACGTAGAACCTGTTTGTGATGTGCAGTACGCCTTTCGGAGCGATGTTGAGGTCTGACCAGTCAGCTTCGATGTCGGAATCACGAGCGTTGTTGGGTAGCGAACGGACCCGAACGCACTCCAGGACCATTTTGGTCTGATTTCGATACCGTGCTCTGAATAGAACGATAAGGAATCAAGCATTTTCATTAAAAAGTGTAAGTTCGTCAAAGCTTGAAGCAGCGTCTCTCGGGAAAAGAAACAATGGAATATAATCGAAGACGGGAATAATTTGGAAGTTTAAAATACACAGATCAGCTGAAAGATCTAGAATCGAGCGCAAAATTAGTCTTTTTCAGTGTTTAAATAATGGCAGTCTTGAGACATGTATTTCTTGGCTAAGTAAAGGCCCGTATAAAACGGGGGATTACAGTTTGGTTTTTTGAGCTGCTTCTCGGAAAAGCTGGAAGAATTTTTGCGATTCGCGAGATCGTCGAGGAGACATGGACGAAATGATGTCGTCATCCCGTCGGAGCTTCGCCCGATGCTTCGGACTGTTCAGCAGAAGCCCATCGAAGCTATATCGCTTGATGGAAGGCACTGCTCGCTTTGTAATACATGAGGGCGAAGCTGTTTTGAAAATTCTAATCAACAAATAAGCATTTTTCCGGAGCAATAAGTTGATGTACCGTTTAGCAACAATGCTTGACTTTTCATTGCCTCGAATTTTGTCAGCCATCTTTTTGGCATTTTCCTTTTCTTCCTCTGGAGCGATATTTTCGATGAACGAAGCAGCAATTTGACGCTGAGAGCAGTCGTCAACTGTTCGTTCAAACTCTTGGCTAAGAGGCTTTTTGTTGGGCAGCTCTATCATCGTCTTACGACGTTTTTTTCGTTTCATGGGGCCTTAAAATGCATTTTAGAAATGCTCAACTGTTCAGCTTTACCAATTTGTGGGACAGTTCGTTTTGGTGTATGTTTTGCATGCGGGTTTTGTAAAATTTCTTGAAAGAGCTCGCTAGCAGTCCTTTCATGACTCATTGCTGAAAAATATACGCGATGGTAAAAGTTTATTCTGTAATTAAGTCGATAAGTGTTGGAGAAGGAGGGAATCATAAATACAAATATACAGAATTAAAGCAATCAATTTGAAGATAATTAAAGAGATAATGATTGATGAACAATCAGTCAGTTTCATCATAATTCTGCGAATTCTAGCCGAGAATCTGTCGTAGAATCATCATCGTTTTCCTCATTTTGTTGGACCAAATCTTCAGCGTCCTTTGGTTCATTCTTTATTCGTTTTTCGAAGCGCCACGTTTCTATATGAAAGCCCAGGAGACCCCCGAAAATCACGAAGTATGATATCAAATAGAAATAGTCAAAGTTTTCGTCAAAGACAAAGATGCCGAATATTAATGCATACACATCTGCGGTGAGAAGACCAAGGTTCGTGAAAACGGCAGAGGTTAAGAAAAACGCGACTAAACTGAGTGAGGAATTTTTCTTTTTGTCGATTACTACCGGGCATGAGACTATAAAGAAGGAACATGCATATCCAGAAGCAGAAGAACCAGCCGAAGGCGGTGAGATTCAAATCGGAATTTGACAACACTGATGCAAGCTCATCTCGTTCGAAAAGATAAAGTTGGATCCCGGAAAAATTGTTCCGAAGAGACCAAGCTGGCTCAAATATTCTAACGTCCCGTTCTGTGAATGTTTGACGATGTATTCCATTGCCGTATTGCTGGTAGCATACAAGAAACAAGCGATGATGACGAGAACAGATCCTAAAACTTAACAACACGGAGATACAGAGATAGTTATACCTAGCCACTCTGCGCCGATCCCGTCTTCTGGCGAGTTTGAAACATCAGCGTAGATCATCAAAGCAACTCCTCCAAGGACAACAACGATGAGCAAGTAGTGAATTTTTGAGTATTTGCGTTGGAGGAAGATTAACGAGAAAACGAATACGAAAAAGAGTGTGGCGGAGTCGAGCATTTGAACTGACGTAATCGAAGTGTACTGATACGCTTTGACGATTGTGTAATTGGCTTCGAAGTCGATGAGTGCTAGAATCGCGTACTTCCACCAACCAGCTTTGAGCAATGACAGGTTTTTTTTTATATTGCACAAAGCTTGGGAGTCAAATAACTCCGAATACGGATATCGTAGAATGCCCCAAAAGTGCTCAAAATGTAGCTCAGGGTCTGACCTATTGTTTGAAGTAATATGGGAAATTTTCGGTCACGTGGTCTACCAAAAATTACGTCATCAACGCCGAGCTCGCCAATTTTTCCAATATCGGCCCAATTTTGGGAGTCTAATAACTCCGAACATAGATATTGTGGAGGTTCCCCAAATGGCTCAAAACGTAGCTAGAGTTCCAAACTATTGTTTGAATGAGTTTCAAAGTCATGTGACTTGGTCATCCCTTTTCTAGAGGGGCCCGAAAATCGCTTGTGCAATATAAAAAAAAACCTGTCAATGCAGAGAAAGAGGTTTCTGTTTTATAAATGTAAACCGGAATGTAGACCAATGCGATCAGGACGTACGTTCCAAAGGATTGAAATGTTGGACTTTGTTGGTTCAAAAGGCGCTTCGTTGAACGTCTAAATTTGGTTAGGAATGAAGACAAATGCAAATCTTTATTCAAACCTTTTGAACCAAACTCAATCAACACTATAGGTGCCAGCAAGATAGGTGGAGGATACCGCAGTGCCGGCAATCAAAATCGACAAGATTTGCGTGAGCAAAAGAGGCCATATTGCACTGACCGATATTTCCATTCTTAAAACCAAAATATTTGAGCGAATATAAGATAACGATTCGAGCGTATTTCAAACAGAAAGAACACCAAATGATGAACTTAATAAACCTAGGTGCAGTTTATATCTGCGAGAGATGCTTTTACTTTCGATCAGCCTTTCACTTGTCGTTTCCTTCCTTATCCGAATCTTCTTCATCTTTTAATTGATCAAGAAAGACGCACATTTGTTGTAGGTAAATCAATAAAAAAAGGCTCGCGCCTATGGGCGCACGGGAGCCCATAAGAGGCCAAAACAATAATTTCTTGAACCGATCCTTCATCATCGTCGCTTGACTCATCCTCTGAGGATGAAAAGGTATCTTCGGGAATTGAATACAGAATGAGCTTCTGGTTGTTGGGATCCTTGAGAAGAAGATACTTTCCTTGACTCAACTGCATGCACTCGTGAATAATTGCCCTAAGCACGGCCCAAGAGTTTTCAAGCTGCAGTTGCATCTGAGCAGCAAACTGTGAGGGCGTGAATTGCGAAACTTGGAGTACGGAGTGTTCCTAGCGATTATTATGAAAAAGTTGATAACATACTGTATATTACTCTGTTGTTTCGCTGGCTGTTTCGTGAGATGTAAGCGAGTTTCATCAGAACGGCGCCAGCCATGACTGCCTGACAAGTCCATTTGGCGAGCTTGCAGTTGTTGTTCTTCATTTCTGTGGCCAAAACTGCACCAGGCTGCTGCTCAAGTTTTTTACGCCAGTCCCCAGTCACTAAGTAATGATAAAGAAGCAATAAAAATGATTTATAAATTACTTTTGGAGTCCCATTCGTTCAAAGCCCGCACAATAGCGAAGCCCTTGGCACCGGTTTTCTTGTTTTGAACGACAGCATCGACGGTGGTTCTGGCAACAAGAGTGTACTCTCCGAGAGTCCACTTTCGGTAGCGGTAACCTGCAGAGGCGATTCGATCCTTTTTCATGCCGGGATCGATGTAGGGGTTCTTGTTCGCGAGGTCGGTCCACTCTCCCTGTCTCAGACATTGTTGACCGAAAACTAAAAGAGGGTTGCGCATGATAAACTCTCTTTGAAAAACCTTTGTTAACGTAAGTAGCTTCGAGGGTAAGATTTCTGGGATCGTTGATGCCGGTGTTGTTCTCTTCACTTGGGGGGTCGTTTGCTGTCTCGTTGACAGAAATCTTATCGATGTTTGACGTAGCGCGCTTATCGAAGAAAAGTTTATCGCCGATTCTTCTCACAATGATATCCCAAGGGATGACGGACCTGCCAGCAGTCATCAAGGTTGCCAAAATGTGGTCGGTGGCGAAGACCTGGCCCTTGTGACGGCTTTCTCGGATGATGGGATCGTCGGTGGTGGTATCGGCACAGGTGTTGAAATTTCGGTCCGCGGAAGACTTCTTCATTGGTCGCTCATTCTAATTATAATAAATTCATAGCGAGGTCAAATGTTCATGGCTACCTTGGGTGTGATTCGATCATAAGTAGAGTCGTAAGCTTCGACAGAACCACAAGTGTAGAGATCTTCCCCACGAGGAAGCTCATTCATACGCAGCGTGGCGAGTTGAGAAAAGTCGATCTCGCGGAGAATGTTCCAATCTTCACCAACTTTAACGGAGGCATCTCTACGCTTGTCAAATACCGGGTTTTCCTTATAAAGCATATGCTTTGAGAAATGAATATTTAACTTTTTTTTATGATTTGATAAACAAGCTATAAAACCCGGTGTCATTGTTGAAGCGTCGTGGATATCTGCTATTCCTAGAGTTCCAGTTTCTACCTCCACGGCCGCCTCTATTATTGTTCCACTGTCGGTTGTCGTTACGACCCCAACCGTGATTCTGACCTCGACCAGCCCAAGCGGATCGAACTAAATATCGTCGTAAAACAGATTCTTCGAAAACATTTGATTAGGCGAAGACTTAGCCAGCGGATGATAAATATTTTCAGAACATTTATTTGGCGAATCAATTGGGCATCAAATCGGTGCCGCACTCTTAGGCTTATCTCATTGACTCTTTTGCCATTGATAGTTAAATAGTAAATGACGATGTACGAAAGGTACGACAGATACAGGACATACCGGTGAAAGCAGACTCAAATCCGGAGTTAAGCCGCCACTAAGGCCCTCCAAGCTTGTGATTGGTCGATGGAAAAAAGATGTCTACAGGGGGTGGAGACATGTTTGAAATCCCGGGTAAATGCTTGCTTTCACCGGTTTTAAGTGTCTCCCATCACATTTAATGCGTAACTGATAAATTAATTTGCCAATTAGGATGCCGATAATATGACTTACCGTCCTCAAATTGAGAAATATTAACTAAAAAATGAGTCCGTGAAAAACCAAACGAGAGACGTCAGTTCTCCTTCTATGTAAATACCTCGCCGAGAGAAGGGGAATCTTGAGTGGCTTCGAGACTTGGTGTTGTCGACGAGTACGTAAGAGGTGTCATCGTCTTCGTAGTAGTAAGTGTACTGGTGGTTGCTGGCGAAGGTAGAAGTATACTTATTCGCATACTTGCGGTCAGTGTACGTAGCACCAGTCCAGTCAGAAACCTACAATGAAAAAGCTAAGTGGTCGAAGCCAATAATTACTTTTCCAAGACGATCAGTCTTGCCAAAAGGTTGGTAAGGCATATCCTTAAACTTCTCCGGGACTTGGCAGGGGCCCCAGCCATTAGCATTCACTTGTATCTCTGGCGCACTGAATTCGGCCATGATTACACGATCTCTGAATATAGAAAAATTAGTGGTGCGTTCATTTGCTTCTTATCGTGAAACTAAAACGACTCAGTTGAGTAGGCAGTGAAGAGATGATGGGACCGTAACCATCGGGGTTGTTGTGAACTTCAAATATTGGGGCGGCCACTAGTTTGAAGTTTCGCTGAACAAAACTTATTTGATCGCTTGAATAAAACTGAAACATACTGGAATAGCGAATTGTTGGCCACCTTGAGGGAGGCGTACAAGGAAGATTTGCCTTCGTTCCTTGGCGTGCTTGACATGAGCGGGCATATATGGAAACATGTTATTAGAAAACGTAGGCCTCCACCAAGTTGCAACAGCCGTCGGTTCGATCTCCCAGTCATGCTTAATATTTCCGGGCACACTGAGAGTCTGCGTTAGTATTCGTTTGAGTCCAGCGATTTCGTCTTAAAAATCACGGTCAACGAGTTACTCACGGTTTAGCAAGATTTTCAACTACCTTCATGTGGCAGTAATTGTCCCCCAGGGAGCTTGAAGAAATTGGGATTTTGCTGAAGAAGGAGAAAGTGTGGGAGACCGTGCTCTTCCACAACAATAACAGCCTGAATGCAAGATATCGATAAGGTCGTTCCAAAAGCAATCAATTACCTGGACTGTTCGTCGGGTTCCAGTGGCTGCGTATTCTTCCTTGAGTCGTTCGAATCTGTCGTCATTCATTCCGTCCTGGTCGAGCATCTCTTCTTTCATTCCGAAATTGTAATTTCCTAATGCGTAAACATCGACCTTAAGGAGCAATCAATCTTAAGTTTTTCTAAACGATAGGGTTACCTCGGTTATTCCCGTTGCCGTCGGCGTTGGAATATTCATGGCATGAGAGGGAAGGAGTCCATCCGATGCATATTTCCCCATTCTAAGGAATGGTAGCAAAATCTAAGATCATCTAAGAAAATATATGTGTTTATTATAGAAAATAATCTCAAGGCAAAATAAATTAGTTCTCAAGCTTGTCGTCGAGCTTGATATTTTGAAGTGTTGGAATGTTTAGCTTTGATAGATCTTCATCGTCGGGAAAATCGAGTTCGCATTTGTAAGCTGAATTTTTGACATACATATTTTTCTAATTCCGATACCTTTATGCCAATTCGCCCGAAGATCCTTGAGCTCAGCTTCCATTATGTGAACGTTTCGACGGAGCTGCTCGACTTCTGCCCGATCGGTTTTGTTAATGCTTGTTATTCTTTCGACATAGTTTCGAGTTTTCACCAGGAACTCGGGATCTTCTATAGGAGGTATTATAGGAATGATGTATTCTGGAGTGAGGTAAGGAGGATTTTCTATCTGCTGCATAGTTTTGCCATGTTCCTCGTCGAATTTCTTTTGAAAAGTTGATATCTCCAGACGATCTCTTACTGCACCAAGGTTTTTGTACTGACGAATCCCAAGCACATATTTGTCAAAATTCTCGTTCGATGCCGTGAGCCTCGCTATCTCTGTTGACAACGACAGAAGTTGCTTCTCTCGCGTGGTTTTTCGCTGCGCATGTAGACGCATGCGTTTCAAGAAAGAAGTTCGATTATAGTCGTAAAACTTGTCACTAAGAGTTTATTAATTATACAAAGAATTGTTGATATTTTACCGGGATCTGTTTAGTTTGTCGAGCGCGTTTTGAGTGATTCGGGTCCTCTCCCAAATTTCGTGATTTTTGCTTATCTCTTCTAATGTTGCTATTTCTGTTTTCAGTGCCTCTATTTCATCCTCCCACATTTTAATTTGCTCACTTAATTATTATGGCATCACGTCAAATAGTATCCACTCTTACGTCATATAATCATATTGATAGATAACGTGAGGTTCAGGGCTCTTTGGTGGAGGTCGCGGCTTGACGACTTTGGGTACCCAGTAATGGTTGCATTTGGTCGAGCAACTTTCGCGAAGTATTTTTGATGTCGTTGTTGCAGTACCAGCTGCACCTTGAAGCCTGAAAATCTCGCTCTCAGGAAAGAATGAGTCCTGTCGCACCTTGGAAGATAGAAGTGCGCATCTTTGCCAGGAGTAAACGACCCGAAACTATACGGCTCCAGTCCCGGGTCGAGCCGGTTCCTCATTCTGAACAAAAGATGCCATTACTCGCTTGAAGAATGAATGAGTAACTGTGGCCTACAGAAATAATGTAAAAAATTGAACTAGCTAGAAAAATTGCCCCTTCGGAATCCTCCTCGATGACCTCCACGGCCACCACGTCCGCCGCTATTGTAATACTCGCGCCCAGCGAACGACCGACCTCCACTTTTATCCTCAGAAACGTATTGTGGACGCGGGTCTTCAATTTCAACATAATCAAACATTCAACGAAAAATCATCTACCATTATAACTAGAACCATTGTATCCTCCTCTATTGCTTCCTCTGTGCCCACCTCCGCGATTTCCACCTCTTCCTCCTCCACGGCGATCTGAACCAGGTGGTGGGGCTTGTCTTTCAAGGAATAATTCAGGAATAATTGCTAACTAGAAGAAGAAATAAAGATGTTTTCCTGTCCTAGATGACCATTTAGGCATGTTTCTTTTTGCTTCCTGTTGCGCAAAAGTCTCATTTTCAACTGGGGCCATTTCCGTAACACGGCCTATAAAATATTTTAAATATCAATAAAAAAAGTTCAATGGAAACCTCCTCTGTCGGCGATTTTTCCAAGCATCCGATGCTTGTTGATATCTGCGTTTATTCTAGTATCTCCAGAGGACGTCTTTGTCGAAACAAGAATGGTCTCTTTCGCCGCCAAACATTGTCCGACTGTAATAGTCGGCTTTTTCGACATATTTGATAGCAGTTGATTTGATAATGCTGGAAGATATTTTAATGCGACGAATTGTGTCTTTGGCTACTACCTAAAACATCTTCCTTCTTTTCTTTTCCTCGACCAGCCCAGATGAAGGATTGCAAAGTGACGCGGAGCCGAGTGAGGAGCATTTCACGTCTGTTGCCATACTCTTTGACAAGCAAACTGTTCAGTTGCTTGAGACGAATAAAATGCATGGGCGTCAATTCTTGAGTGATCATCTCCTAAAAACACATTTTATTATCCAACACGTTAAAAATAGATCGCTTACCTTACCGATAACATCTGAAACCAGTCGCCCCTTCAGGATCGTGTCGATCTTTTTGTTAATACCCGTGAATAACTGCTGACTGGTGATTGTTTTCGGCGGTTTCTGCATCTTTAACATCTTGATTAGCCCCTTCATCTGCTGATAGCCTTCTTTGCCAGCATGGTCAAGCACACCATTGTCTGATACGTCCATTTTCGTCTGTCCATAAATTTTCTCGGCCTGGATTTCTGAGGCGAGATACGTTAGCAAACAAACTTTGTTCTTTGTCTCGACAAAGCGCTGTTCATACGGCCCAGAATAGATCCCGTCGTAAGGACACTCAAGCTCGCGTAAAACCGACGAAACATCTGCTGCAAAGTCCTCAGCGTTTTGCGCACTTTGGGAGATAGGCTCAAAGCATTTGTTGTATTTGTGCAGCTCTTCGATCAATGACTTCACGGTGGCCATGAACTCGCTCGTGGGTGGCGCGTTTTCCACGAGACTGGGCGAAAAATTGAAGCCCAGTCCAGTAAGCTGCTTCTTGACATCGTCCATTCTGAAACTGTTGGCACCACGTGATTGAAAAAGCAAGATTCTCGGTCCAAGAAATATGTTTATAAAATGTTTAAATATTTATGGCTTTACTACTGAATTGTCTCTTTATTGCACAATGCCATCTCGAAGGTCAGAAGGTTAAACAAGTTATCTAATTGAGGTAGTTTGCAAGTTTGAAGGAGATAAGGTGATTCAAAACCAGCGGACTGCCCCAGGCGAATAGGAGCGCGATAAACTAAAACAATGCTCAGAACTTCTATTTGATAATTGAAGACTTTACCATGAGAAGCTTTGAGTGGTTAGTCACTTTTTGAGATTGCGAAGACAAGCCCTTTTCGATCAGATAGAGTCCAGCAGTACCGAGCATGATGAGTAATGAAACAACCATTCCTTTATTGAACATTTTTCCAAAGATATTTTCTTTATTTTTACCTTCTAACATGTATTGTCCATTCGGTCTTTTAGCGAGAAATAGAACTGGGTGAATGATTCCAGTCACTGGATCTGATTTCTTAGAAAATCAAAAAAGATGATTGCGCGGTTTTAAACGTAGTACCTGTCCGTAAGTTAACGGTGTGTTGACAATGTTATAAATCATTCCCGAAATCGAGAAAATGAATATAATTGTCTTAGGCATCCATGCAACTTTGTTCAAAGCGATCTTCATTTTTCCACTTTGCCCGTCAGCTCTTGGCAGTAAAAGCTCTCCTGGGAGGCAAAATAAGTCGATCAATGCATTCATACTAAAGCGAAAGCTCAAGTTTTTAAAAGTGTAATTATAAAAATATATTTCAAGTACGAAAATAGTCATCTACAGCAAAATGTTGATAATGCAGCACAGGTTTAGTTGAACAGTTTCGAGTGAAAATTATCGCGACGGGGTTTAGTGGCTGGGTTGAGTTGACCGAGAGCTTGAATTGCTGCTGGTCCAACGTTAATGTTCGCTTCTCTCATCATCAGATTGAAGCGGAAACGCTGATCCTTCATTAACTAAAATATTCCTTTGAAATCATCATCTGATTTTTCAGAAGCTACCTGAGAAGTAGTGTAAGTCTGAATGTAATTTATTGGGTCTCGGTCGAGTTTAGTCGCAATAATGCGTTCAGACCAAGCGGCAGTGTTTTTCACCGCTCTTGTCGGATCGCGATCGCCTTCTACCCTGACTTTCTTACGGAGCCGTTCCAAATTATCAAGCCGCTTCTTCTCGGCTTCTTCTTTTTCCCTCAATTGAGCTCGAGCAAGTTCGAGTTTCTCCTGACGAATGCGTTCTCGTCGATCAGCAGCTTCTCGAAGAATAGGGAGTGATTCCATGAATTCTATTTTTTTCTGGAACTCAGTTGCGTCTCGCTGAAAAAAAGTATATCGAAGGTTCTTGAATACGAAGACTTACATGAATCTCAGCTAACTTTTCTTTTTCTTCGCGCTGTTCTTGGAATCGACGGACTTTATCCCTCTTTTCTTCGAGAAGTTTCGTATTTCGCGCTTCTTCTTTTTTCTGCTGCGCCTTTAGCTTCGCTTCAAGCCCTTGAAGATACTCGCTCATTTTTCGGATTTCCTCTTCTCGCTCTGATTTCAATTCAGAGAGACGTTGGTGAATTTTGGAACGATGCTGGTCAAACTTTTCTCTTTCGATTAAGCGCTCTTCCAAGCTAACTTCGAGCTCGTACTGTTCATCCTTTATTTCGTCGATGCTGTTTGCTAGTTGGAACAGAAACGCGCGCGTTTGTTCTTGTGTAACCGATACCCGGATATTCTGTTGTCTGCAGCTCTCGAGAAGTCTTCCGAGCCTAGGTCTAGGATGGGGGGTGATCGTTGGAGATCCGAAATGAGGCGCTCGAGATGAATCACCGATGAGTGGAGCGCGGGTTGTTTGGATCTCCAGCGCGCGGAGATCGAAGCTCGATCTCCAAATGAATCCCAGGGATTTTGTCGATCTCCAGATTTCGGTGATCGAAGCTCTGAATTTTCTCGAGCGTGGATTTTTCTCGAGCGTGGATTTTTCTCGATTAAATTCATATTTTGCAGGTACTTTGCGGGTCAGTATCTCAGAAAATATTAGTTTCTAATGCTAATCTTCAAGAAATTATCGCTCACCCACCGAGCTGAGTCTTTGGAAATTGAAACCGTACCAATTTTAAAATTATGTGATTTCAAATGTTGAAAAATTTTGAAAACCATCTTATTGAGAAAAATACTCGAGCAGAGATAGTAAATAGTACATTTTTTATCCAAAATTACAATCCATACACTTGATTTGACAAAAGATTTGAAATCTACGCTGGAGAATAAGTATTGTCTGAGATTTTTAAGTTGATCCGGTCAGTCGCTTCTGATATCAGTAGACTGGCAGAAGATTGTTTTAAAGTGACTCATCCGACTTCGGGGATAAAAAAATTTTGGATCTCCAAGAAGTGGAGATCGAGAGTGGTGATCGATCACCGCAATTTCGGTGTGGAGATCGCGCGGATCTCCACGCAATCGGAGATCCAAACAACCCGCGCACCACTCATTGGTGATTCCTCTCGAGCGCCTCATTTCGGATCTCCAACGATCACCCCCGATCCTAGACCTAGTTCCGAGCTCCGTTAGATCCAAGTTGTTGTCGATAAGCTTTTTCGCGACGAGGATTCGCCTCAAATCACTGGAGAACATAACAGCATTTTCTTGTGAGCCTGGCTAAAATCATAATCCAAAAAGTAATCAACAATCTCATTACCCAAATTGCTGAGATGAAACTTATCCATTTCTTTGTCTGAGTCGATGCATTTCTGAGTTCTTGCTGAAGTTCGTCCTGCTTCATATACTCATTGTTGACTTGCTCGAGGGAATCTGCACTTGCCAAGAGGAATTCCACCAGTAAAGCTTCAGATATATCGCTAGAAATGTCGATAAACTTATCCCAAAGAAATTCGGGTATTCGCGGCGCAGCCGTTTCTTGTTGATCCTCGATCGCTTCCAACTGAGCAGCGATATCAGCTTCAAGGTGCTCTTCGTGCTCTGAGAAAATCGCCAGGTTGTGTTGAAGCGCTTCTGGAATAGCGGGCGGCTCTATGAGTTTGAACTTCTCGGGGAGGATTACGAGTTTGATGTCGTCGTCTAGCTGAGCGCTAAGCCGCTTCTCTTTGATGGAAAGCTGCTCCCACGAGTCCATCCAGCGTGCTCGATGGCGAACAAAGAATTTACTCATTTCACGAGCTTTTGAATTTAATCCCTTCATCCTATTTGCAGAACTCATGTGCTTCCGGCGCGCCTGTAGCTGCAGCCTTGCCATTTGATCATAGTCGATCGGCGTGATTTTCTTTTTATAACTCATTCTGAACAAAACAACCATATATATTTTTCATTAGTTTAAAACATCATTTTTCAATTGAAAACCGTGGCCGATTGATCTGACAGAACAGGCAGTGAAAAAAAGAAAAATGCTTATTTCTATAAAGTAGAAGGGAAAAGCTGCCAAAAAGATTTTTAAATGAAGATCTCGATTTTCATTCCCCATCCGTTTCGTCGAGTATACGTTGTTGTAGCGCAACCGATTTTCGATCGATCCTCCACAATATATTGACGACGTAATAAAGCTCATACCGCTCTTTGAGTTTCATTCTTAGATATTTCAAGTATATATTGATTCAGTTTTGACGAATTGCTTGGAACAAAACAACCACGGTTTTTTTCGTAAGTTTTATTACTTTTGCAAGATAGAACAACTTTCAATTCAAAAGTCTATCTTATAAGGCAAGAGGTCAGTTGGTGAGACTCAATTTTTAAAAAATTATATGGCGCAATGTTTGATAGGCAACAGAGTACACACAGTCCAATTCGAATGTACCGTCCCTACAAGAGAAAAAAATAACTGATGATTGAGCAGAAATTATTAAGCACACAAGGTAGAGAAAAAATAAGTGAAGAGCAATTAAAAAGAGAGAAAGAGGGAAGTGAGGATCTATTTGGGAGCAGAGTTGCAAATTTTGTGAGCTAGCTGAGCTGAGCTATCTGAGCTAGCTGAGCTACAGCTCAGCTCAGCTCAGCTCAGCAATTTTGAGGTGAGGGTCAGCTCAGCTCAGCTCAGCTCAATTTGACCTCAGCTCAGCTAGCTCAGCTCAATTGTTCTTCGAAGAGAGCCAGCTCAGCTCAGCTAGCTCAATTTTAATCTCAGCTCAGCTAGCTCAGCTCAGCTCAGTCTATTGAGCTGACAAAGATCGAACCACTTTTGATTGGTCTTTTTTTCAAAACCTTCGACGTATTTTCTATTCATGCTTTCCTGTTGGTCAATTTTAGATAGAAATAATTCGAGTTTTCTTTGAAACAAGAGAGAAATTAAATAAAAAAGGGCTTCCAATAAAAAAATAATAAAGTACAGATGGTAAATATGTGATTGCGAATGTGAGAGACTGGTCTAGGGGTGTGCGAGGGCAGGGGCTCCCTGTCCATCTACGCTAGAAGGTTGAAACATTGGCTCACCCACATAAATGATACCACTGTATAATATTTTGGAGGATTCCTTATTGTTAAATGACAGAATAAATTTTTTTATGTCAAAAAAGTGCGATGTTGCGAGTGAGATGCTGGTCTAGGGGTGTGTGAGGGCAGGGGCTCCTTGTCCATCTACTCAAGAAGGTTGAAATTCGCTTCAACGCATTTTTTTGGCATTTTTTATAGTTAATAAAAATCAGCTTTCTCAGCTCAGCTCAGCTAGCTCAGCTCAGTACAGCTAGCTCAGCATAAAAAAATGGTCAGCTCAGCTCAGCTAGCTCAGTTTGAGAGATCGTCAGCTCAGCTCAGCTCAGCTCAAAAATTTTCTAATATGCCCCAGCTCAGCTCAGCTCAGCTCAATTTTTTTGAAAAAAACCAGCTCAGCTCAGCTCAGCTCAGTTGTTTTTTATAAGGAGCCAGCTCAGCTCAGCTCAGCTCAATTTCGACCTCAGCTCAGCTAGCTCAGCTCAGAAAAAAATTTCAAAAATTTGCAACTCTGTTTGGGAGCAAATTGAAGAATTTAAATTGATTGTAATCTATTTGGTGAGCTCTGCAGCTTCTTCGTCATTTGCCTCTTCTTCTTCGCCTCCCTTAGCGGATTTCTTTTCGTAGTAAAGGATTGCGGCAACGACAACCATCACCTACGATCCCAGTTTAGACGCTGATATATAATTCTTGAATATACCTCAATGACGAGACCAAGGAAGGGCCAAAGAGCAGCCATGGGGTCCTTTACTCTCCAGACAAAAGATTTCTAAACATAATTAATAACTAGCCGTTTCGAAAACAGTTGGGTCTTACCGATCGGACAACATCGTTTTGTGTAGCGACGCAAATATATTTTCCGCCTTGGGGATAGTTAACGGAAGAAAAGAGGAGCTGCGATTTCTGTCGGAACTTTTCATCAAGAGCGTCAACATTTTCAGTGGAGCTAACAGTCTTGCAGGTCTTCTGTTCTTCTTGCGAGAGTTCTCCATTCATAGGGCACGAGTTTCCACTAGCGGCGTATCGAATGTTCAAGTCTGCAATATCCATCGAGAAGATTTCGGTCGAGTTCTAATCATTCATTAAGACGCGTAAAACTCGGGTTATAGCACATACAGCTTGGTAAAACTGACTGACACATGTTTCTAAAGCAGACGCGTCGTCTTTATGGAGCTCTTTGCAGGTTTCTTCGGGATGACAGTTATTACTACAGACTTTGCATTTATCATCGGCGCAGAGTCCTTCCACGGCCTTATGATTCACGATAAAAAAAATGTCCATGCAAGCATGAAGTAATAAATTACAAACACTTAAATACGTCACCTCTTCGTCAATCGCCTGGAAGCGCCACTTGAGAGACGGCAGAGGGTACCCAATTGCTTCGCATTCAATTCGCTTGTTGACATCGCCGTCCAAGTTCGTCAGCGCGTTGGGAAGATTTTTGAATTGGACGGTGCCTGTAACATCGACGGTACTGATTTCAGTTCCATCTCGGCTAAATTGATTTCAGTTATAAGTCTGTTTTGGAAAAGTCAATTTGTACCTGCAAATAAGCTTTCCCATCAGTTCGCGGTCTTTTTTGTCAGCGAGAATTTCAACCGTATTTCCTTCCAATTTGTAGCCTTTGCTTGGCTCTTCAGCGTTGAACTGGTCCAGAGTGACAATATTAGTCATATTTCCGAGCTTTGCAATTTTAAACTCGTTGGCTAAAAATGATGGGATAGAAGAAATAGTAAAAGCTAAAAGATTACCATTGACGCATTCGGTTGTGCCCCAAGAGCCTCCTTGCTCGATCTCTAGTCCAAGAGCTAGCGTGGCTACCGTAGCGAATAATTTCATGCTGAAAAATGAATAGTGTTGCTAGTAACGATATTCTCTTCGTATTATTATCCGTGTATTTATCAAAGAGCAGTCAAAAACTTTTTCATTGGAAGCAGTGTGGCAGGTAATAATTAACTATGAAACAGTACAAAGTCGATCGGGCCGCTTTGCATTATTATCTAAACGCACGGAAAAGCGCGTGCTTTTTTGCGGCGCTATGAAAACCTGCGCTCAAAGTCGAGAAAAAATAATGAAATAGAGCCGCGCCTGGGATTCTCTTTTCTTCTTTTTGGCAGCCGCTGTTTCGGTGTAATGTCGCGAGTCAGCGCCCGACATTTGGCCGAAACCTCCAGCTCGACGCACAACATTGCTCTTCTTGTTTCCAGAAAGGTTCGATTGAAACTCAGAAGGCATCGCTTCTTCGTCTGCGTCCGCATCATTTGCAGCAAGAACTCTGCAATTTAACTTAACTGACAAAGAGTAACAAAGCGGACCTTTGAAGGAGGACTTGTTGCTCTTCTCGTGTGCTGAATGAAAGACTCATATCTTCCTTCAAACCAGGCAGTTCTGTGATAATCTTGAAAGCATAGCCCTGGTTCACCAAGAACCGCTGTCTCTTCGTCGAGTAGGCCATTTCCTTTGTATCTTGAGACACCAGCGAGTAAAAGTAAGCATTTACTTCGTTTGGATTGGATCCTTTCTTTGCTCGTAGAATTCGACCAAGACGCTGAAGTAAATATTGACTTCCGAAGTTCTCTCTTGAGCAAAAAAAATAATCTTAAACAGCTTTACCTGAGCCTCTTGCCGCCTACTACCACCGTGGGAAGCAATTTGAATGAGAACATTTGCGTCAGGCATATCGAACGAGTTATCACCGACTTTGGAAATGAAAATGGTGGGGAATGCCGGATTGTACTTGAAGTTCTTTTAAAAGGGTAAAATTGCTTGCTCGATTTTAAAGGGAAACAAAAAGAAAAAGTTATATCGGTCCTATCCTGAATGATTTTCATTCGCTCGTGCTGCGCAGTGGGACCATGAATAAATGGAGCGCCCATTTTCTTTGCATACTCCTATTTTAGCAGGTTAATCGATAGCGATCTCACAAATACGTACCACGAGGGCGAAAACATTGTCGCTGAAGACAATGATCTTGTCTTTTCGAGCTTCATGGTAGCGGACCAGGAACTAAGAGAGCACAGTTATTCGCAAGGTTCTAATAGAACCGTTCTATTATGAATTGTTACTTACCTCGCACGCTCGAAATTTATTCGGGTTCATGACATAAATAAGAATTCGTTTTCTCGTCTTGCAGTTTAGGTATTCTCTGTAGAATTCCGGCGCCATTGGACACCAAACTTCTGCACACTGCACTCGAGCCAAGTATCCGTTGTTCCATAGCTCCATCCAGTTCGCCTCGTACAATTTCGGTCCAATTAGAAAATTCAAATCTGTAATTTTGTCGTCTTCTCGAACCAGCGTCGCAGTGAGCCCGAGCTTACAATGAGCGGAAATCACTTAAATATGCAATGAGTTGAAACTAGATACGCGGCTGTTACTGAGTTAGTAAACTAAGAACTGTTTCAGAAAAGGCGATATTTTTGATTGAGTACCTGTGAGCACACGTCTGAACTGTTTGGCAGGAATTGTGTGGACCTCGTCGAGGACAATCATTCCCCACTCTTGATTGCGCAGCCATTCCATCAGTTTCTCGGCTTCATAGCTACGCTTCATCGTATGCCCCATCATCGAATACGTAGATATAACGATCGAACTACCGGCATGGGGCTTGTCCTTCGCGTCCGAGGTGAATCTGCATATCATATCGTCAGTCGCAGTCGACCACATCTTGAATTGATTTTTCCACTGCTCAACGGCTACTCCTGAAGTGCACAAAACCACGCATCGCTTTCTCACAGTGGTGCAAGCTGTTACTCCGGTCAAAGTTTTTCCTGCACCACACGGTAACACAATCACACCCGATCGAGCTCTTCCATTTCCAAACATCTTCTTTAGCGACTTCTCCTGGTAAGGCCGCAACGTCGTCGTCGGCTTCAAATCAATCGGCAGGTCGGGAATATTTTTGTCATTTCTGAAATCGTACTCGGCCAAGAGGGGATACTCCAGAGCGATGCAACGCCGCTGAACCTCTTCTATTTTTGCTTTTTCCACTTCAAACTGCCAGACTTGCGATTTCTTCATTCGATCTTCTTTCTCGTCGAGATCCTTGTCCAGCTGATTGTAAAACTGGCCAATGTCTTCAGGAACAGTTGTTTCGCTTTGTCCCTCCTCGCCGCCTTCCTTTCGGAATTCCGGGGCAACGCCCCCATCCGCCAGTCGGCCATCATCACCGTGCGCCGGCTTAACATACTGCAAACCTTGTTTTGCCTCGAACTCAGTCTGCTGTGCTTCCGAGATCTTGCACGAACTAATCACAGGATCAGCAAGAAGCTTCTGGATCACTTCAATGTGCGAGGATTCAATAAAGTAGCGATTCTCCTTGAGAAGAAGTTTCACTTTTCCATAACTGAGCGTGCACAACTTGATAAACTCTATGATTTCATCCGGAATTGAAGTTTTCGACAATCTTTGCAGATATTCAATAATCTCATTTGTCTCAAGTCCGACGGAAACAGCAGCATATAACGAATACGGCGTCAATTTGAACTCGTGGACATTCTCCGGACGACAAATTGGCTCCGCGATTCCGATAAGAAAATCGCGCGCATGCTGATAGACGGGAGAAAATGCTTCCAGGAAAATATGACCATCGGGCGAGATGTAAATCGGCCTGAATTTCTAGATTACTTGAGTAGCTCAACCAGGAAATTATCAAAACAACTAAATGGGAAACTGTTTGAAACCAGATTTCGGGCTCAAATTTATAATCGTCCTCGGCCTAGTGCGAATAATTCTCTAATGAATCTAATTTGAGTCCTAGCACAGCATTTCGTAGCAGGAAGAAAAATGGACCGAAAGAGGATATGACGATGACGGAGGAGCATGAAATATTCAGCGCAGTTATATGGAGGACAGAATCGCTCACGCCAGTCCATTCGATTGCAACAGAAAATGAAAGTTTGACTTTGAAACTAAGTACTGGCAACCAAGAAAATGAATCTTCGGTAGGAGAAATCGAAATGACTGATACCAATTTGAGATTATTAGATTCCCGAAAAACCTCCCCGCTTTTTCTCTGCAAAACAGAGTCGCTCTGCTTCACCAGTTGGTAGCGAACGATTGGAAGAATCTTCAAGCTACGTCACCGTCGACAATGGGCTCACCGAGGCTATCTCTGAATCAATGTGCTCTTGTGATTCTATGAGCGAAGAGTTTGTGACTCCTCGAGACGACTAATTTCCCATTTTTGTGCATAATAAACTTTCAGATATTTTTTACCTAGATTGATGGTCAGCTTTCAATGAAAGATGCCTTCTAAAGTCTTTCGGGCCAGTCTGCTCTTCCTGCGGGACGCCATCGTCGCGAATGCTTCCGATGTGCGAGGAAGCAGCTTTCGGTACGAGCTGAACATCATCATTTTCCCCATTCCCAATATTGTTGTCCGGTTCTCGACGTCTTTTCTTTCCGTAACCTCGCCCACTCATTCTATAATAGAAATTCCGGTAACAATAGAAGCACCCAAGATTTTTACAATATTGCAGAAATCCCTTCAGAATTCAAATACGTGAGAAAATGGCCCTTCAGTGTCCATTTGCAAAACTTGTCTATTCCCGTATGTTCCAAACTCACAACGGGTCGTTTTCGACTGCTTCGTCAAAATATCTCGAAACTTTTCAAAAATGGCTTCACCATTTAACTTAATAATTTATTACTTAAATAAAATCTAAAAGTAATTCTACCTTGGAAATATTTCCATGGTACTGAACTTGCTTTCCCTTTAGCTTGCCTCCAAGAGTCGCCTGTGGAATTACCAGAATGCTTTTCGCTTCGTCTGATTCTACAGATTTGGGTTTCCCGTCTGTCTGATACAGCTTTCCAGACAAAACAGATGTCGCTATTTTTGGCAAAATGTCGTCAGTTACGCCCTCTCGGAAACAAACAAAGACCACTAAAATAAATCACAAGAACTCCCCCAAAAAATTACCGAGTCCTTCTTCAATTGTTACATATTCCATTTCCTGCACCTCCCCCTGGGCTCCAAAACCCATTTTGGAAAGATGGGAAAAGATGGGAAAAAGATGGGAAATGATGGGTTTTGAGGAAAAAACCAGACCCATCTTTTCCTTGAAAGATGGAAAATGATGGGAAATGCTTACAATTAGAAAAATGATGGGAAATGATGGTTTTTTTGGTAAAAAGATGGGTTTTTTTTTAATATAAACTTCTTATCTAGAGTTAGGCCAATCTTTAACTTCATGTTTTTCTCTAGAGTCAACTGAGATTATTATTGATTTTCAATAAATTTCCATTTAGCTACTTAGAGAATGGCTCTGCCAGCAAAACGGAAATATGATAGATCAGATCCACCAGTTTTAATTCCTTTCTTATATGGAAGAGAAGAAGGAACCTGGCTACCCTTGTCAACACCCGGCAGCAAGCGAGCGCAAGCTGAATTCGCTCCATATTGCTCGTTTGAGGAGTTAATTTACAACGATGAAAGGACAAGATACGCTCGTTGTATTGACTCGAACTGCAGAAAACAATGTACGAAACCGGTAAATTACAAAAATATCGTCAAAACACTAACATTTTAAAAGTTTTTTTATACAAAAGGTGAAAACGCAAATTACCTTCAAAAGAAATTTGTGGCGCATATGGACGAAAGCCCTCTCGCAAAACGAATTATTATTGTTCGACCACCAGAAAACTCACAAGCTATTCGTCAATTTTTTCGTCAGAACAAATTCTCGGATGAGGAAGTAAAGCAACTACGAAAACTTCAATGTGAAATGATCGCGAGTGGGACTGTTCCCATATATTTCTTTTCAACACCCCAAATGGCAAATTTCATGGCAAAATACACGGAGCTCACCACGAGAAGCGCGAACACATTCGCCGATCAAGTAAAATCAAGCGACGTTACTCTAAAAAAATTGGCGAAGGATGAAGATCAGTGCATAAAAGTCCTAATCCGCGGAAATATTGATTTTATTGAAAATTCGGCGGAGTTTTGCCTTCTTCTCGACCACCAGTTTAATAGATCGCCGAAAGAATCGCATAGAGGAAATAAAAGGCTCGGCCTTGCGATGCAGCACACAAACACTGAGCTAGTGACTTCAAAGATTCTCCTGACTTACAAGCCAATGTTCTCATCAGGAAAAGATGCGAACGTTCCTGAAATTGAGAGAATACTGGAGGTAAGAGACCTTATTTTCAAACGGAGATTTCGATGATATACCCTTAATCTGGGCTCGGAAACCTGGGTAGAAAACCTGAGTCAGGGTCTGAAAGAGCAAAAATGAAAAGCCGCGTAGCGGCTTTTTTAAAAACGAAGCCGCGAAGCGGCTTTTAATTTTTGCTCTTTCAGACCCTGACTCAGGTTTTCTTCTCAGGTTCTCGAGCCCAGCCCTTAATCTTTCGACTTATTAAATAATTTAAGGGGTATGGACTACTAAATGGGGTCCGAAAAGGAAACATTCCAGTTTGCTGCGACATGGCAGCTCTCGCAATCGCCAAAAAATTATCGCCACAAAACTACAACGGTTGTTTCTCACATCATATCTCCAACTTTGTCGAGTTAATTCTGACGAACCTCGCCGAAAGAACAAAGATTCACTGGCTAAACGCCAAAGACGAAATCGAAAAATTTGAAAACCTCGTTCAAGGGTCGAACGAGCTCAAATACGAGTCCCGAAACGCCTACTTACGTCGGACCGAGCTTGACGAAGTCGACAAAACAGCTCTTGCCCAAATACTTGTGGAGTGCGAAATTGACTCACGTTACCTGTCAGCCAACGAGATCAAAAAGAAGGCAGAGAAGAAGAAAGCTATACTCAAGTATTATCCGACCATAGAAAAATGCGAAAAGAGTACGCGGTTCCGAAAATATGTCAAATCGCTTATAGTAAGTCAATATTTGGCCGCAACCTATTTTATTTTTTAAATTTAGAATCTCAAAATAGCAAACAAGCCTATGGTCGCTCTTGAGGCCAACACACATCCGCAATCGCACCTCGCTCTCGATCATCAGATGAACACAGTCTTTCTCGATGCGCTGATGCCATTTCTCGTCCGATTAGCACAAATGATTTCTCTAGCTGAGTCAGAAAACGTCGGAAGTGGTTTCGCACTGCGAGAATACGAGCTTTTCGGTGCAATCAGTGCTCGTTCATATTACGGAAGCGTCGGATGCCGAAAAGATATTGCGTAAGTAACTGAATACTCGACAAGAATAAAAAATATTTCAGGCGCTCTTGTTTACAATCTGTTATCGAGCATTTGTTCGGTTACTGGGTGACAAACTCTGGCGAAAAGCAAAAATCAACGATACCGAAGCGAATTCACGATAAAGAGATTGCTCAATATTATCTCTATCTTGAGACACATTTTTTAAACTTAGAGGTAAATTAAGATTCCAAAAAAATAACTCATAATGTAATAAGATTTTTACGGACGAATTGGATAAAAGCAAGTCCGATCCTATGATTTCTACAATGCTGAAGCTTATCGGAACCGAAACTGAATCATGGAAACAAACAGCGCACAACTATATTATCAGTTTGTCAAAATCGGTGTCGAAGCAGACTGGCAGTGCTTCTCAAGAAAGTACTCCTTCTCAAGAATGTACTCCTTCCCAAGAAAGTACTCCTTCCCAAGAATGTAATCCTTCCCAAGAATGTTCTCCTTCCCAAGAACAAATCAACGAGGTGACAAAAGGATTTCGCTCAAAGCTCTGGGCGAAAAAAGCTCAGAAGAAAAAATTGCCATCCAAAGAAAAAACCATCGAGGATGAGTTGGCCTTATATGATGATCTTGATGTCGATGATTTAGAAATATGTAAGCTCAAATTTTAATTCTTAAAATTAACCGAAGTATAGTCGAGGAAAGAATGAAGGCAAAGAAGATTCCAAAACATAACTGGCCTTATTACTTTTCAGCACAGCTGCCTGAGACGATGCCAAAACTAAAATTCGTTTCCAAACTGGTGACAAATATGTTTAAGTGTTTTAGAGACATTTTTGTAGCTCTATCTTGGGTCTAGACAGTCCTCATCTTTACTCGAAAGAATTTTCTCCCGGACTTCCAAATTCAACACGGACGATCAGCGACAAAGTCTGCTTGTGGAGACAATCGAGTCGGAGGTCCTCCCCATTCTTTTACAGGTTTTCAAAAAAAAAACAAGCAAGAATTTATAAACTAAAACCTATTTCTTGAATTGATCCCAATTAGTTGCCAGTTTAGCTGATAGACAATTCTGCACTAAGACTCTCGCATTCAATGCCATTCTACAACAACCAGCCTACGTTTCGAGTATAATTTATTCTTGATAAATGACTTGAGCTTTTTTTGAAGCAGTCAAATAGAGTCAAAATTCTGCGACAGGTGCCTTGGTAGTCGTGTTCCTTTCTCATTTAGTTAACAATCACCATTCGATCTCATCATCGTTAGTTTGGTTGATTATGACCTCCAGTTCTCGCTGACAAACCATATAGAATGGCTTGTCTGCAAAATCTTTCTTCATTGCATGCAACTTTAGCATCGATTTCAAACAGTTCCGATTGCAGACTTCACGGTTTCGGGCAAGTCTCGAAACATAGTCGCACCATTTATTCATTCGGTCTTCAGTCTCGGTTCTTGAATAAAACATAGGCTGAAATCAAGGAAGACTCACTTACGTGTAAGCCTTCAAAAATGGGAGAATTCGTTCATAGCGAAAATGCTTTTCGACGAGGTTTTTCACCACAGATTTCTTCTCAAACTCAATCATGAAATTGGCAGCAACTCTAAGAATGTGGATGCTCGGGAGGCTGATGAGAGACTCATGGCATTCACAACCATAGATTCGCGCCCGCGCGAGTGTCAGCCAAATAGAAATATGCTCAGGGCTGTATTCAAACACTAAATTGAAATGAAAATGTGCCAAAAATATAACAAAATACTTCGATATTCTTCGATTTCGTATTCAACAAATTGCTTTATCATAGCATTCTTCTCAGCGGCAATCAAGCAGTAATAAATCGCATCATGAGTCCCTTCGATATTTTTGTAGTAATCTTCCTCGTCGTCGCCCCGGAAATGATCGGAAGGTCGGAAAAGAACCTTCATAGCGAATTCGAGAGTATTCATCTGTCCTGGAATCGCGGTAATGAACTTAACTTATGCTCGCAGTTACTCAAAATTAATATTTATACCTTTTGCATAAAGCCAGGATCGAAAGATCCAGCCTCCCAAATTTCAAGAATATCGGGTTGCATCCTATTGAGCAATGGCTGTAGCCATTGAGGGGGCAATACAAAGATGACGGAGAAAACCTCCTGTTGGAAAGAAACCGGGAGAAGACTGATGATTGCAATTGATTCAGTGAGAACCAGGGAAAGTTGTTGGTAAAAATCCCATTGCTTGTTGGGGGAGCGGAAGATGTGAGTTCTCGTGATTGAATTGCAGCAGCGGAGGGCAGATCGAAGAACAGCTTGAAAATAATTACTAGGAGAATGACAAAAAATATCTCACCTAAAGTTAGATCGCAAGAAGAAGCCTCAGGAACTTGTTTGAGCAGCTGATCGAGAATATTGGTCATGTTGTCCATCGCAAAGTTTATGATTACTTTAGATGATTCGTCAAAGTCCCTTTCCAAATACTTGAAAACTGTCGCCAAGACTCCAAGCTTTTTTCTGTCAGTAAATCGGGTTCTTTCCAGGTAGTTTACTACATACTTAAAGAGATCAAGTCCCATACTTTTCACGGCCACAACAGTTTTCACAGCAAGCTCCATTCCCTCGATTCCTCTTGGGTGGCCTTGTTCAGTAAAGACTTTGATAACATAGTCTTCGATTCGTTGGCGTAGAACAGGCTCCACGGCATTTGGATGATTGTAAGTGGATCTGTAGCTCTTTGCGTAAAGCTTGGCAAACCGAAGGTTGATAATCACAACATCAAGCTCGATGTTTACATTTCCATGCTCCATGGGAAAGTGGTTAAGCATTCTGGAGGTGATCCATTTGTGAAGAAGATGCTCTGCGCGGACCATCATGCTCAATATTTTCATGGTATTCTCAAAGGCTTTTCGGGGCAACTGGTTCGCAGATGGGTTGGTTGCAAATGTCTCTTGGATGATAGAATCCGCTGCCGGAAGGATTAACGTATTTAAATGCACCTCCAAATGCTGGCATTCGAGAGAGGCTTCCAGTGGTTGGTCAAAGCCGGGCATTCGCATCTTGATCTTTTGAGTGACGACGTGAGGATTACCGGGCAGTCCGTTTCGATCGATCTGATCCCTGAGCATCTTGACGATGATTTCAAAGACAGTGTTCCGTATCTGTGCTCGTGTATTCCCTTTTAGAAGACGGAGTACATCAAGTGTGATTCTTTCGTAAAATCCAACGTAGGACATAGGATCTTCAGCGTGCTTCAGTACCGTTTGGATAAACTTTAAAAGGCTTTTGACAATATTTTACCAGCAAAAATATCTAGCGAAGCTTTGTAAGCTTTCCTTGGCTTTCAACTGATACGCGTGCACATGGGCTTTGTGAAAGGATATCTTGTCTTTTTTGTCTTTCTCTTCGTCCATCTACAGAGAAAATGTGAATCTTTGTCGAAGTTTAGGAGTAATAATCAAAAAGAAGCGAAGTTTTCCCGGAAAATAAGAGTATTATGAAGAATGATAACAACGTAGTTTGTGTTCTAGAAGCCGATTCCTTAAGACCGTCAAGTTTGACGAGCCAATTAATATGCGACAAAACCAAGGAGCAGCATGCGCCAAAGGAAGATAAAAACGGGGCAAGTTGGGTACGAGAGCAACCAGACAAAAGAATACTTGATAGTTCGAGCGCCGACTTTCGAACTTCGGCGTCATCGTCAGACAAAATTTGTGGCAGGAATTTGACCGCGCCGTCTGGGACAGACTGCAAATTTGAGGGTGCGCAAGGAGAGAGTTTTTGCGAAGCCTTAGGCTGGGTATGAGAATGGATCGGTTGTTTAACCGGGCGGTTAAAGTCGTAACAGGGCGGACCCGACCCGGTGTCATTCATGGTAGTCTATGCGACCGTCCTCATCATTTCCATTTTGAACCTGCGATTTCGAAACCTCCAAAAACACGTGACACCATACAACTCTATTTGCCTTTATGGTTATCATCTGCAGCCTTTCCTAAGTACCTTGCGGCTTGCGTCGCCGAACTAAGAGCAGCTTCCTTCAGTGAGTTAATAGCACTTTGCCTCACAGTCTTTGAACTATTCCTCAAGTTGGTGAAAAGAAGCTTGATCGGCTTCTCGGATCCGTCATCGGTCTCATTGATATGATGAAACTGACCTAGCACAGTGAGGCCTTTCGAAGTAAAACTTGTGTCTGTGGCATTGGACGGCGGAGCTTTTCCCTTCCCAACTTTTATTCTAGTCTTTTGGAAATCGGCAGTCTTTGCCTTCCGCTTTTTGGCACTCTTTCCCATTTCGAAACCAGTCTACACAATCTCATGATTTATTCTATTTTTATTAGCTCATTTTTTGTGGCAGTTGAAACGTTAACATTGAACATTATTCTTCTGGATCGTCGTATCGACCGTCTTCTTCCATGTCTTCATCCCCATTTTGATTTCCGTTCATGACTCCATTCGGGTCGTAGACAGGTATATTTCCTATCTAAGCAGCATTTTTGTTTGAATTCGGCTTGTAAAGGCACATACCCTTAAACGATCAAACTCTGTCGCTGATGGCGCTTGGTCGCCACTTGGACCTAAGTCAGCTCCAGATGCGCCTGTCAAAAAATCTGGTCCGTAACCGTCTGCCCAAGTAAAGTTTCTCAAGTCGATAGGCTCTTCCTCATCACCTTCACTTCCATCTTCCTTGTCAGGATTGAGAGTTTGTCCTTCGCAAAGAGCATCATAAAATTCTTCCAGGTTTGCCTGGTTTGGGACGATGTGATATTCACTAAGATAGACTAATTAAAACAGTGAGCATGAAATATGAACTATCTACCATACAGCTGGCTCATCCACTTCGTTAATGCTCTGTTCGTTCACGAGTAAGAACACAGCGGGGCAATTCGGAAAGGAAGATTCATCCCGGGTTATTGCATGTACGGAAACGGCATTGTATTGAAGCAGAATTCCGATATTTTCGCCCACGAAGCGAATATCGTCTTCGGTTATAAACACATCGGCGCTTAAAATTAATTCCTTAAATGCTTCAATTAGTAAGAAAGGACTTACGTGCCGAGACTTTCTCTATCCTTGAACAATTGGGCGCTGTTTTCCTGAAAGAGGATACCGGCTTCTGGTCGCTGAGCTCTTACATCCATTCTAAAATCAAAATCATCAGGAAATATTTGTATCTAATGCTCCAAATGAAGCAATTATTTATGGCAGTCGTTTGGAAAAGGTATCTGTACAATCAGACTAGCTTTCAAGTTGATAGTAATGAAAGGTTTTCGGCTGTGCTCACTTGGCCTCATGGCAAAGAAAGACAAGTCGTGGGATCGAACCACGGACCTTCCGGTTGCAACTCGGATGCGCTTACCACTGCGCCAACTTGCCATGGGGACTGATGGGGTTTTGAGATAGGGAATCTAAGGTCGGCGCTAGCCGAGCCGAGTAAGGACCGCCGAACCCTTACAATAGCCCCCATTCTCTATTCAATACCCCCAAGGAGCGACTAGGGTTCCTTCCTAACCCTGAAGGTTCGAGCTTACGCTGCTGGTGTCACATAGTATTGTACTTTGTGTGGCTGCGTCTATTCCTTTTAGATCGCATCGCGGATAGTGCCTCTATTGGGTCTTACAAGATCCTACCAACTGTACGGTGCTTGGGTAATGTAGATTATAGAGTGAGACCTCTTTTGGGTTCGTTTACAACACTCAAACCAAGACTTAAGGGGGGTGACTACCAGGGCGCCCGCCTGATTTGTCTCCAATGAAAGGTTTTCGGCTGTGCTCACTTGGCCTCATGGCAAAGAAAGACAAGTCGTGGGATCGAACCACGGACCTTCCGGTTGCAACTCGGATGCGCTTACCACTGCGCCAACTTGCCATGGGGACTGATGGGGTTTTGAGATAGGGAATCTAAGGTCGGCGCTAGCCGAGCCGAGTAAGGACCGCCGAACCCTTACAGTAAAACATGTCATCTACAATTATGCTCTATTGATTCTGACATCGGATGCCTGAATGTGGACCATCATCATCTTGATTCCAAACGGTTGGCCACGGGCGGGTATGCCGCCTGTGATCGAATCTGACGGCAGTTACCTGAACATGAGAATGATTGTGAAGAAAATCGATTAAAAACCTCTGTAGCATCCGGATGTTTTTCTTCGAAATCAAGAACATTGAATAGTTTTTTGATACGGTCTACGTTTTTTTCTTGACTCGGCGAAAGTCCTTTAAGAGTAATCGGATCGATCAAGATTTGAATGATGAGGTTTCCTCGTCTAAAAGGATCCCTGTAGACAGGGAAGCCTTCTTTCTCAATCATATATAGCTGGCAATCGTTCAGAGACTGAGTTCCACTTGTAATTCTACAAATAGTTAATTGGAGAAACAATTCGATTTTTACTTGATCCAGTTGTTCTTTTTTCCGGGAAGTTTGATGTTCTTCGTAAAGCCTAGACAAGCGTTCCGTATTCCGATTCGCTGTTTCGTGAACATGTCTAAGTCAGGCTATATAAATTTGGCTGGTTAAAAAAATACCGTTCCCATGTCGCTCGAATGTCGCGTGATCCTTTGCGATGATATCGATGATTATATCTCCGGTATCTTTGTTGTACTCTTGGTCCGCTTCTCCACGAAGCGTGATCATTTTCCCTTCGTTCATGCCTTTATCAACGGCGACAGTCATGATCTTTTTCTCTTGCCAGTATCGGCGTCCATGGCATTCAGTGCAAGATTGAACATACTGCTTCCCAGTAGCATTGCACATTCCGCATGGGACAGGCATGACCATGCCATGACTAGTTTGGAGTTGTCTGTAAGTCACGCCAATTCCAGAACAAACGCGACACATTACTTGCTGTCCGAATCCTCCCGCACCCAGGCACTTTTCACAGACTCGTCTCCTGTTCAGGGAAAGTTTCTTCTCGACCCCATCGAACATCTCGTCCAAGGAAACTTTGAGGTGATGAACTTAATAATTTTGATTTCTGTAATATTGTCAGTCGCTACTCACCAACATCTTTTGATCTTTCTTTCTTATTAAGATTTTGTTGTCCAAATTGAGAGTTTTGTTGCTTCTGTTGAGCTCTTGGCATAGGTCCTCGCTCGCCATAAGTATCGTAAAGCTTTCTTTGTGCTGGATTCGAAAGGACCTGGTAAGCGGCCTGAATTTCTTTATACCTATCAATGCCCTTCGGGTTTTTGTCGGGATGAAACTTAAGGACAAGTTTTCTAAAATATATCTTGAATAAAAAAGCTGAATAAACTTTACACAACCTATATGCCTTTCTGATTTCGTCCTCCGTGGCAGTTTTTTCGATCTCTAATGCTTTATAAAACTTCATGTTCGTGGCCATGCTTGGCCATCGAGGCATTTTCGAAGACGATCTTAATTTTTACTTGTTGAACTAAACTTTATAAAAAAATACTTTGATAAAAAAAAGAACTGATAACAGAATTTGAATACATATGCGTGGTGTTATTATGGCAGTTGGAATAAATTATTTAGATGAGTTTAGCGTAAAAGCCTTCCACTGGGTTCTTGGCGTATTTCCATCGTAAAATAAGTTGATTTCCAGTTTCCCAATGACGGATATCCTCGTCTAAGTCAACATCTTCTGGCAATGTGCAGTTTTTGAGAAATCTAAAAACATTATTCGTAAATTGACCTAGATAGAAAGCAAACTTTATCACTACAAAATCCATGTCTTCGTTTTTCTTTCCCCATTCCGCCATTCGCTCAAGAATTTTCGATGGCTCGTCTCGCCAGCCTGGCACTTTGTTCAATGCGTTATCATTAACATGGCCTAAATAGAAGTTGAAAGAATGCAGATCTAAACTGAAATTTACCGAGCTCAAGTTGAATGAGAGTTTTGGCATAATCAATCTCCACCTCGGAGAGTTTTTCTCGCTGTTTCTGGAGATAATAAGCAGGACGGGCCTCGATCTTTCTGGTTCGCTCCCGAAAGTACGAGGCTAGAATGTACTTGACTCTTTTCTGAGTTTTATATGCTGCCGCAATCAAATAAAGAAGTTCTTTATCTAAAAGAACTGCTTATGTTAAACTCGAATTCTTTCAACTTCGAAAGCGTGGATCGAGTATCGTACATCGGCAATGCCTCGCCTACCCCCGGCCAGATTCTGCTTCATCGCATCGATAAGATTCTTGGCATTCTAGAAAAAAAACTCAATGTTTAATCTTCATGATGATTCTGCTCTGAGAGAACCTCTGTAACATCTTCATCGTTGGGAAGAAGCTCCGGAGCAATGCGCTCGTCCATCCAGCTTATCTTGAGTCTATTGTAGATAGCTTCAGGAGTTAGCTCTTCTCCACTGGACTCTTCAGATTCCTTCGCAAATCAAAAATAAGCTTGCCTTTAATCTTGCCGCCTAACCTCAGATTCTGACTGCCTCCGATTCTGGTCTTGAGAAATGTTCATAGCGTCCTGAGTATCCTCATTTTGCGAGAGCATTTCCGCGTCCATACCTCTGTATTATCAATCTAAATCGAACACCTCATTAGAAAAAGGTCACACCCTCAGGATAGATTATTTATTTCGTATTTATAACAGTCTCCTTCTATAATTCTATCCATGTTCGCTTCAAACAGGCGCTGATTTTTGTAAGCATTGTCGATTTCTCGACTTGACCAATTACTTATTAGACTATCGACGAACAAGTCTTCGAAGTCCGTCATAAAATCGTCGACGAATCCATCAATGTCGCTCTAAACAGCTGTTGTACGTTTTCCTGTGGGCAAGAAAACTTTTACCGTTTCGGCCGGTTCTACTAAGTTTAGATCAAGCGCATGGTTATTTTTTACGACCGGCGTGAGCATGATCCCGTGATGAATTCTCTCGTGAAGAAGAAGCTCGCCTTCGGTAAAGAAATTCGTGTAGCATCGCTCGCACACGTAGCTCGTCTTCTGTGGTGAGCTTTGGTGGGAGGTTATATTGTTTGGATGGGGATGCAGCATAGAATGCGAGGACTGATGATGCTCGATCCGAGGAGACTTAATTCTTGGAGGACTGGGAGGAGAGGCTCGCTCGTGGATACGGGTTGATTGGGATAAACTGATGGAACTTTTCGTTTCTGGAGCATGCTTCTTTTTTAAGCTGAGCGAGTCGAACAGAGTCGACGATGATCCTGTTGGTAAAGTTGAACTGGATTGAGAGTATACTGAAGAGAAAAATGACAGATAAGAAAAGATAATTCCGAAAATTATTGATGAATTACCAGGCGTACAGTTAAGTGTTGTATGGGCTTCTTTTTGCGGGTATAGAGTTATCCCCGGGCGACTGGATGTTGTTGATGGCAGTTGGTTTGAGTTCTTGTTGGAGTTTAAGGAAAAGTTATGGCGGCAGACAGGACAGCTAATAGACAAATTAGATAGATCTGAATAGAGTTGGATAAGACTGTAAAAGACGATTACTAAAGATGGGCGAATGCGTACTCGTATCTTTTATCAGGATCATCGCTGCGATCCTCGAGTGGAAACGACTTCAGGCAGCTGGGGCAGATAATTTGTTCTGAGGTATCGTTGAGCCAAATGTAATCGATCCGATTTTCCATTATCTAAAAACTCCATTCAAGAGATAGTTGAAAGTTAATCTGAGTCGCTAAAATTGTATTTCAGAGCGAGTTTCTTCTTGGCAGTGACAGTGGATCTATTCTCTTTGTTCTCGGTCGATTTTTTATTAAGAGCTCGGTTCAAATTGAAAAGCTCGTCGCTGTCGTCTTCTGGAATGTCTAAATCGTCGTCCAAAGAAGATTTCTCTAAGATATCGCAGATGTTGTCCACTCCTGCGTTGAAGTCTTCGTCTAGTTTTTGAGAAACATCGCCAAGCTTTTGAGGAGTCAAGTGTTTCATCAGTTTTTCGGGTTTTTTTACTTGAGGCGAGTTCAGTTTTCGCTTTGTCTCTTTCGTCACGACAAAGCGACGGATGTCATTATTGCTTTCTGGCTTTGGCAGTGGATTGAGCGAAGCTGGTGCCAGTTGTGGGCAGATAATATGCACTTCTTCTGTTTTCAATTTAACTTCTGCCCTCTCTTGCCCCGCTTGGAAGCAAATCATGTGCGATTTGGCGCCTATAAAGCTCTCTTTACCTTCCTCTGAAATATTTCAAAGAGCAATTCTAAGCATTCAATATTCGATACGTTCATCATCAAAGAGACCTTTCCTTTTAGGCTTCTCACAAGTGACAGCGCCACTAATTCGTCTACTTGTCGCTGCGTCCTCAATTGGAACTCAATCAACTTTTCCATTGACTGAGCAAGAATCATGAATAACCCAAGAAAGTAAGATAGAGAAATACCTTCACAGTGGTCCAGTCAAGCAGCCGTTCCATGAGTCCAATAAACTTAGTTGCCGAGCATCGAAGATTTCGATTGAGGCAGAATCCTTCCGCCTTCGTTCCCTCTTCTCGTGCCATAAATTCCACGATCAATGCATCCATGTCTAGCTCGGGGTAGTTTTTGAAAGCGGCCTTTAGTTTCACCTCATCCTTCTCCATCTTCATTGCTTTTCCGCTTTTTATATCCGCGAGACGCCGGAGCGGATTAAATTTTCTCTTCTTCCAGTCCATCACCAGCCGCGTAGTCATCTTGGGTCCGACCCCTTTTATTCCTGTCGAGAAGTAATCACATCCGCAAAGAACAGCGAACACGATGAAGTCGAATCGCGAGTATTTGTATAACTCCTTGATTTTCTCTAAAGAGACGAACTCGAACTCGGCATCTGTATCACAAGAGAAAGTTCGATAAATACACTACAAGCGAAAATGTCACTTAGAATGAAGCTAATTTAGGAGCTTACATTTGCGCCGAAGCAAAAAGCATCTCCGTCAAAGGTAAAGACAGCGTCAACTTTTTCGGCTATTTGAAGAGTCGATGCCATTTTTTCTGCCTCTCCTTTTTATTTGAAATAGTTAGGATAATATCTCGCACTCGTTACCTGGAGCGGCTATGAATTGAATACCCATCGCGTCCAACAAGTCCGTACATTTTTTGAGAACTTGCGCGAATCTCGTTCTTTTGGTGCTTGAGAGCTCAGCCTGGCCAAGGCGACTGGCCATCGTCTTCATCTTGGCTTCAGGCGCTTTCCCGTCAGTTACTTGAACAAGTGTGTGAACAGTGCTTCCTAGAAGAGATTCATGCTTCACTACACACCTTTCCGAACACAGGTATCACTCCCAATTCGAGCAGCCTGACCACTCGAGAAAACAAGTTTCGCACAAAAAAATTCTGCACTTGTTTGTCACCCCTGTACGAGTTCATCCTCGAATGAGCGATTGATTTATCCGCTTGGAAATGACCAAATTAATTTAATAGCTTCCAGTTTCGAAGTCTTACCCATTATCCAACAAGCTAGATCGACTGCAATGATCTTTCCTTTCAAATGGCTTAATCAGGCTGCTTTCCATTACTCTTTCGAAACATAAAAAAGCAAAACCCTAACTTCCACTGACACGTTCTATTGCGTCGGGAATCGACTCCCATAAGCCAGAGATTCCCATTCTTGTAAGCCTTTAGATCAGTAAGAAATTTATTACATACAAAGTAGCAGTTTATCAAAAGATTAAAGTTGGGTTGATACAGATTGAAGAATTCTCAGATATTATTGCACATTATGTGATATTTTAACTTCCAAAAGATAAAATCGCTATAATTGAGGTCGCTTTTCTTTCACTTCGACCATGAATTTCTGGACATTCGTCATTTCCGCTCTCGCTTTTTGAAGTGGAGCGCCCGAAACCGCCTTGAAAAAAGCTGCGTACACTTCAACGAGCTTCGTCAACGCGGACTATTAAAATCAATAATCACCGCTCTTTTTAAAAAAGATTTCAGTACCTGAAGGAGTCGCGAGCCGCAGTGAAAGTTCTGAAAGCTTCGGCGATTGTCTTCATTTAGTCTGTCGATCTCGTTTTTCCAGGATCCTTTGAATTTCAATATTGCATTGAGAACGCGTTCATCGGACGGAATGCGATCGTTCTGGATCTCCTAATTTAGAAATAAAGTTAAAAAATAAGAAAGATAACGATACTGTTGTTATTTCTTCCAGTAAACTGAGCATCGGATGAATTGAGAGCAGAATATATTCAGATTCGACAGCGTTTAACGCCTGTTCAAATCGATAGACGGCATCGGAGTCATTGTCAGGCTGAAAATATGAAAATTATTTCGATAAAATAATTTTTGACTTGCCTTTGAATTTGAAGATAAAATGCTTAGAAGCATATCGTAGTTGTTGATTAAAAATATAAGCTTTGATTTGGGATCTTGAAATATCGAGCTCATCCTTGTGATACACTTTTTTACTTCTGCTGATAAGCTTTCAAGCATTTCGTCCACCCGCTTATCAGGGAAGCTTTCGTTGAGCCCCGAAATCGCCGTGTAGTACTCTGCGTATCTTCTTGTGATGATGTGTGGGCGGACATCAATCTTGCCAAGCTTGTCGACCTCGCAAGATCTGATAGATGCCACGTTGGCGTTGACGATTTCAATCATTCGTGGCCACAGAAGATCGAGTATTGTTTTATAGAACGAGTCTAGGACGGGCACTTCGCGCTCGTGGGCCGTCACTTGATATCGAAGGATGATGTGTATGCAAAGAAAAATGGCGATCGAGTCCCAGCAATCAACGAGGAAGCCCTCCAAATGTGTAATCAAGCTCTGGAGAGTCGTCTGGAAGATGAATTGGAACATTTCTTCTCTCACGCTTGCTGAAGGCAGGAAAAAGTCCATGATGAAGAGATATTCGCGGCAGGCGCAGTCCAACAATGCAAAATGAATGGATCGGAAAAGAGACTCGAAACTGTGCGACTGGTCCTGAATCCGTTCAGCGTGGGGCACAATGATCGTTGCTTCAAGCTCGCTCTCAATGACCGCTTGAAAAAGATTTAATAATCATATAAAGCGTATCTAAGTACCTTTTCTATTCCCTAACGTGAATACAGTTTCTTTATGCTTCAGACCATTAGAAGAAGACTGCAGCATACTTCCGAAGGCTTTTGTCAATGACATTCCGGAAAACTTGGATGCGCTTGGACGAGATACGACCCCGATAAGATCCGACCGGTTTGCTGTTTCAGAGAATTTTAACTTCATTAGGCGTTGAAGATACGAGCGAAAGTAGGAGTAGTAGATCTTTGAGACAGTTTCCAAGTATTGGTCTAAGATGAATTTACATATGACTTTAATAGATAAAGGAATCACCTTTGATTTCTTGTGCTGTCGGGCGTTCATTCGCTAAAATAAACTCGTAGAAAAATCGAAAGCGTAGCATGGCGTTTTGAGGAATGTGATAGTTTGCAAGTGGCTTCCGGAACTGGTAGACTTTATCTAGGAGGAACGAACGAATACGAAATGCTGCTTTGACGCGCAAGTTCTCAATGACTTGGTGAACATCGCTGCATGCTTTGGTATCGTGAAAGCTAAAGTTTCGCTTATTAGTAGCTAGGTCTAGGATTTGGGGTGACCGTTGGTGATCCAAAATAATTTGCTCAGGATGGATCACCAAAAAATGGTGATCGGGTTCTCCGATCACCAGAGGTTCGTGATCGAGGCCAGATGTGAAAATCAGTGCCTGTTATTTCTTCGATCAGCTTAATTGATAGGCTTATTTTGCCCAATATATAATAATATGACCTTTTGCGTTAAAACTAGCAAATCTGCAAAAATTTTCTGCTAACAATCACCAGCGGATCACCAGGATCGAGTCTCGATCACCAAGCTCTGGTGATCCGAGAAACCCGATCACCACCTTTTGGTGATTCATCCCGAGCAACTTTTTTCGGATCACCATCGGTCACCCCCAATCCTAGACCTAGATTAGTAGGTGTACTCTTCCTTGATTGCACCTTTGTTCTCGTGCAAATTTTATTTTTCGCTGTAACTGATGAAGTTGCTCCATGTAGGACTGATCGGCAAGATTGCCCGAGCAAATGATGGAGATCATTTCTTCCGGAACAACGAGCTCATCAACCATTTGCGACAAATAATGACGAACTGATTTGCGATTTCCTAGCTTGATGCCCATCGACGTAGATTGATCCTGTAAATGACGAATTTCACGCGACAGGCCTCCAAGATTTTCCTGGAAGCCCGTCAGCATGTTTTCCACTTGCTCGAGAATAGCGTCGCACTTTTCAACCCGCATATGCAGATCTAACGCTTCCTCTGTATTGTTCAAGAAATCGCCGATGCTTTCATTTTCCTTTTCGAGCAACTTTTTATTAAGCTCTGCCGAAAACTCCCGCAGGTCTTGACCCTGTTCCAGCGCCTTCGAGATTATCGTCGATTCCGATATATTTTTCATTCTTGACTCAATAATCCTGAGAAATGGATAAATAATAACAAGGTAAGGTATTGAGAAAAGTTATCCCAACTCGGCAGAGTTCTTTATTTGTGGGAAAATGGACAGTTGAGAGCGTTTTTTTGAGTTCAAACTTGCAAAAAATCAAGAAGTGGCACAGCCGTAAATAGGGAGCAGTCTAGTCTTTCATGCGAAGAGAAGTGTCTCGGTCGCGCAGATATATGCATTTGCCCTAAAAAGAAAGATACGGTAAGCAATAAAAAAAAGGTGAATTACTTTTAGCTCGTTCAGGATACTCTGCGGTAGGCGGCCGTTGACGGAAATCGCGTACATTCCAGGGGTAAACTTGTCGATTCGCTGCCACTTCGCAACCCTACGGATTTATGTCAGTTTATTAATTCTAATCTAGTTGCCATTACCAACTCTGATCAGGAGTCATCATCCCTATCATCCCCGTGAAACTCGAAGATGTGCACTCGATCATCAAGTCCCTAGAAAAAGATTGTATTCAACTAGTACTATCTGAGCATAGCTACCTGTTCCCCTGAAAATGGAGATAGTGCTTGCAATTGTCGCAGCCTTGCCTCTCAAAGTCCTCGGTTGTTTTGATCATCGAGCATATCAAACAAGCTCGTAGATTCCGGTCGTGCCTCGGAATTGATTGGAGCGACATTCTTGGAAAAACGATTTAATTGCATATTTTTTAAAAATAACTCTTTACATATTATTGCACCCGATTCAACTTTTTGCAAGGTAAGATAAAAATAACTAAATGTGTAACTAAAGCGTGTATGTTTGGAAGAAAAAGGTCAGTATATACTAGCAACAGGGAGAATGAGAGGATTGAAGTTATACAGAAAGAAAATGAATTTTTTACCATACAGAAATGTTTCCATTGATTTGGAAGGAACTAGTCCATGAGCTTATTTCTCGAGTTGACGTGAATTGATGATTACTGCTCAAGCTGGTCGTTCGATGGCGCATCGACCTGGACGACTTCTTCTTCGTCCGGATTTGCTGCTGCAGCATTTTCTGAGTCGTTCTCCGTCGACTCTTTCTGTGGATTATCAGATATTTTTCCCTCAGGGGCTTCCTCTGCTCCTAGATCGACGTTTTACTCCTGGAACTGAAGCTTGACTTACCGAGATATGAATCAGGAATGATGTCAGTGCCCAGGATTGCTTCTAAGATAAGAGAACGCTCCTCTGATGAGACAGACATCCAGTGACTATCTCGTCGCAAGCCCTAAATATTCTTTTTCAGAAAGTAGTGGAAAATGATGCACACCTCAACGCCAAGTTTGTGAAGAGCTTCTTTGAGTTCGATAAGGTCGTTGAAAGTTGCGTGGTACTTGGCCTTGTTATCATCTAATTCCGCTCTGAGCGCTTCGGTTTCTTTCTGTGATGCCACATTTTCAGCTTCTGCTTTAACTTGGGATTTGAGCTGATCAATATCTGAAACCCAACAGTCTATCTAAGAGTTACACTCAATGTCACCAACCAGAATTCAATGAAGCTATTTCATCTTGCGCTTTCTTAGCCGCTTCTTCATAAGTTTCTACAGTTTCAGCAAGCGCATTCTTTTCAATTTTCAATTCCTAAAAGTCGTTGTTGATCATTGAACTGACCGAGTACGAACCTCAAGCGATTTTTCCAACGCGGCCTTTTCCTTGTGACACTGTTCGTTCTCGTTCGAAGACGTTGTGAATTTAACACCCATCTCAACGAGTTCGTTTTCTCGTGCTTGGCGCTGCTCTGATTCAACTTTCAGTTCGCCTTTTATGTTTTCTAAGTCGTGCTTTTCTTTCTTCAGTGATTCTTCTAAATTCGTTAGTTTCTTCTCGTCCTTGTCGATGTTTTTGTTGAGGCTTTTGACTTCTCGCTCGAGGTGCCTGTTGCTTGCTTCTACATCAGCCAGTCGCATGCTTTGCAGATCGTACATATAGAGCCCATATCCAAAGATGATCAACGCGCAGAGCACTGCCACTGTTCCGAAGAAGCTGCGACTTCGACGAAACATTTCTGAAGCAAGAAAAATGACTAGCCACCGTTTTAAAATGTCTGCTGTTTCAATTTATGAATGCGTTAATGAATTTGAGCAGGATTAGTGGCTACATGTAATATCCGTAAATGGTAGGTAATTTAAGAGTAATCCGTGGCGGGTTAAAAATCACTAGTACAGAAACGTTTTTTTTTCCATTTTCTCTGAAGCGTCTTCCCAAGATGCTATCTTTATTACATGATTTTGCAGCCGGAATCTTTGTCTTTTGAATTCTTCGGAGCTTTCTGAGCGTTACGGTCTCTTTGCTTTTGAGCTTTTGCTTGTCTAGGCACACGAGCCTGCTGGTTTTGATTGAATCTTTCTCTTTCTTTTTCTTGAAGTAGAAAAATGTTTGGCTTTAGGAGGAGATATTTTTACCTTGAAGTTGCTTTGCCAACTTTGCATCATCCTCAATTAGTTCTTCCTTCGATAAAAAGTCTGCGTTTACGTTTTTTCCATCGCAAGAGACAGTAACCTCTTTCAAGAAATAAGCAATTATTTTCACGGTTAATCTATACCTTCCCAAACAAGGTCTGGAGAATGAAGATAACCTTGGTCAGTTATTAGCGAGAAGATTGTATCCTCTTGGCGAGTGACAACAAAAAAGTGGTTATTTCGGAAAAGTATGGCGACTTCTCCAGGCTTCATTTTGCTTTTCATTTCGAATATTCCGTATTCTGTCGCTTGTGATCCTGTTTGCGTGAACCATTCTGAACGTAATATTTAGTCGCGTCATTTTCAAAGCGGAAGCGACTATACAACACTTTCGTAAAAATGATTTTCAACAATTTATGCAAGAGAGGCTTTACCGCGAAGGGATGTTATCAAGCGCTCAGGTTTGATCAAACTACAAAAAGTAGGGTTTTTATAAAAACGTTTTCTAGCTTTCTTGTTCTGGCCCTGATAATTGCCTCGGTGGTCATAGGGATCGTAATCAATGTGAAGGGTCGGAAGGGGTTCGAAACCGGGAGTGGAGATGCTGAGTCCAGTGGTGGTTGAAATTTACCTTTTAACTTTTGCTTCTCGGCATCGAACAATAATAAAACCAGCTCGTTATAAGAGACCTTCGATAGCTCTTCATACTCGTCATCCTCGCGGGACGGCACCCAACAATGGAAGAGCTATAAACGCTATTCTGTAGCTTGATAAACCTTGGTTTAATACCTTTATGTTGAGAAAGTCAAAGAGTTCAATCATAGGCGTATATTCGAAGGCATCTACGGCTCGGTATTTTAAATTGATATCCAGGCCTGTTAAAAGTTGTTGACTGGAGCAAACTTCTAAGGAAGTTGACTGAGCATGCAGCAATAGCTCCTTGTTCTCATCTGGAATGTTTTGGTTGAGGATAAAATTACCCAGCTGGGTCATCATTTCTTCGGCGGTTACCGAGCTGGGCGAGGGTTGTTCAATTCGACCTTGGACGATCAAGCAATTGAGTAGTGCAATTATCGGGCAGGGACCATTGTTGCATTGTGTGATGATTCGCAGGTCTTTGGGTTTTTTCGAGCACGCTTTTACTGAGAAAATGGACTGTGGAAGATATTCTTCCATTCTGAAATTGAGAAAGGGTTTTATTTGATGAAGAATCAGGGCATCTATTGCTACAGGAAGTATACGGAGGAATTGTAAAGAAGCTAAATATATACAAGAATCAGCGCGATTAGGTCATTTGGCAGAATTATTCGTATTGCGCGACGGACTCGATTTTTTGCTCGTTTCGTCAAACACCGAAACACCAGGCTCGAGAAGAAGCTTCTCTTGATAGCCTAATGAGAAGATCTTTGCAAGAGCACTATCAGCACTTCCTTCCATTTCGCTCTTTATCGCACCACGGCAATTGGCAAGAGCATCTTGTCGACCAGAGCCTAGATGAGACTCGCGTGCATCGAATACCAGTTGGACCATCTTGGCAATCGAAAGATCCTCGAGAAATTGATCATCATCGATAAGCTTGAAGCAATCTCGTTGATATTTCAGAAAAAGCCGATTTTCTTTTCTATCTTCAGAAATTGGCTGGAGGATTCTATTTGAGGCGTGATAAACAGAAGAAATCGCTTTGGCGCAAAAATTTGGGCCTTTCCTTTGATAAGTCAAAAATGAAACGATATGGTCCTTTTTGAATTTGTTCCAGAGCTTCGTGTGGCGAGCGACGGTTTCGGACTTGAGCGCGTAAAGAATGTGACTCAAAGCGCTGTCGCATTTCAACGTTTGATAAAGTTCGTAACAGCAAAGAACCAACTGATCGAGAAGTAAGCAGCTTTTCCTCAAGTCTCCTAGGACGAGCAAGGCTAGAATGGAACACAAAAATGGATCGTTCTTTCTTGTTAATACTTACCCTGAAAAAAGATCTGATCCCGTCGCAGCGATGAATTTCGGCAGCTCGAATTCTTTTGGAGCGTTCTGATTTGATAAGAGTTTCTTCGTCGAACTTGGAAAACTCTTCTATTTCGTTTCTGACGAGGAATTTAGCAAGTATATACGGATCGTACTTATTGAGCACGTCAATGATCTTGTCAATCGATTGATTATCTTTGAGAATAAGAAAAGTCGCAAATAAATGTAAAATTCACCTAAAGGCTGAGAATTATCGAGGCAAGGCGCTTCATTATCGAGTCGCTTGCTCGAATGCCGCAAGTGAGAAATAGGTCGCTTCAAAATCGTCATCGACAGCTTTGAGACAGGATGTTTATTATCCATGTAGGTCGAGATGAGTTCTTCGATCGAGTCCTTCTTTTCGAAATCTTCGAGGATCATGTATTTATCTTGCTCGCAGAGAAGAACAATGTGCAGGAAACTTGTCCGCTAGAAATGAGCGATTATCTACCTTGGCTCACTAGATTGGGACTAACAGATTTGCAAGAGACAACATATTGCTCTTGCCCGTTGTTCAAGCTCGCTCTGACGAGGAAGTCACCGTCGAGCTCTAGAACGCTCTCGGCGGATGCTCTCGAGATAACCCCATGATACCAGTATGCATGGGTTATATCATTTCTCATGAATCGTAAAATCTAAATCGAGAACAATGAATTAACGCAGAAGAAGATAGGAACGAGATTTATTTTTGATTAATGAGTCACAGCGGATTTGACAGTGAAGAAAGTAGGATTGAAGAAACTAGTAGTATTGACGGGATGAAGAAAAAAGACATGCAGTGGTCAGAGGATTATAAGAATTTTTGAGGTTCATTGCGGGGAAGATACGCTCAGTTGTTTCCGCTCGAATGACCGGGCAGCCGCAACATAGCTAAATGAAAAATATATAATGTATCAACTATTATATATTTAATAGGGGTTAATATATTTAGATTATAGGGGGAATTGTTACAATAATATAAAAGATAGCATGCTGTTTATATTGTCCAATAGAGATTGAAAAATATTAATCTTATAGTATTAAGTTAAAAAATAGGTTAGTATATATCAAAAATATAATTAATTATGTGCGACTGGTACCTAAACAAGCAGAGTACTGCATAACATATTTCCGCCGAAATGGGCGACTTAAATTTATGAATGATGATCTCGTCGGTGTCTGGTTTTATTTGCTCCATGATGAAGACTCCTTTGACAGTATTGCACTTTTTGATGTGGCGAATATCCAAAAACATTTTCGACTTTTCAAACTTTATGATAATTCCATCCAGCGAGACCCGAAGAGATCCATCTTCGTTTGTTCTCGCGTCCTGAAAATCGAATATTCATTTTTCAAATCAATCTTATGAAATTTACGGTTATTGGAAAATCTCCGCCAAGTTCTGGTCGATGCCGCCGGGCAGCCGAGTTTTGTGTTGCTTCCTGCAAACATTGATGTAGCTCTCGACACTTTTTCGTGTAGAACTTGGACAATTGCGTCTCCTGGCCATTTCTCCTCCAGAGACACAAAACCTAATTATTGAGCAATTGCTCTTTAAAAAAAGTTTACCTTAGTTTTGGGGCAAAAAGTCATGTTAATAAGCTTCTCGTGCCACCATCGTTCGCATATCGTGCCCATTCCGTTTCTGAGAATGAGGGCATCGGTGCACACTTCGAGGAATAAAACCTCTCCAGCAGCACTTGTGCCCGCGTGAACAACAAAGCTCTGTTTTCGGATATGACGTGAGCCAAGTGGCTTCAAATCAGCTGCGTTTCCGTGCAGCTCCTCGCAGCTATCTTCAATTGAGCTCACAATAAATTAAACTACCCTAAATTACGTCGTAACAATAATCTGTTTGCCGAAAGTAATGCTGAATTATCCGCCCAAATCCTAAAAGCCTTTGTATTTCCTTGTCCTGTTGTAGCCCGATGTGGCTCTTTCCCAGAAGACGTCTTACTTTGCGACGAATGATCTTCGCATCCACATTCATCATGATCATAAATGCGGACATGTTATACAGCACAGTCACTAGCAGCTGATCTTCGTCATTTTCTAGTCGTCTTTTCTCAACCTCAGCGAGATTTTTGTATCTGACGATCATGTCTGTTGGCCCGTGCTCCATTCCCAGCGCGTCTCGCTCAAGACTGACAACATCGAGGAACGCATTTTCCCACAATTGAGCACTCTTCCAAATAGCATTCTCTTCCCTGCTCAACGCTTCGTATAGATACACCCTAACTTCGTTCTCATCCTCGTCTGTTTCGACTTCAATCATTTTGCCAGCTCTATATTTGAGTTCGCGTCTAAGTCCAATCGAAGTCGGTTCTGATGCCGCCGAGCTCGTGGATAGTCGCAGTTCGGAGATCTTATGATGCGAGATCTGACGATTTATCTGTGTCAATGCGCCTTGAGCCACGATTCGTGCCGCTTTCACTGTATTATCGAACGAAGAAAAGCTCTCTGACAATGATTGACGAGGACTTTTTACATCTTCTTTGGTGCAATAATGCGTGTGCCCAATTTCCATCAAGAAGAAAACACTGGAGAGGCCGCCGTGGCCTTTCTTTTCTTTGAAGTTGCTTTCGAGGCCAGCTTCTACAGCCTTCAACAGGTCACTAATCCCCTTGAAGGCTTTGGGGGAAATCTCCACACTCTCTACGTAAATCGTGTTCTCCTCGCGCTGGGTGAGCTGATTCAACCGAGAGAGCATATAAAGCCGCCATGATTCCGATTCCATCAATTTCTTGATTTTGCGTAATCGAATCCAACTCACTCCGTTTCCATCCAGCGCCTCACGTGCTGCCTCACGAATCAGCTCGGCATCTTGGGTAATCTCCAGCCGCCGTTTCTGCCGAGCTTGTTGTTTCGCTTGCTGGATTGATCTTATTTCATTCTGTCGTTCAGAAAGTCCGCTTGGAACGTTGAGGCCGTCGTTCTGAGCATTATGACGAAGCATAGGAGAGTTGCTGGACTTGTGCGAGCTGGCAACGGAGGAATTGCTTGCTGAACGGCCCATTTGAACACTCTGGCCTCTGGACACTGGCGGTCGCGTCCGCGTGAGCACAAGATTTTCTGGACGCTCGTGAAATCCTCCAGGAGTGGGCTTTTTCAGTCCCAAATCAGAAGAATCTAGTTTTTCTCCAGCTTCAAGCTTATCTGCGTTTTTGAGAATTTGATCGAGCATCAGAACTGAAGCGATGTTGTAGTTTACGGATTCAATTTGCCCTGCGAACCACTTTGGCTTATCGCCTATAAGAGCTGGATCCCAAATACCATTCTGTATTCGCATAAAAGCAACGTTGCTCGGACTTAGACTCCATTCTCCTAAATATTCGACCGCTTGCGTCCGCGAAAGCTTCGAAATAAAAGAATCCTCTAATACTGGCGTTTGGTTTTCCGATTCGATCGACTGTAGAAAGCAGTCAGCCTGAAAGGCAACCACCGGTCGAGGGTAGAGTCGTAAAGTGCGCATGTGTTTATGAGCGCCTCTCAAAACGCCCGGTGAGTCAAAGAAGCGAATCATCGCCACTCGCGTCGCCACATCAACACATTCCACATCATTCCCATAAATGTAGCTTTCTTGGACCTTTCCTTGTGCGTTTTCAATATTATCTACTCCACGGTAGTTTTCCTCTGATCCCATTGCTTTCAGCGCTTGAAAGAGGTGACTTTTTAGCTGATTCGTTTCTGCTTCTGGAAGCTTTGGCAGGTCCGGCTCCGTTTTGGGTTGATAGATTTTGTTTGTGTCCAGATCGACGACCCAAACATCTTGTGGCAGGCTCACTTTCTTAAGAAGAACGAAGGATGCAGGAATGCCTGACAAAGAGGATGTCCATCAACTATTATTGAAATAAGACTAGAAAATATTCCGCTCTCGATTCGATTGATGATGTTCTCCATTCTTAAATTAACATCCTTTCCTATGACAAATGGCGTCGGCGCGAGGAGAATTTGCTCCGAAGATGGCATCAAACAGGGGAGTAGAGGAATTACTGGGAACATGTATTCCAGGGGATAGAGCATCGATACCAGGGCGAGAACGGACATTGTCAGGGCATTATAGTCCCTGCTCAGCACAAGAACCTTGTGTTCAAGCAAGATGCAAGTAAGGACTTTTAAGCATTGATTAACGCCTAATAACTCCAAAGGTAGATGAAGTGGAAAATCGATGAGCGTTAGTCGGGTGGGGTCTGGCAGTGCAAAATATATCGAGCTGTGCACATCTGCTGCGGAATTCACTTTCCGTCCAGCACAAAGAAAATAACTTCTAACTGTTCTGTCGAAAGATAAAATTCCGATCCTGGAAGAAGTTGAAGATTAAGAACCGACTTTCCTACTTCGGGAACGGGAGAATCAAGAAGCATGCTTATCCAACTTTCAATAATTTGAATATATTCTCTTGTAACTAGAGGGAAATCATCAAGCCGGGTTTCTGTCTTTGTGAAGTAATCCCAAATGTCGAAAGAAAAATTTCCCATCTCTCTGCAACAACGATCGGCAGAATCAGTGATCTTCTTGAGAGTAGCGAGAACAGTTCGGAATCCAGAGATAAATTGGTGATTTGTGAGAATGCAAATCGAAACAAGCTTGTCTTTAGTTTCGTCAGAGGACTTCCTTCGGACGTAGAAATTATGGCACACTCCGTAGCGCGTCGAGGAGGTGTCTTTATCTGTCAACGTAAAGACAAACGACGAATCCTTCATTACCGCCGAGCCGCCATAGAACTTTTCGATGTGGTTGCCTTCTGGTTGGCAGAAATAAGCCACATCTGCAGGCAGGGAGGACTCTTCATAATCTAGCGAAAAAAATTAAATAACAATCTCATCGACGAAATTTCAGACCTTCTTTGGGGTACTTCTTTGAAATCACGCTTGTCTCTGAGTCATCACTATCTTGGGGAGCAACGAAGAACAAATAATCGAGGAATCTTCGCTTATCATCCGACAGATAGTTCATCTGAATTACTTCCTTTTTTATATTGTCTGGTAATAAAATCAGCTGGTAAAAATGAACAAGCAGGGCTCTATATTTCGATCGAAAGCGTCTCACTAGCGTGGGCGCCTCAACCTTCTTTTTCTAACAGCTTTGCCCATTGCAAGCCTAGTGGGAACGGAGCTATTGATTCTAAGAAAGACAGCTATCAGCGAGATCCGCCTTTACCCCATAATTGGTAATTTTTTGTGCTACGAACTTTAAGAATGAACAAAAGAAAGATCTTTCTTCAATGAGAGATCATTCGCAATCTTCTTTTACAACTTTGCTTCGCCTCCCGAAACTTCACTTCAACGCTCAATTATAAAAACATTCTTGAACGATCAATGCAAGTAAACAATGGTATTGCTCACGATTGATTCTTGTGAAATCAAATGGCTCGTGCTCGCATCGTCCGGGGGTGAATCCTTTAGGACGATCCGCCGACGCGTTTTTTTACAAAAAGGGAAAGATTCAGAAGCGCCACGGGCGATAAGCACACCGTGAATCAGTCTTTTTTCTACTCGCCGAACACGGGATATTCTTTTCTTACAAGCTCGTAGAGATCGGAAGGCACAGGTTGAGCATTTTTCGAAGTACGAGATCCAGAAGAGAAAATGGGGAAGAAAAACAGTCAACGAGATGAAACGTAATCCGAATTATTTCACGATTTGCGAATTACTTAGTTGTTAAATCTCTAAAGTCATAATTATGTCGAGCAAAATAATGTTATAAATCTAGATGTTATTCACAAAGACCGTGAATTGAACTTCTGTTTAGCATTTACACCCATGGACAGCAACAAGGAACGACGATTAATGTTATCCAACAACAGCCACTGGGGTTTGACCAGGAACGACATTCAGATGGTAAATTTTAATTTGTCAAGATACTCTATGATTTGGAAATCTCTAGGCGAATGGAAAACTGGACTCTGCGAATGCAGCGACAGTGCGACTTGCTGGCAGGCAACTTGTTGCTGGTCAAAGCTGAGAAAAATCATCACGAATGATTTGGGAAAGAAAGCGTTCAACCGACGAGAGAAATGTCTCAAATGTCCATGCGTACGAAAAGAAACTCAAATTTAGACTTAAGGGATCCTCCCCCGGAATCGCCAACCTTGACTCGAAATAACTTTCGTTTGGCATTGTGGATTTATCTAATTCCAATTGCATATGAAAGTTTATGCCTTCATTGGAATTTGCAAGTAGCTTTAGCTTTTTTCGAAATGTCAAATCTGCAACCAGGGACTCTTGAAAAATTCGAATTTTCAGAAAACACCTTTTTGGGGTGTTTTCAAGCCGAAATAAAAATTTATTGGGCTTTTGTTTTGCTCTTTAACCCGTTAACAGGCGCGTGGCCGTCTCACGGCCACGCGTGGAAATGAGTAGCCAATCGCATGCCCGGATTCATGATTTCACTCAATCACAGATAGGCAAAAGCGTAGGCGAAATCGACCACCCTGTTAACGGGTTAACCCGTTAACTGGGCGCGCGATTTTATACGTTAACAGGCGCGTGGAGATCTAATCTCCACGGACGTTTTGACGATTTCTGTGAAATAGGGCTCATCTTAGCAAATTCTAAGGAAACAGCATGATTCAGAAGCGTCTGCTCTTTCATCTGATTGTTGTTTTGTTTCTATTCTTGATTGTCTAATGGCTAAAAATCGGGGTCAAAGTTACGTCATTTTCGGCGCTGAGATTCAACAAAAGGGAAAAGGCGCACGAGTTGCATTACTCTTTCCCTTTTTTTCGCTGACTGAAGTTTTTCTTTTGCTTCTCCTGAGCAGAATTTCACGCGAAAAATTTTTCAAAATTATACGAGCGGATAGAGAATCGATTAAATTTTTCAGAAATGAAAAAATTTTCAAAAAATAATCAGACGCGTCTATCTTATAGCGCTTCAAAGGCGCCGTGGAGATTAGATCTCCACGAGCCCGTTAACGGGTTAAACTTGTGGACTAGAAAGAAAGGACGCTTATCTGAATTCGCAAGTAGCTTTAGAATGATTGATGAAAAGAGAAAAAATTTTTCTAAAGAAAAACTATTCAAAGCCATTTTTGCCAATTTTTGGCATTAAATTGCTCTCTAGCGCCGAATTATGGCCAAAAATTCTTGTGCGCTTATAATATTCTTAATCAGTACGCTCTGAGCTTTCGATAGACCCCTTATTTGTATATTTTTTACGACATTGAAAAGTCGAAAAAAATAACGATTTTCACGCTTTAGCTTACTTAGTACAAATTACATGCATTTTTGCGATTTTCAAAGGCTAAAATTTTGGGTCAAGATGCTTGTAAGGGGGGACTTTAATACATCAAAATGATCCTCAGAAGACGGGGAATCTAAATATGCCTCAAAGCGGCCCGTCATTAAGATTTGAAATTCCGGAGGGGGACCCCTTAAACAGATAAACTTTAGGTTTGTTGTGTGACTCTTTGCTGCCAGCGAGGACAAGTGCGACGAAAATACGACATCGATGGAAACAACTGCCTTGATTGCATCCTGGCTACCTGGTGTTACTGCTGCGTCCTCAATCAAATAGTTCGTCATCTTCCCGATGAAAAATACCAAGTAGAACTCAAACGCGTAGGATAATTCAATGTAACTGCTACATTCCAACGATATCCGACCTTTGATTCTTGAACTTAAGAGTATTGGGCCAATACCACTATCACTTGCTCAAGCAAAAATCCCTATAGAAAACATAAATCATGAATACTAAACGTATAACCCATCAAAATAGTTCCTCTAATCCATCATCTTTTAACTTTACAATTAACTTGTCATTATACATATATAATATGATATATATGTCGCCTAAACAAGTCATTCGAATTTTGAATTGATGCTTCGAAAATGCTGTTAATTCTGTGAATTCCTTCTCAATCTCAACATGTATCTTCCTCTCCAAAACCCCCAATCATAATTGTACATTTGACCTTCCTGAAAACTACGTGCCCTGCCCAATCCTTTGCAAATTTTGACTTCTGAAATGCTCTTGAAGAACGTAAAAATAAAGCACCTTTCAAATTCTATTTCATTTATCGATGATAAAGGGTATCTTTTATTGCATTAATAAAAAGCAAAAAATAATAATTAGCAACTCTATTCATTCTTCGTCACTCGATTCGAAGGGATTTTTGAAGCTGAAAGGATCCGCCTTGTCTCGCGTCAAAGAGTCATAACTCTCCTCTCGAGTGCATGGGTCAATAGAAGAACATTCAGATGCATTGTCAGGAATATCAGAAGTTTTGGCAGGTTTGGTAGTGCTTTCTGAGAGCGATCCCTGAGTATTGAACAGTGGCAATGAATTGTAGGAAGTGTTCGAATCGCCGTGCTCAGAGATATTGAAGCTCAATTCAGTTGATGCTTCAGAAGAAGCGGTTTGATTTTCATCATCATCGTGGGAATTAGGAGGCGAAATCTGGTTCGCCGAAAAGAGGGGTGGTGGAATTGGAGAGGCCTTCATCTTTTTCGGCTGTACTTCTGTGTTTCGATCGTGGAAATGTGGTGGGGTAGGATTGATCTTGCTGCGATTGGCGGCTTCTTTAATTTCTGGGTCTTGACGCAAGTTCAAATAATAGCTCGATAAACTCAATCAAGTAGAGAAAAACAAAAAGTATTGAACCGTTCCTTCCTTTTCGAGATCGAAACAATCATCATTGCTCGGGGCAAATCTTGGGAGCTGAACTTGATCCCCAATCTTCCGTTTTCTATCATCACGACTGGACGTTGGACGAGGAGTTCCGTAGCCATTCTGCGGATAACCATTGTTCAGGGGGGAGCTTTTGGTAGATCTAGGTGGCAACAGAGGTTTGAAGGCATAGTTCAGCGTATCAGAATGATGAACTAGAGCCGGTGGGGAGTAAAACTCAGAGGGTCCAGTTGGGTTTGATGGGTCTATATTTATATTAAATCTAACTTTGATTATTATTTGATCTTGCCTGTCGGCAGTTTTGAAAGTTGTTCGTCTACTTGTAAATCGTACTTTTGAATACCAAATTCACCACCTTCGGTAATTCGGCATCTAAATTTCTGCTCAATTCGGAAGTGATGGATTTTGTCTAAATCTTCACTGTACATCACGGCATTCTTTCCGTCGGGTTTTACTAAAATCACGTAGAATAGATTTAGAATCTTATTTAATTCTCACCATGCATGTATCCGTCAATCCACTTTTTGGTTTGTTTCTTGTGCTTCTGAGTAGTATACAAAATCTTCCAATAAGTTTCCATTCTATAACATTACAAATTAGATACTTAGCTATTCTCTCAACGCAAAAAATACTAAAAACTGGGGTAACCTTTCTGAATTTCAAGCCTAGTATTTCTAGCGTAAACTATAATCCAAATAACAAATGATCCAAGAATTGAAATTAACGATGAATCAGGGGGAGAAATTTTTAAATATCGAATACACTTTAGGTACAAATAAAACTATAAACGTAGACAACAAAATCGATAATGAAGAGCGTTGATCGTTTTCCATCGTCGGAAATCAACGGAAGGCCTCAAGGTGGCGCTTCCCCAAAATTTTATAAGAAGCTACGATTCATGCCATCACTCAAAAAATCATCTCAAGATGGCTTATCAGAGACAGCTCTCTGATGTTCTCTCCACTCAAGCAGATTTAATGATGCCTCCTGCCTTTCCTTCTGTGACATACAGTCAGCTCATGCAGGTCTGAAATATTTTTAATTGCTTTTAGTCAAACTCACTGTTAAGGCGCAGAACCCTCAAATGACTACAATCATGTCATCCTACTTGATGGGGACAAATCACAATACTGACAACGGATTCCACAATGAAATGACCAACCCAGTTCCACTGCTCAATATCAAGCAGGAGCCAAATCTACGAGGGGATGTGAATGAGCACTTGAAGCGGATGGAGTCCGTTCTCGGCGGCGGAGAGATGCTTTCGAACGAGCTTGAATTCATGGAGGGTAACTTGCATCTAGGTATGACACTCTCACAAATCAATTAATGAAAGATAAAAAATTAGAGAACGAGAACACTGCTGTTGAGATGGAAAACGATCCAAAGGGAGCTCTCCTAAGCAAAACACAGACTGATCACATGGAGCCCATTCTTGGTCTGACCAATTTCAACGCGGTCCAGCAGCAACACAAGATGGATGTGATCCCGTTTGCAAGACCAGCGCTGACGGAGAGCGACCAGGCTCAAGTTAAGCACCCGACGAATGGAATGATTTACCAGATTAACTCCCACTTTTTAGCAACAGTGCTAGATCGCTATGGAACACAGAAAGTAATACCAGTACATCTCTTTCGCTATATTAATCCGGTTTAAGGTCCAATATCCTGCGGATTCAAAGGAAATCCTGACCAAAGTGCAAAAGTTTTGCGAAGCTCGTTCACTCGGATTCATGACTGAAAAAGATGCTCGTCAGATTGTCGACTCTGGCTACCCGATCGAGACAATCTCGACAAAAAAGACAAAATGCGACGACTCTGGGCCATTTGAGTGCCTTTTCTGCCCGCTGGTTCAGAACTGCCGCAAGTTTTTTGGGGTGAAAGAAAACCTCAAGCGGCACTACTCGAAACATCTGCGATTCCACCGCTTTGCGTGCGGCGCACCTCAATGCTCCTATGCTAGCTACCGCGGTGATCACGTCAAAGACCACATTGAAAAGAAACACCCCAATCAAGGTGTCCTGGTTCGAAATGTCTGATTTATATTCATATAACATATACGGTCTCTTTACCAATAAATGTCAAGAAAATAACAGTGTCTACAGTGCATCTGAGCGTTTGAAAATGAAGTGGGGTTGAGAAAGTAGCGAAGCCTGATAACTGGTAAAATGCAAGGCAAGAGTAGAGCGAATACCTCACGCATCAATACACGCAGACACTAGATAAGTGATAGTACTTTTCATGTATTTAAATTTGACAGCCTAAAAGGAAAATATTCTATTGTTTCAAGAGAGCGTGACAAATGAGTTTCTGTTTATAGGTAAATTGATCTTGAATGAAAGATGTATAAAAACAGGTTTTCCGAAGCCTCTACCTTGAGGCTCGTCTTTTTTAATCAAAATATAAGTAATATTATATAACATAATAATTCATATTACAGATTTGAACATACGCATTTGACACATCAAATGGGCACCGTAATTACAGACAACGATAAGAGTTTACAGTGATTATATATAAGGAACTTTAGCAGCTCAATTGAAACTGGCAACAGTTAAACCAACTCATCCCATGAGAACCGTTCAAGAGCCGATTTTAGACATATCCGAGAATTTTCTCCGTCGCTTGAAGCTCGTACATAACCTAAAAGCAATTTTTAATTTACGAAATAAAAGAGGAAAAACCTGAGCAGCGCCAAATAAAACTCCAACAACAATCCCACGAGCGAGGCCACCATTGAAAAGTGCCTGGACGGCACCGATTGAGCCATTTTGTTGTCTGCCTTCCTGGATCACGGATCTAGCAGCCTCCATCCAACTATAAGTAAATTTTAACAATCAATAAGGGGCAATGCTTGTACCTAATACCACCCTGCTTTTGGATACGAGTTTTAATACAGTCCATTGGAGTCACGGTCAATGCTCCTACAAGGCCAGACAGAAGTCCGGATGCGAAATTCATCGCAAAGGTCGGGTCTTCTCCTGGATTAAGTAACCTTTTGGCCATTTGCTCACGAACGATCGCGTAGAATGGAAAATATACAGCTGAGAATGGAATGTCCCGGATCAGCGTAGCACAGAAGCCAGTGTATACACCCCGGATCTTTCCAATCGCAGTCGCACGCCCCGCAGTTCGCTGTGCCCAGGTGACGCTCACAGGAGTTCCAGTCTACCAGCAGGATGAAACAAAAATTCTACATTGAATTTTTACCTGGCCAGCAATTTTAAACATTTCCATCGGAGATGTAACAATACATTGGCAGGTTCCAGCCGTCGCTCCAGCAATAACCTGGTTCATTATACTTGAATATTTTTGAGGCGCATACCTATGGCGAATTAGTTTACCTGATATTTCCGTTTTTATCAGTAAGACGGGCGCGCATTCTGTCATTGACAACGAGCTTGATCGCTTTCTCGGGCGTGATAAGTATCATATTGATTCCAATTCCACCATAAAGTCCAGTAAGACCACGCTCGGCAACAACTGCTCGATAGGCGTTGACGAATTTGCCATGGTACTGGACTTTATTCAGTTGAAATTTCGTCTAAACATTCGTTAGATTCTTACGTCTTTACCACTCAGTGGAAATTACTTTTATTAAATCGAGGGGGAAACTTGCTCCGACACCGACGATACCAGCAAGCGCACCGTTTCCGATTTTACATAGTAGCAACTCGTTCTCAGTTGGCATTCTTAAAATAACGAGAGTCAAATTAATGGTTAGAAAAGCGTCAGTCCCTGGCATTATAGACTTATACACATATATAAAAGTGAAACATTGAAACTTAAATTGAACTGAAGTAAAAATCGATGTCAACGCTCGCTAATCAACAATACAAGCGCCAATAATCAGGCAGGCAGCTATTGAGAGTGAATTTCCTAATTTCGATCCAACTGTCGTTCTTTTCATCTATTCTTCTTTTCTTGTCCTCCGTCGTCGAGTTTTCTGACTTAATTGTGAATCCTTCTTTTTCTCTTGCTCTTCTTCCTCGGCGGGCGTGTCTACTTTCTGCAAACATTGATATAGATACAAAATAGGTAAATTTGCTTTCTTACTTTATGTTGGCCGCTGACGGGTTTGCGCGGCGAGATGCAATCGGACACAAAGACGAGAACGGCACCCAAAAAGAGCCCAGTTATGATTGTGCACACTTTGTTTGAGTGTTTAACTTGGAGTCCCTGATTTCATCAAGTAATTACCTCCATAAATGATGTAGCTGACGAGGTCGCTGAAACCCATTTCCTTCGTGAGATAATCGTGCGTTATTTGCATGTAGGAGGAAAAGATGAAAAGCCAGGAGATGAGCGACATAGTTATGCTATTTGGCTGCCGGTACCAGGGCAATGGATCGTACTGTTCGTACTTTTTCTCGCTGACGTAATCATGAAGGGCGTCAAAATTGCGACCTTAAGAAAGCCGTAGCAAAATTTTATCTATCTCGAACTGACCTTCGTCGTATTTTGTGCAGATTCCATCCAAGCAGTGGTAAACAGTAGGAAGCGATGTAATCACAAATCGTCCGGCGAGACTGTGGTTGTGGGTAATATCCACGTTACCAACTTTTATGCCTTAAAACTTCATTGAAGCAAAACTCTTAAATAACCGAAATCGGTTGACTCGACAGAATTCAAAATCAAAGACACGAGTGCTCGAATGCCTCAATTTGGAGACTACTTTTTCTCGAGGAAACCCATGATCCCAATGTTTTTGTGGGAGTGTCTCTGAATTGATTCCGTTGCTTTGGCATATTCACTATTTTCACAGGAGTATTTTTTACGCTTGTTTACACAAAGTTATCCATTTCAAAATTAGAAGAAAAATGCGACTTGGATGTGGTGTCGACATGACTGTGGTATTCTAGTTTGATCTAGTCATGATATGGTCAGATAATTGTGGGAGGACAAAGTGTAATTTGAGACACGGCTCTTTTGCCGCCATGAACTTTTGTGTCAATCAGGCGGCTCCTGAAATCACATACCGAGTTCTGGAGCATATTCGCCCAACTTATTCCACTCGTTCTCGAATCGCTGACACGCTGGACACCAAGGAGCGGAGAATTCGATCATCCACTCTCCCTGCAAAGTTTGCCGCCAATTCGAATCTGTCACATCGATTACGGCGCTGGCGACGGCACCAGCAATCAGCAGAAAGGGAATCATTCTAGAGCCAAGGAACTCAGAGTTGGCGAAGCTTTTTTTGTCCACGCAAAGTTGCAGCGAAAGACTTTTTCGTCGGCCTAATGATTCACTAAAGCTACAATCGCCAAAACGAAATAAAAATCAACACCCCTGATTCGGAAAAGTATTCTCTCAATTTCTTAAGTTACACATGGGCCAAAAATTTATTACAAATATCCGTTGAAAAATCATAGATGATTGAGAAGGGCAGTAAAATTAGTCCGAGTCCTCTGCGAGGACAGTCTGGCGACTTTGGAATGAGTATTGAGAAGCTGTATCTTCCATTTCTGAATCCATCATTCGGCCTCCGACATTTCGTTTAATGCCGTAAAGAGAAGCGTCATTTGTTGAATCGTCGCTAAAAACGTAAATATAAAACAGTGATGTTTTAACTACTACCTGTCGGAGCTATCGCCGAAAAGCAAGTCCGCTCCACTACGGCTATTATTTAGCGACGCGAATTGACTAGAACTGGGCTGAAAAGAAGGCTGTTCAGGCTGATATTGACGTCGATTATAGGATGACAAGTCGTATTGATCACGGGTCTCGGTTAGCCTTGATGCGTTCAGAATATCGGCCTGCGTTAGCATGAGAGGACTCTGAAGAATCCGTAAGTTGTCTAGACAAAAGTTTAAGCATTTTTACTCTTCTTCCGCTCCCACTCGCAGGGATTATTTCAGACTTAGTAGAGTCAAGGAAGGAATCGTCGCTGTGAACACGAGTTATATTGATTGTCTTTGATATGTCCGAGCTCAGTGTGGCTGTGACAATCGAAGAGATGAAATTGTCCGACTCAACTTTGAAAACCAAGGGACAACCTTGACCCTCTTCGAAGACCTTAATATTTTACATTCTCACAGAAATGTAAGCATAAAGGAATTGTTACTTTTACTTCAGCATCTTCCATCAAATCTTCCCATAGTTTTACAGCTGCTCGAAGCTCTTTCAATGAAAACGTCAGATGGTCACTCATCGGCTGGAAGATCTCCAACTCTTCGGATGTTATCGCGACCTGGGACTTGACACTCGATTTGACAGTGTTTTCATCGTACGATTTGAGATGCAGTTTTCCATCATCCATGTACATAGTCGCTTCCAGAATCCCGCGAGGAAAGGTAGAGAGTTCTCCATCGATTACTGACAGTGGGCAGACCATAAATGGAACTCTTTCCTCGAGGTCGAAAGTAGAAGCGAGGTTGTCCGGGTCATACACTTCGAAGTCGTAGTGTTTCGTCCAATGTTTCGTGCCGATGAATTTGTATGAAAAATGTTCCGCCGAGAAGTCGATTTCGATTTTATCAAGGAATTTCGAGATGTTCATAGCTGAAACTTTGATCAAGTAGCGCAGCGGGAGACTGATCTTGACATCATCGCAATACACGGATGTTTGTGATTGCGAAGTGTTGTAACTTTCGCTTATGTCGAAGAACTCGGGGGTAAGAATCATTTGCATACAAACTGATCGGGAGATATTTGACGTTTGAAGCTCAAATGATTGTTACGAAATTACATTGGAACTCACTCGATTACCTTTAATCCTTGGACGTCATACGGCTCGATTTGAACGTGAGGACCAATTTTGACGAGGGTTTTTAGCGTTTTTACGAACTCCGTAATATTATAATCAGGGACGATCCACATCTGAAATTTCGCCGTTCAGTTCGAAAATATGAAGATGGCTATATTTACATTTTTGACAGAATTAGGTTTCCTTTTTTGATTCTTTGACGGCGTGGAGCAATATCTTCGTTTCCCTCTCAATTGCATAGGCAAAAGCTTAATTTTATTAAATAATTGATACTGATAATGAAGAATTATGGGGAGAATCTAATAATAAATCCAGCATCTAGAATACCTTCAAAGTCCCCTAGATGCCTGATCGCAGACTCGAAGTTTTTCAACGACTCATTCCACTTTTCCGATTGTTTTTCCAAGTCAGACGCTTCTTGCTGTATCTTTCTGAATTCCTTGTCCACCTTTTTCTGGTTTGCGTATGCATGCTTCACTGGTAGGTTAACATCGATTGCAAGCTCTTTAGCACTTTTACAGCTAGCATCAATCAGCTTTTTTTCGGCATTTTTGATTTTCTCATTTCTTGTCGCTAGTTGATGGTCATAATCGCGGATTATCGAGTGGAGCATTCTAATGTCGGAAAATGAGCTCCTTTGGATTTACAGTTGAATTATTCTATCGAAAGCTCTGTAAACGTTTTCTATGGCAGTTTTTCCAAAAGCACTTTCGAATTTCATCATCAGTCCACTCTTCCGAGATAATCGTCCATCAGCGACCCAATCGAGAAAATTTCGTTAACGTCTACTCGCGTCCCGACAATTTTAAGCCGAATTTCGTCGTCTGTAAAAATCCTGTATAATAATTAGGCTTTAACGTCATTCAAGGACCTTGTCTAATCGCTGTGTCTTCGTCTTTCGTCTTGTAGCAAGGAGGGTTAGAATCTGGATCGAACTCCATGTCAGAAGGTATGGAGTGCTGAAGAACACCATAGTTCGTGACAATCTCGCACTAGTACCTTTGAAATGAAGCAGGCCATTGGGCCAACATCCACCATGAGTCCGACTTTGTTCACTTGTGTAACTACCCCGTCCACGACTTCGCCCTTGAAAGGACGAAAGACAATCGCCTAATAAATAATTAGCCAATGAAATCTTACACATAAGAACTCACCGCGTATTTAATTGGGAAAAGGCAAAATCCTCTCCCCGCCAGAATCTCTCCATCACCAATGCTGTGAATATTCGTGACACCGATCACAAATCCATGTTCTCCAGTACAGGAGCCTTCTACTTCACTGAATTTGAGCACTTAGAATTGCCGAGATCCCGAGAATATACCTGTAAAGTTTTTGTCGAATCGTATCAGTGAGATTCTCTCCAAAGTACATCGGATGGATTAAAAGCTCATGTTCGAGATCAATATGGTAAAACATTCTAAGAAGAGAGCTCCTGTCAAATATCATTTCATTTTGCCAGAATAAATAGTTTCAGGAGCAGGGAATATTAAGAAAGAACTTTCAGAACTGGGCATTCTCCCTCGCATCGCATAATAGGGCACTTTGTCATGTTCTCGCAGCCGAAAAACGTCTGGATTCGCTTCTTTGCAAGCTGTGGGTCTCTGCCCTAAATTTAACGGAATTGAACTAAAGATAGCAAAATTAAAAGTATACCCAGACACCAAGCTCAGAAGTAAGCTGAACACTTCCAACAAAAAGGCCGACTTTAGCACCGAAGACAGCAGTTTTGCCAGTGAAGCGAACAAGCGATCCGACAAAACCCATTCTATGCAAATAAGCACTTAGGCAAAGGTATAACTTATAGGGCCTATAAGCATTATTTTATTCATCGTCAGAGAAGTCTATATCTTCTATGTCGGGAAGTGGAAACCTTTTTTGGGATGAATCGATTCCTCAAATAAGATAGATTTGAAGTCGAGATAGAAATGCTATCCGATCCTGAGAATGGCTGCGATTCCAGTGAGATTCGCGAGCTGAATGCCAGATGGATGGAGAGAACTCAAAATATAAACATTTGCCCCAGCAGCTTGCGCGCGCTCGGAAAGCTTCACATATCTTCGTCTTCGATTCACGTCAAAGCATCGGAATAGTGAATCAGTCATCAAAAGTGTATCTATTGCTTGTAACTCGCAAGCCTTTTCAACCTGAAAAATAATTAAATCTGCCCGAATGAAAGATATTATTTATAAATAATTTACAATTTTTGTTGGTGAAAAACGAACAGTCTGTATCAAAAGAAGAGAATTCTCAAACACAATAGTTTCGAGTGAAACATTTCAACATATGTTTTTTTAATATCCGCCACAACCCAAGCCATCTCAGTGGAATCATTTGACTGAATAGCAATACCCCGCGAGGCGTTAAAAAGTTCAATAAATTCAAAAAAATCGGTCTACTAGTAACAGACTATTACCTGTTTTGTTCCATAAAAGGCGCGATCCCCGTCGTCGAGAAGTGTCTGCTGAAATGTTTCAAATGCCTTCGTTTCTTTTGCTGCTTTTGTATCTTCTAGGCGGCGGGCGACACCAGGGTCTTGGAGGACTTCCATAAGGGAGTGCTTGTATCCGGAGGAGCTTCTGCAGGAAACAAATTTCGCGCGATGTTCGATGAATTTCTTGTTTTCTTCGTTTTGGATGAACATGTATTCCATGAACTCTTCGCGCACGAAACCAGGAGAAGCGATAATGATACATTTTAAACGATCAAAATCAAAATTAGTCTTCATCGCAGTGGCTACATTTTTGAAGAACTTCTTCATCGACTCTTCGTGTTTGTCTGGTCGTCGTTTTCCTTGAATTGAGGTCTGTATTTTTTGCTTCACCACTGTCAGCGCACTGAGAACTTGCAAGGAATAGACTCTAACCTTTCTCATTATCTATATATAAAAATTGATTCCTCTCCTAAACACACGTGTGCCAGACCTTCTTCCATCACCACAGCCCCTACTTCTGCTTTCAAATTCATATCTGTCGCTTCTTTGATTCTCCGTAATGTTATCGAGTCCCACTCGTCCTATTCTGTATTGACGTCAAGCCGATGGAAATTCTTCCTACCTTGTAAATTGTAAAACGTCGGCCCAACTCGAGGTCTATCGTGTGGTACTGTCCGATATTAACGAACTCATTCTGCTCCGTATTTGTCCCTTTCATCGACAAGCAACAGACAGTTTGATCGAAATCGAGTGTTTCGATTTTGATTGTCAACTTGAAATGTTTCCTCTCGGTCGTACGAAGTCCAGTAGACGACTCTTTCTTCACGTTTCGAACTGTCGAAGCTTCCACTCGGTCGCCAGCCTGAAGCATATTGTACACATGCCAAAGATCTTCCAAGGACTTTTTTATAAGACCAAATGCCGGAGAAAACGATTCTCGCCCAGTTAGTTAACATAATAGAATTTATGCATCTGCAAGTCCTTTCCCTCAGGTTCTTCTGCGGTGAGAACGATCTTACCCGATTTATTTTTCGTTAGTTCGCGGTGGTGCACTTTCATTTCTGAACAGAAAATATGCATGAGAGTATTTTCGGAACGATTTACATAAGTTTATTGCACGTAGTAGTGAGACACCGCAGTTTTTTAGAATTAATCACGGATAAAAACGAAAAAATAGGAAAACAAGTTAATCGGCAAACAATTTCCGATGTAAACTTAAGAGTGTTGAATAGGCAAAGCAGAATACAGAAAATTATGAGTGTTTGTTTGAAAAATAAGAAAAGGACAATAATACTAATTATCTCCAACATTCACATCGACTCCGACGTCAGCGTTATGAATATTGGGATTGTTGATTGGGTCCAAGAAGGGATCGTGGTCGGCGCGAGATCGACCAACCTAGCAAATAAATGCGGTGAGAGTCAATATTCTAAGAAGTCGATTACCTTGGTCAGGAAGAACAGAACTGTGAAAACGCCAATGACCGCGATAAATATCATGAACAAAGTCTTTTGGGTAATATCGGTATCGTCCTGAAAAAAAAATCGATCAACTGATGAGATTATAGTGATAGCTTACCCTGTATTTAGGATGGATTTCGTGGGCTTTGATCAATTTTGACAAGAAGCCTGTAGGTTTTCTCCTGGCGTATTTATTCTCATCGGGATCCTCATTATCTACCGGCAAGGCCACTTCCTTTGAAGCGTAGTCAAGCTGAAAAGTTTCTTGGTGTGTAGCTCGTCTTTAGTATCTTACTTGACGCTTGAGCTTTTCTCTATTTGTCACTTCGGACTCGGTCAGGGCATGCGTGCTTACAGGAGTAGAAGTGCAGAGGGGAGTCGCGATTCGATTCTTAATTTTGGCTCAACTTCTTGGGTTCAAGCAAAGTTAGTTACGTTAACAGGATTGAAGGTCTCTGGCGCGTCCCAAGATTTCAACGAACTATTGTTATTGTTTTTCTCCTCCTCTTCGTCTGCTTCAGGGATGAGTGGGAGACCAAGGCCTACACGAGCCCAAGAAGCTGTCTTCAGTCGCTCGCGCAACGCTTCCGCCACTGGACCAGCTTGATTTTCCGGTGGAAAGACTGGCCCAGAGCAAATCGGACAGCGGAATCCTCCGGGTGCAGTATTCGATGGATACTCGGAGAATTTTTGACTCAGCGCAGGCCAGTCAAAGACGTCTAGATATTATGAATAATTTCCGCTTTAGAGATAAATATACATTCGAAATTTTAATATATTGCCATGATATCATATTTACGGTAGCAAATCAGCCGAACTGGATCAATATCTTCGAGTGGCTTTCCAGATACCGCGCATGTCGGGTCGTAGTCAGAGTCTTTCAGCCAGTTCAAGTATGACTGGACTACACACTTAAATCAGTCGATAAATCTCTGAGAAAATACGTAAAAGTAAAACCTTTGGATATCTCTCCACGATACAATATTCACAGACATTGACACGATGCTCGTAACAGAATAGATTCGTGACTTTTCGCTTCGGACATTTACAGAGACCCATTACAGTCTAAAATAATTGAAAAGCAATTAGATGTGCCTGGAAGTTCAGGGGTGCCTTATCAGCAGCAATACATTCTACAGTCAGTTGTTCATTTCATCATCTTCGTTAAATAGACGAGTAACTTCCTTTGTCATTATAACATTATTTTCCAGCAGGTTCAAAACAATCTGCAAAGTTGTGTCCAGATCACAGCCTTCATTGACCAAATCAGCCACTTTCACATACTTCGGGTATTTTACCGTAAGAACGTCAAAAACAGCGGCCCCATCCTCGCTTATTTCGTACGATTTCAATTCTTCCTTCTTGTAAATTCTAAGGAAAAAATCTGAACTGCCGAAAATGACATAGAGTAGTACCTAGGGTTGTCATTACTGTGGCAAAGGATAATCTCATTATCCTCGCCCATAATGACTCGTGCAGATTGTTGCCGTAAGAGGCGAATTTCAGTGTCTTCATCAAGCTTGTAGCAAGTATTCTTGACGACGCCATTTTCAACAATTGGCTTTCCCCCTAACGAATATTTAAATCATGCTGTTTTTTTGTAAAAATCGACTCCTACATTGGACAGTTCTGTTCGCTTCGTCCTTGGATAGCACCGGTGGAAGGGCGCAATGAGTGTCATTCTTCGCTAATTCATCGCATGCTTTATCCACATCTGCGTACTGAATCATGTTCTGCATGAGAGACATGACGACATTGCTGAATTGCTCTCGCTCGGCAGCTCGATCTTCTCGATCACTATTGGACACGCCCATGATGAGCTTGTAGTCTGTCGGAAGGCCTCGCCGGAACTCAACGTTTTCTTTTATGGCAGTGGACTTTTTATGGCTCAAGCAATATTTCTCCCGCAGAAGTATACGATCATTATCGTTGAGCCCTACACAACGCTTGCGGTACGATTTTTTCAAGAAGATCACACCATGCGTTCTTCTGATATGTCGAAATTGTAACATGGAGAGAGTGCTCGCCAGCCAGGCATTCGCCCTGATGAAGCCACCCTCTTGGAACATAAAGTACATCGCCAGGTTGGATTATTTCATAGATCTCCGGTTCATGTTTAATTTCGTTCGGGTGGAAGTTCCGCGATGAAGTTCGGGGGAGTTCTTTGTTTTCGAATGGCGCCCAAACTTTCCACCTCTTTCTTCCCTCAGTCTTAGAAAAAGTAACTACAAATAACAAAGATTTAAGTTGTCTACCTGAACCATGAACACCTCTACGTCATCGTAATGCGGAGCAAACCCTGTTGTACTAGGAGGTGTCAGGTAAGTATTAGAACCGGTGAAGCAACCGAAGAACTCCTGAAGTCCCTGGCAGACACTCCAAATAGACTTAGAGTAAGTCTGTGGGTTGAGCATTCGTACAGAGCAACCATTGTTGTACATGTCCCACACTTTCGAAGGCCACGCTCGTCCAGGCTCATTGTGAGTCTGTCGGCCATTCTTTTTGTCCCATGATGTGACGTCGATATTAACACTGAATAAAATTTTAAGGGTTAAAAATGCAATCTAAATTACCCAAATTGAACGGGATTATTTTGGATAATATTGGCAAGCTGCGATGTACTGAAGAGGCTATTGTTATAGTCGGCCTTATTCCGTCGAATGAGAACGGCCTTCTTTTCCCAGTAGTTTAGCATGAAGTCTTCGACGTCCATTGGCCAGATCATCCACTGGAACAGACGGGCAGAATCCTTCAATGAGTCTGATACAGAGGTAGGTATAGGCATGGTAGGTGGTCTCAATAATTTGCTTTTCTTTGGCATGTTCGAGGAGCTGGGCTCTTCAGAGATCGATGCAAGGTCAGAATCAAGTGTTTCTTCAGAGGCTTCCTGGTTGATTTCGGATGGAAGACTTTCCGGCTCGATAGTTTCCTCAGTTCCGTTAGTCTTTCCATTCTTTGACGCTTTTTCTCGAGCGAAAATTGCTCTCATAGCGCTCATCTCATCACACTGCTCTGATTGGGTTCCAGAAGATCCAGTCTGAAGCTCATCCTTTTCTACGATTGCTTCAGTTACCGGGACATTTTTATTTTTCTTTCGTTTCTCTTTTGAAAATTACTTTACCATGAAATAACTAGAACGACTTACTTTTGCCCGATTTCTGAGCGTCCATCACAGGCTTTTTCTCTGGCGGTTCAATGGCCGCCGCCAAAGAAAAAGCCGATCGACGCTTCTTCATTTTTTTGCAGTCTAAATACAAATTTCTTTACTTATTTGAATCCGATAAGAATATAACACGCACAGACAAATCAAATGGACTTAATGCCCGATACAGAACAAATTGTTTCGAAACTGATCCAAAAGGTAAGAGACCATGGACCCATCCGCAACCAGCACGGTAAAAACCCCTTATAAAGGGAGAAAAACCCTTAAAATCGGGATTAATATCAGCCCAACGTGGCATCGAATACCTTCATTTTTTATCGCTTGGAGCAAACAATCCATACTTCCTTTATAATAAACTCCTATGCCATTTTTGTCGAGGGGCTGATTCATTATTCGCGTTTTTATGACATCAGCTGGAGTACCAAGGATTGCAGAGACTAAGCCAGCAGACATGGAGGCCAAGAAGTAGGTGAAATAGGAATCGGTCAGCCCCCATCTTAGGTCAGTTATAAATCATTCTTAGGACAACGATAATACCTGAGGAAAGTGTTCTTGGAAGTATCATACGCGGTGAGATCACCAAGATTGACTAATGCAGCACGCTGCGCATTTGGAATAGCTCCAGCCATAAACGCTCGCCATCCACCTGCTCGCAAAGTGCTTTTAAAAAAGGCTGAGAATTGGAGTTTATCAACAGTCGGAGGCAGCCCTTGAAGACGTCTCTTCCCTTCGTTTTGCATTTTAACCTAAGACTTTCAACAGATCTTTGATAGAAGAATCGAACCTTGATGAGATCGAACGGATTTGAGACGACTTGCGCGAAGGCGCCACATGACATGCCAAGGACAGCTGTGGAAAAAAGAGAAGGACGCTCGCCGAGGTGCGGTCTCAATGCTTGATAGCCACACATTCGGATGCCCGAATACGGAATGTGTCGATAGATTGCAGGAGACATGCCAAAATACAATTTACTTATCCCTTCTTTAAGCACGACTTCTTTGCAAACAGCGAAAAGACCTTGTTTCCGACCATACTGAACATTTCTCTCGCCTTGAAGTTGTAGGCGAGTCTTGGCTACGCAAGATGTTCATGGCTTTTATAAAAGAAACTCTCTTCACCTAGATCAAGAGGATAAGTAGCGAACTCCGCACAACAGGCTCCGCCTATGCTGCTCAAGTAACGAGTCGTAAAGTCATTCATATCATCTTTTACTGAAGAGCGATGTTCAAGTAAGTTTTTTTAAAACTGATTTATTAAAAATAATATTTGCAGATAGAAAAATATAGTTAATATGCTGGATTATTTTGAGCCAGTAAGATTGATCAGGGCGTCGACAGGAGATCTGTTTTCTTGAAGAGATTTTATGGCGTCGTTTCGACTAACTCCAGTGATTCCCATCAAATGAGTTATGTCTTCTTCTCGTAGATCGCCTTTTTCAAGCGTTTCTGTTCCGAGGACCATTCCTTTTGCTTCTGATTGCTCTCCTTTTTTCTTTTCGAGCATTTCGACATAGTTTTCGGCAGTAACAACTTTGCCATTGAGGATAACTTTCATCGATTTCTTCTCCGTCCGTGTAATCCTCGCAATTTTGTGTTCAAGACTTTCCCACGCCATTTTTGGACAACATTGAATTTCAGTTTTCTTTTTACGGACTTTCAAATGAATAGTCGCGCAGTGGTCGCATTTGTGGTTGGGCGAGAATTTTCCAATCTTTTGGCAGACTTTTCTATGCGAAGGCCAGCTCAGCTCCTGACACTTTCTTACAAATTGTCAGTTACAATATTCGATATCCATAGTTCGCTATTAAATTTACCTTGAGCAGTATCTTGATTTGCAGGCTGCGCATTGAAAGGGACTTTCATCTTTGCTGCAGTATGTGCAAAAGAGCGTTTCATCCTGATCCATTGAGTCTAAAAGTTATCATTTTTCGACGAAGCACCGAAAGAAAGCCCTATTTTTAGGCAGTGACTTGGAACAGAAATTGATAGGAAACGGAGAGTAGAATAGAATCATGATCACACTGATCAATGAAGAAAAAATTCAGACAGAAAAATTAGTTTTCATCCATCTTCTCGGTAGGCTTTGGAAGTTGATTTATTATAGAATCAGCAGTCGTTGTTGATGTCATTTGAGTGGCACTAGATCTCTCGGAAGCAGTTGTGATGTCCGTGACGAGGGTGCCATCAGATTTTACGGAACTGAGCCCAGAGAGAGTGGATTTCTCCGATCCGAGAACACTTGAAGAGGCAGCCGACTTGACGGACTCTTTGTGAGAGCTATAACGGTATAAGATAACAATTCCTAAATATATTTTCACCTATTAACCGAGACTTCTGATCTCTCCTCGTCGCCCTCCATCAAATCGCCAAGTTCAGGAACTACCTTTTTCATCGCCCGCTTGAAAGCGCCATCAATTGCATCAATTCTTTCGGCGGCTTCGGACTCTTTTAGTTTTGGTTAGCTTCATTGATTCGTTTGAATGTATTACCAGACATAAAGGAGGTTTTTCTCGATCTTGTTGCTCCGTCGTCATTCGATTGAATAAGAATAGGTTCTAGTTTTACTTTAATAATGCACATTTGCATATTTTAATATACCAGTTTGTCTATTATTTTGGTTCGCGAAGGGACTCTTGTGCCCCTTCGCTTTCATGATTCCGGTAAAGCGCGCGTTGATCGACAGTTTCTGCTCATTTTTAATGACGATTTTAAATGCCTGCCTCGATGGCTTTGGTTGAATAAGCGACATAACGACTTTTTCTAAAAAGCAGATTCTATTTAGAGGAATCGAAGATTGCTGTTTTCTCGAATGAATTGTTTTTGAAGAAAAGAAGTGTTAGAGTGTGAAGAGAACGGTAAGAATCACCAGTAAATGCACCATCCGGTATAATGCTGACATAAGTTTTCAATATTACGCGCTTCGTAGATAAGCCTGTCAACCTGAATGAAACACAATAAAAAAGAGAGTTTAGGTCAAGGTCTATTACCTGATCTTTCACCGAGAGAGTATTCGTATTTTCGTCTACTTCGTTGAAGTCTTTTCCCTCTAACTTTGCGGTTACCCTTTGAATCTTTACTTTCGCGTCATCGGCTTCCACCGATATTTGACCATGCTTTTGGACCCGGCGATGCTGACTTTCAGCGACGACGGGGTCTATTTTATTTGTTGATAATTAGTTAACGAAATTTTAATACCGTTAATGAAGGCTTCCAGAACAGCCAGAATGGACTCTTTATTTGACCTGCACATGTCCATGCTCTCGAGGCAGATTTTCTTAAATGTTCCGTCGACGCCCGTTACTTCCATCGCATTAACCAGCATTCTTGTCAGTCGGAATGGCACTTTTTCCGGCACATGTTCTCGCTTTTAGCAAGTTAGAATTGTAGGTAAAATGCTCACTTTTACCTTCATGGCGTTTTCAAAAGAATCGCCGAAATCAATATGCGCAATCTTTCCAGAAGTAGTGATGATCAGAATGTTGCTCACGTGTCGATCGCCTAATCCTAGTATGTATCCGACCATACTCATCATGGCCAGGGAACAGACAAAGTTCGTCCTGCGCTCAAACCAAATGTCAGCAGACGCCGACTGGAGCCATAGAATTCGCGCTAGATCGTACCCTCGGTCTTCAGTGACCTTTTGAACGTATTGGAACATTTCAACTTTTTGGAGAATTGAACAGTTTTGAATCGCAGAATCTAAAACTGCCTTTAAACCATCTGACCAAGTAATTTTTTGTACCTTGAGGTAATCTTTCTTTTTCATGCTCCTTTTCTGGATGAGGTGTAACGTTTAATCGTTTTTGACGGATCCACTTGAGCAATTCATTGATTGTCTCTAGAGAAACAATCATTAAACCTAATCAACGTTGATTTCGAACCAGAGTTGTCTATCCATCGGACGAGACCACTTTGAAGACCGTTCTCATTAGTCATAGGGATAATTGAGTATTTTATAACTTCGATGTCTTTCTTTCTCAAATTATTGTTCATCTTGATCAAACTATTCATAAGGTCGAATAACTGCATCACGCGCTCATCGAGTCGCAAGTCCTCCTTCCCTAAAAAGGACATGTTAAATACAGGGTAAAAAGTGGACATTAACCTTTGAGCAAGAATTGGTGACGCTGGCCGTCAGAGCCATTGATAAATATTTTCCTAGGTTTCTGCTTCGATTTGAGAATTTCAATTTCAGAAGCGACAGAATGGATTCTGACGAGATCCATTCCTGGCTGATATGTTCCCGGTATTGCCAGCTCCATATCTTTGACTTCCAGTAGTTTTGTTGAGACCTAAAAAACATAAGTTTTACATTTCAAGGCAGAAAGTAACCTTTTTCAAATCCAACTTCGTCATGCCGCTCGCTTTATCCTTTATCTTTCGTTTAATTTCCTGATACTTCCTCATTAGATCTTCAAGATCATTTTCTGTTTCATCTCCATTCAAAAGTCGTCTTTGAAAGATATTAAGTAAAATGGGCGTCTCAAAATAAAAGAAACCTGAGATGACGATCTGCACTGGTGATGTTCTCGTGGAAAGTGCTTTTGAACTCCACTTCAGAAAGATTTCTAGTTTGCTGCGTATTTAGAACCATCTCATGAAGACCGCGCATTCGTCGCTTTATGTATTCAATCTTTTGACGCCTGTCGAGCTCCTGGTTGTTCTGTTGACAATAGAACTTTTGTAAGATGTCTAAAAATCTTATTACTGCATCAAAGAGTTCGACAAACCTTCCAAAGCTTCATTCCACTGATCAATCCACAACATCGCTACCGAAACAAGCTCCGTTGAAATCATTTCAGCTTCTTTAACGAGATTCCTAAAATTTCGAGTAAGAGTTTGTGATTTCGCGGTCAAGTACTTCGAATGATCACGAATGCGGTTAATGATACTTTTGGCGAGATCGCTTTGACGTTCGTTTTCTTGGGTCGCATTTTTCTGGGCATAAATGAGCGACCAAAGTATCCCTTGAGCATGCTTTTCTCCAATATGCGAGAGAATTTCTGAAGGTTGGCTAATTAAATCATTTTTATTTGAACTTTTACCTGGAATGTTATCAACTTTCTTCATATCCATGATGGCGATTAGCTGTGGAACAACTTTTAGCCAACGCTCTGGATCGCAAGAGAGCGGTTCGTTTCGAATAGTCTCTAATAACCGTCCTTCACTCGCGTGCATAAATTCAGACGTCTCTGCGTCTTCAAGGTCCTTGTTGATTTCAGCCATGATATTCAATATACGAAGCATATCCTGTAGCACTGATTTTTGTGAGAGCTTCACAGACTCGTAGAAATATTTGAGAGCATCCACGGAGAAGTTCGCGATTTCTTTGTAAATCGGTGATCGAATCTGCTTGAATAGTTCCGCTGCTTTTTCCTGATCGTCTTGACTTGAATTTTCCCGTTGGAGTTGAAGCTGTCTAACTGTAAGCGCGTCCCCTTCTCGAATGCGACGGACAGAATCCAGAGCGAAATTGGCATACGAATGAACTGCTTTATATCGTCTTTTGATGAACTCACGGCTTTGCGCATCTTTTTTATTGAGGGCGTCGATGGCTGTCATGTACAGGTCTTTGATCTCACTCACTCTCTTCGTCAGAATCGGAATTTGATTCGGCTGAGGAACAGTCGTTCTCCTCATTTCTGCCTGCCTACAGTAAGTCATCGCTAATACTATTCTTTCGTCGTCGGACATACGTTCCCGGTCGCGCAAATCCTTCAATCTGTTTTTCAGAGGTTTCAAATCGTCACACAACCGCGTGATAATTTGAATGCCCTTGTCTTCTGATTTAGGTCGCACTTCCAAATCAGGTATAGCAACATGCTTAACGTATTTGTAAAGCGCTCTAATTTTCAACGGGGAAATCTTCAGCGATACTTGTCGTCCTTGTATATTCTCAACAAGCCCCGGGAAACTCAGCATTTCAACATAATTCCAACTATCGATGTTAGGCAATATCTTCTTGATTGTCTGGCGTGCGATCTCTGTTCGTCCAGATTTGGCAGCAAGTGACATGAATTTAAGCATTGATCTTTTTCGGGTGATTACACTGTGAATACTCTATGATCACAAGACTGTTATTTGTTTATTGAATATCTGTAACATATGGGTAGATGCCCTCCATGACTTCGGGAAGTCTGTCTTGACTATATAGATAATAAACCCAGTAGATGAAACTAAATAAAACGAAAGAAGAGGGAAAAATAATTCGGGAGAGATTATCAACAGAGCGAGCGAACTCTTTGTAAAATGTTGCTCCCAACGCCAGCTCTTTTTCATTAAGGGTTGTGTTCTTTGGCACAGCAACTGGAGTACTGACATCCATCATAGGTATGCTTCTGAAAACACTATGGTCACCATTATATTGACTTCAATTGATAGAACCTTCTACTAAGCGATGCGTAGTTAGAAAGCGGAAGAAGTTGCGACTGTGAAATTGACTGAGGCATATCTTGGCCGAATCCCATGAAGGAAGAACCATACGGGCCCGAAACAGGTAAAGTTCTTCGTTCAATCCGCTTCTTTTGGAGAATTTCGAGAAAGCCAGTTTTCTGACGTGAGATGAAATTGACCGCAGCATATTCTAATAGAGCCGCAAAAACGAAAAGCATGCAGAAAGACATCCAAATGTCTATAGCTTTTATATACGACACCTTCGGCAATGAACTGGATGCTCCTGACGTCTGTGTCGTAATTGTAAGGACAGTAGTGATGCCTAGAGCTGTGCGCGCAGGGGCTGCCTCAATATTGATCCAAAAGGAAACCCAGCTTAGGACAACGATGAGCAGCGATGGAACATATAACTACAATTATCAAGTAAATGTTATAAATAAAGAAATTTACTTGAATAAGATAGTAACCCATTTCACGTTTCAAAACAAGAATTCCTTTTAAGCAAGTGAAAGTACCAGTATTGTAAACTTTGTCACAGTTGGCTTAAATTGGGTCAAATGAAAGAATCATATAGAAAATAATATCAAGTATCGACCCATGACAATATGATAGCCTTTGATAGAAAACTGGGGCAAAGCGAGAGTCTTGGATAGCTGGATAGCATCAGTATCTTGCCACACAAAAATCAAATCACGCTTGTCGTAACCGAACGATTCCACTAAAAATAATCGAGAAATCGCTTAGGAATGATATTACGTTCTATATTGCATTGCTGCAGATCCATCGGGAAGATCAAAAGATCCATGTAGCAAGCCAGTGTTAGTGTTATTCTTATTGAAACGTAAATGTCACCATTTTTGTAGACCCTGACTAGCTTTTTATCGATTTTACGAAAAGGTTGCAATTTTTGAAAGTGATTTAGTTTTGAGTTTAAATCTCTTCCTTGTTATCTTGAGTGACTTTATGAAAGTTGGCTTTCTTCTCGTTGGCGAAAAACAAATCAGGAAGCCAGAAGCGTTGGAGAATAGAGGGATGCACGACAAGGGAGTCATCATCAAAAAGCCCATCGTAACGTAAGCGAGGATCATTCCACCGCATACGGAGAAAAACATTCAAGCGATAGTCCATCGTTGTTTCGGCGATCGAGTCCATTGAATTGACAAAAATATTAATCGAAATGTTTGAAGGCCGCTGTTTATCGTTCGGGCGTATTTTATTATCATAACCCTGTAGAATCCGCTCAAGTAGAAGCGTCGGATTTTTAGAGGGCGGTATGGTCGGCTGTCTATCGTTATAGCCTGAATTCTTAACAGCGCTACGGATTTGGGCGCAAATGAAGGCCTACCGAAAACGATCCTCGATTGCTTTCGTAATCATATTCTCCAAAGGAACGGCCACGAGTATTTTCTTGACTACCATAGTAATCAAAATTATTTCTCCCTTGATTTGCAGTCTGTATATTTCTGTCATACTCTGCGGATGAGCTATATGAATCGACATTTCCGTAGGAATCGCCAGACGGGCGATAGCCATTGCCTTGCGAACCTTGAAAAGGACCCCGATTGCCGTTTCCGTAGTCTTGAAAGTTACTCTCTCCATAACGATTTTGATTTCCGTAGTCTCCAGTGTTTCCATATCCTCCTGTGTTGAAGTTGCTCATTCCAGTATTTGAGCTTTGCTCATTATACGAATTATCTATCGAAAATTAGCGAATGTATAAACCCGGCCTCACCATATTTGTTTCTTTGCTGATTAGTGTTCGACCATTTGTAGACAGCTAATGCCTCCGAAAAATATAAAAGCAAAAATCTCATTTTCTCGTTTTCACAAGTACAGTCTAAATCTGAAGCGCAGAAAAAAATAACTGATTTAATTAATTAGCGCGATTAATCACCCGTTCCTGATATTAAAGTGCTCTTCCGTGTCATCCCTGGGGATAACACCGTTGTTTTGTTGTTTCACTAATGAGCGGAGAAGAAGAATTTTCTGCCATTCTTCGATGACCAGTTGAACTCCATCTACACGACTGCCATCATCAGCTGTAGTTCCACATAGTCGACTTTCCCACATTTCTTGAATTGCGATCTGCCTTTGTCGATTCGCCGTCCGATGAACGATAACTTCTTCGAGCTCTGAGCAGAGTTGCGCGTTGAAAACAGTTACGTAAACTCTTGAGTAGTTTTTGTCTTGCATTGTGAGGGATGTTTCTAGCTCTTTACGAGCCTCGATTGTCCACTTTTTGCGTCTTCGTACTTAGAGTTCTGCACTGAATGGACAGCTCTATAGAAAGCGCCGTCGAAAGAATTAACGGGGATAATTTGGTGAAGACGCTGAAACTCGTCCCAGTTTCCCAAATGCCAAGCAGCTGTTGTTCCAAGTTTTACAGCATCAATTTTCTGATCCTCAATCTCTTCATCAAACTCGTATACCTTCGTACATAGCTCGTCCCACTCTCCAAGAGCCTCTAAGCAGCGCATATAACCAAGTTTGTCATACGGATTGTCATTCCCATCGGCATAAAGTGTCTTTGCTTCCTCCCATCGATTAAGCTTCTCGAACCACTCTGCACTGACCGTAATTTCATTCCCCTTTGCGAATTCAAGAACTCCCTCAGCAGCTTCTTGCTCACCTAGCTTCTGGAAACTCTTTATGAGACTTTCGGCGATTTTGCGTTCCTTTTCTTTATTATCTTTTTCGCTAGTTTTGTAGAGAAATTCCATCTCTCGATAATGCAAAGCCTTTGCATATGCATCTGTTCTTTCTGCACAATCCGCGAGCTTGCCGATTCCGTTGAGACCACCGAAAGCCTTAAGGGATCCTCCTGGTTGGTCAAGTCTCTCTTTGTCGATATCAGACAATTCGAGGAAATGAGCAAGATCCAAGAAAAATGACAGGATACCTCTTGGAGGATCGGTGTTCTTGCCATCGATGATTTTCAGTAGACCTTTTGTGATATGATCTCGATAAGGTTTAATAGGATCTTCTGGAATTCGCGTTGCTTCGGAACCATCAATTTGAAGCTCGCGAACAGGCTTAGGCTCTGCCCACATAGCGTAAAATGAGCAATTGAAGATGATCAAATTTATAGGAGTGTTATAAATCCGATCTATTCCTCGAAGACCGCGGATAACATCAGATTTGCTATGGCTCAAAAACATTTGCTGATTCGTACTTGCAAATCTTTGAAATCTTCAGGGGTTTGGCAGTCAACTTCAAACTCTTCTTTGAGCCAATTGTAATGGGCAGTGTCATGCTCGTCCTCACCCTCCTTAATCATCGATTGATCGAGAGAAAAGTCATTCTTCAGCGCTTGATCCTCGAAGATCATTTCAGGATCTTCAGATGGCTTCCATAGACTTCGAGTTCTCATTTGGAAGTAATCATCGTATTCGTCTTCCCATAGATTGAAGTGGCGCATTCCGCTACGCATCGACCTGAGACATTTTATCGCAGTCTCTCGAAGGACATAGTCGGTTGTCAATTTAGAAGGATGATCGCCATGATTTTTTATAATGGTATGCTTGTTTGCGGCGACTTCGTACTCCAAGGCGATAAGAATCGCTTCCGAGAGAATCATAAAGTAATCAGGCATTGCAGTACGTACAATGCGTGCCTCCAGAACGACGAGTATTTCACCTCTGAGTTGATCCGAGGACGTAGCGCTCTGCAGCATCGTTGCTAGCGGACGTAGAAGGACAGAATAATGGGCTTCGATGTAGCCGAATTTTCCTATTGCTCGGACTAAATAAATCGTCGCTTCTTCGTCCTGCGGATCGGTAGATGACTTAAGCTTCTCGAAAAGCTCGAGGATATACCGGACAGCCCATCCCATGTAATCCTTGAACTCGTATTGAAGATTGTAAGCCGCCTGATAGATAAGCTGAGCGAGTTTCTTCCGCAGAGGTGCGTGGCTTATATCTTTCTGTGTATCCATTGTTTGTCGTATATCGTTCATAAAGGGCAAAACGCGTCGACGCATTTTCTGCAGAAGCTTTTCGAACAGACCGAGAATGTTTGATTTGATGTCTTTCTTTGCTGAGGGATCTTGTGCGATGCGATGTAACTCTGGCATTACTTTTCCTAAGTGAGGGAGGATATTTGTTCCAGCCCGTTGTATAAGCAGATCAAGAGAATGAAGAGGAGCAGTAACATCGCCTCCATGAGAGAGTTTGGCTTTTATTAACTCAACAGCAACCCTGATGATGAATTTCTCGTCAGGGCATCTGCATTCGTTGACAAGCATCTCATTTATACTCGTGAATCCATCTTGCTTGTCATTCTTACTGTTGGAACGGCGCTTCTTAGTTATTTCCTTATACTGGTACGGATCTAGTGCTCCCAGCCGACCAATCATTCGCAGGGCCTCCTCATTAATTTCATGCTGCATTGTTTTCTTATCTGCAGTTACCAAGGCTAACATGTCATCCATAAGCTTTCGGTGCTTGAAATAGGGACTAATAACGTAGTTATGATGCTCGATGAGCGACGAGAGACAACGAAGTGCGGATACTTTCACAGTTGGCTCAGTTGTTTCAACCAACAGTCGGTAAATGAGCGAAAAGAAACGATTCAGGGTGCCTTTTTCTAGTCGTGGACCGTTGACAGCAGATATTGCGGATAGACAGTCAATAAGAGTGCATGTCATTCGAGGAGGGTAGCTTTGGACGTATTCGTAAGAGAGTAGTGGTTCAATTTGACGAATGGTGGGGTCAACGAAGAGAGATAACTGGGCCTGGTTTGCGTGACGGAAGAGAACCTAAGACATTTGTAAGACAATTTTAAAACCAAGAACCCAAAAGGGGAACATGGGGGTAAGATCGCCAGGGCTTGCTTTAGAGCGGCTTTCCACGGTCATTGGGGCATGAGTGACCTCACGGCCAGGATAATCCGCTCACCGAAGTAAGGCCTTCAATAAAAGAAAAATATTTTTAGATACTTCTATTGAACCCCTTATGGTTTCTAGTGGATATCACTAGAATGCTTTTTACCTCCAAAAGCCTCGCAGAAGCTTGATCGGGCATCTGCAATTGTGTCCACAGATCATTTATCATCATTCTAATGTGTGGCATCGTCTCTGCGGCATTCATCGCATTCAGTCGTCCAATGATTTCCATCACGGCTTCTTGCACCTCCAGTCTGTCTGTGAAATTCTCTTCTTTTATCGGATACGGCTGGTGAATCGCGTTCATGATCCGCTCCAAGTTATGTTGATGAATGAGATATGCATCGAACTCGGGCTTCAAGGAGCGGTAAATTGCTAGCTTTAGCTGAGTCGATTGGCTTTCCTGCCTGTATGGAATGATCGTATCAGCAATTTGTAACAGTTTTCGGATAATATTAGAAATCGTTGTTTCGCCAACAAGATTGGGTCCACAGGTGGAAGAATGGATGATGAAGAGACGCAAAACCCGAGTTACTGCTTTAGCGGCAGCGATTTTCACCTGAATTTTTTCCTTCGGGTTGAAATATTCCTTCCAGCGATAGATGAGTTTTTTATACCGTGAGAAATCCGTAAATTCGAAACACTCTAGCGCTTTCAAAGAAGCAATTCGCTTTCTGACGGAAACTCGGCCAAAGTCGAAATCCTCGCCATTTTTGAATGGTATCAAAACAGAAAGACTGGATAAGCAGGAGTGATCGTCCGAATAGCCATTCATAATTTGACTAGGAAGGCGTTCATTGAAGAGGTTTTTTAGCAGGACCTGCTCCATTCCATGTGAGACCTGGTCACGGGATATCTTCGAGTTCAAGGACTGAACGCATCGAATCCACGAGTCCTTGATCTCAATAAGACCGAAGGCTACGATCATGTTCAGAAATTCCTTATTCTGTGGCTTGAACCAGAGCTTCTTGTGGAGATCCGTAAGGCTTATCGAAATCAGTTCAATGCACTGGAATAATGTTGGATCACAATCCACGCTCCCCCTATTCATTTGAAAGTGAATAAAAGCTTCTTTTAGCACACTCTTGAGTTTGGGAATAACTTTAGTGTCGATCTGCTCTTCGAGAACTGTCGTCGGCCTTGTACTTGGATCAGCCAATTCCGAGTCTGACTCGCATATTAAATGAATGATCATTCCCATGCTCAGCAATGCTGTTCCCTGATTTCGTCGGACTGCTGTTTTTTGATTACCAGCAGGCGCGATCTCTTGGAGACAGTACTCAATAGTTTTGACGAAGAAGGGCTCAAACTTCTTTGGATTGAAGGCACAAAGTTTAGGCAACAGTGGAAGGAGATACGGGTGAATATTGATCGAGTTTTTCATCGAACGTTGGTTAAGCACGAGCGTTGAAAGGGTTTGTATGTGCTCGTCGAGAAGTCTTTCGGCAGTGGAGGAGTTAGGTTGGAGGTTGGTGAAGCGCGCGCCTCCCATGGGGTTTTCTAGCGCTTCTTCTTCTAAATCATACTTGAAAACCGCGTCGAAGAACTTCTCTGTTTTATTCTTCTGGGCACATGGATTCCATGTCTGGGCGATTCTTTTAGTCGGTTATTTACAAATAGCCTACGAAAAGAAAAATATTTTTAGTATGAATTAACCATGCCTGAGTTTTTTGAGGCAACTTTTCAATGAGTTAGTATAGTTGTTTTTAGCAGCGGAAATATCTACAAGCAGGTAGCAACATAGAAGCGGCCCTATTCGATCGCTCTCCGTATTTTTTAGTCCTTCGATGATGCTTTTGACGAGATCTTTAGGCCACGCCCGGACATCGCTGAGAGCAGTCTCACGTGAAGCTACAAGATTGAGAATTGCTTTGAGTGCGCTAAAGGCAGCGACTCGCATTTCATTGTGCTCAGAGTTGACGGACTCGCAAACGATTTTTATGAGCTTGGCGACAATTTTATCTGTTTTTCGACTGTTTCGACGCATTGCCGAGCGAAAGTGATTCCTGTAGAAATCGATGGGGTGCTTTGAGGCCATGTGGAAGTAGAATAAGCAAGCATGGTAGCGTTTCACTTGGTCCTCGTGGAATAAGAGTTCGTCGAATTTGGACGTAGCAGGCCAAATCGCCATGCCCGACATGCAGGTAGAATATACAAGCATCATGAGCTCCGAAATCAAGATATCTTTCCTTTGAAAAGTTCTATTCTTGTTGTTGTCGTGAGCTTCCATGAGCAGTGAGGACAGACGGTTGGAAATAATAATGTGCTCTTGGAATATCTCGTGTGAGATCTTGAAGCAAATGTACGCACAGATAGCACCCGCGAATTTTGAGTCTGCACTTCCCCCAGAATTAACGATTTTCTTCAAATTAGTGGCCGAGAAGTCGGATCCTTGCCGTGCGTGGCGGTTGTCTACCAAGAGAATGAGGATTTCCTCCTGCAACTTTTCCCTGAATTCTCGCCATTCTTTCGAGGTGCGCACATTCTCCTCAAAAGTCTTCTTTATGTGCAGGTAGAATTTGCGGGCGCAAACGACGAGATCGTCGGAGTAATGGTCGCTTTGCCAGTTCTTCTTTATTTGCTGCGTCAGCTCGATCGCATATTGCAGGGCAGCGACGTTCCAGCTGTTCGACTGCAGTTCCACCGCCGACATTACAGTAATATCATGTTCTGAGTCTACGAAAAAAATAATCAGATCTTTTAAACAAAGATTATCAGTGAATTATCAGTTATCAAATCAGTTCAGATTTACAGAATATTTGAAAAGAAGGACTTTTAGACCAAGTCAATTAAAACCACATCGCCGTCATCTGTTCCAGCAGCAATTTTATCCCCATTTTTTGACCATGCCACTTAAAATTGAAATTGGGGATCGAATAGTTGCACTTTGTAACTACCTGAATTAACATCGGACAGGACAGCGACGGCGTCGCTGCTGATCCATCCACCCTCAGACTGCTGCAGTAATCTTATTTTGTTATCAGCACAACCAGTGACTATGCCCCTCTCGCCCCAGTCGACAGAATAAATAGTTCTCTCGTGAATGCCTTGGATGTTAGCTTCAAGTTCGAGTTTTCCGTTGTTCATCGCCCAAATCCGCACGCTTCAAAGTAAATTTTCTTTAAAAACATTCCCGAAAAGTAGGCTTACCACTGATCACTACCGGCAGTTGCTAGTTTTAAGCCATCGGGAGACCAAGCGGCGCACCAAACGGTATCTGTGTGTCCTGTCAGCGTTTGCACGCAATCCCATTCGCCGTCATACTCTTTGAACAATTTCACTGTCATGTCGTAGGACACCGAGACGAGAATGCAATCGTATGGGTGGAAGCAAATATCTATTATCAATTTACGCGTCTATGATCGTCAATGCAAGAGGGAACCTTTCACATCTGCGCTATGAGAAGTGATAACGCCAGCACACTCGTAGTCCCCGTCTTCCCAGCACTCCCAGACCCAGACGGATTTATCACGCCCGCATGTGGCGAGTAAAGAGCTGTCGGCAGACCAAGAAATGCTCTTCACTTCCGACTCATGACCTAAACTGCACATTCAACTCTATTATGAGATCGATTAATTGAACCTTCTAGCTCAGCGTACTCTTCGAACACGCCGTTCTCCAACTTGTAAATGAGCACTTTTCCATTAAAACTACAGATTGCCAGCTGTTTTCCATCAGGCGCGAACTTTACTCTTCTTACCGTCCTGTCCTGCGCAAACGAGTCAACTGGGTTCAGATTTTTATCCCACAACTTCAACGAGCAATCCCCACTGGTCGACGCTAGAATGCTGTCCTTGAGACCCCATGCGACACTCCAAACGCGATCTTTGTGCATCACCTTCGACTGCGCGATTTTCAACTTCGTCTCCATCTTAATCACCGACAGCTGTTAATTGTGAAACCTCTATAAGAAAGAGTCACAGTCTCAGGTTGAAATTTTAATGAGTGACTTTAAAGAAAGCGATTGTTGATGCATTAAAAGACAAGATTATAAAAATTGCGAGTTTATTTATTCTCGATTTCAATGAAATAATTTTATTGGGAATCCCAATTTGGGATAACAGTTATCCAGTCACATGATTTAGCGTCCAATTTTTGTAAGAAAGTTGTGGAAGTGATTGACGAGCGCAAATAGCACCAGATCTATTGAAACGGTAATATTTCCAAGCACGCAATTTGAAATGATATTTGTTCGGAAAATATTACAGAGAAATTAAAAATTTGGGCGAAATCATGATTTGAAAAATAAAAAAATAAAAGAACAGGAATACACTGCTACGGTTTAGCCAGTGGGAACATCGTGGCAGACATAGATGAATTTGCCCTTGAAAAAAGTAGAAGGTAGCTAATTTCGTCGTCGTCGAGAGCCGCGCACTTGTGGTAATGGCTTTGAAAGATAAGTGATCATTTGTTTTTGCTTTGTAGAAGCATTCACAATGCGATCGTAAATTTTCTTAGTGTTTTCTTTCGTCCCACTAAAAACGCATCGGTCCTAGTTCTTTCTTGTTTCAACTGTACGTACAATTGTTCGCGAAGTTTAGGTGTATCTTTGCCTCGAAAAACATCAGTAACACTGCCGCAGAGTTGATGCAATTCAGCCTCAAGGAAGTTGTACTCTTTTCTCATGTCGTCTGCAATATTCAATCAAATCGATGAACTACTAAAGAGTAAAGAACGTACCAAGAATGCGGTTAGCAGACTTGAAACGAAGCTTGTGTCTATCATCGCCAGGTTGTCCGTATCGCTCTCGCAAGGCCACTCGGCGTTCGGCGATGAGCTTCTCGAACTTCCGCCGCTGCTGTTCGGGCATAAACGCGCTTCTTGCTTCTTCAGGAACGGGTTCTAGCGTCGGTAGCGCCAGGTGAGGGACACGCGCGAACATTGATTTTCTCTACCGAAGATTGATTTCTGAAGATGCGCGGTTTTATTCATTTATTGATAATCAAGATGAGAAAATCAAAGCCAGTTTATAAAAGTGTTTATAGAACTGATTGTTAACTTGATTTATTTGGAAACAAGTACTCTTAGTAAGAATTAAAGTGAGAAATTACTGACTCCTCCCCGAATGACACCAATTAGCATTTCAATACAAACCATATGCAGAAAACAGTCAACTTCATTCCAACAATAAGAAAGTCCGGTAAAATACGCACTCATAGTAAAGCGATTCGGTCCTTCCAAGAAGGGCAATTTCTGTTATGGGTTTTTGGAGCGATTTCTCGGTCGCAGTAACGGGCGGCTGGCGGCGCGTGATTGGCCACATCGCGCACTTTCCACGTAGCAGAAAGGGTCCATCCAAGTTTCGCGCGTTCCCTTCCATTCTACTCTATCCAGAGCCAGACTTACAGAGAGCGACCACTCGATACGAACCCAATTAACCTCGGCCCACGAAATTAGTAAAAATATTAAAAAAAAAACAATTTTAGAATGAAATTTCTGTTGGGAGTTATCGCCCTTGCCTCCGCTTCAGTAAAAGAGGAACTCACAGGGGATGAATTCAACGATCTCAAGGACAAGAGGTATCCATTTAATTAGAGTGCTAGGCTGAATAGTGTTAAGTCCTCTTTTCGTGAAATTTTACGCCCCATGGTGTGGCCACTGCAAGAATCTGGCGCCAACGTGGACTGAACTCGCCGAAGAGATCAACCCCGACGCTGAGTGGGAGGCACAGATCGTTTCTGTCGACTGCACACAGTACAAACAAGTTTGTGCTGACAACGGCGTCCAAGGATACCCTACTCTCAAGCTCTTTTTCCCAGGCGAAGCTGAAGGAACCAAGTAAGCGATTCGTAGGAACTCTGGTTATTCTCAAAACAATTGTAATTTATCTCATTTCTTTAGGTATCAAGGAGCCCGATCCAAGCAAGCGCTTTCCGACTGGCTCGATGGTGAGCTCGCCAAACAATTCGATGATGCCGTAGATGTGGCAAAGGATGCAGCAGCTACTGCTGCTCCAAAGAAGGGCGAAGTCGCCGCACTCACCGCCGCCACTTTCAAGAGCACTGTCGCCCCAGCTGAACAAGTCACTTTTGTCAAGTTCTTTGCTCCTTGGTGTGGCCACTGCAAAAAAATGGCACAGACCTGGGTTGATCTCGCTAAAGATCAAGCCGCCGTCGATAATGTCGTTATTGCTGAAGTCGATTGCACTGTTGAGCAAAGTGTCTGCCAAGAAAACGGAGTCAAAGGCTACCCAACATTGAAAGCCTTCAAGGGAGGCAAAGAAATCGAGAAGTACGCAGGTGGCCGAGATATGGCCTCCTTCAAAGGTTAGATCAAAATCATGGTTGATTTTTTAACGGAATACCTCTTAGCCGCCCTAACTAAGTATACCGGTGCTAAGGCTGCTCCTAAGGCCGAAGAACCAAAGGCCACCGCTTCTGGCTCTGGCTCTACTGATCTTACAGCAGACAACTTCGCTTCCAGCATCGGAAATGGCAACTGGTTTGTCAAATTTTACGCTCCTTGGTGCGGACACTGCAAGGCCATGGCCCAGACCTGGGAGGATCTTGCAAATGCCCAGACAAACTCAAACCCCAAGGTATTGAAGGAATTAACCATGACGACAAAGCTCGTTTTCTTTAAGGTGAACATCGCCTCCGTCGATTGTACCCAGCATAACGATATTTGCAAAGAAAATGGCGTCAAGGGTTTCCCAACTCTACTCTTTTTCCAGAATGGCAAGAACCTCGGCAAGCACCAAGGTGGCCGAGACCAGAAATCCCTCGAGTCCTCGATCAAGTCCTTTATCAACCCCAACGCTGCCAAGGAAGAAGAGAAGAAGGCAAGCGCCGGATCTGGTGAATTCGATGCTGCTATGGCTGGCAAGCATACTTTCGTCAAGTTCTTTGCCCCATGGTGCGGTCACTGCAAAGCTATGGCCCCAGCTGTAAGAAAAGCGGCGAAATGATATTATTTTTATAAGTTGTTTTCAGTGGAAAGAACTCCAGGGCGCCTTCGAAGGTTCAGCCACTACTCAGATTCTCGACGTCGACTGCACATCTGATGAAGGCAAGCCCTTGTGCCAGGCTGCTGGAGTCCGCGGATACCCAACTCTTCAATACTTTGGCCCAAAGATCGTCCTAGGCTCCGGCGAAAAATACGCCGGCGGACGAGACCTCGCTTCCCTGAAAAAGTTCATCGAAGGCAAGGCCACCGAGCACGACGAGTTGTAAAAAAGCAAAACATGATGTCAAAGTTCCCCCAGCGAAAGTCCCAACGATGTTTATTTATTTTATTGATGATGCTATATTTCAATTCGGAATAGAGCAAAGTGCTGCATCAAAAAATCCCTTACGTTTGATTCTCAATTCTATTTTGCCATTTTTTCTTTCTGTAGTTCACTTGTGCAATACTTATTATAATCTAGAGACAAATTCTTATCTTCACTACTGATCTCTCCTGTCAAACAGTTGTTACAATTCAAAAATTTCGAATTCCTTTCTAATAGACAAAAACCTATCAAATTCTTATGTCGTGTTTCCGAGTTCTAGGGCAAATGTAGGCGCTTGTTTTCAGCAATAGCAAAGTGACTAACGCAAGGCTAAACGATGATGTTGACTCAACAAGTTTTTCTACTTAGTTCGCTCATTGGCTCGCACACGAGTTCACAATAGGTTCATTCTCAAGCACATCATCGACGTCATCTGGCAGGTTTTCGGCTCTGGAGCGCCCGTGCCAATATCCGAGGACTCGAATACAACAGGCCCAAATCCAATCGCACTTGGAGACGCAAATTCAGTTTAGAGCAGACTCAGCGCAGCACGAATGACTATTGATAGAGAGATTTTAATCCGGCCACGCCTACATTCGAAAGAACAAGTTAGACAAGTTCAATATTCCGCCTCGCTGTCGTGTAATTAACAAAAAGTTAACTCAGAAAAAACTCTTTCATTTTGAATTTCGATTTCATCCCATACTTGAGTAAGGAAGTCTCAAGGGCAGCTGGATTATAATTCAAACAAAAGATAAAAAAGATTATTTGAAAACCATTGATCAGTAAAAATCGCTTTGCGCATCGTCATGAGGTGAATTCACATGCGCTGACTCAGCTGCTGGGTTCAATGAAGACCTTTTGATATTCGTCACTTTTTTACTACGCGCGTTAGAGAGTCATTATGCTTTTTCAGGAAGAAGAGATTCTAACTTCTGTGAGAAGCGGAAAGCCTAATCGTGTTCGAAATGTTAGACGCAGACATCTTTCGACGGGAGATAGCGAGCCCATCATTAGGTAGAATCGTAAATTCGTGAAATTCGATATTAAAATTCCTTGGTTAGGAATCGATCGGACTCAACAAAGACCATTTACACTGCTGGGAGACCACCATGGTACAAATCTGACGGTGCTGATGGTAAGTTGCTTTCTGTCCGGCCAAATGCTAAAAATAAAAGGGCCATCTCCCCTTGTGATTGGTATTTGCGGCGGGTCAGCTAGTGGAAAAACTAGCGTAGCGAAGAATGTTATCGAGGGGATCGATGTTCCTTGGGTTGTCTTGCTCGCCATGGACAGCTTCTACAAGGGAATCACCACTGAGAAGGACAAGGCGCTGGCAAAGACTGGCGACTATAACTTCGATCATCCGGATGCATTTGACTGGGAGGCGGTAAATAACAATAAGCCCGTCCGACTGTTAATCTTTTTGTCAAGATGATTGAAATCATATCAAAGCTCAAAGAAGGAAAGAACGTGGAAGTGCCCATTTATGATTTCAACACGCACTCTCGCTGTGCGGAAACGAAAACTGTCTACGGAGCCACAATCATTATCTTCGAGGGTATCATGACTTTCCATCTAGAAAAGCTTCGTGAACTGATGGATTTGAAAAGTAATACTCAAACACTCCTATTTGTTTCACACCTAGATTTAGTCTTCGTTGATACCGAAAGCGATATCCGACTTGCTCGGCGACTCATGCGGGATATCTCTCAACGTGGAAGGTTCAAAGGAAACAGAAATTTCTCTTATAACAATTTATTTCTATAGACAGATCAATGATGTTTTGAATCAGTACAACCGCTTCGTCAAGCCTGCCTATGAAAAGTACATTGCACCAACGTAAGAGAGAAAACTCTCGAACAGGGAATTGAAATTGTTCAATAGGATTTCACACGCGGATATCGTCGTTCCAAAAGGAGGCAGCAATAGAGTCGCTATCGACTTGATCGTCAAACACATCAGACGAGAGCTTGACAATCGCAAGTACCGCGTTGTTCGCAAAACCTCCATACCTCGCAATTGTTCTGATCCAGCTTCTTTGCATCTCTTGCCACAGACGCGCCAGTCGATGGGTATACAAGTATGACTCTTTTTTCGCGTTTCAAATGATCACGCAACGATTAAGACGATCATCAGAGATAGAAATACGCCTCGCAATGAGTTTATCTTTTACTCTGAGCGACTTATGCGTCTTGTGTTTGAATATGCACTTGGCTTTCTTCCCCATGAAGCGCATACAGTCAATACTCCGCAGGGTTTGCAGTATGACGGTGTGCGCTTTTCGGGCAATGGTCTTTGCGGCGTTTCCATCTTGAGGTATTGAAACAGGGCCTGAGTCGTGGTCAAATTCGAAATTTAGAGCCGGTGAGACAATGGAAAAGGCTCTCATGAAAGTGACGAAGGACATTCGCTTGGGAAAAATTCTCATTCAAAATAACCCAGACACAAAGAATCCTGAACTCTATTTTCTCCGTCTCCCACGCGGCATTGCTGACGATCATTGCGTTCTCATGGATGCAAGTATTGCCACTGGAGCTGCAGGTGCTTCTCCGATAAGAATTTAATTGAATTGACGTCTATCTCCCTTAGCTATGATGGCGATACGAGTATTGCTTGATCATGACGTACGAGAAGAAAATATACTTTTGGTTTCCTTGTTGATGGCAGCGCCAGGCGTCCACGCCATCGCATACGCCTATCCGAAGGTTAAAATCATCACTGCCGCAGTCGACAAGACTGTATCGAAAGGTAAATCATCGCATCATTATTGGAGTCGCGCATTTCTTCGGTAGACTTTCACATTCTCCCTGGACTTGGAAACTTTGGAGATCGATATTTTGGGACGGACGCGAACGATTTAATGACTGATATCAAGGAGGAGCCTTTCTCGAGCGACTAGACGAACCGAAGAAATTTATTATCTGACTGAAAACAGAATGTTCAATCCGTATCTCTAAAGCACACTGTATCACAAGACATCCGTAAACCTGAACACGACAATAATACAAAAATCTGGCTTCCACAACAATTATTTTGCTTCACTATCTGAGATAGTGATAGTTTTCACGGGAGCGCGACGGCCCCATTTTCACAATCCCAATTACTCTTATTTGCCATTATTAATGGCATTAATTAAAAATTTTCTTTTTCAAGAATAGTAGTTTTTTACTTGCTGATTTCATATATCGAATTAAATTTTGGAATATATGTGAGCTTAACCAAAAAAAGTGAAATCTGTATTTCAAGGACAAAATTTGAATATTCCTAAATGCTGCTAGAAATTCATTTTTGGATATAATCCCCATCAAACAACTTTCTTGACTCTCTGAAAAACAGCTTCTGCGGGTTGTTGCGCTGCCTCCAACCATCAGATGACCGAATGAAAGCGACGGCGAGCTAGTGCTTTACGCACATTTTCCCGTGAAAATTCCTAACTATCTCCTCTGCCTATTTGTTAAATTTTCTATCAACAAAATGAGGGAGAATCTTTAAAAACAATACTTAAATGGAGAGGAAAGAAAAAATAAGATCATTTGAGATCACCATTGAGAACGAATTGTTATCTAAGAATGGAGCCAAAATTGTCAGAGGCAGTCGAACAGTGGTTTTCCTGGAATAAAGACGAATCCTCATCGGCCGAAATAAAGGTTACCTGACGAATGTAAGCTTTGATATAAGTTTTCGTCTAGAGCCTTGTTGATGATAAGAAATATGAAGAGTTGGAGAAATTATTACTTTCACGCATGGAATTTGGCACAGCGGGCCTACGAGCAAAGATGGGCCCGGGTTTCTCGCAAATGAACACCCTTACCATCATTCAAACTGCGCAGGGTTTGCTCAAGTACGCACAGAAACAATTCACAACCGAGGAGCTTGCCACTAAAGGAATTGTTATTGGCTTCGACGCGCGATACAACTCCAAGAGCTATGCCTCGCTAACTGCTTCGATTTTTGCCCGCGCCGGTTGTCGTGTTCGCCTTTTTTCGAATATTTGCCCCACTCCGTATGTTGCATTTTCATGTCGCTTCTACGGGCTCTGTCTTGGTGTGATGTGTACCGCCTCTCACAATCCCAAGCAGGACAATGGATATAAGGTTTATTGGAACAACGGCGCCCAAATCATTCCCCCACATGACCGTGGTATTTCTGAAGCAATTTGCGAGAATTTGGAACCTTGGGAAAGCTCTTGGGATATTCCCCTCATCCCAGATATTTACGAGAACAATTTGATAAGCGACCCAATGGCTGAAGTGGACATTGAATACATGAAGCTTCTTAAAACGTCATCGACTCGTCTGGAGAAGAATAAAGAATCAAAACTCAAATTCACTTACACGCCAGTTCACGGAGTTGGTACAAAGGTAATATTGAACTAGATCAAGAATATCTCAATTATTTAAGTTCGTGAAACTTGCGATGGAAACATTCAATCTCCCCGAGCTCATCGAAGTGCCGCTCCAGTGCAACCCTGACCCTGAATTCCCGACCTCCCCGTTTCCCAACCCCGAAGAAGGCAAAGGTAAACCATAATGTCTATCCGACATTGTACAAACTCGCCCTTATATGAACTATCCGTATTGCTTTACATGCCGTCTCCAGCTTCTATTGAATAGCCCGCGTGGCGATGCTCTTTGGATTCCTATAAGACCGGCTAAATCCATTTATCACAGTTTGATGTCTTGATGACCATCGTCTCGACAATAGATTGATAGTACAAATTTTTAAAGACAAATGTCTTTAAAAGATTTAATTAAATCTTCTATAGACGCGCTTTTTTAAGATGGGCCAAGTTATTTCTCCGACTTCTTGATTTTAAACCCTGGAACACCATACATATTTGGAATCAGCAGGAAATTTTATAAACTTTGACCGTTTTAGTTTCTGAAATTTCCACTTCCGGTCGGATTCTAGAGCCGGAAGTTGACGAAATTTTTGAGTTTGGGCAACTTATTACTTATCAAATTGATGCTTAGAAGATTTTGATTCATCCATCTACAAATCATTCAAAAAGAGCATCCCAACTGCGGTTTAACCGACCGGCAAAACAAGGAAAAATGGCATAAATTTGTGATTTTTCTTTCAGTTTTTAGCGGTTGATTTGACCGCGGTCGGCATTGATTCTTCTCTCAGATGATAGAAAATTTTCTGAGAATCAATTTGATAGGTCACAAGCCGCCCAAACTCAAAAATTTCGCCAATTTCTGGCTCTAGAATCGGACCGGAAGTGGAAATTTCGGAAACTAAAACGGTCAAAGTTCATAAAATTTCCTGCTGATTCCAAATATGTATGGTGTTCCAAGGTTTAAAATCAAGAAGTCGGTGAAATAACTTGGCCCACCTTAAAAAAAGCGCGTCATAGCAACACGTGATAGGATGATAAAAACCTAACAACAGGGAACGAACTCTAGGTCTTCTAGCAAGACTATTTAGGAGTCCTGAAGCTCGCTATCGAAGCTGCCGAAGCTGAAGGATCGAACCATGTTCTTGCTTCCGATCCAGACGCTGATCGACTTGCAGTTGTAGAAAAACAAGCGGACGGATCATGGCGAGCGTTTAGCGGCAACGAACTTGGCGCAATCTTTGGGTGGTGGGCTGTCTCCAACTGGAAGAAAAACGGCTCTCAAGATGGCGAAAATACTTACATGCTCTGTTCAACTGTTTCCTCCGTTATTTTGAAGACGATCGCCGCCAAGGAAGGATTGAATTTTGAGGATACTCTTACTGGCTTCAAATGGATGGGGTCCCGAGCGAAAGAGCTCATCGATCAGGGGAAGAGGGTTTTGTTCGCTTTTGAAGAAGCGATTGGATTCATGTTCGGCCAGAACGTCCTTGATAAAGATGGTGTCTCAGCTGCAGCCGTCATGGCAGAAATAATTACTTCTTTGGACGAAGAGAACTTTTCCTTGAGCCATCAGTTAGGTATCAGTCAATCCTTGCATATCTACAATTCATTATAATGAAAGGAGCCACTAGAATAAATGGAGATGATATTCTCCGGTTCTTGTAATAATGCCCCTATATCTTGATCGGGGCCTCAAATATTGCGACGCGGTTGCCGACACGGATAGACTACTGTGACGGCATCCCTCATCGACGTTCACTAGATTAAATTAGATTTACTACGAGCGTGGAATCGAAGCCAGGCTTGATCCACTTCCTCGAGTGAAAGGATGAATTATAGTGTCTGCCTCGAGATCATCTGGCATCTTCAACTTTCGTATCTTAATACCAAACATGAGATTTTGCGTTCAGAAAACATCTACAAAACTTACGGCTACCACGTGACCAACAACTCATACTACATTTGCCACGAGAAGTCGATCATCAACAAGATGTTCAGCGAAATCCGAAACTATGACAAGAATCCAGGTGCGTATCCACAAGCTTTGGGACGCTTCAAGATCTCCGGAATTAGAGATCTTACAACTGGGTATGATTCTCGCGAAGAAGATAAAGCTGCTGTAAGGCGACTAAAAGAGTATCCGGTGTTGATTTTTTTCAGAAACTGCCAGTCTCAAAGTCCAGCCATATGATTACATTTTATTTTGACTGTGGAGCTGTCCTCACGATGCGAACGTCCGGAACAGAACCGAAAATCAAGTACTACTCAGAAATGATCGGAAGGTATCTAAGCTAAGCTCATTTATGAAGTCTTCAATATTTTGTCTATTTAAGTTCACTCGAATCATGCAAATCCGAGCTCGACGAGCTCATCGAACACATGGTCAACAACCTCTACAAACCAGAAGTCTACGGGCTGATCGCTCGCTCACTCAACTAGTTGCAATATTTCAAAAAACAGTTCAGCCATTTCCTTTCAGTGTTACTTTTCGCTCAGAAAGCTTCCGCATGACTTTTCTCGCTTCTCTGTGTTTTTCTGACTGTTTCTCCGATCGAGAGTCCCGATATCCTGTCTCAATTCGCAATTGAGAATTATTTATTCTGGTGTACCACATTATCTGGTGGGTATATTCGTCTGATTTTCAGCTTTATTTATTTAAAATTCTAAAGAAAAAGCTTACCTATTTTGAATTAGACCAGGATGAATGAAAATTGATCGTTTGTATTTTTATTCGAGCACTACGAGATGGCTTATTCTTGGCGCGAATGGAAACAACTCGCTGTTTCAAATTTTGCAGATATCCAAGAATGCAAGCTGTGAGGTTATTGACGATCACAGGCTTTACACGCGTGATGAAGTGGATGGAATCATCAGCATGGCCGTTGGTGCAAATGTTACTCCAGTCGGCTCTGCGTTCGGAATAATTGGCCTCGTTCGATTTTTCAATGGTTACTATTTACATCACGTCAAGTCCCGTCAGAAAGTTGCTGATTTGAATGGAAAAAGTACCCAACTTAATATTTCTAAAGGATTTTCATCGTTTTAGCTATCTACAAAATCCTCAAAACGGACTACATTTACATCCCTTCTTCTACCGCGCGTGTGGAGCCAAAACTGGAAGACAAATACCTCAAGGGATTCGCGTTGAAAGTAATTTACAGGAGGCATCTTTTAAAGTGATTTACCATCGCGGTATTAGTACTTTAACTCCGTGGATTTGTCTACAGACTTTTACTACAGTAAGGAGCTTAATTTGACACAGCCTTGGCCCAAGTGTGTTTCTGAGACAGACGAGATTGAGTCGCGCTTCTCCTGGAATCACCATCTTTGTAGGTTCGTGATAGGCTTATCCTTCTCGACCTGAGCTCTTAACTTAGACAGCTTCCAGGGCGGTGGAGTCTGACGTTAATCCATGGATTTGTTTGCTCCCGTCAGCTCTCGAGCTTGTTCAACAGCCCTGTGCTCATATTGATTGCCCGGCGATCTTCGGAGTTCGCTGGAACAAGATTCAATCGTAGAGGTTGCAATTTCGACGGAAATGTAGCCAATGAAGTCGAAACCGAACAAATTGTGTACCGCCCCGGACTTCATGGTGGTATTACGTCTTTTGTCCAGCACAGAGGCTCGGTTCCTATTTTCTGGTCGCAAGATATGGGATCTGTCCCCCAAAAACCACCAATTGAAATTGATCACAGGATTGGCTCTTGACAGTTAAATATAGACGAACCCTTAATTATCTAAGCAAGACAAAAGTTCATTTCATCTTATTTCATTTACCAGTATAAAAGCCAAATCAGTGATCCTTGGTATACAGCAAGTACGAACCACTTCCGTAAACTACACACTCGATACAGAGGCCCAATCATCGCTCTTAACCTCGTAAAACACAATTCTGGCGGAGAAACCTCCCTTGGCAATTTATATCAAGATGTTACGAAATACATCAACCAATTTTTACCAGAAGAATTGAAGATAGTTTGGGAGTGGATTGACATTGCTAAGTTGAGGAAGGAAGGCTCTTTCGCAGAGTTTCAACCCCTCTGTGACGAGCTCACGAAAAAAGTAGGAATAACCAAAACGCCACAGAAGTACCAAAATGGGGTTATTCGAGTTAATTGCGTCGATTGCTTGGACCGAACGAATCTTACACAAGTCAGCATTGGCCTCGTCGCTCTAGAATTGCAGCTACGAGAGCTTGAAGTTCCCCTGAATGTAAACAAGGATGCATGTGGTAGTATCTTTCAAAAGGTTTTCGAGGAACATGGCGACATAATCGGATATCAGTATGGAGGCTCTCAACTTGTGCATACACTGAAGAGTTATCGTGGAGAGGATCCTCTGGCCTCCAAGTCCAAAGATATTTTGGCGACGATATCGAGATATTACTCGAACACTGTTTCCGACAATGAAAAACAGATCGCCTTAGATGTTTTTCTTCTGAAAACTCATCCAGCCGATAGAAACTTGTGCACTATCCAGTTCAGAAGAGATATCTTTAGCTACTTGGAAAGAGGACCAAAGCTTCTAACAGAAGTTTTTCCCAACAATAAAAATGAAGAAAAGGCAAATGACGATTTCCAAACCTCATTCGAGGAGTATTACATCCCGGGCACCATCCGTCAGCTCTCTGAACTCTTTACTTTCAACTTGAGCATTCAATATCGCAACGGCTGGCCTTCACAACTCCCTGGTACTAGTCCCAAGATTACGAAGAACGTTAACCTTGATTTCTCGCCGGAGCCATTTGAAATTCTATCAAACGAGCCGCTTCAAGAAAACCAACCGCTTCAGTCTACGAAGACAGCAATTACTGATTATTCACTCGGATCATTGTGCGATTTTTCTGTTTTATCCAAATTCGATGATTGGGATGATATTCCATTCATTAAATTGAGCGAATATGAGCCTGAAGAATTCACTTCGCGAAAAATAGAACCAGAAACATATGAAAATTCATTATTAGAAGCACTTATGTGGTAAACAACTTCAGTCAAGTTAACCTAACGGCATTCTGTTTTTCATGCGATCTAAGCGTGACTTTGGCTTGTCGCGACGAAGATCTGTTTTTAAGATTCCTCTTCTTTTATTTATTATCTTGATTTGTCTCCCTTACAAAGCAATTCCTCGTTTCATTTCTTCAACGAACTTCGATTCTTCAGCACGGAATAGATATTTTTCTTTTTAGAGAGATTTCGCGAAGATGGCGTTGAAAGAACTCAAGTCCAATGATTTAGCTTTTTCCTTTGACGAAGATCAAGCCGTTACCCAACGTATCGAGGATATTGTTCGAAACGTCAAGGAGGACAATCTGAATGAGCACACGTTGTCTGAAAATGAGTTGAAAAATATCTTTCACTCCCCAAGCATCGTAAGTGTTTTTCGATGGCTTCCGACTAAATTTCCTTTTAGGAAAAGTCTTCAAAGTTCATTCTCCTAAAGAAGTTGCTAGCGATGCTCACAGACTTTTCGAAAGTGTCCAAATTGTCACTCGAAGAACGCGCCAAATGCCATGTGAACCATGACGCTGTCGTTTTGGAATTGCAAGAGATGCTCCCGAATCAGAGCTTGATTCAGATTTATTTCCTTCGCCAGAACTTCGATCCAGCTCGCGAATTGATGGAAATGCTTTGTAGAAGAATGAAATGCAGCGATGAGTTGATCATGTTCGCGGAAAACATTCGCGATTGTGTTCCCGCACTGATGATCCTCGGCCTCGAAAATATCATCTACAAACGAGTCTTTGACACGCTATGCGACGCATTAATCGAGAAGAGGAAGCTCTTCTTCAAACGAAAGTCGCTCGATATTGAGGAAAAGAAGTGTAGAGATAGCGCTGAGTCTTTCAAAAATGTGTACGAATTGGCAAAGTTTTTGGTATTTTTCGTGGAATACGTTCTGCCTATCCCACACGACCGACTGGAGTATATCCAGAAGATCTTGAACCAGGTTTGTTGTCTGTACTCTTCTATGTCTTCAAGAAGTTTTTAAAGAAATACTTCATACCCGCGATTCCCGATCAGCCGAGAGAAGGTGGAGAGTTGGAGAGAATCATCAAAGTACTGCTAGATGGCGCGTCAAAGTTCAAGTCCGATTTGCCCATCATTTCTCTCTTCGCGGAACGGCTTCCAAAGATGATCGACTGCTCGGAGAAGACGAAAGTAATCGAGCAAATGCGCCTTATCTTGTCAGAAGAGTCGCTCCTCGTTGGGCACCCTGATCAAAGCTCCGATGAAATCTGTGAAGCAGGGGAAGAAATGGGCGTAAAACGCGTACCCATTATTATCTCGGAAAAATGCTCCGCTGCCTGGAAGTTTATAATGGTTCGTTCAGAGAAACGGGAAACTCAGTTCCTATCAATATTTAGGAAAACAGACGATATGGAATAACACTAGTGCAGCTTTGCGCCTGTAATCTGCAAAAGAATCGTAACGTGCGAGATCTCCATTATTGCTCAGTGATTTACAACGACTGTAAATGGCTCAACGAGTGCTTGGATCATTTGACCTCCAGAGTCAATTATGATAAATCGGAGTTAATAAAAATCCCAGCTATTTGGTAAGTTGCTTCGCCTCCGTCTGAATTACGTAAGAACAAATTCAGCGCTCTGCTTGACGCCCAAATGGAACGCATCTGGGAAGAAAAGACAGACGAGATGAAATTGTTCCACGAAAAGATCATCGCCGAGAAATGCAACAGCCTCGACGAGATCGACTATCAAGACGTTGAAAGCGATATCAGAAATTGCTTCTCGGAATTCGTGATGCGCATGGAGGAAGACAGAAGTCTCATGTGTCGATATATTGAAGCGCCAGTAGGAAGGGGTTAAAAGAACTTTTGATTTAAAATAGTGAAACCACCATATCGACCTCGAAATCAGTTGACACCATTCTATCGAAGGTGATTCTGCATGTTCTGGAGCAGCTGGAATGCAAGATATTCCTTCTCGAGCGAATCGAAGCTTGTCATATCAAGCCATTGTTGTCCATCATTCAACGATTATCCAAGTTTGATTGCTTTGAAAGTAAGCCATTGCCTTTAGTAAAATGTGACTGATAAAAATTACGAAATTAAAATGAGGAAAGAAATATGAAATAGGATTTCTCAAGCGTTTCGTGAAAATTGAATTCCATTGAATGAGAATATAAACGACTAAGCTAATATATCGGTCTCTTACATGTGAATATTCCCACGCGGTTTTATCGCCGCTGAGAAAATAAGAAATGTCTTGCCGCATGAATAAATGGTTTAGGTTCCAAGCTGGCGAGCATCAAACGAATGCTCGAATCGAGCCTCAATGACTTTGCCGTTCTCTGGCAGGAAAAGAAGCTTCTCCTCTCTGAGCAAGAACTGCGTTCTCTCGCTCAAGCGCTCTTCGGCGAAGAAGGAAAGGCCAAAAGCGCCTCTCTCTTTCACTGATTATTTATTCTTAGTTCACTAGTTCACACTTACTCACACTTTTACCATTCCTGAATACTCGCGACTTCCTTGACACAGCCAAAATTAGTAAAAATAAAGCCGCCAAAAAGAACACCGTCGAGTTGTAAAACAGAACTTGTCGAAGAGTTGAAAACCTTGCGGGTGTTCGTGCTCGTCCTAGTCCCCTGCAAGGTTTAACAGTTCTTCAATAAGTTCTGTCTAATTCTTTCTTTCTTTTTCGTCGTTTTTTCGTATAAGCAGCAAGTTGATCTGAAGTCTCGAGGTGAAATTCCGCCTGGGGGAAATACTACTCTTCTCGTAGGGGTGCTCTACCCCAACCGTCTCGCCGCCAAAAGTGAAAAATCTGATTGGCCCAGTGGCGCTACACCGACGTGTTTCTCTTAGTAAAAGAGGGGTCTACAAAAGCCTCTCAAAACCACTTTTCACAATAGAACCTTTCAGGTCTCACGGCGATCAAGAACGGCGCCCGAGGCGAGTAGTAGCATACCAATCCTCCTGCGCAATCCTATCATCGTAAACAGCAAACGCCAGCCGACGGAAATCCAGAATCCCAAATGAAATCGACTACAGAGACGTGGAACCTGCTTGAAGTGATGTTTCTGATAGATAATATTGACATAGTCGATCGAACAGTTTCCAAGGCGATTGAGCAGGACAGAGCAGGATTTTAAAGAATAAAGGAATGGATCGATTTTGTGCGAGGCGAGTGCGCGCTCCTCCCTCTGGAATTCGACTTTGCTCTTTTTATTCGTAAGAAAAACGCTTCTCGAAGAAAAAAGTCGCTGAGTGAGCAGAGTAGCGCGCAGGCGCTACCTGTCCAATGGGCGGAATGACTTGGCCTACGCGTGTTCACGGACGACGAGGCAAACTTCTACTCTCGGGGGCTCTCTCACTCACTCTCTCTCCCTCTCTCTGGGGCTATCTCAGCCAATCTAACCATACAAAAACGCGCTCTGTTAGAACTCACGCGCGCGTTCTTAAAAATACAAAAACTATTTAAACTCCTCTTCCGAAGGTGCAAAACAGAACGAAAACTGAATCAAAGATAATCAGAATACTGGAGTAGAAGGGTGAATACTCGAAAGTGTAACCGAAGAAGCGCACCTTAGACCAGAAGTAAGAGCAAGCTTGAAGCAAAGTAAAAATAGAAATCGGAATTGGGACTGTCCGACGAAGATCGCGGCTGCGGCGCTGCTCGGAGCTCGATTTGAGCTCGACCAGTTCGAGTCAAATCGCCAAAAGATAGATCTGCGACACTGGCCAAGACCATCCAACAGACAGAGACGACTTTTCTTTGCGACGGACTACTCTCTCCCGCTAGCAACTCACCTCTCTCTCCGCATCTCGGAGTCAGAACAGAAGCAGCAGCCGGAAAATTAACCTCAATTCGCAGATTCGAGAAATCAGCAGATTCTGAGAAATCAGCAGAGAGATGAACATAGCCACACACCCGAAGCGACCTAAGGAAAGTTTACCAATACCGCTTAAAACGACATTTTTTCTCTTATTTTTTAGTCTCTTCAAAACTTATTTTGCTGCTAGTTATTTCAGAAAATCTTTCATTAACTCAATTGAACCCAGCTTTCGATAATAAGCCAGTGATGGATTTCGATAGCTTGAAAATCGTAGTAGCGCTTCTCTGTCTACGATGAGTACTTAAGCTTGCTTACTCATCCGAGCAGCGAGAAATTTGTAAAGAAACGCAACGAGATAAAGAAACGATCGGGTTTCGTTTCCTTCCCGTCCTCCAGTTGTCAGTTTTAGCCATTTCGAAAATTTCTCTTTTCGAATCGGTAAAATGCGAAGCTGTAAGTCTCTTAATCTAAACTCAATTTGGTAAAATGGAGCCAGTAACTGCTCTTTCTCGGTTTCCTGTTCTGATCTTTAGATGGATGGCTCATCAATGGACACAGATGATCACCAATCCGACTTTTTCGTCAATCACAGGTAAGCGCAGGTTAAGTGAGGGCAGACAGTGGGAAAAACAACTCGGAGGCATGTCCTTCTTTTCTTTCTCCGGACAAAAAGTATGATCATTTTAAGAGTAACCGCCATCAAGGAAGAAGAGGCCGCCGACAACCGCCCCAAGGCGCGTTTTCGATAATTTAACAACTTGATAATTATGGGAAGATTTATTGTAAACTCGAATAAAGCAGCAAAGAAAGAGATGCGACACTTGGCACGGTGGTAATTCCGGCGGCGAAGGGCAAGAAAGACCGCTGCTGGACCCGTCGATTTCGGAGGGACTCAACACCAAACGCAAGTTCGCCAGGTGAGACCGATTCAATGCTCGCCCGTCATTTGGACACGAAGTTGCACTAAAGAAAAAGAAAACGCATTCAGCTCTCAAGGCAGGGTACTCACCCAAGGCGCAGCAATAGCAGCAAAATCCGACTAGAATATCTCGGCAGACGTTTCCGTGGAGATCGAACATTTCACGCACTTTGAGACGAGTAACCGCAAGTTCGCTTTTTTGAGAATGATAAAAGAAAGATCGCAGCATTCTTAGAGCACGAACAGGTAACTTTCTTTTCGCCACTGATCCTGCAGAGCCAGCACGGGAGCAGAGCTCGAACACAAGCCATTCCTTTGCTTAAAATTGAATTAGTATACAGATTATGTTCGTCGCATCCCGATGGACGGGACGGGGACAGTTGTAAATAAGAATGTCTGATAGACAGTCTCAAGATAATGCGACAACAAACGAATTCGAACTTGTGATACGCCGCATTAAAATTTACACGATGTCTGTTGTTACCTCTCGTGAACTCCTTTTTCCGTGTCTTTTTCGAGAATTTTAAACTGAGCTTTACTTTTTGCTGAGTCGGGCAGATTAAAGTTCAACTATTGAATTTCGTTATTTTGGGAGAATCACCGGTGCGCGCTGTTTTTCAGTCGGTTAGACTGCTGCCGACAATCACAAAAACAGGCAGCTAGGTGAAAATGACACGATCCTAGCATATTCTTTACGTCTCGCAGTGCAAATGATGGGCAGCACAGGGCCTTAAATACTTAACCCTATGCGTGACGCGGATGCACTCAGTGCATCCGCTCATGGTTTTGTCCATTTCTCCCTCAATTTTCACCCGAATTCAAAAATTTAAAAAGAATAAGAATCTACGTCCAAAAGCACAGCCAATCTGCTCCGTAACATTTTGAAAACAAATTTTGTAATAACCTAAAAACGTAAAAAATAACGAAAATTTACTATTTTTCGTCTCGAGAACAGCTATTTTGATGCATGTTATGTAACTTCGAGCCCGTTTCGCCGCCGAAGAAGGGGGTATTTCGGTCTCTGAGACACTGACAACAGCGAATTCAGGCTGTTTTTCTTCTAAAATTGGCAAAAAAGAGCAAAATATTGTTCTAGATGGGTCGGATGCACTGAATGCATCCGCGTCACGCATAGGGGTAGTTCTGATCGTCACGCATAGGGTTAAGATTTGTAAAATTTCGAAGGACGCACCATGTAGCACCAGAAAGTTGACGTGCCCCAATCGCACAGCTCATGAGTCCAGTGGGGTGCTTCGCCGTGATAGCTGGACTTACTCGCCAGGTTCACATTGACAGTTATTTTTTTAAGGGTGCCACTTTTGCTGTTAAAAAAAGAGGTACTTCCCGATCTCGAACGGGGTTGAATGAGGTCTTGGGTGAAAGAGCACCCTTTGAACTGTACACAAAAATTCTAAAAATAAAATTTTAGCCATAACTTTAGCCATAAATCAACTGTAAAAATGCATTAAATTCCATTGTTTTCGGAAATGGCGCGCGCTGATTGGCTAAGGCGCGGTATTGTTCAAATGGAGCGCCACCCTAAACTCGACTTGTCGACGAAAAAATCGATATTCTAGCGCTTCTGGAGGTTGGATTTTTCTGGTCACAATTTTTGTGTACAGTTCGATAAATTCCGCTTCGAACAAGACCTCAACCATCCCTTAACCATAACGGGAAGTACTTTTTTTTTGGACAGGAAAAGTGGCCCCCTTAAAAAAAAAACTGTCATTGTGGCGAGTCGCAAAACGCCGTCCCTTATTGTCGGCTAGACACCTCTAGGATGAATTCTATGAGAAATGCTCTCTTGAATTTTTTTAAACTTCTCGTCGTTATGTTATTTTTTAATTATCGTTAATAATTCTAGAATTTGAATCACATAGAAGTCGAATGAAATTCTTCTGATGAAAATTTTAGTTTAAAAAAATACGTAGATTATCAAAATAAGATGCATACAAAGCTTAAAATCGACAATTTACATAGGTATCTCTAGAAAGACGAATATCGTTAGGTTAATTTAACCGTCCCGAGAATTTTCTCTTCTCAAATTCATCGTCACTGTTCCCCCGGTGATTTTCTTCATCTGCATTTATGATCGCCACCGTGGAAGATACAATCCTACGTACTCGTTAACATTCTGCTACATTCTACCTGTTCGTTCTCATAGAACTGTAGTCAACCTGGGCGCTGGCTGGTTCAGACAAACGACAGAACCGCCAATATTATTGTTCATTGCGTTCATCTCGAAAAGGACTCTGATCTAGGCATCTCTGGCATGCTCCTGCTGATTTTATTTGCATTTATCGCGATCTTATCAGATTTCTATAATTTATCCTGCAGTCGAGCAATTCTCATATTCTCTGCCATCATCATCTTCCCATGGACCTATTTCTCTACTTCTTCTTAATTTTCATTTTTCAGGAAAAACCCTTGGGGCTACTGTAGCTATGCTGATCTTATTACGATGGCCCTCGAGCGTGCCCCTGATCGCCAACTCACTGTAAGTATGAAACGCGGGGTCGTTTCTAGAGCATGTTTACCCCCAGTTACAGAAGTCGCTTGCTTAATCAATTTCAAGACCCCTTGAAATGAGGAGGTTCAAAGAGATCCCAGATGCTCTCGAAAGAAAAGCTATGGTTGCCATAATCAATAGATTCCAAGAAATTCCTTTAGACTTGCCAAAGACTTTTGGAAGACCAGAAATCTATGATATAAATACCCATGAGTTTTTTATCATTCTGGAGCCTTTGGATGCATTCAGCCTTTTTTCCGTTTACCAAAGAAAGGCATATGAACTTAGGCATTCTGTGTGGGTTAGTTCTTATTTTTTCCAATTTACTATCGCTTATTTCATCGTATTCAAACTTAAATTTGTTGATTTTGATATACTTTTGTAGCTATCCGAAATCTACGACTGGATCGTTGCGAATATTCCATATTTTTACGACAAGGGGGATGCAAACAGCTCGATCGGTTGGAAAAACTCAATCCGGCACAACCTGAGTCTGCACGAGAAGTTCACCCGTGTACCTCAAGGAAACACCTCCACTTCTTCAAGGGTATATCAGATTACGGTGCAACTTAAACTCAAGCGCGCTCATTCAGAATTTCAAAAACATCGGCGCGTACTGGACCCTAGTGGATGAAAATGAATCCAACGACACAGCAAAGATCTCAATGTCACCGCCGCCGATTTCAACGCAGAGCCCCCGGCGAATTTCCGAAAAAGATCATCTACCATGCCGACAAATATGAACCACCATCGCTCCAAGTCATCCAGAATTACCAACCGCGACAAGGTTTGAGTTTTCATTTTTGATATAGAGTTGTCTTTTGACTCGTGACACTCGACAAAGAGAAAAGAATGCTGAGTTCGCGCATTTCAATGACGAGCTTTTGATCTTACGCCTTTTCGGATACTTAACATTTTACACTAGCGGCCAGGGTTACCCGCGTTTGATTTACAATCGATGGAAGGCGATTCTGGCATCGAGCGGCTATCGAGGCATTCTTCCGTCTCCTCGCTTCATGTGACTGACGACTTTCAGAGAATCAACTTGGACTCCTTTTCGACGTAAGCAGATTACCGTTTGCCTAGTTTGTGATCATTTAGTGCTGCCAACGCAGCCATTAAAACCGAGGAGAGAGACGATGTGTCTCCAGTCGCGAGCAGAATGAATCAAAACCAGCGAAACTCCGTCCTCGTCGAAGTTCGTCTTACTGCTGAGCAGTACGACATGGTCAAGTCGGGTAAGTATATCGTTTCCCTTGTGGAGAAAGATCAAGTTATCGCCGCCCCAGTCACCGGCCCGGTAAAACTTCCATACTGGAAGACATCTCACAACAAAGAGGTAGACATGTTTTATCTAATAAATGGATAAATATTGTTTTCTAGGCGTCTAATTCAGCTTTTCCTGAAAAGAGTGAATTTCAATCTGAAATCAACCCACCTTCCTATTCTCCACCTTCTCACACATTTGTTGACACTCGAACCCAGGTATAAAATGATCCGAAAGTTTTCGTTTCTAAACAAAATCTCTCCAGAAAAGCGAGCAACGATCGCCATTTTCTCAAACATCGTCGAAAATGCTACCAGCTCCTCTTGGAAGGACCATCTCGCAGCCTTCAGTCGCCCAGGCAAATAACTCAGGAAACGAACTGACGTTCATGAATTCGATCCCTCTCAACGATCAGATTTTCGGTGCACTCACGGATCTACATGACTATGATCTGGCCGAGGAAAGGGTTACATGATAACTTTTCGATTAGAATTCAGTATTTATGTAGATATCAAGACTTTAACCCTCTTTTAAAGCTATTGGAGCACAACTAAATCTCTTGGCTCACCATATCTTTTACATTGGAATTCAACTCTTGCGGCTCACCGTAGTTCATCAAAGTCCGCAATAATTCACTTTGTTTGTCTTCATACCACTAAATATGAAATTTCATCTTTTTTTCGGACATAGTTTTTGTACGGTTGCTTTTGTTTCCCCCGTGTAAAATATAACCATGGTTGTTTTCTACAATTTCGCATTCACGTATTCTCCACGTATATTCTTTCCTATTCTTCCAGACCATGTTCAACGTCTTATTTATTCGCATATTTTTTCTCAACGCTGTCGAAAAGTTTATGTTACCGGTACATAAAGCCACTCATCTTAAAAAGATGAATTGACGGAAACTCACTTGTGAAACACTTTTATTCTTATTTGCCCGAAAATTTCAAACTTGCTAAGTTTATTCAAAATTGCATTCGAGTCATTATTGGTCTTGGTCTGCCTTTCCACCGCTATTTTGAGCTAGCACATCAGATAGTCTTACTTCATCAAAACACACGTATGACCCTGAACTCCCGAGCGAAAATAGTAAATTGAAGGTACCTTTCTCGCTCAGGTCGTTGATTTGCGAAACCAAGAATCTTTTGCCCCGTCTTATTTTTCTGTCGATCATCTCACAAATTAAGAGCCTGCTTGCAATTAGATCAGAGCCAGTTCTCCAAGAACGGTTCTCTTTTAGTTCTGCATCTCGCTCTATCACCTCAATACTCAAGAATTTCTTAGTTTTTCTTCGGTACTGATTCGCCCCATCCACAGATTAAACTGGCTTAAGCAAAACGTAATGCACTTCACAAAAATCCATATTCTCTTCAGCCAGTTTTCTGTCAAAAAGTAACATTTTTGAGCAGCCTTCCTATTTCTATTCAATTCTCATTCTTTAGAAGTTCAACTGTTTCATATTCAGCCTAACTGTTCCACGCTGTTTATTTTCTTACCGAACTTGAGAACAATTCTAATTGATTGTTTTGTTTCCAACTAAATTTCAATAAAGTATTCGATGAAATTCTAGCTCCACAAGAGAGATTTCAAATTGCTTCGTGAAATTCATGATTTGAGATTTCGGCTGTATTAACATAAATTTATTTGTTAAAAAAGAAAGTAAATAGAAATATCAGCATCCTTACGGTGATGTATCGGAATTGCAGGATAAGCATGTACAAGAACGGATATTTGGGAGCTTCAGATATTGCTTTTTGTTAGGTGCTCCTGGACAGTACATACTGATTTAGGGTTCCGCACGATCGGAGGACCCAATTTTCAAAAACCAAATTAAACTAAAACAAATTTTGAAATTTGAATGGGATTGAGGTTTTCGACTATGGGGAAGAAAATGACGATACTTATATTCTGATAACTCTATAAATTCGCCGATTTATCTCGTTTTCCGGTCTATTTCTGTCGCCCACGTTCAGTCGCCCTCCTATTGAAAAGAACACCAAAAAATAGTAGTTTTTGTTCTTAAATGAAATTATAACTCAGCGAACTTTTTGTGTGCTGATCAATTAAAGTTTTCAAAAGCATTAACATTTTCATTTCCAGCGCGCTGATTGGTCGAATTTCTGACTGTGTTGTTCAGATGGAAGAATCTTCAGTCTAGAAAAAAGTCCCTTGCGCAGCTGACCAATCAGAGCGCATTACCTAATTAAACTTTGTATTTTTAAATAGCTTTAAAATGACAGAAGAACTGGCTTTTAGGAGAAACTAGGATCGGAAATGGATTCTACTAGTCATTTTTAGTAGAATTTAAAAATTTTGGTAAATTTAAAGTCTCTGTCCCAATCGTGCGGAACCCTATACTGATTGTTTTGACTGGCTCGTTCGGGTCTAAGTTATAGCTGCAGCATTCGCAAATGTTCTTAACATATGGGTACTCTGCCATGATAACGCTTTCGGCCGTTTAACATAATATTCTTAAGTAAAATATATTTTTAGCTAGTTTTTAAACGGTTCCTTTGCGAAGAGCACCGTCCAGAGCAGTAACTGATCACGACATTTTGCGCGCTGCACCCCTCGCGTGTGAAATTCCTGACTTGAGAAGTCACCGAACAGTCACCGTTTGCTTCACACTCAGGAATATTGCAATTTTCAAACTCCTCTTCCGAGCCTTTTTCACAAAGTGTTCCCGAACATGTTCTTTTTCTAGATTTCATTGACTCTGAGCCACCGCAAATCGGACACTCTGACCAAGAAGACCACATGCTCCAGGTTGGAGTGCAAAGATCGACACAAAGCTCGCCTCCTCCTATGCAAGAGCACTCGGTGCACTCTTCCGTTTTGAATGACACACCATCTTCAACTCCCACACATCTGTCTGAGCAGCGAGGTGTATCTATCTGTAGGCAATCAGACATTTCCGTAGTCTTCGAGCAATAAATTCCAGAAATGGGATCTCTGTATCGGAATCTTTTACTCTCGTCGCCGATGCAAGTGCTATTGCAGCTCGACCAGTCACTCCAGTCCGAATACGAGCAGTCATCAAATTCATCGCAGTCGACCTTTTTGCAATTTATTATGCCCGAATAGGTGCAAGAGCAAGTCTCGCAGATTGATTCCGAACGAATTGTCCAGGTAGCTCCATTTTGCCACTCTCGTCCAGAGTTGTCAGTGCATTCACAACTGCTCTCCGGGATACATATTCCGCTGCTCGATTCCAGATATCCATCAGGACATACGCATCCGGGGATGCACTCTTCGCAAAGTTTCGCTGGAGAAGGACTGTCAGCACATGTGCGTTTTGTGCAGAGGGAGACACATGGAGAAAATATCATATCTTTAGGGCAAGAATCTGGACTTATAGGGCCGAGGTGCCCTCCTCCACCACCGGTTGTATTACGATCTCCGTCCGGTCCAAAGCAATGACGATGAAAACATGGTTCAATTTGCTTGAGCACCTCGTGACAGAACTCTTTCGAGCAGAAGCGCACGCGAGAACGAACTCCTAAATCACATTCCCTCGAGCATTTGCTCCAATCAGTCCATTGAGAGACCTCGCCCGGGCATTTTACTATGCATTTCCTTGATTCTACATCATTGCGGCTGTCACATTCTTCTCCAGAACATTGACGGCTTCTTAACTGATGACCATCAGAACCGCAACCTCCAATGCACTTTGTCCAAGAAGACCAGCTGCTCCAACGAATGGGGCACTCAGAAAGCTCCCCGTGACACGGCCGTCTTTCTTTAGGGCAGTTTCTTTTAATCGAGCACTCAGGAATCGCTTTTATACGAGTCTTGAAGCCAATTCCACATTCGTTTGAACATTGACTCCAAGAGCTCCATTTTGCATCGCATTGGCTTCGGCACTGCCGTTGTTGTGTTTTCACTCCTTGGCAGGCCGCTCCGTTGTTTTCTGCTCCGACGCAGATCCTGCTTCGCCACTGACTGCCTAGCTGGCATGGGAACGCGGTCATCATGTTTTCCGAGCGACAAGTTGACCATTGAGACCAGCTGCTCCAGTAACCGTCGATCGGACAGAGTTTTTGTACAAGTTAGTTTACCTGCTCTGCAAGTGCATCTGTTACAGCGATCCATAATTGACGTTCCCGCTGGTATCGTTTTATATTGTCCATTAATGGTAGCAGAACACTCGCACTGCGATCGTGGTATGCACTTCCCATTTCTATTCATCAGATTTCCCCTCGGACAAGCGCAACTGTTCTTGCAGTCCGAATTATTACAAATACTTTTGGAAATACTAGCGCACGTAGTTTCGCAGTTAGCGCACTCAACAAAGCTAGTCCCACTTGGACACTGTCCATCGCATTCATGATCTGCACAGCTTTCTGAAATAAGCGAGTTGCCTTCACATTTCTTACCACCCAAAGCTGGGGAAGGATCATTACAACTACGGGTTTTGTATTTTCGGAATGTCCCACAGTTGCACGTGCTCCACGATCCCCATGATCCCCAATTTCCATCTGTTGGGCATTTTGGATAAACATGACAGTCCTGATGCTCCACTTTTACAAGTTCACTTCCAAATTGATCGGTAAAATCATCACATCCTTCATTCGAGCCTTCTTTATGACATCCACATTTATTTATTCTTGATCGGATTTGAGGCCATCCGCTGCCACATGTCCTGGAACACGTGCTCCAAGCACTCCAACCGCACCAATTGTTGATTGTTTGCACAACCGAGCAATCATTCATTGTACACGATAGACGCCCAGATGTACATCTACATGTATTACAGTCCTGCTTTTCAATATCTGCAGGCGATAGAATAGCACCAGTCTTTTGTGAAAAACAGTGGCAAGAGGATACAGCGACGCATGAATTACTAACGTGGTCAAAAATTTGATTTGGATCGTTGCAGAAACATCCAGCTTTGCATGTTCCTGATGTTTGATCGCAGGTCTCTATATTTGCACATGTTTCCATACAAGGTCGACCACAATCGTTCCAGAGCGTTCCATTAGGGCAGCTTTCAGGCGTATCGAAACAGGGTGCGACTGAGCCACATAGTCTTTCATCCGACAGGTCTGTCCACATTTTAGTAGAACAGTCGATACCAGTGCAATGTTTTATACGGTTTCCAGTATCATTGGTATTACGGAAACGGTAGGACACTCCATACCCGCCACAAGTCTTTGAACACGCAGACCATGCTGACCATTGCCAAGGACTATCAGTCGAATCCATTTCAGAACATTCTGGCAAGCTTGAGCAAAATTCTGTTTGGATATCTTGTGTCTCTCCGAGTTTGTCGTGCAAATATCTGTTTCTTACGGCACCTGAGCCGCAAGTTTTTGAACAGGTACCCCATTCTGTCCATGCAGATATTCCCGCGTTCTTATCACACGATTCGATAGAGCAGTCCTCAATTTGATGATGATTTGTTGGACATTTCGAAGAGGTTTGGAACATAAGCATCTGAAAGCGGACACGATTTCCGACACCACAGGAGGTTGAGCATGTTGACCAAGTAGACCATTCTCCAAACATGCACTCCGCGCAGTCACCGATGGAGCACATAATCTCTCCTGCGGAGCATTTGCAATTTTTTGTGCACTGTCCAGCAAGTTTCGATTTGAAATGATCGCCACCTTGTATGTTTCCGGTTTCATCTGTCTTACATGAGCACATATCTTTCGAAACACATTCCCCAAAGTGATTGATCTTTTTATCATCGGTGCAGACGCAAAAGTCTGTCGTGGGACCTCTTTTCCCACCATTACAGTATGCATTCTCCAGAACAAGTCCAGTTGTATTGGAAATAAAATACGCATCGGCAGGGCAATCCTCTGCTGTGCAAGGACAAGTTCTTGACTCTTCGTTATCGTCCTTCGCGCAGTTTTGATTTTCTGTTATTTTACCATTGAAAAGACATCCACGAGATCTCCGTTGAATACAAAACTGACAATCAGACCATTTGCTCCACTCGCTCCATACAAAAACATCTCCACAAACGGGAATATTTCCGCATGGAACGGTCTCAATCCCTCGACCAGAACAGGCAAATTCTGTTTGGTGATTTTTCAACCAAGGTTCGAAAAATTCGATTGTTTGACTATTCTTCGCTCGACATGACCGGTATCGTGATTGCTGAGGGTATACTTTCTCCGATATACAAGTTGAAGAACAGGTTGACCAAGCTGACCATTTTGACCAAAGACCTTCGTCGATACAGTTTTCTTTCTTATCACAATGAAAAGACGCCCCTGTGCAAGTGCACTTTAAACATCCTTCATCAAAGCTTGTTCCTGTATCAATCTTCGTCAGATTTGGCAAAATACAGTAACACTGATCTCTTGGAACACATTCATCCTCGTTCCGGAAAAGCCCGAACGGACAGGAGCATTGGTGTAGGCATCCTTTTAAATTCGCGTTGTCTCTATTTGAAGACATCAATTTGGTAGAATTGTAATGAACAATGCAAGAGTCGTCGAGAATCTGTGCAGCGGCACAGGTAGCTACTTTGCACTCGTCACAAGAATCCATGCCGTTTTCACACGTGACACCACAACAGTCCATCACCTGGATAAAACCTGGTCTTTTTCCAGAGCCGTCAGCTGGAACCTGACAAGACAATCCAGAACATGATCTGTTTCGAACTGGGACAACAGTGGGACAAACGTCAGATTCTGTGTTGATATTGCATTCAGCGGACCATTCTCCCCAGATAGAAGGACAGGGATTGACACATTTCTCGCTTTCACTGGACTCACCAGCGCATGATAGCTGATATTTAGCTTGAGGAGTTCGAAATCGATGGCGAACGCCCGTTTGATTGCAACTGTTATCATTTGTGAAGCAAATTGACCAAGTCGACCAAGACCCCCAGTTGCATCTTCGATTTGAAATACAGTTTTCCTCACAAATCATTTCACCATTCTCACAAACGCAGTTACACTCGTCAATTATATGAATTCCTGGCAAGTACGCACGACCTTGGTGATGGCAATTGCACTGGGACTTAGGAACACAGACACCATCCTGGAGGAGTAAATTTCCTTTGCAAAAGCAGCCAGTTACAAGTTCGGCTGAATTTTGACATTTTTGTACGCAATCTACTTCCGCAGAGATTTCAGCGCAAGTGGCGGGACAGACATCTTCGCATGAAGCAGTCAACAAGTTTTTGTCGCCAAAACATCCTTCCATGGGTACACAAGGTGCCAAATTACATGGTTCTATATTGATCGATGGACCCGAGCAAGATTCTCCGCCATTTTTTGGCTGATAACAGGTTCGAGTTCGTTGACGTAGGCCTCCATTGCATGGACGATCGCATGAACTCCACGTCTCCCAAGGTGAATAATATCCATCAATGGGACATGCTCGCAGCTGGCAATGCTGTATGTCTTTAAAAGATTTATCTGCACACGGCGCCAGTTTTTTATTTTCGAGCCTGATCGCTCTTGTTCTTGACCGAGCACCGATCCCACATGAAGTCGAACACTGACCCCACGCCGACCAAGTTGTCATCAAGCACTCATCGCAAAAAGATTCATCTGATCCATCGTTGCACTCTTCAATCCCGTTACATACATGGTCGTTAGATATGCATTTAGAATTTGATGAGCACCTAAATTGATTCTCTTCGCAAGGCTCCGAGCCTATATCCGACACCTGACTCTCTGGTGCACAAAAGCAACACTCATCGTCAGGAATTTGTAGAGTTGTATTAGCCGGGCAACCATTAGAAACCAGCTGATACTCACAGAACTTATTGCATTGTACAATTCCTGTTCTAGTGCACCGACAAACTGTGCATCCATTCCGCCATTGAGCGCCCACCATCTTTGTATTTCCATCTGCATCATGACAAAAACTACATTGATTGGTCCTACATCTACGAGATTTTTTAGATGCTCCCTGACATCTTTCTTCAATACCGTAAACAGATGGGATCGCAGGGGATCTGAAACTCCATTGAATTCCATTGACTCCGCACGGACCGAAGCAGGGCCCCCAGCTGCCCCAGCTAGACCACGAACACATTTCCGCCTCGTCGTAATCCTGCTCTTCACATAGACTTTTTATTTTACAATGCGTAAGCTTTCCATTAGAGCAGACGCAAACCTCACAATTCGAAATGGAAACCTCAGTGTCCGGGTCGTATATTTTGCCATCGATATCACATTTACATTCGCTTTCCTGAATACATCCTGTACTGTTCCCGTTGTTCTCAAAAACGTATCCTTTGGGACAGTAACAACCACTGGCTCCACATTCTTTGCATTCTTCTGAATCTCCACAGTTTGTTTTGCACGGACCGCATTGTTGATAAGTGAGTGAGCCAGAGCAGATTGGATTTCCATCTTCATCAAGACAAGGCTCTAAGTTACATCGAGTGGACTGGAGCCGGCTCGCATCAGATTGTATAAATCTAACGGATGTACCTCCACCACATGAGCTGCTGCATGTGGACCAGTCAGACCATTGCTGATTAGTTTTCTCACAAGGATCAAAACACGGCCGTTCTTGGATAGATGGTCCAGGACAGGTAAATAAGATATCGTCATTGTCTTCTTTATTAGGGCAAATTCTCGTCCTCACGGATTTGCCAGAATTACAGTCGACAGAACAATCGCTCCAACTTGTCCATTCACTCCATTGTCTGCAAACCGCTTCGTCTCTTCCATCTCGGCACTGCTCCTCTCCATCACAAATAGAGCTCATCTTCAAGCACCCAGTTCTGTTACTTTCTTTGAGATCGCACCAAAGGCCACTGCAATCGCGCTCTGGCTCCATCGTTGTGTTTCCACAGGCAGATTCGTCTTCACCCTCTGTACATTGGACGATTCCATCGCAAATCATCGTCATGTTTATGCAAACCAAGTCTTGACATTGGAATCCGCGACATGGTTCAGGAGGAGGGCTTCCACAATTCTCAATTGATTCGTCTTCGCCATTCGCGCAGTTCATAATGCCATCGCAAATCGAATCGTAAGTTATGCATGTCTCATCTAGATCAAGTTGCATTAAGAAAAATGAAGAAAGACTCACCGTTGCATTTAAACATATTCGAAGGACACTCAAAGCAATCAACCTCGTCTAAACCATCCTCGCAGTCAGGTTGTCCGTCGCACCGCCAAGACCTAGCCAGGCATTTTCCAGAGCAGAAAAATTCTACGTCAAGACAATCTTCTGGATTTTTTGGGTGTGCAGTTTCGCTAGAGTCTGGTCCATCACAATCGAATTCATCTTCACCATCCTCACATTCGACGACGTTGTCACATTTTGTTGCGATTTTCCCATTACAGAAGATTTTTTCATCTACGCTTTCGATGTCCCCACAGTCAGCTTCGTCTTCGCCAAAAGAGCAGTCACTTATTCCGTTGCATACATGGTCTGCTCGTGAAATACAATTCAGCTGGTTGGCGCAAGTAAACTCATCGATGGCACAAACACAGTTTTGCTCGTCGCTTCCATCTTGACAGTCTATATTGCCATCGCAAAACTGTTGTCGTGATAAGCATACATCGTCGGACTGGCATTTGAAGTTAGTTATTGCGGAGCATGATTCTTTTGTCAGGTTCAACAAGATAATCTTATTTCTAATTAAAAAGCATTGATTATTTTGAACCTCCCCTTGATCGCATTCGAGCTCATCCGTAAAATCGTTGAAGCCACAGTCAAATTCTCCATCGCACAAGAAAGCCGCAGAAATGCATTTTCCTGAGGCACAAGGGAACTGGTTTTCTGAGCACATACTTTCGTTGCATTCGTTCTCGTCTGAACCATCACTACAATCTGGATGTCCATCGCAGAAGAAAGATTTTGGAATGCACATTCCATTCGCGCAGCTATTTTCGAGATGATTGCACGTCTGCACGCAGTTTCTCTCGTCTGACCCATCTAGACAATCTTCCTGGCCATCACAGAACCAGTATTCAGGCAAACACTGGCCGCTTTTGCACGCACGTTCATTCGGGAGACAGTGGTCGCCATCGCCCATCGTGCAGTGCTCACCAACGCATTCAAACTTCCCATTTTCACAAGTGCAGTTTTGACAATTGTGCTTTTGAAAAGGTTATAATTCTGTATGAAAACGACTGTAATGGCCGGAAATATATAAATTCTTCGCCTTCGAACACCCATACCTCACTTGATACTTTGTGAAACCAAGCGATGAGGTAACTACTTGAAAATTTTTCATGTAAAAATAGTCGTTTATAATTTCATAACCTTAGACCTGAACAACTGTTCCAGGGGGAAAAACTCCTTCTCTCTCATCATGCAAGAAACAAGGACACTCTTCTTTCCGAATACATTCTCCATTGTGCTCCACTTCTCCATCGTCGCAAAAACAACCTTCGACACAACTTTTTTGACAATTTTCAAATGAAACAAAAATCGAAAAAGATTTCCGTCGAACCGGATTCGAACCAGTGACCTAGAGATAACTGCTAACCCTCTACAGTCTCCCGCTCTGCCAACTGAGCTATCGACGGTTAATGGAAAGGACTGAAAATACCATAATTATAATATTTTTGCAATGTCGAATATTCATGAGATGATCTCATTAAGATCAGTAAATCTTCCGTTTTTTCTGGCGAAAATTTTCTATCTCTGATTATTGTTGTTAAAATCGTTTCCTTAGAAGTTCACAGTGGCGCGGCATTGGCGAATTCAACGTTGAGCACGACTCGGCACACGGATTCCCGCAGGATCTACAAAAGCGCCATTACAAATTGCAGCAATTACCTCATGTTGCTCACCTGTACTGCTTTCCACCATCGCACTGCATTGGACAGCGCTCATTGTTTCTCCATCTGATGGAAATGCCTCTTTTCCCGCATTCAGCCGCGTAATCGGCGATCGCCGTGCAAAGACACTCGCAGTCTCCACCAACGTCGCAGCTGCAAGCATCGTACACACATCGCCCGTAGAAGTCTTCAGGTGGGACTAGAGCATGACAGGCTTCGAATTCGGGCGATTTTATGACGCTACAAGCGCCTCGGGACCAGACCAGACGATCAGCATGTGGACATTGGTAATCGACTACTCCCATTGAGGTTACACTTGGGCAAGATGGCGAGAGTTTCCAAGAGTTGGCGAAATCTTAGAAAGATATGAAGAAAAACAATAAACGCGAATAAAAGAGTTTATCTTTCTCGTTTCCTGTTGGGTTAACTTCTATGGATCCGCGTTGGCTTTTATATTCATCGATCAGCATGCCATTGTAATCCCCGCAGAGTCCTTCTACAACACCCCTGTTGATTGGCTCTAGTCGGACATAAACCCTTGTTCCGCCATCCCACAGAACAGTTAGTCCTCTCGTAGCAGCGGAGACGAGAACGAATACTCCAGCACGATCAATTATGACCTCTTCCGTCACCGCCTGATTGTATCTATCGGAAATTCCATATTTCCTCGGGATACGGATAGCCTTATTATTCACTGTTATTTCTCGGTGCCTCATCAAGTGAACTTGGATAGGGCCGATTGTGACGTACACCGACTTCGTACACGTAACACCTTCCTCTAGTTTTAAATTTCAAACTTCTTTTACGAAGTTGTATTTTCAACTATGCCTGATGATCCACAAGCAACATTCTCGGCCATGACTCGAAACTGTCCCTCGAGATGCTGCGTTAAAATATAAGTACACGCGCCATGGAAGGAAAATTCGGCGCCGTCAAATGTTCGATAGTGAGGATCGCCGACGGCGGAGCATGTAGCAGAGCACTTGAGATTTGTGCACTCCCAGTGACGGCGACTGCATTTACATGTGTTGCAGTCGCGTGTAATGGTTTCTCCTGGCTGATAGTGTTTTCCGTGGTGCAGGCAGGGGCATTCTTCGGGTTCTATACACTGGCCCTCTTGCCGAACGTAGCCTTCGGGACATTTGCACCCCGACCAACGCGGTCCTGAGCACACAGCCTTTCATTGAGATTGCGGAACAAGCTTTAATTTATTTTATATTGATTCTGAAAACTTTTCCTGAAGAGCTGGATTCAGAAAATGTAGACTGTTGCACGTAGGCTCACACTCTGTGATGTTAAAAGATGGGATCATTTTTCCTGGGCACGTTAGTACTTTTCCACAAAGCTCGTCAGAGCATACCCAATCTCCGCCTTTGCATGTGCTTAACCAATTTGTAAGCAATTATAGATTTACGATGCATATTTTGTCAATATGTAGATTAACTATGTAAAACTGAGAGCGTCGAATGATGACCACTCACTCGGACAGTAGACTGACCTATCTTGTGCCTCATGTTCGGGACTTATCAAAATAGACCAAATCCAGTCCAAGTGTCGTGGGCTATGAGAGGATGAAGAAGTGAGTAACAGTACATATGATTGGATTATCTGCCTGTTGCGCTGTATTGAGTAGTGATAATCCACGAACGTCGAGTGAAACGACCGTAGATGGACTATAGATTGACCTATCTTCGCATTCGATGGCAGAAAATAGGTCAAAACTATTCCATTCACGGACAATAATTGTTTTTTCTCTTGATCTCTAGACGAAAAAACATTTACACTGAGACACAAATAGTCGTGTTGGGGCGCTAACCATTTCATGCAGCCTTTGTAGAGCACTGTGCCAGGAGGACTTACCTAAATTAAGCCATAATTATCGTTGACAGCTATGAATAGTATCTCTAGAGAAATACTTACGTTTCCTTTATGATCAGAACACGTGCATTCTTCTGGCTCAATGCAGTAGGGGCTTTCCAGTCCTGAAATTACGAGTCCTTCTGGGCAGACGCATCCTGGCCGGCAGATGTGATCACTGTTGTTCTCGCTGCCATCTTCACAATCACTTGCGCAGCTATTACAAGGAGGTACACATGGGGAAAACTCAGTGCCGACAGGACATTCAGGTTTACACCGAGAGACTATCTTGGCGAGTTCTTCGTTAGAGTTGAGTCGTGCTTTGAAAAAATTGCTTTTTAGCAGGGATCGCGAAAATCGTTTTTATTATGACGGGAAAGAGCGTCACCAGGCGGCGGATGTTCTTCCGATCGAAGATCCGACGCACTGGATCCAATGAAGAAGAAAATCGATCCCGGTCCTGCAATGGGATCGTACGAAACTTATTAATGGACACATACTCGTACTACCCACAAGTTTTCCTGCACCACAGTAGACGTCAACGCAGTGGTGAAGAAACATCTTCTCCAGCTCAATTTCAAGGTGACACTCTTGCGAGATCTTAAAGAGATCGTCACACACCATTCGAGCAAAGGGCTCCATTTCGGGATACGTGAGGCATGATTCGGGCATCTTGTTCTCGATTGGCGCCGGTTCACATATTTCTCCGCCAATTTCGAAGCCATAGCGATTGACAAAATTATCAGAAATCGCTTCAACATCCCCAGCAGGAGTCGTGAAGTCGTCTTTCTTATTCCAGCTGAATGTTCCACAAAGTCCTGTAAAAATATAAAAATAACTTCTCTCGCGGGCTTTTACCTTTGACTTTTTTTGACCAAAAGGGCTCAAGTCTTATGTGAAGAAGTTGTTGTGCAAGACTCCAATCAATATCAAACCCGAATCCTACGATGGTGACAACGAAGTCCGTGGCCTGCGTGATGGATAGATCTCTATTTCTGAACGGAAACGCCACTTGGTAACCATCGAGAAGCAGGATTAAGTTTGCAGCAAGGTCTTGTGGAGAGGTAAATCGAATTTGTAAGGTGCTGTTGCCGGAGCGAATCCGTAGCGACTGGAGGACCTGGATATGAGCTTTAGATAACATTCTTTTTTCTTCATTCGACGATACGCTTCGCCGCTCCGCTAGCTGGCGCACATGATGTACACAGTAAGATGAAATAGATACCGGCTGTAATCAAGTGGAAAGCACCACCACGATAAAAATTGAAGGCAATTCTTAAAAACGTCATAAATAATTACTTGATTGATTTTTTACAGTGACCCATTTGTCAAAGACTTATGGAAATCAATACTTTCCCACTTGATTCGTAAATTATCATTTAATCAATATGGTTTCTATAAGCGTATCACAAAGCTCCGTTCCTTACTGTCCCCGGTGTAGAGCCCCGATATTTCCAAGTCATCAGTTTGTATATAGTGATAGCCTGTGCACATTGGTTCCATCGTGAAGAAGAGTTGATCGAAGGTACTGATAGCAGTACTTCCAAAAACGGTGCATTCGCCGCCACAACTGTCAGTTGTGCAGGACCATGCCCCGTCATTACACGTGCATGTGTTGCATCGCACATTTACAGTTTCTCCTGGAGAATAAAGTCGATTTTGGTGGGTGCAAGGACACTCGTTGGGCTTTATGCACTGGCCTTCATATTCTACTGTTCCTTCTGGACAAACGCATCCAGATAAGCAATCTGTCTTACAATATTGATCCTCATTATTTGGATTTGGCTGTGAGCAAGTAGCAGGACAAAGATTCACGCACTCAGAGTGCACAAAACCAGCTGGACAATTTGTAGGGCACATCGTTGGTGAGCGCCAATTCATAAGTTCATGATGGAGCGACTTTGCGCAGACTTGGGCATACACAGCAAGTATATTGCAGAAATGATCTTAATATAGGATGGAAAAGAGCACAACGATCGAAGTGGTTTTCCTATTTTCTATCCTGGCCTTGTGCCAAAGGATCGCTATCTAGAGCACATTGCGAGCGGATACAAGCTTCGAACCAGGGAGCCGGGTCTTCTTGAGGATGGCATTCGCTAGATATCCATTAATTGTAGAGTAACTCTCGGTATAACTCACCTAAACGGATTCATAAAGAGCATCTGACATTTTCGCCTCGCAGATTCCTCAGCAATGGCGGAAGTGGAACACTCTCCTCGAGGCAAAGCTCTGGGAAGGTTTTCGCACTGGCTTAGGGACCACGAGTCAGCAAAAATATCAACACGGACAGCCTGTCTTCCGGAAATATCGCTCAAGTCATCGTCAATTTTCCCATTTAGGACGCCACAGAGCCCCCTTGTGCGGTCAAAATGCTCCGGTCCCACGGTGAGAGCAATGATTCCCTTGCCAACTACAAGACGGGCACCAGTAGCTGCGTCCATTATTATCCAGTCATCGACAAATTTAATTGTTACACCTAAAAGAGTAATACATTTCATTATCTACAAAACCGTAGCAGCATCAATACGTAAATATTAATTGAGAGGAGAATGTATTAATTGCTTTCTACCTTGGTGAACAAAGGGGCGGCCAAAAGGATGTCGATATCGTTGAAATGAACCGACTTTTCACTTATCTCGATTTTATCTGAACAATATAGGTAGACGGATACTCTTTTCACACGCCATTACCTTTTCCAACTTCGAAAACTGTTTTGTTCGGGTGAATGTCGACCAGCCTAAAATGAGTTTTCATAAAAGTAATGATACAATTTTCGTAGATTCTCTAATAAAGTAGTTTCGAAGGTATTATCCTCGCACGTTTAGAACATGATCATACTATCACTTACCATGCGCCGTCGGTATTCATCGCCAACCGATAATTACACGATGCTTTTTTCGAGGTTCAAATTATCACGCGTATTCAAGTTGGATATCCCAATTAAATTAATCTTTCCGAGAAGTGCGTTCTTTGAGCCTTTCCGTTGAAAGAGAAAAACTTTCCATCGAATGTCCTGAAATGAACTCCCGACCAGAAATAACATGTAAAATCCATTGCAGCTTATTCTTGGTTAACGATCAATCTTTAACAAATTTTATGCATGTTAAACCAATAGCTTCGTCTTTTTCAATAGAGCCAGCTAAATTCGCATTATCGTCGGTCGTATCGATTGCTGTCAAGCACGGAAAACAAGTTGAGCTATTCAGGGAAATCCAGGAGTACTCATCACCCTTTGAACAGCACTCGTCAAAAGCTATTTGCCCTTCGCTGCTGCCAGCACAAGTTGACGAGGCGACGCATTCACCTGGAAATAAGAATCAATCATAATTTGAAAGTAAAGAAAAGCTAGACATCTCAAAAACTGACCTAGTGTCGTTGGGGTTCGACAGCTTGCGCCGCTCCACCCTTCGCAGCATTCAGAAACAAGCTCGCGGAGAACGACGTTCTGTTTCACTTCTGGGCGATAAATGAAACACTCGGCTAAGGCGCCTTCTCGCTTGAAATAGTCCTGTACACCTCTTTCACCTCCATGCTCACTCTGCATACGCGTTTCATCGTATAGCCAGTCGTCGTGAACGGAGCGATACAATTCCAAGCAAGGAACTAGACACTTTGTTAGAAAATGACTTGACTTTCACTTTTTATCGCAAGTTTATTCTTAAAACATCGACGTAACAAGTTCCCGCGTTTCTTTTTCAAAATACGTGTGTATCGGGTTCTAATTAACTCCGTCTTCGTAGAAACAATTTTTTATTACCAGAATCTTCGAGCCTTGGGCTCACAACAACTTCATAATTTCGCTCTTGCTCTACTTCACACCAGTTGCCGGTCTGAGAGATCAGAGCCGATACCAAAGAAGCAAAAAGTATCAACTCTAACATTGGAATCTATCGACTGAGCAAGTCTTCTCAGCTCTCGTCGACTGCGTAATCTGCGGAAAGAGCGCCCTAAAGTCACGCAAAGAATTAATCAGCTGAATGTCCGACAGGGAAATTTGGATATCACTGGGGGACTTCGCAAACTCGGTCGACATTTAAGCAAATATAAGACGATTAATTGTAAAATCGAATATTCCTCTTGATTCTTTTTTCTTGCATTGTTATGATGAAACCAAAATGGCGCATTGATGAAATGTTTTTGCGGCTTATTATGCAAAGGTTGAGAAACTTATTCAAAATAATAATAATACATATTTTAACTAAGCCAAATTACTTTCTCCTGAAACCGCCAGAAAAGAAGTCTTCCTTGATTCCAAATGCGATTGACTTATGTGTTATCCTTTTAAATATCATTCTAAGATGAGACAAGCTTCGCAATTATAAATAAATCTTTTGGTCAGTTAGAATACTCCTTGTGAGTTCGCCGACCACTAGATAACTGTCAATCTTTTCCAACCTTTTGCTGTGGCGGCGGCCAACTATTGTCAACTCAATTCTGATGTTTTGCGATGCGCTGTGTCAAAATACTAAACTTCAACCCCTGCAATTAACAATCATCTTCGGGTTTTTTCTGATGGGAGGATAGCAAATCCTTTTTATTGCAATTGAATTGTGTATTTACAGATTGATGAGTTTTTCGAACCGTTTTGCTTTTACGCTGAGAGATTGAATGCAGAAGAAATTATCGGTTGAAATTTGAATATACAAAGTTGGGTAGTGTAGGGTCGATTGGTTCATTTTCTCCCGGTGTATTTCTTCGTGTTGGAAAAGTGGTCTTCAAGTTGTAGCACCTCCAGAAAGCTGCCCTAGGAAAGAGTTAAAGCAGAAAAAACTTACCGAGGGCGTTTGCTTGTTGCATCACTCTGTTGTGTATAAATTTTCTTTGTACAAAGTAGCAGCGACTTCAGAACATCAATTTTACCTAAGAAGAATTCATAAGTACTGGTGCGTGCTATCCCTTATTAATTCCCAGTAAGAATTTCGTTTATTTGTCTCTTTCCGTCTCTAAGAGCTAATTATGAGCTGGAACGTTGGGAGATAAGAATCTTCTACTTTTGATGAAAATGAGATGTGAATGGGAAATTTAGTGAAAGATTAACTTTGATCGATGGACGTACCAATCACGATGCCTTGTCGAAGGTCGATCGTCTGTCATAAAGCTGCCGGAGGCAGTGGTGGTACCCGTGACTCCAGCAGACTGAGTGAAGCTCAGTGCTGGCGGAGGTGGCAGATTGCGCGCTTGAATGCGGGCAATGTGATCTGCGTCCTGGAACTTGGGCTCAGATACATATAAAATAGTCAGACGCGCATTCTTTCATCGATTACTTATGAATCTATTTGAAATTATCATATCGTTATATTACGGTATTTGACTCGTCTAGAGAATGTGTATTTGAACCCGGGCCTTTTCTGCATTAGGAAGGGTTCGGTATGGTTGGTAGCCAGCTGGTGGCTCCGATGTTGCTGATTGCTCACGGGATACCCAGGCTGCTCGATCAGCTTCTAAAAAGTAGAATGAAGAGTTGCAAATAACTTAGAAAACCAACCTTTCTGCTTCTTCGTGCGCTTCTGATTTCGCTTTCTGACTTTGAAGATAATAATTACTATCACCACGATAAAAAGAAAGAATCCTGCCCCTCCACAGGCTAAGGCAATCATTTCTTTCGTCGACAGAGTAGAAAAGAATGTTAAGACTCCATCATTATTCCCCGGAGGAGATGTCGCAGAGCCGCCAAGATCTTCTGGCGTTAAGACTCCTAGAATTGCGTTAGTTGCGTAGTTGATATCTTCAAGACGTTTGGTCAGATGCACTTACCGAGCGAAGCTTGATTTGGTTTCTTCCAGTCGCCAACGCCGCGGCTAAGGGGAATCTGGACGACTTCTCCAGCTTCATACGCCATGTAATCGGGATAAGCGGGAGGGTTGAAGGGTTCGAACTGTTCTGCGTGCATTTGTTGATTATAATGTTGCTGCATGGCGTTTTGCTTTGAAAACGTTAAATGGAAGGCTTTCAGAATTTCTTTTACCTGTTGAAGATTTTGAGGCATAATTGGATAGTGCATGACTGGAGCAGGAGGAGGTGTCGCCGGCGCGTTACGAAGACGGTTTTGCTCTTCCACCAGTCGGGGATCCATTTTCTGATGGTCCTCGTTGTTTCGGCTAGATTCACAAGATTCAGATACAGTAAAAAGCGGTGGAATTTAAGTTTAGCGTTTCTTTAACAGCTAGACGCATATTTACACGTTCACTAAAGCGCGATCAATAACCGTTTATCATATTTACCTATCATTTGGGTCATTCCTCCAGGCCTCGTTTGAGTTTGCGCCTCCCGCAGATTTCAGTTTCGCTTTGGTCTTTGCTTTTCCTACTGCGGCCCCTACTTTTGCTGCGGCTGCCAATTTGCTTTGGTCGATTGTCATTCTCCCCTGGCTGTCGGCAGAAATGAACTTTTTGTACTTGGCCACATTTGTTTGTCCGGTTATGGTCCCCACGGGCTTCGCTTTGGCTGATGATTTTGCTGTCTTTCCTGGCGCCTTTTTCTTCTTCGGCCCACTAAAATATTCACGTTAATCAGAAAGTTATTGCTTTTCACATGAGAACTGAATGCTGAAACTGCGATTTGCAAAAGCTAGGATTTGTGATGCGAGTCTAGGAACAACGCTTGAGCTGGCTTATGTCTCTCACTTCCCCTCTTTTTGCGCCGTTCAATTTCACACCACAAATCACATTTTGAGCTTCAAATTAAATCCCAACAACGCTCAATACGAAAGCGCCAAATCCATACTTCTACGTAAGAAGCTAATCCAAGGTGAGGAATAAGCAGCTCTAAATCAGGGCCTAGTCACATCACATGCCAGAAAAGGGGATGCAGCTCACGATAAAAAGAAAATTCCAAGGCTGAAGTTCAACGCCCTCCTCAAAATAGCAGTCGCCGTCTTATCAAGCAAATCAATTTGTTATATTAAAAATTTCCAAGGTCTAAAAAGTGACCCGTCAAAATTTCGTTTTAATAATAGCCATCTTTATCACTTGAAATTGTGATCAGGAACGGACGTGTTTTATGCAAGAAAAAGTGCATTTGTCAGGGCGATGTTCTAAATAAGTCGAATAAGAGAATGAGACTTTCTTTAAGTGCTCATGTATCCGGTCTGCGATAGTTAAGAAGGATCAATCTTATCCCTGCTTTCTGCTTTTTACTCGCACGCGCTATTGAATACAACCTCTTTATCTTAATACAAATCGCTCTCCTTTCAAGAACAATTAGACAAGCTAAAAAATATTTCAGTGAAAAATAGCTCCGACGGCTTTTTGAATCAAGAGTCTCGCGCGCTAAAACATTTTGTTTGTTAGAAAAAAGCTTGCTGATAAGGGTAGCGTCTTAGAAGAGAAGTTACAATTCAAATTTAATGAAGGCTGCGATTTTAGTAATTTTCGACGAATTCTTGGATTTATGTCGTTTGTATCACATAAAATGGAAATGAGTTTCGCCCGGGGCTGGACTGCTCACTTGCACGTCCGAGCCCGATGCAGCGCGCTACGTGGAAAGGTCGTCATTGGTCCAAGACACTATGGAACTCTTGGTACTACTATCCCACACGGAGCAGTAAATAACCATACACTTAACCCAAAAACCCAAGCGATAGCTTCTAGACAATGGAAAAATATTAGCTAATCGGTAAATTACTTATTGCCAATAAGTTATTGGAAGTACTTAGAATCTCGAAATGCGCTACTTTGGCGAGTGTGTTTTTGACCAAATAGTTCTTTGGTAAGATCATGGGCTGCTTTGTTTTTGATAATTATGCGGATTTGATATTAAAGGTTAATCAACGAGTGTCTCCCTCTAAGTCCGCTTGACGAGATAAACACAGTCGCCTGAGATATTTCTCACTCTATCTCTTTATTTTCTTTTACGTTGTGAAACTGAAGCTGTGAGAGGGCTTAATGTTGAGCTAAGGTGCGATCGAAAGTTGCGAAAGTTCACCCGTGATAAGAACGTCGTCTTTCACGTGTACCTAGGCTAGATATACGTTATATCGTTTTGGGGAGCAGTGATAAGAGCTAGAGAGGAGTTACCCGCGCATTCTAGCAAATTTCTCTTAAATGGCTTCTTTCTTGAAGGGCCAGAACATCTTAATGTTTATCTTAAATTCGTTCGTTTCGCATGTTCCGCTAATTTAAGCTTCTTCGCTTAAAATAAGGGCTGCACGTTTAATTTTCAAGCATCTTGCTCTGGCGGGCTTGTTTCAGAAAGAATTAATTTCGGATTAATATTTTCGAGTTCTGACATGTCACTTCGTAACGCACAGCTTACACGTAGTATTATGATGTTGCTTCTTCCGCAACGAAGAACGTTCTGCAACATGCGCTTTTTGCCCAGAGAAGGCAACGTGCTAATTTATTGTCCATTTAGCCTTCTCGTTTACCGCTCATGGAAAAAATGAGCACCTCCCAATTGCTGGAATCTCATAACACGCAAATTTTCTGAAGATCTTTGACGATCTTTGACTCTTTTTCGGTAATCGAAAATCAAAAATTGGGAGAGGAGTCGTGGAGATGATTTTGTCAAGCCAAAATTTCAAAATTTCGCTGAGATCAGCAAGTGACAGGTAGTGCCATTTTGTGGCTATACTGTTGGCATTTAAGGCCGAAATTTGGATCCACGCGAAAAAGTCTGAAGTGGAGCTAAGCTCTAAATTTAGTTGTAGCTGGACAGTTATTTTAGCCTGGCGCGGGTCTTCCTTATTCGATCCCACCTCCTAATAATAATTAAATCGTACTAAGCGGCGACGCACGTTGAGAAAGAACGTCTAATCAAAGAACACTATTATGAATAATTGCTCCATTCTAGCTAGTTTTGCTCATTTTGTTATGTTAGAAAGAGAGTTAAACTGCCCTAAGCCGACTTATACGGGTACTTGTGGCCGTTTTGGCGGAACAACTCAATTCCGACACTTTGTTCAGCCTAAAACGTCCGATGGAATTGACCAGTCTTCATTTCTTACTGATTCACCAAATCTTAGTTCAATAAAATTCGTTTGGTCGATGGAGATTCAATTCATTATAAATTGAGCATTTATGACTTATTTGTAAAATCATCAACGCTTTCTTGAGGTTATATTTTCGAAGCAGCATTAATGTGATCTGATATTGCGCTGCTAGTTTAAGTTCATGACTAATTTATGATTTAGAAAATCTTGGAAATGGATGCATTGCGTAATAACCGCTCAAATTCGACAGGCAAGTTCGACAGTCCCCTGCTCACTGAAGTGCTATGCTTGCCATTTGGTTGGTTTGATTGCGTTTCGATGCGAAATGCAACAGCCAAATTTGAGAGATCTTACCCATGAGCGGCGAAAGACCGAATCTTTCCAGTTTTTCGCATTACACGCGGATCTGGTTCTCTTCCTTGTTTTCCGCTTTTGCTTCTTTTTCTTTGGAGTTGTTGAGCCTCTCTCTCTTATTTTTTCGACCCCTCTTCTGGGGCAGTTCTCTGTCAATTCGACTGACCCATCTTGCTCTGGGTATAAATCTGTTCAGCTGTCCACTCTCTCGGTTGTTATCCAAAAACCAAAATACAAATATTTATACTTATGGGTTAATTTCGTTCGTGCAAAAAATTTCTTTCTCTTATTCAATAAAAAATCGTTCTTCTTTCCATTCTTTTGCCTATCGTGGCTCAGTAATCGAAGTCTCCACCAAAGGCACAAACTAGGTGTCGCGCGTGCGCGCACACCACCACCAATCTCACACAGAAATTCTAGCACTCGACTCCTACGCTTTGGTCTTATTGTCTTCTTCCGTTCACGGTACTTTGGCCATCGAGCTGTGCATTTGGATACACATGTCAGTACACGATCAGTAGATACTGTTTGTAACATACACGATCAACGGAAACGATCATTAGACCTCAGTCAAGCTTATTGATCGTGAGCTCACTTTGTTATGGAAAACGAAATCGGCGAAGAAATTCTAGTTACTAAGCGAAAATTTCAGAACTATCAACCGTCTTTTCGAAGATCGAAAATGAAATCGAAAATAACTTACTTATGCGCACTAATAGTTAAATCAGCTTCGGGGATGTTCCTTGAAAGAGAAGCATTTTTACTCGAGCAATGAATGGCGCTGGGTTGGCCGTTAATTCTAGAGGGTACAATTTGCTTCTCGAGCAAACTGCGCCCGCCAGGTGCCAATTGCCGCCCGCTTCGGAGTCTATCCAGTCGCGCTCTACTCCACTCTAATCATTCCTACTCAAGATCTTTGCGCAATGCTCGCTGACAAGGGTGCTTCTTTAGCCAAACAGCAATCCCACTCTCTCCCACAGCGGCGACCACCCGATCCAGAAGGCGGACCTTTAGAATCCAGCTTGTGCTGAATCAAATATCATTTTTTTTACGCTTGAGTTAACGCCATCACAGTGGCTTCTTGAATAAATGATCCCTTTGTTCTCTTTAGAAACGAATCCCGTGATAAAGGTCTTATAGCTATTTTTGATATTGTATTCTAAATTCGAAAAGGACTATATTTTTACTGAGTTCTTATTTGTTAAAGTTCCTCTTAAAATTAAAGACAAAAATTTGTACAGAAATGCAGTAAAAGAAGATCGAAAACTAGCTAGAATGTGTCAGTTATTGAGATGATCTTTCGTAGTTTCGGAATCGATGCAAGATACTAGAAAAGGGCTCGTCCAATCGAGAGTGCCCGCGACACTATCAATAACGCACTAGTTTTTCGTAAAACCAACTCCCAAGGTTCCCCGAATCTGATTAGCGATCGTATTTTTTAGAGCGAGAACAATTTCCTGACAATAGAATATTTATGGCGTTATCTATTCTTGTTTATTAACGTATGTCTAGTACTTGTTGGCCCGATTGGGATTAATGATTGATAACTTTTCGCGAGAGGCGTTATCTTCATCGAGTAAAGTGCAATATTCTGAGTTTTGGAGATCCAAGCCTCAATTGATGACGGTCATCAGATACTTTCAAGTTCAAAACGTGTTCTGAAGCGCTAATATACTCCCGTAACCATATTGTAAAATTTCTTTCTACCCCACGACAAGTCATTTAAAATCCGTCCTAGAGAATTTCGAGGTTGTGTTGTGTGCTACTGGTATGCATGTGTGTAATAGAACGAACGGGTTCACAGATTTCTGCCAAGTCGCCAGAAAAATCGCGGTTGTGGGAAGCCACAGAGACTCAAGAAATTGCTTTCAAGTACCGACGGGGTGAAATGTAACCGCTTCAATCAGACGCCTTTTTGTCGACATTTTCGAGGCCCAAGGAGCTGACTTGTCTTTCTGCTGTAAGTTCACACGCATTCACCTTTTCACAAATAAACTTTGAGCAAATTGACTTATCGTTTACTCCGATCTTCATAAAGTTTCAAAAAAAAAAATTCACAAAGCGACTTAGAAAAGTCAAGATTGAAGGACTTCTACGCTTAGATTAGAATCTCACAGTATTTCTAATATGGTGCGAGTAGGAGCCTAAAGACGTACCTTATTTTTCTTAATGTTTCGTAAAGGTCACCACGACAGCCGCATTCACTCACTGCGTCGATAATTTTTGACCTCTGGCAGCGCATTTTTGCAAACGAACGCAAACTTTAATAAACACTCCCTGTTCAATCTATAAACCGCACTTTCTCGTGCGCTGAATTTTCTAGCGCAGAAGATCGAGAATGCAATATTTTCAATTTCTGACGTTTTAAGAGGCTTAAAACTTCATTTTTAATCAAACGTTGAGTCGAAATGGTAGCCCGTTGAGATGAACCGCGCTTTTTCAATTTATTAGATAACCAGATAAATTCTAGGGAAGAAAGTTCGAACCTAACTAATCAATTGATCATGTAAAGATTTTTCTTCAATTTGGGAATTCGAATAAAATCGTGACAAGAAGAGGGTTAAAGATCAACTCAAGTTTTTCATTTTGAGTGAGATAGTAAAAAAAGATGTTGAGAAAAATTAAAAATGAAAACTTGTGCCGGATGGGGCTCGAAGCAAAACCGCCTTCTGCCGATGCATTTTTAACGATTCTGAATATTGACAGCTTCCATTCCAGAGCTCTACTCAAAAAACAACTCTGTAGTTTTTTGGAGCCTCTCGAGAGTAGTAAGAAGATAGATGAGATATTGCGATTATCCACACAGTAATCCGCTGAAAATCTACTGGGCGTCAGCCACTGGCTGTAGAAAGGTATTTTCAGGGATGCACTCGGCGAAAGCCAAAGAGTAGCGCGAATTTCCGGCGCTAAAAGGGAGGAACTCGAATCCGTTCAAATCAAATACGACGCGTTACACGAAAAATAGTTTCTCTTTTTAGACAAGCTTTTCCTAGCATTTTTGACATGCTGAAATATGGCTGTGGGATGTTAATCGTTCCTCGCCTGAATTTGAAATCGTATCAATCAAAGTCAAAGCGAATATAGAGAGTGAATCCTCTAGGGAAACCGCTTGTATCTTGTAGCTGAGATTTTCGCTCATGATTTTCGAGAGCGCGTTCCACTTATCGTTGCAAAGAGCAAAACGTAAGGATCGTCTTTTTGCGAATTAACTCAATCTCAGAGTTCATCTCCAATTATGCTAATTGCTGTTTATGCAATTTTCGCGAAACGAAAAAGATTCTCACAATTAGCCAAATTCCAAAGTGAAAACTTTTAGAACATTCCAAGGAACTCTCCTGCTATCGCGGCTAAATTTAGACGTGGAGCTGAGCTTTTACGGTGGCATTTAATAATCGTGCGAATTCCAAAGCGTGTTGTAATAAAGAATGCTGTGAAAAAGTGTTTGCTCTGTTGGAGCCCATTCAGATACCCTCGCGCACTTCTGAAGTAAACAATTCTGTCTTAGCATCTAAAACAGAGCAAAAAGAGATAGAATTTTCGGAAAATGGCCGACTCGATTGAGGCTTGTTTCGATTTGAACGGGACGAACAACATAAGGATATTTTGGGCGTCTGCGCCCTCCAATAGAAAGGTCATTCTGAAAAACAGGGGCGCTACTTTTTTTAATTCCGATAAACGTGGACGCGAGAGCAAGACAGACTCGTAGAATTGTTTGAATTCGCGACAGAGGTTTAAGGCAAACGGAATTTGTTGCGGATTACTTCTTAAAATCTGCGTTCTATCTTCGTTGAAATTTATCTAATCGGAATTTAAGATATCTAGCGAGCAAATGCGACTAAAACAGATAATCGGAGGCGAGCGCCTTGTTTGCGAATGGATAGGTACGTATTGGCACGCCATCGCTACAGTTTACGAGTACTTACTTCAAGATATAACGACAGACACTGCTCTATTGCATGAGATGAGACAAAAAAGCGCAATCGAAAAAGCGCTTCCGCCGCAAATTTTCCACGGCGACGAGTATTTGGGGGTAAGCGCATCTACTTATTGGATGCAAATTGCGATAAATATAATAATAAACACGATCCTGTTGGCTCTAATTGCATTTGGCGAAGAAAGATTTTTTAGAACGTGGAAGCATTAAACGAAGCGGTCGAGGATGGCAATCTCTGGGGCTTTCTCAGACTGGATAGACAACGGTAAGCCAAGTGAAATCAAGGAAGAGGGAGGAAGTCCTTACCATTCAGAGCGGTGAGATACAGAGAAATCGGCGGCGGAAAGTACGAAATCGTAGATCCGACAGCCGCGTTGGTCGACGCCTGCTTCGATAAGATGGCAGAAGAGGTTTCTCAAGCCGCTGTTCGAGGAGAAGAAAGCGAACCGATGCCAGCACCTCCCGTTAAACCAGCCGGTGGTGTCGCCATGCCTTGTATGGGCACTCAAAGCACTCTAAGACCATTGGATAAAAATCTCCAAAAATCATATGACAGATGCACAAAATGATTAACTTTGATTTTCAAACAATTGATGCCTCGGGTTGATCCCATTACTAATTACTCACCACCCGAATTAAAACCCGAATGATTTTTATCCGTGATTGGAAAAAACAAAAGTTCCTCGCGCTCAGTCGTTTTCCTCAAAAATTCAGAGCAGTACAAGGCGCCCTACAGATGAGATTGAAAATGGCGAATCGCCCCTCGACCCTGCACTTTTATTTTATACAGTTTCCGACATGGGTGTAGAAATCTTCGCTGTTGTCTTATACTCTTTCTTTTCAAAGCCTGAAAACATCGTTACAAAGTATCAATACACACGAAATCCAAACAACTGGTCATTTGCAGCATTATCTCTGACAGGTCGATTGAGATCTTTTCTATTCTTATCTTAGAGCAATTGTCTCTGGATTTATAGATAATTTACGGCGAGGTTATGTTGTGTCTGTCATGATGTTAGTTAGCGCTCGTTAAAGAGCGGCTCATTTACGACGCTATCGCAAAATAGTCAGCTCATCGCTCAGCGTCGAATTCAGAGGATTTTCGAAAATTTAGATGCCCAAAAGAATCAGGCTAAGAGTAAACGACATCTCGGAGCAACAAAAAGATCTAAAAAGGTTACTTTAACTTTAATACTCATCAAACTGCGCTTTAAAAGGCCAAAGGATCATCCAGCTTCGTGGCTCGTTTTATAGCACGAGCCACTAGTCTTTCTGATATATTTATATTTGTTAGCCTTAAGTTCTCCCTTCTTTTTCCTTCTTAAAAGATACTGAATTTTAAAGTCGACAAGCACTCCATATAGAAAAAACACCTTAGCTGGAACACACCAGCTCCGCAAAATCAATAGCACCAGGATATTCAATGAAAAGTCTAGAGAAGTTTTTGACTTGTACGAATCAGGGCAGCAAATATCGAGAAAGCGTCGCACTTGAACCCCGCCATCTAATTATGTCCCGAAGCAAGGTAAGAACTCTTCCTTGATTTCGAAGCGACTCGTTTTGTTGCGTTTGAATATGAAGGCTAATTTTGTGAGTGGAGACGTTGAATATGCGTGTTTGCGGGTATTCTCAATTTGTAATTAATCGTAGCTTAAATGCTCTGAAATGAAGATTTTACTGCTGGAGCCAATGATGCATTCCGAATGATGGATAGATGATTACATATGTAGATTCTGCTGGCTCGTGTAATTAGCGACGGGAAAGGTGTGCGGCTGGGGCGAGATTCCATTCCCTAGGCGTGCACGCCGGAGGGGCGCGATCCCGAAGAGAATTAACCTCTTTTGCTAAAGATTACCGGAGCCTGAATCAGATTCCTACTTCTCGCCAAGATATATAAGTAAGCTGCTGCTGTTGCTACAAGGATTAAAAAATAAGCTCACTATGTTCATATATGTGACTTAAATTCGGGCACCATATCCTTAATCATGCCACACAAGCTTCTTCACACAAGGGGCCCGGTGCGTGTGTGTTCCATCGAGAGAAAGTAACGACCTCGCCAATCGGGACAATGCCAACCTGGCCTCAAGGTAGGAGAGTTAGTTTAGTTTGCCCTAGGGCTCGTGCTAGGTCCACCGCGGCCGCTCTATTATTTCCAAAAAATAGTCAAAAAACAACGGGAAAAGCCCTCTTGAGAAAGCTAAGCTTCACCGCGTCGCTGAAAATTTTGAAAAAAGTCGTACTCATAAGTGCGTGCCCAAGACGCATGCCACACAAGCTTCTTCACACAAGGGGCCCGGTGCGTGTGTGTTCCATCGAGAGAAAGTAACGACCTCGCCAATCGGGACAATGCCAACCTGGCCTCAAGGTAGGAGAGTTAGTTTAGTTTGCCCTAGGGCTCGTGCTAGGTCCACCGCGGCCGCTCTATTATTTCCAAAAAATAGTCAAAAAACAACGGGAAAAGCCCTCTTGAGAAAGCTAAGCTTCACCGCGTCGCTGAAAATTTTGAAAAAAGTCGTACTCATAAGTGCGTGCCCAAGACGCGTGGAAAAGAAAAAGAGGGATTGTACTGCGAGAAAAGAGGTGTTATCACGTTGAACGATCAAGGGTCAGTAATGGGCAATTTCGCTTCTCAGAACTTGCTCATGTGCGTATATGAGGGAAGCACACAGTCTGAATACTAGCGCTCAGTGCAGTATCAGAATACATCAATTAATAAGAGAGCACAGCAGTAAGAAACATTACAACGCCTAGAAGAATTAAAAAAGTTCATCGCGTTGTCGGAAATCGAGAGAACGAGAGTGCCGAAGCATGCCACGAGTCTGGTTCGCGCCGACTCCTATGACCGAATGGTAATCGATTCTACCCACACAGGCTAATCATATTTTATGACTTCCGTGTTTTGACAAAAAGACATCCACTTTTTTATGTTTTGTATTTCATGGTGCGATGGTGCGAAGCGATTAAAAATCTGCTACTTAGCGCGTTTTTATCTTTATTTGCGGTATTTTTGAGTTGATTGATGAGGTGCTAGAGTCGCAAGATACAGAATTTATTTCACCCTGGAATTGACACTGCCCCACTCAGCAGTGCGTTTACTCTTTTATTTCTACTTCGATTAAGATTTCTCGCTTGACTACTCGTGGGTAAATTGTCTTTTTACGATAGATTTGCCTTACAAGCATATTTTCGTCTTTCCCTCTCCATAGTCTGATAGCTTCAATCTGTGGCCAGGTCCTCTGATAAGTTTCCTCATTGAAAAAGGCATTCAGAGCTTTCGAGTTTTATTTGAGCTAGTTACTCTTATCAAACCGCTTTGGCCAAACATAAACATAGATGCGTACACCTTCCATCGTTTTTGAACGTTTTTGTTTGTGATCAAAATTTGATCACAGGAGAGAAACGTAATTATGGGTCTAAAGTGCTCCAGGTATTCGATAGAAGGCGGATGGATTACATCGTCTGCGTTTAAAAATTAACGAAAGAGGGTGATCAGTTTTGTTTTACGAAACTAAGAAAGAGTGATCACAAAAAACACCTGCTCAAATATCCCCTTTTGTATCACGCTTTTTATCAACGCAGGAGTGTTTTATTTTTCTTGGGGAGAGCTTGATAGTAATAGAAAATTACGCTCAAGCGAAAGAGTGAGAAAGAGCACCAGGAGGAACCAATAATTTATGAGCCCGGGAGACGCGTAAGCCCGTCTTAATAAGAGCACTATAATCTGAGAAAAGCACGTGTTATCCATGTAATTTGAATGTATTGTATTTAGGCATGAAAGGAGATTGAGCGACGAAAAAATGAACGATGGAGATCCGAGCAGAAGAATAACGCGCTGTGGGAAAGGATTCAAACTTTCAAACACAAAATATTGTCTTAATATTTTCTCGAATCGAGCCCATATGTTTTTCTCTGCGCAATATTTGCGGATGCACTTTATGAGCTCGAGTCACGAGAAAATAAGTCTATATTATATTGCGAGTCTTTAACGAAAATGAGTTTTGAATTCATACTAAGGAGCCATGAGCACCCAGGCGAGAGCGATGAAGCGCCCGTCCTGACGATTGAGATTTCTGACAGACTTCTGGCGAACGCGGGAAGTGAACGCTCGAATCAACATCAGGTCAAGCAGAGGATATCCAAAGGTTAGCCACTTAATTCTAGATAAATCCGCACTAGTAGTTCAGATTTCATGAACTTATCATCATGATAATATCATGTTTCGACATAAAATGAAATTAACTTCATAGATTTTATTTTCAGCGAATTCGGAAGTCACGATTCATGATGTCCGCCGGTGTACGATTACAGAAGTACCGGAAGAGGTTCGCCAATGGATCGTCCTTACGTTTTCTCGACAAGAGCAGGACGAAAACGAACGCAAAAGTAAGTCATCGAAAGCTCTATCAGGTTTTCTGTGATCCAGACTATCTTGGTCGATTCAAATGTATTACGTTACAGTCTGTAACTAACAAGTCTGTAAGTAACTTTGAAAGTCCAGTTTTTCTAAGAAATAGAAATTTGATTTTACACTGGGAAAAGACAAAGTCGATTTATTTGGACGAAAGTTTTAGCGGCTGACGCAGCCTAAAACTCATTTTTAGGGCAGAAGTTTGTTGTGCTAAAATTCGGTATTGTTGCTTATATAGAATTCCCCTCACTACCTTTATATGACACATAAAGCTTTATGATTGGCAGTTATCATAACTGGTGATATCGCTTTGTAAAAATATAGACCTTTACAAAACGCACGTGAGCTGAAGACATCTCTTAGGATGGATGTAACTCTAACGTCAACTTCTTCTAAAGTTTAACGATCAGAACGTAGAGATATAAAACAGGTTCCAACAATAATTCGCAAGTTTAAGAAGTACGGTTAGACCGGATGCTATTTCGATAAGGAAAAATAGCAATCACGTGGATGGATTTTAGTTAGAATCGCACCTGCATGTCGCATGGAATTGGTGTCTCCTTTCTATAAAAACTAACTGATGCGTTCTAGAGGGCCGCTTCCGTAAGTTGGTGAAGGCCATGAATATGCACATCCGCCTCCAAAAGTAAGACAGATGTATAGCTTTGCTCATTCCTCAGACGTTCAGGATGTTCACAATAAAGCAGGACGTGATAAGCGACCAACTCTCGGATTATTTATCGGAAATCGACAACTGGGGCTGGAATCCGTTCAAGGCAGGCGAACTGACAAATGGACACCCCTTGCACTATAGTATGCTCGAGCTCTTCCGAAAATACAATATCAACAGCAGGTGATTGCAAGTATCATCATTACAGCGATAATTTATCTGTCGAATTAAGGTTCGGGATCAAACAAACCACACTGATAAACTTCGCAGATGCCATCGAAGAAGAGTATCAAGTTGTGAGTAGCTTATCTCCCTCCTGTCTTATCATCGCTTTCACTCTTCTATCTTAGCATCCCTCATGAGGTCTTTTTACTCTTATAGTTACCCCGAACCAGATTAGATTCGAACTTTATTCAGCAAGAAATATTTTAATTTTGTTTTCCAAAGCTGTTCCTCTAAAGGTCTACAGTGTATACTCTGCAAGAAGAAAGTCCTCATTTAGAAATAGAAATTATATAATGACACTAGAGTGGCGCTCCTTATCACAACAACATCCATGCCACAGACGTGATGGTCACCGTGCATCAGCTGCTCTTTCAAACCCAAATGGCGCACTGGTTCAGTGTGGTTGGACAATTTGAGCAGTGTTATGTAGAAAGAGTAAAGTCTTACACTTCCGCTCGCTTACTTTAGAACGCAGTAATGAGACATTACTGTGGCGCGCTCGCTCGCTTCCGTTAGCTTGCTCAAATTGGCAACCGTTTTCAGTGATCTGGAGCTGTTCTCGATATTATTCGCGGCGGCAATCCATGACCTGGCGCACACCGGCCAGAGCAACCAATTTCACATCAACACAAAGTCTAACTTGGCGCTGCTGTACAACGACCAGTCAGTGCTCGAGAATCACCACATTTCCACAGCCTTCCGAATCATGAAGACCGGTGGCAACTCACTGGCGATCATGCACAAGTCAACGTATTTTTAGAGGAGGACAAAGACTTGACTTCAAGTCTCAACGATGCCCAGTATAAAGAATTCCGCTCCAACGTGATCGCAATGGTGCTCAGCACAGACATGAGCACGCATTTCGACAAAATCAAAACCATCAAATCTGCAATACGAATGCCCAAGGAATACTGGAACAATGTACTCGTCGATAAATCAGCCGAATATCCCAGAACGTATTCGACCAAGTTTTCTTCCTTGATCTCAAAACAATCCTTTTAGCATGGAGAAAATTCGCATAATGGAATTGCTCTTACATTCTGCCGATCTGAGTAATTGCGTCAAGGTGAGCTTCAAAATGAATAAATCAAAGATGCGTGTTATAACTAGCCCTGGAAATTTCACTCAAAGTCAGCAACGCTGTTACTGGAAGAATTTTTCCGCCAGGGAGACATCGAAAAGGCAAATGATATTCCCGTCAGTCTCCTGTGCGATAGAGTTACTACAGATGTCCCAAAGAGTCAAATAGGCTTCATGGCTTATATTATTGAGCCGACTTTCGCAATTTTAACGGAAACTGCATTTTTCATTGCAGTCACCTTCCTACCAGGTAAGGACACTAGAACTTGCACATCTGAAGCTTAATTTCAGTGGTTCTTGAGGAGGACCAAGTTAAAAGTAGAATTTCAACGGAGAAAAACTTTAAAGCAATAAGGAACTCAGATATAAAGTAAGTGCGCCATTTGATCGAGACAATTGAAATGCGAAAATCTTTAGCCACGAAGATGTGCTGCCAATAATAGACAAGTTCTCTTCTATCTGGATGGAGCATTTAACGGAGAACAGAATGAAATGGGCGAGTTTTGAAGCCCAGGGCTCAGTGAGCTTGGACAAAGTCAACGAAATACTAGAAGCCCAGCAAGAATAGACAAATTGCATATACGCAGGGGAAATAAAAACTGGAAATGCGTCAAAGCAGCTGCTCAAAAAAATATCCAAGAAAACACACACAAATCATCGTTGATCGAAGAGCTTCGAATTAAGCACCTACTATACTCAAGACACCAAAAAGCCACTTGTACCTACGGAAGAATTCAATATGAATAAAATAATATACTTGACCCTCAATGAGTCATTGCTATTTTTACAACCCGAGTTTTAGACCTAGCCATTGTGAGAGAAACAATGTCTTTTGAAAAAAAATCACCTGTTTATTCGAGTCATTTCCTATTTTCAAAAAATTTCAACTAAATTTGGCGCGACATCAAATCGTAATTTTGGTCGAGCGAATCAATAATAGTCAAAAAGAGAGAGAGAGAAAGTGAGAAAGAAGAGAGAAACGCTGAAAATGTTGAATTTTGACCAGTAAGTCAACTGAACGAGAGCAATACTTCTGAGTTACAAACAAAAATAACCTTTTGAGAAGATTTGTTTAGTCTCACTCGTGATTATAAATAACATCAATATTTTGTCGGATAGAAGCAGTCAAAATAAACTGCCGATAACAGATCTTCTCATGCCACGGCTAAATATATCATAGGGTTTAACATGAGCAAAATCGCTCATCTTATTTAACTGGGGAATAAATTTACTTTCATTTTACGAATCACTATGAATGCTTTTTTATTATTTATATAACAACTCTTCGCAAATATTTTGCAGTCTAAAATCGGCAATAATTATTAATTAATTACGGTGATTGCCTCTTTATTAATATCAATAAACCTGTATTCGAGTAATTATCTCTCACAGAATATCAACGTACTTCTAAAAAGATACGTTTATGGTTATTGAGTTTGGCCAGAGCTCTCGTTACAGATTACGATTGCCCATAAAATTCTAAAAAAACTCGGCCTGATTGACCCCGGTGGGGTTTCTTGCGTTGAACATACGCTCGGTTAAGCTATTTTTTAGTTGGGGCGCCACCTCCCCCTGGTTTTAGCTCTGCGGCCGTGTTAGACTGAGTCTGGCCAGAAGGCACCGACGGACGCCGCACTGAAGCACGAAACCTTTAAGGGAGAGAAAATCAAAGGAGAACCTGTTTCTGCGATGAACAATTCCCCAGTCACGTGGTTGGGTTACAACCCAGCCAAAAATTACGCCGCCGCCGCCGGTGGAAAACGAAAGGTTAAATATTGAATTTTAATAATTTCTCTATTTAACTAGCAGTAACGCGAAATTGCAGAATTCGCAGCGCCGTTTCTAGTTAACAATGTTTTTGATTACTTTGGATAACGTAGAACAGCCAGTTCAGGCTTTACGGTCAAATCGTAAAAATGGAAATTAACAAGCCAACCGTTCCAAGCAGAGTTAAATCATGCATTGCAACATAGTGATTTCAAAAAGTTAAATTAGTTGAACTTTGAGATTTAGCTCTGATTGAAAGGCAGTTCAAACGCGGATTTCTGACAATAGGCAAGCGGGACTCACCGTATTTCTTTTCGCGATAATTAAATGAAAATGACGGGAGTCATGTCCCTGATGTAGATCCAAGCCCGAGAATCGATTCTAATCAAAGGCGTCCAGCGTCAAGGACCCACTCTAAACGCAAGGTTTATTTCTAAGACGACTCCCTTTTGATACTATGCCTTGATTTCTCTCCAGAGCGACTGTAAATCGCCAGTGATGGATTTCCCCCAGGGCCAGCAAATTGATTACCTAATTAACCACTGTATACTTGTCTGCTTGTTGCCGACGCCCAGTAATTGAATTACTAGCTTCCAATTTGTTCATCACCCAGATAATCAGCTCAAAATTGGCACTCTATATTTTTTTATATCCATATTTAGTCAAAATATGTGTGGAAGAATATCCTGGCTGGTGGCCTTGCAGGAGGAATAGAAATCTGCATCACCTACCCAACAGAATACGTGAAAACCCAACTGCAGCTCGACGAAAAAGCAAACCCACCGAAATACCGCGGCATGGGTGAGTGACTCAGTTTAACCTCTTGAAATAAAACATACCAAGATTTACTCAGCACTTAACCTTAGGCCTTTTTTGAAAACTCAAACAGACGTGTGTTTTAGTCGACTGCGCTAAACAGACTGTGGCGCAGCGAGGTGTCGGCGGACTTTACCGTGGACTCTCTGTGCTTCTTGTCGGCTCGATTCCGAAAGCAGCAGTCAGGTAAGCTGCTAATCGCCTAAACAAACTCATTCAATTTTCATGTTAGATTCGGAGCACAGCAATGGGCCTCCAACAAGATACAAAGTGGCTGTTTTGGCGACGGGTTTGCCTCTAGAAATCCAGTCGCAACTGTAAGTTTACTACTTTCCACAGTTAATAACTGGACTCTAGAGCTTGTTATCTGGTCTATTTGCTGGTTTTGCGGAAGCAATTCTCGCCGTGTGTCCGATGGAGACAGTAAAAGTGAAATTCATTCACGACATGAACCAAGCAAAACCTCAATACCGTGGTCTATTCCATGGAATGCGAACCATCATCGCTCAAGAAGGATTTGCTGGATGCTACAAGGTAAGTTTCTTCGATTTTCTTTAACTCAATACATTTTAAGGGTTTGACAGCTACACTCGCAAAACAAGGTTCAAACCAGATGATTCGATTCGGCGTGATGGACTCGCTAAAGGCCTGGCACGTCGATAGAACAGGCTCCGCTCCTGGAATTATTTACACTGCAGTTTACGGTGGCATGGCGGGAGCTGCCTCTGTCATCGGTAACACGCCGATTGATGTTGTCAAGACGCGAATGCAGGTAATATTAGCGCAATTGAAGGCAACAATCTAACCGCGCACTTCAAGGGCTTGGAATCGAGCAAGTACAAAAACTCGATGGACTGCTTCATGCGAATCCTGAAAAATGAAGGGCCAGCCGCGCTGTATAAAGGCACCCTTCCCCGAATGAGCCGAGTGGTGCTCGACGTCGCCCTCGTCTTCGTCATCTACGAAGAGGTCCTGAAAGTGCTAGACCGCGTCGCTCCCGAATAAGTTTAAGATGCAAGGCAAATGTTCGTTGTTTTTTTTTGACCCTGAAGGCTAAGCTTCTGTTCGAAATGATCGTTATTCCTGATCAACAATTCTATCTACTTCTACTACAACAGTTCAATATTCTTATTTCGACGCTCATCGTGAACGTTAAAGACAACTTATTACTCTCATGTTTGGATGGTGTATTCTTTTCAAGTCTTGTTTCTATTATTCTTCTGTTCTGAACGATCTGTTGCTTGATTGATTTTTCTTTCTTCCGAAAACTGAAGATTTCGGGCTTTGAATTTTTCCCGAGAAAATTCGGGTCAATATTATTTTAATAAATTCCTTAGCAAACAAGTTTCGTAATATATCTAGGATAGATATTAATTTATTGAATTGGTGTATTTTCAATCAATATAGCTGGCAGTTGTGGAGAATGTACACAAGAAAAAGTACAGTCAATGCACGGTGATCGAGGAGGATTAATGAGTACGAATGTTGACGATCGAGTCCGAGTCAGAAATGCGATCAACATTGATTTCAAAGCCGTCGTCGGTCGGGCCGTCCGCGGCTGAGCCTGAAGAGGAGCTGCCCGATGAGCCAGACGCGCCATCGGAGGTCTGATCGCTGCGCATCGTCGCAAAAGGAGATTGCATTTGCTTCATCAAAGCATTCAATATAATGTTCGCTGTCAAGGCCTAAACAAGCTCTTTTTATATCATTTTCTCTTTTCTGCTTACTTTGGTCGTAGCTTCAGTAGCGAGTGCCGAGGCACAGCGAGCGTTGTAAATAGCAAGGCGCAGCAGCTTCTGTGGATCCTCACCGAAATGATCGCTTCGAAAGCCCGCATTAGAAATATGATACTGAAGTTGTTGCTGGTCGGTGTTAAACATTGGATGTTGAAAACCGAGATGAGGATAAGTGTTAAAAATTTCAGGCGATGGAGACTGCTTCCCTTGATGATGTGTGTTCTCTGTTACGGTGGCATCTTCTTTCGCAGGTTCCATCTTCTGATGATTAACTGGAGAGCATAAATATTGACCAAACATTTGTATTTTTTACCTCTTGGAGGCATGAGAACTTGGTTAGACGAATGAATAGAAGTAGAAAGGTTGGTAGCTGGCGGTAAAACTTTTTCTGTGGTAATAGGGGTAGTCACTGTAGCAGTGGTAGAAGTCTGTGCTGATTCCAAAGTAGCTGGGAGACAAGGAGGAGATATATCCTGTCCGTCCGCAAGGTCCATTTTTATGGCGGTGATTGGGGTCTTATCCACTTTTGGAAGCTTCTTTCCTGGTGTCCCTTTTCCGTTGTCTAATAATTGTTGTATTTATGAATCATTTTCTAACTTTTATCATGAGTAATTTAAACAAGTTCCCTTTTTTGAAGTCACCACTTCTCGCTCGTTGATTTTTGAACCAGCAGCTAATCTGGCTAAATGGTTTCTGCAGAAAGTCAGCGATTTCAGTTCTCCGCGATACGGACGGGTATGGGTTTTCCCTGTAACTAGCGAAGAGGAAATCTTTCTCCTCTTCGGTGTATGCAGCTCGTTTGGGTTTAGAAGAGCTAATTTTGAACTGTTTTGAGTAAAGTGGTTATTTTTGATTTACCTGGACGACTGCTCGGAGGAGGGAGGAGATCCAGCCGGCTTAATGGGAGTCGGGTATTTTCGCGACGCAGCTGTGAACGGCAGTTGCATTCCGATTAAGATATCTTCGGCTTTTCTCATAGTTCATATAATTGTCAGATATTCTTTTTATGTCTACTTCTCAATCAAGAATAAATGAAAAATAAATAGACCTAAAGAAGATCTTCTTTGATTTAAATGAACGAGGTAAAATTGAACGATTCCTGCTTTATAGCGATTTATAATAGTGAAGAATTAAGATAATTAAACCTTCTTTGAACTCTCTTACGAAGTTAGATTCTACCGTTATCGGGCCTTTAGAAAACTCTTGTTTCACTATAAATAAAACGCGCCTTTTTTGTCGATCTCTTGAAAACGGCCCTGGAAGTCGGGCGATTTTTGCGGACTCATCCGATACTCTCGGAAAAATGTGAAAACTTCTGATTTTGTCTCCTCGCGTTTGAGCTGCTAACTGGTGTCTGATCGCAAAGAGCTGATTTGTATTTTGCAAGCTCAAAACAGAAACGGTCTCGAGTCGAGCCAAAACGGTTGAGAAGGTGGCCCACCGCGATTTCACAATTCTGTTTCGCACATATTTTTGCACGTCTAGAAATAATAAGAAATAGAGAAGAATAGCAGCTCATCCAGGCGGAGAAATCCTGAGACATAAAAATGCCAAAAGCTCGTCGAAAAACCCTCTCGGGTTTGGCAAAGGAGGGGTCGGAAAGCAATGAATTTATGATTGATTCTAAGAGAGGTTCTAAAATTCTAAATAAAGGTCGGTTTTGGCGCCGGTCATGTTCTCAATGATATGTGTGGTACAATGTGGTTTGGATACGGTCTCGTGTGGATGCAAGACACGCTCAAGTTTAGTGGCTTCTAACTTAGCAACTTTAGAATTTATGCAATTTTAAGAAGCCAAAAATAGATTTCATCAACTAATTGTGGATATATTATTCTAGTCGCGCAATTCGCCGATGCGATTTTCAACCTTTGGGTCGGCAACGAGTGTGATAAGGTAACTTGCATAGGATCCCATAAAGTAACAGTCGGAATTGAAAGGTTACGCTTATAAAGAAATTCGGTCGGCGAAAAGGCTGGCACGCCATAGGAACTCTGATGGTGCTGATAGGCATTGTTTTTACATTTTTACCGCCGTTTACTTATGTTCCGGGTATAACTCCCGAATGGATGGCAGTGTATCATATGATGAGCTGTCAAGTAAGTTCTTCTTGTCAATAATTTTCGAAGTAATGCTTCTTCAGGTACTTTTCAACGCTGGCTGGGCAATCGCACAGATTGCGCACTTGTCACTCATTCCTTCGCTAGCGATAACGGAGCAAGACGAGATTTCCTTGAACTCGATTCGTCAAGCAATGGTATACTGCGCCTCGATTCTGACATACACTTTGGCCGGTTTCATCATAAAAAACTCGGTCGATGGCGCCGGACTTGACTGGAACACGCGGTGGCAGGTAAGATTTTTATGCAATAAACAACTTGGCGATCTTTGTTTTTGATTACAACGCTCAACTTCGTGTCAACCGGGGTTGGTTTTATTTTCGCGCTAACCTTCCTGACCCTCACACCAGAAGATCCAACCGAAACGCCGATCCTCGAAACAACTCATGTCACCTCTACGGTCAAGCACAAGACCCTCACAGTCCGAGAATGGGCGGCAAAGCCAGGCTTTTTCCGAGTAGGTGTTTGCTACACACTTACACGGTTGATGTACAATCAGGTATGCAATATACCTGCTAGTAAGCAGCTAGAATGGGAATCATTTTTACGCTAGCAACTGCTCTTCTTCCCTGTCCTGATCACAACATCACTCAAGTTCCCAAACAGCTACATTGGCTTTTGTCCACTTGTTCTCTACGCGTCAGGGATGTTCCTATCTTTTGCTCTTCCGCACATCCTTAAAATTACAGGCAAAAAGGTAAAATATCAATTTCAACAACGGTCAACAACCATTTTGAGTAATTTTTACGCAAATAAGTTTTCTGAGACTAAAATTAATGCATCTTTTCAAGTGTATGATGATTCTGGCGACGTTGATGGTCGCAGGTGGTTTTGTCTGGCTCGAGTTCTTACACACGGCGACGAATGAAATTTGGGGAATTGCAATTCTCCTTGGCATGGGCGCTGCTGGAACGCTGATTATGTCTCTTTCCTCGATTGTAGATGTGATCGGCAGAAATCGAGAGTCCTCGTCCTTTGTTTACGGAACTTATTCGGTCTTCGATAAGGTATTTCAATGCATGAAACGTAGTTCTTGAATTTACACGTTTTCAGGTGATGAACGGGCTTGCTGCACTTGTTACACAAGTCATGTCACCCTGCGGTGATGAGCACTCAACTCAAGAGTGCCACGACGACTTCCCTAGTTTCTTCGGGCGAATGGTAATGATCTTCACCGGCCTCGCCATGGTGGTTTACCTCTGCTACCCAAAATTCGAGAGGACGGAAGAGCACGGTGACGACGTGATGAGCTCCATTATCGTCTCAAATAGGTAGTTCAGATTCTGCCAAAGCGAGACCTTTCTAACCACGGCTTTAGATTCCAGCGTCATCACTCAATGTCACTCTCCTACTCGCAAAGTCACAACCTCGAGTCCGAACGCCGCCCGCTCCTTGCCAACAAATAATTATCAATTACTAAAATTATTGAATAAAACGACAAAGCTGAACGAACTTGTTTTTTGTATTGCAAAAAGAAAATAAGTAAATAGATTTTGTACCGACCGAGAAAAAGAAAAATCCGAAGAAAAAGTATTGTTTGCTGGAGACTGATCCTTTCTCAGGGTGAATACTCAGAGAATATACAGAGTATAGGGGTGATAAAGTGATTCCGTTGTCGAAGCAGTCCAGCCAGCCCTAAGGAAAGATTATAATGAGCTCGAAATTGATTGATTGTACTCACATGATTCAGGGGAGATTTAAATGCCGATTGGCTGGAAACTACGTTTATAGAGAGAAAGAATTGGGTTCCTTGTAGTAGGTGATCGCATGAAATAATAAAAATAGGTCTCTTATGCTCTAAGGAGAGCATCTTCAGAGAGATTCTGTTCTTTTATGATCACGTGCCTTTTAAACATTGGAACGGAACGAGTGGATGGACTGCAGCAGCCAGCTTCTTGGATCTCTCGACAGAATGAGCCTAGCACAACGCCGAGTTGGCTCTCCAAGTCGTCGAAATTAACATCGCCACAGGTTGCGCAGCTCTGGACGACCTCGTCCATCGACTTATCCCAGGGACAGGCGATAGCAACGGTGGCTAACGCGAGACAAATAACTTTCATGTTTCTTTTTTAACTAAAAGTGAATGTTAATTGCTGGGTTTTTTAAGGCAGCAGAAAAGAAAGTTTGGAGTTGGATTCTTGAGCTCTCTGGTTTTGCGTTGGGACTTTACCTTGGCAGATAGATGTAGACTGTCACTAGTGGAGGACTTTTATACCTGCAGCCTGCGGTTAATAATTGAGTGCTTATCTATAATTGCATTTCGACAATGTCGAACACTGTTTTGCCTTGGGCCATTTAAGATGTTTCCAAACGAAACATGTCACTCTCTGTCAGGGCAGCACTGTGCGAACATTATCACACTTAATCATTCATTTCTTGCATCATTCAACGGAGCCGGACATTTTTGCCGACATTCGCGGGACATCTACTAATGAGTTCAGCTTAATTCTCTTTACCGTAATTCCTCTTCCGTAGTCCGAAAGTCAGAATGAAGGCCTGCTCGGATGAAGGTTCATTGATCATGTTCACAAATTACCAAGTGAGTTCGGCCAAAAAGATAGATCAAAGGTTAATTTGAAATATGCAACTAGGTCACTCTAGCAAATAAATTTATTATTCTAATTACTCCCGTAATTACTTCTTAATACGGGATATCACAGCTCAGTATGTTCGTATGAATTGTTTTCTTCTGATTCCTTGGTTTCGTCCAGTTTCAATTTGTAATCCACTCTTTCGCGAATAAACTTATGAGGTTGTAAAAATTGCCAAGTCAAGATAAAATTAAAATTACACGCTTTCAATGGGGTGTCACAAGGTCGACAGATTTTGCGTGATTAAATGTCTCTCGAAGAAGTCATTTTTAACCAATGCCTGAAGAAAGCCTTCAATGTTTCGAGATCCCTTGTATTGCTCCGGTTCATCTTTTGCACCGCGACCTGCCCAGAATATTGTCGGAAAGCCGCTGTATCTAAAGTACTTTGGCGGGTGGTTGGCAGTCGCGTCCATCTTTGCAAAAAGTATTTTTTCGTCTTCGAGGAGAGTTTGGGCGAGCTCTTAATTATAGTTTAGGAAATCCACATGCTTATCGAATGCCTTACCCTCCCAAATTGGCTCCAAGGTTTTGCAATGACCGCACCAAGGAGCATAAAATTCGACGAAGACGTCCTTCTCCTCGTCAAGAACTATACTTTTGAATGTGTTTCCAGTTACAATTTTCACTGGGTCGTTGTTTTCCTCTGGTGGCTCTGCACTCTACGTACAATATAAATAATTTTTCACAAGGAAAATAACCCGCCTTTACGTAAAACTTCAACTCGCCATTTTGATATTGTTGTATGAACTGGCGGACATTTGATCCGTCCGGAAGCATATCGCAGACAATATCTTCGTCGCAGACTTCCCCCACTTCCATCCTATAGGAGTCGTATTGTTCATTCCAAATAACAACTTTCGGAGCCTTCTTTCCCCAATCTTGCAGGGTTCACTCGCGCTCGATTAAATTATGTAACATAATGTTTTTTCATTCAATATTTGTTTTCCTTATCTGAATCCTTCCCTGGTTTCCCCCCGAGACTATCATCCAGCAGATCTTTAAAGTCTTCCGCATTACCAATTCCAAATTGGAAATCAGGGAATTCAAGCGCAACCTGTTTTCAGGGCTTGACATATGTTGCGCGCATATTTTTCTAGCACACATTCAAATCTTTTTTGGAAAGCCTTTCCTTCATGATTCGGTTTCGCCAGTACCGCATCCCTTTCGGATCCTTCTCGATGTGGAAGTGGTAATAGAACATTACCATAGGCGGTCTTGTAGCATGAAACTGATCGACAGTTAGAATTGGACAGAGGCCGGTCTGGTGATCTTTGACGAAGGTTCTTATCAATCCCGCAGTAAGCTTGTCTCCCTCGAATACTTTGTAAGTGTCCTCAAAAGGATTGTTGAAGTAAATTGGACGATGAAGAATTATGTTGTTCCAAAGTCCATCTGGGTACTTTTTATTCATGAATAGCTCTTTCGCCAGTGTTCGATCAGTCACATGAGCAAAACGATAATCGTCGGCCAGAGCGCCCACTATTTTGTGATACGAACGGCTGTAAAAACTTTCTGTATCTTCGTCCTCTTCAGGAAATATTCCGATCACGCCTCCGTCCGGATGGTTGGTGAATAACTCTAGATCTTCTCTTGATCGAATCTTAATAAATTAGTCTTCAAATAAGATCTGTGAGGCTCAAAAGAGAAAACATTTAACAGTTTAAATTTTAGATGAACTGACTTCTATTCGGGTCTTTGATCAGTACCTGATGAGAGGCGAATGAAAACTTTCGCCTCATAAATTTCTTAACGTCTTCATCGGATCTCAAATGATTTGGATTGTCGCCCGAATTCTTTCCATCCACGTAAAGGACCACGTGCGGGTAACCCTTAACACCTTCGGATTTGCACAGTTCGACGTGTTCTGCAACCGTGCAATCTTTTGATGTTCAGAAAAGACTGGTTTCAGGCAAAAACAATCAAGTTAATTAAAGGTTAGTAAAGTTAATCTTTGGTCAATTTGAAGCGCAAACAATATTTCATGAGCTTCCGCAGAACTACCGTTATTTTCGCTTAGCTAGAATTCGATAAAAAAACTGATTTCAACTTGGCCAGTATATTTTAAATTAAACAAACGTTTTTTGAACAATACTACAAGTGCAAGTTTCATCGGCGGCGTTTCATTGCTGAGAACTTTTTCTGCTTTCTTTAACTCTGGCAGGAATTTGCCACATTTTGAGCACCACGGAGCATGGAAAGTCACTAGCACTCTCTCATTCTGATGGATAACCTTCGGAAAACTATAGTTGTCGAGCTCGAGTAGCGCCGCAGCCGCCTGCCCAAGAAAAAAACTGCACAAAAATTGTATCAGATGCATCCAAAACAATTGCTTGCGTGAGAATCTGCCCGAGATTGTTTTACAATCAGTTTTGTAGCACCGAGGCACGATAAAAAGGACTAACCGGCTATTGCGCCCCGCGGGAACAGCAATCAATCCGTACAAATTCTACACAACTCATTTTTAGTATATTTTTTTATTAAAGGTGAAGTAAGATGAATTGGTTGAAGTTTTCAAAATCAAGGCGTTACAGATAAAGAGTGCAGTTGCGCGAGCGCGTCGCGTTTTGTTTTCAACAAGGTGAGAAATCTGCGCAGGCGACGACTGTATCTTCCTGGGAAACGCCGAGAATGTTTTGAAAGTTCTTCACTGTTTGTATCTATTGATCGTCGTAAGCGGCTATGTGTTGAAGCTGGTTGAAAGTGATTACCAAGTCTGGTTCGAGACTTGAGGGACCTGGTTTGAGACCTGTGGTTCTTGATTGGAAACCTGAGGAACCTGGTTCGAAACTTGAGCCATTTGGTTGGAAGTCTGGGCAACCTGGTTGGACACTTGTGGCATCTGATTCGATACTTGGGCCATTTGGTTAGATGTCTGGGGGACTTGGTTGGAGACTTGGGCAACTTGGTTAGATGTCTGAGGAACCTGGTTCGACACCTGAGGAACCTGGTTCGATGTCTGAGGAACCTGTGGTTCTCCTTCTGGGATCGCATCGGGGATTTTTACGTCGACGTAAGCGGGACGAGGAGTTGTAGGAGCCTCAGTGGAAGTTGTTGTGGTGATGACAGAAGTGGTTGTAGGCTCCTCGGTAGTAGTTGTGGTTGTAGTTGTAGTTGTAGTTGACGTCGTGGTTGTTGAAGTAGTGGAGGTTGTGGTGGTATATGCAGGAGTCTTCTTCTTCTTCTTCCTCTTGTTTTTCTTTTCTCCCTTGACTTTCTTGCCTCTTCCTCCTTTGCCTCCTTTGCCTCCTCTTGCTCGAGCGATTCCGGATTCGTCGACATCTGAGTTCAGCGCTTCGAATTCCTCGGCAGTGATTACGTTTCCGTCGTCATCGTAGTAGATGTAATCGTAAGAGTAGGAGTAGGAGTCATCGTAAAGCGTGGCGTCGACGGTATTCTCTTGGGCGGTGACAGTGGCAGCGGCGAAGATAAAAAATTTGAAAAGTTTCATTTTTGCTCAACTGGTCGAAGTATTCCCGATCCGATGAGGTTATGGCCAGCACTAGAATCCACCTCGTTTTTATACGCAGGTCGAATATGTTACGCACGCTTAGGTGGCGTGAGAGAGGCTCACGCACGGGCTCAAAGTAGCGGACGTTATTATGCAAAACTTTGTGATGTATTCCCGGGTGAAACCACATTCGTACAAAGCGTTTCGGAAGCTATGGCAATAAGTTAGAAAGAAAAATTTAAAAATACAACAAAAAAAATGATCAAGAATAAACGCCTGAGCTAATCATTGATAAGAATTCGACATCTTGCTCTTCATAATTAAATTCTATTTGATAAGAAATTGATCGAAAGGCATTGTTTGAAGTTCACGTTTTCTGACTATCGTGTTTTCTTTTTCAAGTACCTAGTATAAGCTAGCGATTAGTATACAGCACGTACTTCGCGCATAAATATTTTCTCTGGTAACCTTATTTTGCAAATTGAAACGTGTTTGCTGCTTGCCTCGCTCAATAACGAGCAAAGGGGAGTAAACTTGTTTCACATACTAATACTTGGACAATAGTTTCGCTCACGGATTATTAGAGTTCAATTTCTGGTGCTTAATACAACCCTCCGTCGTAAGATGACTTTTCTCGGAGATACAAGCTGCTCCTTATTTTGCAAGCAGACTAATGAAATAGGATGAATTTCGCGCACTTCATTATGTAAGCTAAATGCATTACGCCCGGCGTATTTTCTTCTTATCGTTACGTTTTTGGTGAACCTTGCAGAATTTACAATTTCTGAAGACTTCAAGCTCTTCAGCGATGATTAGAATCCACATCATTACAATTGAACAATCAAAAAAGCTCACGTAAAAATTTTAAGATGCTTAAAATAAGTTATATGAGCTTATTTGAAGTCTCGAAGGACAGCAAGTCTCAGAGTTATTCATACAAGAAAATCCCTTACTCGATAACAAGTTTTTGCATCGAAACAACGGTTATGCCAATTTCTATGATTCAGGTTTTGCGGCAGAACTTTAGCCATCAACCGTACTCCTCAAAGGTCAGCTCGCCTGTCTATTTTCAGAGCGATGTTGGTTGGCGCTCGTGCTTCGAAGAATTCACCTACTATGGATTTCAAAGAGTATGTTTGAAGCTTATACGAAATAGAGGGACCATCCATGTTAAGCTCCATGAAAATATTTTTAAAACAAAGAGTTACAAAGAAAACGTCATTCGTCCAAATGACTGGAAAAACGCTCCTAAGTGGATCAAAACATATAGCTTGAAGAATTGACATAACAGGTTGAATATGCGAGGGTACTACTATTCTGGCCAATGATGCAAGAAAATTGTCTAAAATATAGAACGATGTTTTGATATTTCAATCCCAAAACGAAAAAGGAACTTTGGTCATTGTTCTGTTAACATAGGGGACAAGTTTCGACGTATAAAGTAGCAGAATTTCTGGAATTCTTGGATCGTTATCGGTGACTTCTTCATCCGACGCCCGTGACCCGTGTCAAAAGAAGAAGATGATGCAAGTTGCTGGAAATCGATCTATCAAGAGTTCGACAACTCGGAAGGTTATCGCTCCCTTACCACAACGGCCTGTTCTTCCTAGGATAACATTTTAATCCCATAAACTTTCAATTAATTTTGACGTTTTGCGGCGTTGTCGGCACTTGTTCCTCGAGCTCAAGAATGGAGCACTTTTCTCTTTCAATAATCGTTTGCCAAGTTCAACGTGATTAGACTCAAAACACTCGCTGCTAATTGCAACATTATTGATTAAGTGGGAGTGAATACGGAACGAGAAAGTTCTAAATAGGTCAATAAACGCATTTAGAGTGTTTTCATACACGATTGCATGTAGTTGGTTGTATTTATAGCGATAATCAAAAATAGCCTAAGCAAATTAAAAACGAAAATAGTTAAATTCTGTTTTCAAAACAGTTTATTTTCACTGCAAAATAGAATAAGTCAGTGACAAAGCTATCATAGGCTATCAAAATCAAATTTATTCTATTATATATTTTAATATTCAGCGGCTCCGTCGGGCCTGGTTAGCTCAGTCGGTAGAGCGTTGGACTCTTAATCCAACGGTCGCGGGTTCGAGCCCCGCATTAGGCTCATCTTTTTGATCCCCTGCCTTCGTGATAAAGATACATTCGTGAGATCAACCAGTGGAGGGCGCAAAGCATCTGTTCTCAGAGGAAGAGAAAGGGCTAAAAATCTTCTTAGCGGGAGAGCGAACCAAGAATCTATTCCGTGAAGAGTCCATACCTGTCAGTTATTTTCCGAAACGATAAGAAATTAAGTTATTTATCTGATGTAATGTGGGATGGATTCGTTGAAGGAGAATCGTCCAAGTGTACACCACAAGAATCTTGTACGGCATGGTCGATACCAGAAAGCATTCGCAAGCTTGTTGCTGTTGCATCAAGATTCGCACAAGCCTTGTTTTTACTGACTTTAGTAAGTGTCGTTGAAATTACTTCGCAGTAGCTTTGAAAAGGTCGAATTAAGATCTCTGTCTTCGAATTGGACCAAAACATGTTTGCAAGTGAATCATTTCGGAGACTTTCTGCCGAGAACAAAAATTTTGAGTGTCAACAGTTTAATCCAAAGAGTAATCCATCTAAATTAATACTTTGTTTATGGGATCTACAGAGTATGTGTGACTTCGAGCAAATTTTTTAAAGTGAAAAAAAATACCCAGTTTATTATGAAATTAAATCAGTAGAAGAATGCAACGATGCCACTGCGACACGCAGATTATGCATGTTTTAGCTCTAGTGCTTTTGCGAAAATGAAGCCACAGAGGAATGCGATGCTCTTGCGATTTCACTTCTTGGCGATGGACTTGCTTATTCAAGGAAATACTTCTACGTCTTTAGAAGGGGACAGAATCCCCTCCATTCCAGTTTCTTCTGTTTGCGTAACTGCATCCGGCATTCTTCCGCCGCCGTCAATCTAAGATTAACGAGGCCCTAACTCGCAATCCCGAATTCTTTCAAGTGCTCTGTAAGTACACAGCAGTCACAGTACTCTTCAAACAAAAAAAGTAAGAAGTTGTAACAGTCGCACTTGCCAAATATGCTTCTCAAATAGCCGGCTTGAAATAAAATTTGATCGATATAAAAATTTCACTCGCCTCAGGTGAGATTCTCGTGACAAGATAGAAAGATTGTAATGAAGAGAAAATGGCTTATCGTGGGGTTCGCCTCGATGGGCGTCTGCCTCGCTGTGGGACTCGGAGTCGGCCTTGGTGTCGATTGGGACAAGGCCGACGACGGTGCAATTGACGAAGAGGTCTCTCCGACGCCCTGGGAAGACAGCTTCAGGAACGTGCCAGAAGTACAGTAAAAAATTCCAAAATACGATGGGATAGTAATCCATTTCGTTCGATATTACATCGTATCATGTGTAACATATGCCATGTCCGCCAACAACGCGTTGAACAAGAATCATTTGTTACTACTCGATGCACTCTTTCGATATCATTTGACCACAAATATTTAAATGTTGCTTTGGGAGATAATAATCTGACGCAAGCTTGATCTACGTAAATTCAAAAGAAAACAAGTAAATACATGATACATGTCTACTAGTGCCGACTGTCTATTTCCCTGTCGAATATAATCCTTCCAGCACTACACAAGGCTTCCCTCTTACGTCAAGCCCATCAACTACAACATCGAGCTCTTCCCCGACCCTGTGGCGGATATTTCCTACGGTAGTGAAACGATTACGGTCAATATCGAAAAGCGAACGCAAAATATTGTTCTTCACGCACTCGCCGACCTGACGACCATCAACGAAGCAACTATTTCTGTCGAACAAGAGGGCCTCTCACCAGTCGTTACCAACACCTTCTACTATGACGAAAATAGAGAGCAGTTTTTCGTCATCCAATTGGAAAACAAGCTTGAGATCGGCGAGGCGCACATCTATCTCGAGTGGCAAGGGCCTCTTGTCAGTACTCTTGTTGGAATTAACAAAGTCAACTACAAGGAAACAGAATTAGATATTCTATTTAGATAGCCAACAATTTATCTGGTTTCTTCGAGTCAGTCATTTAAAATGACTCATTTTAGTTAGTTTTTTTCTGGATTTACTCATTTTTTTTAAATATTATATATCCACAGTGTGAGCCAAGCAAAATGTATGAGTCTAAGAAATGTGCATTCTATAAATAAAGTTTCGTTTTTTTAATTCTGTCAGGATGGTGGTGAGGACCGATACATCATTGCTACAAAATTTGAGCCTACCTATGCACGTGAAGCGTATCCGTGCTTTGACGAGCCAGCTATGAAAGCTACTTTCAACTTGGCGATGTACCACGAAGAAGGCTACAGTGCTTTGTGGAATATGCCTGTCGATGGAGAGCCAGAATGTGACTGCGAAGGCTGCAACGCAAGGAATGCGATCAAAATTTCATGTAGATAGTTATACAATTTTATCAAGCGGAGTTCTTCGTATATCGCAATTCAAAGTTATAAAAAATGCAAAACTGTATTCCAACAATCGCCAATTATGGGAACTTATCAGCCGACGTTTATCTGGCATAAAATGTGCAACGAGTCCGGAGAAGGCAAAAGAGCTGATGGCACTAAGGTTGACTTTTCTGATGTCTGCAATTTTTTCAAGTTTAATTTTAGATTCCCATCCGCGTTTTCGCAGCCTGTGACAAGGTGGAGCAAGTTGCGCATGCAATGAAGGTGCAGCAACACGTCACCACCTACTTTGAGGATCTCTACAAACTTCCATATGAGCTTCCTAAAGTTGACCTTATCGCAATTCCCGATTTCGTAACCGGCGCAATGGAACAGTGGGGACTTATCACTTATAGAGAAACCTCCTTGCTCTATGATTCTGATGCCGGTGCTACTAGTCTTAAACAGAGCAAATCTTCAACCATTTCCCACGAATATGTGCATCAATGGTTCGGCAACTTGGTAACTTGTAAATGGTGGGACAACATCTGGATTCAAGAGGGACCTGCTACCTTTTGGTCTCAAGAAGGAATCGAAGAGGCCTATGAAAATGAGCCCTGGGACATGCAAAAACAGCAAATTTACCAATCAATCACCTACTCGCTCAACAGAGATGTCTCAGTTGCCGGCCGTCCAATCGTTAGCGAAGCTAGAAATCCAGACGAGATCACTGCCGCCTTCGACTGGGTCATCTACGACAAGGCTGCCTCGATTATCTACATGCTGCGAGAAGCAATGGGCAAAGACTCTTTCGATAAAGCGACGACTAACTTTCTTACGGAGTTTCAATTCAAAGGTGACGTAGAAATAAACTTTGCAGAGAATCAACTATTTCAGAGAAATTTAGAACGTTACTTAAATTGCCCGTCCATACCGAGTAAATTCCTCAATACCTCGACTAGTTCTGGACATCATTTTTAAATCTAATGATGATAATTACTTTCAATAGCTGCCGATGAGCTGGACTTTATCACCAGCTACCAAAAACAAGCGGATGCGGACAACATCATGATCGGGAGCAAAAAGCTCGACATTAAAGCCCTGATGCATCCTTTCTTGAAACAGGCTCTGTATCCACTTCTGACCGCGAAACTTGACGGGAACAACATTGTCATAACTCAGGGTGGGAAAAAAGAACTTCTCCACGCACTCGCTAGAGGGAATTCTAAAAGGGCGCGCGAGAGGCGCGAGGGTGGAGCAGCTGAGGCACACGCGAGTAACGCGGTAGGAGATGGGCACACCCGGTAGGTATAATGGAGGTAAGAGGGATTCGCCTGCCCCCAGCGGGTAACAAGCCCAACACGGCCGAACTGCCCAACTCTGCGGGAAACAGCGAGGCTCACTGGGAAATCGCTAATCTATCGAGGAAAATCATGATCAGAGGGTAGTTGCGACGGTCTAGCTAATCTGCACAAGGTTCAATTTTCTGAGGATCATGAGCATTTTTGCTCAAAAATTTTCAGGAAAGATGTGATTTATACTAATTCGACAATGGAGATTCCATAAATCACACTTAAAACGTCTAAAAACGTGAGTTTATTCAATAAAACCTCCATCAAAGTTCATCCTATTGTAATCAAATTTTAATCCAGCTGTCTTGTGATCTTCTCTTCCGTTTGAAAAGTCTTTTTTAATCATCCATCTAATCTCTTATTACCTTTTATCCTTTTCCAGCTGATCTGAGAGACTAAAACTTTCCATAAGAACATGATAATTGAAGACGGTGAACCCTATCCAAAGAGGGCGAAAAATCGAAACCAAAATATAAGAGAAACCAGACAAGCCCTTAATATTCCCACCCACCAAGACTGAGTCTCAACTTTCAATTTATCTGAAAATCATCTTGACCCGAACTGCCTAACCTTACTGTATGGTATGGACCATATCGTATGGTCCATACACCATGATAATATGGTCCAAATTTGATGCTCTGCAACACGAACTACTTCCAGGAATATTCCTCATTGACCTTGTAGATATTCCTTGGCCGACATTTTTTGCTCATGATGGGCTACTTAGCTTTAATATTGTCTCCTACATCGTTACTTGCGTGTGCCCCAGCTGATCGATCTCGCTACTCTCGCGCGCCCTTTTCAGAGCTCGACCAGCGAGTGCGTGGAGAAGTTCTCCTAATCCCTCAGGGTGAGATACTGTCAGTGAAATGCATTGAAAATAAACATTCGCTCAGGTGACAGACCATTCCTTCACAATGCAGACTCCACGCTCCCAGAAGCTGAGTACAACTTCAAGTACTCGCTCGTTGTAACTTCAAACAACAACGATACGGAATGGCTTGATGCAAGTGAATCTCAGATAACACTTCCGAAACCTGCCGGAGATATCCCATTCAAATTAAACTATGGACAGAAAGGATATTATCGAGTAAAATATGAAGGAAACGATCGTAAATTACTATCTTCCGGGCCATCACCAGTATCCTCGATGCTCAACTGATAAGATTAGATGATCTTTTTAGGTTGATAGCATTTTCGATTGTAATTAACAGGTGCGCTTTACACGGAGTTGGTAAATAGTCTTGCCAGTGGAAAACTCGATGAAATGGATCGAATGGGTATTGTAGATGATGCTTTCAATTTGGCCATCTCTGGAGATATCAGCTACTCAGATGCTCTTGATACTGTGGACTACATCGCTAAAGGAAGTGAAGACTCGTACTACGTCTGGGGAGTATTTGGGTCACGCACTTCGTATATGCGCACGATGTTGTCCGGCACCGAGACGGGAGATAAGTTCATCGCATACTTCAAGGTAAGCGCTCTTGGTCGACAGTTGAGACCTTTCCGGTTTTGGGTCGAGTGTATACCAATTTCGTAAATGTAAGTTTTGAATTGAAACTGACCCCATTGTTTAGAAAGCGGTCAGTGAGCAATTCGAGCGTTTTGGATTCGAAGTTAAAGATACCGACTCGCATATTCACAAGTAATGTCCCAAATCTGACCTTGAAAATAGATCTTTCTATAATAGAAAAATGCGATCAAATATTGTCTCGCTCTCGGTTTCCTTTGGAGTCGAAGAGGCTGCTGTGCAGGCATCAGCAATCTACAGCGAGTGGAAAAATTCAAACGGCGATGTTAGCAAACGACCGCACCCAGACGTTGCTGGAACCGGTACGAATGATAAAATTAATAAAAATGCTGTATCCACCCCTTTAGTCTATAATCTTGGCGTATCGAGCGGCAGTTATGAAGATTGGGAATTTATGTACGAACAATACACAAAAGAACTGGTCGCAGACGAGAAGAAAAAATACATGCGTGCTATGGCTGCGACTGAAAACGTCACCACAATCGGCCAGGTTCTTTTTTGATCGATGGCCTGAGAAAGAATGCCGCCACTCAATCGGCCGGATAAAAGTATTTTTACGCGCGATTAGAAACTGGCCTAATTTTAGAATCTGTCAAGAACCTCAAAAGACTACATGCTCAACACGTTAGCTATGGACAAGACGATTATTCTAGAGCAGGATTTCTTCACATTTATCAATTACATCTCGTACTCAAGTGTCGGCGAGAAGATGGCCTGGGATTGGGTCAGAGTTCACTGGGCAGAGCTTGTTGAGCGATTCGGAACCAACGATAGAAATTTCGGCCGTCTTGCACCCAATATTGCCAATGACTTCAAAACAGGTTAATTCTTCAACTCAATCATCATTGCTGATGCAAGTTTGCCTAGAGTACGGTCTCTGGTCAGCGGACGATTTCTTCAAGGTAACTGAAGCTGACGCCGGCGCCGGTGAGGGTCCACGAAAATCAACTCTTGCCCAAATCGATTCCAATATCGAATGGATCAAGAACTACGAATCTGATATTTTCAATTGGCTAGAAGCTCACGATGCTAGAGAATAAATTCTATTTGCTTAAATATCCTCCGAATCTCATTCGTAGCGACATGTTTGAAAGAACAAAAGCTGCTTTATGCGACCCATAAAACAATAAAAATTCAATAAAAATCAGAAATAAATTAATCAGATAATTTTCAAAATAAATAATAGAGAAAAGTGCTGTGGTTTCAGTATATAAATGGAGGATAAGTTTGAAACTGCTTGACTTCCGTGGGAATCGCCCGTGAGCGTTCACAGGCTGTGTTTTACGCCAATCCGAGGGCCTGAAGGTTTTCGCGAAGAGAAATTGAGACCGTAAAATATTATTCTTTTGAGGTAGGGTGTTATATTATTGGAGGCAGAATGCCTATGCTTGTTTCAGGTGCCACCAGCAAAGGGCGCCACCAGCTGACAGAACGACAGGAAACGCCTTCCACTCCCACAAATTAAAATATCGATCAGAAAGAGAATCACCATGGACTTTTACAAAAACAAACGACAGCAAGATTCACAGTTATATATGTGTAATGATCATACTCTGCCTGAGCGCACATTTTGTGTCAATCGGGACGAAGACGAGGAAGAATTTAGCTCGTTCGGCTCATTTGAGCGTTCTCACGATTCATCTGGCATAGCTTCAGAGGATTCCTATGGGGACCAAAACTACTATCGATCAGAAGAGAGCTTGGATAAATTAGAGATTACTGCCGCCGATGACGATTCTCAGAGTTCCAAGAGAACTGTTTGGGTGGAACCAGCTCCGGAGACAACTGAAAATGTCGTCCGACTAGGACCTTGGTCAAAAAAGAATACTAAGCACGTGAAAATTACTTCCCCGAAAAAAGGGACTTTACGCCTTGTGACAAACTACCAAATCCGCCATATCGACGTGAAAAAATTAGAATTCAAGAAGACTATTGTAAATGAAGATGTCGAAGAGCAAGATCCGCAAACTGATGTAAAAGCTAAGCTTGCAGCAGTCAGGAAAGCTAAGAAAGAAAAAAAGGTTTACGACTACTTACAGAGCTCTGCAGAAAGTGACATTGAAAGTACAAGAAGCTCCGAAGGAGAATTCAAAATTGTAGACAGCCTTTCAAGCAATGAAAATGAAGAAAGGAGAGATAATAAACGGACTAGCTCGACCGCCAGCGGAGAACATAATTTGCCATCTTCGAAGAAACAGCGAATGATTTTAGTAGATTACTATGCTAGTCCAACTCCCGGAAAGGTCACTCAAGTAAAACAATCTGAACCAGAACTGCGCAAAGTGGGTGTTCAAGAAAACAAATCGGATCAGCAGACAACTGTAAATCCTCGAGCCAACAGAAATTCTCCAGAGCAGAGTGACAAAGCAGAAAAGTCTGAAGAACTCACTCATAAAGATTTGGTGAAATTCGAATTCAACATACACTTTTCACTTCATAAAGCAACTACGGCTAGCTACAAGATTGATTTCTGCGTGAAAACCGCTGCATCTTGCATTCGCGGCTCCAAAGAGTTCGAAGAGTATCTCAAAGCTCGACGCAAAGAAGTAAAATCAAAATTCCGCCAGATGAATCGAGAGGGAAAAACTGCTCTTCTTCTGGCAGAGAGCTGCTTATTGAAAGTCTGCGAGAAGATTCAGCGGAGTAAAAATGATCAAATTCTTTCTGACAGGACATTTCTGTCCGAGGTGGAGTCGCTAAAAAGTTCTATTGCGGCTCAAGAATTGTACGAAACAAGAAAAGGCAATTTTATAAACATTGTTGCGCCGCAGCTGAAACCTAAATCCGGATAACTTACGTGGCTACACATATTCTCGCTCATTGAAACTGACACTCAAAGCTAATAAATTCATTGAAAAAGTCAATTGTTGCATTATTTGGTTGCTTACGTGCTTGTATTTGCTCCATTTCCGCAGCGCTAGTTTTATAATCTTTACTAAATTTTTATTTGACCTTGTCTCAGGGCAGGAACTGTTTTGCCGTTCTGCCCCAATGCCGTTTTGCCCGTTTTGCCATGTCTGAGAGACAGTGTTTGATGAACTGAAAATGAAAATTCTGCAGTTTTTCGAGAATAAGAAATCTTTTCAAAACTTTTTTCCTCTAGGCACAGAATATTTTCAAACGGAAGAGAAAAAGGTATTGATACAAAAATATGCTTCAAATCAGAAAAGTATACGAGGTATCATATACCATATTTATTATACATACACTATACGTATAGGTGTAGGTTATAAAATATATTTATCAAAAATATTCAATTTCTGAGTAATTAGTTTTTAGTCATTAGGAACTCAAAAAGGGAGGGATTTTCAGATGATTATGGATAATTGAGTGTGAGAGGGTTTTCAATAGCGACGTGGGGTAGCTGCTAGGACAAGATGTTTTTATGAGTTTTTGAGCTTAAATATGGCCCAGCAATGCTTTTTAGAGACAAAAATAAGTTTATGGCATCGACTAAGACTCCCGAAGAAACTCAAGATGAAGCCATAATTGTTAGCGAAGAGGAGAAGCTATTGACAAAGCTCGAGTTCAATCTTTGCTTCTCGCTTCACAAGTGTGACGTTAGAAAACTGAACGGAGACTTCTGCGTGAGAACAGCTGCAAGCTGCGTTCGAAACTCAGAAATTTTTCAAAATCATCTGAAGAAAAGACTGGCAGAAGTGCGCGCTAAATTCAAGCAAATGAACAAGGATGGAAGAACTGCTGAAGTCGTGGCAGAGAGCAAGCTTCTTCGAATCTGTGAGCAAATAGCTGCTAGTAAAGACGACAGCATCTTCAATAATATCGCATTTCGAGCACTTGTGCATTCTTGGAGAACTTCGCCCGCTTCAAAAGACATTTACGAGACTAGAAAACAGATTTACAAAGACATCGTCGCTCCGGAATTGAATAAGATCTACCGTCGTATGAAAGAAAACACTGAAAAGAGTTAAATTACTGCCAAGCTTATTTTTTCAAACTGAAAACAATATGCTTCTTGAAGAATCTGATGATTCATAAAATTCTCTCGGAATAAAACTATCTGCTATGCATTTATATGATGAGAATTATGGCATCGTATATACGCTCATTAAAGGATGGCCTTGAGGGAAGCAAAGTATTGATATACGGATGTGTTTTATGACTCTTCTTATGACTTTGTCTCCGTACGGCGGAGGTTTACGATTGAGCAGACAAATGAGAGAAACTCTTAATTGGGAAGAACGATGAGATTGTCATTATTTCTAGGTTTCGGGCGTTTGAAATTAATCAGACTGGACTGTTCTAAAAATTATTAATCAAATTAGAATTCACACTCTAGAGTCTAGAGTGACTCTAGACGGAAAAATCCGTCCGTCAAAGGCATAACTGGTTCTGCATTTGCTCTTGAAGAAGATAAACTTGGTTGGATCGGCCAAATAAAAAAGTCGTTCCTAGAAGAACTGCCTCAATATGGAGAGGACGATGTACCAGGAAAATTGGAGTACCACAGAGAGGCAACTTCGATGAGAAGACCGACTTGGGCACACTGGTCGGAGTGGGGCGAATGCTACAGGTTGCTATAGGTCGATTTTGATGTTTCCAAAAATAAGCTTAGAGAGTCAAATACGTGGTGTTTGGGCTGGCACGCCCGGCGACGTGATTGCTACGGTCCAAGTGGCATTGTTTCGTTTGATAAGGTTGTGCTTATCATATTTCTGCAGGTACTCATTATTCTTTTAAGGTACTATCGGAAGAATATGAAGGAGTGCTATTCGATCAAGATACAGTTTGCGGCGCCCCTCGAAAATCGTTCAGGAAGAGTGGTTACGTTGACGAATTGCTTGACTTTATTTATCGTAAACGACACTCCTATTAAGCTGGTCAAATGAAGTTATTGAAGGGCCCATTCGAACGTGGGAAAATAAAACTTGCCACGATAGAGTCTGCAGTAAGATACATTTACAAGACAGCAATCTGTAATATTTTCAGTGATCGCGTACACACAAATTCCTCTATGGGGAGTTGTTTCCATCGCGATGGCAATTGGCGTTGTTTGGGAAATCGTCGAAACTATGAAGTACAATCTAACAATTCCTTTCAAAATTATAAGCTCTAACTAGGCGATATTACCGTTATAAGTACGAGGGACGTCCGGGTCATCCCTACGCAAATATGGGAAAAGCGATTCTCTACAAATTTCTGCCCTGTCTGAAGCCGACGCCGAAATATTGAAAAACGTTAATTATTGCATATTTTGCGGCCCTGATGATTATTTAAGAATTAAATGATAAATTACAATCAATCCGTCACAGACAGTTTCAATACTTTTCATTATTTATTCCAGTGTTGTAATGCAAAAAAAAAACTTGAATTGGCCTTGAGTAGCGAGTGAATTCGCGCAAGTTCACTTCCCGGTCTGGCTGTGGTGATGCGAGATCCAGGAAGCGCCTTCGCGAATAGAAGATTTAGTAGAACTACAGTTTTTGAAGGAGCAATTCAAAATAGAAGCATTTTCCGAACGTTGTTTTAAACGGAGTAGGTGGACATTCGGAAATAAACTTGATTATACAATTGAAGTTTAGTCTTGTCGGATTTCATGATTGGCTAGAGATTTTATAGGAAGGTGTCAATTATCCAGGCTATTTAGATTTTAGGTAATTTTGGTCGAGATAGAAGTTTCGGATACATAAAGGAGATGTGTCTTTTGACGCTCCGGCAGAAGAGTAAATATTGCAGTATATCTCGGTGAAAACAACAACGAGCTGTGTTTTGAATGGATGGCCGCACGTGAGGAGTTAAGTGGAGTAGAAGGAGTTTAACATGCAAAATATTACTTTTGAGACAGAGTAGCGGGCATTATTTGTTTTTTCATTTATGAGTTGTCGTTGTAGATATTCAGTGGGGAATTCGGAGTATACTGGAGTTGAGTGGTTTAAGGTTCAGAATAAATAGAGAAACTGTTTAAAGAGAAGCATAATTGCGAGTGCTCACCTAGTGGAAGTCAGGCGCCACCTGCCAAATAAAAAAAAAAGGAAAAACGAAACGAAAAATAGAGCGCTAGAACTTGAAGAACGCCTCGATAGTTGAAGCAGTTGAGCAAGCGCCTTGTCATCCCCTATGATGGGTATATATCGGATGTTTTGGTGAAGAGTGGCGTAGTGAGTGTTTTAGAATAGACCGCAATCTTTCAGGTTGTTCTTGATGATGACATCGGTGACAGCGTCAAACACGAACTGAAAAAAATCTTCCGTGGCTGAAGCTTAGATTGATAGTACCTGAATATTATTCGTGTCTGTGGCGCAGGTAAAGTGCGTATAGATCTCTTTCGATTCTTTGCGCTTATTGAGGTCTTCGAATTGCATTTGGATGTAGGCAGCAGCTTGCTCGTAAGTATCCTGACCTGGATTCGGGTTAAAGTAAGTGATGTTCAATCTCATTTACCTGTGTAGTCAGGGAAGCAAATCGTAAGGGGTGACTTTGAGATCTTCTTCTCGAAGAGATCCTTTTTGTTCAAGAACAAAATTATCGAGGTGTCGGTAAACCACTTGTTGTTGCATATCGAGTCAAAGAGCTTCATGGACTCGTGCATTCGGTTCTTAGAAGAAGTTTTTTGGAAGTCATTTCGAATTTAAATTTACCATTTCTTCATCTTCAGCGAGCACTAAATCATACGCGGATAATGCGACACAGAAAATAATTGCTGTGACACCCTCGAAGCAGTGGATCCATTTTTTACGCTCTGAGCGCTGTCCTCCAACGTCGAACATCCTGAAAAGGTGTTAAGGACATACATTTCAATTGAGAATAAAGAGTGACGTGACAAATACGAGGAACGAGGCTGAAAACATGCAAATCTATATTGAAAACATTGATGAGTTTCTTCTATGTTTCCAATCAGACAGTAAATGGGTTCTGGCGACAAATGATGAAGTTTGATCCGTCTGAGCGATCAAATTAGTTAGACTAAGATGACACTGGCTGACATTTTTACCGAGTTTATTAAAAATGATAACTCCTGACTGTCTATTTTTTCTGTGCTTGTGAGCGTGAAAATTTAGAAAAAAGGTGGTGAGGGTACTAACTTGAAGGTTAAATTTTTGTAGGTAAAGTTCATTTCCACGATACCGGTGGTTTTAACCCGGGTGCGGAGCACATCCCCTTCCGTCGGCACGTAGTCTTTTTGTGAAAGTCTTTTGAGGTTTCCCAAAAAACTATGCATTGAGCAATTAAGCAAAAATCATAACGTAAAGAATGTGCAGGGATTACACGCTCAAATCAGGAGCGAAATTCGGGAGTTGAAAAAAATATCCTGTTCGGGTCGAGACAACAAAACGATAAACAATACGATAAACGAAACGATAAACAATAAAAAAGACGATAACGTTGCATACTTGAAATGCAAGTCTTTGAATTCGAAATGTGTTTCGACAATGCCCGTCGTTTTAACTCTGCTGCGCAGTACATCCTGCTCCGATGGAATATAATCGGGAGCGCAAAGGCGCTGGATTGAATCCAGATAGCTAAATATTCTTGTAGATCGAAGCGATAGAGTTTTACGGGCACTAATTTGGTAGTTCTTTTTCATCAATCCCTGCACGAGAAGAATATTATCACTTACTATTGAGCAGAATCGTTGAGTTGATATTCGCGAGATCGACTTTTTTGGGCTTTCAATACTGGAAACGATAGAGATGATTATTTCTTATAATTCTTGAGTCGACTGATCAAAGCCCGTTCCTGAAGCACTGTTGGACGCCGTTATCCTGCCACAAGCGCCACATGCAATCGCCAAGTTCCTGTGTCATTTCGCCATCCTCGAGCGTAGACGCCAGCGCAAACAATTGTCTAGCATCATCCTAAATGAATGATTTATCAAACCGCTGCAACATGAAATGCTTACCGCTCGTTCTGCTTCGGCAAAATTTATTTTCAGATTGCCCATGGCTTTCACAATGGCGATCATTGACTGCAGTGTGTTGCTGTATACGACGGCTTTGTATTGCTGACAATCTTCGGCAGAGTATCCATTTTCGTGGATAATCCTAAACGGAGATGGTAACTTTTGGATAGCAGAGCTTTTATGTGGCTTTTCACTGCTACAAGTTGTAGCCTACAAGACTGAACCATTCATTATATATTTTTTAAACTGGCATAATTTCGACTTGTATGACGTTTCTCTTTCACAGGTACAAAAATCGATGGCGCGTAGATAGATGGACTTACTTCATTTGTTTGACGATGGTGGACTTGCCGGACTCGCCTGCACCGAGCAGGAGCAATTTGACTTCTCGCGCCGCCTTGTCATGGTCGTCTTTGAGCTTTTTGTCGATTTGCTTCGAGCGGTCCTTTGCATTTTTGTCGTCGGCGCTACACCACATGTTAAAAGAAGCGAAATAAACCTCCGCCTCCGGAGTGTGTCGTTGTTTATCGGCCCAGGGGGCACAAATCGATCAAATATTCTTCACCGCTGTTAAAAAATGAAAAATAATAATTATCCGATGATCATCCGTAGCGTCATTTAAAATTTTCTCTAGCTCTGGGATCGTTTTTTTTTCTTTCTTGCCAAGAATAATCACATAAATGGCGCGTTTCTATTTCGTCCTCTTTCTCTTTTTTTTGCTCGGTCATTATTGAAAACGCGCCGCTCAGACAGCAACTGATAAAATATAAATTCTAAAGCGTAAAATGAAAATTGATCCCGTGTCTTTTTTCGAAAATACCGAGAACTTCTCTAACGATGTGCCTTGGTGCGGCAAGGGAAAAGGTGTGTCCCTGTCAATCGTGTCGATTTGCGTGCCCAACTATTCCCAAGTGACGGACCGGGGGCGAGGGTGAGCAGCAGCCTCTCATAGCGGCTCTTTTCGCGCTCTCAACAACTCCTAGTCTCTCTTTTTCTCTCTGCGCGAGGGGATCAATACAACAATCCGCCTTCAATTTAGGGTGACTTCATCGCTCCCAAAAATGGATCACACAATGGATTACTCTATCTACTGTTGCTACTGGGACTTACACCATCCATATCCGACGGAGGAGCTGAGGCAGGCCGAAGGAAAAAATGGTGACTAGGCTGGACCTGCCCTAGGAAGGGCTCTCATGTGTAGAAATGGTGCTGCTGGGTGTAAAAGCCCCTTCAAAATTCAAAATCGACCGATCTGACCGACGCCCGAAAAAATTTCTAACTTGTCGATAATCAAGGGATAGAAATTAAGCACACGAAGCTGACTCTCTCTGTCTCTAAATCCTCTGAGGGGCCAAAAAGTGCATGAATTACCGGCGAAAGAAAAAAATCCCCGAGCGTACAGGAGTACGTTTTGAGCGCATCAAGAGCTGAAAGAGTCTGATTCCAAAATCAAATTTGAAAATTGATTTGAAGCACCGATCCTACTAAAACGAGCAATTCGTCTTAACGCTTTATGTAAATCCCCTAAGTTTATGGAGTGAGAATGATGATCATCAATTGTTGGTGTTGGTTAGAATAGCGAATGAGGTGGACACCCTTGAGTAGTATTTTCGACGTTGGTAGCATTTTTGTTTCTTTTTTTTTTGATTTGGGACAAAAAGTTTTCAAAGTTGAAAATTTTTGAATACAACAGGCTTACTTACACTCCCTCAGTCGATAGTTTTCTAAGGAATTTATTATTACAAAGCAGACTCTATTCGCGACCCTCTCAGATTAGAGTCAATTAGAGTTACCCGAAAGGAAGAGCAATTTTCCCTCGGCCAAGGCAAAATCAAAATATAGTGCCTGGCTTCTAGCTCCTACAGCTGAGAAGCGTGAGATTAAATCACGTGTCTAAACTGCAATTTAGAGAGTTGAAACGTACCTGATCGCGCACCCCATGGTGGCAGTGACCGATGACCGACCGTTCCAGCGTCAGTCTGAAAAAACGATCGTTACTTCAATTCTTGATGCTCTGTCTCGCAGTTAAAGAAATATGAGGCTTCTCTCGCTGACGGGAAAGTGAACCGTTGTACATAATGTATCTCACAATAGCTTAATTCTGCCCCGATCTTGCAAAAAAAAAAAGAAGAATCATCTTTCGGGCCATGTGTATAATAAATAAGAGGATGGGCGATAATTTAAGTCCATATTATTGAAATAACCTTGCATAATCATAAGTTGAAATTGTTTGAAAACAAGTCTGTGGAATGAATTTTTGAACGAAGAGCAAAAAGTAACATCGCATGCGGATCTCGGTAAAGATAGCGGCTTTTGATTTTCATTATTGATTCTCTGTTAGAAAGAAAAAATTCGATTGACAGGGTAGTAGATGTTTACGCAGCGAAAACGAGTTAAAAATTGAAAGAGTCGAACATATGTTTAAAAAAGTGCAGTGCGACAATAAATGAAAGCACAGCTCAACTTTGGCTCAATAAAACAAACCTAGATATGCAGCGTTATAAAAACTTATTAAAAATTCATGTTCCTGGGAGAATATGGCCGGAGAATTGTTGCGGGAAGAGATTCACTTTGTTTTTCTAATTTTAAACTAATGAATAAGAAATGATCTCCACAAACGAGAGCAAATATCTCGTTTTTAACAAGTTCCAATATAACAAGTATTTTTTATTCGATCGTAGTTTTTTTTTCTTCTCAAAACTGGAGCTCTCAAAAAATATCGCTCTCTCCCTCTCTCTCTTTTTCATTTTTTTCTCTGTCTCTCGTTTGCTTTACGCCTTTTTACAAGCGCGTGTCTGAAATTCAAAATTTGAATCTTCCTCGTTTGCTCTATCGGCTCTTAAACTTTTCCCTCTCTCAAAAAAAAAACGCAAACAGGGCTAGCGACCCAAAAAAAAAACGGTTTTGCTGCAACAGGAGCGGGCAGCCGATCAATCGAGTCGATCGCCACTTGACCAGGAGCCGATCTCTCTTGCCCGCTTCAGCGCGTCCTCCGTCTGCCACATTTCAACCTTCCAATTCCAGTTAAATTAATGAACGCTAAGCGTGATAAACTTTTAGCGAGGCAAAAGTTCAAAAAGGAAATAGATTGGTTTTTTTCGGTCTGGCAGACTGATGAGCTTTTTGAACGCAAATAGTCGCTGCACGGTTCTCTTCCTTGATTCCGAAGAAGGGGCTCTGGTGTATTTTTTTCTTTGGAAAAGTGTCACAATAGTTTTTGGAAAATAAGAATTGTGCCCGATTCGACAGGGTTTGGGCGATCTGGGCTGGAAAGAGCGTGGGCAAGGCGGGATCTCTTGGGAGAGGGCCGTCGACAGAACAATTCTCTTTTTTGATTTCTCAACCGTCATTCGCAGTACGATGCTTTTGACTTGAATAATGAAACGAATGTGACTCCAAGTCTCAGCAAATCCATTTCGTTTGCTTCGCTACATTTTAAAATGTCTTTCTAGCGAATTTCTTGAACAAATTCTAGTCCTAACCAGACGATAAATTGTCATCTTCGGTCAGACTATTTAATCGATAAGTTTGTTTTTCTAAATAATCTAATCAATAAGTTGCAACAAGCAATTAAATGCGAAAAATGAAAAATGGCCATCAATCAATACGAACTTCTCAAATATTCGACCGACGCAGCTTGATGCGAGCCCCTGCCGCTTATTTTCACACGAAGGGAAGAAGTCCTTTCTTGGGTATTCCCTTTTAAAACTAGCCATCGTAAAAATATATCACTCAAATAAAATTCCAGATCTGCTCAAATATGGCGTCATTTATTTCTGATTTCGCTGGATTATTAAGCAGCGCCGTTTCGCTGGTCATCGGGCAGTAAATTATGATTATAAAAGAATATGCAGGCGGTCGAGGAAGAGCCATTATTGAGAAAATGTTGGTCCTAAATGAGAGCTACAACGACCCTTCTTTCTCAGTTACACCAGGTAGAGAGACGAGCAATCAAATGAATGATAGAGTTACTTTTTCTTCGAAGACTTCTGATTATCAGTAAACTTTGCTTCAAATAGGAAACGCAGTACCCTTTTCTTCGAACACCCACCCAAATTATGCGATATGCAAGATCCAGAACGAGCAAGGTTACCACCATGAGTTTGATACTATGAACGCGCTTGCCTGGGTCGAGTGCTTCTTGCCGGTTTTTCTATGGGTTGGGAATTGTGTTTTCAACGGCGAAGGTGATAGACGATTCAAATTAGCTGGAACAGCGCTCTGTGGACTTCTCTCGCTCATTGCCGGGCCAATGTATTTAACTTGGTTTTATCAATGTAAGTTCTGCAAACCTTCATCCACCAATGCTTTTTAAGGCCCACAAATCGGCTCCAATAAGCCAGTAAAGATGCAAAGGTGCTTCAAAGCGCACGTATCTCTATGTCTAGGCTGTGTCATTCTAGGCGCGCTCGCTGTTGTCCAGGATCGGAATTAGTTGCAAAAATCTAAATTTCAAAGAAATTCAAAACATATTCCTTGGAAGGTTGTCTTTACGTTCTTAGGTGTGCTGATGTGCGCTGACTGTAAAGCAGGCTTCCGCCTCAAGGCCCTCTTTGGTGCAATCTTCATGTAAACAAGTAAAACCATAAAAATCATCAACTAACGAATTCAATATTTTCCGTAGTTTGCGCATTGGTCACTTTCATTCCTCTTGGATCCGTCGCTCTCGGCTGGAAATACGCATTCGGTGATTGTTTAGGAGTCATGGAGTCGGAGACTGTTCTTCTCAACTGCCCAAACAATCTTCCCGTCTAGCCTAGCTGATCATCGAAGAACGATTCATAATATTCTATTCTATCTGTCGAATGATGTTTCTTTAACTGATGATAAATGAATAAAATACCAACAAGAGCGCATAAAATTTTTAAAATTTTAAATGATTTCCTCCGTATTCTTTGTCCCAGTCCACGCGCTTTGGTAGAATTAGAGCGTCGATTACGCCCTCAAAGTGTTACCGCTCATCCGATTATTCCCGCGTAAGAGTAACAGCTTCTTGGCTTATTGCAAAAATTTAATGAAAGTGCAATAATTCCCACGTTGGAAAATAGAAAAAAGGCGGTTTATGGAACTTTGTTGTAGAATTTATGAAAGTGCGGTTATTCGCGTTCCTCGAGATTAAATTCGATAATACAACAAGAGATTATGAGCGGCGCGGTTCCCAGTTAAAACGTACTTATTACTTTTGAAGACGTTTGAGAAGACGGATCCCCTTCTATTTGGCGAAATCCGATAAGCCCAGTATATCGTTCTTTTCGTTAAACACATTTTCGCTGCGTCTCCATAGAGATGCGCAAATGTATTTGAACTGGCGTGAGATTCATCAATTTCTCTCTAGCAGCAGAGATAACGATGTTAATTGGCCTCAAGTGTGAATTATTTTGGAAGGTAACATCAAGTTTCTACTTCGCGTTCATTAATTCAAGTGAACGCTTGTACATTCAAAAAATATTATTTTTCCATCATCTATAATATATACTTCTATATTATAGATTCTATAAAATAATTTTAGAATGGTTTCGACATGAAAATTCCACAAAAAGAGGTAATTTTGAATTAAGAATTGGTCGTAAATGAAAATCATAAGCAAGCGGAAAAGCTTGGCAATAATAATACTTCTGATTAAGTTTTGCAAAGTTCTTTGACTGTTTTTCCATTTCTTTGGAAAATGAAATTCTCTAAGCTTATTAAGTGGTTCTTGTTTTCGGGAGAAACGTTCAAAGCGCTGCGCAGAGAGATCGAGATGCATTTTCAAGTCAAAAGCTTCAGGTGTGATTTCAGACCAAGCTCAAACCAGTTACCCGATTATTAAGACTCTACTATTACAACGACGAGGCGCAGGAAATGGCCTAGCAAACATCACCGTTGTTTACGCTTTGTGTAAACAAAACGAGTAGAAAACAGCAGTCTATCTGCAGGCGCGAATCCATTTGCAAAGCTAATTTTCTGCCGAAACGATGACGACTTAGAAGGTAATTACTAATTTACTAACTAGCTCATTACCAATCACTAAACTCTGATAAGGCGGTTTTAACTTCTAGTTTTAATTTTAGAAATGATGAAGCTTGTGGAGCAGCGACGAACGCGACGAAACGCGATAAGAAAGGTAAACATCCAGCCGCGATCAAAAAATTTGCTGTTTTTATTGGTTATCACTTTGTACTGGTAAACGTTGTTTTCTGTAGCGTGCGCAAAAACCGGCTTGGTTCCATGACCTGCATCTTATAGGTAGACTAATTTTCGGAAAACAGTTTCATTCAGCGTTTGTTCTTCAGTGAAAGATGCGTATGACATGTTCGATGCTTTCGATTCCTTGGACCAAAGAGATGCCAAAATGAGAGTTTGATTCTGTAATAAAGCGAGAACTGTATCATTGAAATTTACGCCCAGCCTTACAGTCACCATCGTGAATGAATAATGAAACAGCTCGAAACAAAGCGGGCAAAAAAACATTTCAAATGCCAAAAATATCGTGACGATGCCATGTCTTGTCGGCTTACTGCTTGGGTCGATGATTTCTATTTTCATGTTGTAGCTAAGCCAGGCAAGTTTACTCCATGCTTACGCGTCACCCTTCCAGAAAGATTCGATATTGACGCGAACGTGTTGAATCATCCTAGAAACGTTCACTTCGCTTTTGGGAGGAAGTGACGTCGAAATTGGCACCAAGTGGCTTGTCCCGACCGGTACTAAAACTACCACATCAGCGGGAGCATAAATAAAAACACGGCAAAAGTGAAACAAGCTTTTTTCGAACGTTCCTCGACAAGTGCTTGAATTGATCAAAATACAACAAACAGATTTCAACAATAATTTCGTTGTTAGTAATGATAAGGAATCGAGAATTCGTTGCTTAGAAAAAGGAGAAAAGTTCTAATAAAAATGCAAATGTAACTTCTGATCTGAAATTGATTAGCATGCGAAATCTTAAGGGCTTACACACGAAGAGCCACTTGCTTTTTTGTTGTGACCATCTTGCAATAAACAAGGTGAGAGCACTAATAAGAACTTTTTGGTGGAGCAGAAGTAGGTGGCGCGCGGCGGATCACCAAGACCAAGAACGCGCGCAGCGGATCTGTCGAGCAACAAATTTTTGGACTTTTTCTTCTCCCTAATCTGAAATAAATATTTTGTAAAAAGAGAAAAGTAAAATGAAGCTTGGGCTGACATTTTTGGTGCTTTCGGGTTTATCCGATGCTCAGACGAAGAAAAGAGGAGGGAAATTCAAGAAGAACAAACAGCAAAAGGAAGAAGCGGCTAGGCTGAAGAGAGAAATAAAAGCGTTTGTTTTGGGTCAATGCGTTACTGTGGCCCCTTCGAAGAGGGTTGACTGTGGGTCTGGGCTTTTGATATAGAAATTGTTTTAGCGAGCATCTGATAGGAAATCCGTGATTAACGATTGGCGTTTGTTTGAATTGAAAGCCCTCTAAAGTTATGAAGGTATCTCGATTGATCGGTGCCAAGCTCGAGGCTGCTGCTGGGACGACGGCGCAGGAAGCAACGTTCCTTGGTGTTTCCACGGCAAAAGGAGCGGTCATGATTTTCCCGTCTAAGTAACAAAATTTTAATCGGTGGTTGTAGCCTAAACAGAGAACCCTAGAAATTGCTAAATTATTAGAGCGCGTTTTATTTGCAAGGAAACAGAGAATTAACTCGTTCTGCGGGAAATTAGCTTTCGGAAAAATTGAGATCCAATTACAGTTCAATGGATAACGCTGTCGACTTGGCTCGTTTAGTGCCACAGAAGTCAACGTGTTCTGGAGACGCGAAACAGGAACTGGGGACGGACGTGAACAACGCACAATTGCGGGATCTATTTCGCAGATTATCTCGTTTCACCGATCATAGATTAGCCATTTTTAATGTTTTTAGGATATTTGCAAGCATCGAAATATTCGGAATGTTATATTCTGCGAGGGCCAAAAAGATACTCAACCATTAGTTACTTCTTTTCAGCTAAATTGTGAGAGAGTCATTTTCTGGCAACTGTCGTAATGAGTCTGTAATTGAGCGTCCAGCTGCAAATTTAAAAAAGGTTCATCCCAGCTAAAGCGCAAAAACTGCGGCTGGAATCGAATAACGCCTCAAGAATGCGAATCGATCGGTTGCTGCTTCGACGACTCAGTCCCTCGTGTTCCATGGTGCTCATACAAGCAGCCAGATAAAAACCGACCAATTTCGAAACTTACACCGAAAGTTGCTCCACTCTTTTGCGAGAAGCCGGACGTGGTCGGAAAGACGGGCTACAATTACGCCTGTACAGATGGATTTAGGCAGGATTCGACGTGCACAATAACCTGCGCTAATGGGCTCTCCGGAATGGGACGAGCGTGGAAGATCACGTGCGAAAGCCCGCAGAGAGGATGGATCGGCGAGACTCCATCGTGTGACCGTGAGTGTGATTTTCCCTTTCGCGCGGCTCATACTGATTTCAGCCGTGTTCAAACTGCCAAGCAAGACGGAACGCTCAATGTCTCGCTCTGTGAAAGCCACTCTCAAGCTACAAGCGCTTATTCGCCATAGATACATAACCGGTAATTTCCAATAAAAGCAACATTTGAGCGTTTCTCGTTCACGACTTGGTGTTTGGTTAAGAATTGACTTAATAACTTTTTCAGCTTCGAAATGCTACTTCCCGCCATCGCCAGCGAACGGAATCAGAACATGCTCACGAGTTGCTTCCGTTTTCCCTGGATCTGGTTATGATTATCAGTACGTTTGCACATTTGCATGCGACGAAGGTTATCAGTTACAAGGGGCACAGCAGCGCTCATGTCCAAGCAATTTCGGGAATAAAGCATCTTGGACGCACGCTTCTCCTAAATGTGTCAAATATGCTCCTAATACAGGATCAGGCTTCAATTCCATATTTTGAGAATTACTTGAGATATTTTGTTCGAGAAAAAATTTATTGAAGACAATTCAAGAATCTCGCTGGTTTGAAAAGAATGCTGGATGCCCAGGACTCGAGCGGCCAGATAGCCGAACGGAGATCAAATGCGAGCCCAGCCCTGTCTTTGGGAAGTTGAATTGCGAGGCTTCTTGTCCCGCGGAGTTCTTACGAGTAGTAGGTGCTCCTCGCCTTTTCGAGTGCTCCAAGAATCTCAAAGATCCGCGCCCAATTGTGCCAGTCTGTGCATCTGGGTATTGCAGCAAATTCCCGATGCCAGAGAATGGGACTGTCAACTGCACGAGATCCGAAATGGACGGCTCGGTTTGTACCGTTTCATGCAACGGCGGATTCAATTTGATCGGCGAAAAACAATACAGATGCAACAGAGTCAATTGGATGCAGACTTCTAGCAACACAAAAATGGAAAACGAGCCTCAGTGTGTATACGAGGAACTCTTTTCTGAGGGCGAATGTTCACTGCGGCGCTCTGCCACGACAAGAATTTTTGGCGGGTCGGCAGCATCCGAGAAGGATTTCATGATCACAATTCGATACGGGGAGCATTTCAAATGTGGAGGTGTCATGATCGCTGATCAGTGGGCTATTACTGCAGCCCACTGCGTGCAAGGTAATAAATTGTCGCTTTTTGAAAAGGAGTTATTACTAATAACTCCCTTTCAAAGCCTGGTTTTGATTTGAAATCTAGGTGCATTTGGACGTATTCACGTTCACCACGACTCACGAAATTCGAAAGACCTCGGCCCGGAAGTGTCTGTCGAGCGCATTGTCACTCATCCAAACTTTAATCGGAGATCGCAGCACGATATCGCGCTTATCAAGCTTGTGGAGCCTCTCTCTTCAGCCGACATCGTCTGTCTTCCTGAGCCGGAGTTCAACCTGCCTAACGGAGAAATTGTACAAGGTCTGTTGGCTACTCGTCAAGAGTGAAAAACTGATTGTATTTGATAATCATTTAATCTAATTAAAAATTAAGCGTATGGATACGGAAAAACGTCATCCTCTTCAGGAAGCCATGCGACGGGACTCCAGATGGGCCGAATCGAGTACATTCCGCCGAGCGAGTGTGGCTTTATTAGAAAACGATTCGACTATGAGAATTTATTCTGCGGAATGTCACCAGCTGACACATGCGACGTAAGACCTATGCAAAGGAGACAGTAGCGCATTCTCAACCCCAATAAAATTTCTTTGCCACCTCAGCTTGGTTAGCGTTCTAACACACTTTTAGGGCGATTCTGGGGGGCCAGTTCTATTCAGAAGTGGATCAAGTTTCAAACTCGTCGGCATTGTTTCCTCCGGAATTTGCGAAAGTAAAAATCCAGGTTTGTTTATAAATCATGAGTTAAGTTCCAGAGAAACTTTAGGATTGTACGTGCGCGTGTCGAAATTCATCCCCTGGATTCACGAGACGATTTTCTCTCAGCAGTAAATTTGGCTGAAGAGCGATGAACACGACCCTTTGACCGTCTTTGTAAATTTCTTCTTATTCGTAAAATGATAAATACACGTTTATGCACATAAATCAATTTGTTCTTTTCTTAACGCGGTATTTGTGTTCTGGGAGCGGCCCTGGTGATTGACCTCGGATTCAGCTCTAGAACGTGTTCAAAAAAAGAGAAAATGAAACTATACTTAGCGCTGTGTGCGCTTTCAGACACTATTCTAGCTCAAAGTTGTCCTGGAGGCTACTTTTGTATAGGAGGAACTGCACAGGCTTGTTCGAAAGGTTTTTATAGAGGACCAAATGATCAGCAGAATAAATGTCTATTGTGTCCCCCTGGAACTTATTGCCCTAACACAGCCACTGTTTATCCGCTTACGTGAAGGGATGATAAAAACACTCTCTGTAAGATGAGTTTGACGAGCTTTGAATCCCACTAAAGTGTCCTGGAGGCTATTACTGCTTCGAGCAAACAATAATTCCGCTTCCCTGTTCAAAGGTTTGATTATCACTTGATCCAGCTACAAACAAGTGTTTAGGGAAATTATTGTCCGGAAGGATTTTGGAGGGAATTTCCTTGTATCCCTGGAACATATGCAGATCAGGAAATCATGGCATCGTGCAAGAGCTGCCCTAGAGGAAGCTTTTGCCCCCTCGAAGGTTTGTTTTAAAAGCAAACTAACTTGTCAATTAAAGTTTATCAAAGGACAAGTTAATCCAGTTCAATGTCAAGCTGGATTTGTGAGCGAGCAAGGGTCAACTTCTTGTTCCAAATGTCCGGACGGTCATAAATGCGCAAATGGAATTGATTCAGGAGTTTGCCCGGCTGGGGGATTCTGTGATCAGAACGGAAGATATACTTCTTGTCCAGGAAATAGTTTAAATCGTGCTATATCTAGTTCTATTTCATCAAACTTTCAAACTCTTCAGCGGGAACATACAATCCGAACACGTCTGCAAGTTCTTCTTCTTACTGTATTATTTGTCAAAAAGGGTAAGCATTGTATTAGCCATATATCATGAAAAAGGCAGAGAGTAAGCAGAGAATTGAGACGAAAACAACAGTTCCCAAAAGCCACTGAAACTCTGGTTCTAAAATCTCGAAATTTTTATAGTTAGAAACTCTTGAACCAGTGCCCAAAGCCAGAATTGAAAGAGTCCTTTCATCGGCAAATCGTACATCAAGTTTTCGCTTTCCACGTTTTCAACATATCGGACCTGTTCTTCGAATGTTTCGTTGAATTCGAACCTTGAAAATGTTGATTTACGCAACGAAAAAACAAACTATAGGGCTAATGCTGGTGTTTCTGGTTGATTGACGACCGCTAAGTCTCAACGATAGCCCTCTTCACCTTTGAATCACGTCGCTGAGTGCACCTGTAATGAGTTGTACTCTTTGATATTCTGATTAAATTTGGTTAAACATGAGTATCTCTCTCTTTTTTGTAACCCTTAGCGGAAAGCTGTAAAACTAAGATCATCATAGTAATGCTTTTTAGATGGGTTGATATCTTCAAAATTCGTATGTTCCTCTTAGTTATCAACCCCCACTGGACAGGACAGCGCTTCCCATTTTTTTCTTCTTTCTCTTATTGATTCTACTTGAAAATAATAATGAAACTGCTTTCGATATAAAATATTGCGAGTGATGGCACTTTTTCGGGATTTAAATCTGAGCAGGGGCAGTTAACAGTTCGTAGAAACTGTTCCGGGGCCTCATAAAGCATTTCCTCAATTGCCCTTTTCTAGTTTCGCTAATTTCAGAACTTACTGCCGAGCTGGCTCAATTTCACCTACTTCATGTCGAGAAGGATCTTATCAGCCGAAACTCGGTCAATCGCGATCGTATGCTTGCAAAAACTGTCCAGCTGGCAGTTATTGCCCAAGAAGTGGTTTGGCAAGTGCAATTCCCTGTCCTGATGGTTTTGTATGTCCAAGCGGAACAGTAGATCTGGGCCAAGCAAAAAGACAATGCCCAAGAGGATACTTCTGCAGAGGAGGGAGAAAAAAGTCGAAATGTCCGAAAGGCTCTTATCAGGAACCAGTTTGATAAATTTTCGAGCGAATAAAATACAGATTTTCAAAACTTAATGAAAGGATGAGCAAGCACAAAGTTCCTGTAAAAACTGCCCAGTCGGGCGTTTTTGTCCGAAAGCATCCGTTGACCCTGTTAGTTGCCCAAAAGGAACGTTTTCGAATTCGTTGAACTTAACGTCGATTCATGACTGTCAATGGTGCCCAAAAGGAAAGTACTGTCTCGGACGAGGCTTGAACAAGCCAACTGGGAACTGCCAGCAAGGCTTTTTTTGTCCTGGGAAGAGTTTTTTACCGTCTAGTAGACTCTGTCCAGGTAACAAGTTAACTTGAGTTTTGGGTTTTTAAATTTTTCTAGCTGGTCATTACTGTCCGACAGGAACAAAACTACCTATACAGTGTCCGCGAGGAACCTACAACAGGAAAACAGGTGAAAAAAGTATCTCCTCCTGTCTGAAATGCGCTGACGATTTATACTGCAACGAGCGTGCTCGTGTCCGGCCAACTTACAGGCAGGAGCTTTTAGATTTCAACTAATTATTGCCTCTTTCTGCGGAAATATTTTCGTGAGATTTCAAAAAGTCCTGAAAAGTATATGGTCGACGTTCAGAAGAGCAGCAAATTATCCCTTTCCCGAAACATATCCCTGGCCGAATTAGATTTTCACATTTTATTTTTATCGAAGACAGGAAATAAATTCAAAATACAAAATGTCTGTCTTCTTTGAGACTCTTTAGTTCACCGGAGGCAGTAGTAGTTGTGTCTTGAGAATGGCGCTACTCTAGCTCTAGGAAGCCGAATAAAAGGAGATTCCGGAATGAGGCAGAAAAGGTAAACTAGTTTTACATAGATGGTATTGATTCGTTTGTAAAATTGGAGAATCTTTTGTCCCCCATTTCACTGTCGACATGTAAAGAGATTGAAAGAGATTAACTTGATATAATTAGTGTTGTAGATTTAGGTTAAGGCTGCGTCTAAGCACTCCAATAAGTGAAGTCCTGGCACTTCCTTAACCTACTGCTACAGCATTCTAATCGACAAAAAAAGAAGATAAATTATCTTCGATAATTTTAAAAACGCGGATTTCACCGTAGGTTTCGCGAAGAGCGACTCCGCAATAACTCTTAGATTCGCTCTTTGAGAAGCTTATTTTGATTCCCGCCTGTTCGGCATTTGTGAATTATAGAATTTATTACAGTCAGTATCTATACCAATAGATTTATCTGTTTGCATATAGATCTAGACCATCCCAGAAGTCGCAAGTTTCAGTTTTGAATCCACTTTCGCTGCGCGTAACCAATCGTTCATTGTTAGGGGTGAGCTCGTTGTATCCAAAGTGCATATACGTATTTCCGTCATTGAAGCTCTTCCATTCTGGCAGATCTGGGTCAGAATCGTAAATATCCTAAAACTTGCGTTAGTCTGTTTCTTTCTACTCAACATTTTACTTGGATTATTTTCGGGTACCAAGCACCGCTTTGATCGTTAGGGTCGCCGTTTCGAACAAAATTTCCCCAATATCGATGCATGTATCTTTCCATGAGTTTGTATTCTTTGAATGGCATTGTTCCAAATGGGTTTCCATCCGAATCGCACTGCATGAATTCACTATTTTCCGCATTGATCTAATATAATTATTTGTCGTCAAAGCATGTTCCCACAAGAAAGGACTTACATAAGTACAGTTCAGGCTTTCTTCAGCTTCGAATGTATATTGCAAGTCGGCAGCATGGCAGGAGACGATGTGGCACCTTTTAATGTCAGATCAAACATGAAGTATGGTGAAATGATGTACCTATCATAGGTTCTGAAACCACCATGTGGAAAATGGGCAAAGTCAATAGGCATTCCAGCACGGAAGTGATATGCGTACAGATTTTTGGCATTGTGTTCTTTATAAAACTTGCGCAGTGGGCATGTGAAAACCCAGTCGGTTGCCGGCTCTTCAATGACATCACGATCATCATGTTTTGGGCCTTTTTGCAGACAGGGCTACACATACTCTTAGTGAAAATGTATTCGATATTGATTTACCGCGTCAGAGATGCCGTTGCAAACTCCTTCAATGAGAGATAGAGCAGGTGCGCCAGCAACACCCTCGCAAATGCCAAGAGCCCCACAGAGACTATCGATGCATTCCTTTGGATTAAAATCTGATGTTGTATTTCCCCATTTAGGATCATTCGGATCATAACCTGGTGTGTTACAGATTACGTCGTATCGATCCATAATCTTGTCAAATTTTTCTTGGTCATGAACAATAGCTCGAACTCCAGCAGTTGCCTCGGCACCGCTGATAGGACTTCCCCAAACAGATCTTACGTATATTTCCGTTTCGTGCTCCACGGACCCAGCCATGATATTGATGTTCTTGTTGTATTTTCCCTCGACGAGATCCCAAAAGGGCTGTCTGTGCATGATACTATTGTCAACCATGGGCAAAAACTTCATAGCAAGAGTAAAAAGTCGATCGGGATTGACTAACTGTGGCATTTGGCGACGAACTCGCATCACAGCATCCTTATCTAGTGCACGAAGACATGCATTTCTATCTTCAGGTGATGTTATCTGATCATTGATGCAGCCAGCAGTGTCGGCGAATTGCCAAGCTTGCTTTTGTCCTTCCCAATTTTCTTTCATCGGGATCGCGAGGGGATTCGAATGTGATACAACACTATTTATCATGTCACTTGAGTGAAGCAAGTGCAAGAGTGTGCTGACCCCGCCTGCTGATTGTCCAAAAATCATGATTTTTTCCGGGTCTCCTCCGAACGCATCAATGTGTTCCCTGACCCACCGAATCGACTCTTGCTGATCCAAGAATCCCCAATTAGCATTAGTAGTCTCACCCTCTTCTGTCTTCTCCAACGCCATGAAGCCAAAAGGACCAAGTCTGTAGTTGACGGTAACGACGACCATGTCCATCATTGGCGCCACAAATCTTGCATCGTAAAGTGGATTTCCTCCTGCTCCACCTGCAAAGGCTCCACCGTGGAACCAAATGGCCACAGGTATTTTACGCCCCTTTTCGAAAGATTCTTTTGAGACGAAAATGTTCAAGAAGAGACAGTCTTCTTTACTGATGGGAGCGTAGCTGCTATCACCTGTTAAAAGTTCAAAAATAGTTTAACGGAAAAATGAAAATGAATTACACCAATAAACTTAGAAAAATTTTTGAACCCAACCTTGTGCACAAAACGGTGCGTAATACCTAGCATTGTGATATCCCCATGTCTTAATGGGGCGCGGGCTTTTCCATCTGTACTCACCCTCTGGCGGTAATGCGTATGGAATGCCTTTAAATACTATACTATAGTGCTCATTGTTCACAAGTCGTGCTGGATCGCCAAGACCAGGATCGTCGTCACCCTCTTCGAACCAGGTGTAACCACGAATGTAGCCCCCTTTTGTTAAAATGTCGACAGAGTTCTTCGTTGGCGGAGGAGTCGTTGGAGTTGGAGTCGTTGTTGTTGTTGGAGTAGTCGTTGTAGTTTGAGTCGTCGTTGAAATTGGCGACGTGGTTGTTGTGGTCTCATCTTTATCGCATGATTCTCTTGTCAAGCCGAATCCGAGACCAAAACCAAGGCCAGCTATCGTTGTTCCAATGCATAGACCAATGATAAGGTTCTTCCACTAAAACAATTATTATCTCTGCTTTTTTCGTACTTTTGTACTTTTTTCCAGAATGATCCCATTTTAGCTCGTCGAGAACTTCTGCTCTTGGCGGACTGACAAAGTCTTTTTGGAACTGCATGTTCTTCCAGTGCCACGCCCTGATTTTTGAACTTTTCATAGAAGGTTATTGCATGAAGATAAATCTCAACCGGACATCGATTCTGCAAATGCTAAGAGATTTTAGGAATGTGTACTCGGTAATGTTTATTGACAGTAAAGTAAAAGAATTTACAGTGTTTCTGGCTGTGGCGTCAAAGAGTGTATTCAGTCATGAGACTGTGTGTTCGCTCGTGTTCCTCCCATGGAAGATTGTCGCAAGTGTCAGGTTTGTTGGAGATGCCATCAACGTAGCCAAGTTGGCCAACGACTTGCATGATCCTATAAATGAGCATAAATTTAAGACAACCATTTTAAGCATTGTGAAAGTTCAAAGCTACCTGTACTGCTCGGAATTAGTCAAAATCAAGGAAGAAGGTTCCCTCATTGATTCCAAATACTTAGAGACACCCTTTGAAAGATATCGTTGATGAACTCTATCGGCTTCCAATACGGCCAAGCAGTGTTGTAGTGCCCAACAGCCCCAGTTTGAAACACCGCTGTAATTACAATTTAAAACATGTCTTTTATAAGAATTCATCACCATGAAAGAAGCCACATGGTGGAAGCGGAAGCAGCAATCATGTCTCCATTGTGAATTGAGCCGATAACTTCGTCATGCACTTTGCCCATGCCAAGCTCGTTTCCTCCGTCGCCGATAGCGATCGTAGGGATATTGAGGTCCAGCGCGCGGTACCAGAGATCTAAAATACAGCTAGTTTAACAATAAAATGTTTAACAATAAATAATCAGGCAATATCTACTGCACTGGCATTACCTTCAACTCTATCAATAGAGGCAGTCGGCATGGTTTCTCCGCTCATTTTGTGGCACTTGCCATCGTCCCCTGCTCCAGCACGTTCGCAGGCGACGAAACAATCAAACTCCCCTTGTTCGAGCAGCTTCATTGTAGTGTACAAACTCTCGTCCTTTGGAACAAGAATCTCCGGCAGTGGTCTTCGGATCAGGTCCTGCTCCGCCAGTTCATCGAGCAGAATAGTGAACTTGCCTACTTGCTGCTCATCCAAAAGGAATGTGACCTTTTTACCGAGACGAAGAAGAGTTACACACAATGCTGTTTTTGCGGTTTTAAGACATAGACAATTATTAATTTAGATAAGAACTTGTGAGAGTCTGACTTAAAAACCAATTTCCTGCTACGCCAATAGGCCCATCATTTTCATACGGGAACTTGCCTGGGTTGCATGGGAAACCCGTCGTGATAAGGACAGATTTTGCATGAGAAAGTGCGAGCGAGGCTCCTTGCAGGTCCCCGGGTTGAATTAAATGTTGGATGCCACGAAGTCCAGGATCTCGGCACATGGCCGCTTCGACCATTTCCATCTTCTCGCTAGACTCGGCGGTCAGAAGTGAATAGTGTCCTTCCATCGGGTTGTATTCCACGACGTTGAGCTCCACATTTTCTCGGGCAGAGAGACCCTGAACATTATTTTATCGTATGCTTCGCTTATTTCGGTTTTACCTCATCGATAACAAGCATACTGCCCGGGGCGTGAGTAGCGGCCAACGGAAGTTTTGCAAAGTTTAACGCGCTTCCTGCTGAGACGCCGCAAGCCCAAAAACATGGAACGTCGCCATCTTTCGCGAAAACAGAATCTCCATAGTCTGGTTCCTCAATATTAGAAATGCCAATTGCTTTTGGCGAGCCTATCCAAATCGGGGCGCCATGGGACTCTGGAATGGGCGAGGTGCAAGAGGCAGCAAGGGCGAGTTTTTCTTTTGGAATGTATCGCATGGAAACAACCATTGGACCTCCGAATGGACCGCAGGGAGTCATTTCTACATTTGTCCGGTACATGGAAACATTACGCTTTTGTTCGACGTTACGCACTAGAAATTCTTTGAAAAAAAGATCGATCGGGTTTCATTTTACCTGGGACGCCATTTCGCTGGAGGGCATATTCAAATCCAAATGAACAGCCGAGAAAAAATGGTCGTAGATTTTCATATCTCGCGGGAGGGAGCAGGTACTTTTGGACGGCGCCACGGGAACCATCCGTATACACTTCATAGCCTGGAACATCTGTTCTTGCGTCACAAAAATCCGAAGTAAGGGGCTCTGCGTTGAAATCGCCCTTTTCTTTCGACTTGTGGAGAAGAGGAAGAGGCCCGGGATTGTTTTCGCAGAACTCGACGAAATCATTGAAATGCTCGTCCGGGATGAAAGCCAAATTGGCCTGCTGATAGCCAGGGCAGAGGCCAGAAGTTGGTTTGAATTTGAACTGACCGCATCGAACTGCTTGCCGCAGATCTAATATTTTTATAAGATAACATTTTCATGGGGGTCTATTAAAAAATCGCATAACTAAAATTGATACCTGACGGAGTCTCGAATGACATTCCAGGTCCTGCCTCTGGTTTGAGCCCTACGTCATCGTTTTCTGCTTGCTCTTCGTCCACCCGTTTGAATTTCTCGTCTTTGTTTACTTTTCTTACCTTGATCGTCATGTCCTCCATATCAACGTACTGCTCTGAGAAGCGGCTTTTCCTCGAAAAATTCGATGAAATTTTCAGCTCTCGAGTTCCCAAACGCGGGAAACGCCTCATAAAGCTCAACATCAAACAAGCTTGATGGGAGGGGCTCTCTGAAAAACAAAACTCGGAATCCACAAAACAATCCGCTAAATTTCAAAAAGAAAAAAAAGCATCGCAAATAGTGAAAATAGCCGTTCCTTCATCGTCGGCCAAGCGGATTTCTTGTTGGCTGTTTTGGAACTCGCTCTGGTCGGAAACGTAGAGGTCTGTGGTTGGCTTACAAAACAATTCTAGCGAGAGAGAATTGTCGAAAAATTTTAGTTCAGAAAATATACTTTTTTATCAAAATATCATCTGTGTATTAATTGAAAATCACGGTATATATAATACGGTATTGATTGACTCCAAATTTGATAAAGTGATCATCAATGAATGATGTGAATCTAAGCCTTTCTTTTTCGGTACTTTCTCTCTCCTTCAAGGTCTGTGCGATTTGCGCCTTGAGTTCCTCCACAGTCGGCGCGTTCTCATCCTCAATTTCTTCGATAAAAACCATTTTTCTTTGCCTGGTGTTTTTCGGGTGTTCAAAAAAGTTTGAAATTTTCCCGCTTTTCTAGGATGGGACGGTAGGAGTTAACACCCATGCCGCAGCTGATAAAAATTGCATAATGGCCAATCAAGCGTCACTGGGACAGTCAGTACTCACACAGCGGGAAGTGTACAGTCCCTTGCGCCGACAAGCTTTCCAGTGAGTCATTCCGGGCGCTGCCATTCCTATCGCTTCGATGGAGATTTTTCTTTAGGACGATAAAAATATATTTCTTGAGAAATTACAAAATAGCGTGTTTTGACCCTTCTTGTTTCAAGCTTTTCGAGTACTATCAGTGCTCAACTATGCTTCATAATATACCAATAGAAAGCTTAGAGCCTCTTCTAGGGGGATTTGAATTCAAAAAGAGAAATAACGGACCCGAAAAATTATTTTGATACAACTTAGGTACTTAACTTTGACGGTGATTAAAGGGTACTTCCGGCTTCATTTGTTAGTTACACAATTTATTTTCTTCTGTTTTCTATTCAAATCCCCCAACAAGAAGCTACAAGCTTTCTTTTGATATATTATGAAGCATAGTTGAGCACTGATAGTACTCGAAAAGCTTGAAACAAGAAGGGTCAAAACACGCTATTTTGTAATTTCTCAGAAAATATATTTTTATCGTCCTTAGACCGGGGTTCTCGGCTGAGGCAGGCTGATTGGACGAGCTCGGTTTGAGTTTTTCGAGAAGTCGAAAAAACATCGCTAATTTTTAGTCAGTCGCAGACATCACAAATTTTGGAATTTGAAGATGAATGTCAAGATGATCAGCGAGAAATACTGTTCTACTGAGGACTCGAAAAGATACTCTTGTAAGAACAAGAGCGACAAAGAGAGAGAGGGCAGAGCCTGTCAAATGTTTGATGAAGGTGTCTTTATAAAATAAATTTTCGATATTTAGGTTCACGGAAACTATGTACGGCAAAGAAAGGGAGCCGATCTGTTTTGTGTGCGCTTCAATATTCGACAAGAAACTGCTTGAAAGGGGACGCCACTCATTCGTACCTCCTGTAAAATTCAAATGCGCTGGTCGTGATTGCGAAAAGGAACTTACCTTCCGCCAGCTCGTCGACGGACAGTGCTGCCCTGAGACTGCGTTTGTTTTGTCTTTAGGTACCCAGTCTATGAATTCCTCTCTAATATCCTCTCAAAGAAAGCTCTGCACACGTGAACACCTTATTCCAATGCTTGAAGAATCAAGCCGACAAGTGCAAAAAAGATGTTCATCGGGCGCGATCCACCTTTGGTCGCACAAAAAAAGTCCTGGAAGAAGCAATACAGGCTCATGAAAAGTCCACACAAAAATTCGAGAAGGCTGAAGCAGCGTTCAAGACAAAGCAGCAACAAGAAAAAGAATTATTTTCACTCATTTCCAATAGAAACAGAGGTATTTTAAGTCTTAAATTCAGAATAAGAAGTGGAAATTAGTCTAACATGCCATTTTTCAGCGATCAAACTGAGTGCAGCGTCCGAGAACGAGCAAAAGCCCGGATGCCAAGTCTGCATGGAAAACTACAACAACGACGAACGATTTGAATGTGCTCTTCCGTGTGGCCATCGATCTTGCATGAAGTGCTTGACACATTTGTCAATCACTTGCCGATCACTATGCCCTACTTGCCAACAGCCATTCTCAAAGGATCAGATCATCAAGCTCTACTGAATACAACATCACTTGTCACAAATCACTGTCACTGCGACTTCCCAAGAAAAAATCAATAAAAGCGTAATCATTACCTCTTTCAACTCTTTTGGCACATTGATATATTCTGCATTCATAGGGCTTCCGTATAAAAAAACAAAATTTTAACTGGGCTGACCGAATTGTTTGAAACTCGGGGAGGGAATGTATTTTTCAGTGGAGAAAAATTTTCATCATAAAAAAAAAATTTTTATCCACGCACGTGATTGTTAAAATGAGAAAACTGATTTTCTCGTCTCGTCCCTTGTCGATTTTTTTCATTTTTAGATATGTGAAAGGGCATAGTCAAAAACCTAGATTTCTTAAAAAAAATTTATTGCATATGCAATAAAACATCTAAAATAAGATTTTATCTTGATATTAAGATTTTATTGTTTAAAAAAAGTCCTCCGGAGGACTTTTGCTGGAAGAAGCTTTTATGAAGAAGACATTGAAAAATTAAAAATAATTTAACAAATCAATCGAAAATAATAATGTATATTTATAAAAACATATCAACTCTACTAAAAACTATCATTCGGGCTGTTACTTCGGGCCGTTTCAGCCCCGTTCCATGATTTTTAAATTTAAGGGCTTGACGGCCCTTCGGGCCGTTTCAGCCCCGTTCCATGATTTTTAAATTTAAGGGGCTTGACGGCCCTTCGGGCCGTTTCAGCCCCGTTCCATGATTTTTAAATTTAAGGGGCTTGACGGCCCTTCGGGCCGTTTCAACCCCGTTCCATGATTTTTAAATTTAAGGGGCTTGACGGCCCTTCGGGCCGTTTCAGCCCCGTTCCATGATTTTTAAATTTAAGGGCTTGACGGCCCTTCGGGCCGTTTCAGCCCCGTTCCATGATTTTTAAATTTAAGGGGCTTGACGGCCCTTCGGGCCGTTTCAGCCCCGTTCCATGATTTTTAAATTTAAGGGCTTGACGGCCCTTCGGGCCGTTTCAGCCCCGTTCCATGATTTTTAAATTTAAGGGCTTGACGGCCCTTCGGGCCGTTTCAACCCCGTTCCATGATTTTTAAATTTAAGGGGCTTGACGGCCCTTCGGGCCGTTTCAGCCCCGTTCCATGATTTTTAAATTTAAGGGCTTGACGGCCCTTCGGGCCGTTTCAGCCCCGTTCCATGATTTTTAAATTTAAGGGGCTTGACAAAGGCCTGGAACTCCGAGTTGATCAATCTCAGTTATGTCCCCAACCCCACCCACACCCATGATTATTAAAATTCAATTTGTCCTTGTTTATTTGCAAATTATGGTTTTTCCGTTAAATATTGAAATATTATATATTTTTGAAAAATTTAATTCTATGTCTTCTTCTAAAAAGTTTCTTCCAGCAAAAGTCCTCCGGAGGACTTTTTAACAATAACAAAGTTAATTTTTTACTAAAAATTACTATTTCTGATGATATAAATGGCCAGTCAAAATTTTTTTTATGAAATATTATGTTTTTGATGTTTCTCTATAACATATCAAAAAATAAAAAAAATCCACAAGTGACAACGCACAAATGAAAAATCACCATTTTTATTTATATAATTTTGATATAAAACATTATTTTCTTTTAATTCTTTTGCCCCTAAAAACTTTTTCTTATATTGATTTATCCCTCCCATAATTATTTAAGGAAACAATGAACGGAATCAGAAACAATTTTTTTATACGGAAGCCCTATGCATTCAACAGAGGGCGAACGCCAAATGCGATCATATATTAATATATAACTATATGGGGGAGATCAATATGTCACCAGTCTTCGGACATATTCGCGCTTCGAAAAGCGCGATCAAGCAGAAGAGACAATGACTTGCAACATGACAATGACAGATAATAAGTATAAGAGAAAGCGCAGTATGGTCAAGGGCTCATATTAGAATTAAACATAAACTTTAATCGGCTTCAATCGTAAATATGCGTGATAAGATACGGTCGTTTCTGAAATCGTCCCTCAACAAGGTAAAATACGGAAGTTTTTCATATTAAAAACCTGTTCATAGATGCATTTCTACGTAAACTCGGAACTCCGGTAAAGGATGAAATGCAAATGATTTATGCTAATAACTTTTATGTTATCGAAATGCTGTGCCAAAGGAACTGCTTTCAACCTAAAAGAACATGCCTTTACAAAGAAGAAAGAGTATATTTGACTTCACTCCAAAAGAACGCTTCAAAATGCTAAAAGAGGTGCAATTATTTGAATTGACACACAATCGAGTTGCTCCTTAGGTGAATACTGCAGAAAAACAGAGTGGAGTTGGCTCGGGTAACATCGAAAGCGCCGCGTATCACGATGAGCATGAACTCACAGTGATCTTCTGGGGGCTAGGTACGATAAAACTTTGCATTTTAAAGCAATGTTCTTTTAGTTCTTTTGCTATTCTGGTCTTTGGAGTGCTACCGTACTCACTTGAAAGCGTGATTCTTCCTTATGTGCTGGCAAACAGCACGGCAAATGCTTCTTGATCAAACCTATCAATAAAGTAAAGAAACACAAGAGTCGAGAATCTATTCTTATATATTCATCTTAATTATTCTTTCTGTGCAGTAAACGAATTCGAGAAGAAAAATCATAAGTTTTTCGCAATAAGACCTTCACTTATTTCAGACTCCTCGTTTTCTTCCTTCTCTTCTTCTCTTTTCTCGTCGTCTTCAAGAAGATGGGGCTGCTCAAAGTGATCGTCGCCTTTAATTTTCAGATATTCGACTAGAGGGCCGATTGATCCACCTGAATTGAACTCAGGACAGTTATCGAAGTTTTTCAGTTACCTTGAACAAAGGAAGTAAAAAAGATTATAGCTATACACGTGGTAAGCATTTGATGGATATGAGGCAGGAGGTGAGGTGGAACAACTTTCGTCAACGAGAAAGCAATGCCACCGCGCAGACCAGAAAGCGACATCACAAACTGATCGTTGTACGGAATTGGCTTGATCCGAAATTGATTGAGAATCCATGTCAGTCCATAGACTGACATAAAGCGGTACACTGTGACTGCGATAATCGTCACGACAAACAGTCCCGTATTCTTAAAAACGTTTCCTTGTTGTCTCCGAAATTGACTTTTATCTTACCCAATTGTGCGCAAAGTCGGTCATAAACTCCTGGACACTCGTAAGGCCAAGCATGATGAAGATTATAATTTCCGCAGTGTTCGCCATCATCTTGAGACTAAAGACGAAATAAAACAATTATCAATAATTTATTACGCGCTGATCAGAGTGCGTTATTCGCAATTGACCACAGACATTGACGAACCTGTATTTAACGACGACATGCGATTCGGCGGACATTTCGCCTTCTGAGCGATCCATCATTACAAAGGCGCAGAAGATTATGCTCAGAATAGCGCTCAAGTCAAGTAACTCGGCAATAAGATACGCCGTGTAACAATTGATGAAGATGAACATCGGCTCAAGCATTCGAAATTTTTTCGTGGCCTGTATTCAGAACTTTATTGTCTTGCTTTTTAAGAAACGTTAGATCACCTTGAAGACGAATGAGCCCAAGTATCCGAAAACACAACCCATCAGAGTGCCACCTCCAGCGACAATGGAGAACTTTATCACAGCTCTCCATAAGTTAACGAAAGTTATCGCGGCATCTCCGATTTCAAGAAAGCTCTCGAAGACTTGATAGAGGACAACTGCGACACCATCGTTTAAAATCGACTCGCCGAAGACAGAAATATACAGCACCATGTTCACCTTAAAAAGTAGAGAACAGAGAAAACATATATACGGACCGTATAATACGGTAGTTAGTTACCTTAACTTCTTCGAAAACGGCAATAACTGTGACTGGGTCGACTGCAGACATTATTGATCCAAACAAAAGGCACTCTTTTCAAACGGCTCAGAAAATTAATCTTCCTTTTTAACTAATCTTTCCCCTGAAAATAAACTCCACAGAAAAGCTCTTTTCAACTAAATGTTTTCGGAGACCGTTTCCTAAAATACCAAGTGGCTTTGACGCTCCTTCATCAATATCCGGAAATAGTCCCAACAAGTAGCAGCCGTAAATGGTCAACCCAATCGCGAACGCATTAAACAATGTGCCAACAACTGCGTATGTTAAAATCGTTCCTATATTCTGGAAGAAAGCTTTTTTCGGCATGAAGAATCCGGCATCGAGCATAATGGGAGGGAGAAGAAACGTGAAAAAGCGTTGCGTGGTGAAGAGATGTTCCGCCAGATGAACCTCATGCACGCAGTAGAACAACTCTCCGGCAATAAGTCTTTACTAAGGGTTGTCGATGCTACGAGGCATATAAGAAGGCAACATTCAGGTATTCGTCGAGCGTAGTTGTGAGCGTAGTGGAATGATATTTTGGCCAGTAATGCTACTGTTATACAGATGCAGACTTTCATAAGGGTACCTTCCTTATCTGGATACTTAAATGCTATTCTTAAGAGTGCGTTAGTTTTCCCATTTTCCTAATAGCGGATCTTCCACATCCTCCCATTTTAGTTGAACGAGGGGTATCAGTGTCGAATTGATTGCTCTGAGCTCTCTGTTTTTGGTGATTTGGTCAACAAGTCCCATGTCTTCTTCGCTTCTGTAGCCTCTAAACAGCTACTTTCTCTATTTCGTAATTTTGAATATGAAAATCGCGGCGAAATGCCAAAATCACTGTGCACGTCAAAAAGAAAGGAGGGCAGTCGAAGGCAGTTTTTACGGAGTCAGAGCCGTGAAATCCATGTCTGATCCATCACAAGATTAGCTTTAGTACTCTAAACTTAAGACACCACCGCGATAATGACAATATACGCTTACGATGTTACGCTGCCACCTTTTTCAGTATTCAAAATTTTGATCTGGCTTCTGTTTGTTTACGTTTTATTATTTTACGTACTGATAAGCAGTAGAAAAGTACCTGTAGCTCATTTTCGTCTCCACTCTCTTGGTTACTTCGGCGAGCAACTTAAATACTTTCCGGTTGAAATCGGAACCAGCAAAGCCGATATATCGCTCGCTTGAGTGGGCCCGAAATGGCTTCAACCATTGTCGGACTTTTCAAAAATTAAGAAAATCACGCATCAGGGAATCAACCGTGGGATCATCACACCTCTTTTCGTACTAATTTACGACTATTTTAGTTACCAAGTCCCAAATCATGATTATTTTTTTGCCAAGAAACAATTTTTGGAAATTTCGATATCAAACTTACAGACGCAAGGAAGGTTTCTTCCTATTCTCGAGCTGTCTTCTCTCTGTCTCTTCCGTCGGTGAGAAAAAAGTGCTTCAATGATCTAATCGGCCAGAAGTAAGTCTGTTTGAGAGAATTCAAAAATAGTTAAAACGCTTAGAATCTTAGCAAAGGATACGATACATGCTCAAGTCTACTTGCTGATCCTCCAGCTTTTCTTTGCATCGAATTCATCAGCAAAAAGTTCTTTAGTAATAAAATACTAAAGAGAAATTGTTACTTCTTTTCTCTTCTTTTCCTCTTCTATTCAATCCAAGTTCTCAAAATAGATGAACGGCTTTCCAATTTGATTATTCGAACATTGCGGCTGGCGATAAAATTGGAAAATTAATGGTGATAATTAAAAGTATTAGAATATTTTTGATGATTGAGCGGAAGAACAAATTGAACCCAATTCAAACTTTTAGCGACGAAAGAATCAAAAAAAGTAAGTCTGATTTTATTAAATCTTAAGAGAGTATATAAACAGAATGTTATATACGCTGTTCTTGTGTAAATGATGTAATGCCGCTTGAAAGTGAAAGGTATAATTTACGGTAGGAGCCCGAAATGCATTGTTTTTGTTTTGGCGTCTCGAGCTGTTCGAAGTAGAGTAAACAAAACCATACAAGTAGAAGCAAGTCGAAATTATTTTCTTGAAGCGCTTCGAAAGACGCTATTCGCATAATTCTAAGCGGGGTTTAGCATTTGCGACATTTTGGGCTGCGCGGCGGTGGCGCTCACTCTCGCTCAACGAACGTGCGCCGACCTCTTCAAGCCAATTCTATTACTTTATTTTATATAACCACCATTGAACCCTTTTTTAAGTCGAGAGAAAGCTCAGAGAGAGAGTTCCTGAAGAAAAGTGGCAGAGAGGTAGATGAGTATATCGGACGATGAAGTGGCGCTCAAAATAGTCGTCGTTGGAAATGGAGGCGTCGGAAAATCTTCGCTTATTCAGGTTTTTATTCTTCGAAATTCATTCTCCACTTCCCTCTTTTAAGATTTATTTTTTACATTAAAGGAGATAACAGAAGTTAATAGACTCTTTTTTTTCGACCCGAAGTCTGAGTTTCGAAGCTGATAAGAGGAAACTAAATTCAAATGAATTCAGCACGTGTTAAGGGATTGACGCGATTAGAAGCTAAAACTTGAAATTCTTTTGGCTTTTGCGAAACGCTCCAATTCAGCCAAACGAAATTAATCGAGCCCGGAGAGAGGGATACTGTCACGCTCCCTTTGCTTTTTAAGAATATCGCTAAGAGGTCAAGCAAGGCCAAACGAGTGATAAAAATGTTCAGAGATTTGCGACTGGCCTCTTTACGCAAGAATACAAGAAGACCATTGGAGTCGATTTCCTCCAGCGGAGCCTTTCTTTGGCCGGCATTTCTATCAATCTGATGCTTTGGGACACCGCCGGACAAGAAGAGTTCCACTCAGTCACGCGGGCCTATTATAGAGGCGCTCACGGAGCCGTTATTGTCTACAGGTGAGCGTTAGCGATAAAGTGACAAGCGAAATGCGCGACGGGCTGAAATTTCAGCTCCTTATCAAAGAACCCATTTATCTGGCTACAGCTGATGTCTGGATTAAAAAACGTCCTTCTCTGCATGACTCAGGAACGACAGGGGACATTTTTCTTTCGAGTAGAACACCTTAAACGCTCGATTGTCAAGTGAGCTTAATAAAAGGATCATGACAGATCAGAGGTCTCCGGAAGTGAGCTCTGAGCACACTTGCGCGCTTTGATTGATTTTCTATTTTTTCTCTTTTTCTCGTAAGAACTGTAGTACGCCTTTAGACTTCGCAGGTGCTAGTTCTAGCACTTGAAAAGCAGACACTTACAAATGATTTCAGTGCGTCGGATCCGGAGAGTTTCGCAAATGTAGAAGACTGGAAGAAGCGCGTGACAAACGAATGCGGAGAAATACCTATGGACGGGGGATAATTTCAGTTTTGTTTTTTACCTCGCTTGATTGACATACTGGGGCACGTAAGGGGACCCTTTTCTAAATACTCAGTCAAGTCATGTTACCGGTTGATGTCCGACCAGCTACGTGAAAGGGTTAAGCCAAGGACTTAAGGAGGAAGCCGTGTAGATCTAGCTCCGGCTGAGAAACGAAAATATCCCTATTCAAGTGCTCGTACATAACAAAGTTGACCTCGATGAGCAGCAAGTTCCCAAAACAGCGGGTCAGGTTGGCTTCACCACTATTTCAAATCACTTATACTCTTCTTGTGCATATTCATCTTATAATAGCCTTATGCCATCGATAAGCTCCAAAGCAACAGGGCTTATGAGAGCGCTGTGGTGAGGCTAGAAAAAGAACGCGGCGGCGCGACTGCGTCTTCCCTTCCAAACGACAAGTGTTCTCAAAGATCAAGGCGTCACAGAGGTTTTCAAAAGGTTATCCCGCGCCAACCTCGAGCACATTCTTGGTAAATAGATAATCTTTTTCTTATTCATGTTTCTTCCTCTCTAAAGGTTGAAATTATTTACCCCTAAGCTGAAGCGCTTCTGGTGATATTTAGACGCTCTAAAAATCAATTTTCAGCATCGAAAAAGATTTCCGACTTTCGCGACTTAAAAACGGAAGACGACGACCGACCTAGGAAGAAAAGAACATTCTGGAGTTGCTTCAGCTGCTTTCGCTAATCGCTCACGATCAATTAACCCTACTATACTGCCAACAATCGCTTCAATAATGAAAAATGACATTTTCACCGAATAAACTTAGAAATTTTAAAGCATCAATGTGTTTTGAGTTTAAGCAGAGGCGTATTGCAATAAAAGTTTTTAGTAAATAGCTTTATCAGTTATGATTTGACACGGGCAATGTTTTACATTGATAGATTCATTCCAGGGAAATTGCGAGGGAAAGAATCTCTCCACTTTGAGCAGGATAAATTTTAATGCCAACAAGACGATATATTCAAAGCTATATCCTTGGTGTCTTTTTCTGCCTGTGCTGGCCAAAAGAAGACGCCTGAGAAGCTACCTTCTCAGCTGGAGTTTGCAGCCAATGTCTTAGTTATCTGTTACATACTACACTGATCGTTATAAAAGATTTAGTATATATTTTTATATGCTCTCGATGCAACAGTAAATATATGAATTAGAAAATTCCCGCCATGTGAAAAGCCAGATTACATTTGAAGACAGCGCAAAAATCGCGTCAGTTGCCACCTTAGCCAGTGTAAATCTTTGAACCTCCTGGGCTCGGTCTCGTCATATGTTTCCTTGATAAAGCAAGCACGCACGGCCCCTTTTGCGCAAGTCACCCTTTTCTCATCAGTAGTGGTCATTTGCTCTTCTTGCACTTGAGTCTTTATCATTTTTTTCGTGAATTGAAGAGAGCTCGAAAATGCCGCTCGAAAAGACTGGCTCAGCGAAGACGGTGACCGGAAATGTCCGAACGGTCAGGCTCAATACTTACAGAGAGAGAAAATTTGAATGCCAAGAATTGGAAAAAGAAAACAACCAACTCTCAAATACGATTGTACAGGTAACTTGACTAGGATTCTGAAGAGTCGTTTATTTGTACCTTCCAGCTGCAAGACATTATTTGCGCGAAAGATGAGGAGATGAAGATCCTGAGAATGCAGGTTGCGGATCAAGAAATCATAAAGGACAAATTCGATCAGTTGAAAGGAGAAGTCGTCAAAGTCGGATCAAAGGTACTTTTCGATATCATTTTTTCTTGCTCGGAACTACAAATGGGCTTCAATTAGACATAATTATACATCTTATCGATATCAAGAATGATAAAGTTATATGAATATTTTCTTATTCTCTCTCTCAAACATTTTCTCCAGCTCGAAACTTCATTTACCGAGGAAATCGAACAATCGGAAACCATCGAGGTTGTTACAGAAAGAATAGTGCAAGCTGCGCCATCTACTCCCCCTCCTCCACCTTCGCCAGAGATCTTCATTGATTATGATCCGTAAGTCTATTTTTCTGAGAATGTTTTGAAATGGGGGAGAAATGTCAAAAAATGCGTGTATAAAAAACGTTGCAAAACTAGACGACCAGATGTGGCATTTGAAGCTGCAAAAATGGATCGACTGAAGAAGGAAAACGCCTTAATCTTCCAGAATGAAATGCTTCAGACTTCACTAGATCAGGAAGGTGGATTAGATTTTTCCTTCCTTTGCTTTATGGCAGGATCTATCCATATGAAAAAGGAAATTTTGAAAAACGCGGCGCTTGAAGAACACCTGGTGACGGTGAAGCAACAACTTGCTCACGAGTTGAAGGAGAAAGAGGGAACAGTTCGTGAACTTCGGCAGTTGAAGCACGAATTAGCAAGTTTGAATGTTAAGCTTTCTGCGGTCGAGCTGAAAAATAGTAAGTGTTTCGATGATAGCTTGGTTGTTTCGATTTCATTCCATAACTCGAATGAGTGCGATTTAACCCCTCTCCAGTCACTAACAATTTGTAGGTGGAGCGTTTGGAAAATGTGTCTATCTCATAAAACTGCTGTCAATGTTCACTGCCACATTCGCAAGTCAACTCGTTTCGCTCTGATACTGATACATTCTGCAATCATAAACGATTCTTCAAATTGGCCAGTAAGCTTTGAGTTTTAGACGAAGCGAAGAAAGACCTTGACACGCTGAAAATGGCTTCGCAAGTTGAGATCGACCAAATGAAAGCGGATTTCAACGGAAAAGAAAAAGACTTCAAGGTTTCTGCTGCCCCTAAAGAAAATCTTAACAATTTCAGGACGCGATGAAAAATGCATTGGAGGAAAACGATAAGCTAAGAGAGCACAACAAAGAACTTATGTCAGATTTGTCTGACGTCCAAGAGCTCATCTCAAATATGTCCGATCAGAACACAAATCAGACATTTTTGCAAGAGCGCATCCAGTCGTTGGAAAAAGAAAACAAGATCTGTAAGATGCTCATTGAGAAGAAAAACGAGACCATAGGAAAATTTATAAATAATTCATATCTTTGTACGAAAAAAAAACATATTCATAAATCATCAAAGCTAGCTTAGAAAAGCAGAAAAGCGGCGACGGAACCTCTGATCTTGCAGCAAAGGTTGATTCTCTTGATGCAGAGCGAGGCGCATTCGAAGAGCAATCGCAAAAATATAAAGTCGCAATAGGAGCGCAAAAACGATACATTGGTAACAGAATTCGAAAAAAACGTAAAAATAAGCGAATTTTTAAGATAGCTTAAATGAAGCTATGCGACTTTCTGACGAAACACGACTGAAGCTCAAAGAAGAGGTAACAGTATTTCTACGCTCTGAGTTATGTAAAATGTAGATTACTGCTCTTCAAAACGAAAAAGTAAAGCTGCATGATCAAGTGAAAGCATTTGTGGAGCTCAGAGCAGCGGAGCAGAATCAGCGAGTCGCCACGGAAAATTACAAAAAGATCCTCGAAGCTCGGAATGAAGAGACTGATGGTCTGCTTGAGCAGTACAGGAACCAGATGAAACGTTTAGATGCCGAACTCGATAACGTTAAGAAGCAGAACGAGGCTAAAGGTGAGTTGTCTACTTATTAAACTATTTGTAATTTTGTTTAAGATAAACTGAACACATCTTTCAAACGACAAACAGAAACTATGAAGCAGTTACTCAATCAATACGAAATAGATTCCAAGCAAAAGGGCGAAGAAAACAAAGTCCTTTCTGAAAAATTGAATCGTCTGATCAAAATCAACCAGGATCTAATCGAAAACAAGCCAGCCGAGCCAGTAGAAAAAATTGTAGTCGAGGTTTTATAATTAACCTTTACAAAAATCAGTAGATTTCTATTAGGGATCGCCAGAAGCTCAAGCTGCTCAGATGAAAATGGAGCTCAGAAATGCAGAACTCGATCGAGATCTTGAGAAGGCTCGATCCTTGATTAAGAGGCTTACAGATGAAAATAGACTTCAACAGAATCAGGTTTCGAAAGAATTAGTATGCCTGTTCTTAAAAATACATTCAGATCGAGAAGTTCCAAGCAAGTTTCCTCAAGATCGACACAGAAAAAATGGAACTGGAAGAGACCGTTCGTGGACTGAAAAAGCGAGTCGACAGTTCCACTTCCTCACCAGATGTTGAGAAAAAGACCGAAGAGAACTCCGCTATGTCAGCTAAGGTGCACGAAATGAACCAAAAACTCATCAAGCAAATGACACAAATGAATGAAGCCCTGAATTATTGCCAAAAAGAAAAAGACGAGATTATTGAAAAATCTGAGAAAGTATTTGAATTTTCATTTAGCCTTCGAATTGATTTTCCTTTTAGTTGATCAAGGTTACTGGGAATATGAAGCAGGAGAACGAGCGTCTCCAGAACCTAGTGATTGAGCTTCAAGAGCAACTTGAAACGAAACTGACGAGCCCCGCTGCCCAAGAAAGCCCCAAAGCGCCAGAAGCTGCCAAAGCCAAGCAAGCTCCCAAAAAGAAGAAAAATAACAAGAAATAGGAATCACGCAAAATGACCCATTTTTGACATTTCTCCGCCAAAATTTTATTTCTCACGCAAAATGTTTTTCTTGCGCAAATCTTTACTTGAAGTTCCGAACACTGAAATAAACATGCAATTATAGAAACGATAGTTCTGAAGGCTCCAATGCAAGCAAATCGACAGAGGAGAAGCTTGAAAAACTTCAAAAGAAGTACCAAATGGAGAAGAAGAGATCTGAAACGATGCATGACGAGTTCCGAATCTTGAACAGAAAGTATCAACAATCTAAAGATACTCTTGAACAATTCAAAGCAACGGAGCAAAAACTCAACGCGAAACTCAAGGTACTTCGGGTCATGTTATTTTTTGACTCAGTTTCCATTCAGGGAGTTTTAGAAGAACAAGATAGGCGAATCGCGGAATCTGCGCAGAGCGAGCAAGAGAGTGCGACAATGATCAAAGATCTTCAAGAAAGAGTAGCGACATTAGAATGCGCTTCCGACGAAGAACTCAATGAGCGATACACTTCGCTCCAGAAACGATATATTGAGTTGGAGTCGAAAGACTTGGACTACACGGAAACCATTGCCACACTGAACAACCAGTTAAACGAGCTGAAAAACGCTCATGAAACCGCGCTGAAAGAACTTGCGGCACAAGCAAGTAAAGACGAAGAAAGCTCAAATGACGACCATGAAGACTTGCGAATCGCGAAAGTGCACAATGAAGCAACCATCAAGTCCTTGGAAGCAAAGCTCGAGATTCTTCAAATGGAGAAGAGACGAACATCTACCGATGAAAACTCGAATAGCTCTGCAAATGTACGAGAGGATCAGTATGAAAAGGACCTCGCAGAAGCTTTGCGCAAAGTTGATGATCTGTCCATCGAGGTAAAAGAAAAAAAAATGATTAAAAACTTACTCATTTTTAGCTTTTCAACAAAAGTCAACAGCTCGATGAGGCCAAATATCAAATCGAGCAGCTAAAACTTTCCCCGGCGAATGAAACTGACAAGGCTGTCGCTGAATTACAACAGAAACTTAACCATGTTGAAAAGCAAAAAGCCCAAATCGTTTTATCTGCTGTAAAGAACAGCGATAAATATGCTGCAGAAATCGAAGAATTGAAAGAGAAAATCTCCGAATTAGAAAAACAAGAGGAAGATCAAGGCAAAAATGTGTCGTCCGAATCCGCTCAGGCGATAGAAGAACTCAAGGAAAGCAACAAGCGATTGTATTCGGAGCTTGTGGCGTCTGAAACCAGTGAACAAACGCTGCGAAAGGAGATAGAAACTGCAAGAGCAAATGTGTCGAGACTCGAAGTACAGAACTCGACAGTGCTTGAAGAAGTGAGTCGGCTCAATGACACTCTTGCCGCAGCAGAAACTGAAATCAACAAAATGCGCGATGAAATTTACAGTTTCAAGGTATGATTAAATCCATGTAAACTTCTCTGAAGCAAACACTCTCTTAGGACTCACACACTTTATCTTCAAGTGGATCTTCTATCAGCAGCTCACCAGAAGACTTATCAGCAAAATACACTAAACTGACATGCATTTACAGAGCAAAACTTGAGGAAATTGTTAAACTAAGCAAAGAGCTCCAAAAGTACGTGCTATTCAATCATAAGTACTCGTCTATACCGTGATAAAACATTATGTTTTCAGGAAAGAATCTTTGGAGAACGATTTAAAAGTCGCCAACGAAACTATCAACAACAAGGATCAGAGCCTACAAGATATTCTCTCCAAAAATACAGCATTATCTTCCAAGGTTAAAGTCTTGGAAGAAGACTTAGAAGAAATGAAAAACGAGGTGGACAGAAAGGCGGACGCAATAAAGAAAATGAAATCCGGCAAAAACGACAGACAGTGGTCCCAAATGCTGGCTAACAACGGCGTGCCTGAATCGGGTAGAGTTTCTCCTCAACACCATGTACAACATCACACTGACAACTTTTACGATGAAAACATCGAAAATGAATAAATTGCTGCAACAATCTTTTATGCATTGACGAATGTCTTCTATGATTTCGCAGTTGAAAGTGGTCAGTAGGAAGTTGAGCTGGTTATTTCGTGTGTCTAAATGAGTTTATAGACTTGTCCTCGTTTTCATCTGATGCTGAGGAGGACTTTGCAGTTTCGACTCCGAATGTCGCGATGCAGTTGAGAATCAAGGACGACACTATTCGAGAGTTGAGACAGCATCTTGAAGTGAGAACGGCCGAGTTTGAAGCCTTAGAAGCCAAACTAGCGGATATCAGTCTTAGGAACAGTGTTCAAAATTATCAGTAAACCCAAATTTTCGTAAATGGTAGAGGAGTATTGAATCTGAATTAAGAATAAAAAATACATCGGAGGATGAAATTCGAGAGCAATTGTCCAAACTAATGGTGCAAATCAAAGAAGTACGAGATGATAATGATAGACTCGAGCAAGAAAATCTTGATCTAAAGGTTTAGTAAATTAAAGAAGTTTACAACTTATCTGAAATCAAGGAAGAGTGCAGCAAACTTATGGAAGAGCAGCTAGCCCAACCCTCAAGTGTTGAATCAATCCAAAGACAATTAGATGATTTGACAGAGATTGTCGAGGTTTTTGATTTTTTAAATTTTTCATGAAAATATTCATAAGTCAAAAAATAACGACGAAGAAAAACTGAGGAAAGAATTGGAAGAATTGCGCGCCAGAATTCGAGAGTACGAGGACGCAGAAGAAGTTCGATCAAACTTATTCCACGGGTCTCGTGGGAGCTCTCCGTTCTGGGTTCGCACAAAAAATTTAGTTTTAAAAAACGGCAGACAAAGACAATGCCTATCCATAAAAGCCTGACACACTTGCCGACTCTTTGGCTGCATTAAACGACGAGAACCATTTCCTTCGAAGAAACCTGTCGAAGTCAGAGCTCGAAATCGAAGAACTAAAGGATCAACTCGAAGGAACGATCTCCTCAAGGTATCTTTTCGATAAAATCCATATGCTTTACCCTTTAAATGCATTACAAGAGTCTCTGCCGAAGAGTTCGAAAAACTAAAATCTGAATGCCTTGAGCTTCGATACTACAATGATGACCTCGTCACTCAGCTAGCAAAGTTAGAAACTGGCCGGAGTACATCCGACTATGAAGATAAACTAACAATTCAGCTAGAAATGATCAACCAAATGAATGAGGAGCTGGAAGTTTTAAAAGGTCGGCCTGCGAGTACTGTATATTCTTGAAAGCTTGTTTTAGATCAATTGCACGAAAAAGATCGTAAACTTTCTATTCTACGACGCAGTGCCCGAAAGTAACATGTTTGTAATAATTACAGTATAGTATATGAATTCCTTTAATCAACAAATAAATTTGCGGCTGGTGACTAGGGAGGTTTGCAATTAGTCTGGGTACAGACCCAGACTTCGAGCTACAATTGCTAGTCTGGGTCCAGGGCCCAGACTTGGTTATATTTTCGTAGTCTGGGTCTCTGGCCCAGAGAAGATCTTTTAACCCGTAGTCTGGGTCCAGGGGCTGGCTGGCGCCTAGTTTCACAAACTTTATCAACCCGGTTCAAAATTTCGGGAGAATGGTTCATAATTTCGGTCAGAAAAGTGACTCGAATTGACTGAAGGCGCGGTTGCATAGAAAGTTTAACTTTTAAAAAAAAGAAAGTTTTAACTTGAGTTTCTCTTCGAAATCAGGCGCGGAGCGCATATTGACCCGTAATTTCTTACTTTGGAAAATTTTGGGAACCGGGTTCACACAGATCATGAACTGTGTCCACCCGATCCAGGGCTGATGATCGCGTGAGTCAAAAGAAGGCTATAATGTGAGCACTGTGCCGAAATCCTAGTACAAACTACCATCTGAAAGGCTATTTACGGCCCTGGACCCAGACTACGAGTGAAAAGAGCTTCTCTGGTCCCGAGACCCAGACTACGGAAATATAACCAATTCTGGCCCCTGGACCCAGACTAGCAATTCTTACTCGAAGTCTGGGTCTGTACCCAGACTAATTGCATACTTCCGTGACTAGTGTTCTTTGGATTAATTCTTGTCCTCATTGTTCACGCCGAGCGAAAATGTTAACCTGGCAAAGTATTGGACCCGCTCGTAACCCTGTCGGTATTGAATGGATCAAACGAGCAAATTCAATAAATAAAGTGAATGAATGCAAAATGCCATTTATTTGGTTTCTCAAATTTTGTATCAGAAAAAGGCGGAGACATCAAAGAGAAAGCAGGACAAAATGTCCAAAATGTAAAAGACACGAAGATAAAAAATATCTGAACGGGTTAATTTAGCGGGGCAGCAATGCCCGGGGAAGAAAATGGCTCACTTAATTTCGCAGATCTTAAATTAACTGAGTAGGAGGAAAAGCTCCTCGACTACGAGAAAGTGGAGGCTGCAGTAATATTAAAATAGGGTCAGAAGAATAACTAGCTCATAGAATTGTCTACGAGCGAGTTTCTTTAGTCTTAGGGTTAGAAGATCGAGAAGTCAAGTGCTTCACAATGGGCACTGGCATGAACTGCCGTTGCTCTTCATAAGCTCATGAAGATTGTCTGTTCCTTATTCTCTAATGAGACTTCTTTGCGCACGCCTGAGGCGGTTTGCGATACGATCCGTCCTTGGTAGTGGACTTCGTTCTTGTAGTTGTGATAATTCGACGATTGGCAATTATTGAATTGCTTTGAGAGCGGCGGGTGTGGTCCGCTGACGGGCAAGGCCGGAAACGTCGAGTTCTCGTCGTAGTAGTTCATCTGGACGAGCGAAGCTGAGTTGGGCGCCAGCTGCGGCAGTTGAATCCCTTGCGAATGACAAAAGTGCTCCACTTGGTAGCGCAAATGGTCGAGCTGCTGTCTAAATGCGACTGATTATTTTCTGTCGCTTTATTTTTGTAACACTTTCCGTCTGGATTTGTTACAACAAGCGCTACTTTCAATTAAGCTGTGGCGCGGGATTATCCTAGCTCACTTAAAATCTCGGAATCCGTCAAAATCACAAAGCCTATTTGGCAACACTCACCTGAGTCTGTAATTTTCGTACTCAAGATCGTGGTTCTCGTGCTGCAAAACGTTCACCTCGTCTTCCAGAGTGCGCGTCTTGTCAAGTCTTCGTTGTCTGCAGCGTCTGGCTGCTTCTTTATTTCGCTCTCGGCGCAATTCGCGTTTCGCAAGTTCAATCTCAGACAATTCTGAGTCGGCCCTCCAAATTGATATCAGCATATAAAGCCAGATTTTATTTGTACCTTTTTGCTTTACGGCCAGGACGAGAATGTTTTTTCAACTTTCTGTTGTTTTGGATCTTAAGCTGAGCGCTTGGGTGTTGCTGTTTGTTCTCATTGGTGTCGGGGGTATTCTTATAGTTTTCGAATGAAACGACATCTTTGGGTTGGGGCTGGGTGACTGATTGGGAAGGAGTGATGTACTGGTTGCTAGTAGCCGACAATGGGCTTGTGGAACCATTTGACTGCATGGAAAGCGTTGAAATAGCGGAGTCCGAAAAGGTGGAGTAAAAGCCAAAGCTGTTCATTTCTGGCGAGCTGGAACAAAACATCGAATCAGGCGAAAGGTTCTCTACCATGGGTTCAAGATTTGTTGAAAACGAAAAAAAAGAAAAATAAAAGGAAAAACTACTTCCGTCAAAGTTATCTCCCAGAGGATATACTTGTCAAAACAGCCTTTGCTTACATATTCAAGTTAGGCTACCGTAATTATTCATTATTTTAATTAATTTATTCGGAACATCGGATTTTTTCCTAGATAATTTTTTCCGATAGAAAACAAAGAAGTATTGACAATCAAGTAAGTTTCGCAAATTTTTTTCAAGTGATATCTCTTTATAAAAGCTGACAACTCCGTAAAAATCTCTGAACCATTCCTCTGTTTTCAAGCGGTACGACGTCAGTGAATGGTGGACTACAGCTGCCCTCGGAGCATGGTGACGAGCTTGGCGTGGGGGCGCTGTTGGTGCTGCTTCTGTTGCTGCATGAGCTCGACAAACTTGAACACCTGAGCGAGTCTGCGTCATTTTCAGCGCTGGTGGAGCGATGGTCCGGCAATTGCATTCGTTTTGAACTCTCTTCTTTCGAAGCCCACAGGTTACCAATCAATTGATCGACCCTGGTTACTTTTCGATTGTATCCTACAAATTCTAGCGTTACTCAAAAGAACCACTTTGAATGAAAAATCGAGGAAAAACGACTCTTTTTATGAAGATTCTCCCTCTCTTCTACTGGTTTGACATAGAACGTGGGAACATGGCAGAAATTATCTTTAGATTGGAAGATAAACCCTCGGCCGGTCTTTATGAAAAAAAATCTGATGGGTCGATAATAGTTCGTATTTTTTAAACGAAATTGACGGATCAGCAAATTGTGAAAATTGCTTCACACGCAAGAGACAGAGGCGCTAATTTGCAAGCGTTTCCCGTTAATAATCCTATCGGAAGTCTTCTGGGCGCAAGAGTTGCAGGGTGCGAGTGGCGGCGCTTCGCTGATCCCTTTGGCGGAAGAGGCGAATCCCTTCAACTATTACTTACCGGTATCCATATTCCCATACTCTTCAGCGTTGGAATCGTTGTTTGAATGGGTTTTGAGGCCACGTTCGACGCGCCGCCTTTAAATAGTGCGGCGGTGGTGGCGGTGCCGGACTCTGGATTGAACTAGCGCCGCTCGAGCTGGCAACTATCACGTTGATCTGAAATTGGTAATTCTCTTCGACTTTACAGACTTTTGAGTAAAATACGAAGCCCTATTCATATACCTGTGTGCGCGGCGAGTCGAACGTTGTGGTGATTCCTTGGCGGATGAGGCCGCTTTTATGCGCAACGAGAAAGAGCTGGTGATTCCTCTAATCACTGGGCCGACACTGAATTCTAACTCCTGGAGCACGGTGTATGATACCGATAGAGGTGCTTCATCGGACGCAGACGAGGTTGGCTGCAGCAACGCCAGCGAACACGCCAGGAACACGCGCATTGCGTCGGTGATTCAGGTAGAAAGCGAGCGAGGACGGGCCGCTGTTACGACCGACGATCTTCCGTAAACCAAACACCACCACGCGTCCGAATTCCAAGTTTTGTCCACGCGTCGACCCTTAATTAGACGATCAGATGCCACTTAATGGATCGTCCGATGCGCGACGAGGCGCGTGCCGAAATCTATCCTTATTCCTAAGAAGCACATTACGTCGCAGTCTACATATTCCTCACTTTCCACTCCAAAACAAAAAGCCCAGTGAATAACCCAATAACAAATCAAAAGACTAAATTATTGTTCAGTTTATTTCACAGCTTGTTTTACTTAGGAGTCGTCGTAGGACTGTGAAAGCATCAAAACAGAGGCACTTAGTATATGATTAGTGTAGTTTTAGAACAGAGATTCCGCTGAGTTTCCTCTATGTTTTCAATTGAAACAATCAAGCGTGCGCGTAAAAACTCTTATTCTGTTATTAGTTGATACGGTCCTGAATAAACGAATTCATCGACTCCAGCTTGAGAAGGACTTTCTGCGCGAGCTGAAATTTTTCATTTGCTGCCCGAATTTTAGCCAAATTGAGTTCATCGACCAATTGAGCCATCATAATTCGCGTTTCTTGTGCATTCTCTCGCTTCCACTTCAATTCCAGTTCAGCTAGGCGAGCTACAGATATCTTTTAGGAGTTATTGTCACTGATCTATTTTTAAGAAACCTGTAGAAAATTCCAGTAAATAAGATAATAAAAGAATCGAGTCTCTTTAATAAGCGTGATGAAAGCGAAATCGACGAAAAGTCGTTCGTAGCGCCTCAACTCAGTCGAATTAATTGGCAGATTTACGAACTTCGCAACTGACCAGTCTATATTTCTACTAATTACAAATCTCAATCGAGCATTCTACCTTTTGAATTGAGCAGGCTTGTTTGGTCCTCTTCTTTGATTTCATCTTTTTTCATGCTGAGCTCGATACTTTGAATAACCATCAAATCGTTATTGAGACTTTTCTCGAGATCTGCAAGATTTTTCTTGAGAATCTTTTCGATAGACGATTCCTTGGCTACTTTCGTTGGGAAGAGTTTTCGATGCGTGAAGAAATCGGAGAGTGCGTTTAAATAAGAAATTTTTTTCTCCAAGTCTGAGTTGATAGCAAGTTCTGGGTAGACGCTCTCATCGAGTTGAAGCAATTCTTTCTCGAAAGAGCGAAATTTTTCTTCGTAATCTAGCAGTTCCAGCGCTTGTTTATCCTACAGCAAAATCAGAATAAAGACTAGACTAGGATTTGTTACCTGTATCGTTATAGGAAGAACGATGCCATGATTACTTTGCGACCTTGGCCCGTGAACGTAGATCTTTGCGCTGACCTTATCGCAGAAGTCGTCCCCATCGTCGATGAATATGTCTACCGTATTTATTGATTTGATATCCTTCGTTTTTTCGATCCAGAGCAATTTGGAGCAACTTATCTGTAATTAACTTTTAACTTCGGATTCAGCCTTACAGTAAGTCATTGACGACATAATTGAGAATATCTCTGTCTGTTTTGACCAGCACACGCAAAACTTTGTTTCTAATAAGGCAATCGAAAATGTAAAAAATCATTCTTCTGAGCTGAATACTTTTGGAAAGGAATCTAGTGCAAAGATCTTTTTTCAGAAAATGCTGGCCCAGTGTCAACGGGGGATCACCAAAGTTCAGAGATCAGGATTTATACTTTTCCCCCTTATTTACTGCAGTTCTTATAACTTTAAAATCTGAGCGCAAATATGATAGATGCAAATTACAGAATCATCTGATGATTTTCACCAAAAATTCGTTTTCAGGAAAGCGACAGTAACTTATTCAATTGGGATCGAAAAAGTACTAGAAAATCGAATGCGAGAAGCGGAAACAAGGAAAAGAAGGACAGCACTTTTTTGAACGGGCTCCTCATGCAGCTGGAGAGAAGAACTCTCTAAAGAACCACTTGCATTCTACCAACCCATTCATCACTCAAAAACAGCACCATGCAGTTATTCCGCTGTCAAATTATAAAACCAAGAAGCTGACGAGAATAAATTAAATTAACAAATCTTATCTTTTGTCAGCATGAAAATGCGAAGAAGCTGCTTTAATCCCCAATTTGCGCCTTCAGATTGAATACATTGAGATGGCTAATTATGCTCGCCTTTATCTTCAGATTTCAGTGTATTGAAATGATCCGCTCGAGTCAAGGCCGAAAACTATAGACTTCCCGTCAAAACAAGGTCGTATTGACATCGTCTTCAAGTCCAAGCAACCTAATTGACCGAATTTCAATTAAAAACGGTAATCAGCTCTGTCTTCTTTCCGAGTATAAGCCCCATCTCAATTAAAAACAAGTGAACTCATTTTCAAAACAAGTTTAGAAATTGGTAAATAACAAACATATCTTTAGTTAATCGTCGAATAACGTTGCCAAGTTTTCGATAAGAGTTAGGCTTAGGGTTAGTAAAAATTCTAAAACTTGTGCGCTTTGACTGTACAGTACTGTAATTTTAGAGCCTGCCAGTACTTGAATAAGTGACAAAAATATAACTTTTAAAGTAATTATATGAAAATTTATGAGCAGTCATAAGACGTTCCATTTTAAACTTCCAAAATCGATCTGGAAAGTAATCTGATTGCAATAAAGCATGGATTGGCAGCAAATTGAAAGAAAGAACTCCTATTTGCTCGATCTCGAACGAGTAAAAGTTAAGAAGTAGGAGAGATTATTCCCTTGAGGACTGATAGGTTGGATTAGTCTGATTCTATTTCTGACAGAAAATAATTAACCACCAAATAATCAGACTCCCCTACTGGACTGACAGGTGCCCGCGCTCGCCACCTCATAGAAAAATCGCTTTTCTTTTTTAACCGCCTTTGTATCTCAGCCCTCAAATCGCCAATAAGAGATCAAACTAATCGAAAGCACAAATCTAACATTCAGGTGATTGAAAAAGAACTATTTCTTATTGAGGCTATTTTGTTTTTGTCAGAATCATCTCTAACAGAGTGACTGACAGACTGACAGTCACTAACTGTAACGTAGACTGCCTTTCAGCATTTATCCACCTAAGTCAATAACTCTTGCGGTATTAGCGATCATAATTTATTCATCCCTTGAACAATTTTTTTTATTTTACTGAGAGCTTTCGTTTCTTTATATAAAACAAATGCAGTAGTTGAGACGTGCCCTGAGCTGTGTCTAGGTCTGGTTGCTCATTGATGTGAGAGTTAAGGCAGAAATCGAAGAGAACCAAATTGAGCCTGGACGAGATCATTAGATCAATCAGAAGGGATCAGCGCAAATTCAACCGAAGAGGGCAAATTCTTTCCTAGCGCGTAAATAAAGCATTATCTTTTTTTTTTTGAAGAGGAGGCAGAAATGGACAAAAGGAACGAGTGCGTTTCCGATTCTGAACTCGACAATTTTGAAGACGGTGAGAACATGATGGGCGAAATTTACACTTTCATTGAAAGATTTAGACGGTGAGGACTACCCGATTCCAAGGCCGAGACGGAGCAAGTCTGTTGATTTTTCACCCATCGTTCGAGTTGAAGAAGTCTCACGTTATAAAGTACAGTATTTAGAAATGCGAGCGCAGGAGCTGAGACATGATTTATTGTCTACATCTGTTCAGCCTAATTGCAATTTTCTTAGCAACGAGCCTCCAAATGCAAATATGGAAATATGTCGGAAATTCAAAAGGTTTCGCACGACGATAATAATTTCGATAAACGTAGTTTGAAGCTCGCCATCCGGCTGGAACTGAACGAGTTCAAGCTCAAGGAAATGAAAGTGCACGATCAAAGCCGCTCAAATACCCTCTTCTACGACATTGGAAAGTACCACACTCGTCTGCGCGATCATTTCTCGCCCAAAAAGTCCTTTCTCAAATAATCCTCATTTGCCGCGTTCATTTTTGAGAGCAGTAATTGACTTTCAAATGAATCAAGAAGCTTTTCTTCTTTATAACTTTCATCAATAAATAAAATTAGGAATATTCAACTAACAAAGTCCCATTTGAACTTGTCCTTCGAAACAAGGTGAATCAATGTGAGAAGAAATTTCCACGTAAAGAAATGAAATTTTTGGAAATTGATCGATTCGTCGTGCTTCGCAGTGGAATAATTGCTACATGAAAACGCGGTAATAAAAACATATGCTGAATTTGCAAGCGTTGAGCTTTTTAATTTGTTCATTTCTTCTGAGACAAGTTTAAAAGGTCTTTTCTGAACTAGCAGACGAAATGCCTCGCTAAACGAAATCACGAAAGAATAAACCAAAAGAGCCAAATTGACGCGAATCCCTTAACTAAATCTAAATATTTTGACAAAGTTAGATCAAACCGATTTACCTTCTCGGTTTATAATAACTAGACTATATAATGAAGTGGATCTGCTTATTCATAGCATATTCCATCTTCTACGGAATATCTTCAAGATGAAGAAGGGCCTCTTTTCAGGAGTTCCACTCACGCATGGTGGCTTAGAGATTTTTAATTATTTTGAACTCGGTTGTTATTTTAGAACGCGTGTGAATGCTTATTGAAGGAAATATCTGATCTGGCGGTGGAGAAGTGTTCCTGTCAGCAGGAGCGCGCTCATTGCACAACGTGCGAGCTCAAGTGCACAGAAAATAAATGCGCGCCGGAGCTGGATACTTCCGTGCTTGTCCTCTTCGACTCGCTGGAAAAAGGAGCTGTCCGCTTTGGCGCCAGCGTTTTCAAATATTTATCGGAATAGGCGAGCTTCTCTAATTGAGATTAATACACTTCAAAGGAGGACAATAAATCAATTGCGTTAACGAAAAGCGATCCGCTCGAAACGGCTGCATTGACAGTCACGGTCAAAACAAAATGCCAGGACGACATAATCCAATTGTCCTCCGATAAGATACGCAGGACAAGTCTAGCCTAGCGACTTCGACACAGAGCCGCCGCAGTCACTTTTGGCGTTAGAGGCAGGGATCCTGCTTGACCCTGACACTGGAGCATTCCCTGACGTTTGGTGCATTTTATGACAAAGTCGTTTATTCGAATCGTCGTTATTGCGAATTTAAGGGTGAAGTCAGTTTGACAGAAGTGCTCAGTTCATTACTTGTTTTTGGGTATCATCGGCCCAAAACACTAATGAAAAAGATCTTTTTCTAAAGATTTCTCTCTCTTTTAAAATGTTTTCCCAGTCTCGAAAATGTTTGTGGAAAATTTTCCTAGTGAAGGAGGCGCAAACGTGAACTCGTTAGACCGCAGCGATCGGCAACTCAATAATTCTCAGCACGAAGCAACCTTATTCATACAGAGACCTACTGCTAGATAAATAAGGAACTGACTTATAAAAATTTCCAAAGCGACTTCTAATCTTGTTTTTACAGTATAGATCACTATAAATCTATCATATCGGATGTACTTAATCGCTTTAAGGGGGGGGGGGGGGTCGACGAGAATTTTTTCAGAGGTGATCGTAATTTCGCGTATACACATGGTCTGTGTATGAATCTTATATTTTTGGAATCCTCAGATCCTCCTGAATCTGTTGACCCTAAAATCATTCGATAAAAATAAGATTTAGGGGGTGAAATTAAGAAAAATGTAAAAAAATGACTATTTTTGGTGCATTTTCGCGAAAATGCCCCTACTTTGACGGCATTTTTGACCGATTTTTTCTGGCCAAAATTTTTTCTACTTCTCGCCGGTTAATTTTTTCAACCCTTTTCTTTTTGCCAGTAAATTCAGATTTTGCCTATCTGATCAGGTTTTCCCGCATTTTTGGTCACGGAAATCCCGATTCTCGTCGACCCCCTCCTTAAGCGTATTAATAAGTCCCAATATACTTTTTACTTGATAAAAAGTGCCTGGTACTTCCAAAATAACAAGTTCATTGACAATGTTTTTCGTCATTTACGATAAATCAATCGAGTTCCATATCTTTAGCGATGGCAAACGAGCATAAGATGAGTTGAGATGCCCTTGAAATGATTACGTACGAGAAAATAAATATACGAAACCGAACACTCCCCCGCAATATTACTAATATTATATAATTGGTAATTCAGTTTCACCTGCGATTTAGCGAAAATGCAATTTCTTAAGAAATAGACGTTCCTGTCATTCCACTTGGCGCTTCGATTAGAGCCGCTGGTGGTGGTGGAGGTGGCGCGCTCTCCCACCTCGATCATATAAAAATGCTCGTCCCTCTGGAAAAGGCAACCTGCTAGATACACAGCAGCAAAAGAAAAAAAACAGCCTTTTGAGAAAATGAAAGTTTTTGCCTTCACCGCCCTTGCCGTTATGGCCCAAGATGAAGTCGACCGAAAGGTTCCCCCACGAACCCCAAGCGACCGAATCGCCCAGCTCAAGCGACATGTTGGTCGATTGATGGTTGATCACTTTCCTGAATGTGCCAAGGTGAGATAGACTAACTAGAAACTTTGGCTTAACTCTTTCTGCTAGAACTCCGTCTGGGAAGAAAAACTCACCAAGGTCTTGAGCCGAGCTGAGTCTGCTTTCGAGCGATCTTGCGGATTCTTTGACCCCGATCTTCCACACGGTGGTCCATCCCCAGCTCGACGACGACGACAAGCTGACGATGATGAGGTGCGATACTCTGAGACCGACGCTATCGCCTCCATCAATGGTAACTTATCTTCATAGTGGCACTTTCAGAGGCAATCTTTAGGCATCACCGGAGGCATCCGAAAGTTTGCTGAACGATACATCTCCGAGTGTGGCGGCCAGAAAGCCAACAAGCACATCGTCAACCATGCCAACAAGTGGCGAGCCAAGTTGACCAGCAAGTTCGAGAATGGTTGCTAAATCACAGCTGTATAAATAAAAATTTCCGACCCTGCGTCATCACGGTTCCAAATAAATATAATTACTAAAAAATCAATTTTGTTTTTGTCTCACCTCACGCAATACCAACGCATCAAGTTCCGCATAAGCTCGAAATTCTCACTGATCCATAAAATATTGACAATATTTCTGGAGAGAATAGAATGGAAGCAGAGCACTGCCTTAACTATACTAATATGTAAGAGGAACTCGCAGAATAATGATTAACGAGTTTTAGTGGATACGCCTGTGACTGTATTCTGGAGCTCTTTGACGAGCTAGAAAACAGCGATCTAAACGCGAAACACACTCTATCAGCGACAGAAGAAATAACGCAGCTGGATGGAGGCTTACCCCGCGATTGTGAGTTCTTTCATGAACGGATCAAACATTTTGAATTAATTTTATGAGTAAACACATTTCATCCTACAAGGCTTTATGCTGCCAAAAAGAAGAAGAGAGGACGAAAAGACAGGGATTGAAGCTCAGTGTGATTGAAGAGTATATGATGGAAATTTCAGTTAATTATAGGTTCACGTTATTCCTGTGTTTCGCATATGAAGGCGCTTCTATAGTTAGAAGTCGCGATTTTCCTTTTTCTTCTTCTTGAAGCTAGACATAGACTAACAGTCACTACCGAGTCGGTAGTACCGACTGACAGTGACAGGGGAAATTTCCGAGACAATTGGGTTAAAATTAACTTTACATGATTTTTCGTTCAAAACCTGCAAAAGAATCATTCCTTACAATGGCCCCCAATACGTCATACTCCTCATCGGATTTTCAGGCTCGATACTAGCAAGACAAGTGGACTGCGATAAATTTAGCGTTTAGACTAATTAAAACTTCTTTATAGAAATATTTTAAACGCAATAAAAGCGTTTTCTGTATAGTTCTGTCGACGGTCATTTCCTCCATAAGAGTGAGCAAATTTTGATAGACCTATTTCATATTTTTAAAGAAGCGGCGAAATAAAAGAAAACTGGAGGCAGCGATGGAAAACCGAGGCGAGAACAGTACGTATGAACTCGGGTGAACCAAACACAATCAAATTAGAAGACGCTCTTGCTGTGAATTAATTCTGTGTAGCCTTGCTTATTACGCTTCCTTGACATTGCCACGTATTTGATTACAGCTTCTATGTTCAAAATACTTTTAGGCAACAGACCCCGACTATCAGAAGTCGCCATGCGCTTCGACCGATCCTTCGATGAAAACGTCCAATACGGAAATAGCCAACTCACTGCCGAGAATTAGGCAAGAACTGGAGGCTTATGCAAATCTTTATCACCACCTTAGATGGATTACAAGCGCCTAAAACTCATTTTCTTTCCACTGCATATGTATCCTCGTTGTAAGTAATGATTCGGAAACTGTACTTTTATTTCTTTGTGAGATTTATTGAATAAAAAGGGTTCAGCAGTGTAACCGTCAACTTAAGTAGAAGAAAGTAAAGGAACAAAATTATGGTAGTCTCGAAATGGGAGAGTTAAATTGGACGGATATTCTAGGCAGTATATACAGTCGGATAGAAAGAAAAGTTCCGAACGAGATCTTGAATTTGAAGAGAATTAAGTCGGAGGCTTTTCTATCAACATTTCATTGGACATTTTGTTCTTGTACATGAAAAAATTAAAGAACAGAAGAATTAATGAATACAAGAAACACAAGTTGACGCTATCAAGAGGGCTGAGGTTAAAAGCATCACATGCCTTGCCTGACGATCTTTTCACCTTCCAGCTGGCACTCACGGACGAGTTGTCTTGCGTGTTGAAGGCCACGCTTGAGCCGTTCTTGCGCACTAGAATTTAAATTTAATGAGCAGCATAGTCCACTTATAGCGCGACGATGAAATAAAGTCAAATCAATTCGCAACGGTAACCGAGTTTCTCGCCCGTCACTCCGGATTTCGGAGCCGTGTAAAACATCGAACCAGATAGAGTTAACACTGACAAAATCGCAGTTTATATTATTTCTGCAATTTACCTCTTGCTGCCCGCGTAAGTCGGCCTGACGTCTTTGCCGAGCTCGTCAATGACTCCAACGAGATCCTCGAATTTTTCAGTCATGCGCGGTTGATCGATCATCTTTGCCGTTCGCGGCTGCTTTTGCGCCGGTCTTGAGTAAGGCGCATTGCTTTGCTGCTTCGACTGACGCTTAATTCAATTCAATTTTATGCTACTTGTGGACCATTTTCTTACATATGAAGGGGGTGGGTTGCTCAATGCTTTCATTCGCTCTTTGTAAGTCGGCTTCGTTTCGGCCATTGCTCGGTAGTTAGCTGCAGCCTGTGCGGCGGCAACTTGCTTTCCGAGCATTTCCAACTTCTTTTGTATTTCTTCGTTCTGAAAACTTTCATAAAAAAGGACTTTAACTTAGGACTCTACCGTTTGTCGTTGAGCAACTTCCAGGAGCTTCGCCTGCGCTGCTATAATGTCTGGCGGGTTGTTTCGGCTCATTCTTAATTTGTCATTTTCAACTCAATTTTAAATATGTTTAGTGTTACAATATATACAGATTTTTTTCTGAAGGAACTGGCAGGGATGTGAGAGTTATTATTTGATGAACGTTGTTTCAGTGAAAATCGGCAGGGATATAGTGAGTGAATAACTTCTGCGCAAGTCAAAATGAGTGAAATTCTAAAGTATAACAACATGAACACGATGTTCGTTGCGAATATTTAAGTTGCTTCAGGGATTTCGTCCAGGGAGGGGAGAAGATCGTCTATAATTGGAGGGCCTTCCAGAGAGCCTTCTTTATTTTCAATCACTGTGGGCAGATCTTGCTCCATGGCGGAAGAAGCATCATTCTCTTGCGATTCTCCTCCGTTAATTCCCAGATTAGAAAGGCTTTCTTCAAGAGGGCTCGGAGCCTCTGTTATTCCTGTAGTCCCTCGTTGCAACCCAGGAATTGATACCGACGGATCCTCATTAAAGTCAGCCTCTTTTTCATACTCGTACTCGGGTTCGGAGTCTATATCAAAGATACCGTCCCATTCGTGGATCATTTCCACCATCAGCTCTTCGTAGAATTCGCATACAAGCTGAAATAACACGTAATTGAGTGTCATGAACATTTTTTTACCTTCGGACAGTTTTTGCGGCAGTCTTCGCTTTTTACGAAATCAATTATCTTGCTATCTTTCCACTCGATTGCAAAGTAAACTGAATAGAAGATGCTTATTAAAATTGTTTTTCTTTTACAGTAGTTTCTAGTGCCTCTCGAGACGCTAAGATAATTCTTACTTTGGCCGTCGTTGTCTGCAACGCATTCGTGAATTTTGACAGCTTCAAAGCCGCGATTAAAGCCGACTTTCTCTAGATCAGCCCAGGGATCGTCTTCTTTCTTTTCGTCACCGACGACCTCTTCATCCTCCTCTTTCGCCGCCTTCTTTTTCTCATTCGTCTCAGCGATTTGATCAGTCTGGGGTCCGTCTTGGCTTTCGTCATCTGAATTCTGAATGTGCATCGCTTCAAGTGCTTCATCTTCCCACGGTTTCTCCCATTTGATATCTGGGTGCGCCGGATCTATCAGCGGCGCTTTTTTCGTCTGACGCTCTTTCTTGAGAAAGTTCGGATCGACAGATTCTTCATCCTCCACTTTCTCTTCATTCTCATCGGCTGCTTCTGGCTCATCATTTGCTTCGTCGACATCGTCGTCTTCGAAAGCCAATTGTTCCAATTTTCCAGGGTTCGAACGTCTGTACTCAGCAACCAAAAGTTGTCCAGGTGTGTCCTGTGGATCTGGTCTTTCTTCAGCGAGCTCTCCCTTCCTTGAATCAACGAAATTCGATTCTACTCTTTGTGAAGGTTCAATCATTGAAATAGAGGCAAGTATTATTTCCTGATTTCTGAATATTGAATCAATCGGAAATGAAGAACCCCGGCTAAATATCATTTCGGCTTGGAGAGCTTCTTCGGCCGTCTCCTCTCGTTTCCGCTTTAGTCCAACAATCCGTATCGGAGGAATCTTTGGCTCATGGCTTGGTTTTTCTTCCTCTACATTTTCCAGAGGCTCCTGTGGTTTATCTTTGTCTTTATTTCGCCTCGAGCTTTTCCGACGTTTTTCTTTCGCACTATCTCTCGATTTTTTTCTATTCCTGGACTTTTTCTCCTTTTGTAATTTTATATCAGCGGCATGCTTTTCCTCGAATTCTCTGATTCTATCCGCGCAGTCTAGGAAGTTAGATTTGAAAAATCTTGCCAGAACCGAAAAAAATTACCTAGATTCTCTTCTGGCTCCCATGTATTCTGCTCATCGTCGTAGCCGGCCCATTTTATCAAATACTCGATACCGCCCTGAATAAACGCTAGAACTCCCGAACACTTCCTTCGACACTCACTTGTCGTTTACGTTTGCCGAGGATCTTCTCGACTTCGAACTCCTCTTCTGATGCCACACTCATCTAAATCCGCTGCGAATAAATAGACAATTGAACAAAACGCGGTTTTTTGTACAATACTGTATCTTTATTATTTTGTCATTATAAAGGCAGTTTGAAATCTATTGGAAAAAGATATAGAACAGATGCTGTTGAAAAAAGGTAAATGGTAGTGGGACGATAGCTCAGACATTTGAGCATCGGTAGAATTTTGCGAGATCAGAATTCGCAGTCGAGGCTGAACTGGTTCTCGACGGAGTCAGGATCGGCGTCCAAGTGGGCCATGACGCCAGCGCGGGCGTACTCGGATACTTTCTTCTCGAAGAAGTTGGTTTTGCCCTCCAACGAAATCATCTCCATGAAGTCGAAAGGATTTTCGACCTTGTAAATCTAAATAAAAAGCAGGTCATCAGCTGTTCCCACTAAACAACGATGGTGTTTTTGGAGCCATCAACAGAAAGCGAGTTATTATGCCCTTCAAAAACACGAATCGAGATTATTTACCTTTGGGCAGTCGAGCTCGACGAGGAGGCGGTCGGCCACAAATTCGATGTAGGTCTTCATTAAGTCGCAGTTCATGCCAATCAGGCGAACTGGAAGTGCGTCTACGAGGAACTCCTGCTCGATGCTGACGGCGTCGCGGATGATGGCGATGATCTGCTCTTGGGAGGGCTTTTGAACGAGGTGCTTGAACATAAGACAGGCGAAGTCAGTGTGCAGACCTAAAACAGCTTGAGAATCGCTTCGATGAAAAATACTCTTACCTTCGTCGCGGGAGATGAGCTCATTGGAGAAGGTGACTCCAGGCATAAGGCCTCGCTTCTTGAGCCAGAAAATCGCAGCGAAGGAACCGGAGAAAAAGATGCCCTCGACAGCGGCGAATGCGATGACACGGATGGAGTAGGGGGCATCGGCTCCAATCCACTTCAAAGCCCAGTCAGCCTTCTTCTTGATGGCAGGCATCGTCTCGATCGCGTTGAAAAGACCCATCTTTTCTTTTGTGTCCGTGACCAAGTTTTCAATCAGCTTGGCGTACATTTCTGAGTGGATGTTCTCCATCATTATCTAGTTAGCGAGTGTCAGAGAGTTTAAACTGTTATTCAGAAGTACCTGGAAGCCATAGAAAGCCCGGGCCTCGGGGATTTGGACTTCGGACATGAACCTGTCGACAAGGTTTTCGTTGACGATTCCGTCGCTGGCGGCGAAGAAGGCGAGCACGTGCTTGATGAAATACTGCTCTTCTTTTTTGAGTTTTCGCCAGTCATCCATGTCGCGGCCAAGGTCGACTTCCTCCGTCGTCCAGAAAGATGCCAGTGCTTTTTTGTACATCCGCCAGATATCTGAATTTATCGATCGCCATCGCGCTCAAAAACGAATGTACTCACCGTGATATTCGATAGGGAAAATGACGAATCGTGAGGCGTTTTCCTTGAGAAGCGGCTCCATTTGAGGGTCGAAGGAAGCCAAATCGTCGACCAAAACGGGCTGTTGCTGCTGTTTGTCGAGGGCAAGGCCAGTAGAACCAGTCTTGGGTTGATCCATCGACTTGGCGATGTCGACCTTGGCGAAGGAAGAAGTCATCTTCGTCAAATCGTTCTTGGTCAGCTCACCAAAGGGTTGGGAGTTCTCCTTCTCGACTGGCGGCATGGTTGCTTGAGTTAGACAGCTGGAAGTTGCGTCGAAAAAAGTAGAAAAGAGTCTTATCTATACGCGGACCTTTATTGATCTGATCTGTTTTTGACTCTCGGCTCAAAATGAAAACTTTTCGTCTCGGGGATCTAGAAACGATCGCCCTCCTGGGCAGGAGCGCGCGCGGCGCAAATCTTCCGCGCGCGAGCGCCGTCCTCGTTCCTGATTGGACGCCGCGCGCGCGACAACGAATTCGAATATTCCAGATTCTTTGTTGCGCAAAAATGGTAATAACTCCGCAATACCCGGTAATGTCCGTCATTTTTTTGGCTAGCAAAGTTATAAGATGCTGCTTCATCAGCTGCTATTGACCTTTGTAACGGATTTTACAATTTGACCATCTCTTTTTTGGAGTCTTCTTGTCATTCAACTTGCTGGATGGAATCCAAGCTCAACTCTTACCGTATATTCTTCTGACACAAGTGCACAATCAGTATACACCCTCACCAAAGCTTCCCCTTGACGTCTTCCATGGTGCCTGCAAGTATTGAAATACGAAGATCTACTCGTCCAGAAAGGGCCTTACGGTAAGGCCCTTACCAACAGCTCTAGACTCTAGAGTCTAGACAAACCTCTCAAGGGATGATTTTCCCACGATCTTGGTGGGAAAAAGTCTATTGACAGATTGTTCTATTATACAAGAATACATCCCTCCCTAAAGCTTCAAGATCGAAAATGCAATTTACTAAGACTTGAATATCCGATTACGTAGTACCCGAGATAACTCAACTTCATCAGCTCCTCAAATTGCCTGGATTCTATGACTTAGATTCTAAGCCTTAGAATGAACCCTGCTGAAATGCTTTTCTTGCCCTGCATAAATGAACATATCACCAAAGGCTTCTTCCAAATAAGTCATAAAATCATTTTTATAAGAAAGAGTCTTTTCGAACCGATGATCAAATGTATTGAAAATACTATTGTCGATCACATGTTAACGGAGAAACAAAAGCAGCTGCAAACACGAATAATTATTTAACAATTGATAAAAAAGAAGAGAAACGGAGAAAACCTCTCGAAACGCGTACGGGGGCTCTTTGTTCAAGGGAAGGTTTTGTTGTTGTAAGTGTAGTTGTATCAATTTATCATCTGTTTCAGAAGGAAAGGTAGAAATGAGATTAAAATAGCTGGTAATGCCACCGTGTTTGTGGTTCAATTTTATTTGTATTTTTTGGAATTTTCTCGGCTTGAAAGAGATGTACGTGAAGAGGGTTACGAAAGATGGATGGGTTGAACTTGGGGCTTTACAGGGCGATACAATACGGGAGAGCGCCCGCGCACGGTGGAAAATAAGAAGAGTGCGAAAGCAAACGCCCCCGTAAAAGAAAAAATCACAAGTACACGCCTTTTTAGAATAAAAAAGTTAACGCTCTCTATGTATTCAACGGCTTCATGAGACGCCAGAGTCGCGAAATGAAGGGGCGCAAGTCTGGGACCTGATAATGAAGTGGCCAGGCTGGGTAGTGCTTGTAAACTACAGTAAGAAGCGATAGCAGCATTTATCCGTGAACCAGCGACCCCTGGCAGAAATACATGCAAGGGCTGAAAACATAGAAGAGTATAGAAGCCAGTGTCCTGATTCTGATATAATCAAGGAGAAATAAATTTACGTTTGATTACCATTTTCCTGGGCGACTAGCTCATAGAAATTGAAAAATGAAAATGGTGACGGGGCGGGAACAGGGCAAAATAGAGGAAATAAATTGGATATCTTTATTTGGATGATCGTGAATTTCATTTCATGCGTTTTTTTTAATTGAATTTACGGTTATTTGCTTAACGGTTCGATTGGATTAGAAGAATTTGAACTTTTTTTTAACCTGACTAGGGCACTGGAGTGGAATAGAGTGTGCCTGAATCTGGCAAGGCCCAAGGATAACGGGCTGAAGTGCGGGACGAGTACACCAGCGCGAAGGTGTAATAGTGAAAAGAAAAAAAAACAACATAGTAATATAGACTTACAGGAAAAAGAATTTAAGTTAGATTGAAGGTCCCTAAGACATGTATCCGAATAAATTAAGAATTAGACGGCGTTCGGCGGTGGGGTTGATTCGGCCCCGCAACTGAACGCGCTGTTCACAGGTAATTTTTTTTCATTGTTGATAAATTTGAGATTTAAAATACTTAGAATTTGAAGAGCTATAATTTGACATTGGTTGAAATTGTAACTAGAGGGTCAATTCTTTAATGAAATTGATGCGTCTCTTCTCACATAGAACAAGAAGCGGGGCATTGTCCTACATGGCATACTTCTGGGTCCATTCGCGCGCCAACTTCTGATACTTGTCACGGTCTGTTTTATACACCCGCGCTGAAAATTGCGTTATCGAGCGGCGCGATCGACCGACATGGAAACTTACCGATTTCAGGCACCAGTGGGTCGTCGGGGTTGGGGTCTGTGAGAAGCGAACAGATAGACAGAAGAACCTTGCTAATTGTGAGAGCCGGTGACCACTGTGATCTAATTTATCGGCTATTAGATATTGACAAATAAGCCGCGCATTACCTTAAAATGTCTAGACATATGCTGCCGTTTGAATTAATATTCGGGTGGTAGATCCTCGTGATGAAGCTAACTTTTGGCGGTTTAAACGGGTAGTCATTTGGAAAATGTATGTTCAGAAAGAAAACTCCTCCCTAGAAAAACGATCTAAATATTTTTTAACAAGTTTTGCGAACCTGATAAGGACTTTCCGATGGGCCCATGATCGTCGCCTGCCAGTGGAAGAGATCATCGCCGACGGGACCTGCCGAGCACTACAGAAAACGGGGTTAGTGGCGTTTTCACCAACTAGATGTATGGTAGTCACAAAACGCCGACGGGTGTGTTTTGAATATGTAAAATACGAGAGACTGTAGTCGTATGTATATAGTGCGTGGAATAGTTTGTATTTGGAGACTCACTTGTGCTGGTGGATCCCGCCCGATATCCTGCAATTCCTTGTTGATTCGTTTTAGCGCCATTTGACGAGCTGCTTTTGTTTTTGAAGAGGTTCGTTTAGACCACTGGCCACCGGTTGATTACGACTCAAACAGAAACAAGCACTTCACGAGAGTGACGCCTGCGCGTGTTGATTCTAAACGCGAAACGACGGTTAGAGCACAATCAACCTGTGAAAAACTGATCAAAAGTTTCCTCGAAAACAGGTTTTTGTTGCGCAGTATTTTTTAGAACCCAGCACGATTTTTATTGATCCAATCAACATGACGAAAGGATTTAGGGTCAATTCATCATTCGTTCTCAATCAGCGGGCGCTAGTTCGTTTACTTCTTTCTTCGCAACTTGCCGAGCTCAGCCTTGACGATTCGGTTGCGGGCCTGCTTCAATCGCATGAGCTTGAATCGGTCGAAGTCGGTCAAGTTAGCTCGGATGTTCTTTCGGGCAATTCCCTTGGCCAAGTCAGTCTCGGCGAACTTGTTGGCGATATCGGCGGCGGCGAAAGCCTGAAAAGAATCAATTATCGGAAAAGAGAAAAAGAACGCTTACCTTCTTGACAGTGCCGGGTCGGGCGCCAACGTTGATCTTGACGGAAAGGTCGGTGATTTGGATGGCCTTGACAGAGACGGTGTATCGGTTGAGGTTTCCGTCGTCGACGAGAAGTCTAAAGTGAAAAGTCAGAAATGCCGGCTTTATAAACCTATTCACCGGTTGAGGTCGATAACGTTGGTGATGGCGCAGGCCTTCTTGAGGGATGGGACGTAGACGACACCGCCGATCTGGACGAATTCAGTGAAGACCATACTGAGTGATTTTAGGTCACGATTCACAAACGTCTGAAAAGCAAGAGAGTCAGCAAGGATCAGAATAGGTTTCGGCTTGTTTTTTGGTTCGCGGATGAAAACGGCGCGAATGTGAAGTGATTGAACGTGCATGGGTCAGAAGAAGAAAGGTTCAGGTCAGTCCTCTTTGAAATAAAAGAGTCAGTTAAAATAAAGAATAGAATTGGGAGTTTGGAATACTGTACATGTTGATCCTTGGAATGAAGCTCGATAGGAACGAAAAAAGATCTTGATCAACTTTTTTGATCATTTTTGAGCATAAACATGTTTTTTTACGATTTCTTGAAGATTGCAGCTTCAGGAGCCAAATCGCTTTTTGGCCTCGGCCTCAGGACGCGCTCTGTTCAGCACCTAAATGAATGTTACTCAGGGAAAATATTTCAGACTCGTTACCTTTAGGAAGTCGCTAGTTTTGTTTCTCATTCTTGAATTAATGTATGCTTTGCTACATTTGATATGGTAGTGAAGGTAATTGCGGAAGGTATGAATAAGATCTGAATTAAAAACGGAAATGAGCAACGGGATGACTACAGGGATATTCTCACCTATCGTTTTGTCGCGAGTTCCATCAGCAAAGTGACGGGGCAAAAGGACGAAAGTGATGTAGCCGACATCTTCTCCGGATCTAGCGTCTGTTCCACGCAGCTCAGATGGTGGCTCTTTTGTCGAAAACAGAACCTTACAGCGAATTATGAGAAACGCGTTCAAAATATTTTTTTTACCTGTGGGGCGGTTGCTGAAGCTCTTCTCCCTTCTTTAAACTCTTGGAGGAAGACGCCACCAACAACAATGTCGTCCTTTTCTCTGAAAGTGGTGGAGAAGATCACGGTAACGCGATCGGACTTTGCCTCAACGTAGACGCTCTCGCCCTCTCTGAAATGAATAACGGCGCGTTGAATTTGACTCCCGCTGGCCTGAAACAGAACTTGTGAACTTTTCAGTGTTGATTTCGTGCAAGGCTACCTGGGCTTGAAAATATTTCTCAAAAACGGCTGCGAAGCAGTTTCGCTTCAGCCGAGCAGCGTCTCGCGCCAACTGCTCGTAATTCTCTGGGATCGCCGAGAGCGGAAAGGCCAGGACGATGCGTTTGCCAACGCTTTGGAGAAATTGCCCGTAGACTTCCTTTAGTTTATCGGTGGCACCGTGCTTCTCGAGTTGGTCGAAGAAGGCGATTTCAAGCGCCAGCTCAAGTCGATCACGATTGCTCCCATCTGGCGAGTAAAGATGATAGATACAGCCGTCGAAGTCGACGATGCGCGCGTTCACGTGATCGAACTTGCCTTTTTCACGCCCCGACTTGAAGTGGTTGGTGAGCGCGTCGAACACGCCACGGTTTTCGACTTCGAGCAGAATCATTTGCTGAAGAGACTGGAGTTAAAAATAAAAATCGATGATTGGCGATGTTGGATCAAAGGGCAGTCAGTAGTCGAAGAAAAAGACTTGAGAGTGGAACTCTTATTTGTCGGGAAAATCCTTGAGCCCCTGAATGTGCGTGTTTTGAGTTTTCACCACTCGATTGTTTTTCCTCTTCTTGCGTTTTACTGAAGTAGGAACCTAAAACGAAAAAATGTATGGAAAAAGAATGAGAGAAAAGTTCGTACCTTCCGAACACCAGGATCGTCGGCGAAAGTGATTCCCTGTTGCGCAAGATATTCAGCGATTTTCTCTTCGTCAACAGATTCGACAGTAATTGAGCGCCAGAGCTTCTGGAAGGTTTCGTCCATTTCTATTTCCAAACTTCTGTCATTGAAGAAAATCACAGTCTAGGCAGTATGAATCAATTTTTGCACTTTTTTTCTTTCGACGAATGTAGTCTTCTGTATTTTAGTTAGCTGCTTACCTTCTTATCGGGGCGATTGTGTAGATGAATATTCTTCTTTTCGCTGTGGTATTTGAGGATCTTGTCTGCCTTGGGGAGACTTTCTTGTACCATTTCTTTGGTGACGCCACCAAGTCCATCATGGTAATGCCGCTCGAGAAACTGGAGAAACGACTTCTTGTCTCTGATGCCCTCAATTGACGGCTTGTAGACGTATTTGACGACGTCGCCGGGAATTTGACGCAGCTTGGGATTCTTGGGCAGCGCGTCTTCAAGGCCCATGCGCGCTGCGTTCGCTGAGCAAGTCAGTTCAGTTCTAGTGTTCCGGCTTGCGCATTTTACCTACACACTGTGGTCGTCGAGTTGCACTCCTCGAGCACTTCGTCGAGACTCAAGGGCAGCAGCTCGTTCTGCAAGTGGCGATTCTTCATGTGAGTGACGATTTTGTGGATCAAATGGAAGTTCTTAACCGGTACGACTTTCCCGCGTGACTTGCTACTTCCTTCGAGACGGGGTCGCTTTGATGCTGGCTGAGATCTAGAAGGAAGAGTATTCACACTACGTTCGGATCTATTTCTTTATCAGTTAATTATTCAGTTCTATAATCATTTGGGAACTCTCTAAGTGATAACTTGAAATACGATTCATGTCCATGACTCACTTGTTTTCAATAACAGGAACATTCTGAGCTCGTTTCAGGAAAGCCTCTCTCTGCTTCAGTAAATCGGACATTCCTCTTCCTCTTTCTTTTTATCTATTTATAGGAATTTTCTTCTTTCAGGCCAAAATTGGATTTTTTCTTTACGAGCGAACTCTTCGTTTTTTCAGTAGTTTCTTCTGGGAATCTCTCCGTTTATTCGAAAAAGAAAAAAATGAATGTTGAGTGTGAAGATATGGGATAGTTCTTTTGGTGTTGGCGGAGACGGAGCCACGTGTGCTGGCGCGACAACTGGTCACTTGGTGGTGGAGCAGAGACGCGAGTAGACGAGAGCTCTCGTGCTCGACGAAACTGTTTTGCGGCGGCGGGCTCTGGGCAACATGAACGGGCGCAGGGCCAATCGGCCTTCTCCATTTCCAGCGTGGGCGTAAGATCTTTCCACGCTCCACGGAGAACGGCGCATAAACGCGCCCCGCGCAAGGAGGAATCTCTTCAATCACAAATCCAAAGCGCATTCACCAGCCACTCGACTAATCACGCCCTCAAGGTCAAGTCTGTCCTCTACCCATGCAGTTCTCCTTCCAAAGGGGCGTTTTTTCAAGGCTGGATGAACTTTTTTTTAAGTAACCTTTTATCAAGATCGAACCAAACCGAAACTTTTCCACCGTGTCTTGAAATTATTGCTTTGAAATTCAATATTTCCATTGTATTTTAAAGACAAATCAATATATTTAGTTGCTGTGCTCAAGAGAAATTGCTTCCCATGCTGAGAGAAAAGATCTAGAATTAGTAACACTCACTTATCTCAATTGAACTTGCAATTCTTTCTCTCCCTGAAAAGAAAAAATCTGCGTTGATAGTCTGCTTGCATGTCATGCAAATTCAGAATTTACAGTGCTTTCCCTTCAGCTTAGTCACTATCTAATTAATTTCTGAGTAAATACGTCTGTCTCTCTTTATAAAATACCCAGCATATTCAGAAATGCCAATCGCGGTAATTGTCCGCTTTTGAAGTTTATCACTCAAGTTAAAAACAAGGAAAAAGTACCACGTTTTCATATTTTCTGCCTGAGTGTTTCTTCCTTGATATCAATCAACGAATTCAAATTCAAAAAATGTGAGTTGCAATTTTTGAGGTGATCTATCCGAGATCCGTCCGTTTTTCTTTCGGATTGTCGTGAATGATTTAATATTTATCCTTTATTAGTAGTATGAACAGAGAAAGAACATTAGGAGAAGGATTGGTAGCTTTTCATTTTGAGGGGATGTAGAAATGAAGATGCCTCTGTCGAAAAAGGCTGATTTGAAAGTTGAAAATGGGGAATTTTTATTTCGAAATGACTTTTCGGCTGGAAATGCATGGAGATCGTTACAATAACAGTAGACGAGAATAGAAACAACGTGAATGAGTATAAAAGCGAGCAAGAAAAGGGGACTGGTTAGAATCCAAAGTCGCGATCTTGGAGAACAGCCGGAGCAATCATGGTCCAAGTGTAGAGCAAAACGCACACCCAGGCGGAACACATTTTTACCCACACGGGAGCCCATCCGGCGATGACAAGCGGATTATTGTCCTAAAACAGCGTAGAAAACTGTACTATCAAGTTAGTTCAGTCTTACCTTGCTGGCTTCCGCGGCTTGAGAGATATTGAACCAGTAAGTCAATGTCATCATAATGTAAAGAGTTCCAAGGGAAAACATGAAGTGCAGATAGCTTAAAATTTGACCCTGTTAAACCCTGCTCATGGCCATTTTAAAACCTATAGCTGTATTGAGTAGCGTCTTCTTCGTCGTCCCAGGTTCCGCCTTCAGGATCGCTTTGATCTGTCATTACAACTGTGTCCGCTTCAGCGGGTTTTCCAGAGCCTTAAGAATTTTTAGAATTTCGCAAGACTTTCGCAAAAGCCGATAATGATAATCTGGGAAGTGAAATAATTTGTGAAAATGAATCTGTGAGTGTTAAATTGTCGCGTAAATTGGCAAGCATATTTCAAGAAAAGCATGCAAAACGGGTTACCTTCATTCAGTCTTTCGTAAGTTGCTAAGTTCACGGTGAAGCTTGATTAATCTCAGTGGTACAAGACAAATTTCATAAAAATTTGAAAATCACCGATTCAATACCTGCGGAGGAATTGGTAAGGGAGGACCAGAGGACTGCCAAGAAGAAAAGAATCAAGCCAACGATAGATTGGGCGTTAAATCCAGTTATTCCTAGGAGCGAAAGATAAAAAACGAGGACTGAATTGAATAAGAATGCCTTGAGTCGGATCAGTGTTTGGGTCTGGCTGGCCGCCATCAGTAATGTTGAGGATGCTGGCGATGCTTGGATTGCAATCGAGCTCGGGCGAATTCGACATCGAAGACCAAGTCAAGAACATAACGTAAGCAGAAACAACTGCAGACTGGAGGAGTCCAGATGCCGGGTTATGCTCCTGTACCTAAACTCTCGTGTTAACGAAGTTCTTGACAAACGGACTCATACCTTGGGAAGGATCGAAACGACAGAAATTATAAAGCAAAGGATCATATTAAAGCTGATGAAGAATTTGTGTAGGCTGCAGGAGTTTGTTGTCTCCGTAAAGTTGCCACCGTAAAAGTAAAAGAGATATCCAATGGCGACACTTGTCAGGACGAAGATCGAGAATGTAGCAAAAATGAGCCCTGCGAACCAACATTTTTGGTCGCGCTCGTCGTCGGCATCTTCCATGTTCTGCACTGCCCAGGCGTTGATTCGATACGCAAAATCAATGAAGAGCACCAGTTGAATCAAAATAAAGGCCAATCCGCCGATGAGTCCAAACACGTACATGACCTGATCGAATGGCTCGGATGGGATAAAGAAGGCGGCGGTGATAAAAGCTGCGAGAATAAGAAACTTGATTCCCCAAAAACCATTTTGAATTCCAGAGCGAGGATCCTTCGAGCTTCGTGTGCCCAGCATCAAAATCATGAAGAGCCAAAAGAAGCAGCACATTCCGAAGCAGACTCGGTAAGCGGCCTCGAATCCGACGAGTCGAGTACAGTCAATCGCGCCATCGCCAGTTGTCTGCGTGCCAATAAGACTGTCGAGTTGGGCTGTGACGTCAGAAATTCCATCATTGCGGGTGCCCTTGCAGAGCATGGGAACTTTTCGGAGCGCGTCTTCTAGTCCATTTGTGCACATAATCATCGCAAGAATACTTCCGAGGAGCATAAAAAGCGCATACATCAGTCGCGCACTCGTTGAGTTTTTGCATGATGGACATGCAGAACAAAGACACGAAGCTGCTTGGCCCGTTACACAACAGGCGAGCGATCCCAGTCCGAGACACATTCTCTAAAAATGAAAATCTTGGTTGCGCAATTTTTCATTTGAATCAGGAATCAGCGTCTTTTGTAGAAGATTTTTGGTCCTCAAAGTCGGATAAACAAAAAGGAGGCCCATGGCCTGGAAAAATCAAATCAGGCTTGGCATGTTGCTGAATGAAGAGACGCGAGGCTCGCGAGAGCGCCGGTTCTTCAGAGAGAGATTCATAGAATGATTCATCATCTTTTTCATCCCAGAGGTCACCAACAAACGCAAATTTTGAGTAGCGTTCGTTGCGAAATATCAAATCGCCGGTGATAATGAGACTGCAGCAGCCACCAGTGTGTCCGGGCGTTGTTATGTATTCCAGAGAGACATCTTCATTTTCGAATTTCAGAAGACAGGCTCCTATTTGCTTGTCTGACGGAAGTAGACGAGGGCTACGGAAACGCTCCTTTATACTTGTATCCCGGCCAACGCTTATCACAGCTATAAAAATCCAAAATCAATATAAAAACATGCATTACCTGATGGAAACAGATTCAAGTTTCCCACGTGATCAGAGTGTCCGTGGGAGCAGAATACGGCGTCGATGGCACTTATGTTCTTCTCTGATAGTTCTAGGCAAAACTCATCCGCTAGCTATCCTTTTTTTGACTTTACTTTCAGTAATTGTATCTCTTTCATGCGCCGCCCCACAATCAAAGAGAACATTTTGCACTGGAGAAATTTCGGGCTTCTGCTTTTCGAACTCGAAAGTCTCATTGACGGCATTTCTCAGCGAAATCAAACATACAGTGCAGCGTGCATGAAAAACAGAGTTAATTTCTCGAGCGTAGCCTTCTTGAATCAACGTCACTTCCGCCATTCTGGAAATGAAAAAAATATTAACTTGGTGGGTCAGAAATTCATTTTCTATTAGGAAAATCTGGGGCTCGGAAGTTAGGATCATGCAGGTCCATATTTAGTTCTTCAGCAGACATATCGCCTTGTCTTCTGTCTAACGGCTTCTTTGCATCACGTGCTGCTTTAATTTCGGCCATTTTCGCTCTAAAATCGAATCAGCTGAAGGATTGCAACTGAGGTTCTTACCTAGCTTTTTGCTTAATCCTTTCTTTTTGTTTCCTGCCCGTGTTTTTAATTTCATTTTCTGGAGCTGTTCTGGTCGGGTGCTTCTTATCGTATCTGGCGAGTTCTTGAGCTTCGAACTTTGCCATTTGCTCAATCTCCTTTTTCACAAGCGCCGATGTCTATAAATCCAATTATGCATAAAAACAAGGCTTTCGCTCGAACCTTGAAAAGATGCCCCTGATTGGGGCCTAGAAGACGGCCGACTCTTTCGAATTGGTCACCGTCCATGCCACTAAAAGAGTCTTCTGCATCTTCGTAAAAACGATTTTCAAGAGGAATTCCAAGACGGTTTAATATTTTTGAAGAAATCTGAGGAATAGCAGGTTGCAGAAGAATAGCAGAAACACGTAGAAGCTCATAACATGCATGAATAGCTTCAGTAAAAGAGTTTTAGATTCTGCTTTATCTAATAACTATGCTCTACCTGAATCTTTCTGCATGCGTTCACTTTTTATATCTCTATCCAATTTAAAAATCTTTTCGTTTGTCATGAATTGAAGTCCTTCTTCAACAGCTCGAATGACGCAGTTCATTGCACTTGGAAGCTGTCCTTGGTCGACAAATTTCGCGTACACTTCTGGCAACTCTTGAACAGTTTCGATGAGATATTTTTCGCCGTCGGGGCGATCTAACAGCGAGTCAGGGAAAAGAGTCGGATATGCTCCACTAGGGTTGAGATTCTTCGAAGTGGTTCTTGAGAGAAGATTCGCGATTTTATTTGCCAAGTCGCTATCAGACTGAATTCTGAGTAGCTCGTCCTGAAAGTCCACGTTCTTGAGGGTAGCATGTTTGAGACAGAACCAACGAACAGCGTCACTTTGATTTCCGACTAATTCGAGCAGCTCCTTTGGAGTGACAAAGTTGTCCAGACTTTTGGACATTTTCATTCCATTTCGCGTCCAATGACCATGAACGAAGACTTTCTTGGGCAGAGGAAGATCCGCAGCCAGAAGCATCGCTGGCCAATAAATACAGTGGAATCGAGCGATATCGATCCCGAGAACTTGAAGTTGCGGCGGCCAGAAATCGAGAGCGTTTTCATGTCTTGCGTAGCCAGCTGCGGTCAAGTAGTTGATTAACGCCTCGAACCAAACGTACATTGTATGATTTGGATCATCAGGAACAGCAACGCCCCATGGAACTCTCTTTCTCGGCCTAGAAATAGAAAGACTGGTGTTGCCAGTATTTCTTCGCTCCTTCAGCTCATCGATTAAAACTTTAGCAACATCTGGGGTAACAGCTTTTTCTATCCATGCTTCTATTTCGCTTAAAAATGGCTCAAAATCGAAGATATAGTTTTCTTCAGAAATCCATTCTAGTTGATGGCCGTTTACGCTACTAAAGTGTTTGCCGTCCTTTTCTACTATTTCTTTATTTCCGACAAATGATTCATCTGGTGTCGAATACCATCCTTCGTAATTCTTAATTCTTATATGACCCTTCGATCTTAGCCGGCTCCACAGCTTCTGGGCGGCCTCGTGATGCTCAGGATTTGTCGTTCTCATGTAAATTGCATCGTCGAGGGAGGCAACAGAAATGGAGAATTTTTTAAACGTTCTTCTATACAAGTCGGAGATGTTATTGACGAGCAGCTCTGGGTGATCGTAGCCCTGTTGTGCAGCTGAGCGAATGATCTTTTGACCGTGTTCATCAGTCCCGATGGAGAATTTACTAGGGACATCGTTTATCTTATTCCAACGGTGGTAAAAGTCCCCAATTACACTAGAGTGAATATGACCAATGTGGGGAGTAGACGTCGCGTAATAAATGGGACAGGTAACAAAATTGGTCTGCTTGTTTAATATGCGTACGCCATGCGTTTTTCTCAGGTCACCACGAGAGGCGGAAGAAGTCTGCAATGATCCTAGATATCGATAGCTGAGTATTTGCGACTTCGGTCTGAGTCCGATCATGCTAAACAATCTAATCATCAGTGAGGATATTTAATTTAGTGATTGCATTTCTCTAAGTCACATGGTTGGTCTTCACAGAGAAGAAATATTTTTGAGGGAGTAACAGGGGAGAAGTTAGACGGACGAAGACTTCAAAATAAGATGAAATATTGCCATAAATGCTATTTCGATAAGCAGGCAATTAATAATAACAAAGACAGTGAAGTTATGTTTTATATAAGGCCCTGAGCAGTCCAGAGCAGTCCAGAAACATATAAAAGATGGTAAAGGGTTCTGGCGAAGAAGAAAATTATACTAGTTGGAGGCTCTTGGCACTCAGAAAATTTCAACATCTTCAGGAGCATCGAGATCCTTGTAGCTGGCGACTGGGCGATTGGTATACGAGTCACGGCGATCCGGCTATGATTCAGTTAGCAAGAGGGATGGATCAGTGATCATTGATTTTACACCAGAAGATAAAAGACACCATTTCTGCACCGCGTAGAAAACTAACTCTGAGCTACTGATTCTCAAATATGAGACCACCGCACCGCGCTCACCACGGTTAAAACTTACATGCTCGTGCGATTGGTGATGTTGACTGGTGTTGTTGTAGTTGTTCTGTCTTACCTGGTGATGTCTCATCGGCATGTGGCCGGGTGGCATGTGTCCTGGTGGTGGTCGGAACGGCTGAATAGTTTGCACTGGATCATTGGGCCTCTTTGGATCAGCCAAGTACCGGTTGAAGAATTTCACCTCTGAATAAAATGTGAACAACAAAAAATCAATAAAGAACAATACCGTTGCGGACCGCTTCGACTTTTTCGGCGTGTTTGATAAGAATATGCTTCTTCACAAACTCCGGGCCTTTGAACTTTTTGCCTGAAAGTGGGCAAAGATATTTTTCTGGGCCGAGCTGTTGGGTATTTGCTTCAATGAACTTCTTGATTTCTTCCTCTTCGTCTTTCATTCCTAGCTTTTTGATTTCCTCTTCATCTAGTTTTGTGCCTTCTGTGAGCATTCCGTTGCACTTCTCGAGGAACTTCTTTACGTAATCATTCATTTCGAAAGGCATGATAGGATTGCTGAAAGACGTTTAACAAACAATCAGATATGTAGAAAGTCACCTTGGGGGCTCGCCTCGAACATGAATAATTCCGCAACGATTTGGCATCTCGTCTTCGTTTCGATATTCAGAGTGATTGTAGTAATCAACTGAATGAACGAGGCGGAGATACAGAGTGAGAATGTCAGCGATTTGCGCCAATTTTTTGTCGTAGTTGAGATGGATCTCATCAGCGTTCTTTGGGTCATCTTCTACCGGGTTCTTCTCAAGATAATCTTCCGTCTTGAGGATGACCGGATTTGGCTTGAATTTTGGTAAGATTGAGCGAGTTGGCTCCGGATCTTACTTGTTTGCCCGTGTACAGCTCGTATTTCTCGTCGAATTTCTTGATAAGCGACATGAGGTTGAGAATGTCCGCCTTCATGATGGTGTTGTGATTAGCCAGACTACTCATTGGGCGACAACGACGAGTGAGATCTCTGTTAACAACTGGGTTGAGTTCAACCTCCTTCAGACGAACATTGTTGAGATTCCAGCAAATGTCTAAAAGCTGATAAGGAAAGGTCTCAACACAATGTTACCTTTTATATTGACAGAAGAGTCAAAAGTAACCCAACAGCGGCGGTAAAAGCGATCGTCTTGCGGGTGCGAAAAAGCGACACGGATAAATCCATCAAACTTTTTGCACATGTTTGAGATATCTTGGCGCGAAATCGAAGGCGGCAGTGATCGCATGAATATAGATGAGTACTTGGTGTGGGTCTGGGCTCGCCTAGAAAAGGAATAAAAGTAAGTCGCTTTTTTCGAATGGGATCTTACTTGAGCGCTTCCTTGCGTTTTGCTTCAAGCTTGTCACTAGGGTCGTTGACCTCTCCATCTTCACTTGTCTCTGGCTTCTCCGGCGCTGCGTCTGGATCTGTCTTGACAGAAACAGCATCTTTGGAGCCTTCTTCGTCTTCCTTAGTTTCCTCTTCTTCTTTCTTGGCATCATTCTTTTCGGATTCATCGTCAGATCCGTCTTCGCCGCGATCAAACTTGCCACGGCCCTTTTTCTCGTCATCGTCTTCTTCGTCAGCTTTTTCGCCTTCAGATGGAGGACCTTCAACACGAAATTAATCGACGATCGACAATTAAAAACAACCATCTGTCTCAGATTTAACGATAGGAGTCCTGATTGTCTTGATATCATCTTCGCTGGCGCCTTCCATGAGCATGACGGCAGTTTCAAGCAGGTCGATGATGTTCTTCTCATTGGTGATATCCAAGCAATTTTCATCGAAGATTTTATCGACGCCAGTAAGTTTCTCCCAGGCCTCACATCTGCGAAATTTTACTAAGAGTGAGGAAGGAGTGTACTGACCTGAGTTTAACAGCTTCCTTGAACTGTTCCTCTCGCTCAACGGCTGCATCGGGATGATATTTCTCCCGGAACCTAAAAGTGCAAAATTAACTACGCGCGATGAGCAGAGATTTTTACTATTTTGTGATACACTCACAGTTCTTCGTCATCTTTTCTGATTTTCGGAACAGAGTTTAAACTCTCCCTATACAAGTCGGGAGAGCCGGCAAAAACGGTGCCGTTTTAATTTTTTCAAAAAGTGACAAACATGAGAGCCCTAGGAGCAAGACGGGCTAAACCCAAGTGGCAAGTGGGTTTTTTAAGAATTTTAGAGTTATTTCGAGTTTTCTGCAGATTGACCATCGCGAATATTTTTCGATGAGCCACAGAAAGAACACGTACCATTCTTCATCCTTGTGCGCAACAAAGAACTCTTGCATTTGCTTCTTCTTGAACTCGGTCTTATACACTTTGTAGTTCTTGCAGGCATCGTCCTCGTTGATATTGTCCTCTGAAACGAGCGGTCAGATTTTACGGAATTCTCGGGCGTTCGATTGGATTACCTTGCTTCATGACCCAGTTCTTGAAGGAGAGGAGAATATCGTCCTCGTTTTGCATGTGATAATGGTTGTTTTGCACGTGTCGAGGAACGTAGGGAGCCCCGTTGCTGCCTGGACCATTCCACGAGCGGTGACCACGATAGCCGCCGCCTCTTTCCCCGCTGTCGTCATAGTCGTGTCTGGGCCGTTTGTAGCGTTCGCCTCCCCGCTCGCTGAACTCTCTGTCTGGAGTTCGTCGTCGCTTCTCTCGCTCCCGCCGGTCCTCGTGACGATCGTACTCTCGATCTCGCCCGTATCTATCTCGTCGGCTTCCTCCATCATCATCATACCTAGCCAAAAATTTAAATCCAGCAAAAGCTGCTAGTAAATATCCGGTCCACGTGAAAAACACCGCTCGACTTCATCATTAAATTAAAAATTTATAAACTTACTCGTCAGTACTTGAAAATTCCGAGTTTTGGCAAGATACTTGCAATCCATCTGCCTTTCTCTTTATTTTACGTTTCCCATTTCGAGATCTCTTTTTTTTATGCTTATCGGAGTACTTTTTAATTCCTCCCATTTCCGAGTATTTGCGCCTTTCACGAAAAACGTGCTTCGCGAAAGTGGGTTGCTCGGCTGCGCCCGTTTGCGCTAACCGAGTTCTTGATTTCGAAATATGATGAGTAATTATAAATTTTAATCGAATTAAAATAAGGGGTCACAAGAGTCAAGGGGACTTTTTCATGGGAGGGGGTCGAAACTATTCTGCATGCAGAACTATTCTGCAAAAAATAGAACTATTCTGCAAAAAGTAGAACTATTCTGCGTTTCGCAGAACTATTCTGCCGAATGCAGAACAATTCTGCAAATGAAGAACTATTCTGCAAATGTAGAACTATTCTGCAAAATACAGAACTATTCTGCACAAGTGCAGAACTATTCTGCATTGTGTTGAAAAGAAGATCTTCATTTAGAGACAAAATTTCACTGTTTGGAAGCACGCTGCGGGCCTACGGCCCTTGCGCGCAAATTCTGGTAGGGAACTCATTTCTGAAGGTGGCCAACTTTCTCTACTCTCGCGCCTCCTTTGATAAAAGTCATTTTTCTTATATGCAGAACTATTCTGCATGCAGAATTATTTCGTCGGAAAATAGCCCTTTTTTCGACGAAACTATTCTGCATTTTGCAGAACTATTCTGCATGCAGAATAGTTTCGAAGGTTTCCCTTTTTCATCGGGAAATGACGTATTTGACTGAGAATTAATTAATTTATTAAATTCTAATAGTTAGAGAATTCTTACCTTTCTCGACCGCGTCCTTCCCGCTCGGTCCGGAATTTATCCCGTCGTCGATCATCGTAATCATCATCCGACATTTTTGAGGAGGAATTAGAAAATTATGGCAGTTCTGAATGTTTTTTTTTTCAAGTGATCTTATGGACGTAGAACAAACTGTTAACTGTAAGAAAGCAGCAAACGAATAGAATAGAAGCTATAAAACATCGACACAGCAAGGAAATAGCTGTATCGTTTCAATTGAATGTCTCATTGAAAATGAGGATGAAATGACAGAAAATACGAACACTGAATTTTGAGAATTCTTTGAAATGATTTAAGGAAAAGATACTTTGAATATATGAATAGTCTAAGTTGGGTAAAATAACGAGCATTTGTCGCAGGCTAGGACGGATCAGAACTGATCTTCTGCAAAGTAAGACTTAGAAAATCGGTGATCAATCGGAGTCCGCGATGAAGATTGCAAACCTATCATCACGAAAGCAGCACACGCTTTGCTAGCTGTGGATGAAGGAGGCGATATAAATATGCCATCAGAAACACGGAATAGAAAAAATGAAATTGGGATGATAGGCTAAGACGAGACTGGACAGCCCTTCATCTTCCAAGCACCATGTAAGTAAGTCCATCTGGGATTTGTATGTCAGGGCAGGGGGCAAGGACTCTTAGGAGAGAGGAGTCATTGGGGAGCTACCCTTGAAGTCCTGAGCTTCAAAAGCTAGAAATCGAATAAAGCGAAGAACAACCACCGAAATAAGCACCTGTCACCACTGGGTTCGGCTGCGCAATCAGTGCCAAATGCTGATTAAGTTGCCGGGCTGCGCTATAATTAGAACATCAATACAACACACGAATCAGGGAGTTAAATGCCTTGAGAATGGTGGAATAGCGGAGTTCTTCACAACGTCACCGTAGCAGCCATAACGGGGATAGGCGATGGGATTCACCTGGCGCGACATGTAGGAGATGCCTTCAATAGGCAAACTATCAGACTGGACAGCACCAGCTTCTTCTACTCAAACAAAAATGGATAACCTAAAGCTGCGAGGACGAAACTCACCGTCGCTAGATATTTCTCCATAAATGATTATCGGCTGAGACCGTGGCAGAATGATAACCCGATCGTCTTTATGCGACTCTGTTCGTGGACGTTTGCTCCGAATTTGGGATTGGCTGATGAAAATTTACAACTACTTGCACGTACCTGATTGACACACCATTAGGAACTTCATCCCAAGGTTTAATGAAGGAAGCCCGTTTATCAGGTTTATCAACCAAAAAATCATACCAAAACGCGCGTTCAATAAACCTTGTGATAAAAGGCAAGGAAGCTGATATTTAAACGTTTATTCGGTATTACAATGTTTTTGAGCAGTGTTTTAGTGTATTTTCGGGCAAGATTTGTAATTTTTTCCTTATTGGACGCTTGGGATTCTTTTTCAACTTTAAATCAATGTGGGACTGTAGATCTTCCTTGATCGACGATGAGGAGTTTCGGTTCTTTGAGGTGGAGGGTACTTCATGATGATACGAATTTGACGGGCCTAGCTTGACTTGCGGATGATATTCCTTGCAGTGTGCTCGAAGACAGGCAGGTAGCAGCACCTTACGACAGACAGTACATTTGACCAGCGTAAAGGAGGACGCGTTCTATCCAAAAAATTAAGCGTTAGAAGAAAACGAGTAATCACCAGAGTCGTGAGCAGACGACGATCCTCGATGTTGCGAGGCGTTTCATTCGAAACGGCGTCAAGAAACTTCGACCTGGCATAGTCTTGCGTCGTCTTCGTTTCAAAAGCCAGGGTTATTACTTTTAAATCTTACGAGCTTTAGTGAGCAAGAGTAGTAAAAACCCCTAACAGATTTAGAAACAGCAGCATTCCAGTCTGCCCATGTTCGCTCCTTGAATCCGTCTATTTGCATCACAGAAGGGCTGACCTCGACCCCTTTGGAGAAATCCGATTTCTGTCTAAAACATTTTTCCTTCAGCAAAATTGAAACTAAACAGTTGCATTATCAATTATAGACTAGAGGCAATTAAAAAAGAAACACTGCCCGTTCGGTTGCTCTCGGGGAAAAAGAATTAGACAAATTTGCTATTGTTAATTTTGAAGATTTACACAACTTACTTATCGACTTGACTATCCTTTGAAAGATCAAGTTTCGCGATGAGTACCTTTAATCTATTTAACCAGTTCTAAGCGTGATTCGAATGAACATCTATCGTAGGTGAAGGAATTGTTAAAAGATGTTTTGACGGGCTTGAAGTTTTCGAAATTCTAGTTTTAAACAGGCTTTACTGTAAGTAGGATCGTTAAGCATTTTTTCACTTTCAATCGTTGCCTTTCTATATTCAAGCAGGGCACAGAAGATAAAATATTTTTGAACAAGAAATACATGTAACAAGGTGGATTCAAGATTCTTAGATTCAATGGATAACAAACTTGTGAATGAAAGAAAAAAGTCTTATTTAACAGCGACAGCAGGCTTATCTGATTCGGTGGAGGGCTTCTCCGTCGTTGGCTTTGGCTTGATGTCGGAGGAGTTTTGAAGCTTGTTATTGATCAGGCCGTGGAGAGCGACGATCGACCGCACTAATGAGGCGAGATAGACAGGCAAAAGCTAAAATTTCATCGTTCAAATGGGCCTTTTGTTTCTGCTGCGCCTAATCACTGCATCGCAGATCAATAGCAAACGCGCTCTCAAGAATGGAGAAGCACCATCAATTATGCATCTACCTGGTCGTGAGTCTCCATGTGAAACGATTTCGTGAGTGGAATAAGATCTGGAACGAGCGAAAGGGCGTCCTGCAAGTTGTACAGGACTTGGTGGTTTGGAGGCAGCTTCCCGTCGACTACTTTTGTCAAATAGCCGTAGCACTGCTCGAGCTTTCCATGAAGTCCTCTGATCGACGCAAGTTGAGCAGAGATCTTCTGGCTAAAGGAATCGTTTTTTCGAATTGAAAGTAAACGGTTTGAATACCTAAGCGAACCGGCAGTTGGATTGTAAACATCTCGAAGAAGCTGCTCAACGCCGACTTCTTCTGCTTCCTCAGCACCGATCGCAGAAGAAATGTGTCTCCATGTCTTCTCAGCTGGCTTTCCATCGTCGCGGATATCAGCTTCAGCGACGTACGCCTCAGTCGGGAGGCCGCTGAATTAGCATAAATGTGCTCTCCTTATTTAAAATGGAATTACGTATTATTGTCTGTTTTCGCAACGTCAATGACGGTTAAAGTGGCATCGTGGCCAGCTGGCATGTGCTTTTGAATCAACTCGTGGATTTTCATGTCGTTGGCTTTCAGTTTCGGGCCCGTGTGGTACCATCCAACGATGCGCTCTCGGGCATTGACTTTTTTGAACATCTAAAAGATCTCCTCATGTCTATGTGAATTTGTGTTCTCTACCGTAAACATAGTATCGAGATAATCGTGATCAAGGAACCAAATATCGCGATCCTTGCTGTCTTCGTCAAAGGGCAAGGCGAATGAGTTTGAGATGTCAAGCTCGCGGCCACCCATCGTCCACGTTCCCAAGAGAATTCCTACAACGCGTCCTGCGCCAGTCTTGCCGACTCGTGTGTAGTGATCGGTCACAGAAAGGAGGACCAGTGGGTGGACGACCACTTTCTCTAGCTTATTTTTCCCTGTCGACATTCTAAATAGAAAAGATTTATAAACATGTAGGTGATGAAAGATTTAGAACTTTAAGGCAGAAGAAATAGATATTGAAAACAGAAAAATATGAATGAAGAATCAACTGAATTGCACTTTTTAAATGAACATTTAGGAATTATTGGACCCAGGGCCACCAGAAACCAGAGAAACCATCGGTTCGAGTTTCTGGGTTTGAATTAGGATCTGTGTGGGGAAAGTTTGGCCAAATGGCTGTTTGATTGTGACGCGATAACAGATCGAGACCGACTTTAACGATGTCTGGATGGTTATCAGAAATGTCACTCTTCTCATACGGATCTTCTACGATATCGTAAAGCTGAACCAGACGCGTGAGAGTTTCAGAAGAGGTAAGCATGCTATCTTCAAGTAATCTTTCCCAGACTGATTGCTTTTCTGCGCTTGTTTCTGGGGAGAATTGAAGCTTTTTCTGATTCCCCTCTGGAGGAGGGATATTTCCATCTGGGACACCGTAAGCTGGATCTCCCGTTAGCAATTTCCAGCGACCGTATCGAACAGCTATTATTACGATTCAAAGTAAATCAATTAATAATCTGACAGTTTTTTACCTGACTGAGAGTTGATATTGAATTCCGAAGTTTCAGCGAGCTTCCGAACCCACTGTCTCTCGTCTTCGCCCTTGACTGTTTTCAGCGGGTCAATATTGTGAATGATCGACTGTCGAGGCGGAGAACTGTTGTTAAGGAGAGCCTGCCACTGACTCATGCCATCTAGATCGTCTTTGTCGGCTGGAGGTTTGCATTCCATCGCTTCAAGTATTGTCTCGCGCCAGTCGGATACGTGGATGAGCCCGTCAAATTTAGATTTGCCCTGTTCCTTTATCAGGCCGCCTGTAATTATTTTATTAATCGATCGCTCTATCATTTTTATTCAGTTCGACGTCACCCGATAACATGGCGTTGACATGGACACCTCCTTCGTAAAGCGACCATTTTTGCGAGCGCAGGGGGAAGTTATTCCCTCCAGAACGCGTTTCGCCACCGTTATCAGCTGTAATGATGATAAGCGTGTCGTCGTAAAGATTTCGCTCATGGAGCATTGTTATAAAATCGCCGACAGCTTCGATTCAGTTCATAAATTTATACATTAAATGACTTTTAAGACGGATCTTTAACTGTTCCTTCGTCCATGATAGAGATCATCGCAGCGTATGTTCTTCTATCTGGGTCCTTAATCCAGTCGTACTTAATTTTGTAGTGCTCCGGTGCTTGTAATGGATCATGAACATTTTGCATCGCATAATACAGGAAGAATGGCTTTTTGTCTTCAACGACTGTATCGAGCACTTGGGCAACACGTGCTGAGTAAATTTCCGTTCCATAAGTTCCCCAAGTCGAGTTCGTTGGGCCATTTTCGGTACAGAAGTCCACGCCACACCAATTCTTCGCCTGACATTGGATTCGCGAGTAGTGATCTTCTGCTCCTTGGAGGTATCCGTAATAACTGTCGAAGCCCCGATTGAACGGGAGCATGTATTCGTGCGAATGGCCACAGTGCCACTTTCCAACCATATGAGTTGCGAAGCCGCACGACTTCAGATCCTGCGGGAGAAGAGTGTACTCTTTTGGAATTCCCGTCGTTTGCCCGGCGAGAATGACATTGTGCTGCATTCCATAACGAAGGGGATATCGGCCAGTGAGCATGGACGATCTGGTCGGAGAACAGACCGGCTGCGTGTAATACTTTTCAAGAATGATTCCATCTCGCGCGATCGCGTCCAAATTTGGCGTTTCAAGCTTCGAACCGTGAATCCTAATATTCGAATAACACTATTTCTTTTCACGAAAAGAAAGCTTACCCGAAGTCACCCCAGCCGAAATCGTCGATCATCAAGTAAACTACATTTTTGCTCTGGACAAGGCATACGCCCGCCGCGAGGATGGACCTAACAAGCCTCATTCAGCCGCGCTCCAAGTCGTTTTTTTTTCGTTTTGTGCGCAGCCAGCAAAATAAATTCTCCTTCGCGAGTCGACTTCACGCCGAAACGAGAAAGAGAAAAATAAACAATTTTATTATTATATTTTCAAACAAAGGGATTTTCGAGCGATTGGCCTACGATTAGCGACCGTGATACGATCGCTAGTAGGTTAATTACTGAAACGATCCCTTTTGTAGTAGATTTCTGAGCGAATCATGCCCCTGGGAAGGTGGTCGATTGGCCAATCATAGAGAAGCGTCGCCCTAGAAACATTCTTCTCACAAAAACTGTCCGAGATGAAATAATGATTATCCCTTTTGCGAAAAAACACAGTTGTAGCGTTAATTTTGGATATTTATTAATTAAAACAGGTTTATTAAAATATGTTCTACTGGAATGATATGGTAAACAGAGAAGTTATTAACTTAAAATGCGGTTCAAGAACTTAGAAGAAACTTAAACGAGAAAATAAATAGTTAAACAGAAAGAACGCGCTTCTGGAATTCTGGCGCTTGAGATAGTTGAATTGATAGAGGAGACGTCCAGGAGATTACAGGGAGGATCGGAGCTGCTTGGAGAGGCTATCCGCGTTTGGATGCGGCTCGTTTGACCGTCACAGCGTGGCTGAAAATACACGACGAGCCGTATTGGCATTTGCCAGTGTATTTCCAGCGGCGACAAATCTAAATCGTTGATCAGTAAAAGAAGTAGAGTCTCAATCAATAGAGTCGACGATTCAGGCCACCCCTTTATTTATCGGTTTACGCCATAATTTCGGATGAAAAACTACTCTAATAAAGCTAAAAACGTGTATAAACTGAAAGATATATGCGTAGAAGTCAAGAGTTCTTATTGGTAAATGAATGATAATTTACTTTTATAGCGGTTTCCGGGTCACCCTGAGTCTTCTGCTTTTGCTTGGGGGTTGTATCGTCGCTTTCGCTAGGCGCTTGGAGTGCGGCGACTCTGGGCGTAGTTTTGAACTCTGGCTGGATGACGGACCCAGATTGCGGGGTTGATTGCGTTGGGGTACTGGGCGCAGGCCCCTTGGAATGGGAAAAACAGCATCGGTCGCCATACACACAACTTCCAGTATCTTGGAAACTTCTACAAAGTTTTGTCCGATACTAGAATGTTTATATTTTCTTATCATATAATACTCTTTGGCAGACATTTGATTATATAATAAAATGCGCGTGATTACCTTGGGATGCTTTGTGATGTCATAGCTAAGATCGTTGGTTCCATGCGCGAAGTCGCATTTTTCGCCATAAGGGCAACTTCCGCGTTCCATGAAGGTTCGGCAAAGACGAGTTTTGTAAAGAGATGGGACAGAATGCTTTGCTTGTCTGTGTTCGTCTTTTTCGTGGACGAAGTTGCACTACAGAATATCTCTTACACAAAAATGAATAGATAGACTTACCCGAACACCGTAGGGACAGAAGCCAAGAGTATGGAAGGTAATGCACTGCTCGGTTTTGTACTTGTTGTGGCGCGGGCGAACGAGAGGCCTTAGTTCATGTTCTCCGTGCGCGAACAAACAGCGCTCGACGTATTTACAGGTTCCGAATTGCCAAGAGCGGCAGAGCTCAGTTTTGTAGAGCGAATTCATTTGCGCATTTGCAGCTTGTGCGTGTGCCGTTAGCATGGGCTGTCCGGAAAAGACCGAGTTCGGAACAAGGATGAATTGCTGGCCGCCTTTGGTCATTAGACTCAAGTTTTGGAAGAGATCGTTTGCCTCGATCTGCTGTTGACGGTTTGACGATGAAGACGAAGATGAATCCGATAAGACTGCATTAGTAACTTCAGCTGCTGTAGCTAAATTGAATGTAGAAGGGCTTTTTTAATGTGAATGTTTACCTTCACAAGCGATTCGGTCTGGAAGCGAAGTTACAGATGGACCGTCGAGCTCTTTGATTTTGTTTGGCGAGGGAGAAACCGAGCCAGGCGAGGTTGAGGAAATTTCAATCTGCTGGTTGGTTGGTGTTCCCGGCCGAAGTCCAGTGCCGATCGGATTTGAATTGGCATTCGCGATTGCATCGGCCACCGCGGCTTCATCAATCGTTTCACCTTCGCAGTGCGAAAACACCGAGTCCACGCTACAAAAACAAACAATAACACTAGAAACGAACGGAGACACACACACCTGACCTGCGCCGCCAGGATCGGGTTGGTGGCAAGAGTTTTTAGTCCAAGGCTGGCCGTCCGTTTCAAGTCACTTTCTTCAATTTTGGACAGGTTTGTCACGGGATTCGCGAAAACCTCGGGGTCAAAAGCGCCCGACGGAGTTTTGTGCTGAAATCGACTGTTCAACCCAAACGAATGCGAAAACAGGACTTACAGGGAATCTTCCAAGACCTTCGGGCTTAACCCATTGACTGTTCTCCATTTGTAAAAGCCGATTCGCCTTTGTTATGACTTCTGAGCTTTAGAGTAGCCAGAAAAAAGCGGTGCAAAATCGACAAACAGATGGGGTAGAATTTTCAAACTGATTTCGAAAACTAATATGCTCTCAAGTATTATTGAAAATCTAGAAAGCAGCGAATGTGTTTGTTCTCTGAATGCAGTTATGGAGTGATATGCTGAAAAAGGCAACCGAAACCCCACTTTATCAGGACAAAATCAACTCCCGCCTAGAGCCAATTTTTCAGATGATCGTGATAAAGGAAACCCATTTTACTGAAAATGTAATTTTTTTTCATCTTTTTCAGAAGCAATTTTAGAAAATTTTTATCTTTTATTTGATTTGTAACCAAAATAAAAGGAAGTGACAAGCCCCGCGGAGGGCAGAAATGTCCAAAAAATCACATCAAAGCGAGAAATCTTCTTTTCCGCAATTGCTCTTCCAGTTCCATCGAAATGACATCTTGGAGATTCGTACTCAACATGATGGATCAGCTCTAGAGCGCGTTCACATTGAGTTTTCGTGCAAACAATAGCTGTTTTGTGATCTTTTACGGCAGTTTCTTCCTATTTAGAGTATAGCCAATAAGTCCGTTTCCTGAACAGTATTTATTCTGATCGCACATTCCAGCGAGATGAACTTCGTCGTGGTATAAAACTGCTTTCTCCATTTCTTCTCCGATGGACGCAAAAATCGTTGTGCAGTAGCTTTTAGAGGCTCCAAAAGCGAACATTGATTTTGGGCATTCATTCATTTATGTTTTTGGAACTCTATCAATGGGCATGGTGGCAGTCGTTTGGCGTCTCTTCTTTTAGAAATTCCACGTTTGTCTTGTGACTCTCAGCGCAAAAGTCGGGCCAGCCGGTTATGTTGTGAATTTGACAGGGCGTTTCGGAGAAGTGCTTTGTCTTCATAAATGGTGCTACTGTTGCCACTGTCTTTACGAACGCCATGCAGGACACGATGAATGTCACTGCGGAGATGGCGTGTGTGATTTGGTGCCTTGCCGAACGCTGAAAACCCTTTTCGTAAAAATGGAATGTAAATGCGAATGCTGACAGCGTTTCCTTTGTTCTACTGCATTTTCAAGCTCTTGAAGAAGATTCAAGTTCTTCCTTCTGATGCTTTCTCTGGCCGTCGAATGATAAACTGGAAAATTCTCCTCGACCACGGAGTTTCTCGACTTTTAACGGCTTTCCACATTTTTGCTTAGACTTAATTTCTATAATCGTATGAGAGCCATGTCATGACACGTTGACGGAGCAAGGACTGAAATATGTTTGTCCCTGCTTTCCATTTTGACTGAATTATTTAGTAAATGTAGATTCATACGATATTCAGAAGACTGCTATCGACTGTTATCCAACTTTCAAGAAAGAAACTCAATTTACAATTACCTCGCTCATTCAGCCGATAAGAGAGTACAGTTTTTGTCTTTTTTTTAAATATTCTCTTGTAGAATTTTCGTTCGTAGAATCTTTTTTTTTTTTTGGAAAAAAATGCGATTTGGATCGAATTATTCTATTCTCAAGATAATGCTAATCGGTTAATTGAATTGAAGGCTTTATTACCGATACTCATCAGCGCATTATCCCTCCCCATATGCAAGCGAGATCTACGTATGAATATAACAGGATTACGCTCATGATAATCGCTTAAAATGTATCGCTACAGCATCAATATCAATTACCGAGTGCTTCCGTCGGTTGGGCACTCGTCCAAAAGTCGTTATATATTCAGACGAAATTTTCGATGGTTCTTCATTTTGAACGTTTTCGAAAGTATTTCAAGGACTTGATTGAATCATTTCGTCATTTCGGAAAATCGCTATTTCGAAGGCAGTGTGACGAAGTCGCATAAAACGGATGCGCCGCATAAGACCCAAGCACTGTCGGATAAAGCCCTTATCGACAACAACTTCTCGATGTGTTTATTGACTACGCGTTTTCAGTATTTTAATGCTGCAAAGAAACTAAATCCGCTTCCATCTTTCCAGACAATGCGAAATGGGAGATCTTCCTGTTCAGAAGATCGAAACTGAGTCAACATTCTAATCTTACAGTGTTGAATACGACGCACCTGCTCAAACGTAATTTAAACGGCTCTTCCGGGCAAGTTCAACTCAACTATACAATGCTAGTTACTTTTTGAAACAGAGAAACGATTCTTTTTCCACAGGAATGTTTTCTAGCCACAGTGAACATTTATTAACTTGCTTGAGGAACAATCGAAAATTCATTTTCTGAGAAGAAAACGGGCGGATTTTTTGTAACAAAACGAAAACTGCCGCCGGAAAGGCGTAAAAGTTGTTGTAACTATGGTGGAATAGTTGTCGTGAAAGGCTAATCGAGAGCGATACTGTCGAGTCAATATTTAAACGTAATTTCACTTCCCTTGAGCCCCTGCTTTGGTTTTGATATTATCGAAAAAGATGTTGACTTGAGAAAACAAGAGTTTTTTACGAAGGCATAAGCATTGATCAGTGAGAGATCAGAACTCGCATCAGAGAGAAAAGAAAATGTTAGTGAAAACAAATCAGCGCGTCCAAAGAAGTCCATACATGATTAGAGGGAGTACTTTCATTGGATTGACGAGGTAAATCATCGTCTCGCAGCTGTTAATTGTGTACCTTTTCCTTCGAAAGCCCCTTTTCCGTAAAGCCATGCTTTGTTTCTTAGCAAACAGAACTTGGCAATTTTGGCACTGATTGAGAGTCAACAAATAACTGATATGCATTCACCGCATATTTGATTTTCAGAGGGGAATTTCTTTCTAGAAAATCTTTATAACACCGACTCCTCTAACCCTCTGAAACACTATCTAGTGAAAATAGGGTCGGCCCAAAACGTCGCTTCTGCTGGTGCATGGGGGCCCAAAACGTCTTTTTGGCCACGTCAACTGATTCAAAAATTGAATCTGGAAAGTCCAGAAACACTAGCTTGCTCTGGTTGGCGGTGCAATTTTCTAGATTTAACATTTCTGCTAGGGTTACGTGGCCAAAAGGACGTTTTGGGTCACACATGCAGCAATTGGACGACGTTTTAGACCACCTCTACTTTAATATGAAAAACATATTTATTCATTATAGCATTTTTATGTTGAGTTCAGAATGCTTTAGCTGAAATCATGCCTATAAACAGGGCACGCTGCGAGAGAAATTTAATTCCTAGAGCGTGTCTTTCGCCCCTAATCCTCGTGTATGCATAGAAAAATCTTTCGAAATCCTTGCTCAATTATTAACGTGTCAAGAGTAAGACTTTCTAACCGGAAAAAGATGTGTCTTATCCAACATAGATGATACTGTATCATAGAACACCAACATACACTCGTCTTGACGATGCTCAGAAGAAGCCATCGAGAGTAAAGAGCGCGCCCGCTAGAAATGCACCGAAAAGACCCAAATCAGCTTGGGCGGGAAGAAGAGAGCAGCTTTTATCGAGAATTAGAGATGACAGGAACGACTTCAAAACAGTAAGTTCTTGATTTTAGGCGACAGTCAAGAAGTCCGATAAAGTTGGAGTGAAAGGAATTTTATCAAATGTACAGAACAGCAAAACAAAGAACATACAAAACCCGACTTAGAAAACGCCTCAACAGGAATCGGTTTCAATTCAAACGGAATAAGAAAGGGTCAGTCAGTTTCTTTCTCGTTTCACTGCAGTTAATTTGCAATTTGAGATCGTTTCAAAGTCGCACTAGAAGAAACTTCGTCTAAGAATGGTACCTTCGGTAAATACAACTTTAATCCCAAGAGCTCTTTATCGTTACTATCGTAGCCGTATCACGACCATGCTCGTCATTTGGAAGTATTTCCGAGAGCGAGTTCCTCGAGGAGGATTTGCCCTTGGATAAGGAGTTGATAAATGGCATTGAACCTGTCAATTGCTTAAAAGAGGATTAATAAGAATATCTGCCGTCTTGTTTATTAGCTCCATAAAGACCTCGAATCAAGAGGGATAAGTTTTTCATCGGCTGGAGGCTTGGGACCAAGCTCAGCGGGCGGATGGCGACGACTAAGTGCACTCATAAAAGGTGAACCATGCAAAGGTACAAGGACAGTTTCACACGGCTCTTGGAGTATCTGTCGATACTACAACAAATCAATTCGCTTCTCATATTTGCACCTGAAACGATTTTATTCGCGAAAGCGGAAACATCGCCGCAATCAAATAGAGAGTCATAAATTGATTCCGCTAAGTAGCGTGTGGAAATAATTCATTGCTTGATCTCGACGTGAGCAAATGGTTTGCTGTCAACTCATTTCACTATGTTTAGTAAATTCTGCATTTCGTGAAAGCTTGAATTCTCCAGCCAGTTCCTCGAGGAGAAGTGTGCGCTCCAGCCGCTCCAGGAACAGAGAAGCTAATCATATCATAGTCCCTTGAGGAAATCAAGAAAGAATACTTTGCAACTCTGACCAGACGATCTATTCAGTCGAGGATGAGAAACCTTACTTCTGGAGCCAATTCGGTCATTTTCGAGAAGTACAATGTCAGAGCCGGATTTGAGGCGAAGAAACTTTTTCAAAAGTCGGTTCGACTGGTCATTATCCTCATGCGAGCAGGTGGATGTTTTAGAAGGGACGAATCTCTAAAGGTAAGTCCTTGTAAGTGCTTGTTTCTACCAGGTATTAGGTCTTGGACGATGGCGATATGCGCTTCTATGATACAAACAGTGCTCTAGGAAAGATGGCTCATGTATTCAATCCGACAATTTTTAGAGCCGACAAAAGCCTCAAGGTTCCAAAAAATGTTGCTCGCGATCTAAAAACACATCCAGGAAAGTGGCATATCTTACGTTTTTTTACGAAATGACTTATTAAATAACACTGTGAATAGATGCACGACGACCTGACTCGATCGGCAGCATTGTACGATCTCTTCAAATTGTCCTGGACGTATTTTCCGATTACCCTCTTCAGACGCAGAAGGACATTGCCAAATACGCGTATTTAGAAGAGTTCGAGCCTGGCCGAATGATCTTCAAAAAATCTGACCGTCCGCTGCGATTCCACTTGGTTGTTTCTGGACGAGCACTTGTTACCAGTGTTACCACTCTTCCTACTGGAGAGGAAAATATAAAAGTAGTGGAGACAATCAGGTGATAAAAAAGCTCATTGTTCAAATGACAACAGAATAAGTCGTGGCGAAACATTCGGCGATGAGGGCGGCTGTTTTCTAAAGCAAAATGGCAAAATCCATGAGGGCCCTGATTTCATGCCGCGTGAAAATACAGTCATTTCTCAAAAGCATATGACCGTACTTACACTGGATGGAGAAGATTACATACGCATCTTTCATCCTGGTAATGAATAATTCAGACTGACGCGTAATCATCCCTTTTAGAAGCTAGAAAACGGTTCCAGAAAAAACTAACACCAAACTGTAAATATAAAAGCACTAATTCATAAAAGAGCACCGTGATTTTGTGATTTTCTAAATGTCGATTAAAATTTTTCTGAGTGAGTTTTTAGATCCTGAATTTTACTTCTCAAGCAATGTCGTCAAAGCAGCAATGAAGTTGCTCCAAAAGAATCCGTTTCTTCGCTATTGGCCGTTAGACAGAATTAAAGGAGCTTCCACGAGTGACTTTCGCTTACAGTACTTTCGGAAGGGAACAGGAACGTTTGCGAAAAAAAGTTCTCAGAAAATAGTTTTCTCTTTTTTCGAAAGCGATTGAAGTTATCACCACTGGGAACGCTGCTCAACGAGAACTGATCTTTGTGAAATTGGGATCATGTCAAGTCGTCCGTCGATGTCAGTACTCTCGTGTCATGTCTGCCGGCAGCAATCCGTACGAAACGTGGATAGAAGAGCGTAGACTAGACAGTGGAGACATGTTCGGATTCGAATGTCAATTCGATGTCAGGAAATGTTCTTCAAAGATATTTTCTTAGTTTATTTCAGTCAAGCAAACACGGAGAACATAAAAATAGATTCAAAGGCATTGTTTACAAGGACTGGAACGAGCTGGATCCAGATGTAGCGCTCATCTCCAACGGCGCAGAAGTTATTATTTTCTCCGCTCCTTTTTATCGAAAACATCTAAATGAACAGTGTCGCGCCGTTTTAACTTTAAATCTCGAGCAAAAAGTAAGAGATGCTTGATTTACGAAACTGATCGTGATTTCAGCAGCCCAAGAATAATCTCGTCTATCTGCTCAATAGAAGAGACTGCTGGGAAAATTATAAAACTAGCGTCACGCGTGAAATTATCCGAAAGCCTTAGAAACGAGACCACGCTGCTATTACCTGTTGCTTCCACTGAATACACTTCTATTTTCTTTCTCGCTTTATTCAACAGTATCAATAGTATTTACAAAGTTAAATAAAAGAATCTCAAACAGCTTCGAAGATGCTAATAAAGCCCATTTGTGCTTTGGTCACTTCACCTCGGAATTGGTCGTACAATTTTGCATAATGAAGGTATTTTCTGTGAGCCCAGCTAGAGGCAAAAACAATCACTAATATTCCAAGTAAGATTCCAAATCCAGCGAGAAGAATGCTTTTGAAGCGAAAATGAGCGGCAGTTGCATTCCTGTTCATAATTCTTAAGTTCGAAGATTAAAAACTATGACACTTGATCAAGTACCTTGCTGACAAGCTTGCCTGAAACATCATAACTGAAGCCAGTCCAACGCAGGGACAAAGAAAGCAGGCCAGATAAGGCAACAGCCCTTCCAAAATTGGAAATTTGACTCTCTTCACTTGCTGATAATCGGATCTGTCGCCCTTTCTTGCTGACTTTCTCCCAGATAACAGTGATTTTCTCGAGGATGCAATGGACTTAGAATACATCGATGAAGAACTGGGATCTTCTTCCATTATCGGTTGGAATACTTTCACATAACTCTCTGCTCTACTCTCTCGACTCATGGGAGCTGAAAATCTTCTTTGTCTCGTCTTTCTCCCAGTTAGAAATTGAATCGTCTGCTCAATAATAATCAGATACGCTTACGATTATTGAGGTGAGGAGAAATCTCCAGCAAACCGTAACTGCCAAATCGTTAAAAATGACGCCCGTATTATTGCATGAAACGGCTCGTTATATTTTTATTGGAGAAAACGGTGATGCAAATTTGTGATGCTGCACGAAAAATCCAAACTAAACACTAGAAATGCATCAAGAGCGACAGTACGGATGTCCTTCACATCATCATATGTTAATTTTTTTGTATTTGTATACCGAATCTTAGAATGGAGGTATGCTTTTCGAACGTACTGGGAACCATCCAACGATTTCCATCATATCTCGACGTCAATAACTGTCAATCCTTTCTCAACGCGAAGATGATGTTGAAGATGTGAAGCAAAGATCTTGCTGAGCCTAAAATCTGTTTGTTTGTTCAAATAAGCTCCAATTACGAAGAACGAAGCGCAGCGGTTGGTTTTGTGTCAGCCACCTGGTCGATTTTATGAAGTGAAGGCCTCACTTTTTTTCCTTTTATTGAAAATGTCAGTCATAGAAAAAAGAGAGACCGGTCAATCATTTTTTCAGAAAATTATAGGTAAGATTTATAGGAAGCATTTTTGATTGATTAATATGGTGGTTTAGATTTCATCATGACTATGTGGCGGAGACTATCGAATTTTCTGCGCAGATTTCGTAATGCTCCGCCAACATCTTCCAACATTCACCACCCAAACTTCGGTGTGCAACACACGCCATCAACCGTAGTATGTTGTTATTCGTCGGGGAGGCCCCGACAGATGAACGATGAAACAAGAGTCCTTCGTCGGGGTTCTCTCAGCTCGTCTGCAGAAAGACCAAAAACACGATCTCAGCGCAGCAGTTGGAACTTACGAAGCGGACGGATTGTTTACAAATTCAGCATCTTTGACTAATTAATATCTTTAATAAATTGTTATCTTTTAAAAATTGGGAATGAACAACCCTACAAATTCGCAGGTGGAAGACCTAGAGGCTCTATTTGCTATGTTCTCTTCGTTGATTGCAAAGCTCGTGAGTACGTAGTTTTTCGTATGCGGCTGATTGAGAATCGGTGGAAATTGAATCTACAAGGAGAAGATTAAAAAGTAAAATCTAATAAACGGCGAGGCTAATTGGAATATTGCGTGCAAACTATCCAGCATTCTGTCATTCTGTTGAGCGAAGTTTGAGTTCTTGAATGGAACTAAAAGTGAGAAAAGGAATCGTTTTTGGAAGTATTTACGTTGCGATCTTCATATGTTCAGGAAGAGAGTTCACTCGTGTGCAAAATATTCAGTGTATTTGGTATCAAAGATTTTATTCAAACAAAAGTATCTCTAAAAAGCAATCGGCTTTTATGTCAAAGGCTGTCAAATCGAAGAAAGAATGAAACACACACATCAAGATTTTTTTGCGAGACCCGGGTCCCTATTTCCTAAGTCCTTTCCTATTTTGTAACTTTTTGCTGGTTTCTAAGTACAGTATTTCCTGTTTATTCGACCGTAGGAAATCGGGATCCCAAATAAGTACAGACGAGGAGATAAACAAACTAATAAAGGAGTCTTACAACAAAACTGAATCGCCTTACATTTAAAAACACGAATTTACTGAAAACATGAACTCGACTTTATTTCTCTTTGACTATCGATTTTATCACAGTAAATGACCTTGGATAAAAATTCTTATACATCTGATGCAAGATAGTGTGACCAGCCATCATACTGTGCAAATATTCATTAGTCGTAGCAACCACAGTGAGTCTCTTTGCATACATTTTTTTACTCGTAAAGGCAGATTTTTTAAGAACCAGCAGCAAAGAAAGAGGAAAATATGGGCTGTAGCAGCTCAAAAGTAATATAAAGAAGTTTGTTAACCTGACTGAGAGAAAATTTTAGGAAGATAACGTGCAGGAGCCAGAGCCCGAAAAAAAGAAGAAGTCTAAGAAGGACAAGGACAAGGAAAAGAACAAGGAAAATGACAAAAATAAAGATGGAAGTAAAGACGATGGAAAGGAAAAGAAAGACAAGAAAAAGAAGAAAAATAAAGACAAAGACAAAGAAAAAGATAACGCTATCGAAGGTAAAGTTAAAAGTAATCACCCTCAATACTGCGAAGTTAATAATTATTTGAAATATTTATTAAGACCCCCCGCAACGAATCGAAGAAGACTTACAACAGGCTCCACCTCCACCAGGTGGTCCTGCTGAACAAACCCATACCTACCCCTCTGTGGATGTAAATGAAAATGAGTTCCTACCACGAAACGACCCAAAAGATCTTGGCGATGCAGACGTTATTCTTAATGACATAAACCAAAACTCAGCGCCAGTTGTGAATCCTGCTAAATACTCTGGTTCTCAACCTTTGAATACACCCGCGAAAACTCCGATGTACGATCTACGGCCAGGAACTTCACCAGAGGACATTAAAAATCTACAAGAGATGCAGGTAAGCTATTTTTAACAGTCTATCCGACATCTGTGATGGATACATTTTTAAATAGAAAATTCGTAAGTTTATGCCCTGTTTATCAATGCTAAAAACCAGTAGCGTCTATTTGACCAGTTTAATGACGTTTTGGGAGTAGAATGGATCACTGTCCCTCGCGTTATAAATTCAAACGCGCTTTCATCAATTTTATTGCCTGGCAATAAACTGTGCATGTCTTCTAACATTCGCTTGGCGTAACATTTGGCTAATTTGTTGGGCAATTGTAGCTCTTCTGACCTGACTCAGTTTGCTAAAGCTCCCTAATACCAGTTCAAGTTCAATCATAAAGCTCAATTATCAGTACAGTACTTCTCTTCTCGGACAGTTCCCTTTTGACTTTGAATAATAAGGAATAACAGTAATAAGCGCTTCTGGTAATGCATTCCTTATCGCGCCTATGCATCCGAAAAACCCCGTATCCACGCTTAGATATTTTTGTTTGAGCAGATTTTCTGTAAAAGTGGCCCATGCCAACCGAGTCTCACGCAGCAATGTTTGCTCCCGCGATCAGAAACCAGCGTTCAGCAGAGTATCGCGAGATTAATTACATCCCATGCTGGTAGAGAAAATGGCGGATAGTAGTAGTCAACGGGCAGAATCCACCCACCAGGATATCAAAGGTTTCGATAATGAGAAACAAAAGGACGTGAAAAGCACTAAAGAACAGCAGAGAGAATTGCAACAAGTATGCAAAAGCAAACACATAAAATAATTGAAAATATCCAACGAATTACATATTTTACACTTATTCTTGAGTAAACATCTACTTTCTCTTTCAGGAAATGCAAAAAAAGCTTGAAATGCTCTCGATCGAGCAACAAGATCAGGCAAAGCATAATGAGGATCTCCTCAATGCTCTGAGACAAATGGATGCTGACCAGAAAGAAAGCGCGAAGCAACATGCGAGCCAACTTGAACAGCAAAAACGAGACTACGAAACGATTCTTGCTGGAAACCAGGAAGAAATCAAAGAACTCCAGCGCCAACAGGAATAGGATCATGAATATCTATGTTATAAATATTTCATTACCAAAGCAATTAGTTTCCTTTCGTGTCGTTTTATTTGCCTGCATCCTCCGATAAGCAAGAAGAGCTTCATAAGCTTCAAGAACAGCAGCAAGCGGCACTAAACCAACAAACGCCAGTGAAGCCCGCGACGGCGGTGAGTGTCAGACCACAGACCTACCAGACAGATCCAGGAACAAGCATCTCCCAGAGACCGGTGAAAACTCCGCTCATGCCTCCAGGAACTGCAGGTAATGGCGCTTTCTGCGTTTCATGGATGAAATAATAAAACAAATGTTAAAATATTTTAACGTATTCTCTATGTTTTATAGCTACGACAGCATTGATGGAAAATGCGACAAAAGAAGAAATCGCCGCAAGATTCCGTAAGTCGAAATCGTCGGTCATTAGGCATTATCTTTTCAAGAACTTCATTTCCTAAGGGATCAGCCCAGAGGAATATTTGCTGATGATAATGTACCTCTGCGTTGCCCACTGACAAACAAGTTTGTAGTGGATACAAGTCATAGAAAACAAGATTTCGAAAAGTACTGTTGATGCGAGTACAAAAAAGTCAAGTGAATAGTGTCAATAAACTGTCATGTAAAATTAAGTCGTCATGAAACAGATCGCAGCTCGAAGAAGGAAGGACAACGATAAACTAAAAGCTCAACTTATTGAAATCCTTGCACAGCAACGAAACCGTAGGAATGTTTACGCAAAACAATGACTGAAGGAGAAATTATTTAGAGCCCCCCATCCGACCAAATACTTCTGCAAGCGTCATTATGGCCAAGCGAGTCAACGATCACCAAGTTCAGCGTATGGAACATATCATCAAAGGTCTCTCGGCAAGAAAATAATTATTATTTTGAGCCAATAAAATTCAGAACAAGACACTATCATCAGCAAGCTGGAGCATCTTCTTGGACGAGCTGATGTTCAACCAGACAACGGTATTCACTTGTCATCTTCCAATTTTCAAATTTTGCATTTAGCATTCAAGGCGCAAATCGACGAGCTCTACCATCTAACACAACAGCGACAACGTTTCGTGTAGGGTCTTCAAAACTAATAATGAATTACAGTTTATTGCCTGTAACCATGAAATGAAGACCCCTCTTCAAGAACAACAAGCACTGCCGATGGCTTATCAAACACAAGCCGCTCCTCACGGTGCGTCCAACTTCCCGCCACCATCTGTGTGGGATAGCACATTGACAATTTCAATTCATAGTGTGAATTTCGTTTTTTGTTTGATAATTGTGTTTATGCACCAGAAATCACTTCAAGGAGTTCTCACCTTTGATTTTCCCAAATATTTGAATATTGGTCCCTTTTCAAAGAAAGTGATTTCTTGATTGTGATTAGTTCTCTTTCCTGTGGGTGTCTTTCGTTAGAGCACTGTGTCGAGTGGTTGCTGTCATTTTTTCACGCGTGTTTTCCTTTTTGTTTGTAGTTTGGTCATTTTTGGATTTGTATCACAGTTTTTATGCGAAACAAGCGTGCAGTTAGAAATTATCAAAGTGTATGTTTATTCTAAACTGCACTTATGAGATCTCGTTATGATCCTTTCTTGAGCACATAAACCTAAAAGTGAAAGTTTAAAAATTAAAAAAAAACCCGCGATATAGTGCAGCAACAAACGAGTCCAGTGTACGCGATTGCCCCAGCAGCGATTCAAGAGAGAGTTTTGCCCCAGCAAAATATAACTTACGTGCAGCAGCCTCTGCCACTGGCATATGGAGAGCCTAATGTCAGTCGTCAGCCAAGTTATCCCATTCTAGCGCCACGATCAGTAAGATCGCTTCCAGCTCCACAGCCTTCGAAAATGGAGGAGCTTTTCGAAAAAGAACAACGCAAGAACGAGAAGCTCGAGCAGCAAATGGACCTTGAAAGAAGAGAGGCGAATTATCAGAAACAAATGGCCGAAAGAGAACTCGCACTTGTCCAGTAAGGCGAAAATGTGCTCGAATTTCATAGTATCTTTTTACGCTAGAAATCAACTCCGAATGCAGCAGGCTCAAGCAGCTTATCCCAGTCAGCCGTACCCTGGACAAGCGTGGGGAGCACCACCGCAAGGAGCCCTTCCTCCAGTTGGTTATCCGAACAATGGATTTCCTCCTCGTCCGTACTAACAAATAAGCTTTTCCGACAAGAATAACGAATTGATAAGAGAACCCTGTGAATCTATGTTTTATTACGAATAAACACAAAATATATTTTTCAATTATTTCGAAGAAATTTATTATCAAGAAGCAATAAATATCCGTTTTTACATTTGCGAGATAGATTGAGCCTAGAATTTACAATTTTTGAAAGCGAAAACAGTATAATTTTGAAGTTAATGCAAAGCCTTGTTCTATAATCATATTATGGCACTAGAAAATAATCATAAGGACGTAGTAGAGAATCAGCATTAGAGCGGCAGTTGATTTCAATAAGACGCTCGAGTCTGGATTGGATGGCATCGTGGGAATTTCTATTTCAAAGGGTATACCAGGTTTTGCTAATAATTCGTTATTGAAGGTAACTGTTAGTTATTAATTAAATTAGATTGTTAAAAATATTGAAATTACTTGCAGCTGTTGTGTTTGTTATCGCCGAGCTACTTGTGTTAGATGAAGCGCTACTGATTATTGCACTACTGGTAGTTGAGGTTCTACTTGTACTTGTTGTTGTTGTGGTCGTACTTGTACTTGTTGTCGTCTCCGACACAGGTATTATTGGGAGAGTAAATATATCTAGTTTGGTTACAAGCAATAATATCCCTAAGTCTAAAAATATCCAAACTCTAAAAACCTCTAGTCTAAAAAATCTTCTACTCTTTTCCAGGAGACTGTTGTTGTAAAAAAATAGGGATTTCCCGATTTTTTATTTTTGCATTTTCAAATTTTAAGCGAATCGTTTTCGTGCAAACAAAAACACTTTTTTAAGCATTTTCAGCAAATGAAAGCAAGGGTAACCTTTCCTGAATTTTCAAGAGGCCCAGTAATAGCTTCGATACCAGACTTGTAGAAGGAGGGTCGAGTGTAAACGCCTAAAATAGTATAAATCAGTATTCTTCAAAGAAAGCTAACCTGGAACTCCTTCTGTGCCACACTCTTGAGGTCCATATGAAACAATTCCGTATAAAGAGGTTTGTCCGTTGTATCTACAGTAAAGCGGTCCGCCAGAATCACCAGCGCAAGAATCCTTGTATAAATCTCCTGATAGTCGATCGCCGAGAGCACATATTTGCTTGCTGAAAAAGATAATGATAATTAACCGCTTGGATAATACCTTCCGCTTATGCCAACTCCCCAAACCATCACACACTGGGAGGTGCTCCAAAGATTAAGCTCTACTCGTCTAAGTCCGGACGAGGCTGACCCTCCATTAGATGTTAGGCCCCAACCGGCAGTATAACAAGAAGCTCCTTGTGGAGGATTTCCAATTCCGATTGGAAGGATTTCCGAGTAAGGGTCTCTACTCGAAGTAATTTCGCTATCAAGCTCCAAGATTGCTAGTAATGAAATCAAAGAAGATTATTTGTAGAGCAATTACCGATGTCGTTCTCAACCGTACTAGGCTTGTAACTGTCAGTGTAGATTTGACTGACACCGACCAAGCGTCCACCAGCGTCGAATCTGCTGCTTCCTATCCTGATAGTAATCGCACTCGGGTCCTTATTATGTATACAATGTGCGGCTTGAAAAGGGGTTTGTTTTCTCATTGTGCTCATTTCATTGTTTTGGAAGTTCAGAGACTCGAAAATTTAATAATTGTCGACATACGAGCAGCCCTTTCCTGTAAGAATGAACCTTGACGAAATTATGCTTCCACCACACATTTCAGAGGTGCGACCGGATCGTATCGTCATTCCCACTGAATAGATTTTCAATATTACATTCATGCTTCGACATTTTTTGACTGGCTCCACTGATTTTAAATGCTGTACAAAACATTATTGTTTAGCAGTGAGAAACATGTCTCAGCCAGTTGTAGGAATTCAAGCCGGCTTATTTTTTCTATCTCAAAGAAAAAATTGTTCAATCAAATGATCAGAACCAGGTCATAAAAATGATTTACTCCTAGCATTGACGTCCTTCCTTTTTGAATTATATTCTGATGACTCTGATCGTGTTTTAAGATGAATATACTTTATTCTAGTTTATGTACCGATGAATGGAGCGCTCGAGATTGATATTTCAGTGCCGCCAATAATTCGTGGATGTATGTCTATATTCGTGGGCGTTGAGTCTGCATCCGATGTTTCTAAATAAAATCCCTGTTTGATGCCTCTTGCTCAAATCAATGCAAACCTCCGATCTGTCCATAAATAAATCTTGCATGTGAAAACACTGGAAATAACCAGATTATCTTCATTTCCTCCTTTTTCTCTGAATTTCGAGTTTGCCGTCGCGCCCAAGGCAGTTTTTCCGAGGTGCACTCGCTTTTGCGCGGTGGTGCTCTTTTCAATGGTTAAATATTAGCAAAGTCAGGGATTGGGATTGTCGCTGGCCGTGGTATTGTTCGACGTGAAAAACGAAAATTGTATAAAAATTAAATTACGCCATGTTTGAGTGCGGCTCTTGGCGCCGTCGAAAGTCGTCAAAAGAACAGCCTCAGACGCATTGAAGGCGCATCGTAACTATCTTTATTCTATGTAATCCATCATAGGAAGTTTCACGGCGCATTTCACTCGACCAAACAGGCCATTCATCGTTGTATTAGTTTTTGACGTCTAAGAAGTCTTCTAGCATACGTTGCTATGTTGTTGCTACTTCCTTTCTGAGTTTAAAGAAAAAATATAATTTACAAAAAACCACTTCCTTTGTAACTATTTCTTATTTTGATAGCTTAGTCTACAATCCAGGGCAGCTCTTTTGAAGGATTCTCTCGCTCTTGAAATCACAACCTCGCAAAAGTCAAGTTTTGCTAAGAAATGATTGATTTTTAACAAAACACTGTTGTCGCAAAAAAGCGGATGGTCACGGCCATTTTCGGAAGAAGAAAATAACGTCTTTTAACTAAGCACAATAAAACCGCTCATTATTGCCCACAAAACATCGAGTTATAGCTGTATGATTTGAATTTCGAAATACGCTATAAAAAGGAATTCTACGAAAGACTACAATTTTAAAATTTCCATTATCAAATACAAAATGGCGTGCTTCCTTTTTTCCCGAGGAGTTTTATATCTTAACGAGCAATTGAAGGGTGCATATAAAGCTAAATTTTCTTCGAACAGGCAATTCTTGTCTTTTTGAGAAAAATGAGGAACTTGAAGATTTCAAATTACTTGTCGTATATATTTTCTATGATGGAGATTTTATTCTACGGAGGAGTGCCCTATGGCTTCGGGTTCTTGCAGTACATTTTCGAGAAAGAAGGGGTGTTTTGGAAAGAACTTTGCTACGACGAAAATAACCCTGAACACGTGGCCAACTGCAAAGTGCAGGAAAGTGGACTCGTTTGTGAGTCGAATCTAACATCTACACCTTGTTTAAGGCGAGTTAGTGCCATTTTGAAAGCATATCTATATTTTCTTTAATTTTATAAGTTTCTTACTGATCTGCTAATGCTACTTATCCATCCATGAATCATTTCTTAATAGTTATTAGGTCTGAAGCCGAGTTCAACTCTATCTACACTTATTTTCTGCTGACGTCGTCCATTACGCCACTGATATTGAGCGAGATACTAAACAAGTACGGACTCTTCATATTCCGCTTATTGAGCGCGACATTCACCACAGCAGGACTTGTAACGCTTTGTTTTTATGAGTCGAATCCCTATCTTTTGTGGGTAAGCTGGCAACTCCTTGGCGTTTCTGCAGTTTCGTAAGCATAGATCATGCTATCCTTTCGAATGTAATTTCAGGCCTATATATTCGAATATACGCGAACTTTGCCCTTTGTTTCCAGCAATAAAATCGCTCTCGCTCGGATTAATAAATGGATTTTTCGACGCATCTGGTAATTGAAAATAAGAGCATTATTATTTTTATAAAATTCTAGGTGGTATGTATCTCGTCTTCAAACTTATCTACGACTCGAGCCCCTCTGTGTCTGTGCCGACGATGATCACTGTCTATACTGCGGGCTCTTCTCTCCTCTGGATAAAATCTTTCTTTTTTTCGCCTAGATACTTTATAACTGGTGACAAAACAAACTCCGTTTTCAAAGAATCTTTCATCGGGAGTGTATGCAAGAAGCATGTCGATATTAACCCTGGCAAAGAAGACGAAAATAACCAAAAGGAAGAACCTCCAACCTTGATGGAGTACAAAAAATCGCTATTGTCCCTGAATTTCCTGACTTTCCTGCTTTATTCAATATTTTTAACAATTCGTACCAATTCATTTCCGATTTGGTGTTTGCCATGGCTGAAGTGGACGTTTCGAGAATATCCAGAAGAAAGACGAGATCAGCTTGTCTCTCAAAACATGGACATCTATGGGATCATGTACTTTGCTAGCATACTCTTATGTCCGATTCCAGGTACGATCACATAACATAAAAAACTTTAAATTGGGGGATCATTTCAGGGATGGTAACGAAGTGGATTCAGAAATGCTCTAGTAGAAAAGACTCCTCAGAAGAAGAGGATGAGAAGAAAGGCGAGTATTATAGTCTTCTTGTCTTTCTAGGGTTCGCAGCCGTTGCCTGCACCGCATTATCAGCTCAGGTTTGTTATTTTCTAAAAAAGTGCAAAATAACAATTAAGATGTGCATGACGGGGTCTCAACCGAACGCGACTTCTGCAGTCATCGAGTTCTCCATGATCCGGACAATATTTTACATCACTAGGGGAGTTTACGTTTTCCAATTTTTCCCGGAGTCCCATTTTGGCTTTCTTTACGGTGAGCGAAAATGAGTATCGGTTCTTAAAACTTTAATTCTAGCCATCATATCTGTTGTGGTTGGAACTCTTCAATTTATAATCGATCCGCTGTTCAAGTTGATACAGAATAATGGTGAAGTCGATTTTATCCCAGTATCGGCGGCGATGGCCGTAGCCTGTGGTCTCTGCCTTCTTCAACCGTTGTACAACTGGTGTATTCGTGATGCGTACATCACGACTAATAGAAGAACGAAAAAAGAAGAAGAGGAAATAACATCTATGTGAATTTATTAATAAATTGTAGGCGTAACGGCAATTATAGAGGAATAGCTCGTGAAAATGTGCCATTCGCAAAAGCGATGATTAAATTAGCATTTGCATCAATAGAGATCGAAGATATTTTTTCTTGGACAATGATTTCAGCCATCAGCTTTGTTTGTCGATCGTCGTCGGAGAAAGTGTAGACGTAGACGGTATGTCGTGAAGCATTAGCGATAAGTAATGACTTCTTTCCATCTTTGATGATTCCGAGCTTTCGAGTAATGAATGGCATCTCAATCTCTTCAGTTACATCTTAAGAAAATAATATTTATGGAAGTAGATCAAAATATACCTTCATCAACTCCGGTGTTGACTGCATTTGCCGGTGTTTCTGTAAACATCATTTCAAGTTTGTCAGTTTTCTGTTTCAGGTTGACTTGATAATGTCGCACAGTCCGAGTATCATCTGACTCTCTAATATAGATCCTTAAATTTTTCTCCATCCACGGGACTATGGTATCTGTGCCAACGACTTCCGATGTCTCAATGGGTTCTATTGACAATGTGTTTGACCAGAGTTCATTCGTCATGCAGTTCATGAAGTTATTTTGGTAGTTTATAAGGATGCGCAATGATTTTCCTTGTAAAATATCCAGTGCTTTTATCGGATATTGGATTCCAGGGCTCTCTTTTCTTTGGAAATATACAAGAATCCCATTCAAAACCATCAAAGGAGTGCACTTGAGAGGCTGTATTTTCCATTCTCCATTAGTGACTGTGACAATTTCATCCTCTGTGACCATGTAGACAACGTTCTTGAATTCTCCTACGAGCTTTATTGGTGATTTTACTCGCTGTTTCATGATTTCATTCGTATTCAATTCGAAAATTCCATCAGAGGAGGAGAAAATAATTTCTGTCTCCTTATTCTGCTTCGCCGTAAGCAAAGTCTCAACATGGACAGACTTGATTTTCTGTCTTGATGATGGTCGCCATTCTTTGATTGAGTGTCCATCACTTCCAATCAGCAGAACGTCCTCGAGATCAATGAATTCCACTGGTTTAGGTTCATTATCATCCCAATTGAATGGTTTATCTCTAACGGATACCAGAGCTGAGCCATTCTGGAAACCGCGACAGGTTGTAGAAGCGAGAACTTTTCCACGGTGCGAGAAAATATGCGCAGCATTGACGCTAGTTGTAGCAAGTAAATTCCCGAAAAGATTGATTTGAGAAGGGTTTTCGAGCAGAGCGAAGTTCACCACTTCTTTGAGACCCTCAGGAGACTCTTTGAGAAGTGAAACCGTGCAATTTTCGTAGCAAACCGCAGCAGAGACATCAGTAGACTGTTTCTCGTTGAAGCATGCGTCGATGATCTTTTTACGAGGGTAAAAACTACTGTTCTTCGTCGTCTGCTGCATTTTGTAAAACGGAAATGAAGTAACCATAAGGGTCGTCGTTACAAATTTTGAGGAAACTTGGAGATACTTTGACTTTCCGATTTGTTTGATAGCAATAATCGAACAGTCGTAGGAGTTTTCCTTGCGAGCTCTCAGAGGTTCTAAGCTTCGTAAGTCTCTTTTAGATGAAATCTTGAATGTTTCCACCGAGAAACCCTTGTCATCTGAAATAATCACTTGTATGTTTCCGGAGCGGCTTTCAGTGAGAAAGACATTTTGATGATCTAGCACTCGCTGGTTCAGAGGAATGTTATATGCTCTTAAGAATTTTTCTTTTTCGGATAGGAAATAGAGGTCGTTAGATGCTGTTTGAACCATGATACAGAAACCACAAACATCAAAGTCACAGGAAACAGCTTTCTTCACTGTCACTCCGAAATCGCCAGAGCCAATTGTACCACTGAATGTAGAGGTAACTGAGTGCAAAGAAGATCCTTTGCAGTAGTCAATGTTTCCGTTATAATAGACGAAAGCATATCCATAGTTGCTCTTGAACATCGCGAAGACAAGATCGGAACACGTCTTGATGGTCTCTTGATCGGATTGTTTGTCCCAAACTGCGACAGACGAGCCCGTGGTGGAGGCAATGGTTCTATCCCCGATGATAAAGTCGGTGACGGGTTCTGCAGAATCCACTGCTTCAGCTGTTACTGTGCCACACTTGGCGCTCATCCATCGCACAGCACCGGAACTGTAACCGACAGCAAGCAAAAGCTCATCTTTTCTTTGGTCGAAAGATAGTGCAGTTATAGAGGCCGAAATATCTGTCTCTATTTTTGCAACGCAAGAGCCATCGATCGCATTGTAGAGGTAAATTCTCGAATTCCAGAGGCCAACGGCTACGCGCTGAAAATCATAACCTGGCTCTTGGGGAGTGCTGCCAACGCCGACGGAAAGTGCTACCTTCCCTGGAACGTGATCGAAAAACTGAGACCAAATTAACTTGCCATCCTCTGATCGCCAAAAATTAAGACAGCGAGTATCTGCATGTAGTGTGACAAAGCTCTCTCCTGAAAGAGCGACGGCGATATCAGTTACCTCTCCGTGGCCGTTTTTGGCTACATTTTGGACGATGAAGTCAGTGTCATTACAGATAGAAATATTGCCATGAGCGACAACAATCGCGTTGGATTGACTCAACGCTATTTTATTCGTTCCTCTGAATGGAAAATGCTTGATAGTCTCTTCTCCGGTTGAAAAATCACGAGTTAGAAGATTTCCACTGTCGGATAAAATGGAGATTGAACCTTCTTTCGACGAGATAATCTGGCCACCTTGTGAGGACAGGAAGTTGAATGTTTCCGAGAAATCGATAACTTCGTAGATCTTATTTTCGGGAGAATCGCCAAATAAATTTTCGTCCTTGAAATGGCAATCAACGAGAGCTTGTTTCATTCCAATTTCAGCACTGTATCTATTATTCAAATACGAAATCTTCTCCATTCGAGATGTAAAATGTTTGTCCGAGAACTTCAAGATCTTCTTTGTGACAGATTTCAGCAAGTCAAGTTTTTTAAGGAGCAGAATTATCTTCGCATCGACAAATTTCTTGCATTGAGGAAGAGTAAGGAGAGAAGGCAAGTTTTCGAGTGCAGTACTCGTCATTGTCTCTTTATTGTTCTTCAATATATCAATATAGCTTTCAAGAATGCCATCTTTGAAATTTTGAAGTATATCGACTGAAGAAAGTCCGGCGAGAATAGATTTTTTTATCATAACTTTATCATCGACGATATCAACCAGCCACTCCTCCAGTCCTGATGCATACAAGTGGATGGTTTTCTCATCAGCGGGCGCAGCACCAGACCATAAGTACAATGAGTTTAGCCATACTTCGTAGTTTATAGGCTTATCAAGAAGCATGCCAGCTGCAGCATACGCAAAATATCCATAAACTGGCTCGGATATCTTGAGTATAAATGGTCCAAGCTCATCGAAATTCTTGGGTAAATGAGGAATTGGTATCCGATTTGTAAAAGTACGTAGGCCAGCAGCAAGCATTTTCATAAATGCAACGTTTGAGCTTCCTTCGAGGGTATCAATTTTAGAATGCACACGTCTGTCCGCTTCGAATCCTATGAAACCGTTGAAAATGACCTTCTTTTCAGATGGAGAAAGTCGTTTTAGATTCAGGAAATTACGGGCGGAATCCTGGAATATACGCTGAAGTGCAAAAGTGTTAGTCTGAACGCCGAAAACGACTGAAGAAGTAGCCCTGTGACTCAAAACTGCCCACTCGATTGTCTCTAACTGTTGGGCATTATCTATAAATATAGTAGCATTTGAAGGGAGCGAGCTTTCGAGTAGATTGGGGTCTTCTTTTGGCTTCACAACGACCCCAAGTTGACTTCTCACAGCGTCAAGAAGATCTTCTACGGTGGTTTCATCGGTGCACTCGTACCATGCTGTTACTTTTTCCTTTTCAATCTCTTTTCTTCTTAAATACCTCATCAAACATGTTTTTCCAGCATCCTTAGTTCCGTGAATAACAGTAACCTGGCCTTCGAATATGCAACTTTTCGCTCTATTGAGAACCATATGCCGTCCATGAAAAGCCATATCATCATCTTTTATCTTCCTTTGAGGATTTTTGTTGCATTGAGCGATAGCACTTGGAAGGTTTTGCATGATCTCATGGGATAAATCGCTGATATATTGAAAATCCACAGTAGAAAAGCCGAGTTTTTCTTCAAGTTCGTCCAGACGAGGATCCCTTGAGAGCATTTGTTTTTTCAGCAGGATCGTTGGTTTACTGAAGTGTTTTGCCGTTAGTAATTCAGCTGCTGTAATAGATATTTTCTTGTTATCTTCGCCCCACGAGCTTGTAAAGTCGAACCCAGCTGGGGGAAATATCTCCTCGTAAAGTCGGCCGGGAACAGAACCAAAGCGCTCTCCAAGTATGCCGATAACAATATCCGCTTCAATAATTTTCTTGAGACAAAAGGTTGTAGCACGAATCTGATTCTTGAAATTTTCAGGAAATCGAATATCAACCGGCTGCAAGAATACGTCATCGCGAGTTTTATTGAAGGCTGGTATGATAGAGTCGACGATTCTTTGCCGTTCTGTGGATAAGTCCATATACGTTGACGAAATAAATACTTTCAAAATTTGTTTTCCATTTTGTCCATTGCCGGCAGCATCATCTTTATTATCAAAGTCATCAAGATGGACATCAAATTGCGAGGGATAAGCTTCAATATCTCTGATAACATCTGATTTACTGTCCTCGGCAATAAATCGCAAGACTTGCTCATTGCATCCACTGACGCTTACGATTTTTGGAATCTTATTTCTGTTAAGGTTAAAAGAAAAAGAAAGATCTTTGAGTCGATGTTAAAAGCTCCATTAACCCTTTCCTATCGCCAAGAGAATACACACGAAGCTTGTTGGTAGCAAAGTCCGCACGTGTTCGAAGGTATTCCACCGGAAGGTCTCTCTCGTTGACGAAAACGAGACGGTTCACAGTCAATGGTTGTTTTTCAAAGAGGATCCAGTCTATCATAGTTTGCATATTCTTATATCGCGCGAAAGTTGTTTCTCTATCTTTCCATTTATTGACCAAGTCAATCAACGAAGAAGTTTTCTTATCGAAGTGAAGTCGGCTAACGCTTACGGGATCTTCATGATCTCCGTCAAAGTGATTTTCCGCCTCATAGTAATAAAGATCAACATCTTGGCAAGATTTGATTGCACAAGCAGCCATCACCAAAGCTTGGAAGTTTTTGTCTGCCGTGAGACCAGTTGGCTTTTTGTCTTTGCCTGGAAGGACATCCTTCTTGAGTTTTTTTATAAAGAAAATAGTGCGACCAGGGACAGATGGAACGTTGTTAATTGAGTGCAGGATTGCTTGATTTAGACAGATCTTGTATTTTTTAATCGTTCCCAATAATGTTTTCTTCCATATTTGAGATCCAACAGCTAAGTCCGTTTTCAAGTGGTAAAGTTTGCTCGTTTTGACATTCACGTGGTTGACCAGATTTTTCGCACGAAAGTGTTCAGCTTTGCAGAAAGCAAGCAAGTTTTTCCAATTCACGTCGTCTAGGTAGTCATCTTTGGGCACCGGCTTTGTAGGCTGTTTCGATAAATTTATAAGAAATTCCTTGAAATTTTCTTTCGCTTCAAAACTCTCTGGAGGACTCGGAACTTTAAGGGATTTCTTCTTCCATCCTACATCAAGAACTCTTTTGACACCGCGACCATATGGCTTCAGGACATCTTGCCAAGATCTTTCATTGCGGGTTGCCTGATCCTCCATTTCATTAACTTCATCCTCAAGTGCCCGAATTATGTCAAATGCAGCGAAGAATTGAGAAGGCATCTGCTTCGATCTAAAGATAGAGTTATTGGTATTTTCCTTCCATGGGAAACTAACCTTGCAACAGCATTTCTATTGCTTATAAATTTCCTGAAAAGGCCATCACACTCATCGTTGATTCCGCAATAAAAAATATTACGAATGTTTCGCAGCCCTGCCATGTATGGAAGCTTACGCGACTTGATAAGACCTTCCCACGCTTCAGCAACATTTCCCTTCGCAGTCAGTTCAGTTTCCCAAGTCATCGCCGTTTTGAGCTTCATTCTCTCCCCGCAGCGTTCGCGATCGTAGGGCTCGGTCAGTCGCGTTTTTGCGTACTCTTCGTATGACGACGGGTACCGCTTACCGAGGATTCCCATGACATATTCAGCGGGATCTTTGATATGCAGAGTTCTGATAAGATTCTTGAGTGTATGGACTTTTGCAGGAGGATCTTCGTCGGACACGATTTCAGCTGGTTGCTTTTTCTTCCGCTGTGGACGCTTATTGTGTTTCTGCAGTTGATACTCGTCAAACTCTCGGAATTTGTCTGTCATCGCTTTTCGAAGCGAAGTGCTGATTGTGCCACTATTTAGTTTCTCGTTCATTTCCGCGATCTCTATCCAATCTGATGGAGTGACAACGAGTGGCGAGAAATACTTCCGAATGAATTGCCGACTTTTTGGATGAGAAGCTGCGACAGCCGCGATAAAGTTCGATGCACTTCTTATATTCAAAAAACGACGAGCGTAAAGAGCAACCTGTAGGACAAATTCTGGTTTTTCGGAGTCGATTACAGCCTCAATTAAACTTCGGAAGGATTTAACGCTTGGATGTTCAATCTTCTTGAAGTCGACCCGGTTGACCAGACACAGGTTGACCTCATGAAGTAGAGTGATCTTTTTCTTGCGTTCATTTTCTTCTCGTTCAGCAAGCTCATATTTCTGGTCGTCCTGTCCAGAGATATCTTCGAAAAGATTTGTTGTCTCGAGAAGTTTGACTTCATTTGAAGTGATCGTTTTGGATCGTATCGAGACATGAGTATCCTTAGGTACGAGCTGAACATCGTCTGGAGTCCAACATGATGACGGTTTTTGATAGAGTTCGTCACTGAAGACTTCTTCTTTTTCTGGCTCTAAAGATGCTAATGACCCCGGTGACTCGATAGGAGAGGCCAGTTGGAGCAAGTAGTTCTCATTTCCAAAAGAGGATGATGTTCGATTGAGCAAGAGTTTATTGTCGAGCGTTTTGTTCACTGATGTTGATCCTTCGAGGTTTTTATTCGCTAACAACGAGGAATCTGCAAGTGATGATGATAGAAGTTCCTTATTTTGGAGATTTTGGGTTCCTAAAACAAAACAAGAAAGCAACAAAAAGTATAAGATAAATTACCAAAGAATGTGCAAGCAAGATTGCGTTTCGTTGTTTTAGCTGAGGTCAGTAAGGACGGATTGGATTTAAGAAGTGGATTGGACGTTAGAGGCCTGTTTATATCTTACGAGGGTTGGATTGTGCTTTGATTTCTTGATTTTCGATGAAATAACATGCATTCAACCTTTTCCTGTTGACGAAAGCTGAAGAGAGCTTGTCAATGGCCTCGTGGACGATGTAGACTGCAACAGAGTGTTAAATCTCGAATTGAGTAAATTATTCTCTAAAGTCGCCATCGCGAGAATGACCCGATTTCTCCTGTGCGAGCGCTAATAAAGGCTCATTGATTAGTCTACTGTTGTCAGGATAGCTCTGAACTGCTCAGTGTCGTTTCGTAGCAATTTCGTTTGAATGAATCGGCGGAGGACTTTTTGCTGGAAGAAAAGGGGCGCTTGAAGAATTCGTGAGTTTCGCAAATAGTTATCAACAAAATAATTACACGAAGTTCAAATATTCTAGCCTACAAGAATGAGTTTGGTATATTTAAATATAAATATTTATTTACACTAGGTTCAATCTCTAAAATGTAATTTTATACATTTTAAAACAAATTGTTTCCGATAATTATATTAATCCATGGTCGTAAATGCCTCAGAAATAAACACTAGAAATAACGATGATATGAGGAAAATATTTTCTCATAAGTTTGTGACAGAATTCCAATATCGTCCCAGGAAGCTTGAATCTAACCCTTGGGCAGGTTGTTCAATATTCGACGGCCTTTATTATCAGTTCTTCACGTGGGAAAGCAACTTTTTAAAGTTGCCGCCATTCACTTTCTGGAATCTTTGAATTAAAATTTTGAAAATTCAACCTCAAAGCTTGACTAGCATTTCGTTGAGCTGGGACTAGAATTTCTCGAAATTATGGGCGGTATTATAGCAAAACCAAGACCTGATTGCCGAGTCTACAATGTAGACTCTACATAAAACAGTTTTAGATCATCATGACCTTGGAACAGATAACTCAGAGCGGCTAAAGATCAACTCGACTTTCCGTAGAAAAAAAAAACTACAGAGGCGCGACTGATGTCCTTTTTCTAAAAATTGATAAAAGAAAAGACCCGCTGATCGGTTCTGAATTTTATCGTGAGCCGCGATACCGGTATATTTTATACTGGTCGAGTAGAGTTTCTTTTTCGGGAAAACAAGACTGGCAGTCTGTCTGTGCTGGTCGGATTAGGCGACCTTGAGTGGGCAAAAACAAGCAGCGAGGTCAATCCGGGGATGTGAGATTGTTCCTGGCGCGATTTTCGAACTTCTTGACGGATTTACCAAGCGCGTCCTTTACTTAGAGAAGAGAAATGGCTGCGAAAATTTTTGCCTGCTGGATAATACGCCGGCAAATCGGGAAGACTTTCACTACGCTTGTAAAACAGAGGACCACTTTAAACAAGTGCAAAGTGCTCTCGGAATCCAGCCGGGATCTATTCACTACCACTATGAACTAAGTAGATTCAACTGTACTTCGATTCATTTTCTCCTTTCGAGTGATAGAAAATGGTATCAAGAAGCTTTCAAGCAGCTTTGTGGCGGTATTCAAGAGATCTGCCAACCATGCCAATCATTTCAGCGCGCTTTCTGATGCATTCCGGTTCGATATTGAAAAACCGCATGCGCATTGTGCAAAATTACAAATGAATGATAGAAATTTTATTCAGTTTTTACTGCCCTTAGGTACAACGCCCTCTACCCAAGAATATTGCAAGGGGGTTTTTCACGTGTTTTTTTGAAAATCTACGCTTCCCTCAAAATATGCATTGTAGTGCGTGCAGTTTCAGTGTTAGAAAGACACCGGGTGGCTTCAGTGTTCCGGATCGACCACTAAAAGCGGAATGTGACCACAATTGCGATTTTGGCGGTTCGACAAAGCTAAAAATGAGGAGTTGTATTCACTGGCCAGCGCTGGTGGACGCTTGCGGTCAATCACTAAAATTGACAAAATACGACTTCTTTTCTGAAAATTTCGAAAGATAAATCAGCTACCAAGAAACGCTTCCACTTTTAAATTTGGCTCAGAGTTAATGAAATCAAGTGTACAACAGATACGGAACTCGAGAAGCCAGCTCGATGCAATTTAAGTTTCACGTATTATCTCTCCTTCACCTTTTTCAACCCCAAATGCCAAATCGAAGCGATCGGCCGGTCCATATCAAACTGAATTGTCTGTGTACAGCTCTGTTCTAATTCACTTAAATTGCCATTTTAGAAATAAATTTTCATTTTCTTGGGCGGAAACGGAAAGAAAGGAACAGTCGTCAAAATCCTTAATTTTTATTTTTAATCAAAACATGCCAAAAAGCACTCTTATGATAGGTGTCTTATTTATCATGCAAACTGCAAAATAGTTCCCAATTTTCTCAGCATTCTAAGAGTTGTGTTAGTAACTTATTATTCGCGTAAGGCGCCACTTATGAGGGCATTTAAGCGATAACAACATGTTGATTCTAGATTTGGTGATGGAGCTGATTTGCGTCTTTTAAACTGAACATTGCTCCTGTGGCTTTGTAAAAATGACCTCAAGTTAGTGTTAGCGCACACAGAAATCTGGCTGGAGTTGGTGGCGAGCAAAGTCCGAAGTTTTTAAAGCACAGCTTGACGGGAGAACCTTGATGCCACTCGTAAAGAGCTGCACGAAAAAGAACAAACATATTTACACAGGAACCGTCCTCAAACATTGTTCGAGATTAGGAAATCACTACTTGAACCGACATCTAACTGACATTTTTTAATTTGCTTTTTTTCACTTGCTTTAAAATTTTTGTGATCTAAAAGAAGAAACATGTCGCTCGTTAATTAATTAAGAGAGTCACTTCCGGTCAACTTTAAGAAATAACTTACCTTTTATTTCTACGAGAAAAAAAACACAAAAATGGGTCTGCGCCGGAGTATCGGCTTCATCTCCGGCAGTGGGTTGACTATTGGTAGGCTTTTGATCCTTCATTTGTCATTTTTATGTGCATTTTAGGTGCAATGGTTGGCAGCGGGATTTTTATGTCTCCCGGAGAAGTTCTAGGGGCAGCTGGTTCTGTCGGAACGTCACTTCTAATGTGGGGCACCTGCGGACTCATCTCTTGTGCTGGGGCTCTTTGTTTCTTAGCCGAGTTTCGCTCATTCTTGACATTTCACAAAATGCATGTCTGTTTCCAACGCTAAACTCTTCCGCAGAGCTTGGTCTAATGTATCCAGAGTCAGGGGGAGCCTATGTTTATATCAACGAGGCTCTTGGAGATCTCTTCGCATTTTTGTACGCGTGGTCGTCGATTCTCATCGTTCGCCCGGCGTCAGGTAAAATTCCAGAGTCACACTGCTCCGAATTTAAATTCTAGCTGCAATCGGTGCCGTTTCATTTGCTGACTATATGTGTGAGGTGTTTTACGAGCCAGGCTGTGCGCCGTCGCTTTTGAAGAAGCTTATTGGAATGTCTCTCATTCTCTTCCTTGGAATGGTCAACGCCAAGAGCCTGAAACTCTCAAGCCTAGTTTCTCGCGATCAACAACTTTAGTTTAGATCGTTTTTAACCTGAAAATTTGAGTGGAGCCGTCGCCACTTGGATTGAACGAGCGTATTTTATCTTCGAGATGCGCTCTCGATGAGACCAGGCGTATTTACACCAAATAAAAAGTTCGGTGTATGATTTGACTGGAATTAGGCTAGCGCGGCGTCATTCAGCGTGCGTTAATCGTATTTGGTTGGAAACAAACCCGCAGAATTAGCTTCACGAGTGAGGAATAAAAATGGGCTCCCTTTTTTGGTATTCATCCGTTAATGAATTATTTTAGTCAAGTTTATTTCTGTAATTTCGTGCGGGCACAAATTGATCCTCTTTGAACCTATAAAATCGTAAAGAGAAGAATGTCTCTCTTTTTCTATGGAGATAAGAGATGTTAACCCTAATCACCATTGCCGGCCATCAAAGGCCACTTTCGAAGCTGGAAATGTACTCTTGAATATTCCTTCCGTTGTGTTCCTTTCAAACCCCAGTAACATAATTTTCTTGCTAACTCGAAACGGTGAAAATAAAACGAATGCAGAAACTTTTCCCAGCTGGTTGAATAATCTATCGACGGTCGGGAAGGTGTTGGCTCTCATAATTATCATTATCTGTGGAATCGTCAACCTGTTCAAGGGCTACACCGAACATTTGCAGCAAGGTTTCGAGCCAATAGAAAATGACTTCAAAATATCTGTCGGTGAGTGTTTCCTAGTGTAAGGCGAGAACGGACTTTAATATACATTCAGGTGCACTTGCTTCAGCGTTTTACGCAGGAATGTGGAGTTTTGATGGATGGGAGGCATTGACAAGGCTTTTACAAGAATGAAATAGCATGCACTCACCAATTGAGAATGCACACGTCAAGAAATGAAAAAAGTCATTTTCAAAAAAGCCTTCTTTAGAACTCTGTGGGGGAAGAAGTGGCTAATCCTGGAAAGACAAAGTTTTATATCCTTCATGAAAGGCCGTGTAGACAGTCGGAACAAAGTACGATGTTTAAAACTTAACAAAGAATTTTCCAAGAGTCATTTGAAACACGTTCTAAGATTCACTTTAGTTTGGAAGTTTCTTTTAGAGCCAGATTCGTAACAAATCTAGAACAGTAAGCAGCACAGCCGTCCCTTTTGTCTCGCCACGGATATAAACGAAATGAAAAACGGTAGAAGAGCGATTTATTTATATCCGTTTTAAAGATTCTGTACGTGCTGACAAACGTAGCTTATCTTACCCTGCTTTCGCCGACCCAGGTGGTGTCTTCGGACGCACTGGCTTTTTCTTTCGCAAGTTTGGGTCGATCCAATCTTTTTAAACAAGTTATAAGAGATGTTTAACCCGTGAAAACGCAAGTACTCGTCCGAGTTTGCGCTTTTTATGGCCGCTTCCGTTGCGCTGAGCACGTTTGGAGCTGCAAATGGGCATGGGATAATATCGAGATCACTGTGTTTCTATAAAGAGAATCGCACTCTAATCTAAGGGTATACTGCTCATGCTGGTAAGAGTTTAGGCCTTTTTGTACCTTAATTCATTCGGCTGGTGCGGCTTATCAGTTTGCGCTAATCCGATCTATTGGTCGAAATAATCGCCGCTGCGGCACACTCGTCGAGTTGCCAATAAATCCAAACCGCGGAAACGGACAAACCAAACTCTGCTGTGCTTTGTATATTGTACGAATATCAGCCCGGCGCTCACTTCTACAATAAAATTCTACGAGTATCCCTTTCTAAAGAAATTGTCTGACTGGAGCGCGACTGACCTTAGCTGGCGCTAGAAATGGACATCTGCCGCGGATGCTTGCTTATTTGAGCATTACTGAGCGACTGCCGATTCTCTCGGTGATTTTTAACTCAGGAGAGGCTTGTAAAACAAGAAGCCTTTTTATAAAAAGCTTTTATAGCCCGAGAAGCTCTTTCAATAATTCTCCTCATTCCAGAAAACTCGAATTTCTTAACCCTTGTAAAGTAAGTCAAGATAAGTGAAGCCAGGGCCGCTGATTACTTCGCAGACGTTAATCTTCGCTCAAAATGCAGCTGCGAACTTTTTGGTGACCGCATTTTTCAATCTCAAGTTCTTTTTAATTTACCCTGACGCGTGGACTCCTCTTGGGTTTCAAAGCAAAATTCTAGCTTTACGGGCTTCACGATCTGGATATTCTACGGAATGGCGTTCGCCGCAGTTTTGATTCTACGATGGAAATGTCCCGATATTCGCCGCCGGTACAAAGTACCCCTGACAAAGTTTTTACAATTTAGTCCTTGAACTGCACAAATCTCGCAAAATGAGCGGCCGCTCCCTTGATATCGAAAAGTTAAACGTTTTCGTCGCGCATTACTAGAACATAGTGTCGATTCGAGGGCGCCGCTTTCCGGCAGAGATCTTTGAAAAACTGGGCGCCAGATACTTCCGATTCTTTGCGCTCTTGTTGCGCTTTTTATGACCATAGGAAGGGGTTTCACTGCAGTAATATTCATTAAGCAGGTGCTCTGAAACCAGTAAAGCACCGATCGTCGCCAGTCCGGAAATCGAGTATTTAGGAACGCGTTTCAAAACACCTCCTTCGATGATGCTTTTGACGAAATGCTAATTTAAATTTTTGAATTTTCGAAAAGTTTTGAAATTCGGGAAAACCAGTGGTGTGCGGAATCATTGCTGCCGGCTTGCTAATTTACATTCCCTTACGGCTGGAATTCGTAAGTTGCATAATTTTAAATAATTACCATCGCAAACAAACTTTTCACAATTCAGCTATTCAAATATTCACAGTATATTATAAACAATATTCGCGCAATTTAACCAGCAAAAAACAATTGTCATACTAATGAAAAATTTTTAATCCGCTAAAAAAACTTAAATTTCGAATAGAAAACGAATTTTTTGCGAAGAGAAATAATATCGATTATATTCTGATTCTTGGGGCTGCAAGCGCGAGAATTATTCGATTGAATTCGGTACAGTTCCCTTTTCAAGTACTACGCCCCACTACTGCTTTTTGTCGAGGCAGGTGCGCATTTCGCCAACCGCTATTAGAATTTCGGCAGTGGCGGTAATATTCGCCACCAGAAGGCGCCAAGCGTCAGCTGTTGCATCAATAAAGAGACAGCCCGAGTTTATATGCCGGCTTCGACGAGGGCTAAGTTCGCCTCATAAATTTCCGTGTTTCGAAAATTGCCGACGGTGGATTTAAACGGCACCCTCGCGGGGATAAGGAATTTAGCCCCGCTGCCTAAATCACTCCACCAGTCACTGTAAAATCAGGCGTTTCATCGGCCCATGCTCAGGACGGCCTTGCTGCCTTTTAATTCTTATTTTTAGTCGTTTTCGCTGGGAGTACGTGCAATTAACTGGATAGAAAAGCAATTACAGGTTAGCCTACCTTTATATTTTCCAATTTTATTTTGATAAAAATACTATCACGCAGAAGAACGTTTGCCACCGAAACATATAATTTAGCTTCTGCTCGAGGTAGCACCATACGAAAAGCTAGCCAGCGAGTAAAAGAAAAAAAGAAAGCAGACTTTGAATTTTGCAAATTAACACTTCTGAATAAAGATTGCTGAGCGGTCCTAACACCGCCCGTGACAGAGTTCTTTGGTCCAGCGCTTCGAAAAGAACAGTTACAGATAATCTAATTAGCCAAATAAACAGCCAGTGCTACTTCTTTTATCAGCGAAGTTAAGCTGCCCAAAGAGAGTATCTCCGTAGATAATCTGAAATTGTGACACTCTCCTATTTCCAGAATCTATCAAAGCAGATGATCCGGCACTCGAGCGTATCAGAGGATCTTCCATCTCGAATGTTCATCCTTGGCGCGATCCGTTGCGGCGTCGCGTCACTGTGGCAAGTGAGCTGCAGTTATCTCGAGTTCTATCTTGGCGGAGCGAGAGTTCAGGGCGAACTGCGCGTGCTGACCTCGCTGCCGAATGCGATAAGACTGCCTTCTGATTTTGCGAGCGTGTGATCTGCGTTGCGCCTGTTTACGGGCGCACCCTTGTTCATCGGATTAAAACGAAACTTTGGAAGGCGGTTTTTAGTTTTTGTTTGGTAGCAAAGACAAACTAGTTTATTGTGTGATGCGCGACAAAAAATGGGCCGTCGGTAGCAGAAGTGATTTTGCGAACTATTACGTAACAAGTTACAAAAAAGATAGATTGTCGAAATAATAGATCCCAAGCAGACACAAGTCAAGAAATGACAGAAAAAGTAATGGCAAAGCACGTGAGCCGGATTTAAACGGTTAAAGGAGGGTGGTTGATTATGGATAAGAAGAGAGTAATAATATTTATTAAGAGATAGAAGACAGAGTGAGAGATAGAGTGATGAACGGTAGCTGGTGTTGGTCGTTGGTGGGGTTCGATCGGATTGGTGCGATAACTGGTGTTTAATGAGATAGTATGAGTGATTACCGCAGTTGGCTTCTGCGTGCCTGAAGCCTAGGGCCGGGCGGACAGAGTGCCCGAATCCAGCCACACCTTGGGGCAAGGCACGACCTGAAATTATCACCAGAGCAGGCGGGTGCTGGACGAGTCGGGGCACGCGGCAGAAGCCAGCGTGCAGCTCGGTGCGGCTGCGTGCGCGACTCCTCCTGCACTCGCCCGCGCTGCTGTGATCCGGGCAAGGTGCATCTTTGCTAAAAATATATAAAATTGAAATATAATTCTACTATACAGTAATTTCCATTTCTGACTCGCCGCATGTTGTCTCGCGCCACATTCACTATAGTTAATATGTAAAATATATAGAATTTAATTAATAATAATAAATCGATACTGTTAATGAATGCGAACAGCGCGAGCGTTCTAGTGTGGCGCGTCGGACATGTCGTAGTACCATAGCTCCTGTCCAATATAAATCATAGATATGTAATATGAAAAATATTGCTCGTTATTGGACAAGAATTATGCTAGTGTGTGGGCTGCGAATAATTTTTTTACAAATATCTGCGAATAACGCATTTTTGAAATAATGCGAGTACCACGCGATCGATCGCGTTACAGCAGCAGAATTGCGTGTTTTTTGATGTAGTTATAGATTTGATCGGAAATTAAATAGGGTCGTAGGTTGGTTTCGTCCTGTGTGGTTTTAGTGTGTAGGTTTGTCTGGGTTTGTTTTGATTGGTGCGTGTGTTTTTGGTGGTAGGCTTGATATAATGGTGTGACGAGCTAATGAACGAGTTTTTTGAACAATATTTGAACTTTTTGAAAAAAGCGAATTGATGAATAAATATCTGTAGTGTGCCTAAAGCGTAGGTTGATATATCCGGGTTAGCCTAGTGGCTAGTTGACTATAGAAACTGGAACTGTGCGTGGGTTGTTGGTGTTGTAGGCGTCGTTTCTTCAGAGTCGATATAGCCAATCAGATTCTTCGACGGGCTAGGATTCTGGCAGGCGCTAACTGCTGCGGAGCGCGCCACCGGCAATTTGTTCGAAGAGGGTTAAAGACGCTGCTTTTTGTTCCTCTGTTGGTTTCGTTAAGCCCGGAATCGACTTGTACATCTTGTCACGCAAGAACTCGCCTAAAATATTTACGTTTGGTGATTGTTTTAGACGATGCACGTAATGTAGCGTGTTAAACATACCATAAACGGTCTCAGACCAGGCCAAGTGTTTGCATTTGTCGGTCGGGTGTGGTCGCAGTTTTGCGCCGAGGATCCAGGGCTTCTTCTTGAATGGCTTAAAAGAAGCGGTGAGAAAGTGCTGGCGTAATTGTGGCTCACCTCGTACGCCTGGATGCATTCGGTCTCGGCGGCTTTCTGCTCAGCGCGGAAAGCTTCAAGCTCCGAATTCATCTTGTCAACGCCGAAGGCCTCCACGCGCTGCCAAAAGGTCTTGTTGAAGTAGTCGTACAGCTGGTGGTCGGCGTGGTTCCAGTCCAAGATTTTCTTAGAGAGCTCAGGGTTGACCTGAATTACTTTGTTAAATATATTCACCACCGGCGCATTCGAAATCTTTATGAAGCAGGATTAGCGCCACTGTAAGAAAGGAAAATAAAAGAAGAAACATATTTTGGGAAATTCTAGTCTGTCGCATGTCAGTCTCGCGTCCTTTCCCAGGGAGTCTTTATACCTCAGCTTTCGCCTCCTCGATTCTCATTTTGAATTTGATGTAAACAATGTCGTCCCAGTCCCAGCAAAGCAGATGCTTCATCAAAATCAGCGACTCGTCGAAGAAATCGGTAAGGAGAATGAGAGTGAAGTGCTGGTCCATCTGCTGGATCGCCTGTTGCACGTAAGCTTCGTCGTCAGCGCGGTTCACGTCGAATCTGAAATGCCGGGCTTAGAACGCAAACGTGCAGTTTAATAACGCAGACAATCTAATACTAGCTTGCAAAAAGTGGCGCTACTTTCGCGCCAAGGGCGTCCAGCTGGGCCCCGTGCACCGAGTCCTAACAGCGAGCCACAATTGTCAAAAGTGGGGATAGATAAAATGCGCGCTAAAGTATCCCGGCTTTGGCGCAATGTTTCCGCCCGCCGCAAGTTCCTTCACTCCAATTATCACGTGAAGGTCGAACTTTTGCAGAATTATAGCGCGCCGATCAGAGCGCAGGTCGTGACCAGCGGCTTTGGGTAGAAGAAACGACTAGAAAACGGACAAAGTCGAGAATTAAAAAGAAAAACTTTGAAAGTTTCTCGTCTAAGAGCCTATTTCTGCTTGCTTTGGCGTGAACTTTTCGAAATTTTATGTTCCATTATTTACTTCCGACGGGAGAAAGCAAGTGCAGTAGCCGCGTGACCCGGAATTAAAGTTAAGACCCAAAATAGTCCCTTCCTTGGGACCTTCTAACCGGCGCGGGTCCGTTTGTGGCGTAAATATGAAAACTGTGGTTGGCCGAACCCCGCGGGCAGGTGCTTCGCCATACGAACGGACATATTCAACTAAGTTTTTCTTGATTAAAATACTATAAACATGTTACGGGTAGTTGCCTCTGCGCGAATATAACAACCACTCGCAGTGGAATTCAGGCTTTGTGGTCAGACGTACCCAATATCAAAGAACATGTGATTTTTGGATCGGAAGTACCAGTCGGTGTCGCGTTTGAAGTACTTGGTCGGGTCGGCGTAGAAAGTCTTCAGTCGTTCGGTTGTATTAACATCGCCAAGCCATTCTTCAAAGGGCATTTGGTCCTGGAAAAAGCCAAACACAGACTCGACGTTATCAACGGGAGATCGAATGATTGTAACGTACCTAAAATATTATTGTTAATTCGCTTATCGCACACTGTCGCAAAACAAATTTAGATGCCCTCCTCGCGCGCTCCAGACTATAGTAAACCAGTACTTTTTGCGGAGAAAGCGGGGAGAAAGCTTTTAGACAGCGTGGACAAATGAGACTCTTTAGAAAATCACTCTCCCGGTTTTGATACTTGGGGATTAACTGAAGCTCACGCTGGGTCAAGTTGCTCCCGCTTACCCAGCGTGCAGTTTCCACCTGGTTTAAATAGCCTATCTCTAGCTCGCTCAGTTCGAACTTGTTGTCTAGTTACTTACTTCGTGTCCAGCGGCATGAACTCGTCCAGCTTCCCCTTATTGAATCTGAAGTGATGGCCGAGAACATTGTACTGGGTGAGTTGAGGGTCGATCAGTTGCTTGTCGATGAATGCTGGGTAGCCTCCCAACTCCCATTTGCCTTCGAGAGGTAGACCGACTGTCAGATTGTGAGTATCTGAATATTTATTTTTAGAATACGGAAGAGCAAGGTGAAACGGGCGAACCGGGCGGCGGCGCCTTCTCGCGGCCGGAATCATGCGTGACATTAATTCTTACCCCGCAAGGAGACAGTTCTACCGATGTTACCGGTAGATACTGCCCTACAATTACGAGTGGGGTCAGTGTTACGACAATGTCCGCGTTTGGGGTTTTATTCAATGTACTTTTTTGTTAAATAAAACAACTCACCGGCGAAACGCAACATGATGTTGGACATGGTGGAGGAGCCAGTCTTGTGCGTTTTCAGAAAAGCCACGTTTTTGTAAGGTCCATTTTCGCATGTTGGAAACGTAAACTAAATCAAAAAGTTCACGAGAGTACTGACCAAACTCAATCAATAAGGTCACCTTCCTTTAGTTTCAATTCTTGTGTTTAGATACTCGCAAATAACTCGATTCGATTAGTAATAACTTAAATCGGGGCGAGTGATTAATTAAGGGTGGAGCAGCTAATAGGCTTGAAATCGGAGAATAAGAAAGCGGGCTCCGTTATTTTCAGTGTTCACTTTTGTTTGAATCGCTTGACTCGCGGAAGTTAACGGAAATTTGATTTAAAATCAGTCTCGTTAGAGCATGTTGTAGTGAACACGTAACTTTTTTTAAACTAAAGATAAATTCTAAAGTGAACTCTTACGGGTGACTAAGTTCGAGAAGGTGACGAAAACAGATGGATGTAAATGTAGCTAATCGCTCTCGAATCATGTGCTAGTGGTTGCTGAAAACATAAAAATTACCGTGCTTGATGAACGTGCCAATGGGGCGGCGGGAGGTGCTTGGGCCATCATTTGTTGCATCTGTGCTTGTTGTTGGGGGACACGCATACCATTCATGGGGCGCATGCCGGCACCGTAAGGTCCATATGGACCGTAGGGCCCGATGTTTCGTACGTGGCGTGTAGGAAGCGCATCCGAAGGTTCAGGGTGGTTGATCGTCCACAAAATATAGGCGCAGAGAACGACAAGGGTCAATTTGAAGAAAGGAGGCATCTTGCGAGCTCGAAGCATCGTTACTGCTGTCGGCGGATTTCGCACTATCTACAAAAAATGTTAAAAACATTCGCTTGTCCTGAGATTCGTGTGAAATCGCGAAAAAATTCGATAGGAGTTAAGGGTACTACCTTCGATTTTCAAACTGGGTTTTATCTTTCATGTTGATAAAAGTGGGTATAAAAATAGATTTTGCATAAGATTGTGCCGAAGTTTAATATTGATACCTTTTTGAAATTATTGAAAATTCCCGAGATATGGTCTCACGAAGTTTTTTCGAAAAAAATTTTGGTCTTCGATTTTCTTGACTAAGGGCTTTTCTGAAAGCGTAGAGCAAGGAGATCATTTTGGTGGGCTCTTAATTACTATCAGACGTATTTTATAGATTCTAGAGGGAAAAATGTGTCGAAAACTTTAAAATGCACAATTTTCGTAAAATTTGGGAGACACAATTTTCAAAAAAATATTTTTAGTATTGATTTAGCTTCGATCCAAAAGTCCTTCTTACAGATTGAAATTATAGCTCTATTGTGCAATTAAAAAATTAAAGAAAATCATGTTTTCAGACTAAATTCCGAGCTATTCGACCGTGAATACAGTCAATTTTAGCAAAGTTGACCACTTTAACCTAAAATTTAGCCAGTTTTTCGTCGAACAATTTAAAAACTCTTCTGACAGATTAAAGATCTAAGATAGATCTACAAAGGAAGCCCATATGATTCCCCCTATCATTGACATTTTCTGGGTTATCCAACAATAAAGTTGCGGAAATCGAAGGTAGTATCCCTAAAGAAAAGGTTCTTGTATATAAAATATTCTCGAATAATATAAAAAGAGATGAGTTCAAAAATATGAATGCTGATAAAATCGAGTACGGAGGGAGCAACTCTCTGTTCGCCTCAGAATTCTACCGCAAAACACATCGAGCGGTGGCGCGGTTATCGAAGCGACCGTGCCCGTGCTCGAGCCCCTCGACCCTTCCCTACCCACCCTGTGCTGCCAGAGCTGCCGAAAGGTCCTCTTCTGCGCTTCGGAGGGGAAGAAAAATGAAATTTTCGCCGCGCACTCGATCACTACTCAGCTTGAACGGTCAGCGGCACGTTTTTTCACTTTCCACGTTCTTTCAACATTGTAAGTTTTGGGATAAAGAGCCTCAGCCGTCCCGCAGAGCAGAACGGCGACTACCGGGTGGTGTCACCTACGTCGGGCTTTGATTGGGTGGAGGAGCTCAGACTTGCGCGACCAGTGTTGAACGTGCTAGCTGCTGATGTTCGTGCGAGGCCGGAGGGCCGAGTGCGCGCAAAGCACCACGCTGAGGAGCGTACACCACCGCCCACGCGGCACCTACACATAAGGGAGCAGTTGGTGCTCAGGTACCTCCACCATCACCACGCCGCCCAGCACAAAACATCGGCACCATAAGCACCACCGCCAAATTACCGCACCCAAAGTACTAACACAAGTACCACTTGGTGCCAGCAGCGGCACTACCACCAACGCCCGCCCGAGCTCTACACACTTCAACAACTTCGAAACTCTCTTACATATCTCCTCTTGGCAGTTCATGGTCAATGTCAACATGAACAAAATTTCACTAATGGGCTTTCATTTTCTTTCTTTAAATTTTTCCTCCCGCAAAATAGAACCAACCAAAACATCCTTAATAGAACTCACTCTCGTTTCAATTTCAGTCAAAATTTTTTAAAGTTATGCTCGCATAGAACTTACTCTAAGAAGGTAGCTGAATGGTCAGATGTTTCGCTGACCTTTGGGTTTTTTTGTTTCACCACTTCGGAAAAGTCATCAAGTTTCTCTCAAGGCGTTCAAACTGATAATCAGACGCGATTGTTGTTTTCGTTCGATTTTCTTTCGATTTTGGCTTTCTCTTGGGGTGTTCTATGTCTCTGGTGCTCGGACTCTGGCGCAAACAATGAAACTCTGGCGCGACAAGTGGCCGGCAGCTCTCTGAGGCACCAGCAGTAGCAGGGCGGTGGTGGTGGTGCTGCAGATAGCCGGATAGTGTAGAGAAGGCTACGGCCGGCCGAGCGGCGCTCGAGCCCCACCATTCTCTTCCTCCGGGCGGGGAGCACCACTATTCACTATTGAGGAGAGCCGCGCCGCACCCGCGCCACCGTACTAAAGCGGTGGCAACCAAGACCCTCCGCCAGTGTTAACCTAGCCCACACCGCGGAGAACTTTCAACGAACTTTCAACGCGAAAAATAGAACTTGTCCATTTAAGGCTGCACTGGTCACCCAAGTTAAACTTGGAGATATTTCATGAAGCCTCCATGAAAAATACTCATAATTCATCACATTTTTATTTTAATTTTCCTTTTAAAGCTTTCCATTAGAAAAATTTTTGTTCTCAAAATTTTCTAACATCAAGAAAGAAAAATAACATTTTTGATATTCGGAGAATCACGCGCTTCACGAATATTTTGTGGCGCCGCGAAATGACATTTTTGCGGTCGACGAAATTCACTCTGCTTGAGAGACTTCTGGATCTTTAGTGAAATTTTGAGGAATCAATCCGCGCTCAGGAATAACCTCTCAAGCATCACGAAATAGACGTTTTCGATCAAGACAAGGTCAAAGAGGGGCAAACCAAATTAGAACTTGTTCATGCGCCATGTTCTAGCTTTGACCGCGGGAGATTACGTCCTGTCGCAATATTTGGGCACCAGATAACACCAAGCCGCGAAAATGAAACCCATGCTTATCATTCAGTCTGCTTGACGTCTCCAAGCCTACCTTTGTTCTGGTTTCATACGAAAATGCTGCCACCAAAATACTCTTGCAACGCACGTCTTTTTGCTTTTCTGCACTATTTTATGTCTCTGAATTATCTATTCTGTCGGTTGTAATGTCCTCTATTTCGCACTCCTGGACGCCTGGTAGCCGACGTCATAAAATGTTTTACGGTCATCCTTAGCGTAATGAACATCACAAGGAAATAATTATTTCGGAAAGGCAACGTTTATTAATATTGAGTATCACTTCTAGCGGCTGCCTAACCTTACGCGGGAGCCAATTAGTGCCATCATCCATCAAAATTCTTATGTTGCCTTACAAGAAAACCTTTCACATTTTTCACGTTTTCACTTTTCGCCGCCTCACAAATAAATTTTCAGACATTTACCTTAAGGTATTTCGTGCCGCCTTCGCTGACGCCGTACGTTTTACTCATTCCAAGATCTCTCTGGCTTTCTGTTCTTCTCTTAACTTTGGGATTCACTTATTTCTTAATATTCTCTTCTCGCCTTGCCACGCTTAACCGTTTTGAAGGGTTTGGCTTTCCTGGGCGCACTGGATGAATTAGCAACCGTAGCGAACCGCGGTTTATCGCTCCGTTCAATTAGCGATTATTCTTCGCGTGCACCACCGCCGTTGTAGTCATTCTCCTGCTTTCTTTTTTTGCTTTTGAACTTTTGACACGGCTCCAGAATTTAGACGAGTGATGAATGGGTTCGCTTGTCAAATAATAAAATTATCGTCAGGTAGAGACAATCACGGACACCCGCCGAGACCTGATAAATGCAGGCTTATTAACGAGGCAATAGCGCTAATTGGTAGCTACGTAGCTGCAAACAATAACAATCTCTGACGTTCATATATATCACCTTGTTAGACTGCAAGTTTATTACGCACCTTTGCTCTGCTAACGTATGATTATGCTATCAGTTAGAAAGCACCTTCTGCAACTGATTTGCAGCAATAGAAATTCAATATTTGCTTGTATCTTCCCAACACGATCGAGTGAGAAGAAGTCATTACTTCGAGATGAGAGAGAATAGCTCCAGCAACTCTTTGATGGGCAAGTGAAACGGTATATATAAAGTCTAGATGTTGGATGTTTACATCAAACAAACGTAGTCTCGTGTCACGAATTACGATTCGCGGATTCGGGTTTAGAATGAAAGTTGCATTGTAATCAGCACAAACGCGCGACTCTTCATGCCTAGTCGGCATTAATAGCACATACCACTGTTTGCACCAATATCAAATCTACCAGAGAACTCCCCAGGAATAAACCCGGCGTAGTGGTCCATTCGCTGAATTTAAGCAAACTCAATTCGCGGAGACTCAACGATTGCTACTTCTAACTCCAGCTTCTTTACTTTTCCTTTTCTTTCTTCAATTCTCGTCGCATAATAAGAAAAAATTAATAAACCCTGCTAAAATTGAATGAGCAATCTTCCTTGATTTCAGCTATCTTACAATTATCAGAATGCTAACAGCTTACTCCTACAAAACATAGCATAATCAATTTTTCCTTTTTTACTTTTTGAAGACTGCGTTTTTCTTAATTGGCTTAGATTATTTCTCGTGTCTTATTTCTGAAAGTAGCTCTCAATTTGTGGTACAGATTCTTCACGGGAAATTCAGAATGAGAGAGAAAAAATGTAATCTGATGAATCTACACCACAATATTGATCTAGTCAGCTCCAAATGGAAGCTCAGTCGACAATTTGAAATCTTATATTTTCTCGTTCGCGTTTAAGAAAGTCCAGAACACATTTTTGAATGTTAATTTATTGAGATGAAAAGAATACTTGAAATTGAATATTTTTGAAAGTGAGTTGAACTTGAAATTGAATTTAAGAAAGTCTTGGTCGCTTGGAAAGCGCCTGATGAGATGAGGTAGTCCGTTTTAGCGTGTTCTAAATTAGAATGTCATTATTTTCTGAAACATTTGAGGAGCTGTTCCCTTCTTTGTAAATATTTTTGAAGAGCGCGAATGAATCATTCAATGTCTTCCAAGTAATAAAGTATTTTGATTGTTACCTGAACAGGCGGTGGTGGTCGACTAACTCGAGGAGGTTGCCGCGTAGAATTATCAAGCAAGGGCAGTTGCTGGAAGTTCTTACTCGGTGGTGGATCCCCGAACGCCATTCCCTCCTTCTTTCCCGTTTCTTTCTCTCTCTTGCTCGTCGTTGTTTTGAGTTACCACAGACGCGGACGTTTGTGTTATCTTCGGATCGGAGTACAACGAAGCCGTTTCCTGTTTGTTCTTGTAAATATATTTTCTTTTTCTTTCGCGGATCAGCCGCAGCGCAGTCGGAGGCGACGGCTTTGCGCGACACGGCCAATCAACGAAAGGAAAAAATGAAAAAGCGAAATTGGACTGATCCTGCGCGTTTTGGGGACGGTGCCAAGAGTGAGCTCGCTCAGCCACGCAGCTCACGTTTGACTAGTTTTCTCTCTTTATTCTCGATTTTGTCGAAACTTTCATGGCGGCACTTGGATTCCCCTAAATTTTAGCACCTACTCGTCAAAAGCACGTAGATTTATTCCCAGGGATTAAAGTCCACCTTGAAGTTCGGCAGCGCCTCAAAACCATTGTTTTGTTGCCTGAAAATGTATAAGTAATAAATAAAGTATGAAGAATTTATTTCATGTAAGAGGCTTAAACGATATAAGAGATAATAAGAAAAGGATATGTCTAAGCTACTTGATCTCATTGTCTAGTTATAGGAAACGTACTTATTTTAATCTCCAAGAACAGCGCGAAAATCCATAGGCTTAGCCGCCAATTTGCCGATGCTGTGACTTGAAACCAGTGAAGTTTACCTGCTCGAACCTATTTTTTTCGCCAAACTGGTTTATAGTTGTTTTCGGTATTATCGAACTGTTGGTGTTCACAAGTGTTTGCGACAACAGTACAAGGAAAAGAAACTCTTCGTCACCGAATGAGTCTTCTGGTCTAGATGGGCTTTGATTCTGCCGAAATAAGGATATGGTGTGCTACACGTGAGGACGAATTAGGCACGCGCGTTTACTAGCAGATGATCGCAGATGCAGTTGTCGTTTCCCTCTTTATAAGCGACGCCGAAATCGGAAGAAGTATCATCCAGTTTTCAACGCACTGATCTGATAAAGATGAAGTTGTCCAGTCTTCTCATTCCTTTGGCTTCCGGTGAGAGACTTCCACTAACCACTTTTTTAATTTTCTAAAGCATTCATGGCGCTCGATCCAGAGATAACGACTTTGGAGCCACAGCTAGAAATGGAGACACAAGCGCCTACTGGCATACCGGCAACTGATGAATTCCATTTCATCGATGAGCAAGCTTTCTTTTCCTCTGAATCAACAACCAGTGAAACGACTGCGGCGACAACGACGCTCTACAATAATGACGGAAGTAAGAATTGAAACTCTGAATCTTTGTTGATGCCAAATTTTTCTTTCAGTTGTTGGCTTGAAGTTCGCGGGGGGCGGAAAAGGAGGTAAGAAATCTAAGAAGTCCAAGAAAACGCAAAAGAAGAATCCACAGAAAGAAAACGCCGTGGAGAACATTATGAAAATTCATGGAGATGAAGCGGCTCCAAGAAAAGATCACAAATGCGGGAACATTCCCTTGCCAGAGATCAAGGTACCTAATTTGTGAAATACTCTTATCAAAAAGGCATTAAGTGCGATGATTGTGAACAAGGTTACCCGCGATATAGAAGACCTTGCGGAGGACCAGAGGAAACAAAGGGTGTTTTTAAATGCCGAATAGAGTGTGGACCAGGTTTCAAAGTTTCAGGTAAATAGGTCTAGTATTCGCCAGATGATCAGCTCTTTTCAGCCGGATCTCCAAAGAAGATGAAATGTCTTGGAAAGCCTAACGAGCCAAAATTCTGGAAGGTACGACCGCAGACGCAAGGACACGTGATTCAGTGCGAACGAAAATAAGAAGAAATGAAGTAGTTCCTCGGCAATTTAGACGGGGAGCAACTAAAGCCGATGACCCTTCTACATTTTTCCTTGTCTTTGTATCAATAAACTCACATTACCTTGATACGTGAACAACAATTACTTTCGTGCAAAATTACAGAAAAAATTAAGCGTCTCGCAGACGCCGACGGCGGGAGTCGAATCAACCGCTCGGATTGACCAGAACGGAGCGATGACGGTTATAAAAAGCCAAAGCTTGTCAATTTACTCTCGATGTAGATTGTTAAGTTTACAGAATTATGTCTCAGAGATCTACGTCTTCAGCTGATATCTATTCTGCGGGTAGCTTCTGGGATCAGTCTTTTGGATCGTATTTTAAATGGAAAATCATTTATATCATTAATTTTGCCGATTCTTATAAAATATTATTCAATCAGCCGAAAAAATACGAAAAAGACCGTTTTGCACTCAGCCCTGTCAATGAAGGAATAGACGAAAACAACAACTCCCAACAAGCGTCGCAACATTCCAGGTTTATACAAAAAAAAGTAGTATAACTTCAAGCGGCAGAATCTACCCTGCTAAAATAATATTTACAATTTTCTCTTTTTCGATAGCAATGAATCAATCTTTCACACATTGTCAATTTGCCATTTATTCGGCTTTTATTTAGTCAACGCGACACAATCGACGATTTTGACCGAAGTTTTGGAAGGTTTATGAATTTTTCCTCGCGAATAACAATAACCAACAATTAGTATTTCATAGTCTCAAGAAACTTATAAAACCTTAAAAGGCTCGGAATACTTCGGAAGTCAGAAAAAAGAACAAACAGAAGAAGAGACACCTGGAGTGAGGTATCAGAAAATATATGATCTAACGATGTCCGTTATGGAACGTTACAAAGGACTAGGAGTAGTTCAACTTGGACGTTCTCGTGCTAAAACGAAGAAACTTAATGCTTTGATTAGTCCATTGGCTGCCGCCAGCCAAGAAAAGCAATTGAGCCAAGAGGAAGTGGAAGAAGTTGTAAGAGCTCGACCATGTTGCATGCAGTTCGAAACGATCATTGTCAAGCAAGAGAACTTCGGCCCTTGGGAAGGTAATGTTCAGTTTTATTAATTAATTCAACAAGTTATTAATTTTAGAAGGGAAAGGACCGTGTACTTTCCACGAGTTCTATTACAAGAGATGGCATGCAATGATCGCTGAAACAGCGCGCGAGCGAGAGCTTCGGCGCGGGGAGTCACCTTACCAGCGAAGCAAACGAAAGAAAAGAGAAAGAGAAGAACGAGAAGCCGTGGCGAAAAAGAAACACGCTCCTTTTCATGTGTACGACCCAGAAGTATACAAAGATAAGACTTACGTCCTTCCTCGTCGAAATCAGGCTGAAAGAAATTTCCTCCCTGTAAATGACGGTTCTTTTTTCTTCTGGTAAATTTCTTGAATGTAACAATTTTTTCTTATCAATAAACTGTTGAAATAGAAGTGCCGCGTATATTTAATCAAATGTACAAAAGCAAAGTGGAAGGGTCAGTTGATATTTGTCTAGTTTGGCATCGACTGAGGAAGTGTGTCACTGACAGCTTTACTGGGCAACGACGAGAACTCGTGATTTGCAAGTGACTTGGCCGTGATCGTTCTCGGCAATGATAGTGTACAGACCTCGGTCTTCCATCATACTTTCTTCTACCCTGAGCGAATATGAGTCGCCTACAATTTTCTTGGTCAACTTTCTCCATTCAAAGTTTCTTACCGTCTTCATCAAGATAGACGCCAACTTCGGGATCGGCTTCGACATCGTCTTGGCCCAAGAGCCAAGTGACTTTGTCAGCGCCAGATATCTTGAATCCATTAGTTTAAAATTTGAAATTAATAATACTATAGTTTGAAATTAAATGTATCAATATTTCAGTCTCTTACTTGTACTTCTATTCTAAAAGGATCACCCACAATGCATTCCACTGTTTTAGCTGGAGGTTCTATTATTTGAGGTCGTTTTGAGGTATCTGGTGAAGGCGACGGTTCCTTAGCCGCTGGGGGCTCAGGAGAGGCAATTTTCGGAGAATCTGTCTTTTTCTTCAAGGTTTCTCGGAAGTCTTTTTGCTCAGGAGCCATCTAAACGAGGAATTACTCCGCTTCGAAAAGCAACTGGTCTTGCCTTTTTCAGATCCTCTTGTTCGAGAGTCTTCGTGGAGACCTTCGTTTTTAATGACTTTCTGAAATCAACTTGTTCTCCTGTGTGTGCACGAATTTCATCTTGAGTGAGAGCTTTAGTTTGGACGCCTAAAGCAAAAATGAGTTTCAAAGAGCATTTTCACGCATTTACTATTTTTAAGCTGATTTCTGAAGTCAATTTGTCCTGCTTTACTGGTAGGCTTTGGAGCAGGTGGTGTCTTTGTTGATTTCTTCAACAGAGTTCGGAAATCTTTCTGGCCTGGCTCAGGCTCGACGGGCTCGGAACGGGGAGGAGCTGTTTTATTGGTTTTGAGGTTGCCACGGAAGTCATCCGTGTTTGAAGAAGCTAGGATTTGATTAGCGAGTTCTATTAAAATCTGAAGAATTTGCAAATAACACTGTGGACTCTAATCAAGGCTATTTGTTCACCTGCTGAATTTCTTACCTTCCTCGTTTATTATGATAGTGAATGGGCAGGTAAGCTCGGCGTTAATATTCTGGGCTTTCACCTGTGCTTTCCCCTTTTCGCTAGCCTTCAGGGAAGCAATCTCCAAAGTGTACTCGATGACGTTATCCGACTTTTGGGCCTCCTTCAATGTGTACTCAGATGATGATCTTTTGATTTCCTTCGATTGAGTTTTTAATTTGTCAAGGTCAGAGTTTTAAGCCTAAAAATGAACTCGTTCCTTATTTCCGAGAATCCAAATAACTTCAGGCTTGGGATCCGCCTCGATTTCGCATTTAACGGATACTCGATCTCCAATATTGACGGTGCCATTAATTTTCGGTCGAACATTAAATTTGGGCTCCATTCCAACCGGGACCACCTTAATATTTCATTTCTCGTTTCTCAAAGGTCGCTGTTTACCTTCAGCTCTGCGCTGCATGATAACGTTTCTTGTGCATTTGAAATTTCGATCTTGTAATTTCCTCCGTCATCTGGGAAAACTTCCTCGAATACGAGCGAAAAAGTTCTTTGGCTTCGCTCTCCCTCTGACTCGAGTCTGAACTCAGCGTCATCGGAATCGAAGTTAATTTCTCCAAGTGGCCCAAACCACTTGATAGCATCCACGTTCGACGTTTTCACGCTCCATCTTACGCCAGTTTTACCTTTTAAAATGTTAGTTTTTGTTAGACGGAGTAAGTTACCATCGTCTACTTTGAGATCTTGAAGAGGCTCAATAAAGGATAAACTCGTTGATGGAACAACCTGCTCGTGATCTGTTTCTTCTTCTTCAACTGATGGTTCTTTCAATTCTAAAGAGAAGCTCTTCATCGCTTTGCCTGCAGAATTCTGGGCTTCGATTGTGTAGCTTCCAACATCATTGGTACCAAAGTTCTAAAATAGGATATCATTTTCTAAAAAGTTTTCAGTGAAAACTGATAGATTTATTGAAGCTTGTTTGGCTGTCCCTTATTCAGCCATAAAATAAAAGCCCCATACCTTGATTTTTATCACACTTGATCCATTGTCACTGGTTGATTCAATTTTTGCATCCTCGAAAAACCAGGTGACTGTGAAAAAAAGGTCAAAAAATATTTTAGAAAATTAAAAAACCTCTAGGTTCTGGAATACCATCGAAAGAGCAAGCCAAATCGATACTTGCACCGGCGTGTCTAGTTTGGTTATCTGGGTAGTTTGTGAATGATGGTTTTACTGGCTTTTTATTAACAGTCACAGTTGCGGTTGATTTATCAGATCCAGCTGAGTTGCTTATCTAAGTGAAGGAATAAACTCGTGGAAAATGATAGTATCCTACTTGAACGGAATATCTCCCAGCGTCATCTTGGCTAATGTTATCAAGCTGCAATCTTGGACTGCTGATGCTTAGACATTTTTCGCCCTTGAACCAGGAGTATTCTGGCTCCGGATTGCCACTTGCGGCTACTTCAAGTGATAAGCTGTCGCCTTCTTCCGCTGTCGTTTCATGCAGTCTCTCAGTAAAGTATGGGGCTTTCGATGCTGATTTTAGATTAAAATTAATCTTGTGTTCCACTTCTCCGCCAGGGCCGACAAGAAGTAGCACCGCGTAGTTTGGCGAATCTTCAGATGCTTCGTATTCTACAAATCCGGAATGTCCATCAATTGAAGCGGTAATTCTCTGTTCGTCTGTTACAATCAATGTCGCATGAGTTGCGTTCTCAGCTGAAAATTCGATTTGCACAAGAGATCCAATTTGACAGTCAACTTCATCTGGCACAGATAAGAGCTTAGGGGGTTCTGCTGACATAATAACGTCAACTCGGCACTGCGATTCAGATGTTCCAAATTCATTCGTTACTTTTACAACATAATCGCCCGAATCCTCCTCGTTGACGTCTTTCAGAATAAGCCGGGTGAGGTCGTCATACTTATCAATAATAGTCATGTTTTCATCATCGGCTTGGAAGACCTGATCGTTGTAAAGCCAATTAACATCGTATCCTGTTGGAGAATTGACATTTATTTCGAGCTGAAGGTCATCTCCTTCTTTTATGGTCATATCTTCTAATTCTGAGATAACCGGAGGATTTCTTACTTCAGAGTCTTCTTCCACGCCGTTTTCGTAGGTTTCATTGGCGCTTTCTTCGACAGCGACTCGCTGTTCTTTCGTCGATGGCTTTCGCGATCCTTTTCTTCTGAGAGTACATTTTGTGAAAGAAGAACCGCGAGAGTCCTGAACGGAAGCGACATACTCCCCGAAATCATTGCTAGTGACCTGCCGAATACGAATTTTAGCGAGTTGCCCAACTTGGCGAATAACAGTCGAACTCGGGAGTGGTCCTTCGTCAAGTGTCCATGCCACTTCGGCTTCGCTATCGAACTCGCATTGGAGCATTATGTATTCATCGATATCTGTCTCAATGTCTTCGAGTGGCTGTAAAACTCTAATAGCACTTTTAGAAACTGGAATTTGTTCCTGTTTTTCTGCTTCTTCATCATCGTTGTCGGAAACGGCGGACTCTTCACTAACAGAAGGACTCTCTTTTTCCTCTGACTCTGGCTCTGGTTCTGAGTCAAGTTCCTGTTCTTTTTCCGGCTCTGGCTCAAGAGATCTTTGTCTAAGTGAAGCAGGACTTGATTCTTTTGACGAATTTTCCGAAGATTCATATTTTGGTGTTTCATTATATTCGACTGGTTCTGGCTCAGGGACAGACGCATGCTCAGGAGCTTTGAATCTTTCCTCCGTTTTGAGAGGAGTTGAGGAATGCACAGGCTTGGGAGATTCCTTGATTTCCGTTGTTGTTGTATTGCTTGGTGTGACATCTTGTTTGACCCGCGAGACTTCTGAGCGACGCCCCGCATGTGTTGATGGCTTTGGCAGAAATCCAACAGACGGGAGACGCGGGACCGCGCCTGCAGGTATCGTCGGATCGACTTTGACTTTAAAAACGGTTTCTTCCAGTGCAGACGACGGTTGTGAAAGGTCTCCTGTAAAACCACCAACTTCTACAATGAGGTTGTGTTGTTGGCGACCTAGAGGGTTGCTCGCTTTCAACTGGTATCGTCCTGCGTCCTCTTTGGTAACATTGTTGATTGTTAGACTGTAAGTTAGGTCTTCGCCGTTAGACTCAATGGAGATACGATCCGAAGCTTCAAGTGCGACATTGTTCTTTTAAAAGTTTTGTTTTTTGAGCTCACATTCAGTATCAAAATTTTATTTCTTTGTATAGTTCAGTTTTTGCGCGATCCGCCGTGGTTAACGGTAATTCTATTTACTCAACAAAAAGTCAATACTGAATCTGCTCGAGTGATTCAAAACTATCCTTGACCCACGTCAACTTCGGCGGTGGGTGGCCGTTCAATTTAGTAACCAGGTGCAACTGCTGGCCAGGATCGAGCTTAACATCTTTTGGTCTCAGCCTGAAACCAGGCCCCTTCTTCCGTTGGCTTGTATCTGTGTCTGAAGTTGAAATAATGTTAGGAGTACAGTTCGCAAAATGTCAACTAGTAAACAGCTCGCAGGTGTGTGACCACCGCAACTGATAGTTTTAGTTCTCTACAAGTCTACAAAACCGCGTTCAAATAGTACCACTATTTGATTCTAGCAAGTTTTCTATCTGATGTTTTATTCCTCAAAAGCTCTCTTTATATAGGTCAGACAACTACCAGCGACCTTGGCGAATATTGAATACCTCTTAGATGGAGATATTGATATCTTCGTATATGGTTGCTGTCGAAGTTCCTACTGTCCATTTGTTCGTGCCCTAAAATAGTAAGTTCAATATTTTCTGATCCAAAGAAAGCTCTTTAGGTGAAAAATTCGCAGAGAAAGATAAAAGTTTTTGAGCGCGTGAAGAAAGCGCCTGGAAATAAAAAAGGAAGCATCACAGTTGGGTCTCTGATTCAGTCTGTCCCTCTCAGCACGTTCTGTGTGTTCAAGAAAATGCATTTGGGCACACCGCCGGAGTAATTTACAATCGTTGTATATTCCAATTCTCCAAATATTTATCTACTGACTCTATCGAGAACTGATCGACCTGATTTTAAGGCATATTCAAATCACTAATTTGATATTTTTCCTTCTATTTCATAACCCATACGTATGAGTATGAACGAAGTATAGTTCTCTGGAATGATTCTTTCCCAGGATTTTTCTACTAAAGAATTAGACATTATCTATATATTTAATTATTGATTGTATAAATCTGGCAACTCACTGGAAATATTTACCTGAAAAATACGAGTAAAATAAAAAACACTCTCTGTTTGATGTTTTTTTCAGCTAGGACACAAGAATTTACCCGTGAAAATAACTCAAAGAGCAAATCAAACTTTGCAATAGGCACACAAGTTAATGCGCCCGGAATGCAAATTTACGCTTATGGAGCTGGAGGACCACGTAAATTGTAGACCTGGTCAGACTTGATCATCGAAAAATCCTGCCTAAGCCCTTTTGCAATAGATAGACTTTGCTATTCTAGGGTACACTCCGAAGTGCTAGACAAGAGATTTAGATCGGATAAAAAGCGAACCCCGCTTTATGTTATTGGCATTTATGGTAACAATGTCATGATGTATCTATTCTGAGGCGCGAAAAGGTCACCGGGATCGTTACGCCGGGCACATCACCGGAAACCATTCTCGATAGAAGCGGCTTTATCGCCCCGTCTATGCTTGCACAGGGCAGATACTTACTAATTAAGCAGCTTTACCATGCGAGCTTTCTTCCTTGATTTCCTGCTCTCTTTCTTAGGAAAACGATTTGTTCGAAAATTTACCCGCCTTTTAAAAAATATACGCTCTGTAATTAGATAAATCATTGCTTTATTCAGCCGTAAAACGCGCTTGAATTCTGTCTACGCACACACCTGTGGACGCCAAAAAGGCACCTCCGGAAGCGAGCCCTGGATTACAGTAATAATCGCACATGCGAATATCATAGCTTAAGGCAAGTTCTCAATCTGTCGTCATTTGAACTGGCAGCTGTCAGTTCTCTGTTTAAAGAGCTGCTGAAAGCCTCTTGATCGGCAAATAACGTTAGATGCTCTCAAATACTGTTATAAATTCAGCAGATCAAGATTAGACTTGCGTAAGAAACGATTTTTCTAAGCATCGAAAAACGGTGATATTTTTTATCAGTTATTTTATAAACTCGTTCTCAGTTTCTTTTGATAGCTAAGTACTTTTAAGTTTCGAGAATTCTTCAAAGATCGCAGCGATTATAATCCAACATGTCGGAATTGACGCAGTAAATCTTCGCCGTTTAAATAAAGGACCTCTTTGATCGGGCGTTTTGTTTATGAGCGGCGTGGTAGTAATGAATATAATTCTGATCAGGTGTGTCAGCACTCGACACCAGAAATTTACCGACACAAAGTGTCAAGTCCTTGAAGACTTAGGAGAAGCGCCCTTCAATCTTTACGGCTGAAAAAAAAATCATTTTTTCATCTGCGGTTTTCTTGATCATCAAATTCCTTGCTGCTACTTTCATTGATAAAAAGACGGTGCCAGTGTGTCTAGCGTGTATACTGTAAAATGTGATTCTAGGGCGGCTACACGATAGTATACTGTTTGATTAATGTTCGTATAAAGCGGCGGTAAGTGCAATTGATATTCAAACAACTCCCTGTCTTTGATGTTTTAGAGGCGTTGCTTACTGTAACTTTTGTTCTCTCTGACTTACATCTAACCGTGACGGTTGCTATTTATTTCCGAAAATGTGGGGTGAAATCGTAGTAGTGTGAGCTCCTTCATAATTCTTCGGATCGCGTGAGTTATGAGGAGTTACGAGCACGCTAACGTCCATTTATAGTAGAAATGGCCGGATAAGCTCTCACTTCTCACGTATTATTCGAAAAAGTGCTCTTTGAAACTACTTTTGTTTAAGAATAATTTTGTAGAATAAGAATGAAAAATTAGTATTTTTAGTAAAAGAGTATTTTACTGAAAATGACCTTGAATTTATCAAAAATATATTTACTAAAATATTATGCTATTACGAAATGATTTTTATACAATACGATCATAAACCCATTTTAGATATTATAATGCGATTTATAGATATCAATGGCGCCTAAGACTCTTTAATTGGTACTCACAGTTATCGCCCTTTATTTTTGCTCGGATATTCTCTATGAGTGGCATATTGAAATGAGACCCGCTTTCGTTGAGCGCTCTTGAAAAGAGTAGCTACTCAGAGTGAAACATATTTTTATCAAATCGGTATCTATGGTTAAAAGAGCAAAAGGTCACTCTTAACGACACCTGCCATTCTGATTTAGTATGGAGGTACCAACCCCTACTTTTTCTGAAAGAATTCGATTTTTTACCTTCTCCGTCGAGAATAAGCATTTTCACTTCGTGCAGGCCGAATTCGTTCTCAGCGACGATAGCTTGAACAGGGTTTATCACTACAGAAGTCGCATTAATAAATAAAGATTAAGCTTGAACTCATGGTTTAATCGACCACCAGCGAGCAATTTATGATATCAACCCTGATACCGAAAACGCCGAGATCAGACTCCTCAAGCTGGAAAATTGTCAATACGAATAAGTTTGTCTCTGCAACTGTGGATAAGCGCCCCTTCCGCACTGGAAGCCCGTCCTTAAATTAATTGTTCACAGATTATGTTTTGAGATCATACCTTGAGCCAAAGGACGACTTTGGGAGATCCTGTTATCTTTGCCTCTAGTATCGATTCACTGCTGGTTCGAAAAAAAGTTATTTGTAAATCGGACCCCTCACTAATCTCAATCTACCGCCGATTTTGACTGGCGTGGCGGAAGTAAGCGCAATCGTCGGAAAATTACAAACTGGGACATCACAAGGAACAGTTAATTCATCAATCTCTGATGTCTCCGACAACTGTCCCCGCCTCGATCTCGAGCAAAGTTCGAGTTTTACGTCAATAATCACAAACTGCTGAAAACTTTTAATTAACCGTCTGTTATTCAGAAAACTAGCTCCTGATTTCTAATAATAAAAGCTTGTCGACAATGCCATGACTGGCGAGTTTGTGAATTATTGTCGGAAACTAATAGAACTTTTCCTTCCGTTGATATTTTCGCGACTGCGAGTAACCTTCCGTTCCTCATTATCCGACGACTCGTCTGTCTTCTTGAGTTGATCTTTGGCAGTGTGACTTACTCTACTCCTCAAAATTCGCATTTAATACGACTGAAGCAAGTTCTTACTTTAAAAAAAGCCTCCTTGACTGCTCGCTAGAGCTGATAAACGCTCCACACGTGCAACTACCGACAAAACATTGTCCGACATCGCCTACATTTTTGTTGCCTCATAAATTTCCATCTTCCTTAGTTTCACAGAAAACTTATATATTCCGAAATTGAATCTTAAAATTCTCCATAAAGAAGCGTCTACGCATCCGTGCATGATGAGCGATCTCCCGATAACGACGATGCGTCTGATAAGCTGACGTCAGAGAAGGTATTTTGGGCTGATCGGAATGAGTGGAGGTGGTGCTGGCCGGAGGGCGCGTTGGTGGTGCAGCGGCGGCGGCGATTCACCGCTGCTTTTTACTCTCCCCGGTGAGTCCTTTTTACGAAGAGCCGCGCGAACCCGTGGTGCTGACTCCTAGTCTGATTCAGTCAATTTTTTCTCGAATGTGAATTATATTAGAGTTTTGACCTTCCAAAGATGGCGATGTCCGCAGCATATGCCGTTTGTACGGCAGTTATATGTCTTGAGGTAACTACCGGTGAAAGCAGGCCTTTACCCTGGATAAAAAGATTGTCGCCACCCCCTGGCGACAATCTTTTGCCACTAGCCAATCACAAGTTTCGAGACTTGTAGTGGTGGCGTAACCCCGGATTTGAGTCTGCTTTCATCGGTATAACATTCATTTTTTCACTGTTTACTTAGGACTGAATGTCAATTTCTAAACTAAAAATGCAGATAATAAAATTTGGCATTAAGGTCACCGTCATCCTCGGCCTTGTATTATTTCTCCTCCGACCCCAAAAAGACACCGCTCAGCTTCAACCAGATGCCGGAAACGTAAAGACCGAGTTCACTCCAGCTGAAGAAGAAGCGCCCGCCAGAGAAGTAGAATACAGAATTGAGTACAATGACTCGGAGCAAGATGACGAGCTCAACGAACAGGAAGACATCATTAGTAGAGGTATTCCGTCTGAGCCCGAGTCTGATACTCCTGCATTTACGACAATCGCCGCCACCATCGCGTTGCCGACCAAACCTCAGCGAAAGTCTTCAACTTCATCTTCCTCATCCGCGTCCTCAATGCCTCCCGCAAAGGTCGACTCGCCAAAGCTCATGCGTTCAGACTCGTCCTCTTCGGCCTCATCTAATGCTGACCTCATACCCAAACTTATTCCTGAAATGCCCGGAATTGATGAGAGTGACATTATATCTGGCGCAGACGATGTCGAGATTAACAACGGATGGCGACGAAAGGTCAAGTTGAGCTCACTTCAGAGGAGTGGTATCATCAAACGTGATCAGATTAACGACTTCCTCATTGGTGATATTTCGAAAGACAAGCTTGAAAACCAATATTCGCGCTGGCTCAAAGGAGAAGAACCTATTGCTGGTATTTTGTTTCCTGACACCGGTTTGAAGAAGTCGATATTTACGGCCCAGAAAGAAGAGTATATTTCGCGGAGCACAGCAATATCGCTTCTTGAAGCTCAAGCTGCCACTGGAAACATCATTGACCCCATCTCCGCGCGGAAGATGAGTGTTACAGAAGCAGCTCAAGATGGCCAATTCGATAAGATATATGAGCAATGTCTACTGCGAGCAGAACGTGCTGTCACTGGCTACAAGCAAGGCGGCTACAACACACGCTTGTCAGATGAGAAGCTCTCAATATTTGAAGCGATGACGAAAGGACTTGTCGTCGAAGAACATGCTATACGACTGCTCGAAGCACAAATCGCTACTGGTGGTGTCATCGATGTTCGCAATAATCACAGAGTTCCGATTCAATATGCTCTTAAAATGGGCCTTATCGATGAGAGGATTTACAGGATTATAGCCGACAAACCAACAACAACAAACTTCGAGGACCCTAACAGTACAAGAACGCCGCCAGAGAAAGTCAGTTACAGTCAACTTTTGGCCAACTCAATCATCGACGATGATACTGGTTTGCGACTTTTCCTGTTCCAAAAGCCTGGCTTTGAAAAGACGCAGTCACATACTTCCAGTCCGCAATCAATGCGATCAGCGAAATCGTCATCATCTTCTATTGCCAGCATTGGATCCGTGTCATCGAAGAACAAGGATCTAGGTCAGCAAGAAGAGGATGAAATTAAACCATTCCCAGTAGATGAAGATATTCCAACAGTTGAAAAGATTGATTCTGTCTCGACAGAGCAAGAAGTTACCGCCCTTGACGAAGGGGCTGTGCCAGTTGAAGACACAAAGTCAATCACTTCTAGGTCATCAGCAAAGTCACTTTCTATAAAAGAGTCGGATATTCTTCAAGACGCCTCCACAACGGAAGTTGAGGATCTTGAGCAAGAGCAGTCAGAACACTCCGTCTCAGAACCTGAACCGAAACCAGAGCGTGTGTCAGAGAAAATTGACAAGTTCAAACAGAAAATAGAGGAAGTGCAAAAGCGTGAGCGCGAAGAGGAGGAACGAGAAAGACGAGAGAAAGAAAAACAAGAGAAAGAGTCTGAGACAAAGAAGGCGAAAGTCAAAAAGATGCGTCCTGTGGATACTGAGACAGACACAGCTGCTTCAGACCTCCTACTCAGTTCTGACGATACAGATGTTGATGGGAACCGTCTTGAACTATCGAGCATGACAACTTCTGACGCTCAGACGGACCAAGAAGTTCAAATTCAAGAGCTAGAGGAGCTTCAGAAGATGGAAACACTACTGAAAAAGCCAACTCAGATCGACGAATCAAGCTCGGATGAAGCGGAACTACAAACTGTACGTGAGCAGGTTCGCAGAAAATCTAAGCGGGAGAAAAAGAAGAAGAAGGACAAAGGCGAATCAGCCCCTGGAACACCAAAGAGTAAGTCAAAGAAAATGACTGCTACAACTATCGACGTTGTGATTTCGGACGATGAGCCGCCAACGGAGCCTGTGGGACCAGCAAAACAACGAGATGATTTGACATTTACCACTGGATGGAGAAAACAGTGTGCAATCGTCGATCTAGTTGACGCAGGACTTATGGCAGAAAGCAAGGTAAAGAAAATTGAATCAGGCCATTTGCTGATGGCAGACGCTGAAAATGAACTACAGCAGTGGCTACATGGAAGTAGCCCCATTGCGGGACTGCTTATCATTTCTACTGGTGAGAAAATGTCGCTTTACTCAGCTGCAAAGCGAGGCTTCTTACGACGCGGAACAGCCATCTCTTTACTGGAAGCGCAAGCTGCCACTGGAAATGTGATTGACCCGATCACGGGCGAGTACATGGCTGTGGAAGAAGCGACAAGAAAAGGTCTTATCGACAGACAATACGAAGCGATCCTTTCAAGAGCGGAGAAAGCTGTTCATGGATACAAATCGAAATTTAGCGAAACACTGTTATCAGTTTACCAAGCTCTGCAAAAAGGAATGCTCATCGAAAATCATGCGATTCGACTTCTTGAAGCGCAAATTGTTACTGGAGGTATCATTGATCCTCATCGACATCATCGGTGTCCGATTGATCTCGCAATCAAGCGGGGTCTTTTTGACGAGAAGCTAAAAGTAGTCCTTGAAGGCATCGGTGACGATACCAAGGGATTCTTTGATCCAAACACAGAGCAGAATCTCAATTATTCTGAACTTGTGGAACAGTGTGTAACTGACGCGGAAACAGGGCTGCTGCTCCTTCCATACAAAAAGAAACCTCCTGAAGAGAAACTTTCCGGTCCACTTGCTAAGGTCTTGTTCGAGTCTGAGCTGAGGAGAAAAGTCACGCTCCAAGATGTTGTTGATGCAGATTTGATTGAACCTGAGACTCTGAGGCGATTTAAGTCCGGTGAAATGTCAGCGCACGAAGTGAAACAGCTTGTCGACTCTTTAAAAATCCACGTCGAGGGTTCCATGCCCATTGCAGGTGTAATCAATGCAGAGAATGGTCAGAGATTGTCCATTTTCCAAGCGACTCAAGCCGGGCTTATCCGCAAAGGTACGGCTTACGAGTTGCTTGAAGCTCAAGCATCTTGTGGCAAGATTGTCGACGTTCAAACTGGCCGAGTCCTGTCCGTAGAAACCGCCTCAAAGACAGGTGTATTTGACGCTGAATACGAAGACGTCGTGATGAGAGCGAGCCGAGCAGTGACAGGCTACAGAGAACCTTTCAAAAAGGAGATTCTCAGTCTGTGTGAAGCCATCTCAAGACACTTGGTTGTCGAAAGAAATGGTGTTCGACTTCTTGAAGCCCAAGTGGCTACTGGTGGAATTATCGACATGAAATCGCCCCTAAGATTGTCGATCGAAGCAGCCCTTAGAAAGGGATTGCTCGAATCTCGACTAGCTAAGCAACTACAGGTGCTTTTATGTAAGAAACCCCCACTAAAAGAGTATTTAGGCGCGTACATCAAAGTCATACTTCGACCCAAATACTGGTGAGAATCTCAACTACGCACAGCTTATGGAAAGGTGTATTACGGATCCTGACACTGGAATGCTTTTCCTAGAGGTTGAGGTAAGGATTAACCTGCTATTCAGAGTAATATGTTATTTTTATCATCCAGCCTACTTCTGAATCTAAAGCGAAATCGGTAATTGAACGCGGAGTTTGAGTTTTTTACAAAAAACGTTTGATCACGCTTTTGGAGAGTTCTTTATCTTGTAAAATTTAAAATAGAAATTTAAATATAAACGGATAAACGGACAACGAGCTTTTTTTCAAGAAAAGCGCGAAAATTACTCACCAAAAGCCTTGCCAGAAAATGCATGTTCCTTGACTGTGACTCGTTTTCAGTTTTTATGAACTTTTTTTCGAAGAGCACGAGTTTGGTAGCTTAGCACTGTAGTTATGGTGTAACAAGCATGAGAGAATGATTTGCCGCAAGGGGGCGCTGATAAATTGCTCAGTATTCTGGTTGAAGCTTGGAAAAAGAAGCTTCACCAGTGTATGAGTCTAAATGCAAACAAGAGCAGATTCTAGCAGCGATTTAAATTTATTCAGGCCGGTGCTGTTACACCCAAAGTTGGCCCCTTCGAACCAGAAGATAGAAAGAAGAAGAAAATTCGAGCTCAATCAGGTAAGGCGATTTTCTTTTACTCTTAGTCACATAGTATTTTTGCAGCTGATCCTTCGAGTCCAAAGAAAAAGAAAAAGAAGAAAGAGCAGGATGAAAGCCGAAGTCAATCTGAGCCACGCCCTTCCAAAGGTTCATTTCCATCCGATAACTTAAATCAACCTTTCCTTATTCAGACAAGAAGAAGGACAAGAAATCGAAGAAAAAGAAGCGCGAAGGAAAAGACAAGGACGACGAAACAAAGTCGACCAAGTCATCCCGCTCAAAATCCCCCAAGTCGCCCAAGAAAAGCAAATCTGACTCTCTTCAATCTCCAAAAAGCACTACATCAATCGACATCGCGCCTAGCACTCCCAAGAAGAGCAAAGAAATTCCGACCAAAGAGGAAATGCTCGGAATCGAGCCCAAGAAAGACAAAAAGAAGAAAAAGGTAACCCTATTTTTTTTCAATTTTCACAAAGTTGAAAACATAGAAGAAGGAGCGCAAAGAAGAGAAAGAAGTTCATTACCGACGGGCTTCATCTTCGGAGACAGAAAAAGTCGAGATGAAGTCTGAGACAGAAACCAAACCTAAGAAGTCGAAGAAATCAAAGAAACCCTCTAAGAAGCCTTCGAAGCCGCCGAAAATCGTCTCCAGAAAGGTATCAAGCCCTGAAAAAAAAAACAAAAACTGAGCCGTTTTGTTTTAGGTCGTCATCGTCGATCTCGATGGAAACGAGCTCTCGCTGGAAGACGCGTTGAAGTACAACTACATCGATCAAGGTAAGATAAAATCACGTCAATGATGCGACTAGAATTTAAGCCCTGGCTAACGAGCTCCAAGCGCAAGAGTACGGCGACGACAACGACGAAGAACCGAAACTGGAAGAATAACTCTGACTCAAAAGACCCTTTCACCTCCACTAACAAAATTCATAACTTTCGCTCAACTGGGTGTCGACTAGCAATTTCTAATTTTAACGAAAGTTCAAATGCGAAATAAACTACCAATGTTCAAAACTTGCGTAATGATCAAAAAATGTGCAAGTGTGTTCGAGTGAGTTTTATTGAAGGGGCAGGTGTGAGATGATTGTGTATGTGATATTTTGGAACTTTTAAAACATGAACTGTACAGGCTTGAAAAGATGCTCTAATGCATCGTGACGAGAAATGTCTCTCTGTGCCATTGGCCGACGCGGTTTTTGAGCTTCTTGAGGAAGACCTTTGACTTCGGATCGGTGGCGCAGATTCTCGTGTGTCCGACTTCCTCGTAGTTTTGAAGTCTGCCTCCGTGCAGCTTGACCTCCATAATTTCCAGATAGATGCCAAGCATGTCGCGGTTCTAAATCACAAACTCAAGAGCCTGAAGTTCTGTGGTGGTTACCTTTTTGTATACTGTCGAATTCAGATGAAAAGAGAACTGGTGTCCAATGTCAGCACGCCTAAATCAAATTATAATTCCCTTCCGCTACTTTTTATCTTTACCTTTTCTCATTGAGCTGCACAGCTTCCGATTTGAATCTGATGCTCTCTTCGAGTGGCCAGAGCATCGCGCCAACTTGCACAAGTTTTGCACCCGCTGGTAAGTTGAACACGCTTTCCACGACGACTACACATGAAATAAGTTCAAGTGGAAGAATAACTCACTTACTTTCGAGAATAATTGTCTGAGCCGCATCGGGATCGACACTGAGCCGCGCGCTTACTTCAATACCTCCACGGTAATAATTTTTGAAGGTATTTTTGATTTGCTGAACGAAGAAACAGCGGACAGTCTTGTTTCGGAAAGCATGACTACTAGCATCTAAAGAATTATCAGGGCCTATCTCAGAAACCAGCTTTACCTATTAATAGTTCTCCGCAAGTTTCGTTCGAGAAAAGGACTGCCGTCTCTTTCAGCTTTATCTGCACATAGTTCAAGCCCTCCCAAAGCTGCCGTTTTAACGTTACTGGACAAAACGATAATTTCATCAGTCCGTTGCCGAGTGGCACCATTTCGCTAGGGTCTAAACGTTTTTTCTTGCCGGAAGGAATGTATTTCAGCTTCAAGTGCGGCTTTATCAAACTGCTAATGATGCAGTCCTCAATCACCAGAGAGAAGCTACCATTCTCGACCGGAAAAAAGCCGACCTTCAGCGAATTTCTCGGTTCTTCTTGGCTGAGGGCTCCCGTAGGACGCAGAGGGTCCTTGAACAGCTTCTGTGGTGGAAGCTTACGGCTATCCAGTCTCCGCGTAGGAATAAGCTCGTCATCGAGAGAGACAGATCTCTGACGCTCGAGCTTCTTCCTCACTAGTTTCTCAACCTGAATCGTTCATTAATACACTGGTTTTCATGTGAAACTCACATTCGGAGTCGAGCGCAGTTCATTTACTCTACGTGGACTCGGCTTTTGTGGACTGATGAATGGCTGCTTGTTCTTGCCAAGATCTTCAGCGAACACGCTGTGAAAGCTCAAACTGTCAACGCGCGAGAAGAAGCGGACCTCCCGGCGGTCGGTTTCAGTCGATGGCTCAACAGGCGCTCGAATGCAGTTACTCAGTGTGAACCTGGTCGGCTAAGAGAGTGTTGTGTAAGCTCAGAGAACGTGCATAGTTTTACCTGACCAGGTATCCACTCCGCACGCTCGATCACAGTTTTTATGTGATCTTTTTCTCTCTTCTCTAATTTCGAAATATCGACAAAAACATTTCTCGGCATTATCGTGGCTCAACAAAACCGAAATAACATAAAATGAAATTTCGAACAGACAGAGAAAAGTTTTTCGAGTCCTGCGACTCCTGCTGGCGCCAAAGTGGAAAACAAGATGAAATTTCAAATTGTCGTTTGTGATTTTATCGACATCAACAAGGACCTTCGCTGACCTCGTGCTGAAGAAACGAGAAATCTCGAAGATTGTGCGCTTAGATCGAGCAATTTTCCGTTGATATTCGAGGAATCCTCACAAAAATTTCCATTACTTCCCAGAAACTATCATTTCCTGCCAATAAATTATGGCAATAATCCAAATCTTTATGTGTTCAAAAGCGTTTTTTTTTTATAATGAATCGTAGAAAGAGGGCAACTTATTACTTAGTATTTCGTCCAATTTTTCACAGTAAAAGGATTAGTCCTAGCCTGCAACCATGACAGACCACAGCGGTATTTGTACTCAGCAGTTTTGCTAAATCAGTTCAGTTTACAAAACTTGCAAAAATGTTAAGATTATTATTTCTGCTTGCTTTTAAGTACGCTTTCTGCTTTTGGAAAGTTTCGAATCTAGATGTAGAGGAGAGTCCGTTGGTAACCTTTTTCCCCAAGTCGGTTTGCTATTCTAGGTAAGTCGATTCTGCTTGGACTGAAGCAAGACTGAATTGTAGCAAACCGGCCACTCGCGAAAGCTGCCCAAATCTGTTTCAATGCGTCCACCGAGGCCAGATAGTATCGCCAGAGAGGCCTCTAATCCTGCTCGACTCGTGCGAGGATTACCGTTGCTCCTGCCCTGTTGGAAAAATCAAATCCAACGGCGTTAAGTGCAAGCACGGATACATGAACTGCCAGTGGAAGTACGAAGGCTGCCAACTGATGAAAACGACAATGAACAGTGCCAGCTGCCTCTACTTGCTAACAATACGAGAACAACTTCTCCCGTCGCTGGACTAGCCACGCGCGAGTGTTTGCTGTCAATATATGCTCGAAAGTTTATTATATAGCGTGTATATAATTTGTGAAAAGATCAGTTATAAAGGTCGGTACAAGCAGTTGTAAAAGTTGTTTCGAATTGATGGTTGTGATAAACTAGAAAGTGAAGAGAAGTTAATGTAGGACCAGGGCGAGCGAACATGCCGCCGGCAAAAGCAAAACCGCCGTCTAGAGCCGCCGCAGAGCGCATCCCCGCACAAATGCATCGAATAAGAAATGTAGTAAAATAAACCACCAAATCGAAAAACGAAAACAAAACTTATAGTCCCCGGCAAATCGACAAGCTCAGAATTAAATTGTAAAAAAGTGTGAAAATAAGTGAAATCTCAAAACAAGGGCAATAAATTATAGATAAATGCGTTAATAAGAGCTAAATTGGCATCATAAAAACCAGAACGAGCCCTTCGGCGAGACCCTATCTGTGAAACGGAATAAAACTACGATTTATGGGGAAATAAAGGACTTCCACGTTTGGTAGTTCGACAACAAAAAGTATCGGCAAGATGCTTCTTTGGAAGACAACTCAAAAACGCCGCTGTCGATAGTTATGTCAAATGCTGGTGGACTCGTTCTTTACGCTGTAATGCTGTACAACATAAATCGTTGCGCAAAACTAAAGTGAAGCGATCTTGTAACCATCAGAAATGACTCGAGGAGGGCCCGCTGCCCTGGGAGTCATTTACAACCGTTAGAAGATCACCACGGCACAAATACCCTTCAGGCCCACTTCCTATTAAAATCTTTAATAGCAAGTGCAACTGAAAAGTAAAAGGAAAACTCGCGTAGGTTGATGCGTTCATTGATCGCGAAATCAGGTTAATAAAAGTAATAAGAATAAACGTTGTAGCTGACTCAAGGAAAAAATAAATCGACAATTAAGGGGGATGTGGTCGGAATCGAGCCTGTTCTTAACAAACATATCTCCATTTTTTAATTGCCATTATGTTTTAGTTTCTAGGATAGAAAAGGGTTAAATGAGGTGGGCAACATGGAGAAGATGCATTTTTATTTAGAAAAAAATGAGAAAAATCTACTCAAAGTTGAATTTCGAGGATTTTCATTCTACTGTCGGTCAAGATGACGAAAAAAGGGACCGTTAGTGAAAGAATTCATCAATTTTGATTTTAGATATTCTTTTTTAACATATTTTTCCAAGTTGGCAGCAAAACATTTGTTTTATCGAAGTAAATCTCTGATATTTGGCTCTAAAAACCAACCACCTACCCCTTAAAAGCTACATGTCGTAAACTTGCCATTAAAAAGCTTGAGGAAGGACTTGCGGGGGCCCATAGACGGAGTCTTGACCAACTGGCGTGCACACCTGAGCGCGGCGAAAGATAGATACTCCCTTTTTCAGCGCGCCGGAAGAAGCGAAAAAGCGGCGCATTGACAAAAAGAGTAACTATTTCGCGAAGAAAACCAAGCTCAACCACTCGATCGAGGGCTGAACTTGCGAATAATAACTGCTTTCGCACGGCCTCTACAACTGGGACATAAAAGCATCCTAAGCAAACTGGTCTTTGAATTTTCAGACCCAGATTTCTCTGCGTAAAACATTAGGAGCTTAAATTTTCCCTACAATATACGAAAAAGAATCGAAATGGAACTGAAGGTATTGCTGCGGACAAGTCTGCGTTTTGTAATAAAAAAAAATAGAGTTTTCGCAAAATCGTCCGAGCTCAAGAAATAAGCCCATCAGAGGCAAGCTTATCCGCAGCAAGATATGAATATGCTAGGAATAATAGGAAAATTAAGAAATCCTAGAAAAAAGTAGTGAGAATAATTTTATCCTTGATTAAGTTGGTAAATTAAATTTTTTTGGAACGAGGGACACCCGAGATATTTTTCTACACATAAATTATCCAGAGACAAGAAATCAGACAATGTTTTTTTATAAAAAAGTGTTTATATAATATATGTTCAAAAAACAAATACAGTAGCTGATGAAGTTGAACGAGGGCAAGAGGTAAGAAAAATAGTAGAAAAGATTAAATCGTGAAGATTATCTCAGGAGGGAATTGTAGGTGTTTTTTAGTTATTTTTGGGGGCAATTTCACAGTTTGGTTATTACAAAACACTTTAACAACATTTAAACTTAAGATTTAAAGATTCTTAAATTAAAGATGGTAAAGAGAACATGCTGGAAGTTTCGAGGAGTTGTTGCAACCGCTACAAATTGTATGGGGATGGAGAGTGTCTTTGGGAGAAAGAGAGGGAGCAGTGAATGAAAGTTAGAAATTTCAATCTGTAATGTTTTGAGTAGGATCACAATAGTAGGTGCAGAGAATGAGTAGGAAGGGATGTTGGTCGGCCATTCGTTCGGTGGAAAACCAGACTTCTTCCTAGACTCCTAGGAACAAGTCGAGGCCCCACCGGTCCAATATCGATTGATGTTATTCAGACATTCAGAATAAATCGGATAATAGTTTTACTAATTTCGGACTCACGAAAATAATCTCATGAATTTGGGAAGGGAATCATCAATGAGGTAACTGTATAAAAACTCGGTCTGCAAATGACTTTTCTCCTCTATTCCTAACATGCTCCTGATACCTGAAATTAAAACAAAAAGCAAGCACTCTAAGCAACTGAAATTATCACAAACAAGGAAATGGGTTCCTATATCTTGGTGGTAGGGTTCTCCTGGAAATATAAATGCTTTGTAAAGAGAGGATCGGTGATGTTTTCAGTGGTCTTAAAGAAAAACTAGCAATTGAACGATAAATTTCCTGCGTTTGCACATTGGGTAAATTTAAGCTGTTCGTTGTGAACATTTGCTGGACATCGCGGATAGATTGATAACTGAGATAGATCGAGAACTGCCTGATATTTGAACTGAATAGGTAAAATTGCCTTGGGATTCGTTTTCGGGGTGAAGAATGAGGAGCGTGGAACATGGTCTTGAACTTTTTTGTGATTTTAGCACTGCGATTGCGGGGTGAAACGTGAGCTGTCAAGCGCAGGATCGTAAGGCTCGTAGGGTTCGAAGGGGTCGAATTCAGAGTCTGAGCACACTGAGAGATTGAGTTTTGCTTCAAGACTGTTATCCAGTAACGAACTGAGTCCAAGGTCCTGATAAGCGCCCGGATGGAAGTTTGGCTGATTCGTATTGCCAGGGTAGCCTTGTCCGGGGTGGTAGCCCGTACTCATATGACCACGGTAGGGATCGCTCCACTGTGCAGGATCAGCCGACGAGATGTTGGGCTGCGAGTTCTGCTGATGAATCATATGCTGAAAAAAAAACACTAGAGAATGTGTCCTTGCTGTGAGAGTATTTACCGGCTGCTGGTAAGAGTGAGCATGATGATCTTGTATTTTGGCGTGCTCATAATATTGCGCCCATTGGCTCGAGAGATTCTGCTGTTGCTGACTTCTGGGCTGTTGGTGAGGGTTGTTTCCAGTGTTCCAAGGTTGCCATCCGTTTGCTGGCTGGCCTCCATACATGGGATACTGATTCCATCCTTGATTGACTGAATCTATTGGAGTTAAGCTTAAAAGCGGTCTTTTTGGTACCTGGATGCTGGTCGACTTGAGGCCACGGCCCGCCAATACCAGGCTGATTGCTTGGTGGAGGTGGACCGGGCGTGCCAGGATTCGGATGTAGCGAGAGATTATTCACTTGATTTGTCAACTGAGTAATCATTCCCTGATTAGGAGTCTGAGGCATCTGATGCGTAGGAGTACCAGGGCCTGTATGCGAGTTCCCATGGATCTGCTAGGAATATATATGTAATTGAAAAAAGATATATTCTTACAAAATGATCCATGTTATGCGATGCTTGGCTATGCGTATTTGGCGGACCGATTCCAGCCTTATCTTGAATAAGTTTCTGGGCTTCTTGGATTTGTTGCTCCGTCCCACGGATGATAAAGGTCTTCCAATTATCACCCTTGTCGCTAGCATTTTTCTCGATTTGAACAAACGCTCCAGAGTTCTCCTTGATCAGGCGAATATTTTCGCCGCCTTTTCCAATGACGACGCCGGCCCGGCTAGCTGGAACAGGGTATTCGACACAGTGTTGTCCTTGCCTGAACAAGACTAATAAGAAGAAGGAGAGATGGTCATGCACTTACATGAAACTTGAATCACTGTTGCCATGGAGAGGTGGATGCTGCTCCTGCAATTTTTGGCGCGCAATTTCAGAGATTCTATCGTTCGCCATTTGACAAGCTTCAGGAGTGCCGCTGATAGAGCATGAGCGCACGTCCTGAGTGGGATCGTCGGTTTTAAACTGGATCCTCGTGTTTGTCTCGTTTTGAATTTTGGAAATATTCTCGCCACCTCTTCCAATGACAACTCCGACAGCGGCTTTGGGAACCTTAAAATCGAATTAACTTTCTAGAATCAATCGTTAAGAATTTGTTTTTTTTCTTACTGGACTCTTACCGAAACTTCGATTGAATGGCCAACAGTTTTCGTATTTATGATTGATGTTGCTGGTTTGGAACCGTCTTTCTGAGCCATCAGATTCATAATGGCGCCTTTGGCCGCCTCAACCTAGAATATAACTACTCATATCATTGAATTACGAAGATTTTTTACCGCTTGCGGTGTCCCAATGATCTTCAACGGTTTTTCTTCTCGAGTGATTTCAGCTGACTCCTTTGGAGATCAATTAATAAATTGTCCTTCGCTCTTTCTCAAATGTACCTGTACAAGGTGAAGCTTCACATTGAACTCCTGCATCAATTGCTTGAGCGTATTACCCCCTTTGCCAATGATGAGCCCACATTTATCTGGCGGTATCTGCATCTCAGTCTGCATCTAAATACGATTAGATAATAATAAGTTCGCTTATTTGACTACCTGTCCCTGGTGCTTGTTCTCCCCATGTCCATAACTCATCCCATTTTCACGTGGTCCTCCCCTCGTTATAATTTCGTTCAGCTTCTGTTTTGCGTGATGAACTTGATGAAACGTACCGGTCAACGTACACGGTCTCTCACTTCCTCCAGTAGAATTGGGGACAATTTGAACGCGGCAACCGGTTTCTTGTTGAATCCGATTGATTTGCTAATAAAAAGAGCTAGAATGGTTTTAGTCAAATGTACGTACCTCGCCATTCTTCCCGATGATCAGACCAACAAGTTGGTCTGGGACTGAGATGTTGTCCTGTATCTGCTGGGGGATAGGATGTGATTGCGGTGGGTTTAGACCATTCATACTCGAGTTCGCCGACGGGGTCACCACACCTTGAGCACCCGTTCTGAAAGTTTCCCGAGTAGTTACTTCGTTGAAAAGATTCACTCCGATCATCAGAGAGTAAAACCAAAGAATTGTTTTTAAAATTTTACTGACCTCCTAGTTTATTCTAGAAGATTTTAAGTGGCAGTTAAATGAGATTTTTTCGTTCTGTTAACATTCGATAAATTCATTCGTGGAACACAAGTAAGGAACTGTAGGTTCACAGGACAAAGACAAAGGGTGAATACTTACAGTAGCATTCATAAGATTGATAGAAGTTCATTCGATAACATTCACTTCTATCGAGCTAAGCCGATGTTTACGTTCTACTGAACCATATGAAATCATCAATGATAAAACACGAGCTTGGAATATAGAAAACCGCCTTTGACGATTTTCTTTTGAAATTTACAGAAGAAACTCGTCGTATATTGAAAATTGTTCATTTCATACAGTGCAGTTGCAGTCTGAGAGTAGTCAGGGTAGGGATAAATATATATATTTATATAGACAATCTTTAATTATAACATTTTTTATTATTTGCGATTGGGTCTGGTCGCTCTCTCGAATAATGAATTGAGTTTTTTGAAATCTCGTCGAGCGTCCGACGGCGTTGGCGTTGTTGTGGACGGACGTCGCTCGATAGGGCAATCTCTAGACGAATTCGGCTCACTGATAGGGGATTGATTATCATTCGATTGATGTCTTTTAAGTGTTGCTTATCAGGCATAACTCTGCTTTGGATACAAAATGTTCTTAATCCCTGACAAAACATAGAGAAAGAAGGATTTTCAACATCCTCTGTTTCAGAAAAGTCCTCATCTGATGAAGCATAATCCGCCGAAACGATACCAAGAGTTGGACCGCTGGTAACTTGACTTCCACTGAAGCCTGTGTTGAGTACAGTTGCGCTCGCTAAATTGCTCTCTAAGAAAGTGTAATAATAGGAATAACCTACGTTTTTTACGCTTGGGATCATCATAAGGCGAAGGGTGGGCCTCAGGATTCAAAAGTTCTGGAGGTAAAGATCTCTTCGCTGCGTACGGATTTCTGAAATTCGTAAGGTAAATTTTCATAGAAGATGATTACTTTGTTGTCCGTGACACCTCAGCACCCCAGCTAAAGACGTCCTCAGTTTCTGTTTTCATTTTAGACGAGTTTTCTGCCTCTTTCTTTCCCTTTGCGCCAGTAAGGACGATAGAAGCTCGAGGCGAATTAGAGCTTTTGGTGAAACTCGCGGGGTCGACCTTACAAAGAGAACTTACGGTTCGGTTTCACTTTGGGGTTTACCTTTTTGACGAACGCATGATCAACCCCGATAACACCATCTGTGTCTGGTTGCACACTGTGAAGTGTATGCTGAGTTTTTGAGTTTGCTTCCTTTTCGGGACCGATGCAGTAAGTCCTTTTTGTACCTCGCGTGATGGTAGATCGGTTACTCGCAAATGTGACCTTGTAATCTTGCCCTACGAATCTTATATGGGAAATATATATGGGATGAAATTATACCGGTAGGTCTATCCAGGTCACCAGTGCTATTCTTTCGCTCTTCATATTGCTTGACGGCAAGAGGCATTTGGGCCCCGGGAAGAGTAATCCGCATATTTAATTTTTCAATGGATTTGGAAACATCGTCGCATGAGCGGAGGTTAATGATCGCTGCGCAACGGGTCTCTCCAGTAGCCGTTCGTAACAGCTTCACCTTTTTTGTAGCTATTCCGATGCCATTGAACAGATCTAACAAGATTTTATGCAACAAGTGGGAACCAATAAAGACCTTTAATTGTTGACTCCCTAAAGTCGACAGGAAGTCCACAAATATAGACCGACAAATCTGGGTCTATATCTTTCTTCTTCGGTTGCTTTTCGACTTGTTCACCACGCTTAGCCCTCGCAGCGGCTTTCCTTTCGGCCTTAGATTTTTGTTCCGCTTCGTCGTCAGAATGGTCAAGAAACTTAGTGGGACATTCCTCGTCGTCTTGCCATGAAGCATCACAACCTTTTTGCCTTTTGAGCATCTCGACTTGGACTTTTACAGCGAACTCATGGGCGAAATAAATTTCATCACCGACCTGCAAATTGAAAGAATTGACATAATCCTTGGACTTGAATCGGATGGAGTGGAAAGGACTTTTGACGGGACCAAATGTCTCGAACAGGACCCCAATAGGAATTCGATCTTTACGGAAAACCACAGACCCCTGATCAAGAGGCTGTCCAGAGGTGTTTGTTGAAGCAACGATCGCCAAAATCGATGGCTCGAACATGATGCTTGAAATATGCCCTAATAACTCGATCTTGGCACAGTCGGGGATCGTCATGCCGGAGACATCAGGGATGGGAGGGAGCTCGGAGGGCTTCAAGTCATGCTTAAAATTTCTTAATAAATCTTTCAGAAAACACTTAGATTTACTTTCCCACAGGGAGAGGCAAAAGCATTTTTTTCTTCTGGGGTAAGAGTTTCCCGAACTTTCTCGACTTTGGGCCGGAACTCTGCGACCATTTTTTCATAGTCTTCATCCTCAGATGACGAAGAGCTAGCATCTCCAGGTTTTATCTCCTGCTCAGAAATCTGATCGCAGGCCCGAGGAGTGATTGCCACAGGAATATACTCGTCAGATGTTACATTTTCATTCTTATTCTCCAAAACTGGGACGTACTCTTCTTTCTCGTACGTTTCGTAGCCCGCGACGAAAGCAGGAGCATATTGCTGGTCATCCCATTCGTCAAACTCATCCGGTTCCCCTCGTCCCATGTCATGCTCTTCCATTTCACGGAGAGCTTTTTCGAATTCATACGCTTCTTTTGGGTCTAACATCGGGTGCTTTCTTTCATTTTTGCCCTTCGTAGAGTCGTCCGAGACGCTACTCATAGTCTGAAGAAAGTCTAGATAGATGGGATTGATTATGTACTTTTATTAGCAGTTATTTAATTAGCATAAGAAGGTATGATATAATTACAACATTAAAGCACTAAATTGCCAAATACGGATTGATAAGCTGGATTGCGTTTTTGGTGTAGCGGTCAATGATTAATGCTGAGATGTTACTTGAGTCGGAAATCAGTAGCTGCAACAAAGAAGCAAACGTCGAAAAATAGCTCTAATAAAATATGAAGGCGTCGACAATGCACTTTTTATTATTTTTCATAGATTATATTGGACAAGCACAGGTTGAAATCACTCGAGAAGGAATAATTATGTCGAGAAGACGACTCTGCAAAGATAGAGCCTGTGTTGAGGTTTTCGTATAAGAATGATGCTATCTAGTTGAGTGGAACAAGCACTGTCACGTAGTTTATCGGGAAGAAACCAGTCTTTCCATTTATTTCACCTTCGAACCAATTCTCATCTAAAAGTGTGTAAAATTTCCCGACATAGCGGCAAATTTTATTACCAATTTGACTAGTCAAATGAATTATATCGCCTTCAGCAAATTCTAGCTCCCCTGGATTTTCGGGCTCGAAATCGTACAGTGCTACAATAGGGATAAGAACGAGACGTTATTTTTTAAGAGACTACCTCTACAAGAAGGCTTTCTAGGAGCATTGCTCGGCGTCCTTGCCGGTGCAACTGGCTGGTGTTGTTTCAAGGCCGATGTTTCGAATGGATCGCGCTGAGATGTCGATATAGGATCACGCTAGAGTATAAAGAAAATCTTTTACGGGACAGACAATACCTTGAGAGTGATGTTGGCCATTTGCTGGACAGGTGCACTGGAAATTGAGGATTGTCTTTGGTTGAGTTGCTGCAAGACTGGTCTTAGCGTTTCCGCACACTTAGCTAAATATTCAATTTTCTAATTAAATCGGTCTTTTTACCTCTTCGTGGAAGGTGATGAGGGACTGGACAAAGTGGCTTAGCTGGGCAACTTGTTCGATGTCATTACTAATAAAAGTAATACAGGTAAAGTGATAAAAACAAATCAGTACCTCAATAAATTATGCATAGAAGTTCCTGCGATTTGAATTGACTCTTCTAATTTTTCGTAGCTTTGCGTGACTTGCTCTTCGGTGACACCTTTTGTTCCCTGTTTCAATTTTCCTCTACGATAATCGTAATCAAGTCTCCTTCCGTGTAACTTCTCTCGCTGCTTTTTAATTTCTTTTATGTCTTTATCAACAAGCATTTGAAGCGGATCTAAATACTGTTATTAATTTTAGCTAATTTGATGAGATTACCTAGGAATTCAGCTTTAGCGTTGTCGTCAAGTTGATTTTTGGCGTCGGCAAGTTGACTCATCGCCTCTCCGACAACGGTGAGTGCGTTTCCGAAGTTTGACTCTGTTAGCTCCAGCCCCGCACGGCGCATCATCTTGCCCATCTTCTCTTCTAGCTGCTCAGGGCGCTGTCTATTTCCGTGAGTAATTTTGGAGTAACTAGTTCCAGTCATAAGATGGCCGCGCATGTTACGCCAGGGATGCACAGTCGAATGATGCACCTAGTCCTTACGGAGCACCGTTGGACACCGAAAAGAGCCGCCACTACAATTCGAGTAGCGGCCCGCACCAAATACTCACTTAGAATCGAATCCCTTTCTTGAATTGGGCTGCAAGTACTCTCTCGCTAAGGCAAGCAGCTCAACAGTCGACTTTTGCGTCACGTCCATTTTCCTCTCCATTTCCTAAGAACAGATATAGGACCGAGAAAGCGTTAAGACTTGTTCACCTTGAATGCTGGGTCCATTTCGGTTCTGCTCGGAGGGATCAACAAAAAATAGAAAAATTAGCTAGCTAAACACTATAAACATGGCAGAATGCAATTGTTGACCCAGCAAGGTTATCGGCATTTCCAACTTTTTCTGTCAGCGCCTGACTCGCTTTTCCGAACGTTTTCTTTAGGCCGTCCATCACGCGTCTAGGTTTAAGCCGTTTTTTAGTATAATCATCTTATATTGGTCGACATTTGCCAAATAAATATTTTCGTCTGTCTTTCAGACGCCCGAAAATTAAGAGCTTTAAATTTGCAACCAAATAACCTGTCCGCTAAGGAAGGATTTTTAATCGACAATTTAATGCATTACAACTGCATTAAAAATCCTGTTTAACTAATCTTAGGCCCGTTTTTATCGACTTCTCTGAACATCGACTCGACAAAAAAAATAAGCGATTTTCGGAGAAGATGGGCAACTGGGAAACATGGTGAAAAAAAGATTCGACTCAATAAAGGAATTTATTTTTAGCGAAAGGAAAAAGTGATGCATTCGGATAATCAAGTAATTATCAAAAAGAAAAGGTGCGTAAATGATTACTTGGAGAAAAAGGCTGAGAGCGAGATTGTTATTGGGAAGATCAGTTTCTGTTTACAGTAGTATTGAAGGTTATCGCGCAAGATTGAAGAATTCTGGATAGGGAAGAAGTAAGGAACAGTAGTAACAGTGGTGCTTACAAACTACGGGGATTATATCTATACAGTGGAAAGAAAGAGGATTGAATGTCTTTAAGGCAAAACAGGAGACGCATATGTTGAAGGGAAGTGACCCTTTTCGCCACTAGCGGTCACTCCTTCGCACCAGCCTATAAACGAAGTAAAAATAAATTTTCAGGTAAAGATGAACCTTGTTCGTCGGCGGCGCTGAGCTTCATAAACTCCATTCCAGCGGTCAGTTTTAACTCGCCCCCAGATTTTGGTTCATAATCGTAAAGAGCGTAGACTTTCTGGGTAGAAGAACCATCGAAGCTCTCGCGGCGCACTTCCGTGCCCGATGTTTTTCGAACAGGCTCGATTCCAGGGTCGTCAATTTTGATACTAAAAGTCAGTTCGTTGTTTTAATTCCGCATTTGTTTTTAACCTTTTGGTGCTCTTGATTGTTCCGTTGTTATTGTTTCCGTTGGCGTTAACGGCTGAATTCTTGTTTTCTTCCGGCTCGAAGTCAGGAAGAACCAGATCTTTGCCAAAGTTGACTTTTACGTTCCAAGTCTCCAGATCTGCGGCAATGTTGATGCTGTTAATCGCATCGTTGCCCATCCTCGTCTGTTCCGCCAGTTTTTGGTCGTACTTGGACAAATCGGTGATGCTCACGTAATCTCGGAACAGCGAGGAGAGGAACTCAATTTTCTTTTGAGCGTACATTTGCGATCGCTTGTGGATTCTCGTCATTTCCGCCACGTAAATAGGTGCCATTTGCTCCACTTCCACCAGGAGGTTTTTGTACTTTTCCTCCGATACCTTCAAGTCGGCAGTCTTTGCTTCCGATTCTGCCGAATCACTTGTTGCTTTCTGGGCGACAAGTTTGTGATAGTGTTTCTTTTGGGCTGCGAGTTTTTCGTTCACTTTATTCCACTTCTTTTGCGCTTTGGCGAAATCCTTCTCGAGATCTTCAAATTCCTTGTATCCGCCAAAGACTTTCGGCTTGTAGGTGTTCTTTTTCCATTCGTTAGTCTTAATCATAATTAAATATTAATTCCCCTCAATTAGAATAACAGTGGCGCGGTGGTATTTACCTCGGTAACGCATTGGTTCACCAAAGCCCTTGACATATGTTCGTGAATCCTGATGACAGGCTGCGTCGTCTCCAAAATCTGTTCACAGGCGCCCTGATGAGTACCGTACAGAGATGTCTTCTTGAACTGAGCCGAGTAACTGTCCCTCCACTTTGTCAACTTCTTAGCGTACTCGGCCTCAATCACGGACCGCTCTTGAATGCACTTGGCAAAAAGAGCTGCATGTTCAATGTCTCCATTTATTCTGAATCACAAAGCGTCAGAGCAAAACTACAAATGAGGGTCACCTGTCCAAATCAGCCTTATAGCCACCGTTCTCCCAGAAATTGACAGGCTGAGGCTCTTTCGACTTTTCCTTGACCGACATGTTCTTTAAATATTTGCGTTAAAGTTGAAGGAATGTTTCGGGTGTATCTTTGATGCACATTGGGAGCCTCCTGTTAAGTTCTAGCGAGTTTTTGTTCAACAGTAATGCTCATCAATAAGATCATTTCGGAAGGGGATCAGTGGACATAAAAAGGAACTGAATGCGATGCGCTAAAAGGTACATAAATTATGACAATTCTAATTGGTATTTAGAAGAAGAATGAAGAAGAGGTCGCTGAGAGGAGATAATTCTGAGAGGAGGTCATTGTGTTGAAAGAATAAACGTGACATTAGTTAAAATGAGGCAAAAAGGTAGAAAAACAAATGCTGCGTCGATCACTTTTTTGACTCCGGCGCTTTCAGGATTTCGTCATTTTGTTCGGACAGTGAGAAACTGCGATTCGTACTTCCCATCACCTTCGAGCGGCAATCTCTTGTAGTTCCATTATCTGGCTTTTTAAATTTTGATCTGAAAAGCTGGTTTTCGCATAAAATTTAATATGACATTCAAATCGCTGACGCGTTGTATGCTTTGCTGGCGTACCTGCACCAATTTGTAACGCTGGCGAGGCCGTTTGTGAAAGATTGCTTTCCCTTCGGACGCGCATCTTTCGTAGAGGCACTAGCCACCCAGCCCGCTGGCGAGTTTGAGTTCTCGTCTATTGGAAGAAATCCGAAGCTAGAGCTTGAGCCCGATTCCGAGGAACTAATCGTGGGCCCGCCAAAGCCCGCATCGTTGCCTAATGATCCAGCCTGGAATGGGGACAGGAACACATGCGTCGGACTGGGCGAACGATCCGATGATCTACGGCCACGTGAGCGTCTACTGCGCGACCTCGTTTGAAAGATTTCGTTTTTCTGAAGCTGCCGTGCGAGATGTGCATCTTCTGAAATAATTAACAATCATGATCGAAGAACATGATTAAAAAACCTTCTATTTGAGTGATTTCTCGATGATTGGCATGTCGACCGAAGGAGTTCGTCTCCCCTGAATTCCTAGCGCGAAGATATCGAATTGAAGGGGAAGGAATCGAAGGGGGTGCCGCAGGTAGTCGATTTCCTATGATAGGCGGTCGTAAACGCTCACTGAATTTATTAATGAGTGAGTAAGCAATGAGAGACAAGCTGGAATGCACCTTTCCACGGGAGGACATTGAAGGGCCTCTCGATATGAGGGAAGCCTCGGGGATCTACTAACTAATCGTCGCTGCACAGAGTCATCGGGTACTTCTGTCAAGTCTTCGCTTACTTCAAATAAGGGAACGAATCTCTCTTCGTCAGATGAAATCGCCAGTAGCATCTCCATTGTTGATTCTACATCACCATCATTGCGCCGCTTTATGTGGGATATAAATTTTGCTTTCGTCAGAGACAGAGAGTGGATAATAAGTAGAAATCAAATAACTATTTTTATCCCTTGTCAATATTTTTTCAATTCCTTCGGGAGATATTTTCGGAAACATTTGGCTGAACTGTTCTATCGCCTTGTCATACTCCAAAACGTTCTCAATCACCATTCTATTAAAATTTAAATTAAGACTTCTCAAACAAGCTAATTTCTTTAGACCCATCAAAGATTTGTTAATTATCGTGGAAATATTTGCTATTCTAATCAGAGCGCATATAAATCACTCTTTATTTGCCCCCGAGGATTTTTATTTTGAAAAATAAATCGAAGAGTCATTTTTTATCAAAGTCTTCAAAGTCGTTTATTCAAGTGGTTGTCTTATGAGCTAATGTGAAAATTGACAAAAGCGCTTATAAGCTAAAACACTAGAAGCGCTGTGTAATACTACATTAGAATTACGCTGTTTTTAACGGTTGAGGTGACTTGGAACATGTTAAAAGAATAAAATCGTCGTGAGAGTTAGTATTACCAAAAAAAGTAGCGTTTGTTCAACAGGAAATTAAAACGGGGTTCCTGACTTTCACTCTGATTGTTAATGCTCACTTTCAGTAAGCATCTTTTAATAAACAACGGTTTCAGTTATGAAATAGGTAAATGTAAAATGAGGTTATTTTCTGTTGAAAGAAATGCTGAACCCAAAAAAGGAAAGAACACAATGTTAAGGGTGCGAGAAGCTGGAGGAAGGGAAGGTCGGTTACAGGTGATAGGAGAAAGCTGTACAAAAGGAAGAAAGTGAATGAAGACTTTTCGTATTTCAGTGGTGATTCTTCAAGACTTGCTAGAGGGTAAGAGCCTTTTAGCCAAGGTGAAAAGGTAATTAGTATCAATAAAGCAGAAAGAGGCTTTGCGATGAAGTAAATGGATATAATTTAGAAATAAAGCGGTGTTAAATATTAAGGATAAAAAGCTAGAACAATGTGAGAAAAAGGCATTTTGATGGCACGAGGGGTAGAAGCAATACTTTCAGTCTTCTTTGAGTTCTGCAGCGGTGTCGTAGCGAATATCTTAAAGGTCAAAAACGGAAATGGCGATGACACTCTTACCTGTGGCATATTCGCCAGCAGACTTCTTCCAGCCTCCGAGAAAATCGGTTTTTATTAATCGGTAGGCAAAGACGGCAATCATCAGGTTGAGAATATTAATGGAGATGAAAACGAGTGTCGTGTTGAAAGGGTGCTCGGGATCGTTCAAGAACTTCCAAGTGTGGGCTGTGATGCGAGTGTGGAAGATCAAACGCACTCCACCGTAGCACAAAAGGTTCAACCATCGGAAGTTTGAGTAGAAGCTGAAATTGGAAGGAATATAAACTTTGCCATTTTCAATTATTCGAACCTGGAGTTTTTAGGGTTGCGGCCAGACATTTTCAAAATCATTCTTATATGAAGAGTAATGTTAGCTAGTTCGACGGCCAGTCCAACTGCAATTCCACCAACAAGCGCTTTGTGGTGGCCCAAGTAGAACAAGTGACCTTAAAGTTTAAACAGCTCGATTGGAACTCTTGAAAGCCTTCATTCTCACCGAACACAATTGCGTGGTGGACCAACAGATCAAGTGATTTCGAGAAGCCAGCTCCTTTGATCATGTCTATGGCATCGTAAAGGAAGTACCCAAAGGAGCAGCATGCCATTCGCATCACACTTTGATCGTAATTGTTCAGATCTCTGAAGAGCGCGGGGTTTCGAATCAGAAGCACGACTGCCCAAACGCCTAGAAAGAGTTGTTGATTCTAGCTACTGGCTCTATCTTATTTGTATACTAACCTACTAAGATAGCATGAATAAGCGAGGTCCGTGTATTCTCAAACTTCCATTTTCTTATGGGATCAACTTCTGCTTGAATCTTTCTTGGAGTATGTTTGACGCCTATTTTTGTGATGCGAAGCCTATTTTTGTTTGCTGTTTTCAACAAAGAGTTCGTGATCACTTCCCTAGAGTAGCCATAATATGATGAAAATTTCTCGCGATGTAGATCCAAATCAAGAACCACATTATAGTTAGGCCAAACATGTTCGCTACTTTTCGATTCTATTCGTGTCTTAATGATCGAAGTGTCAGATGCTTTTGTAGAGAAAATCATTTTAGTCGAGTAATAGAATAAGTGAAAATAATTTTTTTGTTAACGTCACGGGTAATCAAAAAATAAACTCAAGAGAAATGTGAACGAATTTCCGCGGAGAATCGATTAACTGCTGAAGAAGTGCTAGAAGTTTGACATGTGGTGGCATTGAAGAGAGTATGAGAGAATGTCAATTATTGCAGATTTGGGAGTTCCTATAAAATTACAGTTCTTTGAATTGGTGAAACGGGGTGAATACGGAATCGAACTTGGACAGTATTTTTTCAATATCTCTTTTTAATTTTAGAAGCTTGAGAACATGGCGAAGTCAGTGTTGCATTTTTACATGTAGCAAGAGCCCTCTGGCGGCTGCTTGAGCTTGAAAACAGTTCTATCAGTCATTTGTCGCCGAACTTCAGTCAGGACAGTCTTCATGGTGTAACTCGCATGCCAAGGTCGCAGGGAGCTCATTTTGCTGATGTCTAAGACAATTTCAAACTGTTTTCTAAGAGATTCAGTGGATTATTACCAATGCTGCCGTTATTTTGATTGACACAGGGGAGGTTTATACGGTTGACGAAGGTGACAACCGGAGCTTGTGAAGGGTAGTTTTTGCCACAATGAATTCTAAGACTCTAAGAAAAGCAATCAGAAAAAAGGAGGATTGTTGGACTCACATAAATTCTATTTTCGAATGGCGTTTTAGCTGGACCTAAAATTGTTCCATTCCAGTCTGTTAAAGTCATGTCATCATCATCTTGGAGTCCCCAGCTACAAAAAAATTGAAATAATAATCTAAAGCGTCTACCTACCTGACAGTTCCGTCGCTGCTTCCTCCTTTCTGACCCTCTTCAAGCTCCTCTAGGAGTCGAAAGTTCCGAGGGACAGTACACGACATATACAAGAGCTCTTGGTGGTTAATGATTAGTTGAAAATGGTTGTCGAAAATTGAATTTGAATATAGAAATAGTGAAGTGAGAGAAGAGAAGAGAATTTACAGAAGGTATACTTTTTTAAAATCTAACTTAGAAAAGGTTTCATTTGTTCGTGGACAAGTCATTGTATCGTCTGCTGGATTCGTGAGGAGATTGATTGCACGTTGGCCGTATACATTTCCATTGGGCAGCATCAGCTTCAATTTAAGATAAGACAAAGTGGTCAGGGCTTGTATAGAGCTAGTACCGGAGGATTGTTCTCATTTATATCGTCCCCACTAGCAGCGCAGATGAATTGCGACTGCGTGCAATGAGAATACGGAAGCCGTTTTGCAATTGAATTTAAGAAGACAGAACAAACGGGGCACGAGTCGGATTGATGGTAATTTGAGTAGCACTGGTGTGTTTTTAAAGAGCTTAATCAAAGTAAACTAATCGAAGTTGATTCATCTTTACGCACCTTAATCCCGCCTCTAAAGTCGCCTCAAAAACGGAAACATCCGAAACTTGGTGAACTCTTAGAACATCGTTGCGACACATTTGGCAAAGAAACTCCCATCTGTCTTCGCTAGATAATGGATAGAGAAAAGTCACAGAGGAGCATGTACCTGAATAAAGCTTTATATGCGCCAACATGTGTGGTCGGCTGAAAAACAAGAAGTGCCATCGCCCGTCCTAGCTCTGTCGACTTGGCAGATTGGGGAACGAGGTCTGTCATAAATTTTCTAGCGTACTCCATTGCCTCGATTCGTTTGTCCTCTGTTATCAGCGTTATAAAGTTCTGAAGACGGAGTTCCCATTCAAACCGCGACTTGATCTTACGCAGCCTCGATTTATTTTCAGCGCACCAGGCGAGACACTCTGCTGTGGACTGCTTCCGAAGCGACGCTTCCAAGTCTGTTATTTTGACAAAAAGGTTCGCGTTGACGAGATCGTTCAAGTTAAGAATCTGGGCAAGTTTGAGCGACGTCTCTTGATAGCCAAATTGGAAAAGATACTCCGTCAGCTGGCGATAGAATCGATCCGTGTTCCATGATTGAAGATTACTTTTAAATGACTGAAGATGATTCAATCTGTTCTTCAGAGCAGTACACTCATTGTTTTGAGACATGGATATTTTCTTGACGCGCTCTCGAGCAGCATCAAGCTTCTTTTTAAACTCAGCTTTCTTCTTCGCAAATTTTTTTGGATTGTCGCGAAGCTTCTCTATTTCCGAAATGATCGTGTTCATATTCGTGACTTCTTTGTCGATAATACGTTGTCCGACGCGGAATTTTCTGTTCAGTGTTTCATAGGGAACCCGAAGAAGAGAGAACTCCTGGACACGAATGCAGTCCTCAGTGTTGGTAGCTTCATCGAAGCTGACCATTTTGTTCCGAGAACTAAAAAATCAAGACTGCCTGAGAATTTTCGTAGACAATATATTGAACTTTGACTTAGATGAGATTAAATTTGAAACTCTGCAGCAGAAAGCAGTAAAGATCGGAGTTAACGTAGGACAGTCTTGAATTTCCATTTATTGCACAAACCAGAAGGTTAAAAAATAAGACCTAATAGACACAAAAGGACAGTAAGAAAAGAATATGCTAAAATTGTTCTTAACAATGTTTAAAATTTAAAGGTAGGATTGCGCTTCTCTATTAAGAAGAGTGAGCGCAGTTAATATGGCTAAAACGGCCCACTTGATCTTCGGATAGTCATTCATTATAATAGTGACCATTCCGACATACGGAGCCATCGCTTTTGCTCGTCCGACGACGTCCTTCGGCCGGATCCACATTTGGCCTCGATTGTAGAGAGCTCGATCATCAACACTGTTGTTGTCGCCCTATGATTGGTATTACGTTATAGCCGATAACTTACAGGTAAACAGCATTACCTTGGTAAGAAGCTTGACTTCGCCAGTTTCTGTGTTTTCGTGACGTTTCAGGACTCTGTGCACAATCGGAATATCTCTACCCTCTATTTTGAAGACAACAATCTCGCCGGCATCAATTGGTTCCTTATCATCTGATTACTGGATGATGCCAAAGAAAAACTCACCTTTCGGTCGTGATACAGAAAAAGTAAGTCGCCTCGATAAAAGGCAGGTTCCATCGAGCCAGACAAAACAACGACAATAGGCGACTCTGAGAATGAATGCTCAAGTACCAATCTGCTTATTAATGATGACTCTACCTGTTCCAGATAAGACGAAAAGACCTTTCCAGACCATAAGAGCGGAGGACACAATCATCGCAAAGTTAAGAAACTAAAATGAGACGTATAAGATACGAAAAAGGGCTTGGACCCAACCTGGTAATAAACTTGACGTTTGTTCATCCGCCGGACGTCTGAGAAGGTGTCCGACTCCCAGACACCCTGGAACCAGTCTGATATGAATCCCAGCATCTAAATCTATCCTTTGAGACGAAGAAAGAATTAAAATGAAAATCCAAGGAATAATTATGTGAATTAAGTTGAGAGTGGGATTTCAGATTGAAAGTTTGAAGTGGAGATGTTAATTTTTATAAAAATAAATCTTGGAAGAACTCATCGTATTCTTGCTCCTTGGTTTTCTCCTCTTCGACGTTTACGGGCTTGCTCCAAATCGCATCTGGATCGGTTTCCTCGGCGCCGAGTTCCTCTTCGTCTTCCTTGATTTTTGCTGAATTTCTCTGTCTGTTTTGCGCTTCTTGGCGGAATCAGGATCAGATTTGACCTCTGCTTCTTCTTCGGCCTTGCGTTTCTTCCTAGCGAGAGCGTTTTGTTCTTTTGTAATAGCCTCCTGTTGCTCTTGCAAGAGCGTAACGCGATTTTTCGCTCTTCTTATTTCTGTATATTTTGTGTTATGATTTAGTTTTGCGCTAAATATTATTTACTTATCAGATTTAAAATGTAATCGAACCTGCACTCGGCACAGAGTCGAACTTTGACAAGTGCCATTTTCTTTTTATCGTTTTCAGCATATCCAAACGGAACTTCCCAAGTTCTAAGGCCTTCAGTTTCGGAACATGTTTTCTTCTGTGCACAGATAAATTGGCCTTTTCCCTCGATCACTTCTTTTTCAATGCGCCAGCGGAATGCAATGCGATTCTCTATAAAAACCGCTTAGTTGTGTTATTTCATGGTTTTGAAACTTGCTTTTATAGTAAGTCAAGTCCGTTATTGCGTATTCTTTGAACAGCTTGTCCCAGTATTTCTTCGCGATTCTTTGTTCCCACGAAAGTGACTTTGGATTCTCTTCGTCACCGTCGCCGTCCTCCCACAAAAACTTGTGGTTCTCCTTTACCACGTCAATGTCTCTTTTGAATTTTGTCTTGTCTGGTCGCATCGCCTTTCTACCTATAATTTGTGCTGGTCGTTGCCTTGCTGTAACAATTTACCTGCACTGCCATGGTAAGATAGATAGTTATTAACAAGAGTCTTATGACGATCAAAAGCACTCTGAATATTCATCCCTGCTTTTTTTACTTTTGGTTTTTCAACAGGTTCTTCGATCGGCATTCCATTCAAGCGTCTTTTAGTTGGTTTCAGGTTGTTTTCTGACTCCTTAATTCTCTGTTAGCGTCTGTTGATTATGTCACAGCCTTACGCTTGGCAGTTTTTTCATAAATTTGCTTGAGGAGTAATGAGAAGATCTCGACATGATTAGTTTTTGAATTGATACTGTGACTGATGCTGTTGCGTTGGTTGTTGTTGTTGATGCTGCTTCGGTTGATGTTGCTGAAGCTGTTGTTGATGTAAGGTCGTTTGTTGATGATGCTGTTGCGGCCTAGTGACGATTTGTTCCTAAAAAGATAGTATTCTTAAGCTATGTGAAGGATGTACCTGTAGTTTGACTGGGACTTTGGGAACTTTTTGAATTTGCGCGGCACTCAAGTGAAAGACTGCGAGGTTGATGAGCTCTTTATGGACGTTCTCCGGACTGAAATTTTCATAAATAGACGCTTTATTATATTTCTCGTAACCTTTCCGGATGCTCCAGCTCCGGAATAGACTTGAATAAGAGAATAAGGACGTTGGAAACGTAAAGAATAGTATCCAAAAGAGTGTCAAGACTTCGATCGATGTTTGGTACGTCGCCGTTTTGAAGATGCTTAAAGATACGATCGAAAAGTAATAGCTCCAACGTTTCTTACAGTTTCAATATTTGTTGAAATGTCTTTTAGTCGTTCTCCGATAAGCGAAAAGTGGGACGCGAGGAGGGTAAAAACGGAAACGGGCTGAGACTGAATGCCACTTTGAAGCGGTGGAATAATCTGTTGATCAAGAGCGGGTGCTAATCGTCGAGCTTGATTGAGAGCTTGTCTGGCTTGTTGATTCTTGATTTGATTTCTTGACAGTTGATGAGTGTTCTGCTGATAAACTGGTCTTTGTTGGAATGACTTCTGCTGGGGCTGAGCGGTCTCGTTTTGCGTCTTCTGCGAAGACTCCTCGGACGTAGTCAAATTCTGCAAAAAATCCAGCGACTGCTCATTGGACATCTAAATTTAAGAATAATTAATCGGGCACTGGTACGCTTGGGCTTTATAATTCGACAGAAGAATTAATATCAAGCGCCTGGGTCGTCCATTTCTTCGTTTTCAGCCGCGGCATCGAGTCGAATTCCCCGTCCCACTCTAACCATTCTTCGAGACTCTGTAAGAATGTTTCTTTATTCCGGCAAAATAATCTTGCTTCACCTTGAAATTAAAAAGGTTTGGGCCTTCCAGTCCAGATGAATCAATAAGCTGCCGTTCTTTAAGAACTAGGGCGTTGATGTTTGCTTTAAAATTCTTATTTTTGAGCAAAAGTTGATCCAAAATACCTAATCTACTTCCTGTTGTTTTTCGTTTGAGAATTTGATTAGTTTCGCTTATTTGGTTGAGTTCTTCGTCGAATCTATGCAGATACTTTCTGAAGAAGTCCTGTGCATCTGCCTTGGTAAAATCCTTCAAGTCTACAAGTCGCTCGCGCATTTCATCCTGATACCACTTAAACATCGATATTTTGGCGGCAATTTGTTCTGCCTTTCGGTCTTCTTTCAGCTGCAATCGTTCCTCGCGTATTTTCGCACCAGCCAGTTTTAAAGCTTTTCTTGAATTAGGATGTGGGGATTTTTTCTTCGCATTTTTTTGAATTTTGCCCGTCGTTTTCATTCTGATAGTCAAACAAGGAAAAATAATTCGACTTGAAATTTATTTGCACAATGAAAATAAGGCACGTAAGGAAGCAATCTGGATAGGAGAAAAATTTTTACAGAAAATAGGAAATTCAGTAAGGGTGCGCTTGTTTGGGGAAGAGAGGGGTCCTGTTTTGTTGATCGTCGTTCGGCGTTGACGTGAAAAAGTTGGTGGAGGGATGGAAAGGCATCGGGTAATGTTGCAGTGGAGTGGAAGTTGAAGAAGTCTAAAAACGGAATATGAGATCGCCGAGAGAAGAGTCCAGTTCTCACCCAGTTCAGAGGATAGGCAGGTTGAGGGAAGGTGGAACGATACTGAGAATAGTCCTGAGGAATGTACGAGTAGGTCATGTTGTTCACGTTGCGCTTGAGTTGCTCTTCGTATTTTCGCTGCTCTTCCGCCAACTGTTCTTCGCGAAGGGTCTGTTCTTCTCGCTCTTTTTGATTTTTGAGGAATAAAGAGCTCTTGGAAGCTATAAACTCGCAAATATCGGTGCCAGCCGCTTTCATATCCTCTATCAAGTCAGATTCAAGCTTCGCGACAGTCTTCTTTATTCTGACCATTGGGAGCCGCGAGGAGGGATCGTCGCACCAGCAGTCAACCTAAATAGATTAAAAAAACACGTGAACAGAATAATATCTCGAACCTGCAATTTGGCTAGGATTCGAGTTGCTGAATCTAAGTTCCATTTGGGATTATGAGTTGGCCGCATTTTTCTGTCGCAGATTATGTTTTCCATTTCTTGAAATTGCGGATCTGCAGAGACCACGTCGAAAAACGCTGGCTCGTAAAATAGGCCCTCATCTAAAAAGGAGATATTTGTAGAAGTAACAATCAATAACAAACCGTCTCCAACAGGAATGCATCGAGTAATCTCCCAAATGAGTAGGCCAAGAGCATAGACATCGGCCCTTTGAAAGGCAGTGAAATCCTTTAAATTGATTGTTTCAGCCAGTATTTCTGGTGCCATGTAGCGGCGAGTTCCAATTTTAATCTTGGGAAAGCTATTGCCAAAATCGGCTTTTCCATCTGGATTACGCTTAACTGCCATTCCAAAATCAGCGACGCAACATGTTAGATCATTTTTCACGAGAATATTTCGCGACTTGATATCTCTGTGAGCGATGGCAACTTTGTATTTGCCTTGATTCTGATCTCCAAAGGGCGAGTGGCCATCAATACCGCAGTGCAAGTGGACGAGGCCAGAGAGAGCGGAGTTGAGTAAACGGACGGCGATGAGTTTGTCGATCTTTTCGACTCGAAGAAAGTCATAGAGGCTTCCAAGCTGATGATAAGCAGTAATCAGAAGCAGTTCTGTGTATCCATGGTCGCAAGAACGCATATCCGCTCCGATGAAATCCAAAATATTCAAATGGCGAAGCATACTCGTCGCATAAATGTTCGTTTCTCGATAAAAGGACTCTCCTTCTGTAGACTTCACACATTTGATCGCGACCGTTCGTCCTTTAAAGCTCGCTTTCCACACCTCTCCGTACCGTCCCTTTCCGATGGGCTGTCCTGTGAAGCATGTCTTGCCAAGGTCCTTTGTAATTGTTCGTAGGAGCACTTCTGGGTCACCTTGTCCACTACCAGAAGTCTCATCAATCGCCGAGGTCGTCGTGTTCGCATGATCCACAGTTGATTCCAACGGGACTCGCTCTTCTGCACTACTGTGATGCTTTTTCAGAAGATTTTTCACTCGACCGAGACAGTTACGTTTGATAGCAACTACGGAGAGAATAACGATTATAAAACCGCCGCAGATACCTAAGTAAAAGTTAACGCTGGTGACTATTTTGGCATCATACTTATAACGAGTTTGAGAACGTTTGCTTGGTCGGAGTAAATAGAAACGTTAGATTCGGAAACGGCATTTTTTACATTGTTGCACAAGTCTTCTTTACAGCAGTCAACATGGGTTGAAGAACCTTTTATCGAGTTAAACGCGCAAACGCCGCGGTGAAGCAAATTGTCATGATCTAGACATCTTCTCTCCGAGCCTCCATCTGTATAATACGTAACGCAAGTGCCTTCGGTCGTACAAAAACCAGTCTCGGGGCAGTCAGGCTGGTCACAAACGCACAACACACTCATAACATCGAGAAAACAATCTGATTTCAATGTAAGTGTATTAATTTTTACTTTTGATTGGGTTTTATATTACGCTGGCATTATTTGAAGTAGTAAATGCCGTGAGCGTCAGAGAAGAAGAGGTTTTTCAAAAATTTCTAGATCTGAAGAAAGAACGTGTAAATCAATCAACAAAAGAATTTGGGCACATTGAATAAATTTATACTACTTTTCATGTTCGGAAGCTCATTCGCGGCTTCTGCTTGCGCTAGAAAAGACGGTTTGCTTTTATATATTCCGGACTATTTTACTTGTTGTCGTTTGAGGTCGCGTTTGTTAAGGTCATATTCTAGTTTCTTTTGTTTTTCGGGATCTTGTTCTTCGAACATTTTCTTGTACTCTTCCCTGCGTGTTTCTTCCTTCTTTCGAGCAAGTTCTTCTTGCCTTTCTTGGTGTCGGATTCTATCTTGCGCTTCAGCTTGCTTCGCGCGGCGTTTCTTGTGCTTTTCGTAAGCCTCTAACATTACAGTTGCCCACAGAATGCTCTTGCAGAAATAAATACCTTTTCCAAGGCTAAATTTAGCAAGTTGATCAACAAAGTAGACAGCCAGTTTCAAAAATTGAGTCGCATTCTGTTGAACATCCTTCATGTCAAAGACGAATATACAAACTTTGGAGATAGGTTCAGACTCTTCACCGTCGGGCACTCGAGGTCCAACGAAACTGTCCGAAACGTGAAGAGAGATCAGCGAGTCTTTAGCAGAAGCAAATAGGTTGCACATCTAGAATTCATTTTTAAAGTGCATTAAAGAGTCCCTCACCTTCTTATCGAAGACAGACAATGAATCCACTGTTTCAGCTACGTAAGACATATTTGAAAGGCCGAGCTTATCCGCGGAACGGATCTTATCGGCACAAAATGTTCCAACGTCTGGATAGTTCTCGAAGACCTCCTTGACAGTTGATGACTTTCCCACGACAAAACAGAGAGGCTCAATCTTCTCCATCGTAAATTTAAGAATCATTCTGTCGGAAGTCGGTTGAATATACTAGAAAGTATATTCATCGATTTTCGAACATCAATATCGCTTTCAATACCGTTGAATAGATAGCACTCATAGCATCCTGGCGTTTATTTAATCGAAGTGTCGCAAGAAGACCGTCAACATTCATTCTTCCAGAGCACCAGATACTGAAAACATGATCCGCATCTCTAGTCATCTGCAAAGACGAAACTGGTTCTTTTTGCATGCGATCATCACCAACGAGGGCAAATTGACTCTCCAAGAAAGGCTTCGTTCAAGAATTAATTGCTGTAACAGCATTTTGGACATACCTGGGCAGTGCCGAACCAATCAGTAGCAATAGTTCCGTTTGTAAGTCTTCCATAAACGTAGTTAACAATGTAAATGACGATAATAGCGGATAGTCCGTATTCGATTGTGTAAACTGGTTTAACAGGTCGAGCATTTTTTGGCACTTCGTTCACATTGATTACTTTCAAATCGTCACTCGGCTTAGAATCTTGAAATGTCAGCTATTACAAAAGAAAACAGATAAATTTAGTACTGGTAGGTATGTTTTCGAATTCATCGGGGTCTAACTCTTCGTCAGTTCTATCCATCATTTCATGGCCAACATCGACACCTTCACTGAACTCGTTGAAATCAACTGGCTCGTCATCATCGATTTCTTCGATCACTGCTTCCTCGTCAACAGTTGCGGGCACATCATCCTTTGAGAAATAATATCAGAAACTCCTGCGATTCCTTGACTACTGAAATCAAGGAAGACTAACCTCGTCACCATTGAATGCTGCGAAATCATCCTGCGCATACGCAAAAGCGAAAAGAAAGAAAAGAAACGATGCTAACTTCATTTTTAGTTCATTAGCGAACCTAGATCTAAGATTAAGTCAGTTATATTTATCCGAAATCTGTAACATTTTCTACAAGCAGAGATCTCATTTATTAAAGTAGGAAAATGTTATGACGGAGAAGTCATCAACAAGATTGAAGAATAAAAATATAGTAAGGCAATCACGACGGAAATAATTACACAGAAAGTAAGAAATAGACGTAGTAGATGTTTTGGATATAGATAGGTGAGTGTACTTTGAGTTGACTCGTTGCGAACAGATGCATACTTTGAATAGCTGTACTTTGTTTATTTTTTAGCAGATTTTTTCGACTTTTCAGGTTTGTCTTTGGGTTTCTTTATGAGAATCTTCTTCAGCTTTCGTATCGTGCCAGATTTTTTAACTGAAACATTTTATCGACTCTTTTAAAAAGATAAATTATAAGTTCTACCTCGAGCAACTTGTTTTTCAGCAGGAATATCGAACTGTGCTTCAGGTTCAAAGTTTTCTGGTTTAGAAGAGTTTTCGATCAGTTGACTCAGTTCGTCTTTTTTGTTCACAACATCGACGATTTGTGCCATCAGAAGTTCTTCCACTTCAACGTGGGAGTCATCTTCACATGGTCTTAATTGATACTTAACCTTTGAGTAAGACCGATGATCCTTACTTATTGAGCACCTTTCGCATTTGATACTCTAGCTCGGCATGTCTCTCATCTAACAGATTAAATCGAAGTCTAAGAAGTCAATATGTTTCTACCTCAGACAAAAGAAACTCACTGGTATCCAAGGAATTTGTGCTTTTCCGCGAGAGCGGTCCTGTTTTTAATTATCGAAATCCACTCTTTGAAGAGTTCTTGATCATCTTCAATAACTGCGTCGTCCTGAGACTCTGTTACTCGTATGATATCTTCGAGTTTCTGGCACTGAGATTCGAGCCCGTGAATCTCCTCTTCAACTTTGAGCAATTGTGAGCGAATTTCATCCGTGTTAACAGTCACTGTACGTTTAACGACAGGATTACCATAACCTGGAGCTTTGCCTTTCGGCTTCGGCGGAGGGGGACGTTTTGGGCGTGAGGGGTTGAAAGGAGCCACGTTTGGCGGTGGAAGTGGTGCCATTTCTTTCTTTCGTGGCGAATTGACAATTTTCGGCGGCGGCGGGCGAGCGGGTGGTTTCTTCGCGAACGGATTCGTTTCTGAATCATCCTCTTCTTCATCTTCGCTAGCTGAGCCGAAGGGATTGCCAGGAGGTTCAGTAATTTTCGAGCGCGGTGCGGGTATTGGAACTTTTACTTCTTCCGCTCCTTCGTCGCTACTTTCACAATCACCGAATGGGTTCCCATTTTCACTTTCTTTTCGTTTTTCTCTTTCTTCGGTTTCTTCTTTTAGACTTTCTTGCTCTTCCTCAGAATCATCTCCGAAAGGGTTCCCTGATTTTATCGATGGATTGTTGGATTGAGCATTGTCAGACTCCGAGTTCGAATCAATGGTAATTTCTTTAAACTTGAGCCTGAGATCAAAACCAGATTCAGAGGTCGCTGATTTTTCATCTTCCAGCTTTATCTTTTCTCCGGCTTCCTTCTTCATGAAATTCTCAAGTTGAGGCAAAGAGTTGTTGTTTAAAATATCTTCGTCTTTTAAATTGCTATAAAATGAGTCAAGATCATTTTGAAAGAATCATGATTCAAAGATTGAATTGTGTTTTAGAGCATGCCTGTGGAACAAATTTCGTGAAATCTCTTCTCGAATTCACACCGCTCAAAAAGCCTCCTCGTTAGCGATGACCCCTCTTTTTCTTTGCTGCTTATAAAACAAGTTTCTTCCGGGTTTTTCTTCATTCCTCTTTCTTGAGCAAGTAAGTAGTAAAGTTCGGCGACAAAAGTGATATTTTCTAACAGCGCTGAGCCTCGCAAAAGATCTTCTTGTGAGAAAAAGGGTTTGATTTTGAGCTTCGTTTCTGAAACTTGGACGATTTGCTCAAACATCTCGTCTGGAGATTGATTGGATACGTCCAATCTAATCATATCGGGTCGATGCTAGGTGGATGATGAGTGATTTCCTCGCGTGCTTTACTTACATTATAAATGATAGAAAGATAGGCTTTTCCATCAACCCAATCTCTGGTGAAATTTTGAATCTCGGGTGAATTCCTCAATCTAAGGTGTCCATTTACCCATTTTAACAATTCTTTCAATTCCATCGCCAACAGACTAAATCTACTCAATCAAAAAATGAGAATTCGAAGGTTATGTACACTTATTGCACGGGCAGATTATAGAAAACAGAAGAGATTTTTATGCTGAGCCAAAATACCGCTGCCCAATGGCGCGTACACGCAATAAAAATGACTTATTTTTGATTTCTCCATCTGGGTTATAAAATGGGTTCAATCGAAGCCGCAGCCAGATATCGTTCACGTCCTAAACAGATCCATCGTTCTCTCATTCTTTTCTATAAGTTCTATTCTTGCCTGGAAAAAATTGCGAACGGCGTCTTCGTTAATTTGATCGTGCACCATAATAAACTTGGCTCCACCAGGAGTTAAGTACGCCGATATGTGCCACTCATTGAAACGGTCAACGCTCTTCAAAAAGCACTGACTAATTGATTTCGCATAATAAAAGAAAGAAAGCTATTCTGGTCTCACCTTGTTGCCCGTGCCCTGGCCTCCACTAGATCGAGCGACGCGTGTGCAATCAACTGGCAAAGATGGCGCTGCTCTTTCTCGCGTTTCTGATTGAACTCCGTTTCTAGCAGCGGTCTTTCTCTGGTCAAATACATTGCTCCAAAACTATTTCTTTAAACAGGAGTGCTTCCACCATTCCTGTCACTTCCACCGACCAAGGCGAAGTAATAAGAGCCCGTCATCGTCGTTTACGAGCCGTCTAGTAAGAATACAAATAAAACCAAGGACATTCGAAATGATATTTATTCATAATAATTATCTTGTAGAAAATAATCGGAGTCTAGCACAAGGCAATGTTTCGGATTTGAAGAGCTTGATGAACTCAGAACAGAAATTTGACAAGGGTATGAACCTATTAGAATTTATCAACAGTTAGCTACAACGAACTGTGAAAACAACGCTGTGAACTTTAACAGAAAGGAATTTTTCGGTTGGAAAAACGGGCGAGAGATACATGTGGTGTAATTTAAAACTAGAACTACTAGAAAACTAGCTAATCAAAAGCTTTGAACAGGAGCCTTGCCAGATTTAAGACGAACAGTTTTTTTAATCAACTGAAAAAAGGGTATTTTTCAACTGAACTCCTCTAGATTTATTTCATTGATAACCCGAGAAGTACAAAACCACGTCGTTGAAGTAAAGAAATCTTGCTTTAATTATCTTGATTATGCGAGTTTTTCTGGACACCAAGAAAAATCTACTAATTGAGCACATTTGTACAGGAAGAAGGACGTGAAACTGTGCTTGTGTTCCCGCAGCTCGTAATAGAACGGCTCACATGCCTTGTTGAACAAAGAATTAAAAATGAATACTTCAATATGTTGTATGTTTATAAGTCAGTGAGAAAATAATGAAATGTTCAGATGAGTGCGGTTCGGTAGGCTATAATGGAAGAAAGAGCGATTTTGAAGTCGGTTAACAGCGTGTTTCGTAAAGTCCTGATCGGCCGATGTATCGAACCCACTTGATAACATCGTGGTCACTTGAAACAAAAGTAATTCTGACCGGATAAACTATTCTTATCACCTGTAGTTCAGTTTGGACTCGAAAACTTTAAGATATCGAACTTTAAGTCCCGAGGGAGCGAATGGAACTTCAAAGTTCATCGAGATTGGTGGTCGAGACCACTTTTTCTTGTCAGAGGTAGGGAGCAGCTCAACCTCGGCGGTAATGGTTGATTCTTTCATTCCTCCTAGTCGCTTCAACTTCCAGACGATCGCGTTGTCTGAGCTTTTGTACTTAGCTTTGCCCTGAAATTTATTTTTCAAAATTGAGCGTTATCATTGAACAACCTTAGCGCAGAGAAGCTGAACGGACGCTGTATTCTTTGGCGTGGGGATTCTGACTTCTATTTTTTGTCCCAAAAGCGAGGGCTTGAAATTGCTTTTGAGGACGATCTTGAGCTCAAGCTTCTGTTTGCTGTTCTCTTTCACTAGAGGAATGACACGGAAAGGCAAATTGATTTCCTAGAGTTTACAGTCACGTGAAAGAGCGGAGTAATATAAGTTAACCTTTGTTGTTCTATATCGCATTAGTTCGTACTCGCCGTCTGGAGGAATGAATGAAATCGCACGGTCTGCTTCGAATTTAGACAAGCGCACACACTGAATCAAATATTGGAGCATGCTTTACAAGAAGAGATTCTACCTGATGGAATGTACAGTCGTCAATAGCAATGGATGGCTTCCCACTTTTGGACTCGCCATCAGCGCGGTTGACCGCGCTTTTGTCGAGAGTGAGCTTGTCGTTCATTCCAAACTTGCACTCTGGCATACCACTAACAACTATCGAACCATTAAACTACTGGTACACGTACCTTAGATAGGACTTCATCTTAACTTTGCCAGACACGTGCGATGAGAGCACTTGTCCCTGGGGAGACATAAGCAGGTTAACAGATTCGAGAACATCGAGGAATAACTCGTTTCTTCTATATTTAATGCCTTCTCTTCGCCATCCAATTTGGCCAGTGACTTGCGAGGTGATTTGTGCTTGCTCCTCTTTGGACTGCGTTTTTATTCCTTGTTGCGTGATGAATGTCTTCAGCGCACCGACCTAGATTCAGGATCAGAATATTGAAAGAAAACTAGGTATTTTGTTACCTCCGTGTTCTGAGGATATCCGAAATCGAGAATTTCATCAAGCAGCTCGTAAATCAAAACAAAGTTATTTTTGATATTTTCTTCAGAGATTTTCGAGAAGTAGCTCTGCATCACATTCACGATTCTGTTTAGGAATTCAAACACAGTCGCAGCATTGACGTTGTCCTAAATCCATCATGAATATTTTTTCCAGAATAATATTTTTTCACCTTTGTAACTGCGCAAATCCAAACATTTCCGCGCTTGACATGAAAAAAGTTTGTTCTGGCGATAGATGTCACGGGTGAGCGAACCTAGGAACGAAATAGACATGTATTTTAAGATGAAAACGTACCGTTCCTCTGGCGTGTATGACATTAACGCGGAAAGCATCGGTAGCTTGTCTGGTGATATTGTCTCTGTAAATGCGAGAAATGAGGACTTCTCCCTTATGGTTGTAAATAAACAAGCCTCCGATCATGTCCGCGGAGGACAGTCGATGCTGCGACTTTCGATTCTAAAAATATACCTCTTTATGTTAGAATAACTAATATGAACGGACGTGAAGCAGATCTTAATGGCAGAGATTAATGCATTTTTGATGCGCGCGTGTTCACTTAAAATTTTCCCCTTCGTCTTCTTCACTTTTCACATGGGAGACGCCTGCACCATACTCGACGCATTGGGATGGCTTCGCTGGGAAATGTCTCTGTGCCGCCGTCATCAACCGTTTAAGACCTAAACTTAAATCGTAAGCAAAAAAAAAATAAAATCAATAGTTTTTCCAATATCTGCTGATTCTGATTGCATTAAATAAATAATCAGCTATGGAAGCATTTCTGTTAGGAATGATAACTCACCTTGGATAAACTTCCTTTGCGTTTCGTCGTTGAGCACATGGGCCACGTATTTCATTGAGATAGTTTCTCTACTGGGACGCATGTGGATACCGACGTGATCAACACCAATCGGCCAAGGCGCGTTTCCGATCGCCATTTTCAAGTAAACATCGGATGCCTTGACAAAACATCAGTTCAAAATCGATAAATTTGCTTTTCACAGATTCGATTGCAGTACTACAGCATTAATTATGAATTAATGATCACCGCTCGAATGAATCCGCCCAAAACTTACCTTTATATAATTTCTGTCGATGCAGTACTCGACAATCAACGATAAATGCTTCATGATGTCTTCGGGGCAGACGTTTCTTTTGATGCGATCGAAGAGTGGCTGAATGTACGAGTCCGTTTGTTTCCAAACAGCCGACAGGGCTCTGCCGTGATGGGAGGATTTTTCTTCTTGGGATCTGGAGTTGAGTTCCTCCGCCCAGCATCTTTGCCAGAATTTAAATGCTTTGATGATCATGCCACTTCTTGCATTATACGAGACTTCTTTCAAAATGCCCTTGTTCGCTACTAGCCAGTCGTTGTCAACTTCTGGATGTTCATTTTTAAAGACTATGTTGTACTTCTTCTCTGCCTTCTCTTTTCCGGCAGCGATATCTTTTGTGACCTCCGTGAGATCCTCATCATCAAGCTGAAATTATAACTTGGCGATTATTTAGCATAACGGCTTTATACCTGATCCATTGCACTTTTAATTTCGTTTGTCCACCCGAGGATCTTGTAGTTTTCGTCTTTTCCAAGTTCGATTTTGCGTAGACGAAAGAAGGTATCCTGGTCGTTTTCTCCAAAGAGACGGATGGGCTCATTTCGCGCCCGTAGTTTCTGAATGACAGTTTCTCGTGGCATCATTTTCGCTTGATCTGGACCGAGACGATCGAGCATCGCCTGTGTTTTATCTTCTAGTTCCTGAATCCTTTGCTTCGATAAGTTTAAAATTGCCCTTTGGAAAACGATACCTGTCTCGAGGAGCAGGAGCTTTAGCAATTCCCATTCGTTGCTGATATTTTTCCTGTTCTATTCTTGCAAGGTCTCCTCGTTTGAAGAATTTTTTCTTTGGGTCAATTTTCAATTCTGTTTCGACTTTTTTTCGCTTTCGGTCGATTTCCCCTTTCATTAACGCGGCGAAATCCATCTTACAAATCTGAAGAGGGATTGTTGTTAGCGTAAAAATCCAGTTAGATGACAAGTTAGATACAATATAGATATAAGCGCGGAATAAAAATATTGTGAGGCAGGGCTGAGATGCGTAAAGTCGGCATCTGGGCAGTAAAGAAAACTTGAACTCATCACTCGTCATAGTGAGAGCGGCCAACAGTCTTATTGAACTCGCGGCGCCAACTGGACCAGTAAAGCTGACAGGCTGCGTAAACTTCATCAGCTGATTCATTCCAGGTCTCCTCGACCTGGCCTTAATTATTTATTTGTAAACTTTCGATACTAATGCCCTGCTTACTTCTACGCTCTTCAGTCAACTGCTCTGGAAAATCAACCTCATTCTTCTCGATGTCAATCTGTTTCATCACAATATTCTTCCAAGTAAGCATTTGCCCCTGCTTTTCCCAAAATTGAAGAAACTCGTTGTCTTCTGAAAAATCAACATTCTTTCCTTCTTTCACGAGACGCAATTGCTCTTCCCAAGCCTTGCTGAAAATTAACGCCGCGTATTCATCTTCCGAAACACCAAGAATAGATAATTCGTTGTCGAACATGTTGGCTAACTCGTCGACGGGATCTTCCTCTGGAGCTTCCTCTTCGGGTAATCGAAACTTGTCCCAACGTTCACTTTCTAGATTCAGCTCTTCTTCGTCGGACACACTTTCATCTTCATCTAATTCTGATACATCTTCGGCTTGGTAAGATTCATCAGCGACATTCTCGTCCGAGTCAGACAATTCAAGCAATTCTTTAGCAGCTGCTTCTAGCTCAGCTGGAGAGTCTTAACAAAGGGATCTACTGAATTCTTTATTTCTTTTTATTGATGATGATTTTTCTAGTTTTTATTGCTGCGTTGAATTCAGTGGATTCCTAGCTTTGGCTTTTAATTTCCCGAGAAGCCCTTGCGAAAGAGCCGAACTGTAACTGAAGTAAGATTAACTTCTACACGCGGGAACGTACTAGTCTGTTGTGTATGATTCGGTGAAGATCACTTTCGTTTTTCCGATATAACCTTCGGCGACATATTCCGTGTAAGTCCCATCATGTTGTCCAGGAACATAAACTTCGTCAAACTCAAAGTCCCCGTCATTCGTGACTTCATGCTCGTCGGAATCATTGCTTTCAAGCCCGTCAGTGGAGTCTGAGTCTGACTCCTCTTCGTCGGAATCCTCATCATCGAAACAAACTTTATTCCTCTTCTCAGATACGTGTCTTGGTAGAAACTCGTCTAATACACTCATAGAGCCTCCGATGATATATTCTGATTCTTCGGGGAGTTTTCAACAATGCGATTCATGCTAAAGCTACTTGCATTAAACGAAACGGTTCGAAGTCTTTACGCTGATAATTTATTATCTGAGGACTTATGTTGAACTAGGAAGGAGAAGGTGACAACAAAACGTGTTTGTCAATAAATAAGAGTCAGTAACATGTATTCCCAAGATGGACGATTTCGTGAAGAAATGTAGATTTGAACTTAATGGTTTCTTTTAGACCTTGAGGAACTTCTTGAGGCCTTCAGTAGACATGGATTTAGGTCGCTCAAGAGGAAGTCCGACGGCTCGGGACCAGATCATCTGAGAGAAGCAGCCAAGAGCTCGGGAGACACCAAAGAGGACAGTGTAGTATTCCATCTGGGTGAGGTTGTAGTGCTAGAAACAGAGTAAGAAATAGAATACTAGAAACGATATTTACCTGGAGGAGAACACCGGAGTGAGCATCCACATTGGGCCATGGGTTCTTGGCCTTGCCCTGCTCGAGGAGAATGTCTGGGACGATCTTGTAGAGCTGAGAAACGAGCTTGAAGAGCTTGTCGTCGGGAAGGTGCTTCAAAGCGAATTCTCGTTGGCAAGTGTATCGGGGATCAGTCTTTCGAAGGACGGCGTGACCGTAACCAGGAACGACTCGACCACCCTTGAGGAGTTCCAGATGAAGTCCCGGAGTTTCTCATCGGAGACTTCGTTGGAGCCAAGATCAGCAATGAGCTAAAACAGTTTATAATTGAATAAATCTCTTCTTTTCGTACCTGAGTGAGCCAGACGAGGACTTCCTGGTTGGCAAGGCCGTGGAGGGGACCAGCCAAACCGTTCAAGGCAGCGGCAAGGGAAAGGTATGGGTCGGAAAGGGCAGAGCCAACCAAGTGGGAGGTGTGGGCAGAGACGTTGCCACCTTCGTGGTCGCTAAGATATCATTTTTGAGAAAGGGCGCTTATGTTTCGGACTTACGTGTGGATGGTGAAGTAAAGTCGCATGAGTTCAACGAACTGGGGGTCGTTGAATCCGATCATGTTGCAGTAGTTGGCGGACCAATCGAGACCAGAGTCGGTGGCTGGAAGGTGTCCGTGCTTACCGTAAAGGTTGTTGAAAATCTTTCCGGCGATGGAAGGAAGGTTGGCAATGCAGTCCATGCAATCTTCATAGACATATTCCCAGTAGGAGGCTTTGTTAACACCCTGAGCATAAGCCTGAAAGAATCGTTAGTAATGAAAACAACGTATTTTTTTACCTTCGCGAACTTGGACTGGGAGTTCATGAGAGTAACAGCGGCGGAGAACTGGGCCATTGGGTGGACATCCTTTGGGAGGTTGTCGAGCATCTCAGCGACGTGAGATGGGAGGCCAGCTCGCTGGTTCCACTCGTTGGTGAGGGCCTGGGTCTGCTCGACGGTTGGCACTTCACCGGTGACGAGGAGCCAGAAGAGAGCTTCGGGGAGGGGCTCGCCGCCTTCGACGGCAGATGGAAGGAGCTCCTGGCATTCAGGGATAGTCTTGCCTCGGAATCGGATACCCTCGTCAGCGTCAAGGACAGAGGTCTCCCAGACCATAGCCTTGATGCCTCGCATGCCACCGTAAGCCATATCGACTGTAACATTTCCAAGCTAATGATTGGCAATCAATGGTTGTTATTTTGCAAAAAAGTGCTTACAGAATCGCCGCCATGATTTTTTCGGAATTCTTTGATCTCAGCAATCTTGCCGGGAATCTGGGCAGCAACGACTTCCTTCAAATCCTAAAGAGAAGGTGAGACAGATGATCAGCTTTACGATTTACCGTGGAGGAAGCAGCACGAGTCTGCGTTCGGAGGAGAGGTGTGGCGGCTCGTCGCAATGCCATTCTAAGATTTGGAGTTGTGATTTTTAACAAATAAACGGAAAAATCGAACTAAGCAGAAGAACGAAAAATAAAAATGGATCGAAGTGTATTCTAGAAAATATTCATTTTTACTTAATTTTGAAAAGTACTTTTCTAACATTTTACCAAGATATTTTCAAACTAAATCCTCATTCCTCGCTATATTCATTTATTATTCAAATTGAATTTCGATATTTTCGGATATTGAAAGCTTTTCTGAATGAAAAAAAAATTATCGCCGGTTTCTCTGGTAGAAAAGGGACTGGTATTGGTGAGGAATGGGATCTTGGTTGAGTAATAATCTCTGGACTGGGCGAACTCTGGCCCAAGTTGGCTGCACACAACGGGACGTGTTGATTTCAAGCGCGCTCATCTCAACCAATCAAATGCGCAAAAAGGAGCCTGAATCTATTCCCGGCCGAATTCCGTTTCTCTTCCCCATTTTTTCAACAGCTCTCTAATCGTCATGTCTCATCTCCCGGGCAGAATGACGGTTATCGAAATAAACGTCCTCGCAGTTCTGCTTTTTCTCAAGCAAAAAAACGTGTTTGCTTTATTACCAAATTATTGCGAGGTTTCACTAACAATAATTTTTTCATAATTTAATTGACTTTCATTTTCCTCTATTTGTACAATTTAACTTCTGAAAGTGAAGGTTTATTTATTTTATGGTGGAATCAGTAACAAAAATCTATTTGTAGCGTGGATTTTCTCGGCCGATAAGAAAAAAATATAGTATGGACCATACTGTATGGTACACTAATAAATAGTATAGTTTTGAGGGTCTGAGTCATCACCAATGACGTCATAAGGGCCCCCTTTGAAAAATGGGAATGTCCCTCTGTATCTCTGAAAATTTTCAGAAATATATGAAGATTTTGGCATCGTTGGAAAGCCCAGTTCAAACTGGTTGTGAGCACAAGGTGCGCATGAAGAAATTTCTAGAAAAGAATTTTTTTTGGGACAAAATCTTTTCTAAATATTTTTTTCGGAATTTCTTATTGCGCACCTGGTGAACATAACCAGTTTGAGCTGCGCTTTCCAACGATACCAAAATCTCTTTATATTTCTGAAAATTTTCGGAGATACAGGGGGACATGACCTGACATTTTCAGGTACTTATGCACTAGAATTGGAGATTTTCCGAGGCGTGGACACAAAAAAATCGTACCATTCGACTCCTTAGAACTTGCGCTACAAGATGAGCACAAAAAATATTGAGGTCACGATTTTGCTCCGCAGAAGTTATTTTCATCTATCATCTGCTTTACTTTTCTTCTTTGATTGCAGTCGCAGAAGGCCCATTTTGAGCAAAGGAAACGAACAATTAAAAATGAAAACGTGCTTTTATTACGACCATTTTCCTTTTGAGCCAAGCTGAATAGGGTAAAAGGAAAACGATTGTGTTACTTATGTAAATATGAGTTGCGTTACTCATAAACCAATCATCAAAATTGAGTTTCCTGTATGATTTGAAATAGAGCGAAAATCTCAAGAAAGGAATCCAGGAAAAAAAAATAAACAGAATCAATGACTGAAGAGAATATAGAGCTGGAGAAGCGGGACTCAAATAGAAATGATGTTCAAATTGACGGGCAAAAACATGTTGTTATAGGCAAGGTTACGCATGCAGTTCGATAAAGAATTATTGCAGCTAGTTTCTTATATTTTTCTAACGGATTTATTAACCCTTACTCACAGATGGCCCGCAGAGACCGAAGGTGCAAATCGATGGTTGGGAAACAGGAGGAAGAGCCCCTGCAAAAACAAAGGAAGAACTACGGGTATCATGAAAAACGTTTTCTTTTGCTAATAATTTTTATTTAAGTACTACATGCGCTGTAAGACCCTTTGCTGTCCGCTGGGGAGTGCTTGCTCCAACAGATGTTATGAAATGGGGATGACTCGATGCTGGTGCTGCTTTGATTCGATGCATAATTGTAGTGAAAGCTATTTGATCGACGAAAATATACCGACGAGGCCAGAAAAGTATGCACAAATCGAAGAATGGTTTAGGAGTTTCAATTGCCAGGTATTTCTGGTAAAAGAGATTTAATCGATTCCCATTCTAAAGCCTTTACCTTTGGTCACGATGATTACAACTTTGATCGAAGTTGGCTATTTCGTCTACGTCAGACATCTACCGGGGGGCTATAACGAAAACATCCTTGACAGTCCTCTCCTGTGGCGCTATGAAAGCAAATCTCTTTGGTACATCTGGATCACTTACTCGTTTTGTCATGGCTCGCTTACACATCTACTTTCAAATTTATTCCTGAAAGTCTTCCTTGGGCTCTTTGTTGAAATGGAGCACAAGTGGCTACGCGTGCTTATAATTTATATACTTGGCGTTGCTCTTGGAGCGCTTTTTCATTCTGTCGTTAATCCCTGTTCGCCTCTGTGTGGCTCTTCTGGTGGTTGTTTTGCTCTTCTCGGTAATGCTCCGAATCTAACACCGTACTTTCAACTATTTAGGCGCTGGAATCATCAAATTCAAGCGCCATTACAAATACAAGGGCAGAATGCGACGCTGGTGCAACTACTCTACCTGCATGATCATTCTTTTCCTTACCGCCGCTGATCTCGTGTACACTTTGGTGAATTGGTTTTCCTGCGCCCCGGCTACAAATTCGACGGCAATCTCAGCGCACGTTGGCGGCCTCATTGCTGGTCTCTGTGTATCATACTGGGCGCTAAACAAGTTCCAAGAATCCTGGGGCCAGAATATATATCGCCATCATCGATATCGATATCAGGCAATCACGGATGATGATGTCGTCTGTTGTGCGTATAAGGTACTTTTTACTCAAAGTTCGAAGCAAATCATTTTTATAAGCACTGTTGTGAGGCTTGGTTTCGTAATGCAGATTGTATTAAACTGTTCAAGGTAAATTGTTTCGACGTTCATTTCGTTTAAATAATAATTAAGGACTGGAAGGCTTGGCTTTTCGCAATCATTCTGATTGCTTCGTTTGTTGTATCGATTCTTCTCAATTTGATGAATACAGAAGAGGATGGATGCCTTGCGTCAGTCGAATTTAATCGAGATTGCTTCCAGTTGTAATTATTTATCTTCCGAAACTGAGAAGCATACCTTGGCCTTCCTTTTTCTTGTACAAAATAAACAAATATAATATAATAAAGTGACCAAATTGAGAAAGATTTATTGGATTGTTCTTGTTACACGCATTTTTGTCAGAAGTTTTCAAGATGAAGTTAGGCTTCGCCGGCGTCGAAGTCTCCATCTTCGAGTTCTTCTTCGAATTTTTCTTAGAAAAATTATTATAATGGCTTTTGTTGGATTTCATTTTACTGGTTATTTCCGCAGCGCTAACGCTGACAAGACGCTGAAGCTTGTCGGAAAGGATTTCGCAGCTGATTTGAGATTTGAGGATTCCCTGCGCGGACTTCTTAGCTTGCTCCACAAAAGTCATATCCTCTTGGATTCCAGCTTTGGTTCTGATCTCTTCGTTGACGGCGGACTTCATTTTTCCTTCTTTCGTTTTAATAACCTAAAAGATGACAATCGAATAGACTTTCAATTTTCCGTTCTCTTTATAAAGAACTTAAGCGTTTGCAAGTATTTTTTGGTGAGTAATTTACTTCATTTATAGTATCGTCGATTCTCTTTCGAACAGTTTTCATTTGAATCTCCGTCATAAGTTTGCTCTTCTGAGATAATTGGCCAGAGTCTTTTAGATCGTGAAGCATGGCATGAAATTCTACATGCATGTTGACTCGGGATTTCTCTTCGCCAGCTTCAGTTGCAGACATTTGTCGAATGAAGGCGTTGGTTTTCTCCTGACTTGGATTGTCGTTGACATCGATCATTCCATCGCCGTCTTTTAGCTCATCGACAGCAACCGACTTGCCTAACTCACTTTTGCTCTCTATTTTCTTTGGATCGACTTACCAGAACTGCACTTGTTCCCCATTCAAGATTTTCTATTCTCTTTGCGCGCTTTTTCGACGCTCGGCGCTCCTCTGAACCCTCAATGTGAAGCCACCGGAAGTAAATTTCGACGTAGCTTAATCACATCCTCTAAGTTTTTTTATTTGATTTCTTTACATTGTAAAATTACAAAAAATGTAAATAGATTCTGTTTCAAATAAATTCTAAATTCAAACACTACGAAATTTCAAGTTCAGCATACAAGATAAGTTAAAAATTAGCGTTGAAGATTTTCTGGTAACGATCATTGATGGGAAAACCTGGTCACTACCAGCTCAAAGAGACGGCTCCCGTTCTTTATGGAAGGAGAGACTCTCGATTTGCAAGCGACTTGGTATCACTGAATGGCACCGAGTCCCTAGAAGAAAACAACAAAGATGGCGGCTTCTTGATCCAGACCTCCCGGATACTACCTCGGAGGTTGACGGTACCGACGAAGATACTGACACCGAAGATAGTGCATAGACTGAATTCCCCCTGTGATCAGCTTTTCATTTAAAATCAAGAAATAAATTTTAAACCCAGTCCTTCCGGAAATAAAAAAATTCTCGCCAGAATCAACCTTTCTGCAACATATGTTTTCCGCAAATAGAACGTGCAGTTGCATGTAAAAATCTGCAGAGTACACTTGTTCTACCGCCATATAAATGATCGAGCGGAGTTGCTTCACATCACATTTTGTTTTTATCTTGAAATATGAGAATTCTTCCTATTTTGACAGGTATGAAGTGATAGTGAGCGGAGATATACTTTTAAGTTTTTGCGAGCGCCTGGGAGACTGGCGTCAGCTCGGTCGGAATGGTGCAACAGAAGCCCGTTTCTGTCTCTATCGTCGGTCGAAAAAAGGCGAAGAAACAGAAGGCGGTGATCGATGATAGCGGCCTCTTTGGCAACAGCAAGGGTAATGGGAAAAACAACGACATCGAAGAACGAGGAACTCACCAATGCGGCGGTGTACGCATCCCTTCCATTGAGGTACCCTTCTTTCTGATTGTCACTCGTTCATGATCGCTAAGTGCTCTGATGGAAACTGCGAGGAGGGATTTCCCCGGTACGAACGACCTTGCCACTTTCCCACTTCAGACATGGGAGGCAAGTTCAAGTGCCGAATCCTCTGCGGCGCCGGCTACGTGGTCGAGGACAACGCGCCGAAGAAAATAAAATGCATCGGAAATAAGGAACCGCTCTCAACTGTCCGGTTTTAAGCTTATTTTGCATGAAGACAGCTTGGTAAGAGCGCGTGAAGGCAAACGGCTTCCGCTGGAAGAGAACAATCAAGAACAACATCGTCAAATGTGTGCCCAAGATGTAAATCCAAATATCATCTGTGACCAGTTCAGTAGCTGGATGTCCCGTGGCTAGTTTCAATCGATTTGGGAGGTCGGGTTGAAATTTTCACTCATCACTTCTTTTTTAAAAAATAAACTCTAAACTGTATTTGTCGACTTCTTATCGCGTTCTTTATTTCGAAGATATGTGCTCCCATATTGGCTCTATTGCTGGAGGAGAATGATCACGTGCGAGAAAATCGGTTTTCGGATGATTTAGAACCGGACAGAGCTAGGCACCGTACCTGACTGTGAGCTACCACACTAGCTGCGACTCGCAGTAAGCTCTTGTGGACGCCAACGGCCAGGCGCCATTGTACTAGACTAAGATTAGCTCAACCACACTCGCCTGTTGCCCCGCGCTTTTCCAAAAGAAGGCGTTTTCTACCCTCGAAAATCGTCTTTCTAGCCGATTTCTTCCCATCTGACAGTATAATAACAAGGCTTGATTGCAGGGCAAGTTTCTTACCAGTCGAATGACATAAGAAGCACGAACTAATTCCATCTGTTAGTATGAGAAAAATGTCTAGTCCTTTACGACAGCGTTAAATTCTCTCAAAACTTTTTCTAGGGAGAAACAGGCTCAGAGCAAATATAACGCGACTCGTTTTTTTTTCAGAGAGGTTGTATTAAAATCCTATTTTTCGAAAATATGAAAATCAGAATCTTTTTATGTTGGGAGTGGTGGAATATGATTATTTCGATTTAGAAATTGAAGAAGAGAGAGAGGGGAAGGTAGAGCTGGCGCGTTGAGTGGGATATTTCAATGTGTGGCGCGTGTGTGGACGCCGTCCCATTCTAATAGCGTTAGCTGAGTGGCCGCCCTCGGCTCTGCCCTGCGCTGCTGCTCTCCTATCTTTCAACATTGTAACGCTGAAGCATAGCAGCAGAGTTAAAAAGAGACTAAAATTCGCTGTCAGTGTAGAACTAGGCCCGTCCGAGCCTCTAGCAATCGAAGAAGGGCCAAAACTTTGATAATTACTTCAGACGGTTGAACGGTTCATCAACGGGTGCTCGCGCCGCTCTGCTGGAAGACATCCTCGCAACCAACAAGTCTAGAGGTCAGTCAACCCTCATCCTTTCCTTCGCTTGCAAATGTTATTTACAGTAGATAACAGTAATTTTTGAGTTTGAATTTCAAATAATGCTGCTCAATTTTTCGCGATTTTAGGATTTCGAGCACAAATTAAAATTCATGAAACTCGAGTTCTTGTTTATATTTCAGTATGCTAACTAAAAAGAAAAAAAAAATCAGTAAATGAAATACATGACTATATTCAGTTTAAATCGAGAGCGATAAAATGCCAAAAGACCGAAATAAACCGCGTGGAAGAACCACTGCTTACGGATTCTTTGTCATCGACGAGAAAGAGAAGCATGCAAAGGTAGTCTTTCCGTCACTCAATTAATGAATTTACAATCGTTCCAGGAAAATCCCGGTGTCAAGATAAATTTCGGAGAATTCTCAAAACTCTGCGGACAAAAATGGCAGACTATGGGCGAAGAGGACCGAGTTGACTACGAGAAGAAAGCAGCTGATGTAAGCATTCTTGCTCTACTTTGGAATATAAAATAAACTTTCCTAGGACAAAGTCAGATACGACAATGAAATGGCTAATTATGAGCCACCAGCTGGCGCAAAAAAGACGAAAAAGCGAAAGAAAGACCCCAACGCTCCAAAAAGACCGGCGACTGCGTTTTTCCTCTTCTCTACCGAGGTACTTATTCTAATTGGAAAAAATGTCTGACCTCATGTTTGCGCGAATTCGATGAATAGTTTATACCCGAGAAAGATCTTTGAGAGTCTCTACCAGCTTATGTTCAAAGATCGACATGTTTCGTTAACTTGTAGGAAAACTTTGGGATCGCTTCTTGAGTTATCAATTAGAAATCAAAGAAATAGTTTCTTGGTTATTCTGTGATTTATTCACGCAACTTTAAACGAACACAAATTTTCATCAAAAACCTAGAATCGGGAAAAAGCAAAGGCTCAACTTGAAGAGGGCGCTAAAGTTGGCGATGTAGCGAAGAAGCTCGGCGAAATGTGGAAAGCTGCCAGTGCGGTAGGATAAGTGCTAAGCTTTCCTTACGTTAACCTTTTCATAGGAAGAAAAGGAAAGATTCGCAAAACAGGCGAAGGAATCCAAAGCTTTGTACGACAAGGCAATGGAAGAATACAAAGCGTAAGTTACCGTAAAAATGTCATTTTTTCAATAATTAATCAGATCCGCGCCAAAAGAATCGCCCCCAAAGAGGAAGAAGAAAAAGGTGTCTTCCGAAGAAGACGAGCCATCCGATATCTCTGACGAAGACCACGATTATTGAGCAGTAAGTTATCGTGCAGAATCTCTTAATTATGTTTGTACAGGGTGACACCTGTAGTTATTATTCACTATTCATGTCACCTGCATTTCATAGCGTTTCTACGTCGGAAAACTAAGTTTCTTTCAGCCTCACCTATGAATATATATATATCTTGACCTTGTTCCCTTCACAAACAAGGACTTATTTTGACCTGACAATAGTGAACTGTAACACTAGCGGCAGGCGGAAAATTTCAGACACGATGTTGTTTTTATTTTATTTTACCCAGCTACACACAAAACAAGTCCGAGCATCAATTCAAAATTTTTTCGCTTATAAACTGCGAGTACTTTCAACATTTTTAAGGCAGCAAGGTCAACAATGCTTTTCAGTCAAAATTTTTTAATATTAGAGATTCAGTGAATGATGAAGTCATAGCTCTGGATTTTTACTGTTCCCTTGGCGATGATGCGTAGGCCTACACTTTTGTTCAAAACGTAAAGTATAAAGTAAATCGCCTACGTATGATTTTGTGCACTTTTTCCTCTCAAATTGATGTATTCAAAAAATATCATATCTGCAGCATAAAAAAAAAGATCTCACGGTTACATCAATTAATCGCTGAAATACTTCGCTACCGCAAAAATCTCGATGTTGTCACGATTATGTGGCTTTGGTCGCTTCTGGTAAAAGTGTTTTTTGAAAATGTTCCCGTAGCGTATTTTTTCTCCTGGAACGGTTGAAATTTCTTAGCGGATCTTTTTCTCAATTTCGATAAGACGGCGTCATTACTTCTACTATTTTATTGCAAGCTTTCACGCACTTTCAAGTGTTTTTTATCAGTCATTAATCCTTCTGAAGGGCAACTTGAAAAATTCATGGGATAATTATGTAGTAATCCATCTGATACACCATTGATTAAAAAAAAGTAGGCTTCAAACATGCTTTACTGAAAACTATTGGAGAGATAACTCGCCAGCTCAATGATCTCTGTTAAACTAACGCTCTTCTCCTGATTTTGTTAAAGTTGAAATTCTGAAAAAAAGTATGTTCGACACATTAACTGCCAAATTCTCAATAAAAATCTCGTACACATTTGAATCGTTTGAATTTATTTATGGAGGTTATCGCATGAACATCGAGAAAATGGAGTTAAGAGCAAGTAGTTAGACAATCATACCTCCTTGCAAGCTTCGCATGCATGTGGCTGTTCAAGAAAAGAGTGAGCCTGGCGTTCATGTCTCTTTAAATCTTTCTTCCAGATGAATCCATTTTTGCAAATGCCGCCTTCAGATTAAAATTTGAGAAGGATCACAGGTGCAAGCAACATACATGTAAGTTGGATAATCATTTCGATTATGTTTGTTGGCGATATGAACTTTCAGATCGGCTTTTCGAGCATAGTAGACAACATTTGTGCACACAGTGCCTCCCTAGATAACTCAGTCAGGTTTTAGCTTGAAGAGGCAGACACTTACATTCAAAGTGACTCTCTGCGATGTGAACCTCAAGTTCAAGTCTTGATTGAAATCGTATTCGACAGCATTTAAAGTCAGTAGTTATTGGATCCTTATGCTGCGTCAAAACATGTCGATTGAGCTCAAATTTTCTTCCGAAGCTCTTTTTGCAATGATGACCTAGAGACGTGAAGGCTACTCAGAGTTCATGGCTGACTCAGATACGAATTTCGGAGCAGTTTTTGTATGTTTGAGTGAAACATGGAGTTTCAAGTCGGCCTTCTGCTTGTAGCGTGTACCGCAGTAACTACAAGCAAACGGTTTAATGTCCAGATGCACATTTAGATGTCTCTGTAAACGGATCACTTTCTTGAAATTAAAACCGTGAAATAACTCTACAATAATATACGAAATCCCGCTCTTCAAGCGTTGCGCATTGAACCCAACAAAATCACAAATTGTACAAACAGGTTTTTTTTAAGACAGCTCCTCAGCTGTGGAGCGGTTTTCAGTATCTTTGAATAAAGATATTTCAATTATCTCTTTTGCATCACGTAGGGGAGGGTCCATAGTGTGTTAAATAAGCTTTTGGTGTCTTCATCTTAATCGGTGGTGGAGTAATGACGTCATTATTCCGTCATTCTGCCTCTTTTGTCCACGGCACCAAAAAATTGAAAAGTGGTAAAAAGCGATAGACTCATGTTCATTTCGCACAGAGATCTTCGTCACATCAGTATCAAGTATTTCTGATGTGTTCTGGTGTCAGCACCAATGTTAGTGGTGGAGTAATGACGTCATCGCCAATCTTTCCTATGATTTTAGTGTATTTTTGACTATCTGATTACTCCACCACCACTGATGGTATTGACACCAAATCCTTATTTAACACACTACAGACGTTCTCTGATAAGATACAAAAGAGAGAATAAAAAAATCTCGACTCTAAGGTTTTCAAAATCGCTCCACAGTTGAGGAGCTGTCTTAAAAAAAAACCTGTTACACTTGTATGTTTCTGCCATAGGATCATCAAATACGCCCTCAGAAGTATTCGAAGAAGATGCCGATTCAGAATTATTTTTAACATAAGTTCGAGGAACTGATGGGTGATTTTTGCTGGAAACTCAACGACGCCTCAGACAATTGTATTGTTTGAACCGGCGCAGGCTTAGCCGATATGCGAAGGAGAAAGGCTTTCAACTCATTGGCAACAAATGCTTTGATCTTCTCGATTTCGCTTGTACTATCGACTAACTCGCTCTCTGGAACCCAAGATGGATTGTCAATGCCCTTCAGTACGACCAGATAATCTTTTTTCTGATTCGCCTCTCGCACGTCGATAACTTTTCCAAATTTCATTTTCAACGATCAGAGTCAGGGGAGAACAAAAAGTTTGCTGTGACAGTCATTCTTAACGCAAACCGGAGAATTAGCGAAGACAGCCAGAGCGACTACATCTCAGAGGACCTCTTCAATTTGATAAAAAATGAGGAAAAACGTCAAAGGAATTTGAATTGTCATATTTTATTCTCGGTTATTTGGTTTCATTAAAAAGGTGTAGGGCATGCTTGCTCTGTAAGGGGTCAAGATGAGAAAAATAATCCTATGTAGACTTTGGTGATGCACCTGGTTGGTTAATATATGAACGAAGATGGGGAAAAGGGTCGGTTGGCACGGTGGCGAGTGTTTTAGGTTACGATTTTGTCGGTTTTTTTATTTGTACAATGAGTCCTAATAAAATAATAAGAAAAGGTTGTGGAGGAATTTTGAAAAGTGATATCTGTGATTAGACTTTTTATTTTTCTTCGAACAGACGCCACCATGAGAGATGAGAGGAGTTGAACTTTGAGACGAACAAAAATGCACAAAAAGGCTAAATCACAAAATTCGCCGTGGCCGCGTATAATGTTTTGATGGTTTTGTTGGATGCCTTCCAGTTCAAATTTGAGGCGTCTGGATCCTCTGGAAATATTCTTAACATCGGGCAAACACTACAAATTTGAAGGTGAAAACATCCAAGGGCCTCCAGCGTAGAAAAGGGAGCCGATTTTCGATGAGGAAGGAGCTTCTTGAGTTGGACTTATGATGTTTTGGCCATGTTCTTGACAGACATGAGGGCCTCCTTGCCGATGGCCTAAAAATAAACGTTATAACCATGATTAAAGTGATAACAAAGGAAGGAACTTTTTGGATGTCGGAAATGTATCATTAATTTAGTCTCGAGACGGTACATAAAAACCGGCTCAAGGTGGAAAAATTGAGTTCATCTACCACCCGTCAATTAACTTGCACAACATGGAAACGCACGAGTTACTCAAAAAACGAGTGGACGAAAGAGAGAAAAAGGACTTGGCGATCGAGGGCACTTACGGAAAGAACGCAGACGAGGGCGTCTTCTTCAGCATCAATCTTGGCCTGGATCTCTTTTCGGACTTCGGGGTCGATAGCCTGGAGATCGTCTCGGGTTTCACCCTGATCGTCCATGAGGGTGACGAAACCTTCTTCGTCCATGTCGATAAGCTGCAATTCAGTTCGCTTGACGATTGGGCACTCCATGTTGTGGGTGGAGGGGCAGATATCTTCAAGCTTCTTGCCATCTAAGCGAATTCGTTAGGAAACTTTTGATTAAAATGAAGTTGAGGTGGAAAAAAACGAGTTGAATGTCTCGGGTGATTAGTATCAGAAAGGCACTAGGAGCCTCACCAATGTGGAAAGCAGGAAATTACTATTGGCCGCAGATTAAGCGCACAAAAGAACTGATTTTTTTGATGAGCGCGGAGTATTAAATCCACGGCCGGAAATGATTAATTCGAAATACATGGAAAAAAGGGCTTACCGAAGATGTCGAGAGCGACCATGTGGACTTTAGCGTGGCCGTGCTTGCCAGTCTTGGAGGTGGACATATCGACGATCTTGCAGGCTTTGCCCTTGATCATGACGAATTCACCCTTTCGGAGAGCAGAGCACTGCTTTGGGTAGGTGAGGGAAGCTCCGGACTGCGTTCCTTCGAATTCGTAATCTTCGTGATCCGACATGGTTACCTTCTGAAAGAGGGGAAATTAGTATTTCTCTCGGCGTCTTCTTTTTATGAAAATGGATTCTTTTATATAGGGAAAAATCAACCCCATAAGGGTTCATTTTTTCCAACTCGATTGTCGAGTCCCAAAAACCTACTGTGAAAAGGGGAAAATATAAGAAAAAGAAATTCTCGAAAAATGACAAAACCTTTTAGCCAAATTTCGCTAGTAACGGTAATTGAAGGTAAAGGCAGTGAGTGGAGATTGTCGACTGTAAGGTTAAAAATGAGTAGAATTGAATGCAAGTGCAAATTGAATTTATTTTTCAAGCGCTTACCTTCGACAAGATCCGTTGTTTAGATAGATAAAAAATGTGGCTCGCTATTGGTTCGCTTGAACTGTGCGGAAAACTGGGGCAGTGAGGTACGGTGTTGTGGGGCGGTGGTGTGATGCATAAAACAGGCGAGATTAAAATGAAACGAAGTTAAAACAGATGAGGAGGGGAGGTAGGGCGGTGAAGATATGAAGGTTCGTTGCATAAAATAACGTGTAGATAGGTGCGTTTTTGGACTGAGAAGGTAAGGCAGGGCGGGGTGGTGCTCCTCAGCTGATTGGAGGGCGACGTGAAATTTCTCTGTAACTGGGGAAAACCATAATCTAGCGGATAGTGACACACGTGAGGAATGGAGCAACGTTTAGCTGCGCGCGAGCGGCCAATGATTCGCGCGGGCGGAGCTTCGTAGGCGCCGAGATCAAAACCAAGCACGACTTGAAGTGATGTAAGCACGCACTCACGCAACTCCCCGACGCCAAATACCTGAAAGGGAAATCTGAATGTCAATTTATCTTTCTCTTTAAATTTGAAAATTATTCGTTGGCTTTTATGCGTCATTTTATCCTCTTCCCCACTATTTTTCAAAAATTCGTGAAGCTTCCACCGAAGGAATAATGCTTGAGAAAAATTCTCCCTTTCTTATTGGCTAGAAAGCCATGGGAAACTGCGTTGCAAATTAGGAAGGCGGAGATCAGGCGCCTTCAGAACTCACTCGGGCCACACGCAGTGCTGAGAAGTTGTTACCTCAAAATTGACGCGCTGAGTGATTGATTACCCTCTCCTTGATTACCTAACGATCGTCGGAGTCGCGTCGTCGTCGCCGGAAGTTGTCGGAAGAGTACGAGTTGCGGCTGGAGCGAGTGCAGTGCTCGCCTCGGAAGTCACGCCGCATCGAGCCGCCACTGAAGCCGCGTCTTTCGCCGAAGGATGAGTGATCTCGATCGTCTCTTCTTTCTGTTCCTTGGTACCGGTTCGACTCGAACCTTGAACCTAGGAAAATGGCTCTAGAAGCTCGGAGGACCTTTTCTTTACCTTTGAATCGACCAAAGTTTCGATCGTCTCTCCTTAGAGTCGAGAAAGGACGGTCGTCGGTCCTTTCCCGATCTCCGTAATTCCGGCCGGAATTGTTGTAAACTCGAACTTCCCTCTCAGAATCGTTGCGATTTTCGTGCGTTCGAAATTCTTGACGAGAGTCGCTCCTCTCCGTTCGATCGTCCTTTCGGCGGAAGACTTCGCGATCGGAGTCGCGATTCGACTCGCGGCTGTCTCTTCGGAAGCGGCCATCCCTGTTCATGTGTCGGAGATAGCTGCCGGAGGAGTGTCGGCCTCGCTCGCCACTGTGATAGAATGCGCTCAGCCGATTTCGGTTGTTATTCCGGTCCGAGAGGGAGCTATATTCTTCTCGAAATCGACGCTCAATCACAAAAGACAGTACCTTTTAAACGGTCGAGCCGGGCCAGGCTTATCCTTTTCTCCCCTGGAGGAAAGCGAACTTTTCCTCGATCTATCAGAACTTTGACCATCCTCGCGTGGAACTGACTTGCGCAGACATGATTTAAGCTGCATCTCCGTTGTAGATGGAGGCTCGCTCTCGACCTTAGATAGATTTGGCGAGTTGGCGGACGAAGACACAGCATCCCAGGGAGTGTCGCTACTTCTATCAACGCGCACTTGATTGAAGAGGCAGCCTTGACTCGTCACAGGAGTTGTATCCATAGCACAATTGCGTCCCGGAGAAGCTGGCGGTTCCGTTTTTACGAGTTCGTCATCCTCGTCGCTGCTCCAAGATTGTTTCTTCTGTTTCTTGAGGCAAGACGGTCTTGGCTTCGGCTCCGCCACCGTCGGACTAAACGAACCGCCTTCGTAAACGAAAGTCATCTCCGGGGTTGCTTCCTCCGACTCGCTGCTTGTAGATGAGTCCCTCTTCTTTCTGATATAGGATTAGAAAACAGGCACTCTAGTTTAAGAGTTACCCTTTGAATGCGTCTATAAGAAATAGACGCCGTCGGGCAGGGCTTTCTTCCCCAAGTGCGCGCCCTCGCTGACCTGAGCCAGGAGTGGAAGAGAGCCCTTCTTTTTTGCTTTTCGGGGTCAATTGATCGTAGACGGAAAAGCGCGATGGCTGAGAGTTCTTTGGGGATCCGTTGCCTCTACCGTTCGTGGAAGAGTCAAACGAGCTGAACATCTCGTCCTTTTCCTTTTCCGGAAGTTCGAAATGGTCTCTGGCGAGTGTGGCATCGGCGTCTTTATTGAAAAATTAGTAGAGATCTTTGTAACTTATTCATAAGAGAAACACCTTATTAGAAAATTATGTTATTGAAATTCTCAACACTCTGGAATACCTTGTGCACGAGAGTTTCAATTTTGATTTTGCAAGCATTTAAACCGCCAAAAATATTTGATAGATTTGACGGAGTTTTGAACTTGCGTAATTTGAAAATCGATTATCAGAGATTGTACCCGGTGAATTTACCTTTTTCTGGTTCTTGAATAACAAGACGAGGAGATAGGGAGTCATTCTCGGTCGAGTCTTCAGGGACACTCGCGAAATCGAGCGACTTCGGTTCGACAGGTTGTCGCCTCTCGGCGTCATCGGCTGGGGGAAGTGGTATCTAATGTCTCGTTAGAAATGCTAATTAACACTTATTTAAACTTACGTCTGCCGGGTCGATTGTCGCAGGTGCCTGCACCTCTTCCCTGTTTGGAAGATAAGTTCCAGTGTTACGTCCAATGTAATTGGGTGTTGTTCCAGGCTCAGGACAAGGTAGAAGGGGGAAATCAAGGATATCAAGTGGTCCGTCTACGTTGTTGATGCGCCCCATTCTGGCCACGAGCGCCACTCTTTGACCCAAATAATCATCTTGGTTATGTGGTTCGTATTCAGCTTCCAGAGAGTCGTTGATGTGGAAGTTTTCCAATTCTTCTCCTTCATCGACGTCGCCGGCAAAAACTGTAGGTCGACCAACCCGGACATCTTCGAACTCGTGCGCGTGATCTTGGAGAACGAAGTTCATATAGCGCCTCACTTCATCCAGTCGAAGACGGGTGTTCAAAGCGACGGCGATGATGAGCCTAGTCGGTTCCTCATGCTCCATGGCATAAGACTTACGAAAAACCGTGTCTGAAAAAACATGCATCAGAAAAGAGTTATTAAAAAACTATGATTTTAGAACTATAAAAATATAATAATTTCAAGACGAATACATGAATGAGAACGGGGGTTAACAAGATGCAAAAAGAGTGAATGAATGAAAGAACTCTTTTTGATTGGATGTTGTTGAAAATTGTGAAGAGTGCAGAGCGGCGACTTTACTCGTTGGGATTTTGAATGACGATCAGAAGGAACTCTTTTTCTGAAGAGAAAGATGTTGAGAAATGATTGATAAAGGAGGACGATACCTGGAGCGATGATGATTTCGTACTTTTTACTTCGAACTCTAACGAATGTCAGATCGTTCTGAGGGTCAATATCACGGACCTTAAGTTCTTGCTTAGTATTGGCTCTCTTTGTCGGTAAGCAGATCAGTAGACTCTAATGATGAGAGAGAAAGACTTACGACAGATCGCGCTTTAGCAGCGAGTTGTGTGATAAGACCGGCGTACTGGACGGTGGTAGAGTTATCCAAAGTGGTTCTCATTGGAATGCCTAAATAGGAATGATTTAAATGCATCGAGGAATCCAGTTTTACCTTCTTTGTCGATAACGATCAAGCCAGTGACGCCCTTGTGTGACTGGAGACGCTTGATGGTTTCATCAACTTCCGACATTTTTGAGTTCCTGTCTTACCAGTCTGAAATACGATTGGATAAACACAGGATAACCTTTCACATTGTCTATTTGCACTGAAAAAGGAACTTTTTACTTCTGAGCAGCTCGCTTCTGGGAGGCGAGGACGGCAGAGGCCTTCTTGACGGCAGCTCGCTAAAAACAGCTATAAGGACGATGTTCTAGAAATGCGAGTACTCACGGTCTGGTCCTTTCGGAAAGCACCCTGCTTGGCAACGTTTCGAATAGATTTGAAGGTCTTTCGGGAGCTCTTCTTCATGGTAGTGTTCAATTTGCCGGCGGAGAAGTTGACGCCACCTTCGGCATTAGCAGAGACCTTGAGGCCTCGCTGTTCAACGAGAGTATTGAATCGGAGAGACTTTCGGCCGTTGAGGTGGCCAGGCTCCTTGGTCCAGGTTCGTCCAGCCCGCTTGATGTCGAAGGCGGAGAACTTGTTGATGATGGCCCACTGAAGATGAGAAGTAGACATGATATCCGAGTTCAAGACTAAAAAAAGATGCGCGTTAAAAGAGTCAATCTACGTTAAGAATATCAGTAATATTAACTTATATCGACTGAACTTGAAGAAGGGATTTTTAAACGGTTAATCGAAATAATAAGGAGAAATAAATTATCAGTTAGATCAATTGTTTAGGCCAGAGGTTTTCGCAGAATCAGGAATCTTTTAACGATGCAAAATACCGCTTGCTCGCTTCGTATGAGCCCATCATAATCGCACAAGCAGGGACAACTTTCATCAAACGTGGAGAGAACCCGCGGAAAAAGCCTCGCGTTCCATTTTCTTCCTTGATAAGACGAGCGATTGTGGATATACTCGGACTTTTGGTCATATCTGAGCCAAGCATCGTTTGTTGCCGTGTTTTGATAACATCGAATGGCTGATAGTTTATGACTTATTCCAAAATGAATGAGGTTCAAAGACTTACAAGAGTGAGAATGCCTGCGATTGCCGCTGCACAGGAAGCGCACACCAAATTTCTCGTGTGAAATGAGTCAATCGGCAGTTGCGTTTTCAAGCTTTCGTAGATGCCAAAGTAGAGGGCAGAGAACGGGACATCGCGGAGGAGTGTAGCGCTGAAACCAATGCCAAGGGTGCGCCATCCTTGAGCACGAAACGTTCTTCCAAAGAGTGAGGTAGTTGCACCCCACGTTAACCCGTCGACTTGCATTCGCGTCCGAATCATTTCCATCGGAGATACTGAAATGATATTAGGTTTTAAAAAATATAAATTCGGGTATGATGATTTAAAAGCGTTGATTCCTACCTATAACAGTTGTAAGAGTTCTTGCAGCAGCGCCACCGAAAAATGGAGCGATGTCGAGATAGGTTTCCGGTAGATAACTCTCAAACAGATCGCGAAACTGCTCGAACGAGGTAAAGTACAGGATTGTAGCGGGAAAAGCCATCACCATCGTTGCGGGGAGTCCAGACCACAAGCTAGCAATACCTTCAGTTCGGGCTAGATGTGCCATCAAACGGAACGGATTAGACTCGCCAACTGGACATGAGATCGCTCTTAGGTACCTAAGTACAAATAAGAAAGTTGAAAAAAATTATGAAGAGTATGCTAGGAATAGAACGAAACTGTCGGGACCATTGGAGACAGAAGCCGCAAGGAGCGCGATCTCCTGAACTATGAGGGACCTTTTTTCTTTACGGATGTTTCAAGCAGGCATGGAAAATGAGATTCTGCTAACAAGACGTAAGCGTTCTCCCAGATTAGACCGTCAATTTGACGACCACGCTTCACTTTAAAAAGTGAGAAAGATCCATCCGAAATGGCTCAACCAAAACTGCAAAGAATGAAACTCACCAAGGTTTAGAGGCGACTGGCCGGTATGTGTCCGTTGAATGAGCGCATTCTTTGAAAGAATTAGGTCTGGAAAGACGAGGTGTCGTGCCCAGCCGAAGAAGGCATTCAGCAGAAGCTCGCGAACATTCAATTGCTTTTTTACCTTTCGGGTCTTGGCAACAGAGGATATGATCCATGAGGCCATTGCAGAATGGGATTACTTGCGGTTTCAATCCCTTTTTGAGTCGACCACTCTGCAAGCGAACTGAAGGAATTATTAATATCCTGAACATCAGAGATCAGAAGGACCTTTTATGACGTCGAATGGCGTCATTGTCAGGGCTGTGATAGTCGCGCCCGACATCGATGCCAGCATCTGCTCCTTTGGCTCTAACCTAGGCCTAGGGTCGCGACGCATTCTGAAATTCATGTCGGATTAAGATCTGGCGCGTGGAATAGACATGTAACATGTATAGTAACTGTATACTAACTCGGGCAGTGACATAAGGTAGTCAAATGACTTTGAACTTTTTTAAAAACTAGAATGATTGACGAACAATATTTTAAGGTTGGTCAATCATTTTAGCGTGATTTTTTGTTTTTGACAATTCCCAAAACAAGTCCAGGAGAACTTGGAATATTGGTTTAGAAGAATCCTGTTGTGAATTCCCAGAAGTCAGGGTCGAGTGGTAAAAATCTTAGTGCAATCTACATAAGTCGTCGACAAGTCTAACGACGTCGTCAAGTGTAACAGGTGCGCCATCCATAGTAAGATCGGTGATGACTTCTTTTTGCTTTTCTGGGCGGAGGTCCTAGAAAATTTAATTTTAACTTGTCAATGAGAAGAAGGAAAATAAATAAAAATAAGGTTTTTTATGTAATTCACCCGCTGATACGCTGCTTCATGGAGTTAAAAAGCAAGCGACAACTGATAATTGTTTTATTTCCCTCCCCTTAAATCCAACTCGAAGCACAAAGCCAAGGCTGGGTAAGAAAAGAGGTAAATTTTTAACTGAGTTGCACCGAAACGAAACGCACCTGAAACATCTCGACAAGGTCGCCATCGACGAAGCCTTTGCAGTCTTCCATTCTCGAGTCGCTTTCAAAGCTCCGCCAAGACTCATGATCGATTTTGCCGACTCCTCGGATGACTTTGCGCATCTTCGTTTCCAACTTCGACAAAAACTGCCACTGCTTTTCGGGAAAAATGACAACTAAACAATCCGTCTAAGTATTCTAGAGAATGAAAAGTTAACTTACGAAGACCAACGTAGCCAGAGACGCTCCCCATGAGAAAGGTTCTCTTCGGAGTTATGGATGACTCAACGTGAACGTCCATAACTAGATTACCCTCCACAATTGTATTGACGTGCTCTCCAACGTGATAATATCCAATCGGAAGAAGTTGCTGCCTGTCCTCTTCATCTGGCGCGTCCGCGTTCTATCGACCGCTTTTAGTTTTACGGAATTAGAGGTAAATCGTTACCCTGGCGCAGATGAAAATATTCTCTGAGTTTTCAGCACCAATATAAGTATCATCGTCCATAATTTTGATGCACGTCATCCAATTAGGATGGTAGTCTCGAGCAATTTCCTCCAGTGCACCCTCAAGTGGCTTGTATGAGAAAACTGAAATAAAAAAATTAACAAAACTTTGCTTATTCCGGGCGCAGTTAAGTCCTAATCGTTCTTTATGTTCGTAAGAAAGAAAGCTTTTCGAACAGTTCTATGATTGTTGGATATGAGTTCGAAAATTATCTGAGAGAATAAAAAACAATTAATAAATTTAACTCGCTATTTTAGACCGGATTTAGTGCCTGTCATAAATCCGCGAAAAGAGTTACCCGAAATCGACCTCATAAGGTCTGCGGATAGAATGAATCCATTCTTTGACACGTCTACAGCAACGCAGGTTATGTGATTAGCTACCGGCGCCTCAGATTGAAGCGTCGTTTGCTCATTCATTTCGAAGACCTGTAAATAAAAAATGGGTGATTCTAGTGATTGAATGTATGATTACCTTAAGCTGCTGGTTTATTGCGCAAATTATCTTGTTCCCATTCAACGGCTTTACAGAGTAAATCGCACCAGTGACTGCTTTGGAGGAAACCAGAGTTAGCTATTGAATACGTAAGATACGAGAATCATGAGGAACTGGTACCTTTTCCTCTTTCGAGTAGCTGAATACGCAAATCCTGCCACTTTTGCACTCTTGTTCGTCGGCTGTTATGGCTGTGCCGACAACGATGAACTTTTCAGCTTTTTTGCCAAGCTCCGCAACGCACATGCAAACGCTGATCTCCCCAACATCGAAGAGGTGCGCCCACTTTGGCACAAAGGTGAGCTCGTCACAAATAACCAGCGAGTTGACGCTCGTATATCCATTATGCACATTGTGAGAGTTTTCTCTTTCGGTGAGTCCACTTTTGTACGGACCTGAGAATTATAAAATACCAAACATGAGGGAGAGAGGGCTTACATTGGAGGGAAAGGGGAGTGAAGAGCTTCTTATTCCTCTCCTGATCGGGGCCGGTAACTTCTTTGAGCTCATCTTCGTTGAACTCGCCTAAGTAGGCGAAGACTTGGCGCTCCTCGTAATGGAGAACAGCGTGAGGCGTCTCGTTCAGTCGGACAGTCGATGTGTGCAACTTCTGAATGTCGTCGATTTTGCCGATTAGTAACGCGTTCTCGTTTACAATCGCAAGAGCATTCGAGTAGCCTTCTGAGTCGAGGACGCACATGTGATTCACTTGCTTCAAGTTTACATTTGAGAAAAACAGTTTCTCATTCGAAGAGTGAATGACTGCTGGACGATCGGAGCAAGCGAAGACAGTAGATCCGTTCGATGTGTGGAACTTGTTCAAGCTCGTCGGCTGTGTTCCCAGTTGAATTCGCTTCTTTGTTGAGAATGTATTGTCGTCTTTGAGCTTGATGTAGAACAGCGCGCCATCACCAATCGACACCAATAAGTATGGGGTCTTGTTTTCTCCGAACGAATTCAAAAGAACTGATCTTGGAATGATGTCTCCACCAAGTTCCATTTTAGCGATTTCTTCCATAAGAGGCAGCTTGTTTATAGATACAGATACGTCCCACAAACCAATTGTGAAGATATCACTTGCTGTGTTATCCTTCAACGGGCTGACGTCAATGCAGGCAACTTCGCTGTTGAAAACCTTTCTACTCTTCTCAACGATTTCGCAATCGTTTATTTCCAAGTAAACTGCTGTGTTTCCAACGCCAAGAATGACCTGGTTTTTATTGACACTGCACAAGTTGATCTGTGAATTCTCATCTGGCTCCCAGGTGCCTTTGAGGCTTTCTTCCGAGACGAGACGCACCTGTTTTTCGGTAATCTGCAGAAATTGATTGTCGGTAACGTTTCCAGCATACATCGTTTGCTCTTCGTTCGTGAAACCGGGTAGATCTTCGATTTCTGCAACTTCTTGACCTTCGAGTCTCAAGAAAATTGTTTGACCGACGAAAGAGAGCAAAAGGGAGTCTTGCTTAGAAGAAGAAGACAAGTACTTTAGAGCCCAGAGACCTTTGACACCGTCCAAATCAATAGAGGCGTATTCGTGGATCCCGACTCCGTTGCGGATGATTCGTAGAGAGCCACCCATTCCCACTCCAGAAGCGGTGACGAGTTGACCTTGTCCCTGTTTCTCGAAGTCGACAATGCACATGTCTTTGATCGGTCCAAGATTGTCGTACTGGTGGAGGGAAATAAAGTGCCGTCCGGAGTTGTCATCACTCATCTGCAATCGAATGAGCTCTGAGTCGCCAAATGTGGATCCAACGAAAACAACGCCGTTGTCTATGTACGAGAGAGTATTTGGAAGCGTGGCGCGTCCAAGCGGCTTCGTAGCAAGGCGCATTCGTTCTTCTGGAATTCGAGTTTCATTGTAGTCAAGAAGAAGAAGGGAAAGTTCACCGCAGCTGTCGCCGCAGAGATACCGGTGCTTGTCGATTGGGGTAACGCACTCGATGGTACGCTGGACAATGTTTTCGATGCTACAAGTAGAGCGATTCTTGCTGTCGTGATAGGTTATGTTCACGTGGCCAACAAGAAGAATACCAGCGAGCGGTTCGGGAACAGGAACGAGTAGAATAGTGTCCTGTTCCACTTGTGTGTGTCGGAAAGGACCTTTGTGGATTGACGCGCCCGAGCCGCTGTTGTCCAAGGTGATCGCTATTGTTGACAAGTGTCGGCTCTAAAGGACTCTTTAGAATGTGCTCTTTCGGGAACGACGCAAAAACGAAGCTGTAACTAACTTACACTATTGTCGTCGTACAGCAGTGCTAGCGTAGGTTTGTTGGCAGTGTGAAGAAAGCACATGTCGACGACTTGAATCTCTTCGATTCGTTGCTCAGCCGTAGTTAGATGCTTGGACGATGAGTTGAGGTTGATCACTTTTAAAACACCGTCGTATAATCGAAGAGCGATGCAGCGAGCTTCGGGGTCGATACAAGCGTGCATTCCGCTCTGGCTGACCGAGTAATTCTTGTCGCGCATATCACCATAGGCTCTAGTGATGATCTTGCCGTCGACGTATTCGAGAATGCAGGCGTAGCAGCTCTCTGTCAAAATAAAGATGCAGTCTTTCTTTTCGTTCTTGTAGCGGAAGACTTCGATGACTGCGATTTTGCCGTAGACGTTGAACTCGGTTATTGGCTTGAGACCGACATCGGTGGAAAGGTTGACTTCGACGCGCGACGACTTTGTAACAATAAGATTGAGATCGTCAGGGCTTGTGAATTGGCCGACAACAGAGTGGGTGACAGCACTTTGCTTGTGCGCCGTGACAACATAAGCACACCCGCCCAGGTCCGACTTCATCACTCTGAAAATAGAAATGTTAACGGGAGAAAAATCCTCAACTGATATTTTAACAGGAGAATAAGAGAACGCAAAGGCGCGACTATCGGATTCGCAATACGTTAAGGCCGGAGAGACTGAGGTTTAACTACTGAACCTATTAACTTCGGTAGATTAGAGGAATAGAGAATACGGAACAATTATGTCTAGATTGGTTTGTAGAAATGATGTAACTAAAAAGATTGTCAGGATTGGATTAGAGGACTAGATAATGAATATGGCAATGAAGAGAACTAGGAAAAACGTCAAGGAAAGACACCAAAAAACCCTGAGAAAGGTACTTAGGCTCGATGCTGTAGCTGACTCAGTCATAATTCAAGAATTTTGAAAATTAAAAAGTTTGCTAGATGAATAACTTTCATACTAGTGGTAGTTTGAGTTATGGATTAGGCAATGTGAGTTATGGGAAGGCAATAGTAAGTTTGGCATTGATTTGTCTGGGGGCAATGATATAAGATCGGGTTCTCTTACGATAAGGAAGATTACTTGGGGCAGGTTTAAGTTCTTGGCGTGTTTTGAATTTAAAAGGGACTATACTGAGTTTCCGAGAAACGAGGATGAGAATTTGGCAATGAACCTAGAAAGTGCCGGAGCTCACTAGCGAAGCTACTCTGGCGGAGTTGCCCTGTGAATTCTCTACGACAAATAGATTGGAAGAAAATTATCAATGTGGAAGTTAGTTTTAGGGTTTGACGGACGACAAATAGAAGTGAATAAGTGACAACATGAAAACAGTATCCTAAAAAGTAACTCAAGATTATAGCACTATTGGAGAGTAAATCTCCCCGGGCCTTGCTGTATTGCTTTCCAAAGCGGTTGCGATTACGTGCGGAACGAAGGTGCTCGATTAAACGAGGAGCTTCTCAATGTCAGATTTAATGGTGTCAATCTGCGACTGGAGCTGAGAACCATCTTTCTGAGTGACAGAGGCGGCGATGACTGGTCGAGTGACGCCGCAAGCTCGGCCGAGCGCTTGCTTCGAGCGGACTAGAATTGAAATTTAATTAAAACATTGATTGCTTTGAGAGGACATACCAAAGACGTAGGATACGTTCTTGTCTTCGCAGAGGAGAGGAAGATGGAGCAAGATCTAAAATAAATAATAAGGAGTTTGAAAAATGTGGGATTTTAAAATAAAATTTGAAAATTTAAATGTTCGCAACTCGGAAGGATCTGAAGAAAGAACAAAGACATTAGGAAAGAGGTCGCAGACTGAGCCGAGAGAAGAGTCCGAAGATTCATCCCTAGCAGCGTCTTCAATCTTCATTCCGAGTCAAGCGTTTGAAATTACTATCCGCCAGTATTTTGTCTAACGAAATCATCACGCAACCATTCTCAACATCAAGTCAAAAAAAATGTCGAGAAATTTGAGAATGGAAGTTGAAATCGTCGCTTTTCCTGGCGAAAATCGCAGAGTAAAATTGAAGAATTGTTACCTCGAGTGGCTCTGCGTCGGCGGCCATGACGACAAACTCGGCAATGCCTCTGTTGAGGGTTTTGGTAGCTTCGTTGGCACCTTTTCGGAGCTGCTTGTAATTAGTCGCCTGCTGCATCAAGTCCAAGATCGACTTGGTCAAGTGCGCATTCGCCAATGGGTAAGCTTTAGGGTTAACCTCATCCATTTCTTGAAGGTGTTAAACTTAATATCTCTTAATCCGAATTATTCGTAAAGCTGACTCACCTTGGCAGTACTCTCCGCTCACACAAGATCACAGCTTCACCGAGTTGTCCGTTCTGAAATAAGCACGCTTAGAAAAATCTCTTTGTGGATCAGAATCTCTGAGACAGAAAAAAATATTTTCATTAAGAAAAAGGAAATTTCTCGAAAAGGAGAAGAATTGGGAAAGAGAGACGTTTGGAGAAATGAATTACGCGCTCTAGGCCAATCGAAAACTTGGAAAGGACCACGCAGTGCTCAAGCAACCAATCAGCGTCGAGTATCAACGCTGCTCGCAGGATTTCTCGATTCGGAATTTCTTGCGCCCATCTTACAGACCTCTTACGAAGTATCATTTATGCATTCTAAGATTCTTATTTCGCGTCAAACCTATTTTGACGTTTTTACCTTTATTTTTAGCCATTATTTTTAGTGGAAAAGAGACCTCCCGAATAAAATATTTTTTTTTTCACTGTTAAAAATGTGAGTTCAAAATCACTCCTATGATTAGTTGCAACAGTTCCGTGACTGTGTTTGAATTTATTCCAAAGAAATTTTCGAGGAACGCGACTCCTCTTTTAGCCGCGAGTTTTATGTACTCGAGTTATCAGCAAGGTTCTAATCGAAGAGGCGGATTTCGGTCAGATATCGTCGATTCTGAAATATAAATTTGTCTTTTTTGACCGTGGCCCTCAAGCGTTGGTGGTGTAATGGTCAGCATTGATGCCTTCCAAGCATTAGATCCGGGTTCGATTCCCGGCCATCGCATACTTTTTCGCCTCTCACCTGAGTGAATATAGCCATTTCTTCGTCAGACAACTTTTGAAAGTTCCAGTAGCTGAGTTCTTTTATCTTAAAATTTTTGTTCATTTCGTCTAGGTGAATTCCGTTGTAACACAGTCTCGGGTATTTCGAGTTTCTTTGTTGTCTCCAGTTTGGGAACTGTGACATCCACTTCCAAAGCTGTTCGTACTGAACGAGGGATTCTGTGCTTCTCCAGTCAGTAGTCAGAACACAGATTTTCGCGCTTCCAGCAGCCTTTGGGTTCCAGTCCTCAACGCTCTGCTCAACCAGGCATCTCTCTTCGACTTGTTTAGATGCATTTTGTATGAGCTGTTTCGCCCTTTCGACGCTTTTAGCTGCAAAGGAATCATTTAATTCTGTAGAGTCAGCTCTTGGCAAATTAAAACAAATCCCTTGACTCCAAAATATTCCTTGTGAGAGTGCAGTTTGTCTTTGAAATGGTTGTAAAGTTTGAAATCTGCCCAAATTAGCTCCTGTAAGGCTGACTTAGCCTTCGCGGAGAGAATCGGTTTCTTCGTCGGATTCGAATTAAGTTTGAAATGAACTTATGAAAGGGTGAGACAAAGTGCCGCAGAAGACAGTTAATACTCATATCACCAGATGTCCAGCAAAACTTGAGCATGAAAATGGCCAACGAAGCGAGCATCTCCTCCATGATTAACACTAGATCGAACTCTTCGGATATTTTCTCGATCCATTGATCCGCAAGATACTCTATCGTATTTCTTTATTTTAATTCTCAAAAACTCAAACCTGTTTTTTCCTTAGACCGTAATAAAACAGACGGATATCCGAAGAAATAAAACTGATGATTCATTAGAAACATGGAAGGAAGGGACTCGTATCCAAACAAGTCCAAAAACTCATGCGGGCTCGCTAAAAACTCTTCAATCTCCGCTTTAAAATCCGGTTTTGTTTCACTTAGCGGAGATAAGAAATCAAAAAAATCTTGTAATGTCAATTTCTTTCTAATCCGTCTTGAATGATATCAGTAATCGCCGCAATGGCAGTATCATATTTGAGTAGTACATCCATGAGCTGATGAAATTGTCCTCGGGATTACGTAGAATAGAAACGGCGGAGAAACCTGGCTTCATGACTTTGCGCACTTCATCTCTGTCATAACGCAGGTGGACGAACGAGGCGTCGAATTTTTGCGAAACTGGGAGATCTCTTCCTAAGTAGCAGTCATTCGCATTGAAGGGGCGAGTTCTGTTTGCGAACAACAAATTTCCACTAGAATCTTCACCGAAGAGCGCTTTTAGCTGATTGTTGTAGCTGAATCGCGCGATGATTTGGGCGACAGTTGTCGAACCAGTTTTTGATGTTTTCAAAAAGAAAATCTGCTTTTTTGGTATGCAGTCTTCTGGTGGGACAAGATCTCTTTCGTCGAAATCTTAATATAATTCTTTTGCACTTTTGCGATCACCAAAGCTTACCGTTTTCGTGATCTAACGTGCATGTTGGAGCTACTGCCTTCGACAACTCAAGACTCTTTTCGCATGCTGACAAGGCTTTTCCTTAATCTCGTCTCAAAACCTGCTATATTTTACTAAATTGTCGAACCTAAGTCTCGTTTTCGAATGCAAACGTGGTGACGAACATCTGGCAACATCTTCTTTATCTTCTTCGCCATTCCTATTTGACACCAAGGAAACGAAGCATAATCGCTATTGCAGCACCAACCGCCTTTTATTGTTCATTGATGAATTCTTTAAGTTTCGAAACGGAACTATTTTACAAAAATTATCGAAAGATGAATGAACTTTTTCATTGCCGCAAAATCCGTAGCATCGACCAGTTGTATAATTACACTTTGGCCGACAATTTTCATCTCCAATGACCTCGTACATATCCAAAGCCAAGTTCCCGATCGCAAATAAAGTCAAAATTCTCTTCATCTTAGAATATTTTATAGATCAATGTTGATTGTTTTATTTGTTCCCGATCAGCGGCCAAATAAGAAGAACCTTGTAAGTTCAAGCCTCAATGTAGGACCTCATTGTAAGACCTACATTGTAGGTTTCTTTAGTGATCAAATGAAGCGTAAGTGCAGCCATTCTCAAATGGTATGTAAAATGTCCCGAGCTGCTTGACTTCACAGTGCTTATGCCGCCAACTGTCTCGCTTGATCCCGGTCATTGTCGATCTACATAGATGGGCGCGCATGTTTGGCGCAAGAAAATCCTAGGATCAACGTCGTCATGAGCCGGTTAATTGCTGGTTCCGAGCAATCTCAATCTTCAGTCACTCGCGAAAATGAGACTCCTGAGAGGAGTGTTTTCTTATTTTTTTCTTAGTGGGTCCGTTAACGGCGAAGTTCCACCGGAACTCGCTGCCCTAGAATCAGTTGATTATGAGAATTTCCCACTGAGAACCATCATCAGTGGCGGTTTCTGGACAGAATGGTCCGAACTTCACTTGACGGGCGACGCTGCTACCCGCAAACGCGATCACGAACAAGAATGCAAAGATAAGTTTAACGATTTTTCAAATGAAGTTCGAAAATTTCGAATCTGCACGTATCCTGACTCGAATAATTGGAAAGGCAGCATTGCTGGCGGCATAAGTTGGTATGAAGGACCAGGAAAAGTTTGAAATCGCTAAGAGTCTAAGACCTTTCTAGACAAAGACCGTTTCAAAACTTGAAAAGACGCTCTTGAGTTCCGTGATGTATTGGACAAGCCAGCTGGCTACTTCTCCGTTGGTACCGAGCCAAATGCACGTGACGACTGGCGAAATATTCAACCTAAAGAGCTAACAGTGTTCAACCAAGCAATAGTTTCAAATTACGCCTCGACGAGCCCATTGTGTGATCCTTCTATCCATGCGATTGCCGAACTTTGTCTGGATTTGTTTTGGAAAGGGGACAAACAATGCTTTGAAGCACCACTTAGTCTTTTTGATGTCCAGGAAAGGATCTTTATCATTTTTCAGAAATCCTTTGATTTGAGCTAAATTCTGATCCAAGAAAGACCGTAAATAATAACATATGTCAATTTAAAAGTCTTGCTGATGCCTGTGGCGAAGACATCAATAACTTTGATCCAGCTGTTCCAAACGCTGAATTAAAACGACTGTCTATTGAAGCCACTAAACAAGCTATACTGGATAATTATAGCGCAGAAGATGTTGGTGCTTCGAAATTTAGCTTTTTGGATCAGACTGATGCAGGCCAGCCGACGAAATACACGATGGAGCTTACCCGAACTGACACTTTTACTAAGCCTAATCCATGTCCCGTCATTTACGAGTGGTCAACCTGGGACTGCTCATGTCCGTATTCAACGAATGATCTGGCTCTTCCTAAGTGCCTCTGCGATGCCCAAGGAAACAGTATTCGTCGCCGATTTCAAGTGTGCATTCCCGGTTCTGTCCTTGTCGACATTGACGATCTGACTGGAGATGATGTGCGAGAACCCGTTTCATGCAATATTTATAAGAACAAAGCACAAGTTTGTGATGGTGACGGACGAGGCTTTGATCTTGGTTACAATACGGCAAACCCATTGAATGCTGATTTTTCTCTCTTTAGCCAGGCAGATTTTGACGACTTTCAACAAAATTGTGGTGGAGGAAGTACCGAGAAGGATGCACTAAACAATGATATTTGCGTCATCATCAAGCGATACTATCCATTCAACCAAAATGTGCAGCTACCAATACTGTTTGACGATTGTCTCGATGTCCCTATGTCTTCGTCAACGGGTGACATTCAATTTGTCTTCGGCGTTAATGAACAAAGACAGCAAAACCAGCAGTGTCCGAGTGTTCCTCAGTGGACTGAATGGACTGAAGTTGGTTGCACAGGAAATTGTGCCGCTGAAGGACGCAAGAGATTTACGCGGCAATGCAAGGACGCGAATGGAATTGTTGTCGATGCTGCGCTTTATAAAGCCGAAGACTGTGGCTGCAAGCCGGAGACAAACTTCGTCATCCCTGCCGATGCGACTGCATATCCTGATGGATATTACGAAGAGAAGTGCGCAGAATGCTGTCCAAGATGGCACAGTTGCACTCCAACTCCACAACAAGGCACTTTAGGGCAACCGGATTTTGTTGCTGCAGTAACATGCCAGTTTGACAATGACTTCGTCCAAGGGGCTAATTTTTATTTACCCGCAACTATTGCTAGAGTTTGCAGAGAGACCAATCCAGATCAATGTGGTAATACTATCATCAGTGAAGATCTACGTTGTATGTGCAAACCACCAGAGAGCAATAACTGGTTAACAGCAGTCTGGAATGATGGGAATACATACGACCTTTGCCCCGTTAATCTTGGAGCTGAAAGACTTCAGGCACTAGTTTAACATATTTAAGCCGTTTCCTTACTATAACCTTTTTACACGCATGAAAGTTAAAACTCAACATAAGCTAACATCTCGATATTTTGGCGTGGTAAACAGAGATTGCGGGTTCGAGTGCTGTGCGGAATGGTCTCAGTGGACAGAGTGGTCTGTCTGCGCTCAGAACGATGCTTGTCATGATTGCAACACGGCCTTTGTCTCTACGAATACTCGCACGCGTGAGAGCTCGTGTGGATGCGCTGCTGATAATATGGATGAACGACTACGACGTTGCAATGTGAATACCGAAGATGAGCTAAGAAAAGTTCAAACCCTTCCATGTACCGACTACACTTGTTGCCCGGAATACTGTCTTGGAACATTTTCCGTCTGCTCCGAGGATTGTAGAAATGCTACGGTTGATGCAGCTGGAATTTGTTCGGCCGATCCCGTCGAAAAAGAAGCAAAATTCGACCAGTGTTGTCGAAAACAGTTCGTCGGTGGTAACCCTTCCTCGATAAGTCAAGAAATTTGTGACAACGCAGGTCTGGTGGTTGACGAAACAAGAACTCAGACTGCGACCTGTGACGATTTCGAATTCTGTTGTAAATTTGATGACTGGTCCGAATGGTCAGAATGTGCACTTGATAATGGTCTTAGCTGCCCGAGATTCAAAGAAAAGGGGAGAAAACATCGAACAAGAAACCCAATTTGTGGTGACAAAGATGTATGTGGGACAGATGAACATTGCCTCGAAGAAGAATCATGCGATATAGATTGCAGTATGTCAATACAAACAATATAAATACATTATTATTTTCAAGATTATCATTCTTGACCAATGGTTAGACAATCATTCCACAAAAATTCAGATCCGTGGAGCGGATGGTCATGTTGGTCAGAATGCTCAAAAAGTTGTGGCGGAGAAGGCCTTAGAAGTCGCGTCCGCAAGTGCACTGATGATATGATTGGCTCAAAAAGCTGTCCATGTAACTTGGGCAACGTTGGTCATGACACTGTTTGTGCTGCTAATCAAGGTATCTGCGAGATACTATCTACTAACTTAGTAGTACTAAGAAAATTACCAAAATGAGTTATTCTTTATTGATCTTAGGAGTTTGCGATGTTTCTGGAAGTGCCACATGGCTTCAAGCTGTCGGCCGTAACGAGCACCAAATCGATGATGGAGGCTTTATCGAAGTCGAGAGCTGTGGGTCCGAAAGCACTTGTCCATACTGGCGCACAAAGGATCTTCTAGACAGAGGAAGCGGCCACGACTGGAGTGAGTGGGGATCTATTGGAAGACTCGGAGTTTGGGTGAATGGACGATGTAGTTCGACATGTGGCGAAGGAGTCCAAACAAGACAAAGAGAGTGTGTTAGCGTGTCAGCTGATGGATCAGTGATCAATCATCCTCACGAAATGTGCGCAGGGGAACCACCAATGGCGTCTGCAGAAGACGAAATCGAGAGACCATGTAACTTGGGCCCGTGCGAAGGCTGCGAACCGTGGACACAGTGGACATGTCCGTCTTGTTTTAACATCGGCGTCAAGGCTAAAGACATATTTGCAACACGGAAACGAACGTGCGAGGACCAAATCGAAGTAGAAGAAGGCCCAAGTTGTTTAGACCTAGGACTCGAGCTTCCAGAGCTGATGTGTCCCGAATGGCAAGATTGGAAACCCGCACGAGGTCTAAGAGGCGAGTGCAGCTGCCTTACGAATACATTTATTGAAGAGCGACTTTGCACTGCGTACGATATAAAAACCGGAAAGCCAATGTGTCCGGGTGAAATGGAAAGAAGAAGTCCATGCGTGCCGACAAATTGCCGTAAGCTCTTGCATATAGTTTCATTATTTTTTTTTTAAATATATCACCTAAAATTACCTTTTAGCTCGTCTTGGTGACTGGACTGCATGGGAAAAATGCTCCGGCGGCACTAAAAGTCGAGTTAGAGCATGCAAGGATCCTAGTGATAACGAGGTAAGAACAGTTTTTATCGAAAAAAGAGTTGATTAAAAATAATATACTTTCAGAACATAAATTCATTCTTGTGCCCGGAAGATAGATTAACCCAAGTTGTCGCGTGCTCTTCATCAAGAAGTGAACAATTCACTGTGAGTCCCGATAAAAAATAAGTGTATTAAATTCATATTAAGATTGCGATGAACGTAGATGAAAGACCTTCGGACGAAGGCATAATACAAAGGGTAAAAGATGCTCTCATGAAAGAGTTTATCAAAGAAGACTTTTCGCTTGAGTCATTTATTGATGAAGTAGATGTAGAAATTTCTAGGTAACAACTAAAAATTTATTCAAAAATTAACCTGTCTCAGAAACGATGATGGCGAGTACATAGCAAAAGTCAATTACGAATACTACAAGCCAGAAGACGATGACATGGAAAAGTCCCTGATGTTTGCACTTGAAAATGTAGCAAGAAACACTCTCGAAGAGTACAAAGAACCTGTCGGTGTTAATCCTTCTGATGGTGCGAGTTTCTCATATCTTTGTTCTACTGTTTTCGCTACTGTTATGATACTTACTTTATTTTAATTCGAATAAAAAAATTTCACTTCGCATGTTTTATGGCGGTGTTTTGACCGTTCAAAATAGACGTTTTTGATGAACTTTCACAGGTTATCTCAAAGTGCAGAGCATGAGAACAAGCGCAGATGAGAATCGGTACAGATGTCTCTTTTCAAATCCAAAAGGGTCTTGTTCATAGAGCATTTAGTTGAAAAATGAAGTTGTCAGCTTTTGTTTTTGGATGTGCCTCTGCTAAGGACCGGACTATTGCTTATTTGTTTTACTTTTTCAGTTAGAAACACTGCAAAAATATCCAATCTAAAGGTTATGTTCCACACGAGGAATCCTGGAGATTGCCATGATACCTGTGTTCTCAACCGAGTCTGTCAATTCTGGACTTTTGACAACCGCATGGACCCAGAGACTGAGCAAAGACGGCACGAGTGCCACCACCAAAACCACAATTCATACGAGAGTATCCACGATGCTGAGTATATGCAGTGTGGCTCTTTCTCCGAGCCACAGGGAGCCGTTCACAGGACTTGGCTCCAAAGATTTCTTCTTAGTTTAAAAAATTAGCTGAATCTAACGAAATCAGAACATGATTAGAAAAAATATGGAATAGCCAAAGAAAGCAATTGCCGGTTTGAATTCGGGGCGAACGACTTTGGTCGCAAGTTCATCCAGACTCACACTCCAAAACAGTGCATGCAGATCTATGAGCTTTGCCGTGAGTGCTCTGCTTATGAATGGCGTGAGTACGATACCGTCACCGGAGAAATCGATGGACACTCGGTCACTGAACACGTTCCTGGACACTGTGTACTCCGAATCTAATTTGTCCGACTGTATACAAATACAGCTCGTAAACGATCTTCTATCGCGAAAATCATGCATAGATTTTATTGACTTGAATAACAGAATTGCATAATGAAAATATGCGTCAAAGTACTTTTGTTACAGAATTAAGGGATTGAACCTTTTTTTTATAAATTATTGCGCTCAAGTGCACGCATTTGATAAGGTGCTTGCAAATTGGAAAATATTAGAATAAGAATTTATAAAGCAGGAACTTCTAGGGCCGTGAGGAGGTTATGATTGGTGTTAACTTTGCGAAACTGTGGCAGCAAGTTTGTTGTGATTCGCGATAGACTGATAAACGCGCCCCAGGGCGCCCTTGACCCCGCTGGCGGGCGTCGACCTCGAGTGTCCTTCGAGATCGCTTCCCGAGTCTGGCGAAGACGTTGTGGCGCCGGCAAGTTTCCCAGTGGAACCCGCCAACGAAGCCGCTGGAGTAGGCCGTTTTTTCTTATCACTAAAAGGGCGTGTTTACTTCTCAGGAGCTCACTGTAAAGGTCAAACCTATTGAGGTATTCAGCGATTTTTTCTGCTCGCTCGAGGTATTGTTTACATTTTGCCAGAATTTTCTCCTTTACTTTGTCACTCTCAGTTTCATCTGAACTCATTTAGACAGCGAAATTGAAAATCTCTCTTACAATTTATAGATTCGAGAAAATAGACGAGAGCGTGTTGATAAAGTGTAAGTGCTTCGTTATAATTACGTTGTTTGTCTTCAGTGACAGCTCGCTGGACCAGTTGCAACGCGGTTTCCAAGCTTGACGCTCTTTTAGATATGTTCGACTGAATAAACATTTTTAATAGAAGCCTAGATTAACTCGGCTGCAATTAATGAAAAAGAAGAGCTCGAACATTACAAATAAATATCAATTTTAAACAAGAACATCATCGAGAGCAACTTATAAACGCATGTAGTGAATAATTAAAGAAGAGTTTTGCCGAGGAATTCAATGATCTTTAGGATCTGGGACATCGCCAAATCGGAATGAAAATAAGAGCAAGTACTGTACCCGTGAACGAAGCTCATTTCGGGAGGCTCTTTCTTCTAGGCTGAGCAAAGGCACTCCTTCGGTCATCGTCGATGCATCTTTAACTGTAATTCGCGTGATGCATCGTAAGCAGTAATTACCCATGCGTACGCCAAACGAGATGAGAGCTTGTTTATGGTTCGCTATATACCATACCATTATGTGTTTCTAATTAGTACGTCTAATTTCTAGACTCGAATTTCTCTGAACCTTGCCTAGAATGCGACCATGCACTATTCTGTTTCCTGGTTGAGATGAAAGGGAACGTCTTCAGCTGCGAAATCTTCGAACTCGCTGATCTCTCCTCCTCATAAGGAGTTTTAATGGCACGCTCACTGCTGAGTTTGCTTCCCGTAGACCGTTAACATCAATTATCTTCCTCGCTTTTCAATAGTCGTTTCTCCTCGCCTTTGCGTCTGAAAAATACGTAATAAAATAGCATTAGATGATTATTCTATTAGGCCGATAGCGCTTCGCTGATTTAGAAGAGGATACTTCATCTCTGTGACACTACTTTTCTGAATTAACAAAGTTAAGCCGATAAAAATATTCTTTTAACGATTAATTTTAACTTGACAATAAAAGTTAGAAGATATATAAATTATATAATATAATTAATGGTCATAAATTAATTATTGTAATAAAGAGTCAATGTTATACTTATCGATAAGATTATGCCGTCGTTGATTAATTCCGTATAATGAAAATAATAAAAAGGATTGGTATGCAAATGAAAAAAAGAATAGCTCGAGGGCACAAAATAATTCACATAGGTTTCTAGCGAACGAATACACTTCCGGTAAAGGATACGCTAGTGTCTTACATTAAATGCGAATCGCCACGTTCGAAGGAGTTTTCTAGGCGTTCTTCTGATTCTGCTTGCACTCTTGTTGTAAGAATTTCAAAATTCAAAGGTGAATTATTTTGAAGCGCGAACTTGGCGACGGGTCTCTGGTGGGTGGAGGAGCTGGCCCCGGGTCGCAAAATGGGACCAATAGAAGGTGGCGACGCTCCTCCACCACCGAATTCTCGCAAAACCGATAGAAACCGTCGTTTAAATCAGGATACGGCATAAATGTCAATACTGCAATGCTTTCAAGCGTGTCAATAAACGATTTCAATTGATTGGTTATGTTAATATAGGTTTTTTATTAAAAAGAGTGTTCTGATGATACCACAGTCAAATAATAACTTGCTAATACAGTTACTAGCACAGTCAAAATCAAATTCAAACAGTCATTAAGAAAAACAGACACTTTTAAGAGTTCCTTTGGTGAGCGTCAACTCCAATTTTCGCATTCAATAATTTCAGTTCGCAGTCAGTACAGTTGTTTTCCTTCATTTCAAGCTCTACACGTAAAAGCTCCCCTTGGTACTTTTGGGGAATTTCGACGCTACTAGAGCGATAATTCGACAGTTTATATTTTGGGAAGTTTTCATGATTCTCCTCTTTGATTTTTTCAGTAGAGAATACCGCATGTGCCGTGCAGAGTTTTCTTCCAGTGCACCATACAAATTTAAAGAGCAGCTCCATTTCATTGAGAGACCATGTGACTTGAGCATCTGATGGTAGCTCTTAATTCAGATTTAAGAATAAACATCACTTGCAGATGCACCAGATCTCGTGATCGGTTTATCATAAACATAGATGCACATTTTCTTTTGTTTTTGCTTACCAAGGCGCTCAATCGCTTCCAAATTAAACTCTCCTGATAATAAAACATCATCACCACTAGTACTCAGTACGGTTATAAATTTGTGCATCTCGCCGCTTTTTCTGTGAGAAATGGCTATGTTAGCACCGTCAATTCGGATTTCGTCTTTTATGGGCATCGAACTTGTGCGACTCCTGACAATTTCCCCAGACAGATTCTTTACAAGAGTAAGTACTTAACTGCAAGGTTATAGACTAAAGTGCAGCACTGTGTCAAAATAAAATGCCTTTCCTAGGTTGATCGCGTTTCCGCTAAAGGGCAATGTCTTCGAATTACAAAGAATATCAACAGAGTCGTAAAGATGATCGGAGGAGTCTTCATGGAAATCGTAACGCGTGCGCAATTTGATCTTTTCTGATTCTTTAGATTGGTCAGAAGTCTTAGTTTCGAACTAGGTCTAGTTCAAGGTGATGCAAATCTGACCTGACCTTTCAGAACCCATGATAGTGTTGAGCTGCTCATGGGACTGTGTTTGTCTAGTCTTATTTCGCTCGCGAGGTCAAAGGTCATTGTTCTCCTGACCCCATCTCTAAGTATCAAAACGTAAACAACATCAGTAGCTGCTGTTTTAACAACTCGGTGTATCAGCCAGCCAAGGGGCACTTCCCAAACTGACGCTATCTGTTCATCGCGGCGAAAGAAAACGTGAATCTTCTCTTTGAACACATCAAGAATGTATCCCTCAGTTGCAAATATTGATGAGCTCCGTAAGCAAGGACAGGGTCCAAACGGCCGGGATTCTATGCTTGAGCTTTTAACTAAGTTACCGGAGGAGTCATCCAGCGGAGGACTACTGTCATACACATAAAGTATGTATAAATTGCCAGCTTTTCCTGAATAAAGAAAGCGCTTCTTTCCTATTTTGAGCAAAAATAACCCTGCGCCAACGTCACAAAGGCCAAACAAAGACCCGTTAGGCTTGATTGGTGGTTGTTTTATGAGTGAAGCTGCTCTCCTGAGTCTTATATTCTTAAATTTTTCTAAACATCCGATAAGTGTCGTTATATTGATCGTCGGAAACAATTGGAAACGATCCAGATCATCGCCTCTCTCTTTACCGGCGCGCTTGACTTTCTTCTGTATCAATTTCTTTTGAAATGATTAGCAATCTTGGGACGATGTTAAAATAACCTTTGTCAAGCTACGAATCACTGGATAGGGGAGAAAGGAAAATGTAACCTCAAGATGTCTTTGGAGCGAGCGTTCTGAGTCTTTTTCAAATTGATTCTAATCTGTGGGTTTCCAGAATTTGCCCATCAATTTAAGAATTGATTCATCTAGCAAACCCTTCCCAGAAGAGTTTTCAGTGTTTGCAGATAATCACTGTGAAGAAGGTTTTCTGGTTGGAGAAGTCCTCTTAACCAGAGAGAGTTGACTTCCTGCGCCCATTCTAACCGAGCTAGTGCTCCTTCATAACTGAACATCACGGGTTCTTGTATTTCTCTGAGAAACGGATCGTGCTATCTTCTTCCTTTTAAGATTTGTACAAAAACAGACTAGGCTGCTTTTATTTGAAATAAGTTGGAAGAGCGGACCCTCTCTTTGTTCATTGAGATCGTTCGGGGTCATTGTCGTTTCTTTATTTTCTCAGGAAAGTAGGCGTGGACCTTCGTGCGCAGACCAATTTTTCAAGACCTCCTACTGTCTGTTTCTTTAATAAATGTTTTCCTATCTCTATCTCATCCCTTTAGAGATTAAACTAGCGGAATGCTCGGTTCTTAGAAAATTCCCCTCCGGCGGTGACAGAAAACTTTCAATATGTAGAAGTGGCATATAAATTAAATTTATATAATATGGTACATATTAGTCACAGAAGACTAACAATTACTTTAAGTATATTTCATTATATTTGCAGTAAGTTACTCGCTAAAATACAATATGTTTCAATAATTCCTAAGGATAACTGGATAAGTAAAGCCATATGGCAAAGACTATTTCGAAATGCCGTATTTCGAAGAAGAGCTTTATCTAATGCAAAAGTCGTGTTTCTTAATTATAGCTAATTCAGGCACAAGAGAATTTCGAGGCGAGGCGCATCTGTCTTGTTTAGTTTCAACAGAGAAAAATATTTAATTGGCGTACTAACTTCATCAATTTTAATTAAACAGAATATAAAGAGAAGCATCGGAGATGCATGTGCACAATACACCAGGCCGTGGGACATCGCTTCTGCTCCCATCAAAATGCTTAAAAAACTTTTTGTTTCAGTGATGGCGGCTCTTTTAGGAAACGTTTGTGAGAGATTTATACACGCAGAAGAGGACTGAATTTCTTTAAAAAAACGAATTTAAGTCGTCGGGCATGGCTCACCGATAAACTGGAACAAGAGACAAACAGGATGGACCCTTAACTCGATCGGGTACAATGCGGGCTTGAGTAAGTGACCCTAGGAAAGCAGCTTTTTGTGCAAACATGAGTTTCGAAAGCGAGGGCATTCCTAGGCAAGCAAACTGTATTTTTCAGATGCCCTGCAAAAGCTCTTTGGTAAACGCATGGTCAAACGAGGAACGTCCCACGAGGAAATGCTTCAGGAAATTGTTCAATTTTTCCCAGTAAAATTCTGCTATCAATGATCGGTGATGAACAGGAATCAAGGATGACTCGGCCGAGCTTTTAGAGCTGGAACGAATTCTATCCGACTACTTGAACTCACCAGCATTCAATTATAAATAGACCTCGAAGACGAAAAGTTGCGCTGGAATTTTTATACTACGTGGATGTATCTGATTTTGTGTTTTTTTATTTACGCTCTCAATACTATACCGTGATTTATATAAATAAAGTTCAACAAAAACGTATTTTTGGCAGAATTTATTTAACAGCAATTTCTTGAAGTGAAGATGAATTATTTCTAATGAGAGGGGCATAAAGATTGAACTCGAACTGAGAGGAAATTTGATAGTATGAACTGTGGACTATTATTCATCGATAAAGTTGGTGCAGATTTGAGCGAAGTCGGATGCATACTTCATGTGCAGATTGTGTTTTCCTCCTGGAAAAGCTTTGTACTGCACTGGGACATTATTAGATTTCAAGCCATTTACTATTTCATCGGCCATCTCTTGCGTAATCCAGAAGTCTTTCTCGCCATGAATAACGAGAGAAGGAGAGTCCACGTTTTGGAGCTCCGTTCGACAAACATCTCCGTTTCGCTCGTCTTCATTCAAATTATGAAAAAACATGTTTTTATTCATACCAATATAAGTGAGAAAACAATCAATCCAGTTTGCCCACATATCCTTGAATTCAGCAGCTCCGTAAACGGTTTCGTATGGCTCCCTTGCTCGTGCCCCCCAGTTGTCAGTATTACGCATTTTTAAATAAGTTTCTCGGTCTTTAGGTTTGATGAAAAGGTGCAAAAGAAAGTTTAATTATTTCGGTACAAGAATACTTATCTTTTGAAGTCTATTTCATCAGTTTCCTGACTCTGGAAGTGTTGCATTACTTCCGAAAACTATCATTTTCTCAACCACCGATGACAGGCTTTTATTCCCTGCAACGCAGATTGCCGTTATGCCTCCGTCAGACCAACCGATGAGATTCGCCCGGTCAATTCCAAGCTCTTTCAAACAAAAAGCGAAGTCTTCCGCGTCTCGCTGAAGAAGATTTGCGGCTGGCCATGTTCGCAATGGCGGTCGCGCACGGCCATGACCAGCTGGCTCGAAGGGATGGTTGGACATTTCCCTTGCACAAGCTTTGAGCCAGGATACCACACCGCGCTACTAGCCTAGATATGGGGGCGCAACGGCGCCCGCGCGCTTATATGAAAAGCATCAGCGAGGAGATGGGAAAGGAAAGCTTATCCCTTTTAGATTCAGAACCAGAAGAATTTACAATTGTTTTTATAGATAAAAAGACTTAATGATATTGATTTTATTTTTAAATCATTAAATAACTAAGAACATGTATTCAGCTGCCTGCTCCGGGGGTTTAGTGGGAAGGAAACTCACTAATTGACCAGTTCATACTTCTATTTACGCGCCTTCTTTTACTCTGACTGGTTTGGTCAGAAATTTATCAAATTCTAGTACTCCTTACCTCGGGGCTCCGCCCCTTCGGGCCTAAGATGCCGGGGTCTAGTCTAGGGTTACTTAGGGTTACCTTCGGTAACCCTAACTAACCCTAGCCTATCCCCCTCGGGTAAGTTTGTTCTGTCATTTTGCCCAGTGCCCCCTAACCCTAACCTTTATTTTAGCAAATACTAGAATTTTATAATTTTTATCAAGAAAATGATATTTCATCGTGGATAAGCTTTCTCTTCCATCTCCTTGCTGACGCTTTTCATATCAGCGCGCGGGCTCCGTTGCGCCCCCATATCTAGGCTAGTAGCGCGGTGTGGTATCCTGGCTCAAAGCTTGTGCAAGGGAAATGTCCAATCTCCCGCTCGAAGCACAGTAACCTGTATTTATGAAATGGCGACTCTTTCTCCCACTGGATCTTTAATTTTCGTTGTAAGAATAGACGGCTAAATGTGAAAACCTTGAAATCAGTATCAAGACAACCGCATGCACCGGGCATGAAAACCACTGCTTTGTCCGCAGCAATGTTCTCGTTGTCTTCAAGAACACAGACTCGGCCATCTGTAAGAGTGATCCGCCTTGTCAATCCGCGAAAGCCTATTGTGCTAACTCGCTTTAGCATGACGGAATTTTCTCCTTAAAATGCAACTGAAGGCGAACGGTGAATTTCATGGAATCAATATATTATACAGCATTTTTAATTTTGCAAGTGGAACAATAATTTGAAGTCACATGTATTTTGGCTCACACGTAGACGTTTTCTTGTGGCGGGTTTCTGCGAAGGCTTGTTTGCGCATTGCAAATGATCGGGACGGAAATGTTCAAGTGGCCACCTAAAGAAAATATTAGGGATAGACCACTAAGTTAAAAATCACTTTGGGAAGGCAAGTGGAGGACTCTGTCAGCTGGGAGGTAGTGATCTATTAGCTCTTCGATAGATTGGAATTCTCGCTCTTGCGTCCTCACCAGTCCGCGTCCAGATCCGTTATCGAGCTGCTGACAACTGTCGAGCATGAGCACATGCTGGAAAATTGGCAGGCCATTGGCATTGTAATTCAGAACGGACAAGGTGATGTTCCTAACTCGATTGACCTCTTGGGAGAATTTTCAGGAAAGAGAAAACTCGACTGCTTACCGTCGATGAGTTCTGTACTAGCTTCCCGCAAAAGAAATGCGCCATCGTCGCCGTTGATTCTCAGCTCGCGTTCTGCTTGTTCTCGTGCACTTAATCCCGGCTGGAATTTGAAGAAATAGGGAAGACATCGGGCAGCATTCACGACCTCGAGGATATGACTTGATCTCTGTAATAAAATTACATTAAGAAAGGGACAAAACTCGCTGTATAACTACCGAAGAAGGATTCGCTAAATTAGCACTGGGTGTGCATCTTTGAGGGAACTTCCCTTGCTGAGCTTGAAGAATCGCGTCCGAGTTCACGTAGTTTTGCACGGGTTCTATCGCCGGTATGTTCTTCGTCCTCAATGACTTTCTGTCTGGAGGCTTCGGAGGTTCCTCGGTGGCATTGCGGTAGGCGCTACCTCTCGAGGGACTTCCGTTTTCACTTTCTAAGGAGCGTCTTGGAATGTGCATCTGGGCAGTTGAGCCAGATGGAATAGTGTCATCCCATTTTCTGCCACTCAGAGTCATTGACTGAACAATGAACGGGGCTGGCGGTGGACTTGGTTCGACGAAGAACTGTTCCATCACATGATACATCTGGTTTGCGACGTAGTGATCGCAGCATTCAAGAACGTAACACGCCCGATGAGTACCGTCCTCTTTCTTTGCTACGAATGAGACGAATATGTCCTGATCTACAAAAAAATACTTTCAAAAAGCAATTCCATTAAAATCAAACCTAGAGAGGCGAAACTGATTAAGCTCATGTTAAATATGGCCATTTCCGTTGTCACCGTCTGCAAGTTACCGCCATTGACCGACTGCCTCTCCTTTTTGGAAAGTTTGATGAAGTTAGGATCGACAGTGACTTCATAGAGCTGCTGACTTCTCTCTGGCACACTCTTCTTGCCGACGATTCTTTGTATTTCCTCCTCTCTGAGATTACCCCCGGAAGGGGAAAAGTCTCGATTTGAAGCAAGCGCGAGTGTGTAGACTGCAAAAGCAACGATTTCTTCTCTCGTTGAGTTGTCAAAGTTGGTGAGGCTTCAAGCTTGACATTATTTCTCATGCCGCTTTTGAAGGAAAAATCTTTACCTCTCAAGAATACCGACTGAGCCACAGTATCTCACCCGTTGGAATACTTTCGGATCCATCTTCTCTTCTAATTTTTTCCCGCGCTTCAGCTCGTGTAACTTGTCTGTGAGCTCGACTCGAAAAATCCCATCTGAATTTAATAACTCGATAAAGCTCGCTTGAGGACCCGTCCATTATTCGGGGGGCCAAATAACCGAACGCTCGTAAAAGTGACTTACACAATGAAACACGTCACAAAGTTTAGAAACATTTGCGATAAAAAAGTTGAGTTCTAAGGCACTAGGGAAGTTAACGTCATTTAGGGAAGCTGTTATATATTCACTGCTAGTCTAGTCATGCAGCTAACTGTGACGTCCTCATCGTTAACAAGCTAATCGGTAATTAACTTGACTGAAGTTTTTTACGGTTCTTTTTAAGTTTATCAGTTTTTTATAAAAAGGAGTATACATTTGTAAATGGCAGTATAAATTGAATATGTGAAGCTTGCGAATATGTTGGACTTGAATATTTTAAATTGTCGCTGACTCAGTGACACTGAGCTTTGAATACTAGCTCGTGGCTTTCTCCAAATGTTCTTGTAGTTTTCTCTTTCTCTTCAATTTCTTTTTTGAGCGTCTCTTTTGAACTTTGCCCTCTTTTTTGGTATTTTCTCGATTGTGAGTTTGATTCTTGTTGCTCTTTATTTTCTTGTCTATCTGCATTTCTGCGCTGCGAGCTGTCCCGGGATTAAACTCGGAAACAAATAAAAACAAGACCCTTCCGGGCTAATCCTCTCCTTTGGTTTGACTTTGGCCGTCTTCACTATCCAAAGTCTTCATTTCCTCTTTTACATCTTCAAGCGAGATTGGCTCCCAGCAATCATGCGCAGTGCTTGTTCGAGGTTCTACGGGTTCCCAAGCTCCGTAAATGGCATCATGATTTGGAAGTTTTCGTTCTCTTCCAAATGTGAAATAGGGATTATTTTCTTCTTGAAACTCCTCTTCGGAATACGCAGATTCGAGATTAGCTCTCAAGTGGATAGCCTTACTCCTAAATTTACAAATTGTGATAAAAATGAAATTTGTTCAAGAAGCAGCAAAAAGGTCTTTCCCTTTCCTATTGCGGCGGCAGTATTGTCAAGCTCGGAAACGGCCAAATTGAACATTTCAGAAATCAAGTGGTCTTGCCATCCCTCCGGCGTTCGCAAATTGTCATAATTCCTGCTTCCCATATCGGCATCTTTGGCGATCCGAAAACTCTTTTTTTCTTGAGAGGCTGAGTCGTTCGATTCCGAATCCCCTGATGAGTCCATTTCGACTATTCTGAATAATGCACCAAATCAGTTTCTATTTTTTGTAGCTTTTCGATGAGATATTCTTTTTTGTAACAAAGGTATGTTCTCTCGAAGCTCGAGGAGATCCGGGTTCTCAAGATTCTTCTCTCGTTGTGCGATTGGACGCGAGTCTGTGGATTTCCGCGTTTTCCTCTTTTCGTAGCCGCGGGCTACAACCTCGCCCAATCAAATAGTGCCAATCGTCCTTGCTACTTCAGCTCGACTTTCTCGCCATCGCCGAGGATCATCCCTTCGTCAACCGAGAGAAATGAATTCATCAAAAGAAACATTATAGCAAAACGTATCGTAATATGGACAGAGGCATTGGTGCCTTCCTCAAGAAAAAGTTCTTTCTCGATTCAACTCTTTTAATCGTTTGAACAATTTTTATCTGAATAAATTCTTACAGACATATTTACTGCATGGAGTTTTAATTTTATCATTTTTTATTTTTAATAAAATTAACTAAACTAATAGCTTAATGTTTACAAAAAATAGATTCTACATCTACGTATTAATAAAAAATAATTAAATTAATTATATCGATCGCTAAAGAACTCGAAAAGGGACTAAAAGGAGAAACACCCCCTGCCGAAGTTGAAGTGCCTAGAAATGCCCCAGCAAAGGTAAGAAACCAACAGAGTTAAATCATTGTTGAATAAAATAAAAAAAGATTGTTGTATTGCGACACTGGCGGCATTCTTCAAATCGTTTCAAAAACTTCGAACCTCTGACAACATTTGACGGAATAGAGCCAGTGCAGTCCTTCGGGCAGTACGGGGGAAGATCTCAATAATTAAAAATAGAAATAAATTGACATAGCAGTGACTGGTCGTTGAAAAAGTTTTTTAGTCTTCCCGGGACAGGAACCTATTTCACTGCGAAGTATGTGGAATCCACATGGATGAGAATAACCGCCTCTCACATCTGAAAGGGAAGAAACACAATCTGCGAAAAGTATTCACGAGCTTCGACTTCAAAACTCTTGTCAAACGCGATGACGGCAGTCCTACTGTTGCTCTTCTTCTCGAACACGTCTTCAACGCTGGAGTTCAGGAAAGTTGTCAAATTTGAATTTTTAACTTTCCGAAGCCGAAGAAAAAAAACGTATTTGACCCTCTGCATTAGAGTGAATTGCCTCTTTACGGGGTGGAGTTTTTCGTCGAGTGCCACGACCCAGAAGTTCCAAACAAAATGGTGATTTTCCACAAGGCGAGCGGCTCCCAGTTCAGGTATGAGAGAGAGAGAAAGAGATTTATTCTCACAAGCTAACTTAATTCCTCAGCCTCCCTTTGTTTGAACAGTCAGAAGAGGGAGAGGTTTCCTCAAAGGCAGAACACGCGCTTTCGAAAAAGTACGAAAAATTTCTTGAAGATCTTTGGGCGTCTCCTCTAATTTCCAACAGCTTGAGGTAAGTTTATTCATCGATCATTTTTTTCACAATCAAAGACTTTTCATGTTTTCTCCAGATATTTTTTGTGGCGTGATCTCTAATCAGGTTTGAATGTAAAACCCCTTCAGCTTTTCGAGCAATTAAGATAGAACTTCGCAGATCGTAAACGAGTTTCGATATGTTTTCCGAATGTCGAAACTTTCGAAAGCCGGCTAGACCCACTCGCCCTAGATTCGCTCACCCTCGTCTCTCTCGCCACAATCAGTTACGTACCATTCCTCGAATTTCGAACGGTCTAGGCGGAGATGCAAATTTTCCCAGCTAAAACTTTCAGAAATAAATAATACTTACATTTTCATGCCTTATGTTGCAACCCATTCAGAAGGCATAGCCCCATATTCTCCGCTTGTATTGCCATTCAACGCTGAATTCAGGCAGAAAGACTTCCAAACCTTTAAAAATGCCTCTGGATGGCCATGGATCGAGACCGCTGAAGATGGCCCTCATGATACGTGGCCTGCGTGGCGTCGACTGCAGATTCAAGATGGAAACAAAAAAGTCAAAGAAGCAGCCTTTAAAATTGCCAAGAAAACGGACCTGGCGGAGTTTCGCGGTGCCCTCAATGGCATCCAAATTGTTGGAGCCGAAGAGTTAGAAATTCTAAAACTGGAGACCGAAAAGAAACTTGCCGACTTCATGCAAGAAACTATTGACGAACAGAAAAAGCCAGAAGTAGCGAAGCTTTGCCGCACGATACAGGCAAAGTACAGAGAAGAAGCTGACGCACTGGCAACGAAGGTTAAACTTAAAGCAATGAAGGGTATTGAACAGATTCCAGGCGTGTCAGCCCAAATTCTCCAGAAACAGAGAGAACGAGAAAAGCGAGAGGCAGAGATGAGGAGAAAAAATGGAGGCCACAATAATCAGATGGCGAAGAATATAAGGACTCTCGCTCCCGGAATGTCTGGTGCGATAAGACCTCCAGCTCCTCTAAGCAGATGGCCTACTCAGCCCAACAACTTCGGAAATAACAACTTCCAGCAGCAGCAAAACAACGCTGGCAATTTCAACAATAATGCTGGCAATAATTTTCAGATGCGCAACGGTCAACAAAATGCTCGTTTCGCGGGACCAAGTAGTCAGATGCAATCGGCGGAACCGATGGCAGAGCTTCCTCCTCCACCAGGACTAAATATTGATTTGGAAGAAGCAGCAAAGAATTTGACGAAAATGGGGGAGAAGCTTTCTGGGGGACAAGAAAAGACAGAGAGCAAGGCATTAGAAACGAAAGAAATGAAGTTACTTCGTGGCCTTCTGGATGTCGAGAGAGAACTAGAAGAGAAAATCAAAGAACTGAAAGAATTGGCTGACAGAGAAAAAACTTTGAAAGAGAAAGATCACAAACCGATAGGCACGCGGTCAACAATATTTCAATTTAACTAAGTTATGTACGTTAATTGAATGAAAAATTGTTAATCCGAGAAAAAGGAAAACTTTTGACAGTATTAGAATCAGCAAAAACTGCCATTGCCTCTGATTATTACCTCCTTTTCACGAAAGCGCACTTGAAGTATCGACCGAGAACAATAAAAATTGAAGCCAACGCGTCCGAGTCATTCGGTTTTCGAGTACAGCAAACACGGGTCGGCGGAAAGCGAATCTTTTACTTCTCTAGTGTGACAGATAGATCCCCCTCAGCGAAAGCGGGCCTCTGTCAAGGTAGAGAAGCATTTCATTGTTTTAGTTTTCAAATTGACTATTAGGTGACAGACTCGTCGAGTTGAACGACAAAGTAATTGACGAATACGACTATGACGAACTTATTGAGAAAATTCAAACTGCCAGTAAGCCAAATAAAGAAGGAAAGAAATCTTTGGTGTTTTTATTATCCGATCCAGAGACAGACGAATATATCCAGACTGTAAGTAGTATCAAATCAACATCAATGCAGTTGGCTTTTAGGAGCTCGCGCTACCTGTCATACGCTTTCAAGTCAAACCTCATGTGAACCCGGAGTCTATAGCAAACGAGTGGCTGAAATTCAGAAAGAAACAAAAAGCAGCGAAGAAGGGATTTTTCACAGACAGCAGTTGCTTCGAAACAAAGCTAGAAGAGATCAAGCCTCCTGTGTCGGAATCGCCTGCTCTTCCTCTTCAAAACCCGGCACAGGAAATTTCCGACAAAATCTCCCCAACACCGACCAGAGATAATGAAGTTGACGACCTATCTGCTTTGAATTACGATAGAGGAGGCGAAAGAAGACCCCTTTCTAGGCTTATTACCGATGGAAGAAGTGGGGTTCCTCCTCGGCGTGAAGGGTGGCTGGACGAATCGCCCGTTCATGGCCCGTCGCCAGCGCATAGATGGAACGATCCGAGCTATCGCCCTAACAGTTTTCCAAGCAGTGACCAAAACGCATTTAATAATGGATCTCGACATAATTATGAGCCTGGATGGCATGACCCACAGCGGCATCGGCATAGAAGCTCAGAATGGAATCAAGTGGATAACCAAAGTCGTTTTCCCGCCAATGACGGGAGATGGAACGGACCGCCTCATTCAGCAAGACCTCCCCCGTATCAAGTACCTAGCGGGCGCGATTCTCGTGATTTTGACAGCAGACAATCTCACAATCCAGACTACGACAGACGAAATCACGAATACGATCAAGCTCATCATTCAGAATCGAGACCGGAAAGTTGGTATCAGAATGATGAAGATCGACGAAGACCGCCAAATTCAAACTCGAGATTCCGACCTTACTAAGACATTGCCTTTATCATCACATGATGTCTCTTCTTTTTCATTTATTTATAAAATTCGAATTAAAAAGAAAAAATTCAGAATTTTTTTCAACTGAGTATTTTTAGATTCGAAATGATTGAGAGTACTAGCACGGTCAAACAAAGAAAAGTTGACCTTCCAGCAGAAGCACCGAAAAAAGATGTCGACGAAGAGTCAACAGAGAAAACGAGTCCACCAGGAACCCCCGAAGAACAACAAGGCCTAGTTTCACGGTTTGGCTCAGGTCTTTGGAACTACTCTTCGGTAAGATACGTTCGAAATTATTTAGTCAAGAAAATACCTCTAGAGCATCGTTCATGGAGGAGCACATCTTGGGTATTCAGCTATCTCGGGCACGGCAAATATTGCTTATTCGGGAACAGCTGCTGTTGCCGGCGCTGGGTGGAGCGCCACGAAATGGACTGGCGGTCTCGTCGGAGGTGCTGTTGGAAGCGCTACTGGTGCAGTTGTTGGTGCAGCCACCAAAATCCCAGGAGTAAAGACAGTTGGTATGCTACATTTAGCTTTATTAGTTCTCACTTACAAATTTCATTCAAGGTGGTGCTGTTGGTGGTGTTGTTGGGACTGTTGGTGGTGCCGCTGTCGGTGCTGTCGGTACTGTGGCAACAACTATCGGAGGTGCCGCCGTGTCTGCTGGGGGAAAAGTTGTATCCACCGTCAGTGCTCCAGTAGTGTCAGGAATGGTTACCTATATTATGTCGGCTATATTATGCGCGAGAAATTATGATTAAGAATTTAATATTATTTAAATCTAATACGGTATTAGTAATACCTTAAAATTTATAAGTTATAAAGGTAACCGAAAATTAGTGGCAAAGTCAGCTATCGAGTCTGTTGGCCCCACCAAAAAAGCAAAAGACGAATGAATTTCAACGAACTAACTTGTCAATGAAAAAAAAACTCGCTTCATCATTTTCTTACCTTATTTTTGGTGCTAGAGAAACAAAGGATGAATTACTATCGGAATTTTTTGACTGAAAAAAAATTTTGAAATAATGATGTGTTCTGAAAGCCCATGTCAAAATAAGTCGATCCCTAAATTCCAGGGATTCAATGACTCAAAAAAAAAATCTTCAGCCAAAAAATTCTTATCGTTATTCATCAAACTTAAACTCCTTATACTTAAATCCAAAGCTCCTCTGAATCAATTCTTCTCCCTCCGCTGCTTCAACTTTTGTTTTCTTCTTGCTCATTGTGACCTTTTCTATGGAACTTACACAATTCAACCTTTTTCCGCCAAAAAATCCTATCAAGCTGTAGTACGAAAAATGAACTAATTCCGTAACTCTTGCCAAACCTTAATTTGGTGCTTTTCAAATCGTTAAAACAAAAACTAAAGAGCGCAGATATCTTAATTATCGTTTATCTTTTCGCAAGACATGAATCATGTAACTGATAAATGATCTGTTTCCAGTCGCAAAAGAAGTGATCCCGAACCAGGACTTAATCATTTATTTCCTGTAGTTTATCTAACCTTTGTCTTCAAAACTCGCTTTATTGTGTTACTGTATTTTATTTAGTGGGAAAACATATCCTGTGTTTTCATAAACTCTTCAGAACAAAAAAATTCATAGAACATTGTGATGATATTGGCTTTTTTCAGATTGAAATATAAAACGACCAACGAAGTATGCTACATATTTCTTTATCCACTCGTAAATTTCCTTCAAGAAACTTGGAATTCTGTGAATCGGAGTCTTTGACGGATATTTTGAGAATCTGGTCGAGAACTATCTTGAGGCATGTGATACAGGAAAACAAGTTTATTTACTTTTTGTGGCTATCGTTTCTAAATAGCAAACAGCTCTAGTACTTTGCAAATAACATGCACCGTGCCGCATGTGTAGTTTTAGCGAATCTTTAACCAGAGACAAATAAATAACAGTTCTATTTCTGTGCCGGCAACTCCACATAGAGATCAGTTTTAATAAAAATGAAGATTGCAACGGCGGTTTTTGCTGTTGGCGTCTTCGCCGATAGAGAGCGAAGAGGAGCAGGCTCCCTCGAGGAGTGCAAAAGCTACTGCGATGACGACTATGACTACGGAATCCTCACGGCTGAACAGCAGTCTAGTTGCCTGAGCGAATGTGACGCCATCCACGGTGTCTCAATTACCAGCGGCGGGGACGCCGATTTCTTGCAGTGCGAAGTCTACGAGATCGATCCCTTCAACTTCTGTTGCCCAGCTGGCATCGATGTCAACAACTACTGGCCAGTTGAAAAGCCGACTCAGCGAGGTCATCGACCCGTCGAACCTGACCAGCAATGTCCTACCGGATGTAAAATTGCTAGAGAGATCGATCAGTTCGTTTGCGCTTTTTACCAGCGAGTTAGCGAACTTGAGACTATCCTCGTCGACCTGGCCAATGCGCTCAGCTCCGATCTCGATGGAATCATGGAACTGCGACAGCAATTTGTTCGTCGTTACCGCGAAGTCAGCAGTAAAAGCCAGCGTTCCATCGAGAAGATCACTGAAATCGGCGAGACCTTTATCGATATCGTCAAGCTAGGTCTCGAGAATGAAGATCTTATCGATGAAGTCACCAAGGAGATTTCTGACGGAGAGAAAGAGGCCGCGATCGCCAAAGCCGCCATGGCCAAGCTCAAGGACTTCTGCAAAATCGGTAAGCAGTGTGTGAAGCAGAGCTACTTCCCTCCAGAACTCTTTGGGGGCATTAAAAAGGACTGCGCCGACTACTACAAGCAGCCATTCTGGACCTCAGCGAATGCCGATGAAGTGTGGAACAACCTTCCTCAGTCCGGTGTGTACCAAATTCAGCCCAACGACAACATTGATCCGTTCTTCGTCTATTGCGATCAGAAAACTGCTGGAGGTGGATGGACTCTCATTCAGCACAATGGTATTTCTCGAAAGGAACTTTGGGAAGAATACAGTACTGGCCAGAAGCAACTCAAGACAGATTGGAATAGAAACTGGGCAAACTACAAGGCTGGGTTCGGTCACATCGCATCAAATGGCGAAGCTGATTTCTGGCTTGGTTTGGAGCGAATGCATGTTCTCACAAATCCTAAGAAAAATGGCGGTCAACAGACGTCCCTTCGAATTGATATTGTCGACTGGGAAGGTGAAGAGTACTTTGGCGAGTATAGCAAGGCTATTATCCAGGGCGAGAGTAGAGACTACCGACTCATCGTCGATAATTTCAGCGGTGTTGGCTCTTACTCTATTGGCGATGCGCTCGAAGGTGTTGCTTTCGGAGGTGACCCAAGGCAAAAGGCACACACTCGACAGAAATTCATGAAGTTCTCCACCCACGACAGAGACAACGACAAGCTCTGTGCCTGGTCGAAAAACAATATGAGAACTGTTTTCGGACAACGAATTCCCATTTTCAGCGCAGACGATGAAGCCGCCCAATGTTTGGAAGTTGCTGAGAAGTTCAGCGATTGGGAAGAAAAACTCACCAAGTGGGGCTCGTGCTCTCAACAAGATGGTGCTGGCTTCTGGTACAATCGATGCTCGGCTGGTAATCTTAACGGACGAGTTTACGGCGAGTCTGGAACTGGCTTCTACGAGCTTAAGACAATCGAGTTGCAGGATGGCATCAGCATGATGGAAAAAGACCACGACGATGGTCTGATCTGGGCTTCGCTTGGACGAGGACGAGACTACTCATTCATGATGGCTGAGATGCGAGTCCGACCCAAGGACTTCGTGGGCTACTCAGCAACTGCGGGTCTTGATATGCTTCGAAACGGCCGATTGATGGACGAAAACAAGGCCAAAAACCATTAGACCGTTCTTACTGTGGGACAACATAATTCTTTTCTCGAATAAAAAAACTATCAAAAATACTGTTTATCTCCGTGGAGCAAAAAAATCTCTAAAAGGTGTTTAATAACATCTTAACAATAATATGCCCTCGTCCACAATAAGCAGAGTTCTTGGCCGTATTTTTTTCTATACACTTGTTCCTCATATTATGGGGATTGCTGTAAATTGGCGAGTCGCCACTCACCCGGTCAGTCAATACTTTTAATGTATAAGCGAAAAATTCACTCGGAAGAATAGCTTGGCCTTTTTAAAGAGCGCCTTACCGCCTTTTTAGGGGTCTTTTTTAACACTTGTTAACTGACCTTGATCAAGAAATTTCCAATTAAAGAGCGTTTTGAGCTAAATTTTTCATCCGAAAAACGATCTTAAAATGTAACAAATGTACTGAAAGAAAGGTATTTGTACAGACTGTACTGTCCTACCTTAGACATGGAGCTTTGTTGAGAAAAGGAGAAAAGCGTGATATTGTAAATCAGTGTCGACGCATCAATGTTACCGCTAATCGTCAAAAACCGGCCTTTAGGGGGAATGCATCGAGCTGTCGGTCTAGTCGACCGTGTGTGGTGGTGGCGCGAAGAGTTTGGTGCGCTGCCTTGTCACCGCCAAGTGTAGTTCTCGCATGCGTGTCGACGAGATCTATCTCATTTTTCCGCTGCTCGATTGATTTTTCTTTTCGCGTCTTAATTCGCATATTTTTGACATTGGGATATGCAATAGTTTGTAAATCTCGAGAGAAATCTGTCAATACGGAAGATTGTGAAATCGAGTAAATTTGAAGACATGTGTCAAGATTGAAGAAGTTTAAGTTTTGATGGGAAAAGGTGTGATATCATACCTTATGACTTTCATTCTTTGGTTGTCGAAACTAATTATTTTTTGATAACGATGCAATAATAATTTAGAAAAGTATCGAGATAGAATTTTAATGGCTATGAATATTTTTGCAAAAAACGCAATCTTCATTTTTTTAATTTTCAAAAGTAGTGGTTTGGTTATCACGGAAAGATTTTTATGATAAATCTTTGGATAATAATAATAATCGACTTAAGAACACTCGTGCTTCCATGAGGAACTCAAACAAGAATAAAAATATTGTTGTTACTCCTTAAATTCAGCTGAATTTTGCTCGTCACTAAAGCGAGATGCAAACACCAGCGCTTCACCACCGCCACCGTCCGTTGGCAAGCGGCGAATGACCTACTTGACTCACATTTTGCTTTTGTCCTTTTCACCGTTGATGCCGCCTCGGGCGTCCCTAAGCCCGACGAATGCGTCGTTGCGAGCAAGCTAAAGTCGACGCAAAGAAAATTGAGAAATTGAAAATCAGCTCCGATAAGTTAGGCTTGCATGCGACGGCTTTTCCCAATCACTAATTATGCCACCCTAGCTAGACATGATCATAAACATTCTTCGGAGAGACAGTGTTGTCGACGACATCGTCTATTGAGATTAGTATCACTGCACCCAAAGACAATAAATTGAGACTGAGGCGATCTCGAGTATTTTTCGAGCGAAAGGAACTCCTACTGACACTTTCTTGAAATCGAGTCGTACTTGGAGACAACAACGATTTTTTTGATAAAGAGAGAAACTTATATCAAAAGTTTAATAATCCAGGTACAGAAGCACTTTTAAAAGAAGCTTTTATCATTGTTTTTTATTGTGTTTTTTCCGAATTTGTTATTCCTGTCTGAAATATTTATTTTTATAAAACAAGCCAAATGCCAAATATATTTAATTTAGATTTCGTATGACGGTACTTAGCAATGGTGAGATCGAAAAGAGCAAAGATCTTATCCGATACTTCCTTGAAAAGCTTCTCAACAGTGAAGTAGAAGCGTTATGCGTCGTTGAAAGCGGTAACTCAAAGTGAGTAAATCATTTTTCAAAAATGCTAGACTCTAATCTGCGATAAGATGGGCCTGTGGATCCAAAAAACTGTTGAATAAATTAACATCTGGAAGCTTACGAACCCAGCCTGACGACAGGCTTGAAGAGATCTACGTGGCCGACAACAACGAAGAGCTGCAACAAGACGAGGAAGTCTTTACCGCAGATCATCTTTTCGATTCGGAATGGAAATTTAGCGGTGGTGGTGCTTTTCTGATATCGACAGATGAAATTCGCAAGCGCAAGTCAATCGACAGTAGCTCGAGCTCACGTGACTCAAAGTCGAAGGCGGCGAAAATCGCAAAATCAGTGTCCAGCAATAACGACGAATCAGAGGAAGACATCTCTATTAAGCCATTTGTTTGCAATCGATGCACCTGCGGCTTTTCAAGTGAGTAAACTGATTTGTAATTATCTATTAATTTATTAAATTCGGTGGGTCACTCGCTAAATTGTACTCATGCTTTCAAAATAAACCTTTATTTACTCTCTCGTAGCTAAAGACGAATTGAAAAACCATTGTTGCAATTACGCCGACCCAAAGCCTTTCCATTGCGACATTTGTATGAAGGGCTTCTCGACCAAGTCAAACATGCAGCGCCATAGAAATATTCACACGAAGGAAAAGGTCTTCCAATGCACCCAGTGCAGCAAAGTAAGATAGACGAAAGCTCCACATTTTGACTTAAAATGCATTTAGAAATTCTACGACTCTGGAAACTTAAAAGGCACATTGAAGGAGTTCACTCTACAAAGGACGTAACTCGCGAAGGGGACGACATTGACGTGACATTGGAGTCAATATCGGAGAGCAGATTCTCGCACCACAACGAAATCCTCCCATCGGAAAACGAAAGCAGTCGCTCTCCAAGCTCTATCCTCAAGCTTGACGATATGAGCATGGATGACAGCGAGCAGCAGGAAGAAATCGATACTAAGCCCGTTGAAGGAGAGACATTCAACTGCGACAAGTGCTTACTGAGGTATTTATTACTCTTAGGACCCTTATTAAGGACCACCGTCGAGATTTCGAAATTTTGACCTCGGATTCGTGTTCATCGTCCCAAAAAAAATTTTTTCGCTGCATTTTTTAACGTCCTATCTACACACTAACATCCTTAAAAATTGAGTTTGAGTTTTGAAATTTGTAAAGGTAGAGCGCTTAGTGCAACGGTCTGAGTACTGGGCGCGAGCAACTCTTTCACGGTAAATGTGAAAATCACCCATTTTTGTAAGTTTGATAATAGGAAATCATGCTTTGATTAATGAATTTACTTGAATCTATATTTTTGTGCGACGTTTTTAGATAATTTTTCCGTTTAATCAATTTTACCTTAAAATCAAAAATCAATTTTCGGGTGAACCTATTTATAAATTTCAAAAATTTCTTTGCGTTGCCCTCAAGTAAGGTCCTAGCTTTATTTTTATTTTCAAAAAATTTTGTTACTCAAAGTTATGCCAGAAATATCAGTGTTTGAAACTTTAATCTATCGAAGCGATACCCTTAAGAATTGGACGATCGTGCTTGTAATTCTGTTCCCCTCAACCAACTATCGGATTACACTATGACCAAAAATCTTTCGGAAATCTTAAGGAAATCACTTCGAAATCAGTGTTTGAAAAAGTCATTCCCACTTGACATAGGGGCTCTTAAGTTAATAACTCTTAGGACGAACAAAAAGAGTGAGATGCTGGAACATCTCAAAAGCGCCCACAGCGGTGATGGCAACCAACATTGCGTGCGTGTTGAGCAGCCAATGCCAGAAACCTCAAATGCAGAAGGCACATCTGACGCCCAAAAGAGCTTCAATTATAAGCTATTCTTTTGTGACTTTTGCTGGAAAGAATTCACATGGAGGGCGAACCTTGTCAGGCATATAAATATCCACACACACGCAAAGAGCTTTTTCTGTAGCTTCTCACTTTGCAAAAAGTCCTTTAGGTAATTTCTAGATAAGCAGAAGTTTTCTACTCACGTTTTCTCCAAGCTCGCATACATCATTACGAAGACATGAACAAAAACATCAAGGCGTACACTATAGCTGTTCGAAATGTGTACGACTATTCAACGATCCATCAAACTTACGGAGACACGAGGCCTCATGTACAGGCAGTGGCGATCCAGCTGACGATATCAGCGAAGAGAAACCCTCTACAAGTGTGAAGACTGCGATTAAAATGAAGCAGGAGAAAAAAAGTGATGTGAAAGAGGAAGTCGATCAGATGAAGCCCCATCGCTGCGGTTACTGTAAAAAGGTGAAGAAATGTGGATTACAAAATTTTAATCTATGACTCAGAGAATACGGCGCTATCGCGGCTAGCAAATAAAAATAAACTACCGTTTGTGCGCCCCCTAAAACTTATTTTTGAAATTGTCCTTCCACTTTCAACAAGGCGAGCTTCGCAACGGTATTCCTGAAAGCAAGTCTTTCTGTGAGCGGAATGCGTGTTAGTTCTAGTTTTTTACGCTCAAAAAGCCGAAACAATGTGGCGAGCGTGGTGATTCTCTGCGGCTCTCGAATTATCGTTATGGCCTGTGAAAAAACGAGCACCTGAGAATTCGCGTTTATCCACGTAACGGGCATCTAAGAAAGCGACCATTATTTCTCCATTGTGAAATAAGCTTTAATTTAGTCGTTTGGACGAGCGGAAAGACTTGAAGAGCATCTACGTACTCACACGGGTGAAACTCCCTTTACATGCGATATTTGCGGCAAGGGCTTTACGACGAAACACAACCTCATCCGTCATCGGAATATCCACACTTTGGAGAAGAAATACACTTGCGAGTATTGCAACAAATTCTTCGCCGACCCTACCCAACACAAAAGACATCAAGCTACTCACTTATCGAGAGGAGCTCAAGTCAAGCGAAATGTTAAAGGTGGGTCGAGACTCAAAGCAATGTAAGACTGTTTATTCTCAGGTTCCAAAAAGAGCGACATGGATGTTCCTTTATCGTTGGTGATCCCCAATTTCTCGTGACTTTAATCATGATCAAGGTATACCTTTCTTTTTCAATTGTGCCTCAACCTTAAAATCACTTCTACTTCCCCTTACGCTCCTTGAATCCCTCATGACAGAGAAATCTGTCAAATTCGAACCTCAATTACTCTTTTCTAAAAATATTTTTAAAAGGGTCTGGTATTTCTGTATCTACATCGCACTGCTCTGATTTAATTAATCTCAACAACGCAGTACCCTTCTTGCTTAAGCTTCTTTTATATATCAGTATAGAATCATTTTAAATTATCCTCCTTTGTCGAACCTAGGTTAGAGGTAGTTTTTAAGAACATACAAATTTGTGCAATTTTTACTTTATACTGCTAAGCTGTAAGCGTCGCGTTCAGAGTCTCAACTCTTAAATCTCAATCCTTTTCAATTGCTAAAAGCGCGTCTCTATACTCCCACTCCCATTCCGGAGCCGATTCTTTTTAACAACGCCACTTCCTATTGCGTTTCGGTTTTTTTAGAAACGGATCGTCCATACATATCATGCTTCTAATTCGTTCTTTCTTTCTTCTGTTAATATTTTCGAAGTGAGTCTGTATGATTAATTCAGCGTATTTATATATTTATTTATATTTACTTCTAACATAATGACCCAACTGGTGATATCGAAGACAATCTGGTGATTGGGTGCAACTCGTTTAAGACAAAATTTAATCGCTTTTCTCCTTTTTTAAAAATGTTCTGGTGCTATACTTCTTCTTTGTTTGGGTTCCAATGTTTGTTTATTCCCACTTCTTATTTTATTTAATAATGTATATTTGGCTCGGAAAAAGCTCAAGTGTGAGTTCGATTTAAAAAAGACAAAAAATATTAAGTTGTCAACTATAATACGCGTGACGCATGAAGACAAAGGCGCTCGGTATTATCGGACGTTTTATTTTTGCTTTTCCAATTTCGGGCAGCTTCACACAATATCTCAGGGCACGTCGTGGAAGGGCGCAAAAATGCAGAAAAAACTCTGGATCAGCAATTTGATTTATGAAACGCATACTGGGGACTAAAAGATGCCGCTAGTTGAGAATTCCCGCATCGCACAGCGCTGGAATGCGCCATTTGTAATTCCGATAGCAGCTGCATAAGTTCTTCGGACTTGATAGATTTCCGTTGATGTTGCATCTCAGTTTGAGACTCCCACTTGCACTAGCCTGTATCCTCTAGAAAAAAATCCTTCTATTTGATCTCGAGAGTCTTTTCTAAAATCATAGTTTTGTTCTAAAGAGCCCACTGTATTTATTGAACTGGCAATAATACTGATTATGATAATGATAATTGCTCTTGCAGTCAATTTCTTCTAAGGTTACGTGAGTAAAAAGCACGTTACCAGAAACATTAATAAAAACAAAGTTGTACTTGAGTGTTTGTCCTTATCCACTATTCAAATGAATAACGACGTTAATCCTAAAAAGCAGGCTTTACAGAGCACTGTTGACGAAAACGAAGCTTTGGTTACGATTAAATTAATTGATTTTATAATTAGAAACTGCAATCAAGCGACTAAGAACCACGAAAATTTTGGAAAGCGTTTTTCCGCTGCCTGGAAAGTGTTCTTAGCATGTTGACTCTATCTTGAGCATTGAAAGAAGTCTTGTGAACAAACTTGAATTGGATGCGACGTGGGGACATGAAAAGATTGGCTCTTGCCCCCAAACGACGCTATCAGAACATTGTCGACAACTGCCACTATCGCTAGAACAATACGCGATCATTTTAGAAAAGACTCGCGAGTCGCGATCAAACACTTTTTCTTGTGGATAAAGTTGCTCGAATCGATCTGTCAGCAGTATCTTTTTCGGCACTTTCCGTTGAATATTTCGAATTTTCGTGAAAGATTTTATGATTTTACTTAAAGTTAATACGACCCTATTGCCACTATCAGTGGCAAGAAAACAGTGTTGCCACGTAATCTGGATCAGCCGCCAATGCTTTCATTCTCTGCTCGGTGGATAAGTCGACTTTGGTTAGATCAGCCGCCTTAGACGGAGGCCTTCACAGAATTGGAAACCATCGAATGCTGAACGTGTAAGAATCGTTGCCGATCTGGGTAAGCAGGACACATGAATGCTACTATGAAAACCAAGTGTCAGGTCATCTGAGCAAGACAAACAAATCATTGCTACATTGGGCCACCAGGCGGCTGTTTTTAATTTCCGCTCATCTTAACGAGAAGTACAAGCGATACACGAAACGGTGAGAGGGTTTCAACCGCTGGCCGTTTGCATAAAGAGTGATGCGGGAAAAAGCCCATTTCCCGATTTTTGATTCGCGAAATGAGAAACAGGACGTTTCATTAGTAAGAATACTGTTCATCGAATTAAGGACCCCCCCATCAATATGAAAAAAGTCAAAATTTTCAAAATTTTTTTGCTTTTTTGGGTAGTTTAGACCACGAGGAACAATTTTTATTCGGAAAATTTTTTTGATCTTATGGAAAATTTTGGCAGAAATTGACTTCAAAAATTGAAAATTAACATTTTACATCTCATAAAAATCTTTAATTCGCTATTTTTTAATGGTTATTAAGGGTATACCAACCATAAAAACTATTTCTATCATAAACACGAGTATAAAAACGTAATTCAGAGCAATTAAGGCAATGATTACTGAGAATTTAAATCTGGAAATTCGACTAAGATTCGACTTATAAAATTTTAAAGGGGCTGTCCTCCTTAAGTTCGTGGACAAAAAACTCTCAAAAAGCAAACGGTCGTAGCTTAGGGCCTTAACTTTACCATGAAAAAAAATTAAGGGTATACCCCAACGAAAACCCCAAAAAAAACGTTCACTAAGCAACTTTACCTTTAACGGCCTGTATAACCTTAAATTTGGCATCGAGAGATCATCTTAAGAGAAACTGTTGCAGTAGAGGGTTCGATCTAAAGGATGCAATTAAAATTAAGGGTCTAGCTAAGATAGTTTTGGAGAAAAACTTTCACTTAGATGCCCTATTTTCGCGATTCTTGATGGGGGGGTCCTTAAGTAGAATAAAAAAAAATGTGATTTTCTGAAAATTGAATGCTGCATCACTACTAGATTATTTAAATTTTGCGTTATACGTCTTCGCACCTAGATGATTATCGTGGCGGATTTCGATTACGGATTTGTGGCACAATGTGATCTACGCAAAAAGCTCGTCCTAGAATCAACAACCGCATCACGGATGGGCACGCGTCCAGTTGCCGTTTAGGCAAAATTGACCATGTGACAGCTATCTGACTCTTTTCTAAATCAGCCAACTTCCTCTTCGTTCATTTCGATCTCTAATTATGAAAAGGTGATAAGATGTAACTGGCAGCGGGACTTTCTGGATATCGTTAGAAACAGCTCCGCGCAACGTTACAATCCGGCATAATCAGATATCGCAAGACATTTACAACATGATCAAAATGCGCTACATTCATGTTTTTAAGGAGCAGATGCATCTTTTCCTTATAAAAATAAAAGTTGATCTTTGACATCCTTAAGGGATCCCCCATTTCCCGAACTTTGGCCCGTATCTACTTTTTCTGGTCTTACGTGTGAGGCTGGTTAGGAGCTTATTCAAAAGCTCGTCTTTAAATGAGCATATTTTGGTAGAATCAGCTTCCTATCTCATTATTTGCTTATGCATTAGAGGCCGTCAAAGTGATTAAGATTCGCGAAAATGGCCATTTTAGACCATTTTTAAATTGTATCTTCTTTTTGTGGCCTTCTTAAATACAAATCTTTTTATTTTAATAGAAAGTTCAGACCCTAAACTTAATATTCTGGTAGAATCAGCATGATCGGATAAGTTAATAAAAAAATGCCAAAAATTGGCCGAAAATTCTAGTGCGGTTATTGTATTCGTAATCTACACATTCTAAGCTTTCGAAAGACCCCTTGTTTGTCTTTTTTCGATGACAATGAAAAATCGAAAAATATTTCGATTTTCACGCTAAGTGCATTTTATATGCATTTTCCCAAACTTTGGGGGCCGAAATTTTGGGGATGCATTTATGTAAAGGGGTACTATCATATATCAAAATGATCCTCAGAACACGGGGAATCTAATATAATAATATCTGGCGATAATGACCGGTGCCAAAGTTTTGAAAAATCGGGGGGTGATCCCTTAATTATCTTTCGTTATTATGAAGTAAAAATTATCATATAAAATCCAAGGATAAATCCATCAATGTTGCATGTGAATTTCAACAGTAAACTCGATAGCCGAAATTATCGAGAAAAAAAGGCATCAGTTTAGAAGCTTAGCTCATTTTTGCAGTTCTAAAGGACACTTGTTTCGCCTGATTTGGAATATTTCAAGAGCACCTGTCAAAGGCGACCTCGAACTAGCGGTATCAGCGACTATGACAATTGTTAAACGTTACTGCGCATTTGATAAAAACGGCTGTCACCGTGGCAATCATTCCTCAAATCCTTATTTCAAACACTCAAGGGAAGTTTCTAAAAGCTGTTTTGAGGCCTTTCATCGTCGACAAAAAACAGCAATAGTAAATTATTTTAATGAATGTCGCTTCATATTCGAGTCTTTTTTTTCTTGGAAAATATGCGGGAAGAGATAAAGTAGATTAATATCCTTGGGCTTTCCTCTTGAGAAACATGAAAACGCGATTTAAAATTGGTTAACAAGGGTCTTTCTTTCGCCATATCGTGTCCCGATGAAATTCTTGACTCTACTCGAGAATGGATTATCGAAACGCACACGTGGCAAGTGGTCTCAGGATTGCATATATTACAGAATGTCATTGTCTCTTTATTTTCATTCAAAGGAAGACGGAAGGCTTTCACAAGTCTATAGAAAGCAAGTCATTTGATGAAATAATGTTCCGATAATCCGCAAAGCGAATTTCGCAGAGCACGTTCCCTCTCGTCATGGCTTTGATAAGACAAACCTTTATTTGAGTTTATTTTGAATCTTGAAGAGAATTATTTCTTAAAACGAAAAAGGGTTTCTTGATAAGCGGCTTAGAAGGTTTCGTCAAGTGTTGAGTTTAGCAACGTGGCTTCACGCACTTTTATCAACCTCGATAAAAGTCCTTCAGTGTGACCTTTGCTCTAAAACAACTGTTCAATCGTGAAGCTACGACTGGAACCGATTTTTCATAAATTTATTTTGAGAAAATCTTATCGCTCAAGAAGCTTGTTTCCTCTGCAAAAATAAATTCTTCTAATTAGCTCCGATTTTTTCACAAAAGTAACTGCTTACTTAACCCTTTTTAGAGGAAAATGAAGAAGTTTTCACCACGTTTGAATATCATATGGAAATGACTATGTTCGTCTTAGCTTGTCCAGTATGTTAACCTTTGCTACACGTGTAAAGACGTGCTTTAGCTTGTTCGCAAACTTTGCAAGTGTGAAATTCTGCGTTTATCCTCCATCTGAATGTCTAAAGCAATTCGCACCGATTTCGAAAGAGCCTCGAAATCAATCTCCTTAATTAAATGAAAAATATCAACGCAGCCCTAAAAGGCTTTTCTTTTAATTGCCAAAATAACAAGTTTGTCATTTCCGGAAGCGGGCCTCTTTAGAAATCCCAGCCTGCCAAAGATACTCTCACCTGGAATGAGAACAGGCTGGGGAAAATAACAGTGAGTTCGCCGAAAACTTGTTCCCAACTCTAAAAGCTTTGTTTGTCTATAAATGCATAAGGTGACGCAATCCATAGTGTTCGTTCACTTAGGTCAAGCGACACGAGTGCTGGAGTCACCCTCACTAATTCTACTTCGGGCCACGTTTGTATTGTCAGTACGAATTCACGGAATGCCTTAGAATCGCTTTCGAAATCCGCAATACTTGATCCCTTCTTCAACTTCAATTTGTAGAAGCAAATTCAAACGTTGTGTCAAAGTACAGCTAGATATATAAATGAAGTTCTGATTGATTCGTTCTTAATTGCCTCCGCCCGCAACCGAGAAATGTTTTGACAATTCGCTAGTTGACCGAAACTATTCCTCAAACAACAAAACTCAGACAATTCCAGCTCCGGGATTCCAAGAACACATTCTTCATTTTCTTCGTTGTCGCCAATTTCAAGCAGGAAAAGTCTCACTTTGCTATTTCGTTCTTCGAAGATGGCGACTAAGTCGGATTAATCCGCACGTTCCATCCTACAGCGTACATCGAAATGCCACTCGGTATACGACATTTTGGGCTATTCTGCGTTTGAGAGAAACTATTATGCTTCGGGCTTGATTCAGAGTTTCTAACTTTCATCAAGTTATTGTTCTTTTTCTAAGTATGTCATTTTCTGATTGAGAGACAATTATTTTGACATATTACTCGGTATTTGACAGCGAAGGAATTGATCGCTTGCTTCTAAAAGCTCTAGACTAACACAAGATCATATCTCTCGTCATATTTTTCCTCCGAAACCGAATTCTTGATTTTTAGTCACTAAGATTCAATTATCCGAATTTCGAATATGATTTTCAGTGTATAATAATTAGTATACCAGAATTTCAAATTTTAATGCCAACTCCATTTGCAAGTTCGTCAACAAAAAAAAACTTGCTTGAAGACTATAATGGAAATAGAAACACATACTTGCATCGTCGATGTTAATTTATTTCTTCTTAAAAATGGTATTTTCTAAAGGTACTATCCTGAAATATTCCCATTAGATAAATTGAACTATAAGGTCGGGTGCGAAAGGTGCTGCGGTCAGGGGTGATGGGTCTCGATTACCCTCTAGCGCCGCGCGGGTCGCCAAGTCGGCGGAGGAGCAAGCGAGTCCGGCGATAAAAGAGAAAGCTAATGCATTATTCTGCTATTGGATCATGTTCCTGTAATTTTTGCGCGTGTTGGGCCTGGCCGTTCGGTGCCCGTTAACTTTACGTGGGATGACCAATCCAAAAAATAAACTCAGAGATTTCGAATTTTACGAAGAAAACTTAGTGAGAAAAGAAACATATTTGACGCCGCTTTGCCCTCCGTCAATTTGAGCGTTTATCGCTTATAAGAGAGTCTTATCCACATCTTCATGTCGTCGATAATTCAACCTAAAACAGATGAATTACCTCAAGAAAACCAATAGAAACTGGAGAAAAATGACCAAGAAACTAATAATCAGCAATAGGTAAGCTTCTGAATAAAAACGTTACGCGTAGAAGCCTGAAATCGCCGATAGATCATCGAGAAGTTTACTGGCTAAATAATAAAGTATTTGTTAAATGCTTTGACATTTTATCGCCATCCGCCAACAGAATTTTTCTAAAAGCGATCCGGGGATTCAGCTTTATACGCCACGCATGATTCGTATATATAGCATCATTTAAGAACTTGAATATGGAATGTGACACGAATTCAAAAGTGCACTACCAAACAATCAACGTCCAACAGGTAGATTATTACTTCCATCAAAAAAATTTAGCAACGCTCATTTTCAAAATATTGCCACAATAAAGAAAAAAAACACTGTAAATAAAACAAAAACGCAAAAAAGCATTTTCCATTTTAAATGGGAAACCAGCACAAGCGAGCCAGAAGTAATGATGGCAAGAAGAAGATCCCGCTGTGCCAGACGAGTGCATAATCAAAACTTGAGAAGGCTGCTAGAAGACTTTGTAGCTCATCAACTGCTTGATACATAACGATAAGCTTTGTCTCTGTGTTACAGTTTGGCGATAGGAGAGCTCGAACTGCCGTACACTCTCGTACCGTACCTTTACTGTAACCCCTGATGCAGGCCCCGGCCGCTACCCCACTAAATGATCTACCGATTTGGGTATGACTTTTCGGGTCATTCCCCGGAGCGCATTTCGAGTTTGTTAGCTATTGCGCCGGATAAGCGTTATTTCCAAAGTGTTCCACCCTTCTCATAGATCGATGTAACATATTGTAGTTAAACGCTGTAAAAATATTTTTAACAATTAATATTCAATTATTACATTGTAAAATTTCCAATGATAAAAAGATTAAATGACCCCGAATCAATCATTTTTAAACCACTTCTCAGAAAAACCCAGAATTCCACCAAGAGTGCGGCCATGAGAGCCTGTTCTAGTGACTTAATAAAAATCACAAAATCAGAAATAAACAATCTTGTTCTTGTATTTCGTTTGTCTTAGCACTTAGTAAAAGCAGGAAGGAGAAGGCATTTACATCAGCAAAAAGTTATATTTGAATTTTCATTTTCACGCAGTCCGTAATCCGTGCTGTGGAATATAATCCGCTTCTTCGGTGTCATAATCACTAAAAATTCCGTTATGTTTGTATTTACATTTTTGCTTAGACATAACTTGGAACCGAAAAAGACATTCGAGACATGTTTTCAAAGGTATTGACTAACATTAAAAGAGTGTTTCATATAAACAGTACGGATAATAAAGAAGCTTTAGTCCCTAAACGAAGATTATAAAGGCAAGATAATAATTTTTTATCAGGAAAATGTTTTTCATCTTAATACAATGTCAGTGAGAAGCGTTGATATTCGTTAAGAATAATTAATTGCCAAAACAATTCGCATCAATTATTGATTTCATAGGAATGGAACTTCTTCAACGGTCGAACTAGCGCAAACTGTACGGGGGCAAAGTTAATTATTTTTAATAATCATAAACGCGTTTTTTTATTCTTCCTCGAGATTTTTTATAAATTTTACTTCGGTTAGCTAAGTTTTGACCAAACTTCAGAATTAAAAATTCAGAAGAATTAAGATTTAAGGTGTATAATTTGCTCAATGATCAAGAATGCATCGACAATCCCGAATCGTTAAATTTTAAAATTGATCTTGTCACGTTACAGCAATTCCCAAAAATTAGAGTGGCTGAGGTCTTGCCCGACTTTTGCGGTCTTGGATGAGATCAAAGCGAAAATCAGAGACGCGAAACAACGTGAATTCGGATTGAGGTGGTTTTTAGAAGGCTTCCTTGACTTGAGCTGACTACTGTTAATGCTGGCGAGTAGCTACCTGAAAGTTCTTTTGCGCTTTCGCCGTTTCTCAATTTGAAATTGGCGCAGTTTGAAAGACGCTGCCGATGAAATCGCAAAGCTCGAAGCTAGCGCAAAGTTCATAATGATGCCGACCGAGTTTGCAGCGATTATACACACTATAGCTTCGACTAAGTTGATTCCCGAGGTCACGTGATGCTGCGAGATCGGCTGAAAGGCAAAGTTCGAGCTAAAACTGCTCATCACTAGAAGATATTATAGGAAAGAGCGAAATGGATTTTCGAACCTTTCCCGAAGATGGTGTTTGGCAAGCCAATGAGGATAGTGACCATTGTGGCGAAAACGGAACAGCAAGCAGCGAAAAGCGCGGCCGCGGCGCCCAGGCCAGAGAGAATGAAGTAGACGGTGTTGAAGTGATACGAAATTGAACCAGCAAAGCCAATGAATGCTCAATTTTAGAGCTCAAAAAAGTAGCTGATTGAACATTTTTACCGACTAGAACAGCACAAACTGCGATGAGAAGATTGAGTGTTTCGTCGGAATTAGAAAAAGCTGAGAAACTTGAGAAATTTGTGATATCGGATTCACTCCTGAAAAGTGTAACATAAATACAGTACTTCGTAAAAAGAATTTGACGAATTTTCGATGATTACCTTATTGCTTGTTCGCCGATGTTCGTATGTCTCAGTTCATTGTCGACTTCGATGAGAAGCTTGTACCTAAATTAAAAGGTTGCGTGATAACTGTATCTTTGCTGGCATTTACGTATGTAGAAAGAGTTTTCACGCAGACTTGGTACGTTAGAAATGTACCGTTAGATAAGCTCACGTGACTTGTTAGAATGTTTTTGAATTATGGTTTACACACAGGTTTTTCTGAGTTGGGTAAATAGCACCGAGCGAGCACAAGCTTTTTCATTTTGGATCGAATACACTAGAGCTTTAGAAAGCTCATCAGATAGTGTGTGAGACGTTACTAAAACTGGCAGAAATGACGCGCTCAGAACTTTCGATTTCTTTCTCTTCCATTTCAACTCTTTCTTGGACTCAATATAATGCTGCATCATTTACCCATAGAATGTGAAGAGAAAGTGCACAGCGCCCGCGAAAATCTGAAAAAGACAGGTTCCAATAACGATTTGTCGGAAAGTGAAGCAGCTGGCCAAACAAGCGGACGGTGTGGGAGTTATCCGTGACTGATTATGTTCTTCCACGAATAATATAGCGTATGATTAAAAAGAGTGCTCCCTCTTTTACTGTAAGCGATGCAAATTTGTGAATTATTATTTCGAGAGAGTTCAAGGGCGTGCTCGGCATAACGAGAAATCTCTAAGAAAGGCTCACGTGTGACTCCCTCTATCTGAGAATTACTACTTCTTGTCGGGTATGGGTGCGCTCCTTACAAGCGTAATTTTGGAATTGTGGTCAAAATAGCGTGTTTGTTTAGAACTAGTGCACGAGTCAATACAGCTCTTCGACAGCGAAAAAGAGCCTCTCAAGCGAGCGATTTTGGATGTCGCCGATGTTGACATGCTAGATAGTGTCCGTTGAGCATTATCGCCCATGTTCAGCTCTATCTTTACTTTTCATATTTTTGGTGAGAGCTACCTATCCCCACCTTCACCCGCAATATTCAAAAGTCAAAATTGATAATTTCGCTATAATACAAAAATTCAGTGCTCAAAAAATCAAGAATGTGAAATCAATGGTCCGCGATATCTGTGAGTGATTGGAAAAAAAGCTTAAGAAACCGCAAAAAGTGTGCTCCTAATCTTATTGGATTCCACACTTTCTATTGAATATTTTTGCGGTCTCGTTGAAGGTGTGAATTAGAATTGATTGGCACAGGCGGTGATATTTCGCTAGGCCAAACGCTCGAGTCAAATCGAATAGATTAGCGCCGCTGGAAGAGTAAGTCGGTCAAGTGTCCTTTATCAATCCTGCAACAACACGGAGCCGCGCGAATTTCCTAGAGCAGTGGAAGGCTTTCTCGCGTTGCCATATAAATACTATGATATAAATTATATCATATAATTATCAAAACCAATCAAAACTCTTAAAGGTCGTCAAAACATCGAAAAATATAAGCTAAAAAAGTGTTTTGCGCCTAGGAAAAAGAGATTCGATTATCATATTTTAGTAAGTACCAAAACGCTATTGTTTTAGGGGATGATAAGCTTCTGCTTTAGTAATCACGTGCTTTATCTTGATATTCTCAAGTGAACCCTGATTAAAAGCTCTCTAACAACATTTTAAAAACAATATTCTAAATTATCTCCAATACGCGTTGAAATTTCAGAACATGTTTAACCTAGTTTATCAATTTTCAAATTTCAAATGTGCACTCAAAAAGGGTTGAACATTCCTTGGCATCTTGATCGGCGAATCGTTGAGTGGCAAATCTTAAATGAGTTGGTGTTAAAAAAGCCGTTTATTTTAATTTCTATTTTCTGGAATTTTCGAGCAAATTTTGGGAAAAAGGCTGAGCGCGTGGTGGTATTTTTGCGTGAACACTTACTGAATAATCTCGTTTTCATACTTCATACTATCTCTTGGCATGCGTGGCGGGGGTCCTTATTACTACAAAATCTTGGGCTTATAGCACGGATCAGCGAAAGGTCGCCTCTTCAGAGAAATGAAGAACTCTTCACTCCCCGAACAAAAAGCTCTCTGATCGGGCGCTTAAAAAAATTATATGAAGTTAATCCATTTCGCAGTATTTTTGTTTGCCACAGAGATGATTCTTTGAAAGTCAAAGCATTTTAGGGACAATGCGCTATCAAGGAAACAAAAAAGCAGAATACAAGCCGAGTAAAATAGCTCAGCTCGTCGAGAATGCCACTCACTCTCCTCAAGTGTAACTTGGATTAATCCCCGTGCCTTTCTCTACTTTCGAGCTCTAGAATGCCGTTCTCAATCTTTCCATTGTTCTGCTACTAAAGATGTTGCTGACGCACTTACCGTACTGATTGACGATTGTCTGAATTAACATAATTGCCATTTTCTGAAGTGGCGCGTCTCCAGTTAAACTATTCATAGTCACAAATTATTCTATTTTGGAGTTTTTCTTTGGTTGCTTTTGATCTCGTAAGTTTCCTGACTATCTCTACTAAACAATGAGTTTGACTGAACGCTCACTTTATTCTGAATATTTATCATTGACAATTAAGAATTAATGCTTTCTAAATTTAATCCATTTCGTAAATAAACAAGTGATTACTTTATATTTCTAGCTAACGGCTGCGCTTCACTTGGAGCCATCTCTCAAGACGTAGGAAATACACCAGCTGGTTCTCAAGACAAAGTTGCTAGGTTAATATTCAGGACTCTATTCCGACAAAGTGACGAGATTATTTTTTAATGCGGGACATTTCTCTAGCCTTTTGAACAATATTCTATCTTTTTGGACATTCCTTATGATCCGCCATTATTCGAAAAGCTTTTTTCTTTTATTTTAATCAGTTGAGAATGATAAAGGCGAGGCGCGAAAATTGTAGTCACTTTGTTTAACAGCTGCTTGAACCCCGCTGCGGTCAAATTTAAGGGTTTCCTAATTTAAGCCTTATCTAGCGTTGCCGCAATTAAGGGTTTAATTATAGCTAGATTAACTTCTGCAGTGATTTTTGGGATAAAAGATCACGTAATCAAATAAAGTATCAAAACCGTTATTTTTTTCTTGTTACAGGCTTACTATCCGTGTACTGAAGTTTTTTTCTATCCCAAAAACAATTGAAACGATAATTTTTCAATAAACTTTGCAAAGAAACTTTTATTATTATCAGCCATTGGATACGACATAAAAGATAAGGAAAAAATCAGCAGTGAAAAGCAGGTAAACACCAGAATAGCACATGACAACATCTTAAATATAGAATCTACCTTCAATTGTGGGAGCCAAGAATCAGATCATTGGTTCTGTTGTGCATAATATTATGCTCATCGCTTTGCAGATTTCTATCTTCACGGATAGAGTCCTTGTACTGACGATAAGCCATCAATCCACCGAGAATTATTATCCCACCAAAAATAAGCCAACAGACTCCAATTGCTTAAAAATGCTTTTGAAACAGAAGAAAGCAAAAATGAGTTACTTGTTCGGTCGATTTTGCCTCGTTTAGGTTGTTTAGAATTAGCAGTAATGACGGGCGATCTCAAAAAAAGAAGATCTGACTTTTTCTCCTGTTTGAATTTGTCCTCCGGCCAGAGATAGGCCTTGCAGGATACTGACATATTCCCGTTTTTTACTTTTTTCAATTGAAACGAGGAAGTGTCCTTTGCCAGCCCTACCAGGAACGTGTCTCTTCCTAAATCATCATTTTACTTAGAAAATCAAATTTTAGTACCTTCATAATATTTATATCTTGCGAGGGGATTGGAAGTAACATCACATTTCACCGTCACTTCTACCACAGTATCATTTTCTTTCATTGCCGTTGTGGAGATGTTGGGTTTTGAAAGGAAATAAACGTCGACAGTTGTACTGTTGTGTAATTCTCCTGCCTTGCAGCGAAAATACTTCCTCGATTTTATCGTCCTAAAATCAGAGTGTTTCGATGTCAAAAAGATAAACCTACGTTTCATATGACAAGGAAATGTCTCCAGAACCATTTGCAACCACTGACCAATTTCCAGCGACTCTCTTCGATGATCAGTGGGGGCGCAGGATTGCCATCAGCTTCACATTTAATTTTTGTTTTTTCACCAATCTTGAAATAACTAGAGGAATAAACAAGTGTGTTTATTTGAAATAACATACTTAGTGCCATTATAATCAATTGAATTCACTGTAAAAAGATTGACATAAGTCGTTAAGTATTTGAAATCCACTTTTGATTTACTCGTCACATCGTACGTTTTCACTACATCGCCACTTTCCTAAGTTAAATTAAAATCAGTAAGGGTTGCTAACTGAACCAGTTTGTGATGCATTTCGCAGGCGATTTGTCTGCCATTTATATCCTTCCCATGTGAAGAAAAGAATCCTCCGAGCTCATTTTTGTTTACTTTGAGAATTGCAGTTCCATTTTCCAAATCGACAGTCTTTGAGAACGATCCAACGGCGAAATTGGCTTTTTTTACCTTCGGAAATTCATTTTTTATCGAACACTCGGCTATTGTAGCATTCGAATCCTCTGCAGAAAAACTCATCGTTGTTTTCTTGCAAATGGTGAATATATTGCAAATATGTGAATTGAAAGAAAGAATCAGAGACTTTTTGAAATAAATGCTATCATAAAATCACCATTTTCTTAATGCTTATGACTCCCTCTTTCCAAACTTGTAGTATGGACTGCTTGAGGATGTAGTCGTTGCCACAGGAGACATTGATTAAAACAATCTTTCCTGACATATCAACGGTCAAATCGTCAATTTCAAGCGCTCCTTCAATTCTTCGAGGCGTATTACTGAGCCGACAGGCCGAATTGTTTTTCTTATTTCCAAGGCAGTGTTGAAACTTCAACGCAATCTCCTTCGGGAGAATCTCTCCGTCGTATCTCATTTTCTTCCAAAGCGGCTCGCCATTCACTTCAACTTTACCTTGTAGAACCTTGATTCTTGAACCATTGATTCGACCAAATTCAGCGTCAATTCTTAAGAAACTCTATTTTAAGTTAAAAGATAAAGCAAACCCTAATGGAAAGTCTCCGCAATCGACGAGCCCATTTGACAAGTCAACGGAGAACGGAATAGACAATTGTGATCCTTCTTTGACATTTAGATATTTCGGAATCTCGCCAACATTAAATGCGTGTATTTGTGCCAGTAATAAAAACGCTGCTTTCACCTTCGACGGGCTCAAAATTTAGTGCAAGGCAATAAACTTATCAGTCATCTGAGCTCCTAACTGAGAGATCATCATTGTATACTATTATAAATAATAACTTATTACGACATATTTCGTCCCACAGTCGAGGTTCCTTGAAACTTCAGAAACTGGGCTTTTGTTCGATTGTCTGGTGTCTCTTTTGAAAAGATCTACTATTTATGTCCAAGGTTTGAATGTATTCACTTCACCATACTTGGCGATATTCTTTTGTTCAGGCGCTATTTGTGATTGTGTGAGTCGCTAGAGCATAAAATTCTCGTCGTTTTTAACAATGGCAAATAACAGTTACTAAATCGACTGTTCAAAGCGTGCCACTCAATCTAAATTTTGATACTTTCATTAATCGACTCACTCATAATTCTGAGAGAGGGAAGACTAAGATTTTTAAATATAAAGCGAGCTTACTTTAACCCTTACCGGTCAAATGGCAAATGACGACTAAGTTCGTGAGGCCTAGGTTCGTGTGACTAGGTTCGTGGTGGGTTCTGCCAGAGTATTGAAATCGGCCTATATTTTGGGGCAGTAAGGGAAATGGGTTGATGACTAGGTTCGTGTGACTAGGTTCGTCAAATTTTGGTTGCTAAATATGAAACAATCTTCATTCAATAAATTTGAATCCAGTAAGAATCATTCGTCTCTCTCGTTGTTCCTTAAACAAATGAGTTCCTGTAATAATTTAAATTTGTACTCTTTTATAATCCAAATTCCACGAACCTAGTCACACGAACCTAGTCGTCACGAACCTAGTCTTCACGAACCTAGTCACACGAACCTAGTCATCACGAACCTAGTCTTCACGAACCTAGTCCCACGAACCTAGTCTTCACGAACCTAGTCTTCACGAACCTAGTCATCACGAACCTAGTCATCAACCCTTTTCCCTTACTGCCCAAAAATTTTTTCTATTTAAAATTTCACGAACCTAGTCACACAAACCTAGTCATCAACCCGTTTCCTTTACTGCCCCAAAATGGTGAAGATACAAAAAAATACATATAAAAATCCAAATTTCACGAACCTAGTCACACGAACCATTGTTGCCGACATGGCACCCACGAACCTAGTCACACGAACCTAGTCCTCACGAACTTAATCATCGGTCTCGGTCAAATGCGCCATGTTACATGGCCCATGTACGGTGTATATTTTGATTTTTCAAAATTTCAATCATATCATTTTTTACAGAGTCACTACTATTTTAAATCACCTCTTTTTTAAAAGGACTCTTCAGTGCTAACAGCATACTCTGAAAGATAGGGTTACACTTAACAACAAAACCTCAAAAAAACGTGATTGAAAATTGGCTTTGGCCGGTAAGGGTGAAAGATCTTCTTGTCTGAATATATTACGGGTCCACATTGTTTTACTACCAAGTGCAGTGATTCAAGAACATCAGTGATATAAATTCATGCAGAAAAGTTTAAAAGCGTCTCGCATTAAAATAAATGATATAATTTATATTTATCGCATCAAAATCTATAAAAATTTTTCTCTCGTAGTCTAAAATTATGATATTGAGTATACCAATGATAAATCTTATCAATGCCTAATCATTTAAATAAGATAATATGCGATATATATAAGCTTATTTTCTTTAATGAAATTATCGTAGGAATTTATATGTTTGTACAAGCTAGAGCTTCGTGTTCCTATCCTAACGACCAATGTATGCATAAGAATGCATCACTCTTCAATTGCAAACACAGAAATTCAAGAAGCAGTTTCATTTCCATAAAGAAAATTAAACAGTTTTTATTTATGGCAGAAGAAAACTGTTTTTACACGAGAGAAAATCCACATTGTAAAGATAGAATTTGTAACATCTGGTAGACTCACTAGAAAGATAACATTTATAATTTATTAAGGGTGACATGCAAGGAAACCGGAAACTTTTCAACTGAAACAAAAACATACTATACAATTGAGAGAAAGCTTGGAGATGTTGTTCCTCTGGAATTATGGGCATCAGCTCTTTGTATAATTAATATATCGGCAATCTTGCTCTTTGGTCTGCTCATTAAGTTCGAGGTAGGTGTCATATTCGAATGATAAGCTCATTTAATTCAAAAATTTATAACGCAACTCAATATCATTTTATTCGTAAATTCGTTTGATTATCATAACCATAAATACTGAGTTTTAGGTATTTATTCATTTATTTGAAGGTGATGAAAAAAAGCTTTGAGCCGCTTTTATCGACATTAGTTGGCAACTTCGTGCTCATAATATTAATGACGATTTCTGGAATGACTTCATTGACTCTTGAAGCTCAGCGGCCAGCTGCTGGGTTCACAGTAAGTAAGACAATTCTTCTATATGATAATTCTGTTAAAAGCTGCTATTTACACTCCTGGCTGTCAGCATCGTCCTGCTTATACTCTACAAAGTCTTGGTTCCTGAACCTCAGCCTGGAGACCTGTCACCTTACCAAGACACTACTGAGCCGAGAAATACTGTAATTGCGACTCCAATTACCCTGCCGAACTCACCAAGACAAAGCTCGATAACGACTGTTGCTTAGTTATTCTCTTTATATTTATTAATTGTTTATAGTGTCCACAATAAAATATAAGCTTGGAATGAAAACATATTTTTACACTTCAGTATTGTATCCAAATAAGCGAAAGTCCCAGTAGTACAACTGGTGAAGTTTTTGCGAAGCCTGTTTCTTGTTAGAGACCACTTTCTGCCAAGCAGATCTCCATTGTTCTATAACTTTTTTACATTCGTGCTTTCTTTGTAAGCTATTTACCCGTGTCTTCTTGGTGGTGTGGGAAAGTCAAATTTGAACCAGCTCTTTCCAATAACCAGTTGGCATCATCCGTAAGAGTCTCAAATTTTGCAACAAAATCGAATGGATTCGAGCATGGGTCGCACACGCCTGTCTAAGCAAGATTCGGAAAATATCTATCGTCACAATTTTATTGAATCTCAACCCTTTCAATGGCCTAAGAAGAGGCTCACTTCTCGCTTGACTATCGTCTGCGACGAATTCACAGAAGTCGGGAAAAGTGATAAGCTCGTCATCTTCTTGCGAGTGAACATAACGCCCTATGCTGTACTTGTGAAACATTTTCTCTCCGTCGTCAGTTACTGTCGAAAATAATGCTTTCCAAACAGCATGAAGGCGGGCAAATGGATGTCGCACAACAAGAAATCGGGTGGCAGCAGTAGATACGAGAAGCCCATCGCCTCGGCGAACTGGTAGCTTCTCTGCAAAATCAATCACTTCTTGTTCTTCCTTGATTGGATTTGAATACATTATACTTTTACAGGTTACTAGCAGATGTAAAATCCTTTCTGAGTTGAGTTATTAACATCAGGTAAGTGATCGAGCTGCCGGAACATATGAATCCATTCATGAGAGCCCGTCCGAGGAGGAGCGCATCCGATCATTGGTGGGGATTCCGACACCAAATACCATCGCTTTGGGTGCCAGTTTAGGACGAGATCCAGAGGAGTCATAGATGAGCAACCTGTTTCAAGTAAGTGGCGTCGATCACGAAAGCGAACTGCTGTCGGAGAAGACGATGTGTCTAAAAGCGCACGGCGCTCTCCTTGGAGATGCTTTAAATGGATTTTCAAAAGCAAGCAATATTCGTTCTAGCTAGTTGAATATTATCCGTGCCTCAGTCTCTTCATCAACAAGTTGATCATCCTTTTCAAAACTAAGGGCATCATCAACAGTTGTTTCTTTTGTTGTAGTCGTAATCACAGTTGTTTTTGGAGATGTAATGAGGCCCTTCTTTATATTCTCTTTTCTTGTTGTCTCTATTTTCGTGGACTCTTTGCTCATCTTCTCGGTCGACAATGAATAATTTTCACTGACTGCATTCTTCAGCTAAAGTGCTATAAGAACATAAACACATTTTTCTAACAAACCCTGTTATAAAGGGCAAAGCATACTGCCATAAAAAGCAGCTGGAGTATTCTCTGTCTGTAAAACATAATTCATCTCTCGCTTCTTACTTTTGAGGACTTATTTTTACGCTATTTTGGTTATTTGGTTGGGAACATTCTGCGAACCGTTCACCGTTTTGATGCTTAGGCGAGGTCAAACATTTTTGATATTTTGAGCGTGACAGAGAGTGGAGGAAAGCTGCACCGGTATTGGCGACTTGGAAACCGCAGAATCCGTCACAGCCGACAATCGGACATTACCGGACCACAGGCAATATCAGCCGATGATAAAAACACTGATTCAGGAGTCAAAAGCATTGCTAAGGAAATTTATTAAACAAGTAAAATGTAGTATGCTGTCTGCAATGGTCAAGCGCATCTGGGCAGTATAAATATACTATTTCAAAAAAAATATAAATTCATTCTAATCAGACGATAGAGGACGTAGATGATCCTTTTTAGACGCAGATCAAAGCTCATCATGATCTTAAAGAAAGTAATTATTTTCGAAGCGATAAAAAGGAACCTTTGATAGTGAATTGGAACTCCTCCCTCGTCAAAGCACCAGATTCGTCACGATCTAATCTGTTGAACTGATTATTGAGTGCCCATTCACGTGTTTTGATGGGCTGACCCTGAATTCTCGCGCATCTTTCAAGGCAGGTCTCGAACTCGTCTTGTGACATTGTACCTTCTTTAGAACAGTCTAGGCAAACCTTTTAAATTTGTTTTTCAATTGAATTACCTTCAAACTTTGGTTCTTCATCACAAAGCGCGATTTTAGCAGCGTCAATTGGAGGCCAAGATTCGTGTATTGTAACGTCAGCGTGGAGGACGACGCTACCAGCAACGTAATCTTCGATGCCCCACTCGCCATATGCCATATGTGGCGGAATAATGAGCTTGTAGTCCACTCCTTCGCAAAGCTTTGGAACTGCCTCGAACAATCCGTTTATCAAAATTCCAGATCGAACAATAGTGTAGATTTCTATTATGACAGATAAATAATAATACTTGATTGAAATAAGTACCTTGTGTTTCCGCAATAATCGCCCCATCGGCCTCCGTTGCACCATAACTGGCACGGATAAAATCTTCAGCGGATACTTTAGTGCAATCTTTTGTTTCATCTTGTTGAGGAATTATTTGGACCTCGTCTTTTGGATTGTGAAAGTCGATCAATTTGACGCGGAAAATGATGGTTGCAGAAGGTGGAACTGCTCCAGAAGGCGAACCTTTTTCCCCATATGCCCAAGTCGGCGGAATAATTATTTCACGCTCTTCGCCTTCGCACATATCAGCCAAGCCTATGTCCATACCAGGAATTACCTTTCCATAGCCTACATATGTGTTGTAAGTATCTGCTCCTTTGGTGGACCAAAAAATTTCCCCATCCATCGTTTCGCCACGTCCGCGATACCTTTGAAAATAGTTCATTTTTGATTGCCCTGCTGTTTTACCTAAGAAAATCGCCGGTGATAGTTTTTCTTGTACAGTTTTCAGGCATGAAGGTCGTGGTAACCAGTGGACGGTCGTCAGGTGTAAATCGATCCAACAGATGAACATCGAATTTGATTGTTGAGTGCCCAGGAATGTTGTTGTTGTCGCCTTGTTCTCCGTAAGCCAGATGAGGTGGAATAGAAACCTTTCGTTTTCCATTGGGGCACATTCCCAGAAGTGCTTCGTCCATCCCCTTAATCAGCCATCCCTTTCCTACATACGTGTTGTAAGTCATCCCATCATCGTGACTGGAATGAAACTCTTTTCCGTTCGGAAGTATGCCCACATAATGATATCTCACGAAGTCACCGTCTTTCACCGCGCCGTATTTGCAATCTTCGTCCTTCTCCACATCTTCGATTTCGACTTTATCATTTCGGTTGTTGATGTCCTGTAATTCGTAATAGAAGTTAATATAGCTTCCTCCAGGAATGCCGGAGACCCCCTCATCTCCATACGCTAAATGAGGAGGTATGCGAACAAGTCGCCTCTCCTTGATGCACATTCCGTAGAGGGCCATGTCCATTCCCGGAATTAGCCATCCAGAGCCGACATAAGTGTTGTAGGTGGTGCCACGAGAGAAAGAGTCGTCGAACCACGATCCGTCGTCAAAATAACCACTGTAATGGTAGCGAACAAAGTCTCCTTTTTCGACTTTTCTTGTGCACTCTGACGGAGTGAAAATGGTCTGAACTTCAATACCATCATCGCTTGCTGACGCGAGATTTGCTAGTAAGACGGATGCAATCTTCATCTCTCTATCTCTTTTTTGAAGACTCAATCTGAGAAAGAATCAGTCGGCTCCGTGGACTATTACAGCTGATTTTCGCACGTGGGTGTACCCAAATCGTGCCCCAAACAAACAAATTTTTAACGACCAAACAACTGGCCAATGGAGTTATCACTTGATCTAAGATTAGTTGCTGTAAGGACATTATCGTTAAGGGTACCTAGGTCGAGTTTGGGTACCCACTAAAACCATTTTCTGACCCTAGAATCGGATTCTTCAGGTTCTGAGGAACAAAAAACTCTATAATAACCCTATAGCTTTCTCAATGTTTTCAACGTCAAAAACCACTTCAAACATTAAAATCTATAGAAAATGATAGCGCCTCAAATTTGGCCGAGAATTTTTTTACCTCCGATTTTGCTGATTTACGGCTCGAATGAAAGCTTATGGCCTGGTTAACACAGTGATGAAGCTTAAAATTGCCCCACAAAATTAAAATCATTTCAAAATCTGGAATAAAGGAAGCTTATCAAGCAAAAAGGCGGAATTCGTGAAGGCGAGTCCTTACTTTTGAAAATTTTGTTAAAAAAATATTCAAAATCCAAAAATCTGCCCTGTCACGATTAAAGAGAAGGCTTTTATCTTTATAAATCCAAAACAAAAAAGACGGTTTTTATGAAAATTTTCGCCTGAATTTAGCGTTGAAGTCGGCCATTTTAGGCCGAGACGCCAACTTTGACTGCATTTTTTCAGAAATAAATCCTTGAATTCGAAAAAAGTGCTCTGTCACGATCCAAGATCTAGGATAGATCTATCGAATGAGCTATTAAAAAGCTTTTTTCGTTAAGAATAAAAGGTATTAATTTACCCTCAAAGATAGCCAACTCGACCCAGGTACCCTTAAGGGAGTTATCCGCACAATATCATATTGTCAATATGATAATGAGTTTGCTTTCATCTCGGAGCTTCAATTTATTATCTCGATGCTCAGACTGAGCAATCAAACACTGTGTTTGACCCTTCGTTTGGTTATTTAATATAATATTATTAGCGCTATTTCTTCAATATGCGATGAGTTGCAAGCTTCTTATATTGAAGTTACAAAGAAGTTTTGTCGATAATAAGATAGGGCAGGTCGTTTCTTCTTTCCCAGCGTTGGTTGTGTGCTACGTCGATCGAGAGGATCAGCGTGAGTCATTTGGCTTTTGTTTTTTGTGTCATTGGCTCCGCCGTCAGGGTGTCATTTTTTCCGAATTTCAAGTCCTTTAGTTTACTGCTCTTCACTTGCTCAGGCTTACTCCCTCCTGCGTGTGCCCGAAGAAGATTAATAATAAGAGAACACTTTTGATTGGCTGCTGATTTGGAAAGAGAAACGAAGTTCACAGAAATTAAAATCTTCAAAAAGAAAAGTGAAGACTGACAACTGCCATGAGAAATAATCTTCACACATTCTGTTTAATATTTATATCGTCATTTTTAATTTCTAGTGCACAAGCGAACCCACTCAGGAGAGGATTCTGATTTCACTTTACCGATAATACGAGATTAAGTTTTGTGAATTCCTTCGTAGTGAAAAGAGGCCATTGCTTGGGGAAGATGAACACGGTTTACCTCCTAAAAACTTGCAAGATGAAAATGAAATATACGACCCTAACCTACTTCATACCGAAAAATCTCCTGTAGATAGTCCAGAAACTAGCAATTCAGAAGTTCCGCCGGCTGAAAACCCTGAGCAATCTAAAGAATTAACAGGTACTGTCAACTCGCACAATTCGGCCCTATTTTGTTTCTCCGATTTTTCAAAAAAGGACCAAATTGTGCGGGTCAGAATCGTTAGATGGTTTACGATTTTTTGTAAAATTCGTAAGAAGGGCCGAATTCTGCGAGTCGACTGTATATCAGACACTCTAGAATCTTTCTAATAAAAAATGACTCGCTTGGTCACTACTATCATTATAAAATTCAGATGAAGCTCATTCTCCTGACAACGATCTTTCCACTAATGGTCTTGTCCCTCAAGCTCCAGGCTCTGACAATGTCGATGATGATCATTCTAATCAGAAATCTATCGATTATCCAGAATCCGAACCTCAAGGAAGTAATTTAGATCCTCAAGAGTCTAAGACGGATGAATCTGATGATAAACAAAATTCTCCTCCGAACGAGGAGCCGACTAAAGTAGAAAAAACTGACGAGTCGGAAGAGGAAGATACATCTACTTTGCCGCCGAGCGAAATCAACGAGGAAGACATAAAAACAGAAGACAGCGAACTCCTGGAGGACAATACTGAAACTACTACAGGCGGTGATGTGGAAGAATTCGAAGAGCATGAACCTTTACCAACAGAAGAATCTATGAACGGTGAAGATGATGACGAGGGCAAATTGGACGACGAAGAGAGCGATACCGAGGAGGAGGGAGACCCCCAAGAAGATCCAGTAGATGACGAGGAAGATATCCAAGATGATCCAGAAGATGATATCGACGAGGATGAGGAAGAGTCTGAATATACCGAGAACGAATATGAGGAAGACGAAGACGAAGAACAGACTTTTCTGGAAGATGATGCTACTTCAGAAAGTGATCACTACGGAGAAGTAATCGGTAGTAATGAGGAAGTCAAAGAGGACTATGTGGGGCACGAGTTAAGAAACGAGATCAATGATGATCGCTTTTCGCCACCTGCGCAAAAACTATTCGGAGTGAGTTTGAGTAATATCGTATGAAGTTACCTGTAGTCAATTTGAGCAGGGGATTGATTGTAAATTTAGCTTGTTGCCATCATTGTCATGGCATCGATGTTGGTATATTTCCTGAAATTCCAACGACCCAGTTTGGAGAAGAAAGGCGAGACGAGGTATCAACCGCTGAACAATGTTGACGACTCGCCTGAACACGTACGAATGAGTTTGCTCAACGGGGCCTCGGGTGACGCTGACGACTTCGACGACGAAGAAGAAGACGAAGTTTGGAAGTAAGTCTCCTATGCATCGATGGTATAGTAGATTAAATTAGAAATAGAAAGAACCCTCTTGTAACATTTTTTGAAGCTGGGATAGACAAGGCAGTCGGTGATAGAGAAAAACCTAGTTTCCAGCCCCGGTATGTTGCGAAAAACATGTTAACATTCGCCAATCGCTAACCGTTTAATGATTCATCTTGAAAATCATCTTATATTTCACCCTCGCTCATTCGTACTTCCATTAGAATCAGTTCCCATGCATATGAAAAGCGTTCATTATCTCCCTAAAGTCGCAAAATTTTCCCCATGATTGGCTTTATATTCATAATTTATTTTTAGGTGGAGTTAAAAGTGCCTTATCTAAGAATTCCGAGCTGCAAAGAATATTTTTTTTCTTCAATTATCTTCCCTTACGAAGACTTCAAGAGTTATCTTCACCTGTTTTCCAAATGCTATTTTCTAAAAGTTTTCATGCAATACATTAGTGCAGTTTCAATCGACTGGCCAAGACGCTTACAGAGTGCGTGCAAAACCTATTCCTGGGAACCTATTCCTGGGAATCCACGCACTCTGTAAGTTGATACTATATTTTGTTTTCGCGAGCTTGTTTCGTGTTGTTCGGTTGAAATTAATTCAATAAACGGTGGTAAGGAAGTTCGTCAGTAATATAGTATTGTATCATTAGAAAAAAGGCGAGAGCGTAGTACAGTAGCATAGTGAACTGTAATAACTGACAATAATGTTAATTGTATTAAAATATACTAGATTTAAAAGCGTCGATCGCCGGTATTCATTCGACGGTGCCGAAAAACCGATCACCGTAGTCTCCAAGGCCGGGTACGATGAATCTGTCGGAGTTGAGCATCGGGTCCACCATTCCGGTGACAACTTTCACGTTCGGATATTCACGACCCAACCGGTTAAGTCCTTCAGGGCAGCTGATTACGTTTACGAAGATCATCTTCTCCTCAGGAATGCCGATTTCCAGCAGACTTTTGATAGCTTAAAAAATAACTTTAATCTCCGAATGCAAAAGCATTGACTTACCCATAATAACTGAGCCGCCAGTAGCGAGCATTGGATCGCATATCAGAGCGGTCTTGTTAGCGACGTTTTTGGGCCACTTTTTGTAGTAGAGAATGGGTGTTTTCTCCTTCGTCGTTTCGTCGCGCTGGATGAGGATCTTCGCCACTGGAATTCCTGGAACGAGCTCTCGCACTGCCTAAACGACTTTTGAAGAACGCAAATGAAAGTCTATTTTACCTGAAGCATGGAGTCTCCTGCTCGGACGATGGAAACTGCGAACGCCTCGTTCTCGGGATCGGCAGCAACGCCTCGCCACGTACCGCATGGTGTGGGAATGTCGACTTCTGAAAACGACCATTACTAATCCGCGCAAAAATGCCGTTAATGAACCTTTATCGGCCATGAGAGCGAGTGCGTCTTCAGCGATCAGCTTCATGAGTCGGAGAGAATAGAATTCGAAGTCCTTGGGCACTGTTTCCACATGTCGGATTTTGGAGAAAAGATAAGGCAAGTTTTTCGAAGTGCAGAGCTGGCAGTTTGGATGCTCGAATTTCACTACCGGATTGCGAGAGTCTGATGGAGGACCGTTGCTTTCGGCTACGTTAGGAGACATTCTGAAAAGGATTCTCCAAATTTACAATCTCCCTGTCTTTTTTTAAAGAAGCATTAAGATTTGTATGAAAGAGATGAAAAGAAATAACCACAGGACAATAAATGGAAAAATGAATGATTTGAACTAAACTTTATATGAAATAGAAAGTTATCAACAAAAATTCATGGCCTGTGATTATTTCTCTCCAATTCTTTCTCTATCCATTTTTCAGGTTGAAGGTATTAAGATTGAGGTATTGAGTTTCATAACTGTGATTTATTTCTACTGGGGTTAGTAAAGGCTAAATCGGTGGGACTCTCCGTTTATGAAGCAATGGCTCCACGTGGGGACGGCGTGGGCGTGAGGTGGAGCAGCACTCGCTCCATCCGTGTGTCTTTCGTAATCTCTAACCGGGGTCACCCTTAGACGCCGATTTCGAAGAGGGGAAATCCGATTTCCTCGTCACTAGAATATCGCTCTGAAAGTAACTGCTCAACACTCGAATTGACGCTCCCCTCCCCTAAGCCTCGGGCAAGAGCTGCAGATATTGCTAATGCAAAAGCAAGGCTAGAGTCGATCTCGACCATTATTTCCCAAGTCTCTCAGACAGGCTAACCAACTTGAACCATTCGGTATATACCTTCTTATTCCAAAATATCGCTTTTTATAAATTATATCTCTTTGAAAGTCTGTCCTTTCCCGTGAAAAAAAAGTCCACAGGTAAAGTGAACCAGGTCTCTCCGAGTTGTTTGCCATAAGAAAAGGCCGTTTCCATGAGTTCGTATTTATCTGATGCTATAATAGCATCTTCGTTATGGTTTCGTGGTCTGTGACGTTCTACGCTATTTTCACAGCTTCGTCTGAAGGGGACGGCTTTTATCGCCGACATTTAGACATCAATCACGGCCGATATTTGCGCAAAATTCTGCATGATATAGAACTAGCAGTAATCCAATCGTAAAGATATTTTTGCGGTGGTGGACAGATTCTAAACTCGGACAGACAGATGAGCAGCATGAGACCTGAATTGATGAAAATGAATATCGATATCTGATTGATTTGCGTATCGATTAACGCAATTTACGTAGATATAGTTTCGAAATTGAAAAATAATGCCGCCGAAGCATTTTACAAATATGCTCATGAAATCAAGGATGAAATTACTGTAGGAAATATTTCATGAGCTCTTGCACACTAATAACATAACTTTCTATCAAATATTCGAATTGTTTGTTCTACAGAAGGGAATTCCTTATAGGAAGTTCTTTCACTTTATCTGTGCTAGTCGTTAATAGATTAAGACTCTTAGTAAATAACACCATTTCGTACGGGACGTGATATATTTACATTAAATGAGAAACAGTTTGCAGCAGTATGAGTAGGCAAAGGGAAAAGTAAGAATAAGTTAAGACGGCTTTCATTCAAGCTGTTTCCTCAGCCGCTGGTTCTCGCTCTCAAGCGACCGCAGCTGTTCGTCCATCGATTCGAATTTTTCATTAATGAAAAGTTGGATATCTTTCACTGCTTTCTTCTTCTCCTTTTTCTGCTGTTTCACTTGCGCCACAATCAGTTCCATCTGTTGGAGCATATCCATCTTCTCGGCCTCCTCGGCCGCAAGAGCTTCCTTTGCAGCCTTAGCCTCGGTTTTTGCCTTTTCTGTTTTTTCCTTTTGCTTTTCGAATTTTGCGAGAAACTTTTCAATCGACGTGTTCATCTCGTTCATCGTATGCGCCGCCTTTTCTAGCTCCGTTTGTGCGAATCGTAGTTTTGTATTCATCGCTACTTCGTTTCCTTCTGGAAAACCATTGAATCTCTTAAAGGGACTGTTACTTGAGTACTCTTGAAATTATATCATCGATTCTAAATGCGATAATGTTCTTACTTAATTTACCTTTGAAAACAATCTACAAAGAATCTATTTACCTGCATGATTGTTTGCGGATCAAACTCTTCTTGCGCCATAATAAATTATTTTTATTTGAGTGGGTAACGGGGGTAAAATAGATTTTATACTATCGTTATGTGGGTTTTCTATCTCGTGAAGTGGTGAATGATGGATTTCGGGGAGGCCAACTCGAAAAGTAATTCGCCAAATGGCTTTGTAAATAGCAAAGAAATGCAGTTGAAAATTCCGTACCATGCAACAACCACAACACGTCACAAACCTGAGCAAACCAACCCAAACAGTAGTCACTCCAGTATTTTATTGCTCCTACTGATCAAGCTTTGCAAATTTTTAATCCCACATTCCTCAAACGATTTGTTTTCTTCCAAAATGATCTGATGCTACATCACTGAAGTAGCTTTCCGATCACCTCATGACCCGGATTAAAATTATAAATATTATGTTATTAAAAATACGATATTTAGAGGTCAAGCCTTATGCGATCCTTGCGATGAAAATTCGAGACCAGTGTAAAACATAGTGAACTTTTGTAAAAGACATCAGCTTTTTTGCCATTTCTAAAGCAAATCTTCAACATTGATATGAGAACTATAAAAACATAAAATGCGCTTTCCAACAATGACCTTGTGACAACTTGTGACTCCTTACTCGAGTACCACAAGGACAATCAAAACTCTATTCTTTAGGCAAGAATCAATTAGAACAAGATGTATCGAAAATCTGCGAATGTACCATTCTGACATTATCAAATAGCCCCGTCGCAGGGGCTTCCGTGGAGTCTCCAGCTGATTTACAGCCTCTAGTTTCTGATGTGGTCAAGTGTGATTTCGTCCATAATTGCCGTTTTAGTGACGCCACTCGGTCGATCCCACAATTCTGCCTCTGCCAGGGAAATTACTTCTTTCTCGACGCTCAAGATATTCATGGAGTGGAAATTGCATACTACGGCAAAAAAAGCGGTTTCCTAATTCAATAAAATCCAAGTTGCCTGCAATAAATATCTTACGAGTGCTTGTTTCAAGATGAAAAGATGTCGAGGAACTCGCCTGAGTAAATGTGCGCTGACGCAAATGTAGATTTGACCCTAGAAAGATGCCAAATAGTCTTTTAAAGAGACAACAATAGACACCGCTAGCTGCGATCTCTTCTTGCATGACTGTTTTGAATGAAATATAATATATATATTTAAGGATGCACAGGGTTTTTAAACTAGAATCGGAACACAAAAAGCCGTGATCCAGAACTCAACCAGATAAAGTCAGAAAGAAGAATTCCTTATTCCTTTTTCACGAAATAAAGTTTTCAATGCCTTCGAGGATAATGAGCTACAGAAAATAAAATAGTTAAATATTTACCAAATTACGCATAGATTTAATGCGTAAATGCAGAGGAAAGAATAAGGTACAAGGAGCTAGAACTGATACTTTGATTTGAAATATAACAAAAATCATCGGTATGATCGGGACCGAATTCCACTTACAGCAAAACAAAAAAATCACTGCAAACGAGGAAATGAGTCTCGATCTTTAACAGAAAAAGAAGATAAACTGGGATTTAATTTTTTTTTGTACTTGCAAAATTATGATTTCGGGGTATTCAGCTGAGCGGTAATTTGAGCATAGTTTTTTTTCGGTTCAGGAGAATGAATGTACAGTTTTTCAGAAGATGATATATAAAGTTTATATTATAAACTACTAGTTAGACAACTAGAGACTAGAATTGAAGACCTTTTGGTAAGGCGATGGTTGTTTCGGTTAATAAATTCTAAAGCGACCGTTTGCGTGTTTACTCAAGCGTCGATCCTCTCCCTCCCGGAGTAGTCTTGTCGGATTTAAACATTAACGTGTATTTAAATGATTTTCATTCATCGTACTAAGCGAAATATTATATTTCAAATATAGCTACGAAATGATGCTGGAATCCGTTCCTGGTATCACATTGAGACGTTTCAGCGCGTCGATAGAGCCAATGAGCGTGCCAATACAACCGAAAAGAAGTATAACATAGTCTTCTATTAACTGACGGCTTGTATGCCTTCCTTTGAATATCCTCATGTGTATCAACGCCGGGAGAATGAACGCTAGAGTAGGATTAAAAATCATCTTCTTTGGGCTACTTACCTAAAAGAGAACAGCACGTAGCGCCAATTAAGACCATGATCGTCGAGAAGTCGGGGATAATCAACACGACAATGACCGATGAAACGACCACGGACGCACGGAGCAGATTTCCTTTCCAGAAATGGTTGACAGTTCCAAGGCGCCGTTCCAATATTTCGACTGGGAGTGAGTTATTTACTCTGTCTAAGACTTCAAAGGATTTTTGAGGCGGTACTTACTGACTGGGAAGAGCATGATCGGATATGTGAAAAAGAGCGAAAAGCATAGGCAGCCTTTGACCATTAACGGCATTGGTCCGACAGGAAGATTGAGCGTGATTATCGAGTGCGTTTCAGGGCCAAACGAGAGGTAGCCACACACGCCGAACAGAATGTAGAGGGATGACATGGCAGTAATCGAAAGTGCTAAAAATAAGAGCTCGAGAACGAGTTTTGCGAAGAGCAGCCTACCAAAAATAGTAGAAAATCGACTACGGTAGTCTTTGGCCACAGAAGCTTCTAGTGACAAGATCATTCCCGCGCCCTCGTAGCAGTAAATTGAGACGCCGATGAAAAATGGAAGCCCTTTTAGATCCATTTCCTTAGGATGAATACTGATTGTCGACACATGCTCAAAGTCAAACCAGAAAACGACCAAATAAGCAAAAACATTGGCGAAGTCGGCGAATAAGCTGAGTAAAGTTAGACAGCAGTTAGAAACATAAACTTACCTGAAAATTGAGAGCTTGTGAAGTTTGCGGACTAAACTAAGACCGACTAGTCCAGGAATCATTAACAGAAGAAATGGAAGCTTGAGACTGTCGTCGACAACGTCTCCTTCATCAAGACCGTGGACGTAGTGAGCGAGGTTTTCGGAGATGAAGATCAAATACGCACAACTTTATAACATGTTACTCGCGTCCTCTGAAGAACTAAGCTACTTACCAGAAGCCAGTTTGACTTATAATGATTGCCCAATCGACGATGTTCTTGCCTCTATCGCCGAACGCTATTTGACAAAGGTCTCCGTAGTTAACTTCTTGGCCGGCTGAGTCTCGACTCTAAAACGTAGCATAATGATGTGAGCATTATTGATCCACGTACTCTCTCCAGTAATTCAACTTGGTCTTCATCCCTCGTGCCAGGCGGTGTAAGTTCCATTCGCGAGACATTTGTTTTTGAGCAAAAGTGTTTCGACTTGATAAGGAGCATCATTCCGCTAAATATAAATCCCTAATCGGACGCGAATGGCTGTGCCTACCGGAACGACAGGAAACCAACAGCGATTAGAATGATAGTTCCCTCAAGTACTCCTGCTTCTTTGAAAGCGTACGGCAAACCGAGAACGCCAGCACCGATAAATGAGATAAAGATATTGCCGAAGATTTTCACGGGGCTTCGGGTGCCCTCTCCGCCATCGGAGACACTGGCGCCTCCCATCCCCTCTTCGCGATTTCGATTAGATTTTGCTCGAGAATAGAGAACACTCTGAAGCCGAGGTTAAGAAGAGCTATCGATAGTAGTCTTTAAGTATTATAATGTAGGAAAGGTGTGTGTTAACTATTTACATGGAAGGAGTTGAGTATTTTTAAGCAGTCAGGCGACGTCATTGATAATACACATTTTTAAAGCTTTTATTTTCTAAATTAAGAGGTCTATACCACCGCCGACGTTTGTAATAGAGCGAGAACTGACGTTCTCTTTCTCAAACAAGAGCCAAGACCGGTTATTTTTTTTATTATCAGGCATGAATGGTTAAATATAGCGCGATCTCTGAGAACAGCGGCTGGGAAAACGATGTTAAAATAATAATTTTATGATAATGACGTAACAAAGTGAAAGAGATCATCATAGCATATCTACACGCGGATGCATTTTCGCTCTCCGTCGATTTAAAGCTTGAACTTGAAATGTTTTCACTTTCATAAGGGGCCAAGAATAATCATTTTTAAGATTATGAATTAAACTAATAGATTAAAATGACGTCGGTTCCAGCTATTTTAAATAATTAGGCTTATTGAAACGTTAATATGGCTATTGAAAAATGAGACTATTGTTAAAATTTGATGCTGTTGCAGTTTAGATCAGGGTAATGGCAGTTTAAATCTGTCAACCATTTTTTAAAAATAAGTTGCCAGTAACAGTCACAGGGTGCAGGAAATATAACTGTATTACAGTATAAGTTGCGAAAATACAAAAATAAGTTGATTACGATTTGACACGGATCGGTCGCAGATCCGAATGGATCTCTTGATCGCGTGTCAGTAACGGAAATAGATCCCAGTGAAAGAAATTCAAAGGGATCAAAGAAGAGCATAGGAGAACAAAAGCATATGCCAGAATTGAAAGAAAAAACAACCCGATTTTCGGATTTGTGTCGCGACGCAAATCGATCATCGTTGAGGAAAATGAAAGAAAAACAATGGGAACAGGGTCGGAACGGATTAGAAACACAAGTATACGTTCGACAGTATTATTAATTTAATAGCTCTGGCGAAGGCATCCGCTTCAGAGCTTATCTGACTCCATAGACGTTGTGTTCGTTGACGTGTATGGTTCTTTATGAGATGGCTGCTCCTCTGAACTTTGCGCGCCGGGGGAGTTTTCGTTCGGTCCGTTCACTTGCTAAACGCAGATGTTATTTTCTGTTCGATTAATAAAAGAACCCGAAATTTGGGCGGTGTTACTCGGTTGGACTCGAAATAAGGATTTGTTTTGGGTATAACAAAGGCAGCCCTGCCAAGATGGAAGATCATCGGCCAGTTATCGTTGAATAAATTTAACACTTACACTATGTTCCCTCCAGGAGTGAAGAAACTTTTTCTTGAACATGGGCCCCCTTGGTTTTTCTTCATTTTGATTCTGAGGGGTCGTCCTGCCGTTCGTGCTTCCGATAGTGCTCGGTTTGTCAGTTGACTCGTTTGGGGGAGAGTCTGGCTTCTCGTCCATGTAGAGGTCAGGCTGCACGCGAAGACGCGCACTTACCGGCCTGTTCGCTACTTTGATTGCGATTCCACGGGTCTCGCCTTCAGTCTTTTGCGATGGACTATCGCCACTACTGATTTTGACCTCAACGGAACGTATCTCCCTGTTGTCGGACGGATTTCCAGGCACTTGAGAGCCACTGTCCGTCGGGACAAGCTCGAATTGTTCAACGTGTCCTTCAAGCTCAACTGTTTCGACCGGCGTGAGCTCGATAGTGTTAACAATTTGGACAGGGAGCACATCGCCATTTTTCACGTCCAAGAAGTTTTCGGTCCAGCTTTTCTTTGGCATCATGTGTTGGGATTTCCTTCAAAAAAAGTTAATGGCTGATAAAACTGTAAAAAGAGTGCACAAAAATTAATTGAAACGTGGTTAAAGATGGTGAAAATTCTGGATCTGTTTCTCTAAAGAGTCGTTCATCAAGAACGAAGCGAATCACTCAAAAATAAATGTTCCACCGGTAGCCGCGCTTTTTATTGTTCCAAGCTGTCGAGGCGTAGTGATTTACAATAATAAACCATCGCCCGCTCCCAATTAGGATTCTAATAAGTAGCACTCATTTGTTATCGAAAGGTAATGGTAAAACCAACCAGTTTTTTCTAATATTACAAGTACCTGCTCTCCGCTCGTTCAGAGTTGGTGGCGATGGACTCGGGGGAGCTCCTCTCGTCTCGTTGCTGGCTGCCGTCGTCTTGGGCCTCTTCCTGGTCTTCGGAGTCTTGCGAAGCTGCCTCCTTTTTCTTTTGGAGGAGTTTTTTCTTGTAATCGCGTTGCTTCTTCAGAATCACATCTTTGTGAGTCTGATAATACTCCTTCTTGTTCGCGAGGATATGTGGCGGAGTCTTCTTTGTCTAAATCAAATACATAATAATTAAAACCCGTAAACTACCTGGACAAGCGCATCGACATCGGCATGCTCGCTCGCAAAAGCCGTCTGCCGTGTGCTTGTATGGTTCTTTTGCTAGAGATTATTTTCATAATTGTCGTATTTTGACTTCAAAATTCGGATTTTATTATAACTTACCCGTGGGGAGAGAATCAAGCTACCAGCGCTGATGTTTCCACCGCTAGAGCCAACATTAGTAGCAGCTTGAGGAAGTGGCAGGGTTTTGACGAGGTATTGTTCCTGCGCCGTGGTGATCGAAGATGAGCTCTGGGAGTATGAAGGCTTCGGGAAGATCTTGGAATTCTTTGAAGCGATTGCTTCTGCCTGTCTCTCGAGCTCCTCTTGCTGCTTCTGCTTCACTTCATTCTGTTTCGCCTCCCTTAATTTTTTGATATCATCAAGAGTCCAATGTTTCATTTGAAAATCACTAATTTCTGTGTAGACGTACTTGTGAGCTGAACCGTTCGCAAGAGCATTTTCTTTGGCCAACTTCTTCTTATGATACTCCTCCTTACGCCTCTCAAGAATATGAATTGGCGTTTTTCGTTCTGCTGTTCGGCTCCATGGCTTTCCCTTTTCAGTCTTTCGTTCTCCTTCTTCAGCGTCTTTGCTTCTTCCGCCTCTCTTTGCTTTATCATTCTTCGGAGTCTTCGATCCCTGACCTCTCTTGTTAGATTTGCTGCTGGTTTCATCCTTCGAGGTTTTGTCGTTTTTGGCTTTCTTTCTAGCCCCACCCTTGGCCTTCTTTGACGGCGTGTCCGTATCTTCAGCAATGTCGGCATCTGCGACTCTTTTCGCTTTAGGTGTCTTTCGCGCAGTCTTACGTTCCTCGACGTCTTCTTCGCCACTTGCGTCGTTATCATCATTAGAGGCCTTCTTGCTCAAACGAGCCTTCTTCGAGGAGTTACTCTTTCGCGTCGTCCGTTTCTGATCATCGTTAGTCTTGGAGATTTCCAGCGCTCTACGGAGACTCTGACGGACAACTTTGACTCTAAAAAGAAGTTAAATTCTTGTGAGCCACAAGCCTTCTTCGTAAAAAGGAACTTACTCTTTATTTTTCGTCGCGTGAACCTCGTCTAGGAGAGTAGAGAGTGGAACATTATCATCGTCGCTAAAAACAAGTTAGCTCCAAAATAGTCACAGTTTCCACTACGGAACGCACAAAATGGTGAGATTAGATTAACAAATTAAAATTTCCTTTGAACTTCGAGTTACCTCATGTTTTCTGTTTCATTCTGAGAAGATGACTTCTTGGATGAAGCCACTTTCTTCTTAGGCGGACTCTTGGAAGCTTTTCCTGCTGTTTTCTTGTTCTTGCTCTTTTTAGGTCTTGGTCTGGACGGTCCGGGCTCGTCGTCTTCTGACGTCGAAGTTTGATTGCCTGTGTATGGCTGATGGCTGTATTCGCTTTCCGGGGAAGGTCCTCTGTTTCCCGACGTCTTTTCTCCTTCAGATCGACCAACATGCTAGAACGATCCTCGTAGAGGTCGTTGATTGGGCGGTGATCTTCTTCATCGTCAGGTACAACGTAAGCCTCTGTGTCCTTGCTATTTAAAACACCCTCATATCCATCATCCTGATCCTCGATTTTTACGGACTCGATAAAATCGTGCATTTCGTCCTGGAGATTCAGCTCGCCGGCCCTTCTTTTTGCCTCAAGGTCCAGACGCTTAGCGCGTTCTTCTAGAGTCTCTTCGCCTTCTTCTTCTTCCTTGATACCGCCAGACTCACGATTCATAATGGCCCTAAACGAAACAGTTTAAAATCGAAATTGAGGAGACAAAATAATCCATTGAACAGTCGACTTACATTTCACTCAAACTATTCTGCTGCTCGAAGAGATCTTGCTCATTCGTGGGGACGAAGCGGTTCGGATTAACAGCTATTGCACGCCTTGATGCCAAATGATCTGGGTCAATATTAGGAAGAGAAGCTATTTCCGGAATTCTTGGTTGTGGGAGTGGCTGGATACCACGTGGGAGAAGGTTTGATATGCCAAAACTCAAGCTCCCCCAAGTATTCTGTACTTCAGAGCAGAAAAAGGCGATACGTTGGAAGTCAGCCCTGTTCGGCTCGTTTCCTCTGGAAATACGGGCGGCAACATTGGCGCACTGAACCATCAGGCTGAAAATAATGAGAAATTTGAAAATCGACGAATTGCTTACTCGGCAATGCTGCAACCGTGTCTCTGCATGAGCTCGTTGATGGACCGACCAGCCCTTGAGGGGATCTGCTGGTCTCCCATTTTCCAATCTAAATAAAGTAAATTAAATGTGAAGTTTTGATAAAAAGTAAAACCCTCCACCTCACTAGAGAGCGAAGGATCGGTAAGGGAGACTTTTACGATCATTTTCAAGACAATCTCGAATAAAAAATTTCTCTCGAGGAAAGAGTGGCTTGATGAAATCTTTCTCAGAAGTTCTGATTTTTAGCTGAAACTTACCTATCCGCTGCGACAGAAGATGCGAGAGGCTTCTCTGGACTGCTGCAAGACAAAATTCTCTTCCTTTACCGACAGAATCAGATTACTAAGGTGACTAGAACTCCGTTCGCGAAAGCGAAGTAAAACGATTCTTACTGGCGCTTGATTGGACGAGCGCCGCAGCGAATAGAAATTCGAGGAGAAACGCGCAGCAGCACGCTGCTCGGCTTTCCTACGCGGAGATTCCTCCCAGCACGCCATCTCCCGAAATTCTCATAAAACTCACTACTTCCCAAAACTCCATGCGGTCTCATTAGAATAGAATATTATTCATCCTCTGATCTAAACCTATCTGAAAGAATCGAGGACGAGATTCTTCTCACAACGAATCCATGAATACGTACATTTCCTGCTGCTAACATTGTAGACTAAGAATCAGTTAATCTGACAATGGACAACTCAGCTTGTACTGCTTGTCGAAATTAGGCCCTGATTATAATGCTTTCTTTTCGAAATCGTCTTTTTGCTTTCTTTAGTAGTTCATCCTGCATAAATACAAATTTAAGACACCAGGAAAGTATATTTTAGGATTAATACTTTCCAAAAGACTTGACCTCAACAATAATCTTTATTTATTGGAAGATTTTGCTCAATAAGCTCATAAATATATAAAAAAGAACCCCGATAAATTCACCAAAAGTTAAAGAATGAGAGGAGGTTCATTGACAGAAATAAGGTTGAACTATTACGAGCTTCAGGCAGCATTCTTTTTGCTCATTTAAATTAATCCCTAAACCAGAAGATAGTTAGGACTTTTGCTACGGTTTGTTTAAAAAATATATGTTATCGCGAAGTACAGTAAAAATGCTTCGTAGTCACCAAGTCGTCATTTTTTTTGAATTGCTGTTTTGTATGTTTCGTAACGATGTTTTACTTTTTCTCAGCTTTAGGTTTGGTTGTTTTTCGTTTGTTTCAAGAGTATTATTTCTCTATCAAAATCAACCAGTCCCTTCAGCCTCATTGGCAGCTGGCTTCTCCTTCTTTTCTCCCCTGAATTCGTGTTCGGCTTTGAGGGCTCGTTTTTTGTGTAGCCGGACGAGCTCTTCGACGACGAAGTCAACATCGAGGACGCCGTGTTGCTGCGCATCTCTAGTTCGCACGGCGCAAGTTCCGGCTTCAAGCTCTTTGTCTCCAACGACGAGAATGAAGTTCCACTGCTCCAACTGGGCTCGTCGGATTCGGTAGTTAAAGGTGTCTGAAATTTAGTTAGAAAGCAAATATCATATTTCGTTGCAAAATAAGGATAATATAATGGTAAGAATATACGGAGAATAAAAAGAAGGGGAAAACACATGAGTAAATAAGATTCTGATATTTCTTATAATAAGAATATAGAAACTGACCGACGCAGTCTGCATCCGCTTCTGCTTCGATTCCAGCATCGAAGAGCTTGGTAGCGATGCTCTGGGCGAACTGCATTTGAGATTTTCCGATTGGGACGACTTTGACTTGTCTGGGGCTGAGCCAGAAGGGCCATTTGCCGCCGAAAGATTCTGTAAGAATGGCGACGCATCGCTCGATTGAACCCAAAATTGCGCGGTGGATCATTACGGGCGTCTCTTCCTTGTTGTCGCGCACGAACTTGAGCTTGAATCGCTGCGGCAGTTGGAAGTCGAGCTGAATAGTGGCGAGCTGGTGTCTTCGTTTCAACGCGTCGAGGATTTTTATATCGATCTTTGGTCCGTAGAAGGCTCCATCGCCGGGATTGAGCTCCCACTTTGTGTCGTTCGCAGTGCAGAAAGTGTTCAGAGCGTTCGTGAGCATACTCTCAGCTTGATTCCACTCAGCCACTTCTCCCAAAAACTTCTCTGGTCGGGTCGATAGGTTAAGTTCGAAGGTAAATCCAAATGTGTCGTACACAAATTTAAAGAATTCAAGAGCACCGGTGATTTCATCTTCAATCTGCTCACGGGCGCAGAAAATATGAGCGTCATCTAAGGAGATTTTTAAAAGGTGTCTCGCTACGCGCTAAAGTGGCCTACCTTGCTGGAAGCGTCTAACTCTTGTAAGGCCAGATAGTGCGCCAGACAATTCATTTCGGTGGAGAACACCAAAGTCAGCGAATCGAAGGGGAAGCTCTTTGTAACTTCTGAGTCGAGAGCCGAACATGACACAGTGGCCGGGGCAGTTCATTGGCTTCATTGCCCATTTGTCTTCCTCGACCTTGAATGTAAACATGTCATCTTCGTAGTGTTGCCAATGGCCTGACGTTTTCCAAAGCTCTGAGTTGAAGATGTTTGGTGTGACGACCTCTTTAAATCCTCGCTTTCGGTACTCGCTTCGAATGAAATCCTAAAAGAATATATACAGTAGATAAATATGGCTTCTTACTTGGAGTCGGTTATAAATGATAGCACCGCGGGGGAGCCAGAAACAGGAGCCGGCGGAAACCGGGTCGAAAGTCCAAAGCTCTTGCTGAACTCCGATTCTTCTGTGGTCTCGCTTTTTCGCCTCTTCCTGGAAAGTAACCCACTCGGTGAGCTGCTTCTTATCTGGGAAAGTGATACCATAAACTCGTTGAAGTGACTCCTGATCGGCTTTTCCTTCCCAGTATGTTGCGCTCGTTTTGTAGAGCCTATAATCAGTGACATGCGTTTTCAATCAAAACTTACTTGCAAGCCTTCGCTTTCCCGGTATGTGGAAGGTGAGGACCTCGACACATATCGATCAGATTACCACATCTGTAAACAGTCGTGTCGCCAATATTTTTCTCTTCGATCAGACGTTGTTTGAAAGGATTATGCTTGAACATATCAATGAGCTGTTGCTTTGTGACATTAAGTCGCTGGAAAGGCTGCTTTTCTTTCATCATTTGGTAGTAAAGCTTCTCAAGCTTGGGCATATCTGCTTCGGAACTAATAGTATTGTTGCCCATCCACATATCGTAGTAAAATCCGTCTTCGATGTCGGGACCGTAGCAGAGAGCACCGCCAAAATATCGCTCCATACACTCACCCAAAATATGAGCACTAAAATAAAATTAAGAAGAAACGGTAAATATGTTATAGTTTACCTCGAGTGCCAGTAAGTTTCTTTACCTTCCTTATCCGAAAACTTGAGTAAGGAAAGAGTGCAATCGCCCTCTAACCGTCTGGTCAAATCCCAAACTTGATCGTTGACCTTGGCACAAACGACAACATTAGCAAGACCGGAAGAGATTGATTTCGCAATGTCAAGAGGAGTTGTTTCCCACGATGTTCCTTCCTTGACTGCTCCATCTGGAAGCGTGATTTTGATCGGATTCTTTGGCATTGCGGCGATTCGTTCTTCTTGGGCGGCAAAGAGCTCGTCGAACATCTTCATTCGGTGGGCAACATAGACTGGGTCCTCTAAACATAGATTTGAGTTTTTGTTTATATAAACAACTAGAGAGAGACGATTTTTTAAAGTAACAAACCTTTCATTTGTCCGGTTTTCGCATCACGCTGGACACCTTTCGCTGGGAGGAAATCAAAATTAACATCCTTCGAGTGGCAGGATCCGCTTGCACATTGAGCTGCAGGGGCCGCTGGTGTAGCAGCAGCCTCCGGTGCGGCTTTTTTCTCTTGCTTCTGATCGCCACCCATCTCGAATTTCACTTGTTTGTACCATCGCATCAGATGGGGGTGTTGCACCGGCGCTCCATCAAATTTCTTGAGCGCGTCTAAAATCAATAATCAGTTGCTTTTGAAAAGTAAAGCGGCACTTGCCTTTGTCCGCTTGGGAAATTTGGTAGCCATTGAGGAACGGAAGCTTCGAGAGCTTTTCGTTCAGCTCGTTGAGCTCTTGAGCCGATGCCATTGAATCTAAATTGTGCAGCGTTAGCTTGAGTTTCTTTCCGATCCCTAAATCTAGGTAACAGGTTGATGCTATTGGCTAACCTTTGTCTTTTGGGCTGAAACGCAATATATGTGATATTTGCAGTGGGCGAATCGAGGCCTAAACTAAAGGTTAGCCAATTTTTCCCTTTCTTTGTCACTCAGCCTATTCCTCCTTTCCTTAGCTATTATATTAAACTTTTTACCCGTTAGCCACGAGTATTTACTTTTAGAATAACGCGTGTAGACACCAGGTGCTGAGCCTTGAACAAAGAAGGGCTCATTATCGCATTTTAAACGAGAACAACTAGAAATTCGGCGTTGAAAATAACTGTAACATGTGAATATTTATTTTGTTTCTTTTGATTGAATTTAACTAAGTTTCACTGTTTATGATTGAAGCTGAATTGGTTCTTGAACTTATAAGATGACACAGAGAGAATTAAGATTCATGGGATTACTCGTTGAACGTAAAAACGCAGTCAGACAGTAATTCTTATTGCAGTAAAGGTTTTTATCAAATGTTGTAAATCCATGGAGGAATCAAGAAAGCAGTAAAAGCAAGTTGAAATAGTCGCCGCGGTGCCCATTTGAATCTATCCTGCAAGAAGGCAAGTTCTTTTTGTCGGAAAAAATGCGCCGGCAATTTAGGTTTAACATAATTTCGTCATAGGTTCGACTGAAGACTTACTGACAAACAGGTCATGTCTAACACGTCGAAAAAGAACGAGCCCACTGCGAATGGACAACGACTGATGAAAGTATGCGACTTAGAACAAATGTGCAAAAAAGCAGACAGATCTTAATATTTGTTCATTTTCATCAGATTTGAACGCCCGTTAGCTTAAACTAACGGGCTTATCCTCAGCAGCCGGAGTTTTTGAGCTCAGCTCCAGAGCGTTTTGTTATGGATAAATCTGTGAACCACTCAGCGTTGACAGGGTGGATACCAACTGTTCCATCAAGAATCGCTAGGATCAAGTTAATATCTCTACTTTATTTTGCGACGTTACTTTTGGTAAGTCCAGCCTTCATAGCAGCAGAAAATCCCTGCATGACTTCGCCTGCGGTTGGCCCAACATAGTGGAGGCCGACAATAGGCTCATTTGGCTCATGACGAAGTGTGATTGCCTTCATGTAGCAAAGATTGGCGTCTTTCTAAAGAACAAATGAATAAAGGTACCTGAATCCGAAGTTCGAACGAATTAGTAAAGAGCGAACTTACTCCAGCAAGCGTCCATTCCAGCGGCCAGAATTTTCGATGATAAACTTCAATATTATCTGCTCCAAATTTTTCTATCGCTTTTTCTTCCGAATAACCACAGCAAGAATATTCCAGCGGAGTGAAAACTGTAGTAGCAACTGTGTTATAGTCCATCTTCTCGACACCACCAGCATACATTCTTCGAGCTAGAGAAATAGCAAAAGGTGTCCTAAGTCTCGCTTAGTTACCTAAAAGTCGACCAGCTTGGATGGCGACAGGTGTAAGCTCAAGGCGATCTTTGAGGATGTCCCCGATAGCGTAAACATTTTCAATATTTGTTTCTTCGGCGTCATTGACGATAACTTTTCCGCTATCAGCTAACTCAACCTTGACGTTTTCGAGGCCAATGCCCTTGGTGCATGGGTCTCGCCCGATTGCCATCAGGACGGTTTTGTATTCATCCACGACTTGGGTACCGTCTTTCATGTCCATTGTAACCTAAAGAAAGACAGTTAACATTTACTCTCAATTTGAAAAATCTACCTTGAGCATTCCATTTTCAAGCTTTTCAATCGAGGACGGTGTGGCTGGTCGGATCATTTTGCAGCCAACCTCTTTCTCGAGATGGCTACCAACAATATCGGCACACTGCTGGTCAAAGCCTCGCAAAAAAATTGATCGCACGCAAATGTCAACATCGAGGCCAACTCCTAGTAGCGAAATTAAAAAGTTAAAGCCCTTATTATTGAAGAAGTACCTTTCAAAAATCCAGCACACTCGAGCGCCACATAACTTGCACCGACGACGAGCGTTTTGCCTGGACACTCTGTAAGCCAGAACAAATCATCAGAGCTGATTGCATGCTCAATTCCAGGAATATTTGGAAGGCGAGGACGCTCGCCAGTAGCAACGAGGATATTTTGAGTGGTCAGTTCTTCGACTTTGCCTCGCTTGTTTGTGCAGACGACGGTATGGTTGTCCTTAATCTCTCCGTAGCTGTTGAGATACTTGACGTTGTTGTCACGAAGTTCAACTTTGTAACCCCAGTTCAGCGAGCCGATGTAATCGCCGACAGCCATTTGCATGTTTTCCCAACTGTGGTTAATTTTTTCGGGATCAATATTCCAGCCGAACTTTTTCGCATCGTGAATGGCTTCTCCAAGAAGGGCAGACTGGTGCATAAGTTTCTAAATTAACGGTTATTTCTAAAGAAAACACTCGTTGCTTACTTTTGGAATGCATCCAACGTTAACGCAAGTTCCGCCAAGACCCCAGCTGTTTCCAGCAGGTGAAGGCTTCACAAAGTCGAGGACGGCAACTTTTTTGCCGAGCTTTGCCGCCTCTTTTGATGCAGCTAGACCTCCAGATCCACCACCAATCACAACCAAGTCATAGTCGTAGCTGTGTGGTTCGGTAGCCTTTGCGTTAACTGATCTAAGATACAAAATATATTTCGTTTCACTATTAGATTAATTTTCAAAAGAAGTATGAAAAGCATTTCTTTAGTAAAACAATGATAAGTTCGTGACACCAGTGATGATTAACCTTTTGTTTTTTCCATATTCTTTTAGGGAGAACGATCTCTTTGGGACGTGTAGGGGGTCACTACCGGCGAGTCCCATAGTTCCAGCTACAGGAAGAAAAATCCTCCTGAGCCGAGGGAGGCGCATCATCTTAACGTAAACCATGATGACTTATCAACCGGAAATAAGAAATTAAATAAAACCAAAACAGAGTATTGCGTATCAGTCCTAAAGGAAGAAGGTTGCCTTCATCATCGAGCTTGAGAGTATCATCACATCCACCAATATGCTTGCCATCGATGAAGACATTTGGGACAGATCTCTGGCCGGTCATCTCTTTCAATAAGTCCTGGTAATTGGACATTTCAGTTTCAGAGTACTTTGCATGATTGATAAGATGATGTAGTATTAATTGAAAAAATGAAAAACTCTCTCGATGTTGCGTCAATCAACCCTTCCTTGTTGAGTTCAACAGCATGATAAGGAATGAACCTAGACTTGAGTCTATCCTTGACTTTGTTGCAGAAGGGGCAGAAGGTTTTGGAGAACATGACAACCCTGTTCTCTTTTATAATGCCCTCTATGAGGGCCTTCGAGAGTGCCCCTGTTGCAGGAGGCATTCTAAACATATAAATTTGAAGGATGGTGGCCATTGCGTGATGAGATTGGTGTTACTCATTGTGTTGAAATTGAAAGAGGAATCGAACTTTGTGGAAATTGGAATTAGCGAATGTGCGGAACAGCTCGGAAAGGCAGCTCAAGTGGCAATGATAAAAGGAAATGGAAGAAGAATTCTCGTTGGTTTGATGCTCAATTGTGAAATAGTGAAAGATAGATAAATATCAATAGTGATTTGTCATCGGAAGAAGGTCTTTTCAGTTTTATACAAATATATTAGTCAGTGATTGAACATTCGACAAGCAAAGCTGCGAGTTCGATAGGCTTTTGAAAGGTATTCTTAGCTAACTTGTAGGAATTCAATTGATTGGACTAGCTAAATTTTAAGAAATGCTTAAAAATATACCCTTGCCTCTGAGTAAATGTTCATAAGCGGAACGGATCGTATTCCTTGCCGGAGCCCCTTCACAGGAAAGACAGCTACAGCTTTGACAAGGCTTTCCCCGAACGGATCTGGTGAGGAAATAACGAATCGAAGGAACGCTAAGTCCGGGTTATGAATCGTGAGTTTCAGTTCTTTCCAATCAAATACAGGGTTGAGGGTGTTAGCTCCTTCTTGCTAAAATTAGCCAAGGATAAGCGAAAGTAAAATATTAATCCCCACCTTAAATCGATGCTTTTGCTTGTCCGCGTCTATTCCCCAGATTTCAACGCCGTACTCAATGTTTGAGGTATTAAGACTTTGATACGTTTTCCCCAGTCCGAAGATATTCCGTCCACCAAGGATTCTAAGCTTTATTATCTGCGGATTCAGTTTGCCATAGTGGTTCGATGTTCGTTGTATTGTCTTTATGTCTTCGTAGTCTTGTTTAGAGCATGGATTGTAAGAAACAGGGATACGCACTGTGCCTTTCTCTCCAGCACCCATAGAGCTCGACAACAGGTAGTCAGGTTTGAGGACGTATCCACATCCTTGCCTCTGTGCGAATTTCGCCTATTACAAACATGGCTTTTGAACCTCTAGAAATAATTGCTTACATGATTGAGTTGCATGGCCAAATCGGGTGTTTGAAAATTAAGAGCGACCATTTGCACGCCGGCATTCCAACAAGGGATTGGATTGTAGTTTTCCGAATGTATTCGTGCTCCTTTCGGGTAGGTTCTGCTTATCTGGTAGGTGTTGTAATCGAGGAAACTGGTGATGTAAGACTCTTGCAGGTACTTTTGGATCTTAGACTCGCCGATTGAACTCATCTGGCGGAACTCCCGCTTTTCGTTCGGAAGGAGGAACTCTTCACTCCACGTTGTCGCTTGGCAGTATACGACGAGATCAGAGAGGTTTCTAGACAAACGAAGCATCTTAGGAGGCGGTTCTGACTGATGATTGAGTGTACTCTGCTGACTCCTGTCCATAAATACAGTCAGCGCTTGGAACAAGTCCACAATTACTGTAAAAAATTGTTAAACGCCTTGTTAGAACAGTCATACGCAACTAACCTGCGTCTCCTTCTTTTTGGTTACTCTTTCCTATTCTCATTGATTTCCGATTTGCAGCATCTCTGATCGTAATAACCTGGTCAGAAGTTTGAGTAATTTCAAACGATGTGGAAAGTGTTATTTTTCCATCGTTAGCTCCTTTCAACATATCTTCTTCCTCATCTTCTTGATCGCAAACTTGGACATAGTTAGCAGGAAACCAGCCTGAATTTATTGATTGACCAATGCATAATTCCCGATAACTGATTACCCGAGATACCGGTATTTGGATTTTTTCCAAACCACCAGTCTTTTTGGCGCTGTTCAACGTCGATGATCTTGTCGCCCGTATTGATAGATAACTCGTTGTGGTCGTCAGCCTCGTATTTGTGCAGGGCATGAACTTGAAGGCGGGAAGTGTGATCGACGTATTCCTCTCCATTATGGTCTCCTATCTCTTGAGATGTGACACGATTGACGAGCGCCCGCTCGACTGGCTCACCTAGCTCCACTCCTGAACATTTGTTTTAAGCTCACGAGGCCACAACGCTCGAGAAAACACTAGAACACTCAAAGCGCACACTAAAATGAAACAAAGGGCGTCTGAGACGTTGCGTTTTATTCACCTGACTCACAAAAGCAAACAATTAAAGTTCGTTTGCCTTCGCGAAATTCAGGAAGTGACTTATATCATTTCATTTTATAAGTTCAAAATATTAGCTGTTTTTGGTGGATTACCTTTATAAAAAGCATTTCTTCTATAGTACTCTACAAGCGCCACAAGCGAGGGAAATATCAACGAGTCCCCGAATCTGAAGGCTTGAGTTTCCTCGTCAAATATTTTCGTTATTTTGCCGTGTTTGACAGATACAGGCCCATCTCGATCGCTTCTGAAGCTGATAGCAAACTCTTTGTCCGTTTTTTGGCGGATCAAGAAGCTTGCGTCGGTGACAGAGTCATCTCTTAACGCGCGAGCCGCATCATCACGTGAAATGTTCTGGTAGAACCAGATCATTCGTAGATGCTGCTCCGGCACACAAACAGGATGTAGAAGGCGCAAATCGGTTTTGATCGGACAGTTTTGGTAATGCTCGATTAGTATTTCTAAACTGTCGCAAAGGGGATGATCGGAGCTGTTGTCATCCAAAAAGTAGTACGGCTCCGGTCGATCTCTGTTTACTCGTTCGCAAAATTTATTCCCTGACATCCAAAAATAATCCGCTGGAGTTATAAGTGATAAGTTTTGACTGAATAAAATAATCAAATGACGTCAGAGCGGCGAAAACTTGGAACGGTTCCTGTAATCCTTGTGAATTCTGATGTTAACGATTTTGTTTTTGTGATAGATACAAAGAGTTGAATCTGGCTTGAATCTATTCGAGTCACGAACTAGCCATGATCCTTCCCGGCCTTCGGACTGAAGAAGCTCGTCCGTCCTCGTTCTGCTGATGTTTCCATGATACCAACTTTTGCTCTGCGTTGATTCGTCTGTCTTTTTCGAGTTCGGCGACGCAATGGGACTCGCTGAAGATGCATCGTCGAGCATACTCTCCTCGCCATTTAAGTGGGAATCAGGATCTGGGATTTTAGAAAACTGAAGCTCGCCAGTGTTTGAAAACAGATTCGCGAATTTGGGGTGATGTCGACCGTCTGCACTGATGACGTTGACTAATCCTTGGAAAGAAGAAGTTTCGTGCTCGTCATTGTCGTCTTTTATCTGATCATCCTTATCCGAGCTCTTGAGCTTTCTGTTTTTGATGAGTATCTTGTTCCTTAGACCAGTTTTACGGCACTTTCGGATCGTAAAAATCTACCTGAGCATCCATGGCGACGGAAGTTGCTCCTCGTTCTCATCTACAACTTCTTTGAGTAGTTTGTCCTTGAAAAGTGTTTTAAACAAGTGTGCCATCATGTCTTGCTGCTCTATGTTGCAGTGGTTCTCGATAGAGAGTGTCAGTGGAAGATTAGTGGTGGAAAACGCGTGCTCAGCGATAGCTTCAAGAACATCTTTCAAGGGTACAGCAGAAGTCATGGTATGGCCGTGCAAGATCTCCGGGGAGCCGTTTTTGCCGTTCCAGCAGTCAAGTTCGATGCATCTGCAGCCCTGCCGAAGAGCGCGGACGTAGCATTCAACCGAGCTCATCGAAGAGTATTGATTCCCTAACGAGTCAATAAGATGATTTATAAAAAAAGCCAAGAACAACCTGTAAGGTAAGTATTATGAGACGAATTAATCCAGTAATGGCTGAACGGAGCGGAGAGGTACTTTTCGCCGGGCTCTTCATTCACAAACTCGGGGTTCAGTATCGAGTTGTGCTCGGAGAACAAGAAAAGGGCGAACGTGTGATGCGAAATAAATTTGCCTTCGTTTTCTTCCGCTATTAGTTGAAAAAGTCGCTCGGTTTCGTCAACCTCTGTTCCAAAGATTGAACTGAATGTTTCCCGGCTGACCATGGCTTCGCCCTTGAGCGCCTGGTCAATCGGTTTTATTTTGCCGAAGATAGAGTGGTCTTCTGCGAACTGATACTCATGCTTCGAAAGTAGAAGGTTACCGAAGCTGTTTTTGTTGTAGCCTTTTTTTGAATCGAACTCAAATGTGAGTGAGGAGCGTTTTGACTTGTCCATTCGATCCCCACGGTTTTTGAAGTAGTTTATCAGAGTAGACGGGTTTTTGATAGACTCAGATATTGGGATGTCGATTTTAGACAGTACAACATCAATTAGTACTAACACTGTTTTCGCAGCTAGCCAAGAATAATCCATATTTGATGATATTTTTAACAAGAATAGCGCTACTGTACAATCAACTGATCATTCTAAGAAACCACCGAAAATGTGGATCTTATCTTCATCCCTACTCGTAAAGCTTGTTTTCCCCTAAATTGAAGCTTCTTCCTCCTGTAGCTGCTAATGAGAGCTCTCTAAATACATCAGATCGTGAAACACGCTTCCAGTGGTGAAAGAGTACCTCTCAATAACTCGATCGACACGCCTAAGGAACCATTCGTCTTGCATCTCCTTGACGACTTCCTGCAATCCAGTGACCCATTCTTTAGCGACATTCTCGCCACACTGGGAGTAAAGAACGGTCAGATTGAGATTAAACTCGTCGCCGTGGTAGATGCTGAAGCAGGATGCTTTGGGCACTTTTATCATACGAAGACGATGCTTGTACCGAATTTCGACGATCTGTAGCAGATCTATGTACCCTTCTTCTACAGTGGTGCTCCGTTCGTTCCGCCAGTAAAGGAAGCCCTTCGTCCAGCTGACATTAAACTGCCTAGTAGGAAAGCCGCCTGCCTGCAAGTCATTCACGTGCTTCGAATTGATGCGCGAGTTTTTAACAATGCCGAGGTTGTAAAACGCCGACTTTTGGAGGAGCAATTTGCTGCGCAAGTCGCAACTGCTCTCTGAAACGGCTTTCACGGGACTTCCATTTTCTGCATTTGAGCAATCGGGGTGATAACGAGATGCGCGACGGCGCCATTTCTCCGGGAAACCTTCTGTTTCACCTGATGACGTCATATCCGATTATCATTCTATTTATAAGCCATATTAGACTTTTTCTCATAACAACCTGTCATAAATTTTTTATCGAATAAGAGATCTTTATTTGATTTTTCAAAATTAAATTACGCATAGCACGGTTTTCAGTGAGTTTTTTCACTGAAAAGAGGATGGCGCGTATTTTGCGGGTTGGTTATTCGTGCATGGATAATGTTTTTATTCTCGAAATCATCTCGTGAGTTTTTCCAGTTTGTCTAGATTTGGTTCATTCCTAAAGTGATCTTTTTGAGCCGCGCGCTCTCATTGGGCGCGTTATTGGCTCAAAGCCTAACTGAGAATCTAACCAGAAGAACTCGTCGAAGAAAGTCGAAAATTCAGCTCAGCTAATTTCAGAGCCGCCTTCGGCCAAGGAAGACAGAATCAGAAGACGTCACTCAATCTAAAAAGAACTCACAAATTGGGAATAAAAAAAATTTTGAAGAAAAGCTTTTCCAGGTAAAATGTCAATCTCAGCTATTTCTTTCATTTTAAATTTCATTTCAAAATTTCACTTCGAAATAAAAATTATTTTTAGAAAGAAGAGAGCCAATTTAACTCGTGGTGATGGCGTCCCCATCCCCAGGAAAGAAACGGATGGACACTGATGTCATGAAACTGATAGAAAGTCGTCACGAAGTAAGAAAACACCATTTTAATTAAGCTTTATCGAGTTCACAAGGTTAATCTAATTGGAGACAGTCTCAACTGCTTCCAGGTAAAATTCTGTGGCCCAAGTGACAGTCCATACGAAGGCGGCGTCTGGAGAATCCGCGTCGAGCTGCCCGAGAAATATCCTTTCAAGTCGCCAAGGTAATCTTTCAAAAGCCCACCTCAGAAACAAAAAACGCGTTTTAGCATCGGCTTCCTGAACAAAATCTTTCATCCGAATATCGATTTGGGCTCGGGCTCCGTCTGTCTTGATGTCATAAATCAAGTAAGTGGAGAAGCACCATTCTTTTCCACTGCCAATTAGTTGTGTTCGAAATTAACTTTATGAATCTAGACGTGGACGCCTTTATACGACCTATCAAATATATTCGACACATTCCTGCCGCAACTGCTGATGTACCCCAACCCTCACGACCCTTTAAACGGAGACGCTGCAGGATTGTGTAAGTGAAAAATTCGTGCGCCAGACGCGTGTATATTTTGTCTCAGACCTGCACCAACCAGAAGAGTACAAAAAACGAGTCCGAGACTACGTAAGTCGGTACGCAATGGAAATGGGCGCCACAGGCGACGGAAACGGGGCGGGTGACGACGATGATGATGAATCTTCGATAAGTGAGTGCTCATTTGACGGCGATGACAACATGGAGATGGAAATGTGAATAACTTCTATGCGCAGAAAGAACCAAAAATATTGTCCAGGTAAATTTACAATTTTGTGAAGCAAAGATTCCAAGCTCTATCTTCAGAAATCAGACGCGGGTTCGTCGAAGACAACCTATCAAACCAACTTTACTAACTATCAACAATCATAGTACAACAACAATGTCAATATCAAATCGAGGGAAGGAATATTACCGTCAAATGATACATTTTTATACTTTTCTTTTCCTCGCTCTTTATTCAGTTTAATAAAATGCGTAAATATGACTCCATTCCAGTTGTATCTTACAGTCATCTATGATATAATACTTATATAAAAAAATTTTAAAAGGCCAAAGACTGAATGCATAAAAAAACAAAAAGATTGAAAGGAAGTTCTCGACTATCACTAGCCAGCCTCTTAGTGAATTAGACGAGTTATCCTCCATGTTTAGGCCTCGGACGTAAAAACAAACGATTTTATCCATCCGGTAGTAGGCTCATTCAGAAGCTCTGGGCCCTCCCTCCCTGTTTCGAGTTATTTGAGTTTCTCCGGACTCCGGAGTCCGGAGAGGATCCGAAAAACGAATATTGAATGCTCCGAAATCGACAGCAATTGTCAAAAAGAAAGCTCTTTTCAAGAGCTTCTGAATGAGCCTACTTTTGTCCCTGTACGATGACCGGATGATCGTGTTGGCCCAACACTGTTGGGTTTAACGTCCGAAGCCTGTCCATGTTTTTCAATAGAACTAAGTAATTTGCGTAAGATTCCGTAAATGGCACTTCTTCTATAGATGCAGAAGCCGAATTCTAATTTTAGTAAATAGCATCTTTCTCTCACATCATTCTCACGCGTAGAAAACACTACTATATTTTTCCTGAAATGATTTTTTTGCAAAAGTTATCAATGGACAACACATAACTTTTGGGGGATATCTTTGTTGCACGCGAGTATTGAGTCAACTCATCAGATTATACAGATTCATAGTCCACGTCAAAACAGTATCAAATTTTGATCATTTTTTTACCAAAGAAGAGCAAATAGGGCGAGGAGGGCAGAGCTAAGAATAGTAGTGGTGGCATGATTACTTCCGTCATTCTTTGGCGGGCATTTGCCAGCGGCGCATGGCATCCACTTGCTCGGGCTGCTTGGGAAGTCTTTATGATAATCTTTGTTAGCTTCGTCAAGGTACGCAATGAGAGGCTCGAAATATTTCTTGAGGGAGTCGGCTGACATTTTCTTGATTCCTACTGATTCAAGGATAGTGTTGGCGTCCACTGAGTTTCCTGGTTCCAAAATTTGTCTAAAATTTGTTAGATCTCATCAATTTAATTCAGTGGGACTCACTTGAGAAGGTCACCAGCTTCTTTGCTGTCGGCAAAAGTGCATTTGTAGAGTTCTTCATTCCATCCAGCAGCCTCACACATCTTCTCGTAAAATTGGAACTGGAGAATGTGGGAGACGAAATATCGGATGTAAGGAGTGTTGTTAGGAATGTGGAATTTGGCAGCAGCATCGAAGTTCTCACCGTCATCCCGTTCTACTGGAGGGACGATTCCCTTAATTAATTTACATAATATTAATTAATACAGTTTTATTTACCTGGTACTGGTTTCGAAGTTCGGTCCAGCTCTTCTGGTAGTCAGCTGGCTTAGTTTCACCACTAAATACCTTCCATCGCCAAAGATCAGTGACGTAGCCAAAGGGAAGGAAACCAATCTTAGTCAAAGCGGTCTGCATCAAGTAGTTGAGGTCTGCTTCTTTGGATTCTTCGTAGCCAGATAAGAGTCCGACTGAAAACCGTAAACCGAAGATTTATAAATAAGTTCATACCATTTGTGAGATGGGCAGGAGTGTTCACGGAGAGAGCGATTGTATCACCGATAGCTTCGTGAAAGCCTGGATTGGCACCGTTTCGGAATACGATGGGCTGAGCGGCATAGTTCTGGTAATATTGAATATGACCCATTTCGTGGTGGACCGTAACGAAGTCAGAGTGAGTCTTGACGGTGCACTGCTTGATTCGGTAGTCACCCTCGGCCTCAACTGCGCTCATCGCATCACCGACAAAAAAGTCCCATGCTGAAGCATGACAGACCATATTGTCTTGTTTCTCAATTACAGATTCATTCCAGAAAGTCTGAGTCATAGCGGGGAGTCCGAGGCCTTGGAAAAATTCATCTGCCATTTCGAACATTTGTTTTTCAGTCTTTCCTGAAAGCGCATCAGTGGCATCTGGTCGTTCACCTGCTTCTGGGTGTGGGACAACAAAGGGGTAAAGAGCACTCCAGTCCTGAGCCCACATGTTTCCGAAGATGTGTGCTGGCATAGGTTCTTTTGCGGCAACACGTTCTTCACCATAATGAGCGTTCATGCGACCTCGGACGTAGACGAAAAGTTTCTCGTAAATTTCGCTGACTTCGCCCCAGAGCGATTCCATATTTGCTTCGAAATCGTCATCTTCATACCAAGATCTCCAGTAAGCACCAGTATCAGGGTGATCCATATCACTCGATACAACACCTTTGTTGCTTAGCTCAACAAATTGCTCGTAGCTAGCTTTTTGCTCGTTAGCAGTATTGTGCCATCCTTCCCAAAGATGTCGCATCTGCTCATAGTTATCATCGGATCCTTTGCCTGCATCAACATACATAATTTCTTCGATTTGGCTGAGATCGACTTCATCACCACTGTAGTCATTTTCGATTAAAACCTTCGCAGTTGAGTAGTGAGCCTGCATCTGTTGAAGAAGACCATTGTATGTTTTGAATTCTTCAGATTCAAGAGCAGCTGGCCCAACATTGAGAATCATGTCTAAAGCTCGTTCTTGAAGGAGCTCATTTTTCCAAATTGACTCTTCATTTGGATCGGCGTGGATGTCATATCCTTTGTCAGTCTTAAAATGTGCCTTTCCACAGCTTCCAGTTTGAGTGGCCCATCGAGCGAGTTCAGCGTCAACTCGCCCAGCCTCAGCAGCATTATCATCGCTGATGTCGATATTGTTCGCCCAGTTCGCATTTGCAGAAGCTGTATAAAGTGGCTGCATGTGGACCATCCAGCTGTTAAGGAATTCGTAAGATTCTTTAACAACACATGGACCTCCAGCATTCATTCCGTTGCAAAGATCTTCTTCACAGTGCATCGAGCAAATCTCACTATCGTTTTCAATCGTAATCTCATCTCCATTCTCGTCAGTAACGGTATCTCCTGCCTTGTAGTAGATGCATCCTTGACTGACCTCTTCGGTATTATTTACGCATCCTCGTGTAATGATCTCGACTGAGAGCAAATTTAATTAATTATCAAAACGAAGGTAAACTTACGTGATCCATCAGAATAATTCTCCGAAAAGGCAATAACATCGGTGCCAAAGCACCCGATGTCGCTCTCGCAAGTTACAGGATTATCATTTTCGCTTATAGTTCCACAAGGGTTGACATCGTTGATTGTCTGATCAGAACATTCGTAGCATTGAAATGCTGTAACAGCCGAAGCTGACGTTGCAGCAACAAACTATAAATTTCGTTAGTCTCTCTGAATATTGAAAAAACTAATGTAACTTACTAGCTTCATGTTCGCAAGTGAAATTCACCCGGTAACATTTCTGTTATATAGTTCCCTGCTATAAAGCTCAACTGTTGGTAAATGGCAGACGTCGCTATAGCAAGAATGACTGGTATCGTCAGCCGTAAATGTTAATTTTAACTGCAGAGAATCTTGACGCACTTTTGCAAACATTCACCAAGAATTTTTGGAAGCAGAACTTTGATAACTTTGGTATGTGGATTGAGGAAAGATCTGTATAGTGTAATCGTTACAAATTTATATAATCGTGTTGCTTGGAAACGGACAGTGTCCTTGTTGCTATCACAACAATTAAGATATCATGAATGACGAGAGTAACAAGAGTTGCAAGTTATGGCGAGCGAGCAAATGGAAAGCCAACTTCGATCCGCTTCTTGTAGGAAAGATACCACGAACATATTTGCCAAGAAGAAGATGTTTTGGTATCCATATCAGGCGAACGAAGACCTGTGTCCATTTTCAAGTCCGAACAAGCTGTCGAATATTTTTATTGCTGCACATGTAAATTGAAGTTCAAAGATTTAAGGAAATGAATTCATTGATCTCGGATCGACATTATCATTTATAGTTTAGAATCTTAACTTTAGATCGGAGTATGAATTCATTTTGCAGAGATTTTTACAGAGATTAATCTGCAAGACCCTTATTATTCTAAACGAGAGGAAAATTATTATCTCGTCGTAAAATTGAGTATTTCTCTTTCATTCTCATTTAATCAAAAGAGTCTTAAGGACCCCCCGTCAACAATTTTCGAAAAATCTATTTTCGGAATTTCGAAATTTTGACCCCGGAAATGGATTCTACAGGTCAAAAAACGATTTTGAGGCTACATTTTTTGGGGGTCTATCTCGACTCTAACACCCTCAAAATCGCGTTTGAAAATCAGACTTTTTGACGAAAAATGACGAAAAAGTCCCAATTTTGCTAAAATTTCAGATTTTTCTTGGTCAAAAAGTACTCCGAACAAGTTTTTATGATAAATTGAAATTCCAGGAACGCTAAGAAGCCAAAATATGGCAATTTTGGAATTTTCGATTTTTTGAGGAAAATTGTTGACGGGGGGGTCCTTTAATTAATCTCTGAATACGCATGCAGCGGAGAATCTCACCCGAAGCCAGAGTAGAGCAACATCGACCTTGACAGCTTCAAATGATGTCAAATGATGTGTTTCCCTGTCAAAAAAGCAAAACTTTGATTTCTTGAATAAACAATTTTTCTTAAATTCGTTTCAATTATCTTTTTATACCGATAAAACTCGCTTGAAGATGTACCCTGTATCTGCTGAACTATCTTCTGAGAGATTTACGTCCCTTGGCAGCGTACCAAACAGCCCCGTTCTGAGTGATAAGATTCTAGTTATCTTTTGATCCTCTCTTGTGAGCTCATTCTTGTGCCCAGAGAAATCACAACTCACGGTATGTTCAGAACTTCAGATTTCTTCATCGTTGGCAATGGTGCTTCTCAAATTTAATGACAGTCCTTTCCAAGTGGACAGATCCTATGTAATGACCTTTTGCTTTATACAGTTTAGGGCTTTCATCGTTTTATTAAATATTTGAATTTGTTAATCAAAATTTTTTCAATTATTTGATACTATAAATCTCGTAGAAATAATAAAAACATTACAATTCCAGATTTATTAAATTATAAATAAGATGCTTGGAACAGGTGGCTGGGACATTTATGTTTCTGGAGTGAACGGTTTCGTGGGAAAAGATGGCGTCACAAAGGTATGTTCTGCGTTTCGTTCGGTCGCCAATACTAATGGCTGGCTAGGGCGGCCTCTTTGATGCAAATACTGGAAATCCATGGTGCCAACAAGATTGTTCCAGACTGCACCCAGCTGAAGTCACCAAAATGATTAAAGCTCTCGAAGCTGGCAAGCTTGACGAGCCAATTACATGTTCCAAGGTCAAGTTCAGCATCGTCGCAATCGAAAAAGACAACACTCTGATGCATGCACTAGGCCCTAAGAACGTTCCTATGGTTATGAAAATGGTAGGATTTGACAAAGTCATAGTTAACTAATGACTGCTTGCAAGACTGAAGGAAAACGTGCGATTGTAATCGGTTTTGGCGATGAAAATTCGAATCACGGGTCAATGACGGCGGCAGTAGGTAATAAAATATGCAAATACTAACTTTCCATGCACGAGATGAATATCATAAACCACCACCATAGCTATGCAAATGATAAGCCCGTAAAAGTTTCCGAATGAATTTAATGTTTCTTTATGAGTAGCAAGGGAACCGTAAGATGTCGTGCCAATAAAGCGAGATCTTTACTTTTGTTCTAGAACGCACGGTGGCGTACCTCAATCCAGCTGGTTATTAATCACTCGAGAAAATAGCAGATTTATGACTCTGTTTTTGCAAAATAAAGACGAACTGTATTTATATTGGTGAAGTTTTTACTGTACAAAAGGTTGCAGGCTTTATCAGTTTGAAATTTCAAGAGGTGAAAACGTGGTTTGATTTGGACAGCGTCACTAGCCGATGTCCTGAACGTGGACATCCATCTCAATTTGAGTCAACTGTTTTTGTTTTTTGGCAATTCTAGCGCGTAGCTTTTCTTCTTCTTCTAAGTGGCCGTAGAGTTTCTGCCAACGAGACTGAAGATTCAGGCGCCTTACTAGATTTTTTCTGTTTCGCGTTAGTTGCTGATTTATTTGTACCTGAGTGTGCAACCGCTACAATCTCAAAGACAATGACAACCCAGATGAGTACCCAAAGTCCTGCTAAGGTGGCTGTATTGTCGGAAGTCCAACGAGCCATCTTTTTCACACAGCCAACTTCATAAGCTTCTGTCATGTCACACTCGAGCCCACTTGGACAGCAAGAGCTCGGTGGCGCACACTTATTGAGATGGATCTCTTTCGCATCGCAAAAACCGAGACTTTGAACGGCGTAGTCTGCGCGTGAAAGCACTCCACAGCAGCGAAAGTAGCTTTCGACAGTTTCAAGTGCGAAAAAACTTGAACCCGTATTTGACACTCTCATTTTGATGAAATGAAAGTACAACTGCTTTATTTTGTCCTGATAAGGATGATCAAAGATCAGTACAGAAAACAAACTATCGAAGTATATTTATTTGTGATCAACCTTTTCCTGAATGGTTTCCGCCATAGCCCACACAATTATTCCTCCGATGAAGATGCAGAGAAAAATTGCTGTCAACATCCATCCAAAGAATCGCATCATTATAACATTGCCCCGGAAGAACCCGAAGCCACCATTGAAAGAAACGACTATGGAAATCAATGCAGCCACGAGAAGAATAAATGAAGGATCCGTGATGACATTTTCTGTTTTCATCTTGGCAGTATGGAATTTGATTTGACCCATGACGCCTAGAACAAGCAGGACAACTCCGCAAATCATCGCTAGAAAGTTGAAAGCGGTAACGACGAATCTGAAGAAAGCGACACAACAACCAGGATTTCGATAGCTCTGCTTGATATGAATCTCTTTTTTCATCTTCTTTAGTGCACTTTTTGAGTCCTCTTCTGCTTTTGCCTGCATGGTTTCGGCAGAAATAAGTCTTTTTTGGGAGTTCATCGTCATGGTTCGAGTTAGCTTTGAAATGTCGAATTCACCAGATGCAGGTTCTGCGCCAGGAAAAACATCCGGAAGACTGAGGTCGACTTTCTCCTGAACAAAATTTAGAATCTCATTGAAATTTTCTTAAACTTACCGTTTCGTCATTCAAAACTTGCTCATCAAACTGAACGTTACTGATAACGACTTCTACGACTTCAGGCTCTTCCTTTTCAACGATAACGTCATCGTGGACTTGAATTTGTCGTTCCACACTTAGCTTAGGCTTTGTTACTTCAATGATTGGAAGAACAACTTCTTCTTCTTCTTGCTCTTGATTAGAAGAAACTGCTCGTCCAAGAACTTCTTGTGTAGCTGCCTTGTTTGCCGCCTGGGCCATTGCGTTTGTTGCCATTTGACGGAGAGCAGCCATCACTTCTTCATTGGACATGCTAACAAATATTGTCAAGCCATGAAATCCAGGTTCAAAGAGTAGAAAAATGTGATGAAAATATAAAAAACTTACTCTCCATAGTCCTCTTCATTCAGCATAACATTAAAAGGACTGTTGTTAATCTGCTCAGCGTCAATTTCAGGTTTCTGTTCTGGCGCGGATTGTCTTCCAAGAGTTCGAACTGGAAGGGCGCTTTGAATCTCGATAGATCTAAGGTCACTGTTAATTTTTGATTTCAAGTTATTCATTGTACCTGTTAAGGTGTTCTCTTTGTGCCCCCTCAGACATAATTGCTTGAGGGTCGACAATCTCTATAGAACGAGCTCGAACAGAACTTGCTTCTTCTGACTGGTTATCATTTTTATTTTGAACTGGAGGAGGATTCTTTTTCTCTATGTTCGAAACTGTTGACTTGACAGACGGTCCTCGTGCAGAAACATCTTCGATTGCGCTCTGGAAATCAGAGAATTCAGATATTGAAAGACCTGGCTCGTCTGGGCTCAACGGACCGGAGATACTTGCGCAAGATTTAGAATTACAGGTAATGAGTGCTTATGATCTACTAAGTTTCTTTAATCTTAATCGCACCTAAATATGGATCATCTTTTCATCGTTGTATGAACGGACTTGATTCTAAACCCATGTGCCTAGTGATCGTCGGCACTTCCGACATGGTGTTTGCCGCTTTCGAGACATTGTCGGATATCTCGCTCATCTTTTATCGTATTAAGACATTAGGATTCTCTTCATTATGTGTAGTACTTTTGCGCTAGCACCTCCTGGAGCGCACGCCTACACAATTCTTCAGCGCATCGGCGGTGGAGGTGCAGCCAATTGACGCAGAAAACGCGGTCTTCGAGGAGAAATAAAGCGCACTTTCTTGTTTACACACTGATTTGAAATTACGGTTTCTCCGACCGTGGAGCAGACTTCTAACATAAGCCTTTGTTTATCTGAACTCCTCCCTGAGTTTTGCTTCGATTTCTTGCCTCGACAAGTTCCGCGATGTGGAGACTTTTAAACGTGTCTTCATCACTAAGTCATCAGTTTAGAAATTTTATCTTCATCTTTGATTGTATTAATTTACTGAAGTCAACTTTTTATATGAATCGGCTAAAAATGAGCATTTTGGATTGAACTTTTTTCGGGTACCAAGATTAATAGTTAATCATTAACTGGATTGGGTGTAACTCGTATTATCGGATAAACAACTAAATTGTTCTGATAAAAATTTGTTTCAGTAAAACTATTATTTAGTATAATAGCTTCTTATGTATTGCAGTATAAACACCAACTGAGGATGCTCCACATAACGTGCCAAATCTGATAGTGACGTAATCTAAGGTAAAAAATAGTTTCGAGTTTTCAATTCAACTTCGAAAGTAAAGGTTTCTCTTTTATTTATCGAAGGGTACCTCGAGGAATAGCTTGAACTCTCTGTGAATGAGCTGCTCATATTCTCTGAGTGGCATGAAAAAACGCCGCGGTGAAAAATTTTGAATATGCAAAAAACTTACCAGGACTTCAAAAACTTTAACATGATTTGGCATGCAATGAGCAGCGCCGGGATTCCAGACTGTGACAGAAAGATAGCAAAGCTGAGAAAAAGTGAGTTGACCCGGACGTTACATCCCCGGAATGATTCAATCAGCTTCTCCGTTCTCACAGGTCCCTAACTGCGCCACATTGTCCAGTTCCATTTGACATCGTTTTAAAATAACTTTGAAAGTATTCCTTTATTTAACTTTATTTTTAGCCCGCTATTTTTTCAAAAACACTGTTTTAAATTTGTGAATAAGCATATGTGACATATCACATGTCTCAGAGTTTAATTTAATTTGCTCAGGGTTTTAAGTTAACTCCTTAATTCTAAGAAGGAACTAGAATCCCTGCTTGTTTGTATGCAAACGAAGGTAGTACCGTTCTAATCTTTTGGTTCCAAAAGATTGACTCAAGATTTCCTAAGTCAAGCCAGCATTAGATAGTGGTTAAGTATATCGCGTGTGCCTCTAATCAGACCTCAAAATGGAATTTTTATGTCAGCTATCGGGAATTTCTTAAAGTTTTAGATAATAGCCTTCCTTATCTTTGTCAAATATCGTTTCGTGCAAAATTTTGTGTGTTATATTTTGCACTTTTCAGTTAAAAATATATATTTTCAAGCAGATGTCTAACAGTACTCTAAAGTATTCAATCTTGATTTTTGGTAAGCCTGATCTATCCTCTATTTTTCATAACTTGTAAATTGCGTCAATACAAAAACTACGTACAGGCGATGTGGAAGTATGTCAAAGTGTCACTGCATGCTTGGAATGTGAGGATACATCCTTAACCGCAACGGGAGAGCGCGACGCTTAGGATCCTTGGTAAAGAGCAGCTTCTTCGAGTAAAAGCCCTCCGGGTTTTATAATACTCGAACGCAAGGAGTGCAGTCGGGGAAGCAGTCCCTCATCAATCGGTGCACTAAAAGCTTAATCTCACGTTCGCTTGGATTTATTAGAGAGCTTGAAGATCCCTGCAGAGAATGAGAATCGCCTATCAAATTGCTGCTGTTTCAGCGTGTTTCTCGAAGATCAATAAAAAAGGAACTGTTCAAATATAAAAAAAAACTTTTCATAGTCATTATCTTACCACTAATATTACTTTCGGAGTGTTTATCATAACTACAGCAGTAAATCCAACTCGCGAATGATTATTTTTACTCGCATAAATCGCCATTAAAATAGACCTTCTTTATTGATGAAACGTGTAGCTGTCATGCTTTACAGCTAAAAACTTTCTCCATTCTTTTGTCAGTCAGTGTAGCATTTTATCAGCTAATTTGATCTAAAAACTCATCATTCGGAAGTCTTGTTAACATTTTTTGCACACATATTTTAGAAGACGAGGCTTGACTCTATTTATAACAAATTTTAAAATATTTAAACCTTGCAAGAAGAAAAGAGCGAGGCCGTTCCTGTTGTTCCGGCACCGGTGTTCACACCTGAAGGTATCAATCAGCCCGTAGCTCCAGCTCAACAAGGGAATTACTTTCCAACTTACGACTCCTCGTTACCGTATTATAACACGTACCAGCCGCAAGGCGCTCCCTCCAATTACCCGCAGCAGAAGTCCAACCAAGTTACACAACCACAATCTCACAACTATCAGCAACCAAGTGCTCAGTTTACAGTTCAACGCGCAAATACTCAAAGAATAGGATTCATTTTTGTAGCGTCGATTAAACGTATCGGTTCGTAACGGCTTTGTTATCCTTGGAAAAGACAATTTTTATCTCAAAATCAACGACCTCAAACCACACAGACTCGATTTCCAAATCAGAATGTGCACAAAAATCAAGGACGAAGTCAATTGCAGGGGATGCGAGGAGCAAATCTGAAATCTGCAGCAGCTGGTCCGCGAAAGCAAAATAATGGAGCGCGTTCAAAATACAGACCAGTAAAGCAATACGCAGGAAAAATCAATGATTTAGACGGAAAAAACATTCCCGGATGCGGAGGAACTAAATGCAGATCTTCGTACATTTTAGAAGGCGCTCTGATGCCGCTTGATTTCAACGATCAGCGTTGCGTTCCCTACTTCCGGTAATTTCGAAACGAAAAAATGAAGATAAAGCCTTGAATGTTGTTTTATCAAAGTCCTTTTTAGAGATCGAATTGACGCTAAAAACGTTTGTAACTCATACGCAGCTTGCAAAGGAGTCGTTCAGGTTTTCGACTTTTACAAAATCACTTCCTAAAGGTCAATTTAAGAGCTCTAGCGGTGGAAACTACTTTGAGCTTCGCGGTGGCAAAGCATGCCCAAAACTGAAAGAGGATCCTTGGAATAAGCCGTATGGGAATGAATACTCTCATGGAAAATAACTCCATTGTATTTCATTTTATGATTGTATATTTTAAGAACTGTGGAAAAGAATAAAAAATAGTTTCTGGGTTGTGTCTTATTCAAGCTTGGTTTTCGACAGTCTTCTTGAAGTGATCGCGAAGGATATTTCGCCATCTACAGAAATTAACATTCGTTGGAAAGGAACTAAAATAATTACCTCTCCATGCGCTTGACTTGATATTCGAACAGTCGCTGCCCATGGCATTCCGAGATGTAGCGTTCTGTCCACTTCCGGAAGCCAGTGGTGATCTGTTGTATACCTTTATAAAAGTTTTATAATTAAACCTCATATTCTCAATTATGAAAATACTAATTTCTTATTAAAATAAAAAATAAGCGTAAAACTCTTTCCTGTAGCGGGATTTTCGCGATCATAACGACCCTGGAAAGGACTTTCCGACAAGCCAATTTGAAAGAACATCCGCTGTAGATCTTCAAAGTCACTATTCTCAGTGTTTCTTCGATCACGACGCTTTCTCGGATTTGGATTCGGTCCCCCATGCGGAATTGTTGGATCAAAGAAGCCGCAAGTACTTCGGTTGAAGGCTTTTAGCATTCTCCCTGCATTTTTGTCGAATTTTCGAATCCATGCATCCTTTGAAGGCTATATTTTGCTAAAGATTGACTTCAAATAATCAGTTTCACTACACAATTAAAATTCCGATTAAGCTACTACAGTTTTTTCTTAGCCGCAAGAGTTTATCATCAAGATAAGACCCTTAGCAATTCACTCAAATTTCTCTCCATCCATTCTTTTGAAAAGCGAACAAGCGATTCCAAGCGCTGTGGTGGAGTCTTCGGCGCAACAACTCTAGATTCAAGTGTCTCGTCTTCGTTGTTGGCAATAGCAGTTGGTGGCCGCGCACCGAAAAACAACTGCGCGTTTCCACCGCTCAACGCAAAAAGTCCTTTCAAAATTTTCATTTTTATCAATTGATAACTGTTAGAGAAGAAGAAAACTATAAAGAACTCGAGGGCGCTCTTGGACACGTCAGAACGATTTCAACCCCGTCGACATGGCCAACGTCATTTGCGGAAATTAAAAAGTCATCTGAATGCAAAACGAACTTGGACTTAATTAGAGTCATTCAATATGCAAATTTGAAAGACTCGCTTTGCTCTCGAACGTCTGGCAGGCCACGACTCTTTTGGAGGCTGAAGAAATCAAACTGATACTTCTTTTTCGGAAGAACAAGTTATAGCGACTTCTCTATAAATCAACGATACTGAACATCTCCCTACCACTAATTGGCTCTCTCATCAAGCTTATCTCGACAAAATTGAACTGCAACTTACTCGCAAGAATACCGCATAGTAATCCCAACATATTCAAACAATATTTTGTATAAATTTTATACTATAAAAGAACGGAGCATTAGAAAATATAATGTATTTTATCATCAGGTATAAAAATAAATCTCATCGTTGCTTTCAAACAGTGCATATTCTTAAAACATCCCGGGTTGCTGATATTGTGCAAGTCTTGCTTGCGGCCCAAGTTTCGGTTGCCACCAGTAGTAAGTGTGTAAGCTGTGGCTCAGTTGTGCTGGACGGAAAGCGCCGTCTTCACTCCACGATTGATCTGCCCGGCAATCAGTGTTCTCTAAATCCATTCTATATAAAAAGTTTTGAAGATCGTATGCTACCTTCTGTGAGGATTCCTTCTTTTTGGAGTCTCGTAATAGCCTGAGAGGACTTCTTCTCGAAGATATTTCCCCAGAGCATTGTACATTTGATTGACTCACATTTTTCAAACGCGCTGAGGAGAGCGACGAGTCCCTCATCTTAAAATTAGATTTGAATGAAATCAAGGAGGAGACTTTTTACCTCCGATATTGCAATTAGTGAGGCCTAATGTATGGAGAGTGCACTCGGGCTGTTGAAGATTCCTAAAATTTGAATAAGATAATTTGGCTTCGATAGTGGATTTACTTTGCCAGAGTGACGCCTCCTTCTGACTGAATATTGTTGTGTGATAGATCAATCGTGTCGAGCGTTTTGATACAGGGAGCTACGATTTTCGCTGCATCTCGAGAGAGTTTATTCGCAGCAACATCTAAGTACTTCATATTTGGTGATTTGGTCACTCCCTCGATCACGCGTGTCAGACCATAATCTCGGAGACCAACTCTTCTGAGGTGCAGTCGCTCGAGTTTCGGACGCTGCTGGAGAGCGTATTCGATGTGCTCACAAATGTATTGTTCGGGAGTGAACTGCTCGGATCCAGAAATGTCCAACTTTTTAATCTGACAGTTTTCGGAGACGATGTGTTTGAATATCGAAATGAGCCCTTTAGAAGTTAATCCACAATCAGCCATTTCCAGAATTTTCAAAGGACAAAAAGCCAACTCTTCTCCAATACGAATTCCGATCTCCTGATCGATATGGTTTCCCGAAAGAATAAGAATGCGAACGTTCGAGGAAGATATAGCATTCAAAAGGTCAGGTACAGCTTCACCGCTGATGTTGCAGCCAAGTACGTCGATGGTTAAGAGACTTTTCAACAACGGAAGTTGCTGCGCGATTAATTGGAGAGTTTTATCAGTTATGTGGTGGTATCGAAGAACGATAGAGCTCAGGGATGACAGACGGTCAGACAAGGAGTTGAAAAGCCATTCGAATTGCTGATCATCGAGCTGGACGATATTCTTATCCAAGACTGAAATCGAATTGAAACTAACGTTTTGTTGGTGCATACTATACCTAAATCTACCCCGTATTGATCAAATGCGTCTTCAGATAGAAAATCCTGAAGGCCTTTGTTAGCCTCATCCCCAGCGAGTTCAGCGTATTTTTTCGCTATGCTCATTCTTAAATTAAAGATTCCGAATAAAGATTCAGTTTTCTAGTTCAGCTTAGAATTTGTATTTTGTCAGAAACAGGACCTCTACAGATAGGACAGTTTTCGAGAGGCACAGCACAGTTATTACAGGTACAGACATGGCCACACGGAAGAAAGCAGATTTGAGCGCACGATTCCATGCAAATACAACACTCATTTTCTGCTCTGAAGACTTGTTGGTCCGCTGGAAGTGAAGTTGAAGATTGAATTGAAGCAGGTGGGGCAGAGGCGTTTTCGGCTTGTTCGATCGCTGGAGTGTCGAGAACCTTTGGTGCCGATGCGTTCTCATCTTCGCCGTCGTCGAGAAGAACTTGCTCGAGAATGCGAAGACGATCGCCGAGACGATACACACCAATACGCTCAAGATCTTTGTGAGTCAGCTTCTTTAACTGCCCGAAAGAAATATTGTGGGCTCCAAAGCACTCTTTAATTCATTTTAGCTCGTGAAATCGAAAGAATAAGGAACCTAAAGAGTCAATGGCTCCGGCGCGTTGAATTATTCTCAGAACTCGTCGATCCATAGATGCTTCCATTCGTTGTAAAGCGATAGGCTTTGATTGCATCAGAGTTTCAAACTGACGAACCCAAAACATGGCTTCATTTTGTTGACGAGACTTCTCTATTTGATCCAAATATTCACGAGCCTGCTCTTGTCGGACTTTTTCGTCTTTGAGAAATTTACCCAAAAGAGAAGACATCTCCATTCGTCGTTCTTCGAGTAAAAGCCTATATTATCGATTATTAATTAAAATGCGCGAGGATAATTATAATTTGATTAAAAAAGATAAAGTAAATTACATCATCTCTTTATTTTCGACACTCTGACGATCGACCTCCATTACTGTGATTTTTTCCAGTTCCAGTTTGACCATTTCTGCGTTTCTACGAATATCACGCAGCTCCATGTCATTTTGTTCGATTGCTCTTTGACAGGCTAATTTCTGGAAGTATTCCCGCTCTTCGAGATTTTGACGAGAGCATTTCTCGTTGTCCACGGAATCCATCAACGCGAATCGTTTCTGTTTCATGCTTTCTTCCTCTTCAGCAAACGCTTTCAGTCGTTTTCTATCTTCAAGGTCTTTGTTCTCTAAAAGAGAAAGGAAGAATAACTCAAGGATATTCTCGCTTACGATGATAATTCATCATCCTTGCAAAGTCCTCTTCATTTTGAAGGAACTGCATCATCTGGCGTTGAGCGAATTCGACGTTGACTTTGCTTTCTTGTTCTTGCGTCAGCTTGAAATGCTCTGCATCCTCGGCTTCTCGTTTCTTTAGAAGGTCGATGAAATCGACTCTCTTCTTGCGCTCGGTCTCTTCGCTCAGCAGGCGGAAAGAAAGCGACTTACACTCGTCCTCGAATTCAAGAAGCTTTCGCTTCCACTGAGCTTTGTTTTCTTCTACAAATGGGGGTAATGATCACCAGTTGCTTACACGAAACTTTTGACGAAAAGTTTACGAGAAAGAGAGAACATAAAAAATCTAACACAACATATTTGATACCCTCAGCTTCGATCAGAGCAAGCCTCATCGTCTTGTCTTCGAGTTCTTCATTTTCAGCTCTGTCACGTGCCGCAAGTTCCTTCACGTAGTTCGCCTGTGCCTGTTCTTTCGCCAGAATCACACGCTGCTTTTCTTCTTCCTGGCGCTTGAAAATTCGTAGTTTCTCATCATTTTCGTCGATTTGTGTTCTCAGCAGAGTGTCGGGGGCATCTCCGTCGCTCGAGGAAGCTAAATCGGAAATTCCAGGGACTGGGGAAGTATTTTCTTCGACAATGGAAGCGATAGTTGACTTGTATTCCTCGGTAAGTTGGATAGCAGTTGAAGATATATTCAGGTGAAGAAGACTGGGTGGCTAAACACCAATATATTTTTGTGGAATTCAAAAGCGAGTAGTATTGTTTAAATAATTCTAGAGACATTTCAATAAATTCTTACTTTTGGAAGATAAAATAGCTTCGAATTGAATGAAACGTCCAATTTTCTTAAACTCTCCATCTTTGAAAGCTCTTTCGGAAGATTGCATAAATCATTGTGAGACACATTCAGATCGACAAGGTTTCCCAGTGCGAAAATGATTGGCGAGAGAAAGGTCAATCTGTTGAAGGATGAATCCAAGCGCTTGAGCTTGAGCGATTTGAGTAAATCTTCATTTGAGTCGAGTTTCAAATCGAGAAGGTGATTGTGGCTGATATCTAGCTCATTTTTTTGGTGAAGGCTCATTATTTTAAAGAGGTCTTCGGGAGGTACTTGAAGTTCGCAGTACTATAAGATGGGCTTTAACACAACACAAAATAAATAATTGAATTAAGAACATTGATGATCCATGAAGGCCCTGTCCTGTAGCTCGAGCAAAGAACCCATCAGCGCTTTGTACTTGGTAAGTTTTTCTTTGACCTTTGCTTCGTTTCCAGGTGGATAACGTACTTTAGCGTCCGTGTCGATCCACAAAGGGCATTCCCGACGAAAGACATCCTCCGGGATTTTCGTTATGTTCGTGCCTCGAATACGAAGGATTCGCAACTGCGGCAGGGCAAGGCACTGTTCAAGCTTATTGAAGTTCGTATTCCCCGAGAGGTCTAGCACTCGAAGGCTCTTCATCTTGGGAAAACCAGCTGGAAGCTCTTTAAAGTTGTTGTTCGCGAGTCGCAGCTCGATAAGCTCGTCCAAGTTCTCCATTTTGCCTTCGAGCGTCTTGAGTCTGTTGCAGGACAAGTCGAGCGTGGTTTTCTGAAGATTCTTGCAGCGAGAGAGAAGGCCAACTGGAGTCTTGACCAAATCGCAGGCCGAAAGATCGAATATTGGATATGGCGAGTTAGTCGCCGTGAAGAACATTCGCGTTTCGCGCTCTTCAATTTCCATTAAACAAAGTGATCATCGAATAAGATAAATTGAAGAAAGGATATTCTAGGAGGAGATACGCACCTTTTCCTTCTTTGGATTGAGCTTTTTGTCTCTTGAAAATACCCATCTTTGAAATTTTCCACTAGCTCAGTTCTAGTTGGACAACGTCGTATGGAGAGTTCTAGTGATTCAAGCGCCCTCTTGACATAATGATCGTAAAATACGACGAACAATACGCGGATTGTTATTCACTGGGGATCACTCATGGCCTTGTGAATGCGTCTGGAGACCATTGTCGATTGTCATTGCTAAAATTTTATTTCAAAACTTTCGCTCGTCGAGCCAGACTAGTAAAAAGACGAAAGACTTGCTTATTTTTAGCGGCAACAAAGAATAATTTGATCAATGACAAAATAATTTTATTGGATAAATATATTGATTGTGACTATGTCTTTAGAGTCTAAATTTTAGACGAAATGTCTCTTGGTGGAATTTAACAGTGGTAAGGGCGGAGCAAATTGAATTGGGTCTGGTTTGGCGCGGCGCGGAGGAGCGCTGCGGCGTGAGAAAAGCTGCGCCCGCGCGCACTGCTGCGCTGATGAGTATTTGGACTTGATTGGGAGAGAATCGGAATCAGAATGAACTCGATCAGAGTTGCGCAGAACTTTGTCCGCGTGAGAACGAAAAGTATTTTGCGCCCAGTGGCAGTTCAGATAAAGGTTATTCTTTTTGAATAAGCTACTATTCTCGACTGTTGAGAATTTTCATCAGATTTATCGATGACGCTACAAAAGATACCTTAAATTAAAATTCTTAATTAAAATTTATCATTCATCAAAAACTGAAAAGAGAAAAAAAACTGCAAATTACGAACTTCTTGAGTTATTAATGTTTTTGTTTCGTTGTTGAAAACATTTTCTGACTGATGCAACTTTTAGATGGAGGAACTGTTCCTACGAGCGGGATTGCCGGCCGACAAGGTTAAACAAACTTTAAAGAATGAGAGTCTGGCTCAGCAGCTGGCCGACTCTCTCAACGGTCTTGGCACTGACATCACGAAGGAGAATGGCACGCAGGTAGACCGCTCGTTTTAACTAAACCGATGCTAGTTCAATTCATTAGGTTTATACGCTCGTGACGAAATCGAAGAAGAAAGACCATATCGCTTCTATTCTGCCTTACATCGCCAAGAACCAACTGGACACGCCAGCAAAATTGGATGCGGCGATTCTCTACGCTGCGAATGCTGAGTTTGTTTCCGCCAACTTTGAGAAAGAATGCGGCGTCGGCGTTGTTATTTCGGGCGAGGACATTGAAAAAGCGCTCAGAACCGTCATTGAAGAAAATAAAGAACAACTCGTTAAACAAAGATACAAGTTCAATGTGGGGATTCTTCTTGGAAAGGCACGAATCCTCGTTCCCTTCGCTGATGGCAAGAAACTTAAAGGAGAGTTGGACGCACAAATTCTCGAGCTCCTGGGCCCCAAAACTGAGGCTGACCTGGCCAAGCCAACAAAGACAAAAGCCAAGAAAGCGCCCAAAGAAGCGAAGGATTCCGCGCCAAAGGAGACGAAAGCGATCGAGTCCTTCCAAAATGTAATCAAAGGTGCTGCCTCGCAGTTCCACAAAGTCGGTGAAAACTACAAAACAGATCGATACGTCATGACACCCAATACAATGAAGCATATGGAGAATCACCTGAAAGTTACTGGAGGACAAGTTCGCACACGATTTCCTCCTGAACCGAACGGAATTCTTCATATTGGCCATGCGAAGGCAATTAACTTCAACTTTGGCTACGCGAAAGCAATGGATGGCGTTTGCTATTTGCGATACGACGATACCAATCCTGAAAAAGAAGAAGAGAAGTTTTTCACTGCGATTAAAGATATGGTTGAATGGCTTGGATACACTCCATGGAAAGTTACCCACGCTTCTGATAACTTCCAGGAACTTTACGAACTTGCTATCAAGCTAATCAAGGAAGATCTTGCCTATATCTGCCACATGACTGCTGATGAGCTCAAAGGAATCGGTAAGCTTCACGATCGTTTTCAAATGCCCATGAAATGTTAAGACTCTCCGCATTCTCCATGGAGAAATAGACCTATCGAAGAGTCGCTGGCTCTCTTCCGAGATATGAAAAACGGAAAGATTGAAGAAGGAAAGGCTACTCTGCGAATGAAGCACGTGATGGAGGATGGAAAGAAAGATCCCGTCGCTTACAGAGTGAAATTTACGCCCCATCATCGAACTGGCGAGGAGTGGTGCATCTATCCAACTTATGACTTTACTCACTGCTTGTGTGACTCGATCGAGCACATCTCGCATTCGCTGTGCACGAAGGAGTTTCAAGCCCGACGTTCTTCCTACTTCTGGCTCTGCAACGCCGTCGATGTGTATTGCCCCGTTCAGTGGGAATACGGCCGACTCAATATCGACTATACAATTGTAACTTATGCGAGTTACACTTGGATGCTAACCCTTTTAGTGCTCTAAGCGAAAGATTCAAGCGCTCATCGACTCTGGTCTCGTACGGGATTGGGACGATCCTCGTCTCTTCACTCTTACCGCTCTTCGTCGAAGAGGTTTCCCGCCACAAGCGATTAATAACTTCTGTGGACTTGTCGGAGTGACTGGCGCCGACTGTACTCTAGGTTAGTTTCCCAATTATGAATAAGCATTATTTATTTTAGAACCCGCTATGTTGGAGCATTGTGTTCGCGATGAGCTCAACAGAACGGCGCTTAGAAGAATCGCCGTCATGGATCCATTGAAAATTAAAATCACCAATTTTGATAAGTTGAATATTGCCGCTACCTGCGAAGTTCAAAATGTTCCCAATGAAACGGCGATTGAGATGGGCATCAATTTGACACGACATCTCAACATTAGCGACACTATTTATATTGGTATGTCTAGCAAAGTATTAGACAATGTTGATAATTTTTTTTACTCAGAACGGGACGATTTTGCGGAAGTTCCACCTAAGGGTTTCCGTCGTCTAACACCAGGTCAATCTGTTGGACTCAAGTACGGCGAGCTTGTCATTTCTGTTGCAAAAGTTATCAAAAACAAAAATGGTGAAGTTGAATGCGTGGAAGTCACTGCGCAGAAGTCGACGGAAGCCGAGAAGGTAGTTCATTAAATTTTCGATCGATCTTATTGTTTAAAATTCAGCCAAAAGCGTTTATCCATTGGCTGGATGTCAAGCGATCACATGATGCTGAAGCTCGTCTGTACTCGCAGCTATTCAAGGAAAAGGATCCAACCAGTGTCCCAGGGGGATATCTCGCTGCTGCCAATAAGTCATCGTTAGAAGTGAAGAAAATAAAGGTTTATTTGAAACCAGTATTCATTTCTCACACAAATCGTAGGTCGAGTCGTGTTTGACTGGAAAGCAATTGAAAGTATTCGATAAATTCCAATTCGAAAGAGTTGGCTATTTCTGTTACGATAAGGATTCTACGGCGAAGCTTCCAGTTTACAATTTGACTATTGGATTGAAGGAGGACAAGGGAAAATAGGCTAATTGAACACTGTATTTTGACATGTCGCCAAAAGCAAATGTTAACGGGATTAAGAAATGTATTTTCGATTTTAGTATGGGAGACTGGGGTGAATCTGAATACTACCAAAATAACGATTATGAAGACGACGGGGTGATTCCGGACTCGGGAATGAACAGGGAAGAAACAGAATGGGAACATTTTCTGAACAGATCGGGAAGAGAGATAATTCTCACTACAATAACGGTAAAATGATTCTTCTAGTAGCTTCAAATGATTTGAATCGAATCACTAGATATTCTTTTTTAGCTTAAAGATGGTGAGGCCCTTGTTGAACGTCTCAAAAAAATTGACTCGTATCAGTTCAATTACTTCAAAAGCCTGTTGCGTATTTGCCGCGAGCGTCTGGAGAACATGGAGTATTGTAGGGAAAATTTCTATGATTCCGAAGAAAATTTCGAAAACTACGACGGTTAGACATTGTTCTATTTATAATGAATTAATATCAAATTCTAGTCTATACAAGCGACGAAGAAGCGAGCGAAGAGGAGGAACTCGAAGATGAAGAATTTAAAGATCCTCGAAAGTTTTCGAACTTAGAGAAAGTGAACCTGCAAATTTCCGTTTATCAGAATAGCATGGACTTTTCGAAATGCAAGGATCGTTTTCGGAACAATGGCGACCGTACGGAGATCCACAGATCCTACAAGACGAACCCTGCTTTGAAGAACCGATCGGGATGGCAGTGGCTTAAATTTGAAGTTCGCAAGACGAAAAATCAGTATATTGACGGTCCTGATGAGTGGATGGAAGGGCCGAAAAGCCTCAATATTGTGTCTATCATTCCTATCGTCCATGTCTCATACACGAAGCATAGATCGCCGTTGCTTCATGGCTTTCTTTATATGTACAACAATCGCTCCAGTAAATACAATTTGAACATACCGTTCTTCCACTCGCAACATATAATCAGAATGCTTGAGTGCGAGCTATACGATGGTTTTGTCGACTTCAAAGAAGGTATCGATAAAGATGAATGCTCTTCTTCCCAAAACTCGCTCAACATCGACTTTTGCGTTCAAAAGAGGATCATCGATAAAAGTCTACCAATCGTTTTTATGAAGGAAATAGAAAGAGTCGGCGATAAACTAGCAAAATTGATGCGCCAAATGCGTGAGATTATAGCTACCGCTGAACGCCCGGCGGAGGCTCCAGTTAAAACTGAGGCAGAAATCGCAAGAGAAGAAGCCGAGCGAATCATGCGAAAAAATCGAGAAGACGCAGAAGAGGCCGCAGCACGACGAGTAGCTGAGCAAACGCTGGTTAAAATGGAGGCAGATGCTAATATTCGAGCTGAGCAAACGGGTGAACAGGGTAGAGCTCAAGACAAAAGAAGACGGGACCCTCGTTGCGCTGCAGCATTCATCACGACCTATGAAGATGAAATCGATTCCAGCCATCTTCCACGGCATCTCCCTCCAGAACTTACTCAGCAATATTCTACTGGGTCAAGTACTGCTGGCCGCTCTGAATATAGTGCTGCCACAAACATTCCTTCAGACTGGACACCTCAGTTAGCCGCACAATATCAATGGGACGCATCTGCTCGTCCGGCTCGCCCTGTATGGGCTTCTGATCAAGAACAGAAGCAGCATGATCGCACTGATCATAAATCTGCTGATGTTAAAACTGAAAATGATGGATCAGAAGCTAAGGAAAATCCACGAAAAAGACGACTTGAAGATTCAGCTGATCCTTTGCGAAAAATGACACCAAGTGAACGAGTTCAATTCTACAAAGACCTTTTAGCGCAGAAAAGTGGCAGGAAATAAAAAAAATATTTTTCGAGACCAAAAAATCACTAGCCATTTTCCGAATCTTTAACTTCAATCATTCCGCTCGATATAACATCATTTAACTGTATTATTCGAAGGGTCGAAGTTATTATTTTGAGTCTGAATCCGTACAACAGTTCTTTTCTCAAACTGCCCCGGCAAACTGTATCTACTGCTCTCCTCTAAATCTTCTCGAATTTAATCAATAAAGACAAGAAAAGTTTAGATAAAAGATGCAATGCGGTTGACTTTCTGTTTATTATTTATTTCGTTCGCTTTCGCTGGAGATCTCAAGCTTTCTGGATGGGTCAGTTGCTCGAATTGGGCTTGCGACGAGGCTATTCAAGAAGGTGTAGCAAGACTTAACTTCATTGGGCTAAAGTCTGACGATGACGTCGACTGGCTCAAAGTTCAGTCTGGTGATACTATCGTCGTAACTGGCAAAGATGCTGGGACACTGAAAGGTGTTCCTCTTCTTCATGGACATATAAAAGGCAAAGAAGAGGACAAAGGAAGTGGCCTTTTCCCTTCGTCAGTTCTACGCGTTCTTCGGGACAAGCTTCGCCCATTGAATTCTCGTCGCTACTTCGAAGATATTCAAAATGAAAAACGTGGGATAGATACTCAAACCGAGTCCGACGATTCAAAAGCAGAAGCTAGCACGCCACCTCCGACAACAAAAGCGCCTCCGATCGCGACCGAAGCCCCACGAGTGGATTTCAAGCTGGTTCCTCTGCAGAAAACATCCCAAATTTGGACGTGGATCGATAGCATGTTGGACGAAAGATTTGTTGACCGACTTTTACTGACGCTCAAGGATGAGCAATCTGCTCTGCTTTTGCTAGTATCATCAAGAATGGCAACACAAAAGAGTCAAGATAAACCAGAACTTCAGAGATTCCATCAGCTTGCGAAAGAAGTATCTGCGGCCGTTGAATCAGCTCACGGGATCGGCAAACGCAGAGAAAGTAGGACGCCGCCAACGCTCTCAGAACTTTCAGAACTCGCTCACAGAGTCAGTCAACTCCTCCTCGATCCATACGCCGCTACTATGTATCAAAACTCAAAGGGCTTCGCCCCACCCAAGCTTCAAGAAGTTCGAGTCAAGTACGGTATCGCAACAGATGAAGAAGTCAACAACGTTGAAAACACTGAAAAAGTTGAAGAAAAGGAAATTCCTGATAATCGAAGTGAAGAAGCAAAGCCTGTTGAAGAAGCGACGCCTGAAGACAATTCTAACTTATCTGAAAAGTTGAATGATACGGACTTCATAGAGGAAAATCCCGAAGAAATTCGAATCGATTCAGAGCAGATCCAAGACTTAGACCCTATTAATGAGCCGAATGAAGTTACCCAAGATTACCACGAAGAAGTTGTCGAGGATGTTACAGACAAGTCGCAGCCGTCACAGGATCAAGTGGAACCCGAAGACTTGGCTATCGAGCAAGACGAACAAAATGATGCTCCGGTTGTCGAAGAAAATGAACCCGCCGCAGAAGAAACATTTGAAGACGTGGCTAAGGACGACTCTCATGTAGAAAATATTGATGAGCCTGTTGCCCAGCTTCAAGAAGCAGAGCCAACTATCGAGGACCCTGAAGGGAAACCCGAACAAAGTGAGGAGCCGCAAGTAGATGAGGCCGCTATCGATGATCCTGTCATTGAAACCTTCGTAGATGAAGAAGTAGAGGATTCTGTGACTGAAGATGAAATCGATTTGTCCCTGCCAGAAGCTATTGGAAATGAACTTGTCGGCGAAGTACCAGCACAGACAGGACCTCCTGAGGGTGTCGATCAGGAGGCCGAAGATCAAGAAGAAGTGATTAACCAGACTGACGAAGCTCATTTAAATGAAGATGAAGGCGGCGAAGTTGCGGAGGAAGTTGTTCCAGAAGATATTATTCACGAAGAGGAACTAATCGATGAGGTTGCTAAAAAAGTTCAAGAGCAGATCCAAGAGGGAGTTCAAGAGCAGATCCAAGAGGGAGTTCAAGAAAATACTTTGGCTGAAATTGCAGAACCTGTCGAAACAGCGACTGAAAATGAAATAGACCCGATCGTTGAGGAAGAACCTCTTCCTACCGATGTTCCTATTCTCGAAGTTGATAAAACAACTAACCAAAAGATAGAATCAGACACAGAGTTTCAAAATGATGACCTGCCTCTTGCCGTTCCTCCACTTGATTCTAATGATCCGGAGCTCACCGAAGACGGCGTTTTGGAGGGCGATATCCAGCCTGATGCTTCAGAAAAAGTTGAGGAAGCTGTTTTGGTGGAAGAAGAAAGCCAAGAAAAACTGGAGTCCGAGGAAGACTTGTTCATTGAATCTGAACCAACGATTCCAACTGAGCCTGAAGTTTTCACGGATTCCCCAGACAATGAGCCAGAAATGATTATTGATCCTGTAGAAATCATCCCTGAAGACATTCCTTTGACTGACCAAGATAATCAAGATGCTGTAAATGTCCCAGAATCTCAGGAAGAGGAGCTGGTGAAGATGCAGGATTTTGATGAAGAAGGTATGATGTAATTTAATGTGCAAACTTTGAACATTAAAGCATGTCACATGTGCACAAAAATCTCTAGAGCAATAAATATTATTAAGTATTGAGTTTAAATTCGATTAGTTTAAAATGCGATCTATATTTTTTTGGATTCTTTATTTAACCCTACTTTATGCGCCAGAAATTTATGAAACTATAGGATCGACAGAGCTCCACCTTGCTGATGTGCCTGAGTCCCTTGATGTTGGTGTTATCACTCCAGAATCAGATAGTTTTAAGATAGACCCTGAAGGTAATGGCCGCTACTAAGAGCTCCTTATCCCAAATTGATAATCTAGTTCAAGTAGATGAGTCACTCGAAGCAATCGAAGATCCGCCTCATGAGGAGGACACGCCTGAACCAACCATCGAGAGCACAACTCCCTATTCCCGCGAAACGAATCCTTACCGGGAACGTGAACTGCTCAAAATGCTGGAATCGAAGCCGCTTTTATTCAAAATCACGAGTTGGATAAATGTCATGGGAGAGGAGACATTCAGCGAGTTCTGGCTCATCTACGTGCTTCTTTCGATTTTTACCTTCTCATTCATTCGTCATTTGGCGACCATTTGCAGCGATGGAGGAATCTGTAAGTTCTGATAATTATAAATAATGCAGCGTGGATTTATTACATCAGCCATCAAGACTTTGCTTTTAATATTTTTCATTTGAGCTTGACTTATTCAGCCGCCAAAATGGCCATTCTCGATAAAGAACTTGCCGCAAAGAAAAGTGAAAACGACGCAAAACGAGAAAAGCAAGACAAGGAAGATCTTGATCGAGCGCAAGCCGAGCTCAATAGCACACGTCACGAAATAAAATCGATTGAAGAGAAGATCACTGCCCTCCGGAAGTTTGAAGCACAATTCGATCAATATCTACAGCAACTAAATGACAGCGCTATAGGCTGGGATCACCTTTTTCTTAGCTTGAGTCATTATGGGCTTTGACCCGCAGGCCGCTTTTGAAAGTAAAGCTGATTAGGCGCATACGGAGGTCTGCTTACTATCATTCATAGTTGAATTTGCTGCATATTTTTAATAGTATTGATCCGTTCTAGAAATGTCACAAAAAACCGAAGAGCTCCGTGCTCAAGACACGAAGTTCACGGCGGAAATGGAAAGTGAAGGTGGCAAATACACCGAGCTCCAGCAGTTCTCTTCGCAAGATGCTCAAGCAGTTGAGGACATTAATGCCCACGAGGCTGATCTCAAGGAGAAAATTGAGAATATGCTCTCTCAGAGTCAGAATATGCTCAAGGAACAACCTAAAATTGAAGCTGACTTGAAAAAGGCAAAGCTAGTCAATCAAAACTTTGTCCAAGAGCTAGAGGTAACGCAGAAGATGTAGATTCCATTTAACGAATATCCATCACGCAGGAGTTGAAATCAGCAAGCGACGCTCACAGCGCCAACATATCAAAACTCTCAGCAATCAAAAATGACAGCGAAGAAAAGCTTTCTAACGTTCAACAAAATGTATTCGACCAAAAAGTTGTCTACGCATGGCTTGAAGCTAATGCCGATTGCGCTGGTGATAGTGCGGAAGAAATCATTTTGAATCAGCGATCATACCTCGTCAATGCTATCAAAAGGGTACAGTTGGCTTAGTTCTTCTCGGTAATTTATTTATCTCGCTAGATTCCAATGCAACAGTCCGAAAACAAACGCCTTCTGCAAGAAAACGAAGAACTGACAAATCGTCTAGAGGCCATACGGGCTTCTTGTGCGGAGCTCGATAAGAAAATCGATGACGTAGAGACGAGTGAGGAGCTCGAAGCACAATTTACAGAGCTAAAAGAAGAAGTAGAAACTCTACAGGCTAAGTTGGAAGTGACTAATGACTACTACGCCAAACGAGAGACGGAAATTAACGCGCAGCTTGGAACAGAATCTGCCGAAAGGTTTCTCTCTCTTCAAAATTCTAAATTGCGAATGATGTTCTTTAGAGACAATTTCGAAAGCTCTTACAATTCGCAAAAAGAGCGTGAATCTCAGGTGAAAGAGCAGCTCGATACTTTGAAAGAACAGTGTGCTGATCTCGAGTCAAAATGGGAAGATGCTGATGTCAAATTTAACAAAATGCTTGCAGAACTTGAAGAGAGAAAAACAAGCAACTTTTTGGCTTTGACTGATACTGAGATGAAAGGTTTGTGGCTGTGGATTCTACCTCATGATTAAAACTTTGTTTCAGTTGTCCAGCTCACTCAAGTTGTGCGCTCATTGAGAAACGATACGAACGAGATTGATGATCGCATTGAGCAAGCGCAAGAATACATGGCCGAGCTTGAGATGAAAATTGACGACTCGAGCCGCTCCGATAGACGCTCCGATACCGGTAATACAACGGGCACTAGCTCTCAAGGAAAAGCAGAAAATGAAAAATCTCGGCCTTCTCAGCCGAAAGCCAGACGACGATTATAGCTTAGAGATGTGATGGTAAACTAGCGGTGAAGTTTAGCTACGGTGTGTTGCAGTGAACTTTCATCCTCTCTTGCGAACTCGTTTTCTATTTATACAACATAGAAGAGCTTTTCGCTAATCAATGTCTGTATTGATGGGAGGCGTTTTCATAAAACCATTATTAGTAACAAATTGCCTCTGATGACGGATGCGACTATGTTTTAGATGACTAGTGGTGCCAAAAAGAAAGCTAAGCATCAATAACTAATTTATGTTGAAGGATCCGATCTGGGTTCTATGTCCCGCTCAATTGGTTCGCACTCCCATGCTTCAACCCGTCCAGATTCGCGACGTTCAAATCGTTCACATCGCCGCAACAACAGCGGCCGTTAGCCAATCAATATCATTAGTTTCAACTGCAATGGATATTAATATTACTGTGCAATACAATGAATCAAATAGCTTCTATGATCTTGCCAATTATCGTTCTGATTTAAGATACCCGATGCCGGTTGATGTTCGTAAGCGGCCTACTCGACTTGTATCCTCTGCCTCTGCGATCTGGTCGTGGCAGTTTCGGATAATTCTTGTCGGCGACTCGACTGTCGGGAAATCAGCTCTTTTGAAGGTACTCAAGCTAGATTTATCATTGAATGACTGGAGAGTTTAGCGTTTTACGGAGGGATCATTCGCCGAAACGAGCGATCCAACTGTCGGAGTTGACTTTTTCGCGCGTGTGATTGAGATAGAAGACAGCGTTCCTGACTTCAGTAGATGTCGTCTACAGATTTGGGATACAGCAGGGCAAGAACGCTTTCGAAGTATTGCTAGAAGCTACTATCGAAATGCTGTTGGTGCATTGATAGTTTACGATATCACATCGCGGCAAGTTACGCTATCCCGACTTAGCGCTAATTTCATTTCTAGAAAAAGCTTTGAAAATGCGTCCAACTGGCTGAAAGATGCTCAGTTGCATGCGGAGAATGGAATAGCGATTGCTCTTGCGGGTCAAAAATCAGATCTTGATGCCCGTCGCGAGGTTTCGGTGCGTAATTTTTCTTTCTTATTCTATTTACGTTTGGCTCTCATTAGACGGAAGAAGCGGAAACCTGGGCTCATGAGAACAATCTTCCTTTTCTGGAAACATCTGCCAAAAACGACTACAACGTCGAACGCATATTCTCCAAGCTAGCAGTTGATATCTACAACAGAATAAATGATGGCCGATTGGTAAGAATCACATCAATGAATATTTATAAAGCTATTCAGAAATCCTGCGAGGGAATCAAGTCTGGGCTGGTCCCTGCTCAACCCCTCAGCGACATCGCCTCACCCATCGATGATTCTGGGTGCACAGTCAACACATCTGAATGCTGTAATGCAACTGGCAGCGCTTAAAACTGAAATTCATTTTCACTGTTTTGTACTTCTTCTTATCTCGTTAACTCATTTTTTTCTTCAACTTCAAGACCTCTTTTCTTCATTTTCAAGTTTTGCCTGTCAAGTCAATGTGATTTCGTTCGTTCTATTCAAATTCTTGTAAATAAAGAAATGCCATTTAGATAAAATCGGGCTACGAAGATGATCCATAATAGATCGGAAGATTCAAAGAATCAACTTAAATAGACCTTTCAAATAATGCCTTACGACACTGCCTTCATAATAAAAATGACGAAATCAAAAACATACAAATATATTTCTAGGGGTCTCCACGGCAACAAGCCTCGCAGTTTTTTCGATAGTTAGGGCATATAGTCTATATGATATAGAGAGTTTTTGAAAGGGCTCGCGCTTCCGTCAAAGTCTTGAAGCCAAAAACTTATTGCGGTTACTAGAAGACCTTTGTTACAAAGAGGCGTCTGAAATACTATGGAATCTTGTTTAATGTTGGATCTGTCTTAATTTCGGATTTTGTATATTTACACGCTTTCACATGGCCGCACTTTCGAGTTGAATCTTTTAGTCTGGCGTCTGAAAGAGAAAATTTGCTCTACTCGTTCGTATTTATGTGGAAAAAGATTCTACGTCTTATCTCGTCTCTTTTAACGTAGGTCCAATCTTAGAGCTTCTTTAGGGGGGTTGAACTTTGAGTTAAGCAATCGATGGCTCTACATAAGCCTTATAGTCGCCATCTTTGAGCAGGCAATCATTTACTTTACTGGTCTGATTCCATCAAAGATGATAACTGCGTTGACAGGCAAAAACCAGTCAGATTTCCAGTTTTGGCTCCTTGTTGGATTAGTCGGATTCACTCTGAACTCGTTAATACGATCTGCTAAAGCATACTTCGCCAATCTAACCTACATAAAACTACGCTCCGATTTAACTACTACAGGGTTAGAATCCTACTTCCTCAAGGTATTGAGTAGAACGAGGCGCGAGCATTCAAATGCTTCAGAATAACTTCTATCACTTGTGTGAATCTTCAATTGATAATGCTGATCAGCGACTAACAATGGACATCGACAAGTTCGCTCGCCAAACGATCGACCTCATTAATGTAGTCACAATTTTGCCTTTTACCATTGCATGGTACATGTACAAATGTGTCGTTGTTGCTTCATGGATTGGCACTCTGGCCAGCGTGCTCTTTTTTATCTTTGGTGCTGTTAGCCACTCTTTGATCCTTCCCAAAGTAATCTTTTGGGCTAAGAAAATCGAAGAACACGAGGGCGATTATCGTTGGAGTCACGCTAAAATACGATCTAATGGGGAGGCCATTTGCATGTACGAAGGCGAAAACACTGAGAAGTCACTCCTTGCTTCGCTCGGAAACGTGTTATTTCAAACCCAGGTGACCATAGTCGAGTTAAAGGATGTGGATTAAACTTTTACTGCAGCGTTCCCATGCAGTACGCGGCTTTTTCTTGGAATGGTCAATTCAATTTTTTGATCTCACTGGTGGTCTTGTTCCTTACATGTGCCTTGGTCCTCTTGTCTTCGGAGGAAAATATTCAGACCTACCAGCGGATGAGCTCTCTGGGATAATCTCTATGAACAGCTTTCAAATTATCATGCTCATTTATCAATTTACGCAGCTCTTAGATCAAATGAAAAAGATATCGGACATTATTGCCTGTGGAGAACGAATATCTGATCTTTTGGAGTTTTGCAAGAACTCGCCAGAGCTCGAGAACAAGTCATTTACTACATCCCGAATGAGCAGCAATCGTGATGATCAAAAAGACTTAAAAATCGAAGCAGGGAATATATTGGAATTATCAAACCTCGATGTGAGATTCAAATCGAAACCGCTTATCTCCAATATTACGATTTCGCTGATGAACAACGAAAACCTCATGATCACTGGGCCAAACGGCAGTGGAAAGTCGAGTATATTTCGATCGCTGAAGGGACTTTGGCGAAAAAATCTTAACGCCAGAATACGTCTTTTGGACGACTCAATGTTTATTTCTCAATATCCTTACGTAACAGATGGCTGCCTTTTATTTCAAATCACTTATCCTCAACGAGATTTGACCGTCGATGCAAGAAAACGAGCCGTGAATGCTCTGAAATTTGTCGGTCTCGGTTCTCTTCAGTTGCAGATTGACGATGATAGAAACTGGAGCCAATGTCTCTCTTTTGGAGAACAGCAAAAGATAGCTCTAGCAAGGTTCATATTATTATTTTTTTATTTAGAACTATCTATTCGATGTTTTATTGGTTGTTCGTCTTTAAAGTATTTTTAGAGTTTTCTTTCGAAAACCCCGTCTTGTTTTCCTGGATGAGTCCACTTCGGGTATCCCAGAAGAAGAAGAAACAGAAATCTACAAAGAACTCGTAAAACAAGACGTCACATTCGTCTCTATCGTTCATCGATCGAATCTTGCCAAATTTCACGTAAAACACCTAAGAATCTGTTCCGATGGAACTCACACTATTTCTCCCATTTGAATCGACTGTTAAGCCACTCAATAAATTATTTATTTCCCATCATATTTCTAGCCTGAATGAATAGTCGTTTCCTTGTACTAGCATTCGGGTGGATCGTGTCATATGCTCTCGCATCTCATGCAAAGCACGTGCTCGTTGTAATTGCAGATGATTTTGGCTGGGCGGATGTATCTTACCATAACTCAGGCGGCATAAAAACACCAAACATTGATAAGCTTGTGCGGGAAGGACTCGAACTTACAAACTACTATTCTCAGCATGTTTGCACGCCTACTAGATCAGCTCTGCTAACTGGAAGATACCCTATCCACACTGGCCTGCAGGGAAACTTTCTCAAATATTTATGTTCCAGTTATTGCATTCTTTTGCGCGGAATGCTAAAAATATTCTCGGAGGATAATATTTAAGTTAGCTAAAAGACAAACGTTATTGCGATCTCCCAGCCGAGCGGACTGCAAAGAAACGAAACGCTTTTGCCGGAATACCTAGGTTTGCTGATTCTGGTTTATTGGTCGAAGATGAGAATTTGTGCATAGATGAGTTTTTACAAAGACAATCAAATTAAGATCTTTACAGGGAAATTTAAAATATTCATATTGAAATGTACAAACAATTTGCAAATCCATGGGTGACTATTTAACAGATGGAAGAGTCAGTTCGAGTTCTTTTGGACGGCTGCAATGGTTCCTCGTTTGATTTTCTCTTCAGTTTCTCACGTTTCAGGCCTTCTTTGACGGACATTTTCCATAGTTCTATTTCTTCGCGAATAAATTCACGAAGATTTGTTTTTTCTTCTTCGGTGAAATCAGGGTCATCTGTGACTAACATAGCATCGTAGAGTTGCTGCAATTTTCTAACGATTCGCTGGTCGCGCTCAAGAATAGTCAAATTTTGCACATTCATATTTTTCTCGATTTTAAACTGAATGCGTCCCTGTTTGGATTTTTCAGATTGCTTTTCTTCCCTGATTCTTATCGAGAATAACCGTTGAAGTGATCGTTGTGTGTAACCATTTTGCGATCGCTGTTTATTTAGAATCATGCAGCATCACACAACGGCATATGGTTGGAAAGTGGCACGTGGGGCACGGATATTCTTGGATGACTCCATGGAGACGTGGGTTTCAAACATTCTCTGGGTATTTGGCAGGTACCCATTTTTATTCCCCTTATTTTCAATTTTTGTCATTTTTGGCAGGTGCGGAGGATCATTACACTAGAGAATGGTGCATGGAGGGGACAGATTGGTGTGGTGTGGATTACGCAGAGCATAACCATGGTTTTACTGGACCAGCCAACTCTACTTGGGGAGAGTACAGTGGGGACTTGTATCTTCGAAAAATGCGTCAAGTTGTTCAGGTCAGGGTTCCAAATATACTTGCAGCATATATAGTACTCTTGACTTTATTTAAAACTATTTAAAACAAACTTTATTTAAAACACTCCACTCACGGGTGTCAACATCGATTTCAGGATTTTTTGGGACGCAGCTAGGAAATCTTCTAATAATTTTTTTAAATTTGATTTTTTGCCTACTATAAGATTACCTGGGCTAATAACTATCAGAATAATGGAAACTGCCTATCGTTTCCAGATCGTTCAATGGTACCACATTCACATTCGTGAGTGACCAAGTCAAAATCGTTTGAACATTTCCCTGTGCTGAAACATAGGACTTTTGTTCAAACGAATTACAATAGAAATCGATTCTGGTCAGTCAGAAATGTGAATCACGGTATGTATCTTTTGACTGTAAAAATTTGATCGCTTTCTTTTGCAAATATCTGGAACCCTATTTCAGTCCATTGATCCAACTCAGGATTCGTTCGTCTATTTCGCCCCTCAGCATGTCCACGTAACGTTTAATCCATTTATATAAAATCTAATATCTTATATAAGTATCCATTGCAAGCACTAGAAAGACACCTTCTCAAGTACAGCTGGATTGTCGATGAAAACAGAAGAAAGTATGCAGCTATGGTTGCTTCTTTGGATGAAATGATCGGAGACGTTGTTGAGCTTTATCGGAATAGAGGACTTTTGGATAAAACAATTGGTTTCTTTGTTGCTGACAACGGAGGTGAAACAAGAGACGGGGGAAATAACTGGCCCTATTCTGGGCAAAAATGGACACTTCTCGAAGGTGGTGTTAAAACTACCGGATTCATGTTTGGCGGACTTGTTCCTCATGGTAAATATAACGGATTCTTCCATGTATCGGATATTCTCCCGACGATTTTGAACGCCTTCAAATGTCCAATAAGCAAGAACATTGATGGAGTCGCGCAATGGAACGCTATCAAAAATTCGGATGCATTTCCACGATCGGAAATTCTTCATAACATCGACCCAACAAAAGTGAATGATGTTTCAAGAGATAATCGAAAGTGGAATTCCAATTGGGATGTCCGAGTACAAGCTGCTATCCGAAAGGGGCCCTGGAAACTTATAACCGGTGATCCTGGATTTACGTCCGATGCCGTTCCTGAGTACCCTGTGCCCCCACCAGAGTGGAATCAGCAAATTTACCAACGAAATAGAATTCTTTGGTCTGTGAGTCAAATCACCGGGCAATCTGCAGACCGTTTTGAAAATCACCGAGACAAACTCGTGAGGCTCTTTAACATCGATGAGGACCCATATGAAAGCAGAGACATCAGGAACGTCAACCAAAGATTTATCTAGTTAATTTATTGCAAGAAAATACGGTGACCTGCGAAGTAATGAATATCCTACAATCGTGGAAGAGATGCTCGATCGTTTGCTTGCATACAATTCTACAATGATACCTCCACAACTTCCTGATTTAGGTTACAGTGTATTTGAGTTACTTGGAGGAAAACTGTACTTTAGATCCCATATCGAATCCAAAGTTGCACGCGGGTTTCTGGTACCCTTGGAAAAATGATGTTGAAATTAATGAACATCAGCTTCTTTAGCTTATCCTGCTAATTTCTGCATAGACATGAACTTCTTTACTGCCAATAAACTCAACTCAAGGGAAAACTACATTATATGACCATGTTTGATAGTCATAAAAACAAAGAATATCGGTCTGGCGCTGGGAATATATTTACAATTGTGGTTACCGGTAGGAAGGCGGAATGTGGGATTTAGGTGAAAGAGGAAACTTGAGTCTGGAATATACTAGATCTCAGGAAGGGGCGAGTTTCATAGCCCAGAAAGAGTTACAAAAATAATAGTAGAGGTAAGAATATACGGTCGGGGTCTTCGATAGGAGACAACACGCAAATAAATTAAATAGCAGGAGAGCTCGTTCTCTTGCAAGCAGGAAGCGAGAAAAAGCGGGTTGGAGGCTAGGGCAACTGTAAAGCGGTTACGATTCAGGAATGAATATCCACACATACACTGAACTAGTAGGTTGCAACCTCAAATGAGTTGTCCGCTGTCTCGTGTACGCGAGGATCTCGACAATGATTAATTCAAAATAGGTTTAAAAAAATCATCAATACAGTCGGCCTAGCCACCAAGCAACTATGAGTTTAAAAGAACCCCCGCGATTCTTGTTAAGTTTAAATAAACAATTAATGAAAACTGGCTTTGTTTTTAGTTAAAATGATAGGATAAAGAGTCGCGGAGATGTTTTCAAACTTAGTAGAATCGTTGTTGTTTGCATGGAGGAATTACTTTGACAGATATATGTATTTTGCCGATCAACGGTTCAAGTAAGTAACTAGCTTACCTCTCTTGTGAAAAGAATGACCATTGAGTTTTGACGTCATAAATTAAGCACTTATTAACAGAGGGAAGTAATGGCGAAAAACGGAACGCATAAGAACTTTGGCGGAATGATTTTTACAATTTCTAGCCAAAAGAGCCAGTTACAATGCTTCAATTTAAGGAGTGACGTCACTCCATAATTTGCAACATTAAATGTTTTTGAGTTAAATGAAGTACATTCCTAGTGATGCACCGCGCAACGTATTTGAAATAGCGGTTAGGGGTGTCCACGGGAAAAATAGCATTTACTCGAAGCAGACCCAAATTGGCAATAGAAAACGGATTCATATAGTAAAAGTTGTTTTTAATTTCGATCTTTGGAGTTTCAGGAGCAAGAATAAAAAGTCAGGAAGAGGATATAACCCAACCGATAGCGGAAAAAATCAGCCGAATGTTTAAAGAAGACCATCACCATTACGTTTTTAAATATATAAATATGCTCATGTGTGTGTTTAGGGAGTGATCTGGCATTCATGATCGTGAAAGTTCTCGCGTAGGTAAAGGGTTTTTAATTCCGATGAATAAAGAGAAATGTGTGCGCATTGCTAAAGTAAAGTTGCTGAGAGACACGAGTTTATCGTTTACAATCAGTTGCAAAAAAGCGTCGAAAACCAGAAGTATTAGGTCATAAAGAAGATTCAGACTATTTTTAATAGCCATGGGTTGAGTGACGTATTGTTAAAACGTTTTTTAACGAGGGCTTTTGGATCAAGCTTGATAAGAAGCAATCAAATGTAGAATTTAAAGTTATAAACACGAGCCGTGGAGTCGAGAGCTCCTCTCCACGAATTTGAGCGTTAACTGAGGTTAGGTCATCATATCACGCTCAATGACGAATGTGAGTCGGTCGCCTAGCTTCTCTAGTCCTAGATGAATCAGATCCAGCTCGTTGATATCGTACACAGCGGTGCCTTCTACTTGTTCGTCCGCGAAGTTACGCGTAAACTCTCCCAGCTGAATAGTTCGCAACCAAAGCCCAACATCTCCCATCGGCGTAATCCATTCTTTATTCCTCCAGCAGTCTTTCGATGACTGGAGCGAGGGACTCAGCGGAAGAGCTTAATTAAACTCGATGGATTAGAACTCATCTCGGTAAACTTACATTTCTGAGTAACATGCATTCTTAATGCACGCCAAAGAGTTTTTCTGGGGCCGAGTCTTTCGGCGAGCGGTCGTATCTGTCGTAAGTTCTCGTTCTCCGCCTCTTGCGTCATTAGACCTGTGCGAATCATGTATTCGTTCAAGTAGTTCAAATGGCGACCGTTAATCTTCTCCCTGCGAAAGTTCTCGATGATCTCGTCGGACATGTGCCACTCCTGGAGTTTTCTGAATAGTTGGTCAGAATATTAGGTTTGATTAAAACAAGTGCTAGGAAACGTTTACTTACGAGCACACTTCCTCTGTTGTTAGATCAGAGTATTGCGTCGGTGAGAGTGAGTTTGCCTGGAAATTCGAGTCGTCCATCACCGAATCAACTGGACTTGATTGGGCTGAGCTGAACCCTCCCGAATTACCCGATATATTTCGATGCAGGCGTCTGTTTGAAATGGACTCCGCAGGTGAACCTTGAGGTGAGTCATATTCTCCACTCCTGTGAGGCCGCCTGTATGGATGATGAGTTCTGTAGCGCGGCTTTCTGTACGGTGATTGCTCAACGTCAGAATATTGTGATGATGCTGAGTTTGATTCCGGCGTTTTAACTAGATCCGGCCATCGTTCACTACTTCTTCGCTCACTACAATGTTTGTTTTTATTTACAATCAAACTATAAGAATTACCGTTCCCCGGAAGCCTCCCGGATCTTCTCGGGGAGTGATTTTGTTAGTTCCTTAAACTTGTTTTCCAACATCTCTACCATCGTTTCTTTGAGTTGTTGATCTCTACTGGCGTCCTGCGCCTGTTGAGATCGCAATTCTTTCAGTTCCATCTGCATTTGATAATTTTGAGCCATTTCTCGATGGCCTTGTTGAATTCCCTGATCTTTTATCATTGGCACAATCATGGCGTTCAAACTAGAATCAATTCGGATAGGTAAAACACTAAAAGACTTACGAGTTCTGCAGATTTCCAAGACCGATCGTATTGGAAATGGACGAGAGTTGAATGAGCTGATTGTTTGTCTGATTTTCTTGCGCGGACAGGTGAGCGCGGGGATTAAGCCTTGGATCATCCAGATGACCCGGATTATTCGTCTGCGGAACTAGCTGGTTCATAGAATTCGTTTCCATTCGCGTTGAATTCGGGTCACTTTTCCTCCTATCGCGAGGATTAGATTGATGACGAGCTTCTTAAAAATTGTTATTAGCGATTGACAAACAGAGGCCAGAATAACCTCGTGAGCTCGAGCGATGCGGCGAGTCGTCATCATAAGAATCAATGCGCCTTCTACCTCGATCATCATCTCTGTCTCTTCTATCCCTGCGAAACGGAGATCGTGATTGCCGAGGGGAGTAGTAGTCGCGATCGTCGCGATCGTACGGCGAGTGGTCTCTTCTGCAGTCAGCTCTACGATCACCATGATGATGTCGGGAGAAATCTAACGCCCTCCTGCTATTCCGACTTGGATAACTTTCATGAGGAGATAAGGAACGATAGTGGTGGTCGTCATTGTTTCGTCTGTAAGGTGAAATAGGCTAAACATCTTTACTTACAATATTGTTAAACAAGCTGAATTACTCTATGATGTTGTGATGCGTGATGCGGACGTCTCTGATGATGATCACGTGATGGAATACGCGAACTGTGCCCGTAAGGAGCTTCTTCAAAGTCCATTGGAGAAAGATGTCCAGTTTGGTAGTTTTGATTGTGATGTTGGTTATGCGCATGCAGGGCGCTGGGCGGTTGGACAACAGGTCCAGAACGAATGATCTGAGATGAGACAGCGGGCTGTGTAATTCGAGGTTGATAGTTTAGGCTTCCCGAAAGCTGGACATTACGAGACGGAATCGTTGTCGTTGAGGCGGCAAGCAGTGGTCCATGCGTTTGGTTTGTTGGTAAAAAGCTTGCGGCAGACGGGATAAACTGTTGATGGGCTGGCTCAACGTAGGTCGTCGGCCCAGGTACATTTACAGGTTGAGAAGAAAGATGTACTGTAGAGGCATGTCCACTTTGAGTTTGGTAGGAGTTGTTATTCATCTGACTGGATTGCTGAGCGTTTGAGTTCGCAGTCATTTGCAGGGGCTGCTGAACGGGTCTTGGCATCGGCTAGAAAGAAAGTTAGAGCTAGCTTTGAAGAGCAACGCGCGTACAGGTGGTTGGACTTGAGAGAGGTTAGATTCCTGATATAGTGGTTCTTGACGTCGAGGTCTTGTATTAGCGGGAAGCACAGTCGGCGTTGCCAGCTGGTCGTTTGTCTCGCGTGACGGTTGGATATGCGAGGGTTGAGCTAAAGCAGCTTGATTTTGTTGTGGTGTTGACGGAAGGTTGCTTGATAGTGTTGGAGCGCGAGAGCCAGTTTGGTTTGGACTATATTGCAAAGTCGATGCTTGGGGGTTGTGTGAGTAAGCAGGATTGGAATGAATGGGGCGTGTTAATGGTAGAGTGCCACTTGCATGAAGGGAAGCACTCGCTGCTGGAGTTGGTAGCGATGTAGCAGGAGTCGTTGGTTGGTGAATAGATGGTGTTGGATTGAATACCCGCACAGGCTCTACCTGGCGATGGTCCGCTCTAGGGCGCGTTGGTTGAAGAACTTGAGCAGGCCTACGTATCGGCTGGCGGTCAACCTCCATTAGCTCTCTACAATAAGAAAATAAACGCGATGTTCTACGCTTAAACACCTACCCAGTGTTGGTGGGATAGCTTGAGCGAGGTGAAGGATTCGGTCTTGGCAACCTGAACTCCGGCTCTCTGTCAGTTTGGTATTCTTCGACTCGTGGGTGCGAAATGGGAGCTCGATGATGTTGTGTCGAGTCCGATAGCCCCGGATCACCGAATTGCCGTCTGACAGACCTGGGTGGTTGAGACGGAGGCGCATAACGCACTTCGCCAGTATGGGGCTCCGTGAGTCCTATACTCGTCACCGGCTAGAGTTACAGTATTTAAAGGACGGTAGAGAGACGAAGCGAGGTAAAGCTAGCTTTTTTCAATTATCCCACACAAGAGAAAATAATCAAGTTTATTTCACGGCGATAAATAAAGAGAGAAACTAATAGCTTTTTATAATTACCACAATTGGAGATCTCGGCGTCATAGGAATATTCGGAATGGGCTCCGTTGGTGAGCGAATCTCTCTCTCAATAGAACCAATTGTTGAGGCAGTCATCGTGGATGCTCTTCCAAAATCAGCTCCGCTCGGCAACTCGCCCGGCCTCGGGTCTACCGGCTGAGGGGGAGGCATAAGCTAGAGTAATCATTCATTATCGCTCCTGCAATTCGCAATAGTTCTCACCCGTCGCTCATCGTTGAGCTCGCTGAGCGGCGTATCACGATGACGATTTCCATGTGAAACATTCCCAAATGCGTCTCGTCTTTGCTCACGTTCTTGAGAACTCTGAATCAAAATCGGTCAATTATCGTCATCAGAGGCAAGAGAAACAATAGAAAGAAATATAGATTTAGAAATTACCGATTCAAGATTAGATTGGCGTGCTATCGGCACAACTACGACCATAGAATTTGTGTTCTCGCTGTGGTGCTGGTAGGTGACCGGAACGAAGGCCGAAGGCTGATGGGGAGGACCAGGAGTGTCTGCCCCAGGCTCTTGGGAAAAGGGAACTGTTACAAGCTTGAAATATAGTGAATGAGATTACCTGTAAAACTCGATTCAGAATCTATGTGTCTATAGACAAATCGATTCGGAACTCCAATTTCTTCTTCATAGTGATCGGTTGTCTGCCGTGCCATCCATAAATTTTACCTATCCGTCTGATTAGACTAGACGCGACAAGCCTAAACGAACCTGATTTTTTGTATCTTCATAACGATAGGTATTGTCAATACTGCAGCCGAAAACGATTCAAGGCTCTATATTTAAATAGATTCTAAATAAATCACATTAAAATAAGAAGCAAGCAGTAATTCTTATAATTGAAAAACGGCCCGTGAAAATATCCCTGAGAGAGTAATAATAACCTGCGAAATTGGAATCAATTGAAAAAGCTTATTTTCAACACTTTTCTTGCATATTTACGACAACTAATGTTTCTTTATTCATCGAGAAATGTGCCGCGTAAAAAAGATCAATTTCAAATGCAAAAGATGTTCTCTCGCTTGGCACTCGTGGGTAGTAGTAAGCCATAGGTGAAGAATTCTCTTTCCGAATTTTATTTGCCCCGCGGTGCTATAACGAGCAGCCTCTAATTATGCTCTCTGGCCATCATCGGGCAGTTTATCCAACTATCTGACGCAGAATACGCATTTTTAGTGCATGCAAGGCGGCCGAAAATAATATTTCAAAGCCCCTCATTAATTACCAATTCATAAACTAATTAAACGTCATTAGTTAATTAACTAAATCGGTCCAAAAACAGCGCTAGAATGCAGGTAACGCAATTAAACCTGCATCTACTGACTAAAAACTGAAAGATTTTGGAAATGAAAGCGATCTTTAGATGGAGAAGCCGAGCGGCGAAAAAGCGACAAGGCGTAGTGGTACCTTTCGTTCGGACAATCATTAGGGATCGGGCTAAGCGGCTGTTTCTTCGGAACGGGAGAGCTCTCAAGTTCTTAGAAGGTTGAATTCTCTCGAGAATGTGAAATTTGGGTGGCAAGTGATTGAGTTTTATAACACAAGATGTGCAGAGCGAGTTTCGCACACGACGGGGAGGTAGCACCAGGTGTGAGTTGAGCGTTCATGGCATCTGGCCTTGGGCAGTGATTGCCGCCTACACCACCAATGCAGAATAGGCACCACCACAACAGGATATTACATTAGCATTCGGATAATCCACCCATTACCCTAACACTTTTCTTTGGCAAAAAAGCCAATCCCCATCAAGCCGCTTTCAAAGAGAACTACTCTCCCATTGCTATCATTTATCGTTCCATAAGACCAGGCGCAATTCAATGAAACTCGTGATAAGCAACTCATCAACCTGATACACACCAAATACTGTACTTAATTCTTATAAAGTAAAGCGTTTGAAAACGCTCGTGACTATTGATTCCAATTAAGTGCAATTATTAGGCTCTTCTAGCCGATAATTTAAAGGTTGAAAGAAGTCCAGAACAACGAGCAAATATTGAATGAAGCTTCGGCAACATTTATTTCAAGATTTGATTAAATTTGTAAAATTTGAGAAGAATCCAAAACAAGAGTTAGTTTTTGTTTATCTGAAATAAGAATTCACCAGCTCAAATAGAAATGCATATAAATATAAAGCAGAGTTGTAGAATTAAAATGATGAAAATTGGAACATAAGTTGGTCTGGGGTAGGGCGTTATATAAAACAAAACGGAAAAGATCCAGAATAAGAGTGAATCAATAATATGTACAGGTCGTTATGATGGAGAGATCTTAAACGTCAGCAAACTGAATATTTCTTTGATGGAAGCATAAAATTAAGAAAAAAGATGAAAAACTTAATACAAAAAATAGAGGCGTGACCGTTAGATCATGTTGGCAGAGTGTATTTTGACGATTTCAATTTATCAGATGGTCAATAGAGAAAAGGATAAATGAGTACAGGAAAACTTAAAAGAAAATTTCTGAAAACTTAAAAATCATGAAGAGAAGACTTCAAAAAATGAAGTTGGAAACTAAAAAGAATTGGTAGAATGCGATCCGTGCCTCTGATGCGTTTTAATTTTCGCAGATGTCGAAGCAGAACCTTCACGATGCAAGGGGAATTAACAGATTGAAATCGAACGTAGAAATCAAGGAGGATAATGCGTTCTTTGTGCAACGAAAACATTTTTAAGATCACTGCAAATTTAACAATCGACTGAGCTTCGTTTCTTTTTTTTCAGGTGAACGCATATTGATTTATTTTAGAATATAGAAATAAGTGAAATACTCAGCATAAATCGTCGTTGTTTTCTATACTCCAGTATCAAATTAAAAATCAATCAATTGCAGAGGGCTACTTTTTTTATGATTTCGATGGGTTGTGAATAACAAATGACAGTTCTGCCTTGACAGACCCAGCAGGTACGTGAAGAAAACCGAATCTTTACGGAGCACTTAGTGGTAAGAAATTCATGAAAATTGCCGAAGCTGGCAGAATTAGTCGACACTGAACTTCACTTTTTTATCAAACAAAAAATTCATCAGTAAGGCGCGAAAGGACACGGTTAATTTTCTGTTACTGCTGCTGGCTACCGGCGGGCTTATGACAGTACATCTCTTTAAGATTCTTCAATTCGTCTATTAGGCCTTTATTTTGTGCTTCGAGGACTTGGACTCTATTTTCGAGACACTTAATATATTCCTTCTTCTTTCGACGACATTCTCTGGCAGCTTCGCGATTTTTCTGTAACCTTATCTCTCTTCGTTTCGTGGCTTCTATCACCATTCCTTCGGGACCGTTACTAAATGAAAAGTTAAAGCTCTAAGTCGATTTTGAGCTAATTCATACCCCGGAAGAACTGTTGAGGACAAACCATTATCGTTAGGATCGAAGTTTATGGATGCATCGGCAACTGCCGGATGCGGTTCCAGTTTCGTAAAGTTGTTATAATCTGATAATGGAACCATCGGATTAGTTGTTTGATAAGGCGTCATTTGAGACTGGAGTTGATGCACGGGAACGGCTAAAAATACAGGTTCACAAGTGATAAGGAACACCGGCAGTGCTTTATCGAAGTTCAGTCGCAATAGTAGAATGACGCAAATTTACATCTTTGGGACAACGTTTCCGAAATCATCATAGTGTCTTTGAGACAGCTATGGAAATGTAGAATTTATTAATAATTTAATTCATAAAATCGGTGCTGTGACACTGACCTAAGATCGGTTGGGAAACAACGGGAAGACCAAGAGGAGGCGCCTCCGGCGCCGTCGGAATGGGAACGATGTCTGTCATAACGTCTTCTGTGTCGGAACTATCGGAGTCTGTAGGATGTTTAGGAGGCCGCGGTTCTTAATTCCACTTCTTTAATTTGCTGAACTGAGGGTCTAATTTTACACGCCATTTCACCACAATAAAAAGAGAATATTGCCAGAAAATGAAACAAAGGAGACTTGAAAGCCCCTTCTGAACGTACAAATATCGCTCTTTCCAATATATGTTTACTATAGCGCGACATTTGAAGGTTCAAATTGAATCCTCTTCTAGCAAATAGATAAACTGAGAGCACCGGAATTTCGAAAATCACCAAAGTGGTCACCATTTTTTTATTGACAGACCTTTGGCGAGAACTGTTTTCTGCTTTTGATTGCTAACCCGACCATCGCTTGGAATGACGGTTAACTTACCTTTCTTTATCTTTTCAAGTTGATAGTTGTGGGGCGTCCTAGGGTGGGGCTCTTTGAATCCATCCGTGTCTGTTTGAATGCCATCGTTCGAGTCTTTGACTTCTTTGTAGATTTTTTGATAGCTAAAAATACCTTTTCAACCATCGGTCTATATTTAAGCTCCATCGTCATGTCGCTGGACAGTCGGTGTCAACTTTAAAACCCTCGGTATTCGACGTGGCAAAAAATGATTCACGGAAGACTAATGTCGATTTAAACCTTTTGAACTAGTATGCAGTATTAACTCGATAAATACGAAAAAGGCAATGTGAAAGTGAGAATCTGGAATTCGTACTTATTTAAAAGTACTAAACTCAAAAGGTCACAGAGACAACAAGAGCCCATGACCTTTGTTGTGACTACTTCTCGAAAGCTTCACAGAGCAATGAATTACCGTGCACACCTTCTTTTGTCTCACTCTTTGTAAAATATTCTGATTGAATAGTTTACTCAGAAATATGTTCTATGAATTGGAGGGTAATTAATAATGCATTCGAAGCGAGTGAGTTCAGGTAAAAAGAAAAGTGCTCATAAAAACGGGGCGCTTGAATAATAAAAAAAATGCTAGGGAACAAACAATAGCGGACGTCATGGATTACCTGGCTCGCCGGCGAAGCTCTTCATGATGCTGGTTTTTGAGGCGATCAATGTCGCGATTGGAGTTGGAGGAGCCGCCCGGAAATCGGGGTACGTTCGGTCTCGATTCAAAATGGGAATGGTAGTTGGTTCCTGCCGGCGCGCCCAAGTGCTGAGAGCTATCTGAGGTCATCATACGCGGCTTGAGCCCGTTGCGTGTCTCGCAAAAAAAAAGGAATAAGACGTGAAAGTGACGCTGCGCTATGACAAATGTATATGTTGGCTGATTATGGCGTGGCTAGCTCACTTATTTCTCTTTCTCTCGTTCGCGTGTGTGTATCTATCGAGCGCGCCCGTGTGTCGTCAGTAGTGACTTCACGTTAGCCTGGCTGGGGCGAGCTCGTGGGAGCTCTTGCAGGCGCTACACTTACGAAAATATGCTAGCTCACAGAGCGCTACAGCTCACAAAAGAAGCAGTCAATTTCCAGTTCCTTCTCTCTCCCTCGCGAAACACAAACACACATACATTAACTGTAAAAAGAATCCGCACAAGAATAATTTCGACTTTCGCGGGCGACCGTTTTTCAGTTGCGAGAGAAATTGATCATCAATGTCGTATTTAATTAATGGCTCATAAAAAATTAGATCTCTAGGAGTCGTATCACTCAACACTTTCGGCCGGGGAAAATTAGATTTTAAATTCCGAATCGATGGCTGACTTCGTAGAGGTGGATGGTATCTGTTTTTAATAGCGGGATTGCTGGCACTGTCGGGGCTTGAATGGTTAGGTCTTTGTAGCTGAATCTCCTCAGACTGACTCATATTTGGAGACTGATTATTTACAGAGGCCTCTTTGTAGTCCGTGGATTGAGCTTGACTTTCGATTACATGACTTTTCGGAGTTAAATCATCAGCCTTAGATGCAGACGAGGTAGGTGGTGACTAATAACAGGCTGCAGAAGATGTTTTACGTTATTATAAACTCGTAGACTTTTACGCCACTAATTCCTGACTTTTATTAGTGCTTACAATAATCTAAACTTATTTTACTCCATCGAATTTTACTTCTATCGATTTGTTTCTTTTTAAAACATTGACAGACGAAGATAAAGATTTCATGCAGCCGTAACAGGTAGAAGTTAAGAGTCTGGACATTACCATCTCCTTTAGGTACTGCTACCTAAAACATTTTTTTCTTAATGGGATTTAATATTTAATCCTGCTGCAGAAGTGAGCAGGATTGCTATTAAATGAGATATGGCGAGGTTGATTTTAGGAGTAAAATTACACAAATGGGGCAAATCACCCGTAAAATTGCCCTGATAAAGAAGTCTTTATCAGTCGCACCGATTACACTTACTGATCGCCAGTTATGATTCATACCTGATATATAACCTTGAAATCAGTTTGAGTTAACATTGATCAGCATGCAAGTGTGTTAAAATAAACAACGATTATGATAGTTAATCACAATTGTAAAACGAAGTGGCCCGCGGAGCAGTTGCTTATTTACCTGGCCGTTTCTGTCTGGCTCGGGAAGTTGCACGTGAATGGCACCGTCTGACTGCAGGTATGGCCGGCTTGTAGGAAGAATGACTGTATTTTGCCTAAAATGTCAGACAACTACCGTTTCTGCACTGATCAAGTCATAACTAAATTCGAGTTGCTTACCCATTATTAATATTATTTTCCATTCTTAGAACATGCTACAGCTGAATCCCTCCTGCCACCGCAACGCCTGGTATGTTTCCTTGTTGATTTCACTCAATTAAACACCTAAATATGGATGCATGAGTGTAATGAGATTGTAGGATGTCGATGAAGAGTTCAGCTTGTATTTTGAAGATAAGTAAGACTGCATCAAAATGCTTTGATGCTAGAAATTTCGTTCAATTTATTATCATCTACAGTAGAAGAGAAATATTGACTTCGTAGGCCCGTTATCGAATGAGACAACCATATTGGAAACTTTGTGTGTTGAGGTTTATCAAAATAAGACGGCGCTAATGATGATATCATACGTAGTCACAGAAGCCTGAAAATAGCGAGAGAATATGCAAGTTAACCCTCATAAAATCGATAAATCAATCATAAGTTATGATGGGGGACGGGCGGCTACGTTACAAATTTGTAACGCCGTTACAATTTTGTAACGCCGTTACAAAAACTCAGATTTTTTTCGCAATAAAAATTACTTTTCATCCCGTAATTCTTTTTATTGTGGACATAATAAGCAATAAGGTAAACCAAAAAGTAGTTTCCTTCAATTCAAGCGCGAAGCGCACACTCGTTCAATGATTTTGATTTTTAATTTTTGTAACGCCGTTACAATTTTGACTACTTGTAACGTAGCCGCCCTACACCCGTTATGATTCATAACGTTAATTATTTAAGATTGGATATAAAATTGTCCAAAAATCGTCAAAACTGTAAGGCGACGAGAAAAAAAAATAGAGCGGAACCATGGAACAGACAGGAGCAAGAGAAGAAATTCGGGTGCTTCATTCTTTCCGTGGCGTTATTAGGGGCTGTCCTTCGAATAGAAAAAAAAATGTTTATTTTTACAAGGCGTTATCTTTGTTTCGTAAAACATGCACGAAAAGAATGAAGAAATGACTGCTGCAAGGAGTGTGCTGCTAACGAAAAAGTGAGCAATAGACGAAGTTAGAAGAGGAGGCAATAGAAAAATAATGAAGGGCAAGTTTATGAGCGTGGACTTATACAGTAGTAAGCTGTAGTTTGTGCGGTCCTTTACAAAAGTGCATTTGCAGAAAAGAAGAGAGCTTTCTTCTAAGGAAGGTTTCTGCTACTGAGCGATGCGCTTGAAAGAACGGTGGATAGTCTGTACAGTATACATGAGGTTAAAGGCTCGTTTCTTTGGATATTTGATGCTTAAAAATTTGTTACTGTAACAGGCAAATAAAAAGGCCCTACCTGAAGATGGGAGTTTTGCGTTCTTTTCGATTCCGATTCTAGCCAAGACATTTGAGCGCCAATGCCCTACGTATAAAAGTTTTTTTAATGATTAAAGTCTAATTTATAATTACCTTCTGAATAACCTTTCTCTTTGAGCTTCGATTATAAGCCGTCGCTTCTGGGAGCGCAGCAGAGATCGGCTCGATCAGTTTGGGCACATTGCTGAGATCTATGTTGTTGTTGGAACTGTTGTTCGGATTAGAAGTAGACTGCTCATTAAGCCGAGTTCCGGAATGAAAGTCCGTTTCGCTCGGGAGTCCATTTCCACCATTTCCCCGTTTTATATGGTCTTCCAAGTGTGCCATAACCTGAGATAATGGTTGTAAAGTGAACTTTCTGGTTGTCAACTGACCTTCAAGGCGTAGGATTGATTGGGAGGGAAACCTGGAGGATTAGGAAATGATTGAATCATATCTGGATTTATATTCGGATATGTATAGCTGAAGCTGATAAAAGAGTTAATCTTACAAAGCAAATGGAAGTTTCTTTACCTGGACATATAATCGACCCACTGGAATCTATTCTTTTCGTTGTGCTCTCTTCGTTTTTTATCGACGTAACAAATAAACATGGAAGCAGGAACCTGCAAAATTACAAAATGAGAATCGGCCTGAAATGAGAATTGTTTACCCAAAGCATAAAGCTGAAAATCATTATCGCTCCAGTTATATTGTTCTTGACAAGATCCTTGAACTTCTCAGGCTGAAAGTACTCCAGGATATTGCTGAGACTTGGCGTGTCTCCGATATTGACAATGCAACGAGTGACGTTTATATTTTCGTTGGGGTCAACCCTTTGCTGGCAGAGACCAACATGACAAACAGAGTTGTTTTTCATGATGACAGGGTTCTCCAGCAGCGTCTTCAGATCTGGGTCGATTTTTTCAAGTCTACTTGCCCAGATATGAACAGGTTGACACCTTCAAATCAATAGCTTAAAGTCGCCATCCTTTAACTCTCTTACGTTTGATTCTTGTCCTCGCAGCAACGATGACACATTTCTATGTAATCGTCTTTCTTGTCGCAGTAGCATATCTCCATATCGAGCTGCTGACAGATATCTTGACAGTCACTCCTGCCTGTAGCAGGATTAATTTTACATTGTGATTGAAGGCCATCAGCATCAGTACATTGCGTTCCGTCGTCTTTAGGCCGCGAAACTGGACAAATAGCACCTAAAAAGTCAGTTTGGATTTCTTGAGATTTCTAGGGCACTTACTATCTCCGCTACAGACGGATTTTTCCATGCACTGGTTCGACTCGCGACAAACGTGCCCCTCGTTCTGGAAGCGACAGTTTTGGCAGCATGCCTGTTCGTTGGGGTTCTTCCCATCACACTGCGCTGGCAGTCCATTAGTGACATTTTTGTTGAGCCGACAGTCGCTGGTGCAACAAAACGAGGATCCACCAATATTAAATCCCGAGTCACATTCCTCTCCGTCCTCGACTTTGTAATTGCCACAAGATTGGTTCTTTGTTTCGCTGAAGCCGATGCTGACACATTTTGACAATTGACCGGCCACTTGACTTTTTGAACATATGGAAAACTTATTATTGTTGGGTTTGTCTCCTGTCACTGCGTTTCGAAACATCACATAGTAGCCGTCTTGAGATGATTTTGGCAGACATTCTAAGAAGCATTTGAAATTCGCGAAAAGTAAAAATTCCACTTACCGTCGTCTTCTGTTGCAATACGTAAGCTTTGAGCATTATCATCATGATAAGCTCCCCAGTTGTGGCCGAGTTCATGAGTTGTGACAAGCTGAGCTTCATCTGTGAGGATTTTCGATCCCCAGTTCAATGTAGAAGTAAGAGCTGTATTTAAATGTGCTCCACTTGAGTCTGTATCCTAGAAAAGATTGAAAGGAAAAATATAACTAGCGCAGCGCATACCGTGTTGGCACATATTCCCATCGCTGCGTTATTCCCATTAGCTTGTCGGCCAATATGCGCTAATCCAAGGATTCCTTCTGGAAAATCTGTGTGCGTAAAAAGATGCGCAAGACACATTTTTTGAATTTCGCCCGTTTCCAGTTGTTCCTCGACAACTACTTTCTTCGCAAACTCCTTCAGGTATCGACAGACTGGAGCAGTACTAAATTTGAATGAGCGAGTGCATCTGGCAGGGAATTACCTTTGACTAGACTCGCAATCTTGGGAAGTCTTATCATCCATGATCTCAGTTGCATTGAGAAAGGGTCCATTGTTCGGATCCGACCAGACTTCAATCTGCGCGATTGTAAACCCGAAACCTTTCGCTTCTATTGTATTGCCATTTGAATCTTTTAGATCTTGCCGTTCGAGCCAGTCCGTATGCCGGAAGATGTTGTCAGCCGTCGTTATCACAGAGATCATATATCCGATTGTTTTGTCGGCATCGCCCTGGCCGATCTCAGAGTTAAAGCGCTCGTCCGCTACGAGCTTAATTTTGCAGTCTCGTAGCTTGAAGTTGGGCCCTCCAAGGCCTCGTAGAAGTCTCTGCTCATCCTCGTCGGTCTCACGTCTTTCTCTTTCGTTGCTACTTTTCGGTTCTTTTCCTTGATGCATTTCAAGTCCAAGAGGCGGTGCGCAGGTGCCACGGGCGCGTTTCTTTGCAAAGCTCTGTCTGTATAGCAGTAGATCATCGTCGTCATCTGCATCCTTCAGTCTACCCAAATGTGGCTCGCCGATGAAGCTTCCTTCTTCATGATTATCGCTGATTTTCAAGTACCTCAGCTTATCAAAAGTGTTGAAATGAAGTTCAGCTGTTCCGAGATCCTGGTCGCGCTCGTTTTTCAGTTTCCCTTTGAAAACAAGCGGAATAGCATTTGGCGTAGCATACTTCGGGAGGGCATTAGGCTCGACTATCGACGGTTGCAACACTGCTTCAACGGTAAAATTCGCAAGTGGAGTCTCGGCATCGAAGCCGACTATTCTGTTCGTAAAATCATCAGCGGCATCATCAGCAGCGCGCTTCCGTCTCCGAGAGTACAGAAGAACATTCTTTTGGCTCAATCGTGCAAACTCGCATGAAACTCGCAGCTCAGCTAGAAGAAAAGCGAGACAGAGCCACATGCCGCTCAGCCTTTTACCGAAACCTCCTTGTATTGTACATGGTCTAAACGAACACATTAAAGCAAGATTGAAGAATGCAAGTCGCTTATAGTTTTAGGTATCTGAATAGAAGAGAGTGCAGTTCAGGCAAATTGATTTTTTCGGTGGACGGGCACGCACTGGAGTTTCGGGGCAAATTATGCTCACAGATTAAGCATCAATCGATTAAATATTCTTTAAATTGGAATGTTTGATGCTATTGCTGAATGATTGATTGGAAAGAAAAGTAGAACAGAAGCGAAAGAAAGAGAAACGACCAAAGACTCCTAATAACCAGGTCCGCTCAAAGAAAGACCCAAGAATCTCTTCTTAGTGAAACACATCCACCACTTGTCTGGCTTACCATCATCCTAGAAAAATGATTCAAAGACTGTATCAACTCTTACGAATGTACCTTCAAAGCATGATCGATCATTCTTCTCGACGTTTCCAGTCGGACTTGCTTAAGATACTCACGCAGCTTATTCGCCTCGCTGGGATTAGGCTGGTGGATGTAAGAATTCAAAGGAAATCGCGAGTCACCCGGCAGCGGATGCTCCTAACAATTATTCATTTCGCCTGATCAATGATCGTCCTTTTTTACCTGAACCGATCGAGCGTAAAGCTCCTTCCATGCCTGGTCTTTTGATGTGCACTTCTGAAGAGTTTTCAAGCATTCTGGAGCTCGAATTAGCAAAAGAAAGGAGTGAGTTCTATCGTACCTTGAATCCACAAGGTGACGTAAATCAGCAAACGATCGGCATCGCTCTCAGGCTTGAATGATTTAAAGAATACGTTCGCCTTGAAGAAGCGGATCGCTTCGTCTTTGAAGAATGTTAACTCTCACTATTTCAATATGGGCATACCAATGATGTCTTCCGAGTTTGGATCAGCTCTAGGGCCCGGTCCTTTCTGCTCACCGCGAAGAGCAAGAAGGCCGATGTTGCCCAGCGACATTTGCGCTACTTGCGAGGAGTGATAAGCAGGCATGCTTTGTTAACTCTGAACAACACAAATGAAGATGCGCGCCTTAGAAGTAAGAAAACATTGTTTCATAGTGAACTTAAAAACATCATCAGAAGTTCTGGAGACACAAACGTAAGAAAAGATAGCTATTGAAGCGCTTATAATTTTATAGACATTTCTGAAGCAAAAAAAAATATTTACAAGAGGGCAAGTGGAACTGTATTGAAGATAAAGCTTTACTTTCGAAGTGAGTTTGTGAACACAAATAAAGCGTGAACATGAAAATTTTTAGCAAATGAGTTTGAACGTAAAAATGCGCATATTTTTGATATTATCTGTAAAAAAATCTTGAAGGTCTAGTAAGGATAAATAGCAAAAAGAAAAGAAAAATAATAAAATGGAGTATTGGTAATTTTCAAGCATGAGATATTTTTAATACCTGCAGTTGAGACATTGAGAAGAATAGAAGCAGTTTGTCTTTTGACAAAGTTATGTAGAGTAGCTCATAACTTCTGTTTCTGTTGGCCACAAAAAATAGAAAAGACAAATTCCTCGAATAAAAAGACTACGTGCCTCCATTTATGATGCAAGAAGAAAATTCTCGAAGAGATCATTTCCCTCATCGAGCCATTCTCCAATCGAGCGACGGACGACCATAGTTGAAGAGTTACTACGCTGCGGGGAGTAAACCTTTTTAGACTCAAATAATGGGGTTGCTTCCTGTTTCATGAATGAGAGGAGAGAGTAAGCATGGGTCTAAGAGACCCTTTTTTTATCCAGCAATTATCAATTTACATAAACTTGACACAATTTTTCTGACTAAAGAGATTTTGAGTTGTCGGGTTTGAACACTTTTAAAATTGAGGGATTCATATTATTATACATTGGGCCGGTTTCTTTGAAGCGAACTTTTAATCCAAGATATTCGATATACACACATCTTGTGATATAAAATAGAAAAGAGAAATAGGGCCAATTGAATAGTTGTTGAATGAAAGAGGTCATTGTATACAGTAGGCGGTAACAGATATGTATATAAATATATAATATATATTAAAATGTGCTTCGAATAATTTCACAGGAGGCAAAAGCTTTTCACTTCTTGCGTACCTAAAATATGGGCATTAGATTATTTTTGAATGCCATTAAAGGTCGTTTACCTAATTGCATATTAAATGAAAACCAAAAAGGGATTCTTCAAATTTAGCATTCCACTGGAAAGACACCTGAAAGTTTTTCGAAATCGACATAAATAAGATAAACGCGTACTCAAAATTGATTGTACTGCGAAGACACTGCGGGGCGGAAATTAGCGAGGCGATGAGCAAACGTAAACTGCTGAAATTGGCCGGATAAGTTCGCCGCGTGAACAGGAGGCTGGGGTTGAGTCACCCCACTGTGACTGTGTTGATTTTGGTACTGCTCCTTCAGCTTGGACAGCTCTTCGATTAATGATTTGTTTTGTGCTTCTAGGATTTGAACTCGATTTTCCAGACACTATCAAACTCTCTCAAACCGAGTCAAAAGCTTAAATCTAACCTTAATGTATTCTTTCTTTTTTCTTCTGCATTCGCGTGCAGCAACTCTATTTTTGTGCTGAAACATTGTTTTATATAAAAGTAGCATTTGTGAGGTCTTACAAGTCTATTAGCTCTTTTCTTTGCGACTTCATCTGCTAAATCTCCAGGATTGATTGTTTCGGGCCCAAAGTCTGCGTTGAGATTATTGTCAATGTGGCCAATAGAGCCTGACGATCCTTGCGGGGAGTTGGACATTTGATCGCCGTACGAGACGCATGAGTCGTGCTGTTGAAAGTATGGCTCTGGATATTCGAGTTTCGGTGCTTTGCCTAGGGACATCTAAAATAAATAGAGTAATTAGACCAGCGTTATTTCCATCAGAAGTTAAAGATGTTGAGAATAAAGGCAATTTGGCAGGGCTCTTCAAGTTATGCGGCAAAATTGTTTCATCATTTGAAGATTTTTTTCTCAGTGGTCAACAATCTTCCCAGTCATCTCGTCTTTTGTCGTCCAAAAGTTAGACGCTAAATTTCCGGGTGGATCTTGCCAGCCTTTCTGATCGACTTCTGAAAGTAAAATAAATCATTGACGCTTTGAACATCAATCGCTGTTTACCGTCTAGAATGGAAGAAAGGCGCGCTGCAGGACCTCCAGTTGCGGTTGGAATGTAGTGATTGTAGATAAACGCAAGGAGTTGAGCTGAAAACTTTCTTGAAAGAGAGATAATAGGTAGGAGAGTTCTTACAGAAAGCATTGTTATAATATGCGGAAAGACGCTTTCCACTGTATCTAAGAATTTCGTAGACTACATGAGGGCCGAGTTCGTTACCAGTAGGCACTGAATCAGCTCAAGTTTTTTTGGAATAAAATGTGATCTCACGTAAAAGAATTGAAGCTAGAATTTTCCACAGATTCTCAATACCAAAGGGATGATAATCTTTTCCTGGGGCACAATCTGATGATGCCATGCAAGTGATTAGGCGAGCGTACCCCACCTTAATTGTAATTCATTAATAATGATTGAGGTATTTTTTTAAATCTACGCTTCTTACGTATGATCTCATCCTTGTTTCATCAATATCGACAGGCTGAGGATCTCTTGGTAGAAGAATCGGACAAGCTAAATAGAGATGCGCCATAAAGAGCTGTCCGAAGTTGGAGTCGTGATCCCACAAGGCAATAACGGCGGCTGCTGCAGCACAGGCTGCCTTTTCGTTTGACGAGAGCTGCTCTTCGGCGAGGCGGACCATTCGCTGCGAAGCGCAGAGGATAGAAAACGCCGCGGTCTCGGGATGATTCGGGAGCTCTTTTCCATCGAGCAAGGCTCCGATTTTCTTGATTTGAATTTTCAAGTCCTCGCCGCTTCGTTGCGTTAACGCGCCGATGGGAACAGCGATCATTCGTTTGATTTTCATGGCGATTTGCTACGGAAATCAGCGACAGTCAATTGATACTACGCTTACTTTGTCTGAATCGGTCTTCGGCTGGATCAAAGAGCGACACGAATCTTCCCACAATTTAATCTGCTCCTCGATTTGACTCCTTGACAGAAATCCTTCAAGGCGTCTGTCAAGTTCTACTGGCGTTTTCTCTTTTCTTTCCGTTTGCGTGGGATCGGCTCGGGCGACTTCTTGGTTCTGCTGCTGCGCCTCTGGTTTTTGAGCATCCAGCTTTGCGCGTAGTTCAGCCTCCTCGCGTTGCCTCTTCTCCGCTGCTTGCTCTACTATCTTTTGCTTTTAGCAGTTTAAGAAAACAATTTCTGTTCTCGGGGAGAAAGATTACGTTGTCATTACCACTTGAAATATTAATTTCCTACATTAAAAGTAGAGAAATCTTGATCTCGACCTAATTAATATTAAACCGAGACCTGTTGCAATCGCTGTTCATTTATCCGTTGTTCCTCCGCCGCTTTTCTTTGTTGCTCTGCTTCTATCCTATTTGTCATTGTATTCGGAATTGGATATATCTAACATACTCTTTCTTATAGTTCTGTTCCGCTTGACGGAGTTTATTCTCCCTCGCGGCTTCCTCAGTGGCGATTCCTTTTTGGTACTCGGCAGAGAACTCATTTACCCGAGCTGGTAGACGCTTGTTGTACACGTTATCCAGCTCTTGTAACGTGTTCGAGTTCTTGAATGATGACTTGGAGAGGACATCTGCTTCAACAGCGTTCAAAGAAAACGAATTTTCGTTACTAAACGAACGCATTTATTTTGACGCTTGTCTTCTTAGACTTCCTTCCAAAAGAATTCGTTCCATGTTATGGGAATCAAAAATTATCTTTACTTCAGGTTTACGGTAACGAATTCATCATAAACATAAATATCGCGATGAAGATAAAAAATTTAAGAGCCAACCTTTTTCGCCAGATTTTACGTAGGGCTGCGCTGGCCTGGCGAACTTGATTTTCCGGCGATGCTAAGATAGACCCGTACCGTCCATTTACGCTCTTTCCACTTTCTCCTGATCCGAGGTAAGCGCATTGTTTAAACAAAATGTCAATTGCTAAAAATTTCGATGCGCACCTTAAACCTGTGTTTAGCTGTTGGTGAGCGGTGTCAGCCTCTCTTGAAGAAATTCTTTTCAGTTTCTCGCGTTTGACTGAATAAACCCATATTTTTATCAAACTGAGCGCATTAACGCCATTATGCTAGGTATATATACGGCGCGGGCAAAATGAAAGAGACGAAAATGTGTTTGTGAATTGTTCTTTGCGTGATAAGAGGCTTCTCATCGGGAAAAAGCTTCACAGGATTCAGATTCCCGTTGTCGGGGGCAAAAATTCGCCGCTCGTTCATTCCCCGCCCATTCATGCCAGATAAACAGATAGTCAGGCAACTACTCACTCTTTTCGGTGTGCAGGGCTTCATCTTCAGCCATTTCAAGCAGAATCGGAATGTCCCTGTAGGTATGTCTGTGTGGCTGCCCATTTTGCCACATGAATTACAGTCTCTTCCCTCTCTCTCTGTTTTGTTCACTGTATTAGATCTCTAAAGTAGGAGCTCGTCAGTGGAAGGCAATCATATAACGAAGCAGTTCCAAATCGGCTATTGTTGTTTTGACAAAGGCTATACGAAACATATTCCTAATGAGGGATTAACCAGACGCCTAGTTAATGCCCCTTTTGGAATGGATTCAGGTGACAATGTTACATCTTCTGGCTCTGTAGAATTACAATTAAGAATAGCTCGTTCGAGCTTCGCGGATAGTAATTGTCTGCCCTATTGGCCTGAGGAGCAGCATAAAATCAATAAAACGAAACGATCAAGATTTTGAGTAGTTTTATTTACATGCAGGTTTTGTCGACAAAAAAAGGATTAACTTTCTCGTATGAGTACAAAAGAAATTAATCAGCCGTTAACTTGCAGTTGAAAAAAAAGTCGCAGACAAGGATGAGTTAGCTTCACGGAAATTATATCTTATTATTTAGTCAATCGCGTTAAGAAAACGCTTTGGCTCTTAATTTAAGTCTTCTAAGATTGGAAAGCATTTCAAACTATCCGTCATTTTTTTAATTGTTAAATTTCACATTTTTGCCTAAGTGGATATTTTTCAAGTAACTCAACAAAGCATTGACATTTCTCAAGGTTCAAAAATTCGAGATTTTTCTTTTTAAAACGTTATTATTTGTAGAAGTAAGGTTTCGGTGAAAAATTCTTATCTTCGACTTGACTAAAAAGCGAAAAAGGAAATTAGATCATAAATTAAATCGCGACGAGTTCAGGTAAGAATCGCTTTTTGAAGAAAAACGAACTCAAGTGAGAGGTGTTGCCGAAGAAAAGAGACGTCAGTTTTTTTGTTTTATACAAAATATTAACGGAATAAAGACATCTCGATAGCACGTAAACGGATGAGACGACGTAAACATTGGTATTTCAGAAAGGAAACTAAAGCAACAGAAGAGAGCTGTCCGCAGCAAAAATTGAATGTCATTCCGTTTGACATTGATTTTTAGAAAAAAATGTATCCTTGTAGACAGCGCCTCAATAAACTCTATTAATAAATCGATTGCTAAGTGCCCGTACTGAAATAACAGTGATAGAAAATCTAATGAAATTTAATGATATTGGCTGGCTGAAAAAGGAGGATGAAGGAGATTGAACGAACAGATCCGAGCAATTTCAACGTTCATTAAAACTTGATTAACGAGGCTACCGAGAGGGAGAGTTACAAGTATTGAAAAAAAATAATTTTAAGCGCTTGAGCAATAATTTTTTCGTTTATTTGGGATGATTATTATTCATGGAACTTTTTTTCTATTTTCATAATCTTGACACGCACAGTAGACACTACAATAATTAAACATTTTGCTTGAGCAATGAGCTGATCTCCACTGGGTCGCCATCTTCTGTAGGGCCGCTGCGGCTTCGTTCTCCTCGCTCACCGCGTTTCTTTTCTTTGGGAATCAAGGCGGCGATAATAATTGCGAGAATCACTGAAAGCATTCATAATTGCCGAGCTAGAATACCTGGTTACCTGAGCAGCCTCCGAAGAGGAATGGAGGGCCTGGCATTATACTGTCATAAGGCAGATCTCCTACAGAGCTGATATCGCTTGAGTTTGGCTCTGGCGCAACGGGAACTTTTTCGACATCGTCGAGAACGCCGTCCACTCCAAACAACGTAAAAATAATTCCAAAGATAGCAGGGCCCAACCCAGTGCACAGTCCGCGCACTCCGGTGACCATCCCTTGTACGACTCCCTAAAACAGAATCATCAACAAATCGACAGTATCGACACCATAATGGGTGATTTCGCTTAATTAGTCTCCCACAAAATAGATCACAATTGACTCAGTGAATGACGATCACATCTTTCCCTTAGCTGTGTTTGAAAGATGTTTGGTAGCATCGAAGTAATGAAACTAACCCCAGCTCACTGACACTACCGAAAATAGCACTTTTTATCAGTGGGGCCCATTGAATGGGTGTCCCAGTTCACAGACTAATAAAAACGACTCCGTTTGATGCTTAAATTCACAATTTTCATAACTAAATCATGAGATGTGGTCAACTCTGATTACCTGTTTGTCATCGTCAGCATTGGACGAAACGAGAGAGGTAATCGCGGGAAAGGTGATGGTAGAAATGGCGTAGAAAGCTCCAGCGGTCCACATAACCATGTCCGACTTGCCGAAAGCAAAGAGGAACAGGTTCATGGTTTGGAAGGCTAGTCCAATCATGATTGAAGTTAGCTTTGTCGTCGTCTGCTGTAGCGTTGTGAGGAGCACAGTTTGCGAGAGAATACTCATCACCCCGCAAATAGCAATAAATAAAGAGACTTTCTCCTCCGTGAAGCCAATGATTTGTTTCAAGTAGAGGAAAAGGCAGGAGACCTGTCCGGCATCGGGGATGTAAGTCAAGAAAACGCACAAGCAAAGAATCATGTTGGTCGAGTCGGAAATAGCCTGACGAAGGGAGCTCAGTGGATCAACGCGGTCCCAACTAAAGAAAGACAAGAGTTTAGTCTATCAAGCTTTTAAGTTGCTTACGTTATGGGCTGATTCCATCCCGCCGGGCGCACAATCTCTGGCAGTGATTCCGGCACAGCGAGCAGAATGAAGATAACATCCATGAGAGCGATGCCACTGGCCATGGCGACGACCACTTCTTGTCCGTACGTTTCTTTGATCTTCGTTCCGACCATAGGAGAAATAACGAGAGAAGCAGCAAATGTGGCAGAGACGAGGCCATATGCAGAGCTTCGATCTTCTTCGTCGGTGATGTCGGCGACGTACGCGAAGACGATTGAAAATGTACACGCGAAAACGCCCGAAATGGAGAGAAGTGCGAAGAACCACCAGGGAGATATTGACATCAAAGGAATGGGGATACATGTACAGACGACAGTGAGAACTAGAAACATACGCCTTCCCCACACATCACTAGAAGAATCCAGATGAAAGAGAACGGTCGTTAACAGTAGATACCTTAGCGCGCCGAGAAGAGGAGCGGATAAGAAAGATAGCAGACCTTTGATACCTTGCACCAGACCATTTATCAAAAATGTATGCGGACCAAATGTGGTTCTAAAATGCGATATTTTTTCTGAGAAGTCAACCCATCGTAAGCTTACTTTAAGACCTCTAAAAGAGGGAATGTGAGCAAGCCCCAAGCGAAGAACTCGAGGAAGATAACGACAACTGCGTGATAAACAGCTGGCTTGGCTGTTGACCTAAATATTCCAGACACGCGCTCAGAGCGGCGATCTTCGGATCTAGAATCCGACTTCCTACGTCGGTACGATTTGCGTTTTACTAAAAAGTCGAATGAAATAGTAGATTATGATGGAAACATACCTGTCATTTGAGTTTCGACTTCACATTCCTCAAGCATTTCATGAGTATTTTCTTTGTCGACAGAAATCATTGATCAAACATAATGGAGTAAATGGAGGTTAATTACAAAACCCAACTCATTTTGAAGTCTGAAAATTTGTTCGTGAAAGGTTGATAGTTTGAAGACAAGTGCGAGAGATCCTCGCCGAGGATGCTTTAATTTCGAGCATGACTGGTTTATATGCAAAGTATATGTATATTTTGATTGTGAACTTGTGGAATAGCAGATAGTTAGAAAGTAGAAAGTGCTGATTTTGAGAAGAAATAGCGTGAGTAGGGGATATTGTTGGTTCCTTCAGGCTAGAATGGGTTCCTGTTTCGCTGGCGAAGCTTTTTCGGTTTCCTCGTCCTCGCCCATTGGCACGTTGGGTAAATCGATTTCGGTCTTTGGGACGGTTGGAAGATCGACGGAGGTCAGTGCATCGAGTTCTGCCTCTAGTTCCTCCTCGTCGTCGCTGCTGAAAACTGTACGCGAAATAAGCGCATCGATTTCTTGCTGATTTTCGACTCCTTCCGCCACTTCATCCATTACCCTAAAATAGTTTGTTATATCCAAGCGTGCACAAGCCAATTTTAATAAATACAATAGTTCAAAAATCGATAAAAAAACAACTCACCCTTCGACGTATTCTGGGTTCAATACAGTATGAAGCTCCTTAAGTGCTTTGTTTCCAGTGGCCATGGCTGAGACGATCTGCTGCTGCTCTTTGGTTGTTTGAATTTGGTCAATCATCGTCTGAATGTTCTCCAAATGATTGTCCGTTGTTTCCAGCCGCTTGTCGATGGCTTTCTTTCGTCTCAGTATTTTGAGGGCTTTGTCCTTTTGTCCTTTCGACAGGCATTCCTTTGCCTTCACCTTCATTATTTTTTCTTCGTGATCAGCTCGGATCTGCGCACGGCGCAGCTCATCGCGCTGCTTTTTAAGCCCTAGGACTGCCTTCATCAAGGTTTTACCGCATTCCTTCAAAAAGATTCTTGCCAGCAAGAGAAAATAATTGCTCTAAAACCTTTCTTGTCGATTTCAGTGACTCTTGACTTGGACTTATTGGAGCCGAATAGGTTTCCCATTTCGAAGACCGTCTTAAAAAAGGATAAAATAGCTTGTGGCTTGATCGGTTTTTATTGAATTTTACAGAATTTTCGGTTAGCTGAAAGGTTGTAGCTGAAAAGTTTGTTTTACAAGTGAAAGCTCTTTGTGAAATCATATTCGATTGTAGGAATGACAGCCTGAATGAACTTGAGGAAGACCAAAATGTATTCATGGACTTCCAAAATGCGACCGCCTTCCTGAACTGTCTGGATAAGTTTTTTCATCACCTCGGCATGGCTTAACGAAAACAATTGAAAAAATTAGAACGCTAGAAAGAGTCACTCACCGACAAGGGTGAACGGAGCATTGCTGCGAATTCAATGAAGAGTGTTGCTCGAAAGTGACTGTCTTGTTCGCGTGCTCTTGGCTTAAATCCTCGAAGATGTGGTCCTGTTTTAAGTTAGAAAATCAAGCTATCATACGAAGTGATATTTGTGTTTTCGAACTGTTCCTTTTTCAGCGGGAGGCCTTCTTCGTTGTATCCGGTGAGCCAGAGCCGCGGGGTCTGATAGTATTTGTCGTAAGTGATGCTCAAGTCGTATGTTCTCGTCTTTTTAATGCTGTCGTCCATTTTTTGTACGGGAACGACAAGGTCTTCATCCTCCAAGTTCATATCTTCCATGTCGAGAGCTTCATCGTCGGACTCATCGGAAACTACTTCTTCCGCCACTTCAACATTCTCTTCAACTTTCTCGGATCCGTGGTGAGTGTCCACCCATCCTAAATTTATTTTGCTGTAACAGTTGAATCAACAATTATTATAGCAACCTCCATCACCGTCTTCATCGTCGACTAGTTTTTCAAATGCGTTATTGTACTCGATATCTTTGCATCGGCGATGACAGGGCACAGATTTCGTGATGAGAAATTGCTTTTCTTTTGGAAGATATGATTTCAACTTTTCTTTCTCGCCAGCAGCCCACTTCCAGGTTGGACAGGTTGAAACCAGGTGATCTCCAGCGAGAACAAATTCATCAGGAGTTAGGACACCCTACCAAATTGACTTTTAGAAAATAAATCTGAAAGCGATCAAACTTAGAATATCGCGGATTTGAACCAAAATTATTTAGATAATAAATTTATAAATTTTTCGATAAAAATTCTGTGGCATACAGTTTCTCTAAATTTCGAAGTCTTCAACACAGGAGTAAGGCTCTCGGCAACATCCAATCCGACGGATTTGACAGAATTCCACGCATCTTGAAGTGACATCTTTTTAAATTTTCAAAACGAGCAAATTCTTTCGGAAATGGTCTTGTGTCCCTTTCTCTTCTTGCTATCGACGATGGTAGGTGTTTTTGTGAAGCTGGAAAGTCTTGCCAGACAGACGCTGGGATTTTGACAATTGTCGCGCTTTGAGTAGTAAATAGACGACGGCCATTGGCCCCGGGCGCGCCATTCCATCGCGCTATCCTCGCTCTTAATTAATTATCCCCAGCTCCGGATTAATGGTTATAATTACTGTTAGAGACAGACAAACACGATGAATTTGATAGAAAATGTTGTTTTCTTAGAATGGAGAAGGCGGAGAGCACAATTGTGCGATCCTATCCTTCGAAAGAGCGCTGTCGACTAATGGACTCGCCCCGGGAACACTCAGAAAGAAGCTTCTTGCTTCCTATTCCCGGCCCTCGCTTTCCGGACAAGAATTGTAAATTCCACTGCTAAATATAAATTCTCAATTGACTGAACCCATCTTCTAGCCACAATTTCGACGACTTATGCTTTGAAACGGGTGCAGCCCTACTTCGTGGCGGCGATTCTTGGAACGCTTCTCTTTCCAGCAGTCGGCATTTTCGCCATCGTCAACTCTGTGAAAGCAAAGTACGCCAAGTTAGATGAAGATTTCGACGAAACGATGAAGTATTCGCGCAACTCCTACATTTTTGGACGGCTAGCAATATTCTTCGGGCTTATATTTTATCTCCTCCTTGTACTAGCTTGTCTATACTTGCTCGGTCTCTGGAGCTTTGAAGAGGGCTCACAGCTTTAATACTTGTTTCACCGTTTGCCGGTTATTTGAGCCTGATACAGATCGACCTCCCGCTGAATGGTTTACTGCTGCAGATCCTATTTGTAACTTTACGAAAGAATCATAAAAAGGAAGAAAATTCACCTTCACTTGGAAGCTCAGCAACTGGCACTGTATTTATACACCCACTGCCCTTTACACAATGATAACCTCAATTAAGAAATATTCCCGTTAATTTCACTCTGCTTCTTTCAAGAATGAGTGATCTGGAAAACTTCGACTTCGATACCATTTTCGACGATCACACGATTCGGGTAAAGAAGGAGTTCGTTGATGTAGCGTTTATTCTCGCCAAGAGGGCTGAGAATGAAAAGCGTCTTCGCGAGGATGAAGAACGAAGAAAAAAAGAAGCCGAATCAGCAGTTGTGGAGAACGGACAAAAGAGAGAGACGGAAGCAGCTTCAGAAGAAGAACCGCCAGATAAGCGCGCAAAGCCGAGTGGGAAGAAAGAACGCGGCCAGAATAAGAATCGTGGACAGCACTTCGAGGACAAGCCGGACGACAAGCAAAAAATCTGCCGCTCGTACATGAAGGGGCAATGCGAGTTCGGTGATGCGTGCAAATGGTCGCACGACGAAATGGCTATTTACAATAGCAGAGAGCCGGATTTAGGGCCCATTCTAGGCATCAAATGTCCCACCTATGAAAAGTATGGCTTTTGCCACTACGGTATATCCTGTCGATTCTGTGATACTCACGTCACTCTCAAAGATGGCAAACTCGAGAATTCGCCCCACCCGACGATTGAGCACCGGCGAATCGACTACTACGAATGCAACAGGGTCAACGGCGCGTTTCTTTCCATGCTGAGGTCCAATCGCTACTCTTTTTCTAAAACTGTATCTTCTCTCAGAGAGGTACGACTTATTTCAATCCTTGTTATTGAACACACGTTGTAGCTTCCGAAGAACCTCCAGCCAAAACATATGGGTAAAACGATTCGAAAAGGTCGACATGGGCATTACGCGGCCGATGAAATACCAAAGGAATGTTACGCTTCGAAAAACGCGGAAAGACTTGGAGCAGTGGCAGATGGAGAAAAGAAAACTTTAGATTTTCGGGGCAAATCGTATTTAGCGCCGCTTACGACAGTGGGAAACATGCCTTTTCGCCGCGTATGTAAAGACTATGGGGTTGATATAACATGTGGAGAAATGGCCACTTGCAAGAATCTAGTGATGGGAAAGATGTCAGAATGGGCGTTGGTACAAAGACATGTTTCCGAAGATTTTTTGGGGTTCAGATCGCTGGTGCATGGCCTGACGAGCTCTGCAAAGTGGCAGAACTTGTTGGAGAGTTCTGCGACGTGGATTTTATCGATATTAACTGTGGCTGTCCTCTTGACTTAATTTGCAACACGGGCGGAGGATGTCGATTGGGAAAGGCCCCAGATAAGCTTGCCGGCTGTATTTCTTCGATGAAGGTAGCATCTGGTCTTCCTGTCACTTGCAAAATAAGAACGGGCTGGAAGCCAGAAGATGACATGGCACACAAACTAATCGCGAAGCTGAAAGAGGTCGGTTTAATTCGGTTCTGCCGTTCTTTGAATCAAACAGGCTTTCAGGCACAGCCAGCTCTTATAACACTGCACGGAAGATCAAGGATTTGCCGCTACACGGGCGTCGCGCGATGGGATTACATTAATAAGTGCTCTGATGTAGCAAAAGAAATCGATGTCCCATTTTTTGGAAACGGCGATGTTTTATCTTACAGCGACTATGCAGAAGCGATCGAAAAATATGGAACCGACGGGGCAATGATAGGCCGTGGAGCCCTAATCAAGCCCTGGGTATTTGAAGAAATAAAAGAGCAGAAAGTGATGGACCCAAGTTCTTCTGAAAGACTTGAAATGTTAAAGGTTGACCCTTTTTATTAAAAGAATAATTTATCTCAAAAAGATTTATCTTCTGTAGAAATTTGTCAGATACGGACTCGAGCACTGGGGAACGGACCAACAAGGAATAGCAAACACGAGAAGATTTCTACTTGAATGGCTCTCGTTTTTGTGCCGTTATGTGCCGACTGGGATTATAGAGGGACAACCGCAGAAGATCAATCACCGTCCACCGCCTCTTGTGTGCCGAAGTAAGTATTCATACAAACAATTGTTTCTAGAGCGTGACTTGTTGATTTTTCCATCAGTCTGCAAGAATACATTTTCAAGAAATGTATCTTTGGAATTTTTCTGTTTGTTCGCTGTCTATTGGTAAATATTTAGATGAGTTGGAGACATTGATGACATCTTCGGATTGCAACGATTGGATTAAGATCACCGAAATGCTACTTGGCCCTGTACCGAAAAGCTTTCGCTTTGTTCCTAAGCACAAAGCAAACGCTTATAAAAAATAGAGTTGAGAAAGTCTCCATCTGTTTTAAGTTTGTTCAGTCACCTCATCGCGCTGTGACTCAGCGCTTTTCGGAGCATTGAATTCCGAAACCGTAAACTTCTCAAAGTTGATTGAGTTATTTTTTTAGACTGAGATGCCCGATATACAGCCTCAAAAAATAGGGTTGAAGTTCAAGCCTTTGTCTCTTATGGTCTTGTACGAGCTCGTCACAGATGTCAAGACCACAAGATGTCGTAAGATCCCACTACAGGTAAGTCACAGATAGATATCCCTCGCTCAATTGAATGACTTATTCAAGGCTCGAGGTAAAAGCGCGCTTCAAGTAATGGAAGAACTGTTAGCGCGTCCAAGTCACATTACGCTGCTTTCAGCCATCCCAAAAAAGAAGCTTCTCTCTGTGATAAATCGGATTCCGAACATCCAGAAGAGCGAATGTCCAGCTTTATTCGATGATGAAATCAAAGAAAATGAACAGTCTGAGCCTGCTGCCGAGCCTCTGGCGCGAGCACTCGTCCGAGCTCCAAGTCGAGCTAGCCAACAAGTCATGGAAGCACTTCTCAATTCCGACACTGATGATGATGACTCTAACAAAACTGGCAAAAGCGCGAGTGATAAAGAAAACACAGCTGAGCAAAAAGAAGCCACCAAGACAGACGAAGAGAAGAGCGCGAAAGAAAGCTCGCCCGAGCCTTCCTATACCGATCCCAGTGAATCCATCTCGGAGAACATCAGCGAAAAAGAAGACTCTTCCTTCTCCTTGAAGAATGATTCCGAGTCAAAAGATCCTTTTTCTGAGAAGGCCGACGAAAGTGATGATGACATTTTCAACACTTTGAAAAGTATCGATGCGAGCGGCAAAAAGAAAAATAGCAACATCCCGATCTTCAGCGACGTTGACAGTGACAGTGAATCAGATGCAACTGACTCGGATGACAGCTTCATGCGAAACTTGAACCAGGCAAAAGCGCACCAGGAAAACCGATCGAGCACACCGTCCAATGTTTCGGAAGTAAACAGCATTTTGAATGTAAGTTCCCAAATAACCTGAGCTCGCTTAATAAGTTTGTCCTAGGAAGAAAAAAACCTAAATATTCTATCCGACAACGAGCTAGAAAACGTAAAGAAGACCATGGACGTTAACTTCCACAAGAATCAATTGACCAAAGACGATGCAGATTTCAAATACGACACACGCGAAGTGTTCAACCCAACCGTTCCTTCGGGCTGGGACTCGGACGACTCTTTCTGATTTATTTTATTTTTTTATCATTTATCTGCCACCTTAGCATTTGCAGCAACACCTCAATTTTATTTTTGTATTTAATTGGATTGTCTATTTTTAAATAGCGTAGTTTTTTCAATCGTTCTTTTAGAAGATGATAGTCGGAGTCGCCTTTTGTCTGGTCTTGTCTGTTCAGGCAAAAAAAGACATGCAGTTCTACTGCGAAGTCTGCACAGCGTTAGTAGAAGAGTCTCACTGGAAAGTTTCAAATGTGGGTAAGAATAGCACTCTTCTCAGCAGTCTAAGTTAACTTCCTTTTTAAGATCCAAAGAAAACGATCGACACTGGATCTGGCCGCGTTGATCCCAATGGACAGATGAAAGAGAAAAAGAAGCAATGGCGACTTTCTGAGACTCATCTCACAGAGGTAAGAAGAATACGAGCCTGTCAAATAAACTGACTTTGCTTTTAGGTTTTTGAGACCGTCTGTCGAAACATTGCCGACGACTATGTAATTGAAAACGGTGATAACGGAGAAAAGTACGTCAAGCGAATGATGACATTTGACGGAGCCATGAATACTGACATCGATTTTCAAAAGCTGGTTGCTGACAAGGAGGAGACGCCGGATAAATCGCCATCGCATGACCCACTCAAGATCAGATGGACTTGCGAAAACATTCTCGAAGAGGTGATACAACGGCCATAGATGCTGGATGAACTGAATGATTTTAGGTCGAAGAAGATCTCATTGAAGCTTTCCAAACGTTCGCAATTCCAGAAGATGAAATGGAAGACGACGAAATGACCGAGTTTGTTTGTGGTGAAGTTTACGGCTGCGACGCTGTACATGATGAGCTTTGAAAAGTGTTCTTCTTTAGTCTTATTTCTGTTCAACCTAAAATGCCTTGAACCGTGCAATATTATTATCATCAATTCAATTTTTTCAAGCGAATAAACATTTCTGACCTAAGACAACATGTCGGGGAACATTTTAATCCAGCAGAAGCAATCGTTGATGATTAAGGAAAGATATTAGAACCACATTCACTAAGCTAGTAGACTAAGCTACAATAATTTTTGCGTATTGGCTAAATTGATCGAGTGAGTTAATCTTGACAAGCGCATGCTCTCCGGCGACACTACGGCATCTTCCGACGATTTAATGATAGGCGACTGGAAGGTGCTAATTTACGATCGAGCTGGGAGAGACATCCTCTTGCCATTGTTCTCCGTCGCGCAGCTGAGGAATCTCGGTATCACGGTAAGTGAGTTTAGCTGCTCTATTCTTTTGGAAGTAAACATTGATCAGTTGCATCTGCTGCTTCATTCTGATCGAGAGCCAATTCCAGACTCGCCGGCAATTTACTTCGTGAACCCCACTCCCGAAAATCTTCAGCGCATCTCCCGAGACTTAAAAGACGCCCTCTACGAAAGCTTTGAATTGAACTTCATTTCTCCGATCAAGAGAGACAAGCTCGAAGATCTTGCCCAGGCATCGCTGTCTTCTGACTCCGCTCACCTCATCTCAAAAATATACGATCAATACACGAATTTCGTCTCGTTAGAAAATAAATTGTTTATTCTCAGACACCAGCAACGCGATGCCATGTGCTATTATAACTTGAACAGGAATACGATCACAGACTCCGAAATAAATGCTGCAACTGATCAAATCGTCGACGGGTGAGTTTTATTCTCCTTCTGTATAACTTACTTTCGTTAAGGCTCTTCTCTATGCTTGTTAGCGTAGGCATGGTTCCCTTCATTAGGGCGCAGTGTGGAGGAATCGCCGAATTCGTGGCTCAAAAGCTCGATCAAAAAGTGCGCGATAACTTACGCGACTCAAGGAACTCGCTTTTCCAGCAAGATACGGGCGCGTTGACTTTTAATCGACCACTGTTATTGCTTCTTGACAGGAATTTCGATCTGGCAACACCACTTGCTCATTCTTGGACATATCAGGTGCACATTAGATTTATTTTTAGTTAGTCTAAATTTGTTTATAGGCGCTCATTCATGATGTTCTTGAAACTGGATTAAATTCGGTGATGCTCAATTCCGAGGACAACAAAAAGTCATCGTACGATTTGTCAGAAATGGACAGTTTCTGGATGGAACACCGTCTTCTTCCAATCATCCCCAACGTGGCTGAAGCTATTCACAAAGAGACTGAAGCGTGCACTCGTGAAGAAAGCAAAGTCAAAGACTTGAAAAAGGGGATGGACTCGGACAACGTCGATCTTCAAGACTCAACGAACAAGTTAACAAGCGCGATCGAGAGCCTGCCCCAGATTTTGGAGCGGAAGAGGAGAGCTAATGCTCATACGACTATCGCAACAAGTATACTTGACCAGCTCAAGTTGCGTGGACTGCAAGCACTTCACCAGGCGGAAGACAAGATTCGCCATGGAGGACGACCAGATAGAACTATTCTCGAGATGCTCAAGGACGAGACGATCGGCGAACCTGACGGGGCAGATAAGCTACGACTTCTTCTTGTCTATTTACTTTCAAACGAGTCTGTTACCGAAAGCATCGACTCATTGGAGAGCCCTTTGAAAGAAGCTGGCATTGACTCTGCGGCTGTATCCTACATCAGAAAACTCCAAGTTGGCATTAGCAACTCAAAAAATGAGTCAAAATCTGGCTGGGGAAACAAGGCTTTTAACCTTGCTAGTACCTTTCATAAAGTAATAGAAGTCGTCAATTCATTAGCGCGTAACAATTTATTCAGAATATAATTGGGAGCAAAAATCAAGTGAAAGTGACGCGAGCGCTCGATCAAATTCTAACATCAGAAGCTGACGAGTATCGCTACTTCGATCCAAAGATCATGCGACCGACAGACTCTATGCCCAAGTCTAAACAGCCTATCTCACAAGCGATTGTTTTCATGATCGGCGGCGGCTCTTATATTGGTAACTCTGAAAACTATTATTGTTTGCTTAAGCGCAATTTTTAGAATACCAAAACCTTATGGAATATGAAGAGTCGAGGCAACAAGACAGACTCGGCGGACAGAAGATTTCAGTTATATACGGCGCTACGGAAATGCCTACGCCCAACGATTTCCTCAAATATCTGACGAAACTTGGAAACGAATCTATATGAGCAGTTCTATCGTAAATTCTATTTTACCTTTTCAATTACAAAGCTGCGCGTTTTGTTAACTCGCGGGAGCTTAACTTAGACTACTTTTTTCATTTAACCTGCGCAAGCTCGGCAAAATTCCTTTCCATATCCTATTAAAAACTTTATACTGGGGTAAGTGCATTTCACTCTTTAGTTCAATCTAACTTCTGTTCCAGCATTCAAATAAATACTGAAAATATTTAATACGTTTGCGCAATTACGCGAAAATGTATTCTTTAGCAAGAGCTACGGTACTCCGCATTGATATTGATCAGTTGCCCAAACCGGTTCTGTAAAATCACGAAACAAAAGCGTGAAAAACACCGGCAACGAAAAATATTTTTCGCAGGCATTTTCATTCCCATTTTCGGTGAAGATGAGTGCGACAAGGAAAGTTTTTTTTTAGACATTACCATTTCAATGTAGTTCTAAGACAGTAGAGAAGCCGATTCTCGGCTTTATTTTTTAGAAGCCGCTACGTGGCTTTTTGTTAAAAATCTTTCAAACCCTGACATAGGTTTTCAAAAGAGATTGCTGTGCCTAGTTTAGTAGTCTTCCATGTCTTCGATGATAACCCGAACCCAACTAACTTATTCTTCTTTTTAGAATGAGTAGCGAGTCAGATGTCGCAAAGCTTCGCGATATCATCGCGAAGTTGGAGCGCGACAATCAAAAGCTCCATACGAAGCTGACGGCGAACAACATTGCGGTGACGCCTGAATCCTCGAAAAAATTGGCGCAGCGAGCATCGTCTTCTGAAGAGCCCATAAAAATTAATCGTAAGCATCACTTTATTGAAAATCAATTGATTCTTTCCAATCAAGTCGCGGATTCGTCGCTAAAAACAGCTTCCTCGAATGATCAGAATCAAATTCCAGATTTAGTGGATTGTGTCCCGAAATCAGCTGCTGACTTGGATCTTGGAAGGTAATATTAGCGTCTTTTCGAATTAATTAATCAAACTATCCCTTTTTCTTACATTATCTTTTCAGTTCTAGCGAGGAAGAGCCAGAATCCGATGACAGCGGGCCCATAGGCAAAGGGGGATGGATCAAACCCCCTAAGCTCGAGCACAAGCCAGACTGGCAAGCGATTTTAACTCGTTTTACTCTGATGCCCGGTGGCTGGCAGGATCAAATGCATAAGATGATGTCGGACGGGTAAGAACTTGCAATTTTTACGTTTAACTTATTTGCTCTGATTAGAACATGGCCGGAGGAAAAGGCTCCGGAAATCAAACGGAAACCAACTGTTCCTCTTCCAAACTTCGAATTGAATCGAAGGACGATCCACACCGTCGAAAATGGGACCTCTCAAATTCGTTCAAGGTCTCCGCCGCCCCAAGTCGAGCTAACGAGACCGAGCCAAACGAAGCTACGAGAAGAGCGAGCTCGAAGTATTAGTCCACGGCGCAAGTAAGTTCCCGATCAATTTCTCTTAGAACAGCTATTTAACATGCAAATTATCAGCGTCTCTACCCGTCAGGTCAGTCCTGGGCGAACTAATAGTCCGAGAAGGTCGTCACCCAGACGTGCCAGTCCTCGCCGAGATGTTGGTGAGTTCCGAACTCCACGCCGAGACAGTCCTAGCCGTGCTCTGCCGGAAAACAGAATCCAGAGCACCCCGAAGATGCCTCAACCAGAAATGCTGATTCTTCCTCCTGTAAGTTTTTTCATTTTGGAATTGAACACCTTTTATTTTGATTTTAAAGAACGGCGGAGGCGATAACTTCGGCACGATTGTAAAGGGCAAAATAAATCTTCCTTCGATCTCTGCTTCGCCGATACAGGTACAACTGACGCCTGGACTTGATCGCACGAGGACGCTGACTAAAAATCATGACGCGACCGTCGATCTCGGCAAGATTGATCCTGGCCCTTCGGACAGAACCTTTACGATCGGACAAAACGAAGAGCCCGTGAAGCCAGTGAAGCCGGCGGTGAAGACAGGTGTTCCTCGCCCATCTGGATTGCCGCGAATGACCGGCCGATCGCGAATAGCCAGGCCTTCAAGGATTGCTCGACCCGTCACGAAGAAGTCTTGAGCATTTTTTGCATGAGACTCCTTCTTGTCACCATCTCACATTATTACTTCACCAATGTCCGTTCGAACGGGAGATTGTTTGAGCTATTCATGTGAATAGCTTTTTCAATTTCTCGTAATTCACAGTCACGTACAAGTGTAAATTTTCCTTTTTCCAGAGTTCAGTTGTATTAAAAGATCCTATCACGCTGAATTTCGTCCTGTAAATCTAATCAATTTCGTTCGCTAAAAAACTCTGACAAACCTCAGCGCGATAGGAACTTACTAATAATTTTCACTACTAATAATAAGTAACTTATAATAATACTCACTTAGATCATTCCAACTGCCTCACGTTTCTTAAGAGTTTACTAAAGAATATCACCTAATAAATCCGAGCTTCAGCATCTTATACAGTATCTTGTCTTGAAAACAGGTCTTCAAATCAAAGTCGACCGTTTTATTTTTGTCGTCTTATTATTGCAGGAAATACATAATGTATGCAATTTGCAGTTATTTCAGGGTAATTTTGAGAGGTCATTTACGGGGACAGGATGTTGAAAGATCCATAGCGGAAAAGCTCATCAAATTTGCACAGGGCAATATGTTAACCTCGGAAGACAATACTAATACAGTCAGTGAGTTTCGGATTGAAGACGCTAATCTCTCGCGCTAGTAGAGAAAATAATTGGCGCTAGGCAAACACTCGAGCCAGAATGCAGAACAATGGAAAGTTGGGTAGAAGTCCTGTTTTTCACTTTTCCATTCTGAGAATTTTCTCCTTTTCAAGTTCACTTTCCAAAGAACAACCAAAACATACACGGCTGCCTTGATTGCCAACGAAATCATGTGTGCGATGAGGGTTAACCCAGTAAGTTCAACTCGCGATATGATTTGTAAAAAACGTTTTGAGAATGTCATAAGACATGCAGAGAGTCAAGTGGAATATTTTAAAGACAGAGTTTTGCCTATAAGAAAATTAAACAGAAGCTACGACAGAAGAAACCGATCATTTGGAGGTATAGTAGACGTTATACAGACCTGGTTACCCTTCGATAGACTCAGTCGTGGACAAATCGAAGACCAGATCAGACGAATATATCAAACTATTACTAGTTTTATCAGTTTAACAATCGTAAAATTAACGTGTACATAGACCTTATCGACAAGTTGAGCAGTGCATCACGCCGGAAGTTTGATTTCGAGCAAACACGTCTCCAAGAGAACATCAAAACTATCAAGTATTCAAGGAAGCATAATTCCATCTTCAAAAAGCTGCACACACCAGATGCACTTAAAATTGCAAACAGGGACGCTTATCAAGGAACAGGGCGAATTTCTTTATTTTTCAATTGTATTTCGAAATCTGAAATTCAGATGATCTAATAAAGATCATCGACTTTTTATTTCTATTCGATCCCTTGATAGAATTGGAAAAGGTGGATCCCAAGGGGACTCTATGGAAAGCTGAGAGTTTTGAAAATATCTATGGATATAAAAGGCCAATCGGACGTTCCCCGGAAGCTTATCAGGTATTATACTAAACCTTGAAATTCTTATCAAGCAAAAATTTAAAGCTGTTATCGAAAATCGAGAAAGAGTCTTCCCCCGATCAAATTCTAGCAAAAAGGATCCAAGAAGAAAAAGAGCGCCAAGAACAAGTTACAAGAGAAACATTGAATAGGTTTTCTTCTTCTATTTTTTTGATACCGCGATTGGCATTTCTGACTGACTGATTCTGATTTTCGAGTGAAATAGCTAATCAACCAATTAAAATTTGACTCTAGTGTCTCTTCTTTGAGAGTTCCGTCAAACCAGTGACGCCTACGCAATCTACGTTACAAATCTCCTATGTTTTTAGCATGGAGAATTGTAACGTCAATGTGCATCTTTCAAAAATCAGTCAGTCAGGACTGCCAATCGCGGTAATTCTTTGTTTTTTAGGGATGCTTCATTTCTCCGTCGCGAGGTTGCCGACTTTTCAAGAATGAACATGAGTTGCAAAAGTGCAAAAAGACGAAAGGTAAAAGTCGAAATCACAGAAGAGACTAACAAACTTGAGAAGTTGCGGGCGGTAAAAAGAAATGAACAGATGCCTACGTTCTTCAATGATTTTCCGAGGTCAGAAACACAGCGCGAAATAAAAGTCACTTTTAAAAGACGTGATAATTTACGGTAGTTTTTCCCGTTACTTTAAATAAATTAAAGCAATCGAAAAAATACTTTTGTCTGTTTCCTTTTTGCAATTGTTTACCATCAAGGATTTCAAGGATTGCTCGACCCGTCACGAAGAAGTCTTGAGCATTTTTTGCATGAGACTCCTTCTTGTCACCATCTCACATTATTACTTCACCAATGTCCGTTCGAACGGGAGATTGTTTGAGCTATTCATGTGAATAAATTAAAGCAATCGAAAAAATACTTTTGTCTGTTTCCTTTTTGCAATTGTTTACCATCAATACTGACAAAGCCCAAGCAACGGATGTCGCGATGTCATTCATGGCGCCATCCAGTTTCCGATAAGATGATCGCCAAATTACAAGGAAATTACGAATGATAGAATCACGTTTATTCTTTCGAACTGAAGTTAAATTTTCACTGGTAGAGCTTGTAGGGCGTTTCAATCGGCTGAGCAGCGCCGAAAACGAAAGTCCATGTGATACAGATGAATTCCATTCCACTTATGGAGACAATTATCCCTCCTAAATTCAGATAACAAAGATAGATTGAACAACCTTCTTTACCGGCAATTATGGCTTGATACAAAGCATATTCTGTTATAAACTGCAAGCATCCCCAGTCATTGTTATTATAGTCGCCATTCATGAGTCCGCAGCTAGAATTGTATAAAACTAAGGATGCATTGGTTGATTTACTATTGAAATCTGTATCCATCAGTGCAGCAACTGTCGGGATAAATAAGATCGTTGGTGATATTAACTGGTTGATGCTCGGCATAGTCGACGAACTAAAAGTCGACGTTATCAAAGAAACTGAGTATGTAACCCTTGCCTGTGGAGAGTTATCCTGCCAGTCTGAGATATCATTGATCCCACAGCAAAAATATCCCTCGTGTAGAATATCCCAGGACTTTGCAACTGGTCCATCACCGTCCCAGTCTTGAAACATCTGCGTCAAAGTAGAATTTGTCGACTCAGGAACCCAATCCTTGCCCGTGCAGAGCATCGCTCCAAAAAGTATCTACGCTTTAAAATATTCCAATTCTTTTCCACGAAAATCTTACTTGGCATGTGATAGAACCTGCGAGAAGGAGGAAATAAATCAACTTGCAGCAAAAAGCTCCTGGAGTAGCGAGAACGTGAGGAAAGCAACACATGAATGCAGGAATGAACATCCCAACTGCTGTAACCATCATTATTCCAACTTATCAAAAGGAAATAACTAAATATCATGATTTTTTCGACTTAATTTAGCTTAGAATTAAAGGGCCTGCAAATCTTCCTCTTTTCCTGTGAGCCATCCAACAAAGAGACTACCTGGATTGAAATAATACTCGTACTGAACCCAGAGAGCCATCGCCCCGTATACAGCAGCGCAGAAGACATGAAACCAAGCGCACTTATCGCCCATTTTCTTCGAGTTTCTTTTTTACCTCTTTTCTAATAAATTGCCTTACGATTTATTCTTCAGCCACGGAGTTTTGCCAAAAGGCGTGAAAAATCAACATAATTGCATGTGATAGAATAAGTCATTTTGCAGACGGTGACGTGAAAGCATCCCAGAGTTTGCCAGCACAAAAAAACAAGGAATGCGCTTTTCAAGCTTTTTTAGAAGACATTTTCAGCCAGCTTATTGGGCTCAGTTGAAATCCCAGAGATTCTCTGGTGATTGTTTCAACGAGACAATTGACAAATCGGTCTGCGGATTAATTTAACATTTGTAGCAAGATCGTTAAAATGCCAATATGCACAATCATAAGTGGACAATCATAATTTACCAACCCTGGTTCTATCTTGAAGATCTTCGAGCTTGAAGATCAAGTTCGAGCGTCGATTTTCGCCCGGCTGTTGTCAAAGTTTCACCGTCAAATTGAGGAGCGTCCATCCGAGTGTCAATTAGCGCTGAGTACGTGAAACTGGTCGACTTAATTGTCAATTAAGCACAGAACTATATATCGCAATTTATGATGTACTCGAAGCCAGTAGTCGGAATTTCTTTTGAGAGGCGCCAGCGCGTTACTCATTTTATTGTCTTCACCGGAGCGCTATAAAAAACGGGCTCCTTCCTAAAAACGGCGACCCTACATCAGAGTATAATCGTGGAGCTATTCGTATACTTCGAGAAAGACGATCCCCCGCGGCGGATCATCCTTCACCCAAATCGAATGTTTCGAATTCCATTCTACAGATACTGATAGAGATGATAGTCCCCTAAGGGCGGGGCGAAACTTCTGCAAGAAATAGACTGATCAAAGAGATTACTCGTTAATTCTTAAGAGAGCATCGAAAATGATTTTGTAAAGTAAAGAAGTGAATTGTTTAGTATGACCGAGTACAGAGTGACAATTAAAACCGGGAGCGGTGGATATCTCAGCTTCGCGGGCACAGACGACAGGATCTTCTGGTAAGTGGGGATCTGTTACTGCAAAAACTTTACTGGATAAAACGTGGTGAATGAAATAGAGTAAGGGCTCACGGTAACTCATAAAAGACGAACGTGTGTTTAACCGGGAGAATAGCCGCCGTTTGGCTGCCGAGAATTCCTTTGTCCACCACAATGGCCAAATTTCACTAAGCTGAGTCAATACTGTCCATTTTAAATAACATAGTAGATACATTTCAACAGCTATTTTGTACACGAAAAAAGTTTCTTAAGCAATGTGGACAGTTCTCACTGATGGTATATTTCATTTACTTTTGCGTTTAATCAATCGCAAAGTGTCTCTTCTAAAACGCTCTTTAGTCGCCTTACTGATATCCACGGCAACGTTACCCCGAAAATCTGGCTCAAGGATGACGACAAATCCTCCTTCGAAAAGGTCTGGGATTTCAAACAAGCTTTATGCATGGCGGCAGGACTTTTTAAAACTCGTAAAGACGAGTTGACAGGACAGCGCGCGAACTTTTTATTCATTGCCGTAAAAGCAACAAGAAATCCCACTAAAAGAATGCCGTCGATAATTTCCGATTCGTGTATGACAAGGCCGACTTTGGCGATCTTTTGAAGGTATTTTCAAGAAAGACAATAATCAACGAGTCAATTTAAATATTAAAATTATCGGATTTTTGAAGAAATAGGAGCTTTGATTATTAATCATAATTATTAAGCAAAATTTTTACTCAATAATTACTTTTCACAGTAAAATTTTATTATTGATTTGGGGATAATTTTTGTGAGAAAAGTCCAGTCTTTATTTCTGACATTCATAGTAGTCGTAAATAACAATGCGTGCGTGCTAAGCACCGCGACAAAAATGTAACGACCGAACAGGCTATCAGTCTCTGCTTTTTTAATTAGATCTCTCAGATGTTTGTCGTCAGAAAATGACAAGCTTTTTGTTTTCAGGCAGACTAATAATCAAAAAGTTCGAATTTGATGAATATGAGTAACGCGGTTGTTTAGTGCCAAGTTTGGAAAGAAGGATCTGATGACTGGAGTCTGGCGACGATGGTTTTCACCAGAAAAAGTAATCCCGAAGCATCGTTCAGCTTCACGTTCAACGAAACTATCAAAAAGAAAATGGTCGAGCGATTCGTCGATGGAGCCACTACCAACACAGTGATCACCTACAAAGTCGAAGTGAAAACTCTTAATGCTCCTGGAGCCGGCACTGATGGAGATGTCACTCTCAACATCATTGGCTCACTCGGTCAGACTCTTCCACGAAAGCTCGATAATTTAAGAAACAACTTCGAAGCTGGAAAAACAGACAAATTCGAAATCAAAGCTTTGGACATCGGAAAGATCGAGAAGATTGTGTTGTCGTAAGTGTTTTCGAGCAGAAGTAAAAATTGAAATAATCTTAGTGTGTCAGACAAAGGTCTTTACCCAGACTGGACTTGCGAGAGTGTGACCATCCGATTCGGCAGCCCCGAAGAAACTTACACCTTCACCGTGAACGCTGTTATCAAAGCAGGAAAGAACTACGAAGTGACAAATCCTTCCTACGAAAAAGCAGCTGAACCTATTCCCGAGAAGCCAAAGAAACCTCTCCCAGTCTTGCATTTCTTCCGAGGAACAGTTGAAACCGCCAATAAGAGCATGGCGGGAACAGATGCCAATGTCACCATTTCTCTCGGAGACAAAAATGGAAAACTGATTGGTCCCATTAAATTGAAGGAAAGTGGGTCAGCTCTGGAAAAAGGAGCAAAAGACCCAATTGAGATCAGCCTTATCGAACCGTTTTCCGAGCTTACGACTCTCCATGTCCAACATGATGGCAAAGGGGTCGCCAGTGATTGGAATCTTGCACAGGTCACATTGACCGAATTTAGGAACCAGGCAAACAAATTAGAACTGCCACTAGTTTTTGTCAACTTTTTGTAATACGAAATATGACATTTTTTTCATCTGGTACAAGTGTTCAAGACAAGACAAAAGCTATTGGTGAGCCAAAAGTGTTCATCTTCAACGAATGGATAAAGGCGAAGAAGACATACACTAGAACCGCTGCTTCCGCTACGACTCCTCCAGTTGAGCCAGAACCAGAAAAGCCCGTCGAACCAGAACCATGCGCTCCCGAATATAAAACATTCTTGGTTGGAAAAGTGACAACTGCCGATAAATATTTCAGTGGAACAGATGCGGATGTGCAGATGTACGTGACAGACTCTAACGGCGTCGTCGTTGGCCCTGTTGATTTGAAAGATTCGCAAAAGTCAAAGACCATGGAGCGCGGTTCCGTTGACATCGTGATGATTCAATCGACCGTTGCAATTGCTGATCTTTACAAAATTCAAGTCAGGCACAATGGTTCCGGACCATTCTCCAACTGGACACTCGAAAAAATTGAGCTTAAAAAAGTCGAGAGGCTGCCAACAAAGGTAATCGAGTTTCTATATTGATTTTTCATGGACGCTGGTCTGGTTTATGATAAAATATGTTCGGTGAGTCTTTGTTGATATCATTTTTTCAGGAAGAAATCCTGGAGAGCAAGTATCTCTCACAGGGAATGAAGACATTCAATTTCAACCGATCGCTCTCAGCTCAGCGATGGTACGACTCAGGAAACGAAGCTGACGTTGTTACATACGAAGTTGAAGTTCAAACATCAAAAGGCGTCTTCAGCGGTACTTTCGACAAAGTCCAGTTCGACATCATCGGACAGAAAGGATCTACTCTTTACCAAACTTACGATAATATTGGTTCCGATCAGAACGCTGGTGGCAAAGACAAGTACACTAAAAAGTTTATTGATCTTGGCGCTCTCCAGAAGCTTAAAATCAAAAAGGTAGGATGAGATATGTTTACAATCGCTAAACTGAATAAGAGTGGCCATGATACATGGAAGTTGGATTCCGTCAAAATTACCAACACGCGAAACTCCCATCAATGGCTCTTCGACAACAATGGCGAGGAAATCAACAAAAATGAGGTTGTTCTTCCTGCCGAGCAAATTAGATTCGGCAAGAATAAAATAGAGGGCGAAGTTTTCACTTCCGACTTTGCCAATGCAGGCACCGATGCCACTGTCACAATCAAGATCACGGACAAATCTGGAAAGCCATACGGGCCACTTGATCTCGTCGACAAAGAGTAAGAACAGTTCGCAACCCAAGAATCGCTACGCCCATTATTTAGCAAGAAAGCCTTCGAAAGAAACACAGTAAACAAGATTAACTTGCTGACTCTGGACAAGGTTTCAAACATTCACAAAATTTCGATTTCCCACGATGGGAAAGGAACAGGACCGGATTGGCACCTCGGTCACATCGTGCTCACTCTTCCAGGGCAGAAACCGTACAAATTCGTCTTCGATGAGGTATTTTTCTTATAAAAGATGATTTTCCCGATTGATATTTTAAATAATAGTGGATCAAAGCTAATCAATGGTATGATGCCGTCCCTGAAGGTGTCGCCGATGGAAAGAGAACATATACTATCAACGTCACCACGCGTAAAGGTGGCGTGACTTCAACCTACGGCACGGACAACGACGTCTTCATCAACATTGTCGGAAAGCTTGGCGACTCGAACATGTTCCAGCTGAAGCAAAAGGGCAAGAATCTATTCGAAAAGGGAAAGACTGACACCTTCAAACGAACAATGGCGGATCTCGGTGACTTGCTCGGCGTCCAAGTCGAGAAGCGCGGCCTCATCAATGACCAGTGGCATTTGGACTCAATCGAAATCAACGACGAACGACGAGTTTACAGGTAGACTACTTTACACAGCTTCCTTACTTAAACTAACTTTCTCAGATCGCAGAACGGCCCCTACGAAGTTAATAAAGAAATGGTTAAAGTCAAGCTCCAGTAAAACCTCACAGCATAGTTCAGCATATTTTACCTGTCAAAACATCCTCGTAATGTCACTTCAACACAAATTCTAATATTTGATCACTCAATCTTAAAGCAGAAATTAAAGAATCACGTTCATGTATCAAATCACTGTTAATAATTATTTGATCGGCGCGAATAAAATATATCAAAATACCAATATTGTACTTCATGTCATGAAGTTCATGAACGAATATATTCCTTTACCGGTTAGATTCTACCTCGTGGGATAAAATGATGTTGTCCGGGCGGAGGGAATTTCAGATAGAGCACACCAAGCGCCTGCCTATCGGCCGGTAAAGTCATTTCTCACAATTGTCAACTCAGATTTGATCTGCTTGTTTTACTGAAGAGTCAAAATTGAGAAAGTCAAGAATGAATTTTTTCTTATTTTACTTTTTGAGTATCAAGTTGGTGGTCGGAGAGCTTCCTCCTGCCGCATGTTCTCCAGGTAAATTATATTTTATTGATTGATTCGAAAAATTTTCTATAAGATCTACCAACTTGCGTCGATGTTTGCCAGGAAGACAAATGGATCAAAAAACGAGATGCTTGTGTTGAAAAAGGTTTATTTGTTAAAGGATAAAAATTATATAATTACAATTCAGCCACTCGATTTCACGAGATGTGCTATGTTCACTCGTGTAACGTAACTGTTACTTTGGACAACTTCAAGGATGTGGCGATTAAGTTCTTTGCCGACATGGCGGGAGTCCAACTTGCAGAGAGTGATGACGAGGACGATGAAGAAGGCTCGGCTATGGAATGTGCGAAGGACTGTGATGCTCATTTACAAAATACTCTTTGGAAATGTCCATGTTACCAGTCGGTCGGTTAAATTATCGGTGTTAAAGGTATCTAACCTTTAAAAAAAGGACGATGAAAAATTGGAAGAAGAAAATGTTTTTCAAACAATGAAAGATTCCATCTTAAACCTCACGACTGCGCTTGAAGAAATAAAGAAACAATACTCTGAGCTGAAGACCACTTTAACCGAAACGATTCAGGTATCTTTCTAGTAGTGAGACTTGCAATTAATAACACTCTTAGAAAAACGAACAGACCGTTAAACAGTATTATACTTCGCTTTCTGGGAAAATAGAGGTAAGTTTTTTATTGTCAAAATTTCCAAAAAATATATTTAGAAGGTCGAAGAGAAGGCTCACCGGTGTAAGGATTCTTATTTGGCTGCCGGCGGATTTACCTGAACGGGGGTTTGACCTGGCGTCGGATTTACCTAAACGGGGGTTTGACCTGACAGGTAAATCCAACGCTCAGGTCAAATCCCCGTTCAGGTAAAAGCGCCGTTTTTCTTATGGAAAAATGTAACTCTTCAACTTGACTTTGATTTAATTAATTATTAAGAAAATTAATTATTTTAGGGTTGTTAGATAATCCATTTTTCTAGCGATGCTTAGGGGTCTTATGATACAACTTTAGAAAGCTAAGAAGTTGAGCTTTCATTTTGGCACAATATCAAGGGGTGTCATGCAAGGCAATTTATGGGACCGGAAGTTCCGAAATGGACACAAGAACACGTCAATCGATTTATAAAATGCTGCTGACCTGCATCACAGTGGCCGCTTGAGTCGCTTGAAAGTCGAATTTTGTCCCGGAAATGGGATTTCGTGAACAGAAACGGTATAAATCTTAGGAGTGACCAAACCGTCCGGTTGAAACAAAGATTCTTGCGTTTCTTTTCACAATTCTAGCGCCCCTTGGCACGAGATTGCAGGTCAACAGTATTTTACTAGCATTTTTTCAAGCCAACCGATGACTCAAATGAAGAGTTCTAGTACCCATTTCGGAATTTCCGGTCCCATGAATCGCCCTTCGGGCACGACCCAGACCCCTTGATACAGTGTTCAAATTATGCTCAGCTTCGTGGCTTTCTTAAATTGTATCATGAAACTAGAAATCCTAAACTAGAAAAATCGGCCAAAATTTCATTTTGAATAGATTTTGAATATAATTATTGTTATGAAAATCATTTTAAACAATGAATAAAACTTTTATCAAAACGGGGAATTTGCCTGGCGTCGGATTTGCCTAACGGGGTTTTGACCTGAGCGTCGGATTTACCTGCCAGGTCAAACCCCCGTTCAGGTCAATCCGACGCCAGGTCAAACCCCCGCTCAGGTAAATCCCCCGGCAGCCTTCTTATTTTAGTAATTCGTATTATGACTGCTGAGCAATTTTACTGTATTTCCTAGAAAAATAAAATCAAACAGTTTAGTTGAAATATGCCACAAAGTTTTTGAAATTCAATGAAAAGTCTCCAGAGTAAAATCATAAAACGCCGTTTTTTTCTGGCGTTACGCGGCAGAGCGCTTGGTGGGCGTCCGTTCTCGCCGCCGATTGGACAGGCGCGCGCTCAGTGACGTGGTCGACGCGGTGGTGAACGAAATCGTTGAAGCCCTCAGTGACAACTAGCCAAATTCCAAATCTCTCTTCTTAATTTCTTCAACACCTTTTTTTAGAAAATTAAGGATCTTTGTTTTAGAGAAAATGGCGCGTGGACACAAGAAGGCGACTGGATTTTCGGAGCAAGAGCTCGAGCTTCTTAGAGTGAGTCGCATTTTTATTTCTAGGCTTTGGTTTTTAACGGGAACGAAGGGATTATCGATTCTTTTAGAATTTCTCGCCTAACACGTCAAGCAAAGGAATGGCTGTCTTCTGGATTCACGCGCTCTACGTCGTTCTCGTCCCAATTTGGATCCAAGCTAGAGTGCACCAATATCCTGTAAGATGTTCAAAAAGGCTTTTTTTGCCTATCGAGCATTTGTTTAGGTTGGGGAGCAAATGATCTACCTCGTTTTGGGAACCCTTCTGCAAGCCTTTGCACTCCAATTTGCCTACAAAAATGTCAAGAATGTCCAAAAGGTTTTGATTCCCTTCGCTCTCTGATATTAAACAACTCGCTCAAGGAAAAAATCGCACTTCAACGAACAGAAGCTGTTTCCGCCGAAGTCACCGCCCAGGTCGGCACTAAGGTCGCCCGACAAGAGCTCGAAGACAGAATCCTCTGGCGAAAGGTAACGATACGCGCCTTCAATTTCGCCGCTCTCTTGCAATGATGGATTCAATTATGAATTTTGACACAAGCTTCCAAGACATGCGCTCCGACCGTTTTTTTTGGAGTCGGGGACGCTGCTATTGACTTTTTAGTTGATAAAGTGCGAAAATTAAAAATTTGTAAGGACCAGAGTTTTTTCGTGATGCGATATTTACTAGGCAGCTTCGTGAGAATTTAGAAATTTGCCCTAAAATCCATCATACAACCAAAAATACTCAGTCGCACGATTTTTGTCTTTGGAATTGTCTTGTGGTTTTATGAGAACGATCTCCACGGATCTGAGCAAATCGTGATTTACCAAATCTCTTCGTCCCTGACTTTAATTAACTATCGAAGATGGCGATAACGCTGAGTTTTTAGGGAGAAGTTGCTGAGAACGAGTCCATCCACTTCTCGATCTTGTACAACAACTGCATCTACCTTGGACTCTACCTTTTGTTTTCGGTGATCTTCTTCAAGAACTGGGCGCCCTTGACGAACTACACCTTCTCAATCATCGTCGCTGCCGGAGCCGTCGCCGGAATCTCCAGAACTAAGTAAACTGACCCTTTCTGCTGCACAGATAAAACTTAGAAAAATTTTCTAAATTATGATTCAACCACAACTGGGATCTCGCAATATACACATTTGTGTCTTACGTTCGACAATAAATTAACAACAAGACATTCGAAAATAAAAACGCATTATTTCTTGTTTTTGTATAAAATAAAGGCAGTCAGAGGGATGACGCAAACGACACCGATTACTGTCATTGAGCCTAAGTTTAACTTCGTGGTTTGATTTGCTTCTGGTTTCATTTCTGCGGCGGCAGGAGCTTTTGGGACGGATTGCCTTATTCTAGAGTTTTTGCGATGACAGAGGATCATTTTTCAGGGAAGAAACGTTTTTGGATGAAGTATTTGTTTAAAATTTTATTGCTTTTCCTATTGATCCTTTGATTTAGGCTGTGGTAGTGGACTTGCATTTTTAAGTTGGCAGCCTATTACAAGTTATCATTTCGTGGTATCAGCGAAAATCATTTAAAACCCTTTCCTTGGAGCCAAGACAGATTGAGGCCTTTTAGCTGATTTCAGATTAACATTTTTGAAAGCCCATTTCGAAATGGGCTCGGTGGATTTTTGAATTTGGGCATCTTTCCCTTCACATTCGAAGGTGATTTCTTCCCAGAAGATATCATCTTTCTATGACCTCTCATTTCTCCCTCTTTCGTCTTCTCAGCTTCTTCTAGGAACCCTTCCAGTTTGGGTAACACCGGGTATCTGCCATCGATTCTCGCTTCTTCGATGATCTGGCTGGCTCTTGAATTGAAACGTTACCCTCACCCGAGCATATAAAATATTATTACTGATTAGCATATTCGGCAGGAACTTCTTGAATATTGATTTTGAATCGTGCACCAAACATTCCCGCCTGTAACCGGTTCAAAGTAGTTCCAACTACGATGTCGTTGACAAGCGCTCTTCAAAAATTAAAAACAATAATTGCGCGTTATTGAATGATTAATTTATGGAACCGGGCTTTACATCGAATTCAATGACGATGACAGAAACCGAAAAGAAGTAATCAACTTGAACCGAGATAGATTTGTCTTTTCGCACGCTTCCTTGCGCTTAACCTGCACTATTTATTCATGCAATCATTTCGACTGAATAGTTTCTATCTGCCTGCCTTGGCGGCGATTTTTAATTGACAGATGGTTAGGCCCTATGAAGAACGCTGTCTACTGATGTTACGAGCAGACGAGTTCTTTTTTCTATCCCGTTACTGGGGCTCTCTTGTTATCGCATAACCAAGGAGCTTTCACTTGTCCACACTCGTCGATCTTCACAGGATAGCAGTTTCCTTTTCTTTCTTTGTCTTCAATTAGCTTATCGAAAGTAAATCCTCTCCTAACAACAACTGTTTCATAACTAAAACTTTTGCCACATAATGCTCAAGATTGCGTTATAATTAATCAACCTGATGTTTTGAAAGATTTTTTAATTAATCATCAATTAAACACTGCTACTAGCTTGCTTTATGTTAGAGTCATTTGAGAGTAATAAGCCTTTTCTGAGCCATATTCGAATGTTTCCCAGTGGAGCCAAATGCGCACACTGCCTCCTCCTTCTCGACAGTTGTTGGACGGCTCGTTTGACTTGATCGTTACTTTGCATTTATATGGCTTGGGAGATCGGTACTTCTGAGGAAATCCAGGCTTTCGTTGGGCTCAAATATAGACTTTTTTCAATATTGGACGTCTTTTAATCAGGAAAACTGGAATTCGCACCGACAAATTAGCAAGATGAAAGATTTCTCATTAGCGGCTTGATTAAATCGGGGAGTTAACTGCTATCTTTGGACACGCTAGCCGAAAAATGCGTCAGAAAAGTCAATAAATGTGTCCTGGTGTCCAGAATAAGTTATTCTGAATAAAGTTCTGATACAAAATAACCTTTGAGCCCTTAACGTAACGATATAAGTTGGTGTCCCCTTTGGATAAAGAACTGGATCGCCACCACAAGCTGAAAAACTCTCTAATTACTTTATCTCTTTGTTTCCTGCATTACTTATCATATTCGTTTTTCCTCTGACTTTTTTTGCATTAGAAAAAATCGCTAACAGACAAACTAAAAAGACTATAGATTTCGTTTTCATCTTTATATTTTTTCAAGAAATAAGGAAGATTATGTTGGAGAAGGCAGACCGAACGAGAAAGGTCTCGGTGGTTAGGTCCCCGCAGGGTTCAAAAATGGTCCAAATGTCACTTTTTACGTATTCAGTCAATAAGTACGCTTATATAATATAAGCTATATTGGAAGAGAAAACGTAAAGACAAAAACAGTATTTGCTACAGCGAGTTAAACTGAGAACTCATCATACTGGTGAAATAATGAATTGTATGAAGGCGGTTGATCTTCTAAGTAGAGTTCTGGTGCGTCGGAGGCGGTCGGAACAGAAGGCTCATTGTTAGTAATTGATTCGTTTCGTCGATCTGAGCGAAGTAATTATTAATTAAATAAAAACTCATTGCATACCTCTTCTCACGACGTTCCCAGATTCTTGCTCTTTCCTCATTTCCTTCCGAGCGTAATATAAAGCCAAGAGAATGATGAAGCAAATGTAAGCCGATATAACTCCGATACCAAGGATTCTTGTTGAAGTTTGTGTCGTCGTTTCTTCAATGCTGCGTGTTGTTTGAGCTTCTGTCGGTGTGATCGCAGTAGAAAGTTGGGACCGAAATCTTTCGTAATCAAACAATTCTTTCGCTTCTTGGTATTCTCCCCACGAGTGAAAAATTTCGCCATTCCAATAAACATTGCCCGTTGTCTTGTCAAAAGAAGTTACAAACATTATCTTTTGTATTTTAGCTGATATGAATTCAATCAAAATTTCGTATTTATGTGCAGAGTCTCTCGAGCACCACCTCGAGGAATCGTTTCGCCCGCAGCGCGTTCCGTACCACCTGGTTCGGACTAACCAATGCGCTCTGTGTACTCGCTGATGATTATCATACAAAATAACTAGATGTAGGAAAATATGAATGGTAGTTTGTGTAGTTAAGAACACTGCAACTTTATTTTATGCTTACTAAACAGAAGGAGAAGCGTTGTCTGTCATAAAAATGGAATGATAAGAAGGGGGTTCACAAGGACACATGGCAGGAACAGTATTTTCTGTGGCAAAAATGGAATCATAAGAAGGAGGCTCACAAGGATACATTGCAGGAACAGTATTTTCTGTCATAAAAATGGAATTATAAGAAGGAGGTTCACAAGAATTCATGGCAGGAACAGTATTTTCTGTGCCAAAAATGGAATCATAAGACGGAGGATCATCTGCCGGTAGATTGAAATCATGATGAAAGATTGGCTCTGTTCTGGAGCTTGTCGATGCTTCTAAGTCTTCTTCTTAAAAAAAGTTAAGTTATAAATTCAATGATTATCTTTACCTCTGGAAACCACAGCTGCCCTATTTCTTCTCTTTATTCTTTCGAGACAGCTTGCGACGGATAAAAAAATCAGACAGAACAAAACGCATGAGAAAATAAGTGTGAGGTCTAATTCGAGTGGCATTTTGTTAGAAAGAGTGCTTTTTTGATGCTTATACTCGTACTCTACTAGAATGCTTCATTTCAGCTGGTTTTTATTGCAAGATACTCAGGAGCGCCGATATTTCCGGGTTTTTCGAAATTTATCACGGATATTTTCACCTCGACTCGATTAGACTGCTTGTGGAAACAAGTCGACTCGACTCGATTTGACCCTACGAGTCAACTAGTCGAAAAAGTCGAGAACAAAGTCGAAAAATCTAGTCGAATAAGTCGAAAATCTAGTCAAAAGAATCACTATTTCGCGGGTATTTTCGCGTCATTGAGATTTTTTGTGATTAAAATGGAATCAGAATTATTGGTTAAAGTGTTAGTTAAAGTTTGAATGATAATAATAAAAACATGGATTTTCCGGAAATTTTCGTCAATAAAATAGTCAATTTATGATGAACCCATTTGATCGCGCCCATTTCATTCAATTTATTCTTTATGAATCTATTCCTCTTCGTTCGTTTTTAATGATTTATTAACTTTCGACTGTCGAATGAAGAACTATTACGCGAAAATGAGTTTCATCCTTGTTATACAAGGGAACTACGATAATTTGCTCGTAGACGAGGCTATTTGGATGTATTAATTTATTCGCGATAAGGAGCCTTCAAAAATTAAGATGTCTGTTGATTACTCAATTATTGGATTAACTGGCAATCGGACTGTTGATGCAGCATGATTATAGGGTCCCAGACTCTGCGTTCCTTGGATCATCTCGATTTTTGATTCGGATAACGATCGCCACCCATTTCTAAGTGATCGGAGAAGGTATTACTCGTCCTCTTTTCAATTTCTCCCCAATCTCGCCAGGAAAGCCGCATCCCCACTTTAAATATAAAAATAACGAAGAGAAAAAATCCTAAATTGCATTCTCCAGAAGAAATCGTGAGTTTATTTTTTAATGAACCCTTCTAAAATGCCGTCTTTCGTGCACCCTTGCAAATGACGTCTAAAACGATCATGATTCACGAATAAGGCCTTAATCCTGCAATAGAAAAACGGTTCATAATTAATTTTTTGCTTAAAAATATTTATATTTTTTCGTGAACTCAGAAAGAGAAGCATTGGCGAGAAGGAGATTATCACAGGTGGCAAGTTTTGATTCTGTCAAAAATGATTGATTTTGAGAACATCAAGTTGATTTGAAGGTTACCGACATTATTAAAAGTTAACTTCAGACGGGAAAGAACACGCTCTCCATAGGCGTATGCTTGGTGCTGGCGCGAAAACTGGCGCTGTACCCCGTAGGAATTATGAATATTAATTTACGTTGACTGCATAACGATACTGTAAGTCCTAACGACACACTCAGACTGAGTAGCTATATTTTAGCCTCGCGATCGTATACTTTGGACGCTCTAAGAGAAATGGGAAGAACAATAAATATTACCGAAGACGGCCTCATCGCAGAGGAAATGCGAGTGATTATGGAGCAGATGGGAGTTCATGAAGACGGGGTTTCTTTACTTGGTGAAATTCCTTACATGGTAAAATTTTTTTTTTCTTTACCAAGTAAGGAATTTTACCAAGTAAGGAAACCCTCATGAAGACAACATGCATCAAGTCAACTATACCAAGTTAGTAGTTAATGATGTTCCCAAGCGTAAAAAAACAAACTAAGAGAGTTTCTTTGCGAGTTTTCATCGAAATATTTTGGACGAGACGTTTGTCCGTCCGAAACACTTGAATCGATCTTGGTTCCGATAATATTCGGCATCATTTTCGTCATTGGTCTTATCGGCAACATCATAGTAATTCTGGAAGGTTGAAAATTGAAATATTCAATCATTGATTGAACTCGGTGCATATTTTGAGCCGTAAAAGATCATCAGCAGAAATCACCGTCACAAAGCAAATCGAGTTTACGTCCTTTCACTGGCTGCATCGGACATGATTTTCATTCTCTTCTGTGTCCCCTTTCAAGCCTTCATCTACACATTCCCGACTTGGTTCTTTGGTCGCTTCCTTTGCAAATTTTGCTCCGGTTAACAATCCAATCCGAACATAACTTTTAAACAGCGCTCATTTTTAGACTTTGATTTTTAGTAAGTGCTCATTTTTGGAAAAACTGACACGCCAAACAGTCATTAATTTTGTTTAAAAGAGCGACACTTTATTTTTGAACTTGCCGTTAACCAGACGAAGCCACTTTTGGACTGAAGTCGGGGCAACAGGATCGAGCCTTTCATTAGTCGCTCTTTCCATCGATAGAAATCTTGCCGTTGCTATCTTCCGCTATGTAAGTCATCTTCCCATAGCACCCGAAAGAATAACCCTGTTTCTAAAGCCAAAAGCACGAGGTAATCGACGACTGCTTTGGATAGCCGTAGGTGAGCGCTTGTCACTGTTTATCAATAGGCTAAACGAATCTGTTAATAGCCCTCATTTGGATAACATCGATTGTATTCGCGCTCCCAAGTTTGATCATAATAGATACATACACTTTTCATGGACAGGGGGAGAGCCACACATATTGCCACCCCGTGCTGCACGAGTTAGATATGTACTACACCCTGGCGAAGTCGATTGGCGCTTTTTTCATTCCGCTGCTAATCATTTTCTATGCATACGCAGGTACGCACCAATGCACTTTGCATTCCAAGAGCTCGTTTCCTTAGACCTTCTTGTTCGTGTCAAGCGGCAGCAGAAAGTCATCCAGACGAGGCGCAAGCGAAGCCGGAAAGAAGCCGATAAACGGACGAGGAAGGTCTCGATAGCTCACTCAACTCTGTTGACTCTTTGTAATTATCAGACATAACAAGAATGATGTTCGCCTTGGTGGGCATTCTTGTGGCTGCCTTCATTATCTGCTGGCTACCTCAGCACACGCTTAATTTATTTATCAGCTTTGCCAAGTTTCAATTTACGCTGGAGATGTTTTATTTAAAGGTAACGTCAATGGCAGTAATTTTGCGCGACTGAACGATCTCAGTGGCCTTGAATGAGCTTTTCGAAATTAGTTTTAGATCACTTGCCATTGCTTGTCATTCTGTCAGGCTATGTTGAACCCGCTGCTTTACGCATTCGCCTCGAAATGGATACGACTGCAACCGGGTTTAAAAGTACTTTTTGCCGTAAATTCTACGGTAGTTTTTCTTCGGAACGAAAGTATAAGACTTAAAATAATTTATGAATGAGACTGTCTGAATAACCAGATACTTGATAAATATTAACGTCTTCTTGCAAGACATCAGTTAGTTTCTCTGTCGTCTTCATTTAAAAATATCATCATTCATTTTCAGTCAGTTTCCATAAACCCGACCTAAGCACATAAAGAAAACAATTGTTAACAATCCATGGGTGCGGCGAAATATTTCTTGGGTCTCACGTGACGATGTAGTCATCAATTCGAACGAGTCAAGTTACGTTCCGAACAGACGTTTTTCCAGGATTCGCCAGAGCATTGTCTTCTCCAATTTTATGGATGGTGAGTGTGATTGTTTTTTTTCTGAGATTCCAGAATAATTTAGGCATCGGTGCTGGAATTGAAACAATCGTTACTCCAGTAAAGGCACTTTTCGACGCTCAAGCGACTGGTAAATACAGCATCAATGAGATCGACAAGAATATTTCGTAAAAATGCTAAACCCTTTAAGTCACGACTGTTGTCATCGCAAATGGTGGGGAGAAAGAGACACACGCAATAGCCTCAGACTAGAGTCCGCAAAGGATGTCTATTCAATCTCTGTACATTGTACAATAAATTGATCTGACCCTTCTGTCCAAAATGGTCGCCTTTCGTGCGATGTCGTTGTTTCACAGTGAAAAAGCTTAGCTCTGCTATAATTTCATTGGTTTCGTTTCGTTGTTTACGCGCTTGAAAACAACGTAGTAGTGGTCTCCGCGTGTGTCGTCTCTGGACAGCGGGGCAACACGGGCGTCTGGCGCTCTCGAATTTACCGCGGTCGAAGCGGTCGGTCCTCCAGACAGGGGAATCAATACTTCTGTCTGGGAGACATGAACTGGTACTGGCCTGCAGGGGATAGATGGATCGGATGCTGCTTCTCTCCTCAACTCAGCCCTCCACAGAATTTTCTATCTCGCTCTTGCTTCCATTCATTCGACTTAAATACCATGTTCACCAAGAGAAGTCCCGGTCAGTTCTTAAAAACGAGCTCTTGTTCTCACACAATAAAAAAAGAGAAGTCAATAAAGGGATCTGAACACAAAGCCTTTCTAGTGCCCCAGAGCTAGACTGTCCAGTTCTTGAGACTTGGTCGTCTAAAAGACACAAAGTCCGACATGAATTTTGACTACAACTCTGATTTTCATTCAATTATTTACATTGACTTTTTTGCGGAAAAATAATTTTCAGCCTTTTTGAAGCGCTTTTCAGAGAACTGATAAACAAAACTTGAAGACAGCAAAAGGTAGAAGGGATTGTCGAACTCTTTTCTCTTCTATCATTATTTTTTTGAAGACAACGCTTAAAATATGATATCGTTCAGTATTTTCGAGGGGATTATCGGAGTGAGTAAATACTTAATTTTGTTTAAGACATGAGTTACAAGCAGTGTCTACTCAAAGCAGTCGTCTCTGCTGATTACAACCAAGAAGAGAAAAATTACATGAAAGGGTCTCTAACTAGTAAATATCTATAAATAGAGAAAATCACTGTAAATAATACTTGAAAGATCCTAAAACAGAGAAAAAACTATTAATCACATACTAAAGAAGCTTTCTGATGACTCGCGCGAAAAATTGGAGCTCTTCGTACAGACAGTGCAAGAGTCAAGCACGGCGCTCGAATTTTCAGAGTGCATCACTCTTCCCAGAAGCAGCGTTATCATTTGCAAAGAACTTAATGTCGCCCAAAATCTCCGCGTAAAAGGTAAAAATAAACATCCAAATACGAGTCTAAACTCATTGACAAAAAAGGAGACAACAGATTCGTCTCTGGAAAATTACAATGGCTGTCTGTTCTTCTCTCGAAAATATTCCGCTTTCCGGAAATTCAGTTCCAGCATGATTTGGAAGCGGCCCCGCACTGTCACTTTCACTTCGGGAAAAAGCTAGAATCGATCTGCATCAACGTACAGCACTACACCCCGGTCGAAGTTGCCACTCAACAGACGATTCAACAATGTTCGATTCCCTTATCAATTCAACAGGTTTTTTGACATATAAAATTGCTTTCAATAAATTTATATTTTTTCAGCCTGTGATCTACCAAATTGTCGACGAGAACTTTCGCTCAAGCGGAAACGAGACAGTCGTTTACCAAGTTTTTAATCAATCGACTCCGATCCAAAGTAGCCAGACCCCGATCATGCCAAAGATGAAACAAGTTTATCAACTGGCACCAGCGGCTCATTCTCCAAGCTCAGGCTCAACACCGATGGCTCTCTCGCCGATTGTCTCTTCTAATCCGATTACAGAGATTTTCAACTTGCAGGAAGAGGCGAACGTTCGATATGAAAAGATTGCTTCTACTTGGGATCAGAGTACGGATGATGCTTGGGCATCGATTCAATACAATAAAGGGACTCAGTCTATCGGGCAAAAGGTGAGCTATATTTTTAATCAAAATCGAAACAATTCTAGTTTATCTGCAAAAACGCGCATCGTCAAATCATCTTGGACAACGCACAAAGAAACTCTGATTTGCCCTGTCCCCAGCGCTTTTCTCTTGGCGAGTTTCAGTTGAGAACCTTCATCGATGAACGGAGTCTAATCATTTTTTTCAGGAATAGATCTTCTATCGAGGATGAAATATTTGCAGCAAAAATCGGTAAAGGCGTCGGTCTTGTCAATGTTAAGGGGCAGATCTTTGTCGACAACTTGACTAAGGGACCTATTTTTTCTCAAAGCTGGACTGGAACTGAGTATGTTAACAAGGTATCATTCCAAGAAAAAAATCAGACAGGCAAGAATGCTTTAGCAATACGATGCGAATCTTCACCGTTCGACAATTATGGAAATCAAAGCTGGGCTCGTTGGCGTTTGCATTTTTGATTTGGAAATATTCGCTAAAGATCTTGATGTGAACTTGGATAGTTGTTTGAACGTGATTGAAAGACATTTTAAGGAATGTGCACGAAGACTACAACGAGCAAAAGACGAAAATAACCTTGAAGCCGGAAGACGAGCACGAATCGAACTCAATCGTATGCAACACCGTTGCCTTATCAGGTGAGATCGCGGCTTTCTTCGTTTTTTAAACGTTTATATTGTTTAGAATTTCGCTGTTCACCGGTTGGGGAGAACAGCATCACTCGAAAGCAATACAAGGAACCCCGCATTGGATAGAGATAAAAGCATTTACTGCGCTGAACTGGCTCGACGCTGTCAGAACTCATTTTGGCATTCGAAATTAAGTTCATTTTCATTGAAAAGAGAGCCACTTCTGCGAAAATTTCTGTTGCTTTCTGATTGCTAAAAATCACTTGTGTGCTTGAGCTTTTAATACAGTTTGAAAGACAGAGAAATATTTGCATTGAATTCGTCTAAATACTAGAATAAATTACCTTAATATACCTCTTCCAACAATGCAGAGTCTATGAGCATGAAACAAGACGAAAGAGAATGCGTCAAAAACTTCCTCGTGTCTGCAAAATATATCTTTACTCGAAAATTGGCTTAAATAAAGCAATAAATAGTCTTACATTGCCATCGAGAGCATCGTTCCCCGAACAGATATGTCTTTGTAGAGTTGAGAAGAATACAAAAGCTAAAATCTATAAAATAATTAATCTTACTTTCAAGCTCAACTCTGGCTAAAGTTGTCGACGTTTTCAACAGTGAGGCGAGTCTCTCGAGACTGGGGAAACAAGCCAGAAGCGATGAAAGAGAGTGTTTCCACTGCGGTGGAAATGAAGAAGAGACGCAAACGCTCCGTTGATATTCCAGAGTCTGTTATCTCCGCCAAGTCAGTTCAAGAAGAGCCCCTCTTTACTGAGGAAAAAATTGACTTCGATCATGTAGCAGGAGTTTTGTTCCACACTAATGAAAGCATTAGAGTGGTGTTGTAGTGGAAATAAATCTCTTCTAAGAATTCGACAGCGGCTACGAGTGCTCGTCAGTCTCTAAGGCTGGCAGCAATTCCGATAAAAATAGTGTCGACTCAAAGTCTACTGAGGCTTTGCCTTGGTGGAGAAAACTCTTCAAAAAACGAGAAAAACAGCCGAAAAGTAATTTAGAATTCTACAAGTGACTTATTTTCATTGTCCATTGTAAGTTTGTCCTGTCGGATGCAGTTGCTTATGCCACACGGAGAAACCAATAAAGTCAGTAGCGATTGATATGGCTCTGTTGACGGCAAATGCTAATCAAGTAGAAAGATGACTATAATTACTATTATTCACAACTCTAGTTACGCATCTTGATGGGAATGGAAGACCTCTGCGGAAAAATAAATTGGGAACAAACGCGACTATTAGAAGATGGAACCTCCGTTCCTACTGGATGCGATGTGCGGCAATTTACTTGGAAATGTCTTCTCTTTCTTGTTTTAGTGTCGATCCTTGGCCAGGTAAGTGTTTTTCCGTTGTTACGCATAAAATGAAGGTTCATGAACATCAATTTTCTTTAGATTTTGGTTGGAGTCGTGAACACCTGCATTTTCAGTTTTATCCAGTACCCCAACAAGAACCTCATCGCACGATCGGTCAACTCGATTTCCCTCATGCTTGCCTTTTTCATTACTTGCGTGAATATTGTCATGACTGGAATTTTCGCAGGATAGAATAAAACACTCAAAGCAGTGAAAATCCTGGTATTATTTACGAAGTACTTTCATCCTAGTGATGGCTCTGAGCTCTTTTTTTAATCACAAGACAGAAATTTGCAGAATATTCAACTTCCGTATAATCGCTTTTTATCTATTTTGACTATAAATTAACGCGTAGCTCGTAACTAGTGATCTGTAGGAGATTTGTCTGGAATCGTTAAAAGCAAAGCACAAAAGTCAGAGAGAATAAAAAACTGATCGAAATGGGGAGCATCTTTAGCACAAGCGTAAGTCGCTCCGATTCAATTAAGTGTAAACAAACTTACTCAGGAAGATAAAAGGGCACATCGCCGCAGAAAAAGTAAGTACTCGAGGAAAACATGAATGAATAAAACAAATTTTGTGCGTCACACTCGAGTCAAATTTAGCTGCGATAGCGGAACTTGCCGCACGATTGGTTGGAGTCCACCAAAAGCTAAAAGGGGATTAAATGATTTCAATTTGCGCACAATATTATACCGCCATATAATCACTCGCTACTAATTGAAAAGATCATTTGAATCGTCCACAGAAGAAAGCTTATCCTCAGTATATAAACGAGCTTAGCCACGAGGAGAAGATGGAAGAGCTAAAAAACACGTTTGATATCTTCGATAGAGATGGATCTGGAGAGGTTTGCAGCGACCGGTTTGCTCCAAGACATCTTTTGCCTTCATTTTTTGAATTAGATCTCCATTAATGAAGTTCGTTGTACTCTCAATGCATTTGGATTTTTTCCATCTGAAGCGTTCCTTGGGGAGTGTCTGAGAAAATTTGACTTGGATAACAATCGCCTCATTGATTTTGATGAGTTCAAGTTCATGTACGCCACTTTGATGAAAGATTCACCCAAGTTTGCGTCAGAAGAACTTCGCGAAGTTTTCAAGTAGGTGTCGATCGCGAATAATTGGAATTTCGTTTTTAAAGCACACTGGAAGTTATTGATAAGCGAAAATGCAATACAAAGGGATACCACGGCATGGGCTGTGACGAAGATGGTTTCATCTCGGACAAGGAAAACCCACTTTACTTTTCAAATTACCTCCCCACGGGAAGTGTACCTGTCCAAGACGTGATTAAGATGCTCACAATGAGTCAAGGTACTACGGAAGGGACGAATGAGTCCTCTGCAATTAGGTAAATTTTAATAACTATTTATTTACGCTCTCCTACAGCGAAGAAGAAGCCAAAGCGTTCTTGTTGCAGTTCACAGATGATACCGGGAGAGTTCAGACATCTGATATTGTTGCATTCCTGGCTGAAAGCGAATAAAGTTACTAAACAGATAAGATTTTCCCTAAACCAATTTATTAAAACATGCATCTTGTCGCAGAAAACTTAAGCCTAAATCTAGTTGCTATTTGTGCTAGCCTAAAGAATATCAGAAACAAATAATTTCATCATTTCGTCCAGTTCTTGTATGAATGATGTCGAGCTCGACGACGGTACAATCGATCAAGATCCAACGAGAAATCGTCGAGAGTTTCTATTCTTCCGAGAGCGGATTCTTGTTTGCTGATGTAAGCGCGTTTTTTTCGTACAACAGCATTATCTTTGTGAACCTTTGTAAATTCTTCCATCGCGCGCTAAAAATTTTAATGTATAATCGCTTAATTGTCTATCTGACCTGGGAAAGTCTATCATAGTTTGTCAGATAGATGGGTTCTATGGTGACTTTTCCTTTAATTCTTTCCATGTTGCGGCGGGCTTCCTGGCCATAGTGGGAGTCTTTCTCAAAATCGCGGCCGATGGCGATCGGGAAAACTAAAAATAAAGACATCAAATCAAGACGTATTCTTACCGTAATCGAATATATTCTGCACTTTGGAAAGGATTCTTCCAACATATTCTTGGTCTTCATCATCGCGAGGCTCACCATCAGTGATCACAAAAAGTGCTGTAACTGCGCGATCATTATTGTGTCTAATGAGTTCTGAGATGTGCTCAAGAGCATGATACGTCATTGTGCCACGTTCCATTTGCTTATCTTCAAGCTCCAAATGTATTTTTTCGATTATTTCTTCACGATTGCTGTTTGTGACTGGCTGTTGCACAATGTGGTCGATTGGATCCCCATCAGAAAATTGCACTACGGATAGCTGTTGTAAGTTCGTCAGTCGTCGTGTTATCTCTTGAACAGCGTTGCTGGCTTCTGCCCACTCATTCAGGCCGAAAACAGAGTCTTGTCCTCGAATTGAATCAGAACCATCAACAAGGAAGATAGCGTTCACCGGTACAGGAGTTTTGGTTTTCTCCATCTCGCATTTAGAGCATTTGACCAAAGGTCGAAGCCACTCCTTGATGTCCTCGTAATATTCTTGCAGATTAACAACACCATTTGGTCCGGGAAGTCCCTGAGGACCAGCTTTTCCATCATTGCCTTTGGGTCCAACAGGTCCTTGAGCACCATCTTGTCCATCATTACCTGGCGGACCAGCTGGTCCTTGCGGTCCAGGGTTTCCGCTAAGTCCAGGTTGTCCTGGTCGTCCAGGCTTTCCACGAGGTCCTTTTGGACCCTTTTCACCATCACGTCCATCGATTCCAGGTCTACCGACTTCGCCAGGTGGGCCTTTAGGACCTTGAAGGCCTTGTCTACCTTGTGCTCCAGGTGGACCTTTTGGTCCTCTCTGACCAAGTGCTCCAGGTTGTCCAGGCTGACCTGGCTGACCGCACTCTCCATTAGGACCAGGGTATCCTCTTTCACCAGCAGGTCCTTGTGGCCCTGGTTTACCAGGGCTTCCTGCTGATCCAGTTGGACCAGCGTTACCAGGTTCTCCAGGTTTTCCTGGGTGTCCATCGAAACCTCGTGGTCCATCCTGACCAGGTTCACCGGCTACACCACACTCTCCTTTTTCACCAGGCTCACACTTGCCAGGCTCTCCAGGTTTACCAGGTGGACCCTTGGGTCCTTCGACACCGTCTCTACCTGGATTACCGTCTCTTCCAGGTTTTCCTCGTCGCCCGTCTTCACCGTCTTCACCGTCTGGTCCCGCTAGACCATCATTTCCTGGTTGACCTTGAGGGCCCGGAGGGCCTCGTGGACCTTCAGTTCCAGCCCCAGATGCAGCATCTGGTCCAGCTGGTCCAGGAGGACCACGAGGGCCATCAGGTCCGGGCTCACCACGAGGTCCAGCAACACCATCGGCACCATCTCTTCCCGGTTGACCAGGAGGACCTTTCTCTCCTGTCAGACCTCGCTCTCCATCAGGACCATGCTGTCCGGGTTCTCCACGCTCACCATTTGGTCCATCAACACCGTCGTTGCCCGGTTGTCCTGCAGGACCTTGTTCACCTTGATCACCAGGAAGGCCGGTAAGCTTTTGAACTGGCACTGTACAGATGCATTCTGCTTCATCATCAACAAAGTCTCTTGGGCGAGGACCTCTAGCATCTGATTGACGTCTCTTTCGAGTAAGAGCATTCGTTTCGCGCTGAATAATTGGCCATGCTCGTCGAGTTCTTGCAAATTCCATTTCCATCTGGATGTTCGAAACCGACGACTGAATGGCAGGAAACTGATGCACAAGAGAATGGTAATCTGGAACAGTCTGAATATCAGTCTGTCCTTTTTGCACTTGCAACTCGGCAAGCAGGTCTGAAATCATTTCTGAGTCTATCTCGTTTCCAACGCCAACAGCAATGACGATGTCGTATAGCTCGTTGAAAGCCTTTCCCCCAGCATGGATGTTTTCAAAGGAATCAGATGTCGGCCATCCGTCAGTCACAAGCAAAAGAATGTTATACCGATCTTCTCGATAGTTTCTAAGAGCTGTGTACTCCTCAGAAACAATCTCACTCAAGGCTGTTCGAAGCGCAGTAGAACTAGCCATTTGCTTAATATCCATAATGGTATCTCTCCAGAATCGATCATCTTCTTCAACAAATGGTCCAAACTCTTGTCGAGACTCAGCAGAGAATTGCCTAACCGATATTTGAGAAGCTGGACTTTGAGCCCAGTAGCCAGTCATCCAGCCTTGAACAGCTTCCTTTGTATTTTGCCACTCATGTCTTTTGATCGAGTCCGATCCATCGACAAGGATTGTTATGTCGGCAAGTCGAAGTGGCGGCTCTGGTTCTGGCTCGGGTGCTTGCTGACAGCTTCCACCCTGGGCAGCAAGTTCAGTATTGATGAATACAGCGACTTTACGAGCAGAGTCAGGATTTGTCATTGCGAATGGTTCCATTTTTCGTCCGCTGGATGGAGCGGGATACCACCATCGCTGGAGGACTTCCCATCGAGGGCAAACATTTTGAATGTCGGCTTCTTCTTGAGCAGAACAACGATCTGTAATTGCAACAGGAATAACTCGAATTCCAGCAGTTCGCAGACGAGTAGCAAGCTCATCAACACGACTGATGTCTCCTTCGTTACTTGCCTTGTCAATGCCATTTGTAAGCAGAATGAGGTATTTGTCGTTTTCCGAGTGTTTTTGGCTTTGTCGGGCGCTGAAGACGCTAATGACATTATCTACCATACCGCTGTAGTCTGTGCTGCCTCCGAGCAATGGGTTGGTGTTGTTTGAGGAGATTTCGAGGAGATCATCGCGAGATAGCTCATTATCGTCGAACGAGAGAACGTTGTTCACTCGGCTGGAGAACGAGCCGACAGCAACCCGTGAGCTTTCCATTGTGATAACGTCATCAATGTTCAATTGTCTCTGATTTCGGATTTAGCTCTAGTTTTTTGTCAACTGACTCAAACCTTTAATTGTTTCGCAGCCCCAAAAGACCAGTTCCTGATGAGTTCCCATCGCTCTCCAGCATGGCAAACGGAGGAATCCATCATGATCATAACGTCGGCGTGACATTGGCTTGTGACGGGTTTGTCTTTGCACTCGCTCTCGCAGATGCACGTTGCTTCTATATGCTCTGCACGGGCAGTGTTGCCCAAAAGGGCAAACAATCCCCAAACTCTCATTTTTGTTAATGTTCGTCTTCGGGTTGCTTGAGCGTCGATACCCGGCAAGAGCAATAAATTCAAATCCAAATGATCATAATCCAAGCAGCTGTTCGTATAAAAATAAGTTTTATGGCGAACTTGGAGATCGGTACGCGAAAAATTTATTCGAGGTGTATTTACGACGAATGAGTGAGGCATTGGAAATATCTTGCGAGGGCGATTGAGGGTCTTTATTGACTAAAGAGGACGGCACAGGGAAGATTTACAGTTAGTTATCGGTGATCGGCAAAAACTTGAAATCGCATTCGCTGAGTGATTCGTATAAGAAGGAAGATGGCGATGAAAACTGAAAGCCCAGATAATACCATCGCTACCATCATCAATGTCACGTGAGTGGCTTAATGTCTTAATTAAAACTGACTCAACAATTCTATCCTACTGTCAACTGGAAGGAGTCGTTCACGAAAGGGAGTCGATCCAAGATACAACCCGTTCAAAAATACATTTGCCAAAAGCGCACCTAGAAAGAATCAGAATCATTTTCTTTAACAACCAACCGAGGGAGCATTTGATTAGACAATTTGCCTTCGCTTCTTTAAAATCGCAGCAAGATAGACAAAGGGGTAATGCAAACCAGGTACTAGAGAAACGCTAGTTATTAAACAAATTCAAAAGAGCAGATCGTACGCAAAAGTACCAATCAGAGCAGCTTCTCCAAGGTTAAGTTTGGTATGCTGATGTTCCTCTGGAAACTGTGAAAGAATAGTCAGGAAATGGACTAAAAATAAAATTACCATTCCGAAAAATGTCGCGACCAGTCCTCCTCCAACCCCACAGCCGATCGCTCCAAGGTTGGCAACAACTAGAAGCCAGGCTAACAGTGTTATCATCCTCTGTCCTATCATCTCTCTTTTTTCGTGTTGCAAACTATAGGGAAAGTTTCTGCTTCACTTTTGCGATGATTGTGGGGATCTTTCAAAAATGACCAGGGCTAAAAACTTAGTGATCCTGAAAATAGATTCAATCACCCATGAGATCATGAAGGAGCGCTCAAGAATTTATGTTTATTCAAAGTGACAGTATTCGCTTTTTTATGCGTTTATTTTGGGAGAGCTCTGATGATGATGAAGTTCACCTAATGAACTTATTTGAAATAATTCATCCCTTGTTTTAGTGCGGATGCTATAAAACTCCGTCGAATGGACGCAAGGCGGTATTTTCGGAACGGCTGATCTGACCTGATCCTCTTTGAATAATGCCGGTCACTACGTTCGATCCAACCGATTTGATGTAAAAAATATGGACCATTTGGACGAGTTTGATTTTTTCTCCGTATCTGCTCCATATCGAGCCAAGTTCCCAAAGAGAAAACTCAAAGGTACTCACTGAAACTTCCTATTTGAGAATCAATTTCATTCAGCTGCAATTTCTTTAATCTTTGGTGGAGCTGTTCTTGTTTACTTTATCCAAACTCATCATAATTTGGTATAAAGGGTTCAAATTTTGCAAATTGCAATGTACCATGGTCCATTGGTGCCATTTGAAGCAACTTTGCTTAATTTAAACCTTGTGAAAGATCTTTTCGGAAGATGTTTGGTTCATGATTCAGGGATGGGTCCTATCGTAAAAAAAAAATTAACTGAAGAAATTATGATCAACCATCAAAAGTTTTTTGAGCATCATTACATCTTGGCAACTGGATTAGTGGTTGGTGTAGTTGGCTCAGTTATAGTAGGATACTTTTGAATTATGATTTCGAACTTCAATGAACTTCAAGTGTATGATCGAGTGTGGAATACTCGCATACAGAGTTTGGAAAGAGTTTCACGGATTCTACAGCGAGCTTGACGATTGGCAGTGGGTAAGAGTAAAAAAGTGATCTGTCTTCGGGTGACAAGTTTGTAGGGTCGGAAGACGAGGCCTGGATCAACATCGGTGGCAGACGTTGTTATTAGTTCCAGATCACTGACTGCTTCAATCAAAAGAAAGCAATTTAAAGAAAGAAGCCTAAATGATTTCTGAATCAAATTTTCTCTCATTCATTATGCTGCAAATAAGTGACAACTCATCGAATATTTTACTTTATTTCATTTTGGTCAATAGAGAAGGACCGAATCAATCGACCACGATTGAAAAGTAAGGCACAGAAAAGTAGGACTTATAATACATGATAGGCCATTACACCTATAAAAGGAGTCGAACAGCTCATTTGTTAATTAAAAGGGAAATAAAGGGTCAAACATGCAATGATACGATTAAAAACTTTTGACAAACTAAATCACGTTTTCCATTTTTCAGAACTAAAAATTCGATTGAACTGTTAAATAAAAGTTTGATTGAGTGAAAAATTTAACTCAGCCACACTCTAGTTGAAATATTTAAACAATTTCCGTCAAAAAAAAGGCGTCATTATCTCTGAAAAATTTTAAGAATAATAAAAAAAAATATTGCGAAGTCGTAGGCTACAGTAGGCTACTTGTAGTTTTGGAACATATTAAGGAGTTGGAACTTCCAGAGCTGGCAAGAAGGTAATTCATTTTCTAATTTGAACTATTCGGCGATGACGTCGTTTTGGAAATCTGTATATCCGTTGGTTTGGGCAGAATAAAAGGCTCGTTGAGCATAGTCGGCAAGCCAAGCATCAGCGTTGTGTTTCCATTGGATTGTTGCGGAGCGCGTTTGCCCCAATGTGAGGCACGTTTTGTCTTTCGTATTTCGGAAAGACGAAACGACATTACTTAAAGGCTTCGTCAGATTTTGTTTGTTCGTGCATTTTACTCACCTTGCCTCACTTCAGTCATTGTGCAGTTGTACCATTTAGTCGTCTCGGAATGGAGCAGGTCCACTTTATGCTGGTCGAGATCCTTAATCGACTCCACAACTAGTTCATCCTCGTTGAAAAGACATCTGGCCAAAAGTCTAACTGCTTTTGAAAGATTCAATGTTCCTCGCTGCGCTTCTAAAAACGAACATTCTAATCCGGCGGGAATTATTTTCGGAACGATTAGAAATATATTTTTTCATCGAAATAGCTATTTTAAGGGTGCGATTTGTTGCCACGCGAAATAAATATTTCAGGATTACGCGGTGCTCATGCACTTAAAATAACTCAATTTGCGCCCGTATGCGGTAAGGTGTACCCACATGGGACCGGAAGCGACAATTTCGATTTGTTGCCAGCGACGGGCGAGTTTCTCAAAAATTAACGCCGCTTTTCTCCTCTCGGCGCAGATAATTATCCAAAAATGGAGAGAGGTCGACCCCGTGCCTAGCTCACAAGAAACAAGATAAATTTGTCGTATGGCTCATTTGCGGGGTGACCCTGATGGTCAAGTGTCGCATTCCAAGCATAACACCGACAGATATATCATTTTTTGGAGTTTAAATCTTCTACTTTATCATTTACTTCAAAATTCCAAGTCTATCTAAGCCGAGTAGAATTGAAGTGGCGACCCGAAGTGGCCTTGAGTCAGGAGTACGCTGTGAGCGCGTAGATATATCTGTCCCATTGAGACTTCCCCTTTGTGCGCGCAAAAAGGATTAAGGGCCTAGATTTCTTTGTGAAAAGCACAAAAGGGCCCATGCCAAAACTGGCTAATACCCCTTCAATGTCACATGTGTATGCTTACCTGTTCTCATCTTTTGAAGTGTTTGTAGGGTGCCCGTCTTTGCCGCTATCCGTTCGATCTGATCCATTCCCTCTTCCTCGTCCTCTTGCTTTATACATACACTTGTATCAATAGTTTCAATATCTTCATCCACAGTTCCCGTCGTTCCTCCCATTGCCGCTGCCATACTGGCTAGGGTCGCCCCAAAAGGCCCGTTCTGATCACTAAAACCAACTTGTTAAAAGCAAGTTTCTAGAGAGTAAAGTGAAGTGGCTATCATAATTGTAGCGTTGGATCGAAGAGTAGCTGGCCAGGCCGGGCAGATAAGCATGTGTTGAGTATGCCTAGAGCTGCATCTAGCCGCTCTTATCACCGATTTTGAGAGTAAATATTTTTCCTGGACCTGTTTCACCACTTGCGGGCGCCGCTAAGTCCTTGAGATCGAAGAGATCTCGACACTTTTGATTTTTAAAGGGTGTACCTGTCGAATCTTTCGATGGGAATGTCATTCGCTACAGCCACTTCACACGTGCAAACTCAATCAAATGATTACCTGAGATGATGGTTTTTTATTTCGACGAGTCTTTTGGATGCCTGATTCGCTAGTGCTGCAGCGTTCAACGAAAGATTCTTGATTGGTGTCGATTTTCGCCTAAAATGTCGGACATTAGATGACATTTGAGATGACAGTTGTCCCCCTAAAAGGTCGTTCGGGTGACGTTAAGACGGCATGAGGCACGGGTCAACTGGAAAAGGGTTGAGCGCCGTAAAAAATGAATTTGGCGAAGACATTGTGGGAGCGCGATTCTCGCCCTCAAAAATTCGCGGATAACGATATTGAAATTTGGGAAAGCTTTCACAGGGGGCGTTGGCTTCATTGGCCCTTTGCTCTGCGCGACGGTCACCTCGTTAGGCACCTTGTTCGCGTACTTAGCATCCGCCCAAATGAGGAAAGGGAAACTCATTTGCGCAGAGCTTCAAGACCCAAATTTCTTAATTCGTTTTTGGCGCTCGTTTGCGTCGAATTTATGTTCTTCTTTTGAAATCCAACGCTCCGAATTTGACCCTAGCGGTGAAGTGATAAGGAGATAAGCACTAGATCACCCGCTGTGGTGGATCCATCCCCCATAATCCCCACGTCGATGCTATGGTGGAGCTGGCCTGCCACCACCATTCGCCATCGGCAACCACAAAATACGGGAGACGCTGTAGGACTAATTCGCTTCGAAGGCAGTCCGTTTCGGATTAAAATCCGCACGCTCGCGCGGCTTGTAGCGCAATCACTTTGGATGCACCGTCTGCCGATTTCGAATGGGATTAAACCGCCCTGCCAACCAATCTCGAATATAATTCCACATGGCCATCACTGATTTGTGAAATTTTCAAGTTTAATGTTGTCGCGAGTTCGATAGCACTCGACCCCATTCAGATTGGTAAAGCATCATGCTGAAGAGGCCCCTCTTCTGCCGAAATGGACGGACTTCATGGCGGAATGCCAAAACTAAGGCCATAAACTGACCGGCCGACACTTTGACATTGCCCTGCTGGGCATCTCCTTATATCCTTAGCCCCCAGTCGCCGTTCTTGGTCACGTGCCAAACAAGGGCTCCGACCCTTGAGTTTCCCTCCATTTGATTTTACGAGATTCATTAATGCTTTCCTATAAAAATCGTTGATGAAAATTCCAGGAGAAAACTTGATTTTTGCTGTTGACATTTTCAACTTGACATACTGATTCGCTAGTATGTATAGCACATATTTATGTAACATGAATACTAATCATTAAAATTTATTTTTTATTAGCTGCAAGTTTCTGCTGATAAATAAAATATATTTAATAAGAAGGGATTTAAATGTGCGAAATTCGGTGGTGTTTTACCGGTTGATACGCGCGGTTGTTTTACATGCCCTTGAAATAGGTGCCAGTTAGCTGTCGGATGGCACTCGACATGAAAGGGCCGCCAAACTGCAACTGAGCTTTCGTTTCAAAACAAAAGCCTGCCAAAGCATAACTTTAATTTAGAAGAAGGGGACGTCTTTCTGAGTGTCTTTTCATTACTGAGAATCGGTTCAAATTTATCATCTTGCTAGTCATTTTCCCTGCGTCACAATTTTGGTCATCAATAGAGGGGGCTTTGAGACTTCGATTAAAATGCACTTTACAAACCTTATCTTTGCTGGCTTCTCACCGAGCGCCTGGGACGTTGACATGTTGATTTGCTTGAGAACATCTTGCAGTTTCGCCGGGTGGTTGCTCATCGGCTCGTCACCGGATGAGCTCGACGTGATTGAATTGTTTGGCTCGACTACCGACAACGTCGAGTTTGGCGCTAGGAGTCCCTTTTGCATCGCTGCTTGGAGTAGAGTCTGCAGCGAAGGACTGATTGCTTCGGAGCTTGGAAGGCTAATCTCATTTTCGTCCTAAACTGGATAAAACATGGCAATATGGGAACAAAAACATGTGTTTTCTAATAACTTGAAGCTCGTCTTAACAACAAATTATACTCAGTAAAATCGTTGATAATGTTGAGCATAGATATTTCATTTAGAATAGACTTTCTAAACGAAAAGAAAACCAAACTAGCATTATGTATAGCTTCAAGCGGAGTTCTCCGACGAAAAGTTAAACTGTGGGTGAAATTGAGCTGAAAGAAAATTATGGGCGCAATTACCCTTAGATGGAAAGTAAGCTCCATCTTTATTCTGGACACGGTTTGACTCAGAGACTTCAGATCATGAACTGACTGCTACAACTTACCTTGATGCGCTGAATGCGTTCAAGAAGCTCACTCTTCTGAGCAGTGAGTAGTTGCGATGTGGTGGAGCCGCTCACGTGATTGGTGGTGCCGTTTTCGAATGTGGCGGCGGCGGAGGCCTCCTCCGCTGCATCTGCCGTGGAGCTCTGCCAAAAGAGAGAAACCTTAAGACGCGTAAGGGATTTGTTATTTCCCGCGAAATTCGAATTTCACGCCGTGAAAATTATGTTTCCGGAGAAAGAAATCTGCGCTTGTGCCAAATTCAAGGGGCACCATTATTATCCTAGTGTTTATATCAAAAGATATTACCACCTTGGACAAATTGATTTAGCATCGTTTGATAAGTAGGAATAATATCTATTTGGCTATATGTTATTCGTCTTCTAACGAACAGGAAAAGTCAATAAACATCAACGAGCCGGCGCGTATGGGGAAATATGGGCGTGCTGCTTGTGTTACAAAAAGCAAGCAAAGACAGATCGCATGAATAATGACCATTACAGATCATCGGTAAATGTCTTACTTGGACGCCTGTGTTGTTCACCAAGATCGACCACTTGGGCAATTGCAAGTCTTCCCTCTTCGCGATCTGTTGGAAAGCCAAGCTCTTCCAGAAAGCAAGTGGAATCGTGTCCATAATTTCTTGAATATCCATGATTTCTTCAGAGTAGATGGCTTCTTGTTTAAATCTCTGTAAGAGTTATTGTATGCTCTTGAATTTTAAACGTCAAAGTCTTTGGAGATATTGAGTTTATGAAAAAGTCTAGCTGGAATACAATCTAGGTGCAGTTGCAAGGGTTCGGTGGTTCTTTCAGATTTCTCTGCCCAAGGTTGCTGTGGCGTGTGTTATCGATCTCTTCGCTGCTCGCCCCTTATGAGCCAACTGAGCCATATAACGTCGCTAGTAGGCCACTAGCCCCACTGGCGCTTGGGTCCCCCATCGCAAGATTACTCTAGGGCGGCCCTATGTTACCATACCGGGCACCCTTCCCCCATTTTGAGTGGCTAGGTGTTGTAAATTTAAACTTAGCCAGGGCCCTTTTGGCTTTATGGCCCTATTTTAGTCTAGTGTGGTATCATACTTATTCTCCTATGGTGGGACGGTGTAGTAGCCTCGGGTGGCTTGGTGGAGAAGCCACCTCACCAAGCTGGACGAGCTCGGAAAGCTCGATAGCGCCCGCCGAGCCGAGGCGCTAGAATTGTCGTGCACTTGAAATAGCGGGCTCACCCTAGCGAGAGCCCGAGCTCGGCTCAATGCTCTGCCTGAAATAAAAATAGCGCACCGGCTTTTGGTAGCACTTCTAAATTAAAATTCAAATCAGCAAGCACGGGTCAAGTTCAACGCGAGTTTTATGGGGATGATTGTCAGCATGGCCGCAATCGTTAAACATCGCTCGCCGCCAGGAAACAAAAACCAAAAGCAACAAACGAGCTTTCGACCATAAATATCATCACTAACCACGTTCTTAATTTGGTTTCGGAGAGTTGAGACACGCGACCTTCTCACCGCCGATGTTGGCGCTCACTTAACCCCTTGATGCACAAGGCGACATGGGGTGGCTAGAAATGTCAAGACTCGTGCAGCTGCCGCTGCTGATGGGTTAAGCCAAAGGCCATGACTTTCGCCAGTCGCGTACACGCCAGTTCTAATCCATGCAGCTCGCGGTAACCAGCTCTCAACTTCTAACTGGAGCAACAAAAAATCGCGGCCAAACTTAATCCGCCATAAATATAGAGTCCGGAATCGAGCGCGCGCCCTTGAAGTTGAATGGGTCGGGATTTTATGGCCGAGAATGCGGCTTACCACTCCTGACCTTCAAGGGCTATTTAAAACTTTTCGAAACCACCAAAGACGGATATGCCCGGGCGAGCAGTGACCCTATCCTTCTTGTGGGTGCTCCACTTAATTTCCTCAAAGACCATCTTGCGTGAAAAATATCTCCAAAAATTCTTGTAATCTCAACGTTTTTCATAGAAAATATCTTTTAATTAAGATTGATTCGGCGGCGGCAAACGAGTTGCTCCCACTTACGACTAACCTTGAGCGGCGGTGAGATTGTTTTAAAATATTTGGGAAGAAGATATTCTTGACTGTGCGATTTCAAACATAGTGAGAAATAAATTGCCGCTGTATCTTTCTCGTACTTTTCTGGCAAATGAAATTAGTTATCAAAAAATTGATCACGGCCCATTGATTAATAAAGAATAAACTATTACCAGAAGGGCAATCAGCATTTTCATTAACTTAGATTCGAACTCGCGGGAATACAAAAGTTAAATTTTAAAGAAGTTTTCAAAATTGAAACACTTTGAAATTATGACGTCAGCCATTATTCTCTAACCAAGAATAAGGAAAGGCAATGCGGAAGTGTTGTCTTTTTCTATAGACGAGTGAATTGGACGGGTCAGCTAAACCTTCTGAATTAGTCCCACTCGTCATCGTCGTTTGTCAACACCTTCACTCACTGTCAAGCTCTGCTAGGGTATCACCACGTGTTTCTTGAGTATTCAATAAACAACAAGGTCCCTCTTTAAGAGACTTCATGTCTCGTTACCTATGAGATATTTCTTTGAAAAGTGTTCGGAAAGTGCCAAGTAAATTGACAAAGCCTTAATGAAAAATATAGCTTTGCGATTTGCACTTTAAGGTTTCTAAGTTTGGAATCGTCAACACCCGCAATCACAGACTGTATACCCGACTAGTAGTCTTCCGGTGTTGATTTACGCTTCGTGGAAGCGTTTGCGCTTCTCGTTTGCGCAGACCGCAAATGATTAGCAATTTGCAAGTTAAGGTGTTGAGAATCAGACGTAAAAGAATTTCCCTGCTTTCCAGATAAACTAATTGACGCTAGAATCGACGCCATAAATCAAGACCAGCGAAGTGCAAGATTTGCTAAATTGCCCTCCCGGAAAGATATTACTCGAGACAGACTGATAATGAGCTGGTTAGTTCGCTTCTTAAAATACAGAGAAAATGGACAACAGTGATGAAAATGAATCTAGGAGACTCAGCCAGAGAGACCAAAAGGATAATTTCGAAGAAATTCTTTTGGACGAAAAAATTTGCTTTCAGGTCGGTGTGGACCCTTGTATAACCCACTGAGAAAATTCCCTTTTAGACTTTATAGTAGTACTGACAGTTGTATCGATACCGTTTATTTTTTGTAGTGAATATTTAATTTGAGCAATGGGTGTTTTCATAGCTAAAGCCCGTTTTTTCTTCTGAAAGAATTTCTTTGAAATTGTCCAAGGTGCTTGCAACTCTTTACGACAGTAGGAGATTAGACTGGAATGACCCGATCGAAATCAAACGCTCGGTAAGCTTGCTTTTTAACGCAAATGCTTATTTTTAGATGATTTCAAAACCTCTCAAATTTCTATCAGGATAGGCTAATTGCTTTCGAATATAGCAACTTTTTTTTCAAAAAAAAAAAAATCGCAAGCTCTCAAAAGATCCATTCGTGCGTCCCTCTATATGCGTTCTTATATTCAGGGACAGCTTTCGCTTTGCTCTATAAAACTTGATTGAAGCTTTTCTAAAATAGCGAAAGCGTGCTTTTGTTTATCAGTGCATGCTGCTTTAGTCTTCTGTCAACTGCGAGCTTTGAGAATTTGTTTCAAGGGTTGGAATCTACTATCGCGGCTTGACTCACATTTCAACCCTTCTACAGCTACTCTCTCAGAATTTACCGGTGCCTAAGAAGTCCAGCAGTGTCACACTTTTGATTTTTCTGAGGTTTTCTTGCGATTTCAAGCGATTGGTTTCACGAATTTAAGTTTTTTACTTTTGGCTGGCGGCGTTGGTGGAGCCATCAAAGGATTACAAACGAGAATTACTCTCGAACGGCGAAAAATGTTGATCAACTCATACTTGCTAAGGTAATAAAAGTAATTCGTCGTCTGAATTTTCTATTTCCGTGTAAAGCTCCAGTACTCCAGCCATGACGCTTTCAATCATTCTTTGATTGCGTCTGCCTTGAAAGTTATCATCATACTAAAGTTCAGACAAGTTATAATATTCTAGCAACAACCATCGAATACTCCGTCGAACTGCACTGACACCGGCTGAATTTGGTGACTTTGTCTGACAATGTCTGTAACTACGAAAACCGGGCAAGTTGCATCAGAAGAAATGTACATTTTCCTTCAAAAGAGCCGTTTTGGTCGTGCAATACCTTTCGACTTTGTTTACTGAAGAACAAGCGGCTCATTATAATAAAAAATGTTTATTTTTCAGTATTCAATCAGTGAGTTTCAGCTGATTATGATCATCTACAGGAGGATGCATGTTTATTCCCTTAGTATTGAAGTTACAGGTTAGGGTCGCAAGATGGCATGTCGAGTTGTTGGACTGATCAAAGTCGATAAATCATACGGAGATGGTGATGGGACTAGCAATTTTGTTTGTTTATGCTGTTGATGTTTGAGATTGTTGTCGTGGATGTGTTCCGGTATTCTAACTTGAGTAACCTAAGCGGCGGCTGAACTCGGATCGACAAAAGTGTCATTTTTATAATGAGATGATAAAATGCCAATAGTTTGAGATCCTTTCCTTCTCCCATGTCGACATAGTCGGCCGGGAAGAGTCCTTCAGTGCCATCTTGTTTGCGCCCTTTGCACCAACCTTCTTCGTCTGGCTCGCCAAGAACGTAGATCATTTCTCCCTCTGTCAGCTCGAGCTCATCATCGTCCTGTTTGGTCCATGGATGTTTTACCATGGCCGTATATTCCCCGCCGGCTACAAAACGAGTCTCTATCAGTTCTTATATTTGCAAAAGACTCACTATCGGCTATTTGTACTTGTGGCTCTGGTTCCGACTCGGGCTCGCTATCGTAGCCTGAAACAATTAAATACTCGCTGCGAAATTCAAACTTACTGGGACTCTTCTGCGGTGGAGGCGAGTCGTACTGGGCAGACTGATTGTAAACGCCTTCTGTACCAGCTGCTACGTTTCCTGAAGCACTCGATCCAGACAATTTCTGTGCCTGCGCCAACTCATCGTACGGCTGATACTCCGGCCACACCATATTAACCGCGTTATTTGGCCCCATGGTGTTGTTGTATCTAAGGTATTCCTTGTTGATTGCAACACAAAAAAGAACATTACATTTGGAGGTTTTGAGTGATGTCAATGGACTGCGCAGACTCTGCCACGCTTTCGAGGGTGTCTATAACATTGAATTTTTCTGATTCAGCGCCCTTTTCTTTTGCCTTGAGTTCGAATACCATGTTTTCGTTCTTTTCAAGTCCCAGGGCCTCATTAAAATTGCCAATGAGCTCGCTAAATTCAGTCAGATTTTCTGGTATTTAGATTTGGCGGACCTGGTCTTTTGTAAACGCTGCTTTTCAAACTCCATGGCGGCTTCAAAGGCCTCATTCATTCTTCTCACATAATTGTCCTTTTCGTCAACTAGTTCTTGTGATGACGTCTTAAACATAATTCGAGTATTGTTCAAGATAATGTCAAGAAATTAACTTGTCATATTTAACTGTTTGGAAAAACCGTTGCTTACCCTGTAATGCTGGTCTTTGGCCTGCAAATCCGCGGATTTTGTCTGCAAATCGTTTTCCAACTTCGCCGCCTTTTGGTCATTTTGTTCAAGTTTGGCTTGATCATGTTGTTGACGAGCAGTTTTCTCTGCTTGCGTCGCCTGATGAATTTATGTTTTCTGATGAGATGAGAAAATCAAAGTTTGCATGGTGTAATGATGGATTATCGGAATGTTGGCATACCTTGTAAAACTGGTCTCGCAGTTGAACATTCTTTTTGTACATCTTTTCCCATGAATCTTGAGCTTGTTTAAACTTTTTCGTTTGCTCTTTTTGGGCATTTGATGGCCCGAAAAAGGACTTTTTCCAAGTATCCTCCTTCCACGTCTTGGCTGGTTGGGAACATTTTTCATTGATTTCAGCGGCGATCGCCCTCAAAATTTGTATCATTCATTATTTTTGACAATGATTTATTATGCACATATTTTTAAGCATGCAGCGGCTTTGATCGAATTTTAATTATGCATTTTGGAAGTATTTAATCTTCTCTAAATTGTTTACAGTGCTTCGTAAATGCAAAGAAAATTTCCACAGGATTCTTTCCGTTTAAAATACCTGTGATGAGCGGCGGCACAGCGAGCAATTTTGATCTGTTCCAGCATTACTTGCTTAACTGGATCGTATTCCACAATTTTGCTGATTTTAGCTTCATGCGTGCTAGCATACTTTTCGAACTCCTTGGCAGTTTTCATCTGGAGCTTCTGCATGGCATCCATCATATTGAAAAGATGGCCGGCAGCTTTCATGCCATCATCGATCTGTTTGGCGGCTGGATTGTGTCCGCCGATCTACGAAATCGTAAATAAAGCCAACTAGATTTCTGTAAAAAATTCTCATTTGATTTTTCTAGAAAAGCAATCATTTAAGAAAACGACTACTGTCTGCTGTGGCAACAGTGATGTCAGCTGATACTGACATATCGTCGTGGATAAAAAAGTCACATCAGAACGTATTCTTTAGAAATTATTTACACTATTACGAGTTATTTACATCGTAAAACGCCGGTTGTGTTTTTTCTTTCTTTGGCATCTTTGCATCCACCTATCTGCTCTCTGGGTTTGTGAATTCTAGTGGCCAGAAGACTCCTTGTTGTTGGCGGTGCAATTGGCGCTTTGAATCGGCGAGTGTCAGAAGTGCCCGTTATTTCTAAACAAAACTTTCTTCTCTTCCTGATGAATGCGTAACTCGCGGCTTTTAGGTGTGTGCCTCGCTTTTTGTTGGGCACAAAAGCTAAAAGCGTTGCGCGAAATTCAAGTACTAACGAGTGGACGATCTACTAAATCCCGCACAGGAATGCTAACTTTCTTTTCTCTGTTTGCTTTGAAAAGAACATTTGGCCCATTCCAGACGCGCGGGAGTGCCACGCGGTTAGCTAACGCACTTACCAGAAATGGGTGTTTTTCTTTTTAAAAATTTCTCTCTGCCGATAACGGCTCTTTATGCAAACAGCATATATTAAGTCAATTTAGAGAAAAAGAATTTAAGAGAGGTGAATCGCAGTGTCAAGCCTTCTATTTGCCAACTCTTTCCGACTTGCCAAATTTTTCTGTTTGCCCAGAGCGTCATAACTGTACGCGTAGAATACTGCACCAGCAAAAATAGCTAACGGATTGTAGACTTGGACTGAGTTTTTATTTGCTAGGACGAAATTCCTATAATCTATTTTCTCATCTGCGCGCATGAGGCCGAATTCCCCTGTCAGTATTAATCGAAAGTAAACCCATCTGTACGATATCTGTAATCTTTCCAAGTTTTACAATGAAAATTATTTTGCTTTGTAAAAACTAACGTTATTCATCACTCAAAGTTGATTATCAACTGTTAATACGCAAATTAAATTCGCGGGAATAATCATATTTTCAAATGTATTCACAAAAATGTACAGAGAGATATACAAAAGAACAGGGTCGCGGTCGGCTGGTGTTTTAGCAGGTGTTTATGTTTGTTGAGTTTTGGGCATATCGTGAAGACTTAATTTGTTCGAGCACTTCTAGCACTTGACCTTTATTGTCCGTTTTATCGTCTTGAGATTTCGTACTTGGCGCACTTTGCTTGGCTTCCTCTTCTCCGTAGCTCTTGCTGAACGCCTCCGAGTGCTGATTGCGGGAGCCCATGCACATTCCCCATTAGCGCTGCAGTCGCACATCATTCCTGAGTAAAATCGTAACATTTGTTTTTAAATTTGTCTTTTACCCTCCGCTAGAGCGGCCGGTTGTCGAGAGCAGTTCTCGAGCTGACATTTGGTTCCTACTTCGTAGAAAAGTCCATCTTTGAGAGGAGAGTTGCAAGTGACGTCTGGGAACTTTGCCGAGAAATAGTGTCTCGGATGCTCGCAATGAAACCGTCCTAAACATCGTTTTAAATCTCTTTGAATCTAAAGGTACTTACGAATGCAAAAAGCGTCGATGATCGGCACTTTCTTGATTCCCCATAAGCAGTTGCTTCCTTTACAAAAGCACTTTGTCTCGAGTCGTGATGAGAACGTTTGTTTCTTTCGTTGGTAATTAGCAGTTGAGCAGCGCCCATGACAGTTGGCGTTCTTTGTCCTTGAGCTGCACTTGGAAAAATCCGGAAGAATGTCTGATAAAGTTCTTTTATCATTCATAACGATGTGTATCGAAAATCAAACATAAAAAAATAATTGAAAGAACTTTCCTTCGTTAAATTGAGTAACTTGATCGAGAATATTTGGACATGCAGGTTTGCAGGAGCAATCATTCTGAATTCAATAAATTAGTTTCATAAAGAAGAAAGAACGAAAACCTCTTTATTATTCGTCCATTCTCCATCGATGCAATCGAAGCTCGCTTCTTTCTTGGTAGAAACACACATCGCTACCATATTTGATGGGCAGGAAATCTTACACGAGCTTCCCTCTGTAACGGTTTCTACAAGAATCTCTCTTTTAGAAATAGGAAAAATTATTATTATTGAGTTTCTTCTAAACCGTTGCTTTGTCCCCGTCGGTGCACGAGTATTTTGCGTTTCTATTCAGCCACATTGGTGGAATTGCAACTAGTTTTCCACACGTAGCAGCTCTTTTCTATAGACCGAGATAAGATCATTAAATCTAGCGCATTTTAACCTTGCAAAAACAAGCACTATTATGTGGGCGACTCCAGAGGCCGCCAAAACATTGCGCACTTTCAGCTCCATCTTTGTTACAAACAAGCTCGAAGTTTGTTGGATTGTTGCACGAGGCACTGCAGCTGCTCGCTGAACACGACCATTTGCCATCAGGAATTCGTGGAAGATCCGACAATTGACAGCTCTTTTTGGTTGTTGTTGTAGTCCTCGTGGTAGTTGTAGTCGCTGTAGTTGTTGATTCCTAGGTTTATTTAGTTAATTCAAAACAAACTATCAATACGATCACCTTAAATATCGACGCTGCAAAAAAATTTGCGGTTTCCGAATCGACTTCGTCTTTGACGCTCGCTACTTTATCATCAATGCAGTTCAACGTCATTGTATCTTTTCCTCCTTTAGTCCAGCTATAATACCAAAAAAGAGCTTCATCAGGACACTGGCCGTCCCATTTGGCGTGATAGTAGAAGCTGGGCTGACCGAGGGTTTGCGCGAATCCCCAGTAGTGGAAAAATGAAAATAAATACTTACCGTCTGTTTCTGAATAGAAATAATCTTTGCCTTTATACTGACCTGCTCGGGAATACGCATGTGTTCGCCCGTTCAGAGTTATCTCGAAGTTGGAACAGCATCCCCAGTCACAACTTTCTTCGTCAGACTCATCTTAAAATCATATTACTGCATCACGTTCCCTGGACAACGAAGATGATTATTATTACGAATTTTCATTGCGAGAACGTGTGTTTCCGCATTACAAGTCTTTTTAAAATATTCAAGTAAAATCGGCTGAAACATTCCGCGGTCAAAGTAACTTCAAAGTCTTCTCTTTAGAGTTCGTTCATGGTCAATTTATGTGGACATACCTTCGCAGTCGATGATGCCATCGCAGAATCGGTGTTTGAAGACTTCTTGGCCATTTTTGCACTGGCGCATCTCGTGCCCGCAATGTTCTGGACAACCGTAAATGTGACAAACCTGTGAAATGTCCAGAGTCGATGGCCGATTTCGCTGTGCCCGAACCGCCTCTCCATTGTCCCTCCTCGTCATCGTCGGCTTCGATCCAGCTGCAAAATTCGCCGACGAGTAGTGCATGACGGATAGAAAATCGTATGGAGAGCCAGTATTTTCCCAGTCGCCGTCGCCGAGAATCTGGAAGTTCCATTTCTTCGTCGGTGCTATGTTTTCCCAGTGTACCTTAATATTGTTAGCTTCTTGTTTGAGCTCCTGATTGATAAATGAATCCTAAATGTTACCTCAATATGTTCATCTCTGTCAGGCCTATTTTGCTCATGATCAAATCCAAGTGCATGCAGAAATTCGTGTAGAGCCAGTCCTCTCGTGTGGCAAAGCGTGCCAAGAGAGATGTCCTGAGGATTGTCGCCAGTCATGCCTATGTAAGACCAACAGCCGTTTCCGTCTATGATTCTTATTTTTTCCTCGTACTGCTTGTCGAATCGGTCGACTTCTTCGATCTTGATACAGAAGTTGGTCTCTTTGTTGAACCACTCAACGTGCGAGGCGATTTCTTTTCGGATTTCTCGAGAGCCTAAAAAGAGCCTTTTAATTCTTTGATATTGCAATTTTGTATGTGTATGTAAGGACATCTTCGTTGGACTTCCGGGCTTACTGACTTAACGTCAACGGAACTGCTCATTATTATTTTAGATATATCTACGAAAATTGACATTGAAATCACTAACTTCCGTGTAAATTTTACACTGTAAATATAGTTGAACGAGTTAGTTCATGAACTCGAACTACAACCGTCGAAATTTATTTTTGTTCCAAGCCTCAAGCTTTTGTTGTAGTAGAACAACCTCTTATCGCTTATACACTTGGTTATTATAAATAAGTTATTTAAAATAACCCTTCCGGATTGTTTGAAACGAACATGACCGCAACACAATTATCAATTTCGTAAACACTGCCACTTCAAAAACATGCATTTCTACTCGGATTTCTTACCAGGGAAACTAGCTGAAAAATAGAAGGGAACAATATATGAACCGTTCTTCTTATACTTCGTCCAACGACTTTTCACCATTTTCGAGTTGACGGCGACAATTGCCGCGCGATCTCCAACTCTGCGGCCGGTGGCTGCGCTGGTACTGATCGCAGCGCTAGTGCCTCCTGAGCGAGTTATACCAAACCGAGCCGCCACTTCTAAGTTCGTCGGCAACACTCGGTAAGATGGAATGTTATAACCAGCTTTACGCAGCGACTTTGCCTGGAAGCGAGAGAAAACGATGTCGTCGCCAATATGTTCGTCGTCGCTAGCAATTTATTTTAGAAAATCTTCAATTAGTGTTCGACTTACATTTTGATGGTTTCGACCTCACTGACATTGAACGTAGGTGTCATTTCGAAAGGACCCATGGCTAAAAGAGCGGTTTCAAGCGAGTGACAGATAATTGCTCGCTCAGAACTTAGATTCATAGATAGTCTAAGTTGTATTTGATTTTTACGGTCCATTACTAGCAATCAGTGACAAGGAAGTGATTAATGAGCGGTTAGAAGGCATATATGCGATTTATTAAGGAATTAAAATGTTCAATCTCCGTGAAACTCGTTAACTATTTACCGACTGGGTTGAACTGAACTTCAGACGCAGGGTCGAAAACGACGAATTCGAACTCGATCTCGCGAACAGGACTTTCTTGGGCAGACAGGGAGGGGGTCTGCTCGATCTCTCCGGGCATCAAATTGAACATCATCTGATGCTTTTATTGGGATAACTATTTTAAAGATATCGACTTGAAATTTGAGAGCTAATAAAAGATTGCCGCCTGGCCAGTCCCTTTCGCAAAAGTTCAAACATAATAGACTCGCCGATTGTAATGGGGAAATAATGGCTTCTCATGATCTCATTGGATTTCTTGAGTTCCAGATTTTGGAAGGCCAGTCGTGTTTAAGGGCGCCTTCTAACGAGCAAGAAGTAGGTTGTTATCCGAGCCTGTAAGTCGAAGGTGTCTTTGTTTTGATCAACGTCGGCTTGAACGCATTTCATTGGCGTGTATCTTCGTCGTGGCATCCAGCGGCATCTGTCGCGCGGAACGTCCCCCGCCGCTCTAAAATGCAAAGGTCACATGTGAGGTCATTCGGGGTCACTCCGCTCGATATCATGGTGCTAATAGAGAAGCCCCTATTATGCGCCCGCTTTTTAGCTATTTCCGCCAATAAAACGGTATTTAACCGAGTACCAAAAATCTTTTTATAAAGCTGACAAAAAAGGTTAACAAAATGCGATAAGAACTTTCCAAGTTCAAAAAAGTCCGATCAACTTTTTGAGAAAAAACAGAGTGATAGAAATGACTAAGTAATGGCACAGCGGGTGACGCTAGACGATAACCTCTTATCGCTAATTAAGCCTGTTCTAGATGAGTTTGAACGGGAATTCAGAGTTTCTTTGGCTGTCCAAGTTTGGAGACACGTGGACTGTTCATTACAAATTCACATTCAATGGCTCATCTAATTGACTTCATTAAACCAAATAAATTACCTATAGCAGCTGCAGACGATTTCCGGATCAGTTGGCCGCATGTTTTTCGGACAAGAAACTAAAAAGAAGGTCAAATTCCATCACCAGATCTACTCGCTGCGTCTAATTTTTGGACAGATACTGTTTTAATATAAATATGCGTTATTTTGGGTGTATGATATCTTCACGTTCCATTTGAGCATTCGCGCGAAATTATCTTTCAGAGAGCCTCATTGATAAGGACTTTTGAAGGGCGCAAGTAAAAGAAAGAAATCAACTGATTAGGACCAGCCTTTTAAATTTCGGGAGTAAATTTCGAACAGCGATGAATATTATCTAGCTTGTACAGCCTGTAACAGCAAACGTGCGCTGTGAATTTGAGGCGCGAATTAGATTGATCAAACGAGATTATCCGTTCATTACTTCCGTCTACGATCATGTTTACTGGCTTGCCCTTGGCACGAAGAGATAGGTGAACTTGGATCGGGTTCCATTCTCAACTTACGCCTTTTCTACTCCTTGTAGATTAGCTTCCATAACACCTTATTCTAACATACCCCACCCCCAAATTTTCGCGCATTCCTCGGTGCATTTTCCGTAATTTACTCTTCCTGATTTGTTCAAAACCCCCCAAATTTACGCCGCTTTACTTTTCCGCGCGCCTCAAAATTTCCTCTCCTAACTTTTCCGCGTGCGCCCTAATTTACGCTCGCGGCGCTAATTGGCTTCGTCGGTTACTTTTCTGAGTGCGCAAAAGTCTTGTTTTGCTCGCTCCGGGCAAAGAAAGGATGATCTTTTATAAAAAGCCAGACTCCCTTATAGGGCAGCCCTATCTTATGTTATCTTTGATAAAATTATTGCTTATTGTTACAGTGAAGTTTATAAATATTTGATAGAACGTTATGCTAGTGCGATAGATGAAAATTTTTATGTGTCCAAGCCACGAAAAATTTCCAATTCTAGCGCCTCGAGTACCTGAAAAAGACTGAAATCCTTTGGTTAGATTTGACGCTATGATTGCATAACGCGCCCGTTAATGAATCATTAGCGTTGACGAGCATTTCAGCGGGTCGCGAGTAAATTTGGGCGCACGCGGAAAAGTTAGGAGAAGAAATTTGGAAACGCGGGGAAACGCGAGGAAGCGTAAATTTCGGGTGTTTCGGAAAAGTTAGGAAACGTAAACTTGGGCGAAATACCACGAATTGCGCGGAAATTTAGGGGGGGGGTATGTTATCAAGATTATAGAGAGCGCCCTTACAATAATGTTGAGCTTTTGGAAGAAAAACATACCTCTGCATTTTGTTTTGTCTGGATAAAGTGAACTCTCGGTTTGCTCAGCGTCGCAAATAAAAGACATGGAGTTTCTTGTCTCATAGCTCCGCAAAAGCTTCGTCGAGCTTTCTTGTTCTCCCCAGTCGAGTCTATTTCGGCTTTTCTATTACAGCTCTTTTTAAAATATTCCGTAGATCTAATCTATTCATAGCAATATAAAAGCCACGCCTGTACCATTCTTCAGGAAGATTACAACCTGCGTTCGATCTGTCTGTGATGCGACTCTCTGCGAAGGCTATGCAGAGCAGTAGCTGCCACATCATAAACAAAAGGACTTCTCCAGTTTAATCGGCAATCTCTCTGTCTTCTGGATCTGGTTATTCGGATTATTTACTGTCACTGATGAGGTTCAGTAATATCTCCTCTCCTTTCTCGATGGAAGAAAACCCTCTGCAAAAAATATCGAAGAGCGCGGAGGAAGAGCGTGACAGTCGCGCCACTCTGATGGCGCCAACGAGCCCCGCGCGCCTTCCCGATTTCACGATTTCATTTTAACGCGATCAGCTGGTAATATTAAAATACTATCTCGTAAAAATGAGCATTGCCTAACGTTAGAACTATCCTAAATGAGATCAATTTAGACGCGTATCGAATAGTTCACTTTAGAATCTCTCCTCTAGACGACGATTATCGAGTCCCAATTCTTTTTCCCAACGAAAAGTGTAAATTCTCGTAATTTTGTTTATTTATTGTTATTTCTCATAATTTATTATAGTTGGAGATTTGCACCTTGCAGTTTCAAAATAGCTCTTCTATGTCGGGAGTTGCTGTTGCTGCGAATTCTGTCACCTTTACATCATTGAACTGATCTCCGGAGTCGAAAAAGCTTTCGGAAGTTTAATTTTTTTCTTTATCTTTTTCACTCTTGGCTTGAACAAATACTTGCGCATTTTTCCACCACCAGTTGTATCAATCTGAACAGAATGGACTCTCCAGTCATCGCGCCCGTTCTTTTTCAAACGAACTGCATTTATTGTTCCTAAAATCTTTTCATTATCTGCGTGTTACAGCTTATTATTACTAATGAGTCAAATTATATTGATGGATTAGGTACCTAAGTCCGTGAAATAAAGCTTGAACTTGTCAGTATTGCCTCTCTCGAAGTCGTTTTTGTAGGGATTGTCTAGCTTCGTCCATCCGGTCTGAACATCCGCCTAACTCGCGAAGTGTAAATACGAATTACCTGTGCTGACTCGCCAATAATATCGATAAAAACATCATCGTCGGTGCCGGAGAAGATCTTGGTCGAGGTTCGTACTGAATGGTTAAATTTGTACCGCTCATCAGTTGAAGGATGATCTCATTAGGAGTTTAGAAAAATGTGAGAAGTGAACTCGAATATTTCTCTCAGGCGTGGTATCGTTACCGTGAATGGTGAATTCATGAAAAGACATTTCTCGCCGCTCTTCAGTGCTCTCAGCTCGCAAGATTTGAAACTGGAAAGAAAAAAACTCTTGAGGAAAAATAAGGGGAGCTTTTGGCGATTTCAGGCGTTGTCAGTCGTAAACAGAAATCCGTTTTAAATTTCAACAAAAGGACATTCTTGCTGAGTAATAGAACTCGAATTGAATAAGAATGTGGCCCACTGATCTTTTCCACTCGCCCATCGTAAAAAACTAAAGTAGAAAAGCGCGAGTGCAAAGAAAAGAAACTAGAGTTGAGGCATTCCTCCTGAACTGAGCCGGATTTAAACACTGAATGAAGGAAACGAGTGCCGCGCGAAAATCAGCTCCTTCCGTTCACAGATACAGTTTCTAGCGAGAGCACGTGTTCCACGACAGTGCACCAACAGATTCAATTGAATTAAAGTTTGGCGCAAAGTGAGCTGGTTAGCAGTTGTTTTTGATTCTTGCACCGATTTGCCGCAATCTAACTTGATAACGAGCACATTTGTGCTACTGATTCGTAGTTTGATTTTTTTACTGCGCGGTCTTTGCTTTAACCGGGTTCGCTTTTCTGGAACTGTTCGTTTATTGCAGAGCGAGTTAAATTGAACAGTTCCAAGCGACAGAACAAAAAACCCTTGTTGTATCAAGAATTTGATTTTTGACTTGTTCTCGAGTGCTTTGAAGGTTTATTTGATGAAGCATTTCCGGATTTTGCTGAAAGGGGCAGCAGGGTGAGCTAAAATACAGATTCGTGGAGAAAGTGACAGAGGTGGCACACGAAATGCGAAACGGAACCCAAAATGCCAATCACGAATTCGAGAAGTTCCAGATCCTCCGTGAGTTCAACTAGATTCTAGTAATGCAGAAACGACGCGTTTTAGAAAGCATAAACCGTAACTCGAGAGCTACATAATGAGGTGAAAAATACAGGGAACAGCCGCTCAACAAAGGGATTCTAGTGGGCAGGGCCCGGGCGGAAATGTGAAATTCTTATCGGGCCGGAATTTACGGAAACACGGAATTCCGTGTGGACGAGTTGCAAGATAAAGTTTCAAAAAGAAGAAAAAATGCGGTCTATGTTGCTCTCCGAGCAGTCTTATAGCTTTTGCTTTTCGTAATCTTTTGCAAAATTGTGATTGCTCGTCGCTTTTGTGGTTGGAGCAACGGAAACACCATCGTTGGCAAAGAAAATGTTTTCTTTGCCTGCCGAACGTTCGAAAAAACAAAATCTGAGGGATATTCGTTTCGCTCAAACTATAAAATCACTTCGCTCAATATCCGGTGACCTAAATGTGAACATTCGTCCATTTGATTCCTGAGGCAAATTGAAGCCGATACAGTAATTTGAAAATATGCGCTCGAGCCATGTTGCCGGCGCAAAAACATAACTTCAATATTTTTAATTTCACCAACAACCGGTCGAACAAAGAGTTCACTTCAAACTTCACACTTTCGAACAATAAAGCAAATCTAAAATACAGGCCTGGGAAAACAAGGAAACGGAAGGCTTCGTACTCGAACGTGAAAATCAAAGCGCTAGATTAAGGCTGCTCGAAAAAAATGAATGAACTTTAGGCCGAAATCGTTTTCAGTTTTAAATTTTATTTTATCTGCAAAGTCGCTTCTTTTCAGTGTAACTCGCTAAGAATGTCGCTCAATCGGCGCGTGAGGTAGCAAGTTCAATTCCACGATATTTTCTAATTCGCACCGCGGAATTTTTCTCAGTCACCGTTCGTTCGAGCTCCATTATGCACGTTGCACTTAAACATTCTATTTTAACATTTGCATTTTGGCAGGCGCTCGAATATTCGTTTGCGAATCTCTGTCCCACAGCATCGACGCCCATACGATTTCTGTCTCCATCTGAGAGTCGAATCGGCTGCATGAACAATGGCTCGCCCTTGATATAATGTCCGGAGAAGGCTCATTTCGTTATAGTAGACGTGGTTTTGATCCCTTTCGAAAGTAGGCGATACTTTCCTGAAGATCCGCAAGCGCTCAATAGGCTTCCGGCGGAGCACCTTCTGGGAAATTACGTTGATCATCTTGATTAATGATTGAAAGCCCTCAAGTGGCTTCAAGGCCAACGCGACTCGTTCCACAAAACAGCGCTTAGAGAGAACCGCCCTTGGTAGAAAAGCTTCTCAACTCAAAATTGTTTGGTTGCTTTGCGTGGATCACCAAAGTGGAATTGTGCAGCACGTTTCGCTATTACGAGATTTCGCGCTATCATCTCTTCGAACAGGAACACGTGTTCAATGAGGCACTGGGCCGAGTATTGAGTTCGTTTCGAGAAAGCCACATGCACATGTTGTGCTTTTAGAAGTTTGGCTATATCGCTCTCGAACCTGAGAGCCCGTCCCACTCGTATTAATGGCGCCCTAACTAATAGAACAGAGAGCAAAACAGAATTGTTGCGACTCGTTACTTTGTCGCCCGTTTCCTCTAACGAACGTTTTTTTTCAGCAACTTGATCTTGATCTCTGGCTGCAGTTAGCGTGACACGAATTATATTCATTCCGGAGCAAGCTAAAGCCAAGAACTATCCCAGTTTTCCTCTCACGCTTTTTCAATTCTAGTTAGTCGCGAATAATCACTCTATGCATAGATCATCTAGTTTTACGCAATTCAAACAAGGAATTAATGCCCAGTATTGCTAATATGTGGAGTTCACCTGGTTAACCGAGGCTCTAATACAAGAAACAAGAAACGCCCGTTGAATGATAAGCGTTAAAAGGAAATATTTTTGCCTCTTGCATTACAAGTTCACCTAAATTTGATAGAATTACTACCGCTCTGGGGACAGGAACAGGATTATAGAGTGAGAGTTAACATAGTACAAAAAAGAGCTAAAAATGTGGAATCCGTGAGGGATATATTCTGTTTTTAATCAAAAATTCATAACTGAGATTTACTTTTTCAGAAGACCTGAACAATCGGTACCGTCTTCCTGGCGAGTCTTCTCGCCGATCTCAAATTAGTCAGGTAATTGTTATTTGCGGAAATATTACATTTTTACACACGTCTAAGGTTCGACAAATTCACGTGCAGCCAAGTGCCCCACTTGCCCCATCGTATCCAGGAAAGGTTAAGTTGCTTAACTGATCTTGTATGTTAATGTGATTTAATCGCATACGATGCATATTGAAAGTGGCTTTAACGCGAAAGAGAATTTTTAGCCGAATCTTCTCCAAACTTGGAACTCTTCGAAAAGATATCGGATTCAAAGATTAATACACAAATAGCTAAAGCGGGAAAGGGGAATTCGGATCCATATTGAGGGAGAAGATCGCCAGACAGAAGTCTGGAACGAGCTGGCCGCAGATGGTGATCCCCGTAAGAATGCTAAGCAGCGTCGGAAAACTGTTCCGAATATCGGAACTCAACTCAAAAGCTTGAGGAAAGCTTTAAGACACCCTCGTCACCTTGATGAGGCTGGAAAAGATAAACGAAGAAGAAAGTCGATGATCTGGCTTCTATTGGGGATGCTCCTCTTACTCTTTTTATTAATAGCGCTTGTGACCTTGATTCTCACAAACTTACGCAGAATGTAATTATCGCCATTTAGAGCAAGAAGAATATTGAAATCTGGTTTTAAGAACAGGAAGCCGTGAGACGGTTTCTCTCTCTGGAACCGCTCAAACTCCAGCCTCACAGACAACCGTTGGAGATTTGACGCCATCAATTGCCGCCTCAACGCAGGAAATGAGAATAAGTTGACGTCGTATTATAGTTTTTTAATAATCATTTTGGACTGTAACGATTTTATTCCTATGGAGACACCATTCTTGGGAAACACGTGTCTAAACAAAGAAGACTGTTGCGGGAATGTAAATTGCCAGACACTGCAGCCAGGCTATTGTGGGTGAGGAATGATATGTGTTGCACATTGTATGGATGCTTTTAGGAACTTGACCGAAATATGGTGTTGTGGGTTTAATTTGATCACGTGTTTCTGCAACGGGGCGAGGTATATTCCTGGCAAGAGGCCGTTCTTACGCGTTTGCTATTTTGAGCTGTTTCTTTAGTCCGTTCTGCCCCCTCTCGCGCCCAACTTGTCCAGTATAGAGTTCACAACAATTCCATGCAACTGAACATTAATAGTGTGAGGTCTAAGTGCTTAAGTCGGTTAGAGATCTGATCAGGATCTCGCGCCGCGCTCTTCTCTGCCACTTTTACTCACTGCTTCAGTCCGCGCACAGTAAAAGTGCAGAATACACGCTTTTTCGGAAACTACCTTTCCTCGTGTTTTATTGAAGATACAGTAGAGGCTACGACTAGCTGCAAGAGAACCGTCTAGTATAGAGAGCATACAGCAGTACTTAGACGCTTACATCTGGTGACAATACGCTAAGCTTCTTCTTCACTGGACTCTTCCGAACCCAACGTTCGCCCTCATCACCGGCACTTCCCGCTGCAAAGCTAGAAGTGTTATTAAACTTGGTTCGACCACTCGCCAAGTCGATCGAGCGATCTTTCGCCGTTCCCGTGTTCGATAAACCGCTGGAGCTCGTAAATCAAGTCGCGTCCCCGCGCCGCACAGTAACCCTTCTGTGCGCTCTAACGAGGTCAGTCAAAGTTGTCAAACCCTAACTGCCGCATTTATCGCCGCAACACCGTGGAACTCGTCTCCGACCGCGCCTGAATTGCTCATTTTTTCGCCGCCGGCCACCTGGAACACACACACTACGTGAAAAAGTCGCCACGTGCGCCGCTCAAGGAAAACTCCAGTTACTTGAGCGCTCCGTAAAGGTACAATTTCTTCGTTGTGAACCCTTTACCGCAAATTCCGTTACGCCGCGCCGCCGATTTTGATCAGTCCCGCCAACGAAACCCCGCGAACTTCGCCGATCCATATCTCCAACGACATCTCGGCCCGCCAAAATGTCTTCTACCAGCGCCTGTTACGCGCTCAACCTCTCCGAAGATCAAATCAACTCGTGCACCTGCATCACCATGTTGACCAACTTCTTGTCCGATATCATGGATTATACTATGGAGCTTGCATCGGATCCAACCGAACTCTCAAGCTACACTGACCGGATCAACGCACGCAAAAAGCTGATCAGTGCCCGAATTGTTGCCTTGTCGAAGTCAGGATCTTCTGCTCAGTCCACTGGAATCTCTCGAACTCGCCAAATCGAGATCCAGAATTGTTTGGACAAGCTCGAAGTCCATGATTTCTCCACTGGTTCCGACGCAGAGCAGTTCATTTCTACGCTCCGAACGGCCAGAACCGACCACGTCGCCACTCTTCCAAAGGCTCATCAAGCCGAGGGCGATGAAATTTTGGCTCGCACTGCCAAGAAGTTCTTGGCCAACGATGTCAAGGTCACTTTTCAGCGACTTGGCCTCGAGACCCGGACCATCGAACAGCTGATATCCGCCATTGAAGACAACTTCAGTAGCAAGCTGTCGATCTTTCAGGAGCTCCGCAAGCCGCACGATGTCACTTTCGACGCCTCCAAAGGCCTAGGCGCCTACTTCAATGAACTTCAGGAGGCCTCTAGACACAGCTTTCGACAAGTCGAGCGCATGGCTCGTCGAAAAGCCGCCGAATCCGCCAAAACAGCTTCCGTCAAGGAAGAACCTGAGGTTTCCATAGTTGCCGAGGAGTCCACAAAAGCCGCTGATGGCGAAGCTATTACAGCTTCTGAGCTCAACGATCTCTACGCCGCCACGCTGGGTTACCTCACTGTTTGCCGCGCCTACCCAAATGTCGGAGTTCGACTCTGCGACACAATCGACGAGTGCTCCAACGCCCAGGACGTGTTTGTGAAGGCGAAAACTCTACTTGACCGTCTCCCAAGCAGCGTCACTTCCGAAGAATCTGTCGCCCTCGCTGGCAAGACCTTCGAAAAGACCTCTCAGCCCAACGACGAGATCGCAGCGATGCAGAAATGCATCAGAACCCTTACTGACAAGGTCAACGCGATCTCTAAAGCCGTCGTCCCCGCTAAGGACAATAACAAGTCCAACGGAAAAGGAGGCCAGGGCCACGGGCGCAACAAAAAAGGCAAAAACAACAACGGCAACAAGTCCAACAACAACCAGTCCGAATCCAAAGCCGGATGCGCTGCTACGAAGGATACCGACTCGCTTTTTCGCATCGAGAGTTAGATCGGCGCAGCTCTGACTCTCCTCTCATTTCCTCCGCGCAACTCACCTTCTCCAAACCCTCCAGACCCTGGTACGCTGACTTCACTGTCACCCTCGCCGGACATACTTTCACCGTCAAAAACGGCATGTTCGACACTGGCGCCGACGATGTAATACTGCCAAAACGGCTCATCCCTGATGAACTTTTGAAGCAACTGCAGAGCTCAAAGTTCACCGTCACTGGCGTCAACTCCGAAACCAAGGCCTTAGGCGAGTTCCGCACCACTATCAATTTCAGCGGTATAAAATTCGCTGGAATCCGCATTCTAGTTACAGATGGCCACAACGCGCCGCCGCTCATCGGCAGAACTGTCACCGATCACGCCACAAACGTCTCCTTTGGTAGAACTGGTACCAAAGTCATCTTTCAACGACGAGATAGCCCTGGAGCAGAAATCTACACACAGGCACTCGAAATCAAGTCGTACGCTAGTGATCCTTGGAATGCACCTCAGATCGACCCTGGCATCTCCAGTAGCGCAGATTTTCGTAGTTATGCTGACGCTCTTCGATCTGATCCTCCTCAAGCTGCTCAAAGCCAGCCCAAACCCTCTGCTCCAGGCCCCAACGCCTCTACTTCGGACCTTCTGAGCTACTTGCGAAGCCAGAAAGAGCTCGACCTTCCAGCCAACTACCACAACAAAAGCGAACTTCATGAACTCGCCCTTCGTTGTGTCCAGTATGAAGATGTTTTTGGAAGTTCTACTGACGAGCTTGGCCTGTTTTACCGACCCGTCCGAATTCCGACAAACGGCGAATCTGTCAGCCGCAAGCAACACCAGATTCCAGTCAACTTTAGAGGCTCAATGGACAAGCACGTCCAAGAAATGCTCGATACTGGCGTCACTGAGCTCTGCTCTGATCCACGTGGATTCAACTCGCCGCTGTTCTGCGTCCCTAAAAGGATGGCTCCGCACGCCCTGTGGCCAACTTCAAGAACACGCTCAACCGAGTCCTTGTCGATCCCGACCCGTATCACATGCCCAACTTGCGCGAACTCTTCAACGAAATGCGCCCGGGCTACAAGTATCTTGCCGGCCTCGATTTGAAGAGTGGCTATTGGCAAGTGGAGATCCACCCCGACGACAGGCACAAAACTGCCTTTTCATGGAACGGTCGCACCTTCCAATATCGTCGGCTCCCGTTTGGCCTCGCCACCGCGGGCCAAATATTTTCAAGGTGCGTTGGCGAGGCCCTAGAATCTCTCCCCGACACTTCCGGCATTTTCTGCTACATCGACGACGTCTTGGTGGCAGCCAAATCCTTCTCCGACTACCTGGCGAAGCTTACTAGCCTGTTTGAAGCCGCCAGAAGATTTGGACTGCGTCTACACCCGAAGAAGTGCGAGTTTTTGGCGCCCCAGGTGAAATTCTTGGGTAGAATCGTCTCGCCTAAGGGGATGTCGGTGGACCCAGAATACGTCGCTGGAGTTGATGCCTTCGTTCAACCCACAAATCGCACCGAACTACGCGCACTTCTCGGCAAGCTCACTTTCATCCGGGAATTCCTCGAAACTCGAATGTCCGAGCGGATGGACACAAGTTGCTTCTCGCAGCTCGTATTCCAGCTGAACCAGCTCAACAAGGATGGCGATTTCACGTGGACCACCAAAGCCCAGGAGGCTTTTGAGCGCGTGAAAAAGCGGCTCCGTACAAGCCCAGTCATCTCCTTTCCTGATCCCTCGCTCGACTTTCTACTCTGCACCGATGCTTCCGCAGTTGCCGTCGGCGCCGTCTTACTTCAACAGCAAGATGGATTCGACAGAATCGTCGGCGTCGCTTCACAAACCCTCACTTCCGTCGAGCAGCGCTGGAGCTGCACGGAACGCGAGGCCTACGGCATTCTGTTTGGCGTCCGCAGATTTCAGTACTTCCTACGCGGCAAGCCCTTTGTGGTGAAAACCGACCATCGAGCCCTCCAATATATCGACTCGGTCGACCACAAAAACGCGAAATTGGCTCGCTGGATGGACGAACTGAGCGCGTACAGGTTTATCGTCGAGTATCTCCCTGGCGAGCAAAATGTCTGGGCAGATCTCTTCTCGCGGCCCTTTGGCGTCAAAAAGGACCCTCCGTCTGACAATCAGAAGTCAGCCGGTAAATTTGTCGACTTCGGTGGCCTTCGCGCTTACATCCCCAGCTGGTGTACTAAGGATACCGTGATCCCGCCGAAATCTCCTCCCTCGAAATCGCTCCGCGAAGGTCTCACTCGCGCACTTACATGCTCCACTGGCGACGAGTTCACCCTCAACCAGAACGTCGAAGATCTACTTCAACTTGCTAATGCCCAGCGCGCCGACTCGGGCTTGGCGAAGCTCATTGATGCTCTTGAGAAGCACAAACGCGACCCAAAGCAAGTTCAACTCGACAAGCGCGATTCTAACTACGAATTGTATCGCGTGAACTGGCAGCATTTCCGCATTTGTTCCCGTACGAATGTACTTCTCCACGTGCGCAATGGTAAAAAGCGCCAAGTTTTACCTCCTAAACTCGCGATCGAGCAACTTCGAAAAGCTCATGACAACTCCGCTCACCCTGGTGTACCTCGAGTAATTGAATCCCTCAGCAGCTACTGGTGGCCTCGCTATCAAGAAGATGCACAAAATTACGTGCAGAGCTGCGTGATTTGCGCGAAGCGCAAAGGTAACCAAGGGCAAGTGGCTCTACCTCAAATGCAACATGTCCCCCGCGGCTCTAAGCCCTTCGAAACGATCATGATCGACTTCACCGTCTTCCCCAACTGTGCTGGCAAACGCTTCTGCTGCACCGTGCTCGACACATTCACGCGATATTTCGTCGCTCGAGCTTGCACTGGGGAGCGAGCGATCGATGCTGCACGCACAATCGTCGAAGAAGTGGTTCTCCGGCATCAAGTTGTGCCCAAAATCGTCAGTTCTGACCGTGGTACCGCATTCGTCTCTGCTACTATGAAAGAACTCTACTCACAACTTGGTATCACGCCTCAGTACCACACCGCTTACCGCCCCGAATCTACTGGTAATCTTGAAAGGTCACACAGAACCTTCAAGGACATGATTTTCATGTTGACTCATGAGCGAAACATGACTTGGGTTGATGCTGTCCCTTACTGCGTCGCCTTCATGAACTCTCACAGGAACAGGTCTACTGGTCAGGTACCTCATACTCTCGTTACTGGCCGTCGTCCTAACTTCACAGTTCCTGAAACTCTACATGACCCCGATGTACGCTCTAACTCGCCTGAATCTTACGGCAAAATCGTCAGAAAGCGGATTCAAATGCTCTCGAAATTGGCGAAAATCGCCAACCGCTCCGCTGACCTGGCTCTAGAACGCCAGCATAAGCGTCTTCATCGTGCTCGCCTTCTTAAAAACGGCGATATGGTTCATCTCTACAGGCCCGTCACTAAGGCTGCCAAGGACTCCAATTGTAACTGGATAGGCCCTTATAAAGTCGTTAAAGCCTCCGAATCTGTCGTGAAAATCGTCGACGGAGCCGACTTTTGTGACTGGGTTCACCGATCTCATCTGCGTCTCGTGCCACCGCGCAAAGATCATCTTAAATCTCCCTCCGACCGGGCTCTAGAACAAGAGCTCATCTGTGGCGATGATCTTGATTCTCCTCAAAATCGACCGGTCGGCGCTTCGGGTTCATATTCTGAACCTCTAGCAAAACTACCAAAGGTTGGGAGGCCGGCTGCTGAAAAGCAAAAAACAACCTCTGGCAAGTCTACTAGAAAAAAGAGGAAAAGGGCGAGTCCCGACTCGTCACCTGATCCGAAGCGTCAAAATACTGCTTCAATTCCTCCCTCGACTGCTAGAAATTCGACCGCGCCCGCCCCATCAACGTCAACTTCAACTACGCCTCGCTCGACCGACTTGGTAGAAAATGATGTTCAAGATTTACCTGTTGAGACGACTTCTGCTCCTCGTTGTAGTGCGGCAGACTCTCTAAATGGGCATCATTTGTCTTCTTCGTCAGCTGATCTTTCTCCTATCTTCGAAAATCTCACCGTCCGTGGCGGTCGGATCAGGAAAAAACCTTCTCCGATACAAGTTGATCCAACTCGCAAGAGTTACTCGTAGAAAGGAGAAGTTTTCTTCAAAAGAAAACTCGTCTCGCGCGAGTCTACCTTTTCTCGCGCTCTGATTGGCTGTCGCTGTCCGGAAATGGTTCGATCTTCGTCCGACATTTCTCGACTTTTCGTCTCTACGCTGGTGCAATTCCGACGCCGCGCTGTGCTGATTGGCCGCCTTTCCTTTCTCCTTTCCCTTCTGCTCAACTACGATGACTCATCTCTCCGACTTCAACTCTTCAACTGAAGATTCTCGAAACGTCTCTAGAATCTGGGGAGCTGTGAGGTCTAAGTGCTTAAGTCGGTTAGAGATCTGATCAGGATCTCGCGCCGCGCTCTTCTCTGCCACTTTTACTCACTGCTTCAGTCCGCGCACAGTAAAAGTGCAGAATACACGCTTTTTCGGAAACTACCTTTCCTCGTGTTTTATTGAAGATACAGTAGAGGCTACGACTAGCTGCAAGAGAACCGTCTAGTATAGAGAGCATACAGCAGTACTTAGACGCTTACAAATAGCAATTTTAACTCGGCAATCTGAACTCTCTCTAAAGCTGGAACGACCCTGGTTCCTCTCTATCGCGCTGTGAGGTGAGTGGCTGGTCATTTCCATGTCCAAATTTATAATTCGCGAATTCGCTGCACTCGTGGCTTATTCACCAAATTACAAACAACTGCCAAATTCAGCTAATTAAAAAATTACTCGTGCGCGCAACTTGAAACACTTAAACTTCAGCAACCAAGTCGGTGGACGGGGAAACTCCTTCCTACAAATATGCGACGGCGCCACCAACTTTCAATGCCCAGGTTTAATGATTTATCCTCTGATCATCCTGACTAATAATCCTTTAGACGAGTGGGATTGTCAATAACACAGTTGAAAGCAGTTCTTTGCGCTTTTTAATAAACTTCTCAACGCGCGTTCTAAAATTCTCGAGTCTGAAAAAGATAGACTTCAGCCTCGCCGTGCGAAAATATTTCTTTAGCTCTGGCGAGAGAGCCCGCATCAAAAACCCCCTTAAGATTTGAACTTCTCGGTAAATACGTTACGTGGCCACGGGCTGATCTCCAAGATTTTATAATGGTCAGAATAAAAATCGACAAAACCGTTCGAAGAACGCCGAAAATTGGCGTCGACACCCTTAAGTTAATAACTCTTGAAATACACTTATACGTCGATCACTCTTACTTTTCCACGCGATAGTCAATTTTATCTTAATTCCCTTTCTACCATATGTGCGCAGCACCTTATCTTAAGAAACAGTTTCTAAAAAACACAACAGAAATTTAAAATGCGCTTTACAAACATGCCACGCCATAACAGGTAAATTATCGAATCTCAACGCGAATTGAGTTTGTTCGAACTTGAACCGATTAAGCTAGTTTAGCATCTTTAGATGGAGCAACTTGCTTCTCTTGACGATTTAAAAAAAAAGAACATTGCAACGTTGTTTCTTTCACCGACATTTTTGTGGAATGCTTCTATGTTAATAAGGGAGATCTTATCGTTAGGTCCCCTGAAACCCTGAATTTTGGTTATATAATTTGTTAAACGCTCGTTTCAATCATTTATTAGAGAGAAAATATGCTCCGGATAACAAGACGGAAATGGAGTCCAGTCAATTGTGGTCGCGACTAGACATTTTCAAGTGCATGTTTCGTTCCTACGTGGCTGCTTAAGAATTTCATTTGCTAATCATTTTCTCCTTCGCCAGAAAAAGTAATCAACGTGAGAGAAACTAACTGACAACTATGCGCCTTGATTTTTCGATGCTCAAAATTTGTGTTAGAGCTCCTTTCCCACGTTCGAATCAGACGATTAAATGGTTCAACAGAGATTCTATATTTCTCTCATGCGATGCTTTCAACACTAGCTGCGATATTTCGGTCAGAACGAGATGGAAATATAAGTCGGAAAAAGTCACGGAGCAAAAGTGTCAGGAAGTCGACCATTCCAACGAAGGAGCTTTCGATGATCATAAACTATTGAGAATCCCTCAAAAAGTCAAGATTATGACCAAGTCCTAAAGGATATTCCCAACATGAGGCCAGCTGCACCGCCGATGTCCGACCAGAGCTTAGATAAATTTTGACGATTGCTAGCTCAAGTGACCGGGATTACCTGGGTCAGGGCGTAATCTGGCTGTTCCATCATAACTCGGTCGCCTTCTTCAATAAGATACATCATAAATGAACTTTGCGGTTTTTGCCTTGGATCCGCTGGTACATCTACCACATATCGACCATAGTGAATATTTGCCGTTTCAAAAGCCTATGAGCAAGAGATTGAGCAGCTGATTTTGTTAAATTACTTTCCTCGGATTCGCAGCAATCTTTCTCAAATTCCTCTTTGACTCTAGTTAGTAAGCGAAAACGGTAGTTAGATAAGACAAGCTAGGCTCATGCTTAGAATGTTAATTTTTGGAACTTTGCCTGGACAGTGGCATCCTTTGTACTCGAATTCGGATATGATCGGCCCGGCGCAGACAGCATGTTCATGAAATGAACAAAGCCGGATGTCCTCCAACCCGTTTCGCGGGTTCGGGAAATAAAACGTCCGGCATTTACAGGTCTTCTTGATGTATTCCAAAAGACAGTCTTTAGGCGAGATTACATTTAGAAAATTAATATATGAGAGTTTGGTTTGTCTTTTTCAAGCTCATTCTCGTGATTGCCGAAGAATAATTTGTAACCAAGCAATAAGGCACTGGGGTTTCGTATAACTTTCGAAATAAAATGACGTGTTTTCCAAATTTTGGGTATGTTGATGTCTAGAAATATGAAAATGGCTCTCAAATACAGTTGTTTTTCGTACTTGATGCATGTCGAGTAGGGTTCGCCAAGCATAAAACGCGTCGTTCGGCGGATTGAAATGATTGGCACCAAGTGGGTATTTACATTTAAACTTTCAAAGTTCATCGATTCCCAACAGGGTCGGCCAAATTATTAGACTTGAAATGAAAAAATAACTGTCCACATTGTGGACTCCACAATCGTATAATATTGTTTGTCGGAACTTTTCCTGTAGCATGCATCTTGCGTCTGTTCGTGAACAGATGACTAAAAAATAAGTGAAAATGATGGCTAAAAAGAACTAACATAGAATATGTTACATAGTATACTGTAGCTCCTTCCATGAACGCGCGCCAGCCACCAAGAAGATCTGTTTGGTCTGTTTCGAATGTGATCGTGACGTAATACTAGAAACGGTCAATGAAAATAGACGAGCTTGACAATGAAAGAAGCACGAACCTGGCGGCCGATGGTCTCCCTGGAATTCGGTGGCGACCACGGAATGAATTGAAGACAATATCCAAAAATTGTTTTGATTAATTTCCATTTCTTGCGACAGTCTTGGCCTATGTACAGGCAGCGCTTAATTCTTCAGAGGATAACGCCATCGTCACTCATAGCTCGAAAAAGAGAGATTAGAGGGTGGGTACTTAAAGAAGCGAGACTCTCTTCATGCATAAAATGCGCATCCCTTTCAAGTGCTTCAAAAATATGATGATGTAAAAAGTTTATATGTTTCCATTCATTTTATAGACTCTATAATATAGAGCATTTCCTGGCTGTAAGGAGGAGCGGTTCTCATCGCAAATTGGTGCATGTCGACGTCGATACTTTCCAGATGTTCGCCGACAGACGAATTAAAAGGCGCTCCATACAAATGTGAAATGTACGGCATGAGCTGCAAAATTTTCAATAAGGAACTTATCTGAAAATAAAACCTCTGGAAAGTACTTTCTCGTTCGCGCTTTGGAATGCATGTTGTTTGAGCAAATTGTAATTTTAGGGAGGAAAGAGATGTTTGCCAATTGCAACTCGTCCAGCTTCTTTCGGATCGCGGGTGACTTGACAAAAGATTCCAATTTTAAAATCGAAGGTTAAATAATTCTGCTGAACCTAATCAGATGGAAAGTTCATAAACGGGCGTTGCCTGCCTATCTCATTCGAGATTTCACATTATCGCAGGCCAATTTCTAGCTTCCCCTATTGTCCAGCGTTTATTCACTTTGTGAATAGTCCTCCGTTTAATGGTACCCTGTTCATTAGTGAAAAGACAGGGCAGAATGAAATCAAGAAAGACTATATCTATGAGAGGGATCTTATTCCTGGGAAATGTTAGAGACAAGTTTCAGAGAAGAAGGATATTTATTATAGGTCGAGATATTCTGTTAACGAGCTCGAAATTTACATACCGTGAAAATTTTCCAATGAAATGTCAAAAATCAAAATCAAAATTGTGAACTCATAAAGTTTTTTATTGGAGCACGCGCCGAGGAGATATTATAAAACGAATAGCCCAGACCGAAGAAAACAACGATGAACCATAAAATCCGACGAGACAGGACGATCGAGGGAGTCATCAAAAACCTATCAATCGTGTTAAATGAATTTCAACATCATCAAGTTATCAAAATTCTCGACGACAAAAATCCATTATTCTCGAACGACGCGATTCGATTGATAGTATGTTCAAGAAGACAGTCTGTCTTCCACTTGATAAAGCTCTAGTGCCAAAAATAGTACCCAAAACCGAGCGGCAGAAGTGGTGCATAATCGTCGATCGAGTTTGATATTAATTTTTTCCATCTTCGAAATAAAGCATTTTTCGTTTGTCGCCGAAGGATACTTCGGTATTTCTGCTTCAATCTCGACTGAAATGTTTGGATTAACAAAGGCTAAAGCAGGTAAGTCTTTTTTATGATCGCATGATCCTGCGGGGCGATTTCACGAGGTTCTTGAAGATTTTTTTTTTCAAATTGAACGGAGCAGAAAAATACTTACTAGGGAATCTCTTCTTCTCGCAGCTCTCATTTTATTCCTGAAAAGTCAAAAAAAAATATTACCTTGTGGCTAGCTAGCCAAAACCAAAAATTAATTCAATTTTACATCTTAATCTTACTGCATGTTCTCAAATAATTAACTTGGCGCCAACACGCCCCAAAATCATTGGAAGTGACTGTATCAATCAATCTTCCATGTTCTACTCGCTTCGAGGAAAAACATGTTATGTAATGCTAATTTTTCTATCTATCAGGCTATCGACTTCAGGAGGCGGACGCATCAATTTCCGCCGATATTATGACCTTTGTGATAAGAATCTAAGTAACTATTGGTCATATATACAGTATCGTAAAGCTTTTGATGATTACAGCGTTGACCTAATTGGCGTTTATCAATAACCGGAACGCTGTTTGGTACCCTCGACTAGATGGCGCTGTGTGGCACGCCCATTTGAGCTGGGCAGCGAGTCTGCGGAAATCAAATCAGTCGAATAGCTCTAGTTCGATAAGAAACTCGATCTTAAGACTGCCGGTATTTTCAAACAGCTGAGAGTCTAAAACCCCGACGCTATGTCCAAGTAAGTACCAAGTTGGTTACACAGAGATAACTGCCAAATCAAATGAATTACCAGCATAGTCGCAGAAAAGATCGTCACAACTAAAGTAATTTTGTAGAAACAAGGTCCAAGGCGTCCAGGCTCTTGCCGGATTTGGCCTAGAAGGCGCTGCCGTTATCAACGAAGAAGAGAAAAAACCAAAGCAATCGACTGTCGTCACTGTAAGCGCCACCAACCCAGCACAAGAAAATGCCTCCGAGAGTAAGCAAGTGATATCAATATCGTGTCTCACAGTTCTATTTAGTCAATCTGCGACAGTCAAACTTCCTTCAACAGGCAGGCCTACAGCCATCTGACTACTTGGGTCGCTTCAAAGAGAACTCGTGGCAGTTTTGCTCTACGCTAGTCGTCTTCCAGATTATTTTCATCATTCTCTTCGCCATCTTCGTCGACTACGACTCCCATATTTACAAAGATAGCAAATACATTAGCAAACTAACTGCCGACCCAGCTTCTCAAGAGTACAAGGATGCCATCCAATTTTTCAAGGATGCTGACCACCACCTCGTTCGAGACTACGCCTGGTTCCAAGACGTTCACGTCATGATCATCGTCGGTTTCGGTTTTCTTATGACCTTCCTCAAGCGATACTCGTGGTCTTCACTCGGTTTCAACTTCCTCTTCTCCGCCTTTGCCATTCAATGGGGTATGCTTGTTCAGGGTTGGTTCTTCGAAACCTCCAAGCACCAAGTCAATATTGCCGCTTCTCACTGGGAAAATCTCAAGTCAATCCATATCAACATTCACGCAATGATGGAAGCCGAGTTCTCTGCCGGTGTTTGCCTTATTTCTTTCGGTGCCGTCCTTGGTGTTGCCTCTCCAGTTCAGCTTCTTATTATGATTCTTTTCGAAATGGTCTTTTACAAGGTAAATCACGCTTATGATTTCGTCTGAATTATTTTTCTTCACAGCTCAACGCATGGATTCTCCTCGACATCTACAACGTGGCTGATATTGGTGGTTCCATGGTCATTCACGCTTTTGGTGCTTACTTTGGCCTTGCTGTCGCCCGATGCCTTTTCAAAAAGGGACACATTGACAACCCTGCTGAAGGTAACTAATCAATTAACGCCAGAGAGTCATCCTCAATTATCCTAGTACTTGCGTCATCTTTACTTTTAAAAACTTATATAACTCGGCTTATTTAAGGCGGTGAGTACCACTCTGATATCTTCTCTCTTGTCGGTACCGTCTTCCTCTGGATGTTCTGGCCTTCTTTCAACTCTATGCCCGGTGGTGATGACGATCCAGGCCGATACTTGGCCGTTATGAACACTTACCTCGCTCTTGCCGGTGCTTGCATGATGACCTACGCTACATCTATCTGGTGCACTCCCAATAGACGAATCACCATGGAGCACGTTCAGAACGCCACTCTCGCCGGAGGTGTTGCTATGGGTTCTGCTGCTTCTATGCCTGTCACTCCCTTCGGAGCTATTATCATCGGTGCCATCGCTGGTATTCTCTCTACATGCGGATACTCCTTTATTAAGGTACTATTTCATTCAATAAACAAAATAATTAATCATCGATAAGCCCGCCCTTGCTAACGCCATCAACCTTCACGATACCTGCGGTGTTCACAATCTCCACGGTATGCCCGCTGTCATGGGTGCTATCGCTTCAGTTATCCGATGTGCCGCTGGATACTACACCTCAGATCAGTAAGTTTATAATGAATATTACTCACTAGAATTTCAATAATGAAATTTCTTCCCATAATATTGACCGCGTATATTTCGGTATTTTAATCGCTCGGCAAGAAAGGCCGTAAACTTTACTTGGTTTATCAGCGACTACGCTTAGCTTTGAGTTTTAAATCTGGGTTAGGCGGCTGATTTTTATTGCTTTTCTCGTTAATCTAACAAGACAATTAAGTTTAAGCGATAGCCAAAACGCTATTTCTTACGCTTATTTGATGATTTTGTACCGTGATTTACCATGTTTTTAGTGCCAGCGGAACAGAAATGGCCAACTTCCAGCTCGCTGGTCTTGCTACAACTCTTGGTATCTCACTGGTTGGTGGCACTATCACAGGCTTCATGATGAACATTCCTCTGTGGGAACAGCTCGAACTCGAGGAGTACTTCGAAGACGGCAAATACTGGGAGATGGAAGTCTACCAGGTTCCCCAAGAGGAATAAGTTATTACTATAAAGCCACTCTGTTCGCAAATTGGAAAGAATTTCCGAAGAACGCACTCAAAAATATCAACCATCATCAGCAAATCTTCAATTCAGAACTCTCTTTTTATTTTAAGTATCTAGCATAAACACATTTCTTTTCGCTCTTTCCTCAGTGTTCCTTTCTCATGTTTTAAGAACCAGAGACTGTCCTTCTCTACTTTTCACGGTAATTTGATATAATTTCTGATTCCCTTACTTTCCTCTTTATCGTATTTTAATCTAAACCAATCACGTTGGCAGAACAAGTACCTTCGATGGGTGGAGTACGGGCGCAAACTTTCCCGATTTTGGCCCGGTCGGGAAAAATTTGTAACGGGCCAAAACTCGACAAAGTTTGCCCGACCGAGCTAAGTCCCACCTCCTGGAATCATCGAAGATTCTCTTCTCTTTTAAAAAACACTCCTTTCTTGTGGATATTATACTTCTGTAAAACCTTCGCAACATTTTATAGTTACTTTTCTGATTTTCAAAAATTTTAGAGTTTTCAGCTTGTCACCACATTTTTGACTTGGCCCCGAAATCTCTTTTCGAGGGTGTTTTTTTTATTGACGAACACTTATTCATTATGTCTTGATACAATTGTCTGATAAAGACCCTGTGACAACTTATAATATATATGAGTATGAATAAATATTCAAAAAAAAGATGTTCTCTTCACCAAGGAGTCTCATATTACGACATATTACGACGGGGCATTCCAAAAGAGATTTTCCTAATTGTCAGCTTCATTATTGAGTAGCCGCTGACACTCGTATTTTCGGTCACATTTGCTCTGTTAGTCAGAAAAAGATTATGCGTCTGAGATAAAATTTGAGATGTATTTGGATGTGCGAGAGACTTACAGTATTACTATTGTATGCAATAAAGGACTCTACGCTCAAATCAATCTCTATTTAATGGAAACTAGTTTGATCTATTCTAAGATTATGAGCAAAAACAGTTACGGATTGTTCGGATGATCCAACCTTGGATCCTATCTCAGGTAGTTCGGTGGATTTCATTTTTCGTAAAAATTAAAGCGACCTAAACATCGATAACGGAAATTGACGCTAGTAAAAATGCCAAGAAATCAGCCGCTGAAGCTATAAACCAAAAATATAAAATCCATTGTTGAAACTAAACTTGAACTCGCAGGTTTCACCTCTCTCAGACAAAGTAACTCTTCAATACAAACCCAAGAGCGTATCCTCCTTTTTTTACGCTTCTAATTACATGTCAGCTCAGAACGAAGAAAATTTATCTTATTGAAACTCATTCAATAAAAAGCGAAATTTCTTTGTATAGTTGTGGGAGTGCCCTGGGCGGCTGGATGGCTATCAATGTCTTTTATGCTGTGGGGTTAAAGAATTTCAATTCGAAATCAGCAAGTGAACTTTATTGAAACTTAGTTTTTGTGGCTGGTGTGCCCTGGGTGGTGATCATTGTCTTCCTTCTCTGTCAATGCCGGAAGAATAAGCCGATGGACGAACTTGATGAACATTATAAGGAACGTTTACTGAATTCTTACTTGATTGACTTTGAAAAAAGACAGCATACTCAATAGAGGTCAGGTTTCATTTTTTACCGGGCACGGCATATCTGAAGGAACGGATTTGATTTTGTTTTTCTTTATTTATTTTAACATAAATCGAAATCCACAAAAGTGGACGTGTGGGGACATGAATTGTTTAAAGCTGTGACCGAGTGATTTCATTTTGGGAATATGAGTCGACGAGTCTTCTTATTTCTGCAATGTCTTTTCTTGTTGCCTCGGGAGCAGTTCCGCCTATGCTTGTGTACTGCTCAATTGATCGTCTCTTATCTGATAGAAGTTCAACCACTCCTGAATAAATCATCCTTACAACTAATGCTCTTGAAACTGTATGCTTCGTTTAATAATAATGATTTTAGTGATAGAAAATTGGACCAAGAGGGACTTCAGATTTCAATAACTTATGATTGATCGTCCTTCAAGAAATTCTTTGGCATGTTGTACCTGAACCATCGCCAAAGATGGGATTTAGTGCGGCTATTTCTTCCGCTGGTAATTGATCGATCACGGTGTTCTTGTTTTCAGCCAGGGCGACTACTTCGCCAGCGATCTCGTGCGACACGCGGAAAGGAAGTCCCTGAAGAAGAAAAGCAGTTATGTAAGCTGCAATGCTCGATTGCTTGGTTTTCACAAACGATCCATTAATCAAGATTGGCTTACCTGGCGCACACAAAAATAGGCAATGTCTTCGATGGAATTTTTACAACTTGTAAAATAAAGCTAGCGAAGAAACGGTCAATAGTAAATAAATCTGACGAAATAGAAGCAATGTAAAAACAATTTCCTGTGGCAAGCATTTCGGGAGAGAGTGACTTGGAAAGAGCACTTTTGTTCGGTTCCAAAGTATTTACGAGCCCTTTTTGGAGTTTTCATTTTGAAGTCTTAGGATTATTGCTGTTTGAAGAAGATTAGGAAACTCAGCTAAGGACAGCTGGAGAGCATCGTTGAATTCCTCGAAAGAGGAAAACATCGCCGATTTGTCTTCTTGGAGATCCTTGTTGTATCCACTCGGCAAATTCTTAATTTGTTAAGTTTCCTGTAAAGTACGCTCGTCGGTACTTTGATCGTAGAAAGCATTCCCGTAAGCCTTCCAATCGAAGTGCCGGCCTTGCCTCTTATGAGCTCTAGCGCGTCGGGATTCTGCTTTTGCGGCATCAGACTCGATCCGGTGCAAAACTCTTGTCCGATCTTGACGAAGTTAAAATTCGGAGAGCTCATTTCAGTTTTCGAAATCCAATAAACAAGACAACTTATTGTTAAAAAAACCGTTCCAAAAAATAATCAGATCCTCGCAAAATCGTGACAAGACGGTAAAACCGCTGCTGATGCAAAATAGGAAGTCGACGATAGCTTCCCTTGAGCCAGAAGTGTGGATTGAATTCAATGTCGGGCCGAGCGGGAACTTCAGTTCTTTGGACAAAAATTCACGGTCAATGCCGAACGCATTACCAGCAATAGCGCCGGCCCCTTTTCTATTTGTCATTAAGGTTTTTCAAGAATCAGTTATTTTGAGAAATTGGACAAGTTCCTAATGGACACCATTGATGGCTCTCTATCAAATTGAATCTACGCAAAACGGAGCGAAGACCTTCAGCATGATTGACGAGCCAATGTCCGAAAGTAGTGACTTGAGCGGGCTATTTCTGGGAGTTCCTAATGTTTGACTAGAAAAAAAATGATGGGGAGAGACTCTTTCCTGAAAATGTGTGAACGATGGCATCATCACATCCAGATTTTCTTCTGCAAGTTGGAGGATAGCTTTTTGAGTTCTAAACAAAAATCGGGCGATGAAGTACACACCCCTATCGATCAAGTGCGTGTCCCATTGACCGTTATTTCGCTTCCTTTATGAGTTTAACTCGTAAAGGTTAACCTGCGCCGGATACGTGCTCGACATGATTAATGACCGAATGTTAATAGACGCCATCTGGGTTTTCTATCTGAGCCGTTTAGAGCTGTCCCAATCCTTTGATGAGCTTCCTTAGCCGGTGCTCAAGCTCACAGATGCTCTGTCTTTTTTCGAGTTCAATAAAAACATTTTTATTAACTATTTCTTGGCAATAATTCATTCGTAACTCGTTTTCTAAGCCACAAGTGAACGTCTAGTTGGACCTGCTCGTTTCTACTCCTCCCGGTGTGCAGCTTCCCCGCTTGAAATTTTCAATGAAAATATAAACTAATTTTCCAAGTGCTTCTCTAGCTACTTCTTACCGATTCCTGTTCCAATAATTTCGCCGAGACGTCGTTCATTAGCAGTGTGGATATCCTCGTCGCCTTTTTTCAGAAGGAATTCTTCCGCCGCCCATTCTTAATCGAAGTTGAAATTTATTCTCACAACAAGAGCGCATTCCAATTATTTTATGGAAGTAATCAACAATTCGATGGGAGTTCAAATTAGACAAGGATACGCCTCGATTGGGACAATAAAATACTTACTTCTGCGGACATCTTTATTATTCTATTTTAATAAAGCACCTGATGAAATTTTATCGAGTCCAGCATGAATCGCAACAAGCTCTTCGTTTGAGATGATTTTTAACTTCTCGAGGCCTGCCGCAAATACTTTGCTACCTTCCAAGTCCTCTTTCCACAATTTTTTGCAGAGATTAATTGACGCATTATATTTCTAAATGTATAGATATCTTTGGCGAACTTGCATGATTTCTTACCCAGAGCAACTCGTCAGGCGACTTTTCGAAGCGCCCTCCCCAAAGTATTTTCTCTTTTTCCTCGGACATTTTTTGGGTTCTTTAACTCAGTTGCTATTTTTTGAAATTTGACATTTTACGCGTGATTTTTACTAGGGGGTGGTTTCGATGACTATTTTTCTATTTAATGGTGCGAAAAATCCCCTTTACAGATGTTTTCGCAAATATCCTGCCATTTCTTGATAAACTGCGAAGAAAGAAAATATGACATAAGCTATATCATATAACTTCATTAATTGTAATATTTTTATTAGAGCAAGTTTTTGCCCTCTTGTGAGGTAAATGCGCTTTTTGTAAGATTTGATTAAGAATATAAGCTCAACATTGTTAAACGTAATTCATAGAGAAACAGATCAAAAATTGCGGGTTTAGTCTTCCTCTTCTTCTTCAATTTCCCAGTATTTTCCATCCTCGAAATACTCGTACGCGCCAAGATGTTCAACAGCTAAAGAAGTTTTCATCTATGTTTGTGATGATTTCATACCTGGAAGTCGAAGGAAACAACCAGTAAGAGTTCCTGTAGCAATTGCAGTTCCGAGGGTAGCGAGAAGAGCAAAAACTTGGGGCATCATCTGGTGACCATCTGGTTCACCATGATCGTTGATAGCGCAGTGGATGATTGAGAAGATAGCAGCCATGATGGCGGGCATTCCATGAAGGTTGTTGACTCCACAGGTATCATGAAGAGAGAACTTCTCGGCGAGGAAAGGCTAGATAAGTAGTAATCGAAGATTCTATTCTTAAATTTAAAAAGTACCTTGATGTACTGATATCCAGCTGTAGAGAGGAGACCGGCGGAGAATCCGATAAAGAGTGCGCCGAATGGTTGGACTTGCATGTTTGCGGCTGTGCCCATAGCAACACCTCCAGCAAGAGTGGCATTTTGGATATGTTCTTCCAAAGGGATAAAAATATTTTTAAAAAATTATTGAAATTAGAGGTTGAATATGAAATAATGAAATCTTTCGATTTCTTGAGAAAATTATAATCCCTCCCCATGGTGATTCGTCGCTTGGGATTGAAAAAAATGGAAAAGATGAAGGTAGAGACACAGGCAGCAGAAAGGGCCAAGTAAGTGTTGCAGATAGCATAGTATCGGTCGACATCGCTTCCGGGAGCACTGTTGAAAGAAGGCCAGAACATCCAAAGGAAAACAGTTCCGATCATAGAGAACATATCGGAGTGGTACTCAGTTCCTGATCGTAACCTTTAGACTATTTTTTAAAAGAGAAGATTTACCCTCAGCAGCGTTGTCCATTTGTCCGTCAGATTTGTAAAGCACCCGAGCGACGGCAAGGCCAAAATAGGCGCCGAAAGCGTGAATCACCATAGAACCACCAATGTCGGATGCTCCGATATGGTTGACAACGACGACAGCGTTGAGCTTTATTGTCTTAATTATTCGACCACAAAGTGAGTGAGCTTACATTGTAAAAAACAACTTCGAAGAGGATCATGAAGAGAAGCTGGACGGGAGAGGCAACGCCCAAAACAGCACCGAAAGAAATGAGAATCGCACCGGTGGTGAAATCAGCTTCGAGCATTCTGTATAAAAGTTTAAACGATGTCATTTGTGAGGTGCTTACCTTCCCATGTTGAGCTGGATAGTCAGGTCAGCAGTGTGATTTGAACCATGGGCGTCTGAGGTGATCGTGTGAAGAATGTCGTGGAAGAAGCCGGTACAAAGGAGAGACCATTGGATGGTGAATCCAGTGAACAAAAAGTTGAACCCGACCGAACTCCATCCATATCGCTTGAGGAAAGTCATCAAGAAACCGAAACCGACGACAATCATAACATGTGTATCCTGGAACCCTTAATTATCACGTCAGAATGGTCCTATTTACCAACATCAAGTTTTCACGTGATTATAGAAATTTGAATATTAGAATGGGGCCCCACAGTCTGCGGGCCACAAAACTTGACGCTAAAAGATCATAAACGGTGGCCATAAATCAACAGTTTGCTCTTGACCCAATTTTCAACTCTACTAATTAAAGTCACATAAAAACGTAGCGCGAAACTTTGATGTTCGCGTTCTATTTTCAAACTAAGATTATTAACTCACATGGGTATGTTCGATCCATATCAGCATCTACTCCTCCATCGTTGTAGCGGACAAACAGACCAAAGAGGATCATGAAAATGATTTGACAGACAAGTAGAACTCCAGCGAATTGAAGAGAATTCTCATTGTGTCTAAAAGTTTTGATCTCATTATCCTGCTCAGATTATTTCATTTCGACTACTACAATTATTGTTTCCAAACTTTGTGGTCTTTCTCTGTTATCTTACCCATCTTTTGGGGGATGGCCGTAGTCCACATCTTTTTTGTTCTTGGCGTGATCTCCCATAAGGACGCTATTTTCGTTTGCTTCTGTTCCCATTTTTTCAGTTTTTCAAAAAACAAAATCCGAGAAAATCTTTCCGGAACTTCGGTACTAGACAGCGAGGTATCTGTGGGCCGGACCGTGTCACACGATTTGGTAGATATATTTTTTATGAACGACCCAAGAGCGCTCGTATTTTTATCGTTATGGTGGTTGGGGCGGCCACGCTCTGTACGACCGGGCAATGCTCATAAGAAGTAACCTTCAGGGCAATAGACTATAATATCGGGACAACAATACTGTCAACCCTGCGGGCGCTTCTCTTGAGAATCAATCAATTAAAATTTATACATTTTAAGTCAACTTTTCCTAAATAATCATGTCCCCCGAATTACGGATAATTGAGCAAAGAAGTAAGAATAAGTATTGTTCATAAACTGTCCCTTTTTCATTTTTCTCGACATCTACTTATTTTCAAAGAAAGTGTATTCCTTGCATCAGATAAAATGCTCTTGACGTGGAGAACGAATTCGCACTTACTCTTAATTTTTGCAAGCAAATATTAAGACAAAGGAAGCATATTATTTATTTTTTATGTTTTAGCTATCGTATTATATTAAACATCAACAGAGGTCACAATGAACCCAAAAAATGATCTTGGACTGGAGCCAAGTGAGAGTCTTGATCGATCAAAAAATTCACGGACGCATCTTAAAATCTTTATTGCTTCTTTTGCCCAATTATTGTTTTGGAGCCAAGCTTTTTTTGTTTGTTGTTCTTGAACTTGAGTAGGACGGTTCCATGGTTTCAAAAAGACTCTCCCGAGCGTGTGAAATATCTTCATCACGAAAGAAGTACTGTCAATAAGAATTTATACGCTTTGTTGTTTGAAAAACTTCCCTTGAGCAGATGAGGGTCTTCTCTTACTAATGAACGTGAACTGGGGAGAGCACAGAGTGTCACTGTGGGAAGTCTTGTCTATTCTCACTTACTGTGAGCTTTCCTGCCGCGCCCACAAAATACCAATGCAAATGCGTCTTATCACTGATAAGTTTTCATGCGAAGAGGTACATCCATCCACTTTCCGGTCAGATTGACTCTGGTCAGAAAGAGATACATAAGGTAAATCATGGTTTATTCAAAAATATAGAAAAACATAAAAATACATTTTGAGAACCCCGTCCAAGACAACATGAGGACGGGGCTCATAAGGCACAGAAAAAGAGGCAGTTATGACTGGCGCACTTTGAGTCCAAAGAAAAAAGTTGTGAAGAAAATATTTTAATCAATCGAAATCGGTTCCCCAGAAACCTCAGGCATTCCTTCCACGTACTCTCCAGGCTCGGGCGACTTCGCCACGGCAAACTCGCTGAAGGCACCAACTCGACCATAGCGATCCTTCGCGCGTATGATGAAAATGTAATCGCCTTTTTTCGGAAAGTTCTTTAATGAACATCTGACTGGAATCCGGTGAAACATAACGTCTGAGAAACCTCAACTGTAAAGCTTATGCGTACCGAATATCTTTACCTTTATTGCCAATAAGTTTCCATTTGATTCCTCGGTCTCTGATATCTCGATGCGCTGAACGTCTCTCTTCGGCGGGAATCTTTAAGACGTAGAGCTCAAAAGACTCTGGTTTGGCTCTATCCTTCAGTTCCTTTTCAGTCTTGTCAATGTCCCACATACAAACGACCGTGTTGTTCGATGAAAATGTAGCTTTTAACTTCAATCTATGAGGGAGTTGCTGTAAAATGCCATTTACATCTTTCGAAGACGTTGTGAATTTGGGAACTGGGGGAAGGGGCGGGAGAATTCGCGTAACGCCGTCGTTGAGCTTCACTTTATTGCACTCGGGGATGTCGGAATACAACAATCTTAATCAGTAAAATTGGTGTTTTTTATTATGAAATCGTACCTCGGGAGATTCTTTCTCGGGGGCGACTCTGGACTCGAAGAGTCTGTGTTCTTAGGCGATCGCGAACAACGGCCCGTCGTGGGAGCATTGACGATTTTTATAGGCAGAGCTTTCGCTATCACGACGCAAGGTGCCTGAACGTTCGTTGTGGGGATTCCGTTTGCAATTGTCACAGGATTCGTCGTTGAGTATGTTTGCCCTGGATTGGAAATCAGGCGTGGAGAAACTGGAGCGCTCCCGTTCAAGTTGATTTTCTTCGCTGGCTGTATGATTTCGTCATCACTAGTTAGGTCGATCGCGCCATTAGTTTCAGACATCTCTTGCGATTTACGCTTCTGAATTACGTTTAATACATTTCATGACTAAATAGATTAACCTTTCCGGGAGGTGTCGTTTTCATTAAATTAATCGATTGCTGGAACTGTTCAATAACCGGCTGAAGGGACTTCGGGAGAATTGGACGATCAGTAGGAGATACACTTGGACTAGGTCTGATTGCTTCGGAATTTGTCGATGGAGAAGGCCTGTTTGTGTCTGAAGCGGCTGCTGGAGGAGCTACGGTTTGGTTTGAAGTTGCGGACAGGTCTTTTTGGTCGATGATACTTCCATACTAAAAATACATTGCAAAGAAGAAAGCTGCAGACTGCAGTCACCTACAGCGAATTTTGCATAAAATAGGCTTGCTCGATTCCGAAAGTTTTGTTCGATGACGCGCTTTTACGGCGATAACTTAAGATTCGCAAAATAAACCTTCTGGAATCGACCAAACATATTTTAACACCTAACACGATGAATTACGGACCTGGAACATCCAGGGCTGGATGACTTTAGTATCATAGGGTAATGGAATGGAATGGATTTGATTCAGATTTGAGGGCATGCCTGTGCTAACACCGATTTGGCTTGGAACCTGGTGGAAAGGAGCGGTATTTATCGATGGCGTCGCTTGAGACTGCTGAGGATCAGGGATTCTGGCAGCTGCGTTGTTTTGCTGGAAATTATCGGAACTTGACGACGAACAGGCTGGATAAGAAGAACCGTGAAAGATTGCACTAGATTCTGAAGGTTTCGACGTTTGGCCATTCGAATCGCTCGGCGAGATATCGTTGAACGCAATAGGAGTCCATTTTTCTTGAACAGTGAGCTGCTTGTATTTCGTATTCTTGTTGTCGGCCAGAAGGGGGGTGTTCGTAGCCGCGTCGCAATACTTTTTCTCGTCGAAAAAGTGCAACTTTTTTGCGCGCTCTGGCAGACGTCGATATGTCTTTCCAAAATTTTTCACAATTATTTTGGCTTCGGGAAAGTATTTATCAACCTGAATAAAATTATGAAATGAATTACATTCTATGATGAAATATAACTCTAAAAAGAACGTCACTTATGTATTGGAGCGTAAATCTACACTTTCAGCTTCAAATTCCAGAGAAGAGATTTCTGTGGTATATGTACCTGTTCCCAAATTGTTTTTTGGTTGGCGGAAAGAATTGGGATGCTCCTAATCACTTCCTTGTAGGCTTCTGCTTCGGTTTTCCCTTTCGCCGCTCTGTCGCTGATTTTCTGCATGCGACTGAAACCTATTTTTAAATGAACATACAGAGAAAACATACTTGATTATAATGTCCTCGTATTTTGCTACAGGCTTGTAGTTCGCTTTCAGAGTCTTTGCTTTTTCGTAAAAACTCTCGGCCTCGTCGCGTTGTTTCTTCATTCTGCGAATTTCGTTTTGCAGATTCTTTATTTCCTGCGCCTGTTGTCTTATCGTCGCATCCTTAACCTTGAGCAGATCGCGGTTCTCTTTCTGGCTCCCGTTTTTCTTCGTTGTGCTAGGTTCATTCTTCGCTTTCAGATTTTCCATGCCATTTACTGACACTGGCTTTTCGTCAACTAAATAAATTTGTTATGGTGCGGGGCAATGCAGTTGAAGTTTGGATGATGTAGATATTCACAGAATAAGAATTTTTACTGAAACGAAACACATTCTTAGGTTGAAAAGAAAGAAACAGTATTTTAGTTGTTTTCAATGCCCACTTGTGCAGGTAGAAACAATAATTTGGAGCTACAACAATTTTGCCCTTTTCAAGTGTTCTAGAAACATATCCATGGGATACAATTAGTGAGTTTTGTAAAACTTGTGCAAAGAACCTTTTTGAGTCGAAAATTTTGGATCCCGAAAAAATGAGTTTTCCTTTAGCGACACCGAATTTCTCTCCAGGTAAAAAAGAACCAATCAGAATCGACTTGAGGGTGTGTTGGTGATGATGGCCTGTAGACATTACCTGTAGTTTCTGAAAAATTGACCATGACTATTACTCTCCATCAAGAAACAAAAAACACGCGAATATCAGCCTTTGGTTGGCTTGGCTCGAACACGTGACCGGGGGCGTTTTTTCCCACGCTGGCCAGCAGAGGGACTCGAGCGCGAAGAAATTTCGGCGCGAACTTCAAATTTGTCGATCCCGCTCGTCTTCGAAAGCGTTAACGTGAAGTTCCACTCGCTGGCGAGGTCACTTTGCGTAGGTGGAGGTTGCCACGGTTGCGAAGATGGAAGCCTTGGTTCGCGCGTGGGCGTCAGCGGCTATCGACTCGACCGCGCGCGACCCTCGCCACCCATCACCAAACCCCGCAATTGCCCAGACGAAAAGGGACACCCAAAATTTCGGTCCCCCAAATGATTGCAATCATTAATTTTTACCCAATCTACGGCTCATCTTCACGCGGATCATCTTATTTTTCTAACATTTCCAACTCCGTTTCTAACTTTTCCCCTCAGTGGCAGATTTTTTCAGCAATTGCTTTCAGGCATTTTCCATTGCCATCAGCTGTGTATTCTCTCTTTCGAAGTCTTTGCTGGACTTTGGAACGCTTACTTCTTGGCTGAATGAGAACCTTCAAAAAGTTTGTTTTCAACTCACTCCACGGTTTTCCTTCCCGACATCTTAGTTTGTTGGATTTAACTTCGGCAACTGTTTGTTTTCTTTCTCAATTTAAGTAATATAATAACGAATAAGATACTCATCCATGGAAGAAATCTAAACAAGTGGCCGTTTTCTAAAATCCCGATGAAAGTAGATTGGTGGCCCATGAGAAGCTACTTTCACGGTGGGAATTATTTGACTTGATTTTTCAAATAATAAGGGCGTTATTATAAGGCTAATGTGTGGAAAAAATATTCTTATCGAGAAGTGCTTTAAATAGTCATGACAATGCAATTTTCATAAGTTGTGGCGACTGAATAATAACTCCATGTAAGAGGATATCTTCTTTTCATTACAAGGCGGCTGCTGTATTATACATAAAACGTGCACTTGATAGATAGGAAGTCAAGTGCCGAAAATAATGTCAGAGAAGGCTGAAGAAGGAGTCGAGAATCGAGCATTTGAAGATGAAACAGAGAAAAGAGATGAGGATGAAAGTGAAGACAGAGAAGAGGAAAACCAAGAAAGCGGGGTAAAAGAAGACGGCGAAGAAGATAAGAATGACGACGGTAATTCGAAATGGAAACGCGCTGCAAAAAATGCTGTTCATCCAAGTCTACAAAATAAAGAACCTAAAGAAGATGAGGAAAGTGGTTTACAATTCTGAATAGTTCATTCAAACGTTGACTTTTTAATAGACAACTGTAGTAAATCGGCTAAAGAGTGAAATTTCATCTGGAAACGAGTCAGATTCAGGAAGCGAAAGAGACATGTCAGAAAGGTATTCTTCTCTCACGTGAACAATTTAAGACGTTCTTAGCTCAGACGAAGACGAACCTGAAATATCTCTAGCCCCGTAGTTTAAAAATTCTATTAAAACAGATGATAGATAATATAAACTATGTCAAGTTGGGAAAGAGATGAGCAAGAGGGAAGCCTTAAAAGCTCTTCTTGATTACATTGACGATCATTGCTGCTGGGGCCGACGCCCTGCGAAGAAATTAGAAGTCAAGTCAGTCACATCGTCGACTGCTTTTAAGGTCTTTAAAAACTGGGAAAATCAAAAATATCGGAATAGAGTCGGATCGTAACACAAAGTTCTAGTACCAAATTGCTTCTTACACAGAGACAAGGAGGATCGTAAGACGCCACCGACCATATTCAGGGCTTTTTCATTGTCAATTGATCATCAACTAAATTGAATACTTTAAAATTGCGTATGAAGCATGGAGGGTGGATTGACGATGATGGCGAAGTCTCACGCATGTGGGACATCGCCGTACCGAAACCGTTTTACCCTGAAGACGAGGCGTCGAACCCAGTGGAGTACGAGGTCGACAGTACGTACGATACAAAACTAAACCACACGGAAGAAGTTTGGACTTGCCATAGATGTAGAGGCAGCGGCCGTGTTCGATGCACGCGCTGCCGTGGAAGTGGGCGAATCAATAGAACGTTGGTTTATTTTTTGGTTACAAGTTGCATCACTGCTGATGTTTTAGAGATTCAGAGGGTCGACAATATAGAGCAAACTGTCCGAGATGTTATGGTTCTGGGCGAGTGACATGTGGAACTTGCGACGGCTCTGGTCGACTCGTTTGGTACAAAGTCGTGGTCACCACTTTTAAGACAATCTTCGATGATTATATATTTATGGTTTTCGTTATGATGCAAAGAAACATTTTCCCACACAGGTTGCGAAAACTTAATTAAGATGAAAAGACAAAAATGGACGATGACGTTATTCACGCAGCAACAGGCGACAAGATTATGTTCTCTGCTGGAAGAAGGGTCGGCGCCATAACTCACTTTGAGCCAGAAGAAGTCGCTCAGAATTCCAAGCGATTGGTAGGAAGACATAGAGGACTCAACAATGGAAGATGCAATCTCTGGCGAATGACTCATGTTAGTCAATTTTGAAAACTCATTAAAATCATGGTCTTTAGAAACTTCAATCTGTGCCTGTTTTTGAAGTCAAATACGAGCTCGACGATGATGATGGAATCTTCTGGATCGCGGGTAACAATAAAACGATTTACTCCGAAGAAATAGTTGACAACTTTACAAGCCTTTGTCATTATTTTCTATCACTTTTCAACTCCTTAAAGATTATCCTGCTCAATGCTGCTGTATTTGTAACGTTCCTGGATGCTTCAACAACTGTCATAAATGTAACAACTGCGTGCTTCTCTAACTGTAGCATATAGATTCCCTAGCAAATTTTAGGTAGATGTCTAGCATAAATCTGCGAAAATATACAGTCACAAACACTTGTTTCGGATTTATAAGCCACCAGCTTCAATACAGTATCAAAAAGTTGTTTAACCGTTCGGTATGTTTTTGTTTAGCACGTAAGACAGATGGCACACATTTTGCACTGAAGAGACCTTCTGTATAATCTATAGACTATATTATTCAGAAATAGAGATTTTAAGGGTCGTGAGATTGATAAAAAGAAAGAAGAAAGAAGATAAATAGAATGATAAGACATTTTAATCAGACTTGTTCATTTTATAAAAACAGAGCATAATTACTTGAACTTATTTTGTATGGCCACCAATTACAATTTATCTGTTGTTACAAAAAGCAGAGGCTCGGAAATAGTCTTTTCATAAAAAGTGTGTTATCTTGACAGTCGGAAGGTGAAAAAAATAATATTAGAATGGCGTTCTCCTGAAGTAGGCTTGCTGTTTGACTAGTCGAAGAGGCAGAGCATGATTAGTCTGATTCGTAGCCACCACTTGCTCCACACAGCCGTTCATGCTCACTCAGAATTGCTCGTAGGCCATTTGCTTGCTCCCTCAGCAGGTGAATCTCTTCCGATACTTCGTTCGTCGCCGCTCGAAGAACTCCCACTAAGTTTTCAGTAGAGCATATTTTCAAGTGGAGAGAAACTAACCTTTCTTTTCTAACGCCTCGGTTTGCTTTTTTTTCTTCGCACGGCTTTTGGCTGCTGCTTCTCGGTTTTTCACTCGTTTTGCTTCCACTCGTGCACGCTCCATTTCATCAGAAATCTAGACAACTTTGATGACATGGATTCCAAAAGGAAGTATTCAACAATGAGTAAGTTCTGCAAGTGTTTAATAAGGATTAGCATTTGAACGTGACAGGCAGGTGTTTTCCTAGATTGGCACGTTCTAAAAAGGGATGACTAAAAGTGTCGTCACTGTCCGAATCATGCAGTGACTGAGATTTGACAAGTAGCTACTTTCCTCGGGCCAAAGTACGGAAATTCCTTCACGTGTGTCCCGTGATCAAAAGAAGAGTAATTTAAACTCACCAGTTCGAGGTTGATCTTCCCAGAGGTATCTTTGTAGTGATCGTAGTGGCCCTTCACTCTTCGTGGAGCAGCACTGCAGCTTTCGTTCCCGGACGAGCGAGCGGGACTCTGGATAGGTGTCGACTGCCCAGAGCCGAATATTTCATCTTCCAAGTATCTAAACACTCCTAGAAACCGTCTGACTTGAATAACATACTCTTGCTTGATCAACGAGGGCAGATCTTGAATGCACTTGATTTCCGATTGACAGTGGTCCAGCTGATGTCCGAGCACCTGATCCAGAACGTTGATTCCTTCTTCCAAATGAATCGAGGTGTTCCTGTTGAAAAGGACCAGGTCTATTTCATCTGGCGACATCTTGAGTAGAATGATGACTGCTTCTCCGCAATCTAAATGATTTCGTTATTTTCCGGCGGCGGCGATTGCGAGAACTTTTAAATAGACGAGTTAGCCTTTAGCGCCAGCAATAAACCCACTAACTGTTCAAGTCCGCCCATGTTCTTGACAGTTAGCAGCTCTAAATATGAGTGCCTTTTTAATTATCGCGAGCCTCCTGTTATTTTAACAGAGGGTTTGCAATAATCTGTTTTTGCATCAACGAAATTTACATTCTTGAAATAGCCTCTCAAATGTTTTGAGCACGCCAGTGCCTGTTTCAAATGGCAGCCTGTAACTGTATATCATACCTCGGTTAGACAAAATTGTTTGTTATCTGCGCTGTTTTCTAGTTTTTTTTTCTTGGCTGGTATAAGCGGTGTTGGGGATTTATTATTTCTCTCGAAAATACTTTCTCGGAATGTGCGCCGCACGTGAAATAACTGCGACAGCACTTAAGTTCTCTCCCGCCGTGGTGTTGGTGCAGCACAGTATCGCCAATCACGCTGAACACGTGATAAGTCAGGGAAGGTTAGTTGAGATTTAAAAGTTATTCCGAAACGACGCCTTTGGAATAAGCTTGTTCGTGGTTGACAAAAACCCTCCTCCGCCTGGGATGGAGCCTCAGGCCACTTCTCAGAAGAATATTCCTCGGTAATTCCCCACCTCTTTCTATTATTTCTTTATCATCCCGCCCGTGCTTGTTTCCCCAACATGCGGGAGTCAAGTCCTACCCTCTGGCTCACCAGAATCAGCTTATTTCTAGCGCCGGATTCTTTCTCAGCAGAATAAGTAGCACGTTCAGTCGGATGTACTTTAGTTTACTAGAACTAATCGCCAGAACGTGCGCTAGAATCGACTTACGCAAGGATAATATTCAACTGAATTTATGAGATTTATCAATTGTTCGAACATGGAAAGGCAGACTTCAAATGTACAAAAATTAGAATACTTAGTCTTTCTACTCTGATGATAGCGAATTCTCTGTTAGAGCAAGACTCTTACCTGCAATTTTTAGTTTGATGTTATTTTTCTTTTCCAGCTCTTATGATAAAAATATGACGAAAAAATAAAAACTGAAGTTTAGGTGTGTGTCTGTGAGCTGGTCTCACTATATTATGAAATTTCGATGGTGGTGCTGCTGGTGGCGCAAAACACTTATCGCTTAGTAATCTTAACGTGTTGAGCCTTTCAAGCTTTCTCGCCGAGAGATGAAATGATGATTCTTGATGCTCAAGGGAACGTCGGTTCCGTTCTGGTAATGTCTAGTATGAGCCAGATTCGTCACGTTAGATATCAAAGCCTTGATAATGAAGAATGCGCCCTCGGGCACTGGGCTCCGATTAGGTCGACCTGGAAGAATCCACTGCACTCTTTTTGCGCGAAATAGTCCGAAGCACAGAAGAGTACTTCCCGCTGTGTTTTGCAAGCACGCATCACGGGATCAGGCGATGGAACGTGCTGGAAATGTTTTTGCTCCAGGTGGTGGCGCAATACAATCAGCGTTGCGGAATGTGACCACACAGACGTCTGCGAGAATCGTTTTTAGCCTATTTTAAATAATAATATCATCTTTCACAAGTCTTTTTTCTTCTAATCTAAGAACCATGTACAATTGTAAGAGCATTCTCCAGCTTGTCTAGCGTTGACGGGGAAAAGAATCTGACTGTCAGAAGAAAGCTCGCCGGAATCTAGACTCTCGTTTGGGAGTGACAGACTTGTAATTCCCTCGGATCCACCAGATCAGTAAGCGGATTATCTCCAAGTTTCTGCAATATTAGTCAAAAAACTATATTTAGGCTATGAAATCCTCAATAATAGGTACGTTAATCAAACTAACAAGAGTCCATCGGAGCAGCATTAGTTCAACAGAAGCACCGATGTGACAAGAAGTCAATCTATTCGTCGTTATGAAGAGATGCAAAGGTTGTCATTTTGTCGAAATTTTGGCCGCGTGACGAAGAAAATTTAGACAGTTTTTGCAATTCAACTTTGACCTAGTAATGAAACGTCGACGGACTTGAGTATCAATAAAATAGTTTTGTCCGTCGTCGATTCCTGTGTCTGCGGATAATCCGTCCTCGCAGAACCGTCTGTGGAAGCTTTGTCTTGATATCCTAATTGCCTATAAGATTCTCTTTTCCGCTTCGAAGTACTTGGGTTGCACTTTCCTTGTGGTATTTTAGGGTCTGAATGAGACCATTAAATTAGGCTGACGGATGATTTGGCGAGAGTTTCTTGTCAGAGCAGTACCGAATCTGGACCAAAGAGTACAAGAAGTATTTATTTGTTTCTGATCAACAAACTGAGAAGACACTTCATTCAAATACACCACACGACTTTTTCATAATTTCAGTATTCCTCAGAAGCAATGAAGAGTTCGCACAGGAAGGCCTGGCAGGTACCTCAATAAACGAGAAATTAAAACAGTGAAACCCCGGATATTTTTAAACAACGCTGAGAAAATAATTTAAACATGCTTACGGATGAAAATACAAGTATTTCTCGCTTTTTCATCCGTCAGAAGTTTTTCCGAGAGAATCGACACTAATTATATGATAAGGTCTTCTTTGCCGCTCTCCTTCTTATGGATGGAGTAGCTGGCCAAGTTTGGAGGCATCAACCTAGAGCTGCTCGTTCAATCCAGAAATTTGAATTTACAGAAGCCCAGAAAACCTCGCTTGCAAACGAAGTCAGCTGCCAATTTATGGGAAAGTATAACGAAGCCAGCAATGAAGTAGGGAAGGTGCCTAAAGTTGTAACGGCAAAGTTGTGTTTGATCACGTGACTAACGACACCGGGATGGTCGCTTGATTTTGAGTGACATCGCTATGAGCACCTTAAATAGCCAGAATGACCTTGTTAATGGACGCGATGGATCAGTACGACGAGCTTATGGCGTCAGAAGATGAACAGCTCGCTGCTCTACAGGATTCCTATAAAGCTTTCGAGATCTTGCACGAAGAACAAAATCAGCAGTGCCAGACAAATTTCACATCAATGCATAAATCCTGCAACACGTGCATCATGGAGAAATGCCAGGATTACTACAGAAACAACTGTGCCTCTTTGGAGCCCGACCCAATGGAAATTATTGAACCCCCGTGCAAGACAAGGCCCGACTCGCCTTGCGAAGAGCCAGAAAGAACTGATCAAAGCATCGGAAGTAATATTGATAGATTTCCTCCTCGGCCTACCCCTGTTCAGGTATCTTTCACTTGTCTTATTTATAGAGACTTAAAATTTAAAGCCTTCTTCTGGAATGAATATTCAAATTTCGGTCAATGGCGAGTCTGTTCCTTCCATGACCCAAGCATTGGAAATGATCAGAACTACAATGACTCAAAAGGTTACGGAACCGGAAGCTGACTGTGAACCAGGAAATTCTTTTGCGGAGTTTAAAGAAGTTGTCAGTCCAGTTTCGCGGAGCTCGTCTTACCAAGTTTCGATGTCCTCAAGTGGAGGAAACGGCAACACAGGCGCGGCGATGGGCTCATTGGGATCTCTTGACGACATGATGCAAAATGAAAATGCGAAGGTGCAATTTAGAGCCAATATTAATGGAAAGGAAATCGAATGTGACTCTTACGAATGTATCCAGCAGCACAAGGAATGGTGGAAACATACAGAAATTTTGATTTCATATAATTTGTCGTAAATAATTAGAGTCAGTAGCCATGTTTAATCCAAATTGAAAGGAACAAATGTCCCGCTTTGAAAATCTATGGAATCAAAGAGCTGGTGCTTTTGGGCAGGATAGATCTGACTCTTCTGGTGCATCACGATTTTCGTATTCAATGAGTGGTAGCTCGGGATCGGGTCCTCGAACTTCATCGTCGTCCTTCCGAATGACATCATCATCCGGCGGCAGCTTTCCTCAGGCGCAGAGTCTCGGGTCCTCCATGACTGGTGGCTGCTCAGAGTGTGGAGGCTGTGGACAGCAGCAACAGGGAAGTTCTGCATTCCGCCAAAACCCCGTGGCTAACAGCGGCCCTTGCGGATTCCAGGAACGAGCAGAGGTCGGTCATGGACGAGACTTATTTGGTGAAGTCAGACGTGATCTTGTTTCACTTGAAAACAGCGGCAATGGCAAAATTACAGGTGAAGCAATATTTGTTTTTGTGATGTTTGCGTCATTTACGGCCAAAGTTCGAAAAAAGGTAATCTTTTTCTTAGAGAATGGAAATACCTTTTCTTACTCTTGGGAAGGAACTGGTGGCATTCCAGAAAACCTAGAAGAAATAATGAATCTTGGCTTAAGTCGACTAAATCGCCAGCGAGCGCACATGCGCAGCGGATGTAACACCGGTAGATGCACCAGGAATTTGCGAGAAGGACTTGCTCGTTCTCGACGATACTACCCAACAAAAACTCGACGAGCGGTTTCTCAATGCGCCATCGAACAAGCTGCCAAAGAAGCTGCCGAGCGTGCTCGCCAAGAAGAAGCTCGTCGACTAAGCGAACTCGCCAAGCAGGGTGGATACAACTCAGCATGCTCAATGCTCAACTCTCAACATGGGGAAGCACAAACGAATATGATGGTAACACAGCTTTTGACAAACCTCAAAGGAGAGCTCAGTCGCGCAACAGAAAAGTGTATGTCCAGTGGAAACTGCCATAACACTCGAGTTAATATCAACATCGTTGGACGAACTTCTGGCGGCGGGTGCAACCCTGATGATTCCAACTCACCATGCAATCAAGCTCAGTCGCTTTACGATCAAACCCGAAACAAGATCAATGAGTGGACCAATACGCAGACAAATACACGAATCGACTTCTCCTTCAATGGCTCTGGTCAACCACAGCCTCAACCAACACAATCACCAACTCGACGACCTTATTACCCAGAAACTGATGCACCTTATGTCGCTCCTCAGCGCACGACCCCAGGTCGAAATGCTCCAGTTCAGCCAAATACCGACTCTAGCAGCGTCCCTGTTGATAATTTCCCCTCAAGACCAAATCCAGACGACTATTCGTATGATGGTTCACAGTCGTACGATGACAGCACAGTAGACTCAGATTACTATTCCAGTCTAGAAGAAAATATGAACCAGCTCGTTGAAAATCCAGCTGAGTGGGCGATTTGGGGTTCGTGGAGCTCATGCGACATCAACTGCGCAAACGGAAACGAAAAAGGAACTCAAGTTCGACGCCGAAATTGTGAAATCGACCGACAAGTAGTGTCCAATCTTCCAGTTGAAAATTGTAACATTGGAGACGATGTACAATACAGAGAGTGCCTGCCAGTACCCAAGCCATGCAATACCGTTAGTTTTTTGTAAAAATATGGTGAAACTAAGACGTTTTTAGTGGGCCCACTGGGGTTTCTGGACAGAATGCTCTGCAACTTGCGGTGCTGGTACCCGAGAGCGAACTCGCTCCTGCATGTATGGTGGCGAGTGCCAGGGACCGAAGACTCAACAGGAAGCTTGCACAAACCTTATTCACCCTGAGTGTCCGACTTGGTCCGATTGGAAAATCGCTGCCGAATGCTCAGTCACCTGTGGTCAAGGTGTTCGCTCATACTTTAGGACTTGCCAAAATGGACGAATCAATGAGCCCGGTTGTGTTGGACCTGCTGCTCGACAAGAACCTTGTGATACAGGTACTATTAGTTTTGTAGATCATCATTTACTACATCGTCAACGACAGATTAATGACATAACATAAAACTAGGAAGGGAGTGTGCACTCTGGACTCAGTGGTGCGAGTGGACTGGTTGCTCCGCCACATGTGGTCGAGGAGCTCAAGTAAGAGAACGTCAGTGTGTCAATGGCGAGCCTGGAGAACCTGGATGCGAGGGACGAGCAAACGAGAGAAAGGTAACTTGGATCAGATTTCATCTCATAAAATTTAATGAAGATCTGTTATGCCGAGCAAATAGCATGTCCCGAGTGGACACCATGGAGCGAATTTACCGCTTGCTCTGTGTCTTGTGGAGAAGGCCTGAGAACTCGAGTTCGTGATTGTCGCAACGGAAACATCGGCGACGATGGATGTATCGGAGAGCCCGAAGAAGCTGTCGAGTGCGAAGCCAGTCGTCAATGTCCCTTCTGGTCTATTTGGGGATCATTTTCTTCTTGTTCCGTCACTTGTGGAGAAGGTGAGAGGACAAGAACACGCGAATGTGTCCATGGGAGAGAAGGAGAAATTGGATGCGAGGGCACCTCCGTCGTTGTGAGCATGTGCTACGGTGCTAGACGAGAATGCGAATACTGGAGTGAATGGAGCGAGTATGGACAGTGTTCTGGTGGGCATTGAACTAGTTTTCAGTATTTTATCTATTAAGTAACTTGTGACCGTGGAACACAACAACGAACTCGTGAGTGCATCAATGGACGGCCAGGTGACGTAGGCTGCCCTGGAAGCGCCTTCGAAGCTATCCCCTGCGAAGAAGAGGCGTGCATCCGATATGTTGATTATCCTGATGCCAATCCTGAGCCAGTAGAATGTGACGAGAATCCTGATTATGGAGGTGACCCTAAATCAAATCGGAATCGGCATTCATTTTTTATATAGATCAAGATAATCAGGAGCCACTCGAACGAATTGAAATCGAGCATCGCGAGGATGAGCCATTTGTCATGCCTGCTCCACCTGTAATTACTTTCCTTTGCATACGTCATGCTAAACTGGTTTTAGCCAACCAAGGAACCCACCCCAGCCCAAGATATCACTTGCGGTGGAATTCTCGAACGCGACTCCCAGCAATGCTCCTCTCTTTTCCAAGAGAGTTGCGCAGCCTGTGACTCTTCCCTAAGCTCTGTCTGCTCCGAGTATTATAGCCTCAAAGTCAAATTGGAAGAGCTTCATCACGAGATGAAACAATGTGAAGCTCGCAAGAAGTTCTACGCTGAGCGAAAAGCTGAACTTAACATTCAATACATGGAACTCCAACAGGTAAAAACTCCGCGATTACAGAAAGCGTTAAAAATGTAAACCAGAATGTAAACGAAAACCACCAATGGGCGTTGAATATGGCTGTCAGTCTTCTCCCCGCTGACGCTACATCTCCAGCGGAATACCCACCTTGCGATATCAAATCTGGTAAGAGAAGTTTATGAGACTATTTATCATTTAAAATTTTCAGCAACCGTACAACCCGAGCCTAGCCAATTCGGCTTCACGATCTCCGTTGTTGCGAAAATGAACGTAACCCCCTATTCCGAAATTCGGATCGACATGGACTTCAACCAACCTTTCTCCAACTGCTGCAGCAGCAGACAAACAATGGCACGAACTCGACGATCTCTTGGAAATCGGCTTATTCTTAAATTGAGGCAGATTTCTGAGCGAAATACGCCCATGTCTTACCCCTAGCCTTTACCAAATTTACATCCATTGAACAAAACTCATTGAAAAAAAATACGCGAGCTTTTATCGCGTGGATATCTTACTGCTTCTATGTTCTATAATGATAATGAATAACGCGAGACAAAAAGTCTTTTTGTTCAAGATGGTTATTTATTCAATTTATTAAGCAATTGACCTTTTTCCAGTCTGGAAAATTCCAGATACTAGATAAAGAAATATTTCTCTGACAAAGAAATAGAAAAATGGCCGATCCTTATCTAGAATCAGAAGAAACAGTCAAACTCGTCCTCATCAAGAACTGGCTCTTCTTTTATTTCAGTTTTGGTCGGCTGAAAGTCGTAGATGATGTTCTCTGTCAAGATTCTTTCAACGGGCTCTTCCTTAACTTCGGCTTTGATCTCTTCTTTGACACTTTCTTGAACCAGGATAGTTAAAGCTGTGTCATCGTTGATTTTTGGACTTTCAGGACTCTTTTCAAGGGACGCTGTGGGATGAAAGATCTTGATCTGAATCTCTCCAGTTAGCGTGTCGGTATATTCTAAGCTTCTTGGAATCCCTGAAACTTTTGCATGGTCAATGAAGTTCTGCTGCAAGTTGTCGTTGTTATTGGCCTGTCACAAGGGTCGGGGAATGAAAACAAAGAGATCACACCCATTATAAGAATTTATATGAATTTCAATTTAGCACTTTCAAGAATCTTGAAGTTCAAGATAACGATTTCCGCGCCGGTTCCTGGTGTTCGAGCTCGACATACTCTTGCGTTGGTCCGCGCGTCATTTCGTCGTGAACGCGTAGACGCTTAGCATCCGGGTGATAGTCCCATTTGTCGAAGCGCTTCGGGTTCTTGGGAAATTGTGGAATCGTAAGCGTTCCCCTGATTGTACTTTCATCGCCGTCCACAGGTCGCGGGTAGAGATCATATTCTTTCACATCAAATTTAGTTGGTGTGCAGGTGTGGATGTGCTTGTAATGATTGAAAAGGATGAACTTGAAATCAGAGAGATCGTTGTGATTGTCCCTCAGGAATTCCCAGTATGACTTGTGATCAAGGCACGGACCAGTGAAATATTCAGGAAACTTGATGGCGATTACTGAAAGGCATTTCTTGTGGATGCAGCGGATAACCCTTGTGTTCTACGAAGAAATTTTCAAGCTGATTTCATTATCTAAATCACCTTAGATTTCGCTGTCGATCTCACTCGAAGTGTTGTCACGTACAATTCTCCCTCTATTTCTAAGTGGAAATGGATGGCCCCATGTTTGGAAACTCCAACAGCGTACAAGTTGGGATTGCTCATGGTACCAGTCTTTTGTTTCGGGATCCTCGCCAAAATTTGTTCGGAGTTCATGATATTCAAGCAATCTAAAAAGAAACGGAATTAAATAGTCGGGGAATAAGTGGCCTATTCAGTTAAAAATTAAATTTTAATAATAGTAGTTCATATTTATTTAATTGGATATTTTTTGTAGAATATTCTTTTATTTTCCTTATAATAAAAGCGAGCGAAAACTCAACTGAAAAATCTAACACATTGCGCGAAAGTTGATCGAGAGGCAGCCTCTGCGCTGAATTTTGCCAGAAAAGAGCGGGAAAAACAGAGAGTCAAGCAAAATTGGGAGCTATCATCCTTGTTTCTAGTGATGACAGGAGCGTGGAGAGTACGTTTAGGTAGAGAACCGAACAGGTTTTCTCCATTTTTATCGCGAGTTAATCAGGTAACTTTAATCAATTACCCAGCATCGGATAATTTAAGATTTTCTCACCTCGTCGAACTAGAGCACAGCCTAGTACCAGTTCAGGTACGACCCTTTATATTTTTTGTTTAAAATCACTAGTTTCAAACCGACCGGGTACTCCTGTGAGACGCCGCCGCAGAACTGTTTCTGATTCTTCACTCAACACTGATCGCTTTTTGACACAAGTTGAGCGGGACGCCCTTGGACCTGTCAAGGAAAGGGCTTTGCTTTAGTTTACGTTCATAGTACTGAGCTTTGATCAGCTCTAGCAGCCAAGATCGAATACGAGTGTTTTGCCACCTCTGGTTGTTCTCGACAATCCAGACGAAGATCGCATCGAAAGACTACGAGAACACTGCCAGGTGAGATGAAAACATAGGCTTTAAAAAATTTTTACTAAGTGCACAATCTGCTTGGACTTGCCCGAAGAAAATGATGCGATCTATCAGTGTCAAATGGGCCACATTTATTGCCAGTTTTGTTTAGGTACTTAAAGAGCGAGATTATTGTGATAACCTTCATTTAGCTCGACTGATCGCCGACGGGGTCATAATTGGAGGTGGTGCACACTGCGCCACTTGTAGAAGTACCTTAGATTGGAAACACGTCGTTAGGGTTCGAGCGATTGAAATGATGGCCCGAGAGTTGCCCAAGGACTGCGAATATTGCAATATGACAGGTACCTTTGAATGTCAGAACATTATACACAAGTTTTACCAGTTCAGAATACAACGATGAGTGCCCATAGAGAAGTCTGCGCTTTTAAAACCATTGAATGTGATTACAAATGGGCTGGCTGCACCTGGAAGGGCAGACGAGGCCAATCTTTGGAGCATATTGGGTAAGTCGGTTCAATCTTACTCAATTGAAGCTATTATAAATAGAACATGTGATGTTGGGCAAATGCCACTTTCTCAAACGTTAGAGAGCGCGAAATCCGCCATCCAGTTGGTCAAAAACAAAGGCAACAAGGTGCAGCAGTTGCTGAAGCTTTACACAAGTGCCAACTGCTGGATGCAAGATATCTATATGAAAGCGTATCGAGTGAGCGAGTATGGCCCCGGAAAACTTCGCTTTATATCTCCCGAGTTTGTCGCTCTTGATATAAGGAACCCGTTTTCTCCTCTAAATTCATTTATAAATCTGTAGTTTTTAACGGTTTAAAGTTGGCAGATGACTGGAACGATCGTTTCGGTGGAAAAAAATCCATCCAGGCCAACTCATGGCGAAGATCGCTCAGTGGAAATTCAGTTAACAGCGGTGAATTTCCTCTTGAAATTTCTCATCTAAGTCATTCTAGCGGGGGCTTTCTTACGACGAGGTGCGATCAATTAACTTCATCATTCTGAAGTCGCCTAAAAGCATCGTGGAAATTATTCCAAGCCAGCATAAGCACCGCTTTGATCACGAATCCCCCTCTTCCGAAAAATACAAAGTCCATGTCAAGGAGAATTCCGACTATAATCGCCTTATTGGGGCACAGGAATGCGTTTGAAAATTTTATAAATCAAATAGCTGAAAAAGGGAAACTTTCCAAACGCTGTAAAGGGTATTTATCTGCGCGTTGTTCTGGCAAGGGTTGATGACGAGTATTCTGATGCATTGTCGCTTGAGTGTCTATATAATTTAAAATGAAAGTAACTCAACGAACTAAAATTCATTCGTTTTAAAGCGTGGACTTAACCCTTACTAACAGTTTGAAGACCGACGGGCATCCAATAACAACGCCGAGATCGATTACGACTCCTTCGTTGCTAATCTTCCTACGAGTATCGATCCTGTGCTTTAGCTCTTTATTTATTTTAAATATATTTTAATCGAAAAATTTGTATCACCGTGCGTTTGGTATTGATAGCAAGGAAGACAACTAAACTATGTTCGGATTAGAAGCTAAATGACAATGAAATTAAGTATCCGCGCCTTAAAGAAACTTGAGGTTATTGCGTTCAGTATCTCGGGTTTCCCGAAAAAGCTGGGGCCCAGCGCAAAATGTGAACGGTGAGTTAAGCTTGGTTAAGTCTCCCGCAGTACACAGATTCTCGTTTGTGATCCTTTTAAATGCGCGAGCCCTTGATACCCACCCATCTTTTTTTTAATATCCGGAGCTTTGGTTACGCAAAAAAAAACTCTTTGCATCCTTCTTTGATACCGTATCATTGATATGAAACTCAAAAAGAACTCCTTTTCAAAGCGGGCGAGATCCAAAGGGGCAAAATTCATCTCAGATTCACGCTATCGATCACGGTGGTAAGACTCTCGGCAATGAATTTAATCCACAGATTTGCGTTAAAACGCGGCTGGGAAAAAGGCACAAAGAAGCTAAAAATATGCTTCTGTTTGGCGCTCATGAACGTGAAAGATGTTTGGTTTTAAAGGCAGTTCATCGCACATTTCGAAAATTCATAAGCGAACCGTAGTAATCTTATCTGTAAAACCCCCAGCGAGCGATATCAGTTCTTGTCTGTTTTCTATACTTTCATATTAAGACAATCGGTAATACTTAACGTACTTTTGCTTTACACCAAACACAGCGAGTAATGGCAATCTGAAGAGTAATTCTATATATATTTCATTACATATTTGATTACAGTATTACGATAAGTTGCGCGAAGGATATATTACGAGAAGAGAAATAGACACTGGGATAAAATCAAACTCAAGAAAAATTTGGAGACCAGAAACAAATGTTGATTAGCCAAATAATTTAACAATAAAAGCAGTGGAACGTTGAGAAGCATGATTTGAAAAAAAAAACGAAAAAAATGCCGTAAAAAACAGTGAAAAAAAAACGAGAAAATAAACAACGCAAATAAGTAAAACGGGAGTATAGTAGAACTCTAAGAAGTTTAAAATTTACAGACGATGGTCATATTCATAATAGATGTCTCCGCCTCCATCTCTGTTTACGAACTCCACGCCGTTAATGAATGGTTGGCCACCAATGTCATTTGTGATGTAGCGGACGGGTCCGTAGTTCGAGCTATCCATCGCCACCCAGTTTCCATTGCTTGAAAAAGGATAAAGCTGCCATCAAATTATTTTTACCCGTATGGCTGAGGAGGAGCAGCTGAAATGTAAGGTGTTGGCATAGGAGCACTTGCAAAAGCAGGAAAGTGCCCTTCATACCCAGTTATAGGCGGGGACAAGGCAGGAGAGAGGGGTGGAGCAGAACAAGGTGAGCTGCTGAGAGCGAGGGAATTGGGAGTCACGCTCAGCGGCAAGTAGCTCTGCGAAGAGGGCTGAATATTTTGAAAAATCGCAGCGCAGCGACGCAGAGGGATTCGGGTTGTGCTCTAAATAAAGATAATTCATGCAGACTTATACAATTATACTTTCGCCATCTCGACCTTGAGCTGGTTATGGAGCGTCAACCGAAAGCCATCCAACGACTCTTTGGCCCGTCGAGCGGCGAAATGACTCGTGAACGTCGCAAAGCACACTGTCTGGCCACCAGTGGGTGGAGGAGGCTTCAGCACGCATCCTTCATACTCAGCTACAATTTATAAGAAATCTTGTAAACGGTTATTCATTTCATACCACGAGAGCCACCACCAGTGAAGAGCAAAAAGAGCTCACGGTGGTGCACGTTTCGTGGCAAACCAGTGACAAATATCGTTCGCACTTCCTCCTAAAATGATTATTACCTCTCGCGCACAAACAACTGGAAAAAATGCTTACATTAAATAACTTGCTAGGCTAACTCATCGAAATGCCACTTACCTTACTTTCGCCGGAACGAATGAAAGAATGCTCCTCAGCATGTTCCACGCTGGAAATAGAGATTTCGTGATTAACCTCCGATTGGACAGCATCGACCTCAGGGTAATAATATTCCTGGGGAAGATGCTGTTGGCCACAGACGATATGAGACGGCGGATGGCCAAACGAAGGATCGACGTAAACCTGGTTGTAACTCTGGTTGTATGTAGAAGCATGGTTGACGTATTGTTGCTGAGGGCATTGATGGTTCCATTGAAACTGATTCACGTACTGCGGCGGTTGCTGGAACTGCTGGTATTGAAACCCATAGTCGGGTGGATTCTGCACTGGAAAGCCGTGAAACTGGCCTCGGAATCGGCTAGCTTGACCAGCCTTAACAGCAAGTAAAGTAAGTACAGGCGGCCTTGATTGGTTAATTAACGAACACTTATGAAATCGAAACTCTAATAAAAACTTTTCCAATTTGTTTTAACCTTCAATGCACATTCCCCATATTTAAAATCAAACTGATAACTTTGCTTGATAAGAAATTTTATCTAAGAAAGAGATTTGGCGCTTCACGCTGCGCGGCGCCCCCTAAACTGTCTGGCAGACAATCGGGAAAACGCTCAAATGCGCCGTGCGAGTCGTCGGCGGTGCTGCAAGTCTTTCTCTTATTCCAAAAAATCTTACCCGCGATCGCTTATTCTTGGTCATCCTTAGAAGTCAGAATTTCGACTCGAAAAGAAAGTAGCTGTCGAGAAAGTAAGCTTTTCCGGCTCGTTTATTGGATAGTTCCGAATGCGCACGCGCAGCTGCTTCGTCCATTCGCAGGCCGCCAATCTCAACTCGTCAACTTTGACTCAAACCTACTACTACCCCTTTGCTCACATTTCCGCTTCCTTATCACGGCCTAACCGGACCTACTTACGAAATACTGCAGCCAACACACAAAACGGAAATACCGCAAACGCACAAAACACCCCGATGCAGCTCAAAAGGGGAAGACAAAAAATCCTCAGGAAACCTACTATTGATAACTCACTAACCTGCTGTAGATTATAGAAGCTGGCGGGACTCTCGTAAATAGGAGCATAAATCATTTCTGATTTTTCTACTTATCAGAATTGGCAAGAGTGAGGCGCCGTTAGAAACGACTAGCAATCACCGCCGCCGATTCTAGAAAAAAACTGCCTGCTCTCTGCACGTCGTGCTATTTAGGGAGATGCTACATTCAAGCGGCTACATCATTGTTATACCGGCGATTTTGCTTACTTTCAACTCACCTTGAAATTTCCACTCATATTAATTTCTCGACTATTAATGGCCGTATGAGGAGCCATCAGTGCTTTAGCCCTGCCTCAGACAAAATTAAGATAAGCAGTCGATCTCCTTCTCTCTTACATCAGTGAAGCAAATGCCAGAATAGCTGAGGAGATGGGATGACAGTAATTCTGTCTCCATCGCCGAAAAAACAGTAATCTGTCTAAGAAGTTCGTGTTTTCTAATTGATTTAGAATTATCAGTTCAAAGGGAACTAATAGAGCATAACTTTCATCTTTCCATATTCTCGTTAAAACTTGTGCAGTTGAAAATACAAATGATTTTTTCTCAAAGGGGGCCTGAACATACTATCTGTGTGTGTGCAAAACAGCTTTCAGAAGCTTTAGAAAAGCTTCTTGGGCGAAAGTGGGAGAAGCTACGAGATCGGCTCGTCGAAAAGCTGAGAATATTTTGGGAATACAGAAAATTTCCCGAGAGACAGAAATCGACTTCCGAACGGGTCTACTTGTCCAGTTCAAAGAAACGGCGACATTTCTTGCAATTGCAGTTGATTTGGGATGACTTAACGAGTCACAAGTAGCCAGTTGTGTTGTTTTCATATCAGTTTCATTGAAAAAGAAAATAAGCGTTTTGGAATCGGATGAGGTGTTATCGTGCGAAGAAAAATTGTGTTGTTGGGATACACAAGGGAAAATGAAATTAATAAGCCGATTGGCAGAAAATATACACGGACGTTTATAGCCTTATGAGATTATATTTTGCGCCAGGTGGCCCCGGCGCTCTAGCGTTATTCAGTGAATTCTATTTTTTCGAAAATTTCGCGCTCCGCCCGCCTCTCTCCGCACTGAAACAACTTTCTTTGTTATTTCAAAAAGCCAACCTCAAGGCGGATTCGATGGAGTCGTAATTTCCGAAAAAATGGAAAGCCAAAACTCGTCTGGTATTGATGCACTTCAGAGGGCGATGCCGCTTCGAAACCATCTTCAAGTTTTTCGCCCTGGGAGCTTTCATTTTCAATTGGCCTGAATCTCTTCTGGTGGTTTATAAACACTGTGTATTTTTAGAAGAATTGAAGCAACGGGACGCTCCCGTTTTGGGCTTTTCGGTCGGGTTGCGGTCGACACCTGTTTATCAGGCACGGACACTATCGCCGAGGCCGTTAAGGTTACCGTAACCTGGGCCCGATTCATCTCAGAGGACTAAACAAAGCAATATGCAGCAAAGCACGTCTTTTAACGTGAAAGATGAAAGCCCGGGACGGCTGATGTCTTCGCCGAATTAAAATGGAGAAGGAGCTGTGTTCGTTATCACAAAAAAGAGCACGTTTCGTAATTGATTTTGGAATGAAGTTTTCTGTTGAACCAACCGGGGCAAAATCATTAACCTTCATCCCACTTCAAAAACAATCCAAAATCTGGCAAAGACAACCAATTTTTTGAAGCGTTTTATCACAGAAAGAGCTCCAGGCTCTAATTTAAGGAATTTTCTGGATTTGGACGGGTAAAAAGTGTGTATAAACGGTGGTGATGGAAATGAGCTCACTTAATAGTGCGCTAATCGGTCGGTTAGAGGTCATATCCTTAAGTTACTTCCGTCTCGCAGCCAGTACGAGTGTTTGGGCTTCACCAAAGCCAGAGGTAGTTGCGGGCTGGGCGTGCCTGTCCGGCCGGATTTTTCGTCAAACGGCCGATCACGAAATTTCCAATAAGCAGCCACTCGTCCGATAATCCCTTCACTTTTGCCCAGGCCAGAGGTTTCTAACCTATTGTTGGATATTAGGGCCGGCATATAGCGATTTAATAAATCGACTTATCCAGCCAGCTCCGCACTGTTTTGGGCAATACAGTTCCTCACTTAGAGAGCTTTTCTGATGGGATTTGTTAGACACGGGATTGCCGAAGCGGAATCAATCACTAGAAAACGCGCCAAAAAATGACTCTCGTGAAAACTGTTCAAAGAAAAGAGCTTGGTTATCTGTTAGTGTTGCAAAAGAGTGACTCGTTTAGAACCTTTTTGTTGCTTATCTCGCAGCTGGAGCCGTAATGAATGGGATTTATTCAAATCACTCGGAGACAACTCTCGAGCATGGAGCAAAGCTTTACTACCGAATTACGCGCACATTTCTTGAAACGCGTTATCAGATGACCAAAACAAGATGTACCGGGCATTATTCTAGTAGTGAGCGTGTTGCTACGTCCCAGCTGACGTTGAAAAAGAAAGATAACTTGCTCCGCCGTTTTCTTTTTTACTTAATTTTCGCAAGCAGATCGAGTAGTAGTAGTCCCGTTTTCTTGAGTAGGAAATGCGACACTCTGTGTGTGTCTTGAAAAGTGGCGAGTTTTTTCCCATCAGATTCCTTGCCGGACATTCCATGCAAAGGGCCTCTCAGCGCGTAAAATGATTTTTGTTCAACCGGGAAGCCAATACTACTGCATGCTGGTAAATGCTACCGAAAGCAATTTGCAGGAGGAGCGAAAAAGATCGCTAATCCGCTCTTATTGACACGTGCATTTGCGATAGTCTGGCTATCGACAGTCCCTTAGTCCACAGGAGGATTTCCGAATCGAAGCGAGTTAGTTAGTAGCGGCGCATATTCGAATTAATATTTACTTTCTGGAGAAAGTTTTTTGAAGTAGCGTCGGCGCCTCGACTGATTAAAATGACGCGAGCGCAAACAGCCGGTGACAGTGCGGACGCAGACGGGTTAACCGAAGATGCCATGGGCCGTGCAATACCGAATGTAAACCCCTTCAGAAGATGCATACTTTCAACTTTGCTTAGGGTCAGTTTTATCAAAAACTCATCGAAAAGAGAATTCGCTAGTTGGCAACGGCTGCCCTGATTGCTTTTAATAGGCTGCGGTAAATGGAGATTTACCGGGAAATTGTACAAATATCACACGAGCCTAAATCGCGAAACGAAGAGAGCAAAGAAAGTGGTCTAATTAGCACCGACCGGTGGAGTGATAAATCACACCATTCTCAGATCGGCATTTGAGTTTTCAAAGAGAAGAAAAAAAAATTCTTGAACGCGGCGCGGAGGAGCGCTGCGCGGCGCCAGAGAGGTGGAAAACGCGTGAAACGCCAACATGCGTACTTGAAAGTATTTTTACAGTTTTCTTAAAATAAATTCCTTCTAACGTTTTGTCAACCGACTGTTTATACATAACGTCGTCAAATAGAGATTCACGACACTCTGCGAAGAAGAGCTAAAGAAGCAAGGGAAGTCTTTCTACAGAGCAGGTAAAGTTTCTTCTGAAATAGATCTTCTGCGATTCAGTGAATGGTGTTTTATTTGCATTTGCTTGGCAATTTATAACACTTATCTATAATAGTAGAAAATCGGAGTTTTTTTCTGGAGAAAAGTTTTGAATGTTTCCAATCTTTCTCACTCAGTCATTAGTGACATCGTTCAAATTGCATAAGAAATGCGATTTGCCGAAACCAGTGTTTTGGCAAAGGGATAAATGCGTATGTTCGCGATTGAAGTGGAAATGTCGTAGCTCGTTGTTCTTCTGGTGCTCTCCCAAAGTGGTTCCATTCCGAATGAATATTCAATCGTACTTGGTTTCCTTATTTATTCAAGCTCTTATATCCGGTAGAATCGTGGGATCCTCGTAAACCAATCGATCTCAATATAGTAGAGTTTGTCTACTCTGCGCTCATTATCATTATTCTTCTCTTATCATAATAAAAAAATAATCAGATTAGTGGCCACTCATTCAATGCGATTCCATAACTTAAAAATAGATTTTCTTTTGACGAACTTTTTACTTTTCAATTCGTAATTACGGCTAGATACGAGTTGTTTACCTTTCGGAAAACTGGAAGCTAATGTTGGCAGGATGCATAACCCCACTTGTTCAAATGAGGTTAATATTCGACCCCAAAACTAACCCGAGATACAAAACACGGATTAGTTAGTCGCTATTTAACACACAGCGGGCTTTGTTTATACCTTTCTAGCTTGGCATTGAAAGCACTGCCTGATTTGCTCAATACAAGCTGAATATCATGCAGATACAGGTAGGCTAACCACAAAAAAAAATTAAACGGCGATTCCACTTTAAATGTCACATACGGCGGCAGATACTTGGCACTAATCGAGAGCTTAGCTCCAGCTTCCGGACAAGCCTCTAGAACAACTTAGCGAACACTAAGTTTCCCTCAACAAAAATTTTACCTATTCTGCGAAGAAGGGTTTTTCTGTTGTTTAGCGAATGTAGTGCGGGAGTGCCGTCAGGTGCTTAGCATGAACCGGCCTCCAAGTCGCCAAGTCACGATAATGTGATAAATGGGAGTCGGGAGTAGCCAGCTGCTCGTCCGCTCCGGCGCTGATGAATTAGCCGCTTTATCGCCAAAAATGTGAGAAAACAGAAACTCCGCTAGAAGTTTCTTGGCGCGATACAGTGATCGATTTGACACAGCCGCTATCCTTTCCATCTCATTCAAGCACCTCCGCCAGGCCTCTTCCATCCTGTCAATGATAACCATCTCATAGCTCTAAAATTTAGTCAGCTTCATCTTCTTCATTTCAGTCTCTAACGATTTTGTGATAACGTGAATTATGTAATTCTCCCAGAAATTAATTGCTACATTAAATATCTTTATTCTGATTAATCAAGCTGAAAGAATAATTGACTAGAGCCCATGATCCTTGGTGTTTAATTGATTCGCGGAAGCTGGCGGAGATGATCGAGCTTTGTGTAATCGGCAGACGCACGTTTACGAATTTTCGCATTTTTGGCGAAAGTGGGAATGGCGAAATCGAGCACCGTGGCCAGAACAATGTTTCATGTTTTTGTTCGACATTGTTTTACAACGAAATGCGGTACCGCTCTTTTGTTGACTTATTTACGTGTTCCAGTCTTGTCGCTTTCCTTGCTCTTGAGAAGACATTTAATTACGTGAAGAGCAAGATAGTGAAGAGCGTCTTTAGACAAATTCAAAAAGGAGTAACTTTCGTGATCGTAAGATAATTAATGGCTTCTGTTTTTCGGAAAGAGAGGGAATGTTCCCCACCGTGGTGCGTAAATTGCTGCTTCTGTCACGCTGATAAGGAGGAGCGTTTTCTCTCCTTCCGAGAAAAACGCATCAGCCAAAGAGTTTTCTATTATAATGGTGGAGCTTTGATTCGAAGTGCCTCAGTTCAGAACGTCTCTATAATTTTGCCACTTAGTGCGCATTGTTCACATTCACGCGCGCAATTTCTCCATCGCCGATTCAGGTGTGTAATGAAACCTTTCGAGGATTTAACCCGCGCATGTCGAGTGTTTAACCCTTTGACAACGGTTATTCACTACAGCTGCGCAGGGGCTGCTCTTGCTTTAAAGCATCGCTAGAACTGACCGTAGAAAGATCGTGTTGACTGTTGGTGATCCAATGGGCGAATTCTGTGGGATCTAGTCGACCACTCAAGTCGTTTTCTTGAAAATGTCAGGGAGCAGCGGTGGCTCGATTCGATTTTGAGCTTTTCTGGTTTTGCTATTTTGAGAAGATACTTTTCGCCAAGTGTTACCGCACGTGCATCCGGTGCTGGTCATCCATTTTCCAAAATTTTCGGTTCCATTTCCGCCCCTTTTGAAGCATCGCCTAATCGGATGGAACGTACGCAACTACAGCCATCCGCCAATTTCTGCATCATCCCAAATACCGTTTTTCCCTGAATACTCACTTACTTCACTGTCGGCCTTATGCAAATTTTCACAGAGCAGTCGCCCGAATTTTGCATAATTATGAATCGAAAATGTTTTGACGCTGAAGTTGTTTTCCAGCGCTGCTGCTGCTGCTGGAAATGCAGCGACACATTGCAGATTATGTCTTCGAGGAAAGGAGCTAGTAATTGTCCAAAAAGTCGCGATTTGGGACAGATTCTTCGAGTGCCCGTAGCAAGTGGCTCCGTTTTTCCGTACCATTCAAGAGCTGAAGGCGCCGACCGCTGGTGAATTTTGTGAATTTGTTGAGAATAATTTCTCAACAGCACAAACAGCACCTCCACCACCGCCCAAAGTTTCTTAATTAGCTTATTATTAATGGAATTGTCAGTCGCCTTCTTTCGTCAGCGTCTGAGGGTCTCGAAGTTTACGATAAGTGATATAGGCAGACTAGATAAGGGCCGGCGTGGAATCTGTATCTCAAATTCGGTATGCAAATTTGATAAGAACAATAGTTATCTCCCCGAGCGGCAATTTTTGTTTTCGCCGAAATGAAGATGAAAGTAAACGTAACACCGAAAATCGAAGTGCAGCTTCCGATAATGACATTTGATCGAGAAAAAAAATGAATTTTTGATTATAGGCGCCCCGTGAGAAGTGCACAGTGAGGGAGATCTCGTTCGAAATGAAATTTGTTCAATTTTGGATCTCGACTCGCATGGAAATTTATATTTGATTGCGACCGGCCGGAGTGAAAGTTTGACTTTGTTTTTATCGAAATAAGTCGCAAGTGCAAAACTTTTTTAACTGCATATAGTTAAGGTAGTGCTTTAGAAGTCTGTTGGATGTTTTTATGACTTTTCAACCGCTCAAAATAGCCTGGAAATCAGCTCGTTTGAAAACTGATTATCGTAGCCGATCTCTTTCTTTCCAAAATTACACATATTTTCACTTGTAACAGTAATGGAAAAGAAATTATCAGTAAAACGTTCGCCCTAATCTCACGTCAGATAAGAATAGAAAAATAAAGGCGTTTGTGTCTTATTCTTTTGCGTAACTTTTAAAATGCCAGGCTCCAGGATAGAAACTAGAGAAAAAGAAACGTGTCCACTCTTTTTAATCGTTAAAAATTTCGAAAAAATATTGCCGGAATACTTTCCGAAATCCGGCTTGAGTGTGTTTGCCAAATACCCTCAGAAGAGGTTTTAGAGCGGCTTGATAGAGTGAGGGCAGAAAGAAAGTGAAAACTTGCAGAGGTGATCGAATCCGGAGTTTGCTTCTCTACCGGAGTTCTCGGCGTTAATTCTGAGCCGGAAAAAATAGTGCCATTTTATCGGGCTCCAAGTGAGCACTTCCCACGAAGCACCATCAGACGAGGGCATTAGCCGACAAAGCTCAACGATAAGGGTCGGATTAGCTGCCCCAGAAGAGTCCGCTCTTCGAGAATTTATAGCGAATACTGTGTTTTGAAGCGTTTCTTCAGATAGAATGCGGCTGAGACTGCTGCTGCTCTTCCAGCTGGTCTTCTCATGTCCCGATGAATGCCGGTGTGACACAAGACGCAAGATCGTCTTCTGTAACGACAGAAATTTTAATTCCATTCCTGCCGGCATTCCATCCGACACAAAGCAACTCCATTTACAGGTAATTATATCATCTTGTGAGTCATAGAAACAAAGTGAAAAATTCAGGAGAACGAGCTCTTCGACGATGACGAGTTAGATCGCCTTTTGAAGCGTTTGACAAGTTTAGAAAGTCTGAAGCTCTTCAACAACAAACTAACACGCGTTCCAAGGCTCAACTCGAAAGTGCTTCGCGAGATCTACATCAACCGAAACAGGTAATACCAAAGTTTTCAGCGTTCAAAATTTATGACCAACACATTCAAGAATTGAATAAATTCAGGAGGAAAGATAAAAACGGAGGGCTGGACACGTCTTTTGCGTCAGTTTTAGACGTTTTTTCCAGATGTGTGTTTCAGATTAAAATTTATCGAAACAGTTTCCGTGAACCAGAAATTTCCATTTGCAAGATGGTGAACACTGTACCTCACAATAATTTTTTTTTCTTTTTAAATTCAATTTGTACCTTTATGCCGCCCATTCTTCACGAAAACTGTGGCCAGAAAACGGCAAATTCAATTTCGACACCTGTTGACAGGGGAATTCATAATTATGCGCAAGGATAGCGCCGGGATAATTGTTTTTAAAACTTGGATGAGCGTTATTTGCGGAGTGATGTTTTTGAAATGGCTTGATTGATTTATTCAGAATATCCTCCGTCACGAGCAGCTCATTTGAAAACTGTCCGAAGCTGGCGGTGATTGTGCTTGACGAGAACGAACTCACAAGCGAGTCGATCGAGGCTGGAGCTTTTGCATCGCTTACAGAATTGCGAAGAATCAGCTACGCTCGGAATAATGTTGAAGTATTTCCAGCCGGAATGCCTTACTCTTTGAAAGAAATCTACGCGCCACATAATGGAATGGCAAAAATACCTGCGACAACGCTGAGTCAACTCATGAACGTGGAAGTCCTTGATTTGAGCCACAATCAGTTGACTGACGAGTCCTTCGGAGGAGAATCGTATGGCCTCGCCAATTTGGTCAATTTGCGAAAGGAACAGTTGTGATACGCATTCCTATGAAATTTTGATAAGGAATATTCCTTCTTAATTTTGAAACTGAAGACATAGAAGAGTAAAACTTATCATAACTTTTTGAAGATCTATCTTAGTTACAATCGACTGCAACATTTTCCAAAGCATCTCTCATTTACAACAGAGTCAGTGTATTTGAACGCAAACCAGCTTACCGCTATTGCGATGACCGATATTGAACATCTTACTAATCTGAGAATGCTCGATCTCGCGCACAACCAACTATACTCTATCGAGCCTGGAACTCTACGAAATCTGAGAAGCCTCACCAACATCGATCTTTCAGGTTTCTATTTGAATAGAAACTACACTTTGCTACGTAAAATCCTATTGAATTGAGTTAAAATTCGTCTCGCTTAGATTTTCAATTAGATTTCAAACTTATTTTCCCTCAACCATAGCGCTCAATTTTCGATTTGTAGGAAATAATTGGTGGTGCGATTGTTTCTTGCTGGATCTTTGGGAGTATTTAAAATCATCTGGCGTGCATCATGGAGCACAAGACTCTCCAAAATGCCGGGATCCTCGCAATTCTGCGCTACGAATCGACGAGCTCAATCAAAGTGATTTTGAATGTAGCCCGATCGAATTCGGATTGCTCAAAGAAAACGGCAACATCAAATTGGAAATAAACGAGTTCGACATGCCATCTTCTCCCGATGTTAGAGTGCATCTTCAAAATATACAAGGTTTGTAGAGAAAATACTTATCTCATTAATAAATTGATTTTAAGGAAACCACTCTGTTTCCATGGTTCTTACGGAAGCTTCAACGGTTTTGAAGACGTTAGAACCATCGACGGCTTATAGGATCTGCCTCTACAATTTTTACGCCATGGAGAGCTCTCGCCTCCCTGAAAGCATGTGCAGTCTAATTCACACGCCTTACAGCCAGGAGGTGGACTATTCGGCCACGATGGAAGCGATTCCACGATCGAGACAGCTCGAGCTTGTTGTCGGCATCGTGACTGGTCTCATTTTGATGACGGTTATTCTTGCTGTGTACTTCGTATGCTGGAGAAATGGTCATCTCAGCGATCACAAAAAATATCACTCACCGCTTGGTTTGACAACTCATGACAGCTTTTTTTTAACTTTATTTTAGCACAAAGCCAGAATTTTTTGCAGAGCAGATCCCTCGATCGCAAAGCTGCATTTACTGGTGCTCACTCGACAACATCAACGACCTTCCAGCTCGCATCAATCACTTCGCCTGGGCTAGAGCTTACAGCTGATGCATCGAAAGAGTTCGATGTTACTCTGATGCTTCGCAATCCCATGATCCCCGATCCGAGAAGTAGTTTTCACAGTCACGGAGCTTGCTCGTCTGACAACACATCAGACGGTGCATATCATACTATGACCTCATCTGTACACCACCACCATTCGGTCCCTCATCATAATAGGGCTGAGAGTATCGGTGTCTTCGTCTAAATGTCACCTCTGTCGATAAATAAAAATAACCGTCATGCCCTGTTTCAAGTTCAATATTCGACCCTAATTTTAATAAAAAATTTCCGGTATGTTCAATAGTTGTTGTACTCATGCATTTGGATTGCGAGATAGCGTGGTGCTTAGAATAATTTATTTGAGCTTTAAAAAGTAATAAGATCTGGGCAATGCTGAAGAGCAAAAAGAAGATTTTCATCGTCCAAGCCAGAGCTATTTGCGATGTTTTCAATGATTTCTCCATAACCTTTGTTCAGTTTTAGAAATGCCAATGACAAAGAATGACCTCTATATCAGTGAATTATAAACTGTTCCTGGAGGAGACTCGTCGGAGTCAGAATCAATTGAAATACTGTCGTACGCGGGAGGGCTGTCAATGGGGAAGGATGAAGCATCGAAGAGAGTAGCATCTTCAGTTTCCCCGGAAAGTGTTTCTCTTCTGGCGTTCTCTAACACATCTTCTTGAACCCCCATACATATTGAGAGGCCTGCAAAAGAGTCTAATTTTAGAATAATCATTTAGTAATAGCGTGGATAACCCTTGTCGATATCAGCTCTTTCCTGAAGTCATCCAGTCAATAAACTTGAATCGGATTCTCTTAAGCCCATTTACAAAAAATGCCATTTTCGATGAAATTTCGATCTACTGCTTTTGCATGTTTTTTGCTTTTGCCTGATTTTTATCAATTTATGTGAGGCGAAAAAGCTGATCGAAGAAATTGTAAAAATGTTTCAATAACAGTTCCTCTCTTTCCATCGAATAAGAACAGTTATCAACTCGCTAACAGATAATGAGATCGGAAGAAGATCCGCCAGACATTCCGAAAACATAAAATTCGCCTGATGCAAAAAAAATATTATTGCCAATAATCATCTAGCAATGTCACGTCGGGTAGGCGTCCTTTTGGACAGATTTGAGTATTTGATGACACGAACCTATGATGAAAACAAGGATGTAAAATTGATTCCGCTGCAGCAAGTTCCTGACAGCAACTACTCAATGGGCCGCTACCAAACATTCGAACGAATCCGACGAAAAAAGGTAAGTAGGAGCCTGGACTTCCAGCTTCGGTGTCGACGACTCTCAATAAACCAAAGAAAGACGCCAAATAATATCAGGAAGACGCAGAAACCTACAAAGCTTTGAACACGCCTCTCTACTCAAATAAAACATTGTTATCGGCAACTGTTTTAGCTGATGATAAATATGACTTGTTTAGGGTCATGTTCATATAGTATTTTATTTTTTTAATTTTCGGATTTGGTTGAGTAACAGAAAGGAGTCGTTTTGGTGAACAAAGAACTAAAGTTTTTCACAGACACAGGCAACACTTGGGTGAACTTTTTGTCTTGCGCGGAATATCGGCAACAATCACATGGAAAAATAGAAATAGAGTCATCAATTATGCTTAATACGAGTGGTTGGCAACGAAGAGGGATTCAGAGGCGGCTCCAGAAGCTTCTTCACCTTCGTATTTGCCGAGGGCAGCGAGTTTGTTTGAAGTGGCTCGGTGCATCAGGGTCTTCTGAGCGTTGTTGACGTTCTCGGGTTCAGTCTTTCCCTAAAATACCGTTGAAATATGTTATTAGGCTCTATCTCTTCAAAACTCAAAATATTTTCGATAAGGGAACACATGCGTTAATGGGAATCTCATGCGATAAAGCAGAATAAGAACTCAAATGTACTTACGAATCCTTGCTACAAAATAAACGATTAGTTTTGTCTTTGATTGATGTCGAAGTTATAGTGATAGCCCAATCTATTAATCTAGTGCTAATTTTAAAGGTACTTACACCCCATGCTTTGAGGACAGAAGCCTGAAGGGCTCGGCCGTAAGAGAAAGAGATCTTCCATGGTCGGAGCTCCTGAGGAAGCACGTTCATCGAGTTGAGGTTCTCAGTAGCCTGGAGCTCAGTCTGACCGCCAGAGAGGAAGGTGACACCTTATTAAAAGTGTTAATCTCTAGCAACAAGAGACTTATCTAACCTGGCATGGCTGGTGGCACGGTTCGTCGAAGGGCAGTAACAGTAGCGTTAGCAATTTCAGCAGAAGTAGCCTTCTTGGGGCAGTCGAGACCTAGATTAATATTGTTAAAATGAAGATAAGACTGGCATCGTTTACCTGGAGTGACCATGTTTGGCTTGAGGAGGGTTCCTTCAAGGTAGACGTGGTGATCGCTGAGAGCCTTGTAGACGGCGGCGAGGACGCGCTCGGTAACTTCCTGGCAAACTTCGATTGTGTGGTCACCATCGATAAGGATTTCGGGCTCGACAATGGGGACAAGTCCCTCAGACTGGCAGATCGAAGCGTATCGGGCGAGGACATTGGCGTTCTCGAGGATACCTCAAAGGGAATATTCTAATATGAAACATGGAAGCGCCTTACCCTGGGGAGAGGGAGTTCGGCCGTTGTCCTGGATTCGGAGGACGCATCGCCATTTGGCGAAGTCGCAACCGTCGGCCTTGTATTGTTTGCATCGCTCAGCAAGTCCGTCAAGACCCTGAGTGGTACCCTCGTTCTGGGATCCGAAGAGTGGGACGACACCCTTGTCGACCTTGATTCCGAGAAGAATGCCTCGAGAGGTCAAGCTGTCGACGAGTCGCTTTCCTTCGTTGTCCTTCTGGTAAAGAGTCTCGTGGAAGAGGATGACACCACCGATGGATTCTTCGAGTCCCTTAGGGGTGGTAAAGAGGATCTTTCTGTAGGTCATTCTGTTTTCTTCGTTGTTCTCGACTCCAATGGAGCTGAATTTGTGAGCAACTGAAGTTCTACCCTCTCTATTTACCTGAGTCGCTTTCCAATGGTGCCGGTGGACTCGTCAGCGGCGAGGATACCCTTACCATTGGCAACGATCTGTTTGGCGATTCGGGCAAGCTCGGCTTGGAGTTCGGGGGAACCAGCTGGTGGAGCCATCTCTTGTTTTTATTCAATCTGAAAGTTTGAGTTTACTTCTCTTTGCAGAAGTAATGAACAGATTTGGGCACATTGGGGGACTATAAACGTTTGCCTCTGATGTAACCCGCAGGCACATGCCCGATGGGCGAAGCCAAGACGCAAAGTTATGCAATAAACATGAGTTGAGGTTGACAGATAAGGTAACAAAGTTATTTTCCGTAATTGGCAACGGAACTGATTTTATAATTGCAAAATTTGAATCATAAATTTTTGCATTAAGCGATTAAATAAACAAATGAGCTCTTCAGCATTGAATAATAGTAGAATTTCTCTATCTCTAGAATTTCATTTTAACTGCAATTCCTCTCTTTTCCCAGTCGGCGTCTTATCCCACCCATTTCTCCACCAATGGGCGTTTTCTTTCCTTTCCTCGGGTAATGCTAAAAATTCGAAAACATTAGTGCCCCTGGTTTTACGCTAGCTTGTGACCCGTATTTCGTAAAATTCATAAAGCACCGTTCACGTTAAAACGGCTCCACTCAATGTTTCAAATATTTGTCTGGATGGGCGGAGGAGAACGTTTTCGAAATATGGCCCGACAGAACCTGTACAGTTCGGAATGAGAACATAAAAGAAATCAAGTTCTAGAAGTCATTTATGAAGATAGCGAAGAACTCATAAAAATTGATTAAAATGTAACGATCAGTACGATTTATTCGGGACCTTCTCAAGTTCAAAGCTAAACTTGGTATTCGGTTCAGCGTCATGTTTGAACTAAACACTGCCATAATGAACTTGGAGAAATGCTGCTTCGCTGACAGAGTCAATTTCTCTTAATGACGAGAAGAACGATAGATTTGCCGATAGCAATCAGAAGCAGTTGGCTCGGCACTCAACCGGTTGCGCATTTTCAGTTTTGTTTCTCACGAAAAGAGAACGCTGATTTGGAGAGATGAAACTTACACGCGCTCTTCTCAGGTTTGAACATTACAATGTATCTTTCTCCTCTGAACCTAACTATAGCTGCCCTAAATTTCCAGCCTTTCGTAAAGCTTCTACAGTGGAGCCCTTTGTCGAGCCAGTTTACGTCGAAACCCGACGAAGCTACGGAGGAAATGGTGCGTTAAAATTGAGTAGAGAAACTAAATCAATTGTAGACGTTTTCATGCTGCGTTTGAACCGCCCTTTCAAGCAAAATGCAATCAACACTTTCATGGTCGAGCATCTTATTGTGGCGCTCAAAGTCTTCCAGCAACGTAATAGCTCCGACGCGGCGATCCTCTACGCGAAGGGCGAGGACTTTAGCCTCGGATACGATTTGTGGCATTTCGACAAGCTCTTCTGCGTACGAGTGCAATTTCATAAAGCCCAATTTAATTTGCCATTCAGAACACGGAAGCACTGATTGACAGTCTCAAAATCAAGAAAATAAAAGCATCAAAGTGTCCTACTTCAAAAGCTTGCCAAAAACCAATTGTCACTGCGATTCATGGCCGCTGCGCGAACGGAGGGCTAGAATTGGCCCTCAACTCTGACTCAATTATCGCTTCTGACGACGCTGTCTTTAGTCTCCTACAGGTAAAATCCAAGTGACCCTATTTTCTAATGCTAGCATAGTACCAAATCGGACTACCCCTCATCGACGATGGACCGCAGCGCATTGCTGAAATACTCGGAGTCGACAAAACCATCGAAATGATTCAAAAGGGCACAGAATTCTCCGCCCAAGAAGCACTGGAGCTCAAGTTGATACAACAAGTTGTGTCGAAGGATGACCTCCAAGAAGCGGTGAAATGCGTCTATACTTATTAAATAAAGAACTGGTTTTTAAGGCGTTCGATGCTGCGAGCACAATTTCGAAGAATAAAGGTCCCTTCAACGAGTCCTCAGTGTTCCGCACTGTCTACGCTGAGCTGGAGAAGAATGATGCGCTCGACTTAGTGATCAATCAGTCTTCCGATCTCTTCAAAATTCGCAAAGCGGCAGAAAGAGTTGCTTTCTGATATTTCTACTCTGCTTCCTTTCTATGCGAGGCTAATAAACTTAATTCATTCATGCATATAAGGGTTGACGTGGATTTGTTGTGGATTGAGCGCAATTTTATTATTTTATATCATACAGAGCAGTTAATTTAAGCACTGCGTGCTCGTAGTGAAAGATTACTGTTGGCTGAAGAATGAAAACATCACAGGAGAATTAAAGTTTCATTCGCGGCGGCTGAGTTCGGACTCGATGTTTTGCGATAGTTAGCGAGTAGTAGCTATCCGGTACAGTGGAAACGCACAGTAGGAAAGATCAGTGAGTAGTAGCGAAGGAGTACGGTTACTCGTTGGATTTGTTCAAGGCGGAAGAAATTATTTTATATTAGAAGGAATGTTGAATTGGAAAATTTCTACAGCGACGTGAGAAACGTCGCCTTTCATGGGGAACATTGCTGTGGAAACATGCTGATATATCTGTACCAGAACGGAATAAATACAGTGTGATAGTAAGATAGGCGGTAGGGTAACTTCTCGTAGCAAGATAAATTATATCCCAAAGAGGTAAATGTTTTGTTATTTTTAAATACTCATCGTTAGATAGTAGTAATCTCCATTTGGCCGCTTTTAGACGCTTCTGCGATGCGAAGACGAGCTTGAAGAGAGGCGATTTGCTTGGAAAGGTTCTAAAGAAGAGATTATAGACTTGAACTCTGTGCTGAGAAAGTACTGTTAGTTCTTCATCTTTGGCTGAACACTCGTCACGGAACTTTCTTTTCTCGTTTTGAGCTAGATCAAGCTCGCTTTCGGAAATGTCAAGTTGCTGCTTCATGGATTTCAGTCGAAGTTCGAGCTTTAAGTTAACGTTTGTTCTTGAAAAACTGACCATTCTCTTACCACTTCGTTGTTGGCGTTATTTTTACTGGAGGAGTTTTCGGCTTGGGACAGAACATGGCGCAGTTTTTGCTCCGTTTTCTTGTGCTAAAATGTAGTCATGGCAATAATTGTCGACAAGTGATTGATACCTGTTCCATGATAATCTTCAATTCCTTCGTTTCATCTTGAAGACGCTTTTCGAGATCATCGCACTTTTTCTTCCACTCTTGCAGTTCTAAAGAAAGAGATCGTCTACTTCTTTCTCAAGTTGTAAATTACCTTTGTCTGCGAGTGACTTGACGGCTTTTGAATCAATTTGCCCGTGGCTTATTTGATTTGCTTGTTTTTCGGCTTCTCGCTGGGCAAGTTCCACCTTTTCGAAAACAATAATAACTCTGGATCTGTTTTAGAATAACGTACCTGACTCTTAAGGATCTCAATCTCGTCCTCTTGCGTAGCGATAACTTCTTTTTGCTTTTCTATGTCGACAAAGCACTCATCGCGCTCGCCCTTGAGTTCGTCATTTTCTAGCTCTACCGTGGCCAGCTGGCTCGCGATGTGATCGAAGCGAGTTTGAAGATTTTCTTTCTCCGCCATTAAGTCAGCAAGCTCATCCTCATTCTCGTCTTTTGACGCCACAGTGCCTAAAATGAATAATCAAAAAGCCGTTAAGCGAGTTATGTTGCATACCTTCTAGGCGACGTTTAAGGCGCGTCACTTCGGATTGCGACTCGAGTAATTTGTCTCTTAGTTCCCTGATGAGGGAGGCGGTCTCCTCGATAGTCGTGCCCTGATCGTTCTTTGCTTTGCGCGTGTTTTCATATCGCTCCTCAAGCAGCTCATATTTTTCCTCGATATTGTCTAGGTCTGACTCTAGAACTTCCTTTTCGTTCTTGAGCTTGGCGACTTCTTGGTCTTTTAGCTGAAGTTGTTTGCGCATTGTCTCGAACTGGCTCCGAGTGTCTGTCATATAGCCTTGCATTTCGTTCAGTGCCGCGTCTTCTGACTGCTTTTGAATATTGTCAAGTTCCTCGATGACCTCTTTTTGCTTCAAAATCGTTTCCTCTGCAGAAGCAATTTTGCGATCCTTTTCTTCAAGTGCTCTTCGCATTCTGAAAAGTTCCTTTTCGAAGTTTTTGTGATCTCCCTCAACGAGTTTAGCCTGGCCTTCGATATTTCGATGTTCCTGGTTCCTTACTGCATCTTGAAGTTCATCGTTTCGATGTCTCTCATCTTCGAGCTGCTTTTTCAGCGCAGCGATTTTTCGCCGTGCTTCGGCGTCACTACCAGGCTGCATCTTGATCTGAGCTTCCAGCTCTCTTTGGATACGTGCAACGCGAGCTTCCGCCTGAGCAAGTTGTCGTGATTTTTCGTCGATAGTTTTTGTGAGACGATCGACTTCAGGTTGCAAGTCTGGAACCTTTCCACCAGACATGCCTTCCAGTTTAGTCGCAAGACCTTTGTATCGCTCGTCAGCAGCCGCTAATTGGACTTGCAGCTTCTCAACTCGATTCTCAGCATTATCTTTAATGATAGTCTCGTCGTCAAGATTCTCCCGGATCTTTTGGTTTTCTCGCTCGAGGGTTGTCATCAGAATTGACTTCTCATGTAGGATATCTTCGAGCTCCGAAATCTTGTCGTTGGCTTGATTGAGGACTTCAGTTTTAGCTTGAAGCTCGAGTTCAAGTTGGTCGCGTCGACGAGCTTCTTGGCCTTTTCGTGTTTCACTCGCCTTGACGATCCCTTGAGATTTTCGCAACTCCGATTCGACAAGAACCACTTTTTCTTGAGCTTTGTCCAGATTTTCTGTGAGTCGACGATTAGCACGTACCTTTTCGTCGAGCTCTGCTTGTAACTCAGCTAGCTTGACATCGGATTCGGATTGATTGCTAATTTTCCTTTCAAGGTCGCGAATCTTTCGCTCAGCCTCACGAAGCTTTCGCTGGATCTCTTCATTCTCCAAGCTCGTATCGAAGCGCTCTTTTTCGATGCTTCTCTTTGTTTGATTCAACTCCCGGATTTGATTGAGGAACTTTTGGTTGTCGTCGTCCAACTTGCGATATTTCTCGTCGAAGCCTTCGATTTTGCGATCTTTCTCTTTGAGCGCGAGTTCGTTTTGCGACTTGAACTGATCAAAGAGCCGCTTTTGATTCTCAAGGTCAAGGATTTTGTTGAGCTGTTCTGATCTCCGTTGTTCTGTATGCTCAATTTCTTCTTCAAGCGAGGCAATTTTACTTTTGAAGCCAACAATGTCCTTTTGCCTGTCTTCAATTTGTCTACGCATTTCTTGCACTTGCTCCCGCGAGGCGTCCTCCATGGTATCGATCGCGATTTCTTTTTCATGTTTGATACGCTTGAGACGATTGTTTTCTTCTTCCTGCCTGGCGAGTTGATCTTCCGTTTGCTTCAAGTTTGTCTTAAGATTCTTGATCTCTGTCTGAAGCCGGGAGATTTCTGAAGTTTGTGATTTAACACGATCCTCGTTTTCAACAGTTGTTTGCGAAAACTCTTGAACGCGTTGATCCATCTCTTCAAGTTGCATTCGCAAGCGGCGTTCTGAGTCCTGTAAATGGATCATACATTGTCAAATTTTACAAAAGATGTTCAATAGGAAGACCCATTCCTTAGAGGTGTCAAGCTCGCTCGTTCGCTCTTCTAGCAATTCCGATCTATATTTGAGCTCGTCATTGACAGACTTGAGTTCCCGCTCCAGATCACCGATGCTTGTTTTCAAATCTGTAGTAGAACCAGCTTCGGAACTAATTCGGAACTTCAATTCTTCAATTTCGACATCTTTATCCTTGATTTCTTCAGTAAGGTCTTGGATATTTCGACGCATCTTTCTGTTGATTGCGTCTAATTCGGAACTTTGCTCCTCAAGATTTAGTTTGTCGTCTTCTACATGGTCGAGCATGTTCTTGTGTTTTTTCGTCTCTTGCAAGAGCTCATCGCGCTCCTAAATTCAAAATTAGCATTCGATACCATTAACGAGCGAATAACCTTTGTGATTTGCTCTAAGGACGCCTCCAAATCTTTCTTAGAAGCAGTTGTTTCTTTGAGTTCCTGGACGATGAGTTCTCTTTCCTTCAGCTCGTTTTCAATGTCCTTGTCCATTCGACGGAGCTCAGATTGCACTTTCGTATTTTTCTCCTCGGCGATCATTACTAAATCGCGTAAATTATAAACGTTCAAATATTGGTATGTGTCAATTTGAATTAGAATTTGAATCGGGTGCAATTCTGAAAAATCAAGAAACGAATACATGGCCTAATCACCGACCACGTACCTTGCTTCTGTGAAAGAACTAGCTCCTCTTTGACGAAATCCAACTCTTTTTGCAAGGCCTCCTCCTTCTTCGTATTGTCGTTGAGAGTTTCGATTTGGTTGAGCTCATTTGCTTTTGACTTGATGTCGTATTCAAGTTGAATAATCTTTCGGGAGTCAGCGTCGCGCTGGAATTGCAACTCTCGATTTTTCGCTTCGGCCTGTAGTTTTTCTTTTTCCGATTCAATGACTGCCACTTTTTGGCTGTCAAGCTGCTCGTTCAGTTTTCGATTGTCTTCCATCATTACACCGAGACGGCGCTTGAGTTCTTGCATTTGAGCTTCAGCAAGATCTGCCCTTTTCTCCCACTCCTCTGCGTTTCTCATTATAACGGACGTTTCTTCTGACAGATTCGCCGCTGACTTTGTCGCTTGACCAGATAACCGTTCTGCGTCCTGTAATCTCTTGGCTATAATTTCCTTCTCCCGACGGAGACGCAAGAGCTCGGTTGCTTGCTGGTGGTTTTGCGTTTCGATTCTTACTGTCCGCACACTGGAAAGTTCTTTCGTTTTTCTTAGGACCTCGATTTCGGCGATAAACAAGTCATCGTCTGTAGCCATCATTAATTGCTTGTTCAGACGTTCAGATTCAGCGCTTTGCTCGTCTAACTGACGCGATAGTGCTTCCTCCGTAGCTTTTGCCTCGTTTATCAACTGACGAAGTTGTGAGATTTCTTTGGTCATTTTTAGGTTGTCGACAAAAACCTTTTCACGCATATCTTCATCGTAGCCCTCTGATTCTAGTTCTGCTTCTTTCTCAAGCAATTTCGAGTTTAGTGATTCCTTCTCTAGTTTCAGGTTCTCAATTGAATGTCGATTTATGTTGCGAAGTTTCGTGATTTCTTGATCATGTGTGACCAGCTCATCTCTCAGTACTTTCCGGAGAGCAGCGAGCTCCTTTTCTTTGCGCTCCAGAAGAGCTCTTACGCGTTCCATCTCGCTTTTTCCATGAGCGGCTTCGTCTTGCATATCTTCAAACTTTGACTGCAAATGTTTGAGCTCCTTTTCGGTTTCGTTGACGGCTGGTAAAGGTGCGGGAATGAAGCGAGGTGGTAGGTCTTGCATCGGACGATTTTGAAGCGGACTGGACTCTTTCAAAGCGTTCACTAGTTGACGGGATGAGAGGGATTTTAAAGGTTGGTGAGCGGAGTAGTCGTCGGTCTGCGTTTCGTATGAAGCTTCTGCTGCTAGTTTATGCTGATAGTCATTTGAAGACTCGCTGAGATAGTGTATGCTGTGGTCGGAGGAGCCGTTTGACGCCGGCGGAGCAGGGAAAGATTGGGCCGAATCGACGGACTCGAAACGATTGATGTTTGCGTCAGTAGCTGAGTCCTGCGAGTTGCGTTCCTCTCTGTAGACTCGGCCGCGAGAGATGTGCTGCGAATCCTCGAGTCTGATCGAGCCCATGCTATCAAGTCCACCGTCGGTGAAGTTATCGGTCTCTTGGATGACGCGATGGGATGGTGCGCGGCGTTCTCGTCGTTGGATTGAGCTGATCGATCTGATGGAAGTGGTCTCGTCGTCGGTAAAGCCCGTGGCAGAGCGGAGCGACGCTGATGAAGAATTTTGTTGAGAATTATGTGATCAAGGATTGGAAAGATCTGTCTGATTGGAAACAAGAAACACCAACTAAAGCAGGACATCGCTATCGAGCAACGCTGGCTTTAGGCTACTTATACAATGAAATGACGAGCACCAACTAACCTTGGACATCCGAGTCCTGCGATATCGTCCTAGGTTTGGTGGACGGAGGACGCTCGAGAGAGGACGCATGTAATGCAAAGTAGCGACCCTTTTCTTTGGTGACACCTTGTTAAAAAAGATCCGTTATAAATAATACTTTTGGAATATAGAACGACACGAAACTAATCATGCAAAGTATTAACGGAAATGGATTCAAGTCAAATATCCTCGATCGAATATTTGTTCTAGTGAGATTAATGAATGTTTAACTAACTACTGGTGAGCACGTTCCTGGTTAGAATTTATTAAACGCTCATTACGCGGCGTTAAACTTCCATGTCTACTCGAGCCACGAGAATGGATTGGCGAGTTCTCAGCTGAAACTCTGTGATCATTGGAAGTTAACCGTTCAAGAGAGTTATTGTCGATGAGATCGATTTTGCCAGGACGTCCGAACTCATCAACTGTCATAATAAATAGATGAAGTATATGGAGATATATACAAAAGAAAATACAACGATCAAATTCATCTGGACATAATCATAAACAGATCCCAGAGAAAAGAAAAGGGCAGAAGAATATGATCTATGTATTTATAAGACAATGAACATGCACACTGATGAAACCTCTCAAGAACCTGTAACTTACCGTTGCTTTTCGATTTGGCATTCCCGTAGGGATTGGAACGCGTTGGGGCAGACTGATAGGAAGAGACGTTAAGTCGTTGATTGTCCGACATCCGCGTAGGATTAGATCGATACTACAACATTCAGATGATAAAACAGAGAAAATGGATTACTAACAGAATCAGGGCGAGCGTAATTTTGCGGCTGCTTGCTCACAGACTGCTGGTACTCCCACTCTCTGTCCAGAGTGTGCGATGCCGACTGCGGCATAAACTCGTTAGCATCATTTCTGGCTATCAGCTGCTCATCGTCAGAAAGGTTCGAATCAAAGTCGGCTTTCTTAGGTGCCGGGACGAACTTTTTCTTGGCATCTGAACCCTCTAGAATCACAAAGGGGTGCCCTTTCAAGGCTTGAATTGAGACTTTCACTCCAAATTCGGACTCTCGAGCCGAATCCGATCCCGATTCTACCATGTTACTGCATAAGTAATCTCTGAAATGGACAGGTTACATAGTTCTGGTTACTTAGCTGAAGAAATGTAGGTAAAGAGATTGAACTGGAACAGAACTGCGAAGGGACGTCCGGTTGACATTTAAAACTTTGATAAAAGCGATTTCTGGCGATTTAATATTCCGCAATCCACGATCGTTGCAGAAGCTGTCATGGGCCCCGGCCCAATAGTAGGATTGTTAATCAATTCTGACTTCTTCTCCATATTCAGGAAATTCTGCCGCTTGTTCATCGTCACAATGTCGAGCTCGGACTTCTTCTCCCACGCGAGCCACTTTTCTTTCTCTTTTTCTAGCGCCGTTTCCGACGATTCAAATGTCGGCCGCAACGCCACGGGTACACCTTTCAAAATTTCCTCCTTTCTTTGTTCGTTACTTCTGAGCGATTTCTCCTCAGAATTAATCTTTTCCGAATAGTTAGTTTTGTTCTCATCATCAGCCTCACTATGGGTGGTCTCCTCCGCTGCGTCCAGGGCGAGCTGTCTGTCAATCATACCGGGAATGTACGTGTCCGACTGAAAGAAAACTTAAAGCCGCCGTACTTATCAAATTTCATGTACTTTGAATCAAAAAGAGCAAATTTCTTTACCTGAAGGCCGAGGGCGATCCTTTCCAACAAGAGCGGATCTTTGTCTGCGCCCGTTTGCTCCGCCAGTGCCATCAAATGCTGATTGTTGGGGTAGTAGTAGGCGACCGGTTGCACGCAGGCACACTCGATCTCAATCAAACTGTCCCAACCTTCTTCGATTTCGCCGATAACTTGGAACTTGCCGTCCATGTCTGCGTGCGCATCGTATGTGATCCCAAACATTGTCTATTTAAAAGCAATAGTTTTAAATAGTGGAATAGAGAACCTAACCTCTGCGTGCGGATTCCTGCCTGAAATAAGCTGACGCATGAAATCTTCTTTGCGTAAATATCGCTCAGGAATGCGCGTTACTGCCGTGAGGAGTCCCTCCCTGTTGTGCACTAGAATTGTCAGTTAAATCAAAAGATTTTCTCTGCAAAGTAGATTTACCAAGTGGATTGTCAGTGTTCTGTTCGAGGTAAGGGTGTGCGCGCAGCATAAACTCCCAAAGTTTTCTCAATTCGAAAAGGTCAACGTCGCTTTTACCAATCGTGGAGAACGCGACAGCCTCCCCACGGCCAAGGCCGGCTCGTTGGAATTCCGATCCGATAAACTTCCCTTCCGACACTAATTTGAGAAAATTGTCGCAGTAAGGAGCCGTCCACTCGCCCAAGTCGTCGAATATCTATATTCTAAAATACTTTCAGCCAGGCACAGCGCGAGTCTCCGCATTATTTAATTAATTTACGAATTATTCAATCAATTCACTTGCAACTGTCATACAATTAAATAAATTCTAGTGATCAGATGCACTAACCTTGAAAACGATTCTCCCCGCTGGAATTTCATCGACAGCAATGTCAAAGTAGACTTTAGTCGAAGAGACGGAAATAGCTTTCCTACTTTTGCGCGACATCGTTGCCCGGCCGAGCCATTTGTAAAGAGCACTCATTCTGAAAAAACGAAGATTCGATGGAGCAATTGCTTGCAGGTGTAGTGTCTCTGATCGCTGTTAGTCTCCATATCTGTGAGTAGATAAACAATGTTCCTTGCATAACGGGCTTGTAGTAATGTTTTGGGCGCGCACAATTGACCCGGGAGGAATTCGCCACTACTGTTTGCTCTATGACGCGGCTGCAATAGTTGAATTTTGGCGGGGCTCTCCCTTTTCGTCCGATTCTTCCGTTGAGAGTAAACTTGGTAGAGTATCAAAAGGTATGAATAATGAAGCGTAATCTGAACGTGCGCGCTATTCGAGCGCTTTGGGCCGGATTGGGCGCCAGCGGCCCGGCCGAAACGAAAAAAGGACATTGACTGCGGTCCGTGGTACAACCGCCATTCTAGCGCCTAGTCCGCACCTCGCTTAAAAACAAACCTCATCCCCTAATTGGACTCCTAATCGCCGAGAAAGCCGTTTTGGACCAATAAAGGCTATTCAATAATTTGTTCTACAGCTAGACTAACTTTTTCAAAAGTCAAAGTAAAAAAATGCAATTGCATTCTGTCATTCAAAGCGAATAAATTCAACTAGCGTTTTGGATGATCGAATGATTGACGAATCAATCAAGCTCTGCAGATCTTCAGCGTAGCTTTTTGAAGACTTCGCGAAAGGGTTTCGGTCATACCGTCTCTGTAACTTGAAATCCAAAAATGGTACAACTGAGATGCAAATTTTAAATTTTGAGAGAATGCATGATTGAGGCTTAATCTTTTGCTCGATTTTCTTGCTTGTGATTGAGATAATAATAGGGTTGCACTTCTGAAATCGCCCTCGGCGAAAACCACTTTCACATATTTAAAAATAGCTAGAAACAGGTAACTTCTATTGGGCACCTTTTTTGCACAAAAAAAAAGAGTCACGGGAGTCGGTTTTGTATAAAAAATTTATTTCCTATCTTTAGAAATTTTATAATTTGTATTAACATAAATTTTACGAAGGATAATATTTTGTGTAGTAGCAAAATAGGTTTGGTTTGGGTTTGACATGGATATCATGGACAGGCAACGTGACTTTCGGCGAAAAGAGCAGTAAGGTTACAGTGACCCTTATCGCTTTTTTCTAGTTATATATAAATTTTCATGGAAGACATCAGTGTTAGTAAAAAGCAGAGAAAGCGTAGGTTATAAAAATAAAACTTTTTTTGGAAGAAAAGAGTGAGGCTGCGAGGGAACCTAAAGGAGGCGCCGGACGAGCTTTGGAAGTAATTTCATTTAGCGAGAAGGTAAGTATAAAAATTAAAATTATAAATGCACATAAATAATATAAACAAAGTGCACGTATGGTTTAGGTGAAAAATTAAATTTCAAGAGTGGAAAAAGAGATTCTGAGAATTCTTTCCGCGCTCCTAATTTAAAAATAAAGGATGTATAAACATCAGGGTTATGATTTTTTGAAGAGGATAGACGATTTCAGGCGAGTTGAGGTCATTTGATATTGAGAGCCATATTGACAGGAGTCGAGCAGAGCGGACACTGCGAATCCTTAAAATAACAATTACGAGTTTGTTAGACCAAAATCTTTCGTTTTCCTGAAATTCAGTCATTATGACGTTATTGAAAGTAAAAAATTGAGAATCGAAAAGGTGTGCGATCGTGGTTTAAAAATTGTGCTGAACTTTTACCTGCGCAGGAATTTGATTTAGAAATTTGTTAAGTTGGTCTCTAGTAGTTCAATCAAATACAACTGTGTTAAATAAGTGGTTTTCCTCACCGTCATGGCAGCAATAGTGAGAGCACAGGTGTAGCAAAAGGACGAGTGACCGCAAGGCACCAGAGCGGCAGAACGCGAGTTTTGGTGGCACAGGATGCACGCCGCTTTCCCACTCACCGAACTGAACGAGAGTTGGTTCTACACTTGAGTTGAGCCTCTTTCTTACCTGATGTCGGAGAGGGACTCGGTGCCGTAGCCGGACTCGAGGGTAGACATCGAGCGCGTATCGTCCGATGGCGATGGGGCTGAAAAAAGTAATGCTAGTTTGATCGAGCATGGCGATTCATAACGCAACTGTTGTAGCGTTTTTGAAGTGGGTACTTACATCTAACGAGATTGCGAGTCAAGAGACTGTTTGTCATCGGGGCAGTTAGCTGACCAGTAGTCGTCATTTTTTTGGGAGCTTGGACAGCGCCATTGACAGAGGGAAAGTTTTGCATGTCGCGCGACGAGCGCAGCGTTGTCTGTTTCTGTTTAGTTTGGATGTAAATGCCATCGCCAGCTGCGATCTTCTGAATGTTCGGCGGCGTTCTGCGCTGCTTGGAAGAATTCGCGAAGTTCGGTGCCAAGTTAACGCTCGACGGCTTTTGGATTGGCTTTATCACTTTGGTGGCGGCGGGACACCACGAGGCGGCGGTTGGGTTTAGCTTTGACTTGCTAACATCGACTTCTACTTTCTCTTCTTCTTGCTTCTTCTGGATGCTACGACCAACATCCTTGTCCAGATCAACTCCGATTTCCTGAAAAAGTTCGGCCACAAGATTTAATTGAAAGAAATACCTTGAGGTTAACAACAATTTGCGGCGTGTCGTCTGTGGGCTCAACATCAGCAATTGGCTTTGACATCGACTTTTGGTAAAGTGCGAAATTGTTTTTGAGACTCAGAGAATTGATGTCCAGCATTGAAGTAGAATCTGTTAAAGATTCGTTATTATTCAACGAAGCAGAGGGCGGCGAGCTGGGCTGTTTGAATGAAGAAATACAGGAGCCAAGAAGACTTCCACCCAAAAGAGGTGGCATTTCAGTCGGCGTAGGGGTTTCGGAGGGTCGTGAAAAACTAGGGAAAACGGGACGAGGGGAGGAGACACCAGCCTCGACATATGGCTTGTGCTTGTTGGTTGTTGTCGTTGAATGCTGTAGAGCAGAACTGCTATTCAAACTGAAAAAAAAAATAATTTTTTTAGGTTCGTCTTTGAAGAGTACCTCTGGAGGAACTGATCCACTTTCTGCCTGTCGCCGATAGAGAGCGAGCCGAAAGCCTGAAGAGCAGCCAAGGCACGCTCGGAGGTGCTTGCAGAAGAGTTTCCAGCACTGAAGTGTTTGTTTAGAACTTATCTGCTAAACTGATCTCCTAATCAGTGAATTATCGTTTTAGCTGTCGAAAGTCGCGCGTTCTCATGCTTGTCGATTACTTACATTGGATTCTCGATTTCGCCATCATCGCCAATATCAACACCATTGGCGGCGAAGTCAAGGTCGCGATCGATAGAACCGGTGCCCGTCCTCGTCGCGATGTAGGCTTCGATTTCTTGCTTCGCGACTTCGACGTTCTCCGGGAGACCTGTCACTTCGAATACTGGGTCTTTCTCGCGACTTGGGGTGACGATGTAAGTGTGCGTCTCGTTCTGTATCCTTTTGATGGTAGATCCGCGGGGACCAACGACCAGGCCGACGACTTTGTAGGGGACTCTCACTTTGACGGTGACAGTTCCATGTTCGGATCCGAGAACACCGTGGGCGGCTACCATTGAGCCAACCCGTGTTCGCTGAGCGCGTATAACAGTAAAGTGCTCCGCTGCCTCGCGGATCTCAGCAGCTGCGATAGCGACGTCTTCCGCTCGCCCTGACAGAAATTTATAAAGTTTGTTTATCAAGCTCCTCAATGGAGAGGAAATGGCTGCTTAATCGTAATGGCCAGCGTAAGTGGCGCCGCTTTGAAATCGCTGAAGGCCTCCCGATTTTTATAATCACCTGTTATTACAAATTGTGGTTCCTCGCCACGGCCAGGTGTCTTGATGTAAGTGTTTGTCTTCTCTCGAAGAATTCTGATTTTACAGCCTAAATGACTAGTCAGCAATATTGAAACTCCAATAAAATTCTATCTGCAGGGTATTAACGAATGTTACCTTGCTTGCCGACGATTTCAGCGACGTGTTCCGAAGTTGGCACTTTTATTGTTTCCTTCGTGTTTTGGCATTTCTTTGGAGGCTCGAGTAGCGAAAGATCGGGCGCACAATCGTTCTTTTTGTTTCCGCCGACCAGTCCTAGCGCGTGCATTTCTAGCGCTAGCTGCATTACTCCCTTGGCCGCGTTACTCTTCGGATCACTAATTAAGTCTTTTAAAATCGCACTCAAAATACTTATCGCCAAACTTCATAAGGGCTCCGTTCCCAGAGAGCAACTCATCAAGAGCTAAGCAAATTTAAACTTCCTGATTGATGATTTTCTGAGAGTCCTCAATTAACAAGAATTAACGATAGTTTTCCGTTGTTAGAAGATCAACCAGAAATAACTAAAATTTGCGAAACAGATTCGAAACAATAAATTAAGTAAAATATCAACTATTAATCTTAATAAATCTTCTAAAAAATAACTATTTTTCTACATTCCCAAATTTGGACGGCTTAAATTCGTAAGCATAAATTTTGAAATTCACTAGTTTAAAACTTTTTTTGTTTTTACAGGTGGCCATTTGAACTTTGCCCCTTAATTTTGGAGTATTGGCATTGCGCATACAGTTGCACTTCTTTCATAGAAGAAAGAGAACAGCTCTTACCTTCCATCCCCATAGAGAGTAGAGATTGAGCCCGATGTAAGCAGGTCCGACATGACTTTCCAGGCAACAAACTGGACTCGTTTCTGAATGTTGAGTTGAAGAAATTCCATTTTTATTGAGCTGAGCGTCTTCAGTAGTCCCTTTATATCAAGGTGATTACTTGGCAGCTTGGGGGTCTTTCGAGCGATCGGGTGATACTTCTAACGGGAGCAAAATTACCGAGACAAGCTCGTGACACATTTACAAGGAGATAAAACTCGTATTTATCCAGTTGGAGAGCTTTACAGAGCGTGTGGCAAGTGCGCTTTTACAAGCTTTATCTTTCGCAAATGGATACCGATTCAGCGGAACTATCTGAGAAAAAATATTCATAAATGCCTCAACAAAAAGGCGGGGGTTACCATGCGACTCAGATACTTCATCCGGTTTAGAGGCTTTTTTATTTTTATTTTATTGTTTCAAACTTTCAATGAAAAAAGTTTATTTTTTAATTTCTCCCTTCCCTGAACGGGCCAAACATGCTGAGGCTGAATATTCGGACTCCAGATGTTGTTATTTATGCTAGGGATATTCTCGCTGAGGCCAATCATTATGGCTTCTGTATTTTTTATTCTCTAATCGCAAGAAGGTTGTACTCCTCTATGATTCCAACAGCGTTAAAAATTATACGAAAATGTGTTTGGCTATCGAGAGATTTGGATTGTAGAACGGCAGGTTCGAACAATCAGCTCTGCAGGCTGGACAGTCAACGGATGACTCCTGGTGAGGGCGCCACGATGACGCAAAAACAAATACAGAGCTGCTTAACCCTGACCAGTTCCACCGGATCACCGGATCACACATAATTTTTAAACTTCCCCAATTGTGAGGCGAACACTCTTTGATCATTAGGGCGGATATCCGCGCAATCAACCACAAAAGTCAGCGCTGAACTGTCCGAAATACCAGACAGGAAAGAAACCAGCGCGATCGGGAAGTCGGTGACCTCCAACTCACTGAGGCCTCATTTCCTGGTCACTTTCCGTTTCCCTTTTGATAATGCGAAAAATGTCTCTACTTCGACAATTGTTGCAAATTGAAATAGAGGCGATTAAATAAGTGTCATCAATGACTTCTTGGTTGCACTGTAAAAGAGGTCAATAGTAAGTATGAAGAATCGCCGACTGTAAAAATTGAGCAGAACGCGTCAATCAGAGTACATTCGACAATATCCTCTCCACTCGATTTATGATAAGTGGGTATCGCTGCAAACGCGTAAATCACCGCATGTCGATTTTTACACATCTGCCGTAGCCGAATGCTTTCTTGCAAAACGACCTCAAAATCGAGCATTTAACTGTTTCCTATCGCTCTGATGATTGTGTATTCGTGTTCTAAGGCAGCCTTCGCACGCCGCAGCGATCCTATCAAAGGGAGCATTAAATTGATTTTATTAGGCTTTTATGAAACGCTCCTATTCATTTCTACCTGAACGGGCAATTTCTATCTGGCACTTCAGCGCGCGTAAAATAAATTTTCAGTGATCCCAATAAAGAATCATTCTAATCGAATTTCATAATTATCATTGATTGTAAATACTGGCTCGGAGAATTGTCGAGTACCTCTGCTTTTCCCACGGGCTTACTTGAGTCCCTAATGCCCTCGAGACGGACGTATGGGAATGGTCAGCGGAAGTGGGATTAAACAGCTTTCGCAAAATTAGCAAACCATCTCAAACTTTAGCACAGAACAGATGTTCGGTTTTATCGTAGTGACCAGTTCCCTGGAGCTTTACGAGCCGTGCTAAATTCGAATCGCACTGTGTTTATTCAATCTGCCATCGAACTTGCCTAGCATCTGTCCCACAAATTCTACCATTGAAGAAAAAGTATTTAATTTAGTGATTATAAAAATATGGATTATCATAATTTGGAATCATTTCACAATTTCCATAAACTAGCATTTACATTCAAGAAGATTATTTACCCAGCTGGTCCAGAGAATCAGCAAAAGTCTAATCTACGAACTTTTATCAAGTGCATCTCACACATACTTCTAAGGCGGTGTTGACAAATATTCTTGCCAAACAAAAACGTTTGAATGTTTCCTTGGCGGAATATTTCACCAGCTTGGTGTTAAAAAATAAAAAACAGACGCGAAGATAAAGTATCATTGCCGATCACTCAAAGTCCGAAAAAATAACAGCTCGATCAAAAATTTGGACAGTAAAGCTCTTTCGTCGTCTTTGGCTTCATCCTTTTGTCTTTTCTCTCTCTTTGAGTGGCGATGATCACGGAGGCCGTGTATTTTGACTTGAGCGATCGACTGATGCTCCAAAATCGATGAAGACTGGCGCTCCTTTCAAAATTCATTTTTACACTTTTGAGACGCCATCAACGATCTCATCGCGAGGAAATGCCTGTTTGTTTTCTTTAGGTTTTTGGAGGAACATAGCTACGCACTTGTCCACAGGATACGCTCGTAAAGCGAGTAATAACGCGAGGAACTAGCTAGAAAGCCACAAAATGCTGCTTAGGGAGTCTGAAAGAGTCAAGAAAGAGTCCGAGGCTAGGTGTGTCGCTCACCCCGCTGCCAGAATAACAATGAACCTAATTTAACGAGAAGAGAACAGTTTTTTCTTGGCGAAAATCTCTCAAGTAGGCCACTTGACTTCTGGGTAATCTCTCTCAGAGTGTAACTGATCACAGAGCCGAGTTCGTCATCGCAGATCCAGAGGATTCTGACAACGATGCTCAACCTAGTGTCACCTAGAAATAGCGCTAACACACGGCTCATCGCGTAGGCGAGCAAACGATTCAGCTTTAGGGGATGGGCGCCATGTGTGCCGTAATCTTACTCCACCACCGGTCGGTTACTCCGACACTTTCAACCCAAACACGCCGACCAGAGCTCGATTTCCGCCTGGAAGCTCTCAAAAACAGCTCCACTGATACAAGATGATTACTTCTGCTAATTTCATCCAAGTATCGATTATTCTTTAACGTTTGAAATACAGTCTACTCGCACAATTGGCCCTAATTTGGTTTGCGAATCCCTCAAAAAAGACCGAATTCTGCGGGTCCGAATCGTTGCATAATTTTTCATTTTTCGTGAAAATCGCAAGAAGGGCCGAATTATGCGAGTCTAAATTGTGCGAGTCGACTGTACCTTTTTCTGTACGATAGTATTTTCGCTGGAGCGAGAAGTCTGACAAAGACTCTTTGTTCTGCGCTGAAAAGGGATAAAGTAGTGATTAGATGGATGCCTCTCTCTCTCTTTGATTTTTTCGACCTATGATGTTAAAAACTATTATTATAATTTAAGCAATTTGCGATATGAATATTGTGCTATCATTTGTGACGCGTCGCCTCGGAATGCCTAGATTTCCCATAATGTTTCCACTTTTTTCATCATTATGAATTTAATTCCCACGACAAATGTCGAGTTAGGTTTAACTTTTATTTGCCGAGTTTTGACCATCTAGTAGGAAGTAGCTAACAAAGACAGTAACTCACCCGTGACCAAGCCAAAGACCCGTTACTGCTCTATGAATCGTTCTCAATTGGCAGCGTAATTCCTAAAGAATTCCTTTGGTAAAGCAAAAGCGATAGTAAAGTGGGCGTATAAGAACTCGAAACTCACTTGCACCGTTTTCCACCCGAGTGAGTTCCAATATTCCTCTCACAATAAAAGCTCTTATAAAATGTCTTGTCTATCTATTCGCGCTTATCCTCCAAATTGAGGTATAATTTCAGCCTCTCGCGGAGAGCAACTCTCGTCTGGGTCACTGAGCTCGGACAAAGGCGATCGCCAAAGGCTGTGTCTGTCTCTGCCCTTGAGTTGTTGCTGCTCATCTCGTGACGGATTCTGTTTGAACGAGGATCAGCGCCGACAGATCTTAGGCTCTGGAGATGCGTGTTTTCTTCCGGGCTCTTGAGCAGCGGCCGCACCCTGATCCCACATCAATCATTCTGTGCCCGGCGCACTCTTCTGAAACGATTCTTTGTTTTCTTTTCCTTTGAGCCTAGAATCATTGACTCTTTCGGAAGAGTCTTTCCTTCCTATTTTACAGAATTTGAGCGCCATATGTGCGTTGACACTTCAGTATTGGAAAATGCGAGTACCAGCAGAATTGCTGCGAGCAGATGGCGAAAATGGACAGATTGTCATGTCACGTTTCGGAAGTGCGTAATTAGCCCGAAATGCTTGTTTTAGGGCTCACTGTGGCAGTAATACAACTTCCCGGAATCCAATAAATTCTTCCTTATTTGACGGGGCAAACAGTGCATGAAGATAAATTGCAACTTGCAACTACTTGATCTACCTATCAGAAGAGTGTCTAAACAACAATTGAGTGATAGCGCCCATCCGGTACGCATGATCATTTCTACTTTACTCGGAATTATCGATCCGGAGCAAACACCAACTGGAAAAGAGAAAATATTTTTGTGCGATATAAAACCAACTTAGGGCCATGTTTATGATTCCAATTTCCAAATTTAACCATCTTCTTATCCATAAAAAACAGTAATTAGTATTTGCAATAGCGGAGCCAAATAATTGTCTCTAATATATCTGAGGCTGGCGACCGATGGCGACGGTGACACTTACGCCTGTCATAACGAGCGGCCGATTTATGAAAATTTGCGATTGATGTGGCCGACGATATCATTTTTAGGGTCCTACCTCTTCTCTTCTCTGTCTTCTCTTCCACTATTCTCTGTAGATTAGCTGGCTCGACTTAAATTCTACGAATTGATCTTAATCGAAGTGTCACTTCTCACTTATGTGCAAAACACCTGCTTTGCATTTATTCTCAATAAATTCGGCCCCCGTAAGCATGTGAGACTTTTCACAGGACTAAAACAAATACTTTGTTTTTCAACATTGTTCTATGAGATATTTTATTACTCAAAATCGAGCTACAGTCAGTCTGTTTTTGATTTCAAGGCATACAAGTTATAAATATTAGTCGTCTAATCGGCATATTCAACATAAGCGAATGGGACGTATCCGCTGTCTTCTGTGAGCAGGTTTACTACTTTAACCCAGCCATCGCGAACGTCTTTAGCACGATGAAAATCTGCTACCCGTCTAGGGCAACTAAAGTCATTTATCTCATCGTTTCCTT